TTGATCCTGTAAACCCGCCCATCACTCTATGAGACACAAGCCCCGACTGAGTACATACACCTAAGCTGCAGGCGGTTCGAGACAAAGGTCTTTTCCCTCATCTCACAGGGTGCAGAAAGGCAACAAAGATACACACATCATCAAATCACCTGCCTTTTGCAGTAGGAAATCCAGACCAGCTGGTGCAGGGGCCAAAGCTGATCGAGACATTCTGAAAATAAAATAAATTGCCCCTCAAATTGTGTCCATGGTATCCGTTCACCGCGCTCCGTGATCCATTGTGGGAATTGCATTTGATATTAGTCTTTCTTGGGGCCCATTGTGAAGGCGCCCCAAGCACCCGCATCCACCAAGTCTGACACCGTCATAGTCCCTAGTAAGATGGTGAGGAGTTGTAAAAGTAGAACAAAAAAAGGAGAGAAGATGAAACCTGAATGGTTAACTTGAATTATTGTGATTTTTTTATTTAATTTTGTTATTTTTTCATATTTTTCATATTATTATTTTATGCAATAACTCCATAGAAAATAGTTACTCTGCCAACTCGGTACTCTTCCTTCGAAATTCCTTGATATTACCGTATACAAATGTGGGGGAAAACGGACATTACGTAGCCGGGTGTCTCAGCTTCAACAGATTAGACACCACTTATCAGTTTCTCGGTCTAGAGCTTCGTCTATCAAGTATTGCAGCGTGGCGGTCCTGAATGGGGACGATCATCGGGGCGCAATGCAATCCCGGTATCCGAGATAGAAAGGACAAAAAAAAGAATAAAATAAAATTAAATAGGTAAAACAAAAGCAAAAAAAAAGAATAAAAAAATCAATTTGGTAATGAAAAATTTCGGGTAAATTTTCTCCATATTCTAATTATTCTGCCTGCAACCAAGCTCCTCTTCTAATGGTGGAGTCGTCAACGCGTAACGGAGGAGTACAGGTTTGGTCTAAACCACACGCGCGCTCGGTCTACATCCATCATCATTCTACCCGCTCTCCCTGTACACCTTCAAGCGAAATAGAGAGTTCTCACTCTACTCCATACTGGGGGGCTTTCGTCAATGCGAAGCATGGATCACATTCCCGTCTACATCCGGTATCCCGCCACTTGGTGATTTCCCTTGTACTCTCTCCCCCATGGAGTCATATTCCTCTTCAAGGATGGGACCCTCATTACTACCGAAGCCGATCGGTTCCGCCTATGGGAAAGTATCCTGGTTATTCTTGTTGGCCCGTATTCTCGACGAGGCCGCGGGAGGTGTTGCAATGCCAGGTACAGTCCCGAGGCGGACTGCTGGCCTCGTTTTGAACTGATCGCCGGGGCGAAACTGGGTTTCCTCGAAAGAGCTTGGGCTTGAGTTTTTTTTTGTGTCTGTGATTATCATTTCAAGGATCTTTTACTTTATGTGGAGTAGAAATCATGCTCCACTGAGATATGAACTGCCAGTGATTGAATCAGATGGAAGCGCTTGGGAATCACCCGGGTTGGTATCAAGGTTGAGAGAAGTGCTTCAAGGTTTTCTCCTTGGAGGACTATGCAACAACACTTGGCTAGAACATCGTGTTGTCGGACTAATGGACCAAAGTACCCACGTACCATTGACACATAAACCTGGTCCTATATTCAGAGTGCCCGGGTTATTGAGTCATGACCAAGCAAGTGGCGTATGCAAGAGGATACCGCGGATGATGCCTAGCATATGTCACCAGTGCTTTTCGATCTTGCAGATCGTATTCATCCCCACTGACAAAGGCAAACTAATACGTCCGCATTTCGATTTTTTTCATTTCAGAGCTCATTTCAAATGTCCCATGGAAAAGCCCCCGAAAAAGCAAAACGCTTAGAGGGGTAGATACCAGAAAGAGCTGAATGCGTCTTGTGTCAAGCTCGGATTTGAGTTTCAGCAGAGCTCATCCTCCACTTCTCGACTTCCGCACAATTGTCATCACCACTGCCTCTACACTGCCATCACTCTGAATCCTTGACTTTCCGAGAAGTCATTGTCATTACTTGGCCCCTTGCCCCTTTAACTTCTAGTGAGATGAGGGGTTAGCTGACGACGACTTGTCGGATCGAAATCCCAACTGACATTCAACGTTCCATGGCAGCTAAGCTGCAGGCGTAACCGCTATCAAAGATAATTAGATGATTTGACTCACTTCCAATACTCCGGCAAGCGCGCTTTAATCAACATGCACACATACTAAATCGGCTCACAGTCCCCCTGTTCCCCGGGCACCTCGACCTCGAACTAACCCTGGTATTTCGATCGCCGGTCTAGGCAACTTCTCCATACACATCCTAGTACTTACAGCCTATATTCGGAGCAAGCCCCGTTTTAGGTCCTCCTACTTACCCTTTTCCATCTAGCTCTGGAATCCCTGCTGTGCGCATTTTTCCACTATCCATATTTTCCAGGTCTGATTCTAGACCGTGGAACGTCCTGGGCGCTTGCACGGGCGACCAAATATTACTGGGTAGAACTTTTGAGGCTGAGAAGCTCCTACCCGAGAACAGTATTCCTTCAATACGATAGCTCGTCGGATACAAGAATTGTTTCTGGGATGTTATGCAATATCATCTCACATTCTTGGTTTTCTCAAGTCGGTCCGCTGCTTTATTATCCCGCATACAACGATTTTCGCATATGTGGTCCAAAGCGGGATTTGGCGTGCAGAGAATCCTTGAAAGTAATGAGGAGGTCATGTTACAAATTGCTATGCGATTAAACCTGTTTGTGCGGAGCTAAGGTATGATCATGATGATCAGGCCACTCGCTTCACTTGACAATCAACCTTCTATTGAAATTACGCTGCTGGTGATGCGAAGCTTGCAACTGATCACACAGGTTGGAACAACTCTGGGACTAATTATATCCTAGAAAAAGCCTTGGGGCTATGTCCAGAGTACTCCAATGTGCCCAGTTATCCCAACTTGAATTTACCGTAGAACATAAAGCAAGACAACAATTTGAACGCACCACCATCGAGCACACTATGTAGTATTCAGTACAACAAAACTTGGATATCTAATTCAATTTTCTAAATATACACCAGTTTCTCGAGAATAGACCCAATAAGCAAAACCACATCCAACTTGAGCTTGAACTCAGCCCCGAATCAAAAAGAAAAAAAACACAAGATATCTCGTCCAAAAGTAACACAAACAAACGCAACGACAAGCCCGCATAATCTCATATACAAAGTACCCTGAACAGCAATCCAACCGCCCGTCCAACACGTAATCGGAATGACCGACGTGCCCCGGGGCAGAATCCTTCTACTTTCTCGACCAAACAGGACCATTTTTATTTGCTGCTACGATCAGTGGTCAGGCCAACAACCAGTCAGCGTTGTGCAGTTGTTCTGAGTCCAGTCAGCCGGTATGGGTAGCCCCCAGCCCCAGCCTTGCTTCTATGTGCAGAAGTGGACACTGGTAGTGGCATCTAGACATGCCAGTGGGAGGGGGGTCAGGACGGTGGATTTGAAATCGAGCTGAGGATATGCATGTCGGGGGATTATGATATATCATGCCGTATGTATGGACTTTGTTGTACTCGAGTTGATTCAAGTGTTGGTGTTGCCCACATACGTAACTGGTGCCAGTGGGGATATATACTTCTGTTAAGTACAACTTCAGGTGCATGGGATAAATGAAATATCGACTATGACTGCACTTCAAGTTTAGATGAATGTGGATGAAGTTGAGACGAATATTGAATTTCATTTGTTGTGGATTCGACCAATGTATTTGACTGTTTTTGTCTTGCAGGTTGGGATTTAAATATTGTATGGAAACTTCAATGTTGAATATTTTTTTCACTGGACTTGAATAGATGCCAGTGGATACATGCTATCGAGTGCATGCCAGGTGCGTCGGTAGATGAAACATTTGGGATGCACATGTGCATGTCGACAAGGCAGATTTCGTGCACCTGTGAGTGATACCATCAGTACTGAACACCAGCGAGTCATAGGAAGTAAGGATTTCAACTTGAAGTTAGCACCTCGCCTCCAGGTTCACGTTCAAAATGCAGTTGATACAGGTGTCAAGATACCTTAGCTACTACCTTCCCTTGTCGGATTTTACTGTTTGAACATTGAAGCAAGGCGATCTCCATGCTGTCTACCACGGAATATCTTGGCATAATCCATGGTCGAGAACGCAGAACAGAACAGCCAAGGACAGATAATGACATATGATCATATATGCTCATAATCCAAAGTCCTCGGGCGTAGCAATAATACAATGCAATCAGATGAAATACTCGAACTTCCAAGCCTGCGGTTACTAGATAGATCATCTCGAGATGTGAGCTCTTAGCGATGTGTCACAGATGCATACCCGAGTACATGTGAAGCGAGAACTCAACAGCTCACAATATACAATCCTGGTCACTGACACTACATGACTCGTGCATCAGGTGGCAAAATGGAAAGAAGGCTGCCAGTGCCATCTTTGTAACCAAGGAATATTTTTTGTGCATCATACCTAAGCAAAAACAGTTGCCCAGATTGATCAACACTCCAGGGCTGTCAAGAATTTTATTCAAATGGATGTTGTTCTTGGAGACGCAAAATTCAAAAGGGTCTCTAGAGTTTTATGACCATCTCCGCGGCGTATCATATCTAGATTTTTGAATGTTATTCTATTCTGCATTGTCGTCAAAATACTACGTACTACATCTATAGGTATGCAACTTGGAGGAGTTTGCAGATCTTTCAATAGTACATCATTCAGATAAACAAGTGCTCATACTAATCCATTCTGTTGATTAAAGCAACTATAACACGAATTGAATATTCAACAAAGCAATGAAGCTGATTAAAACATTGAACGTACCAACTTGAAGCATTCTAAACAGAAATTTCAAACATTCTAGTAAACTTTCAAGGTTGTAACTTGAACTCTGAATAAATCCTGCACACGTGGAAAAGATTTATACCTGGCGTTGAATCTCTCTATAATCGAGTTAGTAGTGAGACATGGAACCGTACTCACAATTAACCTTGACGTTGAATTTCAATATTTGCAGGCTCGTACTCGATAGCACGACCCTCGGCAGAATCACGGGAGATACCTAGATTATTGGATTGGGCTAGTTCAAATGTTCAGCTCACAACTGGGAAGAAAGAGGATTCACTTACGGTCTCCACTATATTCGATTCCATTGATCTTCATATGACGTTCATGATATTGGGCGTTGAAAGCCGCATACCCCACAGTTCCAGGGCGGCTCAGCTCCCCAGGACCGTAGTTAGGGTTAAAAGTCTGGAAAAGCTCGAATAGCCCATCGGCAGGAACATTTAGAACGCCCTCTTGGATCAGACGATAGGTAAATTGGGACCTAGACGATATTAGTAACCACAGCCAGATGAATGATACTAGACAGAAAAAAAGAGAACTCACGTAAAATCCTTACAACCCTTCGCGTCCGAGTTTTGAGTATTAAACCCACAAGGGACCATGTGGTGTTTATCAAGAACTGAAAGGAAATCTTCAACGGTAGCCCCTGCAGCGACGGAGATCTCAAAGTTCTTGACTGATCGGGGAGATGGGTTAGTATTCCAGTGTGGCTTAACGTTCAAAAGACCTCGAACAGTTTTAAATTCAAATTCTCCATAGAACTCTAGATCAATATAAACCTGCTTTGCACCGGGGAAAACCTCAGAGTCATTTGGAATATCGTTTTCGAAAATGAGTCTAGCCGTACAATGGTTGAGTCGAGGCTTGTTTGGGATAAGAGGACCGTTAAAGTCTAGATCCAGAATTTGAATAAAGTATTTAGAAACAACCGTGGCTCGAACATTACCGGGAATGTCCTCAATATTTAAGTACTCAATTTGAGATGGGCCACTGCGCCAGTTAGACATCTTGAATGTTGGGAATTCGGCGATTACCTCTGTAGATGTTTTTTTTTGGTGGTAAGGATCTTGATTTGCCTTCAACTGCTCGGTGGTGGAAATACTTGATAACTTGATACTTGAAGATGAGTGATACTCTTGGGAGTGCTGGATAAGCTTCTGATGTTTGTGTGTGTTTCTGAAATCCTCATCTTGGGAAATGTGAAGGGTATTTAAACTATCTGGTTTGTCTCTCAAAGAGACGTATAACCTCTGTTAAATCCTCAAAATAGCCAATGAAGATTGTATAATTAGGCTCATGAACAAGGGCATTAATGAAGATGCAAAGCAGCATTGTCAGATAAAGACAAAAGGGCTATATGAAGTTTCAAGTTGCTCTGAGCCTCGGAAACGTACCCCAGAATACTACTCACGTCTTTGTTCGCTATTTATGTGACCAATGCCTCATTGTCTTCGAGTCTGGATCGAAGGATTAGGATTGTCTGTAAATGGAACAGTTACTATATCAATGTGTACTATGTTTATACATAATGGAATTATCTTTTCTTAGATCCGCTGATATCCATGGATATTAAAATTAGGCATCATTTTTAGACATACAATGGAAGACACTATTTCAAGTTTTATTCACCATTGAAATCCATCTGTGACAGCATACATACTACCTAAATTAGAATTCTATATTGAGCAGTGGAATCAATTGGAGGATGCCTGAAGTATTTTCTCCGGTGGGCACATATACTACTACATACTAGTACTAGTAATTCCTTGCATCAGCAGCCATTGATAGTATGTCACGGTTCCAGCACTTGAGACGTGCATACGTCCATATACTATTTGACAATTGATCATTGTACCCCTATCTACAATTGTCAAGACTTAAAATTTGAAGCTCCTCTCAATTGATGGATCCTGAATTGGGCATTATGTTATATGAATTTCGAGGGTTTTTACACTGATCATGCTTCAACTCTCTGTAGCACTGTTGTCGAGGCACCAGTTGACTATACTATCGCAACATACAGTGGTTCATGGGAATCATGGCAAAGGGTTTAGCCCGGGAACATTTAGCCCCTCATCTCAAATGTTCTACTAAAATCAACAGCCCCATTGCTGCCCCACCTGCAAATGTATGCTATCACGTATGTGCCGCCTTCAGCCTCGAGGATTGTGACCTGAAATTTAGCACAACGAGCCATTGAAGGACTCCTGACCCTCGCCGACATCATACAATCCATTCAGACTGATTTAGGGTAGGGAAAAACTCGACAGTACAGTGTGGATTTCTTCCCCAGATTATGCGGCTAGGGCAGTGATAGTCTCCATATCAACGCGAGATGAAAGCCACAAAAAAAGCATGTGAAAGTTGGACTCCATTGCGGGTGTTCTCGGAGGTCGGAGGAGCTTGCAAGACGAAAAACAATCGTAACTTCAATTGAGTAGATGAATTCTAAATGGGATATCTGTTAGAAGTGTATAAAAGAGCAAAAGAAGGACCTGAGTAGAAAAGATGATAGCTATGAAGCTATGGAGTACCGCTAGAATTTCCTAATTTGGGGAATGCATATGTGTTAAGTGGCAGTTAATTTCTCCTCACTGGGGATAAGTTCCCCTCACCCACTTTTCTCCAATTTTTTTCCTTAATTTTTCTGGTCCCAAAATGTCTCCTTTTCCCCCCTAAGCTATTGTACTATTAATGTTAAAATAAAATTGGAGATTTTTACCCTCAAGTGCTCGGATGATCTACATAGAATGAAAATAAAAAATACATAAAAATTAATCAATTGTGAATCAATTGTGAACTTGAACATGACTCATTATACAAAGAAGTATTATAGTGCTGAAATAAAAAAAATATGATCAAATACACAAGTAATTAACCAAGTAAATGTATAAGTACCTAATACTTAGCGAGACTATAGCCTAAATACCAACACACAAAGTACCTGATACCCGTGATTTGGGGCAGAAAACTCGCGCCATTGTTACTCATTACACCGATTCGCCTAAAACAGTAACACGGGATTCTTATCAAAATTTTGACTAGCTCTCTCTCCCCTTCTTCTCCCCAAGTTTTTTTCTCTTCTTAAAAAAAACCATCCTTTGGTGTGCTCTCCACCACCGTAATAATGGCTGGTAACACACTAGCAATGCGGTCCATGGCCTCCCTGTCCACCGCGTCGCGACGCTCGATCGCGACCTCCCAGGCTCTGCGCGCAAAGCCGATGCGCTCCGGTGTTCAAACCGTTTCACGTATCGCTCGTCGCGGTTATGCCGATGCCGCTCCTACTCCTTCCCCGACACCTAAGCCCAAGAAGCGCTTCCGTGCCCTCCGCTGGGCCTGGCGTTTGACCTGGTTGGGTGGTCTCGGTTTGACCGGTGCCCTCGCCTACAGCATTTGGGAGCTGCGTCACCCCGTTGAACAGTCCGAGCCCTCCCCCGACAAGAAGACCCTCGTCATTCTTGGTATGATACAGCTTTGCGACGAAACATAATTTTTTGTAGACCAAATTTGCTAATATGTTCTTGCTTTTGTAGGAACTGGCTGGGGTTCTGTCTCCTTGCTCAAGAAGCTCGACACTGAGAACTACAATGTCATTGTGGTCTCTCCCCGTAATTACTTCCTTTTCACTCCCCTGCTTCCTTCATGTACTACCGGTCTGATTGAGCACCGCTCAATCATGGAGCCCATCCGCAACATTCTCCGCCAAAAGAAGGCCAGTGTTAAGTTCTACGAAGCCGAGGCCACCAAGATCGACTATGAGAAGCGTGTTGTATACATCAGCGATGACTCTGAGATCAAGGGTGACATCTCCCAGACTGAGGTTCCCTTCGACATGCTTGTTATCGGTGTTGGTGCCGAGAACGCCACGTTCGGTGAGTTAAATTTGCTGAAATACAATTGGGAACAAAAGAACTCATGAACCCTTTCTAGGTATCCCCGGTGTTAAGGAGAACTCGTGCTTCCTAAAGGAGGTTAACGATGCCCAGAACATCCGTAAGCGTATTATGGACTGCATTGAGACCGCCATGTTCAAGGACCAGAGCGAAGACGAAGTCAAGCGTTTGCTGCACATGGTTGTTGTCGGTGGTGGCCCTACCGGTGTTGAGTTTGCCGGTGAGCTCCAGGATTTCTTCAACGACGATCTCAAGAAGTGGATTCCCGAGATCCAGCACAACTTCCACGTTACCCTGGTCGAGGCCCTGCCCAACGTTTTGCCCATGTTCTCCAAGCAGCTGATTGACTACACCGAATCCACCTTCAAGGAGGAGTTGATCACCATCCGCACCAAGACCATGGTTAAGAACGTCACCGACAAGTACATCGAGGCCGAGATCACCAACCCCGACGGATCCAAGTCCCTCGAGACCATCCCCTACGGTCTGCTCGTCTGGGCTACCGGTAACGCCGTCCGCCCTGTGATCCGTGACCTGATGAGCCAGATTCCCGCCCAGAAGACCTCCCGCCGTGGTCTCGCCGTGAACGAGTACCTTGTTGTTAACGGTGCCGACAACGTTTGGGCTGTCGGTGACTGTGCCATCACCAACTACGCCCCCACTGCCCAGGTTGCTGGTCAGGAGGGTGCTTTCCTTGCCCGTCTCTTCAACACCATGGCTAAGACCGATGAGATTGAGAAGGAGCTTGTTCTGCTCTCTGACCGTCAATCCCAGGTCAAGTCCGACGAGGAGCGGAACCAGGTCTTCGATGAGATCCGTGAGCGCCAGAAGCAGCTGCGCCGTACTAAGCAGATGGGTCCCTTCCAGTACTCTCACCAGGGTAGCTTGGCATACATTGGCAAGGAGCGTGCCGTCGCCGATATCAGCTGGCTGAGCGGCAACATCGCTAGCGGTGGTACCCTGACCTACCTCTTCTGGCGTAGCGCCTACCTGAGCATGTGCTTCAGCTGTAAGTTCTTTATATCTCACTTCTACCTCATATTCACCTCACTAACTCTTTATTTCTTTTAGCCCGCAACCGTGTCCTCGTCGCCATGGACTGGATCAAGGCCCGTGTCTTCGGTCGTGACGTCTCTCGGGAGTAAATGCATAGCTAACAAAGCCATGCGCGGAAGCCTTCTGTATAAAAATAACAGTTGCGCTTTCTACTTTCTTATGTCCTCTAAACAATGACGGTTATTTAAAACCGCCCAATCATCCTTGAAACGCCACGCCACCTCTATGCCACCTTTGACTCTTGATACTTCTCTTTTTCTTTTTCTTTCTGGTTTTCTTTTTTCTCCCTCGTGATAGACATATCCACTGCTCGTTTTCGTTTTTGATGACCCGATCTTGGCGCTGATAGTCGATTCCTCGTTCTCGTCCTTACATCTCGTGTATACTTTCCTGTTGGTGGATTTTGTCCATTAAACAACCCTCTCGTGCTTGGATGCAGGGAAAAGCATTAATTCGCTCTTTGCTTGTCAGTTTCAGCTTTCTTTTGAATGACTTGTATACTATAGGAATAGATAGACGGAGGAATATTATATACTTGCGTATCTTGGTCGAGAAATTCGTCCACATCTCAGAATATCATCTTTTACCTACTAATCCATTATGACTGTAGATAGGCCCTGGGGTCGGACGGACCTCAGTCTAGCTTCAAAATGTTTCTTCCACTCCCCTTCATGGTATTCAACATTTGAAAGACACGGATTTTTTTTTGGGTATACTTGAGATACTTTTCATAGAGACCTCTTTAAATACTATTCTTGAACAACCTTTGTTTCTTTACATACCTTTCTCTTTTAACATTCTACTGCATTCTGATTTGCACGGCACTCTTCGATCAACGTCTTCGAGATATTGGCATTAAGACCAATGGAGGAGACATGGAGATCCTCCCGGTAGTCTTTCACAGCACAATTAATTGCATGTGACCGATGGGTGTACTCAAAGCTTCCAGATGTCTGCTTCATCTTTAAGAGAATCCAATGCGGCTACTGATCTACACGATATTGAGGTATTTCTACATCATTGACCGTGCGGTGCCAGTAGTAGGAGCAGCTATTTGTGAGGTACTATGGGATAGAAGATCAAGAAAATATTTAGTAGTCACCTGCGTGGCCGCAGAGGATTCCCGTCCCAATCCTATTATCAAACAAGAATGATATCTCTGCATTCTTGACTATCGAAGGCCTCACCATACATGATCCCTTGGACATAGCATTCTCCAATGACCTTCCAAAAGCCTCCATCGACCTTTCTCAGTATGAAGGGCAGCCGCTTGCCCTCAAGAACCACAACATGGTCGCCTGTTTTAGCGCGTGGTGGTGCGAGGCCGATATATCCGCTTTGAGAACATAGTGACCGTCGACCCAGTACCATAGAACCCATCTCTCCAAACCAAGGCTCCGCACACATGCCTGAATAAGGAAAATAGAGATCAACCTATGCTAGCTCGTATCGAATGTCATGATCTATTTCCCAAAGCGCTTTCGAGCCAGTTTTTGAAGGATCGCATACAAACGTCCTCATTGAAGGGTACATAGCCAGCGCATAAAGTACGCATCTGAGCAAGTTGTATTGGTTCGTTCGTGGGACTGTAAATATTCCGTTCGCCGGAAATCCTCTTCAAGAAGTCTCGCAATTGTTTCTTTTCAGACCTTTCCCTCATTCGACGAGCAGCCAATGTTGAGACCATAACCGTCGCTTCTAATGAAAATTTTGCGAAATTAGGCCTCCGATTCTGTCGCAAATGGAAATCGCCATAACTTTCGAATGGATTCATTCATTTTTTGGTGCATTATCGTAGTCAAGACTGAAATCTGATCAAGGAAGCAGCCACGGACTAGCAGCCTTTCATGGGGATTGCTAGGTGGAAGACTGAAACTGTACACAGAATTATTTGAGGCAGTATACTGCAAGTTTCCAGACACACCTCTAGCTTTGTGGAAAACTAGCGAGCGTGGGTAATACAGAAAATTCCTCAAATTCGGAACCCATGATGGGAGTGATAAGTTATTGTGGCTATGTGTAGTTTGAGAGTGACCCGTGATTGACAGGATATCAAGATTGGGGGATTCTTTCAGTACTTTGAAAGCGACATCAACATAAAGATCATCGGCGCGCCGAGTATAGTTGGGTCTCAGGTTCATCTGCTCTAGATCGGAATTAGTCAAACCAAAGACTCCGTACACCTTATCCAAGGGATTCGTAGAGCTGAAGACGCGTGTGTAATGCAAAAGGCTCAGTAAATCAAATCGGGAACCAGTCTATTCCTTTTTGAGGTTCTTCCGCATTGCAATCAACTGAAGTACGAGAACATCGAACAAAGTAGCAAGACCCTCTTCTTTTTCAAGTAACAGGACTGCTCTCATCACCATGGCTTCCTTGAAGAAGTCCCATTGAAGTTCGTATCCATTATATGACATTGAAACATCTTTAGCCAGAGCAATTTCCTGCGTGATTGTCAGAACAATGAAATAACTTCTCTAGTGCTTAATAAGGGAAGAGTGTATGGGTTAACTAACTTGAACAATCCACATACGTTTGAAGTATGGATGCCATGTTAGAGGTGCCAAACTCCATAATGTGAACACAGTGGGAATTTTCCCTTTGTACACCCTTTGGTTTCACCTTATCAGCATCAAGGATCTTGAAAAGGTCTATTTCCCCAGCCAAAAAAGTATTGGTACAGACGGTGTAGCTCCTGTAACACGGGGATGAGCCGTCCGATACCTATAGCATCAAAGCCCACGCTCATATGTATAATGGTACGTTGTGCATGTCGATAAATTTCTCCCATCTGGTTAACTTGACTTTCCTTCTCTGATAGATCTCCTTGATTGATACAGACAGCATCTACCCATAAATCTCTCGGGCGATCTGTATAACGGAGGTCTTTCAAAGCTCGCTTCAAGTTCCGGCTGACATTCATTCTCGCACCATTACACATAATTGCAGGCATGCCCTTGTCTTCTCCCCAAGCATATGAAAGAGCTTTGTATTCGGCATTATGGATGACGGCAACTTTAAGTTCACAGTGTATCTGTTCAAAATTTTCTCCAAGAAGAACTGTCAAGAGACGAGCAGTTGCTCGTTCTCCTGGTGGCAATGGCTCATAGTTGAAAGATTCTCCTGGTTTGATTTGACGCGGCGCCAGAAATGCCCTTGTCTTCCATTTTTGATACCTCAGATTCGGGCTAATGAGGTCCAATACTCTTGTATAAGACAAATCCCAGGCACTTGAGATATATGTCCAGTTGTAGGAGATCTTGTCTCTTGCTCTCTTTTGGACAGATACTCCTTTTTTGTGACGCTGGGTCGATATTGGGGCTCTGATCCGAGGAATCTGACGGCGAGGGCGTCGACATCGTGATGTTCATAATTATCCCGAACCAGTGGAGGTTTCGCTATTCGGATTATTTTGTCCAACGGCTCCTTTTTAGGACATTGTCGGAGGAGCTCTCGGTTTGGGAATGTCAGGTGGGAGACTGCTTGACTTTGTTTTGTTTTTTGAGTAGCACTTGGGCCTGACCTCAAGGCTGTGCAGGCGCACAGACCTCGTTACTCAAGCGCCAGCTAATTCAGCCCCAGATGTCATCCCACCGCGTTCACAAATGCAAACAAATTGAATTACCTCCAGTGGCAAACACTCTCCGAAGAAGGTGTTTGTATATCAGCACGTACTCTCACATGACCCAATCTCCTCCTTCACGTATATAGAGCTCTCTCCTCACACTTTGGCCTGTGCAATCCCGCATGGTAAGCTGGGTATAGGTGGATATACTACTATAAAAACCAAGTGAAACAGCCCATCCCACTATATGCACTGCAAGGTTGGCGCTTTAGTGATGTAGATGTGTTCTCGAGGCGAGGCTGCATAGCTAACTAATCAATAGCTCAGAAATCAACCTAACCCCGCTTTCCTTTACCACCTCCTTCAGCTACAGCCTACAGGTGAGAATTTGAATACCCTTTTCTCAGTCTCGTTTATGTACTCCGTATGATGTTTCCTTTTTGACTGACTCTCGTGCATGAAGCCATCCAAACCTCTCCACACTCGAACTTAATTTTTTTACAAAACTTTTACATTTAAAATGATCTTTACGCATGATGATTACACGATCGCGTGGATCTGTGCCCTACCACTAGAGATGGCAGCCGCGAAGGCGATGCTTGATCGTACTCACCCTTCATTACACCAACCGAAAACTGACGATAATAGTTATACCCTAGGAAGCATTCATGGCCACAACATTGTTGTGGCATGCTTACCAATCGGCATCTATGGAAAGGTATCTGCCTCAGCCGTGGTATCTCAGATGCGTTCTACTTTCCAAAACATCCAGTTGGGATTGATGGTTGGGATTGGAGGTGGAGTCCCCAGCATTGTTGCGGACATCCGTCTTGGTGATATTGTGGTGAGCACGCCAACCGGCATGTACAACGGAGTGATCCAGTATGATCATGGGAAATCAGGACGCAACGGGAAATTTCAACGCACTGGTTCACTCAATAAGCTCCCGCTGGCTTTCTTGACCGCTATATCTCAGATGCAAAGTGACAGTATGATTGGAAGGCAGTTGGTCGATGATGTTATCAGTGATACATTGCAGAAAAATGAAGAAATGAGAAACTGTTACAGTCGGCCAATAGAGGACCAGTTGTTCCAAGCCACATATGACCATCAAGATGACCATCAAGATGACAGTCTGGGGTGTTCAGGATGTGATTTTAGCAAGCTAGTCACGCGCCCCCCACAGACAGACAACAAACCCCATATATACTATGGTTTGATTGCTACAGGAGATCAGGTTATGAAAAATGCTACAATCCGTGATGCAATTGCTCGAGAACTTGGCATACTCTGCTTTGAAATGGAGGCAGCCGGCTTGATGCTCCCATCACTTGTGGTTCGGGGCATCTGTGACTACTGTGACTCCCATAAGCATAAAGACTGGCAAGGATATGCTTTAGCTGCTGCTGCCTATGCAATGGTTCTATTGTTATTTGTTCCTGTCACTTGCCAAAAGAAGGATGTGCATCTGTCCGAGCAAGACCAGAGCGCGATGCAACACTGCTGTGTCACGGATATGTCAACAGAGATCGAGTCCCTTCAACAACAGAAGGATATTCTGGTTTATGACTCCTAATAATGGATCCTCTCTACCCAGGAATATAGGAGCTTCAATGACTGGAGCGACAGTGGAAAGAACCTTTTATGGGTGAGAGGCGACGCTGGGAAGGGTAAAACAATGTTACTTATTGGGGTTGTCAATGAGCTAACAGCCCACCTTCAAAGACATTTTGATGAGTACTGTTTATCATACTTCTTCTGCCGTGGAACAGAAAACAGACTCAATACGGCAACTGCAGTTCTGAGGGGGTTGATGTGGATGATCCTGCGTCAAAAGAAGTCACTCATACACCATCTCACCAAATTATTTACAGATCTCGGGCCTGTTCTTTTTGAAGGCCACAAGGCGTTTTAAAACCTCAAGAGAATCTTTAAAGATATACTTGAGGATAAAGACGTCGGAATGATGTATCTTATAGTGGATGGCCTTGATGAATGTCAGAGGGAAGAGCCGGGGTTGTCGCAGCTTCTGGAGCTGGTGGCTGAAACGTCAACCAACAGAAAAGTAAAATGGCTCCTTTCGAGTCGAAACGAACCTTTGATGGATTAAATCTTAGGGACTCACTCGGAAGATGGGCAGCTTTGCCTCGAATTAAATGCTGTCTCTGTATCTGGGGCAGTCAATGCCTATATCAGTCATAACATGTCAGAGCTCAGCGATCAATACCGGCAAAAGCTACGAGGGAACATAATTTTTTCGTCTCATAAATTTGATGAATTGATTCAAAATATTGAGCATGTGCTACAAGAAAAATCCGATGGCACTTTCCTGTGGGTGGCTTTGATGATCAAAGAGCTCAAGACATGCGCGCCCAATAAAGCTCTGGAGAAAGTGAAAAAGGCTCCCAAGGGCTTACACGGTCTTTACACGACAATTCTGGACAATCTCATTCAATTTGATGATGCTAAAGATTGCGGGAAAGTTCTTTTGATCATGATCAACGCATACCGGTCTCTTCATTTATCTGAAATAGTGGCGCTGGCGCAGTTGGATGAATTGGCTGCCCATGAATCCATTTTGAGACACTGTGAATTCCTCACTTTCAGGGAGGATATTCATCTTGTTTCCTTCATCCACCAGTCAGCTAAACACTTCCTTGTTCAAGATCAAGGGCCAGCAGTTATAATATTTTTCCAAGAGGGCACAGGGAAGGACATAAGATCATTGTGTCAGCATCTCTTACAGTCATGAAGCCCTTGAAAAGAGACATTTTCAATTTGCGGCATCCTGGTTATGATATCGACGAAATCATATTTCCCGATGAGGATCCACTTGAGTCTCTACGATATTCCTGCCTCTATTGGATCGACCATCTTTTTGTGACATGAAGATCGATCCAGAGGAAAGTTCCCTGCTTGATGAGATTGATCATTCCTGGAGAAATCACTCCCTTTACTGGCTCGAGGCTCTAAGTCTTATGAGAAGTTACTCTGTCGCAGTGTTAAGCACAGCCAATGTCATCGAAATTCTCAAGGTAAGTCACATTTATCTGAAGTATATCCGATGTTTTATAGTCATTATATCAGCGTATCTCACCCGGACCAAGATTTATATGTCTGATAGAAGACTTTCATCGATTTGCTCTGGCAAACAGAACAGCTATTGAGCAATTTCTCCTTCAAACATATGTTTCGGCTCTCATATTTGCTCCAGAACAGAGTGCCCTACGACGATTGTTTAAAGATGAGGAGCCTAAATGGATTACTACCAAACCAGAGATGGAGCCGGAATGGAGTGCCTGTCTCCAGACTCTACAAACCGATAATAAGATTCTCTCCGTCGATTGCTCTCCTGATGGGAAGCTTATAGCAGCAGGAGGGCAAGATCGCACTGTGAGGATTTGGGAGTCTGGCAGCGGTCATTATCTCAAGACACTATATGGCCACGACAACACGATCAGTCAGTCGCTTTCTTGCACAATAATCATCAGATTGCGTCGGGTTCGGACGACTTAACAATCAAAATATGGGATGTTCGGGGTGGCGATTGTGTCAGAACACTTGTGGGGCATACTAAAAGTATCGAATCAGTCATTTTATCTCCGGCACGCAAGATTATCTCTTGTGATGGTGATGGCATAGCCAAGATCTGGGATTATGAACGCGGTCTGTGCCTCAATACTATTGACACCCATGTCGAATATTCTGGATTAATTGCCTTGTCACCCGATGGTAATCGGCTAGCATGTGGATATGGTGTTATCAAAATCTGGGACATCTGTCGTGTTGAATGTCTTCGCACGCTTGAAGGATTTATTGGCTCTATTAGCGCAATTATATACTCCTCCAATCGCCAGATCATCGCTGCAGAGACTTTGAGCATCATGATCTGGGATGTTGAGAGTGGTAAATGTCTGAAAACCTTTGGACGAATTTACCAGGTCTACTCACTCGCATTTTCCATTGATGACCATATTTTATCCAGCAGTACTGACGGGCGGATCGAAGTCTGGAGCCCCAAAAGTGATGACGCTCCAAAGATCCTTGTAGGTCATACCGATAAAGTCACTTCCATGGCTCTTTTACCTAGCGGCAAGGTCATATCAGGATCCGAGGATTGTACCGTCAGGATCTGGGATCCTAGAGGCACTTGCAGTAGCCTTGAGAATCAGTATCACGGTGGTTCCATATACAATCTTGATACTTTTCCCGATGGCCATGTATCATCGACAACCAGCGAGGGAGAGATAAAGATCTGGAGCCCCAACGGAGCCTTGGAAAGAACCCTTCAGGGGAGCTATTCCTCTATGGTTTGTCTCTCGTCCAAAGGCCACATTCTATCGGAATCTAATGGTAGAGTTGACCTTTGGAATGCCAACGGAACTCATATTAGGACTGCTCAGAATCCCCATCCGTATGTGAAGTGGGTTGCTTTCTCTCTGGATGCCACGCAATTTGCATTAGGTTCCTATGGTACGAGCATTAATATCTGGGACACTAGCAGTTGCAAGCCCTTGGAACAGTCCCCTGAGTATGACCGACAACATTGGTCGCAATTCGAAACATTCAAAGTCCTGCACCATTATGTTATGAATTCTCAGAATAGCTGGGTCACCTGGAAGGGACAAAATGTCATTCTTGTGCCATGGGAGTACCGTCCACTGGTTCAACTGGGGCGTCAGGTCAAAGAGACACCAACTGGCCTTGCCATTGCTTCTTACTCACGTCGAGTATTGATATTCAACTTCTCAGCAGTTGAATTTCCGCCTTGATTGCTTCTTATATCGTTGCAAAATATCACATTCATCGCATGAAATGATACATGGACAAATACAATAGATAATCCCGTAGCACGATTGACTCGTACTTCCATTCCAGCCTTTAATTCATACGCATAGTATTCAAAATAGGAAAGAATGATAGACTGCATCATTTGATGAGTAGATTGAATTGGATCAAATATGTACAAGTGTCAGCCCATCTAGAGACGTCGAACATCCCAGCTAGAGCGGAGAAAAGTCACAAGTCAATCTAGAGATAAGAGAGGAATATGGAGGTAAGGTGGGAAGGTATCAAGAGTTACAAGGTATTCAAAGAAAAAGGTATCAAGCGAGAGAAAAAAAACGAGAGGCGGAGAGAGGGAGGGAGAAGGTAAGGCTAGGGAATCGGAATAGAAAGAGTCATGGCGGTAGTCTAGAAAATGCCCCAACGGCTCCGAGTTTCCTTTGAAGCTTGTGCACGTTCAGCGCCTCGGCTCGACTTGCGGCCGTCTAGTTGTCGGATTCCTTCGATCTTCTGCAAAGCAAGCTCCAGGAGCTCTTTCTTGCGGATGATGTCCAGGTGACGACGGACACGGGGGTCTTCACGAGCGAAACGCTCGACCTCAGCATCGGAAAGGTGTCGACCCAGTCGCATATCCAGCTCGCGAGGGAAGTTGTAATAGAATTCGGAGAGAAGCTCAACGTTGAGGAAGAGGACGGCGGTTGAGGTGAGCTTGTCGGCTACTACATCGAGGAAGACCTCGGGACAGTAGTATTTGTTCTTTTGTGTGGCGCATTGCTTGGATCGGACGGCCATCATACGCAACTTGATAAGATCCGCTCGATCGCGAGGGAAGACACCCTCACGACCTATATTCAAATGAGGTTAGTTGATTGATCATAAGAGATATTTGAATGGGATAAAAAGGAAACTGACCTCTTTCCAGAAGAGCGGAGCTGAAACCACCAGCACCTCCAGTGCCGTTACCTTCGAGAACAACATCGCCCTTGCGGACTTTTTCAACGAAAGACATGACATCCTTGAGCTTTCGCTTTCCAACCATATCTTCAACATGCTTAATTGCGGATTCACATGCCTTAAGCTCGTCCTTCAAGACCTTGCTAACATTCTCACGGCCCTTTGACCATTCGGAGTCCTCAACCTCAATCTCAAACTTGTATGGCTTGATACAGTTCTCGACTTGATCGCTGGTACTGAAGAAGCGGTCATTAAGAATGCTAGTGCAGGCATCTGTAATCTGCTTGTGAGCACCTGGGTGGGTAGCGAATGTGGAAGTTGACAGGAGCTGGTCGACGTGATTTTGAAGAGCATTGGCAACCACTGTTGTAGCGAGTCTGCCGATACCCAATTTTGTCAGGGTGGAGCTAGAAGCATCGAGCTTTCGGTGCCAGTACAGGGACTCAGGATCAGCCTTAGGGAGGTCCTTGAGCGGGTCTAACTCAAGCATTGGCGGGTTCAAGTCTTCAACGGGTTTGTTCCAGTAGCGTTGTGCGAGGATATCCATAACACGTTGGTCTAACTCATGCTTCAGCATTTCACGCACTTGTGGCCTGCCAAAAGCTTCGGCGAATGCCTTGAAGGAGTGCTTGAAGCTATCTAAGCTCTCGGCTAAGTAGGACTCCGCACTCAGAGGTCGATCATTGTATTGGACCTTGAACTCGTAAGTTGCCTCTTCAAGCTCTTGGCTGATTGCGTCTCTGGTTCCCGAAAGGCTAGATGCCATGGTCTGCTCGAGAACATGCATCAGCTTCTTGCGAAGAGTCGAGACACCAACAGATACATCAGAGTGAGTGCCAAACTCGGTAGGGTGAGCCGAAAAGTAGGCATTCTCGTTTTTGAGGATAGCGGTAGTGATGTTTCCAGAGCCCCGCGAGAACAATGCGTTTGTCGAGGGAATACGAGTCACGACACCTACGTAGCCCAGACGAAGAGGGTACTTCTTATCCGTGAGAACGTCATGGCCACGTTCGGCGTCCACGAGGTCCATCTTAGTGATAACACCAATGGTGCGTTCGCCGCGAGGATCCACACGACGACTAGCCCTCAGAGCAGTTGAGTTCGCCAAATCAACGTCAGCAGCTGAGATAGCCAGGACAACATTGGGAGCCTGAATGTATTTATCACAGAGATCATTGATCTTCTGCTTCAGCTCTGGGGGTTGGTCGTGACCAGCCACCTGGATATAACCGGGTAGATCGATCAAAGAGAGGTCTGGAACGTTCGGGGAGTAGATAGACAGCTGAATGGGGTCATCCGAAACACAGTCCTTCTCGGGAACTGCGAGGTTCAGGTCGGTGAGTGTGCGCTGAATTTGCGAGAAATCGGTAATCTTGCCCAGACCAAGGGCGGGGAATTCGCCATACTCAGATTGAGCATTCGGGGTATTAATTAGCGTAAGCTCGATAGGTCGTCGGGTGACCATGTTAGAGCCCTTGGGCAAAAACTCGTGTCCAACGATAGCCTCTAGGACTGAACTCTTTCCGGAAGACTGAGACCCAATGACAACAATCGATGGTAGGGTCAAGCTTCCAGATTGACCGACAGACTGAAGGATATTCCGGATCTCAATCATCTTGCGAGTAAGAACCATCATCTGATCATCTTGGGCAACCTCTTTCTCGGCGCGATTGTCGTCCTCCTCAGACTGGTCGTAACCGAATGCTGCAGTTGATCCAGCTGCAACACCTCCAGTAATACCACGTCCTTCCTTCGGTTCTTTATCGCCGCCATTTTGAGATTGAGATTCCTCATCCGTCCGTAAAATCTTCTGCAACCATTCAGGCATCTCAACATCCTCTGTCGTCTTGTTCCATCCACGCTGTGTCTGTTCCGCCACGTCTTGAAGGCCCTGGAATAAACTCGATGCTGTATTTCCCGCAGTCTCACTGGCCGTCCTAAATAGATCCATCGCATAGTTACCAGCCTCTATAAAGTTTCAATTAGTAATCGCATTTCCAAGACAGTAGTGCTTTGTAGTACATACGAGTAGCTTGGTATTGGAAATAAGCCAAGCCCGCAACCGTAGCCCCTCCAAACATAGCCGGAATTCGAATAAGCTTCAAGGCAAGCTTTGGAAGCATTCGGGTGAATGAAAAAGCCCGGATTGCGGGCACGTTGTTGTGAATCCCATTAGCACCGATAGGCCAAGTGCGTCGTCTTAAACCAGCACCACTATCAGCTCGAAGAAGGCCCCCGGTTCTGGAGGCTGCACTATGGATGTGGCGTGCCATGCCAGTCCGCACCAGCGGGGCAAGTCGATGGGAGAGGATCCTCCCACTCATGGCTGTGATGAAATCGCATTCAAGGCCAGATGGAGGAGGAAGATAAATATCATGATGCTTCCGAGGTCGATCACTGACATCAACGTGACCTGCGCGAGTGGCCGCTTCGACTACCGTATTAAAAAGTCACGTGCCTACCAAATGACGTGCTGTGCAAGGGAAGTGAGTTAGATATTTGTTGGGAATTTATTCTGTTTTTGTTTATATCTTGCAATTACAGGCTTATTTATTGTTCTTTATACCTCTTCGTGGCTATTTTAGTGCCCGTCAATTGCATAGACGGTGGTTCGAATTACTACCTACTCCGATAGTCGGTGACTGCACCTATCACACTAACGCCCAACACACCGATCATCAACTTGATCCGACTCAGAGCTCAAACGGTTGTTTGGAATCGGATTTGGAGCTTTATATAAAGAGTTCAAAGCAGATTGATCTTGGAAAAGCAAATCTGGTTTATATCTACTAGAGCATTTCGACTGTATCAATACCCAATATGTGTCGTTTTCTGGTGAGTCAAACAGAAGCTCAACTATGGAGCTAAGATACAGATTCATGTATTGCCTTTAGCAGTATTCAAAGATTCAGAGCTCAGCTAACAAAAAAAACTATAGATCTATAAAGGACGTAACGAGATCCGTCTCAGCAAGCTGGTAACAGAGCCCAGCCATTCCATTCTGACTCAGTCCTATGACTCCCGCTTAAGATTGGTATGAACATCTCCAGAGATAGCCATAGAGCTAAATCAACACTCCCTCTACAAAGATATAGAGAAATAAAATATAACAGTAAAACTAGGACAACCGCCGCCCAGTAAACGGCGATGGCTTCGGTGTAGGATTCTACACCGACCCTAAACTAGGCCCAGAGCCTTGTATCTTCACATCCACACTTCCAGCCTGGAACTGCGAGAATCTCGAGCGCCTTGCATCAAAGACATGCTCAAATCTAATCTTCGCTCACGTTCGCGCCACGACAGAAGGTGCCCTCGCAGACAACAACTGTCATCCATTCCAACACCAGACGCTGATGTGGATGCACAATGGCGCCGTTGGAGCCTGGAACAACATTAAGCGTACGTTGGCATCGTCGCTTTCTGATAAGTGGTTCCTGGGTGTGAAAGGTGGAACGGATAGCGAGTGGTCTTTTGCGCTATTCCTTGATCTATTGGAGAGAGAAGGTGTGGATCCGTCTTCGGATCCTGGGCCTGAGGGCTTTGGTCAGGCTCTGCTGCGAAAGGTCATGATGAAGACTATTGCGAAGATTAATGAGTTTATTGCTGCGATTCCGGAGCAGAGTAAGACTGCGGGATTGGAGACGCGCAGTTTGTTGAATTTCGCCGTTACGGATGGTCATACTGTTATTTGTACCAGGTATATCAGCAGTAAGACGGATGAGCCGGCCAGTCTGTACTTTTCGTCAGGGACGAAGTGGAAGGAGGGAAGTACGAAGGGACACTTCAAGATGGAGCGTCACGATAAGGGTGCTGATATTGTCTTGGTGGCTAGTGAGCCGATTACTTTTGAAAGACGTGAGAACATCCACCCTCCTCCCTGCTTATCCCAGCTTGGGGTCTTGTTGATGTATTGTTGCTAATGTCCTCTGCAGATAATTGGGTTTCTGTCCCGACTAACTCAGTCGTCACAATCCACAAGCAGACTGTGCTGCTTCATCCGATTTTGGATGAATTCTACAGCGAGGGTCTGAACCATGACCGTTCATCTTGCTATGCTTCTTCCAAGGGTCTTGTGAGCACAGCACCGGGTACTACAGTTCCACCCTCGAAAAACCCGGACACTTGTGCCCCATCGGAGCCTAGCTTGGAGGCAAATCGGTTGAGTCGTTCTACAGAATGTGCCGTTTAGCATGTCCAGACTAATCGATGGACAATTGGGGAGCATCATTTACAATCTTTATTTCCTAGCCCGGCGCTGGGAAGATACATCTGAAAAGCGGGGAGATACCAAGTGAGCAAGCTGGCGCTGGGAGCTTGATTCAGTGTTTTGGGTACTTTTCTTGTACAAATGTGTACTGACATGTGCATATTGAGATTTATGGTTGAAGTTTTACAAGAATGCATATTTTGGGTTTAGATTGAAGTAACACTGCAGATTCATCGGAAGAAAAGTGTCATAAGAAGGTGATTAGGAATATAAGTAGGATATAATACACAGAAGGGGTATCGTAGAAAACAAATCAACTATCGTCCCCGGAGATATTCGCATGTTTGAAATATTTCATGCCAACCCAAGCGACAACAACCCAAACCCACGACATAACCGCCGTGAGAATAATCAGCGCAGGATAATATCCCACAATTGGGAGTGTAGGATCATCCTCCAGTTCTGGTGGTGCATAGGGCGTTTCTCCAACATCCCAAGCCCAACTCCAGACCTCAAAGCAGCTGCCTATCCCCACGACGAACACCAGCCAGGTCACCATCAAGATGATCCAGCCCCACCATTCTGTTTCTGAGTAATCCCACGTTATATCTGCGTTGTTTTTCATCTCCACTGGATTTGTAGCCAAGGGTGAGGATTTGGCGCGGTGGATAGGTCGGTACGTAGCGTCTGGTTGGAGGGGATAGTAGGAATCGGAGCTGGAGGAAGGAGTGGCTATATGTAAGGCAGTAGAAGTAGCGGATTTCGTTGATGGATTCGTAGCGCCAGGTCCGACAGAAGCATTATTTGCGGTATTGATTCGTGGGAAAGAAACCAGTTCCTCGTCATCGGTCGCGGTTTCTTCTCCATGGAGCGTATTCTTTTTATTGTTGTTGGCATGCTGCACGAGACCCTGGCGTCTCCGCGCAACAGTCGGGCGCGAGTTTTTCAGCGTAGGGCTAGCACGGAACCAGGAAGGTTGAGTATTCTCTTCAGCATCATCGTCAAAAGATGAGGATCCTCGGATAGGGAAATTATTGGTTGGCGGAGAAGTTGACACCATCGTATCTTTTGGAGAGCGCGACGTAGACAACACCGCATCGTCACCCTGGAACCGGGGCGTCTCGGCACGGATGGCCTCCGCATTCTTACTGAGCGCCTTTTTATCGCGCACCTCCAACCTTGTACCCAGGAGTGCCGTCTTCCTTAAAGAGCCCCTCCGTCGTCTTGTCCTCCGTTGTTGCTGAATCACGGCTGCCATGGCCTTGCCGCGTTCCGACGATTCGCTGGTAATTTGGGGCATTTTGGATGGGACATCCTCGGTATCCCTCTCTAATTCCATGGCTGGAGTACCTCTCTTGGACTGTGTGGCTTGACCTGGACGTAAGAAAGAGAGCCTCGAAAGGAGGAATCCTGAGTTGCTGCGTTTGTAGCCGCTGTTCGTGCTGCCGGAACGTGGTCGATTGGATAAGCCGTCAACTGCTGCTGCGAATTCCGCATCGCGGGCTTCGCCATCATCCATTGACACAGGTGGGAACCGAAAGCTGGGGCAACAGCTTTAGGCTTTGAATTCTTAAAGCATGAGTAGATATAGCCCAGGAGAGAGCTTGGTCACCGTGGACTTGGTTAAGTTCACATAGTGTGGTTAGCGGAGTTGTCGGGGGTCCAAGCCGGGGCTTGGTGTTGAAGCCCTGTATTTCAGGCATCAATATATTGCTAGTACATCGACTATGTCCAGCTACGCTGACATTTGACTCCGAACTGCTAATTCAGATAGTCAAAAGAGATTAGACAATACTGTATCACTTGTGGAGTATTCTGACGATGAACAGGGGGCTCGAAGCAACTAGTAGCATTTTTCTGGCGAGCTGAAGGGGTCTAGCTACCTTCAACTAAGCTCATCGTAGCACCACATTGCGGGATCTAAACACCATGCATCAAAGCAACGTAGGTGAGACAAAATAGTCATTGCCGACACTCTAGGGATATCATAGCGCATAAAAGGAAGAAGAAAAGACCAAATTGGTATATCGGCTAGGACGCCAAGCAGGAAATCGAGAGAAAAAGATCCAAAAGATCAATCTGATCAGACACTTCAAGGAAAATTCATCACGGCATATACGAATACTTGGTATGAAAGGAAAAGAAGAGCAAAAGAAAGTCCCATAAAGGCCAAATTTTGAACTGAAAAGAAATCCATGGCATACCCACGATCGAGCATCTTTTGAGTGTTGGAAACAAAAAAAAGAGCAGGATGATCAGTATTGAACAAGGAAAAAGGTATAAAAAAAGTATGAGCCTAAGAAAAAGCGAAGCAAGAGAAAGCAAATTGATACAGCACACAAGGAATGTACTGAGAAAGATGCAATACAAGCTAAAAAAGCAACAATTCACAAGAATGAATCAAGCACACAAAACAGTAGAGACAGAGTAGGGAGGTCGCTTTTATTTTGGAGCATTGCATAGAAATCGAGAAACCAAGGAAGCCTTTGAACAGGTGCTCGCACACTCGAAAGGGGATGAAAGAAAGATCAAACCAACAAAGTGGACTTGGGGGTATTCGGTGCACAACACACAAATTCCATTTCAGAAAAAAAGAAAAAAACGCAGCCTGGACGCTCGAAAATCCACTTCAAGGGGCAATTTGAAAGAATAATGAAAGAGTAAAGGAAAAGAAGACATAATTTCAAGACGAAAAAATAAAATAAAGTAAACACAGGATTGGGGAAATTGTAGACACGGAGTTGGTCAAGGAGGGAGGGGAGAAGAGAAACGATGTAGAATCGCAGGAGATGACTTGGCTTCAGCCAGTGAGAGCCGGCATCGATGTATTGTGCATGGTTGCAAAATTGCACCCGCACAATGGTAACCTTTTCTCAGTGACGAGTTGAAAGAAACTACGCCTGGTAGCCTCCATTGAAGTTGTTGTTTGACTGATCCCAGTTACCAGACGGGGACATGGGCTGGCCACGCCCATAACCTCCGGCATTTCCCTGGGGGTAGCCCTGTCCTCCAGGCATAGCAGGACCGCCAGCAAAGCCATTGCCTTGTTGATCCCAGCCTCGACCAGCAGGCGCGGGACCTACTCTACTGTCAGCAAGGTTGGTTGGGGAATTCTTAGAAGAAAAAAAGAGAGGGAGAATAAGGACACGAAACGTGAATACGGGGGTGTTTCATGGTAGCACTAACCTTGATTCATGGGGGTCTGAGGACCACCATACTGAGGGAAGAAACCAGCGGGGCTGTTATTGAAGCCAGCATTGCCCTGCTGAGGAGAGAAGTTGTCAAACTGACCGGTAGGAGGTCGGTCCTTGCCCCACTGAGAAAGTCAGTTCAAGAGTCTAGCTTCGAATAATGGCGGGAAAACATACGCTACACTTCAGGGGACGGCCATTGACGTTGTATCCATTGAGTTGGCAGATTGCCATCGCGGCGTTCTCATGCGAATCCATCTTGACAAAGGCGAATCCTCGGTCAGCCTGGAGACGAGTCTCAAGAACGTAGCCGAAGTTCTGGAAAAGCGGAATCAGGTCGTTCTGAGTGGTGTAAGGGGTCAAGTTTCCAACATAGCAGGTGGTCTGCCACTGAGGTGTCTGGGAGGCAACCATATCGTAACTCTGAATGCCCTGGGTGGGGAAGTGATGGTGGCCGAATGGAGTGGTAGGGGTCATTCCCATGGCGGCCATAGCTTGCTGTTGAGAAATGGAGGGTTGACCCTTCTGGTTGGCCCAGTTGCAACGAATGGCACGAGAGCCTAGCCATTCGCCATCCATCGCAGTGAGTGCCTTGTCAGCATCACCACGATCGCGGAAGGCAACGAAACCATAACCACGAGAACGACCAGTCTTCATATCCCACATGACGCGAGCTTCAGAGATGGTGCCAAAGGCAGAGAAGGCCTGCAGCAGAATATCGTCGTTCACTTCGTTGCTCAAGTCGCCGACGAAGATATGGAAGTGGTTCGAAGTATCCTCCTTGTTGGTGTTGTTGGACTGGTACGCCCAGTTGACGCGAATTTCCTACGAAGTCACATGGTTAGACTCGATGAGCGAGGATGTGTGTTGTTTATTTAGGTATGATCTACTAACCGACTGATGGATGCGACGTCCGTTCAAGGTTTGCATGGCTCGCTCAGCCGCACCAGGGTCATCGAATTCAACGAATCCATAGTTGTAACCCTTGCTGTTGAACTGTGGGGTAATGATCAGCACTAGTTCATAGAGGGTGGCAGTCCCAATGATTGAGAGGGGGTGGATAAACATTTCCCCTGTAGTCTGGGCCGTTTCCTTCAAGGTGGCCAGGTCGAGTCGCAGCCTCTGATTGACTCACATTCTTGTCGGGGATGATCTTGACGCTGACCACGTGGCCGGTGGTTTCAAAAATCTGCTTCAGAATGTCTTCTGTCACGCGGGGATCCAAACCTCCAACATAGAGAGCACGCTTGTTGGGCTCGGGGGCAGCACGACGAACATAACCACCAGCACTTGTGGGAGACATCATGTTGTTCGACATAGGGGAAGTGATCGCAGTAGGGATGGGGTTGGTGTTCTGAGGGATGATCACTGGAGGCCGAGGTGGTGGAGGCATGTGGGATGGGTTGGCTTGACCGTTACCCTGGGTGTTGTCGTACTGCTGGGGTTGATTTCCAGCAGTTTGAGGCGCCGAGGGAAGGGAAGCGGGGGTGGAAACTTGAACGTTCTCGGCCATCGTGTATGGGCCTTATAAATAATGAGAATGTACGTGAGTCAATCTTCTTGGGGGGGGTAAACCGTACACAATTGAGTCGGAACACACGAGTAAATTGTCGGGGGGGCTTTGTTAACAATGCAGAGCTATTGGCAAAATAGCACAGTAAAAACAGAGCCCAAGTATAAATCCAATGGATAAATATAATATAACGGATTCGATTAGTTGTTGATGATCGTTCGATGATGAAGTCGCTGAGTGTTGATTTCGATCTGAACAACGGAAACTTTGCTTCAATCTCCAAACAAAGAACCAAGACAATGAAAAAAGAAGTCCACAGAATCGAGACTTGCTTCCTTTTTTCTATAGAACTTGGATAGAAGTCCTATATATTTTTTGATTGACAGGTAAGAAAAAAACCCGAAGGGTAATTTTTTTTTTTCCGGGGACAAAGGTCGTCACAGCTGGAGAAGTCGTTCGGGCGATTAAGCTAAAGATTCAACGATCTTTGGGGGAGGAAAGGGTGGGAAAGGCCAACGAAATGAATCAAGGAAAGCCAATACAAAGAAAGAAGAACGCACACACACACACCAAGATGCCGGACAAGATAGACAGGAAGCACAACACGAAAAGGAAAAGAGGATTGCACGGAGAGAAAGAGGTTAAAGGGCGATGTTGGTGAATTAGCGGCTAGGGGCTCCCCCACCTGACCTCAACGGGATTAGCGCCCTGGGTTCGTGTGTACAACTCTTCTCCGTACCACCTCTCTCTCTCTCTGTCTTTCACTCTTCTTTCACATTCTGGGGGTTTTTTAACCTAGGTACTCTATTTAAAATGGAGAATCCTAATTCCTTAACAGAGATTTCAGCTCTGGTGGAGCGCACAGTACGTTAATTATCCCTTTTCAAAAACAGTTGGAAGAACCAGGATGGATGTGATATTTCATTATTCTCTTGCTGACATGCATACCTAGCTACTGGATACAGGGCGCCTGTTTAGAAAATCAGGCTCAATGCCTGCCAGTACTCATCTTCAGCGGTCACTTCCTTCATATTATGATAGTTTTCAGGAGGCCCTGGATAATCTCTCTGAGCAAATTGTAAGTCCAGAGTTTATTTCATGATCAGCTTACAAAGAATAATTGTTCTTTTATTTATTAAACTCCCCACTGACATTTCACAGTTTATTGCTAAAGCCTTCCTAGAAAAGGATTATGAGGCAATCAAGGCACGGGAGGTGGTGCCTGTTACAGAAGATGTGACCATGTCAGAAGTTGATCAGAATCAGAATGTGGGGCAGGAAACACAACCTTCAAATCCATTGAAGATGGAGCCGGTCACTGAGACTGCCAACGTTCAGCCCAAGACTGAGCCAGAAGTGTCTGCACCCACAGAAGCTACCCCAGCCCCCCAGCCCAGTCAAGATCCAATTGTGAAAGAAGAACCCCAGGCCAAAGCTGATGCCCCCATGGAACAATCATTTCCAGATGCCGAGGGTCTCAATTTTGATTCAGTCCTCAATGAGGGTGGTGGTGGCTCTGGTTCATTTAATCTCAGTTTGGACTTTGGGGATGATGATATGGGCAATCAGGCCTTCCTCTCAGGCTCAGCATTTGGTAGTAATGTCCCAGGTGACTCCAAATCTGGCACATCACAGCCCCCTGAAAACTCTACAAGTACAGCCCCTGCTGGCGGGGGTGCCTTTGACATGGAACTTCAGAAGAGTGAGGGTGGATCTAATGCATTCCCAGACCAGGGTAATGCAATGGATGATTTGATGGCACCTGGAGAATCAAACTTTGATGATTTGTTTATGGAGAATGAGAACCTTGGCGGGGATAGTACGGGAGATCTCAATCAGCTGGAGGGGGATAGTTTGATGAATCTCAATGAGCTGGAAGATAACTGGTTTACCTAATTTCAGACTGGATAGAGTCCAGGAAAATGCTCCGAGCTCAAATACTATTCTCTGCCCTTTAGTGGTGGGGGATATTGTCCCCATGATCTACATGCATCTGCAATCTGCACTAGCGATCGCTAGCAGATTAACTAGCCATATACTCATAGTCAGTTTCCACCTGACATGACAGGACTCGTGTGCTCGAGTCAAATCAATTAATTGTCCAGAATGGAAGTCCGAGTCATTCACCCTCTCACCTTAAGGAAGCTTCATCCGAGATCCAAATGAAATCATTATTGCTCGGAGATGATCCCAAATATTAAATAGTCCGAGTAGTGCGACAATTGTCATATGGACTATGAATGAACCTCCGAATGATCATCTCTGGTTCAAATTCCTTTCCTCTTCACTCTACCGATCACGCAATTTTTCATATTTTCTAGATTAACCCAAATGAGTGCTTGGCAATACATCCAAGGGTCTACAGGATTAGGAATTCATTGATCTTAAATTCACTCCGATCTCGAACCCCAGCCTGCCACACCCACCTGCACCTCGGACAATCGGTGGCACAAGACCTGATTGTGTGACATAACCGTCAAAAGATCATCATTTGAACATCGTGCTTGTGCCTTGGAGCAGTTTGAGTAGATCAGAACTTGAAAAATCAGAATAAAACCCAGTTTCAAGAACCGAGTATAATGATGTCGATCTAACAACTGGGCAGTGACGTAGATACGCGTTCCCTCTGATGACAGGCTGAGATCGTCCCCCCCATGTGAACGGTCAAATGCTATAAATAATATCCATGGAACATAAGTACCTGGTGGAGAAACCACCTATTGACATTGGGAAAGTCTAAGCCCACATGTTCAGAGACTCCTTCAAGCCACACGGGCTGAAGTCAGGCAGGAATTGAAATAAAAGACGCAAACACCTGGAGTGGGTGCTATACCCAAAACACTTAAACCTACTAACGCTTTTCTTATGTACCGAGTAGGGGACCGGGGGTTTCAATGTGGAACTGGCTGGTCGGGGACGCGTTGCGCTAGGTGGAGTTTGGCCCCGGTGAGGTCATCGCCAGCTGTCAGGGCACAGACCCGCTAACTTGGAATTAAGAAAAAAAAACTTGAGGGAGAACAGGTCAAGAAGAATAAGAAGTGCAAGATGAAAGTTCAAGTTATGGGAGATCGGTGCGTTATATCGTAAGGCATGGCGCGGGGAGGTGGAGATGAGAGAATAATATACGTGGACATTGCAGATTATGATCTATGACCTCTATGTGTACGGAGTAGATGATCCATCTCTCTCCCTCACCTAATTTAAGACCCGAACTTGACGGGGAAGATGTTTCCCCCTTGGACCGTGCAGTAAACTCTGAAAATCAGGGCCATAGGTCTTAATTTTCTTAATTTAAATTAGTTTCTGAATCAGATCATGCAGGTTTGTTTGCATGTTCATATGTACGGGGAGTACTAGTAGTTCGACGTGTACTCGTGAACTGTTGTATTCCTAGCACATACTAGGATTAGTACTAGGCATCAATAGTACCAGCCATCTTGAGGTAATAGACTAGTCTATACGATGTGAGGAACCTTGGAATCACCCTCAGGCTACTATATTCTACTTCCATATTATACTATACGGAGTACTGGTCTAGAACCGGATCTGTCAGTCAGCTGAGCTGTCCTCAAGTGGGACGATCCTCACATGTCCCATATCCATGTCCGATATCCCCGCATCCGAGAGTCGGGTTCTGTTTGACTGAGTACTTTGTATAATACCTAGGTAGTACTATTAGTAGGTAATAGGTAATAGATGCCGGTTAACCGTTTCACGATCGGTAAACTAATTCCGTTTTATCCGTGTAGTACATACATAATGTAATGACATCTGAACATGTTATATAGACCAGGTTCATAGTGTACTATCAGTGAGAACTCAATCTTTTTTGAATCATGGATATCCATGGTAGAGTCTTTGCACAGCCCTATAATATTCTATAATATTCTTTTATAATAAAATAGTATAATCATATCCATTTAAGGCACCTAGACACTTATCTAGGTGGTCTAATGAGTCTTACCTAAGTTCTTAGCTAATTCTGGTCCGGATCGCCGGATGAAAAATCCCCAATCGGCGTCGATATCATGTCATCATCGATCGGATTCGATGACCTCGGTGGATCTGGACCTTTTCTTCAGTTTTAACTTGTATTTCCGCAATGATCTAAGATGTGGACATCCAACACTATATATGGGGCTTTTTCTTTTTTACCCCCAATATGTTTCAACTATCTCATCCTGCTCATTATTGGGGGACGCCACAGCTGACGGCAAACCAAGACTAGACAATCCACACCTTGGAAATACATAGACAAGGAACCACAATTTGGCCCCCCCCACACTGGCCAATCCCACTCCCGCCCTCTAAGGATCTGCAAGCCGATGATCACTTGAGTGGAAGACCCGTGTTATGAAGTCAGCACCCCGAGGAATTTCCTGCAAAAGATCGGTGTGCTCCTTGCGTTAGTCGATCCTAAGCATTGAAGGGGGTGTACAAGGGATTTTTTTTTCTTTCCCCCCTCCCCCCAAACATTAGGTCTCACAAAAGATTAAAGCTCTATTAAGGTATGTGACTCTTTACGTGCCTCGTGTATTCCCTCCCTTGCTCTCACCTTTCTTATTTGTGGTTCTTTCTGGGTTATTCCTGGGGAGCGTGTGGTGTATTTGCACTTTGGCATCACATTCCTTCTCTTCAGCTTCTATTATTCCTTGAATGATTCTCTTTCTCTGTTAGACATCTTATGTCTATTATGAAAGATCAAAAAGAATAAAGAGAAAAAGAAAAAAAAAGGACAGGAAAAAAGAAAGGACACAGCAATTTCTATACTGCATCAGACCAAAAGAACAGTCATGGCTCATATTGTCCCCGCGCAGGTTTTGTCACCACCACAAGTTTCCTCACCACCATTATCTCTATCCAGTCTTATTCGCACACGATCAAGACGACGCTCGACTCTCACCGTCGAACAAGAATTTCCTAAACAAACTCGTCGCGGTTCTATCCTAAGAAAGCTGGCGGGGCCACGTGAGAACGCGAAGCGTTTCCTTCGCCTGCGGTCATCCGGAGTTCCGGCCGTCAAATCGCCTACTCCCCCGCAATCTTTCCCCGCGTGTCGTCGCACCGCTCGTCCAGTATCAGAGATTATTCTATCACCAAGAATCGGAAATCAATCATTGGATGAGGATCAAATTCTCTCTGATTCAATGATGGCCGATGTTTTACCTCGGGCTCTCCCCGAACATACCAACACCGTTCCCGAACTGAGCACTCCATTTCCTCCATTGCGCAATGAGAAAATTGTCGCAACGGGTAGTGGCCTTACAGTAGGGATCGCCCTCACTGAGCCTGTGCTCTATTTGCAAGGATACGACCAGCATGATCCCAGTTCCAAAAAGTCGGCTATCCTAAGAGGACAAATACATCTGAAGGTCACCAAATGTGTGAAGATTAAGAAGATCTCAATCTGTTTTAGGGGTCATGCCCAGACAGATTGGCCTGATGGTAAGATATAACTTGATCTATCGATTCAGCTTATTCCAAAGATCTGTTTAGAGACTAACAGAAGTGAACAGGAATTCCTCCCAAGAAAATTCATTTCCATGATAAGAAAGACCTTTTTACTCATGGTGTAGTTTATTTCAACCATGGCGATACTGCTCTCATGCAGAACGATTACGGAGCTCACTACTACCAACATGCGAAACCGGCTTCGCCAATTCCCGGAAAGGACGGAGTATCGGCAACAAGCCGAGAGTTATTTTCCAAAAGTACCTCAACCACCGCTATTGGCCCAACAATTGCCGGTAGAGATCCAAAGCGTCTTTCTATCCAGACTACTCGCGGACATTCCCGGAGTTTTAGCAGAAATGAGCCCCCACTAAGTTCCCAAAGCCAGCAGCAGCGCAACTACCGGATGTTCCCAGTTGGGGACTACCTGTACAGCTTTGAGTTCCCGATCGATGGATCATTGCCGGAAACAATCAAGACAGATCTAGGATTTGTCAGATATGACTTGGAGGCTATTGTAGAGCGATCAGGCGCATTCCGACCTAATCTGCTCGGAACAATGGAAATCCCTGTCATTCGCACCCCTGCTGAGGGCTCTCTGGAGCAGGTCGAGCCTATTGCGATCTCGCGGAATTGGGAGGATCAGCTGCACTACGATATTGTTATTTCTGGAAAATCGTTTCCTCTTGGATCTCAAATCCCGATTGCGTTTAAACTAACCCCGCTCGCAAAGGTGGAGTGCCACCGTATTAAAGTGTACGTCACGGAGAATATCCAACACTGGACAGCAGACAAGAGTGTGCATCGCTTGCAACCCGCCAAAAAGGTTCTTTTGTTTGAGAAGCGGGCTGAACAGGCGAGCACAAGTACCTACCCTGGTAGCTCCATGCGTGTCACTGCCGGTGGTGGTATCGACTGGGACCACCGTGCCGCCGCCGCACGAGGAGATGAGATTGTGGATCGAAACCGGACAAACTTGCTTGGTAACCTGGCAAATGACTCAGGTGTTGGCCCGACCGAAATGGAGTTTAGTGTGCAGTTACCTAGCTGCCATGAAATGAGAGGACGAGATGAAGCACAGCGTCTGCACTTTGATACTACATATGAGAACATCCAGATCAATCACTGGATCAAGGTAAATTCATCTTTCACCTTATGGTCATCGTTTCCAATGCTAATTACGCTATCTCTAGATCGTGCTGCGACTTTCCAAGATTGATGAGCGAGACCCGAGTAAGCGACGACATTTTGAAATCTCCATCGATTCACCATTCCATATTCTTTCCTGCAAGGCGACGCAGGCGAACATATACCTCCCAGCATATTCAAGACCGACCAGCGAACCAGAACCCCCATCCCAAGAATTCGAGTGTGGCTGCCCTGGCGCACCCCCAGCGTCAAGAGAATACTCCATCGCACAATCCAACTCGGATCGTGAAGATGCGGTGTCAACGCTCAGTCGCCGAGACTCTATCGGCCGCGCCGTCACTCGAAGCTTCACCAACGGCTCTGGTGGTTTGGCTCGTCCACCACAAGCCCATCTAGCACATGAGCCCAATAATGATCGCGAAGTTCCTCGCCCTATGCATCTCCTTCGAACTCCATCATTTGCCCCTCCCGCCTTTGAGGATGTTCCTCCTCCACCTCCTCTCATCACCCCTCCTCCTGACTACACTACTATTGTTGGAAATGGGGACCGAGAGGCTGTTCTAGAGGACTACTTCTCCCGACTTTCTTTCTATGAGGAACAAGATGACGACCGGGGCTTGGGACGTGTTGACGTTCCCCTGACCCCAGGTGGTCGTGTCAATCGCAGTATGGATGTACCCCGAGAATGGGTGCGTCTAGATGATTTTACCGCTTCATGAGAATCTAACGGCCGCGCTGTACAGCGTTTTCACTTTTCACATCTCACGATTTCCGAGTCATGAACATTTACGAATTTAGTATTTTTTAGGGAGGCCTGGAGTAGCTGATGGAAGGCTGGACTTTTGTTCGCATGTCTTTTTTTTACTTTTGTCTTTTGTCTTCTTGGAGCAGCTACTGGTTAAGTCCATAGAGCGACCTTGAGGTTGTTTTGTTTGATTATGATTTTCATTACGATCATTATGGAACATGGCATCTGGTGTGACAGTCACCGCAGTTCATAGTTCATCTGGGCAAAAAGGCTGGTACATGGCGCTTGGGATGTTGCAGGTTGCAGGTTGGAGGTTGGAAAGCTCTAACAGTCCCTGTAAAAATATATCCTGTCATCAAATCTACTCGAGAGCACAAAAACATCAACTTTCATGACTCTTTTCTACTTTCTTTCCCCGATGTGGGTTTCTAAGGTTCCTATGGTTCAAGTTCAGGGTATTAGATCCACCACGATAGCGATAAGATGGAGTCCGCATCAACTTGCCTTCCCCGGTTTAGACCCACATGCACCGCTCTAGCCCAGATTCGAGATCATTTTCGTCTCCTTTGAGTTCCAAGGTTTATCCTCTATCTCTTCTTGCAACACGTCCAAGGTACTTGATCTACAATCCTTTCTCATTCTCACAGAATAGAAGCCTCATCACAGACAAAGACTCTATCTAGTATACACCGCTAGTCTTGAATCCACTTCAGTTATCAACCAGTCCGGTAAGCCCTTCACCGAAATCATTGTAAAACCCCGTTACTGATAAGGCTCGACTCAGTCTTCTTTACAGTCAGTATCCCTCAAAGTTGAGACCCTGGTCCTGATTTCGGCTATACTTACTCCGGACGTTCAATTAACCTCAAGCCTCTAACAGTTGCGGGGTTACGACGCGTATTTAATCGGCTACGAACTCGGCTCCACTCAGCTTCTGGAGTCTCTATCCTATCATACCCTCTCTCTAGCTTTTAGCTTACCTGACCATGGCGATCGAAGTGGTCCCTTTGACTGAGGCTGATATTCCTGGTGCGATTCACGTGATCCAGCAGGCTTTCGCTGATGACCCTTACTTCAAATGGGTTTTTGATGCATCTACGGTATGTCGATATGTCAGAACACTTGGTTTAATTCTGTATTAGTGATGAAATGCTGATACTTTATCTCCCGTGGCGTGGTCTGTCTAGACCTTACGTATAACGGGAGACTTTGTTCATAGTTCAACAAGCGGAGAAACTATGATTCACTTGCAGCTCGGTGCCAGTGGGGTATCAAAAATGCCATATTTCAGGTAGCGAGGGAGAAGAAAGATTTGACGAAAGATGATGGTAATTCACCAACATCGCCATCTCCCGTTCTGGGTGTCTCTTGCTGGTTACCACCTCTCCCACCTACTCAACCAGAAACCTGGTCCTCTTGGATGCAAGGTTGGATTTTATTATTCAATCAACTCATCACCAATATTCGCTATCTAGGACATGGTGGCCTCCGCACAAACAGATATTGGATCTGGAAGCAGCAGCAACAGAAAGCGCAGACGGAGATATGGGATGATCCCCGTGGGTATTACTTCTGCAACATCGTGGCTGTTAGTCCCGAGGCACAAGGAAAAGGTGTGGGCCGGCTTCTATTCGAGGCTGTTACCAAGATCGCAGATACCGAGGGAGTGAAATGCTACCTAGAGAGCTCGAAGAACGAGCCCAATGTTCAAATTTACGAGCGCATGGGGTTTGAGATGAGTAGGACGATGGAGTGTCGGGATGGAGATGATGCTTGCATGGTTCGTCACTTGATTCCTTATTCTATTCCTTGCATTTCCTTTCCATTAACCCCTATTCGATTTCCTCGCATGGAGAACGAGGTATGAGTTATGGGCCAAAGCTAATTACTTCTATAGTTGTACTGTATGATGCGCAACCCCAAGACCGAGTAACTCTTTCAAACTGAGGTTGAACAAAACATAACAAGCAACTCCCTGCACATCATTTAATTTTATTCCATGCGTGACCCTACATATTACTCTTCTTTCTATGCGCTTAGCTTAACCAACTCATTCTCATACTTCTCACCATTATCGGATACCAACATCTCCTCATCTTAGGTCAGCCCAGTTATCAATCAGACTCAACGCTCAGACCCCATAGACCGACTGCATTATTGACTATTATAGACCCACAAGGAAGCAAGTTTGCCGCGAACAGACCCTCTTGCGCAGTAGCCGCGTGCAAGCCCGAGGGTTTGGTGGCGCGTTTGTATTCGGTATAGAATGAGTGTGATAGATCGAAAAGCTTAATCGTACCGATAATGATGGGGGCCTGCATATACAGACATCTGGATATCTACTGATGCGTTTGGGAACTATTACTATCAAACTACCAGTTGACTAGTAGAATACCTGGTGTGGCTTTTTAGGTTTCTGCATGTCATCTTAGGCTTGGTCATTTGGGCACGAATTTCCCCACGAAGTTTCAAACCCAGCCTGATTTAAACCACTCCGTAAATTTTGGTGGTTTTCCTGCAGCAAGTGTCTGTTTTCAATGAGTCTGCAGATTTGTTTTGGTAACCATGGGCATGGAGTACTAAAAGGAAGTATCTATCGGATGAAAGGCTAGGGTTCAAGTTCTTTGGCTTTACGTACAAGACACATGCATCTGATGCACTCAAACCTTGAAACTTGAATTGACATATACCTTAATTGTCAAAGTTCTTGCGCCATGTTGTTTTTTGTTGCTCATAAGACTCGCGATCGTGGACTATTCTCTATACTACGATCCTTCATTAAAAGACGTCGACGCGACGATGAAGAAGACCACGAACAGCCAATTGAAACAAACAAAGATCCTTCCAAATATCAAAGAAACAATGATACCCACGCGGCATGGCGGGATACGTTCTACAGCAACGACACAAACTCGATCGTCAACCAGTTGGCAGCTCTTGCAGCCAGCATAAGGGGCATTTCGTCAAACGATGCCGCATCAATCCATTCATCCTCCTCCACAACTAGTACATACATCCAAGCGGAAGAAAGAATAGACAAACCACAAGACTTGGAAGGAGATGAATCCTTCGAATACCTCCGAAGTCTCATTACCGTCTCATGTGGCCCCCAACCCGCACCAGACACCACATCGACATCATCGACAGAGACTCCAACCCTGAAAGTCCCACCACTCCGACGTAAACGCGCATCATCCAGATTGAGTCTACGATTCGACATTCCCGGTCTTTCGTTTACCCCGAAGACTCTTCGAAAGCCATGTCCTCGATACACGACGCTCCCACCAATCTACACACCCAACCCAATTCCCATTCGACCGCAGATCCGCTTCTGAGATAAATGAGAAGTGTTTCATCCTTCAAAGAATTCTTGGAAAGAGGGAACATGATGTTTTGTACGGAAACAATGTACAGTACATACAGATACACAAATACTCCCTTAAATGAATACATTCGAGATCGACAACCCTGGAGGATGATAGCAAGATCGCGGATGCAACTCTCATTACCATTTTGCCGAGAGTCTAACCTATTGGAGACTCGGGATTATCACCTGGACGCGTAAGACTGGAAGAAAATACTCCGTACCCTGCATGAACCCCGGTCCACTGGATATTAGCGACGTGGTGGAGAGAGATTGGCGCGTGAATCATTCTTTCGGGATTTGGGATTGGAAGGAAATTATGTATTAGTGACTTCGCTTTGACTCATGGACAAGCTGGATTCTTTAATTTGCTGGACTTGACTTTCTCTAGGTTATATTCGGCAGTTTCAGGAAATTATCGATTTAACTTTCTTTTTCATAGAAATTGCTACAATATTCGCTTATCTTGTCACTATATTGAAATCCTTTAATGTATTCTTCCTCTCCTTCATTGAAATTGACAGCATCCAGGTCTTGATGCGCCTAGCATCACACTCAGCAGGAGGCGCAATATACGTGCGTACAGGTCTCAGTACCAGATTTGGAGAAGAAAAGTCACAGCTGCTGCAAGGGCTGGCTGTGGTATGAGAAGTGATGCGTACGCATGCGCACGATGTGATGGCAGAGTCTGTCCTTGACACCCTGGCGCTAGGATGGGGGGGCTACAGCTCAACTAGCGGTGTACCCGGATGGAGAGTAAGGATGAGGCCATGCTGGACGCAACTGGGTATCAACGTGGATCAATTTTCCGAAGTTTGATAGTGCGAATGACTGGATACAGGGGGCCAGTATAGAATGGTGATGTTCAAGTTCAGATTTAACCAGTGGTTGTATACTCCGTATAGATGCCTTGAATGTGGGGCCATCCACAGTGTGACTCTGGGCAGCTAACCTTTCTAGGTTAGCGTCACATTTAGGTATCAATCTTTATGACATTTCCAAGGTTCCAAGGTTGAGACCTCGGGAGTCATAAACTTGAATGTACAAGTTAATAATCAATCAATATCCCTTCATTTAATAATCTTCAAGTCCCATAATCATGCTTGCAAGTTTCAAAAACATATTCACCCCATCTACATATCCTTCAGCACTCATCGCTATTGGCAACTTTGGTCCTCGGGCCACAATCACTGTTCTTCATCTTGTACCCGAGAACGGTACCACCGAACAGTTCGGCTTCACACCCTCCCAGACCAAATTCAACCACTACGGAGCCAAAGAACAGCCCAAGTTACGCGAACAGATCGGTACAGCCACGCTTTACGTTGGAGATGGAGAGAGTGAATTCAGCTTCCTTGACGATTTGAAGACCCGGATCCATAAGCGGCAGAAGGACTCTTTGAGCTTGAAGCAGGAAGAGCAAGGATATGCTGAGGTGGCTCAGATGGTACAAACCGTTCTTAAGCCTGCAGCACTTGATGCCATACGTGAAAGAGAGGGGAGAGGGCGCTCTATGAATGCGACGCAGACGTATCCTGTGTATATTGTTTACGTTAAACGCTCGAAGCCAGGAGGGATCATACCTACTGATTTCAGGAGCATCTCTTAATGAGTCACGCTTCCATCAAGAAGTCTATATCTTTAGCCTGGATTTTATTGAATTTTGAATCGATTCTTTTAAGAACTTTAGCACTTCAAGGTTGAACCAGTAATTCAACATTTGAATAAACCAATTTAGCCATATTTGAACTACCATCCTTGGCGTGTATAGTACAATCACGCTCCGACTGGGTGGCACTGGTATACTCCAATCGGATATCTTTCAAAACATGTTAGCACTCGACGCGCTAAGACTGCTTTAAGTTCTTGATAAGGTTCTTACACCTCACCAGAGCCCTTACATACTAGCCTGCGTGATACTAAGTACGCTTTTGGAAAGTCTTTATCGATTCAGGCTGAATGCATTCGAAATTTGGGTGAAATGAGGCTTTTCTTTAGCCTGAAACATCCTGAATAACCTTGAACATCTGGAACTCGGCAGATTTCGTCATATTTAGGCACATTGGACAAATTTGGTGGAATTTGATCCGAGTTGAAACTGTGTCTAGTATGGGATTGAATGTCATAAGGTGGGGAATTAGGCAATAATCCTGGGTCATTGCGAAGTCACTAATACCACACCATATGTAGAATGACGTTGTGTGTCAGTGATTGAACAGGGATCATGCCGTGTTGGACTTTTTTTCCCCTCTTCTTTCCACTTGATTTGTTTGTTCAGTTGTCGATCTTTTCAAGGGTCTGAAGGATTCTTGTCGAATGAGAATATTTCTTGTTGGTATTTGTTTCGGACACTAGTTTAGTTCCAATTTGAAAGCTCGCAGTTCCAAGATTCTGGTCATGACGAATGTTAGAACAAACTTGAAGACTTTGTATTGAGCAACATTCTGTTCAGCTGAACGGGTTACGGAGTATGTATGTCCTTCAATCTGATGATCTTTTAATCTCGCGGAGATAGGCCGAGTATAAGGTGTGGGGACAAAGAGAAGTGGACATCGTCTGGGGCTAAGTTAGTGAGAACGGGGAGTTAAGGAAATGGAGATCTCCTCCCGTGCTTCCCTTCTGTTCCAAGGTTATGTTCTCTCCCTCGGTAACTATAATACCAAGGCTAGGACGAGTCTAGCATAGGAGCTGTGCTAGTGTAGTCAATGCTATTATTCGGCTGGTCCCGAGATAGTGCGTATAATCCTGGATTGGTCAATACATAATGAGCTTCAAGGTCACATTGGCCGGGTCAACGAGACGAGACCCCGCAAAATCCTGTTCATTGTGCCTTGTTCTGCCTGCATTGATCAACATTTGTGACATTTAATGAATCCCGTCTCCAGAGGGTTACGTACAATGTGGTGCCTCCCAGGAAAAAGGTGGATAACGACAGGGGTTTCGGTAATGCTCAACCGAGAGCTTGCAATCGCACAGACCGCTTTGATAAGGTCAGAGTGGAGGCAACATTGTATCAGATCTATTCCGTCCACGAAACATGTAAGAACTTTTCTTATACTGATATTTCAAGTTTATTCAAGTTCATCATATTCAGAAAGTGGGGAGATTGAGTTATGGGCTCGATTGGCTCAGATTTGTCAAAGTTTCCGGATTCGTGGCTTGATGCTTGTTTGCCATCCGATAACCGATCCCGTTTTCTATGTCATATGATATTCCTTGAAAAAGACAAAAGGATTGACATGAGAGAAGAAAAATGAGCTAAATGGGATAATTTCATGCACGATCAATCCTTTTCCTTGCGGAAACTTGCCGAGTAGACTGAATTCCTTCGGCTAAACCCACCCACTCCAGAGACTAGGCTCGTAGTTCGGATATTTGTATGAAAGCGGGTCGACAAAAGTACATCGCGTAGCCGAAAAAGCACGTCACAATAACCTCAAGGCCCACATGATAGCGGGAGTCCCGAAAGCTTTTCCTCTTTGTTGCAATTTTGTGGTTTATGATGAGCCGACTGGTGAGGATTTTTAAAGATTTTATGCATGATGACAGGTTTCAAGGAGGATTCTTACGCTTACTTAGTGAGAACCTTGGAAAATCAATGCAAGCCACAATTTGAAATGGACACGTCTCTTATATTAGTACAAATCACGTCGAGTCACGACTGGTCGGATATTTCCAAGCCAATCACTAGCCTACCTACTAAGTAGACACCCGTGGAGATGCTGGTTCTTGCAGTTGGACGGGTTTCGAGTCCCCCATATTAGTACATACGCCACTCCATAGTGGCTGATCACTGGCATTCAAATGGCAGATTTGTAGTGTCGGTCTTTCGTAACGAGGCACCTGGGCATTGACTACGCCACTTTTGCCAAGCCACCGAAGCTATTTCACAAGTACCGGAAATGCGAGACGGAGTAAGGACCAGATATGGTTAATACATAAGAACTTTAGGAAGAAAGTTTAAGACATAATAATGAGGGTCAACGTGCTTGATTTTGGACTTGATATGAGATAAAAGAAAAGAAAAAATTAAATTAAATTAAAAAAAAGATTGCGACGAAAAAACCGGTAGTTAAGGTGAAAGGGGTTATAGAACGGGTATAAACACGGCAGATTCAATGTTGCACGTTGCATGTCCACAGTTGCTATGTACTACTTAGGGAGTACTCTGCGACCGTTCCTGTGCCTTCCAAGGATCATGCATGCAGTATGTGGACCTTGACGGTTTCAGATCAACATGCATGAGCATTACCCGATAAAGCCGCCGGCAGGTTGTAATCTTCACTGAAAGAAATTCAATTCAAAATTATGGAGATGCTATACAAGTCACAGTATTTAATTAATATCCGATATATCAAAGAGCTTTCCGAAAAATTTGAACTGCTGATCATCCTAATACAGGGTTCGTAAATAATCCTGAACACTGGGCAGTGATAACTCAAGCTCGTTTGATCTGTTCAAATGGTTATTCTGTACAGTATTTTTGGGCGTTGGAATCTTAGCGAGCACCATGACCTATTTCTCCGTGCATTCTTTTATGCAAGGCATGATTCGTACATTCAAGTTGCACATCTTTGTGGGTTTAGCGCCGGGTAATATGTGACTATTAGTACGAAGTATATCCGTGCCAGTGATTAAAATTTACTTTTTGGAGAAGATTCTGGGCACTGAGTATGTACTTCATACCCCCTAACATTACAGAGTTAGGGCTTCAACGTTCAACCTTGAAACATTAACCTAAAATGTTGAAATCTTTAAGTTTTCTTTAAACATTGATTTGAAAAGATTAGAATTAGAATTTGTTTCGTTTTAGACAAGGTTTATGCCTAGGTGGCAAGGCTATTATCCCTACTAGCGCAATCGAAAGGATTTAGTGATCTAAACATTAACATTGATTCTCAATATCCAGAACTTGAGAACTTGAATTATCCAAGTATCGGGTGTATTCCGGAAATACTAGTACTAAATAGAAGGCAGAGTCTATAATTAATCACCGGTCTAATCCCAACCCTTTTTCCGCAATCTAAATCTAGTATCCGAGTTCGAGTATCCGAGTTCCGTAATCGTATAAAGCCCTAAACTCCTCAATCCCGCGATCCTTTTATAGGTACGATTGCATCATTGACTTCTACCCCTGCTCAAGATGTACATTACATTCGCACTAATTAGAGGGTCTTTGTCGCCCTTCCCGCTTGACCGGGATAAATGATGCCCGGGTCATGTCACATACATGTACCTCCAACCTCTCCCTCTCTCTATTACCTTTTCGCTTATCAATTAAGCTTTGACTTGACACACTTCATGGCTATATTAGAGTGCTATAGAACGTTCTGATATCACTTGAGCCGTCCGTGAATGCCGAATGGCCACACGTAGATAGTTTTCTTAGGTGGTAAATCTGTCCCCAGAAGATCCGTCGACGATCCCTGAGTACATTAGGGGGGGCCGGCATTCTGCGGCGAAGCTTCGTTTCAACCCACTTGTCCCCAATCGCTCGGAGATTGCGTGGGATTGCATGGAAATAAGTCTTGGCAGAACCTCTTCAGGAATGGGGCTTGGAATGGTATTTCAATTTTGGCCTAGAAGCTCTGTTCTAGTTGATTCTTAATGGCAGCCTAGAGGGGTCGGACTTGCCCCTCCCACATCCACTACTGCGTGCTTCATGTATGTACATGTACGTGAGTACTTTGTGCCTCTAAGGGAACAAAAAAAAGAAGCACGGACTCGATCGAAAGAAAAAAAAACTAAACCCCCTGATCCTTGGCAACGTTGTCGACAAGCGGGAAGAAGTGGATATGATTATGGAGACGCCATTCCTTTGTCTGGAGGTGTAACTTTTTTTCCCTTCTTTTCCCCCCCTATATTATCTGTGGGGAGCGGGTTAAAAGATTGATCTCAACGTCCGGCGTTTCGCCGATTTGTACTTTATTATCTACTAGTAGTCGTCATTCTACGAAATACTGGGCTGGGACCCCTTCCCACCCCTGGCATACGCACCGCGGGATTTGATGGGGAAATAGTAGAACCACGTTGCCCGTGCGGGCCCCCCTGGACCCAGACCTTAATCGACAAATTCCCTCTTTTCTTTTTCTTTTTTTTTTAATTATTTCCACCTTCGTGGTGAGTGTTTTATCGGGTCCGAGCCCATGGGGAGATGAGAAAGTGTTAGAATTTTGAATTTCATAGATTAAGAGACTATCTTATTGATAGCATGTGATTCCTTTCTTTTTTTTTACTTTCATGAGGAAGACTCAAAGGTTAATATGTGTGTATACTCCGTACTTAGATACCACATGGAATATGTAAGAAGACCATATAACTTCAACATCATAATCATACAGAACATCTACACATCCCATAAGATGTGATAACCATCAAGAAATTTTCATCCCGAAAAAAAGTAAAGAAAAAAGAAACAATTTTGTCAGGGGCCCAAAAATCAGAAGTACATCAGGGTTTCTGGCCATCGGTCTACCATGGCACCAACTTTGAACACAAGGCAGAATCCCCTTGACTCCAGACCATGCGGCAACAAAGAAAACAATAAAAATGGATAACAGTGGTAGGACGCTCGGAACGAAACAAAGAAAAAAAAAGGCAGCATAACAAACAGGCCTTAACGAGGCCAGAACTTGCCGGGAGATTCGGGCAAAGTCCAAGTACCTCCAGGGCACAAACTTTAAATCGGGACGGCCCTCGAATCATCGTCCTTAGAGTGTAAAAGAAAAGAAATGTTGATCAGGGCGGGTTTGACGAATAGATGATTTCAAATTAAGGACTCCATCAATATCGTCATCGGTTCGGGAGAGCGGCGGAGTAGGTGTGGGTATTGCAAAGAGGGTCGGCTGAAGCCGAATCATAGTTCCTAGCTGCATTGCTAGAATGCAATGTGCAAGAACGGCGGGTCGGCGAAAAGAAGGATAAGGAAGGAGGATAAGAAAAAGAAAAAAAAAAAAAGCACACGCTAGACCGAAATACGCTCAAAAGTAGAAGATAGTGATAATGGTATCCGGATGTTGAGGTAGAGGTAGAGAGAGGTAAAAGAGAGAGGCCCGTAAAAAGAAATCATGGGTTGCGCGGTTGCTCTCAAGTACTCTTCAACGACTGCAAAGGAGACATCTGCCTACAACCACAATGAATCGATCATGAGGTCCATCTGAGCAGTGATAGTCATTTTCTCCGTCCAACTCTGTGCGGATAAAGTGTGCGGCGGGGTTTTGGCAGCTGCTATAAATGTAATAGTTTTTGAAATAGCTGCACATTTTGGTCCCATTGAGGGTCCCGTAGGTTGAATTGGAGAGAGAAACTTCCAAGGTTGAAGACCAAATGAGCCAAATGAGTCCACGTAGTAGGAGATTATATACTCCGATTCACAGGAGTGATAAAAGATAAAAAAACTGTGTGCGACAGTAGGACTCCTGATCAATGGGGTTTGAAGTCGTGGGGATTTAATATAGTCCTAGAAGATGGTGGCGATGGGACGATAGTCGTTTCGGTCATAGCATTCAAGAAGTGGGAAATCAAGGGAAAATAATAGTGGGAAGAATCACACAGATGCCGCGTACTTCGTTCAATTGTAAAGTACTGTAGAAAAATTTCTCTGCTCCACATAATTTGATACCTGATGGGTGTTGGTACGGAGCAAGTATCTACAGTACTCAAGTAATTCTACACAAGTAGCGTCGGGAAGCCCTGCACCCCACTGTGTGTCCTCTCTCTCTAACCTGTGAAAATTAAGAATAAAATAAATATCAATAAAATATCATCGTTTTACAACAAAAAAAAAAATAAAGAGAAAAAAAAAGAATATAATTAAAATAAAAATAAAAATATTCAATCCTTGTCAGGAAGCGGGTCCTGCATGAAGAGAAAAAAAAATAATAATAAAAAAAAGTGGCTTTGATCATTGTGGATGACCGTTTAAGAATGAGGACCATAACTCGGAAATTTGCCCAAGACTATCAGGGATCAGCCTATTCTCTCATCCGTTCCTCCACTCTTCCGACGTGTGAGACCCGTCCATTATTCGGCATAGCATGTATCGGGATGTGGTGGGAGATCGACGCGGTTCCTCGCAGCCGTTGATGCTTCTTCTATACACGTGGCGCTAGTCAGGATCTTCATGCATACACGCTGTCGTGAGACGTGGTCATCTCGCGCAAAATTTCCTATACATTGAAAGATGGCGGGGGATTTTCAGGGATCAAACCAGTATCTCTGTTTGTTACTAGCAAAGAGAAAAGAAAAAAAAGCAAATCAGTCAGGCGATAAGTATACTGTTGTCTTTGGGATCGTCTGGTGACAAGTGAGCATAAACTTGAACTGTTTGGTTCATGAGGGATTGGGCAAACCTCGTGGAAAATTGGGGACGCGGCTCGTTGGGCATCCTAATAAAATGAAATGGACCCATTGCTTCCAAGGTTTACGTACCAATGATGGCAATATAGGAAAAAGGAAAAAGAATGGAGCTTCAATCTTAGACGCTGGTCCGGCGCCGAACGTCGTTCCGCTGGTATCCATATCTCCCGATTGATTGATGCCCAAAAAAAAGAATGGGCACAACTTGCCATTGTGAAGAGGCTTGCATAAAGAATTATTGCAATATAGAAGCAAGACGTATTACCCCGTATAGGTGATCAGTTTCAACGAGTCATGGGCGACGGAAAAAAAAGACGTGGACCCTTGTATATAGAAGGTCTTGGCAAATAAAAGCGTCATTCTAGTGAATTGACAAATCAGGGTCGTTCAGGGTAGTAGTAAATGATGGCAGCGGACTCAAAATCTCGGAGGCGAGCTCGCGATCTCCGTCCGGCATCCAGAGAAGTTCCTAATTGTGGCTCTTGACAACTCCACGAATCACAAAACAAGGTTTGAGCTTTCGCTCGGCATTCTCCAGATCGAGCTCCAGAAGTAATTTCCCCACTGACGCACACTAGCGCTGGAAAGAGATTTCCTCTTTAGGCTATGGTTCGATACTGGTCATTCGGTCGTCTAATCGCTGTTTGGTCCACTGTGCGTGACGAAGTCCGCTCATCGGCATTGAAAAAGCTCCGACTATCAATAATTGGTCACAGTAAAAAACCATGCAGGGATGCTTTGCGTTACTTGCGGCTTGTGCGGCACAAATAGTCGAGAAAGGGGGTCCTAGCAGATAGAGACTTGCACAAGGGTGGAATCTTTGTAGTCAATCATACGCTAGACTCCACGTTGAAGAGGCAAAGTTCGGGGCAAGCGAGAAACACGAGATGGTGCGACAAGGGGAGAAAGTGATGATGTCTTGCCTGCAGACAAGTGACCGATCCACATGCAAAGGTCTTTTGTCACCTTCCTCTTTTCTTTTTAGAACAGTTTTTTTTTGTCTTTTAAAAAATAAATTGAGAAAAATTTCATTTATTCCAGAACATTGTAGATTTCATTTCTCCCGAGGCATATGAGCTATGGGCCCATTTTTTTGCCTTGCTAGGGCGTCAATGTGTGTGCGGATGGTGTGGCCGAGCCAGGTAACTAGCTCCAATGGCATACACCCGGGGCGATACGGAGCGGCGCCGCTTTGGTCCCCCAGCCCCAAGTTTATCGGGTTGTGGAGCTGTGAGAAGAGATAGTCTCCAGTAGCTTGCCTCGTTAGCTCCGTCTCGGGTGCAGCTCCGGGAGTCGCTCTTCGGAAGAGGGGGTTGTGCATGATGTCGGCACCGAGGCTTGAAATTCTCAAGTATTCCGAGGTTGCGTTAGTGTTCCCTAGCGTCTCAATATACTTCCCAACAAAGCCACAGGAGCCATGTTAGTCAGTAGGTACTTGGGAACTTTGAAGTTGTACGGTTAATCATCCATGGGTCAATCTCGGGAGCCTGGAGCTTACTCGGTCGAGTCACGTGCTTTGCCAGATTCGTAGCTGACTCAGCGGGAGAAACCACATGGTCACGCTAGTCTAAATTTAGTAAAGACCAGGTGACCCTTTTTACCCCCTCGCTTGAATGAACAACAATTGAAAGTCAAACTTCTTGGCTTGAGGAAAACCCAACGTCGACCCCCCAATTTCACTCGTTTGCCATCACTGTCAGGGTCGGACAAACTGCATTTACTGAAAACTGCTGGAGGAGATCGAGAGATCAGTGAAGGCTTAGTGGTCGTCAACTCATCACGCGCTTTCCCTCTCCACTAGTGCCCACTTCCAGCCCGTCGTTGTGGAGACCACTGACTGGGAGTGCCTAGTGACCGCCCACCACAACAGGTAACCCACTGTTTGTTGTCATCACCGTCGGCACAACCATCGCCATCATGGGGTTTGGAGATTACAATTCGATATGCGAGAAGACGCCATTGCCTTTGTGCCTCCTGGTAGGCCCGGCCTCATCGATTTCCGGGGCCACAGGGATCGTGTCTAACTGTTATGCGCGGAATATCGAGCTCGCCAATACGATGATATTTCAGGGAGCTGCCGCATTCATGCATATCATGGCACTCAAAATGATAGTGATGATGATATTACATATTCGATCGAAGTTCACCGCTGTTGGTTCGTTATACAGTTGTCTCAGACTGGTCTAGTGAGATATGTTGCTAACCCGCCTCTACTACTAGGTCGCAAAGAGATTGTCACTTTCTTCTATCTCTACTTCGCTCTGACTGTCTGTTCCCTGATAATTGATGCCGGTGTGGTTCCACCACGAAGTGGTCCATTTGCCTATTTCGTGGCAATACAGAATGGCTTGGTCTCAGCTTTGTGCACTTGCCTGCTGGTTAACGGATTCGTAGGCTTCCAATTGTACGAAGATGGTACCGCATTGTCCGTTTGGTTGATTCGTGTCCCATCCGCCATCATGTTTGCTATGACATTCATCATCTCCCTGCTGACCTTTAAGTCATGGGGTGGCCTGGGGCCCGAGAACACTGTCGGGATGTTCGTCGTGCTTTACCTCTTGAACGCAATAAGTCTTACGATCTATGTCGTTATGCAAATCTTGCTCGTGGTGAATACCCTGGATGAACGTTGGCCACTTGGGCACATTCTCTTTGGTGTGGCGGTCTTCATCGTCGGCCAAGTTCTCCTCTATGCATTCAGTGACCTCATCTGCAACAATGTCCAACATTACTTGGACGGCTTGTTTTTTGCCACTTTCTGTAACTTGCTTGCAGTCATGATGGTCTACAAGGTAAGATCAGCACCTCGATTTTCTTGATATGGATATGAAGCTCACTATTTATAGTTTTGGGATTCCATCACTAAAGAAGACCTTGAATTTTCCGTCGGTGTCAAGCCAAATACCTGGGAGGTTAAAGATATGCCGGAAGAAGACCGACGTCAGACTGTCTATTACGACACCCATCCGGAATACACCAGCATACCTGGACACCACCGCGCGTCGACTTACAGTCACCATAATTACTAGCGGTTTTCCCTTCCCGGTCTGTATTTGTGACAAATTTTAACGATCTCTTTTTCCATGTTACTTTTTTTTTAAATTGGGACCCAGACGCAGTAGCAGGGTTACCGTGGATATTGGCCATCTACAAGCATGAGCGATAATATTGCATTAGCACTTAGCGTGTATCAGGAGGGTGAGCGAACGTCATCCATGGATATGTACAGGATCTGGAGATTAATAGTAATATTACCTAGGTGCCTTTCAAGGTTCTCATTGGGGAGTAATGGCTCTTTATGTTGTTGAGATTCTTCAGCTTTCGGTTTACATTATAATTCCCCGTGTCTACATATGATGTAGTGATAACAAACTTGAAATATTCAAATATCGAGACTTTTCCGGGGTGTACTAGTACATTTGACTATATACATGCCGCTGCCCACTGGCAGGTGCTGCACATGTGATTTGGTTCAATGTTCTAATTTTAAGGTTGGTTCCAAGGTTTTATTCTTGTCAAGGTATATGTACTACCTAGATACGCCATATTTAGTAGTAGTAGTGGGCCGGGCCAACATGATATCACCTGATCCTCCAGAAACACACACTCAGGCTATCACCTCAACATGCCATGTCCTTGGCAGCTATTGAATGAATCCCAAGGCCTTTCATACCGACACAGTCTCAGTCAGGGCACCGGAACGGGTTTAAAGCTGGAAATAACGAACTAAATTCCACGCGAAAGTCTTCGAACATCGCCGAGTCTGCGATATCAGTATCATCAAAACCACAGAGGGTCTGAACTGGACGCAGGTAAAAAGCCTGTGATGTGATTGGCAAAAGACTGGTGTGGAAACTGACGACTCGATTTTTCGAGAGATCAAAAGCTGAATTGCCTTTGATGCACCTATCTCGGGATTTATCCAAGTGTGTGGATGACTGAACTTCCTCAAGATTGCGATTCATATCAGTTCCCTAGCTTAGGACTTGGGACTATAATGACTCTCGTGGATATTGAAGAAAGAATAATTACGTGCCTGTGGGAAAGCGGTTGGTACTGCTACCACCCAGGTAAAAAGATATCTCAGGCCGTATCACTATCTTCTTGATCTAATAAATTATAGACATATCGGCCATCATCGCCTGAGGCTGGGAAGGATATCAGACGAAAGCTAGAAGCAAGTGAAATAATCCCACACACAGTTAGAGGTTGATCTGAGAGAGGTTGGTCTATATCAACATACCTGAGCTAAAGAAAGTAAGAGACACCCACCCTTTACTTTCGTCTTCTCTTAAGTCTATCAGGATTCTGAGCTTCTTACTTATCAGATCATTTTCCATACTCAGGTTTCCTACTTTTGCTAACTTTCATATCCTAGAGATTGCGGTTAGCAGATAGTCACTATGGAAAAGTGAGCTCATCAGTAAGACTTGATCTTACCTGCCTGTTTAAATGTTCTCACTTGGCGTGACTCGAATTAGAGACGGTTGAGCGGAAGTATAAACACTGTCTATCAGAGGAACCTTAACCTCAGGGAAATAATAAAGGGGTTCCAATTGTGAAATCAAATTCCGAAAAAATACTTATTGCCTTCTCCTCCTAGGCAGAACACATCATCTGAACATTATACCGACCTAAGTCGGTTTTCGACCGGGATCTACCGCCGGTGTGACACGAAGACGAAGTCATCACCTTCCGCGGATTGGTCAGCTTTGCTCAGCTTTTTCTGCTTGAGCGGGGAAGAAGAACTGTACCAAGGGGTATCGATGAAGATCTCCGCGGCTACACATGCGCTTTGAAGCATCTCCTGGTAGCCGGGATTCTTCTTCGGCATGAACATGGTCGTATGCGCCATGATTTCATCAGACGCCTGGTTGTTGGTCGCTTTAATCCACTGAAGTGCAGCGATTTTCTGCTCGACGTTGTTCTCAACGTCGCGAGGAAGCGTGCAGAAAGTGCGCTGTGTGGGTCGGACGATTCGCCGGGCGAAGGGCGACTGGTTGGCGTCCGAATCTGTGACTAGCTCTTTGGCGCCAGTACCCAGGCAAGTGAAGAAATTGACGCTTCCGATTTTTCTCTCGGGCAGGTCAGCCAAGTCGTTGAGTCGCTTTTCAAGGACTCGTGGCTGGGTTAAACAGCCGACAAATTCGAGATGAGAGGATGCCCAGCCGAGGCTTTCGGTGATGTTCTGGCGGTTAGCATAGGCTGCCGCACCAGCAGCTGCGACAGTTCCCAAAGCTCCAGCATACATGGCGTATTTGCCCATCTTCCCCCAGCCAGATACAGCGGCATTGTCAGATGTTGGGTCGTCAGCGGCTGGGTTTTTCGGCTTGCTGCTGCTGCTTCCAAGGCCAAGGCGATTCGCAACTCCGGAGATGGTATTATAGGTTGAGGAAGCAGTTTGGTAATGGCCTTCTGCACTGTATGAGAGAACACCAGGAGAGATCCCCAAAAAAGGGGTGTCAAAGGCAATTAAACCTTTGATCTTCGGGAACATGGTGTTGGCAGGTTTCATTCCATCAGGTAATTTGCCCGTGACAGGCTTCTCATTGGCCAGTTGAATAAGCAAGTCGGCGCCCACAATCCCACCCATGGAGTGTCCAACAAGAATAACATAAACAGATGAGTCAATGGTCGGAGAATGGTTCTCATTAGCAACCTCAATGTCGATCACCTTATCTTGGAGCCTATCATCATAAAAAGGGGTCAAAACTTGATACCTTAGACAAATTTTGAGATATGATGATCAGGCCCATCTTACCATTCACGGAGCTTGCCCACACATTCATTCAGGCTACCACGGGTCTCGTACTTGGGGTAAACAGCCTTTGCGACCGTGACGTGAGGGTATTTGTTACTCAACATAGTTCGGAAATGCTCAGGGAAGTCTCCGAAAGTGACATCGTCTCCCTATAGAGAGATCCAGAGATAAGGTGGGCTCTTGAACAATATATGAATGGGGGATTGGATTGAAATCACAAATAAAAGTGAGCTTGTGAACCAGGCAGGATCGCCAACTTACCTTAAAGCCGTGCACAAAGACGAGAAGGATTGTTTTGTGCATATTGGAGTTGGGTTTGATGGCGGCCATGGAGCAACCAAGAAGATCTACTCAAACACAACCGCCTTGCGGAATCTGAAAAAACAATGCGCTCGATCCAGGAATTGATGAGGCTTGTCGCGGACGCGAGATTGTAGATGAAGAAAGGGAAAATGTGGAGATGTGGGGATCGTTACGTCACTTGTATACTGCCTGGCGGTGTGGATGTCAGCGTGGGGGGTCGCTCTTCACTCCATCTACGTGATTACTATACTCGGAGAGACTTCAGGAAGGGAAGATACATTGAATTCAATCAACGGGAGAGTTAGAAGCTACTTGAGGTCAATACATGCTGTTGGATTAATCTACGGTCCAATGGCGTTTTATCTAGACTTTGGATGCAGGAACATATGCTATGTAGATCTCTAGACCCAAGTTAGGATATCTCAATTATTTGAGATCCTGAGAAAAGGTTTTGGAGATTGATAGTTAGTCTGTATGGTTGAAATTATGATTGAGGTGGCTATTATATAGTTTGATTTTAAAATTAGGGTTAATTAGCTACTAGTTTTATTGGTCAAAATTTTGTATGTGAACCTGGGTAACAGCCGCTTAAGGGCCACGATAATAAGTGTAAGTAGAGATTCAAATCTGGGATAAGGAGAATCATATTAGTCTAGAAAGGCTTGGAATATAAGAAATCTTAGCCCTGATTACAGAGGCAGGGGCTAATAATGACTTCGTGCATAGAGACGTACTACTACTGGGATCCAGTGCAGGACACCCGTAGACATGAAACAGGGTTCAGACTATAATTGGACACACATATGAACCAACTGGTATGATTCATCATCTATTGGTTGGAATGACGGTTTCTGATATGTGTTGAATTGAGTTTGGACTTCAACCGTGGTCCGGTCTATTCTATGCATCTTCTGGAACATAATATGCAGCTCATAGTTTTCCTCTGCTTGACAATTTTTGTACCCGCAACATACCATCTTGCATTGAGGTTGCAATCAATTTGCCATCATGATTCCATAAGTGGCTCTCGTGCACAACTCGATTCTCTGCTGATTGGGGTGACCATCCTTCTTGAATAAACCACTTCATCTGCAAACTAGAGTCACCATTCTTGGAGACTGCATCCCAATCAATCATGCGGAGCGGATTTCCATGACGATGTACAATCACAGTTAGACTTAGACTGCCCATTTCTGCCCAACGCGTGAAACCCAAAGCGCGCGGAATCAATAAAAGAGAATTCTTGTCGCTTGCGTACATATGGGCGCATGCGTAGAGATTATCATACTCTCCAGCAAGTTCTCGTTCTCTAATTTCCTCAAGTGTCGCATCGGCTTGTTCATCTGGGGACCCTTTGAGACAATAATGCATCAACTGACGATATTTTTCGGGGTTTGATTTAATTTCCTCGCTTTTGTTGAAATTTTGCATGTCAACTTTGCGTACATCAAGCCCAGGGAATTTCTTTTCGGTGATATCACCCTTGTCCGCTGCTTCAATCCACCAATCCACATCAACACTATGACTTATATCCTGCTCTTCAGGTCGCTTTGCGGATAGAATATCCCGATAGCGGTCTTGTACAGCTGGTGGTTGATGTTGATAATCTTGGAATCCCTCATCACGCTTGAATGAACATAAGCATGAAAAGCATATCTTGCCGTCTTGCCGGGCATCAACTGCGCGCGTGGAGTACATATATCCATCTCGGACATGTCGAATTGTGTATATGTACGGAATATCCAAGCGTCCACCTACTATGAATGATCCCGTAATAGCCTAACTGTGGTGTTAGTCTGATTCTCAATATAGACAATGGTCTAGAGATCATTATTGAAGCAGGGTCGTACGAACATGAATAACAAACCCTTTCTCAACTGTCTTCGAGGCGGCATAAGCAGATTGAGCGTAGACATGTCCTCCAAATGCTCGATTGCCGAGGCCGGGAGGATAAGGAGCAGCTAGAGACTGAAATTGCTCAATTCTCTCAGGGTCACTGCTGCTCTTGTTGACCTCAGTGTCATCAAGTCGTTGTAGCGCCATTAGCGCCGCAAAAGAAGACGGGGATTCCCTCATGATGTTATCGGAGTCACTGCCAGTGCCTGCTGTGCACTTGGCCACGGAAACAACACTAAGAATATTTCAAGTTGGAAATGAGCCGAAGAATATCTTTCAAGTCGAAGGAAATTGAATTTCCACTGGCAATATGGGGGTCTAGATCCGGTGCAGAAAGGTACCCTTGATTGAAGCCCTGGACTTTTTATCAATCAAGTAGACTGGCATATACCAATAATTGATATAAAGACAGAAGGAGACACTCTGCAGAAATAAAATAACTTGAAGAGAGAGAAAGGGGCAACTGGGGAGAATGAAGTACTCATCGGTTTCCGGGGTTAACACTTTCGGGTACTAGAGAACCTCGGCAGGGTACGAGATCACGTGGATAATTAGCGTGCATTAGTGTTGTTGTTTTAGATATAAGATTGAATTGGGAAAAGATGGTATCAGATTGAAATTTTATACAGGATGCGCCAATTGTGCTGACAGTGTTGAGTAGTAGTGCCAAATCCCCATGCGGTAATGTTACACAATACAAAAGAATAGAGACGCTGAAGACCAATCACCAAACCGCCATATGTAATCGCAACGGTTTGATGAAGAAAAGAAACGAAATCAAAACTCAGACATTCTAGACTGAGGCGATGAGATGGTATCACTGATGCTGCGAACGTTGTTCCATCCAGCCTTGCCCTCAACATCCTTCACCTCCGCGAGCTTGTCACCCAACTTCACGACTGAGAAGTTGATCATACGCGGGTCAAGACCAAGGGTACGGCGGACGGATGCCTGAACGGGACCTGAGGAATCAAAGCGCATGATGAAGTGATGTCCCTCGCTGTATCGAGCTTGATGCTTGGTGGTGACTTTGGGCAAGCGGAAAGTGCCCCAGTTGGTGTATCCTCGAACGACACCGCCGGAGCGGATAACTTGGGCGCCGGCGTTACGGGCAATTCTATAGATAAAATTAGCTGACAGGTCGATGGCGAAATAATCAGGACCTTGATGATGGGACGTACTCCCGAACCTCGTTGAGGCTGCCCGGGCGGACCTGTAGAAAGAGATTGGTTAGCTTCTCGCAACCCGAATTTTCGCATCACGTTAATATGCAAAGTCAATGGGAACATACAATTGCAATCAATTCGTATAGCATCGTATCGAGGAGTGGTGTAGAATCTCGATTAAATTGAAGGAAGACGGACCCGACAGATCTCTCCTTGAGCGCGCAAAATCCGATCGAAGTCGGAATCCTTATCAGTCTTGGCAGAATTCCCTTATCAGTACATCTTGCCTCCGCCGGGGAAGCACCGCGCTTCCTTTCCCTTCTTAAACTCCACCATCTCCCCTCTTTCTCTCTTCTTTACTCTTCAATCTTTCCATAATCACTTCAAAAATGGCCTCCGTTGCTCGTGCTTTCCGTCCCTTCGCCTCCCGGGCCCTTGCCCAGCAGCCTGTTGCTCCTATCTGCCGTGCTACACCTGCTTTCCGCTTCCCGCGGGGAACCCGGAGCTTCTCTCAGAGCCCTCTTGGTGAGTGTAGATGCCCTCAAAGCTGCCCATTGGCGTCGTAGAAGCAATTATTGTGCAAATTGACTATTATGTGTGATCATTGGAGCCTTTGCAAGCTTCCTGACGAGTATTTGTTGAGAAGATGACGCTGACCAAGCTATGAATTACCATCTACAGCTCAATTGAAGAAGTACACTGAGTCGCACGAATGGATTGAGCTCGCCGAGGGCGGAAAGACTGGTTAGTTTATTGCATCTATCCCTATCTTGTGTCTTGACACTTGAAAGATCGTCGCCTCGAACAATTAACTAATCCCAATCTCATACAGCCAAGATCGGTATCACTGACTACGCCGCCAAGTCCCTCGGTGACGTCGTCTTCGTTGAGCTCCCCGAGGAGGGTCTCGAGATCTCTGCTGGCGAGCCCGTTGGTGCCGTCGAGTCCGTCAAGTCGGCCTCTGATGTCCTTTCTCCCATCGCTGGCACCGTCATCCGTGGTAACGCCGTCCTGGAGGATAACGCTAAGACCATTAACTCTAGCCCCGAGGCCGAGGGATGGATCGCGGAGATTGAAGTCAGCGATGCCGCAGAGATTGATGCTCTCCTGGACGAGGCTGCTTACCTCGAGACCATTGACGGCGAGCACTAGAGTATGAGGTCATAGAGATTTGTGTTGGAATTACTAGTAGATGTGGGGCAGGCTATTATCAACAAGAAAATCTCTTGTTTTTATCATGCCCTGTGGTTTTATATGATTATCTGTGTCAGGAAAGACATTTTTCTCCTTTTTCAACAATGGCGTTTACTATATATGAACAGGCCCTCCACGGCTTGTATTGAATGAATGTTTGATGTGTGCGGCAGTGACCTCGAGTGGCTCGGAGTAAGTAGCAGACAGCGTAGTAGTAGACGTCACACTAGCACGTACGACTAGCAGAGTGGGAACGCCGAGCTCGAAAACTACATCCCCAGGTGGTGCCCCAGGTGCATATGTAGGTCAACTGGTATATATGCATGCACATGTGTGAAGTACTTTGGAAGTATGAAGAATTCCAAAGTTCACATGTGCATACTCGATTACCTAGTAGTATGTGTAACTTGAAAAGTCTACTAGTACAAAAAAATGATTCGTGAAGATATTTGTACAGATTCATACCTAGGTATGTTTGATACTCATGAATTAGACTGGTAACTATACAGGAGGAATTGATTCACGACAAATCGGGCACTGAAGCCGCAGTCTCATCCAGCTCTCTAAGCAGGCCGTATGGAATATATGCCGGCAAGGAGTCACCATATAAGTGCGACGGCTTAGAATACTCGTAGCTCCATCGGTGACACTACTTCCGCCAGCAGAAGAAGAAGCAGGAAGAACGGGAACTTCAATGTCCTGCATACAGATCGCACAGTCGAACATAACCTTCTTGCGGTCCTTCGGTCGTTGTTTATCATCATCTTTGGAATCGCCCACCAAATCCTGCTTATCAGCCCGGAGCGATGCAATAGATAAGACACCGCCCGCCTCTAGATCTGCATCAGACTCGACGGTATCGCGTAATGTTGGGTGGTAATCATAAGCTGGCGGAGCCCAGCCTCGTGGAATAAAGAAACGAGGTCCCAGAATATCCTGACTGGCTAACATCCAAGCTTGAACCCACATCCACCCAGCCATTGCCAACGCAGTCGTCCAGTCGGGCCGGATGAACAGTACGTTTCCATGGGCTGTGAGAAAGTAAATGAAGGGAAATAATCGAAGAATACTCTGTCCCACCACAAAATCCCACCGCAAGGCTTTCCGGCAGTTTCGCATGACATTGCGGTAGATTTGTGGTACCCAGAAAGAGAGGTATATTCCGGATATCACGCGCGCATATATTGCTCCGAGTCGCCGAGGCAAGAGGAATGCCCAAATCGAAAGTATCAGCATACCAAATAGAGCAAGATAGAAGCGCGCATACATCGCACCAACATCACTGCGGAGTTGCCCGGATGTTGGCGCTGCTGTCCTGGTTGCAGGTGCAGGCTGCTGGGCTAGTTCATCTTCGGGGGCATCTTGATCAGGAGGTAAAATTATTGGAGTTGCACCAGAGTCTCGTGCAGCTGTAGCCGGCAGTGGAAGAGTTCCCGGGCTTGGAGTGGGGACTGCTGGGATGGCCGGTCGTTCCTCACGTCGTTCTGGTTCTTGCACAGCCCAGATCTCCATCATGAATTTCATTCCAATGTAGCTGACAGACAAAAATGCTAAGAATGATGCAGTTGCTAGAACCAAAAAGGATACAGCCTCATAGAGCTCCAAGATAATAAATGTAAGGACAAAAGCATCACCAAGGGCCATCAATGCAATTGTGTAAAAACTGACCCGGCTGCGAGTCGATGGAGTTGAAGCCTCTTTGATCTGGCGAAGCAGGAGCGTAATCTGCGCAACAAAAACACTCGCCACAACAAAGATCAGACGAGCTGCATATTTGTTGTACTCTTCATGCTTGGGCCCGGAGAGGTAGAGCTGGTCAGTGGGCGGAAATTCCGGGGTGCCTTTCGTTTCAAGTACATATCCGCAGTCTGGGGAGAAGATGACTGCCGACATGGTCATCAAAGGTGGGGTTGGAATAGGTGCGCCCATCGGGTATCTGAGTTCTCGTTCCATTCTCTCTAGCAGTAAGCGATCGGCAAGTACCCCATCAACCATCACTGGATGTTGCTGTAGGTAGATGACATGCTCGCATTTGGGTGCTGGAAACTCCATCTGCTGGCTTCTTGCTAAAGAGGACCATGGAAATAGCGAGGCTGGTCGGTTTTGCTTCTCAGACATGGCATCTCGAAGCGACTTAAGGAGAAGCTGATGAGATAGCTCGTAGGTATCAGAGGACAAGGCGAAGTTTGGTAAAGCAAATATGCCACCGAATTTCTCACTCGAAGTGCTCAGGATAATTCCGCCAGTTTCTGGGAAATGTAAGCCGAATAATGAAAGGTACCACGTACTGCCCCAAAAGTCCTCGCTCTCAACACTCAGGCTTGCTCTAATCTCTCGTACGAGACCCGCACCAAGTTGATATTCTTCGCCTCCGCCTTCTTCCAGATCAAAATACATTGTACCCCCATTACCCGTGATGTTGGAGCTGAACTCATGAGTAAAGTATTCGTGCTCACGGGCAATCGCCGATATATTGAGAGGTGTTTTGCGGTTGAATTCATCATCGCGACGAACCCAATCTCCTCGCAACTTACCAGTTGCGTTGCGATAGACTGGTAGGAACAGCTTTGTCAAATTTAACGGAGATGAGCCGTTAGGATCATCCAGGCCTATTGGGGGTTCAAGACCAGCATTTGTAAGAATGGACTGCAACTGATGACGCGCGCGGTTCTGAACCTGAGGGAAAAGATCCCACGCATAGCTGTCATTCTTTCTAACTCCCGCGAAAGGAAGCCAGTGGTCTGCCGGTGGATCAAAATCGCCATATTTGGTCTCATTCAGCAGCCGGAATGCACGTCGCTCGCGATCGAGCTCCCGTTGACGCTGACGATCTTCATCGATCAGGGGTGCCCGTGACTGTGAGCTTAGCAGGATGTAAAATACTAGCAGAAGGAAGAAAAAGGAGCCGCGGTTATCCATCGACGCCACGGGGTATCCGCATCGGACGTCTCACTCCACTTCAGAACGGCACGATAAGCATCGCGTGAGAAAAGAAGGGCAGTGCACACGGCGCTATGTGCGACTTAAATGAAGGCGAAGAAAAAGTCAAAATTCCGCTAGTGTGGGGAGATTAATGAATGACGGAGATGATAGTGGTGATATGGAGAGTATGGGGAGTGGATGATGTACACGACAAGGCCTCGGTCCCCGCCCCTTCCGATATGATTGACACCTTAAAATTCGGGCCGCTATCTTCTCGATCTAAACCTAAGTTGGATGATACGAGATATCTCCTATTCAAGCTTCAACTCGCCTTTCCCCCGCCACCATATCTACAGGTGGAATTGTATATGCGGAGTGCCACCATAATGGCTTCCAATATGCCTCTTCCTATCCCTCCACGTACTCCCACTCCGCCGGCGGACGACACCCACAATCATGATACATACAACACCCCGGGAATACTCGTTGATCGCGACGCCTTGTCGCCACTACGGGATACATTTCCCAAGAGTGCGTCACTAGACCCAGTGAATCAAGACCTTCTCAGCCCTGAAAAGGCCTCCTTTAACATGAACAATGGGTCGATTTCCACGGCGGGTTCTGTACAAAATGTATCAATCGATTCAGCTGCCGCGGGACCTTTCAATTTCAATACCACCGTGATGGCAAAGAGCCCAGTGGTCAAATCGGTACAGGCTTACTTATTCCCAAGCTCGCAGAAGCCATGGCTAACAACTTATCTCATTGCTAGAATATTGGACAACGTCGTGGCCATAAATACAAGCACAGTAGCATTTCACACCAAATCTTTCTTGAACCTCCCCCTCGCGCGCCTTTGGCTCTTCCCAACTCCCTGCCGATCCCCACATTCAAAGAATGCCGGACAAGCATGTCGAAAGATCAAAAAACTCGATTTTGGTGGAGTGTGTGCCATATGTTTGTTGCTGCATATACACTATGGACGGCGCATGGATCGCTGGCTATGACTGCGCTATCTCATTTGATATTATTTGATTCATTGGGAGCTCTTGTATGCGTTGCAGTGGATGTATTGGGAAATTTTGAAGTTTGGAAGAGGTCCAGTATCCGTCATCCATTTGGTTTGGAGCGGGCAGAGGTACTCGCTGGCTTCGCCATGTGTGTATTGCTTCTTTTCATGGGCCTTGACCTCATTTCACACAACCTGCAGCATTTCCTGGAGAAAGCCGGCCATGAGCCCCACCATACACATCCCCATGAACGTGTTTCTTTGGGCAGCGTTGATGTAACTGCGGCCCTGGCTATTTCCTCCACTCTCGTCTCTGCAATTGGACTGAAGAATCATGCGCGAATTGGCAGAGCCATGCGTTTTGCATATATCGACTCTCTTCCTTCCGTTCTCAGCAACCCATCCCACTTCCTGACCCTCTCGTGCTCTGCCCTCCTGCTCTTGCTCCCTTTGGTATCTATTCGTATCTATGACTGGCTTGATAAGTTCCTCTCGGGTACTATTGCCATATCGATGTGTGTTCTCGGAGTCCGCCTAGTGAAAACACTCGGCTCTATGCTTCTTATGTCCTACTCGGGGCCCGGCGTTTCTGAAGTAATCAAGGATATTGAAGCAGAACCCTCGGTGTTTGGTGTTGATGATGCTCGGTTTTGGCAGGTCCACTATGGTTTGTGCATGGCAAACCTCAAGCTACGCGTTCTCAGGTACTGAGGATAATACCTCTCGACTGCGGGAGAAGATATCTAGCCTCATTCGGAACCGACTAGGTGGAGGTTATGGCACAGGAGGACAGAAGTGGGAGGTTTCCCTCCAGTTCACCATTGAACGTCCTTGATGATCTAAATGGGTAAATAGTATTTTTTGGTTACATATGCTCGTGTCATTAGAATACTACTGTAAATTACAACACAACAATTGTTTCTATAAAGATGTCTTCTATATATGCCTCACAATAAGTTCCATTGCCTAGGAACAGTTGTTGGCTACTAGAAAGTGCAAAGACCGTACATATATCCAAAGAATGAGATACTAGCAATGCGGATAGCAATACTGAAAGTGACGAATAATCTAATTCATATTCAATAGGACGCATCGCCGTCAGATAAGTTACCTGCGCGAAGACTTCCCAGATAGGAGGTTGATATCAAACCGTGGAATTTTGGTACATGTAACAAAAGAAAAAGTGAAGAACGAAAAGGGAATACACGACGCAATGCTGAATCTTCAACCAATTTCACCAACTCATTTTAAATCCTTTATGATGTGGCAGCAAGGACAGCACCCTCCTCAACCTTGGTGAGACCCAGACCCTCACGCTGGTCCCGTCGTCGGCGCTTCTCGAGGATAGCCTCACGGCGCTGTGCGAGCATCTTGAGTTGGCGGTTCTCAACACCCTGAAGCCAGTAACCGAAGCTTCCACCAACACCGGCGAAAAGAGGGTAAACCCAGAGGGATTCCTTGGCAAGGATAGGACGCATCTCAATACCGAGTTGCCAAAGGCGGACGGCAATTCCTGGGAAGGGAACAACGTCAGCTCACAACATCCAGTATAGCTTCATATAAGATAGACCATAGCGATTGAATAGGTTGCGGGGTTTGGCGGGATATCGATCAATTGGGGAGGGTACAGTCACGTACCGAAGCCGCTCCAGAAGAGAACTTTGTGGACCATGATCGCGACCGGGGGATGGCGGGTAGAAGTGTGGGAAAGAGAGCCGACAAAGTCCGACGGGCTAGAGAAGTGGTAGACTCTGCACACTGGCAGCTATTTGTCTCCCGTAGTCGGAATTGGATGAGGTCGGAGGACTTGGAGTCGTAATGGGGCGCCAGGAGTGTGGTTGGAAGCAAATCAGACGCCCGCAGTAACCAAGCACGGATTAACTATTATTCCGAAGACATCTCCCGATGGTTATCGCTTATCGTAGGCAGTACTCCTACACCTTTCAGTCTGCAACTTTCACCACCTTTAAGTCTTTCGCTTCTTCATGCCCACTGCTCTGTCCCACGATGGCCAAACCTGAGGCCATGGAGGACGTGCAAATGGGCACGACGGCACTCACCCTGGATATTGAGAGTCTCAAGCGCAAGAAATTCAAGGCCGATGATCTTCCCTTGTCTGGATCACAACATGCGGCTATCGATAAACTCCTGCACTCATTCAAAAAGAAAGGTGGATTTGACAGCATTCGCAAGAAGATCTGGGCGGAGTTCAATGATGGGGTATGTCAATAGAGCCGACCGTCACGTCATATGTGGCTCAGATATCGCTGGTTCCCTTTTTTGTTCTCTTATTGACCTAATACATGAATGTAGGAGTTCAAAACCAAATTCACCGACGAATTACTCGCGTTAGCTGAATCCGAAATTGAAAGAGAACCCGCCCATCTCTCCCGTGAACGCCGCAAAGCTGCTACTTTAATTGAAGGTGCGGTTGACCGTAGCGATGTCTACAAGAACGTCGAGCTATCAATCGACAAGTTGACCTCTGCGCATTTGGAATCGGTTCTTGGTTCCGTACGGGATATTCGATGTCAAGATATCGGCAATGAAGCGGCTTCTAAAGAAGAACAAGCCGGGAACAAAACTGACGCTGAATATGAGGGTTACGTGAAGTCTAAGCGGGACGAGCGGGAAAAAGTCTGGCGCGAAGAAATGCGCAAGCAAAAGGAAATTGACGATGAACAAAAACGCATCCGCGACGAAGAGCGACGTAAAAAACGCGAACTCGAACGAAAGAAGGAGGATGAAGACAGAGCTCGGAGAAGAGAACTGGACGATCAACGACGAGCAGAGCGTGAGCGTCTGCGCAAGGAGCAGCGGGCTCTTGATGACCAGCGAGAACGTGAGCGGGACGAAAGATATGAACGGCGCAGACAAGAAGAGCGTGACCGATACCGGGACCGTGATCGCAGCCGAACTAGAGACAGAGACCGTGATCGTGATCGTGACCGCTATCGTGAACGTGAACGTGAACGCTCTCCTGCATATCGCTCTGATCGTCCTTTATCACCACGCAGTCGGGATCCAAAAAGAGAGAAGTCAGCCATATCCAAAGACCCCACGCCGGCACCTGCTCCTGTGGACGAGAAGTCACTTGAAGAGGCAGCTTTGCAAATGCTGCTGAAAGAAGGCGAGGAGCTCGCAGCCAAGGCACGACAGAAGCCCGAGTTTGATTTTGAAGAGGCTGAGGCTATCGAGAATGGGCTCAAGCCACCGGCTTCGACTTCAGGTCAAACAAAAGGTGCCACTGAATCGAGGTTATCAAACGTATCAACCCGAGCAGCAAGTCCATCTCGCGATTCCAGACCTCCATCAGACTGGAAAGACCGGCCACGAGTTAATGCGCGGGGCCGAAGTCGAAGTCGAAGCCCTGATCGCCGACGACGTGGTTCTCGCTATAGCCCTGATCGCCGTCGCGAGCGGTCTAGAGATCTTTCCGTGAGATCTCACAATCGTGACCGTGAAATGGACGAGCGACGTGGCTACCGTGATTTCCGAGATGAAAGAAGTTACCGGCCACCTCGTCGCAGTCGTAGTCGTTCAGTCGGGCGAGACCGTGACAGAGACAGAGACAGAGCTCGACCACGATCCAGAACCCCTCCCCGACCACGATCCAGATCCCGCGATAGAGATGACCGACGTCGCCCTGACCGTAGTCGGGATAGAAGTAGAGATCGCGAGCGTGGGCGTGATCACGATGAATACCGTCCTCGCCGCAGGTCTCCTTCACGTCAACGTTCACGCTCTCGATCTCGTAAACGTGCCAGAGAACAGCGTTCTCGCTCTCGCTCTGCGGTCCGACGGAGATCACGCTCTCGTCGTGCTTCTCCACCACGAGCCCGGCGAGCTTCACCCGGCTCTCTCGATATCGACCGTTATGTACCGGCTACCAGCAATCGCAGCAAATCACCTCGTCGCAGAGTGCGGTCCCCTGAACGTGACCGTGATCGAGGAGATCGAGATCGTGACCGCGACCGTGACCGTGACCGGGAGCCAAGAACTCGGCCTGGAGAAATCGATCGATACATGCCAGGTTCAGAGCGCGATAAACCAAAAGAAAAAGAGAAGGAGACAGAGCCTACAGCAGACTTGACCAAGGAAAAATCAGTCAAGGAAAAACCGGCCAAGGAAACAGAGGATCGTCCTGCCCGTGAGGATCGTCCTGTCCGTCGACGTAGTCGCAGTCGAAGAAGAAGCCCTAGCCGGAGAAGAAGTCCTAGTCGGAGACGAAGCCCTAGTCGACGTCGAAATCGCAGCCGACGACGAAGCCGGGACTAGATGTGGGCAGGTCCAATGAGACATCTGGATTCCATTCTATCTTGTAATAATAATCTTGTATCATTAGCTCAATATGACAGCAATTTAATGCGTCCAATGATTCTAAACATACTCCGTACATGTGCCTGCATACTTAGTAGAACGTGATCTCGAATTTATAGTTTAAGCCTTTTCCTTATCGCTTATCGGGGCTCCACCTAAAAAGTTGAAATCGACCGCGACTCGACTTTATTCTTGTCAATCCACTACAAATCTCATCCGATCTACTACAATATTTGTTGAAGAAATATTTGCGGTAATCGCATTTTATATCTTGAATCAGCATCGAAAACTTGAGCAGCCGACCAATAAAAGCTCCAAACAATTCCCCGCCGCATCTCCACGACCTGCGCATTTTGCACTACGCGGTCAACAGTTCAACAGTATACAAACTCTCCAGTTCAAGATTTACCCTGCGCACTCGGATCAATCATTAAAAATGACATCCAACGCTACGAGCACAACTCTGCCTATCCGGGGCTCAGCACCAGCCTCAGCCCCCAAAGATGAGGATTCCGACTACACCTCATCATCCGGCTCCTCCTGCGACAGCTCAAGCGAAGACGACTCATCAGAGGATGAGAATGGAAGCATTCATCATGAGAACAGGACTTCCTCATCTGCTACGTCTTCATCAATACCGCATGTTCATGGGCGCCCGAAGCCACGGATACGGAAGATGGAAGGAAATTCTGAGCTACTGGCACGATTGTCTGCATTCTTGCCAAAGATGAAGAGTGCCAATGAGGATTTGGAGAAAGAGATTGCGGAAGGGAGGGGTAAGGATGTTGTTTTGGATGAGGTAGACGATGGCAAGGATTATATTGAAATGGTATGTTTTGTCCTGTCTTGTTACGCTCTTTGTAGATTTAAGACTAATTGACGTGGTGCAGAATCTTGGATTGGGTGTTTTGGAGGAAAAGCGTGGCGAAAATGGAGATTCCAGTGGAGATGAAAGAGACCATGAGGGTATGGATGGAGTAAAATCCGATAAAAAGAGCAACATGGATGAAGATTCTGATATTTTGGGTAAATTGATGGGTCACGGTGGAAAGGATTTAGATGCTGATAAGCCGTCTATTGAGGATTTGGGTCAATAGATTTGAAGATTATACATACTGTGGGAAATAATAGCATATACAATTGGTTCAAAAGAGCTATTTGGATTGATCCCTACTTTTGAAGAAGCTGCCAAATCTCAAGCTATGGATTTAGATGATAAGTCCAGTGCTACAGTTATGACAGGACCCTACATACACCAAAAGAGTCATTCAAGTTCAAAGGCATGTAAATTCGTACATTTTATGCAGTCGCCATAATCTCCAGTAAACAAAAAGTTTAGAAAGACATCGAGGATAAAGAGATAAAAAAAATAAATAAAAAAGGGGGGGAAGAAGTGAAAGAAAGCAGAAACATTTCAAGTGTCTATATATGCATGAACCCATCATGATATGGCTGAACCATATGATTAAAAATGATTAATGTTGGACATGGCGTCGAAAAGGATCTATGAGACCTCCTTGATGCGACATGTCCAGCCGGACTCTTGGCTGAGAAGAGGCAAGCTAGCACCCAAGCACCAGCCCAACTCGTTGCCCTTGATCTTCTTGGCGATCTTGACCTCGCGAGACAGGGGCATCTCGTAGCCAGTGTGGAGCAGAGTAAGCATGAAGTTCAGGTCCATACAGTACTCTGGACGGTCCTTAAGTTCCGCCATTGCACCCTCGACGCTTTCGAAGACTGACCAGCTGTCTTCGCCAGCACAGACGGTGGAGGTGAGATCATGGAGCTCCTCCAAAGTAAAGGAAGAGGGCATGCCCAGAGGAGCAGTGCGGTCGAAGAAGTAGGAGAAAATGTAAACATCCTCACGAGAGAAGGTCTTCTCAAGAGATGGCTGGTGAACACCGTTGAACGAGCAGGGCGCCAACTTGCAGTCCGCATCCTTCTGGAGAGTCTTCTCTGCGATGGCACGGCACTGAGCAGAAGAAGAGTCCGTGGGACCCGCCATTTTCACAGTAACCTGAGGACCAAGGGGGTGACCATCAGGGAAAACCACTGTGACTTCCTTCTCCATATCAGGGCCAATGCAAGGGTTGGAGATGGGGCTCTTCAACCAAGACAAGTCCTTGGGGCTGTTGGCTAACATACCCTCCAGGACAACCTTGTGCATAGCATCACGGGCAGACATAAGACCATAGCCGAGGTGAGAGTGCTGGTAAAGCTCAAACTGGCGACCGCCGAACTTGAGATCATATTTGTGGTCACCGGGAGCCAAGTGCTCTGGCATACCGCCGGCCTTGCTATTCTCAAAGGTAGGCTGGAAAACGATCTGGGTAGAGCCACCACCCAAATCAAAGACAGCGGCGGTGGGGGACTCATCGGGACCGCCAATCTTGCCCAGAAGGTAATTGGTGGTAATCCAGGCGAAGACACCCTCATCCTTACCATCCATAATTTGCACACCACCCATCTCCCGAGAAACCACAGGGAAGGGGTAGGCAGTCTCAAGACGGTGACGAACAGCCTCCAGAATGTTTGTGCTCAATTCAGGGCCCAACAATCGAAGACCAGCGGTGGCCTTGACCGCAACAGGGGTACAAGACCGGTACTCGGCGGGGACGTTCTGCATGGCAACCTCCATGAGAGGGTCCAGACTGAGAGCAGCACCCTCGGCATTCTCCTTGTAGGAGCTAAGACCAGAGCCACCTTCCTTGGTTGCGGTTTTCTCGAAGACCTCATCCTCCAACTCCGGAGTAGATCCGCAGTTGTTGAAACGGTAGACGTGAATTCGGGAGCCGGTACTTCCGGCATCGATCATGAGCGCATATTGAATCAGAGGCTTAGAAGAGTCGAAAGGCTTGGTACACTTGGCACCAGAACCGGGAGTTGAAGGGGCTTGCTCTAAAAGACAGGTGATTAGTTTCCCTGTTTATGTATTCCGCAGCTTCCGACAGACTTACCCTGTGTATAGCTAGATACGGCTGACCTGGAAGGTGACAACCACAAAACGACCAAAAAGACAAATGCGACAATAGCGCCAGTCTTCAGGTACCGGGTTCTTTGGGCCTGGGCCATGGTGGTGGTTTGTTTATCGAATACTCGACCTGATTCTACCAATGGCGCAAAAGCGGAGCCGTTGCTCCGAGAGATGGATCTTTGACGAGCCGATGTACTCTGATCTAGAGGTTGATTAGGTGATTGATTGTCGACTCCAGTCGACATGCGAGCAATCGGGGAGGCGATAAGTAATAAGGGTGGATTTTATTTTGACCACCACAGGAAGAAAAGAATGGCAACAATCAAAGATCAAATAAGGGAAAAGAGACCATTGACCCTCCAAGCACCAAACAAGTACAGAGAAGAAATGGGGGTTTATCGCGTAGTTGCAAGTCGGAAAAGAAAAACCAGGAGAGAAAGGAGATTCAGGGTTCCAGGGTTGTGGCGCATGATGTGGCGTGTGAATTACTGAATGCGGTAAACTTCCCCATACTTATTTCTCCTCACGTTAACTGCGTCCCGGCTCTTAACTGCCAACGTTAATACCGGCCCTGAACTGCCCTCACATATCTGATTCACTCTTCCGATTTACTAAATTCCTTTCACCTCTCCCAATTCACACCTTGTTCTTCCTCCTCTTCAGCCTCGCTGAACTTCCAGCAAAAATGAACCATATGCGTGGTCTTGTGTCTACTGCGCAGGCATTGCGCCAAACCTTCCTCACACCCATCCACACAACCAAGGCTGGACTCGTACAGCCTTCTCTGCTACGAAACGGGCTTCAGCTTCGAACTTTCTTCTACTCCCGCCCTCTGGCTATTGGCAACTCTCAATCCCAGGCCAAAGTACTTATCAAAGACGAAGGAATTCGGGCACCTTTTGTACAGATCGTCAACGCCGAGGGAGATCTCGAAGAACCTGAAAGATTATCAGATGTTCTCAAATCCTTCGATCGAAACGAATTTTTCCTTCTCCAAGTTTCTCCAGGAGCTCCAAAGCAACCGCCAGTGTGCAAAATCCTGAATAAGTTGGAATACCGAAACAACGAAAAGGCCAAGGAGAAGGCTGCAAAGGCTGCCAAGCAATCTCTGAAGCAGATTGAGTTGAACTGGGCTATCGATGCTCATGATCTGGCGCACCGGTTGAAGCAGCTGACTTCCTTCTTGGAGAAAGGTCGGAAGGTTGAGATCATCCTAACCCGGAAGAAGCATAAGCGGGCCCCTACCGTGGACGAGATCAAGCATGTCATGCAAAGTGTGTTGGATACGACTCGAGAGGCTGGAGGTACTCAGGTAAAGGCGATGGAAGGTGAACCAGGAAAGCGGGTCATGCTTACCGTGAAGAAAGCCGATTGAATGAGATAGGGTCGGCGGGTGTCAGCGTGTATATAATAATATGTGTCCAAAATTTTTATCATTGGAGCTGGATTTGGTCAACAGGAGAACCCCTCATCGTTTCTCTTGTATATAGTATAACTCAATTCGGATTCTCCTACCTTTCCAGCCCGAGGGTTTGAAGTCCTGAAGCTTACGTTTTAATTGAGCTGCCGTTTGTGGTATTGAGGTGATACTCAGACTCGATAAAAGTCTCATGCTCAATACCATTTCGGATCATTCTTGAAGTATTTCTCGTCTCAATCAGCAACGAACAAGTTCAAGTTTATATATAGCTCTGATCTACTACTATGAATCCGAATGTTGATGACAGCCGTAAACCTCCGCAATTCGCGACATTTCATTGGCCAGTGTATGACTAAGCCACTCCCTGGCGCCGAAAAATTGGGTGTTGATTCTCCCCCGTCTTCTTGTCTCCATCGCCTTTCCTTCTTGCTTCTTCTTTTCTATCGTTTTTGCTTTCTCAATTGCAAGATGTCGAGCATCACCCGTTCCTTGAACATCCTGGCGCGCTCCAGCCGGGCGTCCCTGCTGCGCCCCCGCGCCATTAACCCTGTTCACCATGTCTTCGCTGGTGACAAGATGGCCGCTCGTGGTCTGGCCACTGCTTTCGAGCGTACCAAGCCCCATGTTAACATTGGTACCATCGGTCACGTCGATCACGGAAAGGTGAGCTTGCTACTCCTAACGAATGTAGATTTGTAACTCACCGCGTCTAACTTCACCCTCCTATAGACCAGTCTGACTGCCGCCATCACCAAGCACCAGGCCTCCAAGGGTCTCGCCAACTTCCTGGACTACAGCTCTATTGATAAGGCCCCCGAGGAGCGCAAGCGTGGTATCACCATCTCTTCTGCCCACATTGAGTTCCAGACCGAGAGCCGTCACTATGCCCATGTCGACTGTCCCGGTCACGCCGATTACATTAAGAACATGATTACTGGTGCTGCCAACATGGACGGTGCTATTGTTGTTGTTGCTGCTTCCGATGGTCAGATGTAAGGACTCAATTCGCTGCATTCTTTGCATCCCAGTGGAATAAAACGCGCATGTACTAACCATTGCTCCCACTAAACAGGCCCCAGACCCGTGAGCACTTGCTGCTCGCCCGTCAGGTCGGTGTCCAGAAGCTCGTTGTTTTCGTTAACAAGGTCGATGTTGTCGAGGACCCTGAGATGCTTGAGCTTGTCGAGCTTGAGATGCGTGAGCTGCTCTCTACCTACGGCTTCGAGGGTGAGGAGACCCCTATCGTCTTCGGTTCCGCCCTTTGCGCCCTGGAGGGCCGCCGCCCTGAGATCGGTACCGAGCGTATCGAGGAGCTCATGCACGTCGTTGACACTTGGATCCCCACCCCCGAGCGTGACCTCGACAAACCTTTCCTCATGTCCGTTGAGGAAGTCTTCTCCATTCCCGGTCGTGGCACCGTCGTCTCTGGCCGTGTTGAGCGTGGTCTCCTGAAGAAGGATAGCGAGGTTGAGATTGTTGGTGGCTCTGATGTCCCCATCAAGACCAAGGTCACCGACATTGAGACCTTCAAGAAGACCTGTGACGAGTCCCGCGCTGGTGACAACTCCGGTCTGCTGGTCCGTGGTATTCGCCGTGAGGACATCCGTCGTGGTATGGTTATTGCCGCTCCTGGCACCACCAAGGCCGCCAAGAAGTTCATGGTCTCCATGTACGTTCTGACTGAGGCTGAGGGTGGTCGCCGTACTGGTTTCGGCAACAACTACCGTCCCCAGGTCTACCTCCGTACTGCCGATGAGCCTGGTGACCTCACCTTCCCTGATGAGGCGGACCAGGCCCGCCGTGTTCAGCCCGGTGACAACGTCGAGATGGTTCTCGAGACTCACCGTCCCGTCGCCGCCGAGGCCGGTCAGCGTTTCAACATCCGTGAGGGTGGCCGTACCGTTGCCACTGGTCTGATCACCCGTGTGATGGAGTAAAATGGCTATCATCTTTTGGATATAGACCTATTCGACTTAGCTGCATAAAGCAGTTCGGTCTTTGTATTATGACACCCCCTTTTCTTTCTTTCATTGTTTGTTCACAGCGCGGGATTCATCGATCAGCACAAGGGAGTCGGGAGGAAAGCGGAGTTTTCGTTCGAAATCTTGTTCACCTACAGTACTGGCGATCTAGCTTCTTGTACCTTCTCCCCTCACCCGTGGAAATGTATTAAAATATAACCAAATCCAAATCAAATTTTTAATATGGCTGGTCATCAGGTATTCCAATGTTCCATTGATATATTAAGCCTACTGAGTGCCAGGTGGAGCTTCAAGGTTCAAGTTGAGAAAGGACTTTGATTATGAAAAGAACTTGTATTGACAGGATAGAAGAAGATACAGGAAGTAATAAAGTCATGAGCAAGTGGAGTCCGAAGCATTGGCTATGAAGACTGGGATCGTTAGTAACAAGGTCTAATTGGGGAGGATGTACTACTAACCTTTCCATCGAGGCTCAGAAGCTGAAGGCTCATGGAGAGGGCGTGGACTTGGAGAGATGATTGAATGTCCAAGGAGAGTGTGCCCAGATTGTAGGCAGTGGAATGTGGGTGTCATGTAATGACGAAGAAGGATGTCCTGAAGCCCACTATGCCGATTGTCCTCAGGTCTCGCGGGACCCGCCATGGTCATAGCTGCTTCCTCTCTTAGCTCTCTGTGCCAATTGCCCTGAGGTTCTTCGCGAAACCCGCCACGGTCACAGAAGATAAGCACCAGCGACGTAAAATGCGCTGCAGGTTGTGCTACTACCTGCATCGTGGAAGACCTGGGTAGGTGGATGGGAAGACTGTATAAGAGAGTGTTAGTAGGCTTGAGTTGAAGATGCAGGTCAGTTGACTTACCTTTCCACCAGAACCCAGAGGTGAAACATCCATCAGACCAAGACCAAGACCAGGAGGAGGAATGTGTGTGACCATTTAGAGATTCAAGTTTGTGTTGATGCCATGTGTTGACAGAGTGTGGTATGTTGATAACCGGAGTTGTATTCAATGAAAGTGGATGTCAACAGGTTCATCATCATGGATGCTCATATGGGTGAGCTAAAGTATCAATGTGTGAATGGATGGAAGTGTGTCAACATGTCGATGGATGATCATGTAGGTCGGTGGTCATGTTGATGGATGGAAGTGAAGTGGGGTGTGTCAACATGTTGATGGATATCATGATATATGATCATGTGAGTAAACAAGACAGGCTTGTATGAACGCGTCGACGCGACAGGACAAGGATGTGTCAACAAGGGTTGCGTCAAGACTCAATACTATATTGAGACATGTTGGTGACCAGGAACATGTTGAAGGATCAAGATCCAAGAAATGGATAGATGGATGCAAGTGTCTGCATCAAGGTTGGGATGTGGAACAGGATCTAAGGTCTTGAGAAGACCGAACGAGTCTCCTCTTAGCAAGGGTTGCTAGTAACACCATGGGCGGGGCTCCTTAGAGCAATAAAAATACAAAAATTCCAGGACGAGACCATGGGCATGGTAAGGCTCACCTGTATGTTGATGGATGGATGAGTAGATGGATGGATGGATGGAAGAAAGTTGGGGAAAATCAAGAAGAAGAATTCAAAGGCCAGGAGAGATTTATTTTTACCTTGGGGGAAGACAACAAGATCACGCAGGCCCAATTAGGGAAAGCAAGCGAAGACGGCGAAGTGAGAGATTGATCTGGCGCAGTGAATAACAACACGGCCAATTCGCCATACTGAAGGATGCTTGCTCGCTTCTACATCTCTTACTTCGAATCGACCAATAAGAAGCCAGATCACGAACTTAAGCGAGCCAATAAAACTGAGTTCATCCTATAGTTGATATCAGATCAAGTCTGAGGCTCTTGGTGGCTCTAGATTCTTTCTATTCCCCATTCTCCATAAGCCTCATCATCGTCCGTCTCTACTGTGGTATAGCGTAAGCCTGGACTTCCAATCTCTGCCCAAACGGAATCACATTTTCAGGCGTATCGCCTGGTCCCAGGTTTGTAGGGGCAAGCTGATACTGCATACCACGCACTACTTGGACTTGTGAATCGTGATACTCCATGGTTACTTCCGAGTCCACAGTTACTATCCAACATCTATGTCCTAAGCTATATAATTGAGTGACTCCCCTCTTCACTAAATCATGCCCCGATGCACATTTAACCCACTAGGGTTCTATCCAGGTCCAATGTGTTATGCTTGCAGGTTACCCACCCAGGTGCCATCAGCTAGGAACATTTGAAGCAGCACCAAGCTGGCCCATTTCTCAACATTTTAAGAGTATCATCAGAACCACTAGTCTAAAAGTAATATGCAAATCATATCTAGAATAATATTCCAAGGCTGGAATCATGTTTTTCTCAATATAATCTCCAGGGCTACTGGCATGGGTGTTGTATAGATCGAGAAACCGTTGATTAGTCACTGGCAGAAATTCGGCCGAACTTGACGGACGAATTACGGATGTGTCGGACCAAGTTAATCGGGATCGTGGATTTAGGGTATACTATGCGTGGATATTGAGACTATAAGGATTCTATCTCCGCAATTGTACGGAGTACATAGTGCATTTAGTTCCCATGTGGCTTGTCTCCACGTGGATACTGCATTCATGTAGTCCTCCTTATGCTAGTATCAAGGTTGTTTCCTCAGGTGATCTAAATCATCCGCTTGGACTGTGGCTTAATGATTTAATCACCTTCAGGGCCGTAATACAGATTATAATTCCACTGCCCAATGGCAGGTTGGGATATCATGATGCTCAGGCAGATTTGAGTTACCTATCCAAGTTAGTAAGAATTCGATTGCTAGTAGCTGTCCATTTGGACCCCCCACGTCATATCATGCACATGTGGTTGTATATCAAGAGAAGAGCGATCTTATTATCAACTTCTCCAAATTTTAAGCCTGTTTCCAGGCTTCCATATAATCCATTGACGTCTCTATCAAAAGGTACCTATGCATGTATTCCCTGAACAGAGAGACGGTAGTATCGCCACGCACCATGACCCACACTGTTGCCTCCCAGCTTACTGAGCTATGCTTCCTCAACGAGACTCAGCCTGGTTGTTCATTTCTTTTTTTTCAAAGGTTCATCTGGCATTTGGCACTATTGTAAATTCCCTGGAAGATTCCTGCTATTTCTCGACCCTGCTATGATCCAGCCCACTGGCATGAGCTGTCGTCTTTCCATGTGTCGGTCGTGAGGCCCTCTGAGGGCATATTACAAATTTAACTCCAACCACTTCTTCCTTGTGCCTAACCAGGCAAGCCTATTTTCAAATCATCTGCGAAAACTGACATAGCTGTCACACAATGGACTTGTTCAGTGATATCGGGGGACCACCCCGTAAGAAAATGCGCAAAGGCACCAAGAGCTGCTCCGAATGTACGTGCTGGCGGTCGTGATCATAGGACCCAATACTAAGTTTAGATAGGCCGACGTCGCAAAATTCGCTGCACTTACGATAATGATCGCCGCGATACTTGTAGTGAATGTCGTCTACGCGGCTCAAAATGTCTTGACCAGGAAAATGGCCCCGATGACCCTAGTGCCTCATCAAACTCCGCGGCAACGGAAAGATATAGCCTACGGGAAAGAGTCGCCCACTTGGAAACTGTGGTGCAGAGCTTGGCACACAAGCTGGATCAAACCAATGCACTAATATCGAAATGTGAGGCCAATATAGTTCCCCACATTAAGGCTTTTTGAATCCATTCAGCCTTGGGTCCCCTGGGTATCGATGTGCGACTAACAGTCTATAGCTGGTCAAATCCCCACAACTAACGCCGGATCCATAACGCCAACATCTCCGGGACCAGATAGACTCGGTCCTTCGAGTGAAAGGATTGAAAATGCGCCTATCATGCAACTTTTCGACAATTATTTTGTCAAGCGCCGCGATGATCCATCGACCAATGACCAATTCACGGGTGCGAAAGATATGTCACCCAAGGCACGTGCAGTCCGAGCTGAATTGATTTCACTATTCCCTCCCGACAAAGATATCGATATTATTTTGACGCATTGCTCTCATATATGGTTTATATGGGAGGCGGACATTCCTGGGCTACAAAAGTCTTTCGCTGAAAGGAAAGCTGGCGATGAGTATTCCGCAGCACCAGCTGATATCGCCAAAGCCCTGGTTTGTATTGCTCTATGTGTTATCCAGTCTCGACCGGAGTTTGAGTTTAGTTCATTACAAGTGCCCATCGATCCGCAGGAATATGCTTCCCGATGTGGCGAGGCAGTCGAGAGGCTGGTTGTCCGTGACGATGACTTCGCCGCTACTCTTCCTGGAATCGAGTGCCACATGCTGCTTTCCAAATTCCACATGAATGAAGGCCGCTTACGAAAATCGTGGTTGATTAATCGACGGGCTATTGAGCTGGCACACCTGGCTGGCATGCATCTATCCACCCGGGCTCCACAGCCGGGAGATGCGCTATTCGAAAGACGGCTCAAGCTCTGGTGCTCGTTAGCTGTCTCAGATCGATCTATCAGTCTCGTCCTTGGTCTTCCTTATGTTATTGCCGATGCATATTTTCTACCACAAGTGGAGCGACGCTTAAAATTGGCTGAATCTACTACCGAGCAGTACATGTTGCGCATCGGTGTCATCACTGGTCACATCATCGATCGAAATCAAAGTCCAGGGGAAATGTGTCTTGAAAATACTTTAAAACTAGACCGAGAGCTTATGGATGCCTGGAACTCAATGCCCGATAGCTCCCTTGGTTCAGAGCCTGGGCCAAATGAAACAAGAGAACACTATCTGGAACGGATCCCAATGCAGTTCATGCCCAAGGTTCTACGGTCTGTTCTTCACCTTCCATTCATGTTGAAATACCCACCCAATCCTCGATTCAACTTTTGTCATCGCATGGCGATTCAATCGGCTCGGGAATCCCTTGTTTTATACAAAATCCTTCGGTCGTCAACGCGGTCATACTTGTGCAAGACGATTGATTTCATGGCTTTTACCATGGCAATGCTGCTGATTTTGCACTTGCATGGCTATTCTGAAGATTCGCCAGATCATAATCGGGAAGAAGATGAGCGAGACTGGGAATTAATTGGAGGAATTGTTGACATTCTCCACCAAGCTGCAGGTGAAAGTGGTGGCTCCGTCGCGGCCGAATCAGCCCATATCCTCGGTGAGATCTACAGGACTCGATCTGACAAGAAGGATTGGAACCTAGCTGCCAGCTGCAAAATCACGGTGCCTTATTTTGGCACGATAACCGTCGGTGCTGGTGCGAAATTAGCTGGTCCTAGGAACAAGGGCCACATCAGAGCACCAAGTCAACCTGTTCCTACCACTTCGCCATCCCATGAGAGTCCAAATCAACTGTATACTCCGCCTCTGTCGAACCCATACACTGCTCTGAGTGATGCCACCAATGGTCACACTCCGGTCTTTGAGAATGGAGGTGCAGGTCATTCAATTCATACTCTTCCTTCCGGGGACGGGGTAAATATGGTTTCTTCAAGCTTTACCGGTCTGGAGGCCACTACCTTTAGTGGCTTATTTGACGATATTGGACAATATCCATGGCCTGACCTGAATCTCGATCTCGGGCTTGACCAGGGCTGGAACTTGAACTGGTTTGAGAATGGTATGTTGACGCAATAAGCATGCCACGATTCTCTCTTAATGCGCCTATATACATATGTACATATTAGATAAATTTTCTTGCTTAATATAGTCGGTAGCTTATACGCGAACTTGAAACCATGGCCGTCACATAAATGTATCACTAGTAACGTAGCTTGCCCAGATGCCAGTGTATATGTAGAATCAGCTGCCAGTGCGGCCAGTAGTCTACAGCAACCTTGGAATAAGCGGGTATCCTTATAAAGACCACTGACAGTTTGATTGAGCAATACAATGAACACTCTCAAAAAGTTCTTTCATAATATTTGAACCATACTAGGTAGTGGGCATTTCGAGTTTAATACAGGCATGACTCGCATGAGTATAGAGTGGCCCAGACCCTACAGCAGTATACAAGCTACCAAGTGTAAAGGTGTTCAAGTTCAAATAAACTCAAAAATGTTACGTCAGATTGTCCAAAATTCCAAACTCGATCATATAAATCACAGGAACTCGACCGTTAATCTTGCACTGACCTCGACCTCGGGCCCTTTGTTAATCTCGTGCATCGGCCTGGTGATCGACCCGCAGTGTATTTGGTGTTTACTTTGATCCACCTTTTAATCCCCCCAACCTCCTAGTTCCCGCTCTCCTTGCTCTCGCCACTTTCCTCCGCAGCGATCTGTCCCCACAACTTCACAACCTTCAAGGAAGCGATAGCTGTTAAAGATGACTGAACGCCCGGCGGGATTGGGCAGGAACCCAACCGCGCCTCCTATTATGGCAAATGGCCACTTTGCAACGATCGGCGATAATGCGGATGCCGCCGCCGCTTATGAGCATGGTGTGCAGGTCATTGATGGAGACAAGGAGTTCAAGTACGACCACCACATTTCCACTTCCCCATTCGCCATTGAATTTCAGTTCGCATACAATTTTTCCATCAAATACTGACTCTTTCTTTGATAGTCCGAACCTTGCGAAGTACCTCTCCCTCGAAGAAGTCACCCAAGCCGGCTTCAACTACCACCTCATCTCTGTGTTCGGCTCGCAATCGACGGGAAAGTCCACCTTGCTGAATAACTTGTTCGGCACACAGTTCTCGGTTATGTCGGAATTAGAGCGAAGGCAGACTACCAAGGGAATTTGGCTGTCAAAGAATAAGAAGCAGGGGGAGGCTTCCTCAGCTGATGGAGAGCGCATGGCGGACAATATCCTAGTGATGGATGTTGAGGGTACAGACGGTCGTGAGCGCGGCGAAGACCAGGATTTTGAGCGCAAGAGTGCTCTCTTTGCGCTTGCGACTAGTGAGGTGCTCATTGTCAACATCTGGGAGCACCAGGTGGGGCTGTACCAAGGAGCCAATATGGGTCTCCTGAAGACCGTCTTTGAGGTAAATCTGCAGCTATTCCTCAAGGACAAGAAGTATGTATTCCCATCGAATCTCCTATTATCTTCGGCTCAGGGGCTCATTCATCAAACAGTACCACCCACCGATCCCTCCTATTCTTTGTCATTCGTGACTTCATCGGTACCACCCCGCTCAAGAACCTCCAGAAGACACTATTGGAAGACCTGTCTCGTCTGTGGGATACAATCTCGAAACCTGCTGGCCTCGAGAAGTCAACCATCCACGATTACTTCGATTTCCAGTTTTACGGTCTCCCACACAAAGGTTACCAGGCGGAACAATTCGTGGCGGAAACTAAGAAGCTTGGTCTGCGCTTTCGCGAGGGTCATCGCGACCCGAAGAGAGATGCGCTCAAGGGCGAATTCTCAGAAGGGGGCGTCTTTCTGCCCGAATACCACCGCCGTATCCCAGCTGATGGATTTTCGCACTACGCTGAGGGTATTTGGGACCAAATTGTCAACAATAAAGACTTGGATCTGCCTACACAGCAAGAGCTCCTTGCTCAGTTCCGTTGCGATGAAATTTTGCGAGAAGTCATGATTGGATTTGATGAGGCCATTACTGCCTTTGAGGACAAACAAGCCGAGGCCGTTCGATCAGGCGCCCCCGAGGTACTTGGAGGACTGGGTGCAGCTATGCGGGCTGCGCGCTCGAAGACTCTGAAGGCTTTTGAGGTCGAAGCTAGTCGGTACCACAAGGGTGTCTATCAGCGCAAGAAGGCCGAGTTAGAGAACAAAGTCGATACCCGCTTGAAGGTGCTATTCCATGGTCAAATATCCGCTGCGCATAAGTCCGGTATCCGTGATTTCAGCGACGCCGTTACCGACGCTGTCAAGTCTGGCCAGAAGAAGGGTGGGAACTACGACTTCGCCGAGATTGTGAACAAGGAAACCAATTCTTCGCTGGAGAAATTTGAGGAAATTGCCCGTTCCACACTAGTGGAAGGTACATCTTGGAGTAACTATAAGCAGGAATTGAAGCTTTACGAAAAGGAGCTTTCTGAAGTCAGTGCGCGCCTGCGCCGAGACGAGATGAGACGTTTGGCTAGTCGTGTTGAACGTTGGGTGCAATCTCGCTTGGGTGAATCTGTCGGGCTTGAGTTTAACAGCCTTGGTTCTGGTCGCGCTGGTGCAGGTGCCCCAGAAAACGGAGAGAAGCCTACTGAAAAGCAATTTTGGGATCGTGTATGGAATGTGTTTGTTGAGACCGTTCTCGATGCGGAACGAAGATTCACGGACCGGGCCAGTAGCTTTGATGCCAGCCTTGAAGAGGTTGATGTTGGGTTGTGGCGCTTGCGACGCAAGTCTTGGGGCGTTATGCGTGCTAAGATTGATGAAGAAATGACCGAGGGTAACTTATTGTTAAAACTGCGCGAGAACTTTGAGGACAAGTTCCGCTATGATGATGAGGGTGTGCCGCGCATCTGGCGCCCTACCGACGATATCGAGGGCGTTTATACTCGTGCTCGCGAGTCCACTCTAACACTGATCCCCCTTCTTTCTCGATTCCGTCTTGCTGAAACGTCCGCTCCTCCTCCGCTTGATCGGTGGGTTGGCCACACTCCTAGCTCGGCGACAGCTGCAGACGAGGAGGACTTGCCGCCCATTGGAGGTATCGATGAAGACGAAGGCAAAAGTCTGGAGGAGGAGATGACCATCCTTGGTGATGCTAAGCGCCAGGAGCTCACCGTGCGCTTCAAGAAGGCTGCCGATGGTGTATATGTTGAAGCCAAGCGGAGTGCCATTGGCGGTATGACCCAAGTTCCTCTCTACTTCTATGGCCTGCTGCTTGCCTTGGGATGGAATGAGATCATTGCTGGTAAGTTCTGCAACCTTTTTTTCATCTCATTTTTCTAGTAGGTCTAATATTTTGGATTTCTTAGTTCTTCGCAACCCGGCATACTTCCTCCTGCTGTTTGTTTGTGCCGTGGGTGCCTATGTCACCTACCAGCTCAACTTGTGGGGACCTATCCTGAAGATGACCGAGGCTGCATCTCACCAGGCAATTGAGGAAGGCAAACGCCGTCTACGGGACTTCCTTGAATCTTCAGATACTGGCCGACAAGCAATGGCCATGTCGGCTGAACGGACGGGCACCTCAGGTCGCGGCGAGGAGTACGAGATGTCTGATATGCAAAAGCGTGGCACGCAGGCCAACGACGACCTGGATGACTTGTAAATTTATGTCGCATTTGCTTTCTCGCAACTAACATCTGTACTTTGTTTCTTTCTGGGGTAGATTTATTATAGCATCGGCCTCTCTTGTCTAGCAGAAGTGTATTAAACAATGAACTGCATTGAAAGCCGATTTAATTGAATCAATTGATCACACATGCATAAATTTAACGCTAGAAAAGCCTTCTTAATATTTGAAAGCTTAGTTAAAGCTTAGCCTCCCGAGGTCGGAACAGTCCCCTATGACCTACCTAGGTAGTATAATACTTCATGATATAACTACTATGTAATGGTCATCCCACTCGAGTTCCAAGGTTGCGGGGTCATACCCGCGGACTTGCTCCGACTCGTGGGGGGAACCCAATGTTATGTATTTCACTGGGCTATTTAGCAGCTATTTACCCGCCGATTCCTATTTTATCTCTTGAACTCTTTGAATAATATTCTACTTTTGGTGTTGTACAAGATACCACGTCAACTTGAAGCGCTTGTGTGACAACGCCGGGCCCATTTCACACCATTCTTGCTATCGCAAACTCCCCATCTCCTCACCACGATGGCCGCACTCCCAGAGACTTACGATGATCTACCTGACAAGCGCCGCTACTGGCCAGCTGCGCCTGGATCTGAAGAAGAAGGCCTGGGCATGTTGCGTCTTCTAACACCAGAGGTAGTTGCCGATGCCGCACGAACACAAATCCAGACCGGTGAGCGCGTATGCCTCAACTGGGATCTTGAGAACTTGAGTCCACCAGGTATATCGGCCTCCTCTCAGAGCATATACGAAAGCCTCAAATGAAAAGAGTATGAAGCAAGGTTCAAAACTTGCAATATTCATATATTCATGATCTCATACTCATGTTTTTACTTTGATCTAGGATTCGGCCGCAAACCATTCGAACACCGCATCAAATGGGTCGCAGAAGGCGTTGCATTCGATGATGAATACCACTTTAACCCTCAGCAATCCTCTCAATGGGACGGTCTTCGCCACCACAATGCACCAGCTCCAACACCAGAAGATCCCTCTCGTCGCGTCTTCTACGGCGGGACAACATCCACCGAGGTCAAAGATACAGATTCCTCTCGTATTGGCATTGGCTTTTGGGCCAAAAAAGGAATTGCAGGTCGTGGAGTCCTAATTGATTACGTCACATACGCTCAGAAGAGAGGAATCCCATTGAACGCCCTAACCCGACAAGAGATCTCTCTTGACGAGGTAAAAGAGATCGCAGCCGAGTGTAATATCACATTCCAAAAGGGCGATATTTTCTTTCTGCGTGTCGGATTACCTGATACCTGGGCTGGTATGTCATCCGAGCAACGTCTCGTGTATAGTCAACAGCCCTTGCCACAGCATGCAGGTATCGAGCAGAGTGAGCGGGTTCTGCGGTTTATGTGGGATAATCATTTTGCGGCGGTTGCTTCTGATGCTGTGAGCTTTGAGGTTTTCCCGCCTCTGAATGAGGAGTTTGATCTACATCATCATCTTTTGGCTGGGTGGGGTGTACCCATTGGCGAAATGTTTGATTTGGATGAGTTGGCGGAGACTTGTAAGAGGCTTGGGAGATGGAGTTTCTTTGTTTCAAGTAGTCCGTTGAACTGTAAGAGAGGTGTTTCTAGTCCTCCGAACTGTATGGCTATTTTTTAGTTGTATGGTGATACTTCAATTGAGAGCATACACTTCTCCCGGTTGCTACTATGAAGGTGAAATCTTCGGAATGATTATCTTAAGCACTACTATTTGAATTCTCAAAGATTAGATCTTCTTAACTACAATTGCATGAAATTTCAGGCTAGACTCATAATCGCCATGCGTCTGTTATGATTTATTCGAGAATTTAAATCGGGATTCGCGTACCATGGACCGGGTCGAACCAGATCGCCACCTCCACAGAGAGCTGTCCAAATCAGCCAATCTTAACTGAACACCACTAGAATTGAATCGAATTCCAGGATCTCGATCTTTTCATGCAGCTCTATGATTGGTACTACCCATATGTCGAGGTAGGACGATCATATGACTGATATCATCATCATGACTTTTTCGCCATGAAAGCATTAAATAGCTAATGACCTTCCAAAAAAAAACACTTTATCACAGTATACATATTGAATCTTTCTTCATTAAATCGAGTCACAATATGTACTTGGCTATAATCAAGCGTCAATGTCTGAGACCCTCTGCGGTCTGTTTCAATCAACTAAGCCGCGCTTCAGTCCATGGAAAGGCCCAGTCAGGCATGAAAGGCGATGAGGACTGTATGTTTATTGAATCAAGGCTAATTGGTTGAGTCCTCTGATACTAACGTATGTAAGTCTTTGTGACAACTACATTCCCTGATGATTTCGAGGCATCGCCATTGAAGGCTGAGTTACTTCAGAAACAAGCTGAAGCTGAGGCTTCTTCCGGCCCTTGGGATGAGGTGAGTCATCACTATGTATCACTCTTCTCCCACCTTGAACAAAGACTAATTGTTTAGGCTACTATTGAGCAGCATAAGAAGGATATCTATGAAAGCCTTTATCCTCACGAGGCGAACGATGCTATGAATCAGAAGTCGAAACAGAAGACTCCGCCAGAGCCAGAGGCGGAGAGGGCTCCTAATATGGATGAATTGTAATTGGGATAGCTGAAGATGTTGTGGTTTTCAGTGGATTCTGGGCTTGGTGCTTCTCTTGCGTACTGCCCAGGTGGCGGGCATGGTTTAGTTCATGTGTGGACCTGAAATGCTAAAAGTGGTATTCTGATTTGATTTATATTAAACTACTAATAGCCAAAATGAACTTCAAGTTCTTAAATCTTGCCAACTATTTATTGAATCATTCAGTTTTCTTTTTTTTTACCATCGTATGTAGAACTTGAAACTGTCATTAACAAGATCCAAGGTTAAATGGTCGACTTCCAAAAGATGGCTCCCAAATCGTCAGGACACTGCTCAGGCCCCAGATACTACTCGTACATTCAAAAGTTCAACTTGAAGTTTCGTGGTAAGTCTTCCATGCATAATGGTTCTATTCAAAGTGTTTATATACCCTTCATATTTTAGCTCGATCTATATTGCCAAAGTCAGTTTGCGGTTTCAGGCCCCTGGTAATGTCTCTAAAGTTCTGGTGGGGTTAGAAATCAGGCTAGCCCCGCAATGGATCTTAGATGGGAGGTTAAGCCGTTGTTTACCCATCAGTATTGGAATAAGCTGCTCAAGTGTTGCTTCAGAGTCTTTCTCTTCTCAAAATGGATAAAGTAAATGCTCAAAGGCTTAAAATTGGCAATAGAAGATGTCGTGTGCAGCTGTATTGTCCATAGATGGAACCGAAACATACCAGCCCCCAACACGAAAATACTTATCAGGTGACTAGCACCCCGCGCTAACTTCAGCTAAAAACTGACCAGCGCAACTAGCAACGATTTGTCTTATTGTTTAAATTCTGTTCGACATCATGGCTGACCCTTTGAGCATGGCAGCAAGTATTGTGGGGGTTGTTGGACCTGCTCTACATAGTATTCGCCTTCTTGCGAGAGACCTGGAGCAAATTAAGGATGCCCCAAAGAGCATTGCAGCACTAAGAGAGCGCATAAACTCAGTAGCACGAGCTCTTGTCACTCTTGAGAAAATTGATGATCAAGAGTGGGAAGCTCTGGGAGTTTCGGATGATGCGAAATCGACCATCGAGAAGTGCGGCGACTCATGCAAAGCATTCAGTGAAGAAATCAAACGCTGGACCCGCCACTCTCAAGGCAATTCTCTCACCCTGTTAGACCGATCTAAGATTGGGTTCTGGAAACAACACCAGATCACATCTATGGAGAAAGAGCTTCAGTATTGCCAAAGCACTATCACCCAGGTTGTCAGTATAGCAACACTGTATGTCAAGATGAAATCCTTCAAAGTCGTTATCAAGAACCATGAGTATATGCTCACACACAGTCATCTCGTTTAGGATTAGCTCTCTCCGGAATAACGGTCTGTCTCAACCTATCAGAGACGAGAAAGAGCGTCAAGTAACATCATCCATCCAAGTAACAACTGCGGAAGTGGCAGAGCTTGCGGTCCGAAAAAAGGAAATTCGGATGAGAGGAGCTGCCGTTGACGATGATGACAAGGATGAGCTCGCTGAGTATGAGTTCGCATCTTCGCAGGTCTCCCAGGAGCAAAAGTCATTGGCAAAGTCACAAAAACTGCTTGAAGTATTATTGGCAAAGATACAGGAGCCCAACATATCACAGCTTGCCACTAAGATGCATCAAGATCAGTCAGTTCACGTGACCTTTGGAGGAAATAACCATGGTATACAGATGGGAGTAAACAATGCTCCCATGAACAATCTCACTTTTGGGGCGGGTGCAAACCATTACTACCATTGAGCCCTGGTCATGATGGATGCCCAGGTGGATGTTATTGCTCAGCAAGAACGCATGTAAATCCCTTTGTGTTGAACATAACTCTTTGTGGAAATGAATTCTGATTTGAGAGAAGTCGCATTAGAGTCACGAGTGTTTGCCCAGGAAGTTCCACGGCAGCTACGCACCTGGCAGTATCATTCTATTGACACCTGGTTCCTAAGGCTTCAAAATTAACGTAATTCCCAAGCGAGCGGGCCACCCAAGCGAGTGGGCCACTGCTAAACACCATAGTTAAGGCGATAAACTACAACTTGATATCTCAGCAACCACATGTTTGTTTTATTTAATTATTTGTTGATAGCTATTGATAAGGCTTGTGAGCACTCAAAATGAATTTCAAGGAAATCTTAAAGCTATTTTGTCACGATACCGAAAATTGCGTTGATATGAGCCACAAATATATCTCTTTGAACTACCAATAAATAGATTTTCTCTTAACTTTCTAAAGGGGCTCAATATCACCTGATCGTGGTTGGGTTAGGAGGGAAAGTATATAAAGACTGTAGTTGTTGAGATAGTATGTTGTAATTTATTGCCTTAACTATGGTGTTTGGAGGTGGCCCGCTTGCTTGGGTGGCCCGCTTGCTTGGGAACTATGTTATCACAGTCAGCCTCGGTCCTTTTCTTGACAATCATAATCGTGACTTGTGATTCAGCCCAGAAGACCCGATCGGCCTCGAAATATTTTATTAATTTATAAGAGACCCCGGCTAGCTTTTCTAACCTTATATCGACAAACAGGGGGGGGCGCCATACAACCACTGGTCTCTCTGCACCTATAACTCCGGGGTATCGTTATCGCTTATCGCAACAACGGAGAACTTTGTGACGCGACCAGCTGAACTTGGCTCTTCTGCCAACTTCACATACTTTTTCCACGGCAGATTCAATGTCGGCAGTATCTCAGGTGCTCAATCTTGAAAATATGCGTAGCATCGCATCGGCTGCGGTGTCGCTCCTCTCGTGGCGAACACTGGCTCTGATTCTGGCTCTCCTCAATCTGAAGAACCTCCCACTTGCCTGGCATGTATGTTATCTTGCCCCTCCTTTTCCGTCTCCTTATATGTTCAGGTCAATTTCCGTATCATCGTGTGCTCGTTGAAAATGAATTCGACGACCATGTGGTGTGCCTAGTTGATATCGTGTAACAGCTACTGACCGCATCTTCAGTTCCGTTTATTGTATCACTTCCTGGGCAACGTGCGCCTCAAGCCTACTGCGCCATTCTTCCTGAAGGGGCGTGCAATTGTGGATGCCCGAGGAAACCCGACACATCCGGTCTTCGTGCCATGTAGCGTCAAGTCCCGGACGCCGTTGCTGGAGACTGACTATAACCTGCACAAGTCCAACAGCACCTACTTCACCGATCTGGATGTCTCGCGTACGGCGCTTGTCACTCGACTCTACAGCCCCGGTGTGGGTCTTGTGAGCAAAGAATTGGATCAAGAATTCTTAGTTGCAAGCCAGAAGGAGGGCAAGAAGCCTCCCAGAAAGCTGCCTGTCATGGTTGTCCTCGGCTCTGTTTACTGTAGCTTCAAGCGCGAGATCAAGCCATACGAGCTGTACGAGATGCAGTCTAGAGTTATCTCCTGGGACAAGAAGTGGATGTACATTCTTACGGCGTTCCTGCGGCCTGCCAAGCGAGCCGGTGGGGAAAAGACACTTCTGGCCACTGCTATTAGCAAGTATGTGGTGAAGAAGGGCCGTCTGACTGTTTCGCCGGAGCGACTCTTACGTACTGGAGGCTTCCTCCCTGCACGACCGGTAGAAAGTCAGGTCCCGAGTGCATTGGATTCGTCCGTGGAAACCTCCGCCATTGGTACACCAGCTAGCGGAGACGGGATTACTGCCACTGGCGTAGATGGCTCCTTGGTGCGACAGGCTCTCAAGATTAGTGAAGATCAGATGCCTGACCAAGATACACTCGAGCAAGAGAAGAAGGCCAATTCAGACTCCTGGAGCCCTGAGGAATGGCCTTGGGAGCGGATTGAGGAAGAGCGACTCCGAGGCTTGGCGGTCGTGGGGCCTTATATCAACATGGATGCCAAGTTAGAGCACGAGGTGACTGGTAAATAGATTTGGGACTGGGTATGTATATAGATTAATGCCTTCTGGCGGGGACTTCTGAACTTCGGGCGATTTTTTTTTGTTCAAATTTAAAGGTTAAATGTTTGATAGTATAAAAAATGTATTTTGAACCATGGCACACCTAGGTACACTGTTGTAGGAGCCCCGTCGGAGCTAAATGTTAAGGTGCGTGGATCTAAAACTGGGGATCTAACTAAGTATAGCCTGCAACACACGGGCCTGATCGACATTCAGCGATGTCGGACCCCTCAGATGCTCTAGAAAATTTAATTTCCAAATTTAATACTCAAATTTGAGCTTGATTTATAAGTCATACTGATCTAGTCTCTAAACTATACTCAAAAATGTATCAGATTTATTGACCGCTTATTACCGTCTGGACTAAGTCATTTATTTTTTTCTTTTCTAACTGACGCAATGTACATCGTCGGGCAATAAGGTACGCACAGGGCAATGACATATTTCCACTGCGCATCCCTTGATGGGATCTCGGCCCCGGCGGTATCCGAGAGCTGCGCACAGCCCCCTTATGTATTAGATTACGTAGATTGTGACCAAAATTACATACATAATTGCCCAGGTGGAAGGAACGACTTGAGTTAACAAAGTCAACTGGCGCAAGCTGGCTGCAAATCGCCTAAAAGGGAAAGACCAGAATCAGTAATACACGTACAGCCACATGACCTTCACGTGACTTTGTTCACCACTCGCAAGCTCACATTTGAGACTTGGAAATCGCATTCTGATGATGCGCCTGCTGCTCTGACTACTCTCTATCAACGCCATATATACTAAGACCTATCTGGATCGAATCTGGTAAGTCGGTTCTATTGTTTTTGCTTCCATCCAGCCTTTGGGGTCCGTTCAGCTTCCCCGAAAGACCGCATATCACCTGCATCTCACCTGGGCAAAGCGTACGGTATTCGTACACACATCCACTTTTTTGACGGCTCCTACCAGACGCCAAAAGTCCACATTGTCCACCTTTCCCGTCTGATTGAGCATTTTGCCCACTGGCCCTGCCTTCCCTTCCCCTTCTGATTCGTCCAATTCCTCCACCCATTCCAAGTTGCTCAACTGTGATTCCCCCTGCCTCCAGTGTCAGACCATCGTGCTCTGGTCCACCCTCGAGTGCCCCCAGCTCCTGCATGATTGGTCCATACTGGTAATATTTCTCACTTTCCTTCTCCCTATCGCGAACCTAGCGCCGTTGCTCTCATGCGGAACTCGTTGGTAACAAGACGAGTTTCTGTTGCATCGACAAGTCTGGTTTCCTTTCCCCTGAGTCGCTTCTTGACTTTATCTTTATCGGACACGGACCTCCCCTGCAAGTTCTAATTGGCGATCTGAACTAAAATCTTTTTCCCTTCTCCCGCTCCAGGAAAAAAGAGCCTCCGAGCAGAGCTTATCGCGCCATCTTCGAACCATACACATCCCTCAACTGACTTCACTTTCAACTTCACTCTTCAACCGACTTGACGCATAATCCACTGAGTAATCGGCAAATTCCGCTTCCGACCCGGTCTGCTCACTTCACTTCGTTTCCCCTGACCGCTGGGGACCATACTACTTCGCCGTCGATCAGCGGTCGCTCTATCCGACGACGGCACTCCATATCAAACACTATCCCACTCCTCTCCCACCTTTTGATTACAATACACTGTTAACGATGGCGACTTCCCTCGAGCAGCCAAATGGTGATCAGCTCGTAGCTGTTGCGATCAACCCTGCATCTATCACGCCGCCTCAAAGTGCCAACGGGAAGAAAGATGCACCTGAGATACCCTCGGAGTTATCCGATCTTGAGCTAGATGCCAAGTCTGCTTCTGCACATGATGAAGTTCCTATCAAGATGGAAGAGAAGGAAGAGCCGGTCCTTGTTGAGGAGGAGATTGCACCTGATCACTACTATGGTGGTGGGAAAATTCCAGTCTTCAAACCAGTGAGTGAACTTTCTATATGTCCCGACTTTGATCCACTTGATAGACCCGCAACTAGCGTTTCAATTCTTGGGGTCGCCATTATCCTGGTGTAGCTTACTTACCATGTTAGACAATGGAACAATTCCACGATTTCCAATCCTACATCAACAGAATCGATAAGTATGGAATGAAATCTGGAATTGTAAAAGTTATTCCACCCAAGGAATGGTGAGTGCAAATCATCTACGTTGACTTTGCATGGGTACTCATTCCTTTTTCCAGGGTCGATGCTCAAAAGCCGCTGGACGAGCAAGTGAAATCGATTCGCGTAAAGAACCCCATTATGCAGGAATTCCATGGGTCACATGGAACATACACTCAGGCCAATATTGAACGTCAACGAACTTACAACCTACCCCAATGGAAATCTTTGTGTGAGGAAAGCAGCCATCAGCCACCAGCGCGCCGTGGAGAAAGACGTCGCAACCAGGATCGTGCCAACAAAGCTGCTACTTCACGACCACCACCTGCTCCCCGTCCAGAAGGCCAGAAGCGTCGACCTGGCCGCCCACCCAAGCGTGCCAATCAAGTGAAAATCAAGGAAGAGCCAATGGACGATGCGGAGAAATCGAAATCTGAAGGCCCGCCAACCCCTGTGTCTCCGGAATCACTTCCTGTCGAACCCAAGAGCGAAGATCTGAGTGACGGAGAGCCTCTTCCTGCTGCGAAGCCCAAGGGAAGACAACCCAAGTCCGTCACTTCACGACGAAAAAACAACCGTGGGGAGACAGTCGATCACATTGATGAAGCGGCATTCGAAACCTTTGATTACCGGATCCACGACAATGAAGACTACACTGCGGAAAGATGTGAGGAGCTTGAGACTTCGTATTGGAAGTCACTCATGTACAACAACCCCATGTATGGCGCCGATATGCCTGGCTCGCTCTTTGATGACTCGACTACTTCATGGAACGTTGCCAAATTGCCGAACTTGCTCGATGTCCTTGGACAAAAAGTGCCCGGTGTCAATACAGCCTACCTCTATCTAGGTATGTGGAAGGCCACCTTTGCTTGGCACTTGGAGGATGTGGATCTTTACAGTATCAACTACATCCACTTCGGTGCTCCAAAGCAGTGGTACAGCATCTCACAAGAGGATGCCCCACGTTTTGAGGCAGCGATGCGAAGTATTTGGTCGAGCGATGCCAAAAACTGCGATCAATTCCTCCGCCACAAGACCTACCTTGTCTCTCCAAGCTTGCTCAAGTCCCAGTACGGCATCACCGTAAACCGATTGGTTCACTACGAAGGCGAATTCGTGATCACCTTCCCTTACGGCTACCACTCTGGCTACAACATTGGGTACAATTGTGCCGAGTCCGTCAACTTTGCAACCGAAAGGTGGCTGGACTACGGCCGGATTGCCAAGAAGTGCCACTGTGAGTCCGATAGTGTGTGGATCGACGTAGATGAAATTGAACGCAAGCTGCGTGGCGAGGCTACTCCAGAGTACTATGGCGACTACGAAAGCGAGTTCGGAGTCTTTGATGGTGCTTCAGACCTTCTTACACCCCCACGCAGTGTACCTGAGAAAACCTGCACTCGTGGCCGAAAGAGGAAAAATCCGGATGACGGGCCGAGAACCAAACGACCTAAGCTCCACTCCGAAGGCCCGCGGAAGCTTCCATGCCTTCTGTGTCCGAATGATCTTGACTACGAGGATCTTTTGCCAACGGAAGATGGGCAAGGACATGCCCATCGACGATGTGCTGATTTCATTGAAGAAACTAGCATCCTCCGTGACGATTCGGGTAATGAGGTGGTTTCTGACATTGACAAGATTCCCAAGGCTCGTCTTGGTCTAAAGTGTCTTTTCTGTCGTGAGGTTCATGGTGCCTGCTTTCAGTGCAACTCTGGGAAGTGCACTCGAGCCTACCATGCTACTTGTGCCCTTCTGGCTGGAGTTCAAGTTGAACATGGCTCCATAGCCGTCATTGCCGACGATGGACAACAGTACGCACTATCCAGCATAGACTTGAAGTGCAAGTTCCACCGTCAAAAACGACCATTCGGCTCGCTCGGAGAATCATCTGATCTGGAACGTCGTGTGATAGCGGCAGCTCATCGGCAAGTACAAGGTGACTTGATTCAATTCCAGGCTGATAAGGAGATCAATGGTGCCATTATTCTGGAGAATCGACCCGCAGAACGGACATTGTTAGTCAAAGTTCTACCGAGAGGGTAAGTCTTTTCCTTTTCCTCATGTTTATGTTTATTTTTATTCCTTGTTTTTTGGTTGTTTTTTTTCCCCTTTTACCCCTCAACCCCATTCATACTGCACTGCCGAAACGTTCCCACCGGAGCTTCCTTCTCCCGATCATCTCCCCGATCCCCCCCGATTTCGGGACCCGGATAAAAACAAAATATGGTTATGGCTTTATTTTTTTTGGACCTGTCCCAATACTGATAATTGTCAACAGAGATGTGATTGAGATACCATATTGTTGGATGTTGGTAGTCCGCAAGAGCAATTTTGTACCTCTTGCAGTGGGAATTCAACCCCTGCCGGCCCACTTGGCGCGAAAGCCGGAACAACGAAAGGACTTAGAAGCAGCGGTGCCGGTAGCAGGAACTGCCTTTGGTGACGGCCGGTCCCCTTACCAGTGGGCCGAATTTGAGACGGTGGATGCAACTAGAAACCAATTTGCCCCACCGGTGAAGGTTCACCTGAACGAAGCTGAACAGGTGTGGCATTATCTGGGAGCGCAGTCCACCGAGAGTAGGGCACAGTATACGCACAACCCTACTGTCTCCGTCCACAACCCGCGGGCCAATTTCCTGGACAGCGTCAAGTCGCTTGGCGTGGCTGGTGTCAGTGCTCGTGCATCGAAGATCTCCCCCCACCATTCTATTACCCATGCTGTTACCGCCCCTGCCCCTCCTTACCAGCAAAATCTTTACGCCCAACACCGACCGCAACCACAACAAAAACACGAACATATCTCAACCGCCAACCATACCCCTCGCCTACAATCCCGACCGCCCTCCTCTGCCGCACCCCTGCAGCACCTTGCCCCTCCCCCTCGCTCTGCCCCTCCCACCGGTGCTGCTGCTGCTGGTCCTGCGATGCCGTCGGCCGCTTTTCGAACTTTACCGAACCAATCTGCCCGTCATGCCCCTTATCCATCGGTCACCAAGTCGCACGTTCAGCAGCAGCACCACCTCCCCGCCACTAATACCTTTGCCAATGTCCGGGAACTTATTGCCCGTCGACGCCTCGCTCAGATCACCGATCATGCCAATGTCTTCGCTGGCTATACCATCGTCAGCCCTGAATTGGTAGTCGAGACATTACTGGGTCCTATGGGCTCTATTCCTCCAGCCAATGGATTGGAGAAACTTGAGTTAGCTATGGCTCAGCAGCGGGTACAGCCCCGGGCGGCGGATGGCACTCTTCTTCCGCCTCAGACCCTGAACATGCGGTCTGAGGAGGTGACGCGACTGCTCAACATGCTTCGGTTTTCTCTTGTCAGCCACCGTGAGCGCTTGGATGTTATCCAGAAGAAGGAGTCCGAGGGTGTCAAGTTGGAGACCATCGATCGGGGCAGTGTGGCCGCCGCCAAGATGCCTGGGAAATACGCCTTCCTCGATCAACAACGTGCGTTGGCCCCCAATGTTTACCAATCTCCGTACAACATGCCGTCGGGTCTGTCGGAGTATGCCAAGACTACATATGGGCTCATCCCATCACCGGAAGAGCCACCTAAACCGTCACTGGCCAACGATTTCTTCGCCAGTCTCTCACCAGAAAATCAGGAGAAAATTATGAGGACCTGTGGTAGCTTTGTTCAGCGAGCCATCGAACGTTCTGCAAGTCATAGTCGACATAGCTCAGCATCAAATCTTCGGCTATCGTCCGTGCTCGCCCAGCAGACGCAAAACCCCACGATCGACATCACAACGGTTGACGATCCTCCACTCTCAGGGCTCGATCTACCTTTGCATGCTGATTCGCCGTGCTCAAGTTTTGGCCGGTCGCATCTGCGCCTTCAATCACCGAATGACTTCCCTATCCATGGACCTGATCCTCATCCAGATCACCACGATCTATTTGGCGATCAACAAGCCAACACCCGTTTCTGGCAAAATGGACCCTGGATCGCTGGTGATGGCAATACCCCCAACGAGGAGCACCGACCATTTTTTGGCCCCCATGAACGTTTGAAGCATGACTATGCCTCTTCAGATATCTCCTTGGGCAAAGGACCTGGCTCTTTGCATTCTGTTGACATGGCTGGCTTCGGCTTTGACGGTCCGGATGATCTTATTGGTGGACTCAGCCCATAATGGTCCATCTCTACCTTCCCCCTTTCTGTATCTCGATGCTTTTTTGCCTTCTCTTGCGACTACAACTGCATCTGTAACGACTTCACTGGACTGACGACTGCATGATTGGGCGTTTTCGTTCCCTCCACCAACTTTGATTTTACGATCTTCAAATTTTTCACGATCGTTCCGTGTGACGGGGCCATGTTTCATTGTGTTTTTCTATTTTATTTTTTCCCCCATTATCCCATGATTTTTCCCCGGAGTTGACACTAGCTGGCTGGTTCACGACTCAGCGTTTTCATATTATTTTTCCCCTTCCCTATCATCCTCATCCCCCTTTACACCACCATCATTCTCACCATTATCTTCCCCTCTCTCACCTTCTCGGTGGCCGAATAGACTGGAGTTTGGATATTTTCTGCTTCTTATGTCTTGTTCCCCTCTCAAAAAAAAGTCCACCTCCTTCATCCGCTCTTCCCCTGATCCGCAATTAACCCACCCCATCCCCAACCCCCGGTTCTCCCGTTCTTCCCACAAATTCACCACACTTAGGGCCTACTTCCGCCCGCCGATCTCTTCGCTCCATGTTCGACTAGATACTCCAAACAAGAAAAAAAATTTACTTCCAAGAGACCAGCGAGACTATCTGGATCTTTGTGCCCCCTGTTTGATACCCCCCTCTCGCAGTTCGCAGTCCTCGGGGCGCTGCCGTGAAAGAACCTTGGCATGGTCCAAGCTCTCCAAAATCGGCTTCATTTTTCCCCTTTTTTTCACTATGTTCCAGTTTCTCTTTTATCCTGGCGCTCATCTTCCTCGGGCAAGATCCGAAAGGATTAAGATGTGGCAGCCGTCACCTTTAGGTGACTTTTGATGTATCTACCACCAAATGATAAGGGAAATCTCCTCACTTCCATGTCCAGTCTACTGTATCTCTAAAGTTTAGAATCTTAATACTCTATGTTATAAGTTGTAGAATAAAGTCAGAACCCTGGAGGTACATGGTGAATCCTGGTGGCTGATATCCAATGAATCGATTGGACTGAATACCACGGAAACGATAACCGACGAATGAAACTCAATCCCAAATCGAACACCAATACTTGAGGCTTCTATGAAGTCATTAACTAGTAGTACTTTAATCTTTAAGATATCTAAGTTATCTTTACTTTATAACTTAATATGTCATGAGTTTTCATAATTCGAGAATGGCTCCACTGCACACGACTTAACGATAATCAGGGCTCTTATCAACTAGTGACTAAGAAAGTGGATTGAACCCTCTAGGCTGATAAGCTATGTCTCAGAGGGTTGTATCTCTGATTCCACGGTTTTAATTTGCTCTCTGACTTCCTTTAATGGTTATTACTCTAAACCTTCACCCGCGGTACCGGACCGCGCGATGTATCTTTATCACCTCCAGGCCTGGGCATTCATGCGGGGTTCAACTTACTTGAGTCTATTCAGAGTTAAATAACTCAAGCTTCTGCCCCATCTTTTCATGCTTCATTCTCCATTACGCTAAATCTCCACCCACAATGCGCTCCTCCGTCGACACCGCCGACGAGGCGTTGGCGCGCATGGGCTACCAGAGCGAGTTACCTCGAAATCTGAGTATGCTCAGTATCCTCGGTTTATCCTTTGCTATCATGGCAGCACCATATGGTCTCAGCACTACCTTATACATCACACTTGACGACGGTCTATCAGTGACCATCATCTGGGGTTGGGTTTTCGTTACTCTAATCTCATTGGCAATTGCTGCCTCTCTCGCTGAAATTTGCGCCGTATATCCCACCGCTGGCGGTGTTTATTATTGGAGTGCAATGCTTTCTACTCGACGCTGGGCCCCGTTAATGTCCTTCATTGATGGCTGGCTTACCTTAGTCGGGAATTGGACCGTCACGCTTAGTATTATCTTCGGTGGTGGTCAATTGATCCTCAGTGCGATCTCTCTGTGGAACGAAGACTTCGTCGCGAATGCTTGGCAGACTGTGCTCATGTTCTGGGCTGTGCTACTGGTCTGCATCCTCGTTAATATCTTCTGCTCTCGCTACCTCGACCTTATTAATAAGGTTTGCATCTTCTGGACCGCGGCGAGTGTCATTATCATTCTCGTCACTTTGCTCACTATGGCGGAGGGCGGTCGCAACTCAGGCGAATTCGTCTTTGCGACATATGATTCCTCGCAGAGTGGTTGGCCTGCTGGCTGGGCTTTCTTTGTGGGCTTGCTGCAGGCAGCATATACGTTGACGGGGTACGGTATGGTTGCCGCTATGTGTGAGGAGGTCCAGAACCCAGAACGTGAGGTACCCAAGGCTATTGTGTTGTCTGTGGCTGCAGCAGGTGTCACTGGTCTACTGTACCTGATTCCAGTACTTTTTGTCATGCCTCGTGATGCTGCGGGCTTACAAGCGCTGCGAAGTATCGCTAGTGGACAACCTATTGGATCTATCTTCAAGATAGCCACCGGATCTGCTGGAGGAGGATTCGCACTGCTCTTCCTGATTCTGGGAATTATGCTCTTTGCAGGAATTGGCTCTCTCACGGCAGCGAGTCGATGCACCTATGCTTTTGCTCGTGATGGGGCTATCCCCGGGTTTCGACTCTGGCGTCGTGTGAACAAGAAGCTTGATGTCCCTGTCTGGGCTATCATTCTGTCTGCCATTGTGATCGCTCTTCTGGGATTGATCTATTTTGGATCCACGGCGGCGTTTAACTCATTTACGGGTGTGGCTACGATTTGTCTGTCAACATCGTACGGTCTGCCCATTTTGATTTCTATGATCCGCGGCCGTCAAGATGTACAACGTTCCATTTTCCCTCTTGGAAGATTTGGGTACGTTATCAATGCGATCACAATCGTTTGGATTGTCCTGGCTGTTGTTCTGTTCTGCATGCCCTATACCCTTCCCACTACTGCCTCGTCTATGAACTATGCGAGCGTAGTATTTGCTGGATTTGCCACAATTAGTATTGTGTGGTACTTCGCATATGCTCGCAAGCATTTCACTGGGCCCCCAGTTTTTGATGGAGATGCTCAAGATGCGAGTATTATTGCGGGTACTATGGTGGATACGGAACATGCGATGGATGTATCAGAGGTGAAGAAGTTTCCGAGCAGCGATTAAATACAAAATATAGCTTCCAATATTGTAACCATTAACAAAAATTATTCAAATTTACAAAGTCACTCATGTGCATATTGTACATTTCCATTTTATCTACAAAACCCGTATAATTAGAATCACAAGTTGGCCCTGACGATCTCCGAGAGCCGCGGTTCAACTCATCAGTTCGGCCCTTCCCCAGAGAGGCACGAGACGTGATCCACTTGAACTTATCTTCATTTCCCTTCAATGGTAAATCTACTCACACTTACAACAATACCCTTAAACATCTGGGGAAATATAAATCTACGAACTCCGATTCCTATATAACTTTCCCGTCGGCTATCAAGACAAATTGCAAGTCCTCGGAACGAATCGAACGCTAAAAGCGCAATCCGACCCCAATAACCCCTCGGCCCCCCCTACATCATTCCATCGCGCACAAGAATTCAACTTTCCTCCCTGGACCAAGTCTGTCGAGTACCGCGCTCTCCATGAGGCTCGTCCGTGACTGCCGATGCCCGACCCCGCTTCCATGAAGGCAGGGCCCATTACCGGACTGCTTCTTTTCGCGTCAGAATGTCGGATTCTGTAGGTACGTGATAAGAGATTCAGTCATATTATGAAATGCGATGGAGCCCGGATATTGATCTTTGCTTTTATTTATCGCTAGACCGCGTCTTCGTCCATGCCCTGAATACTGTTAAGAGGATTCCCCGGACGGGAACCGCCCGCCCTCCGGCGGCGGAACGATTGAAGCTATATGGATTATACAAGCAGAGCATGGGTGAGTGACACTTTCGACACAGTGGGAATGATGGTTCAAGGTGACTGATGATCTTTGATTCCGTACAGAGGGAGATGTGGAGGGAGTTATGGATCGACCGATTGGGAATACACCGGAGGTACATGCGGAGTGCGAGAAATGGTATGTCCTTGCAGCAAAGCAAGACACAATATATCATACCATTTGATCAAACATTCCGGTCAGAGCTGACTCGACATGATAGGGATGCATGGTACGCTCAACGCGGCAATACGCGCACGGAAGCAAAGCGCCGCTATATCTCAACCTTAATCAATACCATGCATAATTACGCATCACAGACCCCCGAGGCACGTGAACTTGTCGCTGAACTCGAGTTTGTCTGGGACCAGATTAAATATAATGCCTCTTCATCTGCCTCTTCAGGTCCATTGAATGCCGTTGGCGTTCCACCTTTATCCCAGCATCGGGGCAGCTCATACGGGAGTATAGGAGGGAGACTAGCGGGTTCGATGGAGGACTACGAGCGCCGGGATATACGTGCTGATGAGCATAATTCCCGACTCCGAGTTCTTAGTCCCGTTAGTCAACCTGAAGAAGACGAATACTATCACCGACATAGACGACGAACAACGGACGATACCGTCGAACAAGAAGATGTAGATGAGGACGACGAGGATGAAGAATACGAGGAAGCGCGTGATAGTCTATACGAAGACCAGGAACCCGATCCTGATCCTGAACACGCAAGTACAGTACCAGATACAGGGACAGAACCCACTACCTCACACGGCGAGGACCGATCCTCTCGAAATCACAACTACAAGCCCAGTTCCGGAGCAAGTAGTCACCTCTCTCGCTCTCGTTCCCGAGATCCACATAACCTACAAAATAGCCCCTGGCGCCGCAGAGTCGAGCAGGCCTTGACCAAAATGACCGCCGAGATCGCCGCCCTGCGTGAACAAATGGAGACGCGCAAGCTAGCGAGCCGCCGTCGCAATGGCGTCTTAGCGTGGTTAAAGTGGATTCTCTGGACGGCTTTCCGTCAGGTTCTTTGGGATCTGACGTTACTAGGTGCTTTGTTGATTTTTATGCGGTTGCGCGGCGATCGCCGTGTTGAGGATCGGTTGCGTTCGGGTTGGTCCGATGTTAAGAAGAGGTTGGGGAGGTTTAAATTATTACGACGGGCTGGTGATATGCCTGTCTTGCCTTGAGGTACGGGGTACCTTATTCTAATTCTTTTTCTTGGGACTTTGTGATACACTTTACTTTGCATACTTGCATTTTTCTTGTCTATATTGATGTGGTGTTTTGTTTTATTTGGGTTTTGGGTTTCTTTTGTCAAGTATATATGGGTTCTCAATTCAGGTTGGAGTCTTTCCTTTTTATTTCTTTTCTTTTTCCTCTGTTTCTGTGTCTGTGGTTTCAATTGGATAGAGTCGAGAGGTTTCAACAAGTATCATCAGGTCTAGATCTAGAAATCCGGAGGTTGAATCCCTGATGCCATTAATATCAGGTATTTGGGGCATAGAGCACTCATTAGATGAGATAGAAGACGGGACTCATGAATACAGATAATTCTGAACCAGGTGGACAACTTGAGATCAATCCCTGATATCATACTAGTACCGAGAGAACATTTCCCATTCTAATTGTATATCCAATACAAAAGTAATATTAAAGAAACCAAGCAGAAATCATATAACCATTCCTGATGCCAATAGATATTTACACAAAATACACCAGACTAGAAACTGAAATAGACGAGACACAAGGGCCACTTGCGCATCCGCATTAAACAAACGGAGGAAAAAAATGCCGGGACCCTGACGGCAATGGAAAGCGGGGGGGGTTGTAATGAGAGAGAATCAAGAATCAAGGGAAGCAACGGGATCAAGGACATAAGGTCCCGCGTTCTAAAACTTCTTTGAAATCAAGTTCGTTTAGAACTGTCGGCCGGGGTACTGGGCGTACTTCTGTTTCGGGCGCAGGTGCACGGGCACCTCGTTTTCCGGGGCACCGGGGATGGTCTTCTTCAGGCCCTGTTTGATATGGTTAGCTTGAGCAATTGAGATTGAGCAGAAAGCGCGATTATGGTTCGATTGTATCCGGTGTAGATAAACCGAGGTGATTCCGCATTTCCGCAGGTGAATATGAATGTTTCTGGGTTAGGTTGATCGTACCAATTTCTCAAAGACACAGCTGTTAAGAGACTGCTCGGGCTTGCGGCACTCGAAAAGGTAGTGGTTGTTGTTCTCAAGGCACTCCCAGTGAGCCTTGAACTCCTGCATGCAGTGGGTGTTGATATCCTTGATACTATGAACGGGTTAGCATGGGTGCTTCAATTCGGCCATTGATCGTGTAATCCTTCGAGTCAGATCAGATCAGAGTTGAGGTAAGGTCCACATACACGCTAGCAGCACAGCGGGTAACCTTGCGCCCCTCCTTCATACAATCGAACTCGCCGCGACCGTTCGCTTCATCCTTGCACTTCATGTAGTCATCGTTAAAGGCCTTGCACCGGTCGCCAATGAAGTAGGCCGCGCTGAAAAGAGGGGCAGAGGTAGCACCAATTTCTTCCACCTTAGGGATGTGGTCTGGCATGGGCGTGGTGTCCACCAGGACCTGTTGGTTGAAGCTAGAGGGATGAGAGGTTAGCTTGGGGTATAGTGAGGCGGGAGGGTTGGGACAGGCTGGGCTTTGGGGGATTTGTGAGTGGAATTGTCATACCGGGCATCTCTCTGGGCCATGATGACGGTAGCTGTGGTATTGAGGGGTTGGGGGAGGTGCAATTGACGGGGTCGAGTTGATCAGAGCTGCGGGCTGCGGTGGAATGAAAGGTCGGTTTCTTTGACTTGATGCTGATTGGTTAATGGATATATGGATTATCTCAGCATTTAACTGCTGGGCGGTGAGCTTCAATCTTGATTGTGTTAGGATTATGTAGTCAAAAGTTGGAGTTGCTTACATCAACTAGCATCATTGGTCTAGTGGTAGAATTCGTCGTTGCCATCGACGAGGCCCGTGTTCGATTCACGGATGATGCACACTTCTTTTTGGACTTTTTTTTTTAGATGTTTTTCAAGTTTTTTGTACGTGAAGGCTTTATTTTGCAATAGTAACCTAATAATGTAAGGCCCGCTATGTAAGTTAAAAGGGTTGTTCAAGTCAAATGTTATATACCAGTGCCCAGGTGCAGGTGTGAATATCTATTGAATATATCTAAGGTTGAGTTACACATATATTGCACTATATATACATAGTACGTACTTGGGATTAAATCCACCTACCAGTGAACATTGCTTTTCGAATTTGTTCTGGTGGTCACATCCATACTCAATATATGACGCGCTTATTGAGATTGGAACAATGGTAATCTGAAATGTATAATTAGTATCCAAGTTCCAACTTTGATACTTGTGTTAAGTCCGAACTTGAGCTCTCATCTGAACTATAAAATGGGCACGTTCCGGATATACAATGACTAATCATTCGTAGGAAACACAATGCTTTCAGATGCGCCAACCACCTCAAGGGCTATATTCCTCAAATAATCCATTTTATAAGAAAGTAAGACATAAAAATATTATATGACCGAGCTGAAGTTTATGTAGGTCATAATGCACATTCAATGTCTAATCAACCTCGATCTCGGACCCTCATTGAATTACTCACGTGATTCTAAACAACCCAGCTCCGATAACTTCTTTCTTCTGAGCTCCAGCACCCCCTCAGATCGTCAATCATCAACCACCATCACTCCCCCGGGAAGTGCCATTGATTTCTCCCATATTGCTGTGGGGCTTTCTGGGAATATCACGTGTCTCAATTCCGTTTTCACTCTGACCGATCCCTCACCGACCGCGCCTTGTTTCCTGCGATACCCTTCTGCGGTTTTTTTTTGTGACACCCATCATGTCTCTTTTCGGCGCGCCTGCGACTCAGACCCAGCCTGCTGGGGGGAGTATGTTTGGAAACACAGCGAATAAGCCTGCAGCATTTGGAGGATTCGGTGCTAGCACAAACACCGCTACCCCGGCTAGCGGTGGAGCAATGTTCGGCGCTCAGCCGGCACAAAATCAACAGCAGACCTCAACTGGCTCACTTTTTGGATCCACACCGGCGGCTCAGCCGCAGCAGGCGACGAGTGCTTTTGGTTCGACTACGGCTCAAAAGCCCGCAGGCAGTTTGTTTGGTGGTGGTCTCAGGGCAGACGCAACAGCCCCAGCAATCTGGCAGCCTGTTTAATACCGCGCCAAAACCCGCTGGTAGTATGTTTGGTGGTTTCGCCCAGCAACCTGTGACTGGTACCGGTGGAACATTATTCGGGGGAGGTCTTGGTGCTAGCACACAACCACAGCAGCAGCAACAACCTCAACAACAAGGCAGCCTCTTCGCAGGATCACTGCTGGGTGGTCAACAGCAACAACAACAGGGCCAACAGCCGCAACAATCGCAATTTGGTCAGACTACTATGGCTCAGCCTCAGGGTCAGCAGCAAGAGCCATCGCTCTCATCGAGTCTGTGGTCTCCAGGTCGTGCTATTACTGGAGGTAGGCTTTCATCTCAGGTGACCTTAGATATCAAACCAGAATGCTAACCCAGATAATCTTTAATTAGTCCACCGCACAGTCCCAATGCAGATCGCCATTGTTAAAGACAAATGGGATGCCCCCAACCGCGCATCTCCATTCCGAGCCTATCTCTACAACAATGTCGGAGAAGAAGCTGCGCCATTTTACCAGCCAGGCCCCGAGGACGATGAGACTAAATGGGAAGCAGCTTTGCGCAAACGCCCAGAACCTGGCTACGTCCCCGTTCTTGTCAAGGGATTCTGGGAGCTTGGCAAACGTGCACAGAGACAAAAGGACTTCCTCAGCATGATGCAAGCTCGTCTTCACGAAATCAACAACTGCTTGACCGACTTGCTCTCACGCCATGACCTAAAGATATCTCTCAAGATTGCCGACTGCCGAAGAAAGCACCTTGTTCTCAGCAAGCGCTGCCTGGCCCTTGCAGCTAAGACCCAAGTACTGCGCAACAGAGGCTATGCGATGGACGATGCCGAGGAAGAGCTCAAGAAGAAGCTTGCCCAGCTCGAGCGCTCTGTCTTCGATCCCTCCCTCAATGGTCGTGGTGAGGAGATTTGGGCCCGCATGCTAGCTATCCACGAACAGAGCAAGCGTTTACAGGCAGAGATGGAACGTGCTGGGGGAAATGTGGCCTCCAATGCTGAAGATGAGATTGATGAGCAGACAATGAAGACGGCAAAGAAGGTTAGCACCACTACCCCCCCTATATTCGGAGTTATCCAAGTACCCTTGTTTACTAACTAAATATAGATTCTCGATGACTACCACGCACAGATCCAGCACTTGCAAAAAGAATTGGCATCGGTCAAGAAGGAATTCGACGAGGCGCAGAAACTCAACGGAAACTAGATGGAATATCTATGGAATTTCTGCAATGTGAACCTTCAAATGTTATAGTTATCGTCATGATGTTCGTGGGCATGGGAGCACCGGCGTTATTTTGTGTGGACCAAAGTACTGTAATGCATAGTTCAAAAGATTTTATTTTCCCCCGCAGTCCATGTGTTTCATCCTAAATCTTTTATATTAATCCCCGGGGCCGTGTTGCTTATGCTTACGTTGAACTGTGTGCCATATGTAGATTTTTAAGTGGCATATCGCCATGATTTCCTCTTTTCCATTATCTATGTCCCTGGAACCTCATAATAAAAGAAAAGCAGACATGTAAAAATAATAATACATCAACGAAAGTTCCTCCGACATCAACAGATGATCCTAAATGGCAACTGAATCATGCGCTCATGACATCGAGGAGGAATGTGGGTAAAACGGTGATTCCTTAAAGGAACTTCTTGGCGAAGTCAACGGCGAAGGGAGCTATTGCAAATGAAAGATGTCAGGCACAGAGCAAAGAATGGCAGAATGGCTTGTAGCAAAAGTGAAGCGGAAGTGCAACGTCACTGAGGATTCAACTTACACAGGTAGAGAAGGATACCACCGACAACGGCCATGCGGACGGTCTGGCAAGCCTCAATCTCACCAGCCTGGAGTGAGAGTTAGTAAATAATCAATAATAACCAAAGAGCATAGTGATATAATTACCTTGAGGTCCTCCTTGGAGAGCTGTTCCTGGCCTGCCGAGGAAGAAGATCGTGTTAGTCCGGAAAAGGGAAATGCGCGTGATAGTTTCATTTTGAAGATGGCAAGGTGGTTGTAAGATGGAAGTTGACATACCCGGGGCAAACATTGTGATATATATTGAATAAAAATGGGATATAAATGGGTTGAGATGGAGAGTTGAAGTGAATGAACGATTGTCGGCGAACGAACTTCGGCGAGGAAAGAAATCACGGGAGCACAGACCACCTTCTCCTTCTCTGTTCCACTTCAACCTTTCGCCTCTCTCATCCTCTATTCTTTATTACTGACCGATCTTCTTTTCCTTAATTCCATTGAATCCTATCCATTTGATATTACAGAGTCATATCCCTCGACTGACCTGCGGATTGTCCCATACATCTCGAGGAGAGGCGCCCGGTCCGCTGAACAGATAACATACCGCGCCTTTTCACCGTGCTTGACGTACCGACCCAATACGATTCTTCACCTTAGCCACTCAATCCGGTAAAGCTCAACATTCAAGATCTCTACCATGTCTGCATCTCCAGAGCACCAGGCTGGTTCGCGCGCCGCGTCCGCCGACCACGAAGAGCCTGAAAAGGCCGCGGCACCGATTACCGCGGGTGATGACGAAGGCGACCAGGAGAATCAACCTGAAGCAAACGACGAAGATAATGATATCGATCAATCGGATGATGAGTCCCTACTCTCTGAGGTCGACGAGGCAGAGTTCGAGAACTTCGACCCCGAAAACGTTGACGTCGAGGACCGTCCACAGCTGGCGATTGATGAAGACAACCTGAAGCTCATTGGCCGACACAAGCGCAAGCGCACAGATGGAGAAGAAGGTCGCCCGCGCCGTAGGGAAGGCCGTCGCGAGAAGAAGAGCCGTCATGCGCGTGACGACGACGAGGAGGAAGGAGGCGAAGCAGGACCGGCTCGTCGCCAGAAGAAAAAGAAGGAGGCCGAGCCTGATACAGATGAGGAGACTCTGGATCCCGAGACCCGTCGTCGTCGCGCTCTGGATCGTGCGATGGATGAAGCTTTGAAGAAGCCCACTAAGAGGCGATCCCGCAAGCAGGATGGCATTGTATGTTATTCTGGTGCTACCTTTGTCGCATGTTTAACCATACTGACTATATTGACAGGATCTTGAAGCTATGGCTGATGCTGAAATTGAAGATATGCGCAAGCGCATGACCCATGCAGCTCAGATGGATGCTATTAATCGCCAGGAGGGCAAGCCAGCCATGCACAAGCTGAAGATCCTCCCGGAGGTCCTTATGCTCCTCAACCGCAATCAATACACTAACAGCTTGGTCGACCCTGAAATCAACCTTCTTGAGGCCATTCGATTCTTCCTTGAGCCTCTGGACGACGGCTCGATGCCCGCATACAATATCCAGCGTGACCTTCTCACTGCGTTGACCAGACTTCCTATCCAAAAGGATGCACTTATTGCCAGTGGAATTGGCAAGGTTGTCGTGTTTTACACCAAGAGCAAGCGAACTGAAAACGCTATCAAAATGATGGCCGAGAAGTTATTGGCTGAGTGGACCCGTCCCATTCTCCAGCGAAGTGATGATTACTCGAAGCGTGTGTTCCAGCAGGCTGATTATGATCCCACGTATGTATGCCCTTGTACTCAATAATTTGCATTTTATACTAATGACTCCGTAGTAAAATGGCCAAGCGCACCACTACTGCTGAGATTGTTGCTGCGGAAGCTCGCAATCGTGACAAGCTTCCTCCTCGTCTTGCCAACCGTGCCCGTGTTGACCGTACCCAAGTCAGCTACAGTGTTGTTCCTCGCCAAACTGCTATATCGGAAAGTCGGTTTGCTCGACCTCTTGGTGCTGATGGCGAGGAACGATTCCGCAGGATGCAGGCGCGACAGAGTGCGGCAGCCAAGGCGTCTCGCCGATAGATTACCATTAAAATATTTTTTTCTTCCTCTTCATCTCCGAGTTTTTTCCATGGAGGTAGCCACATTCATCATTTCCTCTGTTCGCTCTGATATTTTTTATGTTATTTTGCTTCACGGTGTTTGGTGTTCGGGAATGATCGGAACCTTTGATATCTGGAAATGGCATGTAACAAGATCGCATCAGGTACTACTTTGTTAGTCCTACAGAAACACAAATAAGCATCGTATGAAATGAAAATTTGAATTTTTAGGCCAATTAAAAGTATTGAATAAGCCGTGTTATCCGTTTAATCGCACTCGCCGCATTCGCCGAGTTTTCTACATATAAAAAGTACCATAAGAATGAGGACCTAAGTAGTCACCGAGCCGAGACCGAGTAAACGCCGTACGATTATGCCCGAAAGTGAGAGAGAAAAAGCAGATCCCGTTAGAGTCACGTCATGATAACCGGGCTCTCGGTCTTTGGTCTCCAACTTTTTATATAGCCCTTCATCTTCCACTCCTCATTCCCCTCACACATCTACACATCACACATACCTCTCATACATACAACATGAAGCTCCTCACTAAGGAAGAAGAAGCTGCCCACTACAGGTACGAATTGAAGCTTTCTAAGCTGGTCTTACTTCCCGCGCGCATCATGCCATACTGACAGATAATAACAGCTCTGTCGTTAAGGGTGGCTCCCTGGGCGGCGTTGTCGGTCTTGTTGCTGGTACAGCAGGTGTACTCCTCGCCTCAAGACGATTCCACACCATCCGAAACCTCACAACTCCCATGAAGGCCTTCCTCGTCACCTCATCTGGAACCTTCGTCGGAATTATCGCCGCCGACCATGCTTCCCGCACCTTTGAAACCCAGCACAACGCCGAGAAGCTCTGGTACGAGAACCGCGAAGAGCGTCTGCGCGCCGAGGAATCTCGCGGTCTCAGCATCTCTGATCGCGTTGTCGCATTCGCACGTCGCGAGAAATACAAGATTGTTGGCGCTACTTGGGTCGCCTCTATGCTTGGATCCTTCGTCCTTGTTAGCCGTAACCCTTACCTCTCTGGTCAACAGAAGCTCGTCCAGGCTCGTGTCTACGCTCAGGGATTGACATTGGGTGTTCTGTGCGCGTCTGCTGCATTTGAGATCTCGGATCAGCGTCGCGGTCGCGGACTTATGGAGGCGGCTAAGAAGGGCAAGGCTGCGCAGAAGGAAGTGGCGGAAGCTCCCCCTGTTCACCATACCCCCAATGATGAGAGTGATCTATGGAAGGAAATGGTTGCTGCTGAAGAGCAGCGGTTGAAGTCTAAGCACCAGACTCTGAGCTTGAAGTCTGAGCACGACGCTGTGGAGAAGAAGAAGCATGCTCCTGACTCCAAGTTTGAGGAGAAGAGTGAGGGTGCTGAGAAGACTAAGCAGGAGGATGAGGCTGAGAAGCCCAAGGAGGAGTCTGAAGCTGAACAGTCTCAGACTGAAACCGAGGAGAAGAAGGCTTAAGTCTTTTGATTTTCATACTGCCTCACGCTTTACACTCTTGCTACCTCTTTTGGTGGCTGATTCGAATTAAAACGATAGAATGGCGGGAAGACCAGTGGTCCCCAGCGGTTCCGTTTCCAAATGGCTGGACCGTTGGATTATTATATTGAGACCGTCAGGAGTACATATTTGCATTTGATTCCAGCGGCGTTTTATTTCTTTGTTTGTCCCTCCGGGGTTCATGCTTGAAAAGTCTACTTAATGTGGTCGTGTATGATACTTCGGCTTGTCCGTCTCTCTCTTCTCTAATGAATGACTCTTATTTATGATCTGATCATCGTATCTTTCAGCCTGGTTCCCAAGGACTCCGACTGCTAGCATAGATTAACCGACAGCACTTGAGGGATCTTTGATATACAATGTACTGCCAATTAGTAATGACTACGGTCAACCAGTTGACTGGTCTGTATATGTCTTCCATATGTAGAGTATGGAGACTCAGCTCCAGTTGATATCGCTTAAATCTGATTAATGTTGGATCATCGTTTCGAACATTGAAATTATACCCCTTAAAATCCCACTGGTAGGATTCTATTATAAGCATCATGATGAACCTATATCCTCGAGGATTTAATAGTAGTAGACATGCATGATATGATTTCAAATTTTATCAAGACACATTCAATGTTCAAGTGAACAACTTGAAGGAATTAAGCTAGGCAGTTGTCTATACTTCTACGTTCATACTTAAATGCTGGGCATCCGGCGCTGAAAGAGGGTCTTAACAATCCTGTTGTCATGAAATTCATACTTTAATAGGAAAGAAAAAATTGGATCTTCTGGAACTCGAAAACATTTTACACCAATCAAGTCGAATTAATTGATTCTGGTGGATCTTAGCCGATGGGGGCGAGAATTAGGCACTCGGGACCCAAAATAGGAGAACCTTTCTGATATTCATCTTACATGGAAGAATTGGGGAAAATAAAACATGATATTGAAGAATAAGAATTATTTTCAAGTTCAATCAGAAATTCTATTTAGATAATAAAAGGTTGAACCGTGTGTGGCGTAGAGATGTACGTATCAACTCAGACAACTCTATGACGCTAACTCACCCACTAAACCGCTAGCCTTTCCCCCTGTTCATCCGTGGCGGATCAAGGCTGAAAACTGCGTCCTGTGGAGACCATGCTTGAAAACGCACAGGCCAGTCACATAGTGGAGGCAATGCCTAGACTTGGTCTCTAGTGGCTCAGATTTGGTTCTTAAAAGCCCATGCATGACGCGTTCAACACCCTGGACTTTCTTTTCTGTCCTCCGTCCAAATTATACAAAGCCCATACCGGCTTGGAATCATGATCCCAAGTCTTTCTTTCGCTCTCATATGCGGGCTTTCCACAATTGCTAGTGGATCTCCCTCCTTATATTCCGCGACATGGTCACCTACGGCATATGGACCCGATGGTCCTTGGCAGGCTATCGAAGCCGAACTGGGCAGTAATAGTCAATCCGTCGCTCTGTATCCTGGTGATAAATGGGCCAGTCTCATTATACTCGACTCCGTCTGCTCAACACCAAATGTCACCGGTGACTGCCTCGCCAATAACGCTGGAACGTTCAACCTCGGCACATCGGATACCTCATACATTCCCTCTGTGAACTCGAATGATACAAGTAACATGACATGGGTGGAGGGGTCAAGCGATGCATACTTGAATAAATTCGGTGGCAATTCATATGCTCTCGCTGCGCAGGTCGGAGACTCGATCAAGGTTGCTGGGTTGACTGTCCCGAATATTAGCATGACCGCGGTCTATGAGGCATACCAGACATATTCCAATGGGATCCGATACCCAATCGAGGTGGGGACGTTATCTCTAGGTGGCACGAAGCTGGACCATGTCGTCGATGGGGTCGACTATAATTTGTTCGAGGCCTATAACTGGGAGCAAGGATTTATTCCTTCGTATTCATGGGGAATGCACATTGGTTCAGTGACGCCACCTATCGCCGGCTCCCTCGTGTTCGGCGGATATGATGCGGATCGAATTATTGGAAATGTGAGTAGCCAAGCTGTTGATCCTACAGACAGCCTCGGTATCATGGAAACTACTCTGTATGACATTGGGCTCGGAGTCGCGGAGGGAGCGTCTCCATGGTCCACCTTCCAGAGCATGGACGGTCTATTCAGACAGGACGGCAGCTCAGGGAGTCGCCCAAGCACTGTCCAATTCGATCCGTTACGGCCCTACCTTTACCTTCCCGGGGATGCCTGCAGTGCTATCGCCGAGCAACTTCCAGTTTACTTCGACGAGGGGTTAAATCTTTACTTCTGGAATACCAGTAATTACCTATTCTCCAACATCACTGAATCCCCAACCTATCTCTCATTTACATTCGAGAACAACGGGGGTACTGACTCAGCGTCACCAAACATCACCATCAAGGTTCCCTTCAATCTCCTCAAACTCACCCTCGAACCCCCTCTCGTTGAACAAAACACAACATATTTCCCATGTTTCCCATCAGACGACTATTACCTCGGCAGAGCTTTTCTACAGGCCACATTCGTTGGCACAAACTGGCAAAATGGAACGGGCAGTGGATACTGGTTCTTCGCTCAAGCTCCAGGCCCTGTCATGAGTGGAAGTAGCTTGCAGGAAATCTACGTCAGTGACACTAATATCACGGGTAGCTCATCATCTGGATCCTGGGAAGAGACTTGGTCCGGCTGGTGGACCCCTCTCGACAAAACTTACGGCAACAATACTGGCGGTAACGGAGATGGTGGCAACGGAGGTAACCATGGCCATGGTGGTGGATTGTCAAACGGCGCAAAGATCGGGATTGGTATCGGCTGTGGTGCAGGAGGTGCTTTAACTGTCTGCATTGCCTGGCTCCTTGCTTCTTGGTACTTGAAAAACCGCAGGCAAGTCCCTACTGCTGAAGCTGGTGCTGGGGCTCCAGACCAGGATAGTGCACGGGAGCTGGCCTCTAACGATGCGACGGAATTGTCTGGACCACCTTTGTCAGAAGCAGCTGAGCCGCCTCTATACAGTTCATCGGAACAAGCCGGTGTCTCTAGTGTTTCGGAGCAGTATGCGGAGACAGGTGAGGTCCATGAGGTTGATGGAGATAAACCACCTCCTTGGTCTCCGCCTGCTGGTGAAATAACGATAATGAGAAATTTACACACGGAACTTCAGTCTGGTGAAGTGGCCGCGGAATTGCCATAGTGCGGTATCTGTCAATTTTTTTTTGTGTATCATAGCGTGGACACACTTTATTCTAATAGAGAAACAAAAATGGACGTCAAGTTATTCATTGAAGCTGGAACCAGAATATCTTACTTTAGTCTCCAGTATCTACATATGGATGCAGCAGTGAGTATGCCCTTGATCAGTGGCGTGCATGACAACGATATTTACATGTAATCTGAAGTTTTAGAAATTATCATATTCAAAATGTTGTACTTCAAAGGTTGGTATACTAATCTATCGCTCTAATTTCTCACTACCTAGTAGACTACCTAGAGAACAATACTCTCACATTCCTCGATAGATCTAAGACCAAAGCTCTTCATCCCTCCTTTCCAACTCATGTCAATTGCCTTCTTCGCAAACTCACGCAGATCCGTCTCATACTCTCCAATAACCTGACTATCCAACTTTTCAGCACCACCAGCTTTAACAATACGGCGGGCCAGGTCAGCAGCATCCCGCAGAGCAGTATTTGCTCCCATAGCCCCAGTCGGAGGCATCACATGGACTGCATCTCCAAGAAGTGTCACTCTGCCCGATGGCTCCCAAGCTGCGATATCCAATGGCGCAGACAAAAGTGAACGAACAGACGATTGACTCGCATCCTGGTGAACGATAATACATTGCAAAGCAGGTTTCCAAGACGCAGTCAGCTGGCGTGCAAGATTGGCTGCTTCTTCTGGTGTATAATGCCACGACTTCTCATCCGAGAAGGGAATGATCTCGCGATGAAAGACAAGTACCCAGTACATGTACGGATCAGGTAATTGTGGGTTTGACACTTCACCCGCATAGGGAAAATGAATCGACTCGAACATGAGAGTTGGCTGATCTTTGTCATCTGGATCTGTCACGAGACTCATCCCTGTTCGGTGGCTCTCAGGTGTTTCGGCGAGGTATTCCGGTGTAATCGGTGTTTTACCAAACACAATGCGCATGCCTGTATCAATAGCAGGAAAATTCGGAATAAGCTGTCTGCGAACTCGAGAGCGTACACCATCCGCACCAACAATTAGAATTCCATCTACACTAGTCCCATCTGCGAAATGGGCGATGATATTTTCAGGGAATTCTTCATAGCGTACGAAACTCTTTCCAAAGAAAACATGTTCCTCAAGACCTGTGAGCATAGCTTCACGGAAGGTACTGCGGCCCACTGTGTATGCCCTTTGGGATAAAGAGCTTGGAGGTGGTCCTGGAGGACCTCCTGAAGATGAAAAGGGCATCGATGTGCCATCTGGTTTAACTCTGATGCCGAACCCGGTGGTTGTAGCGCAGGTCTTCTCGAATAGAGCGAAGAGTTCAGGAGTGAGAGCTTGCTCTAGAGCACTGATACCATGCTCGGTAATTCTCAGACGATAGCCTTGAGATCGGAGATTGTGTCTTTCGTCTTGCTCGAATAGTTTGAATGGGATGTTGTTTTTGTGAAGTGCTTGGGCGAGACATACCCCGCCTAGACCGGCTCCGATGATTAAAACCGGATGAGACATTGAGGTAAAGGGAACTGAGACTGCCTTGTAGTCTGCGGGAAGGTTTATCGAGTTGGGAATGAAAATATGTGCATGTTAGATCGAGGTGATGCCACTGTTCTTATAGACAGTCAGTATCAAGTTCCAAGGTTCTCGGGACCGAAGCTATGTAAGCTCGGGACCGAGAGATGTGGCCCATACCTTAACCTTACTATCATCTTTTCCAAGGTTCCAAGGTTATCAGGGTCTCAGAACCTTTAATGTTAGAAATTATCATGTGAGTTTTAGACCTAGACCTCTTTTCCTACTTGGGTGGTAGTTGTTTTTTTAGGTTTCCTTACTGTCTGGTAGAACACCCAGTGACCATAGATTAACTAATAGGCTAAGTTTTTCTTTGATTTATTACATCTAAATATAAATATCTCTCTAGCTATCTCTCACTTTAGATATCTCTCACTTTACCTACATCTTACTTTAGATATATGTAGGGCTGGCAGTTTTCTATATCTAACTATATGTTATGTTCACGTTTCCGGGTACGCTAACCAACATGGCCAAAAGACTAACTATGATTGAATCCGATGGATTCAATCAGCCCGGAACGGTATAAGTATCGCACAATCATGGCACCGTTTGGTTGCCGTGACACTATATAGCAGCTACTAGTAGCATTCCCTTCTAGGTAATCATATAGATAACCCAGTAGGTACTTATATACCAAGAGGTGTAGCTCATCAGGCACCTGTAGATGCCACTGACTCGGACTAAGAAATGTACTTAAGTATGTGGACATACCTCAAGTGCTATCTGAGAGGATGTGGACATATCTGGCCAAGCACTCGTGTGCTGAGGACATACCTCTCCCGAGGTCCCAATTTCAAATGCTCGCTGCTTCACTGGCAGTGCCGCGCGAAGCGGGGCGTGAGGACTTGTCTTCTTATTCAATGGGCACCAAATAATTATCCACGGAAACTTGAACTGACCAGGTTATGCGAAAATTTCTGTATATGCCAGTGGACACTACCTAATAAGTAATATCTGTTCAAAATTTTGTACAGAGACTCAAAAATTAAGACTATTCAGGATAAAGAGTACCACTTGAAAAAGTTTAAAAGAAGCAGATTTAGTTCTATTTGCTTATTCAAACAAGCGGTAGTACGGATGTAAGGAGAGAAAAAGAAAAAAAGGGTTCATAAAAACATGTAATTGATCAGACACTTCAATAGCGAAGCTGAGAATATTTCCATGATGTGTGCCAGCCATCCTTGTGCTCTGCTACAGAATGAGGTATCGTGCAGCTGGATAAATTGCACTCTCTTGAATCCCGAGGCCAGTGGATGATATGAATATCGCCGTCAGGAGCTCCAACGACCTCCATTGACTCCGAAAACATGTAAAGAAGCCAACTGATATCGTAGTAGTCGGGATTATTCCCTGCAGCATTGAGAAGTTCATCTGTGATGCTGATATATGGATTGTGGTCGAGAACGGCGACTATCGTTGCGAGGAGTCCTTTTTCCATGATGACGCCCATAACATCTTGGGGGATAGCGAAGTTGTGCTCCACCAAGAACCAAACAAGTCTGGATAAGAAATCATATCTGATGCTCAATGCTTCATATGGTACATCAGTCCAAGATCTTGCTTCAAGGTCAGATATGCTTTCAAGGTCAGATGTGCTTTCAAGATAAGATATGCTTTGAAGGTCAGATGAATAATCACTATCAGATGATTCCTGATCGTCAGATGAATCTTGATCCCTAGATGAGCCTGGGCTACTAATCAACGGCTTGGAGCCCGGGCTCGGAACTCTCTCAAGCGTACGCTTAGAAATTTCCAGAGTGGTGTATTCCAGTAGCACATCAGATACCTCTTCACTAGAATCACAGAAAGTTTGCCATAGACGCTCCCAAAAAGACTGAAGATCCAAGGGACGCCTTTCATCTAGAAATAAACGGATGATATCTCCAGGATATGGATGTGAATGAGCTGTATACAAACGGATCTCTTCGGTAATGGGCATTGCGGATTCGAAGTGAGCAAGAAGCAAACGTGATATGGTCTCTATGTTGGTAGAGTTAAAATCGTCATAGCCAAAGGATACCAATTCTTTCACAAGGTCCTCAGAAACTGAAAAGTCCCAGTTTTTGAACATAAGAAGGGTATGAATGGTTTCAAAACTCTTCACAGTTTCAAATGCTCTTTGCGTAGCTTTGATCATCGGATCGTGGATCAAAATGACTTCCAAAGCCTTCTCGTGTTTTGCAAATGATTCGACGAGTTGCTCATTGACAGGAATGAGGCCTCGGCGAATAAGAAGTTGAAGAACGTCCTCGCCACGACTGTGATTATTTACTATCTATTGAATTATATCCTGGATAGGCGCCTCGTTCTGAGTTCGATCGAGAAGGGTTTCCAAGATGAGAGGGTTATCATAGGCGCTGATAAAACACTTCTAGGTATTCTAAAGCTAGATGATCTCTCTAAAAGCAGAGAAATTGCTCTCCGGCTCAGATGCGGGCTCTTAGCAGCGAGTTTCAAGACTTTCTCGGTCACAAGATAACCTGGCCCAAGGCGGCCAACTATATACTCGGTCAGAGACTCAACTTGACTCGGAAGACAGGTGTTCTTCTGTTTGTAAATGTCTCATGACTTATCAGTATTTGAAACAACATTTTCTCTGTGATAGAGACACGCGAGCCACCAATGGCCACCAGGAGTTGGAAAATTTCTGATTTCCCTTGCATGGCGGCATCCAACAAGAGCTCTTCTGAAACAAAAACGGCTTGCTTTCTGCGAACAAGCTCTCCAATATATGTGTCCCATCCTCCAAAGAATGAATTATTTTGAAAATGGCACTGTTTCCAATTAAATGGTCTGGACCAATGGCTTGGAGAAAAAGGCTAAATATCTTGGAATCTCGCCGGTTCTCAGCCGCTGCAATCAAGAGATCATCTGTGACCACAATTTCATGCTCATTTATTTCAAGGAAAATCTCCATGAGCTCAAGGTTGAAATACCGCGCAAGTTTGTTGATGTAATTGCTTTCCCAGGTGTCAGCTCTTGTAATGATTGGGAACCATAACCTTGCCAGCTCATCAATCCCATCCTCTAATGACCCAATCCCTTTATCCAGTCAATCGAGCATCATCATTAAGATTCCTTTAGCATATGGGCTTCTTGCTGCGCCACGGAGAAATGAGTTCAGATCAAACTTTACGGCATCTCCAGTTCTCCCAAGTAGCAGTGTGACTAGAGCGAGTCCACACTTGTTGTTTTCTGCCGCCCCTGATCCCACACGAGGATCGATCTGGCGAGGACCATCAGGTTGTAGGCTAACCAACACACCCTTTTCCCAAAGCTTAGCAAATACTATTTCCAATGACGCTTTTTTCTCCTTCGAATCATCAATGAATCTCAATATCCTTGCTGGATCGCTTGGCTTCCCTGGGGCGTCTAAAAGGAATGCCAAAAGTGCTAGGTGTCCTCATAAAGCGGCATACACGTAGGCACCGGCGGGAATGAATTTTGAGCCATCATTTGGGTTTCCTCCCTTCCCCAGTAGTCTTCTTGCTGTGTGTATTAGACCAACCCATGAGGCTGTTTGAAGAGGAGTTTCGGAGAATCCAGCAGGCGTGTACCATTTCCTATAACCAAGAAAATTCATTTTGAGTCTTATCCAATTGGAGTAGCATTGTTGATGGAGAAATATGTGATCAATACTCTCCTGGAGGTCTTCAGATGGTGTAAATCCGCAGAACCCCTTCATATGCCCGTCCCAAAATTTAGCTGCATAGTTCAGTAATGGTTTATCCTTGGAGTTGAATTCAGTCAGGCGAATATTGCTATGCTCATGGATCTCACGGAGCAATCTTTCCAGAATGACCCCGTGCGTAGGTTGTGCCGAGAGATGAAAGAAGCTAATTTCTTTCCGGGCACATTCAGAGATCAAAAATTCCTTGACTGAGAAATGGGCTAGGCGGATGATATCATCCGAACTGATGGTCACTAATGATGTAGTACATATCTCAATGACACTGTCGGAAATTTCGAGCTCAACAATGGTTTGCACAGCCTGTAGCGTCAGCGGTGTGAGAGAGAAGCTGAGCCAAGTGAGGATTTTCAAGGCCTGAAGTTGATACTTTGAATCGATTTTCAGCAAAACGTGCTGATATAATTTTTCGAGTGATTCTGGTACTGATTCTAGAGCCCTTTCAATATCATCTCGTTTATGACAATCTTCAAGCCGTTTGATTTGAAGCTCAGCCCATCGGAATCACCTATAGTTCATTAGTATAAGAACCTTCATTTGGTAACGGCCAAAAGATTACCTTTCAGGGATATCAAGAAGTCTGTTTTCAATTTTTTCAAGAATAGGTGAGGTGGCTTGGTAAATTGTCACCTTTTCAATTTTCCGTGTTTCAGCTGAGCTTTGATGAATATCTCACCATCTTCCTCCAGGCTAGCCTCGAGGTCGAAACCTATATACTTCTGCAGTTTCTCAGAAATATCAGGCTCTGGCCGGCTTGTTGCGAGAAGATGAAGCTTTTCCTGGGGTTTTCTTATCAAGTCTTCCATGAACTGAAGCAGTGAATCTCTTTCCCTTCTGGGCTCCTGGGGACATTCATCCAGAGCGTCAAATACTATAAAGATGTCTCCGGGCAGGGTTGAAATGATGATATGGAGCGCGTTTAGGAGTTGTGCATACTATGGCTCTTTATTCTTCCTGCGATCATTCCACCATTCTCGCATTAAGCCTGGTAACGGGCTGGGCGCGAGCTGACGGAGAAGACAGCTAACCATGTTCTCAACGTATTGTGTCTTCTCGTCGCTGAAATCAAAGTACCAGTATGCAAGAGCATCAAAAATAGCCCCATCGCAGTATCGCTCAATGTCATGGATTATTGTAGAGCTGAAGCTAACAGTCAGCTAGTCTGCCCCGGCAAAATTCAGCACAGTGAAATTTCACGAACCAAAGGTACGATTTTCCACACCCAACTTCCAAGATTTGATGAGTTAGTGACCTTCGATACTGCATTATGGTCTTACAGCTTACCAGCACCACGAAGCCATAGAATTTCCCCTGGACTCGCCTTCCAATCGGTGTATACTTCTGACTCCAGTATCCATTTTCCAGTGTTGGAGGATCGATTTTTTTGTTTGTCATTTTGGGGTTTGGAATACTGAGCTGCCGAGAGCCACTCAAGAATCTGCAGTTCTTCGTCGTCTATTGAGGTTAGTCACGAACCAAGATATGGATAGCAGTATGTTTGCTTACTCCGAGCTCGCGATGAGATTTCCTTCAAATCCCTGATAACTTCTTCTCTGAGAACGTTCAGTATCTCCTGTGTCTTTTTTGTTTGGTCTGCAGGGTATTAATACTCTGTAACTGGAATTCCCATGGGGTTTGAAGATTACCTTCATCTCGAACCAAGGACTTCCACCTATCAACAACATCACTCATACCACCAACACTTGCTTTGAGATCCTCCAGCGGGTTTTCAACTAAAGCAGTGATATTGTTATAGAAGCGCCCTATGATATGGTTAGTTTGAATTTTTCGAAAAATTAAAACTGGAATATCACAGTACGCCCATGACTCTCCCTCTTCGCTTTTTCCACTTCAGCGGCGTACTTGAGAGTTGCAGTGTAAACTTCTACAAGAGCATCCTCAAGACCTTCATTTGCTTGTGAATATTCGAAACGGTAATTGTTGTCAATGATGGCGTGATAAGACAGCACCCCAGCAAGGTATTCCGATGCGTTCACGACTAAGTCATGTCGCTCGATATCTTTTGGAAGTAGCTATTTACAAGCTCACGATGAACTCTTCTCCATTCAAACGTTCAAATCTGAAGTGCTTATTGCCAGTATCTTACCGTCAATCCGAACAATACTATCGACCATGCAGTTGATGCTGAATGAGTTAGCCCAATCATAATAATCAATGCATTAAACGTATTTCTCTTACCATTACCGGTTGCATCAAAGCTGACAACCGCTCCGATCAAGTCTTGCGCCTGTAAAGTGAAGCCAAGGAGATTCTTAAATTTCGCGCGTGCATCGAAGCTTCCTCTTTTTTCCCCTCGAGCTCCAAGCTCTTGCTTCTCGAGTCGCTTGTAATTCTCCTTGGCTTCGCTTTGTATCCTCTCTATGACTTTGTCGATTGGTTGGGAGGCTTCGCAATTTAGCCATTTCTTGTATTGCTCGTCTAGTCTTTGTTCTGCGACTTCCCAAAGATTACGTGAGCCTGCTCGAGTTTCTGCTTTTAATCGGCGATCTAAATGGCTCTGACTATCAGTTTGAGACGCAGACTGAATGTGGGACTGGGATTGGGTTGTTGATGCTGTACCTAAACCTAGCGCTTGCTCTGGTGTTTTCTCCCTCTGTCCGTCGAAATCATCAATCTGATCATTCTGCGCATCGTTTTTGGTTCTTGGAGTACCATTTATCTCAAGAGGCACAATGTTTGCCGGCGGCGCGATTTTGCTCTCGTTTACCTTGTCCACTTTGTCGTTGGGTCTGCGGGGTTGGGGAGGAACGTCCGCGTCAACACCTGCGTCGCTTCTCTTACGAAAACAGCTCAAACAGTGAGCCATTTCGATTGAGAATAAACTTGAAGTCGCCAACTCAAATGTTTGAATAGTAGCTAGGATAGATATACTAAAGAAACAGAAAATTCTGAGATGTCAGATGAGGATTAGCAGCTCGAAAAGCTTTGGCCCGATGCAATTCCACATGTGCAAGGTTATTCATCACACTAACCTTGGAATTCATGCACCGGGGGAACATGCGTGATGAGCTGGCAAGCATACAGCGCCACTAAAAATATACCTATATTATGCTCAAGTTCTGTCATCAATGATTCCATTGGTCAAATCACTTGAGTTTAAACATTTGAAGGATACTATGCCATACATGTACATATAGACGGCGCTGATCTTCGCTCAAGTGCTTGCACATGTATTGAACCGCTAGTTTTGATATTTATGGAGTAGTTTGATCCAATCCTTTAAACTTGCTCCTCTAGATACACATGTGCAGAGACTTGATTTTCCCAACAACTTTTTTGGACCTGTTTTACTCCTTGGGTTCCTGCACTTTTACTTATCGCCCGTCATAATCCACAAGGAGAGAGGCAGAATCAGCCTACAGCTTATCTCTAGGGATGTCAGTTGCCTATATCCAACTATTCACATGTGGCAGCTAACCTTCCTTCCCCTTCAGGTAACCCTGTAGGTAACCCCGTACTTACTTACCAAAAGAGATATAGGTCATCAGTCACCTCTAGATGCTTTTTACTGAGCCCTGTACTTAAGTAAGTGAACGTTCCTGTCTGAGAGGATGTGAACACACCTAGCCAAGCACCTGAGTGCTTGGGAAATGCCTTTCCCAATTTCGCTGTTACAGTGCCGCGCGAAGCGCGGCGTGAGGAGTTGTCAAAAATTACATCCAGAGGTGCAGTGCTCTATGCCGTAGGCTTCGACCTCAATGAGATACATCTGACAGAACTTGAACTTGAGAAAGTTAGTACTTCGATTGAGTCCGGCGCGTAGCGAACCTACAAATATGCGACCTGAATGTACGCATGCTAATTTCTCATTTCACGACATAAATGCATCTAAAAACTTCCTTCCTTATGAAAAGGATGCATTTGTATTTGGTGCTATGAAAACATTCTTGTGTCATTGCGTTCAAGTTCAATTTGACGAATTGAGCCAGTTTAGATCAAGATGTGAAAGACGGATCAACGGCTTCAAAATGTCGCATAACAGCCATCGTGATTACCGGATAGCCCATGATAACATCATGCAATCCAGTCTTCAAGATCTCTTCTCGGATGACTCCGTTATCCGTTCTCCATTCCATTGTGGACCCGGCAGCTCCAAGATCCGCCTTCGAGTCCAGCTTTTTCTGCTCGAAATCATAACTCATTCCAGTCGAAGTTGAGGCATTAACAGCATGCCAGAATAAGAGTTGAGAATGATGCCATGGAATATCATAATCATCTTCAGCATGAATAATCGTCAGTCGGTATTTCTCTTCGTTGAATTCGTTGGCGCGCATATACTGCGCGATGGAGTCTTTGCTCAACCACTTGTCCCGAATGAATCTTTGAAGATATTTGAATACCAATGGCAATCTGGTAAATGGTGAGATGATTGGAATAGTACCCGCCACGCGATAAGTTGATACTAATGTCGCGACATCGACGAATGGTGCAACAAGCACGGTACCTGCAAAGATCACCGGTGGGTCTTGAAGGGCAAGATGTTTTGAAACGGCGATACTAACGGCCGTGCCCATTGATTGAGCAAAGATGAGAATCCGAGACGGAGGGATCCCTGCAACATGCATTGCCCAGTCAATCACGTCCAGGGCATCCATCATAAGCCCGGTCTCAGATGGTGAGCCGGTACTCTTTCCAAATCCTCGGTAGTCGAATGTTAAAACGTGAATTTTTGCTGGGTCTCCAGCAGGACAGTGCGCGATAGTTGGGGACTCTGTATCCCGAAGCGACAGTTCCCCCAGCTCCATGCATATGGATGATCAACCGAGCCTCGGGATCATCTCGCAGTAATTGAAATCCAATTCGAGATTTGATGTCGGATACAAATCCAGAAGGTTCCTCGATGAGTGAAACTTGATTTTGGCGATATAATTCGAGAGGGAGAATGTGCCAGGCATAGAGTCGTTCCCCATCTGTTGTCTTGATAGAAAAAGGAGTGACCTGGTTTCTCAGAAAACCAAATGTCTCTGGAAGATCAAGGTCTTTGAACCATGTCATCTGAATTGCATGCAGATACACAACATGTGACTGGAAAGTTGATGTGGTGAGAAGTCCTAATAGAATCGCGTATAACCCAACTGCAGCAGCCAGTGGTATAGAGGCATATTTGAAAAAAGTACCAGCTGTCTGACTGGCGGTCATGGTTAGTGTGACTTGAGGGTAAGTCGAGGAGACATGGATGTGAAGATGTCGATCGTGAAAGCTGTGAAAGCTGACGGCGCAGGCTCGCGCAGCACTACATCAAGCCGTGGGGCATGCAGCAGACTAACCCTTTTAGTATTCGTACATGTCCTCCCCTTCGGGAAGCATTGATGAAGTTCAATTATTTTTATTTTCTTCTTTGTCAAAAATAATGAAATAAATATCTCGCACTGAATATGAAGATCACTTCGATTCATTCATCTATTTTCGGTGTGTAGCAGGGTATGGGCCCCTGAGGACTCGCCAAACGTACATGTGCAGGAGGGCCAAACGTGGCTCCAAGAGCAGCGGTTAATCCGGTCATTTGATTGGATCAAGCTGATATGATCACAGTAAATTTGAGATTCTGACCTCAAACTTGAATGTTTACATGCCCGTTTATTATTAGTCTTGATTCTTCAAAAAGTATTTCGCTATGCTATCGAATGAATTAACGCTGACGAAAATGCCCCGCGATCTAACGAATATGAAAGCTCCTCCCAGTATACCCCCAGAAACAAGAAAAAAAAATTAATGAAATAAGATAAGAAGGGATAATAAATAAAGCCACCAAAAGAGCACTTGAGTGGAGCAAAGAGAAGAAATCAGAGAAAAGGCTATCAAAAGACAAAAAACGAAAAATAAAATTTCCAACATCCATATGTTCATCACAAAAAGGACAACCAATACAGAGAATATTGGTAAGTATCATAAATAGCAGATTCCTCACCTCTGAGTGCAGTATAGGCCTCTCCAATCATTACTATGCGACTAAGGAAATAGATTGCTGGAGATGCCAGACTAATGATTGTCAAGACACCATCCCACCGGACAACAACTTTTTCAAAGTGCATAAAGATACAGTACGTCCCGAAACTGGTGCAACCGTTTACACTCTTTAAGTGATTATTTAGCCCCACTACCAAGAGACACTAAACCATATTAGGAAGATAGTCGTAATAATAATATTCCTATAGCAGTCTCGATACCGTGATTTACTTTCATAAAAATACGTTACCTCGTCTTGTAACTGTATTGGGAATCCAAGGGAACTAGAATTTTCCATGAAAATGCAAACAAATCAAACACTAGAGCTTGGGAGTCCCTCGAGAATCTGGCGATCTGTCACTTCCCTTCTGCTGCTATGTCCAAGTCGGTCTGGGGGGCTTACTCGGCATCCGACCTGCATATAGTGACTTGCGTACTGTCCTTACAGACTAGCTATGAATCCGCTTATTTTAATACTCAGCCCTGTCAGCCACAGCCCTCCCTGGTTACCCAGACCGCGAATGGACGCCATCAGTAATCTGCCCTTCACCCGATTCTGCGGACATAGTTGGTGAATGTTCACCTTTCTTTCATCAACATCTATCGGACCAGCAGATTTTTGATCCTGTGGTTGAACGTGCAGATGGAAGTGCATGGGATGAACAATCTCCGGACTGTATCCACTACCAGATCGAGTGGAGGGTTAAATTGAACAATCGAGTTGTGGTGAAGGATACAAAACAAGACCTTATTCAACCACCTAGATCCTACTGGGAACAGATAAAAGAGGATGCTTAAAATATTCTACGGCGAAAGACAGCCCGTGGCCGACGGGTGAGACTAGATGATACTGACATGGTGTTATCGGTGAACTCCCAACGGAACATTGACAAACACTTTGAAGGTACTAGTATTGATTGGACGGCAGTAGAGAAACGGCTGCTAGCGTGGGCCTATCTGTTCCATCGTGGCAAGAAGATCCGGCTCCAGATATCAATCAACTACATAGAAGACAGTGGACCTCTTCCTTCTAGAACTGACAAGCGAGGAAAGTCATCGGTGACTACACGGATGCTCGCCGACCGAGACGCTCAGATTGACGCCGAGCAGGTCTCCGGCCAATATTCTGTCTGGCGTGATGTGTATCGTGTTATGCGATGTCCCGGGCCTCCGTGTCGCCATGAAGGACAATACTGCTGGCAAGATCCAGAGGGAAAAAGGCACCATAGGGTGAAGACACACCATTTGAAGGCCCTCGTCAAATATGTGGAGCAAGGTGGGGTTCTCGAGACCCACGATGATGTCCCTGATAGTGTTCGCGAGCAGCTCTATGCCGAGGAGAACCAGCGACTGGACAAAGAGAAGAAAGCTGCGGAGAACTCTACAACGGGTTCAGTGTGTCCTCCAATCAATATCAATGTCCTCCCGGCTGGATCATCTCAACAATTGATAAAGCCTCCTGCTAATGATGCCATGGTCTCCGGGCCCGGCTGTACTAAATCAATCATAATCGACGGCCTGCTAGATGTCGCTGTGGACGAGTATACTGAATGGCAGCAATCGCGGGTGAGCAACGAGGCTGTCAGGGGGAATATCAATAAAGCACGTAATGTGACCCTTGAAAATTGTCTCGACCTCATGCAGATTTATGAGGATCAAGACCCAGGTTTCTTTGTCAAGCACGGTGTGAAAGTTGGTGCCGCCCGGCGGTTCGTTCGTGATATCGGCCTTTGGGTGAAACGACGCAAAGAAGTGGCTTGCAACGAATATACTCATTTAGCTTAGATATTTTATGTACAGTGGAATTCGAAAACAGATTACTGCGATATTCGAGAACAGATTCCCCCGCATACACACGCAGATCGTTTCCTGAACCCTATTCTGAAACACAGCCCCTTCTACTTGCGATCCACCAGCAGCCCCTTCCCTTCATATGTACCTGAGAATGGTAATGAAACCGCAAAGCAATCACGGTTTTTGGATACTCTCACACTCCATCGCTTGTCTGAGTGGAAAGAGGGAATAGTGCATCACGAAGACCCGCCTACCTGTTTCCACTACCACATATAGTCACATATAGTGGCATGTCATCAACCGTGTCGTAGCAAAGGACACAGAGGAAGATCTCGTTTTGGCTCCAAGCGCCCACTGGCAGCTATTTCTGGAAGACAAACTGCAGGATGTCCTCCGATGTAAGGTCTCCCGCAACTGAAGGGCGAGGGCTGATGACACCGCGATTGTTGTGTCTGTAAACGATTGATTCAAGCGTAACCTGACCTAGCGGTTCGAAAAGACTGATATTGATTGGAATGTCATCGATAAACAGCTTCTAAGGTGGTCGAGTCTGTTCTGCCAAGGCACCGGGCGGAAAGGGGAGAAGAGGTAAATCTTCTGTCACAAGAAGGATGCTGAACGAGACGCACAGCTAGATACTGCACAGGAGGCCTCTGGTCAGAGACCAATCTGGCGTAGCGTCTGTAATTCGATGCGATGCGAGTCCTCTTCGTCTCATCTGGGCCCTTACTGTTGGCTGGACCCAATGGAAAAGAAGCGCTTCCAACTCAAGACAAACTATACGAGGCGCCTAGTGACCTACGTGGGAAATGGTGGCCTTCTTGAGTCCGATAAGGACGTACCCGAAGCGATCCGTGAAGAATTATATTAGGAAGAGCAATAGAGATTTGAAAGAGACAAGCGCTAATTTCCTTAGTCCGGGAGCAACTTACCCCCCCTATCAAGATCAATTCTCTGCTCTCGCGGTCTGTCGCCTCTGGATTGGACGTTTCAGGTGTCAACAAGGGTGTTGACTCGAATGTTATTTGCCGACTGGACATTCCCGGGCCAAGGGACGTAGCTCTCAAGGAATATGGTGGGGAATTGCCCGATGTTTCGTGGGGGATATTCGGAGCTGGGTCGAGAACGGGAAGAAAGCAATCCCTATTTATGAAATACTATAACCCAGAAAGGTGAATGTGAGTGCTGGAGCGTCAAGAGGCATTCTGTCAGATTAATTTATGTAGAATCATTTAGGAGTTACTTCAGATGTTATAATAGGAGTCATCGTTAAATGCCAAGACACTGGCAAAAAAGCAAAAACCACTCATCTTAAGTGGACTAGGCTCCTTTTTCATGATGTGGCATATCCGACAAGATTTTTTAATCTAATTTGCTGGAAAGATGAAGACGAACGCGAACACGAACGCGAGCAGACAATCAATTGGTTCCACATAGACTAAAGTTAGTGGAGACGTTCCAGCCATGCTTCTTGGCATCCTTTCTATGATCCCACTTACGAAATATATATATAAATATATACTTGGTCATCCGACCTAGACGAGAGATCAAAAATAAAAAAACCTTCTCAGCACGTCCAATCAGCAAATCATTTACGGAAAGAAAAATGCCTTCCAGTCTCCCTCGACCGCCGTATGACCCCGAACTGGAGCCAATCTTAAGGAGATTCAAATTCACGCCTACAGTCACAACAGCACATATCGAAGGAGTGCGGAAAAAATCAAGCCCTACTGTTAATGACGCCCTCGCGGGCCGAGAAATTTCGCATGAAGAGCGCACCATACTCGGTTCTGGCGGCAGTTCGGATTTAAAAGTGTCAATATTCCGACAGGCATCAATGACAATTCGGCCGGCTTCCTCAGCAAGATTTGAAAATCGTCCAGGGATTCTCTACACCCACGGTGGCGGAATGATCGCGGGTAATCGATTTCTCGGGATTGGGGTGATTCTCGACTGGGTGGAAGAATTTGATATGGTCTGCGTGTCAATTGAGTATCGAATTCCTCCCGAGCATCCGGACCCGACACCAATTGAAGACTGCTATGCGGGACTTAAGTGGACCAGCATGAACGCTAAGAGCCTTGGGATCAATCCAGATTGTCTGATGATTGCGGGATCATCCGCTGGAGGAGGACTGGCAGCAGGGACAGCGCTGCTGGCTAGAGATCGCGGTGGACCGCTGCTATGTGCCCAGGTGCTCATTTGTCCCATGCTAGACGATCGCAACGTTACAGTTTCGAGCCAGCAGTATGTTGACGAAGGTACTTGGAGTCGAGACAGCAATCAGACTGGATGGAAGTGTCTGTTGGGTGAGCGATGTGGACAGGAAAATGTCAGCATATACGCTGCCCCTTCGCGAGCCACTGACCTCTCCAAACTCCCCCCCAGCCTTCATCGATGTTGGCACAGCCGAAGTTTTCCGAGACGAAGCCGTTGCATACGCGACCCTTCTCTGGAAAAGCGGAGTCCAGGCCGAATTGCATGTCTGGTCTGGCGGGTTCCATGGGTTTGACCTTCTAGCGCCGAATGCAACTCTGTCAATCAATGCACGTGAAGCAAGATCGGCTTGGGTTCGTCGTTTGCTCTCTCAGAGTACATGTAAACCCCCACAAACCAAGGTACTATGATACTTCACTACTGTCCAGCAACCAACCATGCTAATCACCTCTTGGCTCTCCGGAGCAGAACAGCTTTACCCGATAGGACTACTGATTGAAAGAGGCTAATCCCTTGACGCAAAGCCTACTTAGGTTTCTAAAATATTAAATACCAAAAGTAGCACCTTGTACTGAATGTGCCATTATCCTGTCGTTGCCTAGTGTCACCTGCTTTAAATTCCAACAAATTGCTTTAGAGAAATACCACGCGTCACGTGGTGGAAAATTCTGCTTGGTGGCAGAAAGCGGCGCTTGTTTATGCTGTTCCCCCGCCGTCCTCAACTCTCCTCGGGGTTTATCAAACCAGCAATGCCTCCACGGCGATCATACAAGAAAAGTACCTTGGGGTGCAAAACGTGCAAGCGGAGGCGAGTAAAAGTGAAGTTTTACCTATCTGCATTCAAAGCATTTGTCTGACCTGTCTTCAGTGTGATGAGGCTCACCCACGATGTGGACAGTGCAAGAAGCATGGTGTTGCGTGTGAATTTAGCGCTAACAGTCCCAACTCTCCTTCTGCTACGACCTCGGGCATGGTATGCGGGGCGAACCATTTGTCCAGAAAGATATCTCCACAATCCATGCCCGGAAAGTCAACTTTACAACCTGCAGTGGCATTCCCAACGTACAGTGAGAATGACTCTTCGCGACTTATGGAGATGCGTCTAATGTATCATTGCACAGCTGTGACATGCGGAATGGCGTAAGTACAAAATTTGCCTCAACGGTTGTTTAGAGACCGCCACTAATAGTCTTAAAATTCTAGAACCATAATTGAGGACAGAGAATGGCGCATTTGGTCTATGGATGTACCGTCGCTCGCTTTCCTGGGCGGCCCATCGAACCCTCTCATCGACCTCCTCCTGGCTACTTCTGCGTCTCATCTAGGATCGCTCAACCCCAACGACCCATCCTTAAGACTCGCTTCCTCTTATTATCTTTGCTTGGGGCTTGAGAAGTTTAACAATATGCTGCTTCAGGCGAACGAGGAAAATTCTCCCATACTATTCATATCTAGTGTACTGGTTGCGCTGAGCGTGCTGCACTCACGCCAAGAACAGAGATTTGACGCTCAGTTTTCAGTTCCGACTGACTGGTTTCGGGCTTTGCAAGGCGTCGGGAGCGTCGCGTCTATCACACGAGCATGGATTCAAAATTCGAGATTTGAGCCACTGCTCTTGGCAAAAAAGAGTTCATTGCCTTGTGGGGCTATAAGAACAAACTTCTTATTCGCAGAGCTGTTATCAGGATTAGATAACGATTCCATAGATCCGAAGGAAATCGCTACATACGAGCTTGCAGTGGGCCACCTCGGCTGGTCATATGGGTGCTATATTGCAGGAGAACAAAAGTCTACTGTGCGGAGGAAAATTATAAGTTTCCCAGCCGTCGTCCCCGCAAAATTTATTGAGCTCCTAGAAGCTCGAGACCCACGGTCCTTGGCCATCACAGCATATTTCTTTGGGTTAACTGTAATTTTGGATGAAGTATGGTGGATGCGAGGAGTTGCTAAAAGAGAAATACTGGGCATTATGACCCTTGTACCTGAAGAATGGAAGTGGGCGATGGCATGGCCGCTCCTACAGATTGGCAGTGATTTTGAGACCCATGAATAAAGCGATCAGAGCGAGTAATAAGCCTGAGACAGCTTTACCACCCTCAGGGACCGAATGCTCCAAGCTTCAATTCTTCTCCTGGGTGGAGATCAGCCAGTGTCCTCGTCGAAATTGTCTATTGTTATACGACGCCTGAGCTTCTTGCCCAGGCGAAACATATTTCTCCATGGAAGGAGCTGTTTCTCTATAGCGCTCCAATCAATATCGATATTTTAGAATGCTTGGTCAGATCACGGTGGGAACGAGCATTCACAGAGACCACCCACGATCATAGACGGCACTCGAGAGAGTAAACTTAGATAAACCAGGGAATTCACGACCGCGTTCCAGAAATAATTAAACAATTCAAGAGTGTACATGCACAATCGCTAACCCTAAGTCCTCATCGCACAGTAGATCCGCCTCCCCCCCCCCTCCAGGCCTCTCGATGTACACCGCGCGATTGCACCTATCATGAAACTTGAGGGCGCTGGCGAATATATTGAGAGGATCCTTCGTGATATAGAGGAGTTGGATGCCAGAGAAGATGGATCGACACCGTTGGGATTTCTTGCGGGCTTACGACTTAGCGGGCGGTTAGATACCCTATCTATGTTTTAATATCTTAGCTGCCGCTTTCGTAATAGGTATGATGATAATGACGTATCGAAGAGGTTATGCATTCCATATCTAGAGCTATTGTCGGAATTCAAAATACAACGCGGTTTGTAATAATGTCCGCTGAGGAATCAGTTCCAATAAGCCAGTGAGGCTAGTCCTGAGATTTGCTGCCGCAGCAGCGCTATATCTCTACATCTAGGCCAGCGTGTCGAAAATGTCCCTCTGCGCTTTTCTTCCTCGCTCCAACAACATCAACACACCATTCGAGGAAGTTATCGAATCCTTGCTCTGGATTTTCTTTGTAGGATTGCCAATTACGCCGGATAAAGGCCTTGAGCTCCGCAAAAAACTCCTCAATAGGATTCAAATCAGGAGAATATGGAGGCAAATACACTAGCTTTATGCCAGCTTCTGAGCACATTTGTTTGATTCTGTGCGAGTGATGAAAGGATGCGTTATCCATCACTAGCACAGACTTCGGCTCTGGCCATTTCCCACAGTGCTGGAGAAGCTGCTCGATAAAATCCTCAAAGACGACTGCGTCAGTTGAACCCTGAAATACTCGAGACAAAATATGCAACTGCTCCTGGTTCATATTCGGAAGCTCCACGAAAGAAGGCAATCGAATGTCTTTCGGCTTATTCTACCAGAAGAAATATGTCACGATAAACAATGGAATGTATCCAATAGTCATAGACTTCAACTGGGAGAGCGGAAGGGAATATACGACGCGTAATATGCACTGCGCTGAAAACCAGATCACTTGCATCAAAGCCAGCAGCTTCGCAGCACCGTCTGATTTACTCTTGTCACAAATATCATCCAGCGATAGGCCACAGCTTGGATGTTCTTCCCACCGGATAAAACATTGGGTAAGTACCCAGGTATATTGGTTCGGCCAGATGACGCGGTCGCCTTTCGGGGATCGGTATCTCAGGGCGAGAATGCTGATATAGAAGGCGTGGATGAATTTGAACTCGCCTCTCGAGAAAGCAGAACATTCCCTTTCCATTCTTCGACATTGTGCCCATTCTTGGAGCCCCTCAACGGCAATAAATTCCGGGGCGATGATTCCTTTAACGAAAAGGGCAAGTTTGTGTAGCATAGCGTAGGATTCGCGTTTATAAACTCGGGGGTGTATCACAACCCACGTGCAGAGGAGTATTGTAGCGAGGCATGTTGTAATCAAGCTAATCGTGCTTCGACCGGGATTATCCCAGACCCATCCAACTAGAGTCTCATTTCCCGCTGAGCCCATCGAGCTGCTCCATGTGTTCTTGGTGTCACGGTCGTTTTCGTTTGAGACCTACTGTGGAAAGGAGCCGTAATCTTTCCAACGTTATTGCGATAGAACGAAATTTGGTTCAACTCAAAGGGACGGCATATTGTTATGATATTATACTCCAGGGCTTAATTGACAAACCTGGAGCTAAGATATGATTTGAAGGAAGGACAACAATGTGTCCGTGCATGTGTTTGAGAAATGCCGGGGTAGGGCTGACGCCAGCGTGTTCTAGGCATCGAACTGATTTAGAAACCTATGAGATAGCAGATGGCTCAACAATTGGCCGATATGTTTGGCTCCTGCAGGGTTAGAGGCCAAAGTTGTTTATCTTTTAGTTTCAGAGTAATGAGACGGGACAAATAGCCGCCACGGAACGGCCAGCTGGCTGCGCTGTACTATAGTGCAGGAGGCCTACGCAACCAAATATGCAGTTCAGATGTTGAATTTTTTAGGCGCAAATACTCAACGTATCTACTATTATCTAAACTATCCTCTAGTCTACTTTCAATTCGGGGGATAATAGGCACCGATTTCTGGTTTGGAGGTAGACACAGCAGCGTGTAGGCTTTAATAGATTAGGCCATTCCGCCAATTCGACTTTCGTGGGTATCCATATGCGAAAGACAGGCCAGAGAAATACAGTATGGATGGATATATTGATAAACTTAGCCCTCACAAATGAAAGCTAGAAAAATCCCTCTCCGCTCAACGCTCTGTATACTTGGTCATGGGGCCATAGGCCAGAGTGAATCGCCGAAGACGGTGGCCGACAAAATACATGATCAAAGTAAACGACAGAATAATATAAGCCACGCCGACTAGCTCTCCGTAGGCTTTCTTTAACCCTTGGCTTTCGAACCATTTGGAAATGTAAGTGGAGATGAGGGAGACAATAACGTTTCGAAGAACGAATACGATAACAATAGTTTCACCAGCGATCTGTTTTGAATCAATACTACATTAGCCATGCTATTACTTGGACTATAGGGAAGGTTCCACTTACCATGCGATAGGCATCCACTGCGTAGGTGACGGCGATATTCGCAGCAGCCGTCGCGCCGAATCCTTGCATGCCATATCCGACGGCGGCACCAGCCCAAGATTTCCCCGTCGCAATCACGAGTCCGAAGGTCAACAAACCCATCGGTCCAATTACAGCTGGTATAATCATTGCTGGAAGTCTATGCTCCGGCTCTACAGGCTCGCCATGGCGCTTGGTAGTGGCGATCCAGTCAATGAGCCAACCACCAAAGAAGAAGCTGAGCAGAGAACCCACAAAGCCCGAGAGGGAAAGCAGTCCAACTTCATGCAGTTGCCAGGAGTAGGGTGCAGCCGTGAAGGTTTGGGAAGATGTGAGCTGGATCGCAATATTGCTTGAATTCATAGTCAGCAACAGCGTGTAATTCATCTCTTTTTAAAAAATTATAAACTCACCACCCGATAAACAGTCCCACGGTCAGTCCGCTGAACCAGATAGGAGGATAAGCAAAGAGCTGTGCGGTCTCAAACACCCATTTTAAGAATGATGCGTCCCGATTGATGCCGGCTGTTAGGGACATTGAAGCAACCCAGCTTCTCTTTGGTGCATACGTCTCAGCGGATTGATCGAGATCTCGAACACCAAAAGGAACAATATAAGCCGTCTCTTTGACAAGTAGAACTGCGGGAATGAAGGTTGCCCCCGAAGCGATGGCCATGACACCACACATCCAGGGCCAGCCCAAATACTGGGTGATGTAGGCGTTAATGAAGGGCCCGAAAAAGGCGCCTGACGATATAGCAATATTGAAAATCATCAAGGTATGGCCCCGCTCGTGAAAATAAAAAAGGTCCGCCGCTACGCTAGACACAGGGGCGTCTGAAGCAGCGGTCAAGAAGCCTCCGACTATTCTTGATGCCAGGAGATTACCGTATGATCTGGAATAGTAGCTCCAGATGTTGGTGAAGCAAAGAAAGAGAATTGACAGAAGGTATACGGGACGTTTGCCAATTTTTCTGGCTATTGGCATCTGCACCGAGATGGTTAACGCGGGTGTTGAATGTGTTGAATGTGTAGATGAAAGAGAGATCTCACCCAAAACGCAGCACCGAAGCCCATCGCAAGTACCTGCAGCGATGCTACTAGCATGTTAGTGCCAAAAAAGGAGAGACTGCGGCAATTATTGGAATTCTAGAGGGCGTACTCAAGTAACTTGCTTCTGTCCGCGTCTTGTCAAATTCCTTGACAATTGACTCGACGGCAACTGTGAATGCAGAAGAGTTCGTGAACGCCAGGAAGGTAAACCAGCAGAGGACGAGATATGTCGCATACTTCTCCCGTTGCGGCCAATTCTATTTCCGTTAGCACAATTAGGTCGCATCTTTGTACCAGTAGCTATTATTTTACCAATGGCTCATTTGGGTCATTCGTCGGCTGAGGACGTAAGACGACACCAGATTTGGACATCTTGCCCGTAACAATGTCTTGGTCGAGGGACTCGCCATGAGACTGCTGAACCTTCTCGATTTCCTCGGCCATGATGATCTCACCAAATCTGTATATCGGGAAAGAGTAGTTAGTTTGAGACTACACTAAGATCGGGTAAGAGAAAAAAAGGTACAAAGACCAGTTCAAATTTTCAAGTCCGATTATCTGTCTATGTAGTCGGGTTCCCGCTGGAGCGTCCACGGTTGTCTTCTAGTGCTTACGATGTAATGGAGGGGTGCACATGACTAAGAGGGAAATAAAATCCGTACTGCTGTGGCTTGAATGATGTATAGTAATTTGACAATGGACTCAATCCTTTGGAATTGACGCTAAGAGACGGGATATTTCAAAAAAGTAAGGCTCTCGGAGATAAAAGCCTTGGAAAGCTTAATTTTCTCATTTTGGAAGCGGGGATTATTAAGTTCAGTAGAAATTGCGGGGTTCTCCACACGGGGAGATAAAACGGAAATGCCGAAATCGGATGAGACTTTTTCCCAGGTTCAATAAATTGAGCAGGCTCATTCATGACCTTAAGCAGACAGTGTATCACTTACGAGTTCACGTTCCACCATGGGGTCCAACAAAGTTCCTATAACCTTTGCAGGTCTGCTATACGACCGTTTCCAGCCGCTGCAGTCCGGCGAGGTTGTGCCAGAGGGCATCGATCTTAATTTTCTGGCTCTTCATCACCCACGAGATATCTTTGATCGGATGGCCGGGGGCAAAGAGTTTGATGCGTCTGAGCTCAGTCTCAGCGAATATATTTGTCAATACGCAAGGGGTCTCCGCGATTTTGTTGCGATACCAGTATTTCCATCCAGAGCATTTCGGCATGGATACATTGCGGTGAACAGCAGCATTATTAAAGAGCCGAAGGATTTGAATGGCAAAAAGATTGGGGTGCCGCTTTACACCATGACAGCCGCAGTTTGGATTCGCTCAGTGCTCAAGCAACATGGCGTCGATCTTGACAGCATCCAATGGGTCCAGGGCTCCTTTGTGAATGCCGAAGGATATGGTAAACCGGCAGCCGTGCCCCTGGTAGAGCCTGTGGACATTACACAGAACAATAGCGGCAAGTCGTTGAGCCAGATGTTGAAGGACGGCGATATCGCTGCAACGATCGGAGCGGACCTTCCACCGTGTTTTCGTACCGCGGAGCATGTGAAAAGGTTATTTCCTGATTTTAAGGATGTGGAGAAGAAATATTTTCAGGAGAAAGGTGTCTTCCCCATTATGCATACTGTGGTTGTAAAACGGGAGCTCGTTGACAAGTATCCCTGGCTTCCGTCAAGTCTCTTCAACGCTTTCAATGATGCAAAGGAGGTCGCGAGAGTTCGTATGCGCTTTTTGGATGCTCTCAGATATATGCTGCCGTGGCTGGCTGCGGAGGTCGATGAAATCGACGAGATCTTTGGAGGTGATCCTTGGGTCTACGGTGTTGAACCGAACCGTAAAACGCTCGAGGCTCTTGTTGATGCTCTATACGACCAGGCAATGATAAGCAGTAAGCCCACCCTGGAGGAGCTCTTTGCTCCCATCCGAGGTCAAAATTGGAAGGTTGGCTGGGGAACGACACACCCAAAGCCTTCGCAGTGATGAGCCAGAGAGTTTAGACCAGTGGGGCCAGCTATAATGATCATGGGTAGCAAACATAGCGATTGTTAATCATACAAACTTCAATGTTCCATCCATGGTGTTTTCTTTACCTCATACGGTTACTGAACTCTAAAGTGTCGTCGAATGCATAAAACCCAAGAGCTTTGGCAGCAATTCGGCGGTATTCTAAGGTGGATTATTGGAAGAGATGTGAAAGTCCAAGATTGGATTATAGAGCTTATCTCGTCCTTGAGCTCAATACGATCTGATTTCATGTCATATAGTTCAAATGTTTACACAACTTGAAGAATGAACCCAATTTTTCATTAAACTTCCAGTCAGTGAGTAAAGAGTCATGGGTGAGCTATCTCCTGATGAATTCGAGCTCTGCTGTGAGACTCGTGTGATTGTAAGAGACTTCGCAAATCGATATTTTGATCCATCGACAATTCCTTCTATTTTGGGTTAATAGAAGCTCATATGATATATAGATATTCATTTACCAAGCTGAAGATAAAGATACTCGATGACTGGTGGAAGCCAAGCAGTAACCGCCACGATTTGTCCAAACCCCCAGCTATGGAGGTCTATCACCTTCAATTCAAGAATCGTCCAGAACAGATAAATTTGATAACCAAAGAAGCCAAGGAAAATGGTAGTTGTGGCCCAGTAAAAGGCCCCGTCCGTGTTAATTTTGCACAGCCGATTGATGAATGGAAGACCTTGAAAGCGGGAGATATATCCGTAAAACGGACGAAGTATTGCGCAAGTGTTGAGCTTTATCCGTTGCGGAATTAGTGAGCTTGTCCATGCCTGATGAATGACAAGCCAAGCTAAACATAAGGAGCACCTTGTCCAAATCAACGGCGAGAGAAGAAGCGCCGAATATGCGATATCTGTGGGTGTAAATTGGGATATAGAGGGACATACACTTTGTGCTGAGTAGCCACCGCAACTAGGTATTTTGGAAAGTTCGGTAAAAAAGGCACGTTGTGCTTCCATTGCATGAAAAGCATGTTCAAGCCCACCTGAGTTCTCGATGAATCAGGTATATAGTGATAGAGAGTCCAAAATGTAATAGAGGCTATAACCCATGTCGCCAAGGTCAAGGTCAAGAGGTATGCGGAATGCCTTCCATACCGCGTGAGAACTAACATGCTAAAGACCAATGGGAGAATACTGTTGGTAGTGAGTGGAAGCAATGTAAAACTGCTCAGTAGAGATACTCGAAAAAGCTCGAAAACAGAGATGCAATCTGCAGTGATATCCCGAAGAAGCATTGCTGCTTGTGCAGTTTAACTAGTCCGGTGGTGAGATTTTCTCTTTGTGTGTCTCGTGTTGGTAAATTCGAGGTCTTATAGTGATTTTTTAGGTCCAGGATTGTGAACAGAGCCCAAGCCGAAAGGACCAACACGCATTGTGTAATGTAGGAAGAAAATAGCTGGTTAAGAACTATCAGCTCTCATCGCCATGGCTATCTCAAGATCGATCCTATTGACCTACACCAATACCAACAATATCAGAATTTCCATAATACAAGCCATTTAACTTATTCAAGTTTGTGCTGCAGAGAGCGGACAGACATTTTGAAACACCTTCCACGGAAGGAGCTGTTGAATCCACAAGGAGAGAGGAAGGGGAGCAAAGGGATGTACACAGCTGATTGTCTCGTGCTTGGTCACAGGAGCTGATCAGACAACGGGTTACCTTGGAGGTGATATCTTTTAGAATAGCATCAGAGATATTGTGAGGGAACCATTTCGAAAGGGCTCCATCATAATATGCAGGAATACGGCCCTGTTTGGAAGAGCGGTATATGTTTGGTATATTCAAACAGTCATTATAAAGAAAAGCGGCCCGACCAAATTGAGTGGAATCAGAAAGAAAATCAACCGAATAGAGAGAAGTAAGGTTTTGGCAGTCTTTCAAGCAGTTACCAGAAGGACACCACCATCTAGGACTGAATGTGAAATCAAGACATCCGGCCGAATGTGGATCGTCGGTTGATGAACAGCACCAAGGGTTATCGTCGCCGGCTGGTAAGCAATAGAAAGGGTTCATTGAGCTCAAATTGTTGGATGCCTAGACGCTTTGATATCCAGATGTTAGCTGTAACAATCTTTGAAAGAGACTGATCTAAATCGTTGACGGCATTTGAATTTTATACTCATGTATTAGGCAAAAGCCTATAATAGCTAATTTAAAAAAGGGAAAACTCAATGATCATTTGAAGATGTAACTCGAACCTTGAAAGCCATTCAAATTCTTGAAGTATTGTATCTAAGCCCAAAGCCCTTGATTAGTGGGACAGTAAGCATTCCGTAAGGCTTTTTGGAGTTATTTACAGATATTGCGTAAGAAAGTCTTCGTAGTTTCACATTTTTTCGACATTTGGCAATTCACCTGGGCAGCCTTGCAACAGAGCCTCAAAGAAGGGGCTAATACCTTGCATAGTAGGTGATGGAGGTCGCCACTATACCTCGGGTACCTGACTGTTCAAAGGTCCCTTTCCATTAAATTTTGGATGATACAGACCCTTGAGAAAGAGATGTCTGCACCTATTTCCAAGGTTGAAATTGAAGCAGCAGATGCTCACATACATGTGGTAGCTCGGAGCTTAGAAGAGATAACCATAGCCTGGTGGCACTTATGACCGTTGAGTGTTTTTACTCGTGCCAGTGCGATGCCTAGAATGGTGCGAACCCTCCCAAGAATCCGCCGAGTCTGTACGAATATTTTAATCCAGGGATTTTTTTTCTTGATGGTCCTGATCGCTCCTATTTTGAAGTTGTAATGATACAGAAACTTCCAAATGATATACAAGGAATCTGTGAGACAGTGAGAATGAGAAATGAAAAAGAAAATAGTCCTACATCGACCCATGGAAGCGATAATCAAGAAATATTGATTAAAAGGTATCATCTTCCAGCCTCTCTGTACGTCTAATAACACTCGGACTATCGTCGAGGTCATCTGTAATGTCGCCCGCTCCAGCGGTAGCCAAAAGATCGCCCACGATACGCTTGGAGGCTTCCCTAGCTGTTTGAAGGAATCAAATTAGTGTCGACCTCAAAGAATTGCCAATGTGAGAAATCCTTACCAGGTGTTTGCATCAGTCGACTTTGAGGGATATGGAACTGCATGGTTTTAGGAGGACTGGGGCCGAGATCATCATCGAAATCATCATCGCTATCCCAAACTGCACGATTGCCACCAGACTTCTTTGCAGGAGTCAAAACACTGAATCCTGGTTTAGGAATATCGCGTAGACGGTTACTGCTGGTTCGTCGCCTGCGGTTCGTTCCCGGTGTATCAACGCCCTTGATAGGCGAAGAGAAGATCTCCGAGTGCATTTGAGGAGCCTCGGGCTCAGGACTCGAGATTGGCGAGTCATCAAATGCATACCTTGAAGAAGCGGCTTGCTTCGGTGTCGTTGCAAATTTAGAATGAGTATTGGTACCTCCGCCCGGATTACGGGATCCTTTGCCCAGAGGGGTAGCTTGAACACGATAGGTTTTATCAAGCATTTGGTGTAGAACTGGATCAGATGGCTTTCGGTAGCGACCATCTCGAGACGCAGACTGGTACCTGGCCGAGGAAGCTGGCGGGAGAAAAAGGGGACGACATGGGTGTGTCGGCTGCGACTCCAGGAGGAAAGAAAGGCTGCCGACCAGGAGTTGATGGAAGGTTAGAAGAGTCTGGCATATCGAAGGGTGCCGTTGCATCATTGATATGTCTCTTCAAATCCTCATATGAGGATGAATGCCCAATAGAAGACATTGTCATGTCGTCGCCGGTCTGATGGGTAGCTGCTCGAGGCGTACTATGGGAGGAGATTGTGAGTTCGGTCAGATCGAGATCATGTCCATGTCCCTGGGGAACATGATGGCGATTTGATGAGGGGGTATCGTAGGGCTCGTCTTCGTCGTGTGCAGTGCTTTGAGTTATGTCCGCAGAAAGTTCTTCTTCCGTTGCCGTAGGCTCCTGCACCGTATCATCTTCACCGGGTCGTTCTTCGTATCCAGATAGGGAAACGTTGGCGCTCGCTTCGAAGAATTGTTTCCAAAACTGAGCAGCAAATCAGTACGAGGCATCGTTGAGGTCCCCTGAGATTCGGCATACCTTGGCACCATCCCAGACATCACGGGAATGTTCGGTGTATTGCTCTATCAGAGGCAAAATACTTGTTGTCACGATTCGGTGGGCTTGACTGAAGTTTTGATCGATTTCTATAAACGCAATAATGGTTACTATCCCGCTCGATCAGCTTGTTTACGTTTTCTCTTACCTTGGAGAGTCAAAGTGATAGATTGCTCTAGTTTCTCGAGTTCCTCTGTCAAAGAGAGTGGTCGCTCAGGGTGGATTGATTGACGAGACATTGCATACGTCCTCTCGCAACGACACGCTGCAACACTTCGTATCTGGCTTGAGCCGATAGAAAACAATCAAGCTACGCGTCGACTCCACGCGCGGGGAACTCGGTCAAAAGCGGTGTGTTTTTAGGGCAATAGATAAGGGCAGAATTATGTCATGTGGATATCTCGGCGTTATGTAATGGTCATGCTACAGGCAGTCATCCGGCTCTTCCTTGGAAGTTTCCAAGCTGGTCTTCTCTTGGGGGCGAGGCTTACACTGTACAATAATCAGAAGTGAGAGACCATCATGCCTACTCCACTAGCCAAAGGTAAGTCAATAGTCAGCCGTGTGTTGACCATCTCGCTCTAGACCACTCGGGCGGTATGGTCGCGCTTATCATTTCCCCGCTAAAGCATATCTGACGAACTATCCAGGTATCTTGGTCACGGTGACCGCTTTGGTCGCAGCCGGTGTGGCTGTTTACCAGTCTCCTCAGTTTCAAGAATGGATGAACACCTCTCGACGCAAGATTGCGGTTGCCTTGCATAACCTCGGCGATGAGATCCAACCACGCGACGCAGCCTCTCCAGCGCAAGAAGACATTTCAATGACCGAGGAGGTCGGGGAGGCCGCAGAAGAACGCAGACGAATTGCACGAGCAGAAATAATGCGGCGGGCTGCTCTGTTGGAATCCCACCGCAATTCAAAAGACTCCCAGACACCGGGGGACAGTTTCGATACGTTAGTAGACCAAGAGGGCAAGCTCCGCATGCAAAATAAGAATATCCGAGAGCAATCAGAGCAAAACGCAGTGGCTAGCTCGACTGGAGTGGATATTCATTCAACACAGCAGCTTCGACGAGGCAAGCCCAGTGATATTGATGGAAATCGACTGCATATCGATCTTTCTTCTGATACCGTATCTCGCCCATCGGAGTCTATTGCGCAATTCACGCCTACTTCGGAACGTCCACATGAAGAAATATTGTTTGACCCATTTTCCGATTCCCCTGTGAGGGCACAGTCACCTATGTCTGCCTCCTTCGCAGAATCGAGCCACACAGAAGACAACACCTCAGTCTATTACACTCACCCTTATTCATCATCTGATCCCATCCAGCAGCCAGAGTTGATAGCCGATCTCAACGATTTCAGTCATGGAGACCATGTTCAGCATGAAGTTTCATCAGCAGCATCTACGGCGGGAAGTTTCAGCCACGTACACGAAATCTCTGATGTATGGTCTGATGGAACATTGAGTGAGATTGGAGCTCCTTCGGTCGATGGTATTGCTACGCCGTCCAGCTGGTCTGAAATTGGCAGTGTAATCAGCGACCATGATGCTGGTCATCATAATCTCCTATGATTGAGATTGATTTATTATCGTAACAAATTTGAAAGGTATGGGTAACTAGGCGCAGGATCGTGATATATTAAGGTATTTGCTCAAGGATGGGACTTTCGGGATGTGTTTAGCTATCAATATACCAGTGAGTGGTTGAAGTGCAGTCGCTACATAGTTCCCCTAGGATAGATTTATTCTTATGTACATTGTGACCAATATTTAGAATTACTAATTTACATGACAACATTTTGAACTGATTCTTAGTTCCAAGGTTGATAGTAGGACTTATTCCATCAATAAGGTCTATCCGAGTCTATAAATCCGTACTCGGCCTTTAGGAGCTTTTCTTTTGGTCTTAATTCCGTCGCTGACCACGATCAATATTTCCTTTTTGGGGGGTTTGTTTTCTCTATATATCGGACTTAAGATCTAATATCCGAGATGCCATCGAAGCCCTGGAATGCAAGCCATTTACATAATGTCTTCGGATGGATTTAGGCGATCATTTGAATATATAAGAGGCGACAGAAAAACTTGACTGTTTAGAGAACCCGCATTGATCTCAACTCCATTCGCACAGAGGCGAATCCAGAGGTGAACATGACCTCCACTCAAAACATTGTGCTCATCACTGGTGCAAACCAGGGCATTGGCTATGCAGTCGCAGAGCAACTGCTCCAACATGAGAACTACTACATTCTCCTCGGCTCGCGCAACGCAGAGAATGGAATCAAGGCTGCCGCCAAGCTCGACCCCTCAGGCAAATCCGTGGAACCAATCACTATCGACGTGACAGACGACGCATCTATCCAGCAAGCAGCAGATCAAATTGCCTCGAAACACGCTCACATCGATGTCCTAATTAACAATGCTGGCATCAATAATGAGATCACTCATTACTGGAAACAACAAGAAAGCAAAGAAGAAAACAAACCCGACCTCGCAGCTCTGCGCCAGACATACCGTGAAGCCTATGAAGTCAATCTTTTCGGCGCGGCGGTCACTACCGAGGCTTTCATACCACTTCTCAAAAAATCCAATGCAAAGCCCGCGCGTATTGTGTTTGTCTCGTCGCACACAGGCTCTATTGGTCTTCGGACTGATCCATCTTCCGACTTCTATGAGAGGATGAGTCGACCTTCATTTCCTGTTTATCGTAGTAGCAAGACTGCGATGAATATGCTTACGCTGCACTATGCAGCGATGTTCAAGGAGCAGGGATGGAAGGTCAATGCGTCGTGTCCAAATTTGACCAAGTCGGCTTTTTCTCGCTTTAGTGATCTGGGAAGATCACCGGCGGAGTCTGCAGTTAATATTGTTCGGTTGGCGACTCTGTCGGAGGATGGGGAGACGGGACAATACTTGGATGAGAATGGCACTGTTGCATGGTGAATAGTGCTCAGCGTGAACGTGATGGGTGTATGAGCTTCAAATGTCTTTAGTCTATTTCAATTACGCATCAATTCAATATAGTATATGAGAAGGCGACTGAGAGCTAAATTGGTAGAAGCTATCAACTATAAGCACTGACAGAAGAACTGAGCCGTTGTATGACTTCATCGTTGATTAACAAACAGGAGATATGCTTCAAGTTGTTGGCAATGTAACTGTCAAGCCAAACCGAGTTCCTTGAAGAATGCCTCTCTGCTTGGTTCACGACCTAGGAAATCAGTCAGAGTCTTCATACAATCCTGGCTGTCACCCTTCTCAAGAACAAGTTTTCGATATTTTCGGCCTTCTTTGGCGTTGAGAGGGTCAGACCGGAATACCGTGTCAAACATATCAAGGGCATATACTTCCGACCTTTATATAGGTGATCAGTTAAAGATTGATAAAATTTTAATCCCAAAGTAAGGAGTTCTTACCATAAATAGCTGTAAAAGCCCGAATCATACGTGCCCATCCAGTGTGGGATATTTGCCTCGCCATGACCCCATCCATCACCCTGACCTAGTGTCTCAGGACCGTCAGTCAGTCTGATTGCCTTTCGCAGGCTATTGTACTTTGATGAGATATCCAAATCCATGATATCTTGGTGAGTCATAGGTGTATGGATTTTCATATCAAAAATACTAAGAAATATCCGATGCAGGTGATACAGTGCCTTTCTCCAGCTGCGTAATTGGATAAGCCCTGTGATCATCTCGTCAGGGATTTGTTCGGAGGGCCTTGATTGGGGTTCCTCTTTCAATAGACTAAAGCTTTCTGTCGATAGAGTTGAATAGTGTCGACTCAGCGACTTTAACTGTGAAGGTTCCCAGCACCAGTTCTCAAGCATCTGACTTGGCGCTTCTGCAAAGTCTTCCGTTGATTTTGTACCAAGCCGAGTAAATAGTCTTCGCCACAAGGTCATGAATAGCGTGTCCCAGTTCATGAAATATCGTTACAAGATCATCATGTCTTAGGAGACTGGGTTTACCAGGACTAGGCTTGGGGAACTGGCATAACAAAGCTGTGGACGGATAGTGGCGTGTGTTATCTTCTCGAATAGAGCCCTGATATTGTCAGCTCTGAGAGGTAAATTGGGAGCATTAAGATATTTGGGAACATTCTTCTAAAACAGAAAGTTGGACAAGAGATAATACGTACTGGTTGCAGATTCCAATCCGATGGATTTGGATATTTACCGTCTCGTGAGAACAGGTCCATGTAGAGGTAGCCAACGAATCCACTGCCTAGGTCTTCGTCATCCCAAACACTGAAAACCAGTACATCATCATGCCAAACAATGTCACTGCCTTTCTCCACGACCATTCCTTTAAAAATGAGACCAAACAACCTCTGAAAAATCCCTAGCATACCTTGGACACTGGTTTGCAAAGGGAAATACTCTGCAATCTTCTTATGGTCGATTGACAACTCGTTTTGCCTCATTAAACAACTGTAGAATGCATGGTCCCAGAGATAAAAGCCATTAAAGGGTTCTCCACGAGACTCAAGATCTGCCTTTTTGAACTGCTTTTGATCCGCAAGCTCTTCTTGACCACTGGTCGTTAACTTGGACCACAAGTCGTCTAAGAAAATTTCCACCGTCTCGGAGTTTTTGGCCATCTTCTCTTCTATTCTGAACGATGCATGATGTGAATATCCAAGTAGCCGAGCAGCTTCATCGCGAAGCACCGCAGCCTCCTTGAGGATGTCCGCATTCTGTGAGCATTTATTTTCATCGGCAATGAAGATTTTCTTTCGGGTTTCTTCGTTCTTTGCATATCGTAGTGCCATGAAGATATCTGATGACTTGAAACTTAGCCAAACCTTACCCAGATGATTGTCATCGGTTTTTCTCTTCTGCAAGCTGGATATAAAGTCCGCAGATACTCCATCCAATTCCTGCAGGGTAAGCCAAATACCTCCATGTTGGCTGTTGAGATTTTTTTGGTAGTCAATTCTAAGCTGATTGAGATGTTTCTTGATTTCTTTGAAGCGCAACCGCTGAGATTCGGGGAGTCCCAATCCATTTCGTTCATAATCTTTGTATTTTTTCTCTAACAATCGACGTGATTCAGGATCCAGTTCTTCAATGTTGCTTTTGTCGAAAACCCACTTGACTAGGTTGTATAGGTCTTCCCGAGTCTCGGTCTCAAGAACAAATTCGTTAAAAAGTTTCTCAGCCTCCCTTGATGCATCACGAAGCTCCGGGTCGGTCGATACAGATTGATAGAACTTGAGAATTTCGAATTCAATAGCCAATAAATTCTCATCGTTCGCGAGTGGTAGCAGAACATTTGCAAAGGTTGCATCCTCTAGCGGCACATGTGCCACAAGCTCATCTTTCGCCTTTCGGGAGCGCTCTATCAGATCCATAGCCTTGCTGAGAATCGATGATTGTGTGTCACTGAATCTCGGAGGCGCCTGAGGTGGCACTTGCAGCTTGTTTGATGACATTTTTGTATCTGATGATGTCTTTGTACTAGGATATTGCAATGAAAGGGGAAAAGAGAAGAGCCAAATCGCTACTCCGAGATATAACTGAGAGTAGTTATACTTGGCTGGCGGGGTCCATTACCTGGTTTGGAAGATAGTATTAATAAATGCCAGCATAATGATAACAACCTATGCATCGGTCACATCCGTGCGCGAATACTTATTCGAATTTAATTGAATTCACAACCCTGGTAAGTTAATCAAACCTATCACGAACCAGGGTTTAAGATGAGTATCTCAGTCTAAACGGTTCTAAGAAAGTGACGAGCAGTCTTTGTGTGATTCCGTGACGGCGTGCAGGCTGTCGCGTAACTAGTATAACCAGACGGACTCCGACGGGGTACTTATTGGCGGAGGCCGCGCGGCTTACATGGATTAGAGATACATATGGCGCAGGTCTCGGCCCAAGTTTGGAGATAAGGACATATTTTTACTAGCCAATCCTTAATTCCACGCGTTTTTCAAATGCAGGGAGCCTTAACCCTCCAATCTAGCAAGCTTCAGGGAGTCAATCCACAGACAGTCTTCCTTTTTGGGGTCATAGGTCTGCTCAACCCACCCAGCTCCAAAGGTCTGACCATCGTCCTCGCCACGATCAGCTTCCTTCACATCTTCAAGATACTTGCCGCCTTTTTTCTCCCATTCTTTGCCAATAGCAGCCCAGACAGTTGTAGCCGCACCCTGTGCCGGGGATTTTAGAATCTTTAGGACATATGGATTGGTTATGATTGCTTCAAAAGCCTCATGGGATAAATGACGGGAGATATTAGTGTTGATGGCTCCTGGGTGAAGACTGGTGGCATGGAGTCCCTGGCTTCCATAGAGACGCTCGATCTTGTTGGCAAGGTATACCGCTGCAAGCTTAGAATTGTTGTACGCAGTCTCATGGCTGTAGGCTGTCTTCTCGAAGTTGTAATTGTCGCTTGCTGGGAGTTTACCAGCTCTGTGAGCGGATGAAGCGACTATGACGACTCGTGAACTGAAATCCGGAGTGACACTTGCGAGCAAGCTTTCCTTCAACAGTTGAAAGAGGAGGAAGAAGCCCAGATAGTTACCAGAGAACTGGGACTCAATGCCATCTTCTGTAAGATTGCATTCGGGTACACCCATAACGCCGGCACTGTTGATTAAGAGGTTGACCTGGCCATTCGAGGCAGAGAGAATCTGATCCGCTCCGGCTCGAATACTTCTGAATGAGTCGAGGTCCAGGGGGATCAAGGAAAATTTTCCTGGGGCCAGAATTCCGGCCAAGCTCTTATTTGCCTTTGCCAGGTTGCGAGCTGGAAGGAATAGGGTAGCACCAGTAGCTGACAAGGCGCGGGCCGTCTCGACACCAATGCCCGATGTAGCTCCAGCAATGACAATGACCTTCCCAATAAGCTTGCCCTTAAGGCCCTCGTCCTTGATTATCTGTAGGGCAGTAGGTCGAGCGTCTCCAGCTCCCTGAGGATCTCGGTGCACCTCAGCGTAGGGGCTCGGCGAAGTCATCGTAAATGTTATATTTGCGCAATTAATATGGTTGGAAAACAGGCGTTGAAAAGGAATGGCCAAATAATGGAGGGACTTGTGATTGATGGGCTCAACAATAAGATCTTCATGACGAGTCGCGGCTGGCTACTTATACCATGCGGCCTAGCCATTCTTTGCTCCAAGGTCAAGTTTCCAAGATCTTGGTGGTAAGTTGCATACAACTGGTGTCCGATTCCATGACTGCGGAATTTTCTGGATTTGTAATATGCGTCCTCAGGATTTTTCATCAAACGGGGGTGAGATGCGGCCGACTGATTTAAGGTCCGCTCCGTACGGCCGCATAGTCCGCAAAATGCGGCCATCAACTGCGGCCGCCATATTTCCGGCAACGCCGCATACTCCCACAAACCTACAGTTCTCTTCTTTCGGGATATTCAACAGAGTCTGATCGACCTGAATATCAATTTCAGAACTGACCCTGCGCTGGGTCCTCTGCAAAGCCACAATGCAGACATCGACTGCTGAGTCCGGCTTGGATCCGGCCCCGCAAGCCTGTCAATCATGCAGGTCACGCAAGAGGAAATGTGATAGAGCACTTCCCAGATGTGCCTCTTGTGCCAAGTAAAAAAAACCACTCAAACTGAAGCCTCGGCCACATTGCAGCTAACTTTCTGACAAGACATGATCGACCATGCGAATACTGGAGGCCAGCTCCAACCCCTCGTTCAGTGACTGCATGTACCCCCGAGAACCCATGGTTCATATCCCCACCGAATGATGACAACCCGAATATCCAATCGATTGATTTCTCCTCTATACTATTCCTTGATCCTGGTTTGTTGCAGCATGGATTAGTGGAGACGGTTCGTTTCGCCCCGCCTGTCCCGCCGCATATTCTCCATCTACTAGGTGACCTAGATGAGATCCGTTTGACTGCAGAGAGGTTCTTTAATCATATACATCGATGGATGCCATTTATATCCAAGAAGCGATTCTATGACCTTTATCTGCTGCCTTCATTCCAAACACGATCCGAATTAGTCTTACTTTTCCTGGCAATGAAGCTTATCACGACCTTTCCACCGACTGGTTCACAGAGTCATCGTACAGCGCTATATCACGCAGCTAAGCATTTCCATCTGATGACGGAAGAGTGTCTATCCATATTAGTACTACAAGCGGGGCTTCTGATAGCACTGTATGAGCTTGGGAATGGAATATACCCAGCTGCATACCTGTCGATCGGAGCGTGTGCGAGGTATGCTTATGCATTGGGGATCAATGTTTGTGAGACAGTGCCCAAAAAGAAAGTGCTCACTCTTGTTGAAGTTGAGGAGAGGAGACGAGTTTGGTGGGCCATTGTTGTTCTAGACCGGTTCGTTCTAGTCTTCCCGAGCCTTTATTTCAGAATCTTAACAATGGCATAGGTTTATAAGCATTGGGTGCCCAGGGCGTCCTTTCGCAACGGCTGATCCAAAACTTGATGATTTGTTACCATCTGATGATACTGCGTGGGATGAAGGGGTATGTTCATCCATATATGCTTGTCGTTGTTCTTGTTTCATTCAAATGCTAAAGTCTAGAACAGATCGTTAGGCCGGACAGACTTTCGGCTCTCTCATATCCGACGGCAGGAAATATGAGCAAATTTGCCCTGGTTTGTCAGGCTGCTCGCCTTTTAGGTCAAGTCCTCCACTTTCTCTCTCATGATCCGGCTAGCCAAGATGGTGCTTGGCAGCAACTTGATCGTACATTGCATTCAATGCTCACGGCTGCGTTGAACATCGACGACCCAGATTATGACCAGATCACATTTATCTACAGGTCAGCATATATGTTTGCCCGCAGTCTCAATCGATTTCTAATATAACGTTTCTTCCAGTGCCTTGGTTGCTCTGTACACACCCTGGATATCGTCTAATGCGAATAAAAAAATCGATAACGATTACGCTCAGCAAGCCAATCTTACTTTGCAACAAATTATCGATCGAACCAATGCAAACTTGATCGAGCGTCAATGCTTTCTTGGTCGTAACCCAGAAGACATATCCCCTTGGGGCCTATACTTTGCGTACCGAATCTGTAGTGCACATATGCATCCTAGCAGAAGTTCTGACAACGCCGATGTGAGTAAGACTCTTTGTGAAACTCTCCAGGTCATTGATATGCGTTGGGGTGTCGCAGGTGTGTATCTTCAACTACTGGAAGCACAGGAGGCGATCCACCAACTTGAAGGAAGTTGAGTGGAGTATGTTGATATTTTGCTAGAGCTTTATTCATGCCTAATCAATTTTGTGCAGAGTCCAATCTATTTTTGATATTTGAAGTAGAATAGCTGACAAATAGATAAATGTGTGATGAGCACTTTCATAGTATGGACCTTGGATGTCTATGTGGAGAAAGTGTCATCGGATAAGCAGCGGGACAAAAGAGCCTCGGCACTTTCGGTCCACGTAGAAGCGGAGTGTCTCACTACTCACTACTACTTCATCTCAACTGTTCCCTTCCTTTCTTTCCCCAGACTCCTTTTTTTCAATTCGGTAAGTTGAAGGATTGATTATTATGGACTAGGTGACACAGTCCCTGCCACCTCTATTATCCTCTATTATCCTCTATTTCCCCAGCCTCATCGAGTGGTTGCAGCAAGCTTCCCCGCAAGTAGCCGCAATAACTCCGAATACCTCCTACATTCCATCACAGTTGCACAAAAGTGAAGCCGAGAGATCTAACATACTCACCTAGTCTAATACTACACAATAAATATGGCTGCAGACCGTCTTAGCTCAATTTTGAGCCACCTGAAGGGCTCCAACACTGGCCTCGCTGCAATGTAAGCTCCTAGCAACGGTCTCCAAAATACACACCTAAATCTAACAGCTCCCAGTACTCAGAAGAACCCAGATGATGTAGTGATCACCCTATCACTGCGAACGCCTCTGACTAAGGCCCACAAGGGCGGCTTCAAAGATACCGAGCTGGACTACATCCTCTACGCGTTGCTGAAGGAGACTCTGGCTAAGTCCAAAATTGATCCCGCACTGATTGAGGATGTGTGCTTGGGTAACGTACGTATAACACTCAATCTGGTGCGCTCACTCGTCTAACATGATCCAGGTCGGTGAATCCAAGGCAGCTTACATGGTCCGTGCCGCCGCTCTGGCTGCCGGAATCCCACACACATCCGGCGCTTCCAGCGTAAACCGTTTCTGTTCCTCCGGTCTGAAGGCCGTGCAAGATATTGCAAACCAGATCCAGCTCGGCGCCATTGATGTTGGTATCGCGATGGGTGCCGAGCTGATGTCCGCCGCCGGCGATCGTCTCGAGCGGCCCTTCAACGAGGAGGTTCTGCGAAACCAGGAGGCTTCTGATTGTATGCAGCCTATGGGTCAGACCTCCGAGAACGTCGGAAAGGACTTTGGTATCTCGCGTGAGCAGCAGGATCGTTACGCGGCGGAGTCTTTCCGTCGTGCCGAGGCTGCGCAGAAGGCAGGTTGGTTTGATGATGAGATTACGCCCATCTCTGTTAAGGTCAAGGATCCTAAGACTGGGGAGGTTAAGCAGGTTACCTTGACTAAGGATGATGGAATTCGTCCTGGAACTAACTATGAATCCCTGGCTAAGATTCGACCTGCTTTCCCGCAGTTTGGTGATAAGTCTACTGGTGGAAACTCGAGCCAGGTTACTGATGGTGGTATGTTTACACTGGATCGCATAATGGGAAAGTACATAGTCTAACAAACCTTTCTGAATAGCCGCTTCTGTTCTTCTGATGCGTCGCTCCAAGGCCATCGAGCTGAACCAGCCCATCCTCGCTAAGTTCTGTGGCGCCACTGTTGCTGGTGTGCCTCCTCGCGTGATGGGTATTGGTCCCACCGCTGCTATTCCCAAGCTGTTGAGCAAGTTCCAGTTAGACAAGAACGACATTGATATCTATGAGATCAATGAGGCTTTCGCCTCCATGGCTGTTTACTGTGTGGAGAACCTTGGCCTAGACCATGCTAAGGTGAACCCACGTGGTGGTGCTATTGCTCTTGGTCACCCGCTAGGTGCGACTGGCGCGCGCCAGATTTCTACTATTCTGAGCGAAGCTCGTCGGACTAAGAAGAAGATTCTGATTACCAGTATGTGCATAGGAACTGGACAGGGTATGGCTGGTTTGTTTGTCAATGAGCAGGTATAAATCTCATTAGATCTCTATCGGGACTTGGTACTATACTAAAATGGCCAAATTGGATTGTACAATGTGATTCATCAATATGATTTATAATTCATCTCAAGTCGTATGTATGCATAAATCTCATAGACGAGGTCATAAGGGTATCAGATCCAAACAATGCAAAGAGTACAAGTAACGAAAATGACAATATGTGCGATCATTGCCGCCCATCATCCTGTTTCCCTTTCTCATTCCCCTTCTTCATCCTCTCCTCAGCAGCACGCGCAATAATATCCCTCCTGGACTCCGTCCCAGAACTAGGAGTCGATCCCGACGCTGAAGCCCCATTACCCAAACCCCCAAGCACAAACTCACCCCCAGTCCATCCACACTCATCCACAAATTCCTCCTCCCCACTCTGCACTCTTTCCCAATCACCGGGATTATAAAACTCATCCTGCGTCAACCGATTCCCACCAGATTTCCAATCCGCCCTCTCAACCTCCTTCTCAATCTGGGAGGTCAAATCCCAGAAATCGCGATCATGAGGCCCAAAGACACAGTGCGCTAGCTCGTGACAAAGCGTTTTGCGAATCGTTCTATAATCCCGATACCCATCGTACGCATCTGTACGCAAACGAAGTTCAATAACCTCGCCTTTATTCCTGTTTAATCCCAGGGTCCGCGATTCGCTGGTTGTGTGTTCCGCTGGATTCATCTCTGTGAGGAGAGGTACAGAGAACTTGTGTTTTGCCATTGCGGCGCGGATGCCTGGGTCATCGCGAAGACGTTCGAGGAATTGTAGTGAGCGCGCGGGATTCGGGAGGTATGAGAGTGGGAGGCAGCGGTGGAATGTATAGTTATTGCTTGATGAGGATAAAGTGTGAACACCACCGCCGGTACTGCGGGATGCGGTGGTTTTGTTTCGACGTCCAGCGGCGAGTGCTGAGATACGCGCTTCTTCGCGCTTTTTGACGTCGGAGGATTGTTTGTGCAGGTCGGCGATGTCTTGGGCTGGGGTGCCGAGGAGGGTGATCTTGAATTTGGGAGAGGAGAGTGGGAGCTCACTAAGTTGGCTTGGTGGGAATGGAGCTTTCTTCATGCCTGGTTTTGGGGCGATGAGGAGCTTTTGGTTTGTGGTTGGGATGTTCAGTGTTGATTCGATTGTTGAACTGAGATCTTGTAGTGTAGCGGAGGGAGACATGTTGAAGGTATGTGCGGTGCCTTGGTGGTGCACCGTTAACTCGATTTGCGGCTCCATTATAAAGGATATAGATGGTTCTCTTGATGACTCTGGCGCTTGGGAAATGGTAAGGAACTTCTTGATATAAGATCTCGATTACTATGAATTCGACGGGGTTCCACGGCGATAGCTTTGTCAGCCGGAGATAAGCGTGCACCGACTGATCAGTTGGTGGCAACATCTATACGACATGCAAGTTACACATTTGGTTGAGTAGTACGGCCTGGAACCAAATTAGCCATTGAAAATGACAAAATTCAACTTTGATTAACTTATATCCCTAAAGAGGAACTGCCTGTTCATCCTGAGCTTCTTCGGTCTCAGTCTCCTGCTCGACATCATCTACTTCCTCGCCGAATCCAGACCAAAGTTCTTCAAGATAGTCCTCCATCCAACTATAATCATTCTCCGGAACATTTTCATCTCGAAGAGGTGGGTTCTTGGGAAAGTACTCGGCTAGAGTTTCTGCAGGGCCATCATCTGTGGATCCCGTCGTGTTGAATCCGAATGCCTCACCTTCACCTGAGCGACGGAGAGTCCGATCAGCCAGTTGAAACTGTGCACTGGTGACCAATTCGCTGAGGGGCTCTATTTCCGCTGATTGGAGATACATTTCCTCAAGCCACGAGAGAGATGTGTCTCCTTCCATTGGATTCACCTGAGAATAAATGAGTATTGTCACTTCGGGATGGGCATTGGGGATCTCTCCTCACTCCTGCCTGTGGCTCTTGCGAATAGGTAAGTATGGGTACTTTTTGAGCTGTTGGGATAGCCTCTTTAGCTTCAGCTGTGACTGTCCTAGTTTGGGCGGTATTCGATGAGCCGAACTTCTGTTTCAACCCCTCTAATGTTATGTTTTTCCCTGTCGAAGGCTTTGGAAGACTAATAGTTGCTTCCTTCTGCGGTTTCACTTTAGGCTTTGCTTGTTGCACTGGGGCTTTTGATTCTGCAATCTTGGGAGCAACCGTTGGTGGGTCTGAAATATTCTTTGAAGATGCAGGATCAGGCTGTCTGGTGCTAGCGCCCGTTGCTGGCGCAAAGAGACCACCTCCGTCCTCGATCGACTTTCTCCAGTTATCCGATAAATAGCTTTTCTGCTCTTTGACAGATTTGGCAACCCGGAAACTGACATGATCAACTAACTCAGTTTGCGGAAGTATGCTTTTCAAGGTGGCGTTAAAGCTTGCTGGGTCCGTAATCGCCGTGAATGCTAAAGGAAATGCAACGGCGGCAACAGGCCCAATAACAGGGATAAAACCAATTGCGATAGTCACATTGTTCTTGATAAAGTCCATAAGCCATGCACTTGGATTAGGTGGGGTCCATTGAACCGTAAGTCCAAAGTTGGCATTGACGATCGTGGTCCAACTGATGTCCGCGGAATCTGAAAATGTTTGAACATTACCTTTTCTGCTCACCATATCCCGATCCACTATGCGAATGATCTGAGCGGAGAATACTGTGTGCTTTCTGAGGAAACGAGGTACTGATAGGAGATTAACCAGCTGGGGAATATTCACTGCCATGGTCCATTCTGCATCAGCTGGTAGGCCAAGAGTGGCATCCATTTTGATCGTGTCCCAGCCATCCAGGACGTCGTAACCAAAATCTGGGTACCATTTGCCGCTGTGCTTCATTATCTTAACCTCTCGGCTCATGGCAAAGTTGACATTCTGGAATGTGCAAAGCTCAGGGTATTCCTCAGATGATTGCTGTGCAACTGGGATGTATATTGCACGAATGCAAGCTGTTCGCTGGAGGATGAATTCAAGTCAATCCTGGTCATTTTTGATTCCTCTTCTGGATATGAGCTTACATCAATAAGAAGCCACTCTTCCCCATCTGACAGTTTGGGCATAGGCAAAACCATGAAAAATGATTCCAAACTTGCGCCTCTCTCTTGATCTCGAAATCGATTCCCGGATGTACATAGATTGTGTTCTGCCATTCTATATCCGATGGGGTCCCCATAATCAGAGCAGGGGTTCTTGCCATACATAATGAATATATTTGACCAGGCTCCATAGTGCGTGCCCCAAAAATCGCCTTTCACAACTTTGAATGTTGAACGTGGATGGAAATGACCGCCTGGTGGTTCTGCTTCAGTTTTTCCATGGAATGCCGGTCGATTCCATATGTATTCAAGCATGAAATGACCATAGAATTGATGGGCATTGTCAGCATCGTAGTAGGGAGTTTTCAAAGCAGATCGCTTGAAGAAACATTCTCCTTCGGGATAAGAAAGGGCCATGGTTAGTGCGTATGTGGGGAATGTTTATAAGATTGGACGAAATGTGTTGGATTTTTACCTAGGGAAGTAGAGTCTATTTAAAGCTATTAGATTATATGCGAGAAGCATGTACACGTGAGACGTAGTGCCGTCAGTAAGACATCCAGACTGGACGTGCCACAGCCCACAGCCCACAGTCCATCTTCAAATTTCTTATAGAGATGAGCAGGATCATCATGTTTCGCCAATAATATATGAGCCGATACAGGGATGCTCAGTCCTCAATTCAATGTGTAGTCCACTGTTCCTTACTGCACTTTGTATGGATCAAATACCCACGTACAACTTGAATTGTCTAAGTTCACGCTAGGTATTCCAACAATTTGAAGGCAGGCCACCGACCTTGGAGATTTTACTTTGGGATCAATCCACTCAAGGTTTTGGGGATAACCTTAATTCAACAAACGAAAAGACTACGAACTAGGGTTTTTACCTAGTATCGTGATTTCCAAATCAGGTACGCATTGATTTGAACCTTGCTGTGCCTCATTTAACAGTCTTCTCTCCGAGATTAATTCTGATCCAGACTTTGTGAAATGTTCGAACGATCATGAGTATCATGAGTTGTACTAGACACTATGCATACCAAGTTCAAGTTGTACCATATCCTGCGGCGATTCCTGCCAAACTCCCTGCCAATAGAAATCAAATATCCCAAATAACCCAAATACAAAAACCGGTCCAATCAAATGCCAGATATACAAGAAGTGAAGTCGTAAATGCCGAAACGAGTGTCAAGAGTGGCTATGCTTGACTTGAGAATGGATCAAAATGGATCTAAAGAGGGAATATGCAGATAGAGTGGACCGAGGAAGAGAAAAGGTGGAGGAAATAGAAAGAAAATAGAAAAATATAAGCATGAGTGGAATCAAACATCACTCATACTGTTTCTCATCAGACTCGGACAGCTTGACTGTCAACTTGGCAATAATATCATCCGAGATCCATTCCGCCAGCTCGGGAAACCAAGTATGACTATAAAAAATCAGTTAGTAAACCGCCCAGTCAATCCATCAAAAAAGGTAGAAACTCACTTATGAAACTTGCTGTTGATCAAGGCCTTAGCCGAATACTCCTCCATAAGAACCAAATCATACCCAAAGGGTACATTGGCCTGTACACCCTCAAAAGAAGTCTTGCGCAGGGGATACAAATCTCCAATGCGATACTTATGGAAGTTCTTACACTGCCAAATATCCGGATGCGTATCCGGTTCCAAACGACTCAATCCCGTGATATCAATATACAATCCCGTATCCACATCAATCCACCTCGCATCAATAATATTATGACCTTGTCCTCTCTCTCGCTGCCTTGACCAAGGATTCACATCAAGCAAATACTGTCGTTTCTCCCTTGAATCCGGCGCAGTATATTCCACCACCGTACCATTATAATGATCCGCTAGGTATGCGAGCGTCGTGTCAGGGACCTGGGTATCCATATCCCAGTCCCAGGGAAGAATTCGACCATTCCACCACCAGCCCAGTAAGGTGCCATGTGCAATCCAGGTTTCGAGCTCGTTCTCGTTGAAGAAATTTAGGTAGGCGCGAATCATATGTATGAGGGTTTCGGAGCGGGAGGCATCGTCTACTGGGGATGTGAAGAAGCGGGTATCGTAGTGACCAAGGATATCGTCGCGGCCGGGTTCATGGAAATATTTATATTCGGCGGAGGCATTGAGGCCGTATTTTAGCCAGAGAGGGTCTTTCAGGGTTTGATCGACCCATTTCTTGGGCGCTGGGTCGGGTTGACTGGTTCGTTTGATGTTCGACTCTGATGTATGTATGTCTGTGTTCAAGTTTGTATCGGCTGGACTGGGCAGTGCGGTGGTCGCTGTGGACCAGAGTGCAGAGGCGGCGAATAGCGCTCGCCAATGCATCTCCGGTCGTTTGGATGATTAAGGCCCGCTAATGGGGAGGATTGGTATGTTTTTTTATAATGGTCGTGTTGAATAGCAGCGCTTTGATGTTCTCATGCTGGAAATGAAGAATTTCTCTTTTCTTATCCCTGGATATATGCTCAAGTTTTTTGTGAAGTTTGTGCAAAGGGTGGATTTTCGCATGTACAAATGTCGGATTATTCCACAGGGAGAAGTCGAGGATTCGTATATATGCCCAGGGTGGATCTGCGCCGGTAATAAGGTGTATATACAACGCTGATCCTCCTGAGATATGAGGATTCAACAGGGAGATCCTAGAAAAAGAAAAGGGAAAAAAGAATACGGAGAAAAGGGCGGGAGGAGAGCTAAGAAACCAAGGATTACCCGGCCAATCCGGACAATAGGTTCAAGAAAAGGCACCTTGGAGCGGGGCGGCTTAGAACGGATGGATATCCCCACTGTTGGGACCCAGAGATGGACCCGATCTACCAAGAAACAGCGGAAGGGAATAAGGAATAGGGGAGGGGGATGAGCAGGAGTTTACAATTCTATGGGGCAAGGGTGACATGTTTATGAAGAATGTCTGGGCTCCTAGCGAGGGGCCACAACGCAACCCCTCAAGGTAGTTTCAAGTTTAGAGCACTGATGTTATGGGGTATAAGAACAATGCGAATACGATCCAGCGGTTAATTGATGGCATATATGTATTAATGTGTCTGTGACAAGTGACAACTCTGTACGGAGTAAGGAACTTGAAACCACGTATGAACATAAAGGTGTTGAAAGTGAACTTGTACAGGGGTAAATGGAGCTAACGTGATATCGCGTGCCAGCTTTCCCAAGTCAGGTCATCACCCCCGCTAGGTGTTATATGGCTTGGCCCCATTGCCCCATCATTATAGCCATTCAAATGTTTGAACTTTTTTGTATTTCCAGATGTCAAATGTTCCCTCATGATCTGGATATCCCCCTATGAATTATCCCTCCACGTTCAGTGAAGAGATCACTCCCCTTTGAACCCTGTTAAGGGACTCTTGGCAAGAAACCCTGAACTTCAGGGCTCAGACCCACTGAACAGGAGACAACTTGCCCAAATAGTGTTAGTTTGAGTGGGGTCGGTAGGATCTGTCATCGAATTACCGAGAACGGTCAATATAGGATAGTTGGAGCATAAAGAGAGAGTTAAAGCCATTGAAAGCACCTATTAGTCCACTATTGAGGGGAATTTCCGCTCTGATACTTGTATCTAAATATTCCATCTTTTTGACCTCGTAAAGAGCCTTAGGGAAAATCTTGGCAATTCCGGTTCTTCCGGAATCCACTCTAGGCTACAAAAATCCAGGACAAGGCTATAAACCTCCACAATGGAACTTGGAATCCACAGAAAAAAAAAAAAACTTTGAATTCAAGGTTGGAACTCGAATTCGTATCCTTCGTATCCTTGGTCCAAATGCGAAGATAATTCTTGGCAGCGGAAGAATAATGTACATAGGAGTACTCCGTGTAAGGCATAATTTTGAGTTCCTAGGATCGGAGAAATAGAGGAGAAATTGACCAGTTGTCTATGCCAAGATTAGCTGGTTACATTGCATTTACATGCTCCAGGTATGCACATGTATGTACCCACATATATCAGAGACAATATACTCTGTAAGACTTTTCGAACAGAAATCTGTGTAGGACAAAATAGGCTTCTTTAAAGTGATGGCCGGGTGGCACAGCCTTTCGTCTAATGTAGATCTCAACTGGGAATCAGGGCTCAGGAATCTGGAAAATAGGAAAATAGGAAATAAGACTGGTGACGATCACTTCTACGATCGTCGGGCCCGTGAATGGCTGTCTATGTAGTGTTCTCAACTGAGTTGGTGTAAAAAGTTCTGCCTTACGAATGTGGATTTAGTCCTGGTACTACAGACTCCAGTCTCTCAGTAACCTTGGAAGAGCACTTGAGATACCAGTTGACGGAACAATTAGACTAAATCATGCATGATGGGAATTTATCTATTTATTGAGAAAAACGATCTACATCATAACGGGGTGCCATTAAACATCAAAAAAATGATCAACATCAGTATAAACGGTTGATCGAGTCTAGGTCCGTGAAAACATCTCTTGAGCCTTTTCATCATCATGCCGCGTAGGTACCACCTGTCAAAAAAGTGGTACAACGCTTATAACCAAGTAAAAAAGTGACCTGCTGGAGGGAGGAGAGAAACAGAGAAAGGAGAGGGAGGGAAAAACCGGGATAGGATCATGCTAGATTTACTGCTTCTCCTCACCCTCAGCCTCACCCTCGGGCGCATCCTTCATCTCAGCATCGCCCTTAGCCTCATCAGCAGCCTTCTTGGCCTCCTCCTCGGCCTTCTTCTTAGCATCGAGCTCAGCACGACGCTTGGCAGCGGCCTCCTCCTCAGCCTTCAGGATGGCCTCACGCTCAGCATCGGCCTTCTCCTTGTAGCGCTGAATGATGGGTCCGGAAATGAAGCGGATCTCATCCATCTTGGCAACGTAGACAGACTTGGTGGTGTCCTCACCATCCTCGTACAGCCAGTCCTCGGTGTCTGTCAGCTTGGCCCGCAGCTTGTCCTTCTCCTGTTCGTTGGCAAACTCGGCGTAAACGCCTTCGATCTTGTCACGCAGCTCGTAGATGGAGGCCTCAAGCTCGTTCTTCTTCTCGTCGGTCTCAGCAACAAGCTTGTCCTCCATGTACATAGCGTTCTCGCGCTCCTGGAGAGCCTGCTTGCCGGCCTCGTCGATACCACCGACTCCGGAGACAATGGGCAGGTCACCCTTGCGAACCTGCTTCTTGACCTTGCGGGTCTTCTTGGGCTGCTCTTCACCGTTAGCGTCGGTGTCCATGGCCTGTAATATTATGTTAGCACGATTGGAATTTTGTAAATGGGACAGAAAATGAAAACTTACATCACCCTCCTCGACGACGGGCTCCTCAACCTCAACATCCTCAACGTAGTATCCAGACTCAACGTTAAGGATACCGTGCAGGTTCAGGCGGGCCTTGAGCTTGCAGATCATGAAGTCATCGCTGGCATCAGCCTGAACACCCTTGACGGAGAAACGACCAATCCAGGGGTTAACCTTGCCGGGCAAGCCCTCGGGCTTAGAGTAGCGAGCCTCGAGGTCAAAGGGCTGCTTGCGGTAGAAAGTGAGAATCTTAGTGGAAGGCATGACGTTGCCGCGGTTGAAGACGGTGAGGCTGGTGTCCTCATCGGGGATCTCGGGGGACTGCTCCCAAGTGAAGTCAATGGGGTAGTTGACAATGTCGTGGACAGCGAAGTCACGGACACGGAAAACGGGGGAGAGGGTGGCACAGCAGAAAGCACAACCACGGGCAATGGCCTCATCCTGGTTAAGGGTGAAGGAGAGACCCTTGTTGAAGAACTTGGCGATGGTCTCCTTGATAGCGGGGACACGAGTACAGCCACCAACCATCTCAACGTGGTCAATGTCATCAACAGTAAGCTTGGCCTCAGCAAGAGCCTGCTCCAGAGGAACAGTGAGTCTGTCCAGAAGAGGGCGGACCATATCCTCGAGCTCCTCACGCTTAACCATAGCCTTAACATCGGTATCCTCCATCAGAGACTCAATGCTCAGAGGAGCCTGGGGGGTTGGCCGACAGAACCTTCTTGAGCTTCTCAGCGGCGGCAATAGTACGGGACCAGGCCTTGGGGTGAGTGCGGATGTCAATCTTGTACTTCTCCTTGAACTCATCGGCGAAGCGCTCAGTCAGAGCCAGATCGAAGTTACGACCACCGAAGTGACGATCGCAGGCAGTGGCCTTGACGTTGAGCTCACCCTTGCGGAACTCAACAATGCTGGCGGTGTAATCACTGGCACCGATGTCGACGAAGACAACGCGACGGGGCTTCTCTTCAGGACCGGGCAGGTCGAGCTTGGTGATACCGTAGCCGAGAGCAGTGGCGGTGGTGTCGTTAACCAAGCGGAGAACGTTGAGACCGGCGATCTCACCAGCATCGATCATAGCGCGGCGCTGGATATCGGTGAACCAAGCGGGAACACTGACGGTAACATCGGAAACGGGCAGACGGAGCTCCTTGGAAGCGATATCCTTGATCTTGGTCAAGTACATAGCAACCAGCTGAGTGGCTGTGAACTTCTCCTTCTTGCCCAGGTAGTTAGCCTCAACACCAGCCAGTCCGTTGACATCACTGATGGTGGCGGTGTTGTACTGCTGCTCAATCTTGACATCAGGGTCATCGAAAGAGCGGCCGATAAGACGCTTCAGGGAACCGATGGTGTTCTTCAAGTTAGAGGTCTCTTGTGTCTTGGCAGCTTCGCCGATGTGTCTGCTGCGGGCGCTGAATCCAACGAGGGAACTATTGGGCACAAATTTCAAGTCAGTCATTCAGGTCCGAAAAAGTTTTCTTTTTTTTCTTTTTGCTTTTTTTCTCCCGTAGACCTAACATATTTTGTTGGGCAACAAGATTCACAATTACTTACGGAGTCTGTCGGTTGGAAACCTCATTGGTAATCTATATCAACGGAAGAAATAGCCGTTAGTATCAATTTCATCATGTTGCCGTATGATGGCCGCAATCAATAAGGACGAGGGGTCCCGCAACCACTGGCGGGGCAAATACTTACAATGTCAATACCCTTGTTCCTGGCAACACCAATCTTGGTGCTCTGCGCACCGAAATCAATACCGACAACAGACATTGTAGGCTGATAAGGAGAAATGGATCAAAAGGGGAAAGGATGGGTGGGAAGATGAAAAGGAAAAGGATCAGAGAACGGAAGAGAACTTTTGGAGGGGAGAATTTCTACGCCACTCCACTCTTATTATTGGCGGGGAGAAAAGGATAACCAGGGTCAAGCGGTCTGGCTTCTTTTTTTTATGAATGGGGGTATAAAGATATGTAGAAGATAAGATTGGTAATGTAAAAAAGGTTAGAATATGAGAATAATTGAATATCCGGGAAATTTCTTTTTCAAATATAATCTTTGGCTCTATACTACAGGCTACATTTGCCATCTGTGACTGTGGGTGATCGAACCTTCCAGCGATTACTAGACCAAAGTGACTCACCGCTTCGGTAATTGGGCAGAAAACATTTTTCATCCTTCACCGCTTGAAGGATTACATAATGGTCCACATGGTTCACAATGAACTCCAGGGCTATCATATAATTGGATTGAACGTCGTAGATTATTAACCTGATGCAAGAGGACTCCGCCGATCAGGCACAAGAGAGGAACTGGTATCCTGTATGATGCAATGTCAGGCTGAGAAGTGAAAACAAGATACTTGAGAAAAGGGGAGTCAATGCGTCAGCAGCAATATTAAAAGGAGACCGCGATATGAGACACTAAAAATAGAATCCAAAGAAAAGAAACAAAGGCAAAGAAAGGAAATGAGAAGGGGAGCAATGTGCTAGTGAAAGAGAGTTTGTAGGGCAAAAGTGGGACATGAAAAAAAAAACATCATAGTTGATGTCAGTGCAAACAAATCTTATTAGACTATCCCACCAGGTGTTTGAAAGGCACGGTGATGTCTCGGATATTGTACCCGCCATGTTGGTCGTTGAAGCTCCACATTATCATGGGGGTCAGATGAATAGGCTGTATCCGACCTCCACTGCCGCTCAGAATAAGGATGGACATCATGGAGAGTAGGTGCGTTGAAGCTGCCGGGGATTTCAAGGACAGGCTCTGGGTGAGTGGGCCAACTCTCGCCATAGTTTGGACCGATATCTTTCTCTGACCCTTCCATGATTGACACACTGTTTGATGCCTGCGCTTGATGAGCATAGTGAAACTTACGTTGATCTTCTTCGTTCATTAGGTTCTCGACATTGTGAGGTGTCAATACTGTGTTTGAACCACCAGCAGAAGACCCTGAAAATACCGACTCCATTGAGTCTCTAAAGGCCCGAGGGGGCTTAAACTGGGGAAGACTCGGCAATACATCTGGTTGTCGAGTCATCGCAGGATTGACCGCGTGAGTGTTCACGTAGAAACCATCGAGCAACTGCTCAGCAGGTGCAAAGCGCCCCTCAACTTGACTTGATGGACGAACCGGCACAGAGCGCCGTCGTACAAGACCATTGCGGAAAGTATCAAAATTCACATTGAATTCGTCTCCTTGTTCCTTGGCTATCTCGACTGCTTCGCCGGGTGTGGTTTCATCATCGGCGGCGGCGGCATCAGCACGCGGTCCTCCCCAGGTCCGCTGTCCGGCGGTGAAAATTCCATACATCATGTAAACCCAGTTGAAGAAAGGATTAAGAATGAACATGAGTGGATACAACCATGCTTTGTAGCGCTTGAGGCAAAGCCCAAAATAAAACATCAGCAAGTAATTCAACCCAAGCGAAACCGCAATGAACCCAACTGGCAGATCAGCGACCCGCTTGGAGGTCGTGATTAATGAAATAACCATAATGAAGAAGAGAAGAGTTGTGGTTCGAATGGTGTTTTGCATGAAGCGAACCAAGCATAAGAGGGGATAGCGTTTCCAGAGCCTAACATCGGTAATCATGCATACTTCATTGGTGATGAAGCCTAAGAACCAACGGCGCCTTTGCTTCAAGAGACTGCTGAATGTCTGTACAGCCTCGGTTTTGCAAAAGGCACCGGTACACATCTGGATTTGATATGGCTCTTTCGCCCCAATCATGAACAGGTGAGTGAGCCAGCGATCTTCGCCGAGATGGCACTTTCCAAAATCAAAGAGATCGTCGCATTGCTCAGCCTTATCGGCGAAGTAGTATTTGGCCATTTTGCGGAATGCTGAAAAACGCAAGATTGTCAACGCACCCGGGAGGCAGGTCACAGCACCACATCCAGACTCCACCGAACGCTCGAAAAGCTGGCCGTGGATGTACTCCATGTCTTGGAGGATCGTGAGAAGCGTGTTTCTGTTCGTGGTGGACGTGATAATGCCCGTCATCGCCAGCATATTACGCTTGCTACCGGGCTTGAGTTCCATGTCGTACATGAAATTTTGCAGGCAAACCCGGTCAAGAATACAGTCAGAGTCAATGAATAGCACGAAAAGATCATCATGTGTTTTCAGATACTCCTTGTATACCTTGTCGACAAGCTTGAAAGTTTGCTTCTGGCAATGTCTTTTGCCTCCATGTTTAAAACGAGAGACCGTGATCCGAGCGCCCTTGTAACAAACATCAATGCTCTGTGGATAGATCCTCAGGGATATGGGAATACCAAGATGTCGAATAACTTGAAGGTAGGACTCATCTACTGTGTCTCCATCCCAAGAAAGGAAAACATGGATACAGTATGCCGGGTAGTCGCAATCAATAACCGAGTCAATTGCTTTGATTAAAACCGCAGCATCCTCTTTGTATACGGGCATCACAACCACTGTCTTTGGAGCTGTCCTATCATCAAGCGCTTCCTTGATTCTTTTTGATCGTCCGAGGGAGTGGGTAACCAATCTGTATACGCAGAAAAGCCAGGGACCGATGAGCAGGACGGAGAAGGACCAGAAGGCGAACCATTGGAAATAGTTTGATACTTTGGCTGGGAAATACTGGGTCGCTTGAGGTGGAAGTGGTAAAGTAAATACCATGACTGGAAGAAAAGCAAGCCTGGCAATAGTCACGGTCAGTTTGATCACTCTTCTGGCTCATTGGACAAAACTCATACTTACCTTAACACGGAGAAAAGAAATGTCATGATCACAGCGAGGACTTTGATGCTCCAATGATCTGCTTTTTGATACACTTTGAAAAGGCAGTAAAGAAATGCTGCTAGCCATAGTACCCATTCCAATGCCGCTGCGAGCATGAACGGTCCAACGACGGCGATGTAGATAATCTGCTCATAAGTAAAACGGAATCAGTAATCCTGAAATGGATTAGAGGTGGAAGACCCTTACATCTCTTGTTGGCCATCTGTATGTTGCCATCCCAGGATCGTAATCGCTTGCCATTGTGTACGATATTCCGAGTCCTCGGTTTGATTGGCGAGTGGGAGTTTCTGCAAGTGTCTCTTACACACAGTGTGCCATTCTGATAAATGGATTGGAACCAAGAGGGAATATTTGAGTGCTGCCTCTGGATGGTCAGCTCCTTTCTCTGAGAATTGAATACTTGATTGGAGGCAGTCACTTACAATGTTCAAAGGCCAGTCGTGAATTACTCAATCAGCAAGTCAACAAAACGATTCAGCTGGAAGGATAGTATGGGCCTTTGATCATAAAATGCATCAAATAGACATACAAGCTCTAAAATTGAAGCAAAGGAAAAAAATAATCAAAGTCCAGTGGCATTAGAAGAAGTGGTGGTGTTCCCAAGGGAGGAATACGTTGGTGGTCTACATACAGGGAGCAGGCGCGACCTCACTTCAACACTTTCCTTTTCTCTTCCCCATCTCCACTACTCGCATACTAATAGTCTGAAGGCTCGCCGCTGTCAATATTGGAGAACTCCGTGCGCTAAAAATATTATATTTATGTCTAGTTCTAAGATATATCATCATTCACTACATAATTTATAATGATATACTTCACTGACCCGCCGGACCCGCTCTGACCAATCATGCGATCCATTAATTGACGTTGCCTCAGGCCGCAATGGGACAGCTCCGCAGAAAATTCCAAAAAAGATCGAACTCCCCGCGCGTGCAGCTCTTTCTTTGCGATTATTTCTCAATAAGTACTTACCCCCTTTCTCTCTCTCCTCGTTCCCCGGTCGCATAAACTTAAGCTTCCTCAATCTTATTTCGTGACTCAATCGCTGACCCCTTTGTTGAGTCATTTAGCTGCCGAGTCATATCTTTTTCTTTTCTCTCGAAACTTCCCCACGTCAAGGAAAGAAATTTCGCCGTATATCCTTTTCACAATGGCTGATGAGCAGAAGCCCACCAATGTGGAGGCCGAGCAGGATGTCCAGAACGTTCTAGCTGAGCTGAAGGGAGAGAATGGTGCCGAGAACACTGCCCAGGAAGATCCCGAGGAGGCTCGCATTGTTGCCGAGGCCGCTAAGCTGGGCGAGAAGTCCGAAAAGTCGCAGCAGTCTGAGGAGAAGCCCCAGCGCGAATACCGTAACCAGCGCAGCTTCCGCAACAACAACAACTTCGACGCTGACTCCAAGGCTCAGACCGACGATCCCGTTGAGATCCGCAAGCAGGTATGCAGCTATCTAAGAGCAGAAGCTAAAGGATAATGACACTAACAATAACGTCAATTTAACAGGTCGAGTTCTACTTCTCCGACTCTAACCTGCCCGCCGACAAGTTCCTGCTCGGCAAGGTCGGTGGCAGCGCCAACAACGCTGTGCCTCTGGAGCTCCTGCACTCTTTCAAGCGCATGCGCCGATTCCAGCCTTTCAGCGCTATTGTCGAGGCCCTTAAGACTGCCGAGAACGTTGAGCTCGTTGACAACGACACCGCCGTGAAGCGCAAGGTCCCTCTTCCCGAGTCAGTCACCGCCGAGACCAACGAGGATGTTGTTAAGGTTTTCGAAGATAAGGCTATGGCCCGCAGCATCTACGCCAAGGGCTTCGGTCGTGAGGAGCCCAGCACCCAATACGATATTGAGCAGTTCTTCGCTCCCTTCGGCCCCGTTAACGCTATTCGTCTCCGCCGTGGCGGTGACAAGGGTTTCAAGGGCAGCGTTTTTGTCGAGTTCGACTCAGAGGACAAGCAGAAGGAGTTCCTGGCTCTGGAGAAGAAGCCCCAGTGGAAGGACCAAGATCTTCTGATCAAGAGCAAGAAGGAGTACTGTGACGAGAAGGTTGAGGAGATCAAGGCTGGCAAGATCGAGGCTAACCCTCGCCGCGGCCGTGGTGGTCGTGGTGGTGGCCGTGGTCGTGGCGGCCGCGGAGGTCGTGGTGGTCGTGGTGGCCGTGACCGTGGTGACCGCAACGAGCGTGACTGGCGTGAGCGCCGCGACGAGGACAAGAAGAGCGGTTTCCGCCAGGAGAAGGACTCTCGGTAGATACCTCTTTACCCTTCAATTTTTGATAACAGTGACTAATCAGTCTTATACAGTGGCGTCCCTGTTATCCAGAGCACTGCTGGTGACAAGCGTTCTCGTGATGACGACAACAGTGGCGATCGCCCCGCTAAGAAGGTCGATGCTAAGGAGTAAAGGGGTGGACTATCACCATGACATTTAAGAATACTCCTCGACTTGATCTCTTTTCTTTGATCATTCGAGTCCAAAAAGTGTTGCAGGAACAGGACGCCCGGTTCGGCGATTTTACATAGGTTGAATTCCTTCTCGGCGTTTTTATCACTACGGTTACTGATGACCTAGATATATTCCAAATGGGTTTCATTTTTCTTTTCATTCAAAATATCCTTCGAGCCAAGAAGTAAACTTGAATAGCTGTAGGCTGATTCTGCCCATCTCCCAAGGTCCTCGGGTGTGATGACAGGCGGCGAGAAAAAGTGCAGGAACCCACCTGGGCAAGTAGTAAACCTTGGAAAGATGTCTATTTGATGACAAGACTCACAACTTGAATAAAGGTCCATGCCGCCTCATGAAATTGCCCGCAGTGTATTTTGTACCTAAGAATTCTGAATATTTGTTTCGCGAACTGCTGATGTTCCAGTATCTGGTTTGGATTTCTTCACTGGCGATTCCTCCTTATCATTGTCATCGGATCTGCGCTTTCGATTTTTGTCCTCAGGGAGGGATCTGTAGGCATTGCGGATTACCAACTCTGCTGCAGGCAAAAATTCATCATTGAAGTAGAGATGAAACAACTCCCACAAGTCTCGCTGGATGGATCGATCAACACTCATAGTGAATGTTGGGTTGGATAGTAAGGCAAAGACGCGGCGAAAAGACGCAAGAGGTGCTCCGTGCCAGGGTCTGGGCTCAATATTATTTTGTATTCGAAATAAAAATTCAGCCATGTTGTTAGAGCTCTCTATAAGAAGATACGGCGATAACGTCCTGCGTTTATCTCGGAGAAGATTCCGTTGTTCATGACTTCATGATCGTGGTAGTTCTGCGCAGACGGGACCCAGCGTGGGATTTCAGACATGGGTTTTGTTTGTTCAGTCGCGATCTTCGTTCGTCGTTGAATATCGGATAGCTCAAAGTCGATAAAATATCTGATGTCGACTGGGAAAAAAACAAATCCGGGGTCAAGAGTGCGCTCGAAGCACCTATGACAATAGGGGCAAAGAACAATCGCGTTTTCCTCACTTTCATAGTCAAAATTGAATAAGTAACATCGTTCCCACAAAACGCTCTGTAGTACGTATAAGCTGAAGGCTTTAGGAACCGAATAATTCAATATTACCTGAGGGTCTTCTTGGGGAACGACATGACAGACATCAACAAGCCGAGGGGCAGAACATGCCCAGCATTCAGAATCAGTGGTGTGAAATGCCCCAAATATGACGGGCAACGGAACTTGGCTACCATAGGTAGATGCAGTACTGGTAGCAATAGATTGATTTGATGCTGCCATACTACTCTAGAAATAAGATACTAATAGCTTTTGAAGTAGGCAATTAGAGGAGGGAAAGGAACCTTAGAAGTACATATGTAGTAAGATAATAAATAATCTTAGAAGAGTTAGAGAAGAGATAAATAAGAGGCAAATGAAAGATAAGTGAGAAGTAACATTTGAAATAAAAGTTAGTCAGTGAGAAGTGAGATATAACCTTGGAACCTAGAGAAGAAGAGATCCAAGATCATCTATGTTAAACCTCTACTAAGTCAGGAGTGGAATGATCTTTATATCCATACTACTAGTAGGTGGAATACCAAAAATATATGTTTCTAAGTCCATGGTAACTTAGAAGGTCACGGCGTGCCATCCATGGATGGGAATATACCCAGGATGGAGTCGGGTGGTTATGATTATTTTCAATCATGATCTTTTTTTTCTTTTTTTTCGATTCTTCTCGAGCTTCGAGCTCGAGTCTTCAAGTTTGATTTCTTTCACCTCCCATATTCATTTTCTTCAGGTGACATGAACTCTATGTTGCTAGCTTTTTCCTATTCCCCTCAGAAAGGCAAACGCAATTACGAATGATATTCCAACCATTCCAACGTTTATCCACTGGGCCGCTCTAAGCCCTCGTAACAACTCATGATGCGCCAGACCCTTCTCAAAGGCTGTTCCAACAGCCACACCCAAGGCTCTTCCTAGGTTATTTGACGTCTGCAACAACCCTCCACCAAGTGCTTGGTCCTCTGGCGGTAGTTGTTCGGCCACAACTAGCCCAATAACTGGCCAAACAATGTCGACACTACAGCATAAAGTCATAGCTGGAAATCCGAATGACCAGTATGAGGACTCTGGGGGTATAAATGGGACCGCGAAAAGGAAAGGCGACGTTATTCCACAAAGAAGCCCAACCAGAAGGACGTAGAAGCCCGAGATATAGGTGAGCGCAGGAGATATAACAAGAGAAATGAGAACTGATTCCAGGTTGTAGTTAGAGAATTGGAAATATGATGACCACGTGCAGATATAGACTTACAGCCTGATATCCCCGCCGGCAAGAATCGAAGGGCAGTTTGTAGTTCGCTTAGCCCGAGGTAATCTTGATAACTAAAGGTAGAAGTCAGAACATGTTGCAACTATCATGGATAAGCTCTGGTTGAGTAATGTGAGAAGCCAAGCTTACAACTCAGTTGCAAAAACCAAATAGCTGTTAAATGATCCATAAACAAGACCGATGAGCAAAAAGAGTGCTGAAAACTTGGCGCGTCGAAACATAGAGACCTTAAGAAGTGGCACTTGCGCATGTCCTTTCTCCAAGAAAAGCTGCCAGAAGACGAAAATACAAACAAGAATAACTGCAACAGCAATAAGCGTTGGAACCCAAGGAGTCCCCCAGCCGACCACACTTCCCTCAGAGAATGCGACTAAGAAAAGGAGAAGGCTGCTCGATATTAACAGAGCGCCGAGCCAATCAACACCTCCCTCGGAGCGAGCTTTTCTGAGTGGGAATGACGATGTTGCTAAAGCTGCAGCTCCAGTTGCTAATGCTGATAATATAGCTGGGATCCAGAAGACCCATTTCCATCCCAACAAGTCGCCGATCACTCCACTAACCAAGTTTCCTGACACAGAGCCCAGTGACGCGACTCCAATAACGATCGAGTAAGCTCTTTTTCTCTTTGCTCCTGGGGGGTATGTCGTGGTTATCATGCCAAGCCCGGCTGGAATTATAGCAGCACCACCCATCCCTTGTAAAATTCGCAGCACGAAGAAGGGGATTTCAGTGCGACAAAATGGTAGACAGAGTACTGAGATTGTGAATAAAATAAACCCGAAGAGGAAGATCAATCGGTGGCCATATACATCAGCCATCCTGCCCCAGAATATCATAAGACAGGCAAGCGAGATATTGTAAAGGGAAACAACCAGATCTTGACGACTTGATGGAATTTCAAGCGCTTCACTGATGGATGGAAGAATGATTACCACCGATTGAACGCACAGAACCTGCAATATCATATCAGCAATGTTTTAGTAGGATCATGATGCCAAAGCCCACTTAGAACTAATTAAAAAAAACGGTTATTGGATCGGACTGACAGTTAAAAATGCTGCGCTTGCAACAGTGGAAGTCAAGAGCAAACTGCGGATGAGGCTCAACGAAGGGTATATGTCTTCTTCAATTGCAGCAGCCGCTGCCTCAGGCTGTTTTGTTTCAACATGTGCGATGTCATGGGCATTCCTTGTATCATGATGTGATATCTGTGGCTCCAGTGTGGCTGACATTCTCATTACACCGCGGACAGAGTATGAGTGAATTTTCTTTGTATTTTTGTTCAGAACTTTATGTAGCTCAAAAGGGGCTTAACTTTATGAGCACTTTAGTGACAGAGTGAGAAATTGGCAGAGCTTTTGGCGCTTTTGGCTCAATGTATAATGGCCGCCTCGCATTTGAATGAAAGACCCGTGGACCGACTGGACGAAAGAAGAAAAGAGAGCTAATTACAACGTGCTAAGGAATTTTGAACACAAGTGCTAGTGGGTCATTCATTTATACTGTATTCAGGAAGTGAATCTTGGAAGAGGGGAACGCTCTAAGCTGTGCACGCTAATTATGCGCGGGTCGATTCAGCTGCAGTAGACCAAACCACAACCACCCTTTCACTCAAGTGTTGTGACAGACACTGAGATGACCCGTGGGTCATGACCGGAAATTTGTAAGACTATTACATTAATATTCAAAATGACTAGAACTGGAAATCTTGTACATGAACAGGACATAAGAGAGAAAGGATCCGTCACAGCACCGTGATCTAGGCACTACTCCTTGTAACCATATTGTGTATTACGCTCGAGATAGGTATAGATTCTTTGAGAAATGGGAAGTCAACAATGAATTGGGTAATTCAGAAAGCTTGACTCCACTCTGATCTTGAAGCCCTAATCCTAGTACAAGTAGTATTGCAAAATTTGGTTGGTATGCGTATGCCGGGAAGGAATGTTAGAATCACGTACGTGCAGGTCAAAATCACGTAAAGTGGATATATTAATGGTGACACCAGGAATTTGATTAGCGTGAATTTCTTCTCAACTGCACAAGTTTTTTTTTCTTTTTGCTGAGTGTCCTGCTGAGTGAATAGTATTCTGTATTAGATGTGATACCTATACACGGTATTGGCGGTCTAAAATAAGGCGACATAGCAGTCGGCTCAGGCTCAGGTAAAATCGGCTATTATTGATTCCACTTAACCAATCAATTAGTTCCGCCTGGGCAGCCTTCCAGCTACTCTAAATAGTAGCTCTACACTCTATGTATACAAGAATTTCTGAAACATACTATATGAAAAAAAACTGGCTTCTTGAATGTCTTATTGGGTTTAAAGGCCCTTAAATGTTGTCAACGACGAGTCATACTGGATAGTGACCGAGAAAATTGGAGCTGCATTTTAATTCTTTCACTCAAGTGCTACTTCATCGGATTACAAAATTGGTGAGCACAGATTAACATGTGGAATCTCGCCCTTAACACTCCCGAGGAAGGCGATTAGTAACTTCAATAAAACGCTCCAGGCACGTCAGCGCTCGACCACTATCGATTGCCCAGCGAGCCCGGCGTAGGCCTTCCTTCCATCGTCCTCCACCTGGTCCACGCTCAGTGATGGCTTGTCCATTGGGCTCTGCATCAGAAGCATCAGATTCGCACACACCAGATATGACCAAGAGAGCAGCCACATTCATAAGGACAAAGTCCAATACTGGGTCACCCGGTGACACTTCCCCCCGCAGAATACTCATGAGCTTTATGGCATTCTCCTTAGGATTTCTCCCTGGGAAGACACTGGCAAGTGGATGAGTGGGTAGTCCAAAATCTGAGGGGTGGAGCTGAAATACGTCAATCTGGACTGGCGCCTGGGCACTGTTCTCGCTGGAGCCGTCGTCTTGAACTGACATTTGTTTGGGTCCAGAGATTTTCCAGCAGTTTGTAGGTCCCGCACAGCTAATTTCATCTAGATTTTCCTCGCCACATACTACCAGCGCGTTCCTAACTCCACCCTCTTTCAGAGCCTCCGCAAAGACAGGGCCCAGGCTTTGATGAGCTACGCCAACCACCCGTGCTTCAATGGCCCAATCAAGAGGATTAACAAGAGGTCCCATAAGGTTGAAGATAGTTCGAATTCCCAAGGCTTTACGCAAGGGGTTGATATGCGCCATGGCAGAGTGGAAGTTGGATGCGAATAGGAATGCATAGTTTGTCTCCTGGTATACTTCCACAATGTTTCTCTCGTTGATAGCGTCAATGTTCGGGGCAGTGGGTTGAATTGCCTTAAGAAGATCTGCAGATCCTGAAGACGAAGTTTGAGCACGACTTCCATGCTTGGCCATCATCAATATTGGTGATGCAATAATCGAGGCAGCTGTCGAGACGTTGAAAGTCGAATGGGAGTCGCCTCCAGTTCCAACAATATCGCACTATACCCGTAGATAGATGATATTAGCTTATTGAACTTCTCAAAATGTGTTGATACTGACAAGTCCCCCCTTGTAGTCCCCTTTGGGCTCTCCCTTGGCTTTGACAACATCGTGAAGCGAAGATTGGTCAATCTGACAAGCGGCGTCACGCATGTAGTAGGCGCATTTCGCAATCACATCCGCTTGGCCATCCTTTCCAGTGTAGGCAAGTAATGACAAAAAAGATGCGCTCTGAATATTGGAGACACGATTGGAAAGTAACAGCTTAAATGTAGACGCAATTTCATCAGGACTGATATCGACAGCATTTGAGTGCGCCAGGCGGTTCAGAAGAGGTGCGATAGAGATAATCTCCTGCCTTTCCAGCTGAGAAGAGGACATCTTGGTGGGAGTGTGAAGATTCACGCTCTCTGCCAAAATCAATTTGTTCAAAAATGTTGACAGGAACCTGTACTTCCTCCAATGACGCTAAGCCTCAGGCTTCTTGGACATGAGCGGTTTGCCCAGGTGTAAATTTAGAATATTTGTTCTCCTAATACACCTGCTGCACTGTACCAAATTGAGATAAAATCACTGACCTCAGGACTTCCGAGGTTGTAGTGCATATTGATCCACTTTGATTAGGTCCAAATGAAGTTGATCCCACGAACTTCGTCCTCCTCACAACTGTCGCACTCCTGTCTTATTTTAGCCTCACCGCCCCTTAATTTTTTGGCGATTCAAGCCTTTGCCGATCGGCAGACTAGAGTATAGAGTGTTCCTGCGTCTGGATCCACTGACTTGCCCAGGTGGTAGCCTACACAGCGATACGTGCTTATTGCGGCTATGGTGTCATTCGGATCACGGAGTGAAGGGATCGTCCAGAAAGGAAAGCAAATATAGGGTTGATTTTACGCAATTTACTCTTTAGATATCAGTGCACTAGTACTCCAGGGCTAGTATTGATCTATAATCTATCTATAATCTACCTAGGTATTGACCTGACTGTGGGTACCCCAAACCTTGTAACTTGTAAGGCACGGTCCGCAGTACGGAGCGAGCCGAGTACGCAATTAATCAAGGAACTTGAATGATACATAACAGTTTTGATTTTTTTGAAGACTATTATTGGCCCAAAAAAGTAAAATTCAGTTTACTTGAAGTTTTGATCTTTGAAACCCGCAATCAAGTCGACAGTTCCTTGTTCATCTCGTTTCTTGTCGTAAACGTGGGGGGTTTAGCAGCATCCGCTGCTTGGCCACGGTAAACTCGCCCATGGTAATAGGCCGTGTAAATTTTTCTTCCAAAATAGCTTGGTTTCTTTGGAGAATGGGAGATTGAGAAACCAAGGACTCAAGGATTGTGTCGTTATGAGGTCTGGCGAAATACAACAAGCCCATACGATCATAACCCCACTGATCCTGCGGGGGTGCAATAACCCGGTGAATGGATGATTTTAAATACCCTCCAGTCAGCAGTGAGAGGATATCCGCCACATTGACAGTAACAGTATCAGGGAGAGGTCGAACGTATCGCCACTGGTTATCATCTCCCAAAATTTGAAGCCCTGCGACAGGCTGTCGGAACAAGAGTGTGAGGCTCCCGAGATCCGTATGGCCCTTTACTTGAGGACCTTGAGCTTCTTTGTGCTCTTTTGATGTCCGTTGGCGATATTTCATGTAACGATAATGATCGTCGGATAACTTTTCGTAGCTGTGTAGCTTCGCTAGCAATTCATTATCCGTGAACTCAAGCACAACGCCGAAAAGCACCATTAAAGGGAGGACGATGTGCTCGTGCAGATGCTTAGAGAAAGCCTCAATTTCAGCAATATGTCTCTCAATCAGTGGAGGGTGAGCATATTTTCCAGCAAAGTCAGGGGTGAACTTGGGAATGTTGTAGGCCTCAATATTGTCGCCATGGTTATTCTCAGCTACGCTGCCATCAGCACGGTAGCCTCCCCAGCGATATCCATTGTAATCTCCTTTGCTGTAGTCGACTGCATATTTCTGTTTCTCTTCAAATGGAAGATCAAAAAGAGCTTTGGCTATGGTCAACTGCCGGTCGATTTGATTTTGAGTGAGACCAAAATTCTTCACATAGAAGAATCCAACACTATGCACTGCGTGTGACAGCTGGGCAGCCAACGACTGTTTGCCTCCTGGCTTTGAGAGCTCAGAGAGGTCAAGAGTCACGAGGTCAGACCATTTCAAGTCTTCAGCCGACTCAGGTGGGTGAATGTAAGGCTTCAAATTTTCGAAAGCGAGAGGGTCTTGATTCACCTGATGCTGGGAGTCATCAGGAGCTGGGGCAGTCTCCAAAGCCTCTGCGGTATTGTTAATTGGCAGAGGGGTGAGAGAATCAATTGTCACAGACATCTTTCTCGCAATTGAACTGGAAAAGATAGAGTAAAGTTTGAAGCGACTGATGAAAAAATCCGAACTTGTGATGTGATTGCAATGCGAATCTTGAGAAATTGTTTGCAGATAGCCAGTATCTAAGGCTCAGGCTGGGCAATGGACTCGGAGGTATTATAAGATTTCATGGACACACATACGGGGCTCTTCTAAGGCACCTAGGCTGACCATCTAAAATTTACGTATGGTCATCCAGTAGGCAATGTCTACGTCAGTTATTCCCCGAGACCTACATTTTCAACTAAATGTAACATTTGAAGTGCTTCGGTTTGTTTTCACATTCAAAATTTACTAGTCTATTTAGTATTTCCCGTGCCAGCAGAAAAACGTTCAAATTGCCTCAATGGGGATATAGTAACGACTAGCCTCCCTATTTCATTGGCTATCATTCACCCCGTACATACTCCGGTATACTCCGTTCTGAGTGGAGAAACCAGCTGGGCAATCTCCATGGCTTTGAATATATAGAAAACATTACAGAACGTCTATGGTTCAAGTTGATATTGTGATCGTTTTATTGTACTTTATTCTGCGATGTCACAGCTTGGAAACAGGATCAGATTGAGCTCTGATCTTTTTGATAGAGATGATTTGGGCCAATACCAAGCTTCACCTCGGCCTTTGTTCACAACCTAGACACGTATGCGGCTGTGACGGCTCGGTGGTAATTTTTAAAGGTCCTCGGAGTACTCCGTATACTAGGTCACTTTCTAGACCTTTTGCGCATGTTGTGATATGATCTCAAAATAATGTAAGTTTATGCAATAATCACGAATACAATTTACAGGACTCCCGGCCCCTGCGGGCGCCACGCGCCCTCGGGGGCCGTATTCATTGTTACCGCCTGTATTTATTACCGTATGTAATTTCTGAGGTTGAATACCTACACAAGCATAAAATTATGAGCCGCATAGGAAATAAGACCTGGGTGCATATAATAAAACTAAATCTAGCGGAATTTTGTTAGTTCTACTTTTGAAGTACTCTTGTAGGGAGATATCCAGCATCAGGGGCGACCTTGGAAGTTTCAAGTTCAATCATCCGAGTCTCATCTCGCGTCATGTGCATGATCACATCAATTGATCGAGTTTTGTCCATATTCCGCGGCGAAGCGTACGAAGTAGATGTGGAGGCGGTTCAAAAAGGACGCTATTTTAGTATGTGAAGGAGCGAGCATTGGCCTCATCTCTGCACTGCCAGACTAGTGTGGTTGTATCTGTGATCCTCTTCATCTTGATGCATCAACATTTACCCGCAGCCTTATTGCGTCTCCTCTTGCCGAGCACAATGACTGGCTCATTTGGCAGCTCAATGCGTATGGACGGCTGATCATACTGTGACGAGATAGTATGAAACATCTACATGCTACATACTTTCGAAGAGGCCCACATGCTGAAGACGGGATGCAGGAGGCAAGAATATTTGCCCATGTTCGGAATAGCTTACTGCGTGTAGCAGGAACCATGAATATTCATATTTCAATCAATTACGTTATAGAAGAAGATGAGTATGATACCACTACGGCTCTGAAAAGAAAATAGTCCTAATTTGCGCCAGGAGAATCGAATTCCCTCTTACCAAGTTACAAGCAATCAAGGCTGTCATAAGCAAATCGAAAGAGAAGCCTCAAGAGTTTTCACTCAATCAAAGTCCATAACAGCCATGTCTTGTGCCGAGTTCAATTTCGTTCTTCAGAACCCAGCAGCAGTGAAAAATGATGGCGAATCAACTCCTAGCATCATCCATGCGGCTTGGGCACTGCTAGTTGGCTCCTACACAGACGAGTCTACTATTCGATTCTCTATCATGAAGCAACAAGGGTCAAAAATACTATCCAAGAAAGATCTGGTGCAGAGAACTCATCTGGTCGAGTATCAGCTTGACTGGGACCAGATCGTCTCGAACATTGTCGAATACTTGGACGGGAATGTGTCGAAATTTCCTCCACCACCCATGGACAATGTGAGAGTACAACCTGATGTTCTCCTTGATAACCAGAGAAGAGCCCCATTTCAATTCGCCTTGCTTCATCAATTGGACTCCACACTTGAGTCTAAAATCGACAAATTTGTCTGGGGACAGACACTGCAGAATGACAGTCACGCAGTCAAAGTGCGATGGAAGACGCAGGCCAAGGGCCTGACAGTTCGAATTGATGTCAGCAAAGGTCTCTCTGATGTCTTGTCAGCCACTAGACTCGCGGCCCAATTGGAGTACATTCTGCAGCAGATTTTGGACTGGCCATTAGCAGGAATGCGACTTGCAAACATCCAAGCTGCGAGTAAAGGCGATCTTGATCAGATTTGGATGTGGAATTCCAATGTCCTTGAAAAGCATGATGTCTGTATCCATGAATTGATTCAGGAAAGAGCGAGCATGAGTCCAAATGCCCCTGCTATATGTGCCTGGGATGGAGACTTGTCTTATCAGGAGCTTGACAGGTTGTCCTCAATAATAGCATTCAAGATCATCGAATTTGGTGTCACTAAGGGTGACGCAATTCCGATTTGTATTGAAAAATCACGTTTGATGCCTGTAGCAGCTTTGGCAGTCATGAAGGCAGGAGCTGTTTGTGTGGCATTGGATGTGGAGCAGCCTCAAAGCCGACTTAAGGCTATCACAAGCAAAATCACACCCCGTATTATTGTGGCCTCTCCTGAAAATGCCTGGTTGGCTAAAAAGCTTTCGAAAGGAGAAGCTGTGGTGGAAGTGACCGTTGATCTGGAGAAGGAGCTGTACACCGATGAATGCCGACTGCCCTGTGTGCAGCCTTCAGATATTGCTTATTTGAGCTTCACTTCAGGAAGCACTGGGATACCGAAGGGAGCGATGATCAGTCATAGCAATGTGTCCAGTGGGATCAAGCTTCAGGCAGCGGAATTGAATTTTACTGAGTCGTCACGAGTATTGGATCTCGCCCCCTATTGCTTTGATTTGGCTTGGACCAACATGCTCAGTACGTTGTGTATGGGAGGCTGTCTCTGTGTCCCAAAAATGCAAGACTGCCAGACTGATCTGTCAGGCACGATCGAGAAATTCGAGGCAAACATGATTAACATCACAAGTTCCGCCTTACGTCTTGTACGACCTGATACTACCGGGCTACAAACAATTCTTTTATCTGGTGAACCAGCGGACGAAGATGTTGTGGCCACATGGGCTTCCCGTGTCAAATTGCTCAATACATATGGCTCCGCTGAGTGCCCTTCGAAGGGGGTATTCGCTCCAATTTCGATACATCAAAAAGGAAAGACTTTAATTGGCAAGGGTCGAGCCACAAACACATGGATTGTCAATTATCACACAGGGCGCACGCTGTGTGGCATCGGTATGATTGGAGAGCTCTGGATTGAGGGGCCGATCGTTGGTCAGGGCTACTGGATGGATCCAGCGCAGACTGCCAAGGTGTTTGTGGAGGACCCTGCATGGGCTCTAAAAGGAAGTTTTTTGAATCAGGGTCGTCAATCTCGGTTCTACAAGACAGGAGATCTGGTTCATTATAGTGCTGATGGGTCGCTTCTTTTTGTCGGACGGAAAGACCAAATGGTCAAGATCCGAGGACAACGAATTGAACTGGGAGAAGTAGAACATTGTATTCGTCAATATCTGCAAGACACTGAGCTCAACTTCATAAAAGAAGCTTTGTGTGAGTTGATTCTCCCAGTGTCGGAGAGAAAAGCACAGCGCCACTTGTTAGTGTCATATTTCGTCACTGATGAAGCTCCCATTGATGCTCTTCGCCCTATGACAAGAGACCTACAAGCGTATTTGACCAGAAAGTTGCCATCATACATGGTTCCCTCCCTTTACATACCAATGCCACGACTCCCTCGAACAGCAACAGGAAAATTGGATCGCCGCAAGGTACGCGCAGATGATAGCGCATTGACCCTGCTTGAATTAAGCGCGCGTGATCCGAGGCATGAGAACTCAAACCGGGATCCAGAAACATTGATGGAACAGCGCCTAAAAGAGTTATGGTCCACAGTACTTGGTATTGACCAATCTTCTATCAGTGCTTTGGACAGTTTCTTCCTGTTGGGAGGAGATTCAATCGCAGCAATTCAGCTGGTTGGGATCGCTCGTGAAGAGGGGTTCTCACTAACCGTCGAGGACATCTTCCGCTACCCTGAGCTTGAAAGATTGGCTAGGCTTGTTCGACATGCAGAGGCTATATCGGAAGAGAGTATTCCAAGATACTCCCTATTACCAAAGAATATCATGCTAGAAAAGATGATTCAAACATGTGCAAGCGCCTGTGGTGTTGGTATTGAGATGATTGAGGATATTCTTCCATGTACCCCAACCCAGGAAGCGTTCATGGCCGTCACAGCACGAAAAGATGATCTGAATTCCTTAATTTCCTATTCCTTTGTCCTTCCCGCTTCTCTGGATCAAAATCGGTTTGCCCAGGCATTGCAAGAGGTTGTTGATAGCAATCCAGTTCTGCGGACACGCATAGTCGATGCTCAAGGCTGGGGACTTTTTCAGGTCGTGATCAAAGACCAATCGAAGTTTTTATCCACAGGCTGTATCAAAGGTTTTCTCAAGGGGCAGACATCCCGAGGGAAAGGAGGCTTTGGGGAACCATTGAATGAATTTGACATTGTTGTGGAGAAGAATAAGACTTTCTTCGTTTGGGCTGCCCACCACGCTGTATATGATGCCTGGTCACAATCACTGATCCTTGATCAAATAGAGAGATTATATCTTGGACACAGTGAGAGAAAGCTCTGTTCAATGAAAACTCCACTGTATTTTCAAAGAGGGTTGGATGAACAGTCAGTCAAGAGGTTTTGGGAAGCTCAGTTAAAAAGATGCACTCGGCCTCCTTTTCCTCTCAATACTGCCTCCCTTAATTATAGTCCGACCTCGAACAAATCTCACCTTCATCTGATTTCACGTATCCCCTGGTCTGATTCTGGGTTTACGGTGGCGACAATGATCCGGGCAGCATGGGCAATGACGCTATCTCGCTTTGTCGGCTCAGATGACGTTGTATTTGCAGTGACGGTGACTGGTCGCCAAGCTTCAATCCCAGGTATCGAGAAAGTGGCTGCCCCCACAGTGTGCACTGTGCCTGTCCGAGTGAAAATTGATTCTCTTGATTCTATTCAAGTTCTTCTGACAAACTTGCAGCAGCAAGCAGTGGACATGGTTCCATATGAGCACACGGGCTTACACAAAATCCACCGCATGATTGATGACGTGGATTTATCTCAGGCAATGGAGACTCTTTTGGTGATTCAAGCTCAAGATGCCTTCACAGGTGATCTCTTCAAGCCATTAGCATACAGTGGCTCCACAGGTGGCAGTGACCTAGCCGTCTTCAACACGTTTGTCATTATGCTGGAAGCAAAACTTAGAGGGAAGGACGAGTTATCCCTTCATTTTCGATTCGATGACAGCATCATTGGCTTGCCGCAAGTGGCTCTCCTCGCCTCGCAGTTTGAGGCCATCCTCCGTCAATTCAGCAGCGCCAACCCGACTGATGTGGTATCTCAGCTGAATTTTACGAGTGAGACTGACCAAAGTCTAATCTGGAAGTGGAACTCCCTAGTTCCCAATCCGATAGATCAGACTGTTCACAGTTTCATTCACCAGGCCACCCATCGTTTACCCCCTTCTACCGAAGCAATTTGTGCTTGGGATGGGATATTCACTTATGGTGAGCTTCAACACTTTTCTGATAACCTGGCTCTGGCTCTCGCGTCTCGGCGGATTGGACTTGGGGATCATATCATGATCTGCTTAGAGAAGTCAAAGTGGATGCCTGTTGCCATGCTGAGCGTCATGAAGGCTGGAGGGGTCGCTGTTGCGCTTGATGTGACCCAACCGATGGAGCGTCTTTCTACTATTGCTCGCCAGGTGAAGCCTCTCTTGATCCTTACTTCATACGAGTCTGCGAGTCTTGCAGCAAATCTTCTGGAGCAACCACCATTGATAATCTCAGAGAACATAATGAGTAGAGATTGGCCTGATGAAGTTTATCTGCCAGTTGTCCAGCCATCCAACAAGTTATTTATTGTCTTCACGTCTGGGACGACAGGTATACCCAAAGGAGTCGTGATAACTCATTCAAACTTCTGCAGCGCAATCAAATATCATGCGAAGATGTCCCGTCTGAATGAATGTTCTCGTGTCTTTGACTTTGCTTCACATGCTTTTGACGGTGCATGGGTCAATGTCCTCCAAACCCTACATGCTGGGGGCTGTGTTTGTATTCCTTCAGAACATGAGAGGCGTAATGACCTGGGAGCTGCCATCCGACGAACAGAGGCTAACTTCACATATTTGCCTCCATCTCTGCTAAGATTCCTGGACCCATCCAGTGTCCCATCCCTGAAAACTATTTTCATGGTCGGAGAAGCTGTCCCTGAAGATCTGCGCGCAAAATGGACAAAATTCTGCCATGTTGGCGTTGCCTATGGCCCGGCTGAATGTACTGTGACTAGCACCATGACAGATTTGCTGAATCCGCCAGATATTCATCATAGCATCGGTGTTGGTGTAGGTGTCAACACTTGGATTGTTGATACTCTGCGTCCGATGACGTCACTTGCACCGATTGGCAGTGTGGGGGAGCTGTGGTTAGAAGGCCCCCTTGTTGGCCCTGGATATCTGAATAATCCAGCGGAAAATGCAAAGGCTCTTGTACAAGATCCACAGTGGCTTCTCCAAGGACATGGCAGTCACCCTGGTCGATCTGGAAGGCTGTATAGGACAAGGGATCTGGTTAGGTATCACTGGGATGGATCCATTCGCTTTGTTGGCAGACAAGATACTCAGATCAAATTACGCGGTCAGCGTATTGAGCTGGAAGAGGTTGAGCATCATCTGAGAAAGCATCTGGAGCCCTCGTATCGTGATGTCAGACTAGCTGCCGAGGTTATTGTTCCCGCTGGCACAATCACGCAGACCCTTGTTGCATTCGTTGAAACACCCGGGCAAATGGCCGGACTGGCCAAGTCTTTTGATGCTTCGCAGAACCTACTTGTCTCCTTGAATCAAGTAGGAGAGGAATTGCAAGATGTCATCCCTGGATACATGATACCGGCAGCTTATATTCCAGTTGACACACTCCCTTTGAGTCCGACTGGCAAGTTGGATCGGTTGAAATTGAAGCACTTGGGCTCTCAATTCAGCTGGAAGGACTTGCAGATGCTCACAGAGTCAAACATCCATCACAAAAAACCTCAAATCCAGCCACCTAGTAGCCCAGTGATGGAAGAATTACAAAGAATCTGGAGTGAGGTTCTCAACATTCCTAAGCAAGACGTATCCATGGCAGTTTCTTTTACCCGTCATGGAGGGGATTCAATTACCGCCATGCAAGTCGTCTCACGCTGTAGGGAGCATTCAATTCAAATAACTGTCAGCAGACTTCTCAGTGGCAAAACTATCGAGCAGCTGGCAGCCAGCCGGGGGTCGACAGGTCAAGGCTCTCCCACTATTGAGCAGCAAACACAAGGTTCACACGCATGGGCTTTATCTCCAGTTCAGCAGATGTTCTTTGAAATGTATCCAGAGGGTCTCAACCACTACAATCAGGCATTTATTTTGCGCCTCAGAAAAAAAAACAAGAGCTCATGAGCTTCTTTTAGCCACCAGACAGATTTTGGCCCGCCACGGAATGCTGCGAGCACGATTTAGACAGCGGAATGATGGCTCTTGGGAACAGTATATCGAAGATATGAGTGAAGACTCTTTCAGTTTTACTGCTCAGACGGTGGAAAGTGAAGAAGATCTTCGCTCACTTGCGAGTCAGGAACAAGAGTTGATGAACATCCGCACAGGGCCTGTATTTTCAGTTGTCTTGTTTTCAGTCACCAACACCAACACTCAATACATATTATTCACCGCACATCACTTGGTGATTGATCTAGTATCATGGAGAGTGATATGGCACGATCTGGAGCAATTACTGCTGGGAAATGAAATCAACCCTGCACCAAGTGTGTCATTTCAGACATGGTGCCACCTTCAAGATGAGCAGATCAAATCCCTTCATCCACGGGATCTGCTACCATTTGATCTCAAAGCCCCAGACTTGGAATACTGGGGTCTCACAATAGAGGATAATATCCAAGACAGCTTCATGGTGGATCAAGTGGCTTTCCCTCATGCATTAACTACAGATCTGCTCGAACAGCGCAATCAGGCCGTTCAGATTGCTCCAGTAGATATCATTTTGGGATGTTTACTGCATTCATTCCAGATTGCATTCCACGACAGATTGGTTCCAGGTGTGTTTTTTGAAGGTCATGGGCGAGAGCCGCTACTGAGCAATGATGCTTCTGAGGCGATTGATCTTAGTGGAACAGTAGGTTGGTTTACCACTGTGCATCCACTGCAAGTCTCAATGGATGCGACCACTCCACTATTGGATGTCATTCACCGTGTTCAGCTGGTCAGGAATAATGTTCTTGGCAAAGGACAGCCATATTTCTCGTCCACCTATGCAGCTTCGGGGGAGCAAAGAGGCTTTCAACCTCACACAGGTGTGGAAGTTCTGTTCAATTACATGGGCGCTTATCAACAATTGGAGGCTGAGGAAAGCTTGTTTGAACGATACAATTCTCAAGACGTACCCAATCAGGTGTCCTTAACCACAAAACGAGTTGGTCTCATCGAAACAAGTGCTTGGGTGCACCGAGGAGAGCTGATTTTCAGATTTGAACGCCACAATCGACTCAAGAAGATGCAAGACCAGTTTGACCTTTGGATGGATACTTTTTCAGAAAACCTCAGACACGCTACTCGCGAGCTGCAAAACAGCAGCAAAATACTGTTTGGGCTTCAATCACCGAGCTTCTTAAATGTTGAACAATTTTTTATTGCCCAAGGACTCACGGTCGATGACATAGAGGCTGCGCATCCATGCAACGCTATCCAGAGACACATGCTTGAAGCTCAAGCTGTACAGGGTCCCGGCATTTATGTCATCTCTCTGCAGTTCAAAGTCAACTTACTTCCGGATGAAACCTCTTCTCAGCGAGCCTTACATAGTGCGTGGGACATCATTGTTGATCGCTATCAATCTTTGCGTACAATATTTCTACGGGAATCGCCATTCATAGCATCTCAATTCATTCTGAGGCCTGCGGCATTCCGGAGACATAAATCCAGTCAGAATTACCAAGTTCCCTCAGGTCAACTTCCGGTGACACATGAACTTACTGTCGAGACTGCCGACTCCCATCTTCTGGTCAGACTCGAGGTCAATCATGCAATTATAGACAGGATTTCTATGGACCACATTTTGAATGACTGGCAGGCCGTGTACTCCAAGAACAGACTTCCTACTCTGTATACCCAGCTCAACGACGCTATACCCGAAATCTTACAGCTTGAACGGTCCGAGGTGCCATCGCTGTTCTGGCGAAAAACTTTAGAGTTGGTAAAAAGCCCCTTCACAGTGCCGATTAATTCCAAGGTTCGGCAACACTCCCAAAACGCATGCAGTATGACCAGGAACTTCCCTCGGTTGCGAGACATGAAGTCGGCAGCACAAATTCATAACGCTACACCAACGTCTTTGCTCTATGCTGCTCTTGCAACCACGATGTCCTCTCAGCTTCAGCGAGACCATGCTGGGTTTGCCGCGGTATCGATGGGTCGCAGCCAGCTCTCCCCTAGTTCTCAAGATTGCGTTGGTCCTTTCCTTACTCTCATCCCTTGCATTGTGGCCAACATCTCGATGTCAAGCTCAGTTCAAATACTTCGGGCAACTCATCAGCATATGCTCAGGGCATCAGACCATGAGCGAGTCGATATTCAAGCGCTCGGGAGAGAATTGGGGGAGACTACTCCTTTCAACATTTTGGTCAACTATCGCAAATTCTCGAAGCCTGAACCTAAATCATCAGCCTATTCCTGTCATTTCCAAACATTAGCTTCTCGAGATTTGTGGGACTTTGATATTGTGTTGGGTGTGGAGGAAATCCACGACGAGCTGGCGATTTGTCTACAGTGGTATGAAGGACGTCTCCAGCGTGATGAAGCGGGAAGATGGATGGCTGCCTTGCATGCTACATTACATGGGTATGTGGAGGATCTTTGCTTGGCGGATAGGATTTGAAAGTGATCTACCATGGTGTCGCTCTCTCTTTGCTGCATGAATATTTGTTTCGTTTCGACATGTGCTGTTTGAATTTTGACTTTGAAATCAGAGTGCTGGGTATGCTTATATTGAACACACTCACATTTGCTCTCAGTACCAAGTGCTGCTGTACATATTTCGAACTCCTAATGCATTACCACTGCGTTGGAGCCCAAGAGCAGGACGCGGAGGCCTCTCATGATGCAATATTTTTGAAGTGACAATGAAACCATGTTATTTGAACCTTGGATAGTTCAGATCTTATTATTGTGAGGTTTTTAGTAGTAAATTTGCCCAAATCCCCCTCCGAGTCTGTCAATTTATCCAGGATCCTTGAAGCTTCAAGATTGGAACGGGTTATTATTTGTCATTTTCGAACTTCAGCTTCGAATATTTGCCTTTTTTCAAAACTTTTCATCTCAAGTGCTTTGAGTCCCACCCTTCTTTTCTTTAAGTGGCAAATATATTGTATAGGGTTGAGTGTAGGTCTCGGTACGATCAATTCACATTTTCTAAAAGATCTAAAACTCCAAGTCATAAGCCAGGGTATCAACACACAGTTCCTCGCGGAACTTATGAACTCTAGGAAGAATTGTTAACATATTGGCTCAAATTAAAGAGCCAGCGAATCATCAACATACTGTAAGTGAGCGGGGTGTACAGCATAAGCCGCTACATCCTCCGCCTTCTCCAAAACAGCCACGATTCCCATATCAAAGCCTTGAGCGCGGGGCACGGAGATCGGCAATGGCTTATTAGCTTCCAGAGAAACCAGTCCTGCTCCCAGAAAATTTACCTGTTAGCAATGCTGTATCATCCTAGCATTTCCAGGAGCGGTTGGGTTCTTTCCGACTGCCCATGTGGGAGTATAGACGAACCTGGAATCTGGCCGACCATTCCCTTTGCTGCCTCAGTCCAGGAATTAAGCTGACCTTGTGTCACGCCCTCCTTGAGTCGGAAGAGAACTGTCGATTTTCAAGTTGTTAGCTGACACGCGTGTAGTGGGTGTGAAGGATACAAGTAGCGTCTGCATCATGCGATAACAGACGCCGGAATTTAAAATATTGCAAGATGGACGGGTAAGATTTGGTTAGAGGCTTACCAACGTGGTAGACTGGCATATTGACAGTATATAAATTTTTCCGGTGGCTTTTCAATTGAGATATTGGAAGAATATGACTTCAAAGTGGGATGTTTATGGAAGAGCAACATCGGCGGTTCGGAAGGCGGGGGGAATATCGGGCCATCTCCGAGAAGGGTCTTGCACTCGGGGGAATCGGACTTATGATTTTGCTTATGTGTCTTTTAATCCCGTTTATGCCCTAAGAATTGGGCAATAGGTACAGATTTTGGATTTTGAGTGGTGTGGAAACTTGGTATATGACTATGAGACACCCTACGGCCACAGATAGGTATCAATGTTCGGTGTACCCCGTACACATGTGCAAGTAGTACTGATTATTGACCATTTATGTATTAAACTCAATGCTGGGTTAAAAATCCAAATAACATTGTCAATTATATCCATTGATATGAGTAGCATCATATACCATAATTTGGAAAGGAAGCCTTAGTCGTGGTGTAAAGCTTTAGGTAGCTTGAATGTCATGATGTAGATGGGAGTATGAAGGATAAGCCAGACTTCTTCAAGTCACTACGAACTTGAAAGAAGCTATTAATTTACATCAAATCATATAGAAAATGCTATAAAAAAAGCTCGAGTTATGACTATATACCCCAAGACCAGTCATAGTAGGCGGCATTCATTCCATGGTGGGGGTGTGGGGAACTTACTCAGATGGGAGTCGAATTATGGTTATTTTTTTGTGTCATTCTGGAACTTCGACCTTGACCTCTCTCTTTACCCCTTCCCACCCTCATTTTCGCCGGAGAGCTTCGAGGAAGCCCAGAAACACTCATACATATTTGTTATCTTCTCTGCTTTCATCCAAATTCATAATGTTTAAAAAGAAGCCGACGGTCAGTGATCGCCCTCTCCCCGCATTGCCCCTCCTCCTGCAGAGCATGCTATGAATATGAAGTCAATGATGAAACTGACCATATTCTAGATCAAAAACTTGTCCCCGCTACGATCTTCCGATCGAAGGAAAATAGCCGATCAGATCATCAAAGATTACCAGATTCCAGTTCCTTCTTCACCCTCCGAAACTCAACCCGACGGCGCGACTAGCACAGGTCCAAGCCTTAGTGCAGTTCGAAATGCACTCCTCCCCGAGAACTCCTTGACAGCCCGATTTACAACAACTGCTGGCCCGGACTTGCGAGAAGTACAGGGTATCGTATACGTTGGTGCACACCCAGAGGGTGACGAGCGGGTACTATGGTTCAAGATTGAGCATGGGCCTGGGTCTGATAAACGGTTATACCCTTCGGTCTATACACTATGGAATAATCCGCAACTAGTGGCCCTATTACACACACCGGAGATGGTCATGCAGAAGCTTCATGGCGGTGCGGATCTGATGACTCCTGGTCTGGCCAATGACCCACCTTTCCCGCAACGTGCAGTCAAGGATGCTGTGGTGGCTGTTGCTAGTCTGGACAATCATACGGTTCCCCTCTTTGTGGGTATATGTGAGATTGATATCTCCGCGTTAGGAGATGTCCGAGGGTCGAAGGGACATGCGGTTCGTGGACTGCATTGGGAGGGTGACGAACTTTGGGCTTGGAGCTCGTCTTCAAGGCCTGGGCGACCTGCTCCTGAATATCTTCAGGGATGGGATGATGAAGCTTTGGATGAAGTCGAAGAGGCTGTTGGCGAGCTGAAGTTGGACGACAATCAAGAGGATGCATCGGCAGGCGATGCCGTTGATGATGCTCCAGCCGCAGAGGACGAACCTGCGCCAGAGAAGGAGCCTACAACAAGTGGTATGATAACCCTTTTTCTGGATGTGCTTTTTGTGACAAAGAATGCTAACTTGCTTCAGAAATCGACGATGCATTCATAAACGCCTTCATTTATGCTCTCTATCAGCTTAAACAGGATAACCCGAATGTCCCCAACCACGCCCTTACACTACCAGTTTCGCCTTCTATGCTGATAGCCAATCTCATCACACCCTATTTGCCGATATACTCCGCACAGCAAGCCCAGTTCTATAACATCAAGAAGACCAGCTGGAAGAACGTCAAGAAGTTTATCAAGCAATTGGATAAACTTCAGCTAGTCAAATCCAAGGATCGCAGTGGTCAAGAAACATACATTATGGACGTTGACTTCGGTGATCATCGTGTTGAGAGATTCGTGCCATACAAGCTCTCCTCGAAAGGCATACTGGAAAGCTCAAAATCAGCTCCTTCAGATGGAAAGAAGCCCGCTGCGACCGACGGCACGGATCCTTCAGTGGGACAAACATTCAATGTCCAAACCTTGTACCGACCAACCGGGAAACTGACACCAGACATTTTCCCTGCTCTTTCCACTACGAGTCCCAAGAATTACTACAAATACGCCGAAGTCTCCAGTCGCCTGGATCAATACGTCCAAGCACAGAATCCACCCCTTGTCTCCCCTCAAAACAGACGCATCATTAATCTCAATCCTTACCTTGCAAACACCATCTTTTGTTCTTCCTCTTCCGAGGATAAATCAACACATAAGCGTGGAATGGTCACTCGTGATGGCCTCCTCAAGCGCATCATAGAGGATCATGCTTTCTTGCAGCCACACTATGCCATCCTCAAACCAGGTCAGACTCTCTCAGATGTCAAACCTAAGGCAGGTGCTTCACCCAAGGCGGTGGTCACACTTGAGAAGCGGACTGGCTCCAAGACTGTTACAAAGGTCAGTAATCTGGAAATCTTTGGTATCATTCCTACGCTTCTGGCAGAGGAGCTGCAGAAGAAGTGTGCAAGCAGTACGAGTGTTACTCAGGCTGTTGGGGCTCCTAAGGGAGTTATGGAAATCTTGGTGCAGGGTGATCAGCGAAAGGTTCTTGATACAGCTCTTACGCGTCGTGGGCTGAAAAGTCAGTGGATCGATGTGGTGGATAAAACCAAAAAGAAGAAATAGAACCATACGGTTTATTCTGGTTATATATCTACTTGAGACTCCTCCGAGTCTTATTATGAACTAGATACAAATCTCATGGAAACTCCTCTCTCAGATTAGGGCATCTTCTTTTACTCTAAGTATTACGGTAGATTAATAGTACCTATCCACTACTGACAAGATACGCTACCCATAGTAGCGGCTTGAAATTCTTACGAGAGTACAACTCGGAGGAGCCAGAAGGATTTTCACACAGCCTAACAATTCCATTTTCAAGAAGCAGATGTAAAAGAGACTTTTATGCAAGTCTCTGCCCTCTTTTGACAAGAAATGAGGGAAAGAAGAAGAAAAAATGTAACAATATGCTAGTCGCAAAATATTGTCACAAAGTAATCCACAAATGTAGACATACAAGAAGAAAAAAACGACAGAATACCAGATCCAGTCTCCAAGAAAAAAAGCCAATCCAATACCCATGAACCCAATTGATGCAATACAACCATCATAACAGACAATCATAGACTGTGTAAAGCCACACTAAAACTTCTAATTCGACAGATCGCGAGCGTGCACCTTATCGTCATTCACCAGCCACTTGAAGGTCTGGTGCAATAGGTTGAGAACCTCCTCTGCGCTCAGAGAGCTAAGGTAGGATAACCAGTCACTGGAGTTGTAGTCTGATGCCTCGGCAGATGTAGTTGTAGTGCTTGATGCAGAGGTTGTGGTAGAGGAACCGGAGCCCGAAGAGTCGGAACCAGAGGAGGAGGAGGAGCTTGAGCTAGAACCAGAGCTGGAGCTCGAGCTTGATGAAGAGCCCGAGCTTGAGCCTGAACCAGAGTCTGAGCTGGAAGAGCCGGTGCTAGGGGAAGAGGTCTGGACTGGGGCACTTCCTTCGGTGATGGTGGTAGTCACGGCGACGACGACAGCGCTGGTGGTCTGTACAACAGACTTGTCAGTAAGAGTTACCACGTCAGTGACCCAGTAAGTGCTGGTCTCTGTCTTTGTGACAAGAACAGGTGTCATAGTAGGAGAACCAGACTGGTGGTGCTCGTAGCCACCGGGCACAGTGTATTGAGCAGCTGGGGTAGAGACAGTGCTGGAAGAGATAGGGCGGCGGCTGAAAGAGGGACGCCATCCACTAGCGCTGGAGTTGGAGAATGGCGGGATAGGTGAGGGGCTCCGGAAGGGGGTGGCACTGACGGAAGAAGACGATTCGACAACAGATGTCACGCTTGAGGCACTGCTGGTGACTTCGGGGCTGGCAGTGCTGGTAGCAGAAGCGGCGGCTGTAGCTGGGCTGCTGGTGGTGCTGCTAGATCCGGTGGCAGCGGCGGCACCTGCAGTGTAAAGAGTTGGGCCGGGAATGTCATAGGTGCTCAGGGAGGTGTAGATGTTGATCAAGATACCTGGGTCGGTGTCCTTGTACAGAGCAGTACCCAGGGTACCAGAGGGAGTGGCACTACCACCGCCGCTAACCTTCAAGTTGATGCATTGAGGGTAGTTCTGAGCGCCATCCAGTTCCTCTGCAGAATGCAGAGCAATGATTTCGTGACGGAGAACGTAGTTTCCATCAGCAATGTCATTAGGAATGGTGACAGTTCGGCTGTTGTTATTGGCAATGAGGTTGTCTGTCGCCCAGGTGCCAGGCTCGGTGGTGTCGCTGATCAGACCACCCTGGTCGATCTTGAAAAATTCCAGAGTAGTCTTGTCAACATCGGCACAGTCGCCGTTACAGTTAGCCAGGTAGGTAATGACGGGACCATGGTGACTGGAGGGCCAAGCAGTCCACTGCAACTCGACAGAGCCACCGGCCGTGACGGGTGCCTCTAAAGCACCGGGCAGGCCGTCCTTGTGACAGATGATGTTGGAGTTGTTGTACTCTGTACCATCGATGTAACCCAGATCTGTCTCTTGCTCAGACCAGGCAATGATCTCAGGAGGATCACTCTCGTATGGGTACTCGGTGACAATGTATCCACCGTAGTAAGTGCCATCAACAACAGCTCCGCTCACGTAGCCGTGGCCAGCTACCAAAGCTGCCGATCCGAGGATCAATCCAGAAATCTTGGACACAGACATATTTTCAGACAAATATCGTTATAAAAGAACGAGGAGGGAAACGCGCAGCGTGTATCTACCAAAAAAAACGTAGAAAAGAATGACAAACGGGGACTTCAAGTCAACCCAATGAAAGGAACAGGTACTAGACCTTGGGAAAGAATGGAAGGAAAAGACTGGTGATCGAGTTGAAGGAGTCTTGACATGCTGAGGATTCTTCTGCTTTATATAAGAGTCCTTCACCTGGGCAAAGATGGGTCCGGACTCCGGACATCATGGCTTCTTCGGGTCAGAACCGACAGCGCCAGTTGCAAAGCCTGCCTGACAGATTCGTCAAGAGTAACGTCCTTGATTCACCGATGCCAGTTTAGCACTTCATTATTCTGAGATAGATCCACATCGTTTAATTATCCGAACATTGTGCTTGGCTGGTAATAGGTGGAGAACGCTCAATGACCAAATGGGTAGTCCGCCGAGGTGAGAGATAGATGAACTGGAGTATCTCCAAAGCGCCAGACACCCTTAAGGAGTACTAAGAAAATAAAATTAATCAAGCTAGTTCTGCAGTAAGTGGAGAGGTATTTGGAGGGGGCTCAAACCACTAGTTAGTGACCTGTCGATCCTGGGCGGCTCTCTGCGACATTCCAGGTTTCACTGTACTAGTCGACCCCCTTCAATTGGCAGCTGGTCCCTGCAGCGTACCTGATTCTATATCATCACTTGCATATCTGCCCTGAGAATTTAGCGATAGAGTTCCGGATCCTCTGTGCGTTGTGTCAATTTCATTACAGGGCTGTCAAAGCTTGACCTGGGACATGCCACATGGTGGAGGATAATGAACCGGTCAACTGGTTGACGTTTCGGGTTCATTACGGACCGAAATTGGTCTAAACTAGTAGTTCGTTTGTCTCAGATCAGACAATAATAATAACAATAATAATAACAATAATAATAATAATAATAATAATAATAATAATAATAATAATAATAATAATAATAATAATAATAATAATAATAATAATAATAATAAAGGCCAGTTGTTACAAGTACCTAGGTATGGATCTGCCAGTGTTTTGCTACCTACCCTCTTACGTTTATAACTTGAAGTACATTGATGGGTACTACTTCGGTATCTCCTACTCCGTAGTATTATTCTACATAGCAACCTTGGAATTGGTCGTCTTCCAAGGATCAACTTTTAGAAATTCCCTTTACTAGATGTGAAATGAGCTTAGAATTTTGTACTAGTACGTACTCTGATAGTATCCCAAGGTCAAGTTGGTGACAGTGACGGACACAACTTTCAGTTGATGGTCTCAAGATGTCAATCTATACCTCGGCGGGTCCAATCTCCAGATGTCATACTACTAATGAGCACTTGAGCTCAAGCTGTCTTACCTTTAATGCCTCCATTGATCTTTGAGGACGCCGGCATTGGTCAATTGCATTGGGTGATAAGTAACTTGAACCCCCGTCATCTCAGGGGAACTAACTTGAATGGGACCAAAGTGGTTAATCCAGTTCAAACATTGAAAATCAACTTGAATTAAATTATGAGATCATCATATTTCGAACTTGGTTCCTGGTCCGAACTTGAATAATAAACATGAGGTTAATGAGGAGGGGTTGCAGGCTTGTAGCGCGTATCCGGAGATTTTTTCTGAAACATCCGTTGGCCTAGGCACGCCGCGCATAGAGTCTGAGAGCATCCACTAGTACTAGGATCCACTGCCACTATAACATGAATTCGAGGCTCTAGAACATGCCCCTATCAGTACCAGACTGTAGATTCATTAGCCCATTCATATGGAAACCTGCACATGTGGGTAATACGAGACTAGTGTAGTGATCTTCCGAGGCGCCGTGGCGCGGGGCTTCAAAGACGAAGCTGCCGGTATCCCTCGCAATTTTAACAAACCGAGAAGATCAGTGCGATTGGCGGAGTTGAGAATGCAGCCCTATATAGTATATGTCCAGGGCTAGACCAGGCCAAGAGACAGAACCTGTCAGTCACTTATGGAAGACATTGTCTTTGCCCGAGATCTAATGCCATAATACGGAGTAGGACTACTAGCACTCCGTACTCCGTAGTTGAATGCAATGACACTGCAGGAGCCCCCCACGCCAAATCTGAGTTCATGGTTATGGCGTTTTGACCTTGTTCTTAGAGAAGAATGGCTGATCTTACTCCTCCACGGGCCAAAACAACGGGTTCCGTACCGAGATGTGGCTGCATAAGTTGCAATATTCTGCCAATTGGTCCTCAACTGAGTCGAACTGATAGTCCAGTGCAACCCGCCTTTTTGGGGGGGGGGGGGCACCAGTCACATCAATTAAGAGCTCTTGTCCGACAAACTTGAATCCGAGCCAATGGATTGGGGCGACAAATAATATTCATGATTGATGAGGAGGAAGTCAATCATGCCGATAACAGACTCGGAATATGTACCACTTGCATTAGTACATACATGATAGCTCGGGGTGCTATCTTGGATGCACAGAGACCTTGGAGGCTGGGTCAGATAGCGGCATAATTAGATGACACTATCAATAGGAGCGCTCCGGGATTTTTGTTGGTCAGTGATGCAAATTGTACCCATTTCGTAAGTTAATATGCGGCCAACGTTGAGAGGGGCATAGGCAAGTATACATGACGGCAGATCATTCCTGATTACCAGATGCCAGTGCACACCTCAGATAGAAACTGGTAGCGTGGAAAATTCATCTGGGCAACATTATTCATTCTTATGTTGTACAAAATAACAAGTGTAATGATTTAACTCGAGTAGATCCAAAGTCAAGGTCATGCACAACTCCAAGATTGGAACCTTGGAAAAGTCAACAATAAACGAATCAGCTGACGAGTCAACTGGTGGGATTACAATAATTACCATAAATACCGTAATTACAATAGTCACGGCGTATTCACCGCTTTACCTGCCTCAGGTGTCAATTATCCCACACACCGTATATTCTAGAAAAAAAAAACATCTATATTGTGTACTACAATATACCCATATTCTGGGGTAAATAGATCTACGTATAAGGAAATATTTCAAAATCCCTTTCCTTCCTCCCTACTATAATAAAATCTTCCTCTATATCAAACCATCCAATTAAGAAATCCATATATTACTTATATTAACAAAGCGTTTGTCCTATTCGCCCCTCGCACGTTCCCGTTTCTGCCGGTCTGGATCGGCGCTCACACTTTTCCCGCTCTCCTTTCTCGACTCAGGCTCCACACAGGCAGTCGCTTTCTTTACCCCAGCACTTCTTCTACCTCCCACCTTTTGGATCCATTCTCCGTTCTTGTCCCAGGTACCATGGTCATATAAGACCGGTCCTGGTACACAACGTGAAAATATAGTCAAATATATCCTAAATCGGACCTGGTCTTCCCTCTCCGTGAACCCCCGATCGCTATCCGACCGTCCACACGCGACAATCGCAACGTTCGAACCAAGACGACTGGAGGGTGACTGGTCGCATTGATATCGTGGAAATATAGAGATATCCAGGGTCAATATAAATAAATTATGGGACCGTCAGACGCACCCTCCTCCCCGACATTCCCTGCCCTGGACCCCATTATCATGGACGACGAGATGGAGTCCGCCTTTCGCAATGCCAACATGGACTTTCTCGATCCGACCAAGTTGGAAATTCCCTCAGACTCCGCAGGAGGTGATTTCGATGATCTATTCGCCCGTGTCACTCACAACCGTTCGAACGGCGCTCCGGAGTCGTCCAAGTCTTATCAAGACCAACACCCCCTGAGACAACCACCGTTAGTGGCAGCAGACTCACCAGCAGACTCTCCCGGTAATTCGAGCCGCAGCTCCTCGTCCGAATCTCCGCGGACTCATTTACGACATGCATCGATCGCTTCCTCGACTTCCGTCGCCCACAGTGAAAACCCAATGACATCCGCCGGCTTTTCGACAGAGGATTGGATGCGTCCAGAATTGTCGTCGGTGAAGGAGGAGTCACCATTCACGATTGATCCATCATTTCCCATGGATGGAGGGTATTCTATGGACCCGGATTTGGAGTCGAGCAACAAGGCCATGGATGCAGCCTTCGATTTTGAGAGCGCTGCCAGCAGTCCTAGTCCATTGAAAACCGAGAATCCGCCGCAGCTCAACCATCCGCAGCAAAATCAAGCACAGTTCTGGAGTCCTTCAATAGCACCTGCCGCATCAATGTCGACCGAACCCCCGGCTACAGCTACACCCTCGTCTGCAGTGAGTCATACCGACAGACGACAATGGTCTCGCGGTGATTCTAACGTGAAGCAGCAGGCTCCGCCCCCTGGATCTCCGTATTTTGCTTTTGGTCTGCAAGAACAGTCTCCATTCCCTCGAACCTTTCGTAATGATACCGAGCGACTTTCTGCTCCTCAATGGAGCACAAACTCCCCATCCTCGCTTCTGGAAGAGAGCTTTGGAGGCATCAACATGAACGGGCAGTCTCCGCTCAACCATGCCTCAATGTCACCCACCATGAACTTCGGCTCGCCTGCCTCCTATCCGTTCCCTGTCAATTTTGCCTCATCTCCAGCTCAAGCTCAACCGCAGATGGATAGCACAAACTCTGTGCAACCCATTCTTACAGTGCACCCAACCTCGCTTAAATCCCGCGTCGAAACACAGATCCCAATTCGTTTGACACTCTCTCCATTACCGACGGGCGTCAAGAAATTGCGTCTTCCATCTCATACTATCTCCAAACTCAAATTCCTTGCTCCTCCTTCTACCGAACCTACCCCCGACACATATCAACTTTTTACAAGCTTGGTATGTACTAGTGCAATGCAGGATCGTGAGAAACTCAAACGAGCATTTGCGCGCACTAGAGGGGAAAGGCAAAGTGTGACCGGGTCGAAAGAAGAGCAACCTCTGGAAGGTGGTGATGTTGTGATCTGCTCAGGATGTATACAGCGAGAAAGAAAACGTGCATCTCGGAAGAAGCAACGCAAACCCGAGGAGGATGAGCTGTTCCAGAAGGATGAGGAGAAGAGAGTTATTGTATTCAACACGAGTGAGATTAAGGAATGGACGGAGCCCCCCCAAGAACGCTTCAACGGGCTACAATGAGATCCCGGCTGTTCCTCCTGGGTCGATGCAAGTCGAACTTCCAATGCGCATTGCTTGCTATTGTCGCCATCAAAACGAGAAACTTGGCTTCCAGGTAATCTTCACTATCAAGGATCACTTGAACAACGTCGTTGCTCAGGCAATCACCAATTCTATCATGATCACCGACGATCACAAAACCCAAGCTCCTGCTGCTGCTGCGCCCACTGGCCCTACTTCTTTACCAGATGGAACCCAAATGCCTGGTGTAAACGTGTTCCCATCAGGGTCGAACGGTGACCACGTGAAAGGCTCGAATGGCGCATTTGCGTCACCCCAGTCTCCCACTGATCTTCAAGGTCTTCAGCAAAGATTCAATTCACAGTACCAGCTCACCCCAAGCTCCTTTGCCGCCGCTCAAGGTGCTATCAACGGCATTGCTGCGGGTTCTCAATCTTCTCGAACACTGTCAAGGCAGGCTTCACCTACCGATTTCCCTGGGCCGCAGAGTAAGCGGCGAAAGCATAGCAGCTCTGGAAGGCTCCCGTCAGAACTGACAATGACACGGATGGAGACACAGCAGTCCTCGTCCTCTGCGATGAGCAGCGCAGCACAGCTTGCGGCTGCTCGTGGATATGCGTCACCAACAGAACGACCGTTTGTAACGCCTTCATCGATGTCTGGACAGTATGGTAATGGACCTCCAACTCCTAGCCAAAGCAACGATAATAATCCATTTTTCAATCCCACACCAGCTCAACGCCAGAGCTTGGATAGTCTCGCTCAGCAGCCTTTGGTCTCAGCGCCAAATTCTGCTCACCCGAGTCGACCAGGGACACCAGGTACTTCAGGCCGCAATGGCTTTCAAGACCCTAACCTCGCACTCAACCTTGGTGCTAACTCCGCGAGCCAAATATGGCCCCCTCTTACCACCACCCCTAACCGACTTCCTTCTGTCATTCATAAGTTGGTGCCAGCTGAAGGATCGATTACTGGTGGCACAGAGGTCACATTGTTGGGAAGTGGCTTCTATCCTGGCATGGAGGTTGTCTTTGGCGATACTCTTGCAACAACCACAACGTTCTGGGGAGACAAGTGTCTCAACTGTCTGACACCTCCTGCACTTCAGCCCGGCCTGGTGTCAGTGATGTTCAAACATGAGCACCCAACCTTTGGTCAAATGCAGCAGCCGCAGCCTATGATGCCTAAGCAGCAGCTTTTCTTCCGCTATGTTGATGACCGTGAGCTTCAGATGTACCGTTTGGCCCTCAACATCCTCGGTCAGAAATTGGGAAGCCAAGCCGACGCATTCCAGACGGCCCAGCAGATTATGGGCAGCGATCCAAATGCCTTCTTGAATATGCAGAAGGATATGCAGGGCGGTGGCGGCTCTTCTGGTGGTCACCAGCGTCAGGTCCCGGGTTTGGAACCTCAGGGCAAACTCAGCGATCTCGACTCTAAGATGCTGACCTACCTTGAGTTCATCGATCTTGATGACAGCCCACGGCCACCGCGCTTCAACTCTCGCAGCGGAACTGGACAGAGTTTGCTCCATTTCGCGGCGTCTCTGGGGCTGACTCGCTTCGTTGCGGGATTGTTGGCTCGAGGTGCGAACCCTGATGTGCAAGACAACACTGGCAATGCGCCTATGCATCTGGCAGCTCTTCACGGTCATGCTCATATCGTTCATCGACTTCGTCTTGCTGGTGCCAATGCTAATGCCCGAAGCGTGCGCGGTTTCACTCCGGCGGATCTGGCGACGTCGCTTCCTACGCACCAGGCTGCTTTGCTACCTTCACGTCATTACCGTTCTCGCAGCGCTGGATCTCTTACATCACGTCGTCGCCACAGCAGTTCGGCTTCGCTAAGCTCTCTTTGGGAAAATTCATCTGCCTCTGGGTCTTTGGGCCATGCAGTTGACGACTCAGAAGAGCTAGACGACAGTGATGAATTAGATAGCGATGACTCTGATGACATGCCTCTACACTTCAGTAGCTCTCGCAGATCCAGTATGCACCAAGATGTTATACCTCCTGTTGTCGTTGATAATGTCGATCAGGGCGCAGCACATGGTGATGCCCGTGGATTTACACCTCCTGCAGCCGTCGTTGCTTGGCGAAATCAGCTGGCTGCGCAGATTAATCACTTCCAGCAAAGTGTGGCTAACGCTTTCCCGAATATTCCTGCGCTGCCACCTATGCCTGCTCTGCCAGACTATCAAGCCAATCAGATGATGCGTCGCATCACCAATCTTGTCCCTCATCGCCCTGTGGCTGATGGGTGGTGGGATTACTTGAAGGGAACGGCCTCCCCATCAGGACAAACGGCGCCACCTTCCTACGATGAATTGTACCCACATCAACAGGATCGTGAGGATGACGCCGATATCAAGAAAAACAGTCTTTTGCGTGCAGCAACAGAAGCCGCATTAGATCAACATTTCGAGGCACAGAGTACAGTGGTTGCCTCTACATCTGCTGCTGCAACTATCGAACGCCCACCTTCAGCTAGCGATGATCTTAAGGACATTACTATTGGGAGCAAACTTATTTCTCGTGAGCAGCAGAAGAACCTCCGAGCGCATCAGGCCCGTCGCATGAAGGGACTGGGCAACGACCGGAATCTCTACTTTATTTGGGTAAGTCTACCATTCATTCTTAAAACTCAATTGTCGCTTTTCATTCTAACTTTATCTTTTTAGATTCCTCTTCTGCTTCTGGTTATTTGTGCGTGGGTTCGGAACTACGTTCCTGGAATTTGGCGAGGCGTCATGGACAGCTTTGATTTTGTGAAGGCTCGCTATACACAGCGGGCTGTGGAAATGGGCATTTAGGATTTCTTTTGTTTATTTTATCTCTCATTGCGGTTGTTTTTTATCCGTGGATACGGTGTTTCTGAGCGAGTTCACACCACCTACCCTTACATTGGTTCCTTTTTATTTTTCTCTTCTGCGTCTAATGACAGAGTACGACTTCATACTAGGTATACATTCAAGCTTGCAGAAGCGTGGTCATCGCTGGCCTTTTGTATTAAGCATAGAGCAATCAATTCCCCAATGATCTGATCGTTACGTGTAATCTTGAGATGTTTGAATCTTTCAAGTTGGTCTCATTGTTCTTGTTTTGTATATTTTAGACCTATATTATCTGTGGATATATCACAATTTATTCATCCCGAGTTACCAACTTGAATACCCCTGATTTATCCAGCATATATACTGAGCAGAGAGACAAAAAAAAAAAAATTCAGGAGAGAGAGAGGGTATTCTGCATGATATAAGAAGGATATAAGAATCAAGTTGCATTCTCAGCAAATAATTTGTTCTTAGAACAGCTTGAACGAGCATTATTTGATATAGAGTCTAGACTAAAAGGGTAGGTTGTGATGCCAAGATGCGGCCTTATGCGGGCCCATAGCTGTCCTCGGGAGTTTCCCAACTTCAACAACTCCGCGACTCAACCCTCCTAATTGATCTCAGGAGGTGTGTTGAGGTGTAAAGCAGTCTGTAGTCTGTGAACAGGCATGCTCTGAGTGCCATTGACCATTTCCCGATCTGTGTCCGGGAATCATGGACCCTTCGCAGGAGGCTTCCAGCAATGTGACCGGTAGGTTTCCGCTTCCAAATACGTGGGACTTTTGAAGATCTCGGAGCTGACACCCTTTAAATGAATAGTTGAATATACGGATCCATCAGGTCTCTTCCCTCTAATCCAACCTCTTATTGAATCGAAACTTCCCCTGAAGAACCTCCACTGGAAATCACCAACGCGCCCCGTTCGCTCGATCGAATCCCTGCGCATCGGATTTGTTGAAGCTCAAGCAGAAGATGTCGAGCCTAAAACCTCTAGCGATGGGACTAGTGCTGTTACGCATAGACGGCATCAGATCCCTGGCTTGCGGCAAACTCCATACCTGAAAGTCTACCTCCTGCGCTGCGACGATAACGATACATACAAGGCCACGGCGCGGAAAACACTACGTGAATGGATCAAGGCTCAGGGAGCATCAAGTACATCTCAGTCAACTGGAAGTAGCCAAGAAAAGCATGACGCTTTTGAATGGCTCATTCTACATGTTGAACAGGATGGCGAGGGTGCGGAGAAGACGCCCGCGTCTACCTCGAAATGGGGGCGTGGCACTACCTCGGTTTTAGAGAAGGTCAAGGCGGATTTCAATGGATCCTCAAAGACTTCTGTGGATCGTGTGGCACAGCTACGACTGCCTAAGCAAGGAACCACAAAGTCTCCTGAACTGGCTGAGCAGCTGGAAGACTTGATCGATAAGGTAAAAAACAGCATCCTGGCTTCTTTCGACCTGCGCGTGGCCCAGTACGAAGAAGATATCAAAGAGAGAGATTCTCAGCGCAGTCTTCCAGGGTGGAACTTTTGTACCTTTTTCATACTTAAAGAAGGCCTCGCGCGAGGATTTGAAAATGTCGGTCTCTTCGAAGACGCACTTGTTGGGTATGATGAACTTTCTGTTGGTTTGGATGCCGCGATCCGAGATCAAGTACGAGGTAACAGTGGTCATCATGGTGCCGAGCTTTTGACTTCCAGCAAGATGTTGATAGACGATGCCAAAAAAGCATTGGAGGCCGGACCTGTTACCGACAATGGCGATGAGACTGAAATCCCCCCAGTTGGAAATCCAGCCAGAGGATTTCCCTCTGATCGCCACCAAAATGCCATACCGTGAAATGATTCTGGGCAACAACATTTCAATCTTCAACTTCCGCACGTATATTTTCTCTCGGCAGCTCACCTTGCTTCTCCGAGCGGCAAGAGCTCCATCCGTTGTTAATCGAGAGGAGACGACCACGCGCGGTAAAAAGCCAGAAGATCTGATCTTACTTTCCGAGATTTGCGATCGGTCTACAGAATTCATCAGCTTAGCCGCGCGTACCCTTCGCTATGACTTAGAAGTCGGGCTGAAGGAGGTGGAGAATGATGGCAAAGCAGATTTCATCAATAATACCGTGTCTTCTTGGGCGTATTCGGCAGCGTTGCAAATTCTCGACCAAACTTTCACGCCTACTCTCACAATTCCTGAATCCTCCCTTCATGCAGTCGCGCACGTTACTGAGGCCTCTGCGCCCGGTGTGCCACCTACACAAAGTCACCCTCAAGCTTCTCGTCGGGCGAATTCATTGGTATCTGGTGGTGTTGGTCGCATGTCTGATCTAGGCTCGCTTCAACGCCGTTTAACCCTAGAAAATCCAAAGCAGCCTCCTGTTATCACTCAGAAGACCGGCTCAGAGCAACTAGCATCTGGGAGAGGTGAACTTCTTTTGCTAGCCCGGAGATCCCTCGAGGAAATTTCGAGACGACGGGGCTGGTCTGAGAAATGGACAGACCTTGGTCTTCTCTTCGATGATTCTCACCGTTCGGGAGCTGGTGATCTGTCAGAAGTCTCTTTGGACGATGGAAGTGAATCAAAGCCACAGGAGGATGTGAAGAAAAAGCAGTGCTCATTGGTTGGTGTTGATCTTCACCCGTTAAAGTCAGCCTTGAAATCCAGAGAATCATTCTTGTCGTACTATGAAGAGCTTACAGACAAAATTATTTGTCATAATATGGCAGCCAGTCGCACCAACTCTACGGAACTCGCACTAGCGGATATTGCTATATTGAGATTCCGACAAGCTGATTATGAGACAGCTGCTTCCTACTTCCACCAGATGGCTCCATTCTATGGAAGTAAGCTTTGGGTAGTTCTTGAGGGGAGCATGCTTGAGCTTTATGCGCGATGCTTGAAGGCCCTTAAGCGTAATGAAGACTATGTTCGCATGATGTTACGACTACTGTCCAAGTTTGCTACATACTCTCAGTCTCAGTTATCTGACCGACAGAGAGTGTTGCCTAAGCCAACTTCCGTATTAGATCAAGAACAGCTTTCTGGGTATGTTTCTGATCTATTTGAGGGACTCGGAGCTCTACAAAAGGATGTTCCAACCTCCTTGGTTGATTTCTTCGCCGACCTACACATTGACCCAGCGATTCAACTATATGACAACAAAGACGGGTTTCAGATCCAGATGACATTGCGCTTCTTGTTGGGTCCACAAATCAAAATTGACTCGATCAAAGTCAGGCTTGTCAGTGCGAGCTCGAGTCAAAATTCCGAGCATTGGATTGAAGGGTCGACCGATTTTACTATCAAGTCATCCAAGACGAAAATTCTCATCGATTCTCCGGTAAGTCTGCCTAACCTGTTTCTAAATAAATTGAGATATGCATGACTAATTTTCATGGTAGACTACACTCCAGGGCAAATACATTGTGGATCGCCTGGAAATGAAATCTGGGAATCTTGTCTTCTCATTTAACAGTAGTCAACATTCCCTTCTTCCAGAAGCGAACGATGCAAGTGATGCCGATCGCCGACCATACATTTACTGTTACCCCCCTTCAGATGGCCTGCAGGCCAAGGTTGTTTCTCCACACCTTATCAATCTGGAGGCCATGCGCACGCTTGAGCTGGAACTCAGTAGTGGGCGCAATGAAATCAAGAGCGGTTCCATCCGTGTGAGACCGGCGACAGCAGGACTTCGCCTCCGAATTTCAGAAGCAGAGATTGTAGAGGGCGAGCTGGATGTCGCTGCTCACCATGACTCTGGGAACATTGAGTTCACACACCTTCCAGCTCGATCATTCGTACGATTGCGTATCCCCTACACGGTGGAAGAGGCCTTCACTACGCTCTCTGCACGGACAGAGGTTAGCTATGAGACTGAACAGGGCCGATTTGCCTTTACGGCCGTGCATAATGTTGTTGCCACTCTTCCTATATCAGTCAATGTGCAGGACATCTTCAAGGATGAAATTCTATTCTCCCGTTTCACCGTCAGCCCTGCTATGCAGCTCCCTCTCCGGATCACGAAATGCAGTCTGCCCAGCTCGGAAGCCTATGACGTGCAGTCCAGTATCACGGGCCCCGTTGCTCTGGATGTCTTTCCTAAACAGCCCGCTTCTCTGCTTTACAAGATTCGTCCGCTAGGGGATGGGGCCCACTCTACCCCAGCGGGGAAACGCAGTCTTCGCCTGCGCGTTGACTTTACATGTGTGGATGATGAATGTCTCCATGCAATTGAGAAACTATTCGTCACTGCCATTGAATCTAGTCCATACAGCCAATATGCATCGCTCCTTACATCACATGTTATCGGTAGTTTCCGCGCTCAGCTATCTATCGCTGACATGGAATCTATTGGTCTCGTACGAGAATTGCAGATGCTGCCGTACCAAACAGTCTGGTGGGACGAATTGTTGGGTGGACTTAAGGAACGTACCGAAGATGTGCGGGAATGGTTGATGGCGTGGCACGAGGTAAGCTGATTTGCTGTGGTATCCCAGACCCTTGTATTACTTAGATTAATTTTCTCTTTCCCCATCTTAGAAAACTCCTATCATTCGACTTCCATCGCAACCCACCATCCCCACACGCAGCATTATCATTCCTGTTGAAATCCCTGAGATCCAAGTGGTGCATACAGCGGAGCTGCACCTCAAGCCCGGACTCGATGTATCTGCAGACGGTTCCTCCCACGCGGCCGTGGGGCAGATGATCCCAGCTGAGCTGACCCTCCGCCACACGCGCCGGTGGTGTCCCCCAGCAAACCAGGAGCATGCTGGCCAGCCACTGGAATGCTCCTACGAGCTGCACGCGAGCCCCGAGATGTGGTTGCTTGGTGGTCGCCGTCGCGGTAATTTCCTGGCACGCGATGGGGAGGTGACAAAGTTCACAGTTCTTCTTTTACCCCAGAAACCCGGCCATCTCCTTCTCCCCGGACTGGAAATTCGCACGTTTGCTCCCGCGCATCTCGTGCCTCCCCCGTCACCAGCCAAGGCGGATTCCACTGGACCCCCACCGGCACCTCTTCAGCGACACCCGATTCCATGTGAGGTGGATTACCGGAACCATGGGGAGACTGTTCTAGTATTGCCTGATCTCCGTAAAACCACGGTCAGCCTTAGCACCTCGGGCAGTCCAGGTGGGATATCGTGGCTTGTGGACTCAGAGCGACGAGCGGAAGTGCACTGATTGAATCTAGTGATTTTCCTTTTTTCTTTCTTTTACAATTATGTTTTCTTCTCATGTTCTCATGACATGGCGATGCGAGCTTTGAGCATGGCTGGATGTGTACATAGTAGATCTACGAGTCATGAATATCCATGAGGTTAAATTCTAGATGTTAACTTTCTATCTCTTTTACAGTGGCTTGAATCTACAATAGCCCTTAAGTCCACTAAAATATGGAGTAGCTAATCACATCCAGTCTAAATAGAAGTACGAACACTCCATAGTTCAGCTTTGGTATAATTTCAGCTCCACAAGCGGGACTCCGTGCTCCGTATATCAGATACAAAATTACAGTATTTCAAAAATGACAGCGGAGTTGATTGGTGGGGGGTTCCTCAACAAAACCACTCGGCCCAACAAAGATGAGGGGTCTCCGCACGCCACACCGAGTTTTAAGATCATGCCATTTAACCCCTTGAATGGAGTATGTGATAAAGGAATGAAATGAATGTGAAATCTTCAAATGTATAACTGAGAATTGACTGGAATTGATTTGATAATATAGCTAAAAAGCATCGATGTTGGTCTTATATACTCCACCTGGACATAGTTGATCCCTGCATGGGGTTCACTGTATTGATCGGTATTGTCAGGATTGTATTGTGTATTTTTCATATCAGTCTTTACCCGTAAAGTACTCCAAGTACTCGACACCTGCCCAGCTGGACATGGTAGATCACCACTCAACCCATCACATGTCTATCAATTGCCACAATCTGCATGTGTCGACCAATCCGCAGTCTGATATAGCACCAGCATGTCTGTGTGCACGAAAATGACCCGCCGAGGTCGATCTTGATTCCAGCCCGCATGTGATGAGAATCTAATATTCAAATGTCCATGAAGCCACACATGTGCACATGTGCGGACTGAGGCTCTGAAGTACAACTATGGACTACTATACTATGTACATCAATAGACCTTGAATACCACAAGGCCATAGTACTCAATTTATTGATATAGTCTGTATGAATTTGAACAATCTATTCCAAGATTAACTTGAATGTCGGAATGGGTAATGTTGAGGGCCCAATTAGGTTGAGGATCGAGCCGAGTCGCCACATATTCCTCCATCTCCCCATTTTTTGTTAGCGGGACCTGAAGAACCACTTAGGTGGGGCCGAGAAGTTTTCCTCCAATGTTTAATTGTTCTAGCGGTGGCGATTCGATATGTAGGATCGGGTGTTCATGCAGGAGAAAAAAAAATTGAAATAAAGAAAAAAGAAAACTTTCAGATTATCTTTAAATTCAAATGTTACGGAATAGAATGACTATATTGATAAATCAAGGTTATTATATAGTTCAAATGTTGAGATCGATTGATCTTAATCTGGAGAGTATTAGATCAGCAATACCGTTGATACGCCGGACCCCTGCCCAGGTGGCTGAAGTGGATACCGATTTGTATCGCGTATCGTGTATTATGTATTCCAAGGTTGAAAAATTACACATTGATCCCTTTCTCCGTTGGTCTGGATTTCGTTGTCTCTTGGAGGGTTTTTTTTTCTCGACTCCTTCTCTTCATCCTGTCCCTTTTCTCCCTTTTTTTTCTGGGGTTCTTTTCTTTTTTTCCTTTGCGGGTCCTTTCTGGTTTCTCTTAACCCTCTCTTCATTCCTCTTTACCTAGAATCCATCTAGGTAGTCTCCCTTCTTCCCATCGCTCCTCTGTGTAACCAAGGGCAACCCACGCTTATTCTTATTCTCGTAAGTTTTGAATGCGCTCTCGGACTGTCCGATATGAATGACACTGACCCATGACCCCACTTCATCCAGGTTTTTTTTTCTTTGCGTGATAGAGCTTGGATTTCTCCTGTCGAACACGTCCCATCCCTCCCCAACATTTTTGCGTGGGTGTGATTTGGAAAATCACAAAAAGTTATAATAAATCACCATCGATTGCCAACATCGATATAACTGTACCTCACAATGTCATCCACTGCTATCCCCAAGCGCAATGCGCTTCGTCGCAACCCCACTACCGAATCTTCGGTCCCCAGCTCTGAGGCCGCTTCGCCCTTAGACAGCCCTCGTCAGTCCCCTTCGTCGACATCCTTGTCGTCTATGGCTTCGGACCAGGAGAACTCTAAGATGCTGGACACCTATGGCAACGAGTTCAAGATCCCAGACTTCACCATTAAGCAGATTCGTGATGCGATCCCCGCCCACTGCTTCCACCGCTCCGCCATCACAAGTCTGTACTATGTCTTCCGGGACTTCACCATCCTGGGATCCATATTTTACCTCTTCCACAACTATGTCACCCCCGAGACTGTTCCCTTCATGCCTGCTCGCGTGGCTCTGTGGACCCTGTACACCATTGTCCAGGGTTTGGTCGGTACCGGTGTCTGGGTTTTGGCCCACGAGTGTGGTCACCAGGCCTTCTCTCCTTCTAAGGTCCTGAACGACACTGTTGGTTGGTTCTGCCATTCTCTCCTGCTTGTCCCTTACTTCTCCTGGAAGATCTCCCACGGCAAGCACCACAAGGCCACCGGTAACATTGCCCGTGACATGGTGTTCGTCCCCAAGACTCGTGAGCAATATGCCACCCGCGTTGGAAAGACCATCCACCAGCTCAGCGAGCTCATGGAGGACACCCCCATCATGACTGCCACCAACCTGATCCTCCAGCAGCTGTTCGGATGGCCCTTGTACCTGCTCATCAACGTCACTGGGCACAACAACCACACCAAGCAGCCTGAGGGTCGCGGTGTTGGCAAGGCTAACGGATGGTTCGGTGGTGTCAACCACTTCAACACCTCCAGCCCTCTGTACGAGGCTAAGGATGCCAAGCTCATCGCTCTGAGTGACCTGGGTCTCTTCCTCACCGGCTCCCTTCTGTACTTCATTGGCTCCAACTTTGGCTGGATCAACCTGCTCGTCTGGTACGGTCTCCCATACCTCTGGGTTAACCACTGGCTCGGTAAGTTCTTAACCCTGCATTCACTTGCGTCCTGTATTTTTAGCAGCAATCCCTAACAGTTTATTTGTAGTCGCCATTACCTTCCTGCAGCACACTGATCCTACCCTCCCCCACTACCAGCCTGAGGTCTGGAACTTCGCTCGTGGCGCCGCTGCCACCATTGACCGTGACTTCGGTTTCGTCGGTCGTCACATCTTCCACGGTATCATTGAGACCCACGTTCTGCACCACTATGTCAGCAACATCCCCTTCTACAACGCCGATGAGGCCAGCGAGGCTATCAAGGGTGTTATGGGAGACCACTACCGCACTGAGGCTCAGACCGGCTGGACTGGCTTCTTCAAGGCCATGTGGACCAGTGCCCGTGTTTGCCAGTGGGTTGAGCCTACAGAGGGTGCTAAGGGTGAGAGCCAGGGTGTTCTGTTCTACCGTAACACCAACGGAGTCGGAGTTCGCCCTGCCAAGATCTAGATGAGGATATGTATTCTTTTCCTTTTTTTGTGTCTCTCATTCTTTCCTGACTCGGAAGCGAAAAATCTTGTTGTTCTGCTTTTTTTCATTGATGCCTGGTTTCGAGTTTTGTTTTTATCCTGTGATCTTTAGTCTATACATGTGTGGTGTGCATACACAAACTTGATGAAGATTTCGGCGAGAAATAGATGAAGAAAAAGATGGTTGTGTTGTACTTGTCTTACAAGAACTCCTTTTCTCTCTTTTCCTTGTTAACTAGATTGTCTTGGTTTCCTGTTTGTTTCTATCTCTTGGGAGATGTGACTCGGAGCTGGGTTGGCCTGTACTGAGCAGTGAAGAGCAGAGCGGGGTGGAATATGTTTTGCAACTTGGTTAATGGTCTGGGTCTTGGAATAAAACAAGACTGATGATGATAGAGATGACTTCTGCCATATATTCATGATATAGGTTCATACCATGCTCTGTTTCTCGTGAACTCCCCAAGTTCTCAGTATTTTCAGTGTAGTTTTCCAAATAGTAGGTGCATTCTGCTTCGTCAGCTAGGAGCATTCGACGTTTAGGCAGCAATATTTAACCATCTGAATAAATGCTGCTAGGGTATAAGCCCGGATAGAAATCAAAACTCCGGAAACACTTCACATTTAAGTGTTGGAATTCGTAGAGGGCTAGTTAGTGTAAGATGAAGAAACCAGACATCGATCAGATCCAACTTGAATAAGAGTGGATCCGTGGCAAGAGTGACGTTGAAGGATGAACAAAACAAGGAAAATCCAGATGTCCAGCACTCGAGTACTTGAGACATCTGGATATCCGAGAAAGCCGTTAGAGTCTTACATAGACTTGCGGGGTAGATTGGATATTAGCTACTCTTCATTGGTGGTCACACGACATCTGCTATTTTTACTTTATACTAAGGTGAATGAGGAAATATGGTTATGTTATACTAGAAGTTATGATCTGGTTTACTCGTTCCTCTCTATATTAATCAAGTATTAGTATGTAGTATTCAGGTGGATTTGGAGCACTTAAGATATCCTGAGGTGCACTGGCATGAAGAGATGCAGTCCAGGTTCTCAACCTGAATAGTCTAAACTCTGCCCAAGTGGAGAAGAGTGTAATTTGATATCATACAGATGGTGGTCACGGCATGTAAATATCTTATTCGTCCCGTTAGCTTTTACCACCTTGCAGATTGGGAATAACTAGTAAATCTAGATGCTTAAAGTACTAGCAGTCTGATCACAGTTCAAAATTCATCCTGCTAGGCCACTGTTAGTTCTCGCGTGTCATATAGATCTATGTCTTTGAACTATATTGTCATTTATCTCAAAAAGATGAGCTGTCAAATGATTGAGTCGGTGTCAAAATAGTTGTTCCGCACGCTGTGCTTCGATATAAACACATGATAAGCAAATATCCCTCATAATTCCAAGCATCTAGATCCATTTAGATTCCAAAATCAATCATCGGATTCTATACTTCGTAACCCTCCCTTCCAAATTTCAAACTCTGCCTCATCCACCCGTCTTTTCATGGACCTTGATTTCCCATCAGCTTCATCTTCCTGGGATTTCTCTGGTCCCGCAGTCCACGGAGCAAAGACCACCTTCATTATCCGTTTGGTAATAGTCCTAGTCTCTGGAGGGGGAGGTGACCTTGCCAGTTGAAGTTCTTGTTCCAATGACACCTCTACAGGGGACTTCCCACCGGTATCTTTCTCATCAGAAGTCGTAGACTCAGACTTAGGTTCCCCGGTATGTGTCTCCCTAGCAGACGCAAATCCAGGTTTACTCTCAGAGCCCTTTATCTCTTGATTCGCCGTTTGCTCTGAAGGCGTAGATAAAGGAAAAGCACCATCCCACGGGACAAACATCGAGTGAGTCCGCTTCTTCAACGCAATACGACAAGCAATCTGCGTTGACCAAAAGAATCCCAATGCTGGCGTCTTCAGCGATGATGTCCGATATACACTATCTCCCCATCCAGTGAAAAATCGTTCTTGATGCAGGAGACTCATCAGATCATTTCGAGCTGCATTGCCGATGATATATGAGCCATCGAATTGGTCATCGTCTGGCATTGGAAACTGCGATGAGGCAGGTGATGAAGAAGACGGAGCATCATACGGAGACTGCTGCGTCGATGGTAATAGATCTGGTCTATTTCGGTGCAGCGGAGAAGCAGTGCCTGATTCACGCATCGATAAACCCTGACCCTGTGTACTTGGGAACCCCGATCGAGACGGCATATCATTGTTGATGATTTCAATCGGTTCAAATCGATCTGAGACCTGGTTTGCAACGATGATGGCTATGTTTTCTTTCACGGCGAGATTACGGAGCATCTGGCCTAGTTTTGCGAGCTCGGTGGATCGCGCGGAAAGGGCGAGCATGCTGTGATTTGTGTGTTCGGCGCGGTAGTTGGATGTAATTGAGTCCATTATCACGAGCCCGACGTTATATCTTTCAATTGCGACTGGGAGCTGGTAATTGAGGATGTGGTCTTGTGTTTCCAAATCCATTGCGTTGATGGATAGAACGTTCTGGAGGGTTGGTGCTTGGTCTGCGGGGAGGGATGCGAGATAGGGATGACATTCTATTAATTGTTCGAGACGATTCGTGGCTAATGGGTGCTCCGTTGAGATGTAAATCGCGTTTTTCTGGAGCCCGTGTGGTTTGGGTAGCTGGACGGCGAGAAGAAGGCTAAGCAGGAATTGAGTCTTGCCACTGCCGCTGTGATGGGAACTCTTATTAGGAAAATAATTCTGCTAGATATGAAATGAACAGCACAAACCTCTCGCCTGTTATCTCCGTCACGTATCCCGTTGGAATTCCACCTCCTAAGAGCGCATCCATGGTGGGGTCCAAGGTGCTGATCGAATTCCATGACGTCTGCAACTTCGTCGCGGGCCCAAGGGCAGTCGTCTCGGTCTCCGGATTAATACTGGAGCTCAGTTCACTGTCGCCGGTATTTATGTTTGTCTGTGTCTTCTCGAAGCCCAGGTCGGCGTGAAGTGCCTCGACAATCCCGACACACAGCCGCCGGACGTCTGCGGGGGGTACATGGGCGCGTTTCGCGATCTCGAGCGTGTCGAGGGTGATTAGATCGACGGTGGTGATTTTGCTGCGCTCTAATGGAGGCAATATATGTGCATAGGGTTTTGTCGCGAAGCCAGGTAGGACAGATAGAAGATCCATAAGAGTGGCAGCAGAGGAGAGCTTCAGAGCTGGAATTGCGGTTATGTCGCGTGGGACCGTGACATCAGTCTTCGGGATTACCCAATTGGATCAGATCTAGTATATACTTCAGTTTTATGGATAACAGTGTTTATTATTTCCGAACGTCTATTTCTTCTGATCTAATTTCATACTTGAAATAATTAATTTTATTCAAGGTTCAATACTACATGGGATGAAAAGCCCAGCTGGGCACCGAAGAGCGCGTCTTCAAGTTGTTCAAGTTCAGTTCCAAACGTTGAAATATACTGTCATAGTAGTACACATGATATTCAAGTTCAAGTTGAGATTTGGATTCTAGAACTACAGAGGAATAGTATCTAGATCGGCTTCAAGTTAAGCCCGAAAAGAAGCTAAAAAAATAAGCAAACTTAACATCATGATGTACATTTGAAGAAAGTCTAGATTGTAGTTGATTGTAACATTGAAGTTCTAAGGATTCAGTATGTTGACCAGTTGGCGGGTACATGCATTGACCGCTAGCACTTCAGTTATGCCGGTGATTCTAATGCACAACATCCCTGTCTGAAAATATCTCAACTCATAGCTTGAACTCAACTTCAAGTTTCAAGATTTGAAATCATAATGTTTGCCAGAGGAGTTAAACCCACATTGATTCCTACAAGAACGGATCCGTACCCACCATGAGGAAGCACATCCGAGTCCGACCTATTTGGAATCCTCGAATCAAATCCACAACCCGGCCGAACATGCTCTGTGCGAGAGAAAGACTCGGAGATCATCGAGCTTCCAGTTTGTGGACTTTCCGATTCACGCACATGGAGCGTGGCCTGAGCCCTGAATAATAGTGGAGGATTAGCGAGCTTGAAACGCTATGTTGTGCGCACTGTCCTGCCTAGAACGGGCGTAAGGAGGGTCTGTTCTCAAGTTCCACGCGAGAGAAAGATACCTTGCGAGGTTTTATCTGTAGTTATGGGGTTATCAAGGGCAGATTAGGAAACTCAGTGTACTATGTACGGAGTACTTCAGATGATACTGTTCTCGTCTGGTCTTTGCTACCTAGGTAATAGTTATGATCCTATAAAAAGCATACCTAGCTCTCTATGTGCTAGTATTACGTACATGATATGAGATGTGCCAGTCTTGATATTGGTGATCGGGCCACAGCCCTGGAGTTTAGGTTTCATGTCTCGAGTGATTTCATGCGGGCGATGGCACATACGGTATGTATACGGATCAGGCGATCAAGGTTGATTCCCACCCCTCGACCAGGGTGATAAGTGGTTAATTCGAGCAACGGCGTCTAGGATGCATGCGTACAAAGAGAGACTAAACAAAGAGCTCGCAGGACTAACCATATTGGTAGGGCTATAGGATGTATCGTTGTGAATCGTGGCCATGTGATGAATAATCGTTTAATGCCCTGACTCGCCTAGAGAGTACGGAGTAGACCTGAAATGGATAGATCTTTGCACTATACAGTGAAAAAGTAGAAATTATCGGAGCAGGGCCGGGAGCTTGTAAATTACCCTGTTAGTAAAAATTCTTTGAATTCTTTGTTTCTCAAATGTGCAAATGTACAAATGTATGCCGATCATATCTCTATCTGATGTCACCGTCACTTCTAGCCGCGGCGCTGAGTGGATTTACCTGTTCATCCACGTGGTTATGGTAAATAGCGGTCTGTGGATAGCAAGGATTTAGCATGAATTATGGAGTCCTACTCCGTACGCACTCCGGAGACCATTCTCCGTAATAGGAGAAAATCAATATGGAGTAAAAAGAGGGAGTCTTGAATATCTGTTCATGCCGAGTTGCTGCCGAGTTTGGTACGGGACATGTTGAAATTAGAACTTATATTGAAATGCTTGGATGCAAAGCATAATAGAGTATTCTCAGACGAATTATTCCGTGCGCAGAGGAGAAAGAACCTGATTTCAAGTTTCTGCAACTCGGGAGCGAGGCCAAGATCCTTAAACTACCAGTGTTATAGGTGATGGGGGCCATGGCAGCCGGAGACCGTTGAACCTACCTTGCATATCCTAATCTTCAACACCTGTGGCTGGAAAAAGGAGCAGCGAACAAGAAACCGATCAAATGAAAATCCAGACCTCGGGAGGAATCCTCCTGCCTATTTCATACCCACCAGGATGTTTATGATCAACCACACTAAAAATGGACTAAAATGGGGCCGGTCAATTTACTTGCATATTGATCTTCTCACCTGACCATACTTGCATCACATCCAACGAATAAAGAACTAAATATGGAGACAAGTAGTCGAAAGGAATTGATAAATGACTACTTCGTAGACAAAATAGACGGAGTGCTCCGTAGCTACAAGGTACATTCGTTTAATAGGGAAAAATTGGGATTAAAGCCTGTGACAAAGGGGGTCTCGGGCCCGAAACGGAGAAACCCGTTAACACTCACATCTGATACAAATAAAATGCATAATAAATAAACTAGCGACAGTTAACAATGATACGACGCCCTTCAAAGAGGCTAATTGAGTGGATCGTATATTGGTAACGCCCCGAGTGCATTGATTTACAGTGATTTACACAGGGGGGGAAATTTCAATTCATAATCAATTTCCCTTGCCAAGAAACGCGTTGCCCCCCCCCTGATCCTTTAGCGAATCCTTCTGGAATGGCGATCTAGTGCTGCTAAAGTGCTCCAGGGCTAACGGAGGCGACATGGGGGAAATTATTGGGTTCCGCTATTGCTCGTCGATCCCGAAACTGAAATCCTTGGACTAAACGGACTAAACAACAGGAATTTCGTGAATTTTATGCCTTGTTTCATCCACTTGAAGGATCATTACCCTTGAAGAATCATCCACGTGGGAAATGTGCCTGAATATTCCTTCGTATTCAGCTCGGTACTCTGTTCAGAGTAGTCCGAACTCATGACTTACTAGAATAGTACCTAGACACGGACTCGGAGCACGGACTCGGAGTACTCTGGGGGTGATGATTCGAAATTAATTAGATGGCGCGGTCACGGTGTTCATACTAATATGGACTACTCCATATTGGACCCATCATGATCGACTTGTCCGGACCGTTATGGTGCAGATAATCCCAGAGCACATCATCATGATTTCATTTGTTTTGCATCTTATGTAGGAAAATACTAGCGATGATGAATATAAGACAAAAAGGACTTCGATACCACATACAGTATCCCGTACTCGAGTCCATGGGTGCTCCGTGCAGCACATGTCGATATAATCGGATTTATCCCGTTATCAAACACGGTAAAAAGCCGCCGGAGATGATTTTCCATAAGAATCTCCGTGAAAGGATCTTCTCCCGTAACTTGAAGCTTGATTCTTCTCCGTTTTCCCCGAGAGAATCCCCCATGAGACCCTTTGGTGGATAACAGAGGACCTTGAAGGCGTGGAGAAAGTGGGTGTCTATTTGTATATCGGGGAGTTAAGCCATGTAAGACATTTAGGGTCACTAAAAGGTCACTAAAAGGTGAACAAAAAAATAGAGAGGCCTAGCTCCACTCAAATGCTATGTCCAGATGTCTGTAAAAAAAGTACGAAGTACGGATAATACCTCCATGATCTCTGCTAGGTGCTAAATTGTTAACCTGTTAAAACACACCATTCAAATGTTGCAGGCGCAGGACTAAAAACGCCTTTCTACTCTGCATAAGACTCAACACCACCTTCCTTTTTTTCGATAGTCTCGATTCCCGTGTGCGTGAAACATTGGTCCGAATGGGGCGGTGGCTTTACGGTGCGGACCGTCTGAGTGGGGGATAAGAGATTCCCGATGAGAAGATTTGAAGAGTACACCAGTGGGATATTTTCAAAATTATTCTACGAACGGTATTTATTTATTTTATTTTAATTATTGAAAAAGTTGGGTGGAGGTGAAGGGGCCGTGTGTTTTATGGTGTGGTAACGTCAGATTACGAAGTCAAGATAATCTGATCCTCTGTACGGAGTAACCCTAGTCAAGCGGCTTGGAAATAGCCTGGAAACAGTCCAGAAACCAGCCCTAGGCGGTTATTTAATGCAGCTAAAAAGAAAAACCACGCAAAGGGGGCCAAAACTTGCCGAAAGAGGCTTCTGGTGTGCGCGCTGTTCGCTAGTGAATGTACGGAGTAACTGAGGGGGGACATATGATAATGAAAAGAGGGTATCTTGTGAGGGATTTGGAAAAAGAAAACAGAATCCACAAAAGAAAAACATCGCAGATCAGAATTTGCGGCATCAAGGCTTATAGGTGGGGCCAATGGAACAACTGGCAAAGCTCCCGCTTGGACAGAAATCGTCTAGTGAATTCGGGGACCTCCACTTTGTTGTGAGCAATTGGCCAGAGCGGAAATGCACTTGGACCGCCAAGATGAGGTGTCGAGGAGAAATACCAAGCTCGGCTGGACTAGTTCAAGCGAGAATGTCACGGTCTGGGGTGATATTTCAAGGTGAAGGGGGGACCTTCAGTGTTGGGGGATAAACGCTGTACCATAACTTCATAATTTAGAACCAGCATCTTATGTTCTGGACAAAAAGCGAAAAGGTCGAAAAGGTTCTGGACATATCAACGTATTTTAATTGTTTGCATCATGTGTCATACATGGTAATGGCCTAATGCCTGCAACCACGTCAGCCGGAAAACAAATGCCCAGATCTTCGACGGGAAATGACGGCATCGGTTGAGATATGTCTCCCTGGAGGGCTTTGACTCGGAGTCGGAGGGAGGGAATTAAAAGTCCACTCAAAATAAAAAATCTCCTGAACCAATATTAATCACATCGAGCATATACATGCATATTGTCAAGATCGTGGTGGTCAGGGATAACTACACCGGTCCGTTGGACTGGGATAACGGGCATCAAAAAAAGTTGGGGGAGGATAATCCAGGTCCAGATCGAGAAGAATGTATTCAATGGACCCTCTCGGGGATCTACGAGTCCAGTGGTTCCGGGTTCCAAGGACCACAGAACAGGATTCGGGGGAAAAGACAAGCGGAGCACTTGTGATTCGGGTAACGGCTGCACACGAAGGAGCCCTAAGAACTCCCGCTAGAACAGATTGAGCAAACAGTGAAAAAAAGAGGAGAAAGTTGGAGACTTAAGGGTTAAGTTGAGTGGAGAGCGAGAGAGTGAAACCGCAGATCCCTGATAACAGAGAAGAGGATTCGACAGCCCCGAAATTTATCCGTTTTGATTGTGTATTTTATGTCTTTTTTAGATGTTTTTATTTTTATTTTTATTTTTATTTATTTTATCTACCTAGAATTTATTATAATAATTATCATCATTATTATAATAATTTATTATGATTCATATAATTCTTTTATACAGGAATCTTATGACTTCAACAATAATACATACCAGATCGAACTCACATACCGGATCTCAATAGAAACAAAAAAGTAGCATTTAACAAGAATAAATCAAAATCACTCCATTTTATCATTCCAAGGAGTATATCTCCAATACTCAAGAGCTATAACTAAAAAAGAACAGTGGGGGCGTTATAATACATCCAAGGTACAAGATCCTTACCGTCGTGGCTCATACAAGGACTCCGTACTCCGCGAGTCACGACTAGAGAGACTAAAGAGACTAGAGAGAGAACCCGTCACTTTCCCCCTCTCTCCCCTACTTCCTTCTTTTCCCTCTATTCATCCTCCCCCAGAACTTTCGGGGTAGACTGATTTTATACAGACATCATTCTTTCTCCTGGAAATTATCTTGTCTTCTCATCTTACCCTAGTCACACCATTCCATTGACCGCCCTACGATCGTGGCCCCCGATCGATCGGAACCAAGGAAACATTGGTCTTTTGCGTCCCTCCATTTGCGCTCATCGCCTGAGATTATTCGACCCGTGGATTCGACTCGATTGGATTTTGTACGTCGCCCATTATCACTCCTAGTTACCCCCTTCAAATCACCCATTTTCACCCATCGATCTGCGAATTACATCCATTCAAAAAGCCATGGCAATTTGCTGATGTCGCTTCCATAGCACATTTTGTTGAAAAGAGAGAGTGTGAGAGCGAGGGTTGACCACTATATTGGAATATCTGCACGGAATAAAAAAAGGGGAACACTGATTGAAATTCAACATCGATCAAAATGGCGACTCGACCTCCCATGATGCCGCCTCCGAACGAGACCGACTCGTTCACCACTCGGATCACCCGTGAGGGTAAACAAATCACATATAGATTGACGGTGATGCAACAGCCTGAACGGGCCAGAGCATGTGGTGCTGGAGCTAAGTGTAAGTCTTCCTTGAATGCGCAACTTTTCTGGTTCGCTGACCTTGTAACTAGCTTCTGCCGACCGACGTCCTGTTGATCCGCCACCGGTAGTGGAATTGCGCATCTTCGAATCTGAACCGGGTCTTGACCAACCTCAAACCGATATCACCTTCGCCTACAATGCCAATTTCTTCCTTTATGCAACCTTGGACACTGCTCGTCCCATGGCTCACGGACGTATGGCTGGTCCTGCCTCGTGTCCTGTATTGACTGGTGTGCCAGTCGCCGGTGTGGCCTATCTCGATCGCCCCTCCCAAGCTGGTTATTTTATCTTTCCCGACTTATCAGTTCGTCACGAGGGTCGCTACAGGTTAAGCTTCCATCTTTATGAGGAAATTAAGGAGGCCAAGGATGCGGACAAGGATTCGAACATGCCCCTTCCTAACCAAATAACCCGCAACAACACAGGAAAGCCAGGATCGCCTCAAGCATACCTTCACTTTAGGCTCGAGGTGAAGTCAGTTCCTTTCACTGTCTACAGTGCGAAGAAGTTCCCTCATCTCGCTACTAGCACCTCGTTGAGTCGTGTTATTGCGGAGCAAGGATGTCGTGTTCGCATTCGTCGCGATGTTCGCATGAGACGTCGTGGTGACAAGCGCGATGAGGAATATGATTACGATGAGGAGAGGAATGGGGGTGTATATGCACGATCCGACCGATACTCAACACCAGATCGCTATGTGGCACAGACAGTGGAACGACCTCGATCGAATAGCAACACTAGCAACATGGAAACACCATATGGCTTCGGACCAGAGATTCAACGGCGACCTTCAGCACCCGATTATGGCTTCCAATGCCCGCCCCCCTTACCAGCGACCCATGCCACCGGCTCAAATGGCGCACACCAACACTCCCTCATACCAGTCACATCTTTCCTTTGGGTCAACACCAACTCATTACCCTGCTCCTCATATGCCGCCTACTCCTCCTCCCATTGCAGGTGGTGGAATGTACTCACCGCATACTGGATATGCTAATATTCGACATCCCTCCGCCATTTCAGAATACGAGGCAACACCATCAGGTTATCCGATGGCACCACAAATGCAGAATGGTTACCCTAAAAACAACATGAGCGCATACCGCGTGGAAGCGCCGAAGCCCACACCATACATGATCCAAGATCCAACACAATACCTTCCACCACCACACATGATACGCCACGATCAGACCCCTACCATGGGCCATGTTGGAATTTCGGCAATGAAGTCCTTGTCCAGCGAATATGCCAATATACAACCCTCAATTGAAAGTATACCACCCAGTCCCGGAGGATACGATTCCTTTGCAGGAAAGCATATGCTATATCATTCAGGCCCGACTGGTACCAAACGTTCTCATGAAGATTCATTCGGCTATGACAATCGCTCAATGCAGAATGGCATGCGACCGGACACGGAGCCACACCCCAACGCTTACCGAGACTTCTCTGCCGAGAGTCGTGCAGCCTTGATGGCCGACCTTGGCGTGGAAATGGCATACAAGCGAGCCAATGGTAGAGTGGTCATGAAAGCCCCTGCTACTCAATAACAAAAAAGCAAAACACTTTAAGAGATGTAATTCCCGAAAGAGCAAATTATTTCGTGATTTTCATTTGCTCTCTTCGTGTCAGAGCTTGCTCTGGCTTTTTTTTTCGCGCTTAGGAGTTTGGTTTCGTCCTCTTGCGTCTGGCACATTGGCAATCCTGTACATGTCTTCCGCCTTGACCCCTTAACTCTCGCCTAGTGCCTAGACATTCGCATAGTGTTGTTACGTCCACTTCGAAGGAAGTCGCATCTTTCCTTTATTTTTCTGTTTATGTTCGATTACCCCTGGGCACTGGTCGTTTGCTGGGCTTTCTTGGTTGCTCTTTTATATCCCGATCTGATGATCCTCATTTGCGCATTCGTTACCAAACTCTGCATCATTCAATTCTTCTAATTCACTCTTTTGGGTTGGTATGAGAGTCACTCACTTTATGATGCCCTTGCTGCAGGGCTCCTATACAAGGCTGGACTCGATGAACATCTCATCCACGCCCACTCCATTTCACTCCACTTTCCACCTTTTCCTTACGCGTTTTGGGCTGCTATTTTTTTAACGGCTGGTTCAAAAGATGGCACCATTGGGTTTTTCTTTTCTTTTCTTCGTTTTTATGTCATTTATCAGCGACTTGCGCTTCGAGTTGCGAACCTGCAACTATTTATATTTGGTACTTGATGTATCTTGGAGACATATTGCAATATTTGTTTTGGTCTTGCTGCATTCCATGGGCAAATCCATTCGATTTGACGGCCTGTTGCTTAATTTCACGTTTACTGGCGTTGTGGCATGTCTTTGATACCTAGCATTGTTGTCCTCAAATCGATAACTTTTACCTTCAAAATGTTTCAAGCTCCGAGTCGCTCCACAGTACATATCTATCAGGTGCCTAATGATTATCTATTTTCATTTTATTCAGCGAATTTCTGTGTTTGGCCAATGCACGTGTCAACCTACTACATAGCCTGGAGTAGTAGTATCGTTAAACAATACCCGACTATTCACCGACAGTTCTCTCAATTGATTCAATTTTATACATTTTCTATTCCAGATGTCGCATCTAAAGTTTCAAGTCATCAAAGAGATTCCAATTAAGAATAAAACCATAACAATCACTCTCTTTTAATAGATTGGCGTCGTCATAGCCCCGGTTTACTGCGGCCACCAAGGCGGTGATGATCAACATCTTGGCCTGTCCCACAAGAGGCTGTCTTCTCTCTGTTTCCACCTCTTTGAACCCAATCCTCAATTTCACCCCTCTGTGTACGGCGATGCATTTGCTATGGAAAAGAGGACCGAGTCTGCATGCGACCAGTGTCATGGGCACAAACTGAAGTGCTCTCCACAGCCTCAGGGGTGTGTGCGGTGCAAGCGTATGTCCCCGCTTTTTTCGGCTTCGATGGATCATCTCTTAACCGTTCTATTCAAGGTCTGGGGATTCGATGCACATCAGATCGACCGATTAAAAAACGAGGCAGAAAATCCACAAAGAATCTTTCGCCTCGATCCCCTGTGACTCTATCAGTAAGCTGCAACATTTCCAAGATTCAAACGTTTTCTTCCTTTTCGGAGCCTGGTACTAATGGGGATAGGATGCCCCGGATTACCCGGTTTTAGACTGCCTCCGCGGCATCTCAATATTGAAAGCTGATAAAGAACATGCACGGTATATGCATTGTCCATTCCGAGTCTTGCGTTATGAACTAATGATTTACTATGTGCGATCAGAAACTCTACTGTACATCTTACACGCTACGAAGCCTGTCGGCTTCTAGAGCATTTTTATACATCACCCAATCAGGAATTTCATGCTCTTCTCGTCCGAAAAGAGCGATTACTGAATCAGCATGCTCCACGACCAACTGAGCCAACCCTTCTACTTTCGATGCTATGTATGTCCTAATATCCAGACAGACATGGGCTCAATTAACATGACATTCATAGGTGTTGCCTGTTTTATGCCATCCGATGAGTCCTCTACTCTACCGGAATCGACTTCAAAAGAACGGGCTGCTCTGGGCCGGTATTTATTTGATAAATTGACCAGTTTTTTCCATCCCAGAACATTGCCAGATGCAAAGCATGTCTTCGATGATGCCTTGACTGCGTTCATTATGACAAGTATCTCACCCAGTGAGCAATCAGTGGAGTCAAGTCTACATTATTGGCTCGCATTTCTCAAGTTTGTGGTGCAGGAGCTTCAGGTGTACAAAGACCTGTCGGAATTTACTGAAGATGAGCGAGAGGAAAGGAGAAGGTGTGCGAATCTATGATATCCATCTTGATTACTCTCTTGCTCATGTATTTCTATTAGGTTATGGTGGGCAACCTTTATCATTGATAGACATGTGGCACTATCATTCAATGAACGCCCATACATTCCAGATCAGGAATGTCAACTCCTCCCAATACCATCCCCTGATACAGTCTGGGTGATGCCGGGGAGGCTGCTGAGTACTTCAGAGACTCTCATCAATGGGAACACGATAGGTTATCGTGTGATCAGTCTAGATATGCTTGGAATCTATCTTCCTTTGTCGAAGTATGTTCTACGTTCCACCAAGGGGTTATTATACGATATCTAACCTGGAAATAGAATACTAGGCGAGATTCTGGAACATCGCTTTATTTGCGAACACCCAACTTTCAACAAGAATAAGGCTTTTATTGCTGAAATCAAGTCAAATATTCTTCAAAATTTGGGACAGTGGTATGAATCCTTCACGTTACTGGTTGGCCGGGACTTCCCCACAATTGCAAACCCGGAATGCGACTTGTCTCCACCACCAGAGATCCCTAAAGTTGCCTACTATGGTCTGCATATGTACCACTGCATGTTCATACTTCTCCATGGCCCGATGGATATCGTTCGCATGTACAAGGATCATACGTGGCAAGCATCCTTGGATTTCCTGACAGCCGGCGAACACGCCGCGGCATGTGCAAATGTAAGTAATCAAGAACTTGAATCCACAAGCAGCGCTACATTACATGCTCGAACAACCGTCAATTACTATACTAACGATCTTGACAGGTTGCACGATACGTCTTACGAGTGGACCCTCGACTATGTCTGATGTACAGATTCTTCGGAACCTACTTCCTCCAATCCACATTTATCTTCCTGATTCTAGCCCAAAAGCTAGGTCGTCAATCGGATGAGCTGATCATGCGTAACTGTGCGATCAACCTGCAAGTCTTGGATAGGTTCGTGGCTACGACGAATATGGACTACCAGCATACTTTTGCTAAGTTTATTCGTCGTGCCCTTTCTTATAATATGGGACACCTTTCCCCGGAGCATGATATGCAAGTTGATAATCCCTTGTCTGAGTCGCTGGATCCGGAGATGCTTGCTTATCGATGGATTCCGGGTTATAGGGGCTTGCATGTTGGTCCTTTGGATAAGGAGTGAACTGAAGGTACTTCCTGGATAGGACATTCCTTTTGTCCAAGTGCTTTCAGGGTTTTATTTATCTTCGAGTGATTTGCGAGGGCATGTTGGCACTTCTTGTCCTCTTTGTAGAATAATTGACATCCATTGTGTAACTGAGGAATCGAATATATGATGTGTAAGTGCTCACATGTTGTGCTTATTATGAACCTTAGCGAGTTTGTAAGTAACTTCTTCAAAATGTTCCACGTTCACGTTGGAAATGGTGTTAATTATCATGATGCTCTGGGGTTGATTTCATAGGTACATATCTCTTTGGATGTGCCAGTAGCTACAAACAAGTCCTCACGCCGCACTTCGCGCGACACTACTAGTGAAGCAGCGAGCATTTGAGATTGGGAGAGGTACCTAGGTATCCCCTCAGCACGCGAGTGCTTCAAGCACTTGAGTTCAAATGTTGGCTAGATGTGTCCACATCCTCTCAGATAGGTATGTTCACATACTTAAGTACAGGGCTCAGTCCGAGTCAGTGTCATTGATCTATGTACAAATGACTAATGACCGACACCTCTTTGTATATAAGTACCTACAGGGTGAACTATATGAATCCCTGGAGGGGAAGGCTAGCTACTATAAATATAGTTAGACATAGGCCCCTGGTAACCCCATAGATATCTAAAGTGAGAGATATCTAAACTAGAAGTACGAGATAGCTAAATAAAGCGGGATACATTCATGTTTAGATGTAATAAACCAAAAAATATAGTCTATTGGCTATGGTCTCTGAGTATTCTGCCAGACGCCGAGAAAACTCGAAAAGCCACTGTAACCCAAGTAGAAAAAGAGGTCTATGTAGCTACAGACTCGAATCAATGTCCCCAGCACTTGAGGTGGCTGTACCGAGTGTAGCTATCCAGATGTCATATGTGCATTTAAATCTTGATGATATCCGATCCACAACATTTGAATACAGCATCTGATGGAATTTAAATTTTCTGTCCAGTTTCCAGTGACCAGAACAAGACAGTCCAAAAGACTTGGAAGATTATTATGGCAGTACTGTGTCTTCTGACAATATTTGAATAGAAGATATGGCTCCAGGGCTATAGTATGGACCGCCAGTGAAGATCCTTGAAGTCACAAAATGTGAATTGATGCCCACTGGCAGAATTTTGGGAACAGCACTTGAGCGAGAGAAGTTCAAATAAGCTTTCAACACTTGAACATTTGAATGTTAGACGCCAGTCTCAACTCTGCATGTGCTACCTAGTACTAGGTACTAGTAGAAACTTCAAGTTGAATTTCAAATGCTGAATTTTAACTTAAATGTATGTCAACAATACTAGTAATATACATATAGTACTAGTAACAGATGTAAGTGTCAACTCAGTGCTGGTGCCCAGGTGCCCAGGTGGTGAGGAAGGCAGAAATATGTGAGAGGATTCTCATGCGATGTCCGTCTAGGTCTCGATAGCGACCGCTTTTGTGTTTAAATTCTTTGTATACATAGGCCCTGGATTGAACGGGAGCCCAAGTGCGATGATGTGCCTAAATACTAGTACGTCAGCCCCTCTGCCAGAGCAATCCCATACAGTTTTGGGAATGCTAAAGTCAGGACTCAGGCTGACATTTATGAGCCAATCAGAGCACCAATGTGTAACTATTAGATCAGAGTCGAGACCCACTATTCACACTCTCGTACTTGTAGACCAAGGGGCTATGCAATGTGTAATAGTAAGTCTTGTTGACTTCAAGTTTTAGGATGAACTTCTGAAAATAATGAAACACTCATCTATTACTTCAACATTTTACTTGAGAAAATTGATTACAACGTTGGAACATACCTGCCACTACGTCATTTCTTTCAGTTGAAGATGTGATCCTCTGCGCGCAAATAGCTTATCATATTTTACAATCTATGACCCAAGGACGCAAGAAGGCACCTTGTGAAATCAAGGAGCTCGGGGATGTTCTCTTCGGCCTTTATTGTTCTTTGGGATTTCTACAACGAGAATGTGAAGCCGTTGCATCAAGAGATACCTCCACTAGTATGCCTGATGATATTGCGACAAGGGTAAATCTGCAGCTGGCATATATGGTCAAGTCTTGTCTGGAAACATTAAAAGAGCTTGATAATGCTACGGCCAAATATCGACATATTGCCGATCCACCTTCACACGCAGTGACAACAATCCTCCCTGGTTCCACACCGCTGAACGTCCCACTCTTAAGGCTCAAAAGAGTCAAAACCTTTGTTAATATCTAATGGAAAATGATCTTATGGGATTTGCGAGGTGGCTCTTATGTGGCCAAGTATCGACAAAGACTTCAATCTCATACGGATTCCATCAATCTCTTCCTCAATACTTTGACCTGGTAAGTCACACATTTGCCTTATTCGCAATTCTTCTTGATGCGTATAATTCTAACCAATATTATAAGGTCTGCAACTGATCGAATTGGAGATTATGTTGAGTATCATGCAAGAAGGCTAGATGAACTTGTACATCAGGCCCGTCAGTTCAGCATGACTGCACAGTCTTCCGTGCCAGCTTTGCAGCCCATTGTAGCATATGTCCCGAATCACCGTGAGCTTGCTTCCACTAGTCCAGCCCAGCAGGCAAATCCTGGTGCCTTCTTGGACAACCAGACCCTGATATAGAAAGCTGTTTTAACCGACCATTTCAGCGGAGGTCGACCTTGGGGGAGTTATGGGGATTTTGATAGAGTTTTTTGATTGATTAGCATCTATGGAGAATGCCGAAATATGATTATATGCCTGAAATCGGAGGCACGGAATGGGGTTTTGTACCTAGTAAATTCGAGAATTCTCCTTCAAATGGTTGGTTTCAAAAAGGTATCATCATCTATATGAAGAAAGTGATGCATATACAGCAGTCCATCATGCAGTGGGTAGAGGAAATGATGGTTGATGTAGACCTCTTTTTCTACTTGGGTTGCAGTGGTTTTTCGAGTTTCCTCACCATCTGGCAGAATACCTAAGGAGGCAGAACCAGCCTATAGCTTAGACCATAGATTTATAAATAAGCACCTGGTCAGATTTTTATTTTGTTTATTATATCTCAACATGAGTATATCCCTCTTGATTCAGCTATCTCTTACTTTTGAATATCTCTAACATCAGATATCTCTCACTGTACCAATCTCTTACTTTAGCCACCTCTTACTTTAGATATCTGTCTATATCTAACTATATAGCAGCTAGCCTTCCCCTCCAGGTAATCATATAGGTAACCCAGTAGGTAACCATGTAGGTACTTCCATATAAAGAGGTGTTAGTTACTAGTCATCTGTAGATGCTACTGACTCAGACTAAGCCCTGTACTAAAGTATGTGAACATAACTATCTGAGAGGATGTGAACACATCTGGCCAAGCAATCGCGTGCTAAGGACATACCCCCCCAATTTCAAATGCCCGCTGCTTCACTGGCAGTGCCGCGCGATGCATGGCGTAAGGACTTGTACTACTACTAAATCAAAAGAGCAGAGCCCTGGAGGTAACCATTGGCATGACCCTACTACTATCCTCCCTTTCCACGCGGGAGAAGGAAGACTCGACCGTGACCATGGCGAAGTCCGAGTTGAGACCACAGCAAGCAGTAAGTAAATCACCACTGGCAGTCCTTCGTCCACAATATACCATTCACTGTTCAGGAAACAACATGCTGTTATAATATCTACGACAGGGCTAATACTAGTAGTATTTTTGAAGTCACTTGAAGGCAATGATATCGTATCGACATGGGCAGTGGGGGTTGAGTTCCAAGGTTTGACCTCGGGAGTGATTGGTAACTTTCCAAGGTTCTTTGACCAGTCTGCCCAGGTGTCTTTCCAAGGTTCAAATGTTGTTTTGGGGCAAGTTTACCTATCATAGAGGTGCCGGCTCTCAAAACAGCAGCGGATCTCAACGCAATATACTCTGTAAGATGATTTTAACGCCTGGTCCAGGGATTTTTCCTCATACGAACGTTAGATTATTTCTCTCATATCTTGATCATCATTAATACCAGGAAAGCTTTCTCAGCCCACAGTCAAGATGGTGCGATTTTTTGCAGCATGCTGAAAAAGGAGGAAAAGCTGGAGAAGGAAGGGAAAATTAATAAAATTCAACGATATCGTTATCGAAAGGCCCGAGGGACTGACTACCACTGGCTTTTTGAATTTGGGATAGGAATACCTCAGTTTCTCCGAACTGAACGAACACTCCGAGAAATCACACAGAGAGAAGCTATGCTGGAGGAGATTAAGCGAGGCCAAATCTCCTCGGCAAGGTCCAAAGAGATTGAGAGGGAGATTCAAGGTTTTCGAGGTAGATATTTTGTGGCTGAGTGCGAACGGCGTCAGCTACACAGAGAATTTAGTGGATCTGTGGTGAGAGGACTTCAACTATGGCGATCAGACCCCAAGTGGTATTTGTCAGACCCGTGAGGTTAAGGCTACCCGCAAGTTAGGACTTGGTCATTGTACGGTTGAATGTGGTTGTTGTCAGGATACTCGCGGCTGCGCACTTTCAAACACGGAAAAGGAATCCATGAGAAACCTCTTTGCACTTGACCCGACCTACAACCTTCTATACTACAAAGAAATCATGAGAGCATCGATTTTTGGTCTTGTTGTTAGCAACACTGCCAGTTCATTCGACTTTATCGAAAGACCACCAAAATATGAGCAAATTGTATCCTAAGTTATAGCCTACTGAGATACTTCATGATCCAAATGTTTCAAAGGCCAATTCAAAAGAGAATTTAGCACAGAACTACTTTTATTTCTCTGAACTCAGATATTAAAAAGGAATACGGTGTGCTTGAAATCAATAAGGCATAAAATACACTATTTTATAGATATACCCCGAAAGAGAACCGTGACGTGATAATATATGATATAACGTGATATGAGAAAATATGAGATAGACTCGTCAACTGGTATGGTATGCAGTATGTGCTGGTTGGAAGCGATGTGGATCATAGATATCCTTCTCAGGTTCCAATGGTTTCACTTATCTCTCATCTACCCGTGGACGTCTTACTTGAATCCTTTTTTGGAACCTTGGAACTCTCACTCATCACATCACTTTCCTTTCTGAAGTAAAGCTTGAACTGTCATATCCAAATATGCATTCAATTGCTAGTCAACACGCTTATACCATTTCAAGTTACCATCATTACCAGACTACAAAAATCATTACATCATTCAAATCAAGTTTGCAAAATGTCTGTTGAAACCAGGTGGGTGTAGGCCACCTGATCCTCTCAATATCACCTTCTCCCTCACTCCAACGCACCACACACAGGGCACATGTTCCATCCCCACTCCAGGTCCCAGTGTCATCCAACGCAACTACTTCGACCTCACAGTCCTCATGCGAGTGAAATCACACCACATCCACTGTCCAATTTGACGAGGAGCCGTTTGAAACCTTCGAGGATAAAGTTCTCAAGCTCCGCGACAATGAACTGGAAATGCCCAAGGGAAATGCGAATGTCAAGGGGCTACGTGGTGGGACCTTCAACAGTGTCGTCAGCTTCCAGTCTCCAGACAAGGACCGGATTCTCCGAATTTCTCGCCTTTTTCATAGTGAACCCTCAAGACAACAAGCACAGCACCTCAACCAAAGGCTCCACTCTACCTGATTTCATCGGATAGACCGGGCCCCTCAAAGCCATGGCGGCTGTTTTTCAATGCTGGCAATCTGAGCGCAGAAAGTCGCTGGGATTTAAGAGGCATTTTCTGGTTGCCTGAATTGCTTATTTTGGGACTGGGGCTCTTTGTATCACTGGCCAGGACGCTGATGACTTCGGTAAGGTGCCCCTTCCTGCGGGCGTTGATCCCCGTTACCTGTCGAGCGATAGTGACGAGAGAGAGAGAACGGAGAGAAGGCGCGCTGACCGAAAGCCAATGCAGCCACTTTTTCCAATGATGCACGGGCTAAGGCTCAGCACTGGGCTACTGTCGACAAACACACCAAGTTCCATCGAAAGAAGATTCGTGCTGAGCCGGCTGGCACCTGGGACCACCACTGCTTGGCGCTGCTAATCCGTTGTTATCAGAAGGGATAAAGTTCGGAGCGGAGAAAATCCAACTCAGGATTATATGGTTCTTTTCTATGCTGTTAAGTCGTGATACATGGAAACAGGCCCTCCGTGCGGGTTTATTCTGACCTCAGGACTAATTGATAACCTTTTTAGCCAGACCCTGCCCAGGAGCCCGCTGAGCAGAATCAAGCCCTCAGAGGCAGATAGAGGCCCCTTTGAAACATTCCACCATTCAATGGTTTTACCTTGTTGCGAGGTAGGATTATACCCAGGTGTTTGATTTCGGACCCAGTTCGGAGGTCCTATTAGTTTCTTTGTCTGTTTTGTTGCCAATAGTAACTTATTTCGAGGGCAATCATAGTAGTTTTTGCCCGATCTGCAATGGGCTATCGGGGCAAAGATGATTACCTCACATTGAGAGTGCAAATTTCTTACTGTCAAACTTCACCCTCTGTAGAGACCTTCTGGTTTTGTATCAGAATCGGACACGAATGACGAGTACTACCTTTACCCGACATTTTGTCTAGATAGGATCAAGTCCAAAAGTCGACCGGGCGTACTATTCTGTTGTTCAAGTTTGTACAATAAAGATAAAGTTAGGTGTAAACCAATAATCTCATTTAATTATGAGCTCTCTTCAACATATCGGATTCGCTTTCCGATAGTTGAGGCCAACAATCAAAGCAACAAGATGACAGGCACCTCCGAGTACAGCAAAAGAGTGAAACAGCTGATGAGAATGACCCAAGATATCAAAGGACCCAGGACTTAGTCTCTCAGGAACTCGACTAACGAATATACTGACTCCGACAAGCAGGAAGAGGCCCTCGGAAAGGTACCATCTAGCGCCCATCTCCGTGCAAGCGCGCTCCCATCCCAGTTGATGCACACTGTGGAATACAGGCAGCATGGCAGAAATGCCTAAAAAAGTGAAAGTGCTGCCACGAAGCGTTCGCATTCGACTACCCCCACCACCGCTATTGAATAGTGTGTATGCAGCTGCCAGGGCAGAGAAAAGGTTGAGTCCCCAGTATATCCGTTGAATTGATGGCTGGCAATAGAATGCGTAGTATGTTATAGACATTCCACCGCCAAAAGCGAGTAAGCTGATTCCGAGGATGTCCATGCGTCCCCAATAGTGATGGACATCGTATGAGTGGCTTCTTAGTGTGTGGAATGTTGTACTCAATCCGAAGCAGGTGGCTGCGGAGGCTGTGAAAATGCCGAAGGCATAGATGTCTCCATAGTCGGTATCGATGTTCATTATCTTAGTCGCGTATCGATACAAAACAAAACCACTACGTAGTCGCAAATGCTGTAGACCCGATCAGATGAGTCCAGATATTCATTGTCTCCATATGCCAGCATCGCCATAGTCGTAGAGATCGCCAGTAAGAATATGTGGGCATTGGATGGCCCTTCACAATATAGTCATTATCGCGTGGCTATTGGGGAATTTGATTCTTGTTGGCGATCGTGTGCTAGTATCCTTGATTGTCTTTCTTGTTTGACCCCGCGGTTGTTTTGGTCATTGCGTCGGGAGACGAAGATGGTTGTTTAGCGTTGCGAGCCATCTTCTCGAAGTAATCAGATTGAGCGCCCGGGCAGTTTGCGATTCACTGTTCTCTCAATCACTCCATCAGGGAGCTTGACCACAAGACTGAGGATGATGTCCTTTCCAATCCAGGGGATGTTGGTTTTCTTTTAGCGCGTTCTTCCCGATCCCCAGCCCCAGCCCCGCTTGACAGACCCCTGTTCGTTGAAGATAACCGCCATTCGCCAGGAAAAGCGGAACGGTCGCCGCTGAAACAGGAGAACATGCGGAGTAATTCGTATGCAGTTCTTTTTTTGGCCACAGCGCATTGCTGATTGTTGTCTCCGCAGACCTCACGACCTCAGGGCCATGGCGATCATCATTTCAAAGAATGAAGCGAATTTTACCTCCATGGGAGTTTACTCCGATCAAGACAACACTAAGGGGATTATATTTCTACAATATGAGAACCATATACGGAAGGAAACAACATGGAAATTTTTGGCTGTGTTTCACATAATGACGACCATGCAATTAGCGCCCATACAGCGCATTGAGGGGCTGCGCGCGTTCATCTCTTCGGAATTTCAATTGCAAAAGCCATATTCGGGGCAAGAGAGATTGATTATTATCTTCTACTTGACCAGACAAAAGCAGATTAACATGCCTAATAACAAATCCCTGTCCTTAACATTATGGACAATAACACGAGCGATATGACTACCTTAGTTCAAGGATGGAACTCAGGCCCTAACACTCGAGGGACCATGGACATAATATGGTCTTCATTACTGACAATTGTCCTCTGCACCTGGACCGCGCTTTGTTTGAACCTCCCTCACCCTAACGATGGGTCTTTCGAAATCCTCCGTCAACGAGCAAAATGGATTTTCTGGGCTATTGTCGCCCCAGAACTAGTCCTTACAGTTGCCATGGGCCAATATGCATCGGCGCGCCGATCTGTCCTCAGGTTTCGAAAGTTTACGGCCCAGCAGGATAGTTGGACTCTTCGGCATGGGTTTTATGCTGATATGGGTGGAATGCTTCTTCAGCCCAGAGCAAGCACCCCGTTTCTTGTCAATGCTCGTCAGCTGGCATATCTGGTGGAAAAAGGATATGTGGAAGTTCCCCAGATCACAGCAGGGGAGATCTGGGACCGATCCAAAACTGATGCTTTAGGGCGTCTTCTCTCATTACTCCAAGCCACTTGGTTCTTAATAGAATTGCTTGGCCGTGCTTTTCTCCAGCTTCCCACAACCACATTAGAACTTTCTACGGGAGCGATTGTGGTCTGTACCATGGGTACATTTCTCTGCTGGTTCCATAAACCAAGCGATGTACAGACTGGCATCATCTTGAAAACAGAAGCTACAAGGGCAGACATTCTAATCGATGCTGGTGATGCTGCCGCTGTTCCTTACAAGCACACGCCTCTTGACTTCATCGCTAAGCAATCACCGACATGTGGATTTGAAGTTATGGAATTTTTCAATCTGCGCTTTGACAATCGCGAAAGGCCATTACGTCGTTTCCCCAATGACCGTTTCCCTGATATTGGAACGATGGAAAAGTTTCTTCCATTCTGTACCACTACCACCTTTGCGTCTCTCCATTTGATAGGATGGAACTTTGAATTCCCATCCCAGACCGAAAAGGTCTTGTAGCGCGTCTGTAGCGGGCTGGTAGCCGGGGCAACTCTTTCTTTCTGGATCTTTGAAACAATTGCAGCACGTCAGCGATTCGGCAGATGGGACAAGTATTTGATATGGTTCAAGTTAAAAAAGGCACAATCTGAATCGAAGTCTGCTAAGAAAAAGGCTCTGGATTCGCAAGACCCTGTTGCTCGCTTGAATGCATTTGAAAAGGAGCAACTGAAGGCAAAGCCCATATTGCTTTGGGAGGTCGCTATCATTCTTCCCTTCATTCTCTTATACGCTAAAGCGCGGGTATATATGATGGTCGAAATGTTTGTTAGTCTACGATTACTGCCTATGGGGGTCTATCAAACATAATCCCTCATTGGTGAATGCCCAATAAGTTTGTTATATTCTTAATTTTTCACAGCATCTAATAAAACGATGTCTATGACATGTATTATACTCTCAAAATTCTTAAAACATAGTAGCGTCTACTAAGGTTAGCCTCATTTAATTTTGTAATACATCAATTTAAGTCACAGTCACAGTGCAGGGCCAAGATCTAAATTTTCTAGTAGTCCTAACTTGGAAGTAATAAACATAACCTTGGAATGCTAAAGTGAGAGATAACCAAGTCTGAAGTGAGAGGTATCTGAAATAAGAGTAAGAGATAGCTGATAATATATACAGTACTTCTCTTTTTTTCTTCCTTGAATGTTCTTTCTGCTAGCCATATGGAGTGTATAGGGGGTTTGGCTATGTGGCTATTATAGGCTCCCGTACCCCTACAGGCAACAAACTCAACTGCTGCCTGTTAGCCCCTTGGACAAAACCCTTCTTTTTACCAGACTGAAACTTCAAGTTTCAAGTTATATCACTAATTTTCAAGACCCAACATGTTGGTGTTTCTTAAAGATCGATATCACCCTAAGATTTAAGATTAATTCCACAGCCGCCCTTCCAGGATAAATCTGCGTTTGAATGGCCATCGAAGACTCCATCGACTGGTTCGATGACGAGAAATTCATCAGTACCGAGTTGTCGTTTTCCTCTGGCTCAGTATGGAAGCTAGACACCAAGATAAGCGAAAGCGATCACTGCAATGACGAAAGTGAGTGCACTGAGCTGGGCGTTGGATCTGAGGCACGCGGAGTATTCTCTTGCTCCAAAATATCTGGGGAGGGCCCACTTACTGCTATCATCAAAATTCGCTAAAAGTAAGTTACTTCCAGGTTTCTCCTATATTATTTTTTGGGAAACTTATAGTATATTCATGGATGCTAATATTGATCACCGGGATTCCATGGTATGGGACATCCCAAGAAATCCCTGACGTTCGTGCCAAGCAGGCTATCCGGGAGGTCCCTGGCAATTTCAAGTCGGAAATTGACGCCTTGACTCTTTTGACAAATGAAGGATGCTCCAGCACCCCGGCTTTAATTGATTGGATGGCGGAAGAACAAGCGTATGACGAATGGGTTCCGGGTGGCTACAAGCTAAGCATTTTGATGGAGAATCCACCAGGTTCCGATCCCGAAGATTTATGGTTCAGTAGTCAGATGCCCATTGATGAAAGGCATCGTTTACGAAGCGCCTTTAAGAAAGCATGGCTGTGAGTCATTTGTTCCTTGAATATTCCGTGTCTCAACTTGAACTACATACACCTGGGCAGTCATGGAGTATTGGCTAATAGTGATACTAGGGAAATATTTGATTGCGGTGGTTACCGTATAGTTCATTCAGACGCAGCCATGCGCAATCTTGTTTGAGATAAGGAGAAAGATAAATGGTGAGTCTTTTTCTGTCGTTTATTCCAAGGTTATGATCGACTTCTGACTGTTACTAGCTACCTGATTGACTGGGAGTACTGGCATTTCGAAAAGAAGAAGAGTTGGCAAGATTACTTCTACATTATGTGGAACCTTGCTCAAGAGGGGCCATCAAGCAATATCCATGATATGAGCGACTGGGAGTTATGATCCTGTTTTAGTGCTTACTGCTCTTCAGGTCTACTCAACATTCGAGTTTGAAATAAAATTGAGGACGCCATTTACGCCACTAATCCACCGAGCTGAATTGATAGTCATAGAGAATCCCCGTATTCGCATTGACCCACATGAAAACTTAGCTTCAATCGGGAAAAAAGCCAAGAACCCGAAGTCCACACAGCTTCTTGAGTGCCGAGATGCAGATCTCAGGCTCCTATTATAAAGAGACATCGATAAGTTCAAATGTTCTGAACTATTTTGAACTATTTACATTCCTCGGGAACTTTGGCTTCTAATTCGGACCTTTTAAATCTCACCACATGTTCTTCATGCCACAGCATTGAAGTTTAATTTGATCGCTTGAAGAGAATCAGGGGTGGTGGTAGGGTCTTCAGGGATTCTCCACTAAATACAGTGGAGCATAAACCTAGGGAAATATCTCCATGTCTGGAATGATTCAAGTTTATAGGTTGATCTATCCCGATTTCAAATGTTGAGCGAACTCCCCCACTTTCTCGGCCTTTTTAACTCCTAGCTGTCTTGTCATGTTTGAGTTTTCTTGCTGATCCTTTCTAAGAGATTAAGAGAGATTAGGCTATTCAGGTGCGCTTGATCATGTATTTAATACGATCGGATACGTAAGATCCTTAAGACGAGATGTGGCGTTGAACAACTTGAAGCTCAGCTGGTCGGAAGTTTAGGTCGGAGATTAAGTTGAATATAAAAGGGGAGCTCTTCCCCCAAACCTAAGAATCTTCAGATCGAAAACTCAACTTGGGCAGACCATCTCAAAAATATGATGTTCAATACTTTCAAGTCGCTCGCCATTGCGCTGGCGCTCGGCGCCAACATGGCGTTGGCACGGGTTCCTGCAAACTCTACACAGATTGCTTCCAACTCCCTTGTGAGCCGTCGTCTCACTGAGTATCTCATGCCTGTCGCTCTTGAGACTCACGAGTTTGCGCGTGTGCCAAACACAAACTTTGTGCTCTTGACCCAGATGTCCGACAGCGAGCTTATCAAGATCGAGCTGGACTCAGTCACCGAAGAGCCCATGGCTTACCACGCATTCCCCATGGGAAAGAACAGTAGCTCCCAGCTGCATGGTGTGTGGCCCTCCACCAGATATCCCGGCAAGATGTGGCTGTCCCTGCAGGGGGAGAACAAGCTGCTGCTCGTTGATCCCGGCAAGAACCTCACAACTCCCCCCACCGTCCTCCGAACTATCAACATTCCCGCCCCAGGAAACGGTCCTCACTGTGTTTTCGAAATCGGCAACCGCGTTTGGGCTGGTCTCAAGGTGGCTTCCCCGCAAACTGGCCAGTACTATGTATTCTCTGCCAATGTCGCCAACTCATCCGACCACACCCTGTACGAGTGCCTCAACAGCCCCGTCTTCATCAAGGAAGAACCCACCTCCGGCCTGATCTACGTCACCCAAGACACCGACTCCTCCATCATGCGCATCAATGTCACCAGCGGCGAGACAAAGCAGATGCCTATTCCACCCAGCGTGGGTAACAACGCTGTCGGAATGATCTCCGCCTACGGTGATATGAGTGGTGTGTGGTTCACTCTCGCTGGAAATGCCACCGGCGGTACCGGTACCTTCGGCCATATCGGAGCCTCTGGTGAGATGGAGTTCTTCACTCTTAAGCACCCGTTGCTCGGCGTCAACGCTGGTCTGCTCCATATCGCCGATGCCTCGACCGTAGCCGACGGCCCAGCCTTGTGGCTCTTGTCCACCTCGCTACTCAGCACCAACTCCCCTGATGCTCTGATCCGCGTTACTTTCAACTCCTCTAAGTCCATTGCTGGTGAGGAGTATATCTCTATGCTCACTCAGAATGCCATGGTGCACCGCGTCTTGCCTCTCGATTCTACGGTGCTGGTTTCTGAGCTCCATACATTCACACTGGCTCAACTCAAGTATAACAACACTGTTGCTGGACAGTGGTTGCCAGCTGAGGCTGTGACTAACAACACTGTTTACACTGAGGCTGGTTGAAGAAGCATCTCTCTGTGAATAGCTCATATATGCGCATACCTCATCATAATGCCTATTGGTAGTATAGACTCCGATACATAGACTCATTATTAAACTCTAATCTAATAAAACACCATACATGCCCAATATTTGACTCCGAGTCCCTCCTTGCTCCCAGGTGCCGTTGCTTCTTCTTTGAGGGTTCAGCATAAGCTGGATTATTCAGGATACTTCTTTGTACAAGGCAGAATGTCATGGAGAATCAACATCAAATAAAATTTGAAGATTCAGCACCTTCTAATGCTCACCCATCGCAACTCTTCACTGGCATCCTTATCCAGAAGTACCTAAGAGAGATGTATTCATGTATAGATGTAATAAATAAAAGGGAAATATAGTCTATTGGTGAATATATGGTCTTAGCCATAGACTTGATTCTGCTACTCTCCTTGAGTCTTCTGTCAGACGGTGAGGAAACTCGGAAAACAAACTGCAACCCAAGTAGGAAAAGAGGTCTACTATCTACAACTGACGTCTCTTTACGAAGATCGTGATCCCCAATCCAATAGCCAGTCCAACGAGAGCACCTTGAAAGAAACCTCTATTTAAAATATTCATATCCTGAGCCAATGGTGGAGTTAGTGAGTCATGGGTAAATAAAAAGATTAATGACTCAGGTATCATACCTGTGGAGCTGGGTCGCCCTTAACTTCAGGTATCGACTGAAGTGGCTCCTCTGCTTCATAGCTAACACTTAAGTCCACCCCAAGCTCTTTGTAGTATTCCTGGAGCTGTTTGATTTTTGATTGAACGAAATCTTCTCGTGCCTTGTAAATTTCTGGTGTTGTTGTAACCCGATGAACTCTCTCTGCTATGCTTGACCTTGGCCCCCAGCAATATTCATCGAGTAAATCCCAATATATGAGATCAACAGTAGACAGTGCATGTAAAGCAAGTGCAAACCATGCAGATTTATTTTCAATAGACTGATGCATCCGAACTGAGAGGCGGGAGTTATGTTCAGTCAATCCATGAGTTTCCTCTCGAGCTTCTAGTGCTTCCAAGAATAGCGTGGCCTTTGGAAGGAACTCTTGGAAGAAGGCTTCAGCGCCACGTTGATTGGCGATCCGATGAGGCCGCTCTAGGATTAACCACCAAGGAATACTTCCCGCGAATTGAGAAGGGGCTGCATAGCTGAACTCCCAGTCAATAACACCCACAATCCGAAGTGAGTCATCCACGAGAATATTGCCAGGGCGGAGATCATCACAAAACAGCTTGAAAGGACCACAGTCACTCGGAGGGATAAAATTCAGCGCGATAGCTTTCATCAACTGACGACACGCATATTTCTCTCTGCAATCCCTGGAGCTGTACACACTATTTTGCTGCTGTTCAAGGTGTGTTGACTGCAGATCCAGAAGGGATCCTATGTAATCGACAGAGGTTTGATAAGTCCTTTCTGGCATACAGTCATTCAACCCGCAGGTTCGTATTAACTCGTTCATCTCCCGAGTCAAGGGTCGTCCATCAACAACTGGCTTCCCCGCAACGCTATCCTCACCAATGCTACCAATCTTGTCAAAGTCGAGCTTTCAGAGCTGGGTAGAACTTCCGCCACTTCCCCATATAGTGTCTTGAGTGTCTCAAGGTTGACAGCAGGGTCCAAAACCTCATACTTGTCAGGGCGGTCTTTTGATTTGATTAAATCTGCCATATTCTTGCCATCAATCCAGGTCATGAGAATAAAAGGACCCAGGCCAGTCGGATTCTTATCGCCCATTCCATAAGCGATGACGCGCGGTACAGGAATCGTAGTTTCTTTGGCAAGATATTGCATCAACCATGCCTCTCTTCGGACCTTCTCGTCGAGAAACATGGATTTCCCAGGTAGGGGAAATCGAATTAACCAATCTTCCCCTCCATCATCCCAGTTGACTCGGAAGCTGAAGTTGAATGACCCGCAATGCATGGAGACCAACATACCGTCATCTCGTTGCCGATAGCGATTCGCGAGCTCGGCGATTTTGAGGCCTGATCCAGAAGCCAGCTTCACTAATTCCTGTCGCCGACTATCGATGGCTTCGAGGGCGATATCATCGAAATCCATGCCGCTCGCTGAGACGACGCTACGGAGTCTTTTGTCTCGTAATAGGGGTGTTCACGCCCAATTGAGGCTCTTCCCCCCCGGATTTGAAATTATTCCGGGCCGGAATCCCCTGTATGTGCCCGGTCCATTTCGAGTTTTTAGTGGTCAAGGGAGGGTACGAGTCATGCCAGCACGAGGTGGTGGCTATAATACTGCCATCTAACTCACTGCCCCGCTGTCATTGGATGGATCACTTAAATGGACTGTTTGCCCAAGTTGACTCATGTGGCTTGAGCTAGGGTGTCCCATTCTGCAATAGATATTGGTTGACAGCCCCGGTGAGTTCAGACTATAGTAACAACCCTTGGAAGATAATCAATCCCATTTCACTTGGAGCTAAACCATATCGGGTTATGAAATTCATTCCGCCAGGTTACACGTGAAATGCAACTCTTACCGCTTTTAGAACATCCAAATTGATACTTACAAAAAAGTGTTGGTTGAGATAATAGAATTGTAAAGGGAAAGTAATCCAAATTACACACATATGAGGTTTTCATTGCCCGATATAAATTATTCATGAGACTTGACTAGATTCGTTAACGTACATATTCCAAGGTTCTCATACATAGTACGTAAGCCTTATACCTCGGGACGGTTAACTTCGGCGCTCGCTCGGTACTGCGGGGACTATCTACATCATCCCCATAACCTCCCTTCCTAGCTCTCCACACTTTCAACATCATCCCGGAGTACCTTGACAATTACTCACAGATTCACCATGTTTGCCCGTCGCTGCGCCCGCCTAGTCTCCTCACAGACATCCGTGCCCCTGAATTCGTTTCTTTCCCGTGCACGGCCCTACTCGATCAACTCATATGAACACATCCTCACCTCGAGCCCGAAACCTGGCGTTGGTTTAAGTACGATCGCTTCAACCAGATGGGAAAATGAAAATGAAACCCAATTGACTCCATATAGTTACTCTCAATCGACCAAAGGCTCTAAATGCACTTTGCAGCCCTCTATTCACCGAGCTGAATGATGCGTTGAGCAAATATGACGAGGATAAGGGTATCGGCGCTATAATCATCACTGGAAATGAGAAAGCTTTTGCAGGTACGTTTAACTTAACTCTATCAGCACCAATTTCACATAGAACGAAAAGACACACTCCAAAAATTCCCAAGTCAGACTCGAAATAATCTGATGTCTTAACACCTTCCAGCCGGAGCCGACATCAAAGAAATGGCCCCCCCTCACCTTCTCCTCCGCATACACAAACAACTTCATTGCCCCCTGGTCCCACCTCGCAAACAATATCCGCAAACCCGTTATCGCCGCTGTATCAGGATACGCTCTTGGCGGTGGCTGTGAGCTCGCACTCATGTGTGACATCATCTACTGTACTAGCAATGCGACCTTCGGACAACCTGAGATCAAGCTAGGCGTTATCCCCGGCGCCGGTGGTTCGCAGCGTCTTACGCGAGCTGTTGGGAAGAGCAAGGCTATGGAGTTAATTCTGACTGGAAAGAACTTTAGTGGGAAGCAGGCTGGGGAGTGGGGTGTTGCGGCGGAGGTGGTCGATGGTGGTCATGCTGAGCTTTTGGATGTTGCGCTTAAGACGGCTGAGACTATTGCCGGATATAGTCGTGTGGCGACTGTTGCGGCGAAGGAGGTTGTTAATAAGAGTCAGGAACTTTCTTTGAGGGAGGGGATTGAGTATGAGAGAAGACTATTCCATGGACTGTTTGGGAGTCAGGATCAGAAGATTGGTAAGTTTATTATCTATTTTTCATTGGGTTATTGTAAAAATCGCTTCATTGGAGTTATGGCTAATTCCATAACAGGTATGACTGCTTTTGCTGAGAAGAAGAAGCCTGAGTGGTCGCATGAGTAAGAGGAATACCCGATGGGCTCATACTGCTGATCATATCCATCAGCACTAGTGTAATGCAGATAATGGTCTTTAAAGACTAAAGAATACATCAATAGTTCCTTCGGAACTGTCACTCCCAGTTGTTACGGCCCGCCGCAGCTTCATTCTTCCAGTTCTCATCTATCGTCGCATCTGCGGGCTGAGAGGCACCTGTTGGAGTTCCACACTTGTACTGCTCAAGAGATCGGTTAATGCCGATGATACCCCAGGCAAAGACAGCAACATCACGAATCGTATCCATGAGATTGTGCGCCTGAGGACCACTGGAGCCACCTGCTTTAGCACCGGGTTGGAAGCGAGGCATTCGGAAAGTGTGCGCAGAGGTACTAGGAGTGTACGTGGAGGGAGCAGAGTGATCGTCCCGGCAAAGAGTAGTCTGGGCTTCCGGAAATATTGGACCTGGAACAGTGTTCTCCTGGGCATGGGACGGCGCACCGTAAGAGTAGACCGGTTCCAATGCCCATGGTGCCGCAAAGATTCCATTAGAGTAGACCGGAACGGGCTGTGGTGGTACTGTACCACTAGTGGGGATAGGAGAGCGTGCCCGACGAAGAATCACAACGAGGCCATCCGAAGTACATGAAACGACTGCTTCCAGCTCCAAAGGTGGGTTTGGGTCTGTGAACGCGGCAAGCCCATGGCGACCCATTTCCGGATTCTCATCTTGCATGGGATTTCGGAACCAAAATCGCAAGTATGCGATCGAGTCGTTAGCTTTGGCACTTTCCAGGCATCGCACGGCATCCCGCAAACATGCTTCTTGGATACAGTAGAAAAAGCTTTTGGAAATAAGCTGGTCCGGGCTCAGTCCAAGGATCTCTGACACGCCTCTAGTAGCGTACATGATGGTAGCTGTGCGAGTAAATCTATTCACGAACATGGCTGCACGTGGCTCATGAAGTGGCTCAGATAGACGCTGCGAGAATTTGTTGGAAATGAAAGTCAGCATGTGGTATCGTGGGTCGTTGGGAGATGAGTCGAAAAGCTGGCTGACAATGGGAGCATCGACAGCTCGTTCTAGATATACAGTTAGTCATGTACCCATGTTGGTAGAAACCTGACATAGAGGGATGATAGAGAGAATTGGAGAAACACATACTTTGAGCGCCTTTCCCACGCCCATAAATGGTGGTACTTGCGATCAACACATCGTACACAACCGTAAAGACACACTCACACCCAACCCACGCCCCATTTTTGTGCCGAATCGAACAATAATTCAGCACGGCCGCTTTATCCAGTCGTACACCCCGACCATGGACACTGCGCGCAAAGGGAAGTTCTTGGGGATGAAAGTACTCCCAGCATGAACGATTCAGCACCTCATGTGGCTGGTAGCCAAGTACCACCTGAATGCTATCAGAGGCGTACCGAATCGAGGCATCGCGCGAGAGATCTGACCAGCCAGTTAGTCCATTGGTAGTGCAATAAAGTTATAAGCATGCAGCTATATTGGGCGTTCTGGTCTGAGAACCCTGTGAACGGTCGGGCATACTTGCCATGGATTGTAATGAATGTGGTGTCCATCCTGCAGAAGAGTGGGACCCCCACGAACCCCGCGTGGTGGAACGCTGAGATTTCTGACTCGCGCACTGGAGATTACTCTCCTTGCGTCAATCTGTACGGGAAAACAGGAATCCCCGGATTTTGTGGTTTGCAGAAGAGCACTTGAGTAGGAGCGGGAAATGATCGTACTGACTGCGGGAGAAGGTGTGGTCCAACGGCTGTCAACCGTGGATCGCGGGGGCTAGTATTAGTGTACAAGGAAACATTCATTAAAACTGTGATTACTAGCAACCTCTACATTAGAAAGTTAAGTAGTAGTGATCAACATTCAATAAATCATTTTGTCATTCTTATTATGTGGATTAAAGCTAGATAAAGAGCAATGTAGTATGTACATCTCAGAAGGTCATATCGCTATGTCATGCATGTGGGTAAATGATGCGGACAGCGTAAATAAAGATCTCAAATCATAAACATGAGACATGATCGCATTAAGCTAAGCCAGCGTTCTTCTCAGCTTGGCTCGGGTCATTGTTGGTGGTCTTTCGCGTCTTATAGTCATGGACGACTCCTCCCTCAATAGTCTCATCGAACACCTCAACCTTTGTGGTCGCAAACTTGCGAGCGCTGACCTTGCGTTCAAAGAGCACATCCAGCTCTGCAAAAGAACGACCAGAAGGCTCGGGGATACGGAAAAAGGCATAAACAATGCAAAGGAAGCAGCTGCCACCCCAGAAGAAACCGGCATAGTTGCCCCAGTTCCAGGCAGTGGGATTCAGCATGTAAGGGGTGATAACACCACAGACGATAGCAACAACGTTGTAAAGACAACGTCCGAGGACAACAGTCTTAATCTGCAGACGTCGTGTGGAGACCTCGGCAACCAAGGAGTAGCAAACGGTTCCAACTGTCAGTTGATAGAATAGGGCCCAAACAAGCATCATGCAGCCAGTAGCCATGGAAGCCTGAGTCTGGTGCGCCTCTGGAACCAGCCCAAGGAATCCCATGACCATAAGCATAGTGCAAAGACCGCATAGTCCATATACGATCAGGGTGCGACGACCAACTCCCATAGCCATCAAGGCCCAAGCACCAAATGTGCCGACAATGTTGATACCGTACTGGCCCATGGCAAATGAATAGGAGCTGGAATCAGATAGACCAGCCTGCTCCAAGAAGTAAGTGGAGTAGTTGGAGAAAGAGTTGCCGGCAAGGTTTTGGAATGCCCAGGCCATACACACAATCTCCGTTCGGCGGAGATCAACACCCTTAAAACAATCCAGGTAACTGGCGCCTTGGGTGATCTTGGCTTCCAAGGCAGTGGTATGAACCATCATCGAGATCGTTTCATCGGCATCAAACTCGGAGTCAGCTTTCTTGTTCGTTAATCGTTCCAATGCGCGCTTCGCATCTTGTGTTCGGCCCTTCCGAACCAGCCACCAGGGGGACTCGGGCGCAAGAGCGATTCCAATGAAGAGAGGGAGAGGCCAGATCCACTGCAGACCATAAGGGATGCGGTATGCCCACTGATCCTCTCGGCCAAGCATCGCCTTAATCACACCGACTCCAATCAACTGGCCAATTCCCCAGCAACAGTTGACGTAGGTAGTCAAGTATCCACGCAGGGCAACAGGGCAGACTTCGGAGGCGTATGTGACGGTCAACGTCTGGAAAACACCCCACGGAATACCGCAAAGAATTTCGGCAGCCAGCAGTGACTGGATGTTTGGAGCTGTGAAAAAGATCGCAGTCCAAGCCGTCACGAGCACAAGACACGCCATGATTGTATACCGGTATCCAAATCGCTCCGAGGCCCAACCGTTGATGAATAAACCGATGATTTCGCCGCAGTAGGCACCGTTACTGAGACCTGCTTGCCACTATAGTGAGTTAGTATCTTTTTTGTCCTTATCTCAACAAGCTTCCCGGGCGACGAGACTCGGGGAAGATGTGAACTTACCCGTGCCGGCACCTGATATGATCCATCAGACTGCAATTGACCGTATTTCTGATTAAATGTATCGAATCCATAAAAGTTGGTGACCAAACTGATATCGTATCCCTCCATGACAATGCAGGTGGAAATGAAGATACTCCACGCAACAGCCTTGGGGTACAATCTGATACCCTGCATCAGAGTCATATTCTGCTCCTTCTGGGTAGCAGCCATGGCACTTTGAATGACTTTGGTCATTGAGGAATCCGAACCAGGGCCTTCTGTTGAGTGGTATTGTTGAAGGTCATCATCCGCACATTCTGTGGCAGCCGGTGCCTTATATTCCACCCCGCTCGAGTGACCAGGAGCCAAAGAATCTCCCGCCGAGAGGGAAGCCCCTTGCACGTTGTTTTCGGCCATCGTGGGAACGGCGTAGAGTGCAGAGGCCCAGGAGAGGGAATGGATAAGAGGGTGAAGAAGGGGAATGGGGCGAAGAGAGAGTTGCGGGCGAAAAAGGTGGAAGAGCGGAGACTTGCGGAGGTAAAAGAAAAAAACTGCGGTCTCCACCCGTGGAAACAACACTCTCAACACTCTTTCAGGGGCTGAATCTTCCCTTCAGAACGTTGAAAGCCAAATACGAGAAACGAGCCGGTGTTTCTAAGGTCATAAATTCGCGGATTGGGCGGATTAGGTCTAGATGAAAAATTTCGGCGATCACGGAGCACTTTTAAGGGTATGGGGAAGATTCTTCCTTTAAGTCGCCACTACGGAGACAGGTTACTCAGGTACATGTGGCTACCCTTACCAGTTACACTGGTAGTTCCTATATAATATCCGCAATTTTTCAATGCCATCCAACTTTGGAATTCTTCAGATATCTTTCATTCTCGGAGAATATTCTAAAATCTATGGAATTCTTTGACCCCTCACTATTTCCCATGTGTGGCGCAAGTAGCCGCGGGCCCTTGCATACAAATGCCGCATTCGGCGGACTTCAAGCTGGCCCGAGCGTGGCTGCGTGGGATTGATGTGACATCTGGATGTAGATCGCCTATGTTTACGAGACTAGAATTGATTGTAGACCAGATATGAGTACTATTACCGTGAGAAATTCCGGTGCGGTCTACTAGCACTAGATATAGCAGTTGTGAAGAGGACAGCATAGATCCAAAATAAAAATATTTCAAGACTATCACTTTTAATAACAAAGACTCCTATCAAGGATCAAGGGTCTATTTTTCACGCGGGAGAAGCAGTGGATCCTCAATCAACCGCTCCATATCTTCCGTTCGAATATGCAGGGAGACATCAACACCATTATCAGTCCAGCCTCCACCAAAAGCATCAGTGTTTCCGGTAGGTGGCGCCTCCTTGATCAAAACGCATCCATCCAGATCAGCAATCACCCCTTCTGCGTATCGAATATGAGGGAAAGAGTGTAATCCAAAATCAACCTCGTAAATCCCAGCACGGGCCCAGCTCGTCACAAGAAGATGACGCGATCCCAGAAAAGCCTGCCAAATTCGTTGCGGGCAACTATCAAATGCTAAGCTATGCAAATGGGCAGCAATAGAGGTGGGACGGGCCATCTGGTTGATAGTCTTGCGAATCTTTAGCGCAATCGAACGCGTTCTTTCCTCTGCAGAGATCGTAGATGATGCAAGCTGGGTTCCGGTCATTTCGATGTTCACCATCATACTTGGCGATCCAATGAAATCAGGATCAAGGTTGAGTGCAGGTCGGAGTCCAAGTGTGAGATCACAATGCATGATACCTGAGTCCTCACCTTGCTTGCGCGCACGAGTAACGCAAGACCAGATGTGTGCAAGGATGGCGTCATGGCGACTGATTCTAATGACACCGCTCTCATGGGGACTTCCTCTGATAGCGTCTTTCCAGATTATCTCCACTTGTTCACGGGTTAGATGCACGATGTAGTTCGATACAGGTGACTTGGAGTCCCATTCTGACCAGGGCATTGCGTCGCCGATCGGTTCGATATTTTGGCTTCTGTATGGTTCGGGGATCACTGCTTCCCAGGGACAGCCTTCTGTTGAGATCCACCAGTCGTACCGATTTAGAGGTAGGCTTGCGCATTGCTTGAGGATTCCTGGATCGGGGCCATCTGCATTGATGTCTCCTGCAGCCATAGAGTCTATTTGATCGGGCTCGAAGATAGTATCCAGGACTGGGGCTGGTGAGTTGGAACCAGCAAGTATCCATTGACTGATACTAGCCCAATCCTTTGCAAATTTCACAAGTGAGGAGATGTCAGAAAGTGGGTGTCCAACCTTTGCCGATAGTGCGAATCCCCCACATGTAAGTTGAGTCACCTGAGCAGCCATCAAGGGAGCGAGCAAGCCGGACTTATCTGGAGGGCTTGGTCGGGAAGCATTGGCGATAACAGTTTGAGGGCTTAATTCATGGAGAGAGATAGCTTGGCGATTGTATATCGGTTGATCTCTTGTTCTCAAAGCAGGGCATAGGATGTCAAGAGTTACCGGGCTTTGTGCAGTGATGAATTCAACCCCAGGGTCTGAAGTTGTACCGTAGTGAACATAAACACGGCCGTAGTGAAGGGCATGACGAGGAAAGTCGGCTGTTTCCTTGTTTATCTGAGAGCGATCAAGTGTGGTGATACTCTTTAAATGACCGGTCCATTGGGGATACGCTGACAGGGTAATCTCGAATGACTTGCGGAAGTGATCGAATAGGCTGAACCCATCTCCTGGAAGATCAGGTTTCTCACACAGCCAGATAGCACAGGAAGTTGAAAAGTCGACTGTTGTAGCATCAACTAATGACAGCACCGTTGTCTTCTCAGTGGGCTTTGTAGCTGGGAAGAGCCGTTCAGATTTGATATGATAGATCATTTGGTGTGCAGTAGTGGAACCCATGGTGCCGAGATTGACTGTTATCGGTTTCCAAATCCCAAGATATCATGAAACTCCAGAGAATGACTTCCACGGAAGATATGTGCCTTTATACCCTTTCACTATCAGGAAAGAGTGACGGTCTAGTTCTCCGAGAAGTAACCCCAAGTGGCATAGATACCACCGATAACCTCGAAGGAGTAAAAAAAGGGCTGCTAATATTTTCTTGGCAAACTATCAAGTAATTCTATTATGCTAATTTTTTGAAATAAACTATTATTGGGTTTGTACGGAGTAGATTTGGCTCAATCAAATGGAATAATGACAATGGTGTCCGCCAGTAAGACGTGCTAGCGGATGTAGCTGAGCCTAACATTATGACCAGCTCTGACTCAATCTGAGCAATCATGAAAGGAATTATGCTGCGCCACAAATCATTCTGAAGGACCCTCTCATGAGGCAGTATTAGGGGTTGATTGGAAGCTGTGTAAGAGGACCTAGGATTTTCCATGTCTGAACTCCGAGTCAGTGGACCAGCAGATAACCGAGAAGTGACAATGTGGTAACACCATCGGGTCTCGCGTACAATGGCAAGGCTATTCCGTTATCCGATTGCATATCATGAGTATTAATGCAGCGAATAATCGAGCACGGGTGGTGTGTGACCCTGTGAATTGCAAATGATATGTGGACACTATGGGCACAACACACTGGATTTCTTGAACCCATTACACAAAATCTCGATTTCAAATGTCGAGACTTGTATCCTTCGAACTTGAATAAACTCATGATATCTTGATTGAAAATCGATTTTGCGGTGTAATCATCCAATGGTATTAAGCCACCCCCACTATTAGCCCCTATATCCCTATTCAACTCCATCTTGAGTGTCCTGCACTTGAGTTGACTATACGAGTATTTCCATGGCGATAAAAATGAAAAGCACCAGAACTAACGTCCAGATGTCTAGAAATTGAATATTATGAGAATCTAGTGTCATATTCCATAATTTAAAAATAAAATGTGTCTTTAGTTCTCAAGCATATCAAGATCCCGATTCCCGACGGAGGTCCGCGTAAGGCTCCGAGTCCGGGATTGACTCTGGGATTGAGATTGACTCGGGGCTTGACTCGATGTTCAGTCAACTGCAATAAGATGGAAAGTGACCCAGGCATTTTTATTGTCAATATGTACAGGCACTCGACTTTTCAACTGCCTGAGAAACTGAATGGTGCATTTCCTACGGAGTGTACTTTCACTTTTCAACAAGAATCGACATAGATCATGTATTCTGACAAGGATGGTGCCGCGTCAAAGGAATCGGAGACACAGTACCAAGCCCAAATCCGACCCTTATTGTTCTTGACATCCGTGTTGTCTCTTCTGGGATTCTCGGTAGCCGCTCTGGACGGCCAGTATGTGAATGAAAGCCTGAGGCTGTCATGGTCCAATCCAAGTGCATTAGCGCAGCTTCTGTGGGTAGGTCGTCTTTCCCTACATCCATTGGAAGTATAAATCCAATATTTTGATGGTAAAAGTTTCACTAACTCAAAATTTAGCCTCTTCTCTCTATCCACAGCCTTGCCCTGTATTGGCAAACTCATCCACCAGCGCTGTGGTCCGCTGCTTTGAGAGGATCACTTCTGGCGATCTTGATTGTTGCTGTCCAAATCCACGCAAAATACTTGGATCCCGATGGCTCTTTTTGGGACTTGTCAGCCGCTTCCTGTGAGCTGTATTTGGCCTTTGTGATCGCATTTACGCAACTCTTATTCCCACGCCGACCGAATGTTTTCTCATCAGACGGGAAACCCATAGATCGTGAAAGCAGTGTCTCAGTGTTGGCAAGATACTCTATGCAATGGTGTGAAAATGCTTTGGCCATCGCCGGGAGTGGTGTTCGAATCGACCACCTGCCTCGTTTGAATTGGAAGACTCGTTCGGGGTCTCAGCCACTGATAACACTGTCCAACATATCGCTATGGAATCAAGTTCTATCTGAGCGTTTTTACGGTTTCGCTCTACAATGGACTTTGATGTTAGTACGCTCAGTGATCACCTTTGGTGCGCCCTACTGTATTATGCAGCTTCTGAGATGCCTCGAAGATAACAATACTCCAACCAACACCGCATGGATATGGTTGATGGGCATCACAGTGTCTTCCATAGCGGACACTGTGCTTCATTACCACATGGCATGGATTCAATGGTCGGAGATGGGAATTCCAGTGCGCGCACAGCTTATAATGGCAATCTTCTCCAAGGCATTGCGATGCAAAGATACCAAGCTTGCTGGGGATAAACCAGAAGCCACCAACCTCATTTCCTCTGACACAGTCTCATTCAGCAAGTTCACAGCTGTCAACTACATCTTGCCTTTTTCATTTGTCAGGTTTTTTCTTTCCATACTGTTTCTTCTGAGACTTCTTGGTTGGAAAAGCACGGCAGTGGCTGTAATCGTCACGGTAGCAACGGTGCCTATTCATAAAAGAGTCATCAACCAAGAACGGGTGGCGAAGAAAAGTTTAGTTGTCGCAAGAGACAAAAAGACCAGGACCACCTCAGAGGCTCTGCATGCCTTACGACAGATCAAGTTCTCGGCTCTGGAAGCACAGTGGGAAGAGCGTATTGAAGTATGTCGCCAAGAGGAAATGAAGCACATACGCCGAGCCTTCATCGCAACCAATATCCGATCTGTGTGGAAGGTTGCGTCGCCATTTATTGTAGCTACTGCTGCCGTCTTCACGTATGTGTATACGGAGAATCAGATGTCATCCTCTGTCATCTTCCCGATGATTGAGTTGCTGCCTCATCTTCAAGGCACCCTGGGTTTTGTTCCAGTGGTTTTCCAGGACTATTTTGCTGCTCGGGCAAATGCGAAACGCATGGAGACATTTTTGAGAGCGCCCGAGTTGCAGAAAACGGTGAATCCTAGTCCAACCGATAGTGTCACATTCCAGGATGCTTCATTCGCTTGGCCATCAGATGAAGTCAAACAACCCGACGGTTCGGCTCGTCGGTTTATTCTCCAAAATATCAGCCTGAAGTTTCCAGTTGGAAAGCTCAGTGTTATACATGGAGAAACAGGTTCAGGAAAGAGTCTACTCCTTGCTGCGATCATTGGGGAGATAGATCTTCTTAGCGGTTCCATCGCCGGACCGTCATCAAACCAGCCAGTTGCATTTGTTTCGCAGACTCCATGGCTTCAGAATGCCACTGTGAGAGACAACATCCTGTTTGGAAGCAATTTTGATGAAGTCAGATACCAGAAAGTTCTTCAAGCTTGTGCACTTGAACCCGACCTCGCTGCTCTGCCAAAAGGGGATCAGACACATATTGGGCTTCGTGGGGTCAAACTTAGCGGAGGGCAGCGAGCTCGAGTGTCCTTTGGTAGAGCTCTATACTCGAAAGCCCAATTGCTGGTACTGGATGATATTTTCTCAGCCCTTGACACTCATATTGCAAGAGAGATATTCACTGCACTCACCAGTGAGCTTTGTGAAGGACGCACTCGAATCCTTGCCACCCATCAAGTATCCCTGTGTCTCCCGAAAGCAAGATATCTTGTTGAGGTGCATAATAACACGACTCGAAGTGCTCAAAATATTGCATTCGAAGAGACAGCTGTGAAAGGCGCGGAGGTGCGAGTGACTAGCGAGGTAAACGCACCGCTGGAGAAGCCAAAGAAAGCCGCGAGCACGAACTTGAATGTGAGACCAGCTCGAGCATTCGCGCAAACCGATTTGGATACATACAAGGACTACTTCACAGCTACGGGAGGCTGGAGCTTTTTTATCGTATACATTACAGGTATAGTGAGTAAACAAGCCGTGGCGGCACTGACAACATGGGCGCTGGGTCAAATCAATACAGCAAGACCAGGATCGACATCGCGTGGGCAGGCAGAGAACAGCTTGCAGGGTCATCTCCAATTCTATCTCCTTGGAACCGTTTTGGCCGTTGTCTTGGAGTGCGCGTTCAATGTTCACACGTTTTCAGGATCCTTTCGTGCATCCCAGACCCTCTTTCGCAGAATGACAAGCAACGTTCTCCGAATGCCTCTCCTATGGCTGGACAATACACCCATGGGGGGATATGCTGAAGAGATTCAGCGCAGATGCAAGGCAGGTTGATGATGCATTACTGCAGGTCATGTCGGAATTTGTCAATTGCCTCATCAGAGTAATGATCGTGCTGGGCATTGGGTATGTTTCTTTCGCCATTATCAAAAATTGGGCTCATCACTGACTGAACTAGAATGTATAATTCCGTATACACAGGACTTTTGACGGTCGTTATCTTGTACTGGTGCTCCCAAGTCGGCAAAGGATACATGAAAGCCCGGACGCTTGTCAAACGTGGTGAATCCGAGAGTAACGCCGAGATCTTAGAGTTTTTCACTGCTTCTGCAGCTGGTGTCTCAACAATACGAGCTTTTGGGGTAGTCAATCAGTTTGCGGATCAAATGCATCGGCGAATTGATGACCTTTCAACAGTCAGACGACACTTTTGGATTTTCAATCGCTGGCTAGGTCTCCAGATGTCTCTCGCAGGTATATTCTTCAGCACCGGAACTGGCATCATCCTTCTGCTATCGAGATCAGTGATTGATGCGTCTCATCTCGGATTTACTCTCACATTTTCAATGGGCTTTGCTCATGCGAGCTTCAGCTCAGTCAATACCTTTGGAATGCTGGAGACCTATATGCAAGCCGCCAACGCGATAATCTCATATTCTGAACTCAAGACTGAACGACAAGGCGGCGACGACGTTCCGACCGACTGGCCATCACGAGGGGAAGTTCAGGTCAAAGAATTGAATGTCGCATACTCGCCAGATCTTCCAAAGGTCCTGAAAAATGTCTCATTTTCTGTGGGGGCTGGTAAAAGGATCGGCATTGTCGGTCGGACAGGGGCTGGAAAATCATCTCTGACCCTTGCACTTCTCCGCTTTATTGAGCCTCTGTCCGGCGCAATCTTCATCGACGGTATCGATATTTCAAAGATTAAGTTGGAATCTCTTCGGTCTAGGATTGGCTTCATTCCGCAAGATCCTGTTCTGTTCTCTGGTTCCATGGAGTCAAATCTAGATTACTTCCACCAGTTTCCAAAAAACAGGTTAAACGAAGTACTGCGACGTGTCGGTCTCCTTTCAGAAGATGAAAATAGGAAAGCAGGCTCATTTACGTTGGAATCTCAGATCAGCGCAGGTGGAGGGAATATGTCGCAAGGTCAAAGACAGCTTCTTTGCTTGGCAAGAGTCTTGTTGAAAGACCCGAAGATTGTCATTCTCGATGAGGCAACTTCGGCTGTTGATGACAAAACAGACCAGGAGATTCAGGACACGATTCGAAATGAGTTTAGTCGAACCCTTATTGTTGTTGCCCACCGCTTAAGGACAGTTGCATCCTTTGACCAAATTGTTGTGATCGAAGATGGTCGTGTTGGAGAAATCGGCAGTCCGGCAGAGTTGTTGCAGTCCAAGGGCTTATTTTACGATCTTGTCCAGAAGAGTGAAGATAGAGATGTGGTCACCAGCATTGCATGTCAATAGACTTCAAGTGAGATATAATCAGAACATTTTCATACCAGTATTCCGAGTGTTTCGCAAAATTACTCAGACCTCATCCTACCTAGCTGAGTTACTTGGCATTGCATCAAGCCAGTATCAATTTTAGTGAGGTAAAACATGTAATAGACAAACTAAGAAGACCAAAAAAGCCAGCAACCTGTCAGTCAACTTAATGAACATCTACTACTCGAATCATGAATACAGTTACTGCTTGGTCAAAGTCACCCTCAAGGCCCTTGGTTGAATCGAGATGACTTGGCCATCTTCATTGACCTCAAATAAAAACTCATCAAGACCGACATTACCGTAAATAACGCCATCAACCAGCTGCCACGAGTGACAGGAATTACCAATTGGGCCTTGAAAAGCAGTTGGGGTGTTGGTGTCTGCAAGGCTACGCATAACAGCTCTGAAGCTGATGAAAGTGGAACCAGACTCTACTTGGTGATCGAGAGCTGTATAATAAAGGCGCACGCTGACATCGGCGAGAGTAGGAATCTGGTAGAAAACTTGAACTGTCTGCAGCACATTTACCCCGTCATTTATCCAAGAGGTGACGCTTATACCTGGACCAGAATCAATAGCCAGCGCGATAGAGGAATTAGTGTTAGGGGCTGTGTTAACGTAGGTCCCAGTAAACTTTTGAGCTTCATCCTTGGCAGCCCCTTCCAGTGCACGGATCAGATTTGTTGAGAGCAGATCACTGAGTCTGGTGAGAGTATCCGATGCCAATGCGGGATTTGGACCAGCCACAAGCACGGAGAAGCCGGCATTATGATCTGGTGAAAGAGCCATGGCTGCTCCATACGCAATAATGTTACCCATTTTGGTAAAAAGATCGATCGTTCTTCCTTCTTGGAATGAGAATATTTCCCAGGGCTGGCCAACTGCGAAGTCGAGAGAGGATGTATGAGATATCGGTTTTAGCCAGCGACGAGTGACTGCGGGAGAAAGAAGGGTATTTGAAAGTATCGAGCGAGAAACCGTGCTGAGATCGTTTGCGGAGGAGTAGAATCCGCCGGCTCTGTAGCAAATGCGAAATGATTAGCTATCAGGTATTCAAAAGTGAGAAGGAGAGGGGCGTACGGTGCCTCTTCGCCAAGTGGAAAGCTCCAATAACTAGATGCCTCTGTCCCAGGAATAACACCATACTGTGCATCAGGAGGTAATATACTTGATTTGGAAAGATTCAAAGGTTTTATAATAGCATCGGAGAGTAGACTAGCGAAGTTGCTGTTGGTGATTTTTTCTAGTGCGTATGCGAGAATCTGGAAGGCTGCGTTTGAGTATGCTGGCGAATGGCTGGTTGGAAAAGTAGGATGGCTCCTTGGGAGACCAAGAAAGAGCTCTTTGAAGTGTCAGAACTTGAGGATTGCTTGAAGGTAGAGTCACTGAGATGTACGTACCACTTCTATTGCATGTTCCACTGGATACACATGCAGGGATTTCAGCAGCCGTAAGAGCTGAAAATCCCTGAGATTCCAATGCATATAGTGGAGTCGTAGCGGCCAAATCGTTCAAGCCGTCTAATCAAATTATTATTAAATCATCAAGTCAAAGTATCAGACTCACAGTCTCGAGCAATCCCTGCCATCTGGCCCGCCAAATCCCCAACAGTTATTTCTCCCCACTGTGCAAAGTCAACAGTGTCCTCTGGCTTTGTTATATTCCGCTTTTGCTGGTGGGCAACCCGCCGAAGCTCAGGAATAAAATCCATGATTGGCCGATTAAAGTACCTGTATCCATCTGCGCGGAGCAGCCAGAGATATACAGTTCAGGCTTTTGATATACTCCCGATACGGAAGACAGTATCACCATCGATCTCAGTCACACCAACAGATGCTTGACGCGTCGTTGGTGAGGTTTAGTAATATGTAAAAAGCGGATTCTCTGCAGAGCCCTCTGTTGAGAATATTTGGATCGCGAACGAGGTTGTGTTAATAGTACCATCCGATGGAAGAGCAGCATTGAGAGTGGAGGTAATGTTGTTCGTGGCGGCATTGAATATGCTATTCTGGTGCAGATGAGTAGGCGGAGGATATTGAGGACCATAGAAGGGACAATAATTGTCAATGGCCAATGCTGTCCCTAGCAGCATGTAGCCTAATAATGATTCGAGCATCGCCATGTTAGCTTTAAAGGAAAGGATGATATTTTATGTCAGAATTGAAAGCTCAGTTCAAGTTTTTGGAAGTTGAGTTCAAAGAATCATCATTCAAATCATCATATTTGGAACCGAGCAGCCTTTTAGGTTTATAGACCAGAAATAAGCTTCTCATATTTCATCTAGGATAATTCTCGAATGCCTCTTAAATGCTGCTTCCAACGCTGGTACGCCTTAAAGCGAAATGCAGGTCAAAGAATCTTGAAATGTTATTGATCACATGGCAAAATTTCAATAGAAACGAGGAAGAGTCACACATAGTATATAACATGGATTAATTCATATTATGAGCAGTTAAGTGATGCCAGTCTATGTAACAATTCGAAAATATTGGATTCTTGGTCGCGTGACTCGAAAGAATTAGTAGGCGGAAGATAACCTTGGGAAAGTGAAGCAAAGTATTCAAGATTTCATCATAAACATCTGAGTTGAATTTGTGTTGTGTTTTTTGAATTCAAGTATGTTATTACTTGTGAAACATTGAATATGAATGAAAATGCAAAGTTGGTTGGAGCTTGGGGTCACAGTTCATTAGGTACGCATACAGGTGATCTTGAAGTTTCAGTAGTTGTTTTTTCTCATTAATAAGAATATTGATCACTGCCCAGGTGCCCAGGTGCTCCCAGGTGGCATATAGCCCAGCATAGTCCTACAGTATGATTTTTTATCCTTTCAGACATCAAAATCTATCCATCAATATTATCATGCAGATATTGCAGGGGGAGCCTGACTCGCTCAAGTTTGGGATAACTATGCCACAGCTTTCACGGCGGAGCTATTTTTACTGGTCACCTTCCAAATTTGGAAGTATCTTAAGCTGCAGCCTATTAATGACGAGATTATTCTTGTAGCAGTAATAACGCCGGAATCTCGGAATCTTGGGGCCATAAAGAGCACTGAGAAGCTCGAAAATTGGAGTGGGTTAATTCCTGAACTGCTTCAAGTTTCTTGTTTTCAATTCTCAAACCTGGAAAATCGTAATAGATGATAGTAGGAGACATAATGTGCACAGTTTTAATATCGTTATTCAAAGCCCATAGACTCCCAAGTTAGGAGCCTGAGGCAACATTTTCGATATTGGGCTTCCAAGAAATTCAAGAGTTCACATGTGCAAGTTGAAGTTTTAAACTGAACTGAAAACAGCAAATCGCATTATTGATACACATGTGCAGATCTTTCTTACTACCCCAGTTGGCAACACTCAAAAAGGGAACCTTGATATCATACTGTATTCCTTGGACACATAGTATGGCTAGTCTCGGAATTGATCTAGCTCAGCACAGGAAAAATCACTTCCCCACAACATATGGCCAAATTTCAAAATCCGCTCGGTATTCTCGGAGTTTGGACATCAGATGCGGGATAGTTGATGCTTTTGGGACCACTTTCTTAATTAGGCAGTAGATGTCGGGACCACTTCCAAGGTTCCGACAGTCATTATGTGGGGGCCCCCATTGAGTGCGAATTCTTGGTACAAAGTCCTTCAATTTGATTTAAGCAGTTAGATGCAGAATATTGTCAATTGACGTTCATAAATGTGGATTTACTTTTTTCATATACCGTAGACTGACAACGCGTTCAATGTTTCTACCTAGCCTGATGTCCTAACACTGGCATAAGTAATTCTCATCAAGCTTGAGGTAGGTCACATATTAGTAGTGCCTGATTTATTATCTAGAGAACGAATTGTCCCTACATAATCCACATGCATAAACATTTGAAATTTGAACAGTCCAAAATCCTCCCGAGCCCTGGAGGTCAACTCCATTCTTCATAACCTTAGAACCCTCAAACCTCCAGATGTCAGTATTACTAGTACTTTTTAGCCGGTTTTCCTTATTTCTAGAAATTTAGTTCAACAATTTCTGCTGAAACAGAATTCAGAACTATATTTGGGAGTAGACTATTCGAATATCCAATTTATTTATTTGTATTAACAGCAGCCTGAGAGGGTTGCTGACATACTAAAAAGCATCAAGGTCAGATGAATAAAAAGATGGGTTGACACTTCGCCTTCAGACTGGTAAAATCACATCGTTGGTCCGTATCAGCATGTAAGCTAGCAAACAAACAAAAAGTTGTTCAGGGGTGCCAATGCTTGTTGGAGCTTCAAGTTTTATTCGACTTTGCCAGACGTGGGAACCAAATGTGCTGTAGCGATCCGAATTCTTTTACCGTAGACGAAAAGAGGAATGGTAAGTAGACCGAAAATTCCCATGAGCATACCAAATATCCCAAATGGCTCATTGAAGCCATCTGCAGTAACCCAGTTACCCACAAAGAAAGACCATGCAAAGCTGATGATTGCACGCAGACTGGTAATGATAACGAAACAGTCACCACTAATAGAGTGGTAAGATTCAATTAACTGAAAAGTAGAACAGAGGTTAGACTTGCTTGGATCAACGTAATATGAAAATCTTCTTACATAGTTGAAGCCGATAGAAGGAACTTGCATCAGACCGAAGCAAATCATGCCAATGCCAAACTCCAACCCAATCCATGCATGAGGGCTTCCTGTGGCAGCGCTGAATCCGAAAGCCCAGATACCAGCTGTTGCAAGGATCAAACCAGGGATCATGGCTGGTAATCTGGTCTCTGGCTCGCTGAGACCATTCGTTTGACGATGGGCCTGACGCTTGACGACAAAGTCGGAAGTAAAGAACGTGGCGATAACACCAAGGACAGAACCAATCAGCCCTCCAATACTGATCAGTCCAGCCTTTGCACCCCACAGATAGGGTGGCTCACTGACAAATATCACAGCCATAGACTCGGCAGCGGCTACTCCACCCACCAAGCCACCATATTGCAACATGATAATCCACACACTCGGAAACATCAATGTGCGCCAAGGACCAATGAACTCATGGATTATGTTTCCACGGTACATGCCGACTTTTAGACTGCGCTTGAATGTGAAAGGAGCATAGCTTGCAGTCTCTACAATGTCCTCCCCTCTGTGAGTGGTTGGCTTCTCCTCTGTTGAATCCACAGGGTCTAGACTGGTAGGGTCTGGCAAATCTTCGTCATTTGCACCGTTCACGCGCGGAAGATAGAGAGTTTCAGGTTGAAAGAAGAAGGTGAAAGCCAATCCAGCTAGAGACATGATCACGTTGAGCCATTGCGTCCAGCGCCAACCTGCCTCCGCAGCAATATAGCTGCCGATGATAGCTCCGATGATGGAGCCGAGGACAAGGAAAACAGTGTACACTGCCTAGAGGTACTAGTGAGAAGTAATTCTTCTATTTGTAAGGAAGACCAAAGAAGTGGGAGATCTCACCATGGCTCTTCCCCTTTGATGGAGAAAGAAAATCTCGCCAATGACAGTGGGTGATACTGTCTCGGATGGGCCAATGCCAATACCCTGAAAGATTCTAGCCCCAACAAGACTCCCGTAGTCGTTGGCTTTGGCACACCATATTGATGTAAGTCCCAAGATGAGAAGACCAAGTATGGTCACTGTTCTTCGTCCAAATATGTTCCCTAATGGTACCCAGAAGATATTGGAGCATCCCATCATCAAGGTATTCACCTAAAGTTAGAGCATCAAATCAGACCGATAATAGTTTGAGTTTGCTGACATCAGAAACCTACCGCAAGTGCACGAATTAGTTTAGCGTAGGGAATTGTTGGAAATGCGATTTCAAGGTAGCCAAGTGCGCTAGTGAGGGTGGTGGCTACCACGTTCCCCACGAAGGTATAATAACATAGTGACAACAATACCATCACCTTTCTCCATGTTGCCCAATTCAATGGATCGGCAGGATCGGCACTTGGCTTGGGAATAAGTACAAGAATATCATCTTGATCCGTGTGAGTCCCCAATGCTGATCTTTGTAGTTGATGATCTGAGCAAAATGAGTATATGATGGGCCTTGTAAACAAAGAACGAAAGAATTGGGATCATTTACCATAGAGCTTGGCAGTTCCAGGCGGATGAGCTTTTTCGACTTCACTCTTCTGCAATGAGAACGCGAATCTGAATCCACTCATTTCAATGATGATAATGAGAAATTTGCAATTTGTTCGAAATCAACATGTGACTTTCAAACCCCACAGGAACCTGGATACTTATGGCCTGAAACCCCGCAAAATGGAGGACCCGCAATGTGGAGAGAAAATCCGGGGTAGATTCCCGATCGAAGGGTGATCTTTCGTCGAATGGAGCAAGCCAACTTGGGAAAGGGCAGGGAGGGGATCTTGCTTTCCAAATGAAAAAAGAGACGGGAAAGTGGGGAGATGATGGGAGATGTTAATTCACCAATAACACACCAGATTTCTGTGTCGAAGCTCTCAATTTTCACACCTATTCTCGCCATTATCATTATTCCTCCTATATCTTTCAGTCAGTCCTCTATTCACCAGGTTCTGATACTCCTACACTTCTCAGGTACCTATCGGTGATCCTGTGTCAACCTCTATTGCCAGTATAGGTTCCTGCACGGTCTACAAGAGTGTAGAAAAATAATATGTCCTGATATTACGCAAATCATCGGCGCTTAGTCCTCTGCTTAAGGCAGTCTTGGCCTCAAGATACCTCTGCCAGAATGCTGATGGTACTTCAGATGTCACTGGCAACAGAGTAACACATTCTTTGCTACACCCCTGTGCTATAGTTATCATGCAACCGTTGTCATTGATGGTTATTATATGCCCTCGTATGATTATTCCACCTATACTATTCACAATACTAGAGTACACATAGGATTTGATTGAATTCGAGTATTTCATGTATCACATCTCTCTGTTCTCTTCTTGGAAGTTTTGTGAACATCAAGGGTCAATTCAGGGGATATAGGAATTGGGGTCTAGTGACAATTGAATTTCTATGCGCAATCTCTTCTCCCCTTAGGAGCTAGGACCATCGTTTGACCTAGGCCAGTGGCCTACAGTAAATTGTGAATTGCACATATTTGTCAACTCCCATGTCTCTGCCATCAGCCTTCCCTTGCTCCCGTTGTCGTCCTCGCTTCCCGCAGCCCCGGCCACGAATAGGGTTGCCATGTAATGATCATCCGTAGCATGAGCATCACGGAACTGAGGGTGTTTCATCAGCCGTGTCAAGGCTCGACGCAGAGACGGACCTGAGTTGTTAACAAATGCGTCTTCTACAGCCTGTCTGAAGTCCATTGCCCATTCCTCAGGGGAGTGGGCTGCGCAAAATTGTCGGTATGTCGGAGCATGGGCCCCCAGATATTACGATAGAGGTTGTGGACCGCACCACCTGTACCAATCAACAGGTAACCCTGAGAGCGTAGTTGACGAAGTGCAGTCCCAGCTCGTACATGGAGATGCGGGTCGTATCGTAGGTTGTTTGAGATGATGGTGGTGGGCGGACACTTGTTGGGGAACATGCGAATGAGAATCAAAAAGATATCATGGATCCATTCCAAAGTCTCATTGGCCGAGACTTCAAACCCGGCGTTCCCCAAGAGTTCCATGCATATTTCTCCACCCTCAAGGTCGGGTACCAGCTCATAGTCCACGTACTTTGAAGGATGAACGTATGCAACCGGTTGCTTCACGGGCTTGGGGTTCATGGATATTTCGATTCTGTCAGGCCCTTTGCATGCCCAGTGCGCACCCTTGGGAGGATTTCTCAGTAAATTAAAAAAGGATGATGAAGAGTTTACCCTTACCATCATGACCACGCCTTTGATCCCCTGTGCCAGAGATTCATCGCCGCACTTTTTCCAATAGTCTGCTGATTCGGACTTCTCGCCCAGCATCATGGTTGAGCCATGGGAGAAAAAGTGCACGGGGGACGGGCCCCAAGATTCTAGACACAATTGATCAGCTTTCCAAATAGCGATAATCCAACATAAGTTTTAGGCGCTTTACCTGAGGTTTTGGTTACCATATTGTGGTGACCAATTCACCTTTGTTGGTGTCTAAGGAGGTGGCTATTTTTGGTCCAAATATTTGGAGCTACGGCCCGGAATTTTGAACGATATTCAATCCCTATTGCCCCTTTCCCTAGTGCTAATAGAAAAGACATATTTACCTGTAGCATGTGGGGAGTTGTTAACTTGTTAACACATGGGCATCGGGATTGAATGTGGGGGAGAAACCTCAGGCAAAATTACGGTATTTACATAACCTTGTAACACACGGGCTTGGAATTGGACAGTCCCCACAACTTTGGAAGCCCCATGAAGTGGCATGAACCCCATTATGCCCAATTTGGGAATGAGTTATCCCCTCGTGATTAGATTGAATCACCAGAGCCTCCGCAATCCCCATCGATTTGTACTAGTTGCCGACATTCCCTAAATATAATCCCCGAGTCTTCCCCGCGTCGGGTTTCTGTTGCAGAGATCAGCATGGCGTTTTAGACACTCAACTTACCGGCATTTGTCATTTCACTCCCCCTCCACTCGGCCTCCAGGGGCTATACAGTGCCATCATGCAGGCTCCACGTCAGGATCTTTTCCAATGCTCCACATGTGCCAAAACTTATACACGAATTGATCATCTAGCGCGTCATGTCAGATCACGTACGTTGGGTCGTCCCGAGGTCTGATACTAGAATAATCCTGGTACTGATTTTTCCATTCCTAGATACACAAGAGAAGCCTTTCGAATGCAAAACTTGCCATAAAGGGTTTACTAGAAGGTATGATATATACCAGTGCTAAATTGTACGTTGGCCACTCATGATCAATGGTTAATCTTCAGGTTGGCTATCAAGTGATCTCCTGCAAAGACATCAAACTGTGCATATCGACCCTCCGTTAGAGAACGGTACTAGTAAGCGCCGTCGCATCCGACCGCCTTTGGGTAAACCAGGTCGTGTCTCTCAGGCATGTGAAGCTTGCTCGGAGAGCCACCTTAAATGCGAAGACGAGAAGCCTTGTCGTCGTTGTCAACAAAAAGACATCCCGTGTATACCAATCAAATCCGCCTATTCCTTCCAACACCACAATACTCCAATCCAGGGACAAGAGCAACTTCAGCTCCCAAATCTGCCTACCCCTGATCAAACAGACCTTTCATCCCCTAGAAATAAAGCTCAGTCTATGGGGGACACTGACCCAGCCCTGCCACCTCATTTTTTGTTGTCGCGATCTCGGTCGCAGTCTTGCGTTGAAGGCGATGACCAACCGTATGAGGAGCAACCTCGGATACCGAGCCCATCAATCCCATCGCAGATATTATCTTTTCATAACCCTGGGTACGATGAAAATGAAGCGATATCTCTCACGCCATCATCAAGCAACATACCTCATGGTTTTTTGGATATCAATCCTTTCCTGAGTGGATCATGCACCCCTAGCGGATATCACTTTGGACTCAAGACTAGCTTGGATTTGAGTGTACTAGATCTCAATTTTCTGGAAAACTTCGACCCCCAGGTCCAGTTTGGAGAAAATCATCATCCCACAGTGCCGCCTCCTGAATTTCCAGAGGCTAGCGGGAGACATTCCAAGGCGGCCTTCCAGTCCATCTGGCGCTTTGTACCGATGTCTCAGAATCATGGATACGCTGAGCAGGAAAATTTATCACTACCTGATGAACCCGCTTTATTGAATCGTCCAGCCAGCATCAATATAATTACAAGGCTAGGCAAGGGGCAACTCTCTTCTCGGGAACGTGATAAGATTTTGGCCATCATTCATCGACAACTACGTTCGCCCCTTCTTAATCCCATTTCCGTCTTCCCAACAGCGCCGCTACTCGACAATCTCATTCAAAACTTCCTTCAAAGTCCGATCGGGTGTGGGAGCGACTGGATTCACACCGCTAGCCTGGATTTCAAAACCTGTCGTCCGGAGCTCCTAGCTGCTATGTCAGCTGCTGGAGCAGTTCTTACGACTGCCCATGTACCTCTTCAAAAAATGGGCTTCGCAATCCAGGAAGTTATTCGGCAACACCATGGTACTCTTTTCGAAGCAAACAACTCTGCAATTCAAGATCTAGAGCAGCTTCAATCCTACCTAATATTGTTGCTTCTCGGAATTTGGAGTGGTAACAATCGCAAGATTGAGATCGCAGAGAGCTTTCAACAACCCTTGGTCACCATGATCCGTCGGCGTGGAGTAATGAATCGAGGATGGTACAAACCAATCACAGTTCAGCCTGAAGATGACGGCAAAGTGCTCCAAGAGAAATGGCAGATGTGGGTTATGCAAGAGTCTTTCAAAAGGCTGGCCTTGCAGTTTCTGCGCCATAACTTTCACATTTCCATCTCCCTCCAGATCGTTCCATTGATATCATATGCCGAGGTTGACATTCCCCTGTCGGCCCCGCAATCATGTTGGGATGCACGCAAAGCTACTGATTGGAAGGCTATTGTTCTCGCTGAGCCATCTCTCCTGATGGGTCAAACCCCCTCACTGTCAGACTGTCTCATGAACATGGACCTCCTCGACGCGGCTCGAAATGTGTGCGATCTACAGAAGAGCTGTGAAGCGATTCTCCATTCCATGTGGGGAATGGTGTGGGAGTATCAACAATTAAACAAGCTCTTCCGGAAACAACCACGGTACTGGAACGGCGGGCTTATTATGAGCTCTCGATATGAAGAAATGATGAAAATTTTGAATAACTTCCGCATAATCTTTCCAGGTGAAAGCACCCAACTTTGGGAGCTGATCGCAATGAACTTGCAGCTCTCTATTGATGAGATTCAGGCATTTTGCTGCGCAGAAGATCACGAGGAAACCATCAGACTTAGACCTTCCATTACCCGGTGGGCCACAAGTGACACTGGGCGTCGGGCCGTATGGCATGCTGGACAAATAATACGCTCTGCAAAAGACTGCAGTGCCTCTATTCTTTCCGAGTTTGCTGGGATCGCGGTTTACCATGCTAGTCTGGCACTGTTGGCCTACTCGCTGACAATAAATACTGAGTCTACGTTGGGAGATAGTTACCCTCAACTATGCTTGCCAAGTGGAGAAAAGCGGTACATCTGTCTTGATGAGATTGAGACTGCGGATCTTCCGATATTCATTGAGCTGGGACGAGGTATACCTGGTATACGGGGTCGCAGAACATTGGAAGAGTTTACTCCCTTGGCAGAGCGGCACGCGATGGTGGAAGTCTTGATCGGAGTTCTGCGACCGGGAATTTTGGACCAGGCGCAACCAAGCTTGCCTCTCATCGAAACGCTTATTCTTTTGATGAACCAGTGCAAAGACACAAGCAACAGCGCATGACTACTTTAAATTTCGATTCGATTTTTACAGTCATGCATCTAGATGGCTTTTAATCAATTCAAAGCAATCTCGAAACATATTGAGCTCCCTTGGTTCCCAGAAACCCCACACTAACAAGAATCGGAATTCCAAATAAGGCCAACCCTATCAAGATACCCTGTTCAAAAAAGCCAACGCCTCCACCATTTGGGCGTGGTTTAGAGGGTTTGAGAGCCTTTGAGATTTCCATCAAGGCATGGGAAATTTCGGCGCCTTGTCCTTGCATGGTATGTTGCAGTAGATCATTAAAGGGCATCGACGTCACAAATGCCGGACATCTTTGAGAGAAAAGAGAAATAGGATAGCGTAGGGAGCGATCGAAGCCAATTTGTTGCGGTGCCGCTGGTCCAACTATGTCCATTCGTCAGTAATCCAGTCACTCCGAATTATTATTGTGTTATCGAGAAAAGGCAATGATGAATGTTCTACTCACTGAGTAGCTCCAATGGTATTTGGTTCACAAAAGAGACGTGGGTTGTGATGAACTGGGTCAGATACTTGGCCGAAACCAGATCAGCGAAGATGTATGACGCGATCAGCTTCCGATTCCTGGTTATTGTAGTAAAGAACAATCAGCTGGATTCTCTCATGACATATTGGTAAAACTCGATATTTACCCATTCGCAAGGTCGATAGCATCATCCAGAGACCGGACTCCGTGGACCAAGAGCCGACGACTGGAATTTCTATTTTGGATAACGTTGAACTCCCTGAAACGCAAAACGTCAGAAGCAATTCCCTCTAAGATATTAAAGGTGTCAAGGCCGTCTGTCTCACCTGAATGTCACCTCAAACAATTCTGCTTGGCCAAGCGCAGCAACGAGATCAAGACTGTCATCTTGGGGCTTCGTCCGCTCTGGGATCCTGCTATCAAATCTTCTATCCTCTAGGAACGAAACCATCGCATTCGTTACAGCCGCCAGGAATGGCCTTTTTACAAACTCGTTCACAAGGATGATGTCTGGAGCATATGGTGAAGTACCCCCAAAGCTAAACCTGGCAGCCACAAGAGCTTGCGCCGCACTGTCCAGATCTGCGGTTCTATCAACAATAGCGATCACGCAACCCGAGGGACTAGTGATTTCATGATTGAAGTCCAAAGACTCCTGAGTCTTCAAAGGGTTTTGAAACACGCGGATATGGTTAGGGCCAAGGTCAGCTTTGCTAGGTCGATCTACCACCACTGCAATGACGTCTCGATCGAGGGACTTGTCGGCCAGAAGTTGGCGAATTAGCGTGGACACCTCCCTGGAGGATTGCTCGAGCTAAATTGACCCGAAAAGTTCAGATTCTGTTGGCATCTTGAGCCTTCGATAAATGTAATGATTGTCAACACGCACCTGAATAACAACACAATTTCCTGCAGCTAGCGCAGCACAGATAGCTGCGATTGTCGAGTAAAAAACAGTATGCTCTGTGATAGCGACATACACAATGCCGATGGGCTCGGCTTGTGCTGGTGAATCTTCCCCTCGAGAAATTGCGTACTCCTGGTGGAGCGCCTTGTCCGAATCCAGGGTCTCGTAGTATTCTTTCAACGAACGAAGGGCGAAAAAGTACTCAATCTTCGCCTCTGTATCGGTATGCGTACCATCCTTTACCATGGTCTTCTGTATATGTTCTCCATGTTGTACGAGTATTCGATGAAGCTTTTCAAACTGATCCTGTCTGTAGAGGACATTTTGCATGCGACCATCCACAGAGGCCTCTCGGATTGACTGTAGGAACAACGTCATAACTGCAAGAATGACTGAAATGTTTAAACTTTTTCCTAGATCTCGATCAGCATAGCCTAGGACAACGTGAAATAGATCTAGGAATTTCTTCTCATTTGACTGCCTCCCCCCCTGATTACTTGACCGTAACTGATGACCTCAGGTTCACCCGCACTACATCGGCAAACCGCCCACATCTCTCCCACTTTCCCATCGCCCACATTCCCGATATTCAGAGTAAGGAGGCACCCAACATTTTAAATTGCTAAAATTAAGAAGAATAAAGGTATTTTGCAGCCTTGTAAGTACCTTGGATACCCCATTCAGTTCCCAATCGAACGCTCGACGTTAAAATTCGCCAATATGTCTTCCACAGTGACAGCGACCACCACACTGAATTCATCTCGAAGGTTACATATTCCATCCGGCTATACGGTTCACCTGTCAGATACATCTTCAAATCACCACGCGGAAACTCAGGATATGACTATAGCTCGAAACCCTCAAAATCCGCCAGATTGGCCTACCAACTATCGCAGAATTCCCCCTCGTCGGGCGGTCGATTATGACCTTGATCTCAGTGAGAGGCGGGTGTATCGGAATACATTCGAACATCTTTTGATTATTGTCATGTTTACAGGAGTAGCCACATCTGCAGTAAGCTCATCATTTCCTATAAAACTTGTGTCCTCATATTGACGGTGTTCATTATCATAGGTAGCCAGTCGAGTATGGGCATTAACAGGGGGGAGAGCAACAAGGAGTATTTTTCGTCATCGCATCGGTGGGGAGTTCTGAACGGTCTTGAATTCAAATTTAGTGTGTCATGGTACAGGAGTATCTTGATCAGACCCAATAATATATTCCTGCGCTTCTCAGTACAAGCTAGAAGCACTTGAATTTTATGTAAAGTTGCACATGCTCTTCCAAGGTTTCACCTACTAGTAGAAATTTATCCCTCAGGTCTATACTCACAAGTGCAAACTTCAATGTTGAACTATAATTTTCCGAGTCACAAAATGTCCAAAACTCTTCGGCATTTGAAGCCCTGGAGTCCTACTAGTACTAGCAGCCTTTCGGAGTTCATTTCATCATCCACCTGGACACATGCAGTGGCATAATATGCATGACTACAGGAATCCTGAGTGATTAATATACATACTCCTCAGGCCACTGGCACCCTTTGCTCAGATGCCTGAACCTTGGAACTCATGTGCAAATTGAATTATGTCCGGTGGGTGGCCGCTTTGGGCCGTCGTGCACTTTCGAGTTATTCAAGTTTTCGCAAAGGTAACTCCAAAGCCACTGATACATATGTAGCTGTAAAGGTGACAATATAATTTGAGTTTCGCTAAATAGATCAATATTCCAGCACTGGTCTGAATTCCATAACCTTCAGAATTTGCCATTGGATACTGCTGCTCACGGGGCTCCCTCCGCGCGTCTCACGCGCTGAAAATCACCTGTCTGATATGACAAGGATGGAGTGATTTTGGCAATTTTCCATTTCCCATCTACTTTGATAAACCGATGCTCCATCCAACTCCGACCGTCACTCGTCTCGCTGATCTTATTTGACGAATCTAGAGCACTGTTCTCCCGTCTTCCGTGACTAGCGAGCTGTTGCCATTGCACTATGATCTCATCCTCTGTGACAAGCTTGAAGTATGGCTGACCTAGTAAATGCTGAGTCGCCAGGGCTTTATTTCCAAGGTGTTCTTCCGATAACCATTCCTTTACAAACTCATCGGCTGCCAGTGTTCGTGACCCCCACGCGGGAACAATCAGCGTGTAGTCGATGATAACCTCGGGGGCGATTGTAGCGGCAAGATGATCATAGTCCTATTTTGCATCCATTGGTTATTAACTGTCTTATGGTGTCTGTTCAATTTTTGATTCTTACCTTTAGGTCGTATCCATCAGCCCAGGCGCGGGCCGTCTGAACAACAGCAATGTAGTCTTGGAAAGACAAGTTGTCTGGGATATAGAGCTCGAATGGGGCCATTGCGAATGATTTAATCAAGTCTTCGTATATTTTGTTCTGCAGGTTGGAAGTTCAAGTTGTCCGTTTGGTAAGAGTGATTCAAGTTGGAGAGGTGCACCTGGAATATATGCCCCCATGCGCGCATCTCCATCGGTAATTCCCCCCACCTAAGTTCCGAACATCATGTCATGCCCGGGAAATCCGAGAGAGCTTCATAATAAATATCACTCTGGGAAGTTCCAATCAAGGTACAACCATTTTACTTCTCGCACGCTTCAAAGTTCGCTGACCATGAACTCGCCATTCACATTGAGGACAGATGTCTACCAGCCCATTTCTCCCGAGACACTTGCCGGGTCGGTAAAAGGGAAAAACGCACTTGTCACTGGTTCCGGCAGAGGTATTGGGCGTGAGATTGCGCTTGCGCTAGCTCAAGCTGGCGCGAATGTCGGAATTACTGCTCGTACCGCAAGCGAAGTAGAAGCAACAGTTGTGGATGTCCAGGGCGTGACTGTGGGTGCGGGGAAGGTCATTGGGATAACAGCCGACGTTCTCAAACGGGATGATCAACAACGCCTCATTCGGGAATTCCATGAAAAGCTAGGCCCGATTCACATATTGATCTTGAATGCGGGGAACAATGTGTTCCAGCCATTTCACCTAACCGAGGCTGATGGCTGGTGGGATGTCATGGAGCTGAACGTGCGCGCCCCCGTCGAACTCACTCGTCTGGTACTTCCCGAGATGATGGAACGGAATGAGGGATCTATTGTTTTCACCTCTTCTCGAGCGGCAAAGGCCGATCTACCATTCACAACAAGCTACAACTGTGCGAAGACATCTATTACACGATTCGCGGGGACATTGCAGGCTGAGATGGAACAAATCCAACCTAAACAACACAACGCCGATAACGGAATTGAACTCTTTAGCATCCATCCTGGCGAAATTGAGACTCAGCTTCATCAGTCGGCAATCCCGGAGAAGACCCGTACTGAAGCCCCCCTACGTGGTTGACTTGTTGGAGAGACTAGGGAAGACCCGACCACACTATGCACCCCGCTTACCAGCCTGGACTGTCGTGTGGCTTTGTACCGGAAGAGCCGCGGGTCTAAGGGGTCAATATGTTGACTGTACAAGAGATGTTGAGGAGCAGATGAAATCCCACCAAAGCAATATCAAATAGTGCATGTATCTATAACTCAGATAATGAATTCATGGAACATCTGAAATAGTGAGACTGAGAATTCAAGCTTTTTAACCGGATTCCGAGTATTTAATAACTGAATTAACAAGCATTCAATAACATTCAAGTGATTCGGAAGTTGACCCGGCACTATTTGATGGGCAATTAGATCATTACGGGATTTCCTCATTCCTTTAATCTATCTCGCCCCTCTTCTAACCTTGTGATGATCAATGCTTAGCAATTAGGACCCTGCATGGACCCCTCTGGGGCGCCGGATTATCCGAAAGCTTGAATCCCCGTACCCCATTTCCAGGAAATGAAATCTGGGGAAGTCCGGGGCTTTATGTAATGAGCTGTTCATGGTCACCAGACGGCTGGGTATTTAGAGGCGTGGAAGGATCGCATCCCTGCTCTTCGGTCTATGCATACCTCGCAGTTTCTTAATCTCAAAATGGCAAAACAAGATGCGGAACATGAAGAAGATCAGACCAGGTCTTTGTCATTGGCAATGATACCTGAAGATGAACCGTCTACAGCTTATCAAGTTGGATGGCGTACCTTGATGGGTATTTTTGCGTTGTCATTTGCAAACAACTGCGCTGCTGTTTCTAACACTGTGAGTGACCTAGTCACGTTTTGAGGAACTCCTAGTTCAATTTTATAGCTAACATCACCCGGTTTTCCAGACAAACACTATCATCAGCTTTCAAATTAAGGCTCTCGGCGATGCCTCCTTCGCTTCATGGATGGCAAATGCAAATCTCCTCGTCACACTAGCGTTTGGCCCAGTATTTGTACGTGCCGGTATCCACTTGCACCATTTATGGGCCTGAATATGTCTAATTCTGCAATAACTACAGGGATCACTCAGTGATAGACTGGGCAAAAAGTGGTTTATTGTCATCGGTAGCCTAATCGGCGTCATCGGCTCTGTCGTCTCGGGATCCGCAAATCATACTGCAGTCATAGTGGCAGGAAATGCGTTGACAGGGTTAGCAAATGCAGGCTGCGTAAGGATATCCACAAAAAGAGCCGATTAAACGAAGACTAATCGTTGCATAGATTATGGGAGTCCCCGCTTCACAAGAAGTTACACCCAATAAGTTGCGACCTTGGACAATGGGCTTTTCACAGGCAATGGCTAGCGCAATTACCATCGTAGGTACTATCAGCGCGGGCGCCTTTGTAAAGTTCCAGTCCTGGCGCTGGTCATACTATTTCAATGCTTTCATCTATGGCACGTCGTTCCTGCTCGTCTTGGCCTTTTATCATCCTCCACGACCAGGACTACGTCGCCAGTTAAGTCAGCGCCGTGAACTATTCTCCCAGGTCGATTATCCAGGAATTTTGCTCTTCACAGGCTCAATCACCTCACTCATAATTGCCTTGACATGGGGTGGTTCAACCTACGCATGGTCCTCCGGGCAGGTCATTGGAACTCTCGTCGCTGGCTGTGTTGGACTGGTCGCCTTTGGTCTCTACGAATGGAAGTTCACATCTAGAGGTATCTTCGATCATCGACTGTTTCACACAAGGAATTTCCCCATTCTACTATTTGTGTGTATTGTGGATGGAATGCTACTCCTTGGTGTCAACGTTCTCTACGCCCAACAGATCGCAGGTCTATTCACGACTAATGCAATCCGCATTGCTACAATCCTTACGCCATACCTAGCCACCTCAGCCTTTGGGTGCATTCCAGCGGGCTGGATAATGGCCAGGACCAAATCCTATCGCATAATGCTTATTGCGGCTCTTTTGTGGTGCAGTCTATTTACTGGTCTAATGGCACTGATCAACCCACAACGACTCAGCTGGGCATATGCTTTCTCTGCTCTTTTCGGTATGGGAACTGCTGTTACGACTGTCATTCCAGGTATGTATAGCCCACTCAAACTTGAAAACACTTAGTTCTATAGTACTAACTTTCTATGCAGTTGTGGCAATGGGTCTCTCCGTTCCCTCTTTTCTGCTTGGTACAGCGGGTACCATCAGTATCTCGTGCCGTGCGCTTGGTGGAATTGTAGGTATCACTATCTTCACCGCAGTATATGATAACAAGATAAGTTCAGCCGCACCTCGATACGTTGGCTCCGTGCTTGATGCCGCTGGAGATGGCAACCTGATTTCAGAAGTCATGGCTGCGCTCGGCTCTGGATCTACAGCAGCGCTACAACAAATTCAGGGCTTATCTGAGTCGCTTATCCCAAAGATCGAAGCTGCTTATCTTGCGGCGGAGACTTACTCTTGGAAATTTGTGTGGATCGCTATCTGCGTTGTGGTGGCGGTCAATGCTGCTGTGGCTTGTTCACTTCACTCGGTGGCTACCAAGATGAATGATCATATTGAGTCTGCGTTGGAGATATCTGAGGCTCGGGATAAGCAGCTGCAAGAGTGAGGAAATATTTAATTTTGAGCTTAATATTTTTATTTATTTGGGATGAACGTGATTTTGGCAAATATCTTCAAATTTTCGATTTAGTAAATACACTCAAGTCCACTGAGAAGTCATAATGAGATGGTGGTAAAGATTTAGACACAAAAAGAGAAATTAAAGAACATAGAAGATTTCAGATGATGATTGACTCATCCTCATATAAGACAAAAAAAACCCCGAGCGAGTGATTTAAGGGTGGTTGGGGTTGGTCTTGTTCCACTGAGCATAGCTAAGAGTGGGATCCAAGGCCAGAGTTGGGTCAAGGACAAAGTCCTCAGAGACTTCTCCAATAAGGGTACCATCCCAGCAGTGCTCCCTGAAGCACTTCTCACAGGCCGCAGGGCGCTCAATACCCAGACGGTGCAAGCTGCGATCGATAGCCGCACAGCCGAGACAGTCAGCCCAGGTAGAGCTAAGAGATCCATTGCCCATGGTGACGAGGTTGAAGCTGTTCTCAGTAACACTGTCGAAGTTGGAGTAGGTCATCTCAGGAGTAGCCCAGCTGTAGTTGGTGTAGTAGCTGTAGGGGGCGTTGGCCATGTAGGCAACGATAGGGGAAGAAGCGTCTCCGGTAGTAGTCAAGCTGACATCACAGCCGAACAGCACAGGCTTGAGAGTGTAGTTACGGGCCAGCATCTCGGAAACAGGGGGAACCTCTGGGAAGGGGAGACCAGCGTCCTTAGCAAGGTTGTAGGTGTCCCAGATGTTAGTACCGTTGGTCCACAGGTAAGGCTCATCATCGGCATCGTCATCCCAGGCCATGCTTCATGAAGGTTAGTAAAAGATTTTTACTCTAGGAGCTGGGGTTGACTTACATGAAGTCGACATCACGCTCGGGCTGGATGAGAGGCCAGAATGGCACCGACTGTCCGGCCTCGGAGGTATCGGCAAAAGTGATGGTGTCTTCGCTGGTGAAAGCGTTGGGGATCGAGGGGTTGGCGATTTGGTCAAGGGACAAGTCAAAGAACTCGGCGAATGCATCAGAAAGAGATTCGAGTGAAGCGAGGCCGGTCAGAGAGTCGTCATCGCGCTTCTGCAGGCTGCTCTGACGCTTGGAAAACTGTCCAAGGGTATCGTTTGTGGTGGCACTCAACCACCAGTAGTTGAAAGCAGCCGATACGGCGCCCAGAACAAAGCTTGAAGATGTTAGCTCTGGATCAATTTTGCTCAATTTAGCTGGATTCACTCTACTCACCTGCCCTGGTCAAGGTTCACGACACATTTGTTATCAGTGTTGTCCTTGTTTGTCGAGCCAACGTATTTGGTAGGGGTGAAGCCCAGGTCCCAAGAACCAAATTCGAAGGGAGTGAATTCGTACTGTGTTTCTCTTAGTTAGCCACATCTGATAGACAATCCGGTTACCTCGTCACTTACCAATGTGTCGGTATCAGCAGGCACGTAAAGACCATTCTCAACGCTGTTGCTCGTGTTCATACTGCTGGTGAGAAGGATTGGGAGAGGTCCCTCGAAGTTCTTGAAGCTCTCCAACTCAGCGATCGAAGAGAATGTGCGGTTGACACCAGGAATAAACTCGTAGCCAAAAGTCAAACCAAGGAAGTCTGCAGCGGACACGTTAAATCCCTGCTCATATTTTTCGGCGATCATCTCGAAGTATGCGCTCTCAGGGGCAGCATACTGGGAGTAGCCAGTGGCTGAGAAACGATCGATATCGACACGCCAGTCCTTGACAATCTCGGCCATGGAAGAGTAGTTGTAGAATGCATAAGACGCAGTCGGCCAGGATCCACCAGAAAGACCAGCAATGTAGGTCATACTCTGAAGCAGACCACCGACCTTAGCCTCTTTCGAGCCAGGAGTTCGCTCATCAATGGCTTCCATACCACCCGCACCGGTGTAGGCGGAACGCCAACCACCACCACTGGTAGCCCATGCAATCACAGGCACATTGGAGTAACCATTCTTCTTGATCTTCTTGGTGTAGTCTGACAGGTTGAACCCCTCGAGATCCAGACGGGCCAAGTAAGAGTGCAGAGAATCAGCAACGACTGCCTTACGGCCCTTGACCCAAGCAGTTTCGTTTGGAGAGAGGGTAGGCTCGCGGACAATCTGAATGTCCGCGGGACAGTCCACATAGTAGGGCGCATAGGCGTCTACTGAGCTAGCTGCTGCTGTAGCAGCACCCAGAAGCACTAATGTTTGTTAGTTCCTCTTACTATACTATCATATGACATGAAATTCTTGCATACCTGACAGGGCGACGTGACCAATCATCGTGATGTTTCCAATTGTTCAATTTGAAACGACTGGACACTCAGAAGTTAGGAAATCGACGAAGTATCGATTATTTATGTGTCTTCAATTCGCCACAAGACTGCACGAAACTTGGGCAGTGTTGAGCAATGCTACCAAGGTTGTGTGAATAATTGTCGTGATTCGTGTCCGTACTCCGTACTTATACCACCCACTTCCAAACGCCGCCTACAGGCTATGGAGACGTGGGTACCTAGCCTCGGGGGCCAAGAAGATCTAATGACGCTCCTGTTGAACCTCAACTCCTTCTATGGCTTCCGGTCGGAGAAGAGTGGAGACCGCGAAAACTCCCTACATTTTGATGAACAAAACAAGCACATCCAAGAGTTGTAATTCCACGACCCCCTTGTGCCGATCCTTATGTCGATTAGAACGGAATCCGTATCACGGAGTTTGCCTGAAGAGACTGAGATGCATATTCGTATATATGGTAGTGCAGTCTTCACACCAGGGTATACATCATGATGAATACTAGCGTAGAATCAGGGATAATTCCAAGTTCCATCCAATTTGAATGTTGGGATGTGGAGACACGGAAGATGCGAAGAATAGATTGAAAATCTTCAGGAAGATCGACAAATTCGTTACTATAAACGGACCATCCCCGACATCTACTCCGTTCTCTACAGAGTATAATAGTCATTCCATCCAGGAACAATAGTGTTTGATATCAATAGGCTCTTTTATGCGAGATTAATTATGATCCTGATGGCGTCTATAAATTTCATTAATTCGCACATTCTTCCTATCCAATCTATTACTGGCTTCCTGAGGAAGCTGACTCCGAATTTCCATATTAGACACACTCCACGCAAACTACGCCGTACCTGGATAAATACTACTTAATAGGAAGGAGTCTGAATCTTTTCATCTCTTCAGTATTTTTTGCCTTGTCTAAAGTAGTGTGGATTTGACTCTGTGGTAGTCTATATTCTCTCCACAGAGTCAAATCCACACTACTTTAGACGAGTTGGGGGCGATATGCCACAACACATGAATTTCGGGGGCCAAAACGGTTCCGGCCGCCTACACATGCAACCAGCACCGTAGATAGTATGAATATACTAATAATATACGGCATACACTGAGCATGAATGCCGGCCGAAAATTGTTCATTGGTGGCAAGTTCAAGTTTTTGAAATGCGAGATAAACTGGGCATTGAGTACCTGAATCCTTCAAGATTGACCGGCGCATCCGAGACCCAATGATTTGGTAGTTCCAACCTTCAATTGTTGGAGCCTTGTGGCACTTTTGATGCATGAATTCAAGTCCCTTGCTATGATCACTATAACTATGGGATAATCAGAATATTTCCCGCCTCAAATCCTGTCATAATTTACTTCCAAGTGGGGATTTGCTGTTATACTCCGAACCCAAATCCAAATCTCGATTTCTTGACCTTGAAAACTACAACCCATAGAATTTTTTGATAGGACCAATAGCCGCGATGATTACTACGTACAATGCGATTTTTCCCAATACCTTTTGACTAAAAAGCGCTCGATAAACTAGGGAATCAGTGCGAAGGGGCCGATTTTCTTCTTGGATCGACCTTACATCCGTCTTTGTGAAAACCCCACCCAACATTTAACAAACATTTGACTGGTGAATTCGTCTGAACTCAGTATGTGAGTAGCGTATTCCACTCTAACAAGCGACCAATTGGATTCCAGACGTACTTGCGTGTTCCTTAGCACGGCCCCGGGGGCCCTGCTCCACAACTTGAAATGCTCTCGGCCTACCCGTCGGGAGTTCCGCAGGCACAATGCTACTTAGGCTGAAAATAGCAAAATTTGCGCATGAATTCATGTGGAGTAAACAATTGAACTTGAGCCCCAGACCAAATGTTCTCCTTTGTTCTAGCATTCTTCTTGAGAACCTGGAACTTAACTCAAATATCACAAATTCAAGTTTCAATATTGCCAGTAGACAACTGTCAACTACCACTCAAGTGCTAGTAGTAGTAACTTTTAATTTCCACAGTACTGAGACCTGCTTTCAGGGCTGGCCCCGGGGGTCTGGGTGAATCCACTGTATCTGCTTCACATTGGCATTGAAGAACTCCACTCGACAGTTTTACCTCAAGTGCCGGATACTAGGTAAGTTCAACCTTGGAAGCTCGAGACTCGGGAAAAAGTTCTCGAGATATGATGGCCCCCACGGTAGTGGAGCAAAATATCTTCAAATGATGCAAATATAGTATGACTAGACATGAACGGGTTAAACAATATCACCTTCGGAAGAAACACGCACTTGTGGTAAGGTAGTAGTGACATCCGAATATGATTTAGAAATCTCTAGGACCCACGGAGATTAAGGAATGTGCCGGATCTTCCGTCAATCATGTAAACACTCGGAACTATGGGCTCCCTGCGGACTCCTAGTATCATGCAGTACTATAAATAAACAAATCTGGGTCAAATCTGGGTCCCGAGGTTATCTTGAACATCCGACTCGGAGTCCTGGTTTGCAGAATTGTCAGCTTTTACCCTCTTCCATTCTCAGAGGGCTTGGTCCTCAAACGCAACACGGAGAAGCAATCATGAAAGGCACGAGAAAGCTGATGAACACATGTCTACTTAGGTAGATGCTAGTGTAATGTCTTACTAGGTAAGCTTATCCCACGTGGACCATGCACATGTGTAGAGAGCTCCATACTACACATGTGCAGTAATAATGTTGCGCTTCAAGTTGCATCACAGTTCTTAGTACTTTGATCCCTAGCAAGCATTGGAATTGCGCCAATTAGCGATATGCTCTGCCATCAATTATCCCCTGATGAGACCTGTGAAGATTCATCATGGTTGTCTGGGTTCAAGTTGATGATCAAGACGAATGGAAATGAGGAATATCTGTAGAGCTCGCAGTGGTGCATACTGCTGTCAGCGGCTGGGTATTCGTAGCCTGCTTCAGCTTGACCGTCATAGGATTTCTTTTTCTAATCAGCTTTGCATATAAGACTAGCAATATCTCAAGTTGTTCTCAGCTGGACATCCATGGATGAACATTTGAAAATAGATTGCCTTTCCTGGTTAGCGTGTTTGCAAATCGGAGATAATGGTTTACCCGGATTTAAGCCTCAATGCTAACCTCTTTGGGATTTTCAAGATGGCCAGTCATAGTGATGTCATTTGAGCTGGTTGTTTCCCAAACACGCAGTACGAGGTCGCTGATGAAGATCGATGCTGCAAGTCTATCTGAGAAGATTCCCGATTAATTGGACATGAATGATTTGTTGGGACAATATCAAAGATGCGGTAATCAGAGTCAGCAAGTGTAGTGCGGAACAACACCACCAGCCCTGAAAGAGCTACCTAGGATTATTTCCAAGACTTCGTTCTTTTGTCATCAGCTTATTGCCAATATATACGAATTTCTTCGTTAATGAAGCGCGAACAGTGACGCCTGCAACATTTTGTCATTTCCGAGTCTGGGACGGCGGAGCAAATTGCTAAGGTGTGGATCTCGGAGAGGATAGTATATCGTGTTCTTTTCAGCCGACGTATGTACCGCTGGCATTCATGTTCAAGTTGCAGGTTAAACCGGGTCGAGAGGTCCTCGATACATGTTAATGACACTGGTGACAGAGATATGGGGTATGTTAGCAAGTGATGCAATTTTGCAGGATGTGGATTTTAGGCAATGAACGCCAACGGGGCTAAATTAAACATGAAAGCAACTGGAGAGCGAGTTTGTTGTCGATTGGTCAATGCAGCCTGCATAGTAAAATAAGTTTGCGTAGAAGCCATACTGGGTTGATTCCCACGTGGCAAATCTGGATCTCCATGTGCATTTGCCTCAATGGATCACGTATGGTAGTGAATACGGACAGCATCGAGTCCGTAATGTGTTTTGCCCTGTAGGACCCAAGGGTAATGAGAATGCCTGGAACTTGAATCTTGAAACTCCAGATGAGAAATCCAGATTTTAACTGCCGGTACACCGTACTTACATCACGTTGTAGATCAAGCGTTCAAGTGCGAATTGACGCAATGTTTCATAATGAGATCTCCGGGTTCAAACCTGGAGTTGGATTCGGTTGTACTATGGTGTTTCTCAGAAGATTGGGGTCGTTGCTGGTGTATGGCATTTAGACCCGCCCTTATGTTTGCCTCTAACCTTCACTTTTGGCAGATGTGACAAACTCATGATGCGCCGTACCTAGGTAGCTTGTATATGCTTAAAATACAATGAGGAAACAATCAAAGTCCTCGCCGGCACTGGTAGTATGAGAACGTCAGATATCCTGGGAGTTAAGATCAACTATGGAACTTTCAAATTTGCACTGGCAGTCTCACTTAACATCATGGCACCTGGATCAGTTGGTCTGTTCCTGTGATACTCGAGGACAACGGTAAACATTTGAACTTTACTCCAAATGTTATTTTTATCTTATGAGGAGAGCGATCATTTGATTCAGAAAGATTCCATTAAAAAAAGTAAATCAAGTTCGCACCGGTATCCAATAAACCGTCCTGCTTTTTAGCACACAATCCCACATTTTGAATGACACCCCAAATAGAATTATCCCCATGGCCAAGATATCAACTAACTCAGAAAGATTTTATCTATCACAATCTATCTCTATGTCGCGCTTTTGTCCAAAAATCACCCAATCGTGACGCATGCAAATAAAACATAAATCATGACTCGCAGGCGGAAGGTGTACTTTTTGTCGCCAAGCCAACAAGTTCATGTCCATCATTAATCAACATACTTAGGAATAGTCTTCAGGATACCATCCCGACTGATGTCTTCCAATGCAGCAGTGACTGTTGCCAAGAATCGCTTGTCAGAACGCAAGTCATCACCAAAGAGGTTTCCGATGCTAAGCAGCTCGGCCGGGTTTGTGCCTCCAGCAATAGCCTTAGCTTGAAGTAGCTCACGCATAGGATCGTCGACTTCGAATTTGTTGCCATTGTCATCAACACCCCTCACATAGTGGAACCAGGCGGCTGCAACGAAGCACAAACGGCGGAAGGGGCCTTTTACCCAAATGGCTTCGGCAATCGAGGGCATAATGAATTGTGGAACCTTTCCAGAAGCGTTAAGGCAGATACGAGGCAGTTGGTCCATAATCGTGGGGTTGGAGAAACGCTCAATCAAGGTCTTAGTGTAAACGTCAAGGTCAACACCGGGAATGGAAGGTAGTGATGGTCTCACTTCCTCTTGCATCATCTGCCAAACAAACTTGCTAAAGAAGGGATCCTGCATGACCTCGTGGACGTATTTGAAGCCTGCAAGTTGACCAGGGTATCCAATGGCAGAGTGACTACCGTTCAAGAGACGAAGCTTGTGTTTCTCAAACTCCTCCACAGCGTGTACATCCTTCACCACCTGGACTCCAACCTTCTCAAATGGTGGACGGCCGTCGGAGAAGTGATCTTCAATGACCCACTGAGTGAAAGGCTCTGTAACAACAGGCCAGGAATCTTCAACACCGAAGTTCTCCGCAAGATCTTCCTTATCCTTGGCAGATGTCTGAGGTGTGATACGGTCGACCATGGCGTTGGGGAAGTGGCCTTTCTCAGAGATCCACTTTGCGAGGTCAGGGTTACGGATGCGTGCGAACGAGTCCAGCATATGCCTTGTGATAGCACCATTCTTCTGCATATTATCACAAGACATAACTGTGAAAGGCTTCAACCCTTGCTGATAACGACGGGCCATGGCAGCGTAGAGGAAACCAAATGTGGTACGTGGGGCATTTTCGTTGGCGGGGTCAAGATCGAACTTGATATCAGGGTGATCGCTTTGCAGTTCGTGTGTATTCTCATTGTAGAAATATCCGCTCTCGGTGATGGTGAGGGAAACGATGTGGGTATCAGGGTGTGCCATCTTGGCGATAACGGCTTCTCGGTCATCAGGGGCGAAGAGGTAAGAATTGATGCTACCAATGATACTGGCAGAGCTTCCCTTAGCAGAGCGCTCAATGAGAGTGTACATATGGTCTTGAGATCTCAAAGCATCACGCATGCCAGCATCGAAGGGTTGTAGACCAACACCACAAATTGCCCAATCAGTGATACCCTGGCGCATCAACTGGTCGACATAGTAGGCCAGGTGAGCACGGTGGAAACCACCCACACCAATGTGAACGATACCCTCCTTGATGGCGGGGCCTCGTGGATATTTTGGGATGCTGATAGGTGTTCTACCGGCCGCAATTCGCGCCAAGTTGCTGGTGTTAAGCTTGAGAGTTTGCATTATGAGAGGTATGAGAGGAATTGGTAGAATTGAAAAGGAATGGCGAGGATGAGAAAAGAAATAGGAAAAAAAAAAAGTTGCCACAGCTGCGACAGGGACAGCTTTATCAAGGTCACCGCTGGTTTCTCGAATAGCACAACAATAGAACCGGAAAGTGTACAGCGATGGTATTACATCATGTAGTGGAGAATAAAATACGGGTCTTTTGTGGAGTTCAAAGCAATAACTTCCAGTAAAAAGCACAATCCGGGCCCCCGGTTTCATTCTGGTCATTCTTGTATGGTCCAGCCTATGTAGTCACACGCCCCTGGGATATGGGAGGAATGCCGCCACACAGGCAACTCCACCCCGAGCCAGCCTTATCGATCTTCTTTATGAACGATAACCTAAACTCTTTTCCGAGTAACCCCATCACGAGCTGTCAACCCCACTGTGATTCTTCTGGAAACTCAGGAGGTTCTGAGATCCAGGGGAGAGCTGAGAGGAAGCTATAGCTATTGGGGAGTCACATGATATCCACATTCTCAACCATTTTCTGGTAGTTTAGGCGATCTTTGATTTCTTACATTTGACCTGTTCTTTTGACAAGTCCGATTCAAGTTACTCTTGATTCAGTTTTTTTTTTTACTCTTTCTACCGCGTTCGCCGTATGAAGTATACGAAGTACTCCGTACTGGTTCAGCTCACACTTGTCTTGACCATACTCTGGAGTATACAGGTCCTATTTTTAATTGCCCCGGGATAATGCGTTGCCGGCGATTCCGACCTATCCAACCCGAAATGCATAGTGTCTTCGCCTCCCTCGCTTATGCAGAAATCCCGGCACATCATCAAGTGACCTCCATCAGATGACCACCTGTTTCAATCAGTCTTACGAATTGGCCCATCCCCTACTCCTTATATGAATTAGATTGGACCTAGACTTTGGGTCCAGACCAATAGTTACGCCACAGCCACAAAAGAAAACAACAAAAAACAATACCCAGGCAACCAAGGGGGATCTAAAGATCGACACCAAATTTTTATTTTCTTTGCTCCTTGAACGGCAGTGACATATCAAGCCCCTTTTTTCCGATTAGCCGCGGGATCCTATTGAGGGTTTTTGTCATACGAACAGACAAGCCTCATTCTCCGAGGAGCTCGGACCATGTGCTTATTCTCCTTATTACAAAATAATCCAACTAACTCTTGAACTGAAAATTGATCATTTGAAAGATTATCGCATACGAAATCCCATTTCAAACCATTGGCACCGGCAAATATTGCCTCACATCTTCGAATTATCCTTTGGCCATTGAAGCAGAAGCAAAAACAGTTTCAGTTGTGAACTCTTTCCATTTCAAATACGGTGAAGGTGAAGACCAGTCAGACGCCTAGGCGGGGCTGCTGACATTCAATGTTCACTCCTGACTCAATATTATTGATAATATGAAATGAAACTCATCGTTATCAGCACGTCATCTATCAGAAACATGTGACCCGATTTTGGGGCAAACCCAAGTCCATTGAACGACCGGCGATCTGCTATCCGCGTTCCAGAACAGCTATGCCCTATTTTAGATATGCGGAGTATGTGGAACCAGCCTGTGTTAAGACCCGCCTCCAGATGTCGAGAACTCCAGACCTATCCGGTACTGAACGAAGGAAGTCTCCGCCATCGTATCATAAAGTCGACTTGGACGAGCTGTGGCATTTCCATGCTTTGTCAACCATTGCAAACGAAGACAGCCTAGCTGCTTTGAATAGTCCGCAACAGCTTGGATCATTCTGCGACCGTGCCCCTTTCCCTCTTAGTGTGGGGTCAACGAAGAGATCTATTAATGTATGTCAATTCAGTATATTTTTTAAAAACGCTATGCAATACTTGCACATGTGCTTGGTATTTCCGCGTACCATTCAAAACCTTGGAAGCACTTTGCTTTTTACTTCAAGTTGGTTGAGATAGAGATTCTTTGTCAACTATCTCAGACTAGCAGTTGACAACGACTAAGAGAAGTGTCAAATTCTTTTACTAGTAGCCTGTCTTCATGTAAATTGTTCGAATGGATCCAGGGCATAGATGAGGAGTTCATTGATAAATGTTTTACAACTATTCACGGAGGGAGACTCCTTCTCATTTCTTGACGGCTACAACAAACAGTCGCGGGTATGGAAGTAGCACTCGACCATCAATCGTCGACGGATAGGCTCTCTCCAACCGTTTCAAGTATTCCTTCAGGAACTCCTCTTTCTCCTGTGCATCTAATGGATTGACATAAGGCTGTAATCCCGTTCCCTTGACCCATTCAATGATAGCTTGGTGGTTTTCAAGAGAATGGTAGTAGGTCGTGTGGAACAAGTTTACCTCTGAACAAAAAGGCTTCAGCCGATCATAAATCTCCTGCGGTGACTGGAACGTATCACGACCAACATCCTGCAATTTAGTCGCCCAATGACCACTTTCAGCAGTCTCCCTCATCAACACATGGGAGGGCTGATTCAAGTTATCAGGAACCTGAAACGCAAAAACACCACCCGATGGCTGAGTCTCCATCAATCTTTTGATAACCTCAATACGCTGTTCTCTTTCAAGCCACTGGAACACAGCATTGGAGTAATACAGGTCGACGGGAGCTTGCGGTGAAAATGTATTCAAATCCGCAACACTGAATTCCAAATGTGGGAGCGTGGCTTGAGCTTTGCGAATCATATCAGGCGAAGAGTCCATGCCAACTAGGTGCGCATCCGGATACCGGGATTCAAGCACAGCAGTGGAGTTTCCAGGGCCGCAGCCCAAGTCTACTATCGTCTTTGGGGCTTGGAGGGGGACTCGAGCGAGGAGATCGCGGGCTGGTTGAGTGCGCTCATCTTTGAATTTGAGATATTGTGCTGCGCTCCAGTCATGCACAGGATTGGTGGATGTCGACATTGCGCGGGTTGATAATGCGGGGAAAGCTCGCTGATATAGATGGAATCTTCGGGTAGATGATTGAAGAAGGGATGACATGTCAATGACATGTCAAAGTAGTTTATGAGAGACGACCAAAGCACCAGGACAAAGCCTTAAGATTATGAAGCTGTCTCGATTCTTGTGTTCACTAGTCCCCAAGTGTTTGTAACTGGAACTTGAAGTTGCCAACTTAGACTTAAGATTGGATATCGAAAAGGGTGGACTGACTGCAGTGGGGTATCTGATTCAAGATTCACGACAAGCTTTATATGTGGCGTATGCTCCTGGACCGGCTATTTTTCAAGTTGCCTCAAATAACTAAGCCGTTCTAAATGCGCTCCCAGTGGTCCCAGTCGCCGAAACAAAGAATTCAGTGATGACTCTGTCTGCTGGTGTCGTTGAAAAGTGCCGATATCGGGAGTAAGGACAAGCCTTGCCGGACCCTGTCGGACCGAAGTCTATGCAAGCCAACCATCGGACCTTCTCCGATCAGGATCAGTCTTGCTATGATGTTTGAAAACTCCAGATGAAACTCCTAATCCACAATTCCTACCATCTTGCCTTTCTCGGATCCCTCTTGATGCTCTCGCATCACAAAGGCATACAAGTCACTCTTGGAGTAAAGGATTCGCTCAAAAGTTCTCTTGTATTGATCCATTCAATGTATGCTTTAAAGATAGTGGCCCATTCATCGAAGTCATCCCGATCAAGCTGTGTGATCTTGCATTCCGTTTCTAGAGACATACCGGAAGATGACCTCGCTGGTATGTGGCTGAGATATGCCACAGTCTAATTTCAAGATTAAAACGAAGGGTATTTTACTCTCCAGGTCTCTAATCAGAGCTGGTCGAGACCAATGTAGTCTCTTCTTGGATGCGATTGTGTATTGACACCTCCAATCCGTTTAAGATAGTATGAAAGAAATTGGCTTGGTACTACATAGTAATCTGCCAGTGGGCATTTGATAACCTTGGAAGTGTTGGGGCAAATATTGGTTTTCTTCGCCACATATGCACAGGTAGTCAGAGGGGACAATGTCAGTGTCGACATCAGAAAGTTTGGTATTTGTATAATCGAAATTTCTCACACTTGACGAAGGCATAATAAGCAAACTCCATTTTGGCAACACGAAAGTCCATAGATTGATAGCCTATTTATTAAGGCATTAAGTTATTTCTGCCTGGCCGATAAGGAGATAAGCCTAACCAGATAAGGACTAGTGGAATGGAAATTATTGAACGAAGCCGCGGATCTTGAAACCATCTCCTGGTCGCTTGTTGTACTTGTTGCATTATCGGGAAAGTGCACAGATTGGTGTGCTTGGACCAATTGAGTTTTGTTAAAATAAAGGTGTCAACTTCAGCCAACATTATTCAATAATGGCTAGCCCAGGATGCGTTTGGAGCAGAGCTCTGCGCAGTCGATTGTTGCAGCAACAGCTCGCGCGTTCGGCTCGACAAACTAAATTATCCACAGCCCTGGCAGCACAGCGCTCATATTTGTCAACATATACAGACGAGCCTCGAGCAGATTTCCGTGGTCCTCGTCGTCCACGCGACCCTCACCCCGACTTCAATCCCGGCTTCAAGCGTATGCGCCGGCCTACCCGCTATAACGACAATGCCGACAGAAACAATTCTGAGGGAAACATATTTTCTCGGGGATTTGGACACAAAGGAGATGATGAATTATTGATGGAAATTGCGCAACAAAAGACACGAGCGACAAATCAGAAACATGTTCGCTTAGAGATGGCGTGGCTGGAAGATCCTCTCCTGCTAGCACAGCGAGTCTCGACAGCCCTGGCTAGTGGTGATCCAGGAATGGCGGCTTCACTCGCTCGCGAGGCATTGAGGCAGCATCCGGGCTCAAAATATACGGTGGCGTGGAATCGCATCATGCAATATTGCATGGACCGAGGACACCCAAAGCCAGCCCTGAGATTTTTCAACGATGTAAGTCCATGCCCGGGAGTCTAGTTTTTCACCAGGAACTAATTTCATTTTTTCTTCAATAGATGAAAAAGCGTGCCGGAAAACCGAACCCCCAGACATTCACGATTCTGCTTTCTGGACTTCGCAACGCCCCCGTGACGCCCGGTTTCAACATTGTCCGCACTGCTGAACACATCTACAACTCGATCTCTGCTAGTAATTCAGAAGTTCCACTCGATATAATTCATACAAATGCCATGCTATCGGTCTGCCAGTATCATCATGATATTGAGTCGCTCTGGCGCATTGCTGGGAATCTCTCGGAACAGGGATCGGGGGCACCAAACATGAGGACTTATACGGTCATCTTGGGTGCGCTTCAATTTTCTGCCCGTGAAGATATTAGCAAATTGGAAGCTACAGATATTGACAAGATTTTTGCCCGGAAGTCTCAATTGATGACTGATGCCAAACGAATTTGGGCTGACATTGTTCATCGGTGGAAGACCGACGACGTTTTGCCTGATAACCGCGTGATTGGCAGTATGGCCGGAGTACTAATGGATGGTGCTAGAGAGCAGGATTATTACGATGTTTTCGCTCTTTACCACCAAACCATGGGGATTCCAATCCTAGCACGTGAACCATCTCAAAGATCCAAAGAAAAACCCTCAACGCGTTGGGAGATCAAGCAAAGGAGAACGACTTGGGAAACACCCCAGGAAGAGAACGTTCCATTTGTGGATGAGAACAATAAAGCAATCAAACTTGATAAGGACGGGCGGGTACCCAGGGGAACTCCTGAGAATGAGAGTTCCCGTATTGAGGAAGAGGAGGATGAAGAGGAAAATCTTGACACTATCTTTGATGCTCTGCCGACGGGTCCCGTACCTGAACTCCGGCCTGACAGCAAAGACCTCACTCTGATCATAGATGCATGTTTGAGCATGTCTCAGGGACTTGGACCCGGTTCTCAATACTGGAACCACCTAACACTCGAGGACACTCCTAATCGCATCCAGCCCGATAGTGCTGCTACCATGCATTACTTACGTCTGCTCCGTGTGTCGCGAGCAAGCAAGATCTCTATCAAGGTCATCCGTGAACAAATGGTTCCCTCAGGCAAGGTGGATGGCAAAGCGTTCCATATTGCTTTGTCCGCTTGCCGCCGTGACAATCGCAACCAATCATGCCTTGTCCACGGAAACGAACTCATGGATTTGATGAACGAAAATTTGATTCTTCCCGACCCTCGAGCACTTCTGAGTTACGTTGAGCTTGTCAAAAGGCTGGCAGGGCTTCCAAACATCCTGATGTATTTGAAAGGATTGGAGATTGATGAAAACAAAAAATCGCGCAACATGCTGAACTTGGGTAAAACCTTGCTTGTCAAACTTCATGTACTTGCCATGGCTACCATTCGGCCTCATGTTGCCAAAATTAATGAGGCTGTGCAAAATGGACGGCCAGCCCCGATAGGGCGCTGGACACATTCTCATGAAAAGCCTCTTTCAGGAGACTTGATTATCAACATTTTGCCTCACATTCGTCTGATGATCGACGAGATCCTGAAAAAGGAATACTCGAATTTTATGACCAAGGCTGAGCGCCAAGCTCTTCAAGCGGATTCCGTCGTGCTGAGACAGTACTCCGATCTGGCTGTTATAAAGAAGCTCAGTGGACAATCCATCTTCCCTACCAGAGAGCAGCGTACGGCGTACCGCAATGCAAATATGGACCCGGAGCTTCTGCCTGAAGTCGAAGTCGAAGGGAAGGGAGAGATGCCAGAGCCAGTGAAGCCGGAGGCTGTCATGCCAGAGGCGCAAAAGGCAGATCTAGTGATGCCAGAACAAGTGAAGCCGGAGGCTGTCATGCCAGAGGCACAAATACCAGAGCAGGGAAAGCCCGAAGAGAAAGAGGATTCTCCCTTGCAATCGAAGTCTGACTCCTGATTTCGTTAACTTGGCGATGTTTCGCCATTTGTACAATACCTGTATATCATCCATTTGTTTCCAGTGGCGTTTCGGCTTGCATATGTACAAAAAGACCATGTGACATTCTCTACTATAGACATACAACAAGCATCTCTGCAAGTGATAAATAACATCAATTAATTTCTGTTCAAAAATGCTTTCAACTCTCAAGTGCTCATTGGTCAAAGCTTAATCTATAGCTTCATGATCCCGGATTCCGTGATGTGGCTTGTCCGACCTTAATATTTGTGAACTAACCCAGGTTCTCCTCCATTTTATTGATCGATATTATGTCCCCAGTTCCAGTCCCAACGTGAATTATCAATTTGTGGAATGTGGGAAATGCCACATCTTCTTGCGTGTTCGGCATTTGGCCGAAGCCTCCTCTTTTCCACCAGTCACGCAATTGCCATCGGCAGTGACATCTTGCATCCTTAGCGGGCCAAGCTAACTATGCTCTTTAGGCTGGCTTGATTTAACCTGAATATAAAACCACTGGCAATTAGCAGATCGAGTTTTCTTTATGCACTTTGATCAACTCCCACTGACAACATGACCATTCCTCAGCAACGGCGGAAGTGGTACCAGATTAAATGGTTCGCAGACCATGATACAAAAGAAGACAGGCAACTCATATTAAAATTGGACTTATTGATTGTTCCATATGCATTTCTTACTTACTGGACGAAATATCTCGACCAGTCGAATCTCAGTGAGTACTTTCAGATTTAAAGCCTTGGGTTCTGTCTAATGCGTGATGGTTGTATAGACAGCGCCTATGTTTCCGGCATGAAAGAAGATTTGAACCTCGGAGGAAATGATCTTGTTCATTTACAGACAATGTACACTGTTGGAGCAGTGGTAGGCCAGGTGCCATTTATCTTCTTGTTCACAAAGATTCCAATGTTTTGGTTAATTCCATTTATGGATGTCGCCTGGGGTATCTTTACGCTCCTTCAATATCGAGCTCATTCATACGCTGAGATGGCCGCCTATCGCTTCTTGGTTGGATGGTTTGAGGTATGTGATGTCCATACTTTGATTCCTGGGATGACAGACTCGGAACAAAGGGCTGACTTCTGCCATATAGGCCGCCTACTATCCCGCCGTGCATTATATTTTCGGTAAGTCTCCTTGCTGGAATCATATTTTTGTCCCCAGTGTCTCATAGGTTCTAGGGTCTTGGTATCGCGGTGATGAAATCTCTCGTCGCGGAGGATGTTTCTACGTCGGAAACACATTAGGTTCCATGACAGCAAGTCTCATCCAAGCAGGCGCATCGGCCCGACTCGACGGTGTCAATGGTCTTGCAGGCTGGAGATGGATGTATATCATTTGTGCCATCATAACCATCCCTATCGCCATCGGAGGTTTCTTCGTCCTTCCAGGTACTCCAGACAAACCGAACAAGCCTATCCTCAAAGAAGACGATATCCAACGAGCTAAGATAAGATTGGAGAACGCCGCCCATAAGGTTGACGAAGAGAAATTCAGCTGGGCTATGCTTATCAGAGTTGGGCGTCAATGGAAGTTCTGGGCTCTTCTCTGGTTGAATATTCTCTTCTGGAATGCAAGCACCAACACTACTGCTGGTGGTTATTCCCTATGGCTGAAAAGTTTAAATCGTTACTCAACAAGCCATCTCAATGACCTCGCGGCCATTGCACCCGGGCTGGGGATATTTTATACGTTGTTTATATGCTTCACTTCCGACTTAATATATGGGCCTGCTTGGGCTATCACTGTCTGCAATACTTGGAACATTATCGGCTCTATCATTCTGGTTATCTGGAATGTTCCTGAATCTGCGCTATGGTTTGCCTTCTCCACCGTTTATGTCTCTCTTGCACAGTCCAGTGTTCTCTACGGCTGGATCAATACACAGCTCCGCGCGTCACCGGTTGAGCGAGCTACGACTCTGGTTATAACGAACATGATTGCACAGTCGACAACAGTCTGGACGCCTTTGCTCGTTTTCAAGACTGTCGATGAGCCACGGTTTACGAAGGGATACTCATTTGTTTTGGCTTGCTCAATATCAATGATCCTATTTACACAGATTGTGAACTTTTTCTTCAAAAGAGAAAGGTAAGATTTGTACTCGCACAGGCCCATCTTCAAGCTCATACTTACCATGTCTTCAGGAAGAGAGAAGGACTTGCCAGTGGAGAAGATCACAGTGCGAATGGGTCTATTAGTGCTCCTAACTCTATCAACCTAGAATCCGGAACTCAGAAAGAAACCGTGACTGGGAAAGAAGGTCAGGAAAAAGGCCTACATGAAAAATAGAACCCAACATTTGAAGATTTGAACACCCTAGGAAGCGCAGCATAGAATAAAACTTCGGAGTCCGAGTCATTGCCTCAGGTCCTTTTTTTCAATTCTCACTTTATTTGCTATATACTCTGCCAGCCTGAGAAAACAAACGCATGTGTCTTTCTCAGCAGTTATTGATAAGATTGATAACACCAGTATTATTTACTCTATCGGCATTTAAGGGGATGTTGAAAAATGGGTGCAGTCGAGTCACGCCACCGCCTCCTCAATGGTGAAATACCCATATAGAATTTTTGTGTGTTTCAAGTTGGCTGGACTTCTAAAGTCCCGATAAAATTTAATTCATGAGACATCGGGTTGAGATGAAGAACTTGAAGATACGAGATCTGGGGAGATGGATGATTGCGGATATTTTCATATATTGTCGACTGATCCACCCTTGTCCTCGTTCAAGAATCCACTCCGGATGTCATCATTTTCGGCACTGCTCCGATAATACCCTTTGGGGTATTCTGGGTGATTGCGCGAGATGCGCATGGGATGTGCAATGTCAAATGAACAGTGGTGCGGGGATTGAGGGGAATTTTGTGAAAGCCTTTAGTATGGCCCGACAAGCTGTTTACTAGAGAGTAGCTGTCTATCTTCACTCAAGATTGTTTTTTTTTAGGAAAGCTTCGAGTTGAGATTTCGCAGCTCGGAAAAATTTGAAGATTGATCGATAGATTTGATCATCTCTGAGAAATCATGGGTGACACAAGTATAACTAATGGCTCTGCCAATACTCCCAAGAAACAAATTTTGTTGAATGCTTTCGACATGTCGACAGTGGGACATCTATCTCCTGGTCAATGGAAGGTCTGATGTTTATCATTAGTGATCATATGTTCTTGGCTAACCTGACTTAGAATCCCAAAGACAGATCAGCTACAAAGCGGAAGCTCGACTATTGGATCGACCTGGCAAAGCTCCTTGAACGCGGTGGCATCAATGCACTGTTCTTAGCAGATACAACTGGGGCGCATGATACTTACCAAGGCCACGCCGATGAATGTATCCGGCGAGCTGCTCAATGGCCGATGACGGATCCCACTATTGTGAGCAAAACCGCATAATAATAATCATATGTCAGAATCTAACCTTTTTAGCCCATTTCTGCAATGGCAGCTGTGACAAAGAATCTCGCTTTCGGCATCACAGCATCGACTTCATTCGAGCAGCCATTCTTGCTGGCCAAGCGATTTTCCACATTGGATCACTTGACGAATGGTCGAATCGGCTGGAACATTGTCACATCATACAAGAAAGCTGCTTTCAAGGCTATTGGTCTTGAAAGCCCTATCGAACATGATGAGCGATATCGCCAGGCCGACGAATACTTGAGGGTTCTCTACAAGTAAGGAACCGAACAAAACAGCAAAATCAAGCAATGAGCGCTAACCATATCCATTTGAGCAGACTTTGGGAGAGCTCCTGGGCACCTGATGCGCTTTCACCTAACCCGGAGACAGACTCCTATGTCGACCCGGACAAGGTTCGCCAAATCAATCACAAGGGAAAATACTTCTCGTTGAATACGCGACACATCGTCGATCCATCTCCGCAGCGAACTCCCTTTCTCTTTCAAGCAGGCACATCCCCTGCAGGCGCCGTTTTCGCGTCGACCCACGCAGAAGCAATTTTCGTGTCGTCTCATTCGCCTGAGATTCTGCGGCCCAAAATTGAGAAGATCCGAAAACAAGCGGCTGAACTGGGTCGTGATCCGCAGTCGATTAAATTCTTCGGCACCTTCACGCCCATCGTGGGACGAACAGACGAAGAGGCCCAGGAGAAGTATGAGGAATTGAAGAAATACGCCTCTATAATTGGAGGGTTGGTTCTTTTCAGTGGCTGGACAGGCATCGATATCTCCAAGATTCCTCTAGACCAAGAGCTCACGACAGCCGACTCGTTGGAAGCTGGGAAAGTGACTAGTCTCCTTGACTCGTTACTCAAAACGAGTAAGGACGTTCCTCGCTGGACTCCACGTATAGTCGCAGAAAAGGCTGCGATCGGTGGCCTTGGACCCGTGGCGATTGGTAGCCCACAAACTGTCGCAGACGAGATGGAGCGATGGATTCGTGAAGCAGATCTCGATGGTTTCAATATCGGTTATGTCACCACGCCAGGTACTTTTGAGGACCTCATTGATCTGGTGATTCCGGAACTAAGGAAGCGTGGTCTGTACCCTGAGGCTGAGGCAGCTGATGATGAACCTCTCACTGCCCGAGAGAAAATATATGGCAAAGGACAGAATGAGCTGCGTGACGATCACCCAGGTACCAAGTACAAGTACGATGTGTACCAAGAGGATCCACCCTATGTTGAACCGGAAGAAGCTGAGTAGCTCAAGGAGATATGGGCCCGAAGATACTCCACATTGGGGAAACACTTGTGTTTGTGCTGTTCTTGTCATCGTTGATCGATATAAAATAAATCAAACACTACAGGCTTTTCAAAGTATTGCGAAAGGTAAATTTCAAGGTTTCTAGATAATATACAACAATAGTCAAAGGATAAGTGTCAAACTGCGCAGACTACCTAGGTAAGAGAAGACGAAGCTAGGTATGGATGGAGATAAACACCGCAATACAATTCAAAACACAAATAAAAGCAGAACCCATGGTAATATTACGTTATTTTACCGCTGTGTGACATTTCGACACGGGACCACGTAATGCCACTCTAGCCTTTCCGGGACAGCTGGTCCATCAACACTGATACACTTCATACATATTCCCCCCAAACAACTGGTGACCTGGAGTCAAGGAGCTGGTAATCCTTCAGTACTTCTTCTGTCAATCGCATAATCTTTCAACCCAGGAATCACATTCCGTGCAATCAAAAATGACAAGCGTGCAATATGGCCACTCGCATGGCGACCTGCATGACGACGAATCACTCCTGGATGATGACCTGATCGATGCCGAGGATGGTGAGCGCTTCTTTATATCCAAATGAGATGGATTATCTGTCAAATTAAATGCGTCAAGCTTATACTGATCTCATCGTGCTCTCTTAGCTATCGAAGCCGATGACCCCCTGCACGAGACATCCGATACAGCCCCTCTCCGAGGCAACATTGAAAACGACTCCAGCGCACGAGGTGGCGGTCGATCTGGCTACGGAAATTATCTGACCTCCTCTATTCCCGGTGAAGACCGTCGCGCGACGCAGAATACCATCGATGAGAGCGTCTGGGCTACCTTGTCTCGCGACCTGGTCGCCGTCTGGGAGAAGATGCGTCAGGTCTTGTGGCCCAAATATCTGCTCGGAGGAATGATGCAACGCGGTGGTGGTGGAATTGGTGGCGCTGCTGAGAGGGGTGAGGTTTCTGGATTCGGTCATAACCTGCGCGGGATCGTTGGACGCTGGCCGGATGCCGATGTTGTTCTACAGGGTGGGATGAGCGATGGGCTTCGCGACTGGGATCTTTGGTATGTCATGAACTTGGCTTCTTCTCCAATGGCCGGTTCGGTATCTAACTGTGATTTTTTTCCTTTTCTAGGGGTCCTTTGATCTTTTGCTTGGTGCTGAGTTTATTCCTGTCTGTCGCGAAGGGAGACCAAGCATCGGTTGTTTTCTCGGGCGTTTTCTGCATTGTTTGGATGGGAGAAGCAGCTGTGACTCTCCAAATTAAGCTTCTTGGTGGTAAAATGTACGTTTTGTTCTGACTCAAATCCCCATTCTACTCCCCGATCTCTGGTGCGGTGTGCTGTGCTAACGCTCTAACTCGATCTTCAGCTCCTTTTTCCAGTCAATTTGCATTATCGGTTACACTCTGTTCCCATTGGTCATCGCTGCTCTCCTTAGCGCTGTGGGTCTGCCTACAATTGCCAGAATACCCGTCTATCTTGTTCTTGTGGCTTGGTCATTAGCAGCAGGAGTGAGTATCTTGGGAGGCTCGGGTGTTTTGCGAAACCGAGTTGGCATTGCCGTATACCCTCTATTTGTGTTTTACATTTCGATTGGATGTCTCTGTTTCATTAGCTAGGGGCAGAGCTATTCTCTTTTCATGATCAAGAATGGACTTTACCTGGGCACTATGAGGAGTTTTACACTCAACTGGACTAGAAAAGTCAAATACGATATTGCCGCGCAATCATGTATACTTCTCATTTCTTCTCTCTCTTTTCAGCGTAAGATTCTCGACTACTGAAGAACGTCATATTTAACAATTAGGCATGCACTATGCACTATCCATGTGGGCCGAACTCCATACAAAGAATAGCATGCACGTTTCGGCTAGTAAATCTACTTCACCCAGAGCCATCATTCATAAGACAAACCCCAAATCGAACTTGAACGTCAGATCTACATGTCCAAATTTTGAAAGAAGCCCGGTGGAATTACAACTTGACATGTAGGGTCATAATCTGACGAAAATGAGTGCATTGGAAGCAAGAAGATGAAGAAGAGCCCTGGAGGTGTTGTGGAGCCTGAGGCATCGTTTGATATTACTATAAGATCAACAAAACATTTAACCTGAATCTTGGAAGTATGTATGTGGTATAGTAGTAGAGCATGAAGTAAAGTGATCTATAACCCTTCTGCTTAAACCACGACATGCTATAACAGCCATCAAATTCTTCCAGCTTGGAGACATCTGGATGTTTTGTATTGTTTACTACCTACTAGTCTGATACCCATCCATGGGTACGGAGGTGGACGTAAACACCCCTACTTTCTTTCACTTCAAGCTCGAATTCGCTTTTCTAAGTGATAAGTTGAGCACCAATAGATTATATCTAGATGGACTCAATTCTTGTCATGTCCAAATAGAAAAATTGCAAAGCTATAACCAGTCATTGAATGGCTTGAGTGACACTGTCAAGGTGATAATGTGAGGTTTGTTATCCCAAAAGAGTATTCGATTGACTTCTCTCAACTTTACCTCATTCACTGGTGTCATATATCGACCAAAGTAAGTAATAGTCGTGTGTAGGGTAGCTTCTAATAAATATATAATTCACTAGGTAACGATCATTCACTTCATAGTAGTAGGCTATTGCTCATTCACTGTGCGGGGCGGAGCGGTGACCAGGACTCTCCCAAGTATTTTAATCCTCGCCGTCTCCCCAACTCTTCTCTCTCTTTTCCCCCCCACCTCATTCCAAGGTTGCAACTTTCACTTTCCTCCCTGCTTTAGCGGTCTGGATCACCTTTGCTTTCTTCCTTTTCTTACCTTTAACACATCTTTCAACCTTGCGTACCTTGCCTCACAGCAGGTACTCACCAAAACAACTTCGAAGCCCAACCTCAAGTCCCTCGGCATTCGAGGACCTGTGCGCCATGGCTTCAACCAACGAACCTGTTCCTGCGAGTGATGGTAAGTAAAGTCTTTCTACCTTTGGCGCACTATTTTGGCCACCTCCTTCGTACAACCTTTACTTGCTGGCGTCTGGGAGCTGTGAAGAACGCGGCAACCCAGTCTAACCGCTGGTTCGGAGGATCCGGCGGAGTCACTGCTCATTGGGTCTTTGGTGGCTATGCGTTCTCCCCCGCATCTTCATTACGCGATTCTGGGATCCCCACTACGTGCTCTGAATTATTCTTTGGGGCTTAAATTTGACAGGACTAACATCATGTGTTTTGACCCAGTGCGCGAAGAAGCCCAGTCCCCGCTATCCGACAACGACGGCGGCGAGCGTCCCGTCCGCCAGCAACTCAAACAAACCTCCATTCAATCCACCCCTCTCACCACCGCTACCAAAGAAAATGGCCGAAAGCGTTCCTTTGACGAGTCCCGCGACGACCAAGCTAACCCCGACGAGAATGGTGAGGCTCCCCGAAAGCGATCTCGCGAGGGCACGCCACAGGACGAAAGCAATATCGAAGCTACCACCATGAAGGACGCATCTGCCGGCGCAAAATCAGAGAATGTGAGTGACAACGTTTCTTTCCCCGTTTTGGCCCCCCCTGGAAATGGCCGATAAGACCCTTCAATCTTCTCCCACGTCCCCTCGATCTTCTCCCGCATCAGCTGTGCCAAGTGTACGCGATCCTCATCCTATTCTGGACTTCGAAGAAGACTGTCTATCCCAAGACTGGAAGTCCGAGATGGACAAGGAAATCGCCTCTATCATCGAAAGCTGGCGAAGCAAAAAGGCCAACAGAGTCGCCAAACGCGCTGGACGTACCGGCCGTCCTGACAAGCGCGAGGCCGATGCCAACAGCGACGCCGATTGGGCTGACGTCTACGAGAGTATTCGACGTCAACTTTACAAGGTTGACGTTGAACGCTCTCGTAGCGCCAGCCGCTCTGGCAGTCTGCAACCGGCGGCCGAGGAAGCGACGGGCCGTGGCGCATCGGAATCGTCATTTGATTCCGTGCATGAAGTTCTGGAAGGGCTTCCGAGCTCACCCACCGTCCAAGAGTTCACCAGCGACAATTCATTTGATTTCGTTCGCGAATATCTGGAGGGGCTGCCGAGTTCGTCACTGGCTCCAGCCACCCCCCGCGACGATTCATTTGAATACGTCCGTGAATATCTGGAGGGGATGCCGAGTTCATCAATGGCTCCGGCAAGCCCCAGCGATGGTGGCGACGAAGGCGACGAAGGCGACGAAGACGACGAAGAAGAGGCCGGGCCCAATGAAGACGAGTTCGGCGACGAGGAGTCCGGCGACGATGATTCCGGCGACGCTGATTCCTGGGTCACTCCCAGTACTCCCAGTACTACCAGTACTCCTAGTGGCTGTAGCCGCAGTGACTTGATCTGGGACCACCGGGAGGAAAAGATGACACCAGCGGGGGCATACGCCGACTTGTGGGCACGTTATTGTCGTGAAACAAAGGCCAACAAGAATTTACAGGATCCCGAAACATCGACCGCCAACGAAATCCCCGATACCACCATGCACGCGAGCGACGAAAGCACTCAGAGCCTGAATAAGAAGAGAAGTCTTGAGCAACTTGAAGACGGTTCCAAGAAATTCGACACAATAAAGCCTTCAGCACGGGAACCTCCAAGTGACACCGCTGGTATTAAGTCAACGACTGACGGAGAGCCCGAAAAGAAGAGACACCGCGATAATTCACAGGAGCCAGAGCCCAAAGCCGATAATGGATTTGCCTCAAGTGCTTTCGGAAAGGCAGTCGGCGCCTCACCCTTCGCCTCACTAGGGAACACCCAAGAGTCAAATTTCGTGTCTAAAACTACCTCGCCTTCTCCGTTCGCTGACTCTAGCTTTGCCTCATATGCAGCCTCTGTTAACTCTCCTTTCTGTCCACCAGCAGCATCTAAGCCTTCAGTCTTCATGTCTGCTCCCGCTGGATCTAACAGCTTTGCCTCTGCCCCTGCAACTTCTGGATTTGGTGGCATGGGAGGTGGATTTGCAGGATTCAGTGGTGGGTTCGCTGCTGCGGCCAAGCCCGGTCTAACCAGCTTTGCATCAAACAATGCTCCGCCCACCTTCGGCGAAACAAAGGCCAAGCCCCTTGGCGCCGACGACTCCGATGACGATGAAAGCGATGGGGATGGGGATGAGGACGGTTCAAGCACATTTGAAGCCGCCAAAACTGATGAACGCTTTTACGAACAGACCGTCGAAACTGGCGAGGAACAAGAGGAGACCGTGTTCACCTGCAAAGCTAAGCTGTTCCATTTCTCAAACAAAGAGTGGAAGGAGCGTGGTATCGGAACTTTCAAGATCAACGTTCGCCAGACTGCCGACGGTAACGAAGCTGGCCGTATGATCATGCGTGCTGATGGCGCCGGACGAGTTATCCTGAACAGCCCGATCTTCAAGGGCATGAACTATGGAGGCCCCGATAATTCTGCCCCAGCTAGCAAGCAAATTTTGCTCGCAGGCACTGAGGAAGGACGCACTGTACCACTGTTGCTTCGCACTCAAAGCGAGGCAACTGCTGTTGATCTCTACGATGTCATTGACGATCTACTGGCGGATCCATCCACCACTTCAGCAAACACGTCAACATCTGCCTAGGACAGGAAATGAAAGAAACTTACGAAGATATCTAAGAGAACCCGTGACATGAAATATGTCAATCCCTCTACCCTTACTTTTATTCCAGTCGCTTGTGCCCTGGAAGTTCTCGAATGAGTTTTTCAATCCAACCATTGCATTCCTGTATCTCTATGACGTGAGCGACGCCGGTGGTTTTTTTCTGTCTTTTTTTCTTTAATTCCATTTCATTTTTATTCCTCTTCTTTTATGTCTATTAGATGCTCTCTTTTTCTCGGGGCGTCTTGTTTTGGCGTTGAGCAGTCCATCTTTACTAGACATATTCCAAGTTCTCACTGGTATATCTGATCTCACCAGAGCAGCGGCTACAATTCAAATGCTTGCAAAAAAAAGAATTGACCGTTTGAATGGTTGTGCCTCATTCCCAGACACTGAATCCCGCCTCCCAACAACTTGAGCTCGATCCGCACCACTAAGCCAATCCATTATTATCGTTTGGGCCTCTCTTCATTACCATGACGTTTTAGTCCACTTGAAGCCATGAAGGATTTGATGGATCGAGCACTTCGCCATGGTATCTCAAATACAGATGTCCGCATGTGCAGCGCCTACATTTCTCCTTCCCCGGATTTCTTCTTCTCCGGTGAAGTAAAAAACATGACCCACTCCAATGAGCTATGTTACCTTCCAATCAAGTCATGTCCCCTCGGCGATGTTCTCTGGATTGACGCTTAGGCTGGAAGTTGTTTCTTGTTGATCTCGCGGTTGGGTATATGTTGACAAGACATAAAGCTACATAGTTGGAGAGTGGATTGCGAAGAACTTGGAGCTTGTGCTATCAAATCGAAAAGCATCCGCCCAGCTGCATGTAACACGTGACCTCGTGTCTTCGATTCGGAATTTCCAGGTTCCGCGCCTCTTCCAAATTTATCTCTTCATTACCTCTTCTCACTGCAAAGGCTTTAATATTACAATGGGGTCTCGATATGACAAACAACTCACCCATCGAACATCACAATCCTCTCAAGCGAAAGCAAATTCATGACAATAATAGACGGACCCTTAGCCCCGCCTCGGACCTGGCCCCGGCCCCGAACGCGTCTTTAGAAACGGCTGAATCCACCTCCACGGAGATCCACCAAAGCAACCCCGAAATCGAACAACAGAAGTTAGGCGATGGTCAAAACAAAAGAAAGAAACCTGGCTCAGCCACAGTCAGCTCCACGAAGTCCAAATCAAAAGCCCCGAAAAAGAGAACGCCTAGCACACCTTGGCCAGATACATTAAAACGTCTGGCTCAGACCCACCGCGCCCTCAATCTGGTCTACACTTTCTGTTCCACGAGGAAACACTTCGCAACTACTTTTGATAATATCAAGAAGGCTGTGCAGGCGCAGCTTGGTCAAGGTCAAGAGCTTACCATTGAGGATATCGCAAGAGTCAAAGTCTTGGTTCCACGGGCAGTGCGTTTCGAATATGTCGATGAAGCAAGACTCGAGGTCATGACTGTTGGCGACAAAGATTCTGGCGAGGACTTCAAACATCGACAAGGTTTTTGGACTGCAGATGATCTCAACAGTGGTAGCGTCAACGAAAATAACAGCCTCGAAGTTAACAGAGATGTACTGTTGTTCGAATTTCTTGATGGAGATCTCAAACGGGAGGTTCTGCACCCCAAGACGGGTGAACCGGTCAACCCTGTGCGTCGAATGAAGGACGAAGATCTGAAAATGCCAGTCTACAGCCAGAAACAGATGCTGAAGCTAATTGAGAAACGCAATTCAAAATTCTCTGATGCTATTAATGCTTTTCTGATTCGGTGTGAAGACCAAGCCATTGACCCGGTACTTGTATTGGAACAAGAGAAAGACACGTTTATCCCTACACCTCCGGGCAGTGGCATTACTACCCCCGCCGTGTCAAAGGCCCCAGCCACCATTCCAAAAGAGCGCAAGTCTATTGCAGAAATCATTGCAGAGATTCGAGAGATGGAATGGTATCATGCCCAGATTGTCCCAGAGGGCCACCGAGTATTTGATGCCCAAGCTCCTGTCTACGGAGATTTGACGTTCCAACTGTCGCAAGATCTTGTCAATGCTCTTTACAACACGAAAGGCATCACCCAGCTTTATTCTCATCAAGCGGAAGCAATCAATCATCTCTATGACGGTCATAATGTCATCGTCTCTACCTCAACGAGCTCTGGCAAATCACTCATCTACCAAATTCCTATGCTTCACGAACTGGAAAAAGACCCCGACAGCAGAGGCATGTACATCTTTCCCACTAAAGCCTTGGCACAAGATCAAAGACGCAGTATGATGGATCTTCTACAATACATGAATGGTCTTCAAAACACAATGGTCGAGACCTTCGACGGTGACACGCCTATGACTAGCCGGAATCTTATTCGGGATGAAGCACGAATCATTTTCACCAATCCAGACATGTTGCATATCACAATCCTACCCCAAGAAAGTGCCTGGCGCACGTTTTTGAAAAACTTGAAATTCGTCGTCGTTGACGAGCTACACGTCTACAACGGTCTTTTCGGATCCCATGTTGCATTTGTGATGCGACGACTTCGCAGAATCTGTGCTGCTGTAGGCAATCAACATGTCAAATTCATCTCTTGCTCCGCCACTGTTGCGAATCCAGAAACGCACATGAAGTCAGTTTTCGGTGTACAAGACGTGAAGCTGATAGATTTCGACGGGTCTCCATCAGGTCGCAAAGAATTCGTCTGCTGGAACACACCATTCAAGGATCCTGCAGACCCATCCTCCGGGCGCGCTGATAGCGTTGCCGAGACTGCCCGTTTATTTTGCCAGCTAGTCTTACGAGGTGTGCGGGTAATTGCTTTCTGCAGAATCAGGAAGCTTTGTGAGATTCTTCTTCAAGCTGTGCGGAATGAGTTCAAGGCTCTTGAACGAGCTGAAATTGGCAATATGGTCATGGGATACCGAGGCGGGTATAGCCCTCAGGACCGCCGTCAGATAGAGAAGGAGATGTTTGAAGGAAAATTGATGGGAATCGTGGCGACGAATGCCCTTGAATTGGGCGTTGATATTGGCTCCTTGGATGCAGTCATTACTCTGGGGTTTCCATACTCCATCTCCAATCTTCGTCAACAAAGTGGCCGCGCCGGACGACGTAACAAGGACTCTTTATCAGTGTTAGTCGGGGACAGGTACCCGACTGATCAGCATTACATGCAAAATCCCGAAGAAATCTTCACTCGACCCAACTGCGAGCTACAGATTGACCTTTCTAATGAACTCATCTTTGAAGGCCATATCCAGTGTGCCGCGTTTGAAATGCCCATCCGCCCAGACGAAGACCACATCTACTTTGGTGCACAATTGTACGCCGTCACAGCAACCCGCCTCATAAAAGACACTATGGGCTTCTACCATTGTCACGACCGATTCCGTCCACATCCTTCCCGCTGTGTCGCCATTCGCGATACCGAAGAACACCATTTCGCTGTCATCGACACAACCAATAACCGCAATGCCGTCCTCGAAGAAGTTGAGGCTTCTCGTGCTTTTTTTACCATTTACGAGGGCGGTATCTTCCTCCATCAAGGCCAAACATACCTTGTCCAAGAACTTAATACAGAAAAGTTCCTCGCCCGCGTAACCCGTGTCCACGTTGATTGGAACACCATGCAACGCGATTTCACCGATATCGACCCCATCGAAACAGAAAGCATGCGTCCTGTCAGTAATGATCCATCACCTTGTCGTGCATTCTTTGGATCCGTTCAGATCCACGCCGTCGTGTACGGATTCTTCAAAATCGATAAACGTGGTCGAGTCCTCGACGCCGTGGCTGTTGATAACCCACCCATTGACATCCTCACAAAGGGCATGTGGCTCGATGTTCCATCACAAGCAATGGACATCCTTAAGTCTCATAGACTAAACATTGCAGCTGCAATCCACGCCGCAGAACATGCCGTCCTCTCCCTTCTTCCTTCATTCGTCATCTCCTCCCCCGGTGACGTCCGTACAGAATGCAAAGTCGCTAAAAAAGAACTCGGTCGCTCCCTCCGATTCGCAAATGAAACCTCTGCATCAGAGAGAAAAGAGCTCCAAAAACTCCTTCAACCACCTGCCCGTCAACGACCTGCTCGACTTACTTTCTACGATGCAAAGGGCGGAGCCTGTGGATCGGGTATCGCTAGTAAGGCTTTTGAATTCATTGGGCTACTTCTTCGACGAGCTGTTGCACGCATCGATGCTTGTGCTTGTCTCTCCCCTCAAGGCTGTGTGGAATGTGTTTGTGATGAACGATGCAAGGAGATGAACGTTGTGATGAGCAAGGCTGGTGCTGGTGTGATTCTTCGGTGCTTGCTGGGCTGGGAAGTGGATGTCGATGCTTTGCCGTGGGGTGGAGATGTCGATGGAGAAATTTTTGGTGTTGGTGGTGGTGAGTTAGCAGGCGGATTGGAGACCGTCATAAACGCTGGAGAGATTCCTTGGAAGGCTGGTTGTAGCCCTGATGATAAACCCAATTGATGGCTGCCAGTGGTCATTCTCGTTATGAATATCATCATCAATTTAAATTTCAAATCTTGGACGAGCCTCGTATCTACTTGTAGTATGAATTTCTTTGCATATTTGGATATCGTAGTTCAAAGTGCTAGTATTGAACATCAATCTTTGTGACTCTTAATATTGAAGTATGTCTACGATTCATCATAACTTGAACTTGAAGCCCGCACTTTTTGTCCATCCCACATGCCAGTGGGTAGTTCGGATAAGAAAATAGTAGGTCAATAGATCAGAAAATTGAAAAGAAGAGAGTAAGATAATGTATAGTATGACCTTGGAAAAGGTCAGATGCGATGTCTGGGTCTGTTAAGTTAATACCCAACAATGAAATGTCTGGACAACCGGGTATATATGGTAAGTGTACATCAAGTCATGAGTGAGGAAACGTCGTTGTGACGACAAAATCGAACAGAAATGGTAAAGGGATTAGGATAGAGAGGTGCAGGAATTGGTATCAAATGATGGGTATACAAGAAAAGGGTAGGGGGAAAAGTGAGGTTGATAGGGACGAGAAGTTGGAGGATGCAGAGGGTGAGATGACTTGAGTACAGTACGCATTGAGTCGCAACTGTGATGGTTGACATGAATATCTGTCTCTGGGATTCGTAATAATCGTATCACGTCCAGTGATCGATTCGATTCGATAGTCAGGGGCATTGCCCACTGAGAATGTAGGCAATGTGATAGATCCTGATTGACCCGATCGATCCGACTTGGTTTTGCCACAGGGGTTTCCTTCAGCTCCGAAAAAAAGAAGCAAGCAAGACTCCACAGGGGGCAAGGATCTAGCTCAGAATCCTCAGATCAGCAGAGCAAGGATCCACCAAAAGCCGAGGTTTAACCAAAATGGTCAAGCTATGACGTGGCCTTGAAGACTCTCAGGCCTCAGTCGTAGTTGGCTTCCAAGGTTGTGAATGCAACACGTCATCAGACTCATCACTGGGTTGACTAGGCTCAACTGATTTGATCAGGCCACTGCTAGCTCCGAAAAGAGCAGTAGCTAGCTGATCCTTAGCTCAGGAGAAACCCCCCTTGACTGCTTCCAGGACTGAGCTCGTCTCCCTCATCGTTGACATTCAATTTCCAAAACATTGATTTCATATCGCGTACACTGGAGCGGAAGTCGTCGCGGGGCTGTTTCTGGCGGTCATCGGTCATGGTGCGGATTTCGTGGACAAGATCGGAGCAGCCTTCGTTGTTTGGAAGCCACCAGTTCATGAGTTCGGGGTCTTGCCAGACGGCGGAGAGCACTTCACGGAATTTAGGTTGGAGTATGTAACTAGTTGGAAAAATCAGTTAGCTGGGCCATACTTCGAATTGAAGATGAATTAGAATTATTATTGTCACAGCTTGGACATACCCTGTTTGTTCCATCTGCGCGATCCTGCGCCGACACCACATCTCATTATTGGTATCTCTGGGAAGGAACATGCTGGTGATTCCGATGCTGTTTTTGAACCCGATGCAAGCTCCGTTTGGTTTCTTCGGCCAGCGATTGATCGTCTCCATGAGCTGAGCTTGTTCCCAGGCTAGTGCGGTTAACTCGGGGAGAAGAGGTTGTCTCAGTGCCAGCATTGTCTGGTACTTGTACATCAATTCGGTAGAAAGAAGATCAATCCAAATGTAGTTCGCATCCCACAAAGGTCCTTCATGGATACGACCCGGGACATAGGGATCCACAATATCTTCTTCCGTCAAAGGCTGCTGGTCTGGATATGAGCGAACGGTGTATTCGCAATCATCGAATGACCTCATAATATTCTTTGCTCGTTCAATCGTTTGTCCGAGAAGCTCGTTCTGCACAGCAAAGTCCTCGAATGCAATCAGTCCTTGAGACAGCTTTGCGTAAAGCGAGGCCATATCCAAACCAAAGCGCCGGTTAATGGAAGCAACCAATTCGAGCTGCTTACGTGCATCCTCGGGGTAGAGAGATGCTTGTTCTGCATCGTACTGTTCCTTTGCAAGATACCAATCTCGACCGAGAATTGCCTCTGTCCCGGCCAGAATTCCCGCAACCACGTCAAACCGCGCATACCAGAGGAAGATATTGGTGTGTAATTCGTTCAGGTTGGAAGAGTCGGGTGTGAGAAGTTCCCGCATTAATGCGTGAGCTGCTTGGTGATGATCGATTAAATTTAGCCAATCTCCAGTGTATTCCTATAGATTCCAGCCAAAATCAGTAAGAGCTTCAAATAGATTCATATGTTCAGGGAGACGCGAGTAATAATCACATACCTCGAAAGTTGTCAAGACCAGAACAGTGCACAAGGTTGCCTCTGTATGTTCCTCACCAGAACTAAGAGACTTTCTTAAGAGCACCAGCGCTTTATTATAATATTTGAGAAAGGTGTAAAGTTTTCCTCCCGAGCTCTGCAAGGTATGGTGATATGCAGCAAAGCCCACCAGAGCATATAGCAAAGGTTCATACTGTAAAGCCAGCTCGATGATACTGTGCTGAACGAAGACCATACTTCCTCTCCTCAAGAAGAAATGGCCAGGCGTGATGAAATCCTGGTGAAAATTGAGATAGAACCGCAGATCTTCGGACACGCGAGCTGAATTGAGCATATCCGTGGTAGTCTGGGTAACACTGGCCGATCGCACACTCACCGACTCAAACCGTGAAGACTCGGTAGAAGGCGAACTTCCAGGTTCCATACTAAACGAGCCAGCCTCAGAGACAGTCTTCAAGCTGCGTTTTCGCAACGACTGTCCACTCTGCGACCTGTGCAGATCAGGCCGAGATGATTGCCCTGTACTGCTTGATGGTGAAGGCCTGGAAGCCTGACCAGCGGCACTGTCGGGTTCATCTTCATCAAGAATAGGTTCCAAAGGACTGATCTCCTCAGTCCCTAATTTACCAGAAGAATCACTTCCCTGAGAATGCGGACGACCAGCCCGGGTCTTTGCCGAGGTACGGGCGCCAGTCTTGGAAGATCCAACCGCGGGGGTCGGGTAGACGCAGTCGCGACTACCTTTCCGACATCGTTCGCAAACTGGACGAGACTCATCACATTTAATGCGGCGCGAACGACAGGTAAAGCAACCACTTCGGGTGCGCTTGTGCTTCTTCTGATCTGGCAGAGGATGAAGCAAAGTTGGCTGCTTGTACGGCGCGGGAATAGTCATCGCCGGCGGAGCAGCGGATGGATCATGCCAGAACGCCAAGTTCTCAGGATATTGTTGTGCCCCGAACATGGAGTAGGCTGACATGTTCGAATCTTGTTGCATTGAATCCATAAAGCCCGCCAGGGCACCGTGGGATTGATGATATTGATCCATGATGTATTCCGTACTTGGTTCGTCCCAATAGTTAAGCTCCGCGCAGATCTCTCTCCCCCGCATGAAAGATTAGCGTGAGCTTCAAAATTGCATCATCGAAAATAGAAAGTTATCACGGGTGATTACTCTCTATATAGAAAGTGAGAGGAATTCAAATGTTATAACCTAAGGGTACGAAGTACCAAGGGTGTGGTGTTCCAGTGTTCCAGTGTTGTAGGGGGTGTGTGGGGTGAGGTTGGGACCCAGCATGACCCAGACTACTAATAAGTTAATAAGTCTCTTAGTCTCTTTACTTAGTCTTAGTCTTTTCCTCTCTATTGGATTCAGGATATGCGGAGATTAGAAGAAGAAAAAAAAACTTTGGTTTATTATTTTATTTTGAATTTTGACTAATTTATTATTTATTACTAGGATCTATGATTATTTTATTTTTATTTTTATTTTTATAAAATGTTATTCCTTATTTTAGTGCCCAAAGTCGATCGTGATCGGCGTATATAATAATAATACGGAGACTGCAAACCATTTCACTGTTGAGAATATTAGGTACGGATACGAATTATCTCGGACTATATGAACCAAAAAAAATATATATATAAAAAATTCACTTGATTAAATTATATCAGCTGATTCTGGAAGTAGACCCTCCGCGCTATTGAAAGTCGAAGTTCTTTGGGTCTTCTCTCGGAGTACGGAGTACAGCGGAGTGGGAGTCGTGGAGCCACGGAAATTCGAATCTGGACGAAGATATGGAGTTCTAAGGAATAAAAGGAACGAATGAAAATACAGATATGAAATAAAGAAATCGAGGCAAAAAAAAAAAGACTAGAAAACTTGAACCTTGCTCGAAGTAGTATTGAGAGCATTCTAATGGCCCCTTTCTAATTCCACTCAACCTAGAGGATCAGCCTCTTGGGCTTATTTTTATCATTAGGGAATCTTCCACGGGCCTCGGGTCTTCGGTAAACTTCAAGTAATATATAATATAATTTTATTTAATTTATAACATAATTTACACAGAAAAAAAAGGGGGGCCGGAACTCTGTTTCTTCTTTTTGGTTTCTTCGTTTTTCTTTGATGACGATCCCTTCAGCCACAAAGGGGAGGGGGGAAAAGTGTGATATCACCGATTTTAATCCCTTAAGAGCTTGTCATCAGTGGCTCGAGCCCCAAATATCCGGGTCCATACTCCGTAAAGCCATGATTATTGGAGGAGTGTGAATATGCAGATGCATGCTGAGAGAGAAGGGGGATCCTGTGTGATCAAAGCGCCTGTCATCCACCAGGCCAGATTATGATGTTAAACCCGGACCCAACCATGACCCTATATATAACATTTGAACCCACTTATGATTGAAAATATTGGGAAATTGAAGTCAAAAACATTTTTTAAAAAATAAAAAATAAAGAAACAACATTTGAAGAATCAATCATCTATAAACAAAATTATCGATGAATAAAAGGTCATCGAAATAAAATCAAAGAAAAGACCTAAAACGGACCCCGTCCGAAGTCCGAAGGGGGAAGCTGGTCATCCATGATTGTGGTTCAAGTGGACCTCTAGAACAGGAAAGAGAGAAGCATGGGGCTCTTGAGGTGATTTTCCTCTTGGCTAAAGACATCTGGATCATGTACAAGAAAATGTACTCAAGCTCGGAAGATTCTCAGGCCGAAGAAGTCTAGTGCTGAGATTCTCGGCACATTTACATGGCATTAAGGGGATATTAAAACGGATTCCGCCGCGATATACTCGGCAAATCTGAAACCTTGCCAGTCACCGATTCATCTCGAATAAAATGCCGAAAACGTTCTGTTCGTGACGGCGATCGGATTCAGGGTGGAGCCGGTTTGACTAAGGGACTTACGGATTCCGGTGGAAACTAAGCTTCAATCAGCGGGGAGAAGAAAGTAGATGATTCATGCTACTGGCAGTGGCCATGGTGGACATCTGGGGGCTAAGACTCAACTTAGTTTCTTTGAGAGAACACGGGGATCCGGCACAGATCGATTGGGGAAATACTATTATACTCAAGTGCTACTAGTAACTAGTACATAGTAATATGTACTCCGTAGTAGTAACTTGAAGGATAAATTGGAGTTTCCACCTTTTTCACCTTCTTTCTTGGAAATTGACCTTTTTATCTTATTTTATTTTATATTTTTATTATTCCTATATTTTATTACTTCTTTGTCTATATGTCTCCGAAGTACTCCATTACTCGAAGTTAATTTTTTATCCTATAAGGTATAGTATAAAAAATGCAAATGTAATCGGAGATATACTGACTTTTTTTTGTATGATTTCTTTTTTTCTTCTTTTTTTTCTTTTTTCTTTTTTCCCTCTGATGAACGTGTACCTGATCGACGAAGGTTTGACAGACAAAAAAAAGGTGGGCCAACAAGATCGAAAAAAGACGCTAGGCTTACAAGTCTTCTTTGGGTTTATAGAACTCCATAAGTACCGGGTGGTAAAAAGAGAATGAAAAAAATGGATCAAAGGGGGGGAGGGGGAAATAGACATTTGAGGCTTTTTTTTTCTTACCCCCCTTACCCTTACCCTTTCATGAGAAGAATAGAAGAATACTTCCAGATGTCCCAAGGATCATAAACATTTCAGGGTTAAATTGCAGGAACAACACATATTGGTAGATCATAACCCAGCGGCGGATCATAGTCTTATTCGTTCATGGAAGGAGTCTAAAAATGCAAAATAATGCCTTTTGAGGAGCTCTCACGCACCGACCCTCCGACCATTTTTCTTTGCCATGTGGGTGAAAGGTGAACCGGACTGGCGCTAAAGACACCGTGCTCCATCAGTGGAGACAACAGTTCCCACCCGGGTCCCATGTGGCCCGTCCCCCCTTGAATTTTGTCTTCTTCTTCTCAGAGGGCGATCCTGGTCTTTGGACGTGCTCGCAGCGCTAACTTCTCGCGCTGGTCCAAGATTGGTAACATCTCCGTTCAGATCTCATTAATTCCCCATATTGGAACGGGGAAACGCTGATGTCCCCACTGGTGGTGCTACAAAGTGGAGAGGTGTCCTGGGTAAGAGGCAAAATTCCAGCCTCATGATCCATGACCAAGCTCAGGCTGTTCTACATTATCCGCGGAGTACCGGGTAAAAAAGTGTGCGTGTGCCGAAGTTCGTATTTTCGTATAGATATGAAAAAGTACTAGTTGACATTCTTACTAGTAGTATCCATATAATGCCTAGGTGGTCCATGGATCATGATTATACCCGTGGAGACTTCAGATGGATACTGGATGGATACTAGATGGATACTGTACCAGCATATTAAACTCCGAGTCCTAGATCTACTGTCAATAGAGGGCGTAGATAGGCATTTCCAAGGCTGAAGCGTTAATTTCTCGGTAGTGGATCAAGGCATTTGATTAACCGGCAGATAAAGTATCGAGAAATACACCGACTGGATGATGTAGGGAAACATTCAAGTTTGAAGGATTTGGGATTGATACAAACCCTAAGATGTAAAGGAATGCATGGGTGGATACTGCTAGTAAAAGATGCATATCAGCCACCTGGCAAAGACAATGAGTGGATCTTTCTTAACCAAGCTGCAGGGTTTAGTGGCACCCAACACGAGACTCAAGTACACCGAGGCTGGAAATCATTTCATCTTAAGTGCTTGGCTACATGTTTGGGTGTGACGTTCATATCATAGAGTTGGGGATTCCAATTAAAAGTCTATAACGATCAAGTTTTAGGGAAATATCATGATGTCAAGATACTAGTATTCAGGCTAATTGAAGTTGATATTCACTCCAGGGCTGTCCAGGATCGTCCAAGGTGTCAGGTACGGAGTACTAGTATCTCCTAAAGCCTCAAGCACCGGATGATCGTCATAGCCCTCAGCGCTGGAATTCGGGAGTCTCGGATAATTAAATCAAGTCTGCAACAGTCTCAAGTACTGCTACGTAAAGCACCAACCTGAACAGATACCCAAAACTGATAGAAGATCGTAGTCTGTTCTCATACTTCTTACATCGAGCAAACTTCAACCACAACAAGAATGCCACATCACAAATGAAATTCTAGTACACTGTGACACAAATCCATACTTGTATCAGCATCTACTAAGATAGAGATACCAACACTGAGTGTTTACAGACTTGAACTCGACCAAACGCCACGCACCCCGGGAATTTTCACCCCATTCCAAAAAAGGCGCAGAGATCGGCCGATCCCAGTCCCCGTCGGATATGACTGCCCTCAATTGAGTTGACGCCGGCCGTTTTAGTTGTGGCCCCCAGCGTCAGGAAGTGCGGAAATCACCTCAAGTACTAACAGTAACTGGATCCCAGCCCAGCCCAACCCACCTAGACACATCCTATCTCCACTCATATATCCACCAGGACCGGATCCCGGGGACACACTTGTTGTGCGCTCTCAGAGATATGGAGTACATTACGGAGTAGCATTGGTGCTTTTCCTCAAGTGACCTAGTCGCCTTTTCTGCTGGACTAGTCTAAACAAAAGTACCCTCGTGCCATGAGGGCCCATGACTAACATGACCTAGTGATGATGAGCGGTGCGTCTAGGCACCAGCTGGGCACTTTTCTCTTGTGGATTAGCTAGCGGGGGCTTTCCAAGGTTCCCAGAGAGAATACACGTAGTCCAGAATTCACGGTAGTCCAACGTGGCCAGGCCACGGTGGTATGGAACAACTGATTTCTGGAATAGACATGTCTACTGCATGAGAATTCTATTGCCAAATCACAAATCAAGTTTGATTGAATAAATTATAGGATGAATCCTTGACTGATAATCATTTTCTCCATTAGCGCCGAGGGGAGCCACATCGATCACCGCCCTATAAGCCCACGGTAATCCCTGTCGATGATGGGTTCAACGGTTTGATTTCTCCCAACCCCAATTGGGGGAACTGGGGCCTGATTGCTGATCCTCAAGGTTGCACTGCAGCGACAACTTGAACCCACTCTAAAATGATCCAGTGAAAAGAAGGCTTTGCCTCGGGGATTGGGGATCATACAGGAGAAGAGAGACATGTACGAGCATGTGATGAAAAGATTGACCGGGGAGGTGTAATTTCGCACCCCTGCAACAAGATGGGGTCAATAGGACGCCTCATGGATAATTTGACTTTTACTAGAGATTCTCTTGAAATCTCCGGCAATGTTAGCCGTTCAATTTGATGTTCTTTGATATTAATATTAATATTTAGATTGGTAATTTTTGGGTGCGGATACGGAGGGTGACGCCATAAAATGGTCGATGTGCGTGGCTCTTTTCGAGGTCGATTTTTCAGGTTCTAATTATAATTAACATTATGATTTCTGCTAATCATAGACTGCTTAAATATCACCAGTGAATACTACATACTGTAGTAACTAAAAAATTGAATGAAGTACTAAATATAGTCTGACTATCGAATGACTAGTATCCACCGCATTCCAAGGTTCAAGTTCAACATTGGAAGCCTTGAACGCCTGACAGCACTTCCAAGGTTGACTAGCGTATACTACTACTAGTATTATCACGCCCGAGGTGATATTATTATCATACTAGGAGTAAATATGAATTGCTAGTAAGCACATGTGCATAGTACATACTCAACAATTTCAACATTCCAACCTTGGAAGGTTTGAACACTCAAGTGCTTGAAGTCTAAACGCTCAGATAACAACATTGAATCATAGATTTTGCAAATTTATTGACAAACGGAATTCATCACCATGTAGACAGAGTGGCGTCTTTCCGGACCAGTTTCTGCTATGTATAATGCTTGCCCAGGTGCGTCCATTATATCCACATGTGCAACCTGAAAACAGAACATTATACAAAAGCTCAGAAGAAAGGGTCTCATGAAAGGAAAATGTATAGTTCCATGGCCTGTAGACACCAAAAAGCGCTTGAGTAGAGCGAAGGAATGAATGCAGAAAAGACTGACTTGTGCATGATTCAGATTCGAGGATACCGATTTCACTTCTCAAGGCCCTGGATCTATCGACCGAATAACCGACCCTGGAAGCAACCCCGATTCTCCAACCCTTGTATGTGGCATTTCGAAGAATCGCCGCCTCTTCTTAAGAATATAAAGACGACCCGAGCCATCAGGAGCCGATCCAGTATAGAATCGGTGTCTCAACCATGGACCTAGAATTCTTGTGGGTTCGTTGGTAGGATCTACCGGGTTCCTCGCAATGGCAACTTCAATGATATCCCAATTAGGCATCATCTCGGCTCCTCTACTATTTGTGCGACGGTCTTCTCCCCACAGATTGATTTCGAGTGCCCTGATTTGCTCAAACACTGGTGGCTGTCCGGTAGCACCTGAAACTTCGGCATAACCAAGGAGAGGTGGGAGGCCGTCTAGACCGGTTTGTCCCTGCAGATGAGCTACATCGGCGTCGGTTATAGTGCAAATATCGGCTCCAGTGTCATCGATCAGCCAGAAAATAAGACTTGGATATCCCTCCCGTGGATCATCGTGCCAGTTTGTGTGTTCAACTCCCATGACTGGCGAATCGGGTTGTTGTCGATTCTCGCCAGCTAGGAATGTGGTGTCTGGAACTGGATTCAAGGGTACTAGACTGTACTGCTGCCTGTTTTCACAAATAGGACGGCTAGGATCCACAGTTGAACTACGTTCATAGTCAAATCCTCTCGTTTCAGGGCGTGGTGGTCGAATCATTCGAAGACAAATTGGAACCTATGAAAGAGGAGAGGAAAACAGAATTAAGACAATCTTCTGGAATCACAGCCGAGCTCAAATCGAACTGGCAATAACCTCGAAAGGTTAAGAAAGGGAATCATACCTTCACATTCAAAGAACGGTGGCCAATTACTTGAGGGGGTGCACCAGCATATCTGGCAGGCCAACAGATTCGTCGCTTCCAGAACTTACGGGCAGGTGCATTTCGAAGCTGTAGAATATCAGTCAGTATTTGATGTATTTAGGAAAAGTCAAGTACTTACACCTTCAACCCAGAATCTCTTAGAGCCGTTATACTTGAAGTTCCATTGAAGGAACTCCTCCCAAGAAAATTCTCTTAGGTCTGTGAGCTGTTCTCCATTTGACCAGTAGGTCACATATCCTGGAACCCACTTAAGTCTTCCTGAAATGTAGGCCTCCACAATAGCTCTGACATTGGGAAGCACCTCGCACTCGTCTCCATTAGGATCCGAGAAAATGAAATGTTGGAGTCTCTCAAAAAACGCGATTCGTTGCGCAACCTCGTAAGAAAGGCCAGGCCATCTTGCCAATAAAGAGCTAGAGCACGTTAGAAAGAAGAAGAAGGAGAGGATATATATGGGTAAACTTGATAACATACTCTCGCTTGAGTTTAGACGCCTCGAGAATCTTCAATCGCTCCTCGAAAAGATGAGGCTGAATCCCTTCTTGAATACGCTGGTCGCAACGGGCAATTTGCGCCTCTAAGTCACTATGATGATCTTTAGTTAGCTTTCTGACCAATTTCCAATAGCTTCATCCTCATTTATCTGTTTCATCTCTTGTTTAGCTCCGCGTCAGTGTGGACTTACTCAGACTCATTGAGAAGGTCCTCAGCCCAAGCTGGCATGTTAGGACCACCAACTTGAATTTCTTCAACTTCATCGTCCGAATCACTTGACTCCTCTTCGATTTGATTTAATATCGCCAAGGTAATTGACTTCAAATCCCATTCCGACTTGTCCTTGCTCTTGCTCTTGTTCTTGCTCGCTTTGGATTTGGATTTGGATTTGGATTTAGACTTGGACTTTGCACTGGATTTCTTGACCTTGGCCTTTACACCACTGCCAGTGACCAGTCCCTTGCCTTTGCTACTAGCTCCAAGTCGATCGGAACCTGCCATATTGAGTCTTGGATTCCAGTGTGAATAGTTTCAAGTAAATGAAAATTTCAAGTTGGATGATTTGGGTGGGATTCCCATAATGCTTTATATCAAAATGGACACATTGGATAGAGACTGGAAAATTCGAATAAATCTAGTTCTTTCATTTTTGTTTGCTTTCAAATTTCCACTTGAGTACTATTTTCTCATATCATACGGACCTGTCAAACTAAAAACCTTTCATCTAGTTTCTTGAATGCGCAACTCTCGTCTCAAAAATCCTGACCTAGGGAACTTCAGCAGAATTTGGTAGAAAGAATACATGAACTCATTCATGTCAACCTTGGAATGTAAGAAAAAGGCCCTTCCACATCTCTTTGACTACAAGCGATAGCCGGTAGTTTAGAAATGGATCCTTTGTCAGTATACCCATGCATGTGGTCTTTGAAACGTGACCGAGTACCCGTGCACGGGCACCACAGAAAGCTACATTTTCCTAATACGTACAGTATTCCAACTTGAATACCAGAATCAGTCCTCATGAATTTGAAGCTTTGAGAAGATTTTTGGTAAATTCAACTTAATAAAGTCCACAGGTGTCTTATATGGACTCAATTTCATTGATAAACGGTGGTAATTCGTATGTATATGCCTTTCATTCTCACAAGCTGCATCCACCGTTTCCGGAATCTCAGGGAAAATCATAAAGGAGTCTCGATGTCAAATAGTGTTGTACTCTTTCAGTCATTCATGTATTTTTGGCAAGCCGAGTGATAGCTATGCAAGAGAGAGATTAGGAAGACAAGGAAAGGAGAGAGCCAGGAATTTTGTCATTTTGAGGGGTGCCAGTGAACAGCTCTCAGACGCTGGGGAAAGATTGCACTCCACAGAGGCAACCGGGGATCCACATCGAACAATGCTTCAGGTAGTTTAAATCGAATGAGTTGGAGAGGCCTAGCAATTTCATCATCTGCAAATTAGATTCCCCATTCTTTTGGTCTTGGCTTGACCATATATCCTCCTTTCTCTTGGCATTGCGTGGCGACAACATTGGTCTTTTCTTGTCTGGGTTCCAGACAATCATTGATAAAACTGGTTGAATGAAAAAATCCCGGATTTCTTTTTGGTTCTAAGATTCGTACATGATATTTTTATAGTCATAACATCGTCAACAACGCGATGATCTACATCATCGACGAGGGCGTCGCCGTCACCGGCAATTATGTTTGCTCGGGATTAGTGCTGGCGCTGAACTAGCTGGTGCTAGTGAGCAGAATAGACAATGGAAGCGTCTTAAGTAGATTTCTGAGCCAGCTCGTTTAGCACCAAGCTCACACCCTCGATGACGGTACCCCATTCTATCTCGTGAACCCGCTTCTCAAAGACCTCGATATTCTCGTCCTCGCCCTTTCGGAAAGGAATCTCCCGGACCAGAATGGGGGTGCCCATATCCACCTCCGAGATGACGTCGTGGATCATAACGCCCGTCTTATCGATCTTGCCTTCCATCCACGCAGCATGAGCACGCTCAATTGCATTCTATTAAAAGCCGAATTAGCATTGAGATCTTCATCAGGAACGGAGATTTCGTGTAGGTAATAGCATGTCGCCATTATCACATATCTCCAAGTTCATTAAAACTTACCACACCATTGAACGCTCCAGGCAGCGCAGGATGCAAGTTGATGATGCGCACCTTAGCCAGCTCAAGGGGCTCCAGGAACTGCGGTGAGAGGATGTGCATGAAACCCAGACAAACAACCAACTCCGGCTGGTCAGCGAGAATCAGACGCGCCAGTTCAGCATCATACTTTTCGCGTGCGGCCTGGACACCCTCGGGCGTAGCAGGTTGCTGCTTCTTGTACTTGACAAGATTGTGATATTGAGTCGGGATATTGGCTTTGCGAGCACGCTCGAGACCAAATGCGTCTTTACGGTTTGACAGAACGCGGATAATGTTTGCGTTTAGGTTACCGGCGGCGATTTGATCAATTAAGGCTTGGAGGTTGGAGCCGTTGCCGGAGATGAGGACTGTTGTTCGGATGGGAGTGGCCATTTTGGAGGATTATATGGTATTTCCAAGGAGAAATGCGAGCGATTCTTGGGAGGGCTCTGGAGAGATCCGCGGGGTATTCACAGAGCTTGGGAGGTTCTCGAGGCTAATTTATTTGTAAGTATCTATCGTATGAAGCTTGTTTTTGAGGGTTAAAGGATTTAATTGAATGCAGAGAGTCCATAAGATTCAACCGAAACATACCTGTGCAATTGAGAACGACGAAAGCCACAATCAATTCATGAGAGCTTCCACAAGTTCCATTCCACTTGAGAAACTTTTGATGCACGTGACTCCGCGGGGCTCCGAGTCGGAGTCGCGGGGCATTTCGATATCGGCGATACTACAGTATACCCGCTTAAGAGCCCATTCTGCCACAAATCTCGAAAGTGTCATAACACAGAATACTAGGAAGATCTTATACGCCAAATACTATGTTCAAATGTTGTAAATTAAGCTGTGTATAATAGGACGGGAGCTTTCGTTCACTAGATATTTTATAAGTCTGTGTAATTTGTAATTTTGAATTTGAAAGTTGACCGCCTAGAGCTAGGGGTAGGACTATGTACTGCCAGTGTCTGCGAATATATATTATCCATTCCAAGGTTCCATGGTTGCCCAGGTGGATGACCAACTTGAACTCAATGCCTCCAGATGTCCCCTAAAACGTTTTATGAGAGCGGAATAGGTAGTAGATATCTAAACTTAATTCGATGTTGGACCAAAAAGTGAAGCGTCACAGGCTCTAACGATATGTAATATAGAGGGGAAAAAAGTAAAAAAGAAACGACAGCTGGCGGATTTGAACCGCCGCCTCCGAAGAGAATTGATTTCTAGTCAATCGCCTTAGACCACTCGGCCAAACTGCCTTGATGTCAAAATCTCAAATATTGACTACATGAGGGAATGAGACATCCTGAGGTTGAATTCTTTAGCGCTGCCACCTTCAAGTAGCCATTGAGGCGTAGACCCAATAGTAACATCCGTGCAACTTCTTTATTCCATATTCGAATCAGTGAAAAAAACCAAAATAATTGAAATTGTTATCATAACTGGCATACAAGGGGTAATCGCTCATGAGTATCCAAACCTCCTTTGGTAACAAACTGATACATATGAACTGCCATCGATGAACCAAACCACCAACAACTTGAAGAATTGGATAAGATACAAGGAGTAGAGATTTAATCAACGATGACAAATTACAGTCGAGAGAAAACTGTGCTGTCATTCTAGCTCGAGGAGTTTGCAATCGCAAAGAAGAGAAAGAATCCAAGAAAAAAAAACGTCGGCATGCTGAGGGGATATCAATGAGAGGAAAGATTGAAAGAGTTCTAAAGCAGACGCTGAATGCTTAATGTTCAATGAGAAGAGTATGGGGCTAATAGGCCAAAGGGACTTGGTAGATAGTGCATAGCACATCAAATCGCTGCACCTTCGGGGGCTGGAGGTGGAGCAGCATGATCAGGGGAAGAGGAAGAGGGACCATCGTTAGTGCTACCATTTTCATTCACACCCTGCCCTCGGCATAAAGGACATGAATTTCGACCAGTTGTCAACCACTAGAAGACCGAATTAGTAACTGCTGAGTAGATTGGTTGGGCGGTTGTAAACATACCTGGTCAATACAATCCTTGTGGAATAAATGCTTGCACTTGACAAGCTTGCGGACTTCTTCCGCTACCTCGTAGTCACTTAGGCAGATCAAACAACGCTCTCCATCCTGTACATGAATATTGCCGGCACCATGCAAAGACTCAGCGACCAAAGAACCACTGTACTCAACAAGACGGAACAAACCACCCGCAGAATTGACATCGGCTTGAGTGGCAACTGGAGGCTTGGCTGGGCCCAAGAGTGACGAGAGAAGGATCATGTCTTCATATGTAGGATTCTGACAGGGATATTTAGCATATAACTTTTTGGGGAATATAATGAGGAAAAGCGTTATACATACATCGGTGAAAAGACTCGGTGTTGTAAGAGCCGGGTGATTTTCTGACAGATTGGTTCCAACAACGTAGATCAGCCAGCTGCGACCTCCACTTGGGGGAGGCTGATCGGGTTCGACAACGCCGTTGCGACGGACTGATCCAGAGCCGAGGGCACGGGAGCGAGCAAATTCGGAGTCGCTTCGGCGGCGCTGTCTCGCAGCAGTGTTTGGTTGAGGGATGGACTCTTCAGTAGATTCCACAGTTGGCTGCAAAGACTGGTTTTCGTTGAGCTGGGGCAAGAGACTGGGTGACATCGCGGATGCAGAAGATGGTCTGCGGCTTGGTGTGGATGTTCCTGACGAAACGGCCGACAGACCCTGCTCAGCAGGAGTTGAGGGTGGTGGGTGAGGGCCCGGAGGACTTTCAGATAGACCAGATAGAGGGAAGCTTGGTATACTGGTGCGGGGCATACCATCAGATAACCGTCTACCAGAGAGATTCGCATTTGAGTGGCGGAGGAAATCAGGAACTCCAGGTGCCTGGAACGCTGAAGACCCTGCAGCGCGTGGTACATGCAGTCTTGGGCGTGGTTCTGAACGTTGCGTAACATCACCGGGCAACTCAGGTGGTCGTGGAGTGGCATTTGGTGGAAGGAAAGGCATTCCAAGAAGAGCGTCAAGTCCGGGGCCTCCTGTAACCCCAGGACCCGGGGTTCCGTGGTCATGATTTCCTCCACTTCCCGCTGGGACTGATCTGACTCCAACGACAACTAGAGTAACCGTCCGTCCTTCTCCGGTCTCTAAAGGCTCATCAATTGACATTCCATCAGGCTGTGGTCCGCGTTCGGAGCCGCTGCGGTTTCGGCCAAGTGATGGATTAGTTCCAAGAGGAGAATCGGAGTTGGCAAATCTGAAGACTCTCAGGAAATTAACAGGGGGTGATGGTCCTTCATCTGTGGAGGTACTTGGCCCTTCTCCAGATGCCCCCGGCTGTGGTGGCGCAGAAGTAGCACTCTGTAAGCTCTGAATGAAATTTTCCAATGATCCATCCAAACCATCATTTCCCAATGCTTGAATATTCGGTAATGCAGGTCCATTAGCACCAGATAGTTGAGCGGCAATTGCAGCCGCGGCAAGTTGGAGTACTCGAGAGAGGGGAGTCTGTTCTTCTCGTCGCAAGGTTCGGGTGGACCGCGCTCTTAGAACGCCGGGCAGCCGGCGCATGAGATGAGGATTCGGCTGACTGGGACCCGTCGTTCCATTAGCCTGCACGCTTGGCTCAACTGAATCCAATTCATGCAGGGGTTCTCCAAAATCGAGACGAGTATCCATAGCACTTGGTAGTCCATCGCTGATAGACGGCCCAGGAGAGTGATATGAAGCGTTATCATGAGGGTATGGAACGTCTGGTGGGGGTTGACCAAACATATGAGAAATTGGTGATGATATAGAGTTCCGTACTCGATGCAGACGATTACTGCGGCGCCAAGAAGTTCGGTTAGGTTCAGGCAAATTTTGAGGTGAGCTATCAACTAAAGATGGATCGATTACTGAATCTGCCATCACTGTAGACTCCGCACGCGGAGGTATGGAATATGGACTTCGGGTAGTACGACGACGAGTGATTCCCCGCGATCCAAGTGCGCTAAATGGACTGAATCGTCCAGTGCTATTAGCAGATTCAGACCTTGGAGGTGTTCTTGATACCAAGCCATGTCTGTGTGCATGCCCCTCTGCAGGGGTCTCTTCTTGACTACTCAAAAGACCACGGATCACTGAATTGGGCAATATTCTGGATCCTAGTCTTGACATAGTGGACTGTCGTCTCGCTGCCATACGTGCAATAGCTGTTGAGCGGTAATCTGCTCGATCGTTTCGGCCAATACCAAGAGCATTCTCATCTTCAATACTTTGCATTTGATGCGGAGATTCTCCAGGATATCCACTGTGATGTTGTTCAGGGTCCGGCAGTTCGTTCGGAGGGACCCATGTTGGATCTTGATCGTTATTTTGGTTCATGTTCAATATTGATGAGGTTCCTGCCTCGCCGATCTGTTCAGGTTGTTGTCTGTTGTTCATATCTTCATTCCGCGTCCGGGAGTTGGGGATAATCGAGGCAGGGGTCTGGTAATCCGGATAGCCAATGTCAGGTGAACTTCGTGCTGTGGAAGAAGACTGTCCCATAGTAGCAATATTCGGGAGTGATTGTTTAGTCGATATGAGGCTAGAGGCTGTTTACTGCCATAGGAATTCCTAAGATCATCCGCTGGCGACCGTATCAGCACCCAAGACCCGCCCAACGATACAGGGTGTCGGTTGAGTACAAAAGCGAACCCGAGGACGAATTTTGAGTAATGTGCGATGTATTCGGTAGGTATTTTGAAATATTCACACTCTTCTTTGGCAGATGGGTTCGGGGTTGGCTAATAGATATGGCGAGGTACCAAGATGGGCGGGAGGTCGGTCGGGAGGTTTCGAAGGACGATGAAGGGAAACAACGCGAGGACAATCGATTAAATGATATGGGGATGCTGGGCAACAAGCGAAAGCGCCTAAATTGGATCGGTCACTGTCCAACATACACGAGAGCCGGCGGCTGGAGCAGTCTCGAACGGTCTGACGAGCCCACAGTCAAGACCACAGATATGGGAGTAGCGATCGGGGGAGGATCCGCAGATGACGACGCCCGGGGGGCGGCGGATACTGTTGGGGGGGGGGGGGGAGGGGGGAACAACAGAAAACGGCTGGAAGCAAATTAAAAATCCAAAGTTGATTGTAGAAAGGGGTCATAAGGAAAGAGGAGAAAGAACGACATGGAGGGTGATAGCGATAAGTGATGTTTGCCTACTTTGTTTCGAGTATGCCCCATTTTCTTAGTCAACGGGAACTAAAAGGTGAACTATACCACAACTGGTTCTCTCTATCAACCCAACCTTTGATTACTCTTTGATCAATCACTCTTTCATTTGATATTCTAGAAACTACTAATGTTCAGTTTCGAGTTTAAAGCCTCAAATGAGCTATTAGGCGAAGGCTTAATAATTGAATGTATATTCTTCATATATTCAAGTCCTTCAAGTCCGAGTCTTTGATCTCTAGTAGTATGTGGATACTTCATGGAATGACAGTCTAAGCATGATACTAGATGATACTAGTAAGTTCAAGTTCAAGCTAAACAGAATCATCGGAAAACTTCAAGTTATTTAGAACTTTCGGATTGATCTATTGGTTTCAAGTTTACATTAGACTCTTGACTCGTATTGAGCTAGTCACGTTACTAGTACTGCATAGCTCTCCATTATTGCTCCTGTAGTAAGAGCGGAGAGGTTAGTGTATAAAGGTCTCAGTACTTGAAAGAACTCAAGCTTTTTCATTTTTTCTGTTTTCAGACTCTTGAGACTTCTGCTAAATTTGTTACTTTCCTTTCATTTTTCACTCTCCTGGGAGTTTGCAAATGTCAGGTTGGTTCTAGACGACAGATCATATATGGCTTTACTCCACAAAGGTTAATAGTACATAACACGAAAACATCATGATGTGGCCCCGGGTGGGCCATTGGAAATTAGTACTAGTACAGTGGCTAACTTACTAAGTAAGCTTGTCATTAACGAGCTATTTTTCGGTAATTTGAAACTCCAGAGAATACAAGACATTACAAAGGACTCGGGGCTATAAAATTGAATGCATAACATGTTTCAAACCTTCCCGCATCGGCGCTTATACTGCGAACTGAACCAGTTGATAGATCACCCACATGATTATGTACCAAGTCCCTTTCAAAGGACCAAAAAAAACATAACCCAAGTCAATAATGCCAGGTGGTCAAATTTCATACCTGGTTTGAACTTGTAAATTATGAGTAATGAGCATTTTAACTAGATGTTTGGATCGAATGGCTTTCACGTGATCACGCGGTCATCTCGCGTCGATCTAGCCTAAATAGTCCATTGATTATTCACCCCCCCTGGGTAACCTTTATCATAAAGAACTACCTCCCACGGTCAGAATTTATCAACAGGATTTGAGTCTCATAAAATCCAGCAAATTCTCTCATTTCATCATGGGGGTGGGCGATTACGTCCACTCCAAAGAAGTTGGCCAGCCTCGTGCACCTCCGGACTTAGGTCCCTCTCAACGCCAATTGCGAGCTGCTCAAGCAAAAGTCGATGTGACTGTTACCCACACAGAACTCAATGCGCCCGCAAGAGCAGCTCCACTGATTTTTCAGGAGCCAAGGTCCATTCCAGACAAGCAGTTTCGCCCAGCTCCAGAAAATGGAGTGCATCGGGATGCTTTCGACACTGATGTAGAGGGGATTGATGATTCAACTATTGCGGGAACGAGTGTTTATGGATTTGATGACCCTCAATCTCATGCCCCATTGAACCAAAATTCTTCTTACACGGAAACTTCCCCGCGTCCCTCTTATTTGCCGCGCCCCGCGCGCCGTTCAAGGGCCCCCCTGGTTTGACGGACTGGGTGATAAATTCATGAAGAAAGCAGGCTTTGACTCTGATGATGCCGATGATACCTCCAGCCAAGTTACTTCCTCTGCTGCTGCAGATGATGAGAGGACTGAGCAGTTACCACCGCAGCAACAACAGCAGCCACAGTCTCAGCAAGAAGAGCCTCAGCAACAGCAACCAAGCAGCTGGTATCTGTCTCACAAATATCGCTCAACAGAGGAGCCGCTGAGCAAACGACTGGAAAATTTCTGGTCGGCGAGCAGAAGGGCTCCCAAGTCAATGGATCAGTCACAGGCAGACCCCCGGGTACAAATCTCAGCAGACCCAGCTTCTGAACCTAGCCCACCACCACGAAAGCTTGGTCATATGCTACCACCTACAGCGCCCAGAAAGATTACTCTCCCTCATAGTATGTCCGCGACGCCAAGAACGCGCTTCAGTCCACCAAAGCCATCCCTATTGGACCAACTGGACATATCACCAACTCGAGTTGAATCCGAGTCACCCCCACAGGCTCGAACTCTCAGTATCACAGCCCTCGCCGAAGAGGAAAACAGTGACTATGAGGGTGGGGATGCAGGGATTGACGAGACAATTCGATTGAGCAGCAGAAGGGATAGCGTACACTCAGCCAACGTCTTCGGCATCACGAACATGTCAGACATGTTGGATCGTGAGGATTCTGTTCTTGAAACTGCTCAGGACCCGTTTTTTACTCAGTCAACTTCGACCCGCCCTCGCCGTAACACAGTCATTCGATCCAAGAAAAGACACCTGGAGCCGGATTACCCACCACACCAGCTCTATCAAAAATCATTTGCGGAGTTACAAGCCGAACCATTTGAAAAGGCACCAACTCCAACTCTCCCTCCAGCTAAATCGCCATCCTTGCCTCCCGTGCCTTCCGTTGTTTCAGCTCCTGAGTCTCCTCACGAAATGGGATCTCACCTCCTGACCCTCTCAGAAAAGGACCGTCACACATACTTGTCTGGTCTGTCTATGGACGACTGGGAAGACTGCGGCGATCAACTACTTGACCAGTTCAGCCATCTGCTCTTGGAAATGAAAAAACTGCGCCGTGCTCGCCGACGTACTGCCCAGGCATTTGAAGATGAAATCAAGCGTCGCCATGAGCAAATTGAGATCCAGGGCCAGGAGCTCTCTGCGAAAATGCAAGAGATGAGAACTGGGAGCGCGGATATGTTGCGTGGCCAGAATCCTTGATTTCCCCATTACTTTCTATTCATCCCTCTTATGTTGCATTTTTTTTTACTGGTTTTCATCACTTAGGATATTCATGGCCTGATGTCTTGTTTTCTATTGCTCACGGATTGAAACGTTATATGTTTTCATGCCCAATACCCCCTTATGCATTAATTGACGGTTGTTCTATGATTGTGTCTTATGGTGACCGATGAATATCATCTCTACACTGGCATCATGCAAGGAGTGATGTACGTTATGAATCCTTATAGATTATGTTAATTAGCACTGAGTAATACTACATACTATAGTATCATCATATATGGGCCCTCCCTAAAAACCTGCCAGTGTAATTCAAGTTCCAAGTCCTGTAGTCATTTCGAGTTCCGTAATACTACTACATGATTGAAGACACCCTAAGCACTTGAGGTCGGAGTCGGACTTACCTGTTGGCAAGATATGAAGATTCTTACTACCCAAGGTGGAATAACATGGTAGAAATGGAACTTTCAGAAGATTTATTGAGATATTTGATAGCTCTCACAAAAGAGATAAAAAGTAAACAATGAATGCTTGTAACGCCTTGCCTAGGTATCCCGCAATGCAAGGCCGTCCAGGGGTATACCTCGACCTAATGAGTAAGACTCAAGAAATGAATGATAACAGGCTAAGAAGATAAAAAGACCTGTGAGACGACAAAAGAAATATGAAAGCCTTAACGAGACATAGTAGTCCCGGACTTCTGCAGCGCAGCCGAAAGACGCTTGTAGTCTTCGAGCAGGGCAGCGATATCTCCAATACGCAGATCCCCCGCATCTTGCATGTCGAGGAAACGCTGGATGGGCGGTTCGATCTTCTGCTGAGGCTGTGGGCTCGCAGCCACACTAGTCGTATCGGTTGTTGAGGCAGGTGAAATTCGCAGACGATCCATTGCGGCGGGAGAGAGTGGGCGATTGCTCATACTTTCGGGAGTGTGTGGAGAATTTGGAGCGTTGCGACCGAAATTCTTGATCATCCCAGGGATGTGATTCAAAGGATTGAGAGAGTTACCGAAGTTTCGCATAGACTCCAGTGGGTTCTGGGTGTTGATTGATGGGCTCTGTGGAGGCTCGTCTCGTAGGGATGGAGCGAGAGATGGGGCAATAGATGGGGCGATAGATCTTCTGCCACTTGCTTGGGTTCTTGCACTATCGGTGCTGCGATCGCGAGGAGTGAGGATTCCACTTGTGAGACCGGTCGCTCTGGAGCTGCTTCGGGTCTGTGTACCGTCGTCAGACGGCACAGAGTTGATTGAAGCTAGGTCGTCTTGGATCGGTTTGTTGGCAAGAGGTTGAGCGACAAGACGACGAGCTTCTGCCAAAGTTTTTGGCAGCACTGGTCCGTTTCCTGAGGAGTTGGGACCTTGGTTCTGCAGTTCTTTCAGACGACCGAAGAGGAAGTTGAATGAGTTGTCTAACGTGGCGCCGATATTCTTGAGACTTTGATCTGCGGTTGTGCGGACTGCGTCGTTCGCAGCTTCAAGAACCTTTGCGGGTGGTTGAAAAATATTGCTCAGTCGTCGCTGTTGGGGTGTCGGAGAAGCACGAGGTCGAGGGAGGGTGGCAGAGAGGGGTTCCTTGGGTTCTGGTTTTGAGATTTCGGGGGATGCGGAAACAGTTGTCACTGACAACGTAGTTGTTTCTTTGCTTGGTCTGAAGGGGTCCAACCGTTCTGAAGATGGGGTTGTCACTTCAATTGGTGTTTTAGGAGGACCTTCCTGCAACTCATCCGCCCGTAGACTTGATAACTCGACGTTTTCCAGGAAGCTAATAGCTGCCTCAAGGTTGGTTAAGCAATAAGCAGTCTCACCATCTATCTTGTTGGATGTCCGGAACCTTTGGATGAAGAGTAGATTGCTCACAATGTTAATCCCCTCAGCTGGGCAAGTGACAAGTGAGTAGATTAAGGTTGGGAGAATCTCATCCGCCGAGGAGGTCGATGGCAAGAGTTTTGTTAACGCATCAACAATAGCCTTATGAGCTGCCGCTAATTGCTGAAGCTTGCCCAGAGGGTATTTGTAATCGTTCATCTTCTCCAGATATTCTCTGGCTTGAGCCAAATAGTCATTGGCCTCCTGTTGCTTGCTCTCCTCGATTGTCGAGACATCAATATCTATGCCCAAATCCTTCAGATTAATGCCAACCAGTAACAGAGCAGCAGTCTTCGAGCGAAGCTTCTCATCTCGAACATCATCCAAGGTGCTTTTATGCCTCCAGAGCTTGTCATATACCATTTCACAGACCCGTCGTTCTGCAGCCTCCTCCAACGCAACACGTTTATATTCCAGTGCCTTGCGAGCCTTTCGCCTTTCAGCAACTTCCGAAGCTGTCAACATTTGTCGACCAGCCAAATTTGACCGAACGTCATCTTGAGATCTGCTGTTGCCTAGCTTGGACAAGGCACTGCCTCGGGGCTTGGAGGTCTGCGTGGATGTATCACGGTTGAGACGAGATGCAAGAGCAGATATGTGGGTGGCAATATGGGATTCGGAACGATCATAGAAGACCTGGAAGAGGGAGGAGATTTTATCAATCGTGGGAGGCGAGCTGTGAACCTTTGCACCTAACGAGTTCACAAAACTAACATGAAGGTCTAGGTTAGCACACCCATTAATCTTCCGGATAGCATCTCAAACAACATACCGATCTATCAAGCTAAGCAGCTCGATCGGAAGCTCCTCAGAGGGATCTTGCACACTTCTTGAGAGTACAAAACCGTCGTCTGCATGGCCATCTCCCGCACCGGAATCAGCGGAGCCTCGTCTTTCGAACACATCGGGCCCATTTTGATGTTCCCCGTTATCAACCGAGAAAGACAAGGACTGGGGGGGACTTGTCTCCCCGGTCGGCTGTTCTCTGCCTAGCCGGAAGAGCAGGGCGGGATTCTAAGCTATCCATTCTGGTGAAAGACCGGGAAAAATGTGAAATATGGCCGTGGCCATGGTCGGAGGGGCCGACCATCTTCTAATTAGTCCCAAGGGGGCGACCTGGCCCTATGGCGCTAAGTCGTAAGTGACCCGCCCAGGGCCAGCTGATAGGTTCCTGTGGGTTGATGTCCGAGCTCCGACGTGCGGCTGCAGTCCACCCGTGGACACTTCTTGGGCAAAAAGAATGGAGCTAGAGGGGAGAAATTTCAGAGATTCTAACCGAGACCGATAAAGGCTTTGTTATAGCTTTATTTGATGAATTGTGTATGCTGAATGATGAAAAATGAAAAGGTATACAATTGAAAAACACTGGATTGATAGATCACCACGCGTCCTAGTCACGTGTATGGCATCACGATAAGCCGATAAAGAGCTTTATCGGCATCGGTGTAAACAGTATGAGCATTCACCTGAATTTTTCCAAATTTTGCAAGTATCAGATGTGATACTTCCCAAATTCCTTCTAGCATACTAGTAGAAAACATACTGTGACTGAGGATTGTTCTGAAGATTGCATATATGAAATATAATGTTCGAATATCAAAACTTGGCACTAAATCGATAAAGTTCCAGTTTTGTTCTTATCGCATTATCTTGGTACTTTGAGTGCGACATCTAGGGCTGTGATATAAGATACTTTTATCCTGTGTTGGAATTTGGTACTTTTCTTGTTTGCCGTGTGTAGAAAATTCTAATTTTGATCGCATATTTCGGTGCTTGTAAAGATCATTGAAAATCTTAAGAGGAGTTTAAGCTCTATAGATAAGCCATTGTACATATGGCTATTGAGTGTTTTTTCATGTTGGAACTGCTACTATGTAGTGAGTAGATCAATGTAATTCAAGAAGACCGCATTTTAAGATTATGTCCACAGACATGCATGCATTAAGGGGCTTCAAGTCCAAGTTCAACCTTGGAAGTTCACTTATGCCTGGGGCAAGGTGCATCCATCCCACGGCCATGCCTACACATTCTTAACCTGTATGCATATTCTTCTGATCTTCTAACAACACGACAAAGCATCAATCTCAATTCCAAGGTTATAACGCTCCTTGCTCCCCCGCATACAAATCAATACTATAATTAACTCCAATGTCAGTTTATAATCCCCGAGATAGTTCGGATTACGTGCTTAGAATGACCCATTACCATGTTAATCAGAAGAAGCCCCAATTGCCAGTACATCAAGGAAAGTAACAGTGCTCTAGTCAATGATGGCTTACGCTCTAAAATGATCTTTCTGTCGCTCAATTGGGAATAGCTTGTTGGGGAAGGCACCCAATTGTTTGTCTTCCCCTCATTTATGATCGGGACTCCCACGCATCCCCACGCATCCTACACTCTCCTTCACCATTCAACTCCATTGTCAAAACAATCTTGTTGACTGAAACTTCATCACAATGCCTGATCTTAAGATCCCGGGACCCGATGTCCTCTCTACCACACCGATCCCCGAACGCATGATTGCCCCCGGGGCTACCAGTATCGGAAGAAATTGGATTTGCATTCAACATGATCTTGCAGAATCTGATCTCGGATGTTCAAGTTGTGGCCTTTTTGACACTGCTTCGTTCGACCAACAAGGACAGAGATCCAGATGTTGTTGCAAGATGTGCTAAGCATATGATCGATGCTGCTTCCCGGGTTGACATAGAATCACTGCGCAATGTGATCAAATTGAATGATCAGCCTGCTGGAAATTATCAAGGTGGACTCGTAAGTATCATACAAGGGTCGCAATCAATGTCCAGTACTGATATTTGTTATACATAGTGTGACATCGTGGGAACTGGAGGTGATGGCCATTCAACTTTCAACGTTTCGACAACTGCATCTGTTGTTGCGTCTCCAATTTTGCGGATGGCAAAGCATGGGAGTCGGGATCAGACATCGAAGTCTGGATCCGCCGATATGCTGAATGCAATTTGTCCTACGGCCCCGAGAATTGACGCCATTAACAAAGACAACATCACCGAGGTGTACAATGCTAGCAATTATGCATTTCTTCTCTCATCAAATTTCCACCAAAAGATGGTACACATCAATTTGATCATAAAGAAGCTCGGAACTTGAACCATTTTCAACATCCTCGGACCACTCTCTCATCCACTCACCTCGACCATTGAAGCGCGCGTGATTGGCGTTGCTCAGAAAAGCCTTGGACCTGTCTTCGCGGAAGTCCTCACACAATTCAAAGCGAAGAAGGCCTTGGTCGTTTGTGGTGAGGGGAAGATGGATGAAATCAGCTGCGCAGGGCCGACAAACTGCTGGGGGGGTAACCGAAAATGAGGATAGGGGGTTGCAGACTGATACCTTTCAGCTGCACCCCTCAGACTTTGGGCTATCAACCCACCCCCTCAGTGAGGTTTGCGGCGGCGAGGGACCCGAGGAGAACGCCACCATTTTGATGCGTCTCCTGCGCGACGAGCTCCCACGGGAGGACCCAATCTTGGATTTCGTCCTCATTAAGGCGGCCGCTATCCTGGTCACATCTGGTGCCTGCGAAGGCCCAGATGGTGACGAAGCCATCACGGAGAGGGGGCCGGGTGGCGGACGCTGGAAGGAGGGGGTGCGCCGGGCCCGATGGACAATCGAGAGTGGAGAGGCCTTGCGGAGCCTCGAGCGTTTCATTGAGGTGAGCAATCGCCTTATTTGAGCGTCTCGTAGGTGAGGCAGGCGGGGGAAGGGCGTGAATGTATTTTTAGTGTATTTTTATATACAACTGTAAGGCCATGGTGAGGTGAAATGCAGTTGTATTTTTATCCCTTTTACATTCAATGTAATCTCCAGTATAGTAGACTCGTCCGGTGGTATACTCAAGGCATATGTGTATAGTGAGAAAAAGAAGGGACCAATGGTGAAAAGAGAGAGATACAGATGTAAGGAAAGAAGCTGCAAAGTGGTGAGAGCTACATCTCTCTAAGTCCATTGGATAATGATCATAGACACCTGGGGGTTACATGGTCCATGGATGTAAAGCCTCATGTCTTCCTCAGAAGGTGTGCTAGAAGTAAGAGGCTTATGTGGTAGAGTGGGGAATGTCAATGTATCAAACCGGATTTCACTTGAACAGACAAGTCCCATCTCAGTCCTAGTGCATCCCGCACTATCAGGGACATCATACTATGTAATAGAGAGAAACAGGTTATAGGCAAATCACTGGACGGATCCAGGGCCCAAATTTTGGTATCAGAACTTGTCACATAGCATGAGGTATCACCTAGCGGGGCTTATAATAAAACATGGAGTAAATACATAATGAGATCCAGAATGGCCTACAGACGCGCAGTAGGAGTAACATTGGTTTCAGTAGCTTCCTCAATCCGGGCACCGAGACACTTGTTCACACGACGGAACATCTCGTAGGTCTGCTTGCGAACACGCTCATGAGCACCGCACAGATGACCCGAGATATTCTTAACCAAGTTCTCCTGCTGGCCAGGCTGGCGGCCCAGGACCTGCCAGAGACCATCAGCCTGAACGTAATCCTCATCAGTGACAGGCATCTGCTCAGCCAGAACAGCACCAGTCCACTTCTCGTGCTCCTGGCTCGCCTTGACAGGCTTGTAAGTCAAGGGGCGGAAGGTAGAGGGGTAGTTGGGGTTGGCGCCATAGTTGCCGTTAACATTCATGGCACCGTCACGGTGCCAGGGGCTGAAACCGCGGACAGGGCAATTGACGGGGATCTGATCGTAGTTGCCGCCCAGACGGTGGCGCTGGGTGTCTGGGTAAGAGAAAAGACGGGCTTGCAGAACGGGATCGGCGGAGGCTTCGACACCGGGGACCATGTGCGAGGGAGAGAAAGCAGCTTGCTCAATCTCGGCAAAGTAGTTCTCAGGGTTCTTGTTCAGGGTGAAGCGGCCGAAGCGGCGCAGAGGCACCTCGCTTTGGGGCCAGACCTTGGTCAGGTCGAAGACATTCCAGCGGAACTTTTCGGCTTGCTCTTGGCTAAGAACCTGGACGTAGCAGGTCCATGAAGGGTTCTCACCACGCTCGATGGCGTTGAAAAGATCCTGAGTATGCCAATCGGGGTTCTCGGCAGAGAGCGTGGTGGCCTCTTCGTTGGTGAAGGTCTTGTTGCCCTGATCTGTCTTGCAGTGGATCTGAACGTAGTTAAAGGTGCCATCAGGCTTGATCCACTTGTAAGTGTGGCCAGAGTAGGCGTTCATGTGGCGGTAGGAGTATGGGGTACCACGGTCACTGAAGAGGTGCATCACTTGGTGGACAGCCTCCTGGTGAGTGGAAAGATAATCCCAGAACATGGTGGCATCCTTCAGGTTGGTCTGTGGGTTACGCTTCTGAGTGTGAATAAAGACGGGGAACTTGGCAGGGTCACGCAGGAAGAAAACGGGAGTGTTGTTGAACACCCAATCCCAGTTACCTTCCTCAGTATAGAATTTAATAGCGAAACCACGAGGATCACGGGCACTGTCGGGTGATCCCTTCTCACCACCAACTGTGGAGAAGCGGGTAAGCATCTTGGTCTTCTTTCCCACGCCCTTCAGCATATCGACAGTGGTCTGTTGAAATGTTGTATTAGTCGAATCCGTATAGAATATCCGTGGCGCATACTAACAATGTCGCTAATGTCATCGGTGACTTCAAACTCGCCGTAGGCGCCAGCACCCTTGGCGTGAACCACCCGTTCGGGAATGCGTTCGCGGTCGAAGTGAGCGAGAAGGTCAATCAGATGGAAATCCTGCAGCAGGAGTGGGCCATTGGGGCCGATGCGCTGAGAGGCTTGGGGGTCCATGACCTATGGAACATTCACATTAGATCCAATATTTATGTCAAGGAGTGGGAACAAGATGTCACGTACTGGGCAGCCATTTGAGGCCGTGTAGACCGGAGTCTCATTGTAGCGGTAGGTCTCTATCAAAGTAGTTAGCTAAGAACTGTCGACTGCGCAATGAGCTTGATATCGGCACATACTGGGTTCCTCGTCTTTGCCCATCTTGAAAGATATTTTCACAATCGATGAAAAGCCGAGAAAAGACTGCGGGGAGCACGGTATATAACCCCGTCAATCGAAACAGCCCGGTGGAGAGCCATGGAAAAAATTGCCTTGAAAACATGAGACCCACCCGCAATGCTATGTTGATATGGAATCATCCACAGCCCATTGGCCCACACATCAAGAAGACCCGCGCTTCTTTGCTTCATTCAAGGTAATTTGTATAAGTGGGCTCTAGCCAACAGCCCCTGGTGGCGTAGTGCCCAAAATGTTATAGATTCCTCAGGGTCCCTGCATTCAAGCAGTTAAAACCCGACATCATCCCATCGCAGCAGTATCTGTCACTCAATGGCTTCCGTGTATGGGGAAAAAGCAGATCAATCCCAATTGATTGAAGCTTGTTTGTCAGTCGACCCTGTCTGGGCCGAAAGAGATCGCGATAACGGCTCCAAGAACCCGATGGGACACTATTTTAGTCATTCGTACCCGGTTTCGTGGCGTTTCAGGGAGGAGAAACCGGGAACTATCTCAATATGGCAGGCCGGTCCGCAGCTCAGATCGATGTTGTTCGAATGCATATCAGGATGATATAGATGAAATTCCATTCTGATCCATTATACCAGTACTTGTAAACCACTCTGACCTTGTTCTGAGTTTCTGTTGACACTTTTCTCCCATTGAAATTGTGTGTGTATCTGAGCCGTGGCGGCTCCACAATAGCTTGCGACGATCAAGCGGAAACCTCCGAGCTCCGTCTCGGCTTGCGGAATCCAGCCGATCGGAATGTGTTGGTGATGCCGATTTAGATAAGAATTGACTAGCATATAGAAATGGATGAGGATGTCACTTCCAACTTGTTCCTCTCCAGATTTGAGTTGATGGATATCATATTGAGCCGCATGGGCCCCGGGGGCTGAACTCCCACAATGATGTGTCAAGAATGTGCCAGTGAGAATTAATTCCATGCGAGGATCTGAGAACCTGACCATCTTTTTATCAATACGAGTGAGTTTTTCTGCTATGCCAGTGATATGACTTCTTTCATCAAACCGGAGTCTTGATGTTGATGTTCATAATGTCACGACTCACCTGATCTCCCTCCGTAGACTCCTTTCTTGCCTTGTTTTCTCATCCTCTGTCTTTACCTCAATTTGGACTCGGCGCCATGACATCAAGCCCCGATGTTTATCAAGGTAAAGCGCCATAAACTTTAGGCTACGTTGTTTCATACGGAGTGCGGATTCGGATCCTTGCACCGCGGAGGTAAACTCGGTATATGGACACGGAGTAGATGAGATGTCCGCGGAGTTGCCCCACATTGATCAATGTATCTTTTGTATATAAAAAGCTAACAAAAGGTACATCTTCGTTCAAGTTTCGGTCCCTCGTTTAAATCGTTTAAGAGTGAGATATTTGCGGGGCCTTTATGGAATCATGGACATGAGCCTCGCTTACTTCGTACATTTGTAGACATTTGCATAAGCTTGAATCCTTCATTTATCACTTATGGCTTATAAGCAGGCTGAAATTCCCCTTTCTGTCTTGGAAACTCTACCATACTACATCGACCTCGTTTCCCTTGATATCTCTGTTCTCTACGGAACAAACCATGCCGTTTTACCTTAACTTACACCCGAGTATTATACTCTTGGGCAGTATTGCTCTGGGAACCATCATCTGTCTATCAATAAGGCGTTCCTGGATCCATCGTCAATTTGCAAGGGCTCATGGCTGCAAACCTATCGCACGATCTCTGTCAAAAGACCCTTTTCTAGGTCTTGATTTACTGCCCGGAACTTTTCGTGCTATCAAAGAGAACAGGATCTTGGCGAGAAGTTTGGAAAATTACAAGACTCATGGCAATACATTCACAGTGAGGGAGCTGCACATATCAGCAATAGTGACCATCGAACCGGAAAACATCAAGACAGTCCTTTCGCTCAAATTCCAAGATTTTTGCATTGCTCATCGCCTGGAATGCATGAAACCACTGCTTGGAGAGGGCATCTTTGATACTGACGGTGATCACTGGGCCGCATCGCGTGCTCTGATCCGACCCAGTTTCAACCGTGATCAAGTAGCTGATTTAACATCTCTTGAGAGTATATTCCAGGATTTCTTTTCATTGCTCCCGCGTGATGGGGAGACAGTGGTCGATCTACAGGGTCTATTCTTTCGCTACACTATTGATTCGGCGACTGAGTTTTTGTTCGGACAATCTGTCGGTACTTTGAAGAATTCTGAGGGAGAACTTGGATTTGCAGATGCTTTTCAATATGCCCAAAAGGCTATTCTCATGCGAGGAATGCTGGGTCCTTTGAATTTCCTTTTCCCAGATCGACGAGCTGAAGAGTGCAATCGTACATGTCGAGACTTTGTTCAGCAGTTTGTCGAGGAGGCAGTCAATGCAGTCCAGACCAGGAAGGAAGAAGGAGAAAAGTCAGATCCTAACTCAACGCGTCCAAAGCGTGTTTTCTCTCACGAACTGGCAGCGCAGACATCTGATAAGACTCGTATTCTGGATGAATTGATGAATGTGCTGCTAGCTGGCCGCGACACCACTGCGAGTTTGTTGAGCAATATGTTCTTCATGTTGGCTAAGAATCCAGCAATGTGGGACAAGCTACGCAGAGAGGTGGCATTCTTAGAAGGTCGTCTACCTACCTATGAGGAGCTTTGCAACATGAAATATGTTCATTGCTGTATGAATGAATGTAAGATACCCCTCCGTTTTCAACACTTCTTTCCTCACTAACAGATTTAGCTCTTCGCTTGCATCCAGTCGTGCCGCGCAATGACCGCCAGGCTGTAAGAGACACCGTCTTACCACTAGGTGGAGGGGAGGATGGTCTCTCCCCAATTTTCGTGCCGAAGGGTACCTTGGTTGTTTACAATTTGTTTGCAATGCACCGACGTAAAGACATTTACGGACCTGATGCAGATGACTTCCACCCAGAGCGTTGGGAAGATGGAAAGTTGATGCCACGATGGGGATTTTTGCCCTTTAATGGCGGTCCACGGATATGCATAGGTCAGAGGTATGCTTTGACTGAAGCTGCCTATGTTCTTGTTCGGATGGTGCAAGAGTTTAAGAGTCTGGTAAGCAGAGACCCGGGAGAATGGCAAGAGACAAGAGGATTGACCTTGACGTCCGGGAATGGGAACAAGGTGTCTCTCATTCCTGCTTAAATGAGATGATTTTGATATGACTGGTCTGTTCCCTGAATTAATGAGTGATGCTCTCCTGTATAATGTTTAATTTTTATGAGTGTCGTTCAACATTGAATATTCCCTTGCTCAAGTTCACGAAGAGCGACGGAAGCAATAGAAATTTCGAGACAAATCTCTAGTAAATGAATCCTGTCGTTTACATATGATATAATTTGAAATATGTTAAATGGTGATAGATCTTGATAAATTGAAATATGCATGTAGCTACGGTGTGACTGAAGATCTTACCGCAATTGTCGAGAGATTGAACTGTCACGGTGTCACCTCCCCAGCCACCAGTTGACACTATTTGATTCAGCTCCCCACTCGGTGTTACTTCAAGTCCCCAAAACAAACCAGATTGGGTGAACTTCCAGTGTCAACATGAATCTTGCTAAGGGAAGAAACTCAGCATTATGCTGAGTTTTTTAGTCAAACTTGAAGGTATGCATATATGCCCTATGAGAAAAACCTTGGAATCTCAACTAACATAAGACCTTGTTTTCACGCGTAGTTAATACTTAAAACTTTCATTTACACTACCGAAGTTAACCAAATGGTTGTGCAACACACTATTACTACTTATCCAATACTTCGTGCTTGACTTCGATAAAGTGTAACCCGTGGGCGTGAACTATTCGTGTCTTATGCTCATCACGGCACAGAAGATAAATACTCCGTACTGCTTTTGAACCTTTCATCTCAAAGAATCAGACTGAGAGACACAAAAATTCAGTCAAAATGAGTTCAATATGGGAGTATTATAATGAAAAATCAATACTGATGACAGGTGGTTCTGGCTTCCTAGGAACAGCACTTGTCCATCGCCTGCTTACAAGTACATCGGCATCGCGTATTTATGTGGTCTGTCGAGGAGGTGCAAAGTAAGTATACTCACCAAAAACCACTTGAGCTACAAGATGAATCTATTCTAATAATGCGCGTATAGGAAGCTTGAGGCCAGATGGAAGGAATGGATGCCCAGTGACACAGTCCGTCGTATGTGCGATTCCAACCGCCTGATCGTGCTGGATGGTGATATTCTCTTGCCCAATCTGGGTCTCTCGAAATTTGATTTGGATATTCTACGGCATGATACCGAGATCGTTATCCATGCAGCATCTTCTATCAACCTAGGGAAACGCCTAGATCGTGTTTTTAATTCAATCGTCGAAGCGAGTCAAATGATGTTCAACATCGCACTATCATGTCCAAACTTTGAGCGATTCATCTATGTCTCAACCGCATATTCAAACGCCCATCTTTATTCCCAAAGTCCAGGATCCGACATTCAAGTTGAAGAGAAGATTTACTATCTCAAAGGCGAAAGTGATGTTCTCGAAGAGCTTGATCAAGTACGAAAACATGGAACGAGCAAGGCATATCAAAAAGAGAATTTTCCCTGGAGCTATGCATACGCGAAAAACCTTTCAGAAAGGCTGCTACTACACAGATTCAGTGAGATTGGTGCAAAGGAAAAGCTTCTCATCGTGCGCCCATCTGTGATCGGTCCTTCTCTTCGTTTACCCTTTCCAGGATACATTATGCCCATGTCTTCACCTTGTACCATGAGTATAGCAATAGCATCTTTATACCCATTCCGGACGTTGAAAATTGCAACACTGATGGCTGAGCCTGAGTTGGACGTTCATATTGATGAGGTCCCTGTGGATGTTGTCGTCGACCGCCTTCTGTGTCATCTTGCTATGGGTACATACGGCTGTTTTCATGCTGTCAGTGGAGTGGATTCACGAATAGACTATAACTGCTTTGTTAAGAACTTGGGGATAGTTCGCCGATTTCCGTGGGGAGTGCAGCCTGTCTGGTTGAAGGAAGATTGGAAATCGCGCAAACAGTTCTGGGCAAGTCGCATATATGCGATTATCGGAGTTTCTTTTGCTTTCTCCGATGACAGGACTATTGCTCTCAGCAAGAGACTCTCTGATCAAGAGAAAGTGGATCTACAGTTGTTTTCAGGGTGCAATTTTGATGTTGCGTCCCGTGCAGAAAGCATTCGTTATGTCATGGATCAGTTTGCAGGCCAAAGTTGGTTAGCATGGATGATTGTTTGGCTTCTTTATTCAGACCTTGGGAAGGGAAATTCTCACCGTTGGCGATCTGTAAAGTTATAATTTCAAATTCTCTGCTGCTATGTAGGAAATAATACTTCCTATGGAGTCTCAGGTATCTTCAAGTCGGCCAATTTTCATTGATGATTTTGAGTACACCAAATCTTACTTCGATTCGTTCTCTCCGTGAAAATAAACGGCTTGCTTAAATCCTCTAATATATTGAGATTGACATCATTCTAGATATAGATCATTGAGTGATCCCATATACATCTGTCTCATCTCGAAGCGACGGCATTTACTGTGGATCTAAAAGCCGCAACGGCGACTGGATGGGGACCAAACGCCGGGTTCCCGGAGCATACACCGGATCGCATCTATGAAGAATCTTAGTATGCGAAAGAACATGAAGTCCAGTGGAATGAGTTGGTTCTAGAAATATGACCTCCTCCTTCTTTCTATTCTTTCTTTTTCCCTTTTCCTTCTATCCCAACGCAGTTCCTCCATGCTCCCAAGGACTAGAAACCGTCCACACCAATCGATCTATAAGCTCCCGCCTTGAGTTTCTATCATTCACAACAAAATGAATTCAGATTCAAGCACAGCCGAGTATTTTGCGTCTGCTGCTACAGCTAAGACAATTTCTACTGCCCTTTCAAATGTGACAATGTCCACCAGCGCCATACATGTGGATGACTTTGCAAGTGCTCATAAAGGCATCGCTCCTGCAATTCATGTAGCAGTCAACTATCGCTATGACCGAGATCCAGCAAATTTAGTGCCAGGAGAAAACAGAGATGTATGCTTCCTCTCTGCTCCTGTTTATTTCTCTCCCGAGGTCCTAATCTTCTTCTTTACAGCCTCACAACCCCGAGAATTCGTTCGTGTATTCCCGCTACTCGGCACCCAACAGCTCCCGATTCGAAATGGTTCTCAAAGAGATATTCGGTGGTAAAGTCATGACATACTCAACCGGACTAGCCGCATTTCACGCAATCATGGTGTTACTCAATCCAAAACGAGTATTCATCGATGACGGCTACCACGGCGTCCACGCAAAAATTGACCTGATGACCAAACTCACTGGTGTGAAGAAGTACAATCTCGATCAGCTTGAGTATCTTGCTGCAGGAGACGTGATTCATATCGAAACACCCGTAAATCCCACTGAGAAGTGCGAAACATCTCATACTACAGTAAGAAGGCCCACGAAGCCGGTGCATACCTTAATGTAGATGCGACTTTCGGTCCACCACCCTTGCAAGACCCGTTACATCTGGGAGCTGATATTGTCATGCACAGTGGGACGAAGTACATTGGGGGACATTCGGATATGATGTGTGGTATTCTTGTTGTTCATTCCATGCGTGTCGATCGGGGGTGGTATAAGACTCTTTACTCTCAGAGAATGGTTATGGGGAATGTGATGGGGAATCTTGAGGGGTGGTTGGGCCTTCGATCTCTTCGGACACTTGAAATTCGCGTGAAGAGGCAGTCGGATACGGCTAAGACTCTGGTGGAATGGATTCATCGTGAGTTGCAGAACCCTGATTCGGATATTAGCCGAGTTGTTGAATCGATAAAAACATGCATCGTTGCAGGAGGTGGATATCAAAGAGGGGTGGCTGATACATCAAATGCCTAATGGGGTTGGGCCGGTTTTTGCGATTTGGTTAAAGTCTGGGCACCAGGTCAGACAACTTCCGAGAAAGCTGCGCCTCTTTCAACATGCGACGAGCTTGGGGGATGTTGAAAGCTTGATTGAATGGAGGGCGATGAGTGATGATACTTGTGACCCTAGGCTTCTTCGGGTTAGTTGTGGTATAGAGGATGCCTATGATCTTCAGCAAGATCTTGCTCAAGCGTTTCTAGCTTTTGCGGGTGAAGAATGAGATAGTAGTTTGTTTTTATAAGGCTCGATAAGGTGTATGGTGGCTTCGAAGGTTTTTTGACACAAAAGAACTAGTTCAAGAGCAGACATTAATTATATTGAGAAGCACTGAGAAGCATCCCGGTGCAACCACAGTATTTTATTAGTATTTAGCAGCTAGTCTGTTAAGATAGCTGTCTGGTAAGCAATGAAAATTTCTTGACTCATGCCACCGACTCCTTCGAACATTTGGGCCAATTTCAGTGCTCCAATAATAGACTCCATTCCCTGTCGAAGCTCTCCTATCAGTCTCTCTGCATCTTGAGTCTCCGAATCCGGTTCTGGGAAATTAAGAAGATAATGATAAAGTAAAAGGTGGCCTGACTCCAATGCAGCACGTATTCGATAATAGGATGTAAGCAGAACATATGCGCTCTGCATGGCTGCGCAGACAAAGTATGGCAGTATGCAAGGCGGGGATGAGCTTCGCAATGAAAGATCTTCCAGAGCGCGAGCTATGACTAGCGATGATTTGAGACACATGACAGATGACTCCTGCTCCGTGAAAGGAAAGGTCGCATCGAAATTCTCGGCATTACTAAGATCGGGTTCTGCGATTGCTTCCGTTTTGTCTTGGATTGCTGTCAGATCGCAGTACTTCTCTAAAGACACGGGGATATCCCTGAAAGCGCGTGCTCGGTGTAGTCTTATGCGAGCCCTAGCACAGTAAAAAATATCAGAATGGGATTTGAGGATCATAATCAGTCAATAATCAGATAAATTCACTCACGAATGAACTCAAAGTCTTACAATAAGCCAAATCTTTCGGGAGGCCTTTCTCTCAAGCTCCGTCTCTGAGATGAACTCTGGTAGGCGATCCAACTTCTTGATAAGATCTGATAAATGAGAATTCTTTTCCTTTATACTTTGCGACATATCGCATGATGTAAGGACGTTATTGGTTTGATGCTTGTCGGAGACTTCAGAAATCGCGAGGATAGACTTCTCAGCCTCCAGTAGCAAGTTCCATGGCTGGTTCAAAGTTAGAGAGACGTTATCTCATAATTGTCGGAGCACAAAATACCTCTGGCGTATTTCCAAGTTCAGGGAACGGAGTTGTGATTCGAGGATCATTGAGAGAGATTATTGGTGACTATTTCAGTCAGAATAAGATTTCCAGCACGGAGAACGAAAAGAGCAGAAAAGAATGGAAAAACTCACCACCTGCTGATCGATAGAGGACAAGTAAAGTACAAGCATTCAAAATCCTGATTAGCAACTGACAATTCACATGAATATCTGCATTGACATACAGCACTCCACCATGTGTGACGCTGTGCCTCTGTTGCTCTTGATCCCAAATTATGCAGAGAAAGATCCATAGCAGCAGTGACAGTCTGGTTTGCACGACTTCGCATTCGCGAGATATTACCTCTCTGGCAATATTCATAAATGCTGAGCAGGACTAAAGCAATAATTGGACTGAGTTGAGACTGAACACAAGAATCTGTCGCCATACTACTGTCAGTTCTCAGGTGAAAGCATGTCGCAGATATCCCATCAATCTCATTGTCGACCTCGCTGAACGCTGCTTCTGCATAAAGATGTGCGTGCGAACGTCGTAGGTGTATTGATGGGTTGCTAAATGGATTCGTGTCACCAGGCAGTGAAATTAACGCCAAAATGGCAGAAATCGCTAATGTGCGGGAAGATGCTGGCCAGTATGAGAAGCAGGACCGATCGATGACACTTTCGTTGAGACTCAGAGCATTGATAGCTGTAGGTCCGTCTTGGTATAAGGGTGATCTCTGAGGTGGTAGAATTGGAAGAAATGGATAGATGTAAATGTAATAGGCATTCATTCTGGAGAAAGTTAGATGCCAAGCTGATATATGGCTAGTCGGCACTGGTATCATACATGTCTTGTTCTGATGTATAGATGCGTAGCTGGGGGGAAGAATCATTATGAAGGCTCTTCAAATTTTCCGTGTAGTCTCCATTCGTCAGATTCTGGCTCAAATGGCTTCGTGAGGCTGTAAATGGGATATCAAGATTTCGAATTCCCACATAAGGATTCAATAACCCAAGAATACCATCTACACCATGGTATCTGAGACTATCATTTGTATCAGAGGTCTGGAGGTCAGTGATTGGCGACCATTGCTGCGAGTCATAGCTCATCTGATGGAACAAGGGATTGGTTTGAGTTGCTGGAAGTGACGTGACATTGTCTTGAGTAAGGAAGTACGGGCCCCGCCGGATACCTCCTCGTTGACTAGGAAGATAGGAGCACGTCGACTCTTTAGAAGAACACTAAGTGATCTTTCCAGCGATAGTATCTTGACAAAATTTAAAAGATTGTGAGTCATACCCTGCTGCAGGGATGTTTTCCATCACATCGTGTTTTGGCTGTGCGACTAAGGGATGTTAGCTTTCAAATGTTGAAAATTTTGACAATCCCGTGAAAGACAGACCAGGAAAGAAATGCTGCTTTTACTGGCGGCTGCTGGCTTCGTTTGGCCTGTTGCTTAGGCATGGCTGGAGTCAACGTCAAGAATCGAGGGGAAGTTCCCAGGAAGGTTCTAGGAGCCACGGCCCAGATACATTATTGCCTTGGATAAACGTCAATTACAGACCGAGCTATACACCGCCTGAAAGCTAAATACTGGAGTTTGCCGTGATAATTATAATTTGGTGGATCATCCTTGACCGTGTTAATGTATTTCATGTAATTTAATTTTTCTGCCCTCTATTTCTATAGTGTCTTAGACCGGGTCTGAGGCGTGGTCTTATTTTTTCGCTCTATACACGCCCCATGGCTCTAAAGCTTGTGCTGCTTCAAGATTGAAAATAAAGTGTAGGGCTTGTCGATTACACCAATTTCCTCATTTCTAGTGATTTTAATCCTTTCTCAAAGCCAAATTTTGGGATCAGAAATCTCTTTTGGATGTTTCCTGCAGTCAGTCCTGATGTGTATGAATCAAATGTAAGACTAAGTCTTCTCTATTACTAATAATGTACGAGACGAGTCTATTCAAAGTCATCGGTTCTAACATCCATAAGTACCGAACTTCCAAGAACAGTACAATGAACATTTGGACACCGATGTTCTACTAGTACTTCCGAGTTATTGCTGGGGCTCTAGATAATTGATTTGAGAGCATTTCATAGTCCAAGTTTCTACCAAGTCTACTGGGTCTACTACCTCGAAGAACCTTGGAGCCTCATGATGTTTCTTTAAACCTCTTCCGCGATCACTCGGTGCTTGCTGTGGTGAGTGACACAGATGCACGCATTTTTTGGCATAATCAGCTGCTCTCAGACAGTCCAGTCTGGCCTTGAATTAGCTAGCCATACATTCAGCTATGACATACTGAAATGACACTGATGCGTAGGTGCACAGAATTCATAGCCACTACTGATAACCTTGGAAAGAGTAAGCAAATCAATGATGTATCAACTCCAAGTGCTCAAACTAATCGAACAAAAATCCCCAACATCGAGCGATTATCACTTGCAGTTCCAAGAAAAAAGAAAAACAACTTTATAGATCAATCATACTACTAGTAAAATAAAACCCCACATGTGCACCATAAAACATGGAACGGCATGAATAACCAAAAAAAAAAACTCCTTCCCTATACCCAATAAGGCTAGTTAGATGTATAACATCGCACCAATAATAAAAGATCAAAAACCCTTGGAAATAATCCCAACCCTAACCCAGATAAGTCTAAACTCCCCGCGATCAGCAGGGTTCGACCCACGTGGCATGGACATCAAAGTACCTTTATGTGGGAGGAACTAACCCTATTCGAGATGACGGGCTAAATGCAGGGAGCCGGAACTAAGCTCAGCCACGGGTAATAGTACTTATACGGAGTACGGGATCCGAGTGTATACTTCTAGTAAGGAGTAATGTACCTAGATAGTTAATTCCCTGTCCTAGAATATTCATCTGATTTATGCTATCTCAACTTCAAATGTTCAAATTGATATTGGGTTCAAGTTTGAATCATTGATGTGATGCGATGCACATGTGTTACCTTCAACATTTGAATATTAAATTCATTAAATCAATAGAAGTCACTCTCATTGGTAGATCATCATTATGCAATGTGATTAAAATATTCCTTAAACAAACATTTGAAAGATTCCATTCAATGTTCTACTCGAATACGAGTCCACAAGACTAACATCCCTGCTCACCAGCTTGAATCAAAATAGCATACACACATGTGCACGTTCCAACATGAAGGTTTACTTATACGAATGACTAGCATAGACCCAGTCCAAAATTCTACTAGTGCTATCACGTATCACATACATGTATGCACTGTGATTCCCCGTGACAAAGCGCCGTCGGCAGGAGTCACGGATAGACTAGCCACAGACACTAACTTAGCCAAGGAACCGAAACCAAATCCCAAGCTAGTGGGGATTTCAACCCAACCACTAGGGTAAGAAAAAAAAATAAAAATAAAAACTAAAAAATAAATAAGCGCCCTTGCGTCGGGTATCCATGGAATAACCTTATTTTCAAAATTACTAGCACCACACGGCTGATACTAGGTCCTTGTTTGCGCTAGCCTTATGTACATGCTTGGATTGTTTTGGATTTTGGATGGTGGCTGAGACTAGTGCTAGGTGACGTTTTGTATTGTTTTAAGTTAAAGTCTTTAAGCATTCTAATGTTGAGGTTTAGCTTCATTGTTCAAGCTCGATGTTTCTGCTTTGCTACCAATGACTGATACTTTGTACACAGCCATGGAGGCACATCTAGACTCTACGAGGTTGGAACTTGGATTTGAAGAAATTTTGATAGCTCAGCTTCACTTGACTTGTTGTCAAGGAAGTATTAATATCATTGAGATTGGTCTGTTGTCTCAAGTGCATGTTTCCTGTGGTTCCCACCAGATGGTACATAATCCAGAACTAATGAAATCGGAGAAAAGGAAATAAAAATACTCAGGCACAGGTTACAAGTCCCTCAAAATTAGGACGAAAACAGTTCAGAGGAAAGTAAAATCAGTCAAGGGTCAGATCAGTTCAATAATTCACAAGGTAGCTTTGCAGGTAAAATCACCTGGTTTAGCAGAAATGTACGTTAAAAAGTGGAGATAGAAGAGAGATAGGGAGCTCGTAAGCAAACCCACAGAGAGCAAGAGTTCCATACAGTCACAAGCAACATTGGAAACAAAAAAACCCCTCCCGTAACGTAAGAAAATAGGAATCATTTTGGGAGAGACATTCCACCCATAGGAAAATGTTGATAGGCAAAAAGACATAACAGAAACACATTGATGCAAAATAATCCGCCAAACCATTCCTTGAGGCTACAACCTCAGCAAAAAGCAACCAGAAAGAAAACACGCATGAATCAAAAGTAAAAAACCCATTTCGGAGCTTTTCCTATGGAGTGCAGTTTACTGCGGAGCCAATGGTGCTCTAGTACAAGGGGAAAATTGCATAGAAAAGAGAAGACAGGCAAAAAGCCACTCTTTGACTGGACGGATTAAAGCCACAGAGGTTGGTATCATCGAGATAAAAGACTTGGAAAAGGGGAGAACCGAATCCGAGACGACATGAGTCACAGGCAATGGGATATCGTGAAAAGAGAAGAAAAAAAGAAAGAGAGAGATGGTGAGGATGAGGGAAAGAGAGAACAAGGATAACAAAAGACAGAAAAAAAAAAGATGCAGGCCGTTCCACAACGTTGGTGATAAGAGGGGCGATTAAGAGATTATTGATAAGTGGTCGATGGAGTCTCTGAATAGCCGTAGCGAAGTTCATCAGCCGACCGATTCCTGGGTCGTAGATCGAAGGGGTAGAAAAGCCAGTTTGAGGGGAAGATGGGTCGACCCCATGGATGTCGACTGATCGTTGATATGGTTTGGTTTGGTTTTTGTATCACTCACGTTGTTGGTAAACGGGTCCGCTCTGGTAAGGCGAATGTGGGTAATTGGGAGGGTATCCCATCTGTCCATTGCTTTGGTAGACAATGCCACCGCCAGGACCACCGTACTGGCCGGGGACCTGACTATCCGCTGGTTGGTAGCCAATGGGGGGAAGCTGAGGGCGACCACCGCCGTAGGCAGAAGGTTGACCAGCCTGGGGATCGGAGGGAGGGCCGTCAACCTGGCTAGCTTGCGCAGCCTGGGCGGCAGCACGCTCCCGCTCCTCAGCAGCCTTGCGCTGTGTATCCTCTTCCTTCTTGCGAGCCTTCCATTCCTTGCGAATTTCCTTGAATTCTATATAAGAACAAGTCAGTGATGGGTTGAACAACGAAGACAACAAGATACGACAGCAAGGAGGGATCCGTGGTAGTTACTTGATCCGGCGGGGCGGGAAGGGATAGCATAAGCTAACCTCCACGCCGTCGACCACGCTACTGCGGCCCCGCGAGATCTAGTGTAACTCACTAGCGCGGACCTGCGGGCGCTAACCCCAATCCAGCGATTTGCGACAAACCACTTGGATTTGAAAAGAAACGCGTGCTTTAACCATAACAAATCAATTAGAACTGACCTTCGGGGGTACGTTTCGCGCCATGCGATTGCATCGTAACGTGCGCGTTCAAGTGGTTCAGAGTACCATATGCCTTTTCACATCCATTCCAGCCACACTTGTACATGCGCTCGATTTCTTCATATCGACGGCGAGGACGCTTGTGCTGTTGAGCACCAGGAATAGGGACGAAAGAGTAGACCTGTAATCGAAAACAGAAGACCCATTAGCGATCTAATTTCTAGTCACACACACACCAAATGAAATTTTATCTTTCCAGGTAAAATTTGGAGGGGTCTCCCTGTCACTCAATTTGAGCGTATTAGGAAGCAATGTGGAGGTAATGTTTTTGACAATCCCTGGAGGGAGTGCTTGGGGACCAGGAAGAAATAAGGAAAACACCAGTCAAAACCCAGAGGCACCCCAGACAGCAGTAAAAGAAGCCTTAAGAACCAGGAATCATCAAAAACATACCTGGCCAGCAGGGCGTGACCCTGCGGTTGTAGTAGGGGAGGCGGAACCAACCGTAGTAGTAGGAGAGGCATAAGGACCTGGCAAGCCATGTTGATGCTGGCTGTAGCCATGTGGCCAATCCGGGCGCGCGTAAATCTGGTGGGGAGGGGGGGGTGACCCTGGTACTGCATATCGTGACCCTGAGGCTGATAGGGAGAGTAAGGAGGAGGATAAGTCGGGCTGTTGGCCGGGAGTTGGGGATCTATTGGAAGGGCCGCGTCAGACTTCAGGTTCGGACTGCGCGGGGTTGGAGGCAAGAACGGACTTGTGGCTTGAGCCATAGTGGGAGCACCGCCGGGTTGAGTGTTAGGAGCGTAACCCTGAGGGCGCGGAAGATAGTCCTGATGATAGGCAGGTGATCGAGACGGCGGGGGGATTCAGTCCGTACTCGGGCTGAGGTGTGTTGGAGGACGAAATATTGGCGGGTCGCACCTCAGGTTGGGGGGTGTACTGAGTAGGGCGAACCTCGGGTTGTGGGGTGTGGTTGTAGTGAGCAGCAGGAGCAGCAGCAGTCTCTGCGGCGGGTAGTTCAGAAAGGTGTTGTGTTTGTGCGCTCACGAGTGAGAGAACGAATTGGGGGGAGAAAGTGAGAGATTGGGGAGGGATTAAGCCGGAGCTGGTGCTGGAAGGTGCGAACCTGACTGTGCGTACTCGGAGGCAGGCCGGTTGTCCATGTAAAGATCGGCGCGCCCGTAATAAGAGAATTGTCGAACTTAATGGATAGGAATTGATCAAACGCGATTCAGAAACTGTGCAGGACAAGTGAAGCGCCTTTTGGTCAGTTTCTTGGGAAACTTGCAGGGAAGTTGAAGGGAGAGGTTTTGAGAGCCAAGAAGAGAAAACGGCAAGGGGATCACACGTTTGCACGTTTTGCACGTTTTCTCAAGGAAAAAGAAGAATGACTTACGTTGAGTCCGGGGGAGGCGAAGCAGCAGTAAAATGCAGATCGATGGGGTGGAGATTTAAAAAAGAAAAAGGAAAAGGGCGGATCGACGCGTTCTTGTCAAAGCGCGTTCAAGCGATACCGATGCTTAAATCTTTAGTTCACTTTTTTTTAGGGGATGTACTTGGTGTACCCTAGGTACTTGTATACGGGGTATAAGGGTGATGGGGATTATGACCAATCTGAACCGAGGAACCTTTCCCTTTGGAACCACGTATACTTCTGTTATAAAAGAAAAGAAAAGGGAAAAAAAATTAAATAAAAAAAGAAAAAAAAGAAGCAAGAGGGGCTAAGGTAGAGTGGTAAAAGGCGAGATTCGGCAGCGCAGAACATCCTCGTGGGATCCGAGGATGAGTGGACCCGGGTGGACCGTAATTTTGGAAAAATAAAATCATATAAAAAAGGAGATTTGGGAAGAATCAAGAATTGACAAATACCCTACCAATAGAAATCGAAATAGAAATATAAGAGTGATTTATATGAATATCTATCTGTGTTGGAGAGACTCTAAGAGCACTTGAGAGTACTAGGTATACTGCTATACTGAGGATTAAGTGATGCCACTATCAATCATGAAGAGAATTGTAATAATACAAAAAAATATAATATAATAGGAATTATAATTATCATGAAAATAAAATAAAATACATATCAGAAAATCAGAAAAATCCACGAGAAAACGGTATAATGCGAAAGTCGACACTTGCCCAGTGGGAGATTAACATCCCCCTAACCCCTTAGGTCTGCATATAGTTAATTAAATATTAAATATCAAAAAAAAATATTAAATTATTAAACGACATGAAAATAAATATTCTAAATATTCTAAATTCCTACATGAATTCTGAATTCTGAATTCTGGATAATCTCATAATATCGGACCATTCCCTATTCTTTCCAATACTCCGAACATAATGAACTTGAACTTGGCCCCCTTTCCCCTCCCGGCTAAGTGTTCCATTGTCCGTGTGATTAGGAATTTTTTTATTTTTATTTTTTTTTATGAACTTGGAATTATTTTTATTACTATTTTGGATTTTTATTTTTTTTTATGTTATTTTTATTATTGATTTAATTTTTTTTATATTTTATATTTATTCAATTTTGAAAATATGATTGATCATTCTCGGATTCTTTCCAGCAGACGTCAAGGTGACGAAATCCATTCCCTTTTCAATGGGAGATCAAAGATCTTATACGTAGATATACGTAGATGTATATCATTGTCCTACATTTGACGTGGTGATAAAGGTTAGCCTCCCATCTGACTAGTCTACCCGCAACTCGGGCGCGTCTCACGACAGTGAACCTAGCGTCTCTTGCCCGTGGGTACCAACCAAGATCGCACTGACAGGGGACGATATGGGTACAAGGAGAAACTACCAGACCACCACTACTGTGAGGTACCGGCTGTTTCTCTCTGGTAATAAAAAAAACAGAAAAACACACAAAATTACTCGTATGGAGTCACTGAACCACAGAAAAAAAAAAAAAAGGGGATGGGGGCCAAGCCGGTGCTAGGGAATGGCGTGCCCGAGTGAACCTGAGAAGCTCAACGGGGCAATAAGGAAATGAGCCTGAAAGGGAATAGAAGAAGAGACTAAACCAATCTTAGGACTAGCGTAAGTCGGGGGCAGATAAAACGATTTGCTATAAATCGTCGATGGGCAGCAGATTGCAGAAGCGAAACTCGTAATGGAATAGCGAGGACGTGTGCAATGGTGGAGACCTACAAGATAGGTTTAGTGGCAAAGTCAGTAAAAGCCGAGCGGTTGAAGCCGGTGCCTTTTTGGAGTTTTTGGAACTTTTTTAGTGTAGTCCACCTTGGACACTGGTGGAATTTGGTATGTACCGGTATTCCGGGTATCTGATATCAGGGTAACATGGAACTTTCAAGTTGGAAAGTCAGGGGTATATGAGAAAAGAAAAGAAAAAAAGAAGCATTGAAATTTTTCAATATGTAAAGAAGATCTGATTTTGGTCTAATTTGTGATATTAGATAAATCTTTACTGATTTTCCCTTCAATATCACTAAGTTACGACTCAATCACTCTGTAATCTCCCGTTACGATACATATCACCCGTGGACAACTTGAATCAGGACAGGAACGCGTGTGTGGAGCCAAAAACGAAAAAGCGAACAAGAATAGCTCCCCACTGTCCGTGATCGGAGGCTATCTGCCTGACACTTGGAGGCTGTTTATCCTTTTTGGCCCAGTATTGCTCCATTGACTCCATTATTCATGCGATTGAATTATGTACATGTATTGATTATTTTGAGAACCTTTGGCGACACACATACACACACTCACACCTGGGCATTTTATCCTAACTCCGTACTCCGTACGGCATTCAAAATCGGAGAAAGCCGAGATGGCAGAGGATGACCTCCTTTTTCGTGCATTCCAAGTCCCACTGAGACCTTCTATACAAAGATCAATCTGGAAGTATTCCCTGATGAAATGATGAAATGACTACATACTCTATCTGGAAGTGGTTACCATGGTTGAACTATACTCCGTAATGGAAACCACACACGATTTCTCCCCGAGAACCACTACCTCCCAATCCAGACCATCATACGAGCCCTGGAGGGTTGAATCACGTTCATTAGCGTAGCGGGGAGCTGGACTAACTCAAACCCAAAAGTCCCCAAAGGGTAAAAAGGGGGCGGACTTGATTACCGTGGACCATGGATCAAGCCCCGATCCGGGACCATCGTACAATTGGTCAGTGATTGGTCACCATCGCTTGGGTCCTACTCCAGATTGTCCATTGAGCTCTTCTCTTGGTTCTCTTGGTGCCCTTTGTCCCTAAGAGCGGACTATCGGCGGCTCTCCGGGCGCCTTTGCTTGTTCTTGCACCTATAAGAGAGCCTCGTGGGTCATAAAAGTGGAACCCCCCTTTGGTAAATGATTAAGGAGACTTTTCAGAATATTTTTTTTATTTGGTTTAAGATAGGGAGAACACGGACAATTGGGTGCACAAAGCTGCAAGGCTCCCATCTCGGAAAACGACTGCTCATGTTTCGCCGTATAGCCGATGATTGGTGTAGAATGAAGTGGATTGGATCTCACCCCCGCGCAATAACGGAAACCTGTTGATTCCTATAACCGGTGAAGCAGTAATCAATATTAAATTTGATCAAAACAAGCAATTGGGTCCGTAAGGATTATTTTCATTCCAAGGTTCAAATGTTATATCACTACGGTGTACTATTAGAGTAGCATTTGATGGAGTATAGAGTTATGTCTCCAAGTTTCTTTCCCACATGTACACTCTATTCCTCCGAATTTTCTCCAAAAAAATAAAGATAAAAACTTTCGAGATACATTTTTGTATCCAGAGAATAATATGAAATATCACCGCGTTCCTTACTCCGTACCGGATTCGTTACCACTGACAGACACATCTGTATATCCTCGGCAACCTTGATGGTCTCCGCCAGTGGGCCGCCCCCCTCGCGGAGAGCTCCGCGGGAGGGACGAGGACACCAGGCTGGCCAAGTACGGGTTTTCCGGACACAAGCCCGGGTTGATCGATATCAAATTCATATAGCGCGTCAGTCATTGGACGCCGCAGCCGCAGGTCCCCAGTATGCGGGAGAAAGAGGCCATGCTGGACCTCTGTAACCTCGGACGATCCCTCCGAAAGTGGGCTCCAGTACTTGAGCTGTCCCCAGTTTCCATCTTTTCTTGTCCGAAGCGCTGGTTGATCGAATTAAACCATCAAGGTTGCAGGTCAAACTCAAGAGTGCTTGGCATGGTTCTTGATCCTGTTCTGGCGTCTGCAAGATGGGGTCGGTTTTATCATTCTTATTGTAGACTCGGATATTTTCCAGTACAAAGTACATATGTACGAAATCAGCTGAGTATTTTGTCCCACCTGCAAGAGGTATGGTTATCAATAAACCCTCATATCATACTCGTACATCTCAAGTACTCCCCCGGAGCTTTTTTTATCCTTTTTATCACCCCCTTGCAAATAACGGGCACCGTTATGAGGCGCTTTCCGCGGCTGTGGCTTATTCAGTTTTGTATATTGTAAGTTTTTTATGTTCAGCGTATATGCACATGCGTAATGTGAGTGTGCACGTCCAAAATTGAAATCGCAGCTGGGTCATCTTGGGATTTCCCATTATCTCCGGTGTCCACAAGGAAATATGCACGTGTAGATATTGCAAGATGGACTGGTCGAGCCACGGGTATACTCCGGGACGAGGCACAGTATTAAAAAAAAGAAAAGAAAAAAAAAAAGCTATGGACTCGAGACGATCCAAGCATTCCCCACATCTAGCTCCATCAAATTCCAGCGCCAGCGCCAAAGCCGTGAACACGTCTTCACGATGATCATTCTCTAAGAACGGAGTACGGAGCATCGTACTCGCAAAACGAAATGAAGGGGGCAGGGGGATAACAAAAAAAGAGCTGTCAGTGGGACTTGTGGTCCCCCGTCGGGTACCTCATCCACCGAGCCTTTTTTTTGCTTTTTTAACACTCTTGCCGAGTCTCCATCAAGGACCAAAAAGGACCAAATTCGGTGCCCCGTGCTCAGGGTTGAAGCCGCTTACAAGTTCCATACACACAGCATACACACAAGGAAATCTCCTAAGAGGATCCACCTTTGACTTGGTCAATGCGAGACCCATGTACATTTTCACATTTCGTAGACAAAAAACTATGCCGTACACGGTAAGTCTTACCCGCTTGTCCTTCGGTAGATCGAATTGATTCCGCTTCGGAGTAAGCGTTGTTGGTCACGGGCAAAACAATCCCAGCTGATGATCATTGCGATATTTTATAAACAAATAGACAAAATGGAAAATAGAAAGAAAAAAAAACCGGAGAACAAATTCATTTGTTCCGGATGACCTCTTTACCCCCTTATCTTCATTTGGTAATTTATTGGAATATAATAATATAATGAGACATGCGGCATCTTTTTTCGGATTTCCCCCTCGGTTAGAAAATCATAAGGGGGCTAAGAGAGGCTGATAAAAATAAATACATAATATACATAAAATAAGCGTATAAAAGTAGCCAGAAAAATGCTAGTCAGTTTTTACTAATGTACGGAGTATGTACAAGGATCCGAATCCCGAGACAGGGGGTTAATTCAGTCAATTCAGTCAAAGTCCGGCTAAAATCATACTCCAACATGTACATACCTGCTAGTGACAAGATTAACATCACCAAGGAATAAACCCTGTACTTTTACTCCGTACAATCAAGTCAAATCCTGCATGATTCATATGGCGGAGAATTTCTTGATCTGTCCACATGCGTAAAGCCAAAAGTTCCAAAAATCAAGGCAAAGAAACTAGGAATTAACTTGAACTTGAAGGATAATATCCGGATTCAAGGTTATTACAGACCTCTTCATCATGATCGATCTATACCGGTACATGCAGAGTACACCCATGCATACCATTGTGGCGGAGAGGCGTCGAGGCAAATCGGGTACAAAAAAACACCACAAAAAGCACGAGGCAACCCAGCCCTAATAATTCCTCTCCGACGAGCCGACCAGAGTTACATTTTCCATGCATATTCTACGGCTGCTCTGTACATTTCCACCAAAAGGAAATTGGAACCAATCTTACCCCCCTCATCTGCATTGCATGACAGGGGCGGGATTCCTGCTAGCGTATCCTAGCGCATCCTGGACATTGGCGGGAGTTACGGCGTTACGCTCAGACCAGCTGGCCAGTTCACTAGGATCGTGAGGATTCTTTTTTTTGCCTTCGAAGGTTTGAATCTTTCGGTTTATTCCGCTTTTTTTCTATTCTGGATCATGTACGGACTAGAGTACCGTATGGAGTATACACTTTTGAGAAACATTAAAAAAAAGAAAATATAATCCTTGCATGTACATGTACAGTACGCAGTACATATTTCTCATTTACCTGCTATGACTGGCATAGTGTATTGAGATACATCAACGGCGCTTATGCAATTGCGGGATGAGTCGACGGTTTACTGCACGACGCTTTCTTAGGATAGGGGTGCAGTTGGAGATATGCAGGAGTGGAAACTTTTGGACTCAATGCACGCGACATGCATGCGGTCGGCAATGAACACATTCTCTCGTAGGCTTGGAGTAAAAAGCCGGTTCTCAATTTTGAGGTGCCGATAGGTAATTCGCATTTGGGACTTGTTTGCGTCCTGGTTGCCTTCCTCGACTTGTTCTTTGTCTGGACATATTACGACTGCCTTGGCGTCATAATGATCTCGGTCTGCAGTGTACATGGTAGTCACAGGTACTTTCAAGGTTCAGTTATACGAACACCGTTAAGCTAGATCAGAAAAGCAATGGGCCAAAACCCACTGTCATCCTTAGCGTATTCTTATTTTGCCTTTCTCTTTCATAGGATGCCTAGTCGATGATGTGAAGCCGCTATCAGAGCGCTAGCCTCGTACAGCCTTACTGTGGGCCATTTAAGCATAAATCTTGGGCATTAGGGCATGAACTAACATTTCGGAGATTTCAGTCTGAACCACTAAGCCTTATATGGCTTTGGTTCGAATGTTTGGAGTTTTGATCTGTCAATCTAATGCACCTGCATATGCGCTTGGATAATCGAGCAAACAGTTTAACCGTCAATCCACTTGGGTAATATTCAAATGTTTGAAGGTTATTACTAGGTTTATGACTAGTAGCAACATTTGAACTAGGTGGCCATATCCATACATATGAGTATATGGCGGAAGACAGGTTCGTATAAAGTTATGTAGCCCTGAAGGCATCCTTGTAACTTGAATTAGCTACTACATAAAATTTTAATGACCTTGGAACATCTGAAGATTGGTAGTATTGGAATATGTGCAACCACCACTCGTCACGGTAATAGTACTAGTAATGCTCATCCATATCACAGTAGACATATCATCATCATCCGCCGTTACTGCTACCCGTGGACTCAAGTCCACGGGTGCTCCTTCAAATTGATGTAACTCCGAATCCAATCGATTGAAGTTCTACATATCAATATCAACACTAGTACATCCATTCAGTAGTAGCAGTTGAACTGCGCCGTTCGAGTGTGTCAGTGATAACTCATATGTAAACTCAAGCCGCCCGAGTCATGTGCAGACAGCACTCCATATTTGAAGTCTAAACACTGAAACTCAAGTCGTCTGATTTAAGCATCTTTTACGAACATCAGATGGCATTATATGAGATCATGGGCTTCTGTGGTATCACTAACAAACCCTCGACCACCGCAATGATCGAAAAGTACTTTTTTCTAGTACGTCAACAAGATTTGAATCGGAAATATGAATGAATTTTGGGACCTCAGCCCTGGAGAAAGTAGTGCTGGAACTGCGAGGACTTTCAATTATTTAACTATTTTTTAAAATCAGGTACAGTACTTTAATCTGAAGTTCAAGTTCAAGTTCCTGGTATGACTCCAGATGTCGCCGGGACCGAGAGCTGCCAACTGGTAAATGGTCGTTCCGGGTAACTCTCCCGGCCCCATAGTATGTAGTAACATCATGAAATGCACAACATCGAGTATTCAACCTACTAGTAATCCAACATCCTATACTACTTCAATCAAGAATTTATCTGAATATATTGTCGGTCCTGGAGTAAAGGGGCCCGACGGAGAAATAATTTCCGTCTGTCTGCATTGAATTACCCCGGATGTGCTGTAGATTGCGGGGTTGAAGGTAGTATATACATCTGGATAGTAGATCTACGTTACATCACATCTGGGGTACAAAAAGGCTTAAATATCATCAAGAATACTGAAAAGAACCGCCAAGCTATCAACAAGCAAAACCAGGCAGTTGAGGACCAAGATGGTTCAAACAAGTACCATTCTCACGGCGATATCCCTGGCCTCATGGGTCAGTGCATCTGTAATACCAAAATCAACTGAGAAGTTTAACTGGTCTTCCAAGAAAGCTTTGTAAGTTGATTGAGAGTTCCTAATCTAGGTAAATGAAGTACTGGAATAATACAGCTGACATTGCTAATCAAAAACATTTGAAGACTCGCATTCGGAGACTCATACACATATGTACAAGGCACACACGGGCTTCAGAACTATAGCTTCATCGGTGACAGTTTCGAATTCTCCTACAATGAAGAGGAACTTCTCTCAAACAAGATTGTTCAGAATCAAGTGAGATAAACTCATCTGTCCAATCAATCGTTCTCATAATAACCATATCTCATTATCTACTAGACTGGAACCGCGGAGGGTGGACCCAACTGGGTAGAATATTTGACAGGATGTGGCCTGCAGTCTGGTCTGACCTCACCACGAACATGCGAAAAGCAACTTTGGGATTTTGCATTTGCTGGTGCAGATATTTCAACTGAGTAGTAAGTATCCACCTACCTTCACACATCTAATCTTGGAAGACGAACAGCATGAAACCACTCGCAGATAGCTAATAGCTGATGATATAGTACACCTCTACACCACAACTTCACCGTTCCTCTCGTGGACCAAATAAAGCAATACGCAACATACGGCCACAGCACTATATCGAAGTTCCTCTCTGCAGAAGAAACTCTAGTCGCGATCTGGATCGGGATAAACGATGTCGGTGACAGTGCGAACTACGATGTGGACTACTTCCCAACATTCTACGCAAACCTCACAAAGACTCTTTTCGAATCCGCAGAAACACTATATGAGCTTGGGTACAGATCTTACTTGATTATGAATCTTCCTCCTACAGATCGGGATCCATCGAATATTGGTAGTAGTGACCCGACACCGAACGCAACGCAGGTGGTCTGGTATAATGACGCCTTGACGGAACATGCGGAGAACTTTGGAAAACAGAAAAGGGATGTTGAGATTCGTGTGTTTGATGCCAATTCGCGGTTGAATTATATTTTGGATCATCCGGCGGAGTATGGGATTGTGAATACTACCGCTTATTGTGCTGGGTATGATCAGCCGGATATTGCGTGGAATTGGGCGGCTTACGGATGTCCTACGCCGCTTGATGAGTACTTTTGGTATAACACTGGGCATATGACGAGTCATACGCATCGGCTTTTGACTACGGAGTTGGAGGGGTGGTTAGGAAGTTAAGATGAGGCGACGATATAAGGAATGAGAAAGGTTGCATTGGAAGTTGAAGATTACTGAACAGCACCTTAGTGAAACCGCGGATAGTACGAATGCAAATGGGCGATTAAAATCACTCATGACAGTGGAGCCTCCTTTGGCTTCACCTACTCCGTACTGCTACTTGAAATGGAGAGGGATGAAGGATAATAATGATCATATTGAAAGTATGCACATACGAGATGCACTACCATCTGGTAAAGTAAAAAAAGGCAGTACGCCACCGAGACAGAAAAGAACTTTTTGCGAGTCGACATGTATGGAATTTGCCGTGGGAACCCATGTTCTAGGATTGTCGAACTGTAAACAAAGATCCGGGTGAGGAGCTCTTCGAGATAGGGACCCCCAGGGAACCGGTGAAAATCATGTAAGACTGTCTATGACATCGAGGAAAAAAACGCCGTCCGTACCGAATTACGCGGGTAACCGAGAGAAAGCAAAAACGGGGAAAAGAAGTCTACCGGTGACGTAATATGAAACAGGTCATGAAGTGCGTACAGCACGACGCATTTACCAGCGACGGCTGCCGCCAAGAGGAGCAGCGTTGGAAGCAGTGAAGCCACCGCCGCCACCACCACCACCACGGCCACGGCCACCCCAGCCGCCACGACCGCGGCCGCCACCCCAGCGGCCACCACCGCCGCCACCGCTGTAGCGAACCATCTCGGCGAGACGGGGATCGATCTGCTGCTTAGCCTCAGTGAGGATAGTGACCAAGTCCCGAGCCTGCTTAGAGTCTATTGAGAGAAGATAGGTTAGATACCGAGCTGATTCGAATCAAGAGGGTGAGGAATAAGAAAAGTTGAACATACTGTCAGTGGTAAAGAAGGTAATGGCGGTACCCTTGGCACCGGCACGAGCAGTACGACCAATACGGTGAACATAGTCCTCCGAGTTGTTGGGGTAATCGTAGTTCAGCACGTGGGTAATGTCGCGGACATCTTTTGTTTACAAAATGGTTCGTTAGCAAATCAGAGCTTTAGTTGGGGATAATAATAAGGTGACCATCAGGAAGGCCCTTGTTTTCTCAGTCGTGCAAGACTTGAATGCATCAATGCTCTCGTCATGGAACTTCTTTGGAGGAAGTTCCAAAGAAATGCGAGTCCATGGGAGTGGCGGTAGAAGCCGCGGGTCCTAGAGTAACCTTGGAAAAAATGCAGGTTTATCAAACAGTTCAGAAACAACGTTGGGATATGATATGACTCCAACTCGCTTACGAGTATCTGACACAAAGGAGTCGGAGAAAAAAAAATCCTGTCAGGACTGCTTTCTGTTGCGCTGCATCGTAAGTCCAAGGTCCTCCTGGCTTTATAACCATTTGAGATGACCTGACGTCCCGTCTGGACAAGGCGTGTTCATACACCAACACGCCTCGAGAGGTTGAGCACCGTGCCATTGTAATATAACAACATTAAACACGCGTGAGTGTCCCAAAGGGCCCCATCAAGGGGGAAAGGGGGGGTATATAAAGGGGGAGGGGAGGGGAAGGGGGATGTAGTTTGATCATACCGATACCACGGGAAGCCACATCAGTGGCCACCATGATGGGGCTCTTGCCCTGCTTGAACTCGTTGAGAACCCAGTCACGCTCGTTCTGGGCCTTGTCACCGTGAATGGCTATAGATGAAGATGTTAGCGGGATTGATTATCACACTATGAAGGAATGAAGGGTTGAACGAACAAAGCGCGGGCCAGCCGTCCTGGCGAAGGAATCGAGTGATCTCGTCAGCGACACGCTTGGTACCAGTAAAAATAATAATCTTGTTGGAGCGGTCCTCCATGATCTTCTCCATGTGCTTGATCATACGGTCACGCTTCTCAAAGTCGGACATGACCTCAACAATTTGGGTAATACGGTGGTTAGCAGACAGGTCGGTAGAACCGATGTTGACCTGAATGTAATCGTTGAGGAAGTCGGAAGCCAGCTGGCGGACCTCCTTGGGCCAAGTAGCGGACCACATGCAAGTCTGACGATCAGGGCGAATCTGGCCAATGATCTTGCGAATTTGAGGCTCGAAACCCATGTCCAGCATGCGATCAGCCTCGTCGAGAACGAGGTAGGTGATACGGCGCAGGTTAGTGCGGCCAGCCTCGAGCATATCAATCAGACGACCGGGAGTAGCAATGCAGACCTCAACACCGCGAGACAGATCACGGATCTGAGGACCCTTGGGGACACCACCGTAGACACAGGTGTTGCGAATGCGGGAAGACTTTCCGAACTTGGTGATCTCGGCCTGAATCTGAACAGCCAACTCACGAGTGGGAGCCAGAACCAGAACAATAGGACCATCACCAGGGGCCAGAAGAGGCTGGGCGTTGATATGAACAATGGCAGGGAGACAGTAGGTAAGAGTCTTTCCGGAACCAGTCTCAGCAATACCGACGGCATCGCGACCAGAGAGAGCCATGGGCCAACCCTGAGACTGAATGGCAGTGGGACGCTCGAAACCCTGAGCCTTGACCTCAGAGAGAACATACTGGGGGAAACCAGCCTCGTCGAAGGTCTCGACGGGGCGAGGGACATTGCGGCCCTGGACGGCCATGTCGTGCTTCTTGCGGTACTCAGTAACTTCGGCATCAGAGCGGGCAGTAACGTTAGGGTCCTCCTTGTAGAAAGACTTCTCAAACTTGGGCATGGAGTTCAGGTCTAAAAAAAATTTGAGTTAGCCTTTGTCGCTGCGGTCGGAAATCCCTAGGCTGTCGGGATGCGGTTATAACTTACCCCAGTCCTGCTTCTTCAGACCGGCACCGAGGTTGGACATGCGGTCACCACCGGCACCGCCGTCAAATCCTCCTCGACCACCACCACCGCGGCCACCGCCGTAGCCACCACCACCGCCGCCGTAACCACCACCACCACCACCGCCGCCGTAGCCGCCGCCGTTTTCGTAGCCACCACCACCGCCGCGGGAGCTATGTAGATACAATGTCAGCTTGATGTTAAATTTACATACAGAGACAATACATAATACAGAAAGCGATCATATCAAGGAGACATAGATATAGAAGACATGATATAGATTATGGGAACTGAGCATCCAGCCCAATGGAGCCCGATGCAAAGAATACCATGTTATCAATACCTGACATGACCAAGACAACGTTACCGAGACAGCATGCGCTACGTCTCAGGCAGTGTACTAGGCAGATATAAAGATCTCCAAGATATGATCAAGAGAGGGAGAGTAATGACTCAAAAAAAGCAACTGAAGACGTACCGGTAGGAATCACCACCACCACCGCCGCGAGAGTAGCCGCCGCCACCACCACCGCCGTAGGACATGATGGGTAAAGAAAGGGGGGTTTTTGTGTTTAAAACTGGAAGAAGAATTGAACAGCGAGACGGATTCTACCTGGGGGAGAGTGCGGCAGAAGAAAAAAAGGTGTGTAGAAGGGGAGGATGAAGAGCGTAGAGAGAAGGAACAAAAAAAAAAGTCGCGCCAGGGGATAAAAAAAGGAAGGAGGCAAACTAAGCAAAATCAACCCAAAAAAAAAATCAAAAAAATCAAAATTCTAGGCCTACGCTTTACTAGAAATGGATTAGCGTCGCACGTGATATACCGAGTTTGAATTCTGGACTTGGAACGATAAGAAATAAGTCCTAGAAGATGCTAGATCGATCTACATGATGGGAATTATAAGAGAGTTAAGAATTGACTTGTAGATTGACCTGTAGACTGAGAAAAAAGAGGCTGAATGGTGGATCTATAGAATTGATGCTGTTAACGAGGTCGAGGGAGGGAGCCCTATGTTGGACGATCGACCTTTATCAGACCAACAGCTAATCAGACTAAAGAAATCTTGAAATTTCACCACGCGCTAAGAAAAATGTCAAAGGAAATACAATCTTCGACCTTTTTTTTCCTGCTTTTTTGCGTTTTTTTTGCGCTTTTTGCAAATTTCTACCATTTTAAAATTTCTTGTCACTTAGGCCCATGTCCCAGAAACTAATCTCCAATTCAGTCGCCCGAACAAAGATCTTAATCAAGTCTTCCATGCGACTAGGTGACACCTTATGCACATGTTCTTCCAACAGAGCTATTATAGAAAAAAAATAATCATAAATCAGTAAATGGTTTTCGCTTGAGGGTTTCAACAATAAGTAAGCCCTTACCTGATCCAAGTCGAACCGCTTCAGTGTAGTCGTCAGCAACGTAATTCTCAATCCACTTCCAGTACTGGTTGCCTTCACGGAGAGTTTTCTCTTCAGAGAAAAGTCTACCAGCAATCGCTCCATAACCAATTAAGCAGGGAGCTAGAGCCATTTGTAAGGCAAGCCAATCTTCGGACTGGCCCACATCAAGAATGTACCGGCTGTAAGCAGTGCAAGCTAATTGGAGATAATTTTTTAGATATAGCCCAAACATGAAGAAATAGAGCGAGTAAGAAATTCATACCAATGGTTTCTGGGTGTCTTTCCATCTCTTCCTTGGAAAGGCCAAATGAGGCACAGTAGTCTAGATGCAGAGCCATTTCTCTCTGGATGTGTAAAACAATTTGAGCGGACTAATCATCAAATTAGCAAGAAAGTTCCAAAATTTGATAAATAGAATAGTGTAATACTCACAGCTGCTATTGAATCAATGCTCTTTGATTTGTATGATGCAAGTGCGTTGCTTCGTGCAAATTGGACCTGTTGATTTTGGGTTAGAGTATTTCAACTGATTTTAGAGTCGAGGCACCCACCAGATACAGATAGTCCTGCACAAGATACTCCTTGAAACGGTCCAAGGGCAAGCTGCCCTGACCAAGTCCCTCAACAAATTCATGATGAGTAAATTTCTTCCATACCCGTTGAACATCGGGGCGATCCAGAAGATACTCAATGAATCGGCCACTAATGAAGTAAGTAAAATATTTCGTGTAAAAACTAAATCTCGGGAAAAAAAACTTACGGGGCAAAAGGCATCGTATAGATGGAATGGAAATGGTTGATTGGCCCACTTCCTTGTCCCATGTCGACACTCGTTCTAATACCTGCTTCAACAAATCGAACGGCGTTTCGCACAGCTCTGGTCATATCTTTTCCAAGAGCAAGGTTAGCCGCAATAGCTGAGGCAAGTGAACAGCCCGTCCCGTGTGTGTTTTTTGACACCAAGTACTCAGTATCAAAAAATGTTGTTTCTCCAGTAGTGCCATCGTGAAGAATGTCAATGACTGTGGTTGCTTCTTGGGGATTCTGAGTAGTTTTATGATCCTTAGTGAGCGGCAGGTGCCCTCCTTTAAGCAAAACGGCCTTCGGCCCCATAGCACAAATCTGCTTGGCGAGCAGGACGAGCCCATCAAGGTCAGCAGGTTCGGGAGCTTCCAGACCAGAATCTTTGAGCAAGAGCTGTGCTTCCGGAATGTTAGGTGTCAGGATTGTAGTAATTGGGAGTAATTTTGTGCGAAGCTCTTTCACGGCATCTTCAGGTAGAAGCTGGGAGCCACTGGTAGAGACCATGACCTATTTACTCATTAGATTCAAATAGTATCTTTGGGCGAATCAATGGAAGGTAATTAGCTTACTGGGTCAAGGACTATTGACGGGACTCGATGTGTCTGCAGTGTCTCGGCAATGACATCAATTGTCTCGGCAGACGACAGCATACCTATGCAAAGTTAGTTAATTGAAGCATATAGTAACATGAGAATAACAAACCAAGCTTTACTACATCGGCACCGACGTCTTCAAGACCTGCATTGATCTGCTTTCTCACGAACTCAGACGGAACAACAAAAATGTCTTGCACTCCAAGAGTGTTTTGTGCCGTCAACCCCGTCGTAGCTGTCAGGGCGTAGCATCCGTGTGCAGCAAGAACTCTCTGATCCGCCTCAAGGCCTCTATAAATGAGTAAGTTTACAGTTCATTTTCATTTTCATGTGTTCTAGACTTTTGGCTAGACCATCGATGAGAAATAATGGGTGTGATGACATCGCCCAAACGGGCCGGAAGGAGTTTTCTCGCACACCAGGTATACCGAATTAGGGGGATACTTACGCGCCACCAGAGCTGTCAGAGCCAGCAATGACCAGGACCCGCTTGACCGACATAATTGCAGGAGCCAATCGGGCGAAATGGCAAGGATTGGATGAAAAGCCGAAGATGAGAAGCGGGGAAGATCTGATGGTGGGAGAGGGTTTGATAAGATAAGGACTAGAGGGGAAATTTTGACTTCAAGAATTTACAGCATATCAAAATTCCTACCACTGTATAATGACTCGGAGTCAATTAACTACGAAAATGCATGAGAAGTGATAAATATGAAAAAATAACATTATGCAACTTGATTGATCCTTTAAACATGTCCCTCCTATCCCAAGAATGTAGTAGCTATTTACAAAAATCTCCGTTAGACGCCGCCGGGGCACTCATTGTATCATGAAGTGGAACAAACTGTCCATCTCGACCCATTGTCGACCACACTTCTTAAGATAGCCTTCTGCCACAGTCTTGATTGTTTCAAACCGATTCCGGTTGAACTCAGCCAAGGCAGAAATGCTGTCCTTCTTCTCGCCAGTCTCCTTGCTTGAGGCAGCCTTGGCCTTGTCCACATCCCACAGACCAGCAAAGTACAGCAACTGGTTGTACATCTGTTTCTCATTGTACTCGTACGACATGCGACCCGAACAGCCCTCGGCACGACCCCGGGGTTCCCAAACAGCGATGTCCATACACGCTGATTTGGCGGGTGCGATTACCACACGCAGAGTCATCGCAAGCAAGCCAGCCCTCGTAGTAGCGGGCGGTCTGCTCACGGATCTGGTTCTCCAACTGCGCAACGATGCTGATGACTGAAAAAGGCATCTGGCAAGTCTCATTAGGGCAGACGATGCCATTGGCAGTGCACATTTGCGATGAACCTGCCAAGCCCTCAAATACAGATTGCTCCTTGCAGGATCGGCATCTCAGGCTGAATCGGGCTGCATCGGCAAAACGGACCGCGTCTGGAATCTGTGACTCCAGTGGGAAGATCTCTGCATTTTGCTGATTGCTTGAACTGGATGTATTGATTTGGTATTTGCGAGTATCCAGTCCCAAGCATTCGGCCAGACGGACGGCATCGGTACCTGGGATCGGGGCGCACAGACGCTCAATGGGAGGGAAGATTTGTTTCAGAATGTAGAAATCGACATCGGGCTTGAGCCCTGAGTTCGGCTTCAACACATCTTGTGGGGTGTACGATCGCTTGGCGGGTGCCAGAGAAGATGTTTCAGCATCACCGCTTGTCACAATGTATGAGATAACATCATTGGGTCGAATTGTCTTTCCTCGGGCAATATCCCGAAGAGCAACTTGTGCTGGAGGCATGGTCTCCTTGTTAGGGTACTCGTCGGGTCGCTTTGAAAGTTTCTATACATTCGAAAAAAAATTAGTGAGAGAGTCTCCAAAGGCGCCATGTGGAGTGGCACATACCGTGTAAATGACATATTTCTGAGTTGGAATAGTGAACTCCTTCATCTTCTCAGCGAGTTCGCGCAGATAGTCGTGGATATTATTGAGAACAATCTCCTGGTCTTCACCAGAAAGAATCTCATTCAGAAGTCTTTGGGAGACCTCCTTTGAGAGAGCACAATATTCACGTCTCTTCATGTCCAGACCCTTAACCTCAAGTTTCTCAACATACTTGCCATCAATCTCTGTCAGGTTCACAGCAGCATACTTCTTCTTGGCATGCAGCAATAGTCGGCGGAAGACATTGTCAATGTCAATCTCCAGCAACTTATACCTCTCGTTGACTGACTTCTTGAACTCTTCACCGACCTTGAGAGCTTCACTGATGGTGTCCATGTTGGTATTGATCATGACGGAATCAGTATCACCATAGATGACACGAAGTTGTCTGCTCTCTGCCAAATCCTTGGTGCTCCTCAGAATCTCACGACCCTTGAAGGTGGTAAGCATGGCCAAAGGACGGGCATAGAATCGACTCTGCGTGTAACCTAAACAACCGTACATAGAATTGGCCGTGAGCTTGAAAGCAAGTTGCTTGGTATCCCACAGAGCGAGCTGTTCAGGAGTGGCGCGCTTGTCCTTCATCAGCTTCTTCACTTCACGTCGACGACCGACCAAGGTTGCAATGAGCTTCGGGAGAATACCCTGCTCTTGATCTGAGGACGGAACTTCGGGAACCTTCTCTTCATTTTCGTTCTCGGCCTGGAACATAGTTAGGACTGAGGTGAGCTTTGAGTTTTTGTCGAAACAGAACGATACGTACCGAAGATGTGCGATCAACTGTAGTGAAACAGATGTTGTACTCCTGAATAATGGAAGGATACAGACTGTTGAAGTCCATGACCAGAATGAATCGGTCATAGAGACCCTTTTCGGGCTCAAAGACGAGACCACCCTTGTACTTGTCCTTCTTCTTCTTGTCGCCAGCATCTTCATCATCTCCCTCCTTCTCTTCTGCTTTCTGCAAGCGAGAAGAGTATTTGTCTGGGCAGATATACTTGTTACGGTGGAATTCGTGGAGCAGAATGTACTCATTACGCTCTGCGCGAGTACCACTGAGAGTACGAGCCCACGAGTTACCAGCGATGTTTGTGAGAACCTTAGTGAGAGGCAGCATCTGCAGGCGTAGTACCAGGGCAGCAACAAAGTAGGTGTCAGTATCGCAGTGATTGACAAAGTTCATCAGGCCTTCTTTGGTTGAGGCCCATGATTTCAAAGCCGCCTCAGCATCTAAGTCCTGACGGGCGTTGCCTTCACCAAGGTAAAGCTGACACATTTCAGTCAAATTCCAGGATTGACATTTCATCATCAAAGACTATAAAATCTGTCAGTCATCCTTTCTCTCTTATTAGCTGGAAGAAATATTTAAACTCACCTTGCCCATATCATTGGCCAAGTCACACATTAGTCGTCCAGCAATAAGTTGTCTCTCGGCAAAGAAACTACCGTGCTTACTGTAGTTCTTGGGCCAATCTCCACGCTTGAGTCGCCCAACACGGTGCCAGCCAGGGGTCTTCTTCTCTCGCAAACGGTTGAGAAGAATGCCTAGATCGACATCCTGCAGCTGGTGACCCATAATGACATCCGGGTCCATCTTCTCAAACATGGCCAGGAACTTGCTGAGCAGGAACTGTTCACTTTTCTCAAGCATGATTGTTCCCCTCTGCTTTCGACACTCGGCTTCAAAGTGCATTGGGTATGAAGATCCAGACGGTCGCATCACAGTAAATGTCTTACAGGGAAGTCTTTCCGGTGGTGTAGTGTCAGTGAGAGAAACATTCTCGTACACTCGCGCACTTGCCACCAGAATCTCTTGCTTGTTCTCCTTCACGTTGAGCTGGGTTCGGAAGGAAAGAGACATCAAGGTCAAAGGTGGCACCTCTAGATTCTCTGTGTCTGGAACAGGAGTGATGAGCTGTGGCTTGGCTGCCTGGCACTCGAACTTGCACCAGGATGCATTGTGAACGGCAGAGAAGTCGGCTTCATCGATCTTAAGCCAGCATGGACCCATGATGTTCTTCCACAGGACAAATTGCTCAAAGAGGGAGGTATTGGTTCCAAAGACGTGGGAGAATGTCTCACCCTTGGTTTCCAACGCGAGGACGGGTTTATCGTATGGGTATAGTAACTTCAAATATTCCGCCTCCTTAGGAACACCACGCATTTCAAAGGCATATTTGCGGGTGCAAGGTTTGATCTTGTGCATGCCGACCTTCAAACGAGACATCAATTGATCCACTTCCTCATAAACATCCTCCATGCCGACTTCTTCCTCGGTCTCTCGTCCTTGCTTGAATCGTTGTTCACGGGGAGGAAGTATAGCTTTCGGAGAATATTGTCGACTTTGACGAAAGCACTGGCGTAGGAGCCGTTTTCCTTGTTCTTAACCTTTCCAAACAAGCATAGACTGCCGTTCACCTCGGTGAAATCAAGCCAGAAAAAGCGCAAGCTGCCATCTTCCTCGACTACATCCTGGGCTCTCAGCTTTCCAAAAGAACGCATGTCTGGTGCGGGACTACTGAGAACATTCAACTTGCTTCTCACATCATTCCAGCTAGCATCGAGAATTTCTGGTGCAGCTTTGATGGGCGATGAGTTCACAGGTGTGGTCACAATCTCCTTCTTGATCTTTGGAGGAGGTCGACTTCCCGTGATATTGATGTTTGCCGTCTTGCTGTTTGTGGATACAGTCGCCTCTGCGACATCCATCATATCGATATCGTCATCCTCAAATTCTTCTTTCTTGATGGGAACTGTGATCTTGCGCTCCACGGCCTTGCTGATTGGAGAAGAGGGCATTGGATCACCCATGAAGACGTCGTCGTCGTCAATATCCAGGGGAGCATCATCGATACCGTCAGAAAGTGCTGGGTGGTCTTTTGGCGGGGAGCTTGGAATATCGTTCTCAATTTTCGATTCGATTTTCTCACGGCGTCGCTTCTCGGATAGGGGTGGTGAAAGTACACGAACTTTTCGTCGGGCCTCTGATTTCACAATGTTTCGCGTAGGAGCATTATGGGAGACAACGTTGGTGTCGACTTCACCGAGAAGGTCTGCCATGAAGGCATCATCTGCAGCAGTCGCAACCGGCTAAAGGCAAAGTCAGCGTTACCGTTGCGGACAAGATATGGGAAGAATACGACGCACTTTGGGTTTTGGCGCTGAAGCTGAAGCATTTCCACTGTTGAAGTATTTCGAGATACCATTATTGATCTTCTCCTTGCGCTCTTTCTCTTCTTCGCGCTTTCGCTTGGCGGCTTTGCCGCGCGCAGGCAATTCATCACTGTCATCGCTGTCGTATTCGGCTGTGCGTTCGTTCCAAACTTCTCGACCATCGTCTGCGTACCCGGCACCGTTGTCGTCGACTACAAAGTCGTCCTCGTCTAGTCGGCTGCGAATAATCTTCTTGTAGCCATCATCGTCGACTTCTTCGTAAATGTCTCCCTGCTCCTCGACCTCGTAAGTGGACAGACGCTTTTTTCCGGAGGCACGAAGAGCCCGAAGCTCAGCCAGTCTGTCACGAGCAGAAGGCATGATTGTTGAAAATTAAGGACGATTGCCCATTCGGGTGTGGGAACAGAATGACGAGGCGTTGCGGGGAAGGGCAGAAGAAAGATCATGAACTAAGCCTGAATCCAGGACGCGACTCGGGACGCGCTGATTCGGACTCGCGACGCGTTATAGTGGTTTAGGTAATAGTGATTAGACACCTGACGGCTGAGGCAGGATATCGAGGTAATCAGGCACCAAGGCAGGAATATTTATATCCAATTATCGCTCGGCTTATTCAATGTACTCCAGGGCTCTCACTTTCTACAAACATTGCCAAAAAACCAAGAAAAAAAGACATCTAAGGTACGCACCCAGAGCCTTATCAGAAGAAAGCCACCACTAGCACATAGGTAGCAGTGTGCATGAAGCATACTATTGAGGTTAATCTGCAATTGATTATACCGCGTACTTAATGGGTATACTAGTACTACGGACATTTTCAATGCCATTATACTTTGCTATTGCGACTATTGGCGATTCTGCCTATCGAATTCAAAGCAAGATCCATGCGAGCAACTAGTACAATTTGAAGTGTCAAGTCATGCAAGCCAAGTCTGTACAGGTCAAGACCACGACGTTCTACTAATTCTACAACTATCGGGCGTAAATGTCTTGCTTTCGCGTGCATTGTATACAAATATGCCTTTTAAAATCTAGGAATACGTCATGTGCTAAGTGCTAGACACCCAGGGTTCACATGTCTATTCTTAGTATACACTAAGGATAAGGTCTGGCCTCGCTTTGTACCTAATTGCAATTCGGGGCCCACCAGAGAAAAGGCGAATGTGATATGCTTCAAATTGCTCCTCGCTAGATATTCGCAGTCATGTTCGACTCAAGGTCCTGGTGAGGTGTACTTCCAACATGTACATAGGAGCTTTATGCGTAGTATTTGGCGGATTCGGGTTTGGTGGTCATTAGCATCTAGATCATGGATACTGATAAGAATTGAGCGCCGCACTGTGAGGATGTTCATAGCTGGACTTGGACCAGCAATACTACAGTGTCAAGGTCTCAGTGGCAGAGGGAAATCAGCAGTGATTCAGTATGGATAGGAGCCCGGAGCTCTTCGACCATAAGCAGTCCATACGACCATTTTAAGAGTATTAGAATGTCACCGAACATTTGAAGGATGCCTTTGGTGCAGCCCAAAACCTTCTCAAATGACACTCAAGACTGCATGTCCACTGACATCAGTCTTGGGGTTGCATACAGCCGAATGGCATAAACTGCAGATTCAAAGTGACTGATCTATCCATTAGTCTTTATCAAGACTCCCGTTAATACCCTACGATAAGCAATTCAATCCAATGAACAATAAAAACCCGGTGTATTTGAGCAGATTTTCCTGGCCTATGCTAGGTGTATTTTCCAGCCATCGTGAAAGCGCCAGTGAAAAAATGACATAGGATATCCATCCTCTCCACAACACATCAGCACCGGCACCGGGAACGAGGGTCATGAAACCGCAGACACCTCGCGACACCGATCCTGTCTCACCAACCCACAAATGATCCCATTTTGAAATAGTAATCACTCGCAGGCCAACAACAACCACAGTAAAGATCCTCCCTAGTTACCCAGTCCAACAAGATTCCATGGAAAACTAGTCGTAAAATAATGAAATGAAGACATAATTTTCCATAAACCCCGATATTTTTCCCGTTTTGTTTTGTAAATCCCCAAAAACCGATATGACAACCGATAGAAGGAATTTAACGGTAGGACTTCTGGTAGCGGGAGCGAGCACCGCGACCACCGAACTTCTTGGGCTCCGCGCGACGGTTGTCGGCAACGAGGAGAGTGCGGTCGTACTGGGCGAAAGCCTGCTTGAGCTGGTTCTTGGAGTGCTCATCAACGTACTTCTGGTAGTAGGCAACGATAGACTTGGCGATAGCCTGACGGATGGCGTAGATCTGGGAAGTGTGACCACCACCGGTGACACGGATGCGGATGTCGACACCAGCGAACTTGTCGGCGCCAACGATCAGGAGGGGCTCGTAGACCTAAAGTGGTGATTTCGTTAGAATCGTGATTTGACATGATGCCAGCCGTTCCACGATGCAAAGGGTTTCGCGCGGCGTAGATTGATTCCAGCGTTGTGATGGTGTTTGCGGTTGGGTTCAGGTTGGCGGCGATGGAGAGAAAAGGATGTGATTGCGTACCTTGAAGCGCAGGATCTCGGGCTGGACCAGAGCGAGGGGCTGGCCGTTAACCTTGATGAGGCCCTTGCCTTGCTGTAAAATCGAAAAGTCTCAGTATGTTGTTCTCATCGTGTGTTGAAATCCTATGCGCCATCTGTGTGTTGAATATTGCCCATCCAAAATTCCATCATCAAAAATCCCAATCTTTAATTTTTCTTTTCGCGTGTCGATTCATTTCCTTCTTTCGTAGTACATTTCCCAGGGCAATTTCATATAACTCCGATTGACGCAATAGGACGTAGAACGGGGGGAGGCATCGTCTTCATACCTTGCAGTGGGCGACAGCGGTGGCTATTAAAAAGTCGATTAGCGATGGATTCGTGAAGGGATGGGGATATCGGAAACGCAAGACTCACCGGTCTTCTTCTTGCCGAAGCATTGCACACTCGGGACGGAAGCCATGATGCGTGAAATGGCCCTTGTCGGTTGTCGATAGGGGAGGAGTGTGTTGTCGAGGGAGATGGAAAAGAAGTCGTCCGCGGAATCCCACACTACAGTGATTCGCCTGAATTGCTGGATTGTTAGTGCGGGTTTCGCTTATAATACGCTAGTCCGAGAAGAGGCTAGTACGTTTTACTGGCTTAGGGCTTGATCACATGAGACCACGTGATCGGGCCCAGGCGGAGTCCGAATTTGGCAGGAGCAGAACTTCGGGGATTTGCGTGAAGTCGCGGCTGTCGTTGTTATCCTCAATTAGATCTTTCATATTAATCAAACGCAATGTCGCAAACAGTTGGCAAGGTGAGCTTCGATTCAATTCTATACAGCGCAGAGACTAGCTTCTCCAATTGCAAAGGATAAGACCCTGGCGATGCTAACCTTTGATCTTCTCCTTTAGACCCGCCTTGCCTACTCCCGCGCATGGCACTATGTTGATGCTGGCTCTGATGGCCGGTCTCTTGGCCGTCTAGCCTCCTCAATTGCCCTCGTCCTGATGGGCAAGCACAAGCCAATTTACGATCCCTCGACCGACTGCGGTGACTACGTCGTGGTTGCCGGCTGCCATGATTTGCACACCACCGGCAAGAAGCGTTTCCAAAAGATGTACTACTCTCACAACACACGCCCGGGTAGCTTGAAGAGCATGACAATGGACCAAATGTTTGCCAAATGGGGCGGTGGCGAGGTCCTCCGCCGCGCTGTTAAGGGAATGCTGCCGAAGAACCGACTTCAAGAGCCTCGATTGGCTCGACTTAAGAGTGAGTGCTTCACTCTGAATTGACTTTGAGCGCCGGAAGAGTACGGCCAGATGGACTGAAACTAATTCGGACAACTTCTTAGCTTTCGAGGGTCTTGCCCATCCTTACAAACAAAACATCGTCAAGTTCGGTAACGAGTCCGTTCTGGGTGCCAACCGAGAGATCACAGAAGCTTTCAAGCAGGCCAAGGAGTCTTCTGCGTAAGCTCTTTCCCTCTTTCTATATCGTGTCTGGAACTCAAAAATCTCAGCTTTGACCGAGACTTTCTGTAATTTATTTCTGCGTTATGATCCAAAACCGCAAGCGCATGGGTGTGGAGTCCATCTTGGGATTTATCTTTCTTTTTTCTCCTCTTCATTGACCATGTTCAAATACTCCTGATTTTCAGAGCATTTTCCCTACTTGGCATGTACTTATATCACTCATATAGCAAAATATCTTGAAGACAACAAATGATGTGTTGGTAAACTGAAATTTGGGGATCTTCAGATCCCCAAGGTATATAGAGACATTTATGTACAGGAAGAAAAGAACAGGAAATGCAGGGAACTCCAGAGTCCGGCTTATCCATATAGCATTTACAGCTTGGCCTTCTGAGCAGCGCGACCCACAGTGCACTTGATAAGACCGTTGGGGTTCGACTGGGGAGCGTACACCTCGGCATCCTTGCCGGTGTTCTTGGTGCCCTTGTGCCAGCTGAGGTCTGTATAATATATTAGAATAATGAAATCTAGCAGGGAGCAAGAAAGCGAGAATCGACATACCAATCTCAAAGTAGTGGTTGTTGGGGAGCGCATACTCCACAGTCTCAACCAATGGTGCGGCATCCAAAATCAGCTCGCCCATCTTGTACATAGTAGCCTGAACACTAGCACTGTTGTCCTCGGCAAAAGTCTTCAGGGTGATATTGCGAGCAGCCTCCCAAGCAGCATCGAACTTGGCAGTGTGACTCTTGACCTCAGCCACGCTATTGAAGCGGCGCCACTGCCAGTTAGCAGTAACATCAGTGCTGAGAATACGGTCCCAGGTCTCCTTCAGGGTGGTGAACTCGTCACGAAGGAAACCGTGGAACTGTGAGCCAGTGCTCTTGAGCACGGTCAGGCCGTTAATGGAGGAGTTGATATCAATGCCCTTGCCCTCGACAACATCAACCTGCACGTTGCGGGTCTCGGGGCTGTCCTTGATGAAGGAGTGAGGGTGTGGCTTGCCATTAATGTTCATGCGAACCCAGCGGTGAGTGATGATGTTGACATGTGCGGCGTGGATATGGCTGTACTTCTCAACGAAGTGGGTACCGAGGATGGAACCGAAGACCTCGGGGGTGGTCACGGACTGCTGCTTAGCGGTGATGTAGATGGTGTTCTTAATAGAGTCGGTGGCGACTACAACGCTGTTATCGGCGCGAGTGTAGCTATTAGGAAGTGGAATGTTAGCTTATTTAGCTCATTGACACCTTTTCTCTCAAGCTGCGCGCTACTCTACTCGCCACTGATAAGGGTGCTTTGGTTAACTCACGAAGTCTGAATGTCACCCTCCAGCAGGACGCAGACGGTCATCTCAACGACGGTCTGGGTACCGGCCTTCTCGTCACGGTGGACCTTGTAAACGCGGACATTGTCCTTGCCATAGCGGGCAGCAGCGAGAGTGCTCATGATGAATTGGAGATGGTTGCGAAAGGGAGATAAGGGGATAAGAGCGATAAACAGCTATGCTGGTGATGAAAGGGCGCAAAAGGATGACCTTGAGGAATCCAGATTGAAAGATTTAACAGTCCCACTTCGACAGGAAAGTGATTCTTATTTATTCGAGTGAAAAAAAATGGGCTGATGCGCTCATCAGCGAGCAGTATCGGGCACCTCCGATGCCCGCGAGTGGCCGCCGATCCCCACTTCCGATAGATCTTATCGGCCTATGCAAAAGGTTGAAACGGGATTCGAAGTCTGGATTTTTTTTTGGTTGGTTTTGAATTCGTAGTAAATGGATTGATTTTAGAAAAGCTGGGTTTCAAGCGGGGATAAATTCTGATCTAACTGGAGATTTCTTCCTTTGTTTGTGTTATCATTGGTGAACATCCCACTCTTTCTCCCCCAGATTTTCGGCCTCGAGCCGCAAGAGCTTATTATCCGAACAGTGCACAACATTGGAATTTCATTGGATATATTTTTTACGTATCAACTAGTCTCACCTGGGTCTTAGACTGATTCTTCCTTTCCCGAATCCCGAAAATCCGATGACCGAATATTTAATATTGTGTCTCTATGCAAATCCCTTGCAAACCCCGTGCCTCCACCGGCCATCTCCACCGGTCGGGGTATGCGATCAGCTTGTTCTCCAAGGGATTCATATGGTGGTGTAAATTGAAGGAAATCATTGTATGGAGACAAACGTTTTCTTGATGTCAGATTAATTGAGTATTTTGCCAAAGTCCAAAGATTGCGGCACTTGCCAGTGAGTACTATTGTCATAAAATTAAAGACTCTATAGAAATATGTCTACTAGTAGTTGGGATTTCAAGTTATTATCCCAAAATGAAAGTTGAACAGTTAAAATTGAAATCTTAACTGTCAGCCCAATGATCTAGTAAATACTATGAGTTCTATAGGAGCATTTACTAGTAGTGGTACAAGCATGCACATGTGGACTATGACCCCGGCCACCGGCAGGTCACCGGTGTCAGTGCTCTGCTCCCTTTAGTATAGATGAAGATCTATGTCAGTGCCCACTAGCAGGTGTGACGTACTGAAACATCGAAAGCCCCCAGACTCGGAGATATCATGGATGTATCCATCTATACATAGCAAGTGTCACGGCATATGCTGAGTATCATGGCGTTGACGATCTACCTAGTGGAGACGATCCAAAGTGCGGTGAAGAATGCACCTCTTCACATTGAAGTAATCCGCGCTTGAGATCAAACATGTGAATGAACTTGAATGCTTGGAATTCTTTTGGTTCATCAGATTTCCTGAGGGAAAACCTAAGATTTGACATTGATCTCTGCCTTGAATAAAGGTGCAAGATCATGTTCAAATGTCGTGTCCATGAATAGTAGGCCGACAAGATTGACTTACAACCAACCTTGGAAGTATATTACTTCATATTATCCATTTGGATAAGACGGCTGGAACATGACAGTGATATAGCCTTAATAAAAACCTCGGACTTAGAGATCAATGAATTTCCATGCCGGAGATCATGCTCACACGCTTTTAGACACACCGATCCCAGGCCCCTCAAGTGGACAAAAGCGTCAGAGGGCCAATGCTCAGTTCGAATTGCAACTCTCAAATCGGAGAGTAGCTTTGCGATCTGTGGCTTTTTTCATGCTACCTTGATTCAACGAGGCATTAAGCACATGAGTCAGTTACAAACTGATGATGACGAGGCCATGTCACAGGGGCTCAAATACAGGAATGGAAGACATCTGGAATCCCAATGACTACACTCCTGCTTTAAATTGGCTCAAATGGAGCATTGGGGTCCTAGGATCTGTAATTTTTCAGTGCTTACTATTTTCTTGAGAAATACCTCTCAAACGGATCATAGAGTCGCATAGAGTGAAATCAAAATATCGCGACAAAGAGTTTCAATAGGAAATTGAATTATTCGAAGCCATGCGGTTGATCTTCATCTCCATGGCTACACGAAGTAGACAGCCCCGAGTCCCATGGCTGTTGCATGTCCGATCTTCGGCGCCATTTATTATTGCGACAATATGGATGTCCACATTCACGGTGAGCTTCATTCAAACTTTGAATAATGTTGCAAGAAGAATTTTAACTCAGAAAGTGGGAGATAAGGACTTCCTATTATATGCAATGGTAAGTTCAAATCAGGTGTCCTTCAATCTGCAACTTGGTTAACAGCAATTGACCATTCTTAGATAGTCCCAGTCCTGCCAACAGCACTTATGACACGAGCTGGTGTGTCATATAGCGAGCGTAAGTATATTCAGTCAGATACCTCAGACAATCTCAGACACAGAATCACAGCAAGCTTCAAACCAGTACTCACGATATAATAGGCGAATACTGGGTAAGCGTTCTACTCATGTGTGAAGCCGGTACCGCACTAGCTCTCTGCCCAGTCTTTGGATACCTTGTCGACAGAGTTCATACCAGGAAATTCCCATTCCTAAGCGCCCTCGTCATTCTAGCCGGATGTATGGTAATCCAACACACATCTCACTCCTTAGCAATTTTCATCGTCGGTCGGCTCTTGCAAGGCTGTGCAGCTGCATTAGTCGTCGTTGTATCATTCGCCCTCTTGAACGATTCTGTACCAATGGAGCATCTCGGCCAGACGATCGGATACTTAGGGTCAGCGATAGCACTCGGCTTTCTGCTAGGACCATTCTTGGGAGGTATTGTTTTCCATGCAGGTGGGTATAATGCTGTATTTTATGTTGCATACTCGATTATTGCGGTCGATTGTGCGATGCGCGTGGCTATGATTGAGAAAAGAGCTGCTACACAATGGGAGCAGGAATCCGTAACGGAGCAGGACTCGGAACCGAATGGAAATGTCCCCCGTCCTGGTGCCGAGTCTGCATCAACCGAGCAGAACCAGGAAAATAGACAGACTCCGAGTCAAGATACTAAGTTCGCACTGTTTCGAATTCTTCAGCAGCGCCGAGTACTGCTTTCGTCATGGGCACTTTTGGTACAAGGAATTCTGGTTTCTGCATTTGACGCTGTTAGTAGTAGGAGAAGTCCTTGCATTTATATGTTGCTGTACTGAACATGCTTATCAGACACTTCCGATATTCGTTGAGACTCGATACGGCTGGTCAGAGATTGGAATGGGTCTGATATTCCTTCCGATGGCGATCCCGGCCTTTCTCGAGCCACTTTTTGGTTAGTTATCATATGCCCCTATTGCGTTGAATGCTCAGAGTACCACTAATAATACCATGCAGGCTTCATCACAGACCGCTGTGGCGCCCGACTTATCGCCTGTGGCTGCTTCTGTCTGCTATGTCCAGCACTTATATGCCTTCGCTTCGCCGAGCAAGATGACTTGCCATATATGGCTCTTCTAATCATCCTTTTGTTCTTGATCGGTGTGTTCATTCACGCCTGCACGCCAGCAATGTTTGTCGAGACACAACGGGCCTTGAGTGCGATGGAAGCCGAAAATCCAGGCTGCCTTGGCCCAACCGGAGCAGTCGCACAAGGATTTGGGTTACAGAGCATGTGCCAGTTTGCGGGGGTGTTCTTCGGGCCACTCTGGGGTGGATTTGTGGAGTACCGGTTTGGGTGGGGCGCCATGTCAGGGTCATTGGGGATGTTGGCTGCGTTAACGGCGGTGCCTATGTTGTGGCTTAGTTCAGATGAACATGAAGAGGACGATGAAGATCGAGAGCCACTATTCAGGTGTTAGACGTGGTTTATACCCATTCGAGTCAGTGTGAAGCATTCTTCTCTCTCTCTCTGTTGGATGCATGAAATAGGCAACTCAATTGAGTTTGGATCATCGGGTCATCTTTCCTCTTTGGGGCAATCGGGTGTATCGAATGTTGACGACGTCACGGGGTTTTAAGAGCCTCTTCTTATCATGAGATGAACCTTGGAACATAAATAAGTTCATATTCTGCTGTTGATATTTTCGCAATGTCAATACTTCTTCCCGTTCAATCAAATTTTCGCCGATATCTTTCTCACATACCCACCGCTTTGTTAGATACGGTGGGTCTTTATGCTTTTCGACTACGTGCCACAACGTAGCAACAGATTTGACTAACTTTGGAATATAGAAGTGTTTGATACCTCGATTCAAATATCTCAAGCAAACCAAGCTATCAAGCAGACATCACTGCACTTCCACCTCCAAATCCACCGCCATGGCGACTCTTCAACCTCTTCACACCGAAACAGATCCAACAAAACGATATACCTGCCCCTCTGAAACAAGTCCCCATCGTGCCACAATACTGGGATTCCCCTCTCGTTGCTCCACATTTCCAGCCCTTTACACCAAAACATGCACCGAGATCGTAGATCTAGCATGCACAATTGCAAATTTTGAGAAAGTCCGCCTACACGTCCGACCAGAAGATATCCCTCAAGCTCAGAATCTGGTATCCAAACGATTATCAATGGAGAAAGAGCCCCATAATCAAGAACTCAACGTACAATTGATTTCTGTGGCAACAAATCACTGCTGGGTCCGCGACACCGGCCCTGTTTACGTCCGCGATGCCGAGAATACAGACCAGCGCTATGCAGTTGACTTCCAATTCTGCGAATGGGGGAACAAAACTGGAGAGCTTCTCTACAACAGTTCAACCGATAAAGAAGCCGCACTAGCAGAAGAGGCAAACACTGATCCAGCCGACTGGCCAATTATGGATGCTACACGCCGAGAAGAGAATACGCTCTTTGCGCGCCGAACTTTGCAACTCGAGAATGCAGATGACTCTACTTCCCCTGTGATTCGAATCCAATCTTCTGTACGCCTGGAGGGTGGTGGGATTGAGATGGATGGAGAGGGAACCTTCATGGCGGCTGAAAGTAGCGTGCTGGTTCCTTCGCGCAACGAGGGACTCTCACGCGAAGAAGTGGAAGCTGAGTTATCACGGTTACTGGGAGTTACGAAGTTCATCTGGGTCCCTGGTCGTGAAGGACTGGATATTACGGATTGTCATATTGATGCGGAGGCGCGATTCATTCGTCCTGGTGTGGTGGTGGTCTGTAAACCGCATGCGAAGAGTGGGGCTATCTACTGGGATATCTATCGGGAGATCCGCGAAGTCCTGGATTCTGCTACTGATGCGCGAGGACGGAAACTGCAGGTGTACGATATTGAAGAGCCGGATCCAGATCTTATGAAGGGAGATGTACCAGGAGAAGAGGCAGAACCGTCAGCCTCGTATGTGAACTTCTACTTCGTGAATGAAGGGTTGATTATCCCTGCTTTTGGCGATCCGGTGGCGGACCAGAAGGCTCTTGAGACTTTGCAGAAACTTGTCCCCGAACGTGAGGTGAAACAAGTGGCTGTGAATGCTTTGCCGAGGACCGGGGTGTGCTACACTGCACGACACAACAGGTGTTGTGATATTTCAAGATTATACCCAAGATCTTACAGTTTGACAGTCAATAAGCTCGTTTTCAAAGTTTCTTTTAACAAATCAAGTCTCTCTCCTCACAGATTATTTGCCCCCTTTTCACATTCCTCGAAACTTGCACTTGAACCAGCCTAACTTCTCTCTACCAATGGGTTATGATACAGTTATAAGATACCGGAGTCGCCGGACAAAATATCTCTACAAGACACCAGCTGGCATTCTTCAACTTGACATTAGTCCATCCAGGCCTGATACAAGTTCAAGTTCTTCATGGCAACTTTTCACAGACAAGAAATCACCTAAGAAGGATATTCCTCTCTTCAACGGTTTCATTAATATTGCACTACACCCATTATTAAATTCTCAAAGCGAGAAGGATGGCTGGCTTTCGAAGTCTATTCATAAGGCAGGATTTTTGAAGAAGAGGTATGCTCAAGAGTCAAGCTTTATCGACAATAGACTGCAACTTGGAACATGGAAGCTCATAACAGATTCTGAGATAGATACTGGGATAACATCCCTGAAATCACGAAAAATGACCAATTTTGCCTCAGTTGGGCGATCGTCTATGTTTATCTCCCACATCTATACTCTGCCTGTTCTGTAGTAACACGAAAGGTTCCCTTGGCTCGTCGAGATGATTATTCTCATAAAGATGGCGCGGCTACGCCAGTTGGCGAAACGATAGATCTCGCTGCTGCAGCTCGCCGGGACCTACAAATTTTTGAATCCGTAATCACCCTTCTACAGAATCATTTCCACTTCTGCAAGTCCATCCATCTTGTTGTTAAAACAGACATAAATGATCCAACCATGGAAATGGCTGCTTGGCTCACCAGGTACGATGACACTAGTGTGCTCAAGTTCCTTGAAGAGAACTTATTGCCGCGCACTGATGAGTTGTATCACGCAATTTCACAGCGACATCAGCTACTCTTCAATGCGGAAAAGAGTTTGAATGGTCTATTCTTTTTGCCGTCGATGCGTGGATTTACGCCATTTCAAGAGCAGGCGAAACTCCGAGGAGACTTTATACGAGAAGGGGACTGGGATTGCAACCGAGATGCGGAGGTTGCTGTCTGGCGACAGATGGACGGACAGGCCGTAAATACGACAGATACTAAGTATGAGGGAACCAAGGGGTATTGGGTTATGACGGAAGTGTTTGATATGTTCCAATGGGATGGAATGAAATTCGTCTGATAAGTTCGATCAAACACTACTACCTCACCACTTGTCGTACCGTTTTCTTGTTGTAGAACCTGCACACTAAGCTGTGTTCAAGTTGAGAACAATCCTCCCAATAGTTTGTGGCATATATTATGTACCATTTGGAAAGTTTTTATCCATTCAGCCTTTGTGCCACACTCAGGCTGCTGCCCGCATGTCCCCAGACGCAGGTTTTGAAAGGTTGACTATTACTCGGAATGCTCTCCAAAACAACTTGAACATTTCAATCTCGGATCTCTAAAGGATACGAAAGGAGACAATGGCTTCATCAGGGCAATCTCAGCCCATAGATATAGCCCTACCATATCCGGCAGATAGTGATGAAGGGCATTACTCGGACTTCCAAGCCCACCAAGGACGCAAAAAAGCGAATCCTGGCCCACTAGGTCTTTGTGCCTTTGCCTTTACAGTCTTTCTTCTAGGTTGTATCCAGATGAATTGCAGAGGTATCCCCAGGCCGAATATTATCATTGGTCCCGCTTTGGCATACGGAGGACTGATCCAGCTCCTGGCTGGGATGTGGTATGAGATGGCGATATCTTCCATGACTTCGTTCTACAATCGAAAGTTGGCTAATAAGGCTTGTGCAGGGAAATGGCCCATGGGAATACCTTCGGTGCAACTATATCCGGATCCTATGGTGGATTTTGGATCTCATTTGCAGTGATATTGATTCCGGGTGCATTCCATATTGAGAGTTCGCTGGTTAAAGCTGATAATGGTTCCCATACCATGTTTGATCATGCCCTTGCTCTATACCTCATCGTGAGTGATCTTCAAACCATTGAACTCAAAGCTAAAATGAATCGCGATGGAGACTAATTGCGCAGGGTTGGTTCATATTCACATTTTTGATTGCCCTGTGCTCTGCGATGAAAGCTCCGATCACGATTTTTGCTCTCACCTTGACCGTTGATATTGCAGCTCTTCTCATCGCTCTTTCTTATTTCTACCCACACCCTGACGGAGCACCAAATAAGTATCTAGCCAAAGCTGGTGGCTTTTTTGCCATACTGACGGCATTCTTGGCTTGGTATAGCGCTTTGGCTGAGTTGGCAAACCATGAGAACAGCTTTTTTGTTCTCCCAGTTGGCCATTTCCCATGGTCGAAGAAGAACAGAGAGCAGAGAAATCGCGGAGATCGCAGTGGATTGAATATTGTCTAGTACGAGGTGACCTGCTGCGCATCAAGTTAAGTAACATCATGATGCAAATGTATATAGATTCGATGGACAACTCGAAGGGTCTCGAAGTTGCTTTGAGAAAACGCTGTTTACAGTAGGGTGAATAGGAAACATGTTCGAATAAATTGGCAAGGCTTGAGAGGGTTCCCAACCTTGGACTTCTCCGTTTCGTATCATAAGTAATAGTAATAGGCATCGATGCACAGAATGGCTCAAAAAATACAATACAGGTATGGCAAGATGCGACAGATATGACGATGGCAACGGAATAAGCTCGGATTAAACTCGGGTGGCTCGAGTCGTCTTATCGTAGAAATCTAAAGTCATTGCCGCAAGAAAGCAAGGAATATCCTTTCTTTCCTGGACCCAGAACTTTAGTAGTGGCTTTATCTCCATGGCGAAGAGACTATTATTGCCACCAGACAGCTTCATTGAGCCGTTTTCACCATCAAACAGGATAGAATTCTCTTCCCCATCGCCCATACTACCTGGGCCTCGGGAGTCAGATGAGGCATTGGGGTCCCCGTGTCGGTATGCGGGAGACAAGTGGAACATGGACGTGACGCGTACACGTCCATTAGGAAGAATGTCAAGCTTGTATCCAAGCAAAGAGGCAACAGCTTCTCTGAACTCAGTCGCCTTCGCTGAGTAGATTTCCCGGAGACGGCGGTTGCGCTTTTCCTTCTCCGCGATAGTACGCTCCATTTCTTGAATCTCAAGTTTGAGGCTTTCAAGTGTGCTGACAGGCACGACCTTTACTCCGACATGTTCACCACGCAATTGAGCAAGAAGTTCTTGATTCTCCGTCTGAAGGGTTCGGAGAGTTGTCATCTTGATTTTTTCGGCGTCCGTCGTCGGGTTTTCTCGTAATTCGAGAATGCGGGTGTGGGACTTGGCTTTGAGTGATTTAAGCTGTGACTTGGCAGCTTCTAGCTCCTTCTTAGCAAGAGTCGTTGCTTGTTCTGATTTGAACAAGGCTTCTTGCAACGTGCGGTTCTTCCGTGAAAGGACTGATAACCGTTCGCTTTCTGCTTGACCATTTTCTGGCTCCAGGGGACGCTTTGTGCCACGAGGTTCTTCCGGGGGCGAAGCTTCCCGCTTGGAAAGCTCCTCATGGAGTTTATCGAGCTCAATGCGGTACTCGTCCACGAGTTGTTGCAATTGGACGATCTGAGCGGCCTTCTTTTCATCAAATTTGCTATGCTCGGGGTTCATTATGACTTCTTCTTCGTCATATGTTTTCAGCTGAGCTCGTAAAAATTCCACCTCTTTCACTGCCAAAGTGCGCTGACGCTCTAGTCGAGCTCGGGATCGGGTATCCGATGCTGCTGGTGCGTCTGTTGAGGTATCCGATACTGCTGGTGCATTTGTTGAGGAGGCCTCTGTTGCGCTGGAAGTTTTCAATCGCTGAACAAGTTCCGCCTTTTCGTTTTCCAGGAGGCTTATTGCCGCATCCTTTTCCACGCACTGCTTCTCGGCAACACCGATACGATCAATAAAGGCACCTTTGGCGATTCGTTCTGCGACCAGAGCCTTGACAATTGTCTCAGGAGACTCAAATTCGGCAGATTGATCATTCTCCTCTAGAAGACTAGCCCAGGACTGACGCTCGTCTTCTAGCACTTGTTTCTGACGCTGAAGCGTATGATTCTCTGCTGCAAAGTGTTCCATTCGCGCAATCTGATTTTCAAGCATGCTCTTTTGTTCCTCAAGTAGGTCGATGTTGGCTCGTCTTTCTCGTAGACGTTGCAATTCCGCGTCTCGTTGACGGTCCTTAGATTCTAACTCGGCGACGCGTTTGATTTGTTCGTTCATCTGCGTCCGATAGAACGCAAGTTCTTCCGCATCGGAAGTCGTCATCCTTTGACGCTCATTCTCAGCCTCAAGGTCCAAAATCTTCGCATCTCGCTCATTCAATGTTGCTCGTGTGGTCATCTGAATGGCGCGTGCTTCTTCAAGGTCGTTCTGCAGGGCCTCGACTGTTTTCTGCAAAGAAGCGCGCATTGCTTCCAACTCTCTGATCTGGAATGGGAACTTGCGTTCTAGCTCGCCTTTCTCGGCTGTGACCTCTAAAAGGTCGGACTTCAGAGTGTGGTTTTCGGCTTCAAGATTGCTGACTTTCCGCTCCAAACTGGCCTTGTCCTCCATGGCTTTTTCTTGAGTTTCCGTAAGTTCATTGGATACGGTTTCCAGTTTGCGCGCGGAATGGTTATTCTGGGATTCGGCGGCCTAGCGATATAATATTAGCGGACTGAAAGAGAGGAATAGAGGCCGAGACAGCGTAGCTCACCTGAGCCCTACGAAAATCGGCATCAGCCTTTGATCGTAGCTCTCGTAGCTGTTTTTCGAATTGGAGGGTCTCAAGCTCTCTAGCATGTTTGGAATCATTCAACTGAGCCTGGAGAATGCCCACTTGTATGACCAGTTCATCCTTTATTGGGTCTAGATCGCAATCTTAGCGTTTCTTTGTTTCCTGCTGCGGATCGGAGAGTGTCTTACCATGATCCGGATGCTGAGGTCCAGGAATTGTGATAGAGCGACGTGGTGTTTGTAAAATACTCTTTCGTAGACTTGTAGAACGAGAAGGAGTCCCGCGAACAGAACCCTGGCGGACAGGAGTCGAAGGCATCGCAAACCCCGAAATAATATCCGACGCCGGGCGCGTGTTCTCACTCTGGTTGAGGTCCATGGTTGATCTAGAGAGGGAGGGAGGGTTAAGTGTGAAAGTTGATACAAGGACGGAAGATAACCTACCTTTTATTGCCCACAGAGAGGCACGACAGCACCTCACAGCGTGATTCAATTCATTGATGCCTTTCGCGTCTCCAATAGTCTCAAGGAAGAGGTGGAGCGGGTAAAGTTGTTTGGGCTTAGTCATCTGAAGTGAGCTACCGCAAGGGGTTTAGCGCCAAAATTTTAAAGAAATTATTTCGATTTGCATTTCCTCCCAGCACACACCCACCCAACTACCACGAAATCCCCCCCGCCCTTTTCCACTCCCTTATAACCGACACAATGGGCAAGGACAAGGTTGAGAAGGAGAAGCGCCGCGCTGAGAAGAAGGAGAAGCGCTCCGACAAGGACGGCATCCAGAAGCCCAAGAAGGAGAAGAAGGAAAAGAAGGACAAGACCGCTCTCGTCGATGCGGTAGAGAAGGAGCTCAGCTCTTTGGAGCAGTCTCCCGAGGCCGTTGCTGTCGTTGAGGTTGAGGTTGATGAGATGGCCATTGACCGTCCTATTGGTGCTCTCGTGCCTTTCGCCCAGCCATTGGTCGAGGACAAGCAGGCCAAGAAGGTTCTCAAGAGCGTGAAGAAGGGTGAGTTACAATCTTATATGAATTTCTCAATCGCCCATACATTCTCGATTTCCTCAATTCCTCCCATCCCGGATAATTCGATGTCTCGGTTATGCAAAGCACTATCCTTTCCCGACCATCCACCGTTTCGTTCTCTTATATCTACTTCTCTGTCACACCAAAACTCAATCGATATATTCTGACATGATATTTCCTCATAGCTGCTGTCAACAAGTCCCTCAAGCGCGGTGTCAAGGAGGTTGTCAAGGCCCTCCGCAAGTCGGCCGTTCCCGCCGCCAACGCTACCATTGACATCCCCAACGGTGTTGTCATTCTTGCTGCCGATATCTCCCCCATGGATGTCATTTCTCACATTCCCGTTCTGTGCGAGGACCACGGTATTCCCTACATCTTCGTTACCTCCCGCGCCGAGCTCGGTGCCTCTGCCGCCACCAAGCGCCCTACCAGTGTCGTTATGGTTACCCCCAAGGCTGCCAAGAAGGGCAAGAAGGATCTCGAGGCTGATGCCGACAGCGATGACTTCGACAAGGTGTTCGAAGAGCTCGCCAAGCTGGCACAGAAGGAGAGCAAGAATGTGACCGTCTAAGCGTGTTACTTGACTTGTTTCTGTTTTATGTCGCTTCTTCCCACTAATGTCGCTTGCTGGTGGGTTCTCTTATTGTACAGGTTTATGTTCTTGTCTGATAGGACCGTGCATTTCCTCGGGGGTCCGGCCTTTGGGTTTCTTTTATTTTTTTCAATCTTTTGCTCTACTGCAGCTCGGCGTTTCTTCCACGGTGTATGAAAAGGCAGGAAAAGAATTTCAATGAGAAATCACCCCAGTTATATATCCAATTCCTCAATCCTTGAAGATTTTCGTAATTCGGTATTTAACCTGAAGTGGGCCTTAGTGCGGCTCCTTGAATGGGTCTCCCATGTGGTTGTAGTCGCCCTGCCTCGATCCTTCAATGATTCCTATATGACAGCTCAAGCTCACGGAATCCCATATTTGATAATCTGAAATGATTCTCGTCTGGCATTTATCTGCGCTGAATCCTTCAAATGTTTCAATTGTCATGAATACTAGAAAGGAAGAATTTTGTGGCTCGCTGAAGCCCACCACAAGTTACACAAGCAATGCAACATCCCATTCTACACGCTCATGAAGTCCAGTGATAACCACAGTAACACAGAAGAAACAGTGCAAGTGTTGGTGCATCAGAGCAGAAAAATCAACGCAACTATAGTTTTTACTACTAAGTTTTTAGTACTATACTAGCGTCGAGTCTAGACAATCGGCCTTGCATCGGACCCGAACTATCAAGTGGCGTGTATTATTCCAAATTGATCAATCTGATCGAGCTCCAAATATCTTCAAATAGAGTCAAACAAGGGGCCCGGAATCACATACCACCATACTTAATGAAATCAAAATTTAGCCAACCACAGGTCTATTTGCCCCGGAAATAATGTACTGTTCATTAACCCAGATTCAGTCATCCCCCCTAGATTGAGGGATTCCCCTCATTATGTCGTACGCGGCATCTTCTATGACCTAGGTCTTACTATCCTTGCGGGTAGTTTTCTGGATTTTAACCCTTCTGCCCTACCCTAGAATGATGGTGCGGTATTAAAAAGAAACTGGGGCCCCTCGGTGGCACAACCTTTTGGTTCTTCTTCGATGTTCTTGCATATTTGATCCACAGGTGCACATACCATACTATAATGCATTTTGCATATACGCTCGTTTACTAGGTCTCTCTTTCCAGCGAATAATACGAATCCAACTTCTATATTATTCCAACATGATGCTCTCGCTTCGACCACCATATCTCATTTTGTTCGCGCTGGTTCTGCTTATCATCAAACCTGCGACATCCCATCCTGTCCGAAGCTCCAAATGGACCGAAACAACTCGGCTCGAAGAATATGAAGCGCGGGAACATGGGAATTACCATGACAAGACAGACCAGGATCCCTTCCCAGTGGGTACCCTGCTGGGATCGGATAAGGTGCGTTCAAGTTACACGAGGTTAATTTTCCCTCTATATCGATGTGCTGACCAAAAGTCATATATAGCCCGGAAATCATCCAAGAGCAACACAAATTGATTCAAGTTTTGAAACCGAACACCAGTTTAAACGTGATACTCTTCTGAGAAAACCACCGGGCGTTGTGCTAGTTCCTGGTGGTCGATCGCCTGCATCAGAACGACTACATCGGCACTGGAACCACCGTCCAAAAGGCAAATACGGCGAAATCTTCGGACACGCCAAAGAATCGGACAAAGTAGGCACAAGCGGAATATCTAAAGAAGATACTCAAACCTTGACCTCACCCTCGTTACGACTCTCAACCAGTCACGACCTATCGTTCTTTTCATATCGAATTTCGTTTCCTTTCTTCAAGCTTGCACCAATGTCGCTTCCTCAGCTTCCGCTACCAGGCATATTTACGACGGTTATGATTCTATTGGCTTTGGTGTGGATCGCCATATTGGCGATTGGATTGGTGGAGGTTGCAAATTATCTATGGAGGCGGCGGAGAATAGCTCATGTTGCAGCTGATACTGATCGACTGCTTAATGAGAATTCGTCTTCTACCGAGCTAGTGAAAGAGCCATTTCAGGTTCTTGTCGTCCCTAGAGCCCCTAGGCGACTCGAGAGACTCCAGGATGAGAATCCTGTGTTGGTGCAGAATGATGGTCCAGATGGCGGTTCTGATTCAGAGACTGAAATTGGTGCAACCTATGTCTAAATAATGTACATACCATGATAATTCATGCCGATGACCAAGGTTATGATTGAATGGACTACTTTGTTTCATCGAATATCCAGAAGAATCAGTTCTGTGTTGATGGCTATTATAATTCACATGACACAGATTTACTTGATGCTCAAGATTTATACTGTAATTCATCATTGCTCTAGCCGTAAGTTAAAGCGGAAAATAAGACATATGGTTCGATTCGGAGGAACATCTAAAATGACATCGAGCTTTTAAAGAAAAAAAAATAATTCGTTATCCAGTTTAGGCACGCTGGTTATGCTGCAGTGCATCAAAAGGAGTCTGTGTGTTCACCGTCTTCTGACGAGGAACGCCAGCATCGAGGCCACTCTCAGCATTAGTACGCTGGAACTTATTGATAGCTTCACGAGAAGGGTCTTGATCAGAACCAATCTCAGCACCGAAGCCGACATTATCGGCGCCCTTGGAGGCGAAACCACCTTCACGGATGTTTCGACCATCGGGCTTGGTACCCTGGTAACCGTCGGTGACATCTGCGACATAAGAGGGAGCCTGGCCAGCATTGTATGCACTGCTACCACTAGGAGTGGCCTGGGTACCAGCGTTAATGCCTAGCTCCTGCTTAGCAGCTGTAGAGCCACCAGCATAGCCGCTGGTGCGAAGATGGGTACCGGGGAAGTCACCTTGACCTCCAAGTGCTTCGGGGTACTTCTCCTGAGCGTGGCGGTCTCCACGGAGACCACCGATTGGAGCAGAAGAGAGGGTTTGGGAGGCAGAACCAGGGTTCTTGAGTTGGGAGGATGAGAAATCTTGTGGTTGGGCTTGACGGTTCTGGCTGAAAGCACCGCCGTGACGGACTGACTCGGCAGCTAAAGAGTCATTGGCAACTGGGCCTGAAGGCTCTTCGATAGGCTGTTGAGACGCAAGAGGGTCGGTGGTCACCTTGGTGCTGCGGGGACCAGGAGGGATGGGAGTGCCTTGAAGATCCATGGTGATTGTAGTGATTTGAATTCAGTTGTAGATAGTATGGTAGTAGCTGAAATGCTTGCTTCTGTTGAATCACAGAATCTTATGGAATGAACTGGAATAAGTTTTGAATGTTGTTAGATTTGAATGAGAGATGGTAAGCTGCTATATAACGTTTTTGCGATGGCCGCGAGACTGCATAGCATGACTCAATGAGTGAGGTTATCGTACATATCACACGAGGTGATGTCACAGTTACGATGGTCTGGGCTGTAACTTGTAGGCAAATGGATGCCATGTCTTGTATTTGATCATTGACGGTCACGTCAACCAATTCATCTATCGAGATATCGGTGGCGGATGAGCACATTCGAGACAAGGGACTGTGGAGAAAGGTATGCCCAGCACCAACCGATTTTGAATTTCAGGCTTGTTGTTGCATAGACCGAGTCTCCACATCCTTATTTCATGGTGGATACGTGAGTTCATCGGGTTCCCCCATAGCGTTGCGAACAAACTTGATATCAAGTTGGAAATTGACGTCAAGCCTGGACCCCTGTCAAATGCTGCAAACACCAATGCTTTCCTTTTCGGTAACCCCGCAACCATGCCCTTGACTATAGATGTTTTAATTGTGAAGTTCATTCTTAGAAAGTATTTTTCGTTATCACAATGACTCGAAGTTCCATCCATGTATCTTGGCATCCATTGATACTACGACCTGAGTATATGGGTTCTAAGCAACCCATCCATCCATCAACTATCCATGGATAGCTACGACTTCAAATGTTGGGCTGTAATGCTTGGTCACTCTTGGGGTCCTATTACGATACTTTGCGGTGTCTTCCTAGATATTTGAGGCAGATTATTCATGTATTATGCTACTGAGAGAAAACTTGAACTTGAAGAAAACTATAGAGAATAGCTAGGGAATGTATTCGTTGACCATGACTCCGCAAATGACTATCATACACAATGGATTCCGTAGTCCATAAATTATTCCAAGGTTGTTTAGCGAGTGGTAGCATCAGAGGGCAGATGGTCCAGGCCCTCAACTGCCTGGCGGCCAACCTTACCAGGTGCAGTGTTCTTATGCAACTCGTTGCCGTCAACACGCACACTGCTCTCAGCAGTAGCAGGACCACGCAGAGGGTTATTCGGGTCGTAAGAGATAGGACATTCGATACCACCGGATCCAACGTTCACGGTGCGCTGGTCAGCTGAGGACCAGTCACTAGCAACAGGAGGCTGTTCAGGCAAAGGCAGGTTAGCCTTGGCCTTATCGATCTGCTGTGCCTTATTGGTGTTTTGGTCGATAATGGACTGTAGAAGTGGACAGTTAGTAAAAGTCATATTCAAGCCAACGGGAGTATATTGGAATTTTACCTTCATCTGAGAAACATCAGAGTCAGAAGGAACAACGCTGCCATGCTTCTGGGCGATCTTGGACTCCTCCTTGCGGAGATCCTGGCTGGTGGTGTGGAAAGTTGACTCAGACATGTTGATAGGGAGGTGAGGTGATTGTGATAGAATACGTATTCAGGTTGAAATTTGCAGAGTATGCCTTTAAAGAAGTGCGAATATAATGGTTTGTATGGTTGTTGATATAGTATTTGGATATAGAGCTACGGCGATTCTTATAGGTGGAAAGTCAGTTTTTGCTGTGACGTTTGTTCTGGAATGACGACATAACCCAACCGGAGAATCCCCATGCACTCCACTGAAAGCAGCATGATTCAAGCCCTTGATATTCCTTGAGATCTTGATGGAAAGGGCATATTCAGCTTCCAAGAAAGAGTGACCCTGGTTGACCTGCATCTGCCTGAGTGGAGACTACCCATGTCATGACACAAGGTGGCGAGGCACTTGGTACATACAACTTGTCGCATGTTTTTGACTATGACAAGAAAAATCCTGCCATTCAAAGAAATTGACGATGGTGAATGTCATGGTCCCACTGTACTGCCAGTTCTATGATGAATCTCAACTGAATCTGATCAATCAACTCGATATCGCGCAATCAAAAGAAAATGAGACGAATTGACTCGAAACTCTGAGCCTAACCTCTGCTACTGAGAATATTTTAGGTAACAATTCATCCATATGATCGTACTAGTAATATCAATAGCACCCCATTAATTTGAATTTTTGAAATGTATGAAAATCTAGTATGGATTGTGGATCAATGACAGGCAAAGTCTGCATGTCGTACATACACCAGTCCATGGAGTCCTCAAATAGAATTTGAGATTAGTACTTGGTGATCTGAAATTTCTTCAAGCCTCTTAGTCGAATGGGTCTTATTTTGTGTAAATGTGTATAATATAACATTTAAAACTGATCATCACCACCTGGGCAATGTGGACCAGTTGCCCAGTTGAGAGGAAATGAATCCGCCGATAATATACGGTGCTACCGCCTTTATCTACCGCCCGGCAGAAAATGTTTAAATGCTTATCGCAGATCCAGGTCCCAGTCTAGGTGCAGACAGGTCGCGTGTGAAAGTGATTGTTGACTTGATTTCATTGATCGCGAGTAAAAACCCGTCAAGATGCCACGAGACCCATTAATTGGCCTGGTTGGAAAGGTTTGCGACCACAAACCCTTCCCATAAAGAGACCCAAGACACCCCGCTAACCATGAGGGGCAGCCATCAAGCGGAAAATCCACCACGCTGAACAGTTTGACTGACGCAACTTCCAAAGTCGGTATGTTGAGCACTTGCAAAAGTATGCAGGAGAATGATTACTGATTTCTTTTTTGTGGAATAGGCAACTTCCCGTACGTTCGCATATTACAACAAACCTACGAGTTTAGTTCGATGCGCTAATGGTTGACACCCTCCAGCTTCACCACCATTGACCCTCAGCGAGCGATCGGATACCTGCAAATTGATTGCCCTTGTCAAAGACACGGCGTTTCGGATAAATGCCAACCGAACTACGGAGGTTGTAATGAAGGACGGCGCTCGGTCCCCATTGAGTTGCTGGATGTAGCAGGACTTGTTCCAGGCGCACACCAGGGCCGAGGGTTAGGAAACAAATTCTTGGATGATTTACGACATGCGGATGCTCTGATCCATGTGGTGGATGTCAGTGGTACTACTGATGCCGAGGGCAAAGCCACACGAGGATACGACCCTTCAGTAGATATTGAGTGGCTACGATCGGAGATCGTGAGATGGGTGCTGGGAAATTTGATGGAAAAATGGTATGTTATGGTAAATCATGGCATCGAATCAAAGCAAAGTGTGGACATTAATAGGTGGACATTAGGGGCTCGATAAAGCGCAGACATATTGCAACAAGTTCGTCAAGCAGTCGGCACGATAGAAACCCAGATCGCTAACACATGGTATAGAGGCCAACCCCGTCGATACGCTACAAGGTCAATTCTCAGGTTACGGCAGTAATTCTCAGGTTGTGGCACGATGCCTTGATAAGCTGAATATGAAGGAGTCTTTGGAGCATTGGTCAGATGATACTATCAAGCTCGTGGTGGAAACCTTTATTGATGAGAAGTTCCCTACGGTTTTCGCCTTGAACAAGATTGATCATCCAGATGCGGACAAAGTAGGTTCAGTAACTATGTGGATTTGAACAATAACACTGACCCAAACTAGAATATCAGCAAGATCGCAAAAATGCAAGATCCTCAGAGCATTGTACTCTGTTCAGCCATATCAGAGGTCTTCCTCCGTCGACTCGCTAAACAAGGATATGTGAAGTATGTCGAGGGTAGCGAGTTTGTGGATACCAGAGAGGATCTCATTGAAATGGGTGAGCCCGATGGAGGAGGGCTTAAAGAAATGGACGAGAAGTTGAAGAGGTTAGTTGAAACGCTAATCATACGATCTCTGTTCTTGCTGACCAGATATTCTCCAGCCGAGTCGAAAATTTGAAGGACATGGTATTGTACCGATTTGGATCAACGGGTGTGGTTCAATGTCTTTCGCGTGCTGCAGAGTTACTGGGTCTGGTACCCGTATTCCCAGTGCGAAACATCTCAACATTCAGCGCCGGAGGCTCGACAGCAGTCTTCCGTGATTGCGTTCTGGTGAAAAAGTAAGTATCCATTCAATGGTAACATCCTGCATTTCTAATATACCCCCAGGAACAGTACCGTGGGCGATGTGGCCCGGAAAGTCATGGGTGATGTGCCAATTTCCTATATCGAAGGCATTGGAGGTACTCGGGTTTCAGAGGAGGATATTGTTGCTGTGGGTAAACACGATGTAAGTTGCTCTACCACCACCAAGCACATGTACGAAGCTCATCATGTCTTTAGATCTTATCATTCAAAGTGGGCCGGTAAACTCTTACATGATAGCAAGTTCCTAAAGAACAATCTGGCGGAGTTACGTTACCAATGGAAGGGATCTTCAACAATGCATATTCACATTTTAAGATGACATAGACCCTAACGCCGCCTCCAAATTCAACGAAGATTTCAATTTATCAATTCCCATCTTATTCAGAAGATCAATGGCCCTTCTTTAAAAACAAGCCAGTTAGCTAGCTTCTCTGAACACAAAAACACTCAAGTCTGGAGTGAGCTTCTTACCTGCGCCCGCTCATCATTCATTCCAATAATGGGTTCCGGGGCCGCTGGGTGTTCCTGTTTGGCTTTTCTACCATGCTTAACTCCACCTCTCTGTGTGATTCCTGAAGATTTCGTCTCATCCGCGATTCCTTCGTTTGCTTTCCTTTCCTTCATGCCAGCAGCGGCTGCGCTCGAAGCCGGATCGTGGGTATCTCCTTTCTGGGATCGGCGGGTATTGTGATCCTCTGTGGAGGCACCTTTCCATTCTTTCGTGATGGAGTTGTATCGAACGCCACCAAACCCTGGAGCTACTGTCTGAGCAATGAAAGGCCTCGGCAGGGTCGAGGGACGAGAACGCGCAAGTAAATTCTGCAGCTTCATGATCAAAGTGGTGATTTCTGATCAATTATGGGAGATCTTATGAAACAGAAAATTAGCCAATCCAATTTTTCGTAATCCTTGTTTCTTATAGCATGAATAGCGTGGAACCATTCATTGCCTTGACTTTATGACGTTTCCATGACTCTTTCCTTATCCATAGTTATCAGCAGTGGATGCGCAACTTTCCCAGGATGTGATGAACCGACTATTGCTTGAGCTTCTAACCAGATTACTCTTGTTCATTTCTCTGTGATAATTTTCATTTCATTTCTATTTATTGCCTCATCCAGATATCCATTGATCTGTGCAGCATTTGAGAAAGTTGCTGCTTATTAGCACACAGATGAAGCTCCATGTACGCTGGCATATAGTTGTCTAGATGCATAGTTTACCAAACTATATAGTAAATTTTGGTATTCGGGGTGAAACCCAGACAAGAGTAACTATCAACTTGAATTAGCACAAAGCCGAGATAGTATGGCCAGTTCAATTGTATGTTAAAGAGTTCAAAGAGTTAGTGGCAATTAGTGTAGTGATAATCTTGGAAGCGGTGTGATAAAACTGGAGCAAATGAAGGCGGTAAAGATAACGGAGACATGAAACGCGAGCGCAGCCCTGGAGGACTTATGATATCGTCAAATCCAAAATAAAACACATTCCACTGGTCGCATTTTATTCAAACTTGGGATATGACATGAAAAGAATGAGTTGAAGTAATAGTCAAAATTTGAACGAAAATCACTCATGGAAAACTAGACCTAATTCTGTTATTTAACCAGTCCTATCAATTATTATGGCTTTCTGCCTAAGCTATCAGGCAAAATCCGGATAAAAATTGTTACCGGTTCGAGGCATCTGCCAAGATATCCCGCTTAACTGTGTCTAGCTGGGGTGCTCTGCAATGTACGGAGTAGCTTCAACAGGCCTTAAGGGAAATTGAAATACCGCCTTGAGTTCACTTACATTCATGAAATGTGAATTAACATAAATCCAAGTGACATTTCTGACTTGTACACTATAACCTCCCAACATTGGAAAAGCATAAATACACCAATCTGATCACCAACTTGAAGTTGAACCAATCATAATGAAGCGACAATATCTTCCGTCAGATACACTGCCAGCTTGGTTGCTCTTAAATGGAATCACCACGAATGGTGTTGCAGTTCAAAACCTTGACTCTGAGTTGGGTACAGACAAAGGGAATGCGGTTGTGGCAACTGCAGACAAGCAAGACCAACGAGAGTCTGACGTTCTTTTACATGTCCCACGGGACTTGGTCTTATCTTTGGAAGAAGTGAAGAATTATGCCAAGTCTGATCAAGATCTTCGTGAAGTGTTGGAGGCTGCCGGGCAATTCGGCAGGGTATGAACCCCTCCCATCCCAATTCATGTGAAAGATTATCAACTAATTGATGGCAGACTATGAGGGGCGCGATCATGACTTTCCTTCTCGTTCAAATAACCCATAACAGCCTGCAAGGATCCCGGAAAATAGGAGTCTCCAACCCATGGACCGAATATATCAAGTTTCTCTCGCCATCATTTTCCCTTCCCACCTTCTGGACAGAAGAGGAGCGCGAGTTGTTGCGAGGCACTTCACTACAAGCTGCTGTTGAGGCTAAGTTGAATGTCATGGAGAAAGAATTCGAATTCTTCCGTCAGGCTACAGAAAAGATAGTCTGGTGTCAGCAATACTGGTGGAATGAAAGCTCTGATGGCTTGGCGTTTGATGACTGGAAATACGTTGATGCAGCATATCGTTCCCGCATGCTTGATCTACCCGGAAGTGGTCATTCGATGGTACCATGTATTGACATGGTCAATCATGTGGCCGGGCCGGCTGTGAAAGCCCTTTACGATACGGACTCTGAAGGAAATGCAGTCCTTCGGCTACGAGAATTCAAAACCATCAAGAGAGGCGAGGAAGTGACGATATCGTATGTTTCCCTTTACTGTCCACTCTGGATTGATATGGATAATTTTTCATCTACAGTGAAGGTTAGTCTAACTTTTTTACAGATATGGCGATACAAAGGCTGCATCGGAGATGATATTCTCATATGGATTTCTGGATAGCGAGATTGGTGGAACTACGCAAGTGACGCTTGATATCGAATTCCCCGAAGATGACCCTCTTGGTATGGCTAAGAAGATTATCTGTCAAGACACCCTTGGAATTCGGATTCTCGCCTTTCATGACCCAGCTCAGCCCAATACACTATCCTGGACTGGATTTGGAGACGTGAACTGGGACAGCCCTCTTATATGGTGGTCTAGCGTTAACGAGGAAGACGGGCTTGAAATTGGCGTTGCGCAAACTACCGATGGAAACAAGCAGCTGGAGGCGAAATGGAAAGATGTCAAGGTTGAATCAGCTCATCAACTTATTGAGCTTATTGCCGCTGAACCTTTGGTGGAGGTCTTCCAACTCCGAGCTGTTGTTTTAGTGCTTGGGCGACTGGAAACGCAACTGGCCACCATACGTGAAACAGATGAAGTCCTGAAAAGCGTTCAGGCAGATCCAGCACTTCTCGCTGGTATCTGCAGACCTGAGATTTACGACATGATTTCTCGACTCCGGGGACTCGAAGCGGCTTTACTGCAACAGGCAGTTGAGGAGCTGATGCAACAGGTAAGCGGCCATCCACCCGAGCTAAGCCATTAAACCCACCGAAGCTCCACTATGAAGATCTGCGCTAATCATTAAACCTAGCAAACCGAGTTGATGAAGTCGGAAACGGTGGCAGCCTACCTGAATGCGCAGTCTCAGGCAGAGGAGGTAGAGGATTTTTCATGAGTTAGCGATGAAGCCAAATTAATCTTGTAGCTAGATAAAAGAAATTTCAGCTTTGTTTTGCATATTGCACAATTAAAGTGAAAGTTATGTGAGGAAATTAGGTATTACCTATGAGAATGGACCCCGCAAGATCTTTCCCATATTGAAGCCACGTTTCTCCACTTCAACAGCTTACAGTGCTGTAGTCTAGGACTAGGACTACTTGGCGCGGAGAACACGGAGCACATTTGAACCAAATAATGAAGGATACTTGAGTTCACCGCAATGATAAACTCAATATAGAACTTTGATTTAGGCCCATGACGTTCATGAACTTTCAAGTTCCAGGTTGAATCGGATCTACAAGTTTCGAGTTGGAGTTGACGGCGACAACTTGAAAGTAGCCGATTACCTGCACTTGAGTGAAAAGATTTTTATTATTCGCCAGTGGTATCTTGAAACTTGAACTAACTTGATGAACTAACTTGAAACTTCGGTTCTTGTCTTATTCTTCAGAAGTACTAAGTGAACGGTCCTTCAATCAAAGTACTCGCCGCATTCTTGGAACCAAGAACTAACACCCCGGTAGTTGGATGAACAGCAGCTATATTCAACGGATCTGATAGAAAATAAGGCGTGAGACGGTGAACTAGGACTCCATACTCCTCCACTTTGTATGAGTGCTTTAACATGGTTTCGCTAATACGGGGGATATGTGGATCAGGTGGGTCATATTGTCCCACAGGATTTTTTGTTCGCGATTTTCTCGGGGGAAACTCGTGAATAGTTCCTGCAAAATCATGTACCATGGTTGCAAACCAATAATACATGGTCATCGGGTTCTTAGTCTCATGGTTATGGGGCATCGAAACCGCATAATTAGATCACTATAATTGGCGCCTATTATCATTTAAACAAGTCCAAGCATCCAAGCACGAGCAATTTTCATGGTTGCACAACCTCAGGATCCCCATGGTAGTAGAGCCCCTGTGCATCCGAGTCATCATGAGCAGGAAAAGGGGTACCGGTAAGGGGAGCACACTTTTTTACTAGACGGAGCACAAAACGCTTATGTAATAACACTTATTATATAATCAACTTTTTCTCAGCCGAAAAGAAGGTCACTGTAGCAACTAATAATAAGTTAAATTATAAACAATTATTCTACTAAAATTTCTTCTTCTATTCACCTGAGTTTATCAAATTTCTTTAATCTTTCATCCAATATGGAGGCCCTTATGAACCAATCGTTTGATACTAGTGATCAGCTAGTCCAGGCTATTAAAACACAGGCCTTACAGGATGGATTTGTTGCTGTTATTACTAGTAATAATAAAGATCGAAATATGAGGCTAATGTGTGATCAATCTCGCAGATATGACGATCAGATTGAAGCAAAAGATGGGGCTAAACGTCGAAAAACAAGTACTAGACGTGTAGATTGTTGTTTTTTTCTCTACGCTTGTAGATCTACACGTAAAACATCTGATGGAAAGTGGCATATCACTAAGTTTAACCTTACCCATACAGGACATCAGGTCAATATTGCTAATTTAATTATTCATCCAGGGGCCCGGCAGCTTACAGATAGCCAAAAACAGCAAATTTTCACCTATTTCAATCAAAATATCACACCAAGTTCAATATTAGAACTAATCCAGACAGATTTTCCTAATATTCTAATACAGATTCAAGATATCTACAATCTACGGAAGACTGATTGGAATGAAAAGCTTCAAGATCAGTCAAAGGTTCAATATTTAATCACACAGTTAGGATTAAAACAGTGGAAACATCAGGTTAAAACAAGCCCTGAGGGGCATATTGAATTTCTTATGTTTGCACATCCAAAGATGATCGACTTTGCTAATAAATTTAATAGGGTTATATGTCTTGATTGCACCTATAAGACAAATATTTACAATATGCCACTTTTACATATTGTTGGGGTTTCATCTAGTAATCATTCTTTTTCAATTGCTTTTGGTCTGATGATGAATGAGAAGCAAGCAGCTTATGAGTGGGCACTAGATACCCTATTTTCTTGGCTTGGGCAGGCCCCCCAGGCCCCCGAGGCCACTCCCAAGGCAGCTACACAGGTAGCTACACAGGCAGCTATACAGGCAGCTACGCAGGCTGCCACACAGGCTGTTAAAGTAGCTGTTGAAGTGGCTGTTGAAGAGGCTATTGAACAGGCGGCTACAGAGGCTGCTATACAAGCTATTAAACAGGCTATTGAACAGGCTGATACACAGGCTATTGAACAGACTAAGCTTACCCCCCCAGCCCATAGGCCCCCCTACACCCTACACCTGTTTTAGTTACTGATCGAGACCTTGCCCTACTAGCTGCAATCCGGACAAAATATTCTATATTTCCACATCTTCTATGTCTCTGGCATATAAATCAAGCTTTTCTAGCTAAGTGCAAGCCTGTTATAACAGAGAAAGACTCACACGCCCACCGAACACTTGAAAAAACATCAGACCAAACAGTGAAAATATCAGATGAAAAGGAAAAGAAATGGGATGAATTCTATTCTGATTGGATGGAAATAGTAAATTCTATATCCTTATATGAATATGAATCAAATTTGATTAAATTCAAAGAAAAATATCAGGCCAAGTACCCCTCTTTAATCTATTATATTGAATCGATTTGGTTGGTTCATAAAGAAAAATTTATTAAATATTGGACTAATCAATATCTTCACCTAGGAAATTCAACAACGTCACGCGTTGAGGGGGCCCATGCTGTTCTTAAGAAACATATTAAAACATCAAGATGTGATATTTTAACCCTTTGGTCCCGAATTTCTGCTGCACTACCAGAGCAAATTAGGGCTATTGAGAATGATCTTTTAAATGATCAGACTAAAGCCCTAATTTCCACCCAAGGAGAGTATCTTTTTCAACATTTAGTTCGAAAGATTACTAGATTCTCGATGAATTTAGTGATTGATCAGGCTAATATTGCTAAAAGATGTACAGCTCAGGCCCCGTTAAAAGCCTGTACAGGTGGTTTTATCCGAACTATGGGCTTACCGTGTGCACATCAGATTAAAGGATGGATTGATAGTAAACAATTTATTCCGATATCTGCGATACACCCATTTTGGAGGCTATATTCTTCTGAATCATTAGCCTGGACCTTACAGGAGCCTAGGGTCCTAGGGGGGGCCTAGGGGGGGTGCCTAGCCCTAATGAAATTCATACACCTGCATCAGTCTCAACAGCAGCTCTGAATGTTCTAAAAGCACCAAAAAAAGCACCAAAATGTTCGAAATGTGGGGTGATAGGGCATACGATCCGATCATGTAAATAATTAGTCTAAAATTTGATTTATTTTATCTTATTTTAATTATATGCAGTGATATTATATGCAGTGACCTTCTTTTCGGCTGAGAAAAAGTTGATTATATAATAAGTGTTATTACATAAGCGTTTTGTGCTCCGTCTAGTAAAAAAGTGTGCTCCCCTTACCGGTACCCCAGGAAAAGCGGTCTCGCCACTTCATTTCAGTTCGCACAGAAAATCATGTGTTAGGCTGACAATACATAGTACCGACAGGGGTATGAAATTGTGCCGAGTATCGGAAGCGGGAGAACTATATTGACCTCGGGGACGAAACAACCCAACTGATTGAGACACGGAGGCCCGTCCACCGGGTCACCAGTTGCCCCCTTCTTGGGACCTCAGAAAAATGGAACCCATGGATCTGGTGATGAATCTGTAAGATTGTACATACTGCATATGCAACTGCACAACTGCAGGTCCCGCACTATATAACACAGGAATCAAAGGGGAAAAAAGACGGCTAGAGCAAGGCGGGCGTCAGTGGGCTTCCACTGCCGCGAAGAACGACATCACATTGCATTGTCAGTATGGTGTACCCCAAATTCAAAGTCGAAATAGAGTTCACGCGACAGATGGCCTGCACCGGAGTTTGACTGTGTTTCATTCGTTCCTTCGTAGGCGGAAACGTATACTCATACGCCGGGGCGCATCCCCATGTTCGCGTGTATATCCGGTACAGATGGTGCGGGAGTTGTGTGGAGTCCGAGTCTGGGGGAGCCTCGGGAGAGACCCAACGATTCCAACTTTGCAAAGTTGAAGGAGATCTGTTGTAAAAATCCAATCATGACATATTGTGAAAGCCAATCTTCATCATAAATCATGGTACGGGGAGTTAGGTGAAAAGAAGAAAAAAAATAACGAATAAAATGGGCTGATTAACGTTGAGGACCGCGGGACTCATACCCCATACATCTCCATACATGACGGTACTTGAAGCCAAAGACACAAAACATGATTGGGTAAAGACACGGTCAGCAAAGCCCCCACTAGAACCTGACTCAGCATTAAGGCCATTGCATTCCCCTCCACTTGGTCAAATTCCCCCAAAGTTCTTGATCAAGTCTTGTGCTCTAGTACCCTGCATGATCTGAACCTGCAAAGAATCAGTTACGACAACCAACGCACCTGTTGATATACAAACTCTGCTCAGTCCACCCCCTATCTTTCAACCAACAAGTGACCGAGGCGGCCGCGCCCGTCTGAGTCGATAAAGATGCCCGGTATTTTGCCTATGAAAGTGATCAAGGTCGGAGGTACAGGCGCTCAGAGTCGAATCGCCCAAGCCTGTGACCGATGCCGCAGCAAGAAAATACGATGTGATGGAGTTCGACCATGTTGTTCACAATGCGCCAACGTTGGATTCGAATGCAAAACAAGCGATAAGTTGAGCCGTCGTGCTTTTCCTCGAGGATATACCGAATCGCTAGAGGAGCGAGTGCGAGCTTTGGAATCGGAAGTGAGAGAATTGAAAGATTTGCTGGACGAAAAAGACGAGAAGATCGACGTTTTGTCTCGGATACACTCTTTTTCGCTCTCACAACGCACCGCCTTACCCCGGTCTCCGCCCACATCCGCCGCTCCTACCATTAACAAACCTATAAATGATGAGTCGGAGGGCATGATTCATATAGTCCGTCCAGCGAGTCAAATTGCGCCTTCACAGAATTCCAACCCTTATACCGCTTTCTCCAGCACTCAAGGCTTTGCTGGTAAGTCTTCTGGCCTTGACAAAATTATAAAAGCCACTGATCTAACACCCGGCAGGAGTTCTCACCGATACCTTGGTCAACCAGAGCAAGTCAGCGTCGAAAATACCCACCAATACATTGACAAAATTATCGGCCCCCGTGTCGCGTGGGATGCTTAACCAGCCTATCAAGACACCGCCTCGTCTGGTTTCAGACCAACTTATCAATATTTTCTTCCAAGAATGGGCACCATTGTACCCTGTTGTACATCGTCCGAGTATCTTGAGAGCTTATGATTTATATATTAATAGTGTGGACTCACTGAAGAGCAACGTTCATATGATGGCTCAGTTGAATCTAATTTTCGGCATTGCAGCTCTCTCGTCAAATGTGAGTATTATGCCTTGGATCAACATACCAAATCTGAATTTCAGAATGATTCGCTAACTTTTCGTCAGTCGAGGACTAACCAAGATCCAACATTCTTTGAGGAGAACTGGACAGGGGCTCTGGATTCATTCTCCTGCGAAACATCAATGAGGAGCTTGCAATGCTTCGTTCTCGCTCAGATTTACTGCATGACTAAAGGTGACTATCGTAGTCTGCTACGATACCGTGCCCTTGCCGTGGATGTTTGTCATCAGCTGGGGCTCCACCAGACTCAGGAAAGTTATGCGTCTAATCCATTGGAGGGCGAGACGCGCAAGAAGGTCTTTTGGTGTCAGTATGTGTTGGACCGGTTCTCATCCGCCCTGACTGGGATGCCTGTTTTGCTGCGAGAGTCCGACGTTGAGACCGAATATCCTGTTGATGTCGATGATGAGAACGTCACGGAGACTGGCTTCTTGCCCACGCTTCCTGGCGAGTCTACTCGCCTTTCGAGCGCCCTGGCGCTTTTCCGCGTTTCTCGTATTCTGAATAAGACTTTGGAAGATTTGTATTCTTCTAAGGCTACATACGAGGTCTATGTGTCCAAGGTGCGCATTGTGACGGAGCAACTGGACGAATGGCTTCAGTCGATGCCTTCCCATCTTCGCCTTGAGTTTTCTCAGGATAAGCCTAGTACAAACGTCACAAGCAGCCGATCACCCCTTCTTGTGAGTACAATCCAAGCGCAGACTACTCTCTGTCTGATTTTACTAACATCATATTAGTCCCTTGTATACTATTTCATCCGATCTCTTATTCATCGTCCTGCGGTCTGCTTTGCGAACGAGAACATGCGCTCTCCATCAGTCATGGCATTGGCCGATTCTTCAAAGCACATAATTCAAATCCTCCAGCTGCTTGACGAGCGGAGACTTTGCCTCTCATTCAGTCTCAACCGTCAGGAACTACTATTTTTCTCAGGCCTTGGGCTGCTCTGGCAGGCCATGGGTTTGAAACAGGATAGCAAGTTAGCCAAGGAGAGCCAAAAACTCCTTTCCACAGTTACATCTCAATTGGAATTAGAGTCGATCGCGGCTGCTAATGAATTTGGTCACCTCTTCGGCACTTTGCTTCCATTCGACAACGGACTCCAGGGAACTATCCAGGCACGCAAACAGCCCAACGAAATGGTGGCACCAACCCATAAGCCTTCCAAATCCCCGAAGAGTCAACTGCAATCTCTCAAGTCTCGCCTCGCGTCTAGCATTGGCCGAGATCAAGCGTCAAAGCAAGCATCACCCTCTCGCCGGAATACCGTCTCTGGAGCTACTCCTCCGATCGCTGCTCAAACTCTCCGTTCCCCCAGTTGGACAAGCCTTCCACCTGGACAGGCCGATCATATCTCAAACTCTCAATACCACACGGCCAGACACTCTTTGGATCTATCCTCCAACCCTCAGATGATTCATTCATCTATGGGTTATGACGATCCTCGAAATCTGTCCTCTTCGACTCCATCCGACCCAGCCCATGGCGCTATTACAATGGCTGACTGGGAATACGTTCTCAGTGACATGGATAGAGGATTCTCCAACATCTTTACCGGCATCTACGGTGGCAAGGAATGTGGCGAAGACCATGGGCCATTTGCTTCAATTACTGCTGAATATAGCAAAGCCAATGACGGAATGCTTGATATTCCGCCTCCATCTGATATGCACGAACTTTCTCCGGAATCGTGGTCTGCCAGCAGTGGTGACTATGCTCGTCCACAGGAACACACGGCTCAGAGTGTTTTGAGTTACTCCGGAGAAAGTATGGAAAGTCCCGAAGAAAATCCCCAGGCCCTCGTGGATGTCTCGCTGAATCCGGAAGACATGGGAGTCTTCGATCCGTTCCAGAATTATTCAATGCCTGTCAAGGAAGACATGGATGAATATGCTTTGGTGCAAGGTTGGGACCGACGGCTGGCCGTCTGATTGATTTTTCATTCTACCATGACTCATGTTTATTGAGGCTTCATATTATACTCGGTGCTTATTTCTTTCTTTCATGATACCTCGGAGGGCGAGGGCGTTCTTTCTTTCATCTTGACGCCTCGGCGTTGGACTTTTGACTTGGATATATGCTTCCGCTTAGTATTTATGGAATTTGGTATTTTGATTCAATGTTGAGTGTATATGCCAATAAACTAAATCTTTATAATTTCCTTTTGGCTAGTAGTCCTATCTTAACACCACGATTGCCATTGACAGTGTACATTCGGTCCGAGTCTTAACAATCGGCTCTCGGAACACGCGGGAGGCTTGACGGTGGTGGATACTTCTCCCGAACTACGGCCGAGCTAGTTCACTCCTCTCGGTGCCACCGATCTCATCATTTGGAGCTCAAGCTTGACCTTCCTGATCCGATCCTCGCTCGTACATTTGGAACACTGATTTGCCACGAAAAGAATGTCACGAGGACACCAGGATTATACGATTGGCTTGCCACTGCAAATCTCTCGTGGCCACGGGGTCTAGGTTCTCCAAAAGCTGGATGGCACGACTCGGAAACCACGGGTGCGCCAATGAATGTACAAGACGAACTCCCCACTTCCCCGGATTCTCACGTTTCTCGCGGCCATGTCCGTCAACCCCTACAGGAGACTTCTCGAGGGTCTAAATGAACGAGTCATCGCTTCCCAATCTGTCGATTTCTCCGGACCCCACGAAATGCCAGAGTTTCCTAGCCGTTTACCCCAGTATCCAGCATTGGGCTGAGATTGATCAGGAGAAGTATAAAAGGGGCATGATGTCGAGACTCTGGGGTATTCAGACTCAGTACGAAAAGGGGTATACAGCACATATTGTCGAAATTTGATACCCCATATTTCCCGCGTGTTATCCACGTGGACTGCGTCAACCACCATGTTCAAGAAGTTTTTCCAGAAACGTCCGCAGGACCTCTATGACAATAGTGAGCTCCCTAGAGAGTCTGTGTCTACTGTGGAGCGTGAGAAAGGCCAGCACGATGTTGTCGATACTCCAATCCCTCTGTTCACCGTCCGCTCCTTCGTTATGGGCATCTTCGTTTCCATGGGAGGCTTCCTTTTCGGATACGATACTGGCCAAATCTCAGGCTTTCTAGAAATGCCCAATTTCTTGGAGCGCTATGGCCAGCCTAGTGGAGATGGAACTTTTCATTTCAGTAATGTGCGCTCTGGTCTAATTGTCGGTCTGGTATGTATCAACCTCCTCCCTTAATCTAAGACAGACCCAAGCTAATCTCCCTATCAGCTATCTATTGGTACTCTCATCGGTGCATTAGTCGCCGCGCCAATTGCTGATCGCGTGGGTCGGAAATGGTCCATCAGCAGCTGGTGTTTAATCCTCGTTGTTGGAGTCACCGTGCAGATATCATCGCCTTCGGGTAAATGGTACCAATTTGCCATGGGCCGATGGGTAACCGGACTCGGAGTTGGTGCATTGTCCCTGCTTGTGCCTATGTACCAAGCTGAGTCTGGCCCAAGACATATTCGAGGTTCCCTCATCAGTACATACCAGCTATTCATCACCCTGGGAATCTTTATCGCCAACTGCATCAATTTCGGTACTGAAAAACATACGAATACCAGTTCCTGGCGTATTCCGCTGGGAATTACATATCTTTGGGCTTTAATTCTAGGAGTCGGCATGGTTTTCTTCCCGGAGAGTCCTCGATACGACTATCGGCACAACAAAGTGGAGCAGGCTATGGATAATCTGGCAAAGATCTATGGAGTTCCACGTAACCACCGTGCGCTTCAGATTGAATTTGATGAAATCAAACAAAAATACGAGGAGGAAGTTCGAAATGGGCAGGTTACCTGGGTGCAGCTTTTCAAAGCCCCTACTATGTCATATCGTGTGGCGGTTGGAGTTGCACTGCAAGCTCTTCAACAGCTAACAGGCGCCAATTACTTCTTCTACTATGGTACAACGGTATTCCAAGGAGCCGGAATTCAGAACAGTTATGTGACGCAGATGATTCTCGGAGGTGTGAACTTCGGCACCACTTTCCTCGGTCTATACCTGATCGAACACTATGGTCGACGACGCTCTCTTATCATTGGCGCACTCTGGATGTTCGTCTGCTTTATGGTCTTCGCCTCGGTTGGCCACTTCTCTCTTGACAGAGAACACCCCGAGAACACCAAGTCCGCTGGTGTCGCGATGGTTGTGTTCGCCTGTCTTTTCATTCTCGGGTTCGCAAGTACCTGGGGTCCAATGGTCTGGACTATTATCGCAGAGCTATACCCCTCGCAGTACCGAGCTCGTGGAATGTCTCTTGCAACAGCATCGAATTGGCTTTGGAATTTCCTGTTGGCGTTCTTTACCCCTTTCATTACAAGTGCGATTGATTTCCGCTATGGCTATGTCTTTGCAGGCTGCCTTTTCCTTGCGGCGGGCTTGGTCTATGTCGCAGTCATTGAGGGCCAGGGTCGTACCTTGGAAGAAATCGATACCATGTACCTCATGAAGGTTAAGCCGTGGCATAGCTCCAAGTTTAAGTTCCCGGCTGACCCTGGTGTTATTCGTGGATCTTTTGACAAAAATGAGGGTGCCGGCTTGGGTGCTTCATCTCACATTCCAGACCCGACCACAGAGCTACAAGAGGACGGACATGCAGTGGAAAGACCGGCCGAGGAAAGTCGAGTGTGAGAATATTGGATGGAAATATTTTGAATCGTATGCTTCTATTTTCTTTTAATTTTTTATTTATTTATTTATGATGTTATGTCTTCATCATGATGGTCACGGTGGAAATATTTCATGAGTATACGAATAATAGTCAAATGGATTACAGTTACCACATCAAAATTCAACCTCCATGTCCGGGACTGAGCTCATGCCAAGTGTCTGGGGTTTTTGTGTCAAGAAACCATCCAAATAGCGAATTAGTCCTTCCACGTCTTCCAGTTCACCAACCCATCCAATATACTGATCCGGTCGAAGAACAAACATCGCACCACGGATCCTATCAAGGCCCCATCTCTCATACCCCTTTCCATCACAATATAGATCCCAAAGACACTCAGAGTCACACCAAATCTTATCATAGTCCCAGCCCATGACAGGGTCAAATGGATGTAAGATCTCTGGAAAGTCAAAAAATTCCACTTCCGTCCATGGAGCACTATGAATAGTCAAAGTATCGACTATACCTTCCGGACGTCCTGGAACAGGGCATATCGAGTGAGAATAGAGGGTCTTGTCTTATCCAAGCCTGACAAATAATGACCCAGAGCATCAACACGCTGCTTCTGTTCCTTGTCACGTATATCTCCCGCAAGTACGACTAATTTGAACAGTCCATCACTCTCCATGATCCTCGTCGTCCATTGGATCAGGGCATCTCCAGGATTCCGAAGCTTGACTGGTGGAACTCTTTCTCCTGGAATAAGCTTGGTAGCGCATGGTGGTACTATCTCATTCCCAACTTTGGAAACCAAGGGACTTTCACCATAAAATGCCTTAACCCCATCCGCGAAATCCTGGAATCCAGAAACAAGGTGAATCATTTCATCCGTTTTCCCTGGTGCTCCGCTCTGATTTTTTCCATTGTCACCAGTGAAATAAGTTGACCAGAGCTTGTCAAATTCAATTAATCGCTCTGCGAGAGGATGTCTCTCCGAGTTATAAGTGTTCAGGATGGTGGGATCAGCGACTCCAGCTACAACCAGCGCAATCTTCCACCCGAGATTAAACCCATCCTGCATACTGATGTTCATGCCCAATCCAACTTTCGGTGAGTGAGTGTGTACTGCATCGCCGGCTAAAAAGGCACGGTTGCCCTTGGAGAATGTGGGTGCGATACGCTGCCCGATCTGGTATACGGTCCACCAGTCAACTATCGTGAAATCGAATGTGTATGGTGACAAAATGGCTTGAACTCTTGTTTTTATTTTCTCAGGTATGATTGTCGAACGGTCAAATCGGCCATTTGTATTGGTACTCTCGAAAATATGGGTTGGCACGTAAAATCGGACGAGCTTTCTTTCGCGAGGAATGACGAGCATTGTGCCCGCTTTACTTGAGACGGTTCCCATGCGACGAATATCGGCTATTCCGGTCCATTGTCAGAGTGGATATTGGAATATTGGGACAGGTTTTCACTTACGAAAATTGCTGATCGGAACAACATCAATTACTCCCCTGGGTCATCATTCTTGTTAGTTTTAATGCAATGAAGTGACTCGAGAAGGCAAAACGCACCAAATATGCTCTGTATTCGCGCCTTCATAGGGAATTCCCAGCTGCTTCCTAGTCCAACTATGTGCTCCATCACAGCCAATAATGTACTTGGCCTTGACGATCTCACTTCCTGCTTGTTTTCTCTGTCTCTGACGAGACAAATCATCCCACTCATCAGCAGGCAAGTTCGCGGGTATGTTCAAGTTTGTTTTCGGATCGGAGTGTTGTATCTTAACAGATATAGGATAAGAATTGGGATCTTTATCCAGCGACTGATCATACTCCAACGACTCGGCTGTCACACCGCGCTCCACCTCGATATCTGAGTATTCTCGAATTTTGTCGAGCATGAACCGTTCGATACGACCCTGGCTGAGGAGCAGATGAGCCATCGGCGACTGGAAGACTTGCTCAGGCGTTATCGGACCCTGTCGCATTAACTTGCCGTCCTCTCCAGGTACCTATAAATCACCCCATGCGTTGTCAGATCACTCCGTCGATGAATTCTCCATGTGGGAAATTATACAGACCCAAAAAGCAGGCTCGACGGATGGATGACCCTCATGACGAACGCGATGGTAAATTCCTATACTATCAAAAATCTCCAGTGTTCTCATGCGAACTCCGTCGGCGTGGCCTGTGAACACCTTTGTGTCTCGTTTGTCGATAATCCGTGTTCGGATCCCATACCGCGCCATCCAGTAAGCGACCATTAAGCCCGATGGGCCGGCGCCAACAATGAGCCTTAATATTGAAACTCATTAGATCGTATCAGACAGGTCTGAAAGGTCGACTTACACATCGGTATGCGATTCGCGGATATGATTGTCTAGAGACATGGCCAATTCAAACGTTGGCAGCTGGCAATCTCGGGTGTATCTTGAACGTACAAGAAGGATTAAGGAGTTGTTGGACGCCTGAGTGTTCTAGGCGCAGGTAATTAATTTATAAATTGGATTAATTTATTCATTACATCCCGAGGCCCATTTTGCGACCAATCAATTCAGACTCCGAGAGTCTTTAGTACCGGAAGGTCATTAGACTACATGGATAAGCACTTGTAAGCGCCAAATGTGCAGTAAAGTCAATTTGGAACAGTCAAGTTCTCCTAGAGCTTGAGAGCTTTAATGAACGCCTAAAATTGTATGATACTAGTACTCAAATTAGGATCCAGGGCTCGGCATTACTTAGAACAAACCTTGGAACTTCTGGGGCATCTATGAAGGTCGATACTCACCGAAGCCGTGCTACAACATTGAAACAGGAGGCTTGGTACAATTATCGGGGACTGAAGAAAATCCGAAGGAACTTTATTCGCGGCTTTCTTCAAATTTCACCAGTCAACGTATACAATCTGTGTGTCACCTAATGAGTTGGCCTTGTAGGACCGCTGAGTCAAGGGCTGACCAATAGTGCCGGAACATAGGTACCTAGCTTCTATTAGAATCTAGCTCTAATAAATCAAAATCAAACCCTTAATACAAATACCCCCGCCTACATAAAGCGGCCTAAAAGAAGCCTCCGAATGCAAATGTACCCATGTAGGACATCACCCAAGTCTATAGTGACACTATTCTCTAAGCATGATCAATAGGAGATGGACCAGTGTCAATAGGGTATGTGAAGATGTAGTTCGGACCCTTGGCCATCAGACCGCTACCTCCAGGACGCATCTGAGAAGCAGGGAGCCAAAGCTTCTTGTCAGCAGATACCCACATAAGGTCCGTCCAGAGGAGAGCATCATCTTGAACAAGGATCGTTGCGCGACCTTCGGGAGTAACTTTCCAGATCGCCAGTAAATTAGTATCACTGACATAGATATTCCCGTCGCCGTCAATAGTGGTTCCACCAGTACTGGGGGTCAAAGCCAAAGGCTCAGCATAATCTTCCAGTACGAAGCCATCGTCGTGTTGGTCAACGTCGCATCCACATAGGTGGTCTTGATGCGGTATAGACCGCCATTGCAGGGTTGATAGTATAAGTAGACGCCGTCAGGTGAAACTTCGATTTGGTCGAGTCCAACAGAGAGCGTGCTGTCAGCACCGCTGTAGCCAGGCACCAGGATGCCGTTGTACATCATGGGGAACCAGGCCGAGGCGGAGTCTGAGTTGACAAGCACACGGACTGCATGGCTGCTGACGAGATCAAGTACGATCAGTGCGCCTGCAGTGTCACTAAGGTACGCAATCTTTCCTGAAGCGCTGAACCGGACATCATCCACACCGCTATCGCTGGCTTTGACGTTGTCAAGGTAGTAGAGCTTGTCAACCGCATTCGTGGTCAGATTGACACCCACAAGCTTGGTTGAGCCGTTCACCCCTGTTGAGCCACCATCAACTACCCAGTAGCGGCCATCGGGGCCAATTCGGGCGCCGTCAACGCTGACGAATGTTTTGCGAGGATTGGAGGTCGGGTTGCTGGAGTTGTAGGAATTCCATGCCTCATTCGGATACAGCACGGTTGTGTTGTCGTTGAGTAGTTCCACTATTTGGGGTGGAAGAGAGGTAGAATAGCGCTGGGATAGGAATTTGCGACCACTTCCACTCATGCTAATTCCCTGAGTTGCAAGGTCTAGGGAATAGACCAGCTCCAATTCGGATGCCTATGCGTTGACTGCGGGAGCAAGCAAGCCGATAAGGCCTGCAAATAGGGTGGTTCTCATTGTAGTGGAGATTTTGCGAGAGATCAATGCAATAAAATTCTTGATAATGATGTTTTATCTGAGTTGGAAACAGGCGCTCGCCTCTAGCTCTTCATTGCTTAAATACTGTCTCCAGTATATCCCCTATCATAGATCGTTATTCATCGCATTCAAATTTCGGTGCTGATCCGCCCAAATTCTGGAGACATTGAGTCCTCATATAGATGCCAAGCTCAGCCAAGCAGATGATAATATTGCTTTTGTGTCAACATGACGAATGTAGTTAGCTCTTGATACCAGCCTCAATAGTGCTAGATGGTGTGGCTGTGTGAATTTTAACGCTGTTGGAAATAACCTCATCGACGAATGTATGAAAGGGGTTTAGTCTCCGCTACCAGATCCATGATAAGATCATGTAGATCATCTCAAATGTAGGGACTGAACCTTGGAACTTCAATCTCAAGTATTCTAGATTTTTTTAGTAATATAAGGACACGTACCGTATGCTCCACATATCTTCAAGATATTCAAGTTAACATATTATATAGATTTTTCTAAAGTTTAAAGGATGAAATCCTATATAGACGAAGACATCTGGACCCAGATGCTACTACTCCGTACTATGCTCTCAATCTCGGTTTCCAAACACTACCCACATAATCTTGGAATCATCTTGGCAGTTTCAAATGTTCAAAACACGAGGACCTGTGATTGCGAAATGGCAAAATTCGTCATGGCAGTTCCAAGTTTGAGTTCAACATTTGAAGATTGCGTATCCACGTTCAAGAAGGGATCTGGGCAAAGTCTCCAAAGAACTCCAAGGTGAACATTTCAAGTCCGTAATCGAAAGATCCAGAATAAAATTTATTGTAACTGACATGAATCTTCTCTTTACGGATTGATTTTTAATGAGTCTCTGAAATGTTGATAAAATGTTCACATAATATTAAAAGCTAACCGAAATCAAAGATACATGATATCCAAAGTTTCATAATAATTAAAGTCCTCGCGCGGCCATCACATTCTTTAAAGTCTGCTGGAACTTGGGAACATGCTCTGGCCCGATCATAGTGTAGTGCTCCCCGCCAACCTCATGGTACTTAAGATCGTCGCGGACGAAATCCACCCAGTGATTAAGCTTCTCATACCGGTACTCTTCACGAGACGATGCAACATCTTTCAGCGGTGTACAGAAGAAGACATCCATACACGACACACTTCCAGAAGGATCATAGTTCCATCCGATCTTTTGCAGAGAGAATGCAACATTAACCCAGGTATAAAGAGAGTCATGGGTCAATCCAAGTTCGGCTGTTCGGACTGGGTCGCTCTGGGCAAGAAGTCTATCGATCTGTTCACTCTGCGGAAAGCCTCGGAGTATGGGAGCCAAAGCTTCAACACAGTCTTCGGTTATAATCTGGCAGAAATAGGCAATGTGAACCAGCCCAGCTGTCCAGTCGAGTCTTCGCATGCGATCTCTGATATGAGGGGGGAGATTCAGCGAGGCTAAGAATTTCACGTCCTCCCCAATTGCTTCGAGCTGCTTGGAAATCTCAAACGCAAGAACACTGCCATATGAGTACCCGGCAAGTGCGTAAGGACCATGGGGTTGTTTCTTTCTCAAAGCAGCATAGTAAGTCTCTATGAGTTCATCTCGGTCTTTGAAAGTCTGTTCGCCAGGATTAAAGCCCCGGGGTCTAAACGCATAGACTGGTCGATCTGGGAAATACTGCGCCAATGCCATGAAGACAAGAACTTCTCCGACACCGGGGTGGAACAACCAAAGGGGAGTTTTAGAGCCATGTGGCTGTAAAGTGACGATCGGATGATATTCGCCGGTATATTCATCGCCCTTAAATTTGCGAATGGCCTCTGCCAGAGATCTAATAGTTGTGTGCGTGAGAATGATAAGCATGGGGATTTCCTTGATTTCAAAAGTCAATTCGGCCGAGCGTTTTAGCTTCATAAGCTCCACAGAACTAATTCCTGTGTCCAGGATTGGCATATCAATGCCCATGCCGATATCTAACCCAAGCATATCTTTGAACAGGGACATCAGTGTTCGTTCCGTATCATTGCTTGGAGCTGAGACATGGGTCTTGCGATAGCAATCCAAAGCTTCGACATCTTTCTTCAGATACTCGGCATATCTTCCCCCAGTTAATGCAGTCAATATTTTTGGACGAGAGAGCTTCCCCAGGGTTGTCTTTTGCAAAATCCCCGAAGGAAGTGGCAATACAAGTGGGCGAGAGGAGGTGACGAGCACTACCGTGCGGATGATTGCGTGTAATGCCGCAATACGCGCATCTGTATCATCGGGCTCATAATCTTGTTGGTAAACGACGAAAATCTTCTCGGGACTGATAGTGGTTTCCTTGTACGAGAAGCAAGCAACAAAAGATGGTGCTACACCAGGGATCCGTGCATACTCAATAGCCTCTTCAATCTCGTATGGTAGATACTTGACAGAGTTGATGTTGATCAGCTCTTTGAGACGTCCAGCCAAATGAAGCTGCCCTTGTGAATCAATGGTAGCCAGATCTCCAGTTTTGAACCAACCATCTTCAGTGAAGGCAGCCTGTGTGGCCTCATCATTGTTGAAATACCGTGAGAACACGATTGGTCCGCGTAGTTCCAGGTGACCAGCATCATTGGTTGTAGGGCTGAGGTCATTGCTAGGCACTTCTCGTGCGGCATCCAGGGGAGTGACTCGCATCTCAATACCGGGAACAGGCGTACCCAGCACACCAGACTCACGTAGTGCCTTCCTGTCTATTTCTGGAAATTTGCGATTAAAGATCGCTCCAGCACAGATCTCGGTCATTCCAAATCCTGGGATAATAATATTTGATGACTTGGCGCCTAGCTTCTGCAGATAGTCTGTCACTCGCACTCCAGTATCGACATTGTTGAGTTCGCCGCCCGAAGTGAGAACCTTTAATTGGGAGAGATCAATGCCTTGCTTCTCCTCCGAAGATGCTTCATCAAGTTTCGCGAGTAGTTTGCGCAAGAAGAAGTCAGGAGCAAAACTCATCGAGACATTGTGCTCAGAAAGGAGGCGCAAGAAATGCAATGGATCTCCCAATACTTCGACAGCCTGGACCTGGACCTGGGTAACGCCGGCGAACATCGCTAGCAGATGAACTTCCGTGAGACTAGCAACATGGTCCAGGCCGATCCAATTGAGGACAGCTGCATCTTGACTGACCTCTATGGCAGTCAACTTCCCTCGTAGAGCAGCAAATATTTGCTCATGAGTTAACCCGACAGCCTTGGCATGTCCGGAGCTACCGGATGTGAGCATCAAGACAGCGACATTTTTAAGCTGCGAATTCACAGGCTGAGAAACAGGATTCCGATGTAATGCGCCACTAGTGCTGGGATGGTCGCCGCTATTTTCCCCATTGCTGGAGAGTGATTGGTTAATTGGGCACCCTTGCTTCGCATCCACATGGCGATCACTTTCGACCGCGATAACCCGAAGAACATCATTTTCACCGAACTCACTAGGCAGGAGTTCCGAGTGGGTCAAGACTAATGGGTCTTCGAGAATGGTATGCAGGTGCTTGAAATGAGCTTGACGGCCCTCGCTGGTGTTCACCAAGGGCGGCGACAAAGCTGGTACACTCCCGGCCAGGATACTGGCCCAGAACCAGACGATGTTATCAAGATGATGTTTGAAATGCACTAGAGTGATACCTCCAGGACGATATTCATTATGCTCGAGGAGCCATATTGCCTTCTGCGAAGCCCAGTCACGGAGTTGAGAGTAGCTGATTTGTATTGGAGAGGCGTTGCTTCCCTCTGGGTAGGCGATAATGCCGGCGGTGGAGGTAGACGATCGATTGAGAAGAGATAAGATATCTGGTTCGGAAAGAGATGTCATAATGACTTGCAATGGTTTTGCTGTTTGGCTAGGATTGAGTTTTTGTTTCTGCAAAGAAGAATTTGATGCTTTTCAAGCGAGGGATGGGGGATCTTCGTCCTTAAAGGTTGACTCCTATGCACATAATGCACTTACTCAGCTAGGGGTTAAATAGCTCACCGTCTCATATCAACTTGATGCATCTCATGTTGCTCAATGCATCTATCAATAGTACAGAGAACGAGGTTTGACGTGGCTTTTGATGCAGTTTGACCTGATCCTGTCTGTTTTCGGATCAACATGCCCTCTTTGAGTTACGCATAACTCTAGGTGCAGGTGCGGTGCTGACGCGTGGTCTTGACTCTTGATGAGCTTCATGTAAGGGTGACCATGCAAATCAACCTCTCGGTCTCATGGATTAATTGCCATAGGTTGTTTATTTGCGTAAATCAGGTAGATGATGACTCGAATCCTGGGGTCAAGGGCGCACTGCCCACAATGTACCCCGGAATAAGGATGTTCTGACACTTCAAAAAACAAAGCATCGGACATTTTTTGCTGATTCAGGAATGTCAGATGAGTCTAAGCTTTCTTGTCATCTACACTCGGACTTCCATGTCACCTTCAAATCTCTCAGTTCTTAGCTCTGGAGAGATCGACTAAGATCTCAACATTCCCGCTTGTCTCACCATAAGCTGGGCCCTATTTGAATCCAATTTGCAGTAATCTGTATCCAAGTAGTTAACGCTATGAAGGTAGTACCATTATGTATGCCCTGGTAGAATTTGAATACTCAACCAGTAAGGGGCCCTAGAGGTCGCACCTTATTCAAGAACAGATACATGGTGCTACCAGTGCCAGGGGACTGACCCTTTTTGTCTAGTGAGGTGGTCAAGGTCTTATAATATTTGTGGGCTAAAGACTTTCATTTTCCTTTCTCTGAATAAGGGAAAGAGATTATGCATAGTCTTTGATCAATCACCAATTTACCAAAAGTCTGGACACGCTACTCATCCTCAGTCTGCATGTGTATGTTTGACTTCAAATTCAAGTTCTGGTTAAATAGGTGAGAAAAGGGCTCCTCTACTTAGCTTATGAGGATTTCCAGTGATATCTGGATTTGATTGCGTATGTGTGTGTGCACTGTGTCGTACGGATAGCTTGATTCTGTTCGCGGAATAATGAGTCTGATAAGATTCAATACATACTAGGTAATCTTCAAATATCAGCACCACATTTTGATAATCATGCAACATTGTAATTACCCTTGGAGAAGGAGAGTATGAATGTCTCTCGTTCGACAAATTATTGTCAAGTCCCATCAATTTCCAGTTATCACTTGAGGGTGTTTCGTGTTCTCCAAATCTATTGTATGCAGTTCACTCTCTTAAGAACGGGTGAGTGAAGAGCGCACAAAAGGAACAAACGTGAAATACTAAAAACATCCTGCAGTAGGAGGAGCTTGGACGAAATGACCTTTAAGTTATAAGCTGCTATAACGTTGAATACTTTGGGTCACTAAAGCATCCTTAAAACCCCAAGAGCCCGCTTGCATATGCGCTCATGCCTTTCAAATGTTGAAGTTGATGTTTCTCTCACCAATTGCAAGCTTTTCTTTGAGTTCTTTCTATTGCTCTATGGTGCCATTATCTTTGTAGTTGTATATCTGCTTTATACTATAGCACTCCCACTGTTTTTGAGGATATTTTTGGGTAACATTTCTAAAGTTGTTCCCGATGCGATAGTATGAAACTTTCAAAAGTTACCTAGGCAGTGAGGTAGAAGTAATTGTAATAGTTTTCATTGAGATGTTACCTACTAGTAGTATTTGAATACTAGGTATCATTGCTACTATGTAGTAGTCTTTTCTCTCATCTTAATCTGATCCCTGTGTGTATGTTTCACTGGTAGCTGAAAATGAATAGATAATCCGGGAAAAAAAGGACATTGAAGCAAAAAAGAGAAGGAAAAAGAATCAGCTGCCAATACTATAAATAGATAACACAGCAATACTAAATTCTTCTCCTTTTCAACTTCCAAATTGCACAGGTGATATCAATGTTATATAGCCTGGAGAGGGGGGGAGGGTGGTGATGGGGGGCAGAAAAAGTGATGGTTTTCTGCCGGCCCTTCGGCCCTTTCCGCCTTTCCTCCTCACACCGCCCACGTGCAACCAATGGTGAAGCGCAGAAAATCAAAGATCCACCACTGCCCTCTAAGATATAGAGGGCCAGGCAATTGCCGTAGGGCAGGGGGCCACTGTGTGGAGCATCAGACGATATGCTCAATCCATCATATCGTCCACCTGAAGGGTGAGGCATGCCCAGCATGCAAAAAGTATGATTACTCCTACGACTCAGCAAATAGCTTGATTACTTACTCTTTACAGGACAGAGGAGATGGAGCAGAAGAGGCAGGGCAACGGAAATGCAGCGGAACAGGTTATATTACAGGGCAAAGGAATTGGAGCACAAAAAGCGGTTTTTTGTCGAATCAAGACCACCCGATGACAACTTGCTGGACTTGTCAAATTCCACAAATGAACGACTGTCAATTATGAGGCGAAGACTTGTTGAGTCCAGGTGTACTAGACCACTTGATCCTCCGTGAGATATCACCTTTCTCCCTCACCACAACACATCTCATACAGGGCACTTTTCATCCCCACTCAGGTCCTCCGACAGGTCATGAGTCCTGCTTTGCCCCTGAATAAGAGAGAGACCTTGATTTTTTATTATCGGCCCCTATGTGAGTGGCACCTCGCTGTTACTGGCAGGGTAGCCATCGCCTGGAGGACCACCCGCTACTGTGATGTGATATGACACGACGCAAAAAACACATACGCAATCTCAATTTAAAAACAACCAAGGCCCAAAGCCAGACCCCGATGCTTACTGAGAGCAGAACACTAGATGACAGAGGGCAAGACACCAGATGCCAAGAGCCCATGCTACACCATGTGAAGAGAAGTGCCATGTGTGAAATGAACGTTTATATGGATCTCAGCTATACTTCGATCGCTTTGGACTGTTGACAGACATCTGGACGAACTGCTTGTGAACTTGTCGAGGCGATTTATGATTTCATCATACTAGTAAGTGCATGTGGGACTCGGATATAGTCCTTACGCTGATCTTAAACATTAGAGCTCCTTTCGCAATTTGAAGCTTGAAGAGTTCAATTTATCGACTGAATTTGAGGACCAAATCATGATCTATACTTTCTTGCTTTGTTGGCCTTGTAAGGTACTGCGTAGATTACTTGATTTCTTCAAGCTACGTTGAGTATCGCTTGTTAGAAACCTGTGGTAGATGGACACCAGTAAGACGCATTGAATATGGAAGATAGGTCAGTCGCCATCGACATCGAATTTCCAAGGACGGGCTGAAGAGGATCTTCAGGATAGAAAAGGTAGTCTGATAAACCATCCAATGGGCTGATAGAAGCTGAGTTGTCCAGAGGCTCTCCATCCTACATAGAATCGAATTTTAGCAGACAATAAACAATAAAAGACAAACCAAGGATCAAAAGAGCTTACCTCTTGGTGGACAACTTCCTCGGTTCCCACCGAGTTTATTTTCGAACTGCCTCCGCTGGCCGGCACTGCATGCTGAGATTTGTCGTTTGATTCCCGCACAAACTGCCGAGCAATATGGGAAAATTCCGAAATGGAAAATTCAGGAAGCGAACCATTGTGACTAACTTCCCATCGGCTGAAATATCCACCCGCTATATCCAAAAACGCGAGATTGACATTGATCTCTTTATGGAATGGATTATGAACGACGAAGTCGAAAATAACAAAAAGGGCGGAGATGGGTACAATACCAAGTTCCCTGGTCAAGTTAGCGATCATCAGGCTAGAAGGAAGTTTTCGTTCTATACCAAATAGGAACATGCGGTTCATGCTCAATGTGTCTGCTGAGATAAATAATACTCCGGGCTGCTTCCATCAGTTGAAGCTTAATCTGCTGATCGGAATGACACTGCTGATCTGCATAGAGATGAATTCGCAGGCGACATAGAGACAGTATCAAAGCACAATATAAAAACTGTAACTGAGCTCTCATCTCATGCGCTGATGCATATGCAGTATCCTCTTTGGAAGAAAAGCAGGATTTGTGAGGGCGGAGGTTTTCTGGGAGAGAGCCTCTCCACGCCTCCAGCTCGTAAAACATAGACTCGATAGCTGCAAGACTAGGCCCCTTATGGATCCGAGTCGCACTCACAGAAAAGAGAGATTCGTACATCCTTGACATTAAGCGACCCAAACCTGTCGTGATCAGTAACCAGTTTTGGTGACTATCTGAAGTCCCAGGGATATCTGGAACAGGGCAGCCTATGTCATATTCAGGTATCATCTAGCACATTAGTTAGCTCTTTGCCATGCTTATGTATTCCAGGGTCAACTTACCGAAGCCCGCCCCTGAAAGAAACAAAATACTCTCTCCTGCCAATATATAACCCAAAACACCATATGACAAGCCTTTTCATGGTTCAAGTTACCAGGAGCATGAGCGGCGTTGTAACCAAGGACTTGAACTATTCTCGCAGCTTCTGAGATCAGGGTTTCTCCAATCTGCATACAGGAGAAGTTCGTAGCAAAGATTGCCTATAGTACCGGAATGAGTATTTTCATTTAAAGGATTGCTTTTTCTCCCTCACCATTGCTGCCAAAGCCTTATTTGGTTGTTATTCGACCTTCATGTTGATAGGTGCATGGACACGTACTTGCGCATGGACTAAACCTTCAATTGGAACAAGTATTTGCGGTAAAAGGCCTAGTGCTATTTCGAAGTACTTCCATGCCTTTCCCTTCCCTTGATCGAAAGAGCCACCATCCACATACTGACACCCCAACGCTAGTACGGTATGATAAAGCGCATTAAACGGAGCGCTTTTTGCTAGACGCTGTGACGTATTTGGTCCTAAAGCCTTTTCCTCAAAAGAATGACGGTCGAGAAAAGGTGACAAGGGGTGTATCTTAAGGTAGTAAGCTGGAACAACCATCAGTAAGCTTAGTTAAACAAATGTCTAATTTTAACTAACCTTCAATGTAACAAGCCGCGTCCTCCGGTCGAACTTTTATGGGCGAAGTGGGCATGGTGAACTTGATTACAGCGTCCCGTGCACGCTTAAGAATCGAATCTTCCATGGTTTTAATCAGATGGTGTACTCTGTTGTGGCCAAGAATGCGGTTAAGCGACTTGATGTGGCTATCTGAGAAGAAAGCCATGCCATTACTGGCCACTGGGTATGACGTGAGCTATTGAAAAGTCAAAATCAATTCATTGGAAAATACCTTGATTCTCATTTGTCTGGTCTGGTCAGCTATAGCCACAAGCAGCAAGCAGTAGAAAAGGCTGCCTGACCTTGAAAATGGAGCATGCATCACCATTGTTCCCTTCCATCTGCTGGCCTAGGGGATTTTGGTCGACGTACAATGTTGGACTAATTGTAGATGACAACGAACGTGCTGAGGACACATTCAAATTAATAGTAGTTATGAGTACTGTAAGACTTTATCATAATCAAGTCGAAATATCGCGAATTTCTGTCCACGTACCTGGACTAGGCAAACCGGATGATCCCTTCGGCTTCAATTGCCTCCGTGTGAGGCGAAAATGGCATGCTGCATTTCGTTTCTACTTCTTGTTAAGCCTGAAGCATCCAGCAACAACTTTGTTGATTCCGGAGTAAGCTATCGTACCTGACAAGGAATGCACACGGTACTTCTCGGAGTGCCTAATTTCTCTAGTTCGTCAAATCACTGAAGGAATCGTATCAAATTTGAGCAAAAACGAGCAAAAACTCACGTAGGCATCGAACTTTTCTCGTTTTGCAACTATCGCAAGATTTGGCGATTCGAGGTTGAAGCCTTTCGGCCATTGTCGTCCAAGCGGTTGCCGTTGCCGATGCTCACGGAGGTCAAACGAAACCCGAAAGGCGAGAATCGGCCAGAGAATCACGGGACTCGGGTGTCGGAGTCGGATTTATCTCGGCATATGCACATTGTGGTTCAACTATACGAAATCCGATGTACATTTTATGACTTCCGAGCTACGAACTCCGAGATGAATTGCGTTTATCAATATTTTAGTCCTCTTTAGTGGGACTTTCATTTCTCAAGAGATAGGGGTTGGCTGCTGCCAGTTTAGAGATTTCCGGTGAAATTTTTTCCATTAATAAGTTATGGATCCTATATAATAAATTGCTTTCCAACGTTGTCCGTATACCCATCCGCATTCATTACTAGTCTATTCTTCTCTTCCTGAATTACTACACTCATTTCACTTCATTCCTTTATAATATCAATAGTCCGCAAGCATTGAAGCTACTTCTTGGTATATTTCAAGATACCTCAATGATCTCCGAGTCCACAGCAAATCATACGGGTGATAAGGATGACCCGGTAAATGTCACACCGGCATGGTCACCACATGAGGAAGAGGAGTTGAGAAGGATTGCCACCCAGAGATCTGTGAGATCAGTAGCAAGGACGACTGGGCCTGGGAATGCACAATCTCCAAAGCTTGATCCAACGAGTCCCGAATTTAACTTGATGGAGTGGATGCTGCATGAGGTTAGGCAGTTTGAGGAGCACAATACTGGACGGAAAACCGGGGTCATATTCAAGAATCTTACCGTCCAAGGCGCTGGATCTGATATTCAACCCCAGCATACAGTTGTATCCGCATTTATTTCGCCTATCCTCGATGGCACATTTTGACGCGGTCACCGAGAGCCCAATACGATTTTGCACGACTTTCATGGTCTAGTCAAGCAAGGGGAGATGCTTTTGGTGCTTGGTAGACCTGGTGCTGGATGTTCGACCCTTTTGAAGACGCTTTCTGCTGAGACAAACGGCCTGGAATTCTTACCCGAGACAACCATCAATTACGATAGAATCTCACAGTCCCTGATGAAGAACAATTTTATGGGCGATATCCTCTATAGCCAAGAGGTTGAGAAGCGTGAGTTCCATAGGAGTTTTGGAAGATTTGACATCTAAGACTAATGAATTCGTTCTTGTAGACTTTCCTCACCTAACTAACAGTCGGAGAAACACTTGAATTCGCTGCTGCTGCACGTGCCCCTCGCCAAATTCCAGATGGCATGACGAAGAAAGGACAGATTGAGCACATGCGAGATGTGGTTATGACTGTTTTTGGTCTTTCCCATACCATCAACACAAAAGTGGGATCTGATTTTATACGAGGTGTTAGCGGTGGCGAGCGAAAGCGTGTATCAATTGCAGAGATGGTCCTCGCCAACTCGCCGGTTTGTTGCTGGGATAATTCCACACGTGGTTTGGATTCTGCTTCGTCGCTGGACTTTGTCAAGGCACTGAAAAAGAGCTCGACAATTTTCGGAACCACGCACCTTGCGACTTTATGTCAGCCCTCTCAGGCTATCTACAATCTTTTCAACCAAGTTGCGGTGCTTTACCAAGGACACGAGATCTTTTTTGGTTCCACTTCAGAAGCGAAACAATACTTTCAAGATATGGGCTGGCAGTGTCCTGCTCGGCAGACAACCGCAGACTCTTGACCAGCGTCACAAATTCAAATGAGCGAAAGGCCTACCGGGCTTCGAAAGCAAGGTTCCCCGAACTCCCGAGGAGTTCGAAGCCCGCTGGCGGAGTAGTTACCAATGCAGGGGGCTGATCCAGGAGATTGAAGATAGTATCAAGATGCATGGTGCTGATTCCGAGTCCGTCAATGCATTCAAAGAGAGTCATCCAAATCGGCAAGCCAAGTATACTCGTTCTACCTCTCCCTACCTGTTGAGCATTCCTAGCCAGGTTTCAATATGCCTCAGGCGGTTTTACCAACGCACTTGGAATGATATCGCTTCCACAGCGACTTTGATGATCGGTCAAGTCGTGTTCTCACTCATTATTGGGTCTTTGTACTATGGAACTCCCTTCGGCACCCAGGCTATGACCTTGAGGATGTCAGCATTGTTCTTTGCCATTCTTCTCAACTCACTCTTGACGGTGGCTGAGATTCAAAGCTTATACTTTCAGCGCCCAATTGTGGAAAAACACGCTTCCTATGCCTTTTATCATCCATTCTCAGAGGCCCTTGCCGGTGTCTGTGCAGATATACCCATCAAGCTCGGAACCAGTTTGGTGTTCAATGTTGTGTTCTACTTTATGTGTGGGCTACGCTATGAGGTTGGCCCGTTCTTCATTTACTGCCTTTTCGTTACGTTATCTCTGCTTTGTATGAGCCAGATATTTCGCTCATTGGCAGCTGCAACGAAAGCAATCCCTCAAGCCCTTGCTGCTGCGGGTGTCATTCTGCTAGCTGCAGTCATTTATACTGAATACATGCTACCTGAGCCTAACATGCATCCTTGGTTCAGATGGATATCTTACATCAATCCCTTGAGGTATGCATTCGAGGCGTTGGCTGTCAACGAGCTCCATGGACGCGACTACCCATGTTCGAGCGTTGTACCAGCCTACCCCGGATTTGTCACTGGATCCAGCAAGTCGTTCATTTGTGCTGAGAAGGGTGCTTTGGCTGGAGAGTTATTCGTTAGCGGGGATAGCTATCTTCTCACCAGCTACGGCTATGAGTACAGTCACCTTTGGAGAAACTTTGGGATCCTTTGCGGGTTCACGATAGCCTTCCTTGTCCTTTATTTGATCCTCGTTGAGTTCAATTCAGGGTCCTCTTCCTCAGCTGAGAGTCTTGTTTTCTTACATGGTAAAGTTTCTCTCGCGCTTCAGAACTCGGCAAATGATTCTCGGTCATCCACTACCAGGGCGAACCAGGAGCACGTAGCCTCTGAGGAGGCTATCATGCCCCCACAAACGGATACATTCACATGGCGAAATGTGTGCTACGATATTCAGATCAAGAAAGAAAATCGTCGCTTACTTGATAATGTCAGCGGTTGGGTGGAACCTGGAACGCTAACGGCCCTCATAAATGTCTCCGGAGCTGGGAAAACAACGCTGCTGAATATTCTTGCTCAGCGTATTTCGGTCGGAGTTTTGACTGGTGACATGCTGGTGAATGGATATCCGCTCAGCGCAAGTTTTGAGCGCAACACAGGCTACGTTCAACAGCAAGACCTTCACCTTCATACTGCAACTGTTCGTGAATCGCTACGCTTCTCAGCATACCTTCGCCAACCGAAGTCAGTTCCACTGGCAGATAAATACGAACATGTTGAGAAATTTAACTGCTCATGAATCGAGACAACCTAGGTAGTGGATTTAACTAACATAATATTAGTCATTCGAATGCTGAACATGGAAGAGTATGCGGAGGCTTTGGTGGGCTTTCCAGGTGAGGGATTGAATCTCGAGCAACGGAAGCTCCTCACCATTGGTGTAGAGCTTGCTGAAAAGCCTGCATTACTTTCTTTCCTTGATGAGCCGACATCCGGGCTGGACAGCCAGTCATCATGGTCCATCGTCGCACCCTTACGTCGCCTTGCATCGAGTGGGCAGGCCGTTCTTTGCACCATCCATCAGCCTTCGGCTATGTTGTTTCAACAATTCGATCCTCTCTTATTTCTCGCAAAAGGTGCGAACTGTGTATTTTGGCGACATCGGCCCAGAATCCCGTACAATTCTGGATTACTTTGAGAGGCAAGGTGCTAGGGTCTGTCATGACTCCGAAAATCCGGCCGAGTATATCCTAGAAATTGCAGATGCAAAGGGAAATGGGAATGGTGAAAAATATTGGCCTACGCTCTGGAAGAGCAGTAGGGAGGCAGATGAGATGATGATGGTTCTTGACAAAGCTTGTGCAGAACACCGGCAGGGAGAAACTTCAACTACTGACACCGACGCCAATGCTGCTTCCGCCTTCGCGATGCCTTTCAAAGAGCAATTCATCGCCGTGCTTCACCGTATCTTTCAGCAATATTGGCGATCTCCTGAATACATACATGGCAAGCTGACTTGAGGTGTTCTATCGGCTCGTGAGTGTCTATTTCTCTGGTTACTGCAACTGATTTTCTAACTCTACATTGGAACAGTCTTCGTGGGATTTTCTTTTTACCAGCCTGGCACATCCGAACAAGGCCTACAATCAATCATCTTCTCGGTGTTTATGATGACCGCCATATTTACTGCAATGGTCCAACAAATCATGCCCCAATTCATCTTCCAGCGCGATCTTTACGAGGTTCGAGAACGTCCCTCAAAAACATACCATTGGGCAGCTTTCCTTGGTGCCAATATCCTGGCTGAGATACCTCAAATATTTGTCGGAATCGTTGTCTACGCTTCCTTTGTATACTCTGTCTACGGCGTTGTAGACTCGCAACGCCAAGGAATCCTGCTACTGCTGATTGTGCAGTTCTTCCTTTATGGATCGACATTTGCCCACGCAGTGGTTGCCGTACTGCCTGACGCTGAAACTGCCGGGCTGTTTGCCACTATGCTGTTCAATATGACCCTGGTTTTTAATGGTGTACTAGTCTCCAAAGCTGCTCTACCGGGCTTCTGGTATTTCATGTATCGCGTTTCCCCTATGACATATCTTGTCAACGCAATCATTGCGACCGGAGCGAGTGGCAGACCGGTGAACTGTTCAAAGAAGGAGCTAAGTGTCTTCGAAATGCTAAAAGGGTATGCGTCTTGTGCGGATTATCTCGAGGTCTATCTTCAAGCCGCTGGAGATGCCGCAGGCAAGCTTCTCAACCCCGACAGCACCGATCAATGCGAATATTGTACCCTTCAAACAGCGGATCAGTATCTAGCTAGTCTGGACATATCTTACAGCACCCGGTGGCGGAACTCTGGCTTGCTTTGGGTTCACGTCGGATTCAACATTTTCTTTACACTCGTGGTTTATTACCTCTGTCGGGTGAGGCCATCGAAGAGAAAGGCGTAACTTCAAGTTGAACCCAGTTACTCTCATTACACATTGTCATTCACAGCATGGCTACATATTCACGAAGGATCATCTGATACTTCGTTCGCATGTACATATTTCAAGTTACTTTCATTCAAGATCGACTAGACTAGATAGAATTGTACTAGACCAAGGAGGCATTCAACTCCTGCCACGCTCTGGCGAGCATGATTTTTTTCATTTTTGAAACAACAAATTCATTCCTTACTCCTATTCTAATGTGTCAATGTGCACCGGTCATCGAGAAAGCAGATCTTTGTTTTTGCGAATATTTTTTGCATTTGCCAATCATTTTATGATCTCCATAAGGGACTCGGATGTGAACATGTACCTCGAAGGTCCAGATGTCTATGGTTGATTCCGATTCCACTTGTTACCGGATTGATAGGATTTGAGAAGTATGAGGGTTCTAGTAAAATTCAACAACTTGAGGTTATGTAACAGATTTATCATGTTCTAATATGGCTCAAAAATACTACAAAGAAAAACATTTGAAAAGACAACACATGCACATGTGAAATCACTCTTGCCAACTAGCACCCACCTTTTGAATCCAAGTCTCGTAACACTCCGGCTCCTTTCCGAGCAGCTCAACTTGATCCTTGTATTCCTCGCTAGTCATCTCGAGCTTTCGGCTAGCAAATGACTCCACCATCAATCTCAACTCTCTGCCCTGCTCTGGGCCTGTGAACGGAACAATTCGCTTCTCAAAACTCTCGAATCCCTCTTCAGTGATTGGAAGCATCTTGATTTCCTTTCCAATTGCCTTGGACCACAGCTCCGCAATTTCAGATCCCTTATAGATCTGCTTCGTTCCAACGCAGACGTGCTTGTTGGCCCATTTCTCATTGTTTACCATAGAATTCTTGACAGCAAGAGCAATGTCTGAAGGTGCCACACGACTGACTCCCATCTCACCGAGTGGCTCAGAGTATACATTTGCGCCTAGCATTGACCTCTTCGTTCTGAGGTCGTTGGAGAAGAATAGTGTTGGACGAAGAATTGTCCAGGTGTATGGAAAGTTACCATATAACAATTTCTGCTCGGTGATAATTTTGACCAGAATATGTCCTGCTGAACAATGGCTCAAAAGCTCTTGGACACCCTTAGGGGTAGTGAAGTCAACACATGCCGAGATATAGACAAGGTGTTTAACGACTTTCGATCTGGCAAGGCAGTCCAGAATGTTCATGGTTGTGAAGAGCTCATCTTGGCCGGTCAGACACAGGAAAACGGTGTCGACTTCGTATTTGACAAGCTGTTGTTGAAGCCAAGATGGATCTCTGATGGAGCCTTCCTCGATGATAAACTCAGCCGAGCCGTCGATTGGAGGTGGGAGGACTTTCTCAAGACGAGAAGCATTGCTTGTAGGGAGAATAACTCTTGCTCCCTCTAGAGGCTGGAGGAGGGGAAGCAACTCTCGGCCAATATTGCCGGAGGCAGCGGTGATCAGGAAGTTCTGAGGCATTGAGATGATGTGAATTGACAGAGAAGTGTCGGTTGTGATGTGAGAGATGAGGAGGGGAATATCTGCCTTTTTAAAGAAAAGCTAAATAAAACAGATCAGTTACGATCTTATACGAACAGTTGTACGGGACCTAGATCAAATTCGGTAAAAATCGGTGTTACAAAATTACTAGTAGGGGCCAAGAACTACCATAGGTATAGGAGAGTCATGGCTTCTAGTGTTCTAATCCACTACCATCGGATAGTCGTTAACTTGAAGGAGAAAAGAGTGCGGGAATCCTAAAATTCAATACCGTGTAACACATAGCTAGCTGACTGTGAAGACTCTTGCCAAGGTGTTAGGGGGACTTTTGGTAAATGGCCCCCAGTTGGTCTCTGCATACTCCATACTGGAACGGGTCTGGGGCGAAATCCCCTTAGTGCTAAGCTCGATCCAGTCTCCAGGGCTGATGAATATCTCAAAACAGAAGCATTGCCAAGAATAGAAGATAGTCCGAGCTACTACTCTTCATGGTCAGGCTCCACCGAAGCTTCTCATCGTAAGGGACCAGGAGGACATATGGCTCTCCAAATCAACCAACCTTGGAAATGATCCGTTTGACTGTTATTAAAATTTCTCGCCACTTCCAGTGCTTAGATCGATCTCTAAAATTTAAGTATACGTATAAGCCATTTTTAGTTAGGAACCATGATGTATTTTCTACTAGTATCAGTGGATAGGTGTGTTGGGGGCCCTAGGGATCCGAGTAGTTGTCAACTAGTGGCCCCCAAAGATCGAGTAAGCGGGTCTGTGCAGCCCCAGGCCCGGGGCCTTGGTTACTAGCAAGTTGCCCCAAGTTAAATATAGCCCCCAATTGATGTTCATGTCAAGCCTGGTGCACTTGAGGCTAAGCTCTGTGGCAAATGTGAGGTTGGAAAATTCCTAATAAGCTTGTCAAAACTAAAGCGTAACTCGTACCACATATGCGTATGCCAAGGGAAAACTACATGTGTACACTTCACTCGACATTGAAGCTCGCACTTGATAAATGCAGCTTGAGGTTCTAAAATCACTAAGCGAGATCTTGGCATTGACAGTGTAGAGTATGCCAAGTCTTCAGGTGCTAACTAGTAGATCCAAACATTCAAATACGGCTATACTAGTACAAAGAGGATTTTCAGACTATAACAGCCCCTATATGCAGTAAAACGTTGAAATGGACTGTATTAACAGTATCCCGTATAAAGAATCCCTGCCAGTGTGACGGTCTCGGGCATGGCTGTGGATGCATACATACTAGTAGCTCTTGGGAAACTTCCAATCTGGAGATTTGAATTTCAAGCACTTGAGATGCTATACTATTCTGCAAGTTTCTGGAAGTTCTCCACGTCCACTTTGTTGACATGGAGGAAATGACGTAACATCATGATCCTGATATACGGTTGCCTGGAAGGGGAAGTAAGAAGTCACCGCAGTACATACTAGTAGTAGTAATAGTTGACTAAAATAGGTGGTCATCCAGCTATCAAGATTTGAGCATACCTTTCGAAATCAAGATGACGGTCCTGGATTATCATTGATCAATTAAAATGCCAGATAAACATCGATGAGGCGACCCATTCCGGTTTTAACGGCACCTGGGTGCCAGTGGAAACAAGAAGGATATGCATAGCAGATAAGCATACCTCAGATGAGCTGGTCGTGACTGGACTTAATCAAATGAACATGAACAACTTCCAAGGTTGAATCCATTTTGGATTCCAGGACAAATAGAGGACAGATTTTAGTTTTTAGTCGATGCACCGTAAATCCAATCTGACTCGGAATTCACCGATTCCTCAACTGCCGTGTCGCCGAGCCTTATACATCTGCATCCAGGATTCATCTCGGGGCCAAGGGACTAGAACATTTGAAGGCAAAGCTTGGCTTGCCGATTGAAGGAAGAAGCCGTCATATTTTGACATTGAGGTATACATTTGATATTATTCGGTATCTAAAATATTGTGCTAACTGGTCATTAAGTATAAATTATAATACCGGAAATTATGTTCGTCCAAATCTTCAAGTTCCGAATATTCTCATCTGAGCCTTCTAACTGCAAGTATAAGACTAAACTTTTAGTTCTAAGATTGATCTAAGTACAAACTAGATAGTATGAGATTACTTAAGCTCCTTCCTTGGTGGCTGTCTCTCATAGTTCATAGACGAAATGAAGACCGCGTCTCCAACATTGAATGCTGTAGCCATGACTGACTCAAACAACGCATCACAAGACACTTCAAGAATTGTGAGCCCTTTATTGAACATTCAGTATACAGAAAAAGAGCGAATCATCATCACCAAGAAATTAAAGCTCACTCCATACGACCTGTGCACAGTGTCAGCATATCTCACGGACAATTAGCCGAAGCCAAAGCACTACAGTATGGATCGAATGAATCAATTCCCCCCACAATCTTTGTTCTTTCTTCATAAAAATTGTGATCAAAGCCGCAGCAGATACTCTCTCCTTGCATTAAGCAACATTCCGAGGGGAAAGCATTTTCGGAACTTTAGAGTATGTGGATTGCCACATAGAGCAACGAGGCGGGTGATCATCAAGAAAGGGAACGCGTACGACAACGACCCTTCAGCTCTCAGAAACCTGATCTCTAGACCTAATGATTATGTAGCTGATGCAAGATGGAAACCCGATCGATACGATCCGAAACTTCAGATATCCAAGCTCCCTGTTGTTTTCCCCACTCAGGTGAAAATCGCGTCTTAATCGTTGCTTGATCTTGCGGCTGATCGACAGATGAAGTTCCACGGAACAGCTTCCCGGTCTGAATCTCGGTATGCTCCTGATAAAACCATTGGTTGGGTCTGTGGGTTTGTTGCGTTTTTTGCTCAATCCTTGATTCCCCGGAATGTCAGTGTCGAATGGAGTGGGTGCTACTCCATCGCCTTTTTGCGCAACAGGGTGATGTCAGGTACAGTTTCACAGTATAACGGTGAATATGTGATGTCAAGGGCTTAATTTTTGCTTATATTTATCATGCCGCAAGGACTCCATCCCCGTACCAAAACATCTTATTGTATTCTTTAATTTTTATTCGCTTTTATCCTTCTGTGGATATTGTACGAGGGGGCTTTTGCACAAGTGACTAGGCGCGTTCGTGCCTTGGTGTCGACAATTCACGAGCTTATTCCATATATTGCCAACGGGGCATTTCTCCTGCCTGTGCGAGCTTTCGATCAGGCTCGATATGAATTCAGACGATGTTGAAAAGGTCCATGGATCCCTTTCCTTGAAAAGTGTGAGCCAGTCTGAGATTGAAAATACCCCTACGAAGGAGACTCATGGGAAATTTCTCGACTTGAAGCCTCAATCAAAGTTCAAAAGATGGCTTTATGGATTGAAAAATGTCGAAATGGGCGGAATTGAGCGAGTGCCCGAGGAAAAACGAGAGCCTGTCACAGCATCGACTACATTACACATGCTTCTGATGTGGTTTAGCATGACTTTGGCCGTGAACAACATCATCGTGGGATCTCTGGGGACTCTATTGATGGGTCTCTGCTTCAAGGATGCGGCTTTATGTGGTATTCTGGGCAATTTTTTGGGAACAATGGCGGTGGGATACATGAGTACTTGGGGCCCAAGGAGTGGCAATCGAACATTGGTAAACATTCCGGTGACTTACTCACTTGAGGTGTTGTTCTCACAAATCTTGACAGATCGTCTCGCGCTACTTCATGGGTTACTACCCAAATATGGTCTGTTGTTCGCTGAATATTTTAACCAATCTCGGTTATAGTATGCTTAACAGCGTGGTTGGGGGTCAAATAATTTCTAAGGCTTCCGGGGGACAAATTTCGGTTTTACTGGGTATAGTAGTTGTTGCAGTGATTAGTTGGGCTATGGCTATGTTTGGAATGCGGATATTCCAGATCTATGAACGGTGGGCGATTGATCTATATAACAAACACGAAAGAAGAACCTCGCTAATCGAATATCATTCTCCCAGATTTGCATGGCTACCTCAGCTTATGGTCTTATGTATCATGATTGGCTCTGCGGGTCCCAATTTCAACTTCGATATTCACAAGGACTACTCACCAGAACACCTAAATGCCAAACGAATCACCTACTTTTCTCTATGCTTGTCAATCGCTATCGCCTGGGCCCCGTTGTCTGCCGACTATTACGTCTACTATCCGCCACAAGTGAAACGTTGGAGGACCTGGATGGTAACAGTGCTGGGAAGTGCTCAGGCCATGACAATAACCCTTCTGCTCGGAATGGGATTGGGAACCGTTTTGGCCAGTTCGCCTGGTTACCTCGCCGAGTACGGTAACAGTCCCGGTGGGCTCTTGATGACGGCGTATGCTCCCTTGGGCGGATTTGGGAAATTTTGCGCGGTGGTCAATGTCCTTGCACTAGTTGCAAACAATACTCCTGGTGCTTATTCCATGGGTATGAACTTCCAGATGCTGGGTGGATTCTTTCAACGAGTTCCTCAGCCCGTCTTCACCACGCTCAGCACTGTGATTTATACGGCCTGTGCGATGGGCGGGCGCAATTCTTTATACGAAATCTTCAAGAGCTTCCTCCCTCTAATTGGATATTGGGTGATTATGTGGTTCGTCATTGTTGTTGAAGAGGATTTGTTTTTCCGGAGATCCAAAGGGTATGACTGGTCAGCGTGGAATACTCGAGAAAAGCTGCCCATGGGCATCGCTGCTGGAATCGCTTTCTTGATCGGCTGGGGTGGAGCGATTATTGGCATGGTAAAGATCCCCCCCTATTTTGTATTTCTTGAAATATATTAACGTATCCAACAGGATCAAGCTTATTACTCTGGCGTCATTGCACAGGTTGCTGGGGGCTCGGACCTGGGACTATGGGTGGGTGCTGGTTTCACAGCGGTGGCGTTCCCACCATTGAGAATGCTTGAGAAATGGTATATCGGCAGATGATCAACATCACCGTGTATTTGTATGGCCCTAATAGGTAGATCCGAGTTGCATATGAAGAGGACCGGACCGCGGTCCAAGGAATCAATATTCCCCGCAACCGGAACCGGCACTGAAGATTCCGTACATACAAGCGTAATCAGGGGGGAAATGTCAGGAAAAAATGTATTATGTTTGTATATGAGAATCAACTTGGAGTAGTTGGATTTATAAGTGAAGGAAAGAAAGGAAATAAAAGGAATATGTGTATAGAGTAGATCGGCAAATCATGCATTCTTTAATTATGAACTCCACCAGGACCACCACAAGTTCACAACACCCGAACCGAACCCCACTTGACGAGAACCTCAAATCATAAATGCCGTCAACCCGCAGAGGCCGCCTGCATGGCGTTTCTTTAAATTTCACCGTGGCGCCATAACTGGTGGCAGTCTCATATCACACTGCATTATCCATCAGGGGCACCGAAGTATCTATACAAAAGTCCGCCAGTTCCGTCGTGTCGCAATATCCAGCACAATGGATAACGACACGCTGACTTTGTTTACGAGCCGGGGTCAACCACTCTCAGGGGCTGTGGTAGCTCTCTTTGACGCTGCACCAAAGCAATGGCTTCCATATGCCATAGGTCTATTGATCGGGTATCCTCTTCTCGTCCGTTCGCTACGGTATAGGAGAATTCAGAATCTCCAGAAGAAATGCAACTACCCAACACGAGAATCGATGGCCAAAATGACCGACGAGGAGGCGTTCATGATTCAAAGACAGCTCGGAACTTTTGAGTTCCCATTCATGTTCCTGAAGTCCCTGCAGTTCGCCTTATTCCGGGTATTTTCTCCTGTCATCACTTTATCTTACACAAACCTTACACAGACCCACGGGGCGCCTTATACAGCTTGCGCATGTCCTAGCTCATAAACAATGCTAACAATATTCATATACAGACATATGGCATCCCATCAATCTCCCACCTCCTCACGAAAACAACCCAATTCTCCAACCCTAATACCTCTCTTAAGCGATACACCGATACAGCAGCTCTCGTCAATGAGATGGTAGGAAATAGTCCAACATCCTACCGCGCTTTCGTCTCCATCGCTCGAACCCGATTCCTACACAGTGGTTACAGAGCCAGTGGTAAAATCCTCGAATCAGACATGCTATATACCCTTGCTTTATTCGCTCTCGAGCCTGTAAGATTCATCGGGCGATTCGAGTGGCGCGAACTCACTGATCTGGAACGCTGTGCTTTGGGTACATTCTGGAAGAGTGTTGGTGATGGACTCGGAATTAGTTTCGAGGAGCTACCATCTGCTGCATCGGGATTTAAGGATGGGATTCAATGGCTTGAGGAGATAGAAGCTTGGAGTGAGGCTTATGAGGAGAAGTATATGGTTCCTGATGTTAAGAACCGGGAAACGGCGGATCAGACGACGGCTGTAATCGTTTACATGTTACCTCCTGCCTTGCATCCTATCGGATTGCAGTTTGTTTCTTTTATGATGGATGAAAGGTTGCGCAAAGCTATGCTGTATGTTTATCTCTCTGGATTCGATGTGATGGATCATATGCATGAGTGCGATGCATATGTGGAGAATTGTGACTAACTCGACATTTAGGTACGACCCACCGTCACCATTCTGGTCATCTGTCTTCTCGGTTCTCCTTACTACTCGCAAGCTGTTCATTCGCTATCTCATGCTCCCCAGACCTCAATTCTTGAAGGTGAACAATATCAGCCAGCAACCCGATGAACATAACAAGTTCTATTTGACTTCTTGGGAGGCCGCGCCTTACTATGTCAAGCCCACTTTTTGGAACCGGTGGGGCCCTACCGCATGGTTGACTTGGGCTTTAGGTCGTCCTGTTCCCGGTGATGAGGGTGACAAGTATTATCCCTCTGGTTACCATATTCAGGATATTGGGCCCAAGTTCTTTGAAGGGAAAGGTCAGAAAGCGATTGAGGAGACGATGAAGGAGCTGGAGATTACTCGAACAGGGAAGTGTCCGTTCCACTGAGATTTGCTTAACTGTTAAGGGAGGTTATTTCATTTTTTGGAAGGGTTCATATCACACAGTATTTACCTACCTGTACTTCGAAGCTTTCAGGACTGCTTGAGAGGTGGATGTGACAAGATGGAAGCGTACCGGGCTTTGCCGTTACTTTACAACTACAGAGTACATTTCAGCCTTAAATAATATGACAATATTAAAATCATTTCGTCAATTGCTTTTCCAGTTATGTGCTAATCTGGCCCGGTCATCGACTAAGAAACTCAAGACCTAGAGGCAGGAAAATAGAGACAGAATAAGTTGGGAAATTAAGAGCGCTCAAACAAGATAACTGGGGTTTTCGCAGGCCCACCAAGCAGCCAGAACCCGAAGGGTAGAGAATGTAAGCTTATCAAGGGTATTACTGCGAGCAAATCTCAAAACTCAGAGAGAGATGGGCACATTTAAACCTCCTCCTCAACAACACCCTCCTCAGCGTAGTACTCCTCCTCACCCTCGGAGACGGAGGCATCCTGGTACTGCTGGTACTCGGAAACCAGATCGTTCATGTTGCTCTCAGCCTCAGTGAACTCCATCTCGTCCATACCCTCACCAGTGTACCAGTGCAAGAAAGCCTTGCGACGGAACATAGCAGTGAACTGGTCGCCGATACGCTTGAAGAGCTCCTGGATGGAGGTAGAGTTACCGACGAAGGTGGAGGCCATCTTGAGACCCTTGGGGGGAACGGAGCACAGAGCGGTCTGGACGTTGTTGGGGATCCACTCAACGAAGTAGCTCTGGTTCTTGTTCTGGATGTTGCGCATCTGGTCCTCGACCTCCTTCATGGAGACCTTACCGCGGAACAGAGCAGAGCAGGTGAGGTAGCGACCGTTACGGAAGTCAGAGGCGGCCATCATGTTCTTGGGGTCGAACATCTGCTGGGTCAACTCAGGAACGCTGAGCTGGCGGTACTGGGAAGCACCACGGCTGGTCAGGGGAGCGAAGCCGACCATGAAGAAGTGCAGGCGAGGGAAAGGAACCATGTTGACAGCGAGCTTGCGGAGATCGGAGTTCAGCTGACCGGGGAAACGCAGGGAAGTGGTAACACCGGACATGACGGCGGAGACCAGGTGGTTCAGGTCACCGTAAGAGGGAGAGGTGAGCTTGAGGGTACGCATGCAAATGTCGTACAGAGCCTAGATCAAAGATTCAATGTCAGCTTATTTCTAATATCCACGATTTCTGTTTTGCATCGTACCTCGTTATCGATACAGAAGGTCTCGTCAGAGTGCTCAACCAGCTGGTGGACGGAGAGAGTGGCGTTGTAAGGCTCAACAACGGTGTCGGAAACCTTGGGGGGAGGGAACGACGGAGAAGGTAGCCATCATACGGTCGGGGAACTCCTCACGCAGCTTGGAGATCAGGAGAGTACCCATACCGGCACCGGTACCACCACCGAGGGAGTGGGTGATCTGGAAACCCTGGAGGCAGTCACAGCCCTCAGCCTCGCGACGGACAACATCGACAACCTGGTCAACGAGCTCGGCACCCTCAGTGTAGTGACCCTTAGCCCAGTTGTTACCAGCACCAGACTGACCGAAAACGAAGTTGTCGGGGCGGAAGAGCTTGCCGAAGGGACCGGCACGGACAGCGTCCATGGTACCGGGCTCCAAGTCGACAAGGACGGCACGGGGAACGTAGCGGTCATTGCTGGCCTGTAAATTTCAAGCATATTAGGCGGATTCGAATGTATTGTGGGTATGGATTCCACACTTACGTGGTTGAAGTAGACGTTCATACGCTCCAGCTGGAGGTCGGAGGAACCGGTGAAGCTAGAAAAATGTCAGACCGCCATTCCTTCTCGTCACCCAATTCCATTAATATTGTCACTCACTGTCCATCGCCGTCAAGGCCGTGCTCAGAAGCAATGTTCTGCCTGGGAGGTAGTTAGTAAGATGTTCCAGAGGTTCAACAATTGATGACATGGGGTGTGGCTCCCCAGCGGAAAACACGTACCAGAAAGCGGCACCAATTTGGTTACCCTATTCCCAACACGTATTGTTTAGTCGTTCAATCCCCAAAACAACACTCATATAAATCATATCGTATTCGAAGTCGAACTTACACATTGGCCGGTCTGAAGGTGGACCTATATTGATGAAAAGTTGAGGTTAGCACGGACCTGAACAGGTGGGGGGTAAGGCGCTCAGGGGTCAACAAAGACGCGTCTTTCTTGGGGAGATGGTACGTACAATCTCACGCATGGTTGTGGTGGGTGGGTATTCGTTAAGATGGGGAGGAGAATTGAAGTGAGAAAGAAGAATGACCGAGGGTCAGCGAGATGGGGGAAAGGAGAAAGAAGGTGAGCGGTGTGTGTGCGTGGGGATCAACAACAACTTCTTTTGCGCTCAGGGGGGGGATGTGGCTCGATACGGTATAGCGGGAATCACGGGACCAGTCAGCGGGTGAACCGCAAGATACGAACCACAGTTAGTTTGTTTGCGCATAAACATTGGTTTAAGGCTCTACTATGGAGAGAAATTCACTAGAAATTTTATGATCATGTACGTTCAGAGTGGGGTCTATATTCTCATTAGAAAGGTCGTTTCCTGGGATTTTCCATCTAACATTAATTTTATAGTAATTCAACGCGACTAGTAGATGTGGAGATACCCCGTAGCTCAAGGATTAGGTAATGCACTTGTATGACTAACTATGGATGGGCATCAGTTAGGTAGAAGGTGACCTCACGACTAAATCATGTAATTATATGACTCTTAAGCACCTGGTATGGACAAGAGATCTATGAGGATGCCTCCAATATGCAAGAATCTAGACAGAAAAAGGGAGAGAGGGGAAGAAACAGGAGCATATTTGCTTCTTTCAACATGGCGATCTCTGCAGACTCGAGTACTAGCCAAGAGCAAATTTTCATAATGTCCCTGGAAAAGGTATCGGATGACTATTCTAATATTGTACATTTTTAGTTTGATGGTATCTCACTTGGCAGCATCCTCCTTCTCCAGCCAGTTGCCAAATTGGTTGAGGCGCTCCTCCTCTTCCTCGTCCTCTGCATCAAGCCCACGCTCGAGCATATCCTCCAGAGCCGCCCGACGCTCATTGGTCTTCTTAAATTTCTCACGGCCTTGAGAGACGTATGCTTCAACACGTGTTCCACCGAAGAATCGACCATCCATAGCCTAGTCAGCTGTTAATAGAGTTCATCACCAATAAATACTTCGCGTAAGTAGTCCATGACTGAAGATCTTACCTGAACGCACTGTCGCGCAGCTGCCGGGTCGGCAAACCGGACACTGACCACACCATCCTCCTCCTTATCATAGAGAACCACATTCGTGACGTCTCCAATCTTAGAACACTCGTCCCGAATATCTTCCTTGATGTCAAGGATGGCAGCGACGTCCTCCTCTAATTCTTTCAATGTGAACATATGCTTCAAAATCACTGTCTTTTCCTGACGAGAGTTGGTCTCTGGGAGTGCTGCCGCGGGATCATCATCGTCCCAGTCCGCCAATTTACTAAAAGAATAATTAGCATATGAGCAATCTTGATACCCGGTAAATACATACTTGTTCAGCCTTTGCGTACGTGCAATAATTTTCTTCTTATCACGCATATTGGTCTTTGGCGGCGCATCCTGTTGGCTCTTATACGAAAAGTCTGCCGCCTGGACCTTCATAGGTCCCAGTGCACCTGGGGCCCCAAGTCGGAACTCCGTCTCGTCAAGCATCTGGATGGCAAGGTTGACCGACTCGGGTCGGAAATAGACAACCAAGGCCTCACCCTTGAATTTGCCATCATCGTCCAGATACATCTTGATTCGGGGGCGACCGCTGTCAATTTCCTCCGCAATGACGCCGCATTTAGAGAAGAGGTCTCGGAGCTCATCGAGTTCAACATCGAGAGGAATTGATGTGACATATACCGCTGTATTCACGCGTTGTTTCTTGGGTTTATTTGAATCGGCCTGGAATTCCCCGAAAGCCATTAATTCCATAGATCTTTCTAGGAGAGGGGATGGGAGGGAGGAAATTCAAGTTGGCATAGTAGCACTTACATCATCCTGCTGTTTGCGCTTCTTCCTGTCACGAGGGTGGCTTTCTTCAGTTTCATCTACTCCAGCGACCTTGTACGCTTCTTGCTGTTGTCGTAACAGGTCTTCGTCCACCTAAAATCACCGAACTACTGTAAGGGTGATGCACCACTGGCTTGCGACGACAGAGCGCAAAGCAAAGGGTAAACGTAAACTTACGGCTTGAACCCATCGCTTGATCGCAGAATCATACGAAAATTCTTGTCCATCCTCTGTCTCCAGAATAAACTTGTCATCGAGCTTAGAGAACGAAATCCGGGGGTCGCTGTCGAATTCGGACGGGTCGAGCGGGAATTGGCGCGAGGGCCCACCGTTGTCGAGATTTGGCGAAGCCATTTGAGTGACTCGACAGGACAGAAGGGTTATGCGATTAGGAGGTATTCACAATAGTGGTCAAGATTTGAGGATTTCGCAGGGTGCTGCGTGCGGTGGTGAGGATAGAGCGGGAAGCTCGAGCTTTTTGCGGAGCTCCAGTAACAGTTGCAGCCCACATCACATGGCCGCCATGTCGCCCATGGATTACTACTATTTTTGACCCATATGTTACCACAACTCAAGTCCATGTATAAAAAATAAAATGTTCTTTATATTTGAGGAAATTATTCAAACGGGTACTTAAAACTGCACCAATTTATTGAAAATATTTGCATTTAATTGTTTTGAAAAAGGGTATCTATCACATAAAAAAGAAGTAAAGGCATGAGAAATCCGCGCAGTAGGTGCAAATGCTAGCAAGAGTACAAAGGTCAAAACCCCATGCTAAAAGAACCCCCCCGAGAGAAGTAAAAGATAAAGTGAATGAACGAAGAGAAATTAAAGTATTAAAGAATGGTCATAACACAAGGAAATTAGGCCTTGGTGTCGATGGTAGTGGCGGTCTCGCCGGTGGGCGTCATCGTGCGCTTGGAGCCAGTCTCGCTACTCTCGACACCATTGACGATATCACGAGTGACCTCAACGTAGTCATACTAGGGGAAATGTCAGTATATGTTCAATATTGGAATCAGGAAGAGAATAACTTACGGCAAACTCGCCAATCTCGGCGTCGTCAATGCCCATAATCTCGTCCTCCTCGGGAGCACGAAGGCTAAGACCCGGAATGAGGTTCATGACAAAGAGAATGATACAGGTTCCGAAGAATGAGTAGGCAGCACCAGACATGGAGTCAGCGAGCTGGTATCCCAGCTGGATGTAGTTTTTGTTGATCCAACCACCAGGAATGACAGTGGTGCCATCAAGATGCGCAATGTAGTCAGCGGCGAAAAGACCAGTAAGCAGGTTACCGACCAGACCACCGACAGCGTGGACAGCAAAGATATCCAGAGCATCATCAACGCGCAGCAGGAACTTCAACTTGGTCGCATAGTTGCAGGCAACGGCACCAACAACACCAAAGACGAAAGCGGCCCATGGCGTAACGAAGCCTGAACCGGGGGTAATAGCGACCAGACCAGCAATAACACCAGAGCAGAAACCAACGGTAGACCACTTGCGCTCAAGACGGTAGTCCAGCAGACACCAGGTCACACCACCGACAGAAGCAGCGAGGTTAGTCACAACGGCGGCCATAACAGCACGCAGGTTAGCAGCAAGCGCGGAGCCAGCATTGAAACCGAACCATCCAACCCATAGGAAAACAGTTCCGATAACAACGTGAGTGACGTTGTGAGGGCGGTAGTTGAGCTCGTGGGTACCGTGGCCTCGACGCTTGCCCAGCATCAGGGAATAAGCGAGAGCAGCACAGCCGGAAGAAATATGCACGGGGGTACCACCAGCAAAGTCGAGACCACCCATCTTGTAAACCCAGCCCGACGAGTTCCATGTCCAGCAGGCAATGGGATCGTAAATGATAGTAGACCAAACAAACATGAAAATGGTGCAGGGAAGCATGCGACCGCGCTCAGCAACGGCACCAGCGGCAAGGGCAACACTGAAAACAAATAGGTCAGTATGAGAATATACTACTTGGTATGAGGGGTATGATGACTCACGTAATGGCAGCGAACATGCCTTGGAAAATGGCAAACAAGATGTCGGGAACTTTGTCACTTCCCACAGATGGTGCAGCCAGGACATTTCTGAAACCAATGTTTTCCAAATCACCAATGAACTTTCCGGCTGTGTGAGAGAAGGCGAGCGAATAGCCCCAGAAGAACCACTGGAATGATACCACACCGACTGACATAACCGACAGCCAGATAAGGGAGAGAGCTGACTTGCGTCGTGCGAGACCCGAGTAGAAGAATCTAGACAAACCAATTAGCTCTGTATTATCGATTCGAGAAGACCAAGGTATCCTTACCCTACACCGGGAATCATGAGCAAAACCAGCGCTGATGAGGTGATAACCCATGCGAAATCACCAGCCTATGCAAAGAGAAACTATTTAGTCAATGATCATTTAATGTACACCACAGCTATACACATACATCGTAGTAGATGTTGAGGTCCTCAGTGAGTGAGTTTCCTCCGGTACTGATAGTACCATTGTAGGTGATCGGGTCTGCCGACATGGTGAAACCAAAGAAATAATATCAAATGGTTTCACAATGACCGGGGTAAATAAAAAGGAACGAATCCGGTGATCCGAGATACGAGAGCTGGGGGATAAAAGATCCAGAAATAGTGTAGCCCAGGGGGATGGGAAAGTACAGGTCAGAAGAAGGGATGCTTAAGAAGCAAGTTGAATGTGAGCTGAGAAAAGGAGGATTGATAAATGATAGATCCAACATGCAGGGACGTCCCTAATAATTTAAATAGTGAGACGCAGTAATCCGGACATCAAACAGAAAGCTCCACCATCGGACACTAGATGGCTCGATCTTAGTCCCGATAGTGGGAACCGAGTGTAATGGTCAAAGTAATTGCTATGATTTATTCAATCTAATTGATAGTGATCATTCATAGGCTAAGAAAGTCCCCCATTAGCCATGTCGGGATATGAAAGGAGTCAATTTCCATGGACCTAACCGGGGGATTACGGGTCCAAGCGACGGCATATACTTCATGACCCATAACACCCCAGACGTCTATCAACCATGCGATACGAATATATGACTACAGTACTCCATAGTTTTGTATGCTGATTAAAATACTCCAGTTCTGTATTCCATATGCACAACATATGCCAGGGTATCCCATGAAATTCGCCGACGAGTAACCAAGCTGACCACGCGGGTTTCCGTGTTGTACGGGATCTGAAATCAACTGCAGCGATAAGCAGGGGGTGAATCTAAAGATAAAATGATAGACTTCATATGGGGGCAAATAATAAAAATAATGGAAACTCATTAACAATATCGACAATTCAGGTCCGCGCAGAATGATCGAGGTCTACGACTGGCTGTAGATATGAAGTTGACGCCCAACCAATCAGAGCTCGTTTCTTATCTATGCAGCTGAAGATGGAATATTCCAAATGTTCTCTACTAAATAATGATGTGCGCCTGGCGCGCCTGAAGACTTTCTCCATCCTAGTCAAATAGAATAGAATATCTGATTGATGATTCTATTCCTATTAAATTTATCTCATAATCCCTACCATATACTTGTATACTCTACTTTTAGGCTTGAAGAGTCGGAAAGAGCCTCTTATCTAGGGCTTAAGTGAACAGCCAATCAGCAGCCCGTTTAATCTTTAATCTATAACCATTTTGCCTTATCGCGCCCCAAGCTCAAACCACTCCCAAATCCAAACAAACATCCGAAGGCAAAGCCAGGCCCGCAGATTATTTCTCGTATTTCTTTTTCTCGTCTTTCTTGGCCACGGAACCCATTAGTACCGCTGACGACACCACCTGGGCATTTGAGGAACATCCTTAGACCATCTGATCCTCCAGGTATAGCTGAAATGCTCCGGTACCACTCGAGGCGACTAGTCTTTCTAAACCGTGTGGACTTGCAGGACTCCATTTTAAGCTCCAGAATCCACCGTAAAAGATTCATTGAACAATGATTGACCTTATCCCTCGCATGGAGCCTAACGGTTCCACAAAATGGTCCTTATTTCCCACTTTAACAGACTCCGTTAAACCCCGGGTCCACTCAGGTCTTAAAGAACGCTTGGGGCGGAAAATGTTCGATGCCACGCGGTCCGGGGGTTGCCAAGCCAAGATAAGCATCCTGCCATTCATTGGTCGGGGGGTTGTTGCTTCGGCATCCCGATCAGGCCTTGGCATGCCATACGGAGAAATTGCTGAAAGCACGCCTCAAGTCCTACATTACACTAGTATCCAGCTTGACGTAGATGTGCATATGTGCATCATTTATTGTTGCACTATTGAACGTTCTTGATATCACCTTTTACAGTTAAATGCAGTTACCCGTCTTCTGTACGAGTACTTCAGACATCTGGATGTCTAGTACATATGTAGTCATGCTAACAACCGCGGCTCATCATTGAATATTATTCGAATATTGAACTGTATGCCTAGTAGGTAGGAAGAAGTTCGAGTTCCAGACTTGAACAGCCAAGCCTTTCAGGTTCTCCAGGTGTCTTCTGCAAGTCATCACAAGCAAGACCATCCAGATGTCGTTTCGTGGATCCAAATGGATCCATTGATCGACCAAGACACCCGGGAAGAGACCACAATTATCCTCGCGCAGATCAGCCTTGTCACGGTAGATGCGAACTATTTTCAGGGCATTAAGTTTGCACAAAAAGCAAATAAACAAACTATGAGATTGTACCTACCTAGATCTATTCAACATGCATGCGCTGCATGTACTCCATATTTAGACTAGTCAGGAAAAAAAACACGGGCCGGGTACTATACGTCGAGTGCCCCTTATTATTTGTTTTTCTAAGTGTCTAGTTATACTCCGAGTCTGTTTGCACATGCATCTGCCAGTGAGGATGCATCAAATACATAGTATCAATACTGTCTCGAGAACCTGACTCGCCTGAGAATTTCTTCTGGGTGTTGAAACATAGTACGCAAGTGGCTAGGTACTACTGATATGCAATTATTTTTCAAGGTTCAAGAATTTAGAAACCTTGGAAGCATTACGAGCTTTGAGATCTTGAAGGAATGCTAATATTGAGATTCATTGAACTATTGATCTTTTTCTTTTGCCACTCACTATATCGGACTCGAAGTACGAGAGCTAGTACTAGTACTACCAGTAACTACCAGTGACGATCATTATTCGCCTTCAAGTTGGAACTTGGAATTCCGATGATGCCATCCAGAGGCAAACTAGTATACCTTGCCAGGCTTATAGGGCATATCACTAGAATTCCATACCTTGAACCTTGGAGTTCTCAAGTTGAGGATGCTGACCTTGGGCTCCAGCTGAGCAAACTGATGCTCCAAACTTGAAGAGATACCAGTGCGGCTCCCAAACGTCCACGGGTTGGATCGTCCTCCGGCTAGAATGGGGCGGCATTGGGGCCCCGTGCAATGCGGCGGGGCAACAAACCTTGCCAAGCCAAACATGGATTTGGGTGACTTGGAATAAAACCCATATGCTTCCAACTTCAAGATTGAACGGCATTGGAATTATCTTATGCTTATTGTCGAACTACATCCATAAATGTTGGGCTCCAAGTTCAACATAAACGCGCCTCATAGGATCCATGGATGTAGCCCTGTCAGTGTGGGTACTACTAGGAAAATTTGAGTCCGAGTCCATCATCCTGCTGCTTACCTTGCATAAAACTGCACATGTGTCCCTCCGCCTGAGAGCATGTCAAACTTTTCATAATATTCAAATGTTCGAACTTCAAGTTGGATGTTGAACCAAAGAATACGAGGTATCTCGGTGATGAACCTCGGAAGAAACAGGGCTTGGAAGATCTAGGGAGAAATTACTAGTACCTATGCAATGTTTCCTTAAGTGCTAGAGTTGACGACATTTGGATTCGTTCCAAGGTTTAGATTCAACGTCTCACGAAGTTCCTAACCAAAACTGTTACAAAATTCATATATGGAGTCTCTATAAAAAGACCTGACCCAGGCCAGAAACATCGCGGTGCATATGCAGTATCAAGTGCACCTGGGCACATGTGGTACATCAACCTGGATTCCAGTGAAAGCAGAATGTTCATATTAGGCTAGGACTGGTACTGATTAACATTTGAATAGCTTGTTAATGATCCAAAATTGAACATATGAGATGAATCATGATGTTCAAACTCCAGTGGATTCCAAGACCGTACTCCATCTGTACTAGGCAACGACTTTTTCAAGTACATCCATTGATGGAGAGCCCTCGAGCAACTCTCCCTGGCAAGGATAGGGACTCGGAGTATTTAATTGACAGGTCATCTCTTTAACTGCCCCCATCCTTGCAAATATTAGACCAAAGCACCACGGCTTACCTTGTATTGCGCGTTCCGGTTCTAGGCACTGCGATCAGCCCCATGACCGGGGGTAGGGGCCCTGTTTTAATCTATTTAATATAAATGTCGACGCTCATTTCCCGCCACGTCAGTGGTTTACCCTTCCATCCCATCTATAAGAGGCAAAGATAGGGGTCGATCTAAAGACTCGCAGCTGAAACGATAAAATAAATAATATCAAAACATCCGATTTGAAGAAGTGAAGTCATTTATGTACATCAGTGTACTTCAGTCAAGTTAGAAAACCGGAATGGAACTGACGCGGAAACCAACCCTATTGGCTCCCCCCGCCACGCACCGCCACACTCCCCTATCATCTTACCAGCTTCTATCCCCGTCTGGAGGTGACCATTCATATATCACACGGCCCACCATGGAGCACCCCGACATCGTCAGTAATGACTCCGATGGCTCGGGCTCCTCGGATGAGTTCCCCTCTCAATATCCCTTGAGAGCCAACTCATCCTTTGTGGAGGCCTTTGATGCTCAGGTCCAGACACCCGCTACCACAATCACTTCCTCCCCTCCAACAGCTCACTCCTCCTCTTTATCTTCATGGTCCAATCCCCAAGGAACACGCCCGCGTGGGGCTAGTGTAGGAGCTTCTGTTGCCCTCGAAAAACCTGATGGCTTGGCAATGGCCGGTGACCTGCGAGCACAACGTCCCTCCGCGCCCGTGAGAACACCCTCAAACACATACGCTCCCCAACGTCGACCACCACAGTACATCAGTTTCCAGCAAAACGATCGTCAGCGCTCTTCATCTGCAAAACGAGGTACCCGCCGAGACCCGAATGCCCAATACCGCGCCCAAGAAAAGGCCTACGTGCAGCGAATTCGCGCCAATCCCCAAGCCTGGTATCATTTCAACGACGCGCAGGCGAATAACAATATGCTCGCAGATGCAGATTTGGAGGAACCCTCTCCATCATCCGAGGCGCCTTTCCCCGACGACCCTTACGACCCCGACACCCAACTTTTTTCTACAAATGATAATATCCCCACACCTGAAGAGCTTCGCAACCCCAAAAATCAGGAGCGACTCGAATGGCACTCTATGTTAGCTTCAGTCCTGAAGGGTGACGTAGTAAAGCAAGAAAAACAACGATTATTTGGATCTACGGAATCAAAGCGATCGGCAGCCCAAAGCCAGGCTCTTTGGATGGGGGTAAAGGCACGCACCTGTGGGCGAAGTATCGCTCTACAGCAAAAGCTCATTGAAGATGCCCGACGCGAGCTGGGTCCTGTCATTGAAGAAATCATCACTTTCCAGATCAAAGGCGAAACAGAAATTGGCAAAGCCCCGAGGCAGCAAGTCGAGGACATCGTTGAAAAGGTCGAGCGCTGTGAAATCTTGTACTCAACACATAAAGAAATGGAAGCTGCCAACCCTCGAACTGCCTCAGAAGAGTTCTATGCTAGCCGTGAGGCCATTTTTGCCTGGCACAATATCACCGCCCTCATCAACACGGAATTGGCTGTCCTACAAAGTTGGGTCGGCAATGAATCTCTTGATTTCAGCAAGCCTAAACTTAGATCCGCCAACAGTGATTTGTCCGATGACTCGTCGTTCCTGGATCGAATTATGAAGGAAGATGGTCTAAAAACACTCCAAGGCGATCATAACATGCTTAAAGCGCTTGGTGAGGTTATCCAGAAAGCGAAAAACACATTGATTGAAAACGCTGAGGCTTTTGCGACTCGCCATCTACCACCATATATCGAGGAGCTTCTCATTTTGATCAACTTTCCTTCACGCTTGATTCAGGAAATCATTCGCGTGCGGCTATCATACGCGAAAAATATGAAAGATCCGGCTCAGCAGTCACCGATCCTGGTTGACCAGATGATCTCGCAATTTCAGATTCTAATGAGAGTCGCTGTTGATATCAAGCAGCGCTATCTTGCCATTTCACTGCCCCAACCTGGCTGGGATCTGCCACCTTGTGTCGATGAGAACTTTGATTCCGTTGTTCTTGACGCCATGAAATACTACTTTCGTCTGTTACACTGGAAACTCAATGCCAACAAAAACACGTTCAAAGAAGCCGAAATTTTGGAGCAAGAGTGGGAATATTCCTACGAAATTGGTCGCCTCCTAGATAGCGGTGATATCGAGGTTGCTGAACAGTTCAGCGCCCTGACTGCCAAGTCACTTCAACGACTCATGATTCATTTTGAGCGTGAGCTGGTCCCACGGCCCCAAGAAACTGTCGCCGACATGGACAAGCGCTACAAGAGCATCTTGGACTCAACCCGTATCCGTCAACGAAAACTTTACCGATTCTCAAGATTTTTGTGCCAGTTGTTTGAAAATGCTACCGAATACAACATCACGACCGATATTGCCTATGATTTCTTCGAGGCATTGCTTATTTCTAATCATTTCCTCATTACCTCGCCCAATTCCGTTGGCCAGAAAGGTGTCTATCTCATTGCACACCACTCATTATGGAACCGCCCTACAGACATCCAAGCCATCCTTGCCACCTCCTTCCGGGAGGACGATATTGGCAAAGATATCCCTCACATTCCGTATGTCTTGGTAGTTCGTCCGGAGAGGCCGCTTGCCTGGGCTGGCAAGGAGATGCAGGTTGACATCTTGGAGCAGCCCACTGATGTTCGTCTTGGTAAGCTCCGTCTTGTCGTTGAAGGCATGCAGGATCGCCTTCAGAATGCGAGATTGGAGTTGACTCACCTTACTGGTATTCAACTTGACATGGCAATCGAGCAGCGTGCTAACCTTGGCCGCGTGAATGTGGAATTGAACAAAATTAAGAAAATTTCATTCAAATTGTCCATGGCCATCATGGACAGTGTGGCGGTCAGTAAAGACCAGCTGCGACAGAAGACATGGGAGAATAATGATCTTATTCAAGCTTGCTATGCATTTGCAACAGAGTTTGGTAAGCGGTCTTCGAACTATGTCGACGCCAATAGACGTGCTATGAATAGTGCGCGACTGGTTGAATTGTCTCTGGACTGGGTCTCGTTCATCTGTGATGAATGTGATGCCGCCGACAGAAAAACTTTCAAGTGGGCAGTTGCTGCACTTGAATTTGCCATGGCAATAACTTCCAGCCGCCATCTTCTTTCTTTAGATGAGGAGCAGTTCGCCCGCCTCAGGCTGAAGGTTGCTGGCTGCATGTCCCTTCTCATTTCTCATTTTGATATCATGGGTGCTCGTTCATCTCTCGCGGCTCAAGCTGAGAAGCAACGGATGGAAGAGCGATCAGGCAATCGGAAGCTCAATGCTGGTCGCATTCTGAGTGACAGTGAGGCATCGAAGCTTGTTCGCGAAACCTGGGTTGCCCGCGTGACTGAAATTGAGGATCGAAGAGTGGAAGAAGATGCCAAGCGCCAAGCTCTTGGTCGGGTTCTGGAAGGATCAAATGAAGCAGATCGGTCTCTCACTGTGTTGTCGTCTTCTGCTACCAACGTCAGCTTACGCTGGCAGCAAGGCCAGTTCATCGGTGGCGGTACCTTCGGCTCTGTCTATGCGGCCATCAATCTGGACAGCAATTACCTGATGGCAGTGAAAGAGATCCGTTTGCAGGACCCTCAACTGATCCCGAAGATTGCGCAATCAATCCGCGACGAAATGGGCGTTTTGGAGGTCCTGGATCATCCGAATATCGTCTCTTATCATGGTATCGAGGTTCATCGAGACAAGGTCTATATCTTCATGGAATATTGTTCTGGTGGCTCGCTCGCCAGTTTATTGGAGCACGGCCGCGTTGAAGACGAGACTGTGATCATGGTTTACGCTCTTCAGCTCCTGGAAGGTCTTGCATACCTGCACCAAGCGGGCATTGTACACCGGGATATCAAACCTGAGAATATTCTACTGGATCACAACGGCATCATCAAATACGTGGATTTCGGTGCAGCTAAGATCATTACCCGATCGGGCCGTACAGTAGCCCCAATGGATGGGCCAAATGGCACCAAGGAGTCGCTCATTGGTAAGGATCCTCAGATTACGAACCAACGCAAGAACCAAAAGACCACCACCGGCACACCCATGTACATGTCTCCGGAGGTTATCCGCGGCGATTCCCCTGGCTTGGTCAACCGCCAAGGTGCAGTAGACATCTGGTCATTGGGTTGTGTGATCCTTGAAATGGCCACTGGTCGTCGTCCATGGTCTACTCTCGACAACGAGTGGGCAATTATGTACAACATCGCTCAAGGCAATCAGCCCGCACTTCCGACTCGCGATCAGCTCAGCGATATGGGTATTGATTTCTTGGGCCGCTGTTTCGAATGTGATCCTCTGCGTCGACCAACAGCCGCCGAGCTGCTTCAGCATGAGTGGATTGTCTCTATCCGTCAACAAGTTGTGCTAGAACCTGCTACCCCTAGCAGTGAGACTGGAAGCTACAGCAGCTCTGGTTCTAACACTCGGCACAACTCCTCCTATGCGTAATCCTTTTCATGCTCTCAATTGTTTACATCCTACCTGGGTTGATCTTCCTCCCTCGTTGCATTCGTTCTTGTTTTATCTTCCCGAGTCTTCTAGACTCGACTTGACATTTGTGTCTAAACTACGCTCGCTCGATCTCGACTTGACTTATTCCCCCTCAAACGACATCGCATGTGATACCCCTACGTCTATTGTTTTTACCCTCTTTTGTTTTACATCTGGTGCCATTTTTACGTTATCTTCTTTTATCATGGCTTGCATATACGAAGCTGAGTCCTTCATTTTTTGTTTATCTTACGCTCGGTGTTGGTTTGGGATTTTAGGATGTGCATGAGTTCTTATGTATACGAACAGCGGCGCACATCTCGATATCTGGTTAAAGCGTGCATGGATCAATTGATGCAATTTCAACGGATCCAAAATTGGACGGATTTAAGTTTTTTCTTCATACAGGTCTTGTAACGTAGAATTTCGGAATAAGGACTTCATTTTACTAGAACAATAAGGAGTGAACTAGGTCATTGAAGAATTCGACATGAATTTTGTCATAAAGGCTACGAGTAGAGCTGATAAGCTGCCCGAAGAGTACATATCACAAGAAGAGAAAAAAGAGACATGGCAAGTGATCATGATGTTAAAAGAAACTAATGTAAGGAAGAGACTGTCCTCGAAAGAAACCCCAGTTCGCCGAAGGAGAAAGATATGAAAACGCCATTCATAGTCGTGAGGCATGAGATGAGATACAATTTGGCAATGGTGTTGAGGGCGAGAGTTGCGGACCAATGGGGGTATAATCGTGTTGAGAGTCTCGGACAGATCGATCGGCTAGGTATGGAATTGGGAGGCGGAATATGGAAGACAAGCGAAGCAATGCAAGCAAAGTTTCTCATAAGGAATGGCGAGAATCATACGGAACCAGGAGGCACTGCTCAATACTGGTGACCCGATAAGATGGAAGATAGGATAGGATATAGGAGAAGAGAGCAAATAGAACCTTGGAAGGCGCCAGCAGTGGACTTCCGCTTGTTTAGCGGAACTCGACTACTGGCGCGCATCCACGATCCTCCACGTGTTTGAGCTCAAGCTGTTGGAACCTGGAGCGAGTTAGCAAAAGGACGAGATAGATCATGAATGAGCATGAATTTAGGATGATACTTGGAACATACCGTTCACTCTTAGCATGGAAGTAGACACCGCTCACGGAGCCTTCTATCTGGTTGAAACAGATGTAGTAGAACCCCTCAAAGCTAGCACCAGATATAGTTCGCACTCGGTGATCGGGAACAAGGAAATACTCTTTCCATCTCATGAAAACATGCTCCCGTTGTGCAAAGTTACGATACGTGAAATCGGTGCGCTTCGCCTGCTTCGCAAGCGGTTTCCAAGCTGGAAATCGGGACCAATGGTGGATATCGGTCTTTTCATTGGCACCCCATTCTTCATTACGAGTCTGAAATGTGTGCTTGGTGCCAATTATTTCGCCCTCAAAAAATGTAGTGAGAGTAGGGTGATCTTCTGTGAGGCCTTGGATACGCAGGTAACCGCACAAGTAAGACTCGGCCATGTCCACGTGCTTAATTTCCACGTCAACATTGTATACCTGGCGGTCTGACTGCTGCGTACCGACAAATCTACTCCCTGAGCGAAGATAGGACGACGAGTGATTTGGTAAAAGCTATTAAAAATTTGATTTAGTCAATTGCGGTCAGGAAATACATCTCCGAAGCATGCAAATGCAATGCAAGGATGTCAGCACACCTACCCTAACATTGGAAAATTCATAACGGAGTAGCGCCGAGTTGGGCGGCGTCACAGATGACTCCACGTGAGTGCATGAATCCGTTGGGGAAGTAGATCTTGGAGGTCCGGCCTCTTCATCTGATGCGGCCATCTTCTTCTCCACCCTCACCGGGTCGGTCGCCAAGAGAGCGGTCCCATCATCGGAGCGACTCAGCACGGACGGCGGGTTGACACTAGCTGGTGAGATCACCTCTTCCTCCAAGGCATGAGTTGCTTCGATGATTTCTGAAGAAAGGTCCCAGGTCGAGATTCGATCAACTTCCGGGGGACATGTACGGGTGGAGATCACCTCGGCGATCGAAGCCGGTTGGGTGTCACTCGGGGTCGGCATTGGGGATGTGGCGATCAGGAAAGGAGAGTAGACATCGGATCGTAAAAACAGACGCGCTGATATTTGAAGACTCCGAGCAAACCAATAAAACACGAGAGATTAAGGGGAAGAGAAAAAGAAAGGAGGAAGAATGGGAGATCTTTAAAGGCTTTGACTTGGGGGGGGCGGACCATCACTCAGATGGGGTCATGCGAGCGCATAGCGCGGGGGAGGCGTTTTTAATCGCCTGAGGCATCCGTCCTACGTCAGGTACGAACCTGCAGAAAACTGGGCAGTATAACTATTACTATAGACAATATAGTAAGTATACACATGTAATTTTACATATACATATCCCACTGATCTTGAGAATGAATAATAAGATTGTAAGTTGTGCTTTTTGAGACGCTGAAGGCACAATTTACCAACGAAATCCCTTTTTAGCTACTCCCTACACTAGCTGCATATGGGCTCCATACGGCTATCGGTAGGTGTGGAACCACTTCCCAGCGGAAAATCCTCATAAAAAAAAGAACGCCCGGTATCATAAACCAAGAAATGTCAGACCCAAATATCACCTCTTCCACTTTTTCGTGTCGCGTTCCGTTTAGATAGGCTTGATCTATCGAATTGCTTAGCTATGGCTCAAGAATGACCAGCCACCGGGTGAAAAGGAAACCACATACCTTGAAGTGGAGTGAAATAAGCGAGAAGATCAGCGCCTTCAGATCCTGGACAAGATAGTAGAAGACTCGCAGACCTTCAGGGTCAGCTGACTCTGTCACATCCACCAATGAACCGATTTTCGCGGTCTAGTGACAGTAGTTAGAAAGGTGACTCATTTGGAATATACGAATTCCCATTGAAAGTGAGACCTACCTCGAAGGAGATGTGCTCGCTGCCCAGTCGGATCTCCAGCTCTTGGCGTCCATCCTTGTTCTTCTGCGGCCACTTGGAGTCGTCCTCCCTGTGTAGGTGTGTAAGTATGGCAGACGGGTAAGGTCCCAGGGCAGAAATTGGGCACATACTTCATAATCTCGCTCTCCTTAATGATACGCTTGATTTCCTGAATCATTGAAGAGCTCACACACACTATATTTATTCCGACACGTCAGATTGGGCGCATTTCTGGTTTGGTTCCGCACCGCAACTTACTTTCTTTGCGGATGAGGGAGTCATTGCGGTAGTTGGAGTTGTTCGCATATCGGACTGCGGCACTGCTGCCATCGGCGAGGGTACGGAAATCGAATTCTAGAGATCAAGTTAGTTATGTTGTATAGAAATCAAAAGAAGAAGGACCCTTACCTAGAAACTCATGCCCGAACCGCCCAGAGTGACCTGAGCTGCGGAGCTGTCAGCAGCCGAGGAAACCTGGGCTCACATCATTATAATACTTACTAGTAACGAAGATAAAAGGTGTCGTTAGTCGACATTGTGAATGTTGAGAGCGAAATCTGTCAATCAAGAGCAGACGTGCGGTCTGGTTTGGTGTAGTCAATGTAGTTGGCGGAAGAACGTGGTCGGGGCTTAGTCATCCACACAGACGGGGCAAAGGGGACAGGTTGATGCTTCCCCCCCCATCGCGCATCTTAATGATTTCATGATTTCCTGGCTGGTGACGGGTGTTGGATTTCCTCTAATTGCGCGTCCCTGACATTGGCCTAATAATTTGCTCTTAGGAGTCTCTCCTCATTGTATGAATTCCCTACCTATGCAACGGATTGCTAGGTGTTCATCCCAAAACAATCAATCCCCCGAACTGACACCTTGCCAGCTCACCTTTCCCCGTCGCCCTCAATCCTCCACCCACCATGGCGTCCTTTCTTGAAAATGCATACAGTTTGATCCATATGGACAACACGGCGGATCAGCCCACCGTGCAAGAGTTGCGGCTGCAGCTGGAAAAGGGCAATGATGACACCAAGTTGGAGACTATGCGAACCGTCATCACGATCATGCTTAATGGAAATCCCATGCCCGATCTACTGATGCACATCATTCGTTTTGTTATGCCTTCCAAGAGCAAGCCCTTGAAGAAACTTCTTTACTTCTACTACGAGATTTGTCCGAAGCTCGACTCCTCCGGCAAGTTGAAGCAGGAAATGATCTTGGTTTGGTAAGGAGGCTCTGAAGCCCCAATGTCTCTCCATGGAGCTAATGGTTTTTCTCCTGATAGCAATGGCATTCGCAACGACTTGCAGCACCCTAACGAATACATTCGAGGAAATACCCTTCGTTTCCTATGCAAACTCCGCGAGCCCGAGCTCATCGAGCCCCTCCTTTCCTCGGCCCGCTCTTGTCTCGAGCATCGCCATGCCTACGTGCGAAAGAACGCTACATGGGCGGTTGCTTCCATCTTCCAGCACTCCGAGTCCCTCATCCCAGATGCTCCCGAGCTTCTTCAGACCTTCCTCGAATCGGAAACCGACGGCACTTGCAAGCGCAATGCTTTTGCGGCCCTCATGTCCATTAGCCACCAAAAGGCACTTGAATATCTTGGTACTACCTTTGATACAATCCCCAATACCGATGAATTGCTTCAATTGGCGGAGTTGGAATTCCTGCGAAAGGATGCGGTCCAGAACACCCAGAACAAGGTGGGTCCCTTTTAACCCTGGCCTTTTGCGCCTAAGATGCTAACCTCTAGCTAGTCTCGTTACCTTAAGCTCATGCTTGAGCTCCTTGATGCCCCGACCAGCACTGTCGTCTACGAGGCAGCCACATCCCTGACAGCTCTGACTAGCAACCCAGTCGCCGTAAAGGCCTCCGCGGCCAAGTTGATCGATCTTGCTATCCGGGAGGCTGATAACAACGTGAAGCTCATTGTTTTGGATCGCGTGGATCAGCTGCGCATTCGCAATGAGGGTGTTCTGGATGACCTGACAATGGAGATCCTTCGCGTTCTGACCAGTCCCGACATTGATGTCCGCAGAAAGGCTCTCGGTATTGCATTGGAGATGGTTTCCAGCAAGAATGTCGAGGAGATCGTTATGCTGCTTAAAAAGGAGCTTGCAAAGACTGTTGATGAGCAATACGAACAGGTATGTTTCAATTTTTTTGACTGATATTCACTTTGGGGACCAAGCTAATGGCATATAGAACAACGAATACCGCCAACTCTTGGTTCAATCAATACACACTTGTGCCATCAAGTTCTCTGAGATCGCCGCCAGTGTGGTTGATCTGTTGATGGATTTCATCGCCGACTTTAACAACAACTCCGCCGTCGATGTGATTTCATTTGTAAAGGAAGTCGTTGAGAAATTTCCCGACCTGCGTACGTCTATCGTTGATCGTCTGGTGTCGACCCTGAGTGAGGTTCGGGCAGGCAAGGTCTACCGTGGTGTTCTTTGGGTAGTTGGAGAGTACTCTTTGGAAGAGAAGGATATCCGTGGCGCTTGGAAGAAGATCCGCGCCAGCCTTGGTGAGATCCCCATTCTGGCTTCTGAGCAACGCCTTCTAGATGAGGTGCCCGATGAGAATTCCCTCCTTCAAGAACAAACCAATGGCCACCCCAAGGCCGCTCCCACTGGATCCCGCAAGGTGTTGGCAGATGGAACATATGCTACAGAGAGTGCTCTTACTAGCCAGTCTGCTGCTGCTGCTCGCCTGGAGGCAGTCAAGGCCGCGCAGAAGCCCCCACTCCGTCAACTCATCCTGGACGGTGACTACTACTTGGCTACTGTTCTCTCATCTACACTGACTAAGTTGGTGATGCGCCATTCCGAGGTGTCGCAGGATAGCGCTCGCACCAACGCCCTCCGTGCTGAGGCCATGTTGATCATGATCTCCATCCTGCGTGTCGGTCAGTCCCACTTCGTTAAGGCCCCTATTGATGAGGACTCTGTCGATCGCATTATGACCTGCGTTCGTTCTCTGGCCGAATTCTCGGAGAAGAAGGACCTCGAGGCCATCTTCCTTGAGGACACCCGCAAGGCATTCCGTGCTATGGTTCAAGTTGAGGATAAGAAGCGGGCTGCCAAGGAGGCCGTTGAGAAGGCTAAGACTGCTGTTCAAGTTGATGATGCCATTCCCATCCGCCAATTTACCAAGAAGAACACTGTCGAGGGAGCCGAAGAGATCGAGCTGGACCTCGTTAAGGCCACTGGCGGTGATTCCGTTGTTGAGAATGTTTCTTCCAAACTGAGCCGTGTTGTGCAACTGACTGGTTTCTCCGACTCCGTTTACGCCGAGGCCTATGTGACCGTTCACCAGTTTGATATTGTTCTGGATGTTCTACTGGTCAACCAGACCACAGAGACCCTGCAGAATCTGTGTGTAGAATTTGCCACTCTGGGCGATCTGAAGGTCGTTGAGCGGCCATCAACACACAACTTGGGTCCCCGAGATTTCTTGAATGTCCAAGCCACAGTCAAGGTGTCTTCCACCGACACTGGTGTTATCTTTGGTAACATTGTTTACGACGGTGCTAGCTCTACTGAGACCCATGTTGTCATCCTGAATGACATCCATGCCGACATCATGGACTATATCCAACCCGCCCACTGCACCGAGACCCAATTCCGTACCATGTGGACTGAGTTTGAGTGGGAGAACAAGGTCAATATTAACTCCAAGGCCAAGACTCTCCGCGAATTCCTGAAGCAACTCATGGAGAGCACTAACATGGCCTGCTTGACCCCGGATGCCTCTCTGAAGGGTGATTGTCGTTTCCTGTCTGCCAATCTTTATGCTCGCAGTGTATTTGGTAAGTCCCCATTTCAAAATTTCCCTCTTTTTATGACCACATTACTGACTCTTAACTAGGTGAGGATGCTTTGGCGAATCTGAGTATCGAAAAGGAGGGCGATGATGGTCCGATCACTGGATTTGTGCGGATCCGAAGTCGCTCGCAAGGTCTGGCATTGAGCCTGGGCTCTTTGAAGGGCCTGAAAGCTGCGACGGCTTGAGTTAATTCCTACTGATTGATTCCTTTTATACTCTTTGTTTACAGCGGGTTGCTACTTGTCTTCCTCTTTTCTTCTCTTTTTATCCTTGTGTTTTTCACCATTTATTCTCCTTGCCATTTCTCTCTTTCCTCCCAAGACAAATTTGTGCGAGGGTCATATCAGGGAGTCGTAAAATAGATAATGATTCTTTGGTTGTGCATATGAGACGACTAGCCCCATGATGATTGTAGTTCAGCCCCAACATTCCATAATAAACTAAGCAAGATGGATTCTCGAATTTAGCCCGATGACTTGATAGACAATAATTAGATCTTGGCCCCCAATTAACAAACCAATTCTGCAATCTTAGCTCATCAGAAACATCTAAAACCAACTTTGGCCCCCAAATCCTCAAGGGGCCACCTACCCCCAATGTATCATATCAGAGCGGGCAGCGACGGGGGAACTTTTGCACTTCCGGAGCTGCGCGGCATCTTCATATCTTACCCCATATTACTATCGTTAATTTCGCCCTTCTGGCGCCCTTTCTTTCTTTACAAATATCCTTAAAGAATTCTGATTTGATTATTTGAGCTTTTCAATTATTTTATATCCACAAATGACGTCTCTTAATAAAACGACGTCTCCTGACTCGGCGCCGCAGTCAGAAACACTGCAGCATGACTTGACCTTGCGCGTCGCGAAATCCGTCTCTTTAACCCTTGGAGCTGACTCTCTCGTGGTCGCCGGTAGGCTGCATTCAACCCATGTACCGGAACCAGAACCTCTTTTAACCGATGCAGACGACCGTTCTCCCAAATCGGGCCGGGGCTGTTGCGGGCTACTTTCAAGTAAGCTAAGACCTTGAATCTTCCTCTGACCACCAAAGCCTAGCGCGCGCTATGGTAGATGTCCATCTGACGGGGCTAATTGAAATATTTATTTTCTATAGAACCAAAGACAAAGCATGTTGTCTCCCTCTATAATATCGTGGACGCCCAAGTGACAAGCTCTGAGCTTACCATCACCTACGCGGTCCCGGGCAAAACAAACGGCGTTACCATAACCCCTCTCACATATCCTCTTACCGATGAAGAAACGGTGGAAGCATCCAAATGGGTTGGCAAACTTCTCGATCTTGCATACAAGAATTCACAGCAGAGAAAGCGACTCAAGGTTTTGATCAACCCATGCGGCGGAAAATCAAACGCTGTCTCTTTATATGAAACTTACGCTGCGCCAGTCTTTGCTGCTGCACGATGTGAGGTGGATGTACAAACTACCGAGTACCAGGGACACGCGGTGGAAATTATGGAGAAGCTCGATGCCAACGCCTACGACGCGGTTGTCTGCTGCTCGGGCGATGGTCTTGTCAACGAGGTCTTCCAAGGATTTTCCAAGCGACCTGATGCACGAGCTGCATTGGCGAAGCTGGCAGTCTCGCTTCTTCCAGGTGGATCTGCCAATGCATTGACTTTGAACTGCTTTGCTGATAATCGCAACGTCTCCTTTGCGGCATTGGCTACTGTGAAGGGTATTCGTACTCCTTTGGACCTCGTCTCTGTGTCCCAGGCGGATGGAACGCGGTTCCTTTCATTCCTTTTCCAAGCTACTGGCATCATTGCGGAAGCGGACCTTCATACAGATCATTTGCGATGGATGGGCGAGCTTCGATTCTTGTATGGTTTCTTCAAGAGCCTGATGGCGCATGAGGGCTGCCCTTGCGATCTTGCAGTGAAGGCCGTAACTGCTGATAAGCAGGAAATGAAGGATCGCTACGCTAAGCTTGCAGCTCAAGAGTATGATCCTGAAGCTGATCGAATCCGTGTCGAAGCCGCCGAGAAGGACCCAGCTCTACCTGAATTGAAGTACGGTGGAATGTCTGGCGATGTCCCTGACGACTGGACGGTTCTTCCGGGTGAGACTATGGGAGTTTTCATGGCTGGAAATGTTCCTACTATTGGCAGTGACAAGAACTTCTTCCCTGCAACATGGCCAAATGATGGACTTATGGATGTCCTCACTATTGATAATAGTGTTGGCCGCTGGAGGTCACTCGATTTGATGGACGAGATCCCCAAGGCGAAGTTCTTCGACAGGAAAGAGGTGAATTATCACAAGGCTCTTGCGTACCGTCTTGTGCCTCGCCATGAGAATGGCGCTATTAGCGTTGATGGTGAGGGGCTTCCATTCCAAGCGTTCCAGTGTGAGATTCATCAGGGTTTGGCCACGGTTTTGACCAAGTCGGGCACTCACCTTGAATCCTTTGGACCTTGAGTGTTTTTCGTAAGGGTCTTTCAATGTCATATGTGATTTTTTGTTTCGGGTTGGTACATTCTTACTTTGTCGGGTCTTTGCCATTTCTTCTATACCCTTTTGCAAAGACCTATATGCTTTTTTTTGTTGAGCTTCGGCTGCGACTAGATCCCTGTGCGTGGTGGCTAGTTATCGCGAATTAGTACAGCTTCCTGGGTGTATCCAAATGTTAGAGAATACTGCTATTTATATTAATACCCATTTCCTACAGTCAATCAATAATAGGCGGGGCACTTGTAGTACTTCTACTAGCAACTGATGCCAAAAAATCCAACTTTTTAAGTGTATTCGTAGTCTCGCTAGGAAATGCTGTACATGGAATTGCAATGTCAAGTATGACATCTAATCATCAAAACCACCCCACTCGCCATCGCTGTCAACCTCATCATCAGGGTTGACCCGAGTGCGCACTCCCACTCAATCAACCGATCGTCATCCAGAGTCTCAATAGCTCTTGTCCGCGCAGGCTTGAACTGACTCTCGGTACGCAGCTTCTCCAACGGCCGTAGGATCAGCTCAATAGGAATATCACCCTTAATCTTGCGCTCTCCCTCCTCGCCCTCGAACTCCAGAACCTTCTCCAACTCGTCAATCCAGATATCCATAACATGATACCTCAACCCGTCTGGACCATGGGGCATGGGAATGAAGTCCTTTTCGAGATCCTCTTCAGGCTGATCGGGATCGAAGTTCACGGGGCAAAGTGGGCCCTGCTCAATTATATCAATGTAAGCTGAGAGATCCTCCCATTTTCCATCCGCCTCGCCGGTCTTGTCATCGTCTGCGGCATCGTCTGCCTGCTCCTCGACGCCCTTCTTCTGCTTCTTTCCAGTTCCCTTCTTTTTTGAGTCTTCGCGCTTGCGCTTCTTGCTATCGGCTTTTGTGCTCTTGTTGCCCTTCAGGAGGACCTCGAATGCGACACCGACGTAGCAACGGACCAGGTAAAGGTACTTGTCCAGTCGTAGACGGTCAATGGAGTGCCAGTCTCGGCCGATAGTGATCCAGAAAGCGCGCAGGAAGCGGTGCAGTGTGGCATGAGGGAGAGAAGGAACAATAGAGTAGGAGAGGGCACGAGCGAGAGCTTGTTGAGTGAGTGGGCGGTCAGAGTGGAAGACGCCTGTACATCATTAGTATTTGGTAGGCAAGACGGGGCATAGAGCAAGATATGAACACATACAGAAGAAGAGACCCTTCCAGAGCTTGACCATATCTAGGAGCTTTAAATCATTGCGCGCGCGGAGGAATGATGTCAAGGACTCGAGGGCCTTGTCGCGGGTTTTGCGATCTGAAGATAATTATTAGATATTTTTGCCCCTGATCAGTGTATGTTTCTTGCGATGTGCAAGATATTCCGGTGGATATTCTTACCGCTTGAGGCGAGGTCCCTCACAAAGGGAGTCTTCTGAATATCCGCCATGGTGCTGGTCAATTGCGGGTTCGTTGAAGCTTCAAGATGCGATAAAAAATAATTTCTGATACTGCGATTGGGTTTGTATGGTTTGTATGATTTGCACTGTTTGCATTATCTTATCTAATCAACCACCATATTAACAGACTCTTTCTGTACGTAGTAGGCGGTCTAGATGGCATGTAATACAAGTCTGATTTTCTCTCATCCTATCACTATCGCACATAAACATCTGCCGGACTCAAGACACGTGATTGGTCATGTGACCATTCTGGTTCGACCAATCAGCGTGCTCTGTTCCAGTGGGATTATGATTGGCTCAGTTCTGCCGTGTGGAGACACGACACTGAACTGGCTGACACACCCCTTCAGCTGCAACACCTCGCTGTCGCTGCTGCATACAGATCAAGAAAACACCTCAAATAAACACTTCTACACGTTGTTGTCGTTACTAGCCCGCAGGGTCGACCGGAACGTACGTTCTGCCTCGCTGGCAACGCCCCCAACGCCCCCGTCCATCTCGCTTTTCAACGTGTTCATATCACCCTTCAGGGTCACTGTCGATCAGGTCTTCGACATCCTTGAGCCTCAGGAGACGTAAAAAGTTCTCGTGTTTCTGCCTGGGCAGGATCTTCGTCAATCCATCAGCAACCATATCGTTCGTAGGTACCCATTCAACGTGCAGCCGTCCAGCTTGCACCTCTTGGCGTACCCAATGTCCTTGAATATCGACATGTCTCAATTTTGTGTCCAACGGCAGTTCGGATGTGATCAGGTTCACCGTCCGTTGGTTATCACATCTCATAGTGATAGGGCCACCGGGATTGAACTGAATCCGTTCGAATAGTCGTTGCCACCATTCGACAGTCTTTCCGGCGTCAGCCATGGCTAGCAGCTCAGCTTCAGTAGTTGACGTCGTCACTGTACGTTGCTTGGACGCTTTCCAGTCCACTGGTCCACCAAATATCTGACAAATATATCCAGATGAGCTCTTTCGATCAGCGTGGTCACCATATGAAGCGTCAGTAGACACCATAACAGCTGGTTCTGTCGCACTGTACTCGATTGCAAGGAATCTGGTGGTGTATAAGTATCGAATCAGATGATCAACGGCAGCATGGTGATCTGGCCCTGGATTCGTCATGAATTGGGCTACAACCGAGGCCATCTTCGACGCGTCTGGACGAGTCATTGTCGTGGGAAAGTTCACTGATCCAACCTTCTGTTGATACTCTTTTATCGACGCTGGCGACGCCATTAATGCGTATGGCTCTAGGTTTCCTGGCCGTCCAGGGAACTTCACAACATGGTCTGTGAGGTTAAACTTGACTGCCATTGCTGTGATGTTGCTGTCCTGAACGAGCCAAAGTTTCCTTGCCTTTCTATTGCGTATAATCCTGATGTTCAGGAACCATTCTGCCTCCCCATGATCGGTCAATTGCCACTGCTTATTGAGTAGATCATGTAGCCTCCTTGCGTCATCTTTGGATTCTTTTCTTGACGTAATCAGAATGTCATCAACGTAGAAGAACACAATCAGACCGTCTGTGACGAACACACAGGGATCCTCTGCTACCTGGTGTAGTCCTAGGGACAACAGCACTCGTGATGCTTCCTTTTGCCACAGTTTCGGCGCAACTCTCAAGCCATATAGTGCTTTAAGCAGTCTCCAGCATTTCCCAGCCTTCTTCACCCCTTCAGGGAGTGCAACATAGACATCATCGCCTATCGGTGAGTTTAGGAACGCGTTCACAGCATCAAGCTGTACTAAATCGAGATTGTACGCAGCCACAAGTGCGAACAACATTCTCGCTGTACGTGCTGCTAACGTTGCAGCCTTCTTCTCTTCAGTTGACACAGTTTGTAGGTCTCCACGCACACATATTCTTGCCTTATGCTTCAAAAGAAAACCATTCGCATCAAATTTGTAGGTAAACACCCACATCAGCGGTAATACTTGCAGTCCACGGTCCTTTGGACGGTCAACGATCTCCGCGGTCCCCATTTTCTCTAACGAGTCCAATTCTTTTCTCATCGCGGTGATCCATGCGTCCCTATACATGTGCTTAAACACATCCTTATAGAACCTAGGCGGCGGTGGGAGTTCGTCTCGATGTTGCTCGTTCTGCTTTGTAAACATATTGGTTGCAAAAGCTTGCAAGAACTCTGCTGGTTCTGGAGCCATTATGTCCGAATCTATCATGCTCATGTCCATCATGGCCATATCAAGGTCTGTCATCACTACATCATGATCTTCCATCACTATATTAGCGTATTAATAGCTTGGATCACGCTTCTGCACACGTTTCCTCTTCCCCTCAATGATATGAGCTGGGTCGACGTCTGCACGGTCAACGTCTACACGGTCTACCCCTGTACTGTATCGTTGCTGTCTGATGGGAAATGGAACTGGATCCACTCGAATATCGGTCTGACGTGGTATTGGTCGATCACGAAGAAAATCAACACCTTCCTGAGTTAACGACGTTCGTTCTGGAGTCACTATAGCGTCCCTTGAGATCACCATAGCATCTCCTGATGTCGCTGTAGCGTTCTCTGGTGGTGGTGACGTCTGCGCAGGTGTGTACGGTGGTGTAGTTGATGTAACTTCAGGGAAAGCTCTAGGTATTGCTGACGGTGTGGCTACAGGCGTCTCTGAACGTTCAAAATAGTCATGGCCAAGCCCTTGGTCACGTGCTGGAGTCGCTTGATCAAGCCCCTGAGATATCGAGGGATCAGGTGATGGTAGTGGTCCAGTTTTGCTGAGTTCTGTTGATTGCAACTCACTATAAACGGTAGCCTCTGATTGGCCTAGCCGGAATAGATCATCTGACCTATATGTCACCTGATCTTGAACTTCGTTTTGGCTCTCATCTCTCGCTAGGGCTTGCTCACTAACGTTATCCCTAGTCCTAGCAGGCTCGCTAGCAACTATAGGATATTCCGTTACGCTAGATTGCGGTATACTTCGCTGCTGTCCGGTCCTATCATCTCCATTCAGTGGATCCTCATGTCGCTGGCGCTGATCTTGTCTCTGTCGTACACCGAGAGATTCATCCAGCCCCTGCCTCAGCACGGCTAAGTATTCATCTGTTAAAACCACTGTCGCCTCAGGCAGTTGTTCTGGCATAGCAACAGGCTGATATCTTGGCAGTCCAGGGTGATAACGTCGTGTTTCATCGAACACAGCGTCACGTACGTATTCAACCTTGCCCATAAACTTGCTGTTATGTATCTTCCTATGTGGGAACCATATCTTCCACATATTTAAAGCTACATAGCCCACAAGAAAGCCTACTTCTGCTCTTGAATCAAGCTTCTTGTCATAACCCTCCACGCTCTCAGGCGCTATCCTGCAGTACACTAACGATCCATATATCTTGACATTTGCAATGTTCACCTTTGTTCTCTCTGCTGGCGCCACAAAGCTACGTGCAAGCTCCCATGGAATAATCCATGAGCCATTATCAAGCTTTGTTGGTGTACGATTCAGCAAGTATACTGCTGTCGCCTGTGCCTCGGGCCACAGTTGTTTTGGGAGTTTCCCCTCCATCAGGAGGCATCTTGTGAATGTTATTATAACGTCTCCTGATCGTTCAGCTGGTCCATTCATTATTGGCGAGTACGGTACTGTGAACGTGTGTATAAAGCCCATGAACGTTAGGTAACGTAGTGTATTCTCGTCAACTGATCTCTCGTTGTCCGAGTGCCACACTCGTATAGGCATATTCAGCCACTTGATGGCGAATGTATGAAACTCTCGTATACAGTCTTGAACCTCGCTCTTGAACTTATGTGTCTTGCTCCAATAAAACCGTATACCCTCAACATAGAAGTGAGTAATCCATTGATGTCGATTATAGCCTGCTGGCATTTGAATCAGATCAAAATAGACTCTTCCAAGCGGTCCGTAGTGTTTTCCAATAGTTCGACGTGATATTTGACGCTGCGCCTTAGCCAGCTGACAGACCTCGCACATTGTTGAGCTACTGGTGACACTATTGATCTTGTCCTTATTCTCATCAACACGTACACCGTCGACAAATTGTGGTAGCATGCTTATCGATTCGCGATAGACATGACCTAGTCGTCGGTGCCACACCTCAGCAGCTCCGCCCTGTAGTCATTTTCTCTTTGAGGTCTGTACAGCATATGCATGTATCATAGGCAGTAGGGGCTCCTCCCTCACTGTCTCCCGTACACACATGCTCATAGCATATTTCTCAAATGCTCGCGGATCTGTAGATGGGGCGTGACAGAGATACAGTCCTTGCTCTTTATCACGGTATGTGGCGAACATCGGCTGTCCATCACGTACAAAGCAATGGTTCCCCATATCCCAGTGAGCACCCTTTTCCTCCAATTTTGATACTGATATCAAATTACAGTGGAATGTTGGCGAATACAGACAATTTGACAGTGTAAACTTGCGTTTCTCACCTGTCACTGGGTCCATTCCAATAAACCATGCTGTACCACGTCCAACTGCTGGTGTATAGCCATTGCCTGTTCGCAGGCGTATAGTGGCCTCCTCAAAATCCATAAATCGAGTTTTATCATTACAGACATGGACAGAAGAGCCAGAGTCAATCACCCATTGGTCCTTGATGTCGTTGCCTGCAGAAGTGTGGAATGCTGAGTGGATACTGATGTCTTCGTATGTGATCGGCTCCACCGATGTTACAGTCATAAAGACATCCTTCATAGCATCTCCAAGCATGTTTTCAATCCCCTTCTTGAGTTCAGGATCCTTTTCCATGGCCTTGCGTACATTCTCAACTCCTTCTTTGGTGGGAATATAGCCTTCCGGACGGATTTCAGGTCTGATATCCCAACATTTATACCATCGATGAGTACCACGACCGCACGGGCATAGGCTATACCTCTTTGGCTTTTGCTCTGAGAGCTGCTGTTTATTCTCTGATTGTTTCGTTGCATTACCCGACTGCCCTGTCTTGTTACTAGGCTGGTCGGTTCTTTTCTTCTGTTGTTGGGTCTGGCCTTGCAGTGTTGGTTCATTCGTTGCGAACGCCGCTTGCGATGGAGATGTTGAGGATGTCGTCTGGTGATACTCAGCGAGCGTAGCACGCAAGCTTGCCGCCAAATTCTCGACAGTATGGGCCTTGTAATTATCCCGCACGTCTTCGAATCTGCTCTGCCACCAGATACGATCGACATCCTTCACAGCATGGATGAAAGCCAGTGGATGGAGCTCCTTGGTCTCTATTTTATAACCAATAACTTCTATCCTCTGCTTATTCCAGGCCTCATACCACCTATCAAAGGCTTGCAGTCCCATAGCTCTCTTAGGGGGTCCAACCATCTTCATACATGACCACTTACACCATGATTCATACGGTCTTGCACTTGTACGACCGAAAATCTCTTTCAATTTCACTAGCTTCGCGTATGGTGAGCTGAAGCCGGCGCCATTGATAAGGGTATGGTGTGAAACATCCAGTCTTGCGATGATCTGGTTGCCAATAGCGATTAGGCTAGTATCTTGCTGAATCCAAGCCTTATAATCACGATCATACTCATCCAATTCATCCTGGTAATATCTCCAGGCTGCGTTGGCAATCTTACGTGACTTTTTCACGTCTGGGGGGGTCGTCAGCCTCGTCCGGCTGCGCACCAGGGACCCTGCTTGGGTGCAGCGGTCGATGTGGCCGTACGGGCTTGACGATCAGGTTGAATTGCACTTGTTCTTCTGGCAATTCGGGGTCGCACACGTCCCATACATGATACGTGTCAGCGATGTTCTCAATCGATGAGATCCAGTGAGTCCAATTGGCCTCACTCTTCAGCATGACGCTGCTGGCCGTTGCGGAGACTGCTACACCGTCCATTGCTGCACGAAGACCGCACTCAGGGGACAGGGCACCTTATTCGGAGAGGGAACGACGACGTATGCGACGACGAGGTTCTTATGGAAATTCTGAATAGCTTCACTGTCGAACTAAACCGGGCTCATAACTAACAGACTCTTTCTGTACGTAGTAGGCGGTCTAGATGGCATGTAATACAAGTCTGATTTTCTCTCATCCTATCACTATCGCACATAAACATCTGCCGGACTCAAGACACGTGATTGGTCATGTGACCATTCTGGTTCGACCAATCAGCGTGCTCTGTTCCAGTGGGATTATGATTGGCTCAGTTCTGCCGTGTGGAGACACGACACTGAACTGGCTGACACATATATTTTGGCCTCAGGTGTCAACATTGTATAGATCAGACCGATGATTATCTAGACCTCTATGAACATTTAAACATGCTGATGCTGATTCATTTTTGAAATACGCTTGGCATCACCGTTTCATTATACATGATTCTCGGCTTGGATACCAGACTAGTTGGCATATCTCGATGGATGTTCTTGCGACAGTTGAGGTAGTATTTGTCTGGATGAGATCCCGATCTTGACATCATGACTGTACAACACTACCATATAGCAGTGGAGTAGACCTGATTCCATTTTTAGGAAATCTGTGGCTCAGGGGATCTGACTTTTATTGATTTAAAATCTCAATTGCACGAAAATTAGTGCCTTGTACTCTTTGGCACCCAGGTATTCCAGTGGTCAAACAGGACATGGTCTTTCGCTCTCCAAGTTTACCTACTCCCTCTCACTTGTGTTACCATTTCCAGAGTTTCCTTTGCTTTCACCTCCCACATTCATCAATATGGCTCAACAGGATGGCGATTCCGAGATCTCTGAAGCAAGCTCCGCCCCAGAAACGCACCGAATATCCCATGGAAGCTCCGAAGCATTACCAAAAGATGACCGAACCGTGTTCGAGCATATGCGTCCCGAAGACCGCGAAGAACTAGGTCGCATCGCATCAAACTTTCCTCGACATCAAATGGCTGATTCCACTCTCAGTGGAATGACCACTGTCGAGCGGAAAGACACATTAGAAGGCCTCGAGCTAGGTGACCCTATTCTTGATCCGACTAGCGACCAGTTTGACCATTACAAATGGGCTCGAATGATGTTGAAGATGATGGATCGAGAGGGATTGCCTTTAAGAAAATCAACTGGTGTCGTTTTTCAAAACCTCAATATCTCAGGGACTGGCTCTGCTCTACAGTATCAGAACAATGTGGGCTCAATTCCGCTGGCTCCGTTCCGTCCACAGAATTACCTCTCTTTCGCAAGGCATACACCACAAAAGCAGATTTTGCGAAATTTTGACGGAGTGCTCAAGAGTGGAGAGCTACTTATTGTGCTGGGTCGACCAGGCAGTGGCTGTTCCACTTTTCTCAAGTCTCTTTCTGGGGAATTGCATGGGCTGAAGGTTGGAAAGGAGTCTGATATCCAGTTCAATGGTATTCCTATGGAAAAGATGCACAAGGAGTTTAAGGGAGAGGTATTGTACAACCAGGAAGTTGACAAACATTTTCCTCATCTCACTGTAGGCCAAACGCTTGAATTTGCTGCTGCTGCTAGAACCCCGGGGAATCGCCTCTGCGGTATCTCACGGACGCAGTATGCGCAGAAGATTACCCAGGTCGCAATGGCCGTGCTCGGCTTGAGCCACACATACAACACGAAGGGTATATTCATATACGTTGATATCTATATTACAAAAGGCTGACTTACATCTGTCTAGTCGGCGACGACTACATTCGAGGTGTTTCAGGTGGTGAACGGAAGCGTGTCAGGTATGTCATTTATTGTCTCTAAAAAATCTTCTAAGTTACTGACTTGATATAGTATTGCTGAAATGGCTTGTATGTCGATTTATTTCGCCTGTATCTTTATTCATATACTAATAACTATTAGTGTCTGGAGCCCCTGTTGGTGCATGGGACAACAGTACTCGCGGCCTGGACTCTGCAAGTGCTCTTGAATTTGTCAAATCCCTACGAGTTTCTGCCAATCTCACGAGTAGCTGCCATGCTGTTGCCATCTACCAGGCCTCGCAGGCAATTTATGACGTCTTCAACAAAGTGATTGTCTTGTGTGAAGGCCGGCAGATTTTCTTCGGGAGATGCAGTGAGGCCCGTGAATATTTTATCGAGATGGGCTGGGATTGTCCACTTCGACAGACAACAGGGGACTTCCTTACATCAGTCACTAACCCATCTGAGCGAAAGGCTCGGGACGGAATGGAGAACAAAGTTCCTCGCACCCCTGATGACTTTGAGAAATATTGGAAGAACAGCTATCATTACACAGAGTTGAAGAAGGAGATATCGCAATATCATGAGGCTTACCCATTGGGAGGTACTGCTGAAAAGGACTTTGATGAGACAAAAAGGCTTCGGCAGGCAAAGCATGCTCGCCCCAAGAGTCCTTATATCATCACTGTCCCTATGCAGGTTCGTCTGTGTGTGAAGCGAGCTTATCAACGGTCTGTTGTGTCTCTTCCGCACAAGTATGCATGATGGTTTTTCTAACTATCATAGGATCTGGAATGACAAGCCCTCTACATTGACAACTGTCATTGGCCGAATTGTCATGTCATTGATTATCGGTTCAATTTATTTCGGGTATGTTGACAGTCTCTCGGTTAGAAAAGCTGAAAAATAAAGACGTACTCACACATTCAGAACCCCTAATGCCTCTGCTGGTTTCCAGAGTAAAGGCGCCGCAATGTTTTTCGCTGTCTTGATGAACGCTCTCATCAGTATCACGGAGATCAATTCCCTTTACGACCAACGACCCATCATCGAGAAACAAGCTTCCTACGCTTTTGTGCACCCTTTCACTGAAGCTTTAGGAGGTATTGTCGCCGACATACCAGTGAAGCTTGTGTCAGCTGTGGTTTTCAACATCATTTTCTACTTCTTAGCTGGCTTGGTAAGTTGCGATTCACTTTGGATGTAATCAACCATTTCATGCTAACAAATACTTCAAGCGCTATGAACCTTCTCAATTCTTCATATTCTTCCTCTTCACTTTTCTCAGCACCCTCGCCATGTCAGGAATTTTTAGAACCCTCGCTGCATCAACCAAGACTCTCGCTCAAGCTATGTCTATGGCGGGTGTTATTGTATTGGCAATCGTCATCTACACGGGCTTTGTGATCACAGCGCCTGAAATGGCTAAAATTCCTTGGTTCAGCTGGATCCGCTGGATAAATCCAATTTTTTACACATTCGAAGCGCTAGTCGCCAACGAGTTTCACGGTCGCCGATTCGAATGCTCTCAATTTGTACCAGGTTACCCTAGTCTATCAGGGGATTCATTTATCTGCTCTGTGCGAGGCGCTGTTGCAGGAGAGAGAACAGTCTCGGGTGATTCCTACATCGAAACTCAGTACTCCTACACCTATGCTCACGAATGGAGGAACCTCGGCATTTTGATCGGCTTCTGGATATTCTTCATGGCTCTTTATCTCCTCGCCTCGGAGTTGAACTCTTCAACTTCCTCTACAGCGGAGTATCTCGTCTTTCGGAGAGGACATGTGCCCGCCCATCTTCGGCACCTAGAGAATGGGGGTGATAGTTCGGCGGAAATCACTCCAGCTGCAAAGGCTCCTGAGAATGAAAAGAATGAAACTTCTGCTATTCCATCGCAACATGATGTCTTTACGTGGCGCAATGTCTGCTATGATATTCCAGTGAAAGGTGGACAACGACGTCTTCTTGATAATGTCTCTGGGTGGGTCAAGCCTGGGACCCTCACGGCTCTTATGGGTGTTTCCGGTGCTGGAAAGACTACATTGCTGGATGTTTTAGCAAAACGCGTGTCAATTGGTGTTGTAACAGGTGATATGCTTGTCAACGGCAAGCCACTTGATACCAGCTTCCAAAGAAAAACAGGTTACGTTCAACAGCAGGATCTTCATCTCCCCACAACAACAGTGAGGGAAGCTCTTCGTTTCAGTGCGATGCTGCGGCAGCCCAAATCCGTCTCTAAGAAGGAGAAATATGAGTACGTTGAGGATGTCATCAATATGCTTGGTATGCAAGACTTTGCAGATGCCGTTGTTGGTGCTCCAGGCGAGGGTCTCAATGTTGAGCAGAGAAAGCTATTGACAATCGGCGTTGAGCTGGCTGCAAAACCTGCTCTTCTTATCTTCTTAGATGAGCCAACCAGTGGACTTGACTCGCAAAGCTCTTGGGCTATTTGCTCCTTTTTGCGGAAGCTGGCTCAGCATGGTCAAGCAGTTCTCAGCACGATTCACCAGCCAAGTGCCCTCCTTTTCCAGGAATTCGATCGTCTCTTATTCCTCGCCAGTGGTGGAAAGACAGTCTATTTTGGTGAAATTGGAGATCAGTCTAGAACTCTTTTGGACTACTTCGAAGGCAATGGTGCTCGCGTTTGTGGATCCTCGGAGAATGTAAGTTTACTTCACTCTTTGGGTTATTACAATACTAACAAAAAATAGCCTGCGGAGTATATGCTTGAGATTATTGGTGCTGGAGCATCCGGTAAAGCCACAAAGGACTGGTCCATTGTGTGGAACGAGAGCAAGGAAGCGAAAGAAGTTCAAGCTGAGCTTAACCGAATCCACGAAGAACGGGCTTCCGCTATAAGCAATCAAGAAGTTACTCACCAGGACGAGTATGCTATGCCCTTCGCGTACCAGCTTTTGTATGTCACCCATCGGTCATTCCAGTCCTTTTGGCGCGAGCCCTCGTACGTCTGGGCAAAGATCATGCTAGCAACCCTATCTTCTTTATTCATTGGCTTTACCTTCTTCAAATCCGATAGCACCCTGCAGGGATTTCAAGACGTCATCTTCTCCGCATTCATGTTATGTTCAATCTTCTCCACACTTGTTCAGTCGATCATGCCGAAGTTTGTCATCCAAAGATCTCTCTACGAAGTGCGCGAGCGACCTTCAAAGGCCTACTCATGGGCTGCGTTTCTGATTGCAAACGTCATCGTCGAGATCCCCTACCAGGTCTTTGCCGGCGTTATTGCGTGGGCCTGTTACTATTTCGCAATTTATGGAGCTGATCAAGCACCAGACCGGCAAGGCCTGATGCTTCTATTCGTGGTTCAATTTTACATTTTCACGTCCACCTTTGCGGCACTGGTGATCTCGGCTTTGCCAGATGCTGAAACTGGTGGTACTATTGCCACGCTGATGTTCATTATGACACTTACCTTCAACGGTGTCATGCAAGCACCAAGCGCCCTACCTGGATACTGGATTTTCATGTATCGGGCCTCTCCACTGACATACCTCATTGCTGGAGTTACAGCCACAGGACTGCATGGTAGAGCGATTCACTGTGCCGCAGCCGAGTTGAATGTGTTTAATCCTCCATCTGGGATGAGCTGTGGGGAATATTTGAATCCTTATCTCAAGGTTTCTGGTGGCGAACTTTACAATCCGACTGCCACGAGTAGTTGTGAATACTGTCAACTGTCCAATGCTGATCAGTACTTGGCTGCAAGCAACATCTGTAAATTTCTTCTTGTATCTCGTACTTCTAACAATCAATTACTAACGACGATACAGACTACAGTGAGCGTTGGCGGAATTATGGCCTCGGATGGGTCTACATCGGCTTCAATATTTGCGGCACTGTGTTGATGTACTACATGTTCCGTGTCAAGCACTACAGCCCTACTTCCTTGGTTCGTGGTGTAAAACAAGGTGCCTCATTGCTATGCCGTGTGTTCAAACGTCGATCTGGTCAGACACCTCAAGGGAAGAGGCGAGTAATGGTCGTCTGGTTTGAGTTTGTAGTGTTATGCCGGATGTTACTACCATCTGTATCCCACTGGCAGTGCTAGGATATGAATAGTATCTTGGTAGGGATAAGGATCAACTCTTGGAAACGAGAACTTGAAGGCCTGAGTCCATATCCCAAGGTACGGAGTACTTGTATATGATCTATTGAGTAGCCTGATCTCGGAATTCCTCGAGTTATTACATTTCCTGACTTGTGGTTTTATCCATCTACTAAACTGCTTCATTTCAAAATGTTCTTGTTTTTCATCTTGCTACTGGATGCAGCAACCTATTAGTGCTTTATGCGCAACTCTAAGCAGATGCATTATGTCTTTAAGATAGCATTGTAGAGATGCTTCTCAGAGGACTCATAACCTGATCTGCTGCATCCTGCAAATAAGGCTGCCACTTTTCATCAAGCACATCTCTGATAGAAGCGATCAACCTCGCCGGCCTTCCCCCCAAAATACCAGCACGTCTCCATCCGCTTCATAATAACACAATAATATGCAAGCAGAATCAGTGCGCCAGGATGTCTCTGAAATATCAAATCGTAAAACTCGTTTTCCAGACGCACGCACCAAAGACCCAGGATATTCCACGTACTAACATCAACCTGGGTCGTATCTCGGTCCATATAAGCAAATGCATCCGCCAATGCACTCGCGCCATCCCGATAAACAGAAATAACATCTTCCGACCATGATCCATCATGCGGAACAATGGACATGAAGTGCTCCAGGTAAGGCAATTTGCTATCACCGACATTAAGCTCAATTTCCCAGGCATAAGCAAGGGCTCTTGCTGGCCCGGCTTCAATTCGATCCCAGACCTCGTTCAGCATTTCACAACCACATCGGATAAAATGCAACCACTGTGGGAGGATTAATTGGTCTTGCCCGGTTTCAGTTGATGGATCGTTAATAAGCAAAAGAGAATTCTGGCTGTTGTCAAGCTCCGTTGCAAACGAGAATACTATAAGTAGATAACCGAACGCCATTATAGCGTCACAGTTCTCTGCTGTTGGGTGATTGAGCTCATTGCGGAATATCGGGAGTGCTGTATCCTGGTGGGAGTATGCTCTTATGATGTACATTTCTCGCTGGGCTGGATATAGATGTGCCATGTGCAATGCTGTGCAGGCCAGGATGCCATGTAAAAGGAAGAGATGATGGTATGTAAGGTCTGCTACAACTTTGAGCCAGACTCCTTCTGTTTGGCCTGGTTTGGAAAAGCTCCGATAGGATGAATAAAAGTAGTGTTCCAGTGTTAGAGAGTCGATTGCATCGATTCTGTATCTGTTTCGCATTTTTTGAATCAAGTTCGATGCAGCAGGGAGGTTTTGTGGGGTCTGGTTGAGATGGGTTTCCTCCTTAGTGGTAAAATAGCGTAGCATGTTGCCTCTGAAAAACGTCTGGATTGGAGTTGGAGTCCAGTCCCAGTTTGGATCACCCTTGCAGCCGTGCTTCGAGGGCCAGTGTGTCTCCATGCGTTTGGTTGAGACGCATAGGTAGTCACAGCCCGGGGCGCGACATCTCCACCCTTGTTCAAGTGGAAGATATGACATGGGGAAATCCTGATCCTGTGGATCAGAAACATCTTCTGGTTTTTTCAGCTTGAAGTTGCTTGCGTATAAAGTATATGGCCTTCGATGTTCATTCTGGAGATGATGGATCTCTTTCAGGTGTCGAACGATACCACCGGGTTTTATCGCATGCCTACAACAGGTACATATCAAGACTTCATACTTCTGAAGATACTTCAACAGTTCTGCGGGAGGCGGGAGGTGTTCATCACGGCTATCTTTTGCCTCGTTTTGGGGTCTAGATGCCAACCCGCGACTCCTTGTGGCGGGCATGTGGAGCTAAGAAACCTTCTATATCTCCGATATTTTGAAACCAAAAATAACAGAAGGGATTAGAAACATGTATGAAGATAGTATATGGATGAGGGAGAAAAAAAGAAATGAGAAGGTGACACGGTGAGATGAACAAGGCAAGATGATAGTCTCCGTTGACGTCCCCGCTAATAGTTTCCCGTCCAATCATAATTCCTGAATCTGACGGTGCGGTTCTACACTATAAAAAGTGGAGACGAGAGAGTGCGAAGTATGTATATCATCAGGTATCAAAGCAGCCTAATTCCTTCTAACTGAATCTATCCGATTAAAGCTAGATTATGATCCACATTTTATTACGCAAATGATTCTAGAGTCTTATATCTCATATCTGAAGCTTTACTCTGATCTTGTCCGGAATGAGCCAATGGAAGGAGTCCATTTCGCCGGTGCCGTTCTACTTACAATAGGATTTTATATCGCTTCTATATACATATCACCTTTATTTCTAAGCTTTCAATATTGCGGAGGAATAATCTAACCGACTGAAGAATTTCTTGCTAATGTAGACAACGGAGCTTCAAAAAATTCTCAACTATTTAATGAGCCTGCTCCCCCATTTTGTCGCATCTTCACCATTGAATTGACTAACACTCTCACCTGGACACCTTTTGCTAGTCCGATTTTTCTTGTTCAAAACACTACCTACTACACTCTTTCAAATGTCCTCTAAGTTTCAACGCAGTGTTCTTGTCACCGGTGGCACTACCGGTCTAGGATACCAGTGCGCCCTAGCCATAGCTCGCGAATGCCCAACCTATCAAATCATCATCGCCTCCCGAACTGATAACGGTGCTGCCGAGACTATCAACAAACTCCTGGGACACGGCAACGTCCATTTCATGCGACTTGACCTCTCAAGTCTCTCCCAGGTGCGCTCATTCGCCACGGACTGGGAAGCGAAGAACCTTCCTCCGTTATACTCGCTTGTCTGTAATGCAGCTCTTCAATTTCCCGGTGCCGCCGAGTACACAGATGATGGCTTCGAAAAGACATTTGCTGTAAGCCATGTCGGCCATGCTCTCCTGTTCTCGCTTCTCCGACCATATCTTGCTTCCACGGCCCGTGTCGTAATTACAGCGAGTGGAACCCATGACCCAGCGCAGAAAACTGGTATGCCCTCAGCATTTTATCACTCTGCTGCGGAGCTTGCGCATCCACTGCCTAAGTACACACACGGAAATGGCCGACAACATTACACAAATACCAAATTAGCCAACGTGTTGTACATGTATGCGTTGCACCGCCGCTTCGTGAAGATCAATGAGAAGACTGGGAATCATTGGACTGTGAATGCCACTTGTCCGGGACTGATGCCTGGGACGGGACTTATTCGAAATGCAAGCAAAATTGAGCAGTTTCTTTGGTATAAAATCGCACCATGCTTGATTCCTCTGATGCGTGTTTTGATATCCTCGAATATCCATACACCACGGCAATCTGGAGAGGCGTTGATGAGACTGGCTGTTAGTTCTGATGTTGAGGGTATTAGTGGTGCTTATTTCGAAGGGAGAAAGGAGATCAAATCGAGTCAGGATAGCTACAATGAGGCTAAGCAAGAGGATTTGTGGAAATGGACTATTGAGGCGGTGGCTCGTGATGAAGAGAAATTATCATTTTCTCTTCAGGATTTGCTGTGAGATCCATACTTCTAGCCCTGAATTATGTATGCATGTGCATGAACCCGTGGACTTGAATTCCACGAGTGCATTATGCAGCCGGCACCCATGTGTTCAAGTTGTTTCAAAGTTTCCATTTCTTTACCCGAAGTTTCTTTTCAAATGGGGTTTCTTTTGAATACATATATGTACACGACTCGCATTTTCATACCTGCTAGTAACTTGGAATAGTACATGTAGTAGTAGTAGTATTATCATCATTGATTCAAAACTACTACCTACTAGGTAGTACCACTACCTACCTACCTACATAGGTACGTAGGTAGTAGCTAAGATTTTGCACATGCATGTGTGAACATTTGAACCTTCAAATGTTCACGTTGGAAGTGGTAGTCTTTTCATATTTCATCGAGAAATTCCACTGGTAATTGCCCAGGTGCCAACGGTTCAACTCAAGTGCTTGAACTTGAAGTTGTATATATCTGCCTCAGCACCATGGTATTACATACTAGGAACTCTTGAACTTCAATTCAAGTTTGAAGTTCACACTAGCAGTTGAGACATCGAACTTCTTCCAAAGTCATGTACAATTTTAATTGCTAGCCCTGGATTATCTCAGGTGGGCACTTGAGTGATGAATGTTTCAACTTGAATATTAAACCTGGGGGTATTGACAACAGAATATTTGAAGGCTCCCGAGAAGTGCACAACCTTGGAAAGGACTTTATTGAAATAAGCTATTAGGATTATGTAGTCAAAAGTTGGAGTTGCTTACATCAACTAGCATCATTGGTCTAGTGGTAGAATTCGTCGTTGCCATCGACGAGGCCCGTGTTCGATTCACGGATGATGCACATTTCTTTTTTGTCTTTTTGCAATTTTTTTTAATTTACAATTCCAATCTTAACCCGTTATCTTATCAATTGGATCTTCAAGGTGGACTATATTAAGCATAGATGTTGTTTTGTCTAAACTACTTAGCTACCTGGAAGAGTAAATCATAAATCGTACTTTGAATTCACGTATAAGCTGAACAGATTACTAACTTATAAGCTAGGTGCTATTAGGACAGCAGGTATCTCAACATTAGCTGTTAAATCAAGAAGCCAGCCCGTAAGTGAAATAGATCGTATCATAATCATTAACAGATAAAAGGAAGAAAGGGCAGTTGGGGTATTATGCAAGGCAAGATGATGAACGCCATAACGCTGCAAACAAACATAACATAAAGGAGGGTAAATGGAGGTGAATAAAACCCTGAGACAAATGGTCCAATATATGATACTGAGACCAAATGTCATACAGGTTTCTTGGAAACAACTAGAGCATTGATGACATGCCCAGTCTTCCAGCCTTGATCAACCAGAGACTCATGCTCTCGTAACATATGACCAAGATAGGCAATGCGGATACGCTGATTATTCGATATCTATTCCAATGTCAGAATTGATCCATCCAGAAATACCACACCGTCTTCCAAGGTTGGAATCAAGTATCAGCCCACGTGGAAAGGAAAGAATACTCACCCCAGCTTCCTGATGCACCTTCCTCGCCAGGAAACCCACACTCTGATTCTTCCCAATGAGAAGCACTAGATCCCGCCCACCATCACTCAACCTCGCCAAAACCCGGATCAAATCTCTCTCCCTTGTCTTCCCCTTCTCATCCCTCCTGCGCTCCAAATCATGCGCAGATTGTATGAGCTCATCACCTGACGCATCATCCGTCGCCAGTTTCCCATCCGATAGTCCCTCCATATCCTCCTCCTCTTGTCTCTCAGTCTCCGTATCCTCACCCAAATATTCCGCACGCGATCGCGAACCCAGTCCCGAGTTAGGAGCTATATTCTCCGGGTCGGTGACGATGCACTGAGGTAGTCGATACAGCACACCTTGTTCATCGTAGCATCCTTGACATAGATCTCCCGTTGGAACTGTGACGCCCGCTGCATCGAGGATACTTTGTGCTGTTGCGAGATCCCCGTTTTGCATCAGTGTGATAGCTGTTTGCACCGCGGCCCATATCTCCGCTTGCCCTGTGACCCGGGTTTCGAAGAATTCGCGCCGTTCGCGATCTAGAGCTGCTCGAGTCCAGATTCGTCGCTTGCTACTCCATTTGTGTGGACGGATCGGCGCGTTATAGTGCTGATCGAGTGGGAGGTTTGGGTTCCGTGTGTGGCGGGATTGGCGGTGGGTTGCTTGGGTCGGTGAGGGGTCGGTTGTGTTCAAATTGGGACTTGTTATGTGTTCTTGGGTTGAGGGTCTGGAGTCATGGTCATCGTGATTACGCGATGCAGTTGAGGCGCAGCAGCCCTGGAGTTATTTATTAGTTATCTCTGGGTATGAGGATATTTGTGATGCTGGGTTCGGTGGGTTTGGGGTAGGTCGTGTGACGGGGGAATGTGCCGATGAAGCTGGGGTATTCTGGTTGATTTTGTCTGCGGTTTTTTTTGTATCCGTCTTGTAGATGGCAGGAATATGTATTCTCTCATCTGAAGAGGGAAAGGACTTACCATCTTGGTGGCAGTATAGATACTCCATAAGTTGGAGGAGGGGAAATCAAGAGGGGCCGTAATCTGGTGGAGTTAAAAGCTTTGTAACGGGATGAGCCGTGATCCTGAACCGAGGGTGACCCTTGAACGGAATCAAATAGAGGGATGAAAGTTATTATCGGTAGGTACTTTGAAATGTAAGGCTTCAGGCTTGGAGCTACTGTAGTAGTCGGGATGAAACATCCAGTGCCCAGACATTCCAAGGCTCTAAGCTTTGGTAGAAGGATTTACGTCAAGCTTGATTCGCTTCTAGTTACACAGGTTGATTTATCCCTGGTTGCAATGCTTCATACCATGCAATAGATATGTCGGTATCTGATATAATAATAATTAATATCTAATTTCATTCTTCATCCTCGTCGTCACTGCCAAAGATCGCCTTGAAGATGGCATCCCCAGGTCGTTCCACTTCGATCGCGGCATTATGCTCAGGCTCCACTGGGGCAGGTTTCGGCTTCTCTTCCGAATTCACAGGTTGACGACCAGATTCAATCAAAATCATGTTCATCACTTCGTGAGAGATCAAATCTCTGGGACCGGACGGGGTCTCGTATCCGCCTGATTGGAAGCGAGTACCAGGTCCCTTAGTGTCACTAGAGGACCCACCGGGGTCAAGCTGAACATGATCGGGTGGCTTGATATTGAAACGTTTACAGAGTAAGCGGGTGGGGAAAAAGGAAGTCGTCCTTCGGGTTAATTGACCAAACATGCCAATCTTGGCTGCAGCCACTGCCGGATCATCGGGTTTCTCAGAGGGCCGAGTAAGAGGGGAATCGGACGAGTCGGGTGCATCGGAGGCAAGCTTGGGACCTGAGGAGGCCGAAGTAAATCGGGATGCCATGACACCCGAGATGGGTTTGAATACTTCGGCAGCCCGAGCAAATTCTTGCATCTCTGTTACCCAATCGTCGGTGCTGGATCCTGGCAATCGGTCTGGGAGGGTATCGCGGAGACCGGCTCGAATCTCGATAAAAGTCCGATATCGAGCGCGCTTGGCTTCATCTTCGGCGTAAGGCATCCATCCACTGACACCTCGAGTCAGCGCTTGCACAGCAGTTTGTTTGTCTAGGTTGGGAACAAGGTCCCACAGATCTCGGCGTCGGTCGGCTTCCGATAGTTCATAGCCCTTCGGCGCCTTTTCACCCATAGCCTGTGGCAGATTGGTATTTCCGGTGAGTTTGACGATGCGCTCGCGAGCTTCTGGTGTCATCCAATCGAAAATAGATTTGCCTGGGAGCTGAGCTTCACCCAGGACGGCAGCTCTCGAGGTAGGGTTTAGAGAAGATGATTTGGCTGCATCTGCTGTAGACACATACTCTGCGCGCTCGGTTGCAGCTTTTCGTGAAGATTTCCAACCCTCAGGAATATGTGGAGGTTCGTATTTCTTGTCAGAAATGGAGAGGCCTGAAAGACTATCTGCGAGAACGAACCCATCCAGGGGCAATCGTCCATCGCGACATTTCCTGAACCCTCCAGCGTTGCGCGCAGCAACAACTTTTTTAGATATAAAAACGGGCTTGGCGTTAAGTAAAGGATTTGCGGAAGTAATTGCGGGCTTCAACTCCTTGGCCTTCTTTTTCTTGCCCCCGATGGTTTTGTTGTATGATATTTGCGGACCAAGAGAGTAGGGATCTTCATCATCAGACCCAGTATCATTGAGAATGCCCACACCAAAGCCTGATCGTTGCGGTTTTTTGGCTGTTTTCTTCTTGGTAGACAAGCGATCCCCAAAAAACGAGTCTGATTCTTCCTCCTCCTCCCGGTTGGCCTGGTCAGGCTTCTCAAGCTGGGCCTCACCCGCAAAGCCTAGACCCTTGTGATCTGTTTTGCGGACGAATGCGACCATTGGCGGATTCTCAGGTGCGAAGAGGTATGTCTCCTCCGGAGCACCTGCCGTGGCCTTCACCTCCAGATTGGCTTTGCGCCGTACTTTCGGCCCAATACCTTGTCCTTCCCTCCAGCCCATCTTTTTCAATAATTTCACACCCATTGTTTCGCCGCCCGTCTTAAGCAAGTCCATCAGACCTGCCCTCCGTGTAGCATCCGCTTCGGTGGAACCAAAGCCCGCAAACCCTTCGGTTGTGTTTAGGTTGCGCGATTCCTCCTGCTCCCTCAAATCCTCCTCGTCCATGAAATCCTCCGGTCGTTGTTCAGGGCGTTTCGCATCTCGGGCGCGATTCTGCCGAGACGAGACGAAGGTCGCGGGGGTCCATCCCTCTTTCGAGCCGACGGTATTGAAGTACCTGCAAGTTGTAAGTATATTTCATGATCTGACCCAGCCGAGACGAACTTACCCAGCACTGAACCCGCCAGTGAAGGCACCGTGTAGTCGTTTCCTTCCGCGTTCATCGGTCACCTCTTGCTTCCAGATGGGTTGGTAGGAGCCATCATCGCGGGATCCTTCTTCTAGTGGTGGCAGAGGAGTGCCGTAGACTGCATAGGGAGAATGGGAATGCTCCGTCTCAAAGACGGCGCGAGGGCGCTTTGTGGCCATGCTTTGGAAGACAGGAGGTTCATGTCAAGCTCCTGTTAAGTTCTTGGCAGTCATTGTCGGGAGCAGAACCAATAGGAAAGCGGAGTTGATGATTTCGGACTCTCCAATGGATTATATTCTTTACAACATAGTTCTATAATAGACATAATATTGATAACATCTAATTTATCTAAATATCATACTGATACCGCATTCTGAAATATATTAAAGAAAATGATCAACTATCTATGTGAATATTCATTGAATGTACGGAATAGGCCCGCGGAGTTCTAACTCCATGTGGAGATCACGGGACCACAGTTAGTCAGCGCCAAGTAATTTAGTCCCTCGTGCTTTCACCTTTTAACCAATCACATACTCTTTCATATATGTCTGTGCGTCCATCTGGCACGGGTGAAATGCCGAGTCCCTGTAAATCTTATCAGTTTTTATACCCTGAATTCCGGATTTTACGGCCCCCGGGGGCCATCCAAGAGTTTCAAGCCCCGTAATCATCTTATTATGATGCTTGATTTTATACTGATAAGAAAAAAAACAATCACTTCAAGTGAAATCTGTAATTCATTGTTGAGGACATGAAATGTGTGAGAACAAACACTAGTATTCCTGAATCCTGGTCTAGTCGGTAAAATGCACCTAATGAACCATAATAGACTAAACTACTCTCATCAGGGTGGCGTGGGACTGGGCCGTCGCTAATTTCCAGACCCTCGTTTTCACCTCGCCCCATTTGCGGAGTAGCTTCCCAAAGCCTCTTGAATTTCTCCTTTTACCTCTGTTGGCACTCTCTGCCTCTCTGAAGTTGTCAGGCCTCATGGATTTCCAACCTGTCATGAACTTGCCTTAGTGCTCCTCTATGCGCCATAATTCTGCATTTTCCTTCAAATGTTGCCACACCAGATTCTTTGAATATCTATTTCATCCTTCCAACCCTCACTTAACCTTGGCGCCCGTCATTTGATTTCGGACAAGGGCTGCGTCTCTTTTGCCCGCGCTCCACCATGATGCTCATCAGCAACTTCGGTACTAGGCGCCAGTACTTCTACTTCTGCCTCGCTACAGGCGCAGTGATAACATGCCTGTTAAATCTCGCCCTCTTCACTAACATAGAGAGGCGTACGATTCAGATTCCCGGACTCGGTGAATTTATCATACCCTACAGCCATGCGCCGGCACACTATGCGAACGATAACCACCCCATTCAAAGCCTGATGGAAGAAGCAAATGAAAAATGGGAGAAGTATGAGAGTTCGCATTCAACCAATTTTCGCCATGTGGTCTCCAAATACCGCCAAGCAAATGGCCGGCATCCTCCCCCGGGGTTTAAAGACTGGTATCTATTCGCTCGAAAGAACAAAGTGCACGATGTGGACAACTTCCAGCAGATAATGGATGACCTGCGACCGTTCTGGGCTATTCCTCCCGCAGAGATACGAAAAATGGCAGCATCACTACAGGAGAGTCAGGGCATCGCGGGTATCCGAATTCGAGATCACCATGTCGTATCGGAGCCAAATGGCTGGAGAGCAGAGACATTGTCGCATTCGATCGAGCGCATTGCGGCATACCTACCAGATATGGATATTGCGATGAATACTTTGGACCAACCACGAGTTATGGCGACCTATGAAGACATCCAAGATTACTTGAAAATCGAAGCAAGGAATAGGACTATGTTTGAGTTTCCGGTCGGCAAATTCACACGCAATATGCTGCATTTGTACGATCCGAATGCCACCAATGCCAATATCGACCCGGGGTGGTTTTCTGTCGCAGGAAAGCCCTACATGGAATTTGCGCAGGAGTCATGTTCACCCGGTTCACCAGCTCGAAATGATAGCATGGGCACCGAGGAAATTGAAAAGCTGTACAAGACTCCTGTGGGCGGTTTCATCTCTAACTTTACCGGTTCATCGGACTTATGTACCGTGGGACCAATTTTGGGTGACCAACACGGGTTCTTGTTTTCAGCCTCCAGTAACGTCATCACGAGAAAATTACTTCCTGTGTTTGGTGAGTGCAAGGTCAGCGTCAACAATGATATCCTGTTCCCTGCGAACATGTACTTCCTCAAGGACCCGCGATATGTCTTCAACCCACTTCATGACAAATCCTGGAATTACAAAGATGATTCCTTATTGTGGCGTGGTGTGACTTCAGGTGGAATCCAAGTGGAAGATAATTGGCATCGCTTACATCGCCAGCGTTTTGTCCACATGACAAACGCCACCGAAATGAATTCTCAAACCGTGTCAATCTTATCCCAGGATATGAAAAACGGATACCAACCTATGGATTTCCAGCCTGCCGAATTTGCGACATCCTACTTTGATGTGGGCTTCACAGAGGCCTGGGGCTGTATTCCGGACTGTTCCTTCTACGATAATGTCTGGACATACAAGGAACCCAAGGATTTTAGCGAACAGTTCAAGGCAAAGTACCTGGTTGATATTGATGGCCACAGTTTCTCTGGTCGCTGGCGCGCATTCCATCAGAGCAGGTCATTAGGTCTGAAAGCTACAATCTTCAGAGAGTGGCACGACTCTAGACTTCTTGCATGGCGTCACTTTGTACCGATGGATAACATGTATGGGGATTTGTATTCCCTCATGACTTACTTTATTGGTATGAATTCTTCTCAGACCAACGCTCCTCATGACGCCATTGCTCCTGGACCTGCTATCGCCTCACATGATTTTGAAGCTCAAATGATTGCGACCCAGAGTCGTGAGTGGGCCCAGCTCGCACTTCGTGACGAGGACCTGGAAATCTATCTCTATCTTCTCCTGCTAGAGTATGGACGTATCATCGATGATAACCGTGACGTTCTGGGATACGCTGGGGATGGGAGTGAGCTTGCAGAATTTGATGTCGAATATCAATTGACAGCACCTCTGTAACCCAGATTCAAGATTACTGCCTAATGTGTATTGGTATTTTTGACTTGGTTGTTTGGAGTTTTGGTTCCTTTTTTGGAGTTTGGGTTCCAAGGGTTTCAAGTTTCATGACCGGCATGGTGCCATGATTTGAATGTCATTTAATAATATAGTGCTTTGACCAATTGTACATATTAAATTCTTTATCAGTTTATCATGATAAATGATGAGCTTTATTCAACCTGGCGGCTGACCTGCATGTATCTCGCGTAGGCGAACGGCGAACTACTATAATATGACAGCACGAGGGCTTGAGCGTGCTGGAAGGAGATTCAAATGTTCTTTACTATATCATCCATGAGTGCTTAATACCCATTGACTGAAACCAATCACACCACTCTGATTGTTCAGCGGATAGCTATTGGCCATATGCATGTGGTGAACGTGATAAATGACACTCCTTATCAGTTCCACGGTCTCCGAATATCTCTCTAGTGCTGATTTGCGCCACATTCTTGTTGTTAGATCTTGCAAGGCTCTGATCACGACACTAAAATTTGGACATCTATGATATTGACTTCTACTATTCATAGCTCTAGCCTAGTAGGCCTTGCATTGCATCATGATTCAATTTCTCGCAGCGAATTTGGTACTTATCTCAACCTTGGAAGATATCTAGGTAATAGCAAATACTTGTACAATACTTAACTGCCAGGTGTGAACGAGGTCTCGCACAATTATGTTCCAAACTTGGGAAGTTTCATTTTGATGTTCGGATTATGATGGATCTTACATAAATTTGAACAACCTTGGAAAGAAAGGGGCACCTGGGTGATCAGATATCCAACCTTGGGTAAATTGTATGCTTTTACCCCGTATTCCTACTAGGCTCAGCCTGATCCCGATTTCCATCCATGAACAGCTGGTCTCGCATGCCCAGACGGGAGAACACACCGATTTCATGCAGCAGCGGTTCAAAACCTAGAAAAAAAAGTACTTGAATGAATTCTCGGGGGGCCTGACTGGATAGTTCCCCTCTCACCCTAATCGGGAGATTCGCGTGCAAATGCAAGAGCAGGGATCATGCGCATTTGGCGTATCTCCGAGTGATCACTGGCAGGTGATTAGTTACGTACCGAGGTGGCGATGGGTGAGTTCAATACCTACTCAGGCCGCAAAACCTTCCCAAATTCTTCATGATGGAGATTTCCAGTATCTCAATATATGAGACAAAGAGCCGTCAATAGCCAGCTCTGGACATTCTGGGGTTATTCAAAGTTACACATAAAATTATGCTCTCCACGAAATAAATTGCGGATCATCATTTGCAGGGTCTAAATGCCCACCGGATGAGCGTCGGGGCCCCGCTATGGATTCTTCTCCGCTATACTAAGATGGGATCAAAGGCCGAGGCATTGACCCAATGGAACACTTCAAGCCACTCCTATTAACTTTCTGGAAGAGCAGAGTGCGCCCGGGCGCAGGTGATATATTTGGCCATGCTTGTAAGTATTACAGGTACTAGTATTATCCCCGACGGTTTCTTCATAATATCACACATATCTGACGCGTTCTGCATACTAGTGCGAAGAGCTAGTATGGAGTACTTTGGGTTGCCTTACGCATAGACTGTGCTTTGGGCCGAACCAATGAAGGATACAAATTATCAAAGATCCGACTCATACATCTGTCTATTATTGGTCTCTCCTGAGATGTTGTTTCCGAGATTCAAGTGTTGGAGGCTTGTGTCATAAACCGGGAAGCTTGATTCAGGTAAGCCTCTGGGGCCCCCCTAGGCCGTCCAATGCTACATCCTGTAAGCCTCAGACGCCACAAAGATGCACTTGGCTCTATAGTGGCTGCCCGCAAGGCTTAATTTAGTAATTTACAGTATCTCCAAGCTGGAAGTTCAAATATTCCTCGTACAAATTAGATTGGACATGGATAACGTGCTTCATTACCTACCCTGGAGCGGAGCCTTGCATCCATATATCAAGCCTTTCAAGGTTAAAGTGTATGAGCTAGTAATATCGTATGAACCAGTGAGATTGACGAAATTTCCACTAGACCGCGCGAGAAGAAATGGGAGACAAAGAGGACATCCGGATGGATACTACACTAAACCACTGGCAAGAACAAAGAAATAGCCTTTCTTAGCACTTGACATTGTACGCCTACTCCTTGATTTTCCAGGCACCTGGGGGCTTGCCTCAATTATTGAAACTTGAAGCAATATTTGAATCCTGGAACGATATAGACCTTATTTCCTCCAGGTGTCTACATACTCCCCACACGCATGCATTATGTTCCACCTTCAAAATGGTATTAAAAACCGAGCCATAGATATTCAGCTGTCGTAACCAACTTTGAAAATAACCAATTAAAATCCATAACTGACAGCACTGATAGCAATCTTGGAACTATGTAGCCACCTCACTGGCAGTTCCTTTAGCTGCATACTACCCTGTACCTGGTCCGAGTTCCCCCTGATAAGCAATTAATACCCGCAGAAACTGTGGCGACCAAAGAGCTGCCCTCGCTTGGAAGATACCCTGGAAAACTCCTGGAATTCCATGGCTGCCAGTGGCTTGAATCAACTTTGCAAGGTTATCTTACACTCGTACTAACCCCTGCGCGGATACTGACGGCCTATCGGCCCCCGGCAAGGAAATTGGAGTATCTATTCCAGCTCAATGACTGGTACACAGGGAAATATGCGCTAATACTCACTCAAGTGCTCAACTGGTAATTGTCGTGCTATCACGCCTGTCTCAGGTGGCCCAATCTATTATACATAATGGTACCCCCCTGGGTACTATAAATCCTACGTTTCCTCCCAAATGTTCCCTCCGAGTCCCTGCGTCTGCCCAAGCCTCATCAAGAATTGAATCAACTCCACGCTCAATATGTCTATGCTTCCGGGCCCTTTGGCCGTCACGGCTCCTACGGAGCAAATTCGCGAGGCTGGTATATCACCAGATGAAGTCCGCCAGATGTCCGTCGCCGGTAAACATCCTGGTGTACGCCAGCGTCAATGGGGTCTCCAGGCGCGTCTCGACCCTACCGTAACCTTCGAGGAATTCTCATACTGGGCGAAGGTTGAGCGCGAGATGGAGGAAGAAGAGAACCGGCGCTTCAAGAGTCTTACCACTGGCTATGGTGTCATTGGATCCATCAAGGGCTACTTCAACCTAAATCCTTATGAGGATGCTAAGGCTAAGGCCAATGCTGGTAACCCCCCTGCCATCTCTTCTACTGAGTGGAACGTGAATGAGAAGGCACCTGTTGTGGCTGGAGATGAGGCGGGTGTCAGTCCTATCTCACCATCGACAACTCATGACTTCGATGCTGAGTGGCGACAAGCTGCCCGCGCACTGCGCACTGCTGGATGGGGAGGTATCTTCTATTTGATCACGACTGATATTCTTGGATGGGGTCAGACACCCTATGTCTTTGCCAATGATGGCTACGGCCTTGGTGTTGGTATTTTCCTTCTGATGGGTATTGCTGCCGGTGCATCTGGATGGATGATTTGGAAATCTTTCATCGGTCTTGACTCGTCGCGATACCCTATTGTCAGCTACGGTGATCCTTTCTTCCGTCTCTACGGCCCCTGGGCACGTCATTTTATCAATTTTACTCAAGCTATCCAAGTGTTTTTGAGTGTGGCTGTGGTTCTTCTTGGTCAGACTAGTCTCATCGCACAACTTGCTGGAAGTGTTAACCTTTGCTATATCGTCTGTGCTATCATTGCCCTGGTTGTAAGTATGGGAAGTGGGTATATGCGATCTCTTAAGCACCTTGGATGGTTTTGTAACATGGCGGTGTGGCTGAACATCATTTCCTTCATCATTGTGTGAGTATGGGTCCACGTCATGATACTGACACTGCTAACATGTCATACAGCTGTGTTGCGGCTGCGAAGTATGGTCCTGATCCTACAGCTGCCGTTGAATACGGAATTCTACCAAAGACTTGGGCCACAAACCCAGTCCCTGTGAAGACTTTTGTTGGTACTCCTCCCGCATTGTACCAGCAAACAGATTCGAAACTCTTTGCTGCGCAGTTCAATGGAATCAACAGCATGGTTTGTAAGTCTAGCACCCAGATGCACAATTGATTCAGCTTGCGAGTATGCTTTACTCACTATTTCTATCAGACGCATACTCTGGAGCTGTGCTGTTTGTCGCATTCCTGTCTGAGATGCGCCATCCCATGGATTTCTGGAAGGCTATGTTCACTGCGCAGCTATTTATCACCGTTGTTTATATCTTCTTTGGAGCATTTGTATGTTACTCTCCTTTTGAATTCAAGTTGGCTGAACGCATACTAAATTTAAGAAAAACAGTGCTATGCCTACTACGGTCAATACGCTTATGTTACCATCACTCAAGTCGTCAAGCCAGAGAGACTTCAAGTTGTCAGCAACGTACTTTCCTTGATTACTGGTTGGCTTGCCATCTGTAAGTATACCCATTCAAACTCGCATAATGTCTCTCAATAATATCTACTGACCCACTTTTAGTCCTATACTTCAACGTTGGCATGAAGATTATCTACCTTGAGGTTGGCCAAGAAATCTTCCGCCTACCTCCGATCGCCAGCAACAAAGGAAAGATCCTCTGGTGGTCTCTCGGCCCGCTCTACTGGATCCTTGCCTTCGTAGTATGCATGTCCATTCCCGAGTTTGCATCATTCACAAACTTTGTCGGTGGATTGTTCAGTCTGAACTTTACCTACTCATTCTCCGGTATAATGTTCCTGGGCTTGGTCATTCAGGAAGGAGCTAGACTACCAGGTGAAGGCTTTGACCCTTCCACTGGTGAGACGACTCGCTTTGACAGCGGTTACAAGAGATGGGTCCGTGGCTATAAGAAGTCTTGGTATCTCAGTGTACCTGTGACTATCTTCACTGGTGCTGGTTTGGCTGCTTCTGGTATGGGTACCTGGGCAGCTGTCTTGGCTCTTGAGGCTGCTTTCGGACCTAGTGGCTCTACTGTCACCTCTTGGACTTGCACAAATCCGTTCTATACAGGTTGAAATGGTGGTTCACATGGTTGGCGATATTTCTGGTTGGAGCTTAGGTGCTATATACCTGGTGGGAAAGTACTTGGAGTGGAACATTTGAAAGAGACTGGGCCAGCTTCTCAGATTCCTGAAATACATAGGCCACTGCTGTATACTTGAATTGTAGTCTTGCTTCTCTAACGAGGATCATTTTATTTACTACTACATCCACAATTACATTTTTTCACCCCTCTCATATCCTTTCCTCGGCCTCCTGTACATATCGTCGTACACGGAATGTCTGGCTTTGGTCTAAGCGATGAGACTCGCTCCAGATGTCAGATACGTGACCACAGAAATGAGATGAGACATGTATTTACTTGTCCCCAGTTTTGGAGCTCTCAATATCCCTACTCTTCTTTGGTCTCAACCCAAGTTTCTTCCGAACATTAACCGTTCTCACATGCAACGCACGCTTCCGTCGTCGTGGAGGATAGTTGACAGGACTTTCACCTCCAGTGAAAATTGCCATATCGTAAACCAGTGCACCAAATAACGCTCCACTGATATCGGCACACCAGGGACCCCAGATCCACCAAGCATGACTTTCTCGAAAAAGGTGACCGCCCCACCCAGCCATGACAGCCACAAGACGGGGACCAAAGTCGCGTGCGCAGTTGAAACACCTGAAAAATCAGTCACAACGAACTTGAAAACAATTGAACTAGGTAAATGGGATGACTTACCCTCCAGTATTATAACCCAACGCAAGAATCACGACCGAAATAAGTATACCCAGAATGAAAGCCTGCATTCCCGCTCCAGGGGGAGCATTCGTATCATCACCAAGAGCAACAACAGCACCGAAGAGAATTGCACTTCCTAGAAACTCAGTGAAGAAAGCTGTAGCGGGATGAACAAATGATTTCGGCGCAGTAATCATAGCCTCCGAAGCCGGACCGGCATTCTGAGCTACTTTAGAAGAAGCGTCGACCTCAAGTATCGCATCGTGATAAATTGCATAAGCGATTCCACCAGCCGTGATTGCACCAAGAAGCTGTGCTGTGATGTATATAGCACATTTGCGAGCGGGAAATCCACGGAAAGCAGACATGGCGATTGAAAAAGCTGGGTTGAGATGTCCTCCGGAGATACCACCTGTGATATAGATGGCTACCATAAAACCGAATCCCCATGCGACACTTTGGGATGTGTAACTTCCGGCTTCACCAGACGAGGTGTAGTGGGATAGGGTGGCACATAGACCAATAATCATTGCGACGGTTGTCTGCGACAGAATATTAGCAAGGCTTCAATATCTTGAGTCTGGTTAAGTAAAATACCCCAAGCCATTCAGCCAAAGGCTCCCGAAGGTAGTGTCTGATTCTCGACCAAGTATTGAAGAAACCATCATCAGAGCCTGGATGATGTTGTCCTGACTGCTGGTGTGTTTCACCTGCATTATCACCTTCCTCTTGCGCTGCTTGTCTGTCTTCTTTTCGATCTTCTGGTAACGCGCCATGTTGCATACCCGGTCGGACAATATGGGGAAGAGGCTGAGCTAAACTCCAAGTCGGTGCATCTCTCTCTTTGCCATATTGAGGATTGTAGTCGCGATAGTGCTCTCCGATATATGAGTTGCTCGGAGGATTGGGTGCCCCGGGCCCAGCTAGACTGAATGTTGGGTTGTTGCCAGCACCTTCATTCTTGCTGCCGTCTTCCTGGGTTCCTTCAGGAGGCTCATATTCTTGAGATTCCATATCTGATAGAATCCCTATGTCAGAACTCTGGATCGTGATTGATTTAAGGTTTTGAAGTTTAAGCTTACTGTCGTTTGCATTCCGGTTCGAATCTTTTGAACGCGACATTGTGATAGAAAAACTCCAGATCACAGAATATAATTAAATAGCGAAGGGGGGATTCTTTTTTTAATGTTGAACAATGACCTTAAAATCTCGGTGGTGGAGTTCTCGAACTATGAAAACATGGATCCACATCCTTGGAAGGGACAGCTCTTTTACGTCACTTGAAGATTCTACATCATCCATGGACCCTGGACCACTGTCGATCATTCTTTACAAGGGGAGAGTTACCAACCAATAAGAAAGAATTTGAAATCATTTTAAATTCTTTCAAAATCTTTCTCTTAAGTGGTTTTTGTGTGACCTCCATGAGCAGAAATTCATCATAGGATCATTATCTCTCTATCTCATTCTGAGTTATAGAGGCAGGACGAAGAGGGAGTTCAAGTTCCAACTCACACGGGGCCCGGCTGATCATGCCGAGGAAGCCCCAGTAAAGGTGCCTTCCATTTTACCAGTCTTGCATCATCCCAAATAGCATAGCACCATTGCCACTCTAGGTCACCCATGAACTCGACTCCAGGCATTGTCCATGTATCGAAAGAAGGATCAAGATCGACTGCATCTGTAAGATTGACTCCAGGATCATGTTGGATAATCTTTGACCTCTTCCAGGCTAAATTCGGTCGCTCAATTGGTGGTAGCGTAGACCAGAATTGTTCAAAGTCTCGAATTGCGTGTCGATCCGCAGGTACAGTCCAAGGTAGCTTATCATCATGCCCCACATCCATATTTGGCCCAATAAAGGTATCATTCAGACCATGCCCTCCCCCTGTTGCATTTCCTACCACCAAATTGCGCCGTTGAAGAGGGGTAGCATGTATGACACGATAGAGAAATTCTGGCCCGATAGCGACTAAGCTATCGAGCTTCGAAGGGAAATCGTCAATATCCCGCTCATCCTCAAATCCCAAACGCCCCAACGGTGGAGAAGCAACATCACGCGGAAGGGAAACAAATATAGTGAAATCTTGCCACTGGGATCTGTGTTCTTTCGCGAAATTGCGCATACTTTTGCCAACTTCTTCGGATATAGGGACGTATTTCGATATAAGGTATCCCCATATAGATCCCATTTCCTCATGTTCCCAAGGGGGCATCGCCCCATAGAATAAGCGGTAAGCTTCTTCATTTAGCTCGAACAAGTCACCATGCGAGGTCCACCGGTTCTTACGATAATTCGCCGAATCATCCACTATCTCAGCCGTTCCAAAGATATTCGAAAGAACCTGTAGTCGGCATAATGCTCTCAAAATCCGACCTTTCTCAAGATTGGACAACTTGAGGGGTATGAATTTGTCCTGCCACTGTTTTGGCTGTATCCAGCTGGGCCTTGGTGCGTTCCTCTGGAAATCATCCAAGAAGAAACGTAATACCCTATGAAAAAAAGAGAATTTCCCGGATTTCTTTAGAATCCCTAGGGACGTCTGTTCGTAAAGAAGGACTCAGACCAAGGTCACGTATCTCTGCGCTGCGTCGCCATGTGTCCAGCAAAGCGGTTGCTTGTTCTTTGTGGTGTTCCATAAGGAGCCCTTTTGATCGGATTGCGGTGATAGTTTCTGACAAATCCAAAGACATCTCTTCAGATTGTCTCCTGAGAATGCTACTTAGTATCACATCGGAGTCTTTAACGGACTGATATATCTTATATAATCTTAGTGATGTGAGGCCGGTAGATATCAGAGAGGCATGGTCGGATAAATGATACAAGATGAGGATGATCAGCTCCGCAGGGAGGCTCTCAAATGTGGGCTTGGACTGGATGCAGGAAGATTAGTAAAGTCATATTAAAATATGCTTATCATTTCACTGACCATATTCAATATGCTAGTAGACTGAATATTTGGTGGGATATTCATGAAAGAGGATAAATGGAGAACAGAAGACTGGGACAGAAAATAAGTCATTGAGAGATAAGTAAATCTTAATTTACTCCGAGTCTCTATTTAAGTGTTATGGCTCTATCTATGACAATATTTGCTTATAGCCGCTCGACTTCTCCTAGGAGTCCTACTAACGTGTCATAGCCCCCTTTGACTCAGACGCCTAGAGTGATGTGGACCAATCGATTTGCGCTACGCAATCCACGATCCACCAGTTGACGACTCTCACTACCAACAACTTGGAAATCCCCTATAGCTAGAAGGAAGAAAACTCTAAGTTGGACTAATTTCATACTCATGTATTTTGTCAATAAATTATGATATAATGAGCGATTAAATACGGGCATCATGTGATCCTAACATCTGCTGACCGACTGTTTCAGTCACAAGCTTAGTGGCTGACAAGTGACAACTTCCCTCCACCAAATCTCACACCAACTGCAAAATAATATTCCATGCAACAATTTTAACACCCTAGTTCAATACAACACTCCCTTCATAATGAAGATGGCGATTCAGGCAGTTCGTCTGCCCCTCAGAAACATCACGGGTATTCCGACGCGCTCTGGTTACCCCTCTTTTGCTGCACGGACAGTTCTCCAGGCCTCAAACAGACAGGCAACAATTCCAACTCGGTCGCGGCCTTTCACTACATTTCTGCATTTACATCAAAAACCAACTGAAAAGCAAAAATCAGACCCTAATTATTATGGGTCAAAGCCACCTGAAACTCCACTGGCGATGAGCTTTGAGTCGATTGGTATCGGCAAAAACCTCAAGCTTCTGATCCTCACTATGTTAGCCGTTTCAGGCACAATAGAAGTGCTCACTTATGGCAGAGAAATTTGGCTCTGGTGGAAAGGCAGCGAGGGCGATGAAGTTTGAATGCATATTTCTTTCTTCGAGGCGTTTCTTAGCCCGAATTTTTGCAGACTGAGACGACCCAGGAATGAATGGTTATGTAAGTTCTCAGCTTGTGTCCAGTTGTATGTGAAAGGGTAATATAACTGACTGAAATAGGGAACTAGGCAATGATACCCAGGAATCAGGTGTTTGGTTGGATATTGAACCATGGCTTTACGTACTTGAATGATGCTTGACGACAAATTTATCATTATTTTTTTTCACCGTTTGGATACGCCATAGCATATGCATGGAGCTTAAGAACCGAAAATAGCAGCGTTGATCAGTTGTTTATCGTGGGTTGGGGAGTTAAGGTGATAGCATTGCTCCGATGAAACAGTTTAAATTTGATCTCACACTAGGCTCTGGTCGGATGTACAAAAACTTTGAGAGAGTTCGAGCTCAAATGATATGTCCTAACCCCGTAAAATATAATATCCAAGCAGCGGCCAGTTGACAGTTCATTGGTCCTATTGGCCATGATTATAGCCTTTCTCTTATATCCGAGCGGGAACGGACCTTATGTCCGTCAGGCATCCTGCCGCATCCATCGGCAGTATATTGGCTGATGGATATAGGCTTCTAGGATATCATGAGCGGTATACAGGTGATATTTTGTGATTTAATTACTAGTGGTAATCATAATCTTTTTACAACCCCAGGTCCGAGTTCAGCTTCTCACACTACATAAGGTTCACTTCTCTCAGATATCTCCCCCACTCAACACTACCTCAGGCAAATCTTACATCGCTCAAATTCATTCCCAACTGCAGAACGTGAAGATGACAGACTCAAAGATTGTTCTCATCACAGGTTAGTCAAACCAGCCAAAAAGAAATCCCAGGAGCGAGAGACGCCGGGATACTGACCTTATCCAGGAGCCAACTCAGGCATCGGATATGCCACAAGCAAGCTCATCTCCTCACAACCAAACTACCATGTCATAATGGCATGTCGCAGCAAGGGAAAAGGGTTCAAAGCCATGGAGGAAATACAAGGCAGTGGAATCAAAGGCACTCTCTCCGTCCTTCAGCTCGATGTGACTTGTGACGAATCTATCGTTGCTGCCGTGGAGACAGTTCAAAAGGAATTTGGTCGGGTCGACGTATTTGTCTCAAATGCTGGGATCACAGCTTATTCAGAGACGGGCAGCAAGAAAATGACCACAATATTTGCAACGAATGTCACTGGAGCGGTCACTTCATCCGAAGCATTTGTGAGCCTTTTACTCAAATCTTCGCGTCCATACCTTATCCAGATTTCCAGTGGACTCGGCTCCTTCGGACTAGCCACGGATCCCAAGGACTCCTACTATCATAACCCATCGCACGAGTATCGAATGAGCAAGGCTGCGCTGAATATGGCTACCGTCCAGCAGCACAAGCGCTTTCATAGCCAGAATATTCGCGTGTATGCTTACTGTCCCGGATTTGTGCGATCAAACCTCCGAGGCGAGTCTGAGCAAGCAAGAACTGGTGGTGGTTATGCTGGTGATCCGATGGATTCGGCAAGAGGAATTCTTGATATCTGTGAAGGGAAAAGAGATGTCGATGTGGGTCGATTCATTCATGCGAATGGTATTTATCCGTGGTAGATGGTCGAACCAGTCAAACCCGCATACAATGAGAAGTCTTGAAAAGAGGAGTTATCCTGCTTAATCAACTCGGATAACTGGGAACTCTTGATGACTTGATGCTAGAACTGGAAATTGACCTTATAAAAAGGTTCAGGGTTCAGTATCATCTTTCATGTTGTTCTATGCTGCTGATGTATGGTCGTTCAGTTTATCAATTCCTCAACTTGAAATTAGTATTCACAGGGGCTCGGATCTAGCAGTATTCCCTACTGTGTAGTGTCTAGCATCTAACAGTGGAAGGCCTACCAGAAATTGGACTATTCTTATTCTACAGGTTTGAAGGCAGCTCTTATAAAATGTACCTCAAGTGCTACTAGTAGTAGAAAGGAAACGCTGACTCTGAGTCTGGAAGATATATCCATATCGGGTTAAGTACCATCCAGCGAACCCCAAAATGAGTACGAATGCTCCCTTACATTTTTAAAACGAGAATTCCAAGCATCGAATCTGCCCTGCTAGCCTAGGTGACAAGCGGCTTGCGATCCTCCGGGAGACAAAAGTATCGACTGGGATTGTTGGGTCCCTTTACTCTTGACGGTGGCAGATTCAGTACGAAAGGGTGGGTGGGATCAGCTTCGCTGGGTCAATCTTTTTTTTTGATTTTTTTTTTATATTTTTATCGATGAGACTTGTAACGATTCTCTATTCCTCAGAACTTTCAGATTTTCAAATAAAAAGAATTGAGCGAAATGGAAGGGATTCTGCGACGGGGTTTCACTACGTCAGTCAGTGAGCCATGTGGTTTCTGATTTTGAAGGCCTGGAGTTCATTCCAGCTCTCGCTGAATTTTTTTTCCTCTTGAAATCGAAGTTCTATTGAAGGCTCATATGGAGGCTGGGAATGTCTAAGTCTGATCATTTTAGCTATCGGCACAATGTAGCTAGTCCCCATTTGTGTCCGGCCCGCCCCGAACCTTGGAAGCCATCCATGGTCTTACCCCTTCCGAGTCCAAAATCATGAGTCCGCGCGCCCATTGAAAGCTGAACGACATCAGTTCGACAGAGTAGGTTCGAGAAGTATAGTCGTCATAATGAGCATCTACCCTACAAACGAGGCATAAAAGCGGACTATTTTCTAGCAAACTGAGGTTTTTTGGAGTGTCTAAAAATATCTCGACCAGACACAACTCCATCTTGTTCAAAAATTCATCATGCCCCCTCCTCTATCATCATCACGAGGAACCAGAGATATCACCCATCTTTCCCAAATTATCGGGGTAGAACCGGATAAGGAGCCCCGGTGTGCCGGTTACGCTTACTCCCAAAGACGACGCTGTCACGCCCAAACAAACCTTCATGATCGCAACCGTGCTCTGCATTTATTGAATATAGGAACTGAAGAATTGCGCGCTGGAAGGACGGTTGACCATATACTTGCAGAGTTAGCTCTTCGTGTCCTGTGCATTCGAAATCATCGATCACAAGCAAGAGGTCTTACGCAACGCTGGAAAGAGAAAGTCCAGCTATTTATTCAGGCTCAGGCAAGGTCTTCTAGAAGAAGGGCGACAGAAGCAAGGAATCGGCTGCATAGAGCTCCTGTTACAGAGCCTGCTCCGGTTTTGAGAGAGGCTGAAATTAACATTCCCTCCCCGTTGAGAAACCTGTGGACTTTATCTGACTTTTTCACAAGAGTTAATTCTCTTTTTGATTCAATGCCTGCTTTCTTTCGGTTTAAAAGTGGCAAGGCCCCGGGACAGCCAGTCTCCCCGAAGCAAGTACGTCAACCTATAACAGGCTCTTGCTCAATTTGCTTGGAGCCACTACGAAAGTCTAGCCTCTATTCCAGCAGTGATAATGGCACTTACAAGGGAGTCGTCGAGCAAAGAAAACCGAGGCTTACATACTGCAAGGGCGAGTGTGGAAATAACTTCCATTTGAAATGTGTACAGAAATGGTTGAAGTACCGTGACGCTCATAACTTGAAGGACTCGGAACCAACTTGCCCGATATGTCGAAGCATTTGGACTAACTGAGACATGGCTGGAATATTGAAAACATCATATCAATTTGGTTGAGTTGATAGAATTTTCTTTCTGAATAATAGCTTGGACAAGAATCTAAAAAAGGCATCTTACAGAGGAGAATGTACTGTCTTCAAGTCTACCCGCATGCACTAAGGGGCCATCCAGCTGCTAGCTTTTCATCCTTGGAAGCACCAAATGCTAGAAGCCCATCATCAAGAATTGTAGACCTGCGAACATCTCTAGCCGTCATTGGCTCAGCGTATGGATTCGCACGATGCATAGATTGCCTATGAATGTCAGTATAGGGGACCGAGAACAATACCATGAGCTTTATATCTTACCGATTATCCCACCAGACCATGTCCCCCCCTTGTCTCCACTCCATGGAGAAAACGTACTTTGCTAAAATCAATAACCATTTATGTAGATTCAGAAAAGAGACTCACCTTAGGCTGAGTACAATGATCTATCAGTTCCCAGATCAACTTTTGACTTTCTTCAAAGCTCTTTCCCAAGATTTGTTTCGCATGCGCAGCCAGGTATAATGTTTTGCGGCCATCTGGAGCCACTTGAACGAGTCGATGGAATGCTGGGGGCTTGGCCTTCAACTCGTGAGGAAGAGGGTTGCCAAACACGGCTGGCGATGCTAGCTTTCGCGAATGCCAAAGACTATTTCCAGGTTAATCAGCTAACCCGAGGCGCTCTTGTGACGGTGTGGACGTACTCATGTTCAATGATGAGATCTTCAATCTCAGTCTTTTTGGATTCAGGAAGCTCCTCATACGCTCTTCGGATATCGGCAAAATGAGTCCAAGATCCTCCCTCCACTGGATTTCCATGAGAGAGCAAGATGGAATATTTGGATCGTTGTTGGTGATATGAAGAATCTGTATGCCATAAAGCATTTCCCAAGCTGTGGTGCCATCTGCGACTGTCTCGTTTGACAAGTGAACCATCTAACTCAATACTAGTAATCGTTTGTTAGAATCTAAGTGAAGTCATTTTCTTGTAGGCAAACTTACTTTCCCACGTCAAATAATAGTGGTTCTTTCAAACGGTCATTCTCTCGGCCATAGAAAAATGGATTAATCTCCAGCTCATCTCCCAGCTGCTGAGAGAATGCAATATGACGGGCATTGTCTAATCCAGTTTTTCGAAATATCAAGACACCGAACTTATCTTGAAGAGCGACTAACTAAATCTCATTGTCAGTTCATGTTGCCGTTATATGGGGATAAGACTCACCTGTGCTACAATCTCAGTTGGAATAGGCTGGTCCCAATCAACGCCATATAACTCAGCTCCAAATGATGAGCTTTCAGATTGAAGTACTGGTTTGATGGTCAAAGTACCCTCGTGAATTGCAACATTCTCATCTTCTCCTTCCCGTGGAGGACATGTGTTGTCGTATACACGGATATTCATATGATCTAGAGATGGACTCATCGCGAGAGATAACAAAAGTACTTCTTATCGAAGAAATGATCACTCATTTTGGAGACAGTTCTTGCTTTTAGAGTTCGCCATCTGATATCTCGACTTCAAGATAGTCGCGATAAGAGATGATCAATGAAGCCGTGCGGCCCGATGCCGACAATACCGATAATGGAGAAAGTGAGCGATAAGATTGCGATTATAGATTAAAACCATATCTATTTGAGCTCATAGCTTGATGTCAATTCAAATTTCTCTATCAAATTATTTCCAAGCCAGAATGACCGAATCAAACTTTGTGACCATTACAGCTGGGCCATACCAGTTCCTTGCCACTTTTGAGTCAGCAGCCCCTAAAACCGTCGAACTTTTTCGCACTTTGCTACCATACAAGCAAAAAATTATTCATGTACGATGGAGTGGTGAAGGGATGTGGATCCCATTAGGTGAAACCGACTTTGGAGTTCCTTTCGAGAACCACACTGCACATCCCGCTGCTGGTCAGATTCTTCTATACCCTGGTGGCTTTTCTGAGACTGAGTTCCTATTCTGCTATGGAGGAGTTTCATTTGCAAGCAAAATGGGCTCATTAGCGGCCAATCATTTCTTGACTATTGTTGAGGGAAATGAGAATCTACGTGCTCTTGGAGAGCTGGTCTTGTGGAAAGGGGCTCAAGATGTTTTGTTTGAACTAGCTGATGAGGAAAGGTATGTATTAAAATTTTTTATCCTATTTCCCAGATCTGGATGGCGAGATGCTAATGAATTTTAGAGTACAAAATTTCAAGAGGAAAACTCTTGTCAGGCTCTAGTTGAGTCGGCAGTAATACTCGAGTGCTGGGCATTCAAATGTTGGACGCATGAAGATGATGTACATAGTCTAGATTTTATAGAGTCCCAATATTCCAATCTGCAAAGTCATCAAAGCCACCGAGAAGATTGCCCGCCCAATCAACCCCAGAGTCGTTCATCACTTCTAGTAGGGATTGAAATGCATAATCATTGACTTCTTGGCAGTCTTCTTTGTCGGCGCCATCTTCAAGGACAAGGGAAGAAGCATAATGTACAATGCCTTGAAAATCTTGTGCAGTGTGAAAAGTAGCCAATGAACAAACACTGTCGAAGACCTCAATGGCCAGATGTAGAAGATTGGCGAGGATAGATGTCGAAAACTGTGAAAGGCGGCTAGGTGCCATTGTGCTGCGATCAAACGTACAGATTTGGAGGTTATCTAGTATTTTGAAACCTTAGTCATTGGACTTAGTGTCACGTAGAAGAGCTGTGTCACATACCGTCGACTATTCCTCTGAGATAGCAAAGCACTAGGAATGTGACTGCAAACGTGTGTGAAATCCATGTTGAGTCAACTGTGCAGTGCAGCCGACTAATCGAATCTGAATCGGCATGATAAGGGCCCTCGGGAAAGGTAGACGTATCCTGTGAGTCTAGCCTCCAAACAAATCTTGCGCCATGAATAGACAATGAGAGTATCATCTGAGCAGCTGATGTCAAGCTAGTCTTAAGCATTTGAAGTAGCGGATCTCGTTGGAGTCTGCCGGGATCATGGGTTTCAACGGAAAGCCAAGGCGTTAAAGAGGCGCTATTCAGGGAAAGCCGATACCACTGGAAACCCATCAGGATTAAGTTATATCATGGTTTGGTGTTGAACTCACTCTGACTGAATTGAAGGGCATCTGGTTATGATTTGAAGGTGTATCCTCTTTGAGCCGGTTTGTTAGAAGGTTGTCTCCGTGCCTCTTCGTTTTTCATCTCTCAACTCACTTAAGCGAACAATCCATGTTCTTGTCCAAGTTAGTTGAGCGCAAATAACATATAGTCTGGCTTTCTCTGCTTACCTTTCCCACTCATCAAGCTCCCTGTTCAATTTCATCAGACAGGCTGGACCGAGCCGACGACCAGAGATATCGCCGGAGCTTCGCATAGTGCGGTTGACAAGGGCCACAAGCTCCACAAGTCCACTGACTCGAAGATCTCCTGGATACTGAGAATCAGTGTGCGAGCTGAAGGTACGAGCCATCCTCATTGCTATTTCCGGATCGAAGTCTATGGATGCTGGAAATCCAGAAGTGAGCATGAGGTTAAAGTTGCATGTGATTAAGTTGTAATAGACACGCATTTTGCTAATATGATCTCCAGAGGGCAGGGCATCCCGTATTTGGAATGGTGCTAAGACAGATCGATCTAATCCCATGAGAAGGGCATATCGCATTGCTAAGCCCAAAACAGCGCCTGCGCTGATTTCATTATACCGACTTCGAGGAAATCTAGGGGCGGGGTCGTCATTCTCCAATTCATCTTCTTGTTCTCGGACACACGGCATCCACTGTGCATATAGAAGTAGAACACGTATCGAGTCTAGTGTCACATCGGATGGGGTTGGTCGAAGAAGAAGTCGGGAGACTGCCTTATCCAGAAGACAAGTGAGCTCATTGAACTTGGGATGCACAGATCTCGCTGAATCACTATATCATATTAGTTGCTATAAGTGGCATGCTTACCGTGAAACTCACTCAAAATTCCCCTTGCTCCAAAATCTCGCACCAATAGAGCATATCGCCAAGATCAGGGCCGGAGAGTGGAGTTCGCGTTCATTCCATGATTGTCGTGTACTTTGATTTAGAAGAGGAGCGGAGGGGTGACATTTATCAAAGAATCTAGTTCGAATTAGTGGTGAATCATCAGGTGTCCTCAAGATCTTGCCTTACATATTGATTGCTTTCTGCGCATCTTCTGCGGTGAGAATGCCTTGTCGTACAGGATCAAATGGCGATATCCTACTCCGCCTAGCCACCTCAGGCTCGGAATCGCGTGTCCCTTCATATTTTGCAAGTTCTCGGATTGATCTCAGAGTCGCAATCGGTGGGTCAAGCTCAATAGCATCTACTCCAGAAAGAGATGTGCTGGCTTGGCTGGGCGATAGTGTTGGATGACTACTAGCATGGGCTCCATACTGTTCCGAAGCCGAGGATTTTCCTGATCCACCAGTTGGGATTTGCTTGTCCAATTGGGCTCCTTTTTCAAGTTCCAGAATTCGATTTTCCTGTTGATTGAGCCTTTCCACACAATTTAGATCTCTCAAATACAGATACCATTGAGGAAATGCCAGTTATTACTTACCGACGATTGAGATCCATAACCACCTGTGCCAAGGTAGATGGGCTTTTACCATCTAACAATCGCGTCTCCTCCGTTTCGAATGAACATTTTATGTGAAGCTTCATGCATCTTTTACAGGGTTCCAGAGAATTTTCTGAGACATCTGAAGATGTTGAACATTTTTGCTTCCTTGCTCGACACTGTCATTCTTAGCTATCAGGATTGTGCTTTGATTTGTATGAGTTGGAATTTGGAATTCATACCTGTAAGCATGCACGGGAAATCCGACGAGCCTTAACTGGTCGCTCGTCCTCTGAGCTGGCTGGGTGCGCATGTAGAATCATATTGAAGCTCATCATATCTCGAGCTTGTAAGAGGATATTACATTGAGATGTTGTGAAACATAGTCTCCAAATTTCGTAATAGCAGGCTTATCAACCTTATCTAGAGTCGATAACATACCGAGCGCTGATTCGACAAGGTAATATATGGTAAAAAACGTGGGGGTGGAGATGTGGAGAATACAGACCAGTTGGCCTAGGTAGTTGGTCCAAGGAACGATAATACGATTCAGAAGTTAGATAGCAGTTACAAATTAGTCAATTGATAAGATAAAATCTTCCATAATACAATGTTGAGACAAAACTCCTCGACAAAACTCCTCCCTGTGGTATCCTAGATTCTCTCCGAAATCTTCTGCCATGTACTTTTGGGCTCCTCCTAATTTCGATTCTTAGTTAGTTCGATTCAGCGATAGATATAATAAGAAAATGAACTTACAGTGCTGATGACTTCAATCGAAGACCCAGTAAAGAAGTCCATCTCCGTAGGATCGATCATCTTAGACTTGTTCCAGAATTTATAGCCGAAGAAAAGAACTGCAAACAGGGGTACAGGGAAATAGGTCGTGATGAACGAAGAGACATCGAAGGAATGAACTGACATAATATTAGCTGGGAGAACAGAAGACATTCGATATTCAAGCTTACTGAAAGAACTGAATCCACCAAATATGATCACCAAAATGCAAACTGATATTCCATCTGCAAGTTCTATTAGCCTCCACTGGGAATCGCCGAGATGAGTGAACTTACAGTAGGAAAGGTAAGGCTGGAATGGTGCTCTATAAGGCAGAGTCTTGCGGTCAATGCCCTGGGCTTTGAGGCCCTTATGCCATTGAATACTTGTCCAAAGAATGCCTGTCCACGATATCATGCCACACATTGCTGTCATGTTTGAAACTGAAGGAGTGTTAGTTGAACAATAATTTTATGGGGACTCCTTTTCAGCAATCGAAGAAGAAATTATAAAAATAATGAACACTTACAGTATCCAAAAACGGTTCCCGCCTCGCCGTCAGCAGCGGCCATAAAGGAAAGCAGAGCGAATACTCCACTGAAAACGAAGCAGACCCAAGGAAAGCCATCCTTTCGAGTCTTGAGAAATATCTTTGGTGCGTGGCCTCGTGTAGCCAGTCCGTACAGAGTACGTGTAGAGACAAACAAATCAGCTATGCCTGCAGACCATGCGCTGGTGAGGAGAGCGGCATTGATGATAGATGGCAATACGGATATTCCAGCATTCTGTTCTCTTTTGTCAAAAAGCCGACCGGAGTCAATATTCGAAATTTATTAGCTTACCTCGATAGCGATAACGAAAGGACTTTTTGCCGCCGTAGAAGAAAGGTTCAGAGATGGATCGGACGGAGAGACAAGGATGCCAATCAGAAAGGCGCTGCAGACATAAACTATTGTGACTCGTATTAGCGACTATCAGAAAGAAGACAATTGAGAAGTTCAAACTCACATAAAATCAATCTGATCCAAACACTCTTGATTGCCCTTGGCACGTTTTTTTGAGGCTATGGAGTGTCAGATGAAAAGTCGCATGTAAACCCGAGAGGTTATTGAACCTACATCAGCAGTCTCTGCAGCCGCAATTGCAGTAATTTCGGAGCCGATGAAGGCAAAGGCAGCATTGATAAGTACTAGATGCAAAGAAAGGTTAGAGACGGTGCGCAGAAATAACATAGGGACAACATACCACTGAAGAATCCAAGAAAGCGGCCCTTAGCACCACCTGTGGAAGACGGTTAGATGAATTCAAATCATGCCCAATTTTAAGCACAGATCTTACCGATCCCTTCATATTGAACAAAACCGCCAGTATCTCTCCAGAATTTGAATCCAATTGCTTCATGGTCAGGTCCACCTCCAGCACTGATTACGATTCCCACAATAATCAGTCCTATGATAGTTACGACCTGGAAATTATCAAGTTAGTCAGAAACCGGAGAGTTTAAATCAAAGCAGGCTCTCAATTAAAAGAGAAGATGTATGGGACTTGCCTTGATGGAGCAAAAGTAAAACTCCATTTCACCAAAAACACGCGTGCCAGCATAGTTGACAAGGTACTAGCCATCTGAGGTTAGAAATTTGGCTTTCCGATCAAGCGATTCATCGTAAACATACCACAATTATCAACATCAATCCAACCCACATCGCATTATTACATATGCCAGTCGTGCATGTAGAATCTGTCTGTCCTGCTGGTGTCCAGTAGGTAATGAGGACGGCAGCCGCTGATATTTCCGCTGGTAGAACGACTTTGAAGGTTCAGTATGATCATCCTAGAGTTTGTGGTATGCGGTCTTACCAATATAACTATATATAAGTTAGGACATGATTCGAATGTTCCCAGATACATAGGAAGGTAATAAAACTCACTTGAACCAGAATAGTATACCCATTGCAAAGCCCAGCTCCGGAGAGTTGAATCGTCCAGCAAGAGCGAATTGACCACCGGGAATAGGGAATTGCGAGGCCATCTCACCCAAAGATACCTAAACAACATAAGAGATTGAAGGGACTTGGGATTATGTAGCTTGAACTCACCATCACCGAGTAGAGAAGTGAGGCCATGATGCAGTATCCAAGAAGTAGTCCGGCGGGTCCTCCATCCTCCAGCTCAGTACCAGTACCCAGAAAAAGACCTGTACCAATAACACCTCCAATAGCGATCATTTGGCTGTTGAAACATAGTGAGCAGACTGCAAAGTCCTATAAGAAGTATTCATGTCTTACAGGTGACGTGGCTGGCGAAGAGTTAGTCACAGCTCTATCTTGGAATTCTTTTCACTATACCTTGAGCTGTCGTTGAAGTGCATGATTGCTATGGCTATTTTCAATTGCTCCAACGCCAACTGGTACTTCGTTGGCATCGTGAGCCAGCTCTTTCTTCTCCTAGAGAGCAGATTAGTATTGCTTCATTGCTTCATGTATGCAGACTACCCAAACATACATCCTGAAACATCTTGGTTGAGTGATTCAACTTGAAGTTCGACAAGGACTGATTTCTCACAAGTGAGAATCGCAGCGCCTTTTAGATCATCTCTCACTCTGAGTCTCTTGAGATAACCATACTCATCCATGTTATCTCGCTCCACAGTCCAGATAAGGCTGTTGTTGATAATTGCGCGGCCCCATCGGTACTTTCCCGCGACTCTTATCACAGTGCGGGCGGGCACCGACATCGCCGAAGGATAAGAAAAGGCGTCTGCTATGAACGTTCAGAATAGCAAACTTAATTTGATTGATTTGAGACTGAAAGAAATATTATCTCCTGAATCTCTTCATTACCCATTTCAGTGCACTCATCACCATTATGGCGAATTCCAATTCTAGACGGGCTTTGCTACCTGGTGTCTACGCACCACTTCCTACCTTTTTCGATGAGAATCAAGAGATCGATTATGAGACGTACAAAGCCCACTTGCTAAGTATGACATCTACAAATTTTCAAAGTTTGGGATTCCAGTTTTTGAATTTTTTCTAATCTTTTCCAGATTTAACTTTGAAGGGGATGGGTGAGTGATTCATCGATTGATTCCAAAGAGCGCGCAGCTTATCAATTCAATATACTAGTGCCCGTGTGCGCAGGCTCTCTTGGTGAAGCTGTCCATTTGGTAGGCGATAGTAAATGAACGATCGAACAATGTTCAAACTAACAATCCCAAGAGCTTCGAAGAAAGGACCTCTCTTATCCGATTTATCAGAGCCACCATGGATGAAGCAGGTCTCAATGCCACTCCAATCGTCGCCGGAGTAGGAGGCTTGAGCACAAGAGAGACTATCCAGTTAGCCCAAGCGGCCGCAGAGGCAGGCGCGTAAGTATAAGCACCAAATGTTTGACCTCGCACCTTTCCAAGCCTGATTTTAACAGTCAATAGAGACGCGGGGATGGTAATTCTTCCTGCTTATTATGCAGCAAGTCTTAATACAGACCCGGAACAAGTGGTTCAATATTATATCGACATTTGTGCAGGGTCACCCGTATGTCAGAATCAAGATTTTTGAATGATATGAAATAAACTAAAACTATCTAGATTCCCCTCCTCCTCTACAATTTCCCTGCAAATGCAGGTGGTCAAGACATGTCTTCTGAAGTCATCAGCACAATTATCAAAAAGGCGCCAAATTTGTGCGGTGTCAAGTTAACGTATGCAGTGCCCAGTCTCTATCATCAAATTCTATGATTTACTGACCATATCCATTATAGATGTGGCGGAAGTATTGGAAAGCTCGTTCGTCTCAATGCGTTATTATCCGAGGATCCTATGATCAACAGCAGCAGAAACTTTCCATTCCTCCTACTTGATGGCTTGATCGCCGATCTTACCCCTTGGATGCAATGTGGTGGCCATGGAACCGTGAGCGGCATACCCAACTTTGCTCCGCGAGCTTCTATGAGACTCTGGAATTTATTGAATTTAAAATCGCCCACATCAGAAGAGCTACAGGAAGCTACAAGGATCCAGGCTATTTTGTCTAGAGCCGATGCCTCTGCCGTTCCAGGTGGAATTCGTGCAATGAGTGAGTCTATCTACAAAATGATATTGTCTTTTTTGACTAATTACGTGTAGAATACGTATTGAACAAGATGCATGGATATGGAATCGCTCCACGGAAGCCCCTTCTCCCTCTGAACGAAAGCGAAGGGGAGAAATTCATGGAGGTGCTGAAGGAGATGCTTGAACTAGAAAATGAATTTATGGAAGATTGAGAATTTCTACCTTGTAAATTCAAATCCTATTTCACTTTGTGCATTGATTATGAATCTGGATTTTTTTTCTTTGAATGTCTTTGTTATAATAAAGTCAGTATTAGAGCATAAATTTCTATAGATAGGGTCGATATTAGTGATTTTGAGAGTTTATCAATCCCGACTTGATCTGGTATAATAAAATCACTTAAAAATCACACATGTGCAATCGATTAGCGGCTTCTACATAAAATTAAATTGAAGACACGATAGAACCTTGGAAGCATAAGATCCTAATAATCATGTCATTTCTATGTTTATCACGAGATCACTTTCCTGATTAGGTACATTTCAGATGGAGAAACAATAGTCCGATATAAGGCCCCATACTGACTCTCCTCTCTTCCGATGATGACACAAGGTACTCGGGGAATAACAGAACTCCGCCATTGATTCGTAGAGCAATGGGTCGAAATATTCGACCCGGGCCAAGTCGCCCAAAAGCATGGTGGCTCTCTATCAGCATCTTCATGATCGCATTACTCACTTTCGGGACCATAATCACTTATTCCAACAGATGGCCCGAGTCACCCATAAGGCATCTCTTTGACGACGCGCCTAGCCCCTCACATTCTTCTGGTAAAGGCTGCTCATTAAACCATGGACCTGCCCCAACTGGATCCAGCTACGCGTCTGGCTTTGATATGACCAAAAGTTGGGCCCAACTCACACCTTACAAAGATGCCGACTGGGGCGTTCCCAAGGGTGTCCCGCATGGGGGAAAGTGCGAGCTATCTCAGGTTCATATTTTACATCGCCATGCGCAGCGATACCCCACAATCTCACCTCTTGACTCTCCGAATGTTCAATCATTTATTGCCAAGCTTAATGAGAGCAGCGGAGCGACCGGTCCACTTGAGTTTCTCAATACCTGGGAGTATGTCCTCGGCATGGATGAACTGATGAGGACGGGTGCTTCTACTGAAGCTGCCTCTGGCGCCAACTTTTGGCTCCAGTATGGAAGGCTCTTGTACCGTGCAACGCCTGAAAATGTGGTCGCTTGGGATCCAGCTTTGAATGTTTATCCCAACGGCACGACTCGCCCGAAACCTGTCTATCGCACTACGGGTCAATCCCGTATTCTGGAAAGCGCGCGATGGTGGCTAAGTGGGTGCTGAATACCATTTGATATGGGGAAACGAACTAACCCTGATTCATAGGTGGCTTTTTTGGTGACCGAGGTGCTCATGCCTCATATGATCAATATGATTTGGTGATTCTGCCTGAGGAGATTTTATTCAACAATACCCTAGCGTCCTACTATTCATGTCCAGGCTCACCAGGAGACCAGACTGCCGGTGATGAGGCTGCCCGGGTCTTTATCTCTCGCTATCTCAAGGAAGCCCGCTCTCGCTTAGCTCCATATCTTCCATCGGATTTCAACTTGACTACCCTTGATGTTCTCGCCATGCAAACCATCTGCGCTTATGAGTACACTAGCTTGGCTGGCTCCAGCTTCTGTGGTCTTTTCACTGAGGACGAGTGGAAAGGCTTCGCGTACAATCTCGACCTCCAATACTACGGGAACTACGGTTTCCCTTCCCCTGTGGGCCGTGCTCAGGGTATCGGTTACGTGCTAGAGCTCGCTGCCCGCTTGGAGCAAGAGCTAATCACATCGAGTGATACAAGCGTTAACTACACATACGACAATAACATCGCTCAATTCCCACTAGGCCAGCCTTTCTACATGGACATGTCCCATGACTCTATCATTATTTCTGTGATGGCTGCGTTGAATTTGGACTACTTCAAGTATCCAAGCTCTACAGGAATGCCCGGCAATGTTGACCACCCTCAGAACAGGACATTCGAAATTAGCAATGTTACTCCCTTTGGTGCTCGCTTGATTACTGAGCTCTGGACTTGCCCGGACGATGTCACCTTTGACTCTCTGGATCCTGTTCTTTACACAAATCCAAACTTGGAATCTACCGAGAATACCACAAAGTACATCCGCTTCATGTTGAATGGTGCACCGCTACCCATGACTGGGGTTCTTGGTTGCGAGAATGCTACCAACGGATTCTGCCCACTCGAGAAGTTCTTGAGTGGTGTTCCTGAACTGAAAGAAAAAGCAAACTACCAGGATGCCTGTTATTCCTACTGGCGTAATCATACATATGGCGGGGGTGGTGGCCTTGAAATTCCTGTTGATGCTTTCACTCTAAGGTAGAGATCATGCATTCTTTCTCCCGGTGACTATTTCGGACATAGCAAAGATCGTCTACTTAAAGCATATTGTCTTTTCTCCACTTTGTTCTCTTATTTTCTTAATCTCGTGTCTAACATCGTTTTTATTTGCATTTTATTGGGTCCTTAAGCCCGGCCATAATTTAATCCTCGCTATTAATGGTTGGTCATCCTCAGTAGTTGAGTTTCTACATTGACATGGATACACCCTCCTTTACCTACATGCGAAATCAAATTCGCCAAGCCATTATCCGTAATACTCATCTGAATCTGAGTTTCTAGGAAAACACGCAAACAATCGTCATGCATAACCATGTTACGAAGGGGTGGCCTTGAATTCTTTCTCATCCCCGTATTTCAATCTTTCAAAACCCCTCAAATCTTCCATCTCACAATTCCCCAATCTACCACTGACTCTAAACATGGCACCAACAATCCTCTTTGTCCCAGGTAGTTGGGAAGGCCCAAAACCATTCGAACCGATTTCTGCCCTGCTTGCGACGCAAGGATTCATTGCTGAAACTGCTGTGATCCCTAGTACGGGAACCGTCTCACCCGGAAACCCGAACTACAAGGATGATGTACGCGCTGTTCGCGGACATATCCAAAATATAATCTCTCGTGATGAAGATGTCTTTCTTGTTCTTCATTCTGCGGGTGGATTTACTGGTAGTGAGGCGATGGAAGGACTAAGCAAAAAGGAGCTTGTGGCGCAAGGGTCCAAGAGTGGGGTTATAGGAATTCTGTTTATTGCGGGGGCGGTTTTCCCTGTTGGGCATCATCATGCACCTTTACCCTTCGGTCGATATGAGGTGAGATTCTTTTTCTTTCCATCCCATCTTTTTTTACTTTTATTTTGATCTAACTGCTATTTTTTAGGGTGGTGCTATGTACTGCGCTGATCCACCAGCAATGCTCTTTAATGATTTCACAGAAGAGGAAATGAATAAGTGGCTTCCTGGAGTCAGTACACAACCTGCTGATGGCTGGGATAGTGTCATTTCTTATACAGGCTGGGAAGATGTTCCGAGTGTTTATTTGATTTGTGAGAAGGATGGAATTGTACCAGTTCCGGCGCAAGAACAGTTGGCGGCGTTGTCCAAGAGTCGCATTGAACGGTGCAGTGCGGGTCATATGGCGCAGCTGAGTCAACCTGAGCGAGTGATTGAGGTGATTCGAGCGACTATTGATTCACTTTGAGCTCAATATCAGGTAAAATTCAAACCTGATGTCTGACGATAGCACTATTGGCTTAGATTTAGGATGACAATAATATGATGTTCCCACAATCCTAGAAACTTGAATCAATTGGATAATGACCTTGAAATTACTGGTATCTCATAGTCATATATGGGTTCGTAACATCAGATCCTCTCCCCCGAACCCAAACATCCACAATCTGCGAAGCATCAGGATCAAGATCCGAATCCACAATAAAGTACCACCCATAAAAGGCACCAGTGACGCAAGCATGATTCGGAAAGACCTTCACGAACTGTCCAATCTTCAAGGGAATACTCTCCTGTCCTGCCAGTGGAGATCCCCAAGCCACAATACCATGTTCCTGGCTAATCCGACTAACAATCAATCTCGATTTCTCAACCTCTTTTCCCAACCCCCACGAAGAAAGTACACCCCATCCAGGGTAGCTCTCACAAGGTTCCCTCGCCAATGCCAAAGTCCCCGCAGCAATAAGAGCTTCAGCCTTCTCTCGTTCTCCATCATTGTAAACACTGCACACCTCCGCAAAAACTGAAAGAGCAATCTCATCCTCTAATCTCCCATCTCCTTCCCGCGCGTGTGTAGAGACTTGCTGCATATCCAAAACGGGATAATTGCCCGCATGGAACTCAATATTCACCTTCGAACTCGGATCCTTGAATTCCCGGAGCAGGTCCTTCAATTCCTTCGCTTCAGGAGATTTGTGACACGGATTCGGGGCAAAACCTGCATTCATTTCCTCATTTTTAGTTGGAGCAAGGTTATAAGAAGATGTAACCTGTGGTGTTGCACCAACACTAATCACCAACTTCCGATCTTGAGGTAAAAGATGCGTCCATCGCTGTAACGCATCCTTACATCCCTGAATCTCAGTAACGAGGTAACTCATTGCTTCTTGCGCTGTTTTCGCACTGTAGCTAAGACTACTATGCGAGTAGAGTCCTAGCAAAGAAACAAAGCCTTTCTTCTCTGCGTCGGCGAGTCGTTCAAGTAACCCGTTTTTGTTTAGTGAAACTGGTGGTAAACCGGCACGGTGATAACCGGTATCGACTTTCAAGAAGACACCAATTGGGAAATCGGTTATCTCGAAAAATTTCTCAAGATAGGGAATCTGGTCTGGGTGGTCGATCATTACGGAGATGCTGTTCTTGCCGAGGATTTTTGCAATCTCCGCGAGACGGACCACTTTCGAGGGGATCAATGGGATCCCATAGAGAACGTTGAAGAATCTAGATGTTTTGATGCGCTGGAGAAGTGGGACTAGAGTTTCGATTTCTAAGATTGTCGAGGCGATGAAGTTTGCTTCACTGGAGACTAGGTCCATTTGCATTTCTGAGAGTTCGAGTGTCTATTATTGAATTAGTACTATATTCCCGCCTGTCTGCTTTCTCATATATTTTGAGCAGAAAAGGGGTACTTACCTTGTGAGTCTTCACATGAGCGCGGAATTTTACACCCAATTCTAGGACTGTGCGCTTCATTCGCTCGCAGTGTCGCCGAATAATGGCTTGATCAAGCACCGCAGCGGGCTTCGGGACATCGTCATCGCTGAGGTGTTTCCCTATGTAAAAGATGGCGAGCTCATCTGGGGCTGGGTACGAGGAAGTCATGATATTTCAAGTTTCCGATTCGGAATTGAATCAGTGCCAATTGATAATGTTTCAAGACTTAAATGTGATTCATGTTGGACAGCGGGGAATTGTATCGTTCCCGCGCTCTCGATATGGTATGTGGGGCGGGATGATAGCCTGAAGGATTTGCCGAGTAAGATATGGTATTTCGATAAGAGATATTAGTAAATTGATTGGGGTACATAGTATGCAATCTTGGAAATAAATTGAACAGCACTTGATTTTCGTGGTGATTTTCGTGGTTATAGTTTCAATCAATGTTGATTTCAGTCCTCAAACTATCAAGATGGCGGTCCGCGCTCTGAGCGCGCGCTCATAACTCGGACTCAAAGCTATGAATTACTAGTAAAACTACAGGTGCCACCTACCAGTGCACACTGACGGTCATTATTCGGTATTAATGTGGTCTATCAGAACTACGACTTTAGATGTTCATCTAGAATGTCAAGTGATCAAGTGGTATCAAATGATTGCCAAAATGAAATAAAAACAGAAGAAATAACTTGAGTAGACAGCCGCCTAGTAGTCCTGTGCGCCGAAAGTCTCAGCGGAATCCCATGCCCTGAGAATGCAAATGGAATCATGCAAGAGAAGAGAAGTATCTATGGACGAATTCCACGCTGCGCCGCACCCCATAACCACAAAGCAAAGAAGCAAAGTCATAGTTGGAGACAAACGAGAGAAAAGGATTAAACGACGTAACCGAGATAAGAAAAACAAGAAGTGGAATTCGCGAGGTCAGGTATATTGGAACATAAAAGATAGAAACACCAACGCCGCCCATACGTATGCGCTTTTTTTTATTTTGAATGCATGAGAAAAGTGAGGTTAGAACCTTGAAGGACTCATGCTCGATCGAGAGCGTTGTGATAGAGATCTTCGGCCTCGACTGGACGGCGCTCGTTCTGATGTGGGAGGAGCGTGTTCAAAGAAGGGAATCAGGTCGGGATTTTGACTAGGTGGTGTCTTGGAGTTGTGGGAGTATTCACCAACGACGCGGTCATCAGCTGCAGTATCGGGATGAATCTCAATACCCTGCTGTTGGTCTAATCCGCCATGAGACCCCACTGCCGGGAATCTCATCGAGTCTGCCTCGTCGTGACCACGCTCAATGGGAGACCAGCCAGCGATACTGCCAGCCACGATACCAGCCATAGCAGCAGCTGGTCCAAATGTTGAGTTGGACCGGGAGCGGGTGCCTCGTCGCGAGCGAGATTCTGGGGTAGTTGGTTGAGGAGGGGGGGCTTCCATTGTCACCATTGGGTGTAGGTGGAACAGAGGAATCCCGAGATCGGGATCCACTGCGAGATCGAGGAAGGAATTCTTGCGGGTGCTGGAGCTTGTGTCGGATGTGTCGCAGGCGACCACCACGTACAGTCTTGATGAAAGCGAGTTGGTCCCTGATCTCCTCCAGCGCCGGGTTCCATTCATAGCGGCGATCCTCATCTGACACAACAAGCTCTGGTCCAGGGGACTTCTTGCGATGCCAGAAATGAGGAACAAGCCTGCTGAAGAACTCATCGGGGACGAGGCGGATAACGACTGCAATAGGCAGGGAAAGCGCACCGAGAACCAGGCTGACTGCCCACTGGCTACCCTGATCAAGGCGTGTCACTGAGAAGGCTTGGCCACCAACGAAAACAATCAAGACTTGGCCTCCAATGATGATAATTTGAATACCAATGAACCACTTGTTGCGCCAAATTCCTTCCATGATGTTGAGTTTGTTGTCAATGCGGCGAGAGTTGTACTGATTGAAGATCTGCATGAACACAAATGTGTTGAAGACCACAGTTTTCAGTACATCTTCATCCCAGGAGAAAATGGATCCACCAGCAAAGTTCAACACAAATGTAACCACTAATTGGTAGATCGCTTGTCCGATGATCATCTTCCACATGGTCACCGTGATGAGCGGGCTTGCCTTGGATTCGGGACGACGGTCGAGGACGTAGGGTGATGGAGGATCGGTTGCAAGAGCGAGAGCGGCGAATGTGTCCATGATAAGGTTAACCCACAACAATTGAACTGCACTGAGGACTGAGTTCTCCTCATCGCTAGCGACGGCAGAGACGAATGTGAGGATAACAGCGGTAATGTTGACGGTAATTTGGAACTAGATTGAATAAATTAGCTGTTGGTCATTATGAGGACTAATTCGGGCATACTAACCTGAAGGAACTTCTTGACCGCATCACTGACGGTACGACCCCAAGCCATAGCCTTGACAATAGAGGCAAAGTTATCATCCATCAAAATGATATCTGACGCCTCCTTAGCAACTTCAGTACCAGTAACACCCATAGCAAAGCCAACATCAGCATTCTTGAGAGCTTGAGCATCATTAGTACCATCACCAGTGACGGCAACCGTCTCGCCCAGCTTCTTAAGTTGATTGACAAGGATCTTCTTATCCTCGGGACTAGATCGCGCAATGACCTGCAATCGAGGAATAATCTGGTTCATTTGCTTTGAGCTCAGTTTCCGAAATTTAGGTCCTTCAATCGCAATTCCACCTGGCGTGTAGATACCACACTCCTGGGCAATAGCCTTGGCAGTATTGATGTTATCACCAGTGACCATACGCACAAAGACACCGGCACGCTGACAAGTGTGCACTGCCTCCGCGACACCCGCTCGGAGAGGATCCTGGATACCGAACAAGCCGAAGAGAGACATGTCCTTGAAAACAGACTCAAAAACGGCCATATTGCGATCAGTTTCCTGGGTCTCAGCTCCACGAGGAGGCCACTGCTCAAAATCCCGGTAGACCAGAGCAATACAACGCAGGGAACGAGAGGTGTAGTTGTCCATTATTGTGTCCAGGGTTTTCCGGTTCTCCGTAGTAATAGGAACTTCCGAGAGCTCAGCAGTGGGATCGCGAATGATCCGCGTGGATTTGTCCATCAAAATTTCAGCGGCACCCTTAACATACATTCGATACTTGCCGTTTTCCAGCTGGGCGATAACTGCCATGCACTTACGGCCCGAATCAAAGGGAAACATCTGGGCGATCTTCGCATTGGCTCGACCCTCGGCTGGGGGTCCCATGCCAAGATAGTCACGGGCAAAAGACAGAAGCGCGGTATCGGTCTTAGATCCGATAAAGGTTTTGACGCCATCCTGCTCTCCTTCGAAGGCAGTCGAGTTCAAGACAATTGACTTGAGTAAGAGATCCTTCACAGATTCTGAGAGTGGCGAAACAAACTCCGCGGCAGAGACATCCCCAGCCTGCTCAGAGGAACCTTTGTCCCCAAACCGGGAGGTAGTACCAAGAGTAGCAGCAACCGCAGTCATTTTGTTTTCGGTGAGAGTTCCAGTCTTGTCGGAGCAAATAGTCGTCGCATTACCCATAGTTTCACAAGCCTTGAGGAAACGAACCAGGTTATTGTCCTTGATCATTCTTGTTGTAGCAAAGGCGAGAGCGAGAGTGACCGCCAGCGGTAAACCCTCAGGAACTGCAACAACAACAATAGTAACAGCAACGATAAAAATCTGCAAGAAATCCTGTCCCTTCACATCGGCACCGCCATCGATACTCTTCAATCGAACGAGGAACTTAATGAAAAGTACCACGAATAAAAGCAAGCCGGAGGCGAGACCCAATTTGGCGATGTACTCGGCCAACTTGTTGAGCTTGGTTTGCAATGGTGTTGTTTCGCCTTCTTCCTGCAGAGTCATCATGGTCCGACCGTGGGTCGCATTAACACCGGTTGCAGTGACAAGGAATGTGCCTACACCCTCAGAGACCTTGGCTCCAGAGATGATGAAAGGGTCCATTTTCTTCAGATCTTCGTGATTCTCGATGGTCCGGTAAACTTCGTCTCCCGGGGTCTTTCGCAAGATATCCGATTCACCAGTCGCTGAGGATTCATCGCACTTGACATCGTGACCTTCAATCAGAATACCATCTACGGGGACCATATCACCTGGCTCCAGATGCATGACTTCTCCCACCGCGATATCATGGATGGAGATTTCGACGGTCTTGCCAGAGCGAACCACTTTAACTAGTCTGTTTTCCTTTTTCTTGTTGAGTTTGGCGAATTGTCGTTCTTTCTGCCAGTCATTGGCCGCACCAACAACCACCACAATAATGATAGCTATCAGAATTGCCAGACCTTCCACCCATTCCACACCGGGTTCCCCATCTGTAGGATGAAGAGATTGCGGAATACCAACAGCCAGAGAGATAATAGCAGCAATTGTCAACAGGATCAGCACTTTGTCGTTGTATGCAATCCACGCCAACTCCCAAATGGTCTTCAATTTCCGCTCTGGCAGCTTATTGGTCCCATATACCCGTCTCCGATCCGAAAATGACTGGTCAGATTCATCTGAGACTGCAGCTGCATCAAGCGGTGAAAGTGACGGAGAAGTCGCCTTAGGCGAGGGACTTGTCGCAGTCGCCTCTTCAAAGCTCACAGCCCCATCCAATGTGGTCTCATCCGCGCTCAGGCCACTCCGCACATCAGTGCGCAGCCCCTTTTCCAATCCACGCATTCCACCCAAAGCACGAAAAGCAGCGAAACTCTTAGGATTGAGTAGTTTATTCAGCTGGCCAGGAGAAAATGCAAAGATATTATTTTCCACCTCGAACTCAGATTCTCGACCAGGATCCGGGGTCAGCGCGTCCTTGTCGTCCAGGTTGTGATTCTTGTTTGTAAGATCCGATTGCGAGCCATGGGAGGCCGTGGCCACGTAGGTTTCACCACCATAAGTGCTTAAGGATTGACTTGTATCTTCCGATTCCAACGAGTTGCCACGAGAGCGAGTTCCGGGTACTGAGAGGAAATTTGAGTGAGTTTCCGGTAGCTTGGCCTTGGGCGATGAGATATTATGAGGCGATGTTGGCCGGTCTTCTCGTTCGCGATCTCGGGCTTCCGATGAAGCATTGGAACGAATGGACGCGCTATAGCGCACATCGGTTGGCGAAGCATTGCTGGCACTACTGACCAATGCATTTGTATCTGACTCGACGGTATCCGTAGAAATGCGAAGTGACGGCTGCGGAGGCGTTGAGAGAACCTGGATCGGTGGTTGACTGGCATCGGGGGAGTTCATGGCCGAGGTATCGATAGTAATTGTAGGCGCTCTTTCTCTTCGCAGGGGTGCCGCGCCCTGATTGAGCTCATTGCCCTGTTGATTTGATTCGGACATGATTCCTCAAAGCTATGGCCGATTCACCGGGGCGACATTCAATTTCTTCACGTTTATCTTTGCATGGGTCCAAAAAGATCCGGGGTTGCAACTTGCGATGCGCTCTTTGAGTTTCTTATCCCTTCAAGAATCCACTGAAGCTGAAAGATCCCACAACTCGGAATCTAATCAGAATCCATGAGCTCGTATTAAAACAAGATAAAATTCTGGGGGACGACAAGAAGAGATTAAGTTGCAAAGTGGAAAGGAGTCCCCCGAAAACAGACCCCCAAAAGCCCCTTTCAGATCCACTTAAGTCTCGACGCCAATAATTGATTTGTTTTTTTCCCTTGTACGGAGTGTACGGAGTTGTATGGAGTACCGTACGTGTACCCGCAGTAAAGATCCACTTGGTTAACACAGCCCCAAGTTAGTATGATCACTCGATTGATTATCTTTTTTAGATAGCAGTAGATTCTCTATTTTGTTGGGATAAAAAGATAATAGATTATGAAAAAAAAATGAAGAAGATGATTTCTAAGTTATCATAAAAACGGAATACCGGCGGGGGGCAGATTCAAAACGTTGACATTCTCTTGCACTGCCTCATTATGGATCCCGTAAGAGGCGAATAGGGGCCCAGATTAAACCATTCTGGGTACAAAGACGGAGTAGTGACGTTTCTAATCGGGATGAGTTCTCCACTGTCTAGATACCCAAGTGAGCTTAAATGGCCTTGATACAGCTTTGTAGTTATCATGAGTTATAACCTATACTCTGTATTTCACTGAATACTCCCGACTTCATGCATGTAATAAGATAACCCTAGAGAGCATATTGCCCTAGCAACCTGACTCTATACCACTACTACACCTGGCAGTATGTACTTCAGGGCTCCGTACTATGTACCATATATCGGCAGTGCAACCAGCACTGCCAGCGAATGAAGCTTCATAGTAACACCATCAATACCAATGATGATAATTGTGCAACATAGATATGAATAGAATAACCTCAAGAAGGGGAATTTCCCGATTTCATATATATCTGTAAAATGGTGATATTAGGTAGTATGCCTCTGAGACAGTCATGAGTAGTGCTTAGTATAGCATCCTAAAATCTCACTTATGACTCCCACCTGGACAGTAACCTTAGAACCTGAAATTACCCTTCTCAAAACTCCAACATCTAGAAACTTGAACTTCAACGTCAACTTCAACCTCACTGAAAATGTCCAGCCCAATTACCATTTATGGCCTCACCGCCGTCCCCGCCTCCGCCACTGTTCTCCTCACAGAGACACCAGCATACCCACGCCTCCACGCCCACCCGGATCCAATCCCCATCACCGAAACCCCAATCCCCACTACGGCTCTTGCCCAACGCATCAACACCTATGCGCAAACCCACCTCCCCGAGGAAACCTACAATCACTGTCTCCGCGTTTACCATTACGGCCTCGCAATCAAGAAACACCGATTCCCTTTCCCAGACTGGGCCTTTACTGATGAAAGTTACTTCCTCGCCTGTCTCCTCCATGACATTGGAACCACCGAGACAAACCTCCACGCCACACGGCTGAGCTTTGAGTTCTTTGGTGGGATTCTCGCTTTGCGGGTACTACAGCAATCTCAGACCATTGATGACGATAGTGATAGTGGTAATGGTAGTGGGTCGGCGGCGATTGCACCACAAGAACAAGCCGAGAGTGTGGCGGAGGCGATAATTCGGCATCAGGATTTATGTCAAGTTGGCAAGATTTCCGCTCTCGGTCAACTTTTACAATTGGCGACAATCTTTGGTACGTATTAAGTTCATTTTCATTTTCATTATACTCCGTACACTCCGTCTATCGTCAGTATCCCCCGTTGCCATTGAGATACGATGGATCCTATCTCCACTTCGTTCTACTTGATGTACCCTAGAAGCTTGGCTTGACAGAAAAGAGCAGCACTGCCACTCTTAGTCCACCCGCTTCTCCTTGTCTTCCTTGGCTTCTTCCTCATTGGCACATTCAAGCGGCTAGCTACACCCGAGTAGTTAGCCGATGCGATAGATGCATTGTCCGTGTGCATCACTAGTTCAAGTTCCACCATACGGATACGATGGGAGTACAAACAATATTCCGTGGTCCAGAGTATATGACCTTTTGAGGAAATCAATGTGGACATCAGAACGGGTGATGCGTCATGCAATTGACTCCATTTAACTTTTTTTTTTTCCTTTTCTCCAGTTTTTAAAATTTTCCCCTGTCACATTGAATCATCATACATGTATTCAGTACAAACAGGCATACGGAGTACTAATTTTTTCTCTTAGATAATACCGGTTCTTATGCTGATCTCGTTCACCCGGATACTATCAAGGACGTGTGTGCGCATTTCCCGCGCCACCACTGGAGCGGGTGCTTCGCCGCGACGATCCGTCGGGAGAACGGCTTGAAGCCGTGGGCACATACTACAGCTTTGGGTGAAGAGGCTTTCCCAGCCAAGGTCTTGGGAAATACCTTGATGGAGCCGTATGAGTGATTTGTTTAGTAGTACTTCTGCAGTTGATAGGACACTTTGCGGCAGGAGTGTAGGTTTGGGTGAAATTGCGGGATTTGAGACCAGTCTACCCCGTATGAGTGAGATGAGATGAGATATCAATAATGTGATGAGATTTTTTTTTAATTGGACGCGTGGCTATTAGTATAATTCTAGTTATGCATCAATGCCGTCTATCCACTGGCACATGTCATGGACCTATCTACCTGAAGCCCACTGGCAGATGTTTACTTATACCCATTCTTTGTTGAGTAAAAACTCGAATTGAATATGGATCTATCATCTACCCCGTAGATCTGAATCACTTGACCCTGCAATCCTGCACATGCTAGATTGACGTGGCATGGCATTACCTCAGGCCTCAATGCCTAAGGTTTCTACCAATGAAAGCACATCTCCATCAGTACCCAAGATAAAACCCTGATGTGTAAAAGAATTGGAACAAATTCCAATGTTAAATATCACGAATTACAAGATTCAAGTCCGTAGGGTCCATGCATTTTATTGTTATTCCATATCGGATACACATATGATTCCTGCCCATCCAAATTCATGCCCAGGTATTCCCTTCTTGCCGGTTACTAATGTACACAGTACACATACACATTACAAGCCACGCAATCATTTGCGGGGCTCAAACACAGCCTCATCGTCCTCTGATCCACTGACTCGCCAGATACCCAGTGTCTGGCCATTCTCGTAAACACGGTCCTCTTTCGGGTCGGTGAGTACCATCGCTTTACTGGACAATGCCAAGGCATCCATCAACTCGCTCATGCGCTTCGCCTCAGTGAAGCTGCGAGTCAGATGAGGGATATTGGCAACCCAGATAGCCACAGTCATGCACTGAGTCAGGAGCAATGGCTTATCGAGAGAATGGCTGGCGTAGTAGAGAACGTTGTGGTAGTCCAGAATGAGATCGGGCAGATATGTCCGTCGAATGTATCCATAGTCCTTCTCTTCGTCAACTGTGATGGCGTTAGTAAAAATCCAATTATTGACACGTTTGATGCTAAAGGACCTACCATCGTCGACCTTGACAAGCCACTCCTCCACAATCAATCCTACAGTTGATTCGACCTCTTCTAGCAGACCGGTAAGTTTCTGAAGTGGATCTTCCTCAACCGCACCCGATGACTCCCGTCGACGTTTGGGCCTAGAGTTCGTTAGCGCCAAATGTTTCTCAATTCAGTGAGGCATAAACAAGGCATGTTAGTGCTTACTTAGAGATTTGATCGTAAACAATAGCAAACCGCTCCAAGGAATCGAATCCTGCTGCGAGCGTTTCAAGGTTGTACATCCGAGTAGCCTGCTGGTAGGCGGTCTCATGCGGGTCTTTGTTTGAAATGCTATTGCTGCCGGAATGACTGCGTCCGTGGAGGCTATTGCGTTTGGACTTGACTGGGCTGGTCGGAACGAATTCCTCCGCCAGACTTTCCTCATCCTCATCAGAGTAACCGAAGATATTCTTTCCAAAGGTCTCTTCTGAAATGGTTGCCAAATCCATCCGATGACTCAACTCGCGAGCAGCGGCAAGGTTTCCAGCGACTAATTCCATGTTAGTTGGCGATCAAATTTTAAGTGAACTAATGAATCGGGGGAAATACCAAAAAATTTGCGGTAAAGCCAAGCTCCAAGCTCGCTGATCTTAGACCATTTATCACCAGCGCTGCGCAGCCACTCCAGACTGCGAATCATCTTCTCATCTTCTTCAGAAATTGAGTTTCCAATCAAGTCCTTCCTAGGCGGCATCAGGACACGAGTACCGTCTGGTCGTCGCACAACTCGCGAGTATCCGCTGAGACCATTGGAATGTTCAATAGAAGAGACAGAAGCGCTAGTCCACGCCCATTGAGCGTCAAGAACAGCAGAGGCATCAATGCCATGTCTTGCCATGTGTTCAATCTGTAACTGTTTGTCTTGTGGGTCATCGATCTCAATCAAAATCTTCGAAAAAACATTGTGACACATCTCGGTAGGCAGAAGAGATGCATAGAGGGGAATGGTGTCAAACACCTTGCGCTCTTCTAGATAGGAGATGTATCCTGCCACAAGAATGGCCGCTTTCTCGGAGACCTGGGTCTCTGCAGAAGTATAGCCAAGCGATTGAACGATAAGGTAGACATGTGTAGCAACTGTCAGGGCCTTCGCGTCCTCTGCGGCGATTATGAATGTCTCCTCCACTGGAGACTCTTCTAGCTGCGGCACAATAGATCCAGTTCCAAAGTGCTTCAAGTTGACTTGAGAAACTGCTTCGGCGAAAACTGAGAAGTAAGAGTCGTAGCCCTTGCTGAGGATGGCGGCTTGCAGGTTGCGGAATGGGTTGCGTGCCTCTGCGCCGACCTGCTCGTTGCCTCTCAGGTAGTCGAAAAACTTCCGAATGTCGGCATATCCCGCTGGCTCTGGGGTGAATACAACAGGAGTGGTCGGAGAGTGGCTGAGCTTCCGGTGAAACTGCTTACAGAATCCCTGGTAACGCGAGAGCACAATGCGGTTGAAGTACACGTAAAGGAAGTCATCCCAGGAGCTGCATACCTGAGCTGCAGCCTCCGACTCTCCACAGAGCAGAGCATATACCGCTCGCTCAAAGGTAGATGCGCTAGGGTTGCGAGCCAAAGCAGCACAAGTGGTACGCCATGTGTCTTGGGAACTGCTATTCATCAAACGTGTCATTCCATTGTCGACGGGGGTTCGTGTGTTCGAGCTTTCATCGGTTTTGTCCACGCTGGAACCACAGAGACTGACAGCTCGCCAGCTATCAAGGTGTCCCGCGGCCCACTTCCGAATGGTAGTCCAGTTCTCTCCTTGTCTGATCATCTTCCAGCATTGCATCCACGTCGCGTTTTCGTAATATTCATCTTGAGGCTGAAGCACCCGTTTCTGTCGAGTAACACTGTCCGGGTCCATCTGTGTCACCAATTGCTTCCCGTCCATCCTCAACAATGAACGCACGGCAGCTGGATCATTTGGCTCCACTGGTTGAGGCCAAACACGTGCACGCTTGTGCATCTTGATGGACTCCTTAGTGTATAGCCATCCATGCGACCATAAGTCATTGCCTCGATCCGCCTGCGCCTCCATGTCCGTAATCAAAATATCCATTGCCCGGGACGTTCCTGACTTTGCCGTCTCTTCCAACCATCTCATTGCAATAACGCACTCTGTGGCATATTGATCGGCGCCAAGGAATTGCTCCCAGATTTCCCGATCGGAAGAATACCGGTGCAGGTTTTGAAATGCGGCCTGTTGTCCTTCCTGGAAACTGGCGCGACTAGCCGGATCGTCGATGCTGATGAGATTGAGGAGTAGGTTCCAGGTGTCAACCTCCAACTGCCACCGCAGCATTTCCTCCTCGAGTTTCGTTTCGCCGTCCTTGGTGGGCTTCTGATCCTTTCTTTGATGATCTGTAGTCAGATCCTCAACTGTTTCCTGGGCAAGGTCCCGGTATTTCTCAACCAAGCTGTAAGCCGCCTGGATGTTCTGGAACTCATCGGCAGTGTTCTTTCTCTTAAACTGATCCAGTCTCTCTGCGAAGTCCTGAATCTGACGCGTGACACGAGCGGCGGCATATTGAAGAGGGTGGAGGGCTTCTTGCGCGCCTTGCGCGGTGAAGAGTTGAGGAGATCCTAATTATTTATATCAGCTTCGAGTCCCATTGAAACCGACGAAGGAAATCTCATGTAAGCTTCTGATATACCTTGAGTACTGCTAGTCACTGCCATCAGGGATTTCAAGCTGGGCTCCAATACAGGGTAACCGGATCCAATGTCCGATCGATAATGATCGCCATTCGCATCGGTCATCTCTTCATCGGTGTATTGATCACCTTCCTCCTCATCGTAATCCTCACTCTCATCGTCTAAATTCTCTCCACTTTGCATGCTTTCGTCATCCATGAGTTCCTCGTCGTTCTCGTCGTCCTCGTCGATGTTGATAATTTCGGGTGCCTTAGGCGCAGGGGGAGGCTAAGGCAATCAGTTAGCTGAAAGGAACTAATCTGCAAAGTGAAACAAGATAGAAAGAAATGACGAACCTGCGACCGTAAGGTACGAGCTGATCTAGTGAGGGGAGCCATTATGATGATGAGAAGAGAGAACCCTGGAAAGAGAACATTTGAAGCCTTTGAATTGTTTGTTCCCGGGGCAAGGTCGCGTTCTCCCCAAAAGGGTTTAGCTCGGGCACGGGACCAATATATAAACTCGAATTTCAATTTTCTTTTCAATTTTCTTTTTCTTTTCTTCTTCATGTCTTATAGGCAGTCATTAGAGTCTCGGAACAGATTCATTCAATGTTTGTTCAGGTCCAAAGGGGCCTCTCAGCGTGCTCAAGATTGTCTTAGAACAATCTAGCAGTCCTTTTACTCTAGTCTGGTCCTTCTCGATGAGGATTTAGCTTGGAACGGGCTGTTACATGCCAATGCTATCTTAGTTTGTATATTGCAGAATTTTATACAAATTATTATCAATCACTTCTCTTTCTCCATCTTTGCAGCTTCGGCTCGTTGCTTCATCTTCAATCGCAATAGAGGTGCTTTCGGACAGCTTACTACCGATGCTTGATCCCCTTGTTCCTGATAGAAAGCATTGCAGCATTCGTAAAGGGCGTCGATCTGTGCCTGGCACTTTTCTTCTTTATAAGAATTCTTTGTCAAGCAATCTAGATTGACTTTTAGTATGTGTTCAATTTGATATAGCTTCTTTCTGGGGGGATCAAAGTTACTTTGAATGGCACACTAGCAGGAGATTCCAAGTTAGTCTCTGAAGTTGAGGTTTTCCTTGGTAGAGATTTGAATCTCATCCGGGCAACTGGCAACTGGGCAACTTACAGCGCGTGGATGGCATGGGGTATCGTGCGACAGGTCTTGCTTTAGATTTCCCTGAAGAAGCCCTAGTTCAAAGACAATTCTCTCCATAATTTCCCAAGATCAAACTTACCATCATAAATTGCTCTTTTTTCAATTTTTTCTTTGAAAACAACTTTCTCTTTTAAAGCAATCGTTTCAAGGAAGCTCATCGAAGGCGGCTTCCAACAGGGGACGCAAAATAGATTCTCCGCCTTTGTGGGGCGAGTGTTTTCTGCCGTTGATATCTCTCTTGCCTCTTCCCTCCTCTTTCATCTCTCCCCTCCAACCAACTTCATACTCTTTTTCTGCTCCGTTTAAAGGTAAGATCATCTTCAAATGCATCTTACTTGTACAAAAATCTGATTTCCTCCACATAGTATTCCCCCAACCTCTCAAATTTCTCTTTCCCTCGCCATCTCCCGAGTAAGCACCCCGCGCATCTTGGGATCCCTATCTTTGACACCATGGCAGAGTCACCTTCCACCCCCAAAATGTCCGAAGGGGAACAGGCCGCTGCTCCAGCCGAGCACCTTAACATCAAGGTGACTGACAACAACAACGAGGTCTTCTTCAAGATTAAGCGATCCACCCAGCTGAAGAAGCTCATGGACGCCTTCTGTGATCGCCAAGGAAAGCAGCAGGCCACAGTGCGGTTTCTCTTCGACGGCACTCGAGTCCGACCCGACGATACCCCAGAGACTGTAAGTTTTCCTTTCAAGAAGCCGAACTTCCTTTGTTGAGATAGTCTAACAAGTCGATCCTACATAGCTCGACATGGCCGACGGCGACACCCTGGAAGTTCACCAGGAACAGATCGGTGGTTAGGAGACCCTAGTAACTCCCATATCTCTCAATGGATCCACACTTGCAACTTTAGCATCTGTGACCGGCCGCATACACCAAAGAAAGCGAGATGGTGCGGTGGGAGGATTCGTCGCGGGATCATGAACTTTGCAATGCTGTCGTTTAACGAGTCAACGAATTTCACAAGAAGCGCCCAGTTCTGGGATGCTCTACATACTATTGGTCAAAATGTAAGAGTTTCAGGTCAAAGAAATATTCCGTATGAGTAAACCGAAACGCCGCCATTTTCCAGCAGCGTCTGTCCATTTGAATAGGGATCAAGCCAGTGTGGAACATCATGGATGTCCAGGTACTGTCAAGCCATATTGCAACTATTAAACCCTTAAAGCTCACACAACCAATGTCCACCAAGACTGGCTCTAGCGCCATGTAGCCCACATACCCAGTACTAGTATATACAGTAGACGTATGTATGAAACAAAGTCCCCCAAGCAAACACACAAATATAGCAAAAATCAACTGAGACAGAATCTCAAGAGTATCTAGTCTGTCCAGACAGACATCTTTAACTTCTCTTCCTCCTCCTTGGCCATCGCAGCCTGCTCGCGCTCCCGATTCCGCCTCTTAATTTCCTGCTCCTTTATCGCCCGATCATAAGCCCTCTCCTCCTCTGTACGCTTCGGCGCCCGAATACCCAGCGCACCGGCAATAAGTCGACTGGCGACTGCCGTCTGCTTCTCAGGTCGGCGCGCTGAACCAGATCCTGCAGGAGAAGCGGCTCTATCCCCTCCCCAAGTCTGAGAGGTCTGTGGGGAGATAGGTGTTGGTGGGGGATCCAGAGGGCCTTCCATACTCAAAGTTGGTGAAAGGAGGGAAGGCGACGCTAGGTCAGGCACAGCACTGGGCTCATCTCCCGAGAGATCGGCCTCGTCTTCCCAGGAATCAGCAACGGGTTCTTTAGCCTTCTTTGTTGGTTTAGGAGCTGATGTGATCGAGCTTGTTGTGGAGAATGATGGTCGTGAGATATCCTGTACTGGACCCTTTCCACCGATGGGTAGCTTGCCAAGTGTGGCATGGAGCTCAGAGCTCGGATCAGACATGGTGGGGTGAAAGGGAAAATTAGGCGGGGTAGATAAACGCAATAAAGTATGGATGCGATGTGATGGGCTTTTTCAGACGCTTTGATGGAATCGGTATAGTGTTTGTATTGGTATAATGTATATTGAGAAAAGACAGAAGAATAAAGTAGGAGATTGCAGGTGATGGCGTCAGAGCTTGGCGCATCCCTGGTCGATCGTGGAGAAATGATGGGGCTAGACCTACCTGGGCGGTGCAGGTTTGTAGGCGGGAGCTAGGCATCACATGGGCCAGTTGACTCCCCGAGGCTCAGCTTGGTTTAGTTGGTACTTCTGTGATTTGGAATACTCAAATACTTCCAAGGTTATTCATATGATTTTCCTACTAGCGTCAGAATACTTTCGGTCCGAGGATAACCGCGACCACTGGCAACTTCATGTAGTATGTACTGATTTGATGTGGTCTATGAACAAGTAGTAACTAACGCTCCTCCCCGAGGCCAAAATCTATCCATGATGTTTTCTACATATGCCGGTCTGTACATGGCATATCAATGTCTATGGCTCAAATGTGCTTTCCTAGTTCTTAGCAAGTGCAATGACCTTCTTTGCTGCCTCCTCGAAGCCATCAAAGGCATGCAGAGGAAGACCACTTTCGGCGATCTGTAGAGTGTGTTAGTAGGAACATTTGGAACATCTCAGCCCATAAAGTAATTCGTAGAACGCACCATCTTTTGTCCAAGCTCTTCATTCGTTCCACGCAACCGAACCACAACAGGCACTTGCATATCCAAGTCTCTGAAAGCCAAGATGATACCTTCGGCGATCATATCGCAGCGAGTCAGCCCACCAAAGATGTTGACAAAGATAGCATTCACGCGAGGATCAGAGCAGATAATACGGAAAGACGACTTGACAGTCTCTGAGGTGGCCTTACCACCTGTATCGAGGAAGTTAGCACAGTGACCGCCATGGAAGGTAAGAGCATCGACTGTGTTCATTGCAAGTCCTGCTCCGTTCACTAAAAAAATGTTAGCGATACCAGCTGAGCAGAGGAATGAAAACCTTAGAGCGTACCAAGAGTTCCAACGCTGCCTTCGCCCTCTAGCCTGTTGATTGTTAGCACGATTCGCAACGTGGACTCTGATAGAAACATACTTGACATAGACGATTCCATCCTTCTCAGCCTCTACTTCTTCCGGAGCCTCCTCTGCGGTATTTCTCAGGGAGTGGACTTCTTGTTGACGACCTGAGCTCCGGAATGCAGCATCATCAAATCCGAATCGTGCGCCATGCACTTCCAATTTCCCATCAGCAGTGGACCCAACTCGAGTCTCTAAAACAAACGCCTCTTTCTCCTTGAATATCGTCCACAGGGCTTGGACCAAGCCTGCAAGAGTGTCGCGGGATGATGTCGGGAGACCCACGTGTGAGGCCACATCTGAGATAAGAGATTCGTTCTGGAAATCTGTCTGGGTGTATTTGAATGGAAACTTGTACGATTGGGCTGGGTCAAATTCTGCACTGGGAGACGCGACGATACACGGCGATAGAGTAGAGCGATCGATTGAAATGGAAACAGAAATGTCAGAGGATTGAGCTTGCTCGCTGACAGGAACGGCCTTTTCCTTCAGGATATTGAAGGCTTGGAACTGCTTGATATAAAGACTGCGCTTCTGTTGAGCCGGGCGTGAGACGGGGTTGAAGCGTCTCATAGTGTGCAACCCACGCTTCTGAGATGCCGATCCAATGCTAGACTATAGACACTCAGCCTGAGATCCAAAGAGAAAAATGTCGAGAACTTACCAGAGTGCGAGGTCGGCTTGCTGTACTACCTAGTAAAGTTCTCATGCCCTCGCCGAACTTCTCTGGGTGATTGACCATAACAGCACCAGCCCGTTCAAGCGCTTGGTACTTAGCCTGCGCATCTGGTTCTCCAGGTGCAGCCCAAGCACCCGCATGTCCCATGATTCGACCAGGTGGCGCTTCCAACCCACCAACCAGCGCCATGATGGGTCTATTTCAAGATCAGTAGGAGACTCACAGCAAAAAAAGAGATCAAGCTTACTTTGGGTTCGCAGTCCGTCGTCGATAATCCTTAATCCACTCCGCTGCATCCATCTCGGCCGTCCCACCAATCTCGCCGACAAGTATAATACCCTCAGTGTCAGTATCGTGCTCGAAGATCTTCAACGCATCCACGAAATTTGTGCCAGCCAACACATCACCACCCATACTGATACAAAGACTCTGCCCCAGTCCAGCTCGAGTAGTCGATGCCACAGTCTCATAGCTCAGGGTTCCCGACTTGGCCACGATTCCGACATTACCGGGTGAGAAACATGGCAAGGGCTGGAATCCGATACGGCATTTTCCAATGGCTGAAATAATACCAGGACAATTCGCACCAACTAATCGAGTCTTCGACTGGGTCTGTAGCATGGAATGAATCTATCATGCTGGTTAGAAGGAGATATGTAGACACAGTGGGTTCGTTGACGTACCCGAAGAATATCATGAATAGGAACATGTTCAGCCACAGCCACTACCAATGGAATCTCAGCTTCTATAGCTTCTTCGATAGCCTGTGCTGTCTGATTTCCTGGAACGTAGATTGCAGATGCATCTGGTTTTGCTTTTTCCTGGGCCTGCAGGTCATATGTACCGCGGTTAGTCTACACCCTCGCATTCAGAAGCGCGCGGGTACTCTGCATACCGCTTTAACAGATGGGAAGATTGGAAGCCCAAGGTGTTCACCCTCAACACCAGGCTTCACACCTCCAACAATCTTAGTGCCCCATTCCAGTGACTCCTTAACATTGGCCGTTGCCTGTCGTCCTGTGTACGGGTTAGCTAAGTCGAATGAAATAAAGCTTAGAGCACCTACCAGTAAATCCCTGGAAAAGGACTTTTGTATGAGCACCAATCTTCAAATTGGGAAGCGTATCTGCATAGTTGGCATTACGTGAAGAAGTCGAGAAACGGCGGGTTAAGCTTAATCCCGACTGAGGAACACGTCTTGGTAAGAAGTGCAAGGACATTATTGCAATTCTTTTTTGCGAAATTGACGCTGTGCAGGGCTCATTCAACCAATTGTTGCTTGTTTCTTATTTATTAGGCCCTTCCTTGAGGTTGTCAAAGTTGCCACGGCCGTTCTCCAAGACGGCTTCTTGATCTTCAAGTCGGCTATCCGGTCTCGGAGCTTCCCCACACCGCGGGTTTCCGAGGCTTAACGTGATTCCCAAGCGAGTGGGCCACCCAAGCGAGTGGGCCACCCACCGCCTACCCTACAGTTTTAATCATAAATATTACCACCAGAACGCCAATTTATTAAAATAATTAACTAAATATCACAGTGATCTGATCGATGGCCTTCTTCTCCACACTTCTTACATGTCGGTAGCTTTCTCCTAGCTGGCTGAGGGGGTAAATAAGGCGCCCTAGGCCGTGGTACGGGAGGGATCACTGGCGCCTCAACCACCTGTATAGCACGCTGTATAGCCTCCTGGCCCTCCTGAACAGTCATACCACCCTCGTTAGGTATCTGCCTAGTAGACCGCTTGCGCTTTTGCTTTTGCTTTTCATGTGCAGCGCGTAATTTGCGTGTTTCAACCTCTAATAAAGCTGTTGAATGCATCTGAATTTCGCAGGCCTTGAGAACTTGATCGATTTGCTGTTTGAGTGGACTTGGAGGGCTCTTTGAACGTTGTTTTAGAAGAGCTTTGATTGAACTAGCTTGCCGTTGAAGCTGAATAAGATTCTGAGGTGTTTTAGGTGAAAATTGGCTTGATCGACTAGTAGGGCGGCTAGCTGGGGGTGTAGGTGTTCGAAGAAGAATATTTAACTTAGAAAATACTCGATCTGGGTCAAATGGTACTAAACCAGCTGCCGTAAAGCTGTTTTGAATAGTTTGGGTTTGAAAAGCCTCTTTACGAGCGATTGGGTAGGCTTCAAGAAAATCAAATTTATCAACATGGTTAAAACCAAGCCGCATTTGATTCTCAACAAGCCGACCATAGGCCCGTTTTAAAGGCCCAAAACATCCAACATCAAGTGGCTGATGAAGATGTAAAGAATGAGCTGGCATGCAAATTGGAATAATATTATTCTCTTTGCAAATCTGATCAAATTGGGGAGTTAAATGACTCCCATGACCATTAAGAATCAAAAGTCGATATTTTCCAAGCGTACGTTCAGTTGTTGCTGGAATAAAGTGTTTTTGAAGCCATCGAAGTCCAATTTCATCAGTTGTCCATCTATTTGGACTAGTTTCAAATCGCCAGTCAAGTGGAAGGTTTGTAAACCATCCTTCAATTAAAACTTTGCCTTTGAAAATAATCACTGGTGGAAGGGCCCATCCAGATACATTAATTGTTTCAATAGCAGTTACCCATTCACGATTTCCAGGCTGTAAAAGTAATCGTCGACCATAATATCGAGAACGAGTAACAACCTTAGCAGTTGCTGTAAGTCCCATTGCAAATCCAGTCTCATCAAAGTTATAGATATCCTCTGATAGAATACCATTCTCTTGAATTGTTTGAAAAACAAGATCAAACCATTCTTGAACAACTTTTGGATCCTCCATCTTCGCACGTTCATAATTATATCGTCGAGAGAAACGTGTAGTAAGCTCTGAATGTCGTTTAACAAAGTTTGTGACCCAATTTTTGCCAACAGTTTGAGGGGGGGGTCTGGCCACGCGCTGCGAGTAGAATATTGGCCATTTCTTGGACAGTAGCCGGGCGGGGGGCAGCTCCACGTATATCCATAGAGATCACCCATTGGAGAAGTGATTACTCTTCATTTTCGTTTAATTTGTGGTTATTCGCGCGAGTTTCGAATCGATTGGTATGACCATTTAGTCGGCGGTGGAGGGAAGTAAAAGGCACGTTAAACTGACGTACTACCTCACGGATAGAGCTAATTTTATTGTTTTTAATAGCTTGGATAGCAAGTAAGATCCTTCCCTCCTGTTCGATTGAATTTCGAGAGGTTTTAGAACGTATTGGTGGCATGGTAGGTGGTTGAAGATGGCTAGACGCGGTCGCGACGCGAGTTTTTGGTTGGGTGATCCGCTCGCTTGGGTGATCCGCTCGCTTGGGAATCACGTTAGTTATGTTTGGGTGCCTGAGTATATAGGCAACGACGTTCAAGTTGGAATGGTGTCTGCAATTTCAAGTTCGTAACTTTGGAAGATAATTAAGTAATCAATATTCCAGAGGAGATTGAATGCTTAAATTTATGGCAGTATTTTTTTATCGGATGGGTCATGGATGAATAGAGAACTTGAAGCAGTTAGATATTTGGATGAAAGAGCACTTTCAATGTTGTATGATCCCAAAATATACTACTATTACTACCTACTAGTACTACCACGGACCATCCGAGTCATAAATTAGAGAAATCATAAAATAATGCACATTATCATGAGAATTATAGAAAATACAAGTGAATGTGAGTGTACAAAATCAAAATCTATATGCTTATATTATTTCCGAGCGTGAAGCACGTTCGTTACTGCGAAAAGTTCAAGTTAGACGAAAGCCCATAAGATGAATCGAAACAAGTTTGAACCAACCTTTGCGACGCATCCTCCCAATGCTGATTCAGAGAAACCATCTTAATTATAGTATCATTATTCTCTCCAACAGTTAAACCCGCCTGTTCGTGTGTATGATTCGCAATCAATCTCGCCGAGTCCGTAGAGCCTCGACGTGCAGAGCTACTCAATTGACTTCGCACGAATTGATTCCGACCATATGCGGATGTCGCAGTTGGTCCATCGTAGATATGATTCGTCGTTTTGTCGCTTTTGCGACGCCGATTAAAATATCCTTTCACTGATGGCGTTCTTCGACGAGTCCAGGTGGTAAGAACGTTGATGGCTGGTAAACAGGCGCAGATTAGACCAAAGCCCACTTCCGCATTTCTGTATAGGATAATTAGTCTTTATTTCATTTGTTTTCCGACGCAAACAGCCCTGGTTTGGTAGGATAGTCTTGCCACTCACGCTGTTAGAATTGACGTCATGAACATCGTGGTCGAGTCGGGATGATTCCTCTCGCGAATTCCAATCACAAGTCTCCATAGACTAAATGCTATCGCTATTCCTCCGAATCCGAGTAAGACCATTACTTTGACCTTTTTCCAGAATGGCATCTGCAGCGTCCAGGTGAATGCCACGGGGAAGGCGAAAATAGCGACATCGGTGACGAAACTGATGACCGAGTCGGCAATGATAACGCTTGGCTGATCGAAGCATTTTGCGTTTTCCTGTTCCGCTGAGAGCCAGTATGCTGAGATTGGATCGCAGATGAAAATCTTAATGAAGGTGATGATGGTATAATAACCAATCACGATGCCAAGAAGCGCATACAGCGATATCATGGCTCGGTAGTAAGGTTGGAATACCCTGATCAAGATGGTAATCAGGCTGACCTTGACGAAAAGAGTTGTTGGGGCATAGATCGCCGTAGCAATATAGGAGATCTGGAAAGAGTTTAGCAGCCGCTACTTGGGGGCCAAAACAGAAATTTTGAAGCAACTTGCCTTGACGCAGGTTTCATATTGATGATGTGCTAGCTTTTCAGACGGAATTGTCCCTCCGTAGAAACCATCTGTATACAGAATATCAGCCAGATGTACTCGTCTTCAAGAGTTGATGGTCAGTCATACAAACCATGGCATTGGCACAATACCCCATAAAAAGGAGCTAGCCACCAAACTCATTAGAAATCAATCTGGATAGATCAAGAGTGAAATGCATACCCATCCAACAAAACAAGATGCTATATGAGTTGATCAGTATCTGTAACCAGGTTTCCATCAACGTATTACATACCATCATCAATGCCCAGCCCATTTATCAGTTTCCATCGAACAAGTAGCCGTAAAAACACCAAAGGTGTCACCACCACAAAACAAAGAATCTGCGTCGCATAATTGATCAAGAATAAGGAGTTGCCATTATGTACAGTTATTGACATGACAATAACATCTGAAGGTACTTATTGGCCCAGGCCTAGCGCGATGCAGGGGTGTATCACACGCAGAATTTCTTCCCCGGGTTACACATCCCCGGTCGCTTGTGGAGGCTTAGTCAGCGAGATCTGATCGCACTAAAATGACGCGCAGGCAGGATATTCTCTTAACCATAGTGCATCATACGACCATGCTGTAATTATCCAAAAATATGTAGATCCTACACTTTTATTTGATCTGATATTCATAAAGTCTTTGATCTGAAGGTAATCATCTGATTTCTAGCACATTAGATCTGTCCAAGATCTTTATCTACTACCCCAGATCGTATCAGAGTGGATCCAAGATAACCAATGAAATACGCTAGTGAAAGCCCACGCGCCACTTTGGGATGAGAGGATTTAAGATTCTCATGCCAAGCTTCTTAGCATTTCTATATTAGATAGCTCAGATCCTAATATTTGATGAATAGACAGTAGCAACCTAATCAGGATACTTGAGATAAACTTGGAAAAGTAGGACAATTCTGCCAGGGAGACCATTTATGGCTAATGATGAATCTTCAAAATCGCATGTCATTCACAGATGAAAGTAAATAAGAGGTATATTGCAAAAATCTGTCCAACAATCGCAACCCAAAAGTACTTCCCCAATGCAATTAATATTCGTTCAAATGCAGCTTCTTCCCCACGAATCGTCTCTTCGCAGGCTTATCCCGTTGTTCCCGCTCAGCGTTCACACCCTTGAGCGCATGGAGCAGCATCCCGGCATCGAAGAACCCATCTAAGGAAATTATTAGTAGATGATCATACTTTGATCTGGAGAAGGCCAAGAAGAAAATGGTAAAATACTCACATCCTCCCATTCCATCGTCCTCCAATTCCCCACTATCAGTCGTCGTAGTCGGCGTATCCGTTCCACGGTAATCTCCACGAACGATTCTACCTCTCCGCTGAGTATCATATTGTAAACGTTCAGCCAAGGCTTCAGTCTCACGAGCGCGACTAGTCCGAGGACTCGTAGTCTTCCGATTCGTAGCTCGCATTAGCTTCCGAATCTCAAATAGATAAGACTCCAGTGTTTGCATCAGACGAGAGGTCTGTCTATGCTTCGAAGATGCGCAGAATGAAATTGTCTCATCTTTGATAATGTACCCAATACCGAATCCATCGGCAGACGTAGGCCCAAAACCGAAGTGACGTAGACAGGGATTTCCGCAGTTGGAGGTTGAGAGTATCGTATTGTTAATCTTGTCCCAGCCGGCATCACTGAATATGGCGGGTGTAGGTGGAGATGCAGGTCGGAAGTTTCGGAGACTGCCGCTTGAAGGGGAAGAAAAGCCGTCATCAGAGACAGACGTTCCAGAGAATTTGGCCGATTCGAGACTTTCGCTTGGACTAGAGTATCCGCCCACGGAGCTGGAGTCGTGGAATAGACTCTCATCGAAAGAGCGTTGCCAAAGACAGTATAGAGCGTAAAGATGGCGGTCTTGGCCCTGACCCTTCGAACAGTCTTTTGTAATGGCCGTGTGGCGTTGAGTCGCGGCGCGAAGGGCCTCGATCTTCTGTTCAGCGGGGTTCTCGCCCCAGAATGTGCGAACGAAGTCTAGACACTCCGGTGTAACAGTTCTGACTGCTTCGGTGCGGCCGTGTAAAAATGATTTGGTCATGGCAGGTTCGTATGTATTCTCAAGACGACCATAAAGCCCGTAATAGGCTGCTTGGAAAGCTATTTGAACGAAGGCGTCTGGGGAGAAGCCCATGGATGTGATGAAGTTCTTGCCAAAGCCTTCAAAGTCAAGTACTTGAAATTCGTGCTGGTGGAGAAGGTCTGAGAGGTGGGACTCGGCGAAGCGGAGGGCAATGTTAAGTTCAGGTATCATATCCCACTCTAGCTTGCGAGGTGTTGTGCTGACATTTCCAAAGCTGCGCGGATCACGTTTGGCTGGGTCAGGACTGGATGTTGTCCACAGACTGGGAGCTTGACCATTGATTGTCTTGGCGAAGCGCAGGATGGTGTCGGTGTATACGTCGCTGGCAAAGCGCAAGACAGTATGACCATCCACGCCGGTATGCTCGAAGTTGATGCCCGCGCTTCCATTTTTGCAGACAATAATTTGTAGCTTGTCATACCAACGATTTGTGCAAGTTCCTACTTGCACACCCTTAATCACTTCACTAGTGCCGCAGAGCATGTTGGCGCAGAGCTCCGCGGTATTCAAGGGCTCTGTATCGTCTAAGCACAGAACGAAGAGTGCGGTGTCGACGATATTCAGGCATTCGGCATTATTAGAAGCAGGATCCTTGGTCATGATATCTCGTAATCCAGACCAGACCTTGCGGTTCTCGGTACTGAGAACACCCAAGGCACCCTTGGCAGCTTCATGAATCGGAGTCTGTGCAGCATCATCCACGATGACATGCAAATTTAGTGAAATATCACGCTCGGTCATGATTAGATCACTGTTGTCATCTAAAACATCAAACCAATAAAACTGGCCACGGCACATCACGACGATATGCTTCGCCACTGGGTCCTGGCTGATGACGCAGCCATTATCAGTGGGAAGACGCGCCGTCCCAAAGAGGCGTGAGTATTGATACATGCAGAGAGGACTGCCTCGCACAGTATCGGGTGGAAGCTCCTCCTTCCGCACCGCGCGCACGAAAGACAAAGCTGAAACAACCAAAGATGCAGCCCGAGTGACTTGGTTGTTCCGAGCAGGTGTGGGATCGTCTTCTAAGAGAAAGAATGGATTGAGATTCAAAACGACGGCTATGAAAGGTTAGATCAGTCAGATTCAAAGAGTCCGATGAGGAATATGGGAATCTCACAGCTGTCAAAATTCAAGTAGGAGTCGTACCCTACTGGAGATTAGCTAGTTTTGTTCAGTTTTCTCATAGATAGATACTCACAAAATTGCTCAATGTAGCTTGTTTTCGAGGACGCATAGTTCTTTAACTTCTCCTGAAGAATCGGACCATCTGTCTTTAGGAAATCATTCACCGCCGCCTTGGTCTCCTCATGTTCTCGCGCAGACTGCAAAGCAACAAGAGCATCCAAGTGCCTGCGGCAAGTATCTTCCAGTTCAGGAATTGGAAGTTTAGGTAAAGCGTCTTGATTAGCAAAGGTCAACCCCTGCTTCTTAGGCTGCAGTGTCTCCACACCCTCCGAAGAAGGGCGGTCTGCCGGTACATTTGGTCTTACGACCGTATGACCATGAGATTCCGAGTCTTTGATATCAGAATCCATGGCGCGACCAAATGGCTTAGGAGTGGTAAAGAAGCGAACTGCCACGGACGAATAGGACATGATGTTAGTGGGACTAGTATAGATCAGGCGTAACGGCAGGAAAGGTAAGTTGGGAGGGAAAGGAGGCGTAAAGCGGTGCGAAAGAAGTAATGGCAGTTTTGGAGGCAGTATGATGGCATTGAGGCTACCTCATTTGTAGGCGTGCAATGATGCAAGCAGAAGAAAATGACAAACTGGAAGAACCAGAGAAGATGCACAGTGTCTATATAAGACAAGAAGGTTTCGGAGGGGACAAAAAGCACATGTTATATACAAACAACCAGCAAAGTGTAACCAAGTATAGGGCCAAAAGCCCCCACATGGGATTTGGGGCCCCGTAAGGTTCTCCGTGGAATTTGGGCTCGGATTGAAGGGTGCGGGCAAAGGGACTAGTAAAGGGACTAGACTTACCAGGGTCTTGACGAACGCCCAGAGGTGGAGTTTAGGGGGGACTTGCGTGGATCCAGACTCGTTAAGGCAGTTATAGCGCCGGAGCAACGGATGCTGTCAGATGATCTCAGCCTTGATAACCTCAGTTTGGGTATAATAGCTCTTGTAGGAAGTGGGGGTTAAAAGGACTCGGAGTGTCCACAGCTCATAGTGGGCGCTAGAGGGAAACAAGAAAGTTATCACATACTCAAAACGAGGCTCCGGTCATAGAGTCTAATATTCAAGGATGAGTTCGTTAAATGAGATGAACTGTGGGGGGGGGGGTAAGCTGCGACACTACTGTATGCATAGATGCAACATGCGAGGTTGACGTCAATAAGAATATCCTTGTAAAAACGAGCATAAACTACATGAATCACAGGACTATTAAGGGACCATACCAATAAAGAAACCAATACAAGATGCAGAAAATGTGGAGTGCGGAGGGAGATACACGATGACGTTTCGGTCGAATGGAGAGGGAATGTTTGAAACGTTTGTATTGTTTGAGATGTTTGTATTAGATACGTAAAAGGCACGTGATATTTTTTCATCTCAGATTCATATTTGGGGGCCATATTTTTCTATCCACAGGATGGGCACACAAGTCGCCAGAGGGACAATGAGTCCAAGGCATATTCACATTTGTTAAAAGGAGGAGAATCCCACATGTCCATCTCCAAAGGGATCGATGAGGATTCAAGTACCTCCGCAGGACGGAGTACATACAAACCAATTCCCTGTACCAAAGCCGAGAGCTCCCCCCGGATACTCGGGGAGATCATATCACTAGGTTCGGGGAGGACATGTGGAATTCGAAGAAGTGAAAGATAAAAGAGAAGAGTAAGACAGGATGCAGGAAATGAATGCAAGACATGTTGCTAAAAAAGAAAATAGGTAAATGTAAATGGTCAGGCAACTCGAAATTGATTGAAATCAATCAACCATCACCCTTTTGTATGTATAGTTCAAATCGAATCTCCGATGCACATGTTATCCGTACAAGGCATTTAAGCGGTGTAAGTAGCACCGCCATCAGGCTGCAACACGTTATCGGCATATTCACCCTCAACATTGCCGACCGGGGAATAGTTGCAGACAGTGAACGGCAAGGCCTCAGAAGAGTCAACACCATCCAATGGATCGCAGGTCACGGTAGCACAGCCAACATGAGTGGTAGCCTTCCAGACGATCTGACTGAAGTGACCCCACTTATCGAAGTTGGTCATGCTGGGGTTTGAGCCGTAACCGGGGTAGTACTCGATCTCATCGTTGTACATCAGGTTGGTGATCATGACACCAATGTCACTAGATCCAACACCATAACCAATGTTTTGACCGTAGCCGCCGCCATCAATGCTTCTGCAAGGGGTGTTAGTTTCGGATTGTGGAAATATGATTGGTCAGATGCAGGGTACTTACGTGTCGTGCTCGTAATCACAACGGGCGGCAAGGGTGTAGGCACTCGACTCAAGGTCGGCAGACCACTCAAGTGAGGAGACGGAGTGGTTGCTACGGTGAATGTTGTGGTTGTAGAGAATCTTCTGCTGGTAGGCGCTGGTGGCTGAAGCAGTTTCGGAGCTCGAGGTAGTGGTGGAAGTGGAGCTGGTGCTAGAGCTGGAACTAGAGGTGGAGGTTGCCATAGTAGTGGGTGCGGCGGGCTCGACAGTAGAAGTGAGAGTAGAGGACAAGGAAGTAGAGGTAGAGGTTTCCTCATGGTGGTGTTTGTGAGCAGTGGTAGTAGGTGTAGCATCTTTATCGGGCAACACAGTCGACTTCTTGTACAGTTCGGTATCCGAGGACTCAACCTGAGCCTTCTCCATTGGAGGCAAAGTCTCGGTCACGGTGGGCGCAGTAACAGTCGTAGTAACAGTGACGGTAGTCCAATCAGTCACATAAACACGCTTCTCGAAGGCATTGGCGCAGGTGGCTGCCAAGGCAGCAAGCATTAAAGCAGAACGCATGGCGAGATGAAATGGTAGCAGGATCGATATGTAAACACTTTCTCCAGGAAGGTTGTTTTTGTTGGACTTTGGATTTGTCGTTGTTCAACACACAGATCAACTGTATGGACAAAAAAAGAGTGGGTTTTTTTTAAGGACGCTGTTAAAGGAATGACAGGCCCGAACACTTTAAATTTTCCTTCAAATGAGTGATAGGAAAATCCAAGTGTGGACTGGGAAGTTGGAGTAGCAAAGCGTGAGAGAAAGATTTCAATTGGAGATGGGAGGGTAAATGTAGAAAAGGGATAAAAGCACAATGACGGAGAGTGGGGCCCGTGCAATCCCAGAGTAAGATTGGATTTTAATATTCGAGGGAGATTAAATCCTTGGAATTTGTTTGTTTTTGATTACTTTGTCAAGTTGAAGATGAGATGAAGAATTAAAAAAGAGTTTACATGAAGCCTTTTCATCTTATACTTATTACTCGGGTTTTCAATGTTCATCTTTCCAACCTCACCAGAGACTGTCCGACACATACCAGACCTGCCCGCCACTCGCAGGCGTGGGACATTCCACATTCCAACGCGTCTCCGAATGGATTCTGATTGGATCTTGAATTACAAACCGAAAGTGCCGAAAGATAAAGAAAAAATCAGGAGAGGCTGGGCAGAGCATGGAGTATGGAGCGATATGATAATCATCAATCTTATTCTCCGTAGGAGTCTCGCCCCGGAAAGTGGAAAGTGCCATGGAGATGAGCACCCTGATTCTCATCATTACCATGATGACCCTGAAATTGGCCCTGAATGGATCCTGGAGGTCTCTTAGTGCTCTTAGTGGCCTGTGAGCGGATCCTCAATCCCACTTCTATCCACTAGCGCCACTCTTCCCCTTCAGGGACAACACTAAACAGCTGCCGCGCGTACAAAGACTTTATGTCATCGCAACATTTACACGTGCCGGTTTCATGATATTGATAGGTTCCCAAGATCGAGAATGATCGTTTCAAAGAGATTTTTGACAGCCAAGATCGGAGCTATGATGGGTCAAAGGATACAAGGTAGGACAATCTCCAAATGTTGCGAAACAGCGGCAAGAGCTTAAGGGGCTTCAGGACCAGGACCAAGTTTCAAGTGACGATCACTGTACACCAATCACTGTACTCATTGACGGAGTACCCACATCAACGGGGTATACACTAAAAACTTGGCTTTTGGTCTGGTCCATTTGTCAACGCCACTCTGCACGGATGTGATCTCGGATTGATTAATTGTCAGGCGCCTCCAATATCCCCGTGTTTCAGCCTCGAAACGGAAATTATACGATGAAGTCGAATCATCCAGGGTCATTAGCTCGATAAAAAGACGTCAATTCAACTTCCCTAGGGCTGTTAGATGTGATTTTGGACAGCTCAGATGCAGGGGGAAGCAATAGAAGACCCATAAAAGAGTCCAAGTCACCAAATATCATAACATCATGCCGATCGTTTCAATCAAGCCTTTTCCCAATCCCACACATGACTCGCCCTGATGAGTCCGTGGCCCACGTTAATTAATGCTAATTTCCAAGGTTATCATTTGTGTACAAAATTGGTAGTGATTTTCGGCCATAGACCCCAATGGCGTACGAAGTACGGATTACGGCTGATATCATATTAGATAGCTTCTCCACTCGGGGTTTACTCCGTATAAGGTACTACTAGAAAGCAAACATTTGAATCCTGGAGCCTATCTCACGATCCTATCAAATGTTGACTACAAAACAGTAGCCTCGGAACGTCTAGATGACCAAACCCTGTCATATTATTGATGTTAAAAAATCGTACATAATGGTATTCCAGGGCGGCTCACGGTCCCCATACTACACCCCATGTGCATGAATAATCAAATCATTGCATCCTCAAATTCATAACTATAAATGTAAATCTAAAGTATATCAGATCTGGTATTAATCACAAATTGAAACCATCCAGTACTTAGATCCCATGCGTTCAATGTTGGGATTCAACAAACAATCTCACGATAGCGCCAATATTAGGTACCATGCAGGCACCCGACGCAAGGCCCGCTCGTGCCAAGGGATAGTATAAACGCCGATCCAAAAAAAAAAAAAAAAAATACTACCAGTGAAAAAAAAGTGATAAAGCAGAAACACATGACCAGAGACATTTTCTATAGATCCACCTCTTTACATGAACCAGCCTCGCAGACTAGCAAATAGTTCTTCGCTGGACTGCCTGCCTTCAAATCTTTGTACAGGGGGTTTCGTGACTTGAGCCAGAAGGACTGGTTTCCCACAAAGTCCTTCAGGTGCGAAGGCCGGATGTCGACTAGTGATGTAACTGAGATGGTGGAAGAGACAGCAGCTTTTTTCTCCTTTCGAAGTCGCCTTTGGAGGAGCTCATATGCCGAAACAGGTTGGTCGTAATTGCTGATCAGGTTACCCCCACGTGGCACAGGTGTTGAAATATCAGCAGTTGTAAAAACTCCGGTGACTGTTCGAGTGCCAGTCTGAAGACCCACTATAACATCCAACATCCCGACAAAAAGGAAAGGGTGTTGCATGATCTCCACGGAGAATGAATTCACGGTCTGTCGTGCCAGAGTCACGTATTCAGGGTCATCAAGTAGAGCAGCCAATCGCAAAAGGTTCCGCGAGATGACAGCGTTGACGGACGGGGTGGCAGATTCCGTGCCGGTCTTCAGTCGAAGAAGTGGGCCTGGCATTCCTGGAGTCAGCGCAGTCGGAGTATTGTAGTACCCAGCGGGCGTGGACCCATTCTTGGCAAGGAAGTGATCGTTCAGGTATCCTAGTAATCATGTCAGCCACATATCTTTCCCGCTCAAATGTTTGGTGGAGGGTGAAAAACATGAAGACATACTCTGAAGGCGTTCCGCGAGTTGCAGGTAGCTATCATCAAAGGTAGCTTCATACATATCCAACAATCCACTGGTTAGATAAGCGTAATCATCGGCAAAGCCAGGAGTGTCTCCTCGACTGCCATCTCGGTAGATGCGCCACAGCTTCCCAGTAGACTTGTCGAAGAGATTATTCTTGATGAAGTTAATCGCTCGCGCGGCCGCCTCACGACATTGTAAGGCTTTCGAGCTCTCAATCTCCTCGAATAGAACACTGCACTTGGCAAGTGCGCCGATCGCTAATCCGTTCCAACCAACGATAATCTTATCATCAAGATCTGGCCGGCCCCTTGTTTTCTCACGGTGGTCCCGCAGCTTTTGCTTCCCGCCCTTGATGATTTTGACAACTTCCTCCTCGCTCAGGCCGAACTCTTTCGCGAGCTTACTCGGTGTAGCTCGAACTGATAGCACATTCTGGTTCATAAACTCATCATGAGGGTCATATTCTGCAGCCACGTTTCCGTCAGGGAGCACACCCCAATGACGGGCGCATACGGGCGCATCACGGGCACCTAACACTTGAGTGAGCTCCTTCAACGACCAAACATAGAAGGCCCCCTCTCGCTTCTCGTTGTCATTTGGGTTGGGGAGACTATCGGCGTCTTCGGATGAAAAGAATCCCCCAGTTGGTGATTGTAAGGGAAGGGTTGTCAAATAAGCAGCCAGATCATACACAGCACCAAGCAATTCAGGATCGTGGGTTAATCGGAATGCATCCACATAGACATCCAGTAGTTGTGCTTGGTCATACAACATCTTCTCAAAATGAGGCAAGCCCCAGTCGGCTGTGACACTATACCGAGAATAGCCGTGCCCGATGTGATCCCGAATACCTCCGCGCGCCATGTTCACCAATGTTGTGACTGCCATGGCTGTCGCCTTTTCGCATTCAGTTTTTCCCACGATATCGATAACCTGCCTTGGATAGGTACCAAGTCGGAGAAGAAAACTGAGATTTGCGGGTGTGGGAAATTTAGGTGCCCGGCCAAACCCACCATGGACGGAGTCATATCTGGACGCGAAATGCTGATAAGCCTCTTCCAATAGTTCAATATCGAGATCTTCATCTGTTTCGCGGTCTGTATGCTGTGAATGAGTGCCTTCTTCAGCAAATTCTCGCAACTGTTTTGTGATATCCTTGGCACTCTCAAGGCAGCGCTGCTGCTGTGTCACCCAGACATCTCTCAGCTTTTCTAGAATTTCCACAAAGCCAATTGTATCCGGGCCCTGTATTGTGGCGGAGTTTGTACCAGGCCAGTATGTGCCTCCGAAGACAGGCTCCAGATCTGGAGTAAGGAAAACATTCAAAGGCCAACCACCAGAGCCTGTGGTGGCTTGCACGTAGTTCATATAGATATCATCAATATCCGGGCGCTCTTCCCGGTCAACCTTGATGGGTACAAAAGATTCGTTTAGGATGGCAGCTACCTCGGGAGACATAAAGGACTCCTTTTCCATGACGTGGCACCCTTGGGACGGTTAGATGGGGCTTGGGACCAGACGCGACCGGGATTTAAACATACAGTGACAAGCTGAATATCCAATGCTGAGAAAGATCAAGCGATTGTTCTTTTTGGCGAGTTCAATCGACTCTGCATCCCAAAGTTGCCATGCTACAGGATTATTCATATGCGCCCTAACCTACAGCGGGGTTAGTTTCCGCCTCAGAGGAATCCCTTTGTACACACATGGGTAGGTCTGTTGAAGGGTACGTTCGAGTAGCACCGGTTTCACTCACATAGGGTGATCTACTCTGCTCAAGGCGATTGATCAACTTAGGCTTGGTGTCAGACATATCGTGATGCGACTGCGACTGCATACCCGATGCCATCTTGATGGGATTCAGGATTATGAGTTGCGGGAAAGTCTGATAAGATGTATCGAAGTAGAGTCGGGGGTACTAACGAGATCCGGTAATGGATCAGGGTTGAATACTACCCCACGGGTGTGACTAGGATAGGTTAGCGAGTCAGGAAGCCCCCGGTGGTGGTGTAAAGCAGGGGGAGGGGCGCACAAGACCGGAAGTGGGGGTGGTGGTAGTGCAACGACGGGCGATCGGGAGATCGTCCCTGTGCGTCATCGATGCATCAGGAAAATCACGTGTTTTCTATGAGTGTATGGACTTTGCCAAATTTAATCGAATAGTATTGAATTATTTCAGGTTTTTAGGAAATTTGAGGATAGATTTTCATTGCTCATTTCATGTTATGCACATGCGTGTAGTAAATTTGTACATTTGGTTTCTGGGGTATCGTCACATATCTAATCATCTCCCATCAGCTCGGCTAATTCACGCTCCTCCTCCTCGGTAAGCATGGACTCCGTAGCAGGCTCATCTTCAGCCACCACAGGTCCCTTTTGGGCCAACTCTACAGCCTCTTGAAGATGATCGGCCTGAAGAGACCATTGTCGAATAGTGCCATCAATGCCAGCACTGACCACAGTGGAACCGACCAAGACCAGCCCAGTAACTTCTTCAAAATGGCCAGAGAATACATGGTGGAGCTCACCAGTCTATAATGAGATGTCAGCATTTTGGTCAATTTAGAAAAATAAACATGAAATCCCAATTTTTCAAGGGAATGAAAGAAATAAACCAAACATACCGATCGTTGCCATACCCGCACCTCTTCATCACGACATGCCGTGATCACCCACCCACCGGCCTCATAGACAGCAATATCCCGGACAAAGTCAGGGTGTTCTAAAGTGAGGTTGGGCTTCCATCCATCGGCTCGTACCAGGCACTTAGCTGTCTTATCGGCAGACACAGTCCATAGATCGCCATCCTGATCGAAGAAAAGCTTGTAGACACTGGTCTCATGTGGAAGAAGCGGCTCAGCAGAATCACCACCAGCGAAGATTCTGAACTGGCGGATTTCTCGGTCGCTTCCCGCACTGAACACCAAGGCTTCGGATTCATCTACCTCGGGATCAATAATGAGGTCCTGGACACCCCGGGAGTGGCCCTTGAAGGTCTCAATTCGCTGACCGCTTGCAATATCGAAGACGAGTACCTGGGCATCAGCACCACCCGTAATGAGCAAATCTTTCCCCTTCAATCGAGCACACATGACTGCTCGAACAAAATCAGCATGCCCTTCATACTTCTGCCTTCGTTGGCCTGAGGCAATATCCCAGCTCCACACGGTCTTGTCCCAACATCCCGCAAACAACAGTTTACCATCTGCGCTGATACACAGACTTGTCAATGGAGCTGTTGGACCCTTGTATAATTGGGCAGTCTCGCCAGTCTGTAAGTAGTAATTAGACTATTGTTCTATCTGTAGGTATAGTAGAGGAATAGCTTACCTCAAGTACCACTCGACGAACCACTCCACTACTTAGCGCAACATAGACAGACTTTTGACTCCTTGGATCGGCATGGATAGCTAGAATCTTGCTCTGTAGCCGAATAGGGTTTCCATTGGAATTCTGAGACTTGGCATCCTTTCTCTCCTGTTCCTCCAAGGATGCACTGTTATATATTAGCACTAGTCCCAACCTCAAAATAAGTAGATCCATTTACTCACGAAGTTTGGAAGAAATGATCTCGATGAGTAGATGTAGTCATTTTGAAAATGTTGGATCTTTTTTTAACCTTCTGATTTCCCTTGAAAGAAAGGGGGGTAAATCAGAAAGCTGGATCCCTCATAAACCCAACGTGACCCACAGTTGTTTCGAGCACAGGAAAGAAAACTGCTATCTTAGCTCTTGCGGTCGGCCGTACCAATCCACCAAAACCCCCAACAGAGTTTGCTTCCTCCTTCTTTCTTCTTCCTTTCTCTTCTCATCCTACCTCCCTTTCTACTCTCTCTCCATTTATTTTCCCATCATTTCATTTCCTTTTTCTCCTCTTTTCCCCCTGTTCGCTCACCAATTGCGCGTTTGTCGCGCAACCCATCAAGATGGATATGAACCACTTAATAGGGTCAGTCATCTGCACCTCCTGGGTCCTGGGTTTGTGCGGCTGAGCTGGAGTTAACACCTGGCAGTCAGCGTTTCAACCTGATCTCTAAGAGTGACATTCGGTAAGACTCAACTGTGTACTGGTTCTGTTTATGATTGTGCCTGGCTAATTGCTTGCTAGTTATGTTGGCACCTTGCATGAAATCAACCCAGAGGCATCCACAATCGCCTTGGAGAATGTCATGTCCCATGGCACCGAAGGTCGTCGCGGCGATGGAACAGATGTTCCCCCCTCCAACACTGTCTACGAGTACATCGTCTTCCGGGGTAGTGATGTGAAGGACATCAGTGTCGCAGAAGAAGAAAAGAAGGAGGTTACACAGCCTGAACCCCCTCGGGTTCCTGATGACCCCGCCATCCTAGGAGTAAGTGATACGCTTTTGAATTGTTTGTTCTTGACGACTCCAAGAAGCACATTGACCTTGACGGCCCCGTCGGTCACTCGATCACATGATGAAATATTTTTCGGATGTAAACACAGACCTGTTCTGAATGCGCAAAACCGTGTAGATTTTTCCGTTGCCTTCCTTCTGATTGATCGATGTTTCTTCTTTTGTCTTGACTACAATGATTCGCTCTATGCCATGTTGCATTTGCTGACTGGAAGCAAAATAGAATATGTCCCGACCGGGTCCTGTGCCTGGCCAAGAACAAGGACCTGCTCCTGGTCTTCCTCAAGGCCCTCCTCCCCAACAACCACAGGGCGCTCAACAAGCCCCCTCCGGTTACCCCCAACAGCCTCCATTCCAGGGTGGTCCTTACCCCCCGTACGGTCAGCGCTTTGGTCCTCCACAGTTCCCGCCGGGTCCTGGATTTGCTCCTTATGGTGCTCCTCCTCCTGGCTGGTATCCTCCCCCCTGGTCACGGGTTTCCCCAAGGACCGGGTCAGTTCCCTCCCAATATGCCTATGGGTCCTCCGGGACAGCAGCTACCTCCTCAGCAGCGCCCAGGTCCTCCCGGTGTGCCCCCTCCTGCTAAGGCAACCTCCGAACTACCCGTCGGGGACAAAGTTCCAAGCAAGCCTGCTACCCCCGCTGCACAGAATGCCCCCACTCCCCCAGTGGAGTCCAAGCCTTCCGTAGCTGAGGCTGTCCATGGTCTCACCGGTCCAACCGCAATTCCACAGAAGAATGGCCGTGTTGTGCCTGCCATTCCGATGGCAGTTCCCAAGTCTGCTGCCCCTCATGCTGCACAAGGAAGTAGTGCTATTACGGATGCTACAGCTGCGGCCACCGCTGCTGTCGCTGCCGCGATGGCCAAGCTCCCCCAGCCAGGCCCTCTAAAGAAACCCGGCCAAGGCGATTCTGTCGCCGATGGACTTGCTCGTAAGATGAATGAGATGCGGCCATTTGATGCTCCTCGTGCCCCCCCGCGGTGGTCATCAGCACCCTCGCGGCGGTCGTGGAGGCATTCGTCACCCGCACAAGAAGATTGAGGTCCCTGAGTCTGACTATGACTTTGAGACTGCGAATGCTAAATTCAACAAGCAAGACTTGGTAAAGGAAGCCATCGCCACTGGAACCCCTGCTGCTGAAGCCGAATCCCAGGCTAGTGCTGAAATTGAAGCTTACGGCGAGACTGCTGCCAATGGCACCACCTCGACCAGTGGAACAACTCCTTACAACCGAACCAATTCCTTCTTTGACAACATCTCCAGCGAAGCTCGTGATCGTGAAGAGAACTCAGTTCACCGCGTTGGTGGTCGTGAATGGCGCGGCGAAGAGGAAAAGCGGAACATTGAGACCTTTGGACAGGGTAGTGTCGATGGCTACCGTGGCCGAGGCCGAGGCTACGGACGTGGTCGAGGATATGGACGTGGTCGTGGTCCGTATGGTGGCCGCGGCCGTGGCTATGGCGGCCGTGGTGGTGGCCGTCCCACCTCCCAGTCCACCGGTGTCCCTTCATTGGGCTAAATTGGAAGTTTGCCCAATTTCCCCAACTTTTAACCTACCAAGCTTGTGTCTCGTCTTGACTTCTCAGCTTGGTAAGGCCTATGAACGATACGAATCTTTATGCTCGAACCTTTCCTTTTTCTTCGGCGCAATGGGATGAACCATGGAAGGCATCCTGGGACGGCAATACGATGTTTTTTTTTGTTTTGCAACGGGCAGTCTGGGTGTTCATTTTCATACCCTTGGGAGGCTTCTTCCTCGTCTGGTTTTGCCTTTTTTTTTCTTTTTCTTTTTTTTTTTTTTTTTTTTTTTTTTTAATTCGATCCAGCATACCCTCTAAAGCGTCTTTCCTGATACCCTTCCTTATGGGTGCCATGCCCCATTGCAAACCCACTTTTGAGAAGTGACTACATGCATGGAGGTCTACATGCACTGTCACCCATGTACTATCATCGAATCCCGGAGATATCTCCATGAAATCAAAAAGAACAAGAGGGCCGTATGGCCGATAAATCTACCTTTCCATTGTAATTCTCTATGATGAAGTGCTTAGTAGAAAATGAGAAACATTCTACCCTCGTCCTTGTGTTGCAGTTGAAAACGTAGATGAGTAAGTGTGGTACCCGTGGCAGCATCCATCTAATGCACCAAATGCTCAAACTCAACCACTACCGGGCCTAGCGAGTCTCCTTCAAGTCCCACGTTAGTATCAGCGACTCGGAATTTCAGATGTGATGATAGGCACTGGCATCCAGGAATGAATGGCTCTAAGATTTCCTGTTGGATCATGAGCTTGAATGTCACATTTCTGCCATACAACTTAAGAACTCAGGCCTTGGAAGTAGTAGCCATCAGTTCTGATGGGGCCCTTGTAGAGATTGAATCCCTACTGTGCGTCCAGCTTCGCGCCTCGCTCTAGTAGCATTTGTACTATCTCGTTATTACCATTGTCTGAAGCATATTGGAGAGCACTTCCACCATCCTCGGCTTTGAAATTAACGTCCATGCCATGATCAAGCAAAATGTGTATAACCCTTTTATGACCTTGGAACGACGCAACATGAAGTGCACTACCATATTTTCCCGCTCGGGAATAGATATCAGCACCTCGATCAAGCAGAATTTCTACAACCCTGCATTGGCCCGCCATCGATGCTGCTTGAAGTGCACAGCCAGCTATTCTTCCTGCAGCACCCACATCTGCATTATGATCAAGCAGTATTTGCACGATCTTTTCGTGGCCTCTAAACGAGGCAGCTGTAAGTGCACTATCAAGTTGCCCCCCCTGTGGCATTGACATCTGCGTTGTGATCTAGCAGTATTTGAACAATCTTTTCGTGACCTTCAGATGATGCAGTTTGAAGTGCGCTATTAAAGGAGCCCCCCTATGGCATTGACATCCGCGTTGTGATATAGCAGCATTTCCACTATCTTGTTATAACCCTGATACGATGCAATTTGGAGAGCAGTACCGTATAGTCCCAAGTTGTTGCTGGAATCAGCGCCTTGTTCAAGCAGCAATCGTATAATATTTTCATGGCCTTTCAACGTGGCCTGTTGGAGTGCAGTAGTTTCCCAATACCCTCCCAAGGCGTTAATGTCAGCGCCTCGATCTAGTAGTAACGCCACTATATTCTCATGGCCCGCATATGACGCGAGTCGAAGTGCATAGCCATGCTCCGCTCTCAAGCCAGTGACATCAGGATGAGTGCCCTGATTCAACAAATACTCCACGGTTTGGAAAAATCCCATCCTTGAGGCGAATTGAATTGGCTGCTCGCAATCTTGGATTCGGTTTTCTCTCGAATCATTCCAGAGCGGGCATTCGTTGTCAACCACGCGCGCCCAGTTGAAGTACACATTGGGTTCAGTGAATAGACGATGCATCTTAGCCTGGAAGTCTGGCGCTCGATCGGCGTCCATTGAGGCAGTCATATGGGTATCCCAGTAAGTCGCCGCGTACTTGAAAAAAGGCTGTTGCATCGGCTCTAGCCTTGTCAAGACGGTTGTGTGATCAAGAAGACAGTCTATAGTACTCGTTGCGAGTGAATAGTGACCGTCAGTTATAGAAAACTGGCATTCATGGTGCTGGCTGTCTTTCTCTGAAACAATAAGAAACTCTTGGACGGAGAAGTGGGCGAATCGGAGTTTTCCATCTACCTCACTGACTAGCGCAGTAGTGCAGATTTTGAGGACAGCTTCGGGGAATCCAAGGCCAACAGCAGCGGCAATAGTCTTCAGGTCAAGGACTATTGGGGAAATGCAGATAAGAAGAAGAATTTTGCGGGCTAGAGGCACATTTCTAGGTGTGAAGCCGTCAAGGATCTTGCGATATGTTGCCTCTAGCGTTTGCGGGATTGAGCTAAGGACTTCCTTAATATCCTTCTCCGTGTAGCAATTTTTTCAATCTCTGCAATCTGTAGCTCAGCCCAACGAAAACGCCTGATAGACCGTTACACACTATTAGTAACCTTTCACCATATAAAAATTTGGAGAAATCAATATGGGATAATCATACCGTTCCTTAGAACTCAGCAACTTCTCTCTGATTAGATCTTTCAGATCTTGACTCAACCTCTTCAATGGATCCTGCTTGAGTGATGTTTCAACAAAAGATCTGACATCGCTATCTAGGTAGACTTCTAGATCGATTGTAGAGAATGCCTGTAGCTCCTGCTTGATATCCTGCTCTGGTCGGCTTGTAGCGAGAATGTGAAGTTTGTTCTTGTGTCTCTCAACTAGGCCTGTAAGAAGATTCAAAAGTGTCATTCTCTCCTTAGATTTGGCGTTCTCTGGGCACTCGTCCAATGCATCTAATACCAGGTAAACATGACCAGAAGTGTTAGATATCACGTTATCTAAGAGATTAGACACGGCCTGGGAATTAGGTTCGCTTCCTCGTAGATGATGATCCTCCCAGATCTTGATCATTGACGGCAACAGTGGTGAGCGACTTAACTGACGGATCAACGACCTCATCATTGCATCCACACTCTATGATTTTTCGTCGCTGAAATCGAAGTACCAGTAAGCGACATACTTTGAATCATCGGATTCACAATCATGCTCAATGTTCTGAATCACCGTGGAGCTATTAAAAGTTAGTAATGATATTTGCTTCAAGTAGAACAAATATTGCTATACCAAAGGACAGACTTGCCACAACCCGCTATTATAGACAGTTAACAATGTAATCGTTAATATTAAGCAGAGTAAGCTTCACTCACAAATTCCCGGTAGCCATAATAGCCCCCCAGAATTGGATTTCCAATCAGTGTCCTCTTCTGAATCTAGGAACCAATTACCCGTACCGTCAGTTCGCTTCTTCTGCAAGTCCCTCTGACGACTAGAGTAGGCAGCTCTCGACATCCAGTCAAGCTGTCTTTCTTCTTCTGCAGCTAATCATGGTTATCAGTAATAGACTCCCTTTCAATGAATTCAGAAAGTCATTACTCAAGACTTTAGACTCGACGCTTTTGATTTGTGCGAGATGAGCTGCAGCAACCTTCCGGTCACCTGTATTCCATTAGTCCTTTTTTCATAGAAACACCATGAAATATTGATTATAGACTGACCGAGGTTAGCAGCTAAGTAAGCCCATTTCTGTGCGAGCTCACTCTGCGCGGCGATGGCGTCTTTTAATTGTCCCAGTGGCTGCTCAGTAAGTGCAAAAACAGCTTTAAGGGGACGGACTTGGAAACAATCAGCCAGGGATCCATGGAATATTCAAGAAGGTCTAGATAGAAGTGAAGAATGAAAATTTTAGCTTACCTCCTGCACTCTCATTCTGTGCTTTCTTCACCTCCGCTGTGAAAGCAAGAATGGCCGAATAGACCCGAAGCAGGGCTTGGTCAAGGTTCTGATCACTTTCGACATCCTGGTTTCGATAGTTTGCATCAATCAATGCATAGAAGGCGAGGGTCTCAGCAAGATACTCGGATGCAGCGAAGATAGCGTTCCGGCGATCTAAGGTGTTTTGGACAATCTATGAATCATCAGTATGAAGATTCATAAATAACAGTCATTCAGAGGAGGATTACACTCATTCCAAATGAAATAACAGTCCATGCAGAGGATGCTATATCATTTCTTAGCAGACAATCTTCAAATACTGCTACTAGAGCACTCAATCCAGAGCTCACCATGTCCTGTCGGATCTAATGACACAAATTTCGAGATCAAATCATTGGCTTTCATCGCCGCGTTGATAATCTTCTCCGCCGAATCACGAACATTGATCTCATCTCCATCTTTTCGAGGAATTCGGAGGCCACCCTTCTTCCACTGCTCGTACCTAGCCGTTGTTTCTTTGATCACGTCGTGAATGGCGTCTGTTGCTGAAATAGAAAATCCAGATATGTACTTTGTGAGCTCAGGGCTCAATTCCTCGTATGCCTCTTTCCATAGATTACGAGGGCCTGATTTTTCCTGCGCCAATTTCGTCAAACTCGACTCGCTTTTGATGTTTGCCGGTGTCTTTGCTATTTTCATATCGGGCCGTGGTTGGGCCGATGGGGTTGGAGGGTTATGTTGGTCGTCATTCTCTCGATCCGCTTTGCTACAGCAAAGAGCCCGTAACCCTCCCATGATTTCTTGAACTATCAGGAGATAAGCGGGATTTGTGAAGAACAAAATTGAAGTGTGAATGCTGTGTACTCAGTATTGTGATTATTTATGGGAGGAGCTTTGACCATTGTCTCCACCATGGCGCTAATTATTCAGCTGCGCTGATAGTGCAGTGCTGCTGCAGGTGTCTCCACTTCAAATCTATTTGAGGTGCGCAGTACGAAGGATGTCTCTTCTTCATGCTCGGTCTAAGAATGCTGGATAAATCGAGCGTTCAGATGTCAGGAGAGAGTATATTCTAGGGCTTTCAGTAGTGACTTTCACTCCTACACCCAAATATACATCATACAGCATCCATCGATCTTAAAATCTGGGGATAATGACTGCCAGTGGGGGATTATTCTCCACGCAGGACACTGGCAACCTGGAATAACTCCATTTTCCCTACTACAGAGCCTCCACTGTCACAGCTCTTAGTCATGCAAGGGTTTCATCTGCATAGGGCGTAGGAATAAATGTATATCGACCTCTGGAGGAATGCCTCCAGCTGGTAGGCCTCAAGGCTCACAAATGACTAATCCAAGACACTGCAGGCGTGAACACCTGGGCAGGGGTATGGTAAAAATCAACGAGCTTGATCCTGAAAACTGGCATGAAAGTGGCGATCATTGAAATAAGACTTTAAAGTTCCTTTTGATGTGTATCTGGATGAGAGAACGTCATTGTCAACCTCGGGAGTAAATGCGGAGAAGGTTCCCCGCTTCGGCCCTCGAGATGAGATTCATGGAGAAAAGTGGGACATCTGGAAATAGAAAGAGATCAGAGTAGATAAAGCAGATGGATGCTTCTGCTTCCAAGGTTATCAGCGACGATTCCATCTCTCACCACCCTGCGTGACAATGAGTATGGGCGGGCATTTTGAACGAACCTGGGAACTTGAACAAATTATTACTGGTACACTTAACTTGAATGAACTTAGAAGCCGGTAATTGATAATGAATATCCTCGGTACTATTTTGATGTGAACTATACCCCTCATTTTAGATCCACCGGATCCTTGGTTCCTCCAGAACGTATTTGAAGAGAATGGTCTGATTTATAACAATTATGTGTTTCCTTATATTTCAGCATTGATCATGGCCCCGCGAACCCCTGCTGCAAGAGGATCCTCCATTTCAAACCACCTCATCGAGAATCAACTTCGTGGAAACTCCAAAATGGCCTCCAGATCACAAATTCCGGATCATTTACCCTGGGATCCTACTTGTAACCAGTTTCCCACATTGAAACAGCTTCCTAAATTGCCCAATGCGCCGGAGGGTGCAGCTTGGGTCTGGGGAAGTGATGATCAGGTATACCGAGCTATCTGTAATTTCTCAATCATGATTTTGCATTCTCTGACAGATAGTTGCAGCTGGGTCGATTGAATCTTCTCACACCAGAAAGAGTGAAGGCTTCTGCGGCGGAGATCAGAACAGGTGAACTAATTCGCTTGGAGTACGTGAGATCATGCCTGGAATCTATGCTACCTTTCTAAAAAAAATTACTCCAGTCTTCCCCTCGACGTCCCGAAAAAGCCTGCATTTGAACGCGAAACCTTCATTCATAACATCAAGACTCTCACGAAGGATGTCGTATTCGATGACACCTACGCCCTCAATACACAGAGTGGAACCCAATGGGATGGATTCAGGCATGTGAGTACATTACAGCTATACAAGTATCGCAAGAAAAATTGTCTTCAAGTTACTGAGAAATCATAGTTTGCACACATTCCCACCAAGAGCTTTTACAACGGCGTAAGTACTAACTAGCTTCAAATGTTTATTCCATGGAGCCGATTCTAATGGCATTTGACAGGCGACAAGCAAGGACATCATAGGCGAGGCTGCGAATCATAAATGCAGCATCCACCATTGGGCCGTCCACGGTGTTGCAGGACGCGGCGTCCTCCTAGATTACCGCCACTACGCCCAAACTCATAACAAGTCCTATGATCCCTACACTACTCACGCAATTACCTTATCAGAGCTTCAAGCATGCGGAAAATTACAGGGTCTAGATCTCCGCCCCGAGTCCCAGGGTGGTGACATCCGAGTCGGAGATTTTCTCCTTATTCGGTCTGGTTTTATACAGCGCTATGGTGAACTCAGCCCCGAGGATCGGTACACCGCGGCGACCCGCTCTCATGGTGATCTGGGATTTGCAGGCGTATCGCGAGACGCTGATATGCGCGAGTGGTTGCATGACAGCTATTTCGCAGGTGTCATGGGTGATTCACCTACGTTCGAGGCTTGGCCTGTTCCTGAAGGTGATTTCTTACATATGAGTCTTCTGGCCCTTTGGGGCTGTCCTATTGGGGAGATGTGGGATCTGGAGACCCTGGCTGTGAGATGTAGGGAATTAGGCAAATGGACCTTTTTCCTGACGAGTGCCCCGGCTAACATGCCAGGTATGTATTCAGACTCCAACTTTGATCTTAATGATCCATTTGTGGTTTCCCTGTGATGCTAACTTTTTTTTAATTAGGTGGTGTTGGTTCGCATGCTAATGCGACAGCAATTCTATAATGGCTTGAGGAAGGAGTGAATTAACACGTAAGAAACTTAGTTCTTTGAGAATCATTATACATGGGTATTGGATGTGTTTGCTCTAAGCCTCCTGAACGCTGTTTAGTTCCGTAATATGGGCCATGTCCTTTTCGTCCGGCGAAGTTGGCTCCGTAAATTCTGAATGTTGGTACCCTTGGAAGACAAATTAGCTCATATCACAGAATGGCCTGAACTAAAGACTCACCTTTAAATTCGCGAGCGGATACACCACGCTGGAATATCTCATGGATTTCTTCCAAGGTTCGACCAGATGTTTCTGGCAAAAAGAAAAATATCCATACAGCAGCCGCAACCATCAAGCCACCGTATATAAACCCAATTTTGGCGTTCAAGGCGGCTCCACCGTCACCAAAAAGGTAGGGGAAAGTAAATGTTACCAGCCAGCTACAGAACCAACTTGTCCCACTTGATGTAGCCATAAGCCTGCTGCGATTAGGACCAGTGGATATCTCAGACGTGACCACCCAGACAGCTGGCCCCAAGGCAAGGTTAAAGACAACCATGAAGATATAGACCATTGCAACAATTGCTTGGTCCAGTGCTTTAGTCTTGTCTGGTGCTGAGCCGGCACCACCAACAATGAGCAGCACTGCAGCGACTGCACACGTTGACAGAATTAGCATTGGACGACGACCAAATCGCTCCACGCAGTATTGATTGAGCCAGACGGCTGGCATTGGGGTCAGATACAATCCCATCTGAATGAGAAAGGAATTCGTTATCCCAATCGCTTCGAAGAACAAAACACCATAGCTGGTGATAAAGTTGATACCAGAGGCTTGTTGCCAGGCTATAATAAAAGCATGAGCTGTGAAAAAAATCAATCGGTTGATATAATGGTCATTTCTTACCCTGAAGTGCCATCCCCAGGTAGGCCTTGCGGCCATCAATATTCCAAGTTAAAAGATCTTTCCAAGAGCCGACAGACATACGCTCTTCTTCTATGAGTTGCATTATCTCGCGGATTTCACTTTCGATAAAATCTGGGCGATAACCATGTAACTTTCGAAGGGCGATTCGGGCTTTCTCAATTTTCCCTTTGCCCAATAACCATCGGGGTGATTCAGGCGCAAAGGAGAGAAGACCAGGAATTGTAATTATTGGAAACACGAGTTGAACGGCCATTGGAATGCGGTAGGCGCCACTGTCAGTGCGATCTTTGGTTGCCTCATCGACCAGTATTCCAAGAAGTAGTCCTAGTCCGACATTGAATTGATAGAGTGAGACCAATGCACCGCGAAATCGAGCTGGAGAGCAGTCTGCGACATATAGAGGGACCAGGCAGGAGATCAATCCAACAGCGTAGCCTTAGGATGAGGATGTTAGTATATCTGGCCGCAGAACAACCAATGATCGCGATTGACTTACCCAGGAATAAACGCCCAACAATCAGCAAAGAAATCTTAGGTGCAGAAACTTGGAAGATCACGCCTATCAACACACAAGTACTGGACACGAATAGTCCGCCACGACGACCGATTTTATCATCTACCATGAACGACGAAACCGCCCCAATGAATTCGCCAATGTTGATAATGCTCGTGGTGAGAGATTCGATACTGGAGCTGATGGCATAGGCTCCTGTAGCATCATCAAAATTGCCATAGTCTTGGAGGAACGGCTCCATGACAAGGATACCTAACATATGTGAGTTACATGTTTGACTGAGAGGAAAAATTATTTCACCGACCTGAATAATATGAAGAATCAAACCCAAACTGAAAAGCAGCGATTGTGATAAACAGACAAATCGCAATTGCCCGCCATTCAGCGCGAGCACTGGTCGCAACTGACATTTGGGCTGTCATCTTTCGCGGCGAAGCGCAAGCGACCGAAAAAAAGGAGCATCAATCTCAAGAACTTGGTAGGATCATGACTCTTTTCCTATATGCATCACCTCCTTAGACTAGACCCTCGGATCGCGCGGGGGTGAACCTTGATAAATGAGCATTGAAAGTTTCCCCCGGGTTGACGGGAATGAAGAAGTTGGGGTAGCGGGGCCGGAGTTCTCCTAATGTGATCTAGAATGTTGAAATCTCCATACATCCACGTAATCCACGTGATTATACACGTAATTTAACCACGCTGAAGTGGGTTGAAAGGTATTGATTGGCTTATGCAGTGGAGTGTTTATTATTCCTCAGTTTAGGCTTAGTGCTCAACCACTCTTGACTTCTTCATATGTTCTAGAATCCAAGTACATCGAATGTTTCTGGAATTGTATGGAAAGTAAGACTCATATCGATTCATACACCCAGGCTATTGAGTCCAACCATGACCGTTTCACACAATTTGCAATCTTCAGCGACCGATATCGGCGATGTTCCGGTGGAAGTTGTTCTTCCTACACATACCAATCCATCCTATGAACAGCGTATAATCGGCAAAGCATCGTTGATAAATGGAATCGAGGAATTTCGGGGGATTCCCTACGGAATTGTTCCAGCAAGATGGCAACATTCTTCGCTTCGGGACCGAGTACCTGACGATATCCTCTACGCTACTAAGAACGGGTAAGCAAAACTTGAAGTCATCAACCTTGAGGTTCTAGTCATGACAGAGGACTGATGAAAATAATAATATCCAAGTCCACGTTGTCCACAGGAACAAGAGCCGAACAACAGCGAATATTTCCAGTCGCATCTGGACTTCCCGGATGATGTCGCAGAGTCGGAATTTGACTGCTTGAATCTGTTTATTACCAGACCGAGTGCGTCTGCACTTGATGCGGTCGGTATCGATCCCAAACTGGCAAAGCTGCCAGTCTATGCCTATCTTCATGGAGGGGCTTACAGCTTTGGAGCAGGGACTGATCCCATGTGGGGTAGGCGACTTCCCCGCTGAGAGAGATTCGCAATCATTGACAATAGATGAATAGATCCTGCAAGATTGGTCAAGCGATCTGTCGAGGTGGGAACACCAATTCTGGCTGCGACAATCAACTATCGACTGGGTATATTTGGCTTCGGAGCTGCATCAGAACTCATCCAAGTGCAACCTGACGGCCAACTTAAGGGATGCAATTTCGGCCTAGCTGACCAACGCGTCGCACTTCGATGGGTAAAGCGTAATATTGCCGCTTTTGGTGGAAACAGTAATCAAATCACTGTTGGTGGTCAATCTGCGGGTGGAAGCTCTTCACATGCTCTTATACTCGAGTCGGTCTTTGGGAAACGAGAGCCTCTCGCTCAACGCGCGATTGCCCAATCTGGTGCTCTTGGGGTTGTCGGGCCTGTGTCAATGAAAGTCGCAAATGAGCGATGGGCTATATTTTGTGATAAAATTGGAGCGCCTGACTCAGATTCGAGCGCTCGTCTCAAGTTCATGACTGACGTACCCGCCGAAGACCTTGTCAAGACGTTTCATGAACTGAACTGGTTGATTAGTCCGCTCGTTGTGGATGGTCTCACTATTTTGGAAAAGTCGAATGGTCGCTGGGATATACGCCTGGATGGAAACGAAGAACCTGTAACAGATGCTCCAATAAATGATTCTGAGGTCATCTCTGTTCTTATTGGAGACACAGATCTTGAGGTAAGTCGCAGCTTCAGTATGAAGAGCTATGTAGTCATATATGCTAAAATACAAATAGGGTCGAATGCATTTTGATTCTGTGTCTCGCATTACAACATTCAATCAAATCGAAGAGAAACTAGCAAATAAAAGCCCTGTGGAGTTTCTGGATGAGTTTTATCAGGTCTACGGTCTACACCAAAACATGTCAACGGCCGATATACAGAAACAATTGTTCCACTTCTTGTCCGACTTCCAATTTGGCTATCCTGTTCAACTTGCCCGGGAGGAACTGATGCAATTCGGTCACTCGAAGAAAAGACAAGCGTCAGACCCCACGGCACGTCCCACGCTAGTACAATCATATCGAGTGAATTTTGGCAATCCATTCCCTGGGTTAAACTTCCAACAACCTCACCACTGCGTCGACCTGATATACATATACGACTGTTTTGAAGAAGCATTAAATGCCGTGGATGAATCATTGCCCGCAGAAGTTGTGAAGAACAGAGTCTTGGTTCGCCGTATGCAAGACGACTGGATTAGATTCATCGCTGCTCCACTGGATACGACACAGAATGAGTCGGCAACAAACTACAATGCGGACAGAACGACATCGATAGTGAACATAAAATTGGATCCTGAGTGGTGTGCAAGGCAAAAGAGATTCGATCTTCTGAGCAGATATCGACATGTTGCAAGTCAAGTGATGGGAGAACTGATTAGGGTTGAGCATTAGTTTTAATCTTTAATCTTGTACCTTGAAGCTTGGAATTTCAAGTAGCGAATATTCAAGTTGATCTGAGCTCCCACACTCAACAGGATTGACGCATTGGGCCCTCTGTGATGTACTATCGAATGACAAATGTATTGCCGGTGAAGCCTCAAGTGACTAGTGCCAGGCGGTCGGAGATCCAATCAATAATGGGTCATCTCCACTCTTTCTCCTTCTCCTCATGATAATACAAAGCTCTTGAGCTGTAAACTTCCCATCAATTCTTGCCATCCATTGTATATTCTTTCAAGCCCAATATCATGAACATGGATGGTTCATTTTCAGGGCAAGGGATTCTCCGCTTACTCATCGGAAATGAACCGACCTTGGAAAGGCGCAGGACCACAGGAACCCGTCCTAGTGTTTCGGATCAGACAACAACCTCCTTTCTAATTTCTATCTCGATCCAGGAATTTATCACGCGCTAGAAGGATCAAGGGAAGAAGAACTATGCACATTTAATATCAGCGGTCTTAATTCTCTACTCTACTGAGCCCAACCACTCTTTTCTGGCTCCGTGCTGTCCCTCCTACTCCCTTTCTAGATACCCGCCCGCCCCCAAACGAGTTACAGACAGCGCGTTCAACAAAATGCCATCCCTATCGGCTTTTCCATCGCTAAAGAGCGTCCTTAAGGGCGATGCGACTCTATTGAAACGCGACGATAAACCCACCAGCGATGCGCTCACGATCGGTGTACCAGCCGCGATAGGAGGAGTGTCAGTGAATACGATTCCAATGATGCGATGCGATGGATACTGACTCTTTCTCAGGCTCCTCATTTGCGCCTTCATCACCTTGGGTGTTCTCTATTACCGACGTTACAAGAAGGACAAACAAGAAAACCTAGCGGATGCGCAGTGGACCGAACAAGAAGATTGGGACGACGAGGTCCCTAAGGTCAACAATCGACGAGACTATAGGCCATACGATTCCAGCTCTGTGGACCAGAGCAGACTTGCAGCTCTACCGAATGCCTCGCCCCTAAGTTCAGCGGAATCGATTCATGGGTTCCAACACCAAAACCCATCGTACCAATTATCGACCTGGGACTCTCCTGAGGATGGACGGCGCCATGATTCAGAACGGGCTTAGTCTGGCAAGGAAATTTCTATTTTAAATGACTATCGTTTTTTCTTCACTCACATTCTGACTACTTTGAATGCATACGGCTCTATTTTTGGCTCCCTGGTGGAGAACAGAGCTTATCAACTGGTCTCCCAAGACACATGATGAACACTGTGAAATACATTTGTACTTTTAGCTGGCGAAGCGGGCTGGTAACTAAACTGTTTTGAATAATTTGATGACTTTACATGGATTTCTAAGTCAGTTCTCACATAAGCTACGTCTCCAAATGGGTTACAACTCTGCGATTTGCTGCGATGTTGCCTAATCCTTACGTTTTCCCTACCGAAGCCATCCCTTGGATCCTTTCCCAGTCAATCTACCACCGTTGAAACAATACTACCTCCTTCCAAGGTTCCCGCCCGTCTTCTCGAGCCGTGTCACATCTCGCAAACCGTATCCCAAGAAACGGATCGAACCCTGCACGTAACATCCATACATCCAACAGGCCCGGGCACTCTTGATTGAGACAGTCTTCTGTAGTTGGAAATGCTCCATATAATCACGCAGATATCCTCATCTCGCTCTTTGGGTGGAGAAAGTTGACCGCTTATAACCACACATACTCCATATAGCACCATGAATTATACAATGCAGACCAAGGCCTCAGCAGAGCGTCTGCACCCAACATTGAATACTTCAATTTCCATCCCAAATACTAGTATTTCTCCGATGATCTCAAACTTGAACTCTCACGTGCCGTATTGACTGCTTGGTTATCCTGTTACTCTCCGTTGGTTGGACTATCCTCCCTCTCTCACTTGAATCGTGCAAAGACTCCAAACGTTCGCGACGACAGAATGGCTTCCTCCCAGCGCGAGATACTATCTAACGAAGCAGTTCCTATTGACTACACCATCCAACTAGAGCCAAACATCGATGCCAAAACTTTCACTGGCTCAATGGATATTAGGTAAATGTTCACACCTCGTCGTCGCTTCATTCAAGTTACCCTGCTGATCACTAACATGTGAACCGACCATAGACTACGAGCCTTTTCAGAGGTCCAATGGCTTCAACTAAACAGCGTTGATCTTCGCATCAAGAAAAAAGTCTTGCATGACAATATCTCCAGCCTGCGCCCGTCGGACTCGAAGAAAATCAAATGGAGGTGAGTCCTGTTACAGTCAAGTTTGAGTATCGGATCCACAACTTATATGTCATGATACTCATATAGGCAAATGATATTAGGCTAGACATATCTAAACAAATTCTGACCCTGAAGCTTGGTCGAGCTATCTCGGGGAAGGAGTTCATTGTGCATATTGATTTCAACGGCACTATCAGCAAAGACGTGGCTGGTTTCTACAGCACCGAATACAAAGACTCCGAAGATGTTCAGCACAAACTCCTTGTGACGCATATGGAGCCGAGCTATTGCCGTCGAGTAAGAGAAAACACAATATCCACACTTTGGTTGTGATTACTGATAAATTTGTCAAAATGTTCTTAGGTTTTTCCTTGCTTCGATGAACCCATTGAGAAAGCATCATTTACCATGGAGGTTGTTGTTCCTTCTGGCCTTGCTTGCCTTTCCAATATGCCATTAGAGAAGAAGACGTTGCTTCCTAATGGCAAAGTCCAGACAACTTTCAAAAAAACTCCACTTATGTCCACTTACGTGAGTATCTCAGCGAATCACTTTCATTATCTTCACCCTCTTACACTGACCAAACATTAGTTGGTTGCCATCGCCATAGGCAGGTTCGACTCTATTCAAAGTAGAGAGAATACCCGGGTCCCTATCAAGCTTTATGCGCCACTGGGGTTAGCATCACAAGGGGAATTTGCGCTTGATATTGCCGCTAAGGGTCTTCGGTTTTTCGAGAAGACATTCAGCTGTGATTATCCACTACCGAAGCTAGACCTTGTCGCAATACCAAATTTTGAGATAAAAGCAATGGAGAACTGGGGCCTAATCGTTTATCGTTCATCGGATTTATTGGTTGATACAGAGGTCACGGGCAAGAGAAAAATCGCTGAGATCACACTCCATGAGGTCGCACATCAATGGTTTGGAAATTTGGTGACAATACGATCTTGGGATAGCCTATGGCTGAAGGAGGGATTTGCAAACTGGATGTCTTGGTTTGCAACTCACCATTTCTTCCCCGAGTGGTGTATCTGGCGGGACCATGTTGCATTCACTCTTCAGTCTGCCTTGGAGATGGATGCTCTGCGATCAAGTCACCCAGTTGAAACTCAATCCATGATGTGAACGGACCAAGCTTTTGATGATATTTCGTACAACAAAGGGTCCTACATCTTGAGGATGATCTCAACGGCTCTGGGGGAGGATGTTTTTCTGAGTGGTGTCCGACTCTACCTACAACGACATCGCTTTGCTAACGCTTCCACAAATGATCTTTGGGATGCACTGCATGAGGTTAGCAAAGTCGATATTTCGAAGAACATGTCTACTTGGACGCGTCGGGTTGGGTTTCTCGTTATCTTCGTTGAAGAGGTTGCCGAAGCGGGTCATCTTTTGATCAAGCTCACCCAAAGGCGATACCTTTCTGATGAGAGTCAGACTGAAACCAAAGACTCCGAGTCCCCTGAGATCTACCCTATCTCTGTCATAGTCAAAACTAAATCTGGCATTCAGAGTCATGATTTTTTGACTAGACATATGTCCTTTACAATCGATGACCCCGGTTTCTTCAAGATAAATGTGGACCATGTTGGGTTTTACAGGACTGCATATTCAATGAAGCGCCTTCAAACTTTCGGACTAGCTGCTAAAGAAGGACTTCTGAGCGTGGAGGACCGCATTGGAATTCTGGCAGATGCTTCTGCACTTTCCATTTCTGGGCAGCAGGATACTACAGCTCTTCTGGACCTTTTGCTTGAAATGAGAGAAGAGCCAGAGTATCTTGTCTGGCACCGCATCATAATCGTTTTGAGAGACCTTCGCTTTGCTCTTCGCTTTGCTCTTCGCTTTAAGGACGACGCGATACAAGCCGGTTTGATGAAGCTCTCTTGCCATATAGTTGATTTGAAGCTGCGGGAAATAGGGTTCGAAATTAAGCCTGATGATGACGGAGACACCCAGAACCTCAAGCAGTTGATTTACGAAACTGCTGTGATGTCTGGCAATCAGAGGTGAGTTTTGAAAAAAAAAAACGTTTTCTCGGTATTAGCTAACTTTATTCATTGTCTGCAGTGTTATCTCCAAGGCAAAATCAATGTTCAAATCGTATTGCCGTGGGAATTCAGAGGCACTTCATCCTGCTCTTCGAAACGCCACATATGTTCTTATTCTGGGGAATGGGGTCGATTCATACCATGCTTACCTGAAACATCTTTATGACAAGGCCTCGTCAGAAGAAGAGAAATCCATAATTCGTGGTTATCTTGACTGCATAGCCGCTCAACCTGGACGTCAGCGAACTTTGAATTCTGCCTTCGCTTCCCTCGTTTAAGATCAAGATGTAAGCGCATATGCATATGGAAACTATTCTATTTCACAATAAAATCTCTAACATAGTCTAGCTTCTTCTTACTCTTTGGTGCTTGTCTCACAGTGCTGATTGATCCTGGGAAATATGGGATTGGGCAAATCAATATTGGGAGGATATCGTCAGCAAAAACCCCAAGAGGCTCCATCTGATAATCCAAGCTCTACTCGATGGGTTTTCCACAGATTACCATGTCTCTATGGCGCACAAGTTTTTCTCTGAGAGAGACACGCGCAGGTATGACCAGTATGTGAATCAAGCAATGGAGATTTTGCGGATTCGAAATCGGTGGGTCAAGCGCGACTCTGGTGATATTGCTCAATGGCTCAAACGCCACTCCTTCACTGTTTGAGACACAAGACTTTGGCCACTTTTGCCTCCTTTATTTTCGGGTTTCATACTTTCGTTGCCTGGTAAAGTCCCCTTTCCTAGCATTCGAAAAGAAGAAGAAAAAAGGGAAACGGGGAAATTGAACTGAAACGTCACTTTGGAAGGTGACGGTCCAACATGCAATAGATACCGAAACATTCAATATGTTCTCAAGTGATTTATTGATACATTTTAGGTAGAGAATCAAAAGCAAATTCGAATCTTTGAACCAATAGGCTACTCTGATGAAAACTCTGATGTATCCTCTGCGCGTAATTTCTTCGTCTCATAGACATCATCGTTCTCTTCAAGACCTCGCTTTTCCAGGTTTCTTTCAGGGTGTAAAAGCTCTTTTATTTTTGAAAGAGCTGCCAGGTCCCATCAACCGTCTCTATTTGTGATTCTTTAACCCAGCCATTTGTAAAACCACCTCCATAATCGATGATCCAAGCATCATTGCTCCTACTATCGATCAAAATATTGGCCGCTTTGGCATCACCCCAAACGATACCAGCCTCATGTAATCTTTTGATTGTATGAGATATCTGCCTCCACCACTGTTCTCTTGGGAGGGACAGCGTTTCCGACTCGGAGTTTAGAATGCATTCCAAGTTCTCATTTCCACATTCAATCCACGAAAGAAGAAACCCAATTACCACTGGGTTATCTTTGTCTCGAACAACATCATGCAAGAATGGAACTCTGATCTCTTCTTCAGAAAAGACTTCTTCTACTCTCCTGTAGATGTCGATTTCTCGTAAAGCCGCTAACTGATTTCCCGTGTAGATTGGCTTGAAGTGATAAAAAGTTCCTTTAACAGAAACCTTTCTTGGGAATCGAGAAATTGCCTCATCAACGCTTGGGTGTTCGATTTCTATGTCTTCTGGGTAAAGTGAAAGCCATTTTGGAGATAGTTTTTCCTGGCTGATCGCGATTCCATCTGACATCTGTTCACCAGGGACCGCATAGTCTAAGACAGGCTGAATCCTCCCCTCTTGGCCATATATTTGATACCGATAAGTTTCAGGGGTAAGGTAGTCCTGAAGTGTCACACGGTCTTGCCAGTGACTTAGAAGTTTGAGTTTCTCGAATATCTCAAGGAAGGGCTCCATAGCCCAATCTTGAAGATCTTGCTCTGCTTCCTCAGAGACATCAAACTCATCTTCATCACAGACATCTTCCATCAACCTCGTATATTTTTCAAGGAGCTCCGGCACTGCACTGAAGTTAAGTTTTTTGGCGATAATTGAACAGAAACTAATTGAACAGAAACATTTGCCCTTGCAAATCACACTTATCGCTGCTGTTTTGTGTTCGCTATGTAGCATGATTTCTTTGAAAGACCAAATAGGACTCTCTGTATCTTCTGAACTCATGGTTGGTGTAGACATGACCGTTCTCAATGGTCTGCGGAAACAGGAATCGATGGATAGTTGATTCTGGTTTTTTTCGTTACTATTTAACGATAGACGAGTGATGCTGGCAGCCTCCACATGTGAACATACTAGGACAGGCAAAATGACATTCGTCCGAAAGTATTATAGGCTCAAGTTCAGTCCCCTGATAATCAAGTTGGTCCAAGCCCTGGAGGTAAATTGTAGGTGCACTAGCTAAAAACATTCCTAACGTTTCACCGCTCAATATTTAGCAGTGAATTCAATCTTACAGGGTAATATACCGTACATCCTACCCAGCTGCCCAGGTGGTCAACGGTCCTCAACTTATTGCGGTCCAACAATGAAATATTTGCAGGAAAGGGTGGAAGCTGTTTCGCTATCGACTGTAATTTCTCTACACGTCAGGAGACTACGTAGTACCTATCTAGGTAGATATTTGTACATGACATACACCGATTCTGTGCAAAGATATGGCACCAATATCATTTGTCAACTAGCTGAACACATTTCAAGCAACAAATTGCATCAGGTATAGCACACCTAGTCTGATGATCATGTTCGGTGAGATGATTTGCAATATATTTCAAGGTAGACACAAAAAGACCATCTCCAGCGCTTGAGGCGAGTAGTAGAATGAGTTTTCCATAGGCCCATGTGTCATTCAACTCACGCACTTGGGGTGAGAGGTCTAGTGTATCAATTTCGTCCCTGAATTCCGGTGCTCGCCACTCATGTGTGATTCCACCAATGGCGCTGACATCGATCAAGATCGCGTCGCCGTCTCCGTTGACCACCACGTTTGAAGGTTTCAGATCCATGTGAGTCTTCTTCGCCATGTGAAAATGATGTAAGGCAATGCCAATCTGGACGGGCCATCGCTCCCAAGGAAAAGCTTTCATACATTGCCCATCGAGTATGTGCTGCAAAGAACCACTGCTGTGATATTCCAGCAAGATGCCACTGATGACCCACTGGCATTGATGGGTACACATGATTTGGAGGTCACATACGGGTTTGCAGACACTGATATTCCAGCAGCCTGCACGATTCCTGGCGTACCTTTGAATTCCTGAAGATTTTCGAGCTCTCTTTCTATCACTTCTGTATCACGAGGCTGATACAAAGGGCGATTGATAACTTTCAGTATAGATTATAGCTCGGCCTTGTGGCAGACACGGAAAACACCGTCAGTGATTTCTTCCTCAATCACAAGTTCCGAAGTCCGGATTGCAGGAAATGAGGGGAATTGAGAAACAGGCGGATAAATGACTCTCAACGGGTCTTCTCGGATTGAAAGACTTAGTTGACCGATGAATTGTGACATTGTCATATCTTCAGCTCCGGTTTGTACATCGGGCGTATGTAAAGTGGTTTTAGTTTTAGCCTCTTCATCTAACAGCACCTCGGTCACGGTGTCCTTCAGCAAGGGAAGCGATCGATAGTCAATTAATTTAATGAACTCTTGGTATTCTTGACGTCGCTCACGTTTTCGTCTGCTTCTGCTATAGGGAAAATCACCCCTAAAAGTTACCTTAATCCACCATTTCTCGCCTGAGAGATGGTATATGAATGTCTGTGAGCGAATGCTAGGCTCTGGCTTTCCCTGGGTGAGATGATCCTCATCTTCATGATACGCTTTCAGCTCAAAGGAAGGAGTATAGCAAGGGGAGGTTGAAGCCAAGTCGACCGGCATGATAGGATTTTTGGATATTGAAGAGAAGTCAAGACCAGGTTAGCGCCAATTTTTGAACTCGGAGTCAAACTTAGAAAGGGATGTGCAAGGGGTACAAATTAACTATGCTGAGCACGTGATATTATGGCATGGGTGATTGGGACCTTTACCATGCCCGTTAACCCAAGAACTGTATGTCTGGGTTGGTTGGGTATAACTTGAAAGGTTGAATGTTTGGTTCGAAAGGTCTTGTAGTAGGCTTTTTGTCTCACAACGAAAAATTAATGGAGCGATAGTCTAGTGGCCCACAGGTGCAAGGCTTTCAAGGATTGGTCTGATAAATTGAATATGATAAACAGTATAAACAGATCAACGACATTTGAATGCATTGAAGAATTAAATGGACAATATGTATATGCAGTAATTTTTACACTGTGCAAATCATCTACGATGATCATGAATTATGCTCCTCATTTGATGATTTCTCCTTTGTTGAGGCGTGGGAGAAAGATCGAGTAGTAGAGGAGTGGGTTTCTGTCGGGTGAGACAGGAAGGACTGATTGAACTCGGTACTCAAGCTACGACCTCCAGTCTGTTCGTAGGAGGTCTCCTGAGTCTGATAATTTTCCTGGCTTTGATTTTGGTAATGAGACACATTGTAGGTGCCAGAGTCCTGAGTCATGATGGTGGGGAGGGAGAACGGGGATGTAGGTTGGTAGGCTCCACTAGCAGCGGCTCCCATCATCGGGGTATCAGAGATGGGACTAATACCGCTACGAACCGAGGAGAGACGTCGAAGCTCATTGTTGAACGCGTTGTCTTCCACATCGTGGATAGAAGTACCTGCCTTGCGGTGACCAGTGGAGAGACCACGAGAGATCTTTGAGCCACCATCACCGACTCCCAGATAGCTCTTGCCGGAGATGCTAGTGCTGTTACTTTTTGTGCGGTGGAGACCATCTTCGCCAGGAATTTCAAGCGCAGAAGCCCGAGAGTTGAGCTTGTTAGCCATAGCAGCTTCGCTGTCTTGTGCCTTCTCACGCTTGTGCAGGGTGCCGGAGGATTGTTGACCTCTGTCAAATCCAGAAGCCGCGGCGGTATTGGAGGTAAGAGTTTCCTGAGACTTCAGAGCATCAGCCGCAACAACAGCAGCGGCGGTGGTTGTTGGAACAACGCCAACACCGGGTTCGGTCTCAGCTGCACCCTTGTCGGACTTGTCATCATCATCCTTCTCCTCTTCCTCACGTTTCTCTCCAGGGGATCTGATCTTGAGCTTGCGCAGCGCAAGAACCAAAGCGCACATGAACTTGGAACGTCGAGTAGCACGGACAACTTCGTTGGACCAGTTAGACTTGTGACGAATATCAACCCGAATTTGAAGCTTGTCCACCTCATCACCAACACCGACAATCTCAATATTGATATCAGAGTGGAAGTCTCGAGAATTTTCCTTATCACGAACGAAGAGTTCCATTTCTTCGCGCAGAGCCTCAACTTCAGCAAATGTGGTATCAAAAGCGACAGCTACCTTGAGCTGCTCATGCATAGAATTGGAGCGAGTGAAGTTGTCGACCCAAAGGCTGTTCAGAATGTTATTAGGTACCTGAGTCATGCGGTGGTCGTTCACGTTGCGGAACACAGAGTAGAGCAATGAAATCCGCTCGACGATATAAGGTTTATCGCTAACCTCCACGCGATCGCCAATATCAAAGGGGTGCTTCACGAATAAGAACACGCAGGAACCCAGCACCTCAGCTGCCGTGGTCGAGAATGCAAAACTGACAGAGAGTAGGGCAGATGCACCGGTAGTGATAATAGTATGTAAACCACTAGTCACAAATGAGATAAAAACCAAAACTCCAAGAACGCCGGCAATACACATCAAGAGACCATCCAGGACACGAATTGCCTGGTCAACGTCGTGCATGCTATGGTTCAGAGCCTTGCGGATACGACCAAACTCAGTGATAGTGAGAATCATCTCATCCAAGCTAATGTCTCCATTACCGTCCTTGTCGATGGCATTGAAGCATTCCTCGGCCTCAACCTGATAATCAGGGCCAAGAACCTCGGTAATATCCTCCATGTATAACGCATCACGGCCCTCAACAACAAATGAGAGCCAGATACGGCGAGCCATCGCGGCGGCACAGCGCTTACGCTCAAGAGCCTGGATCACGATAGAGTGTGTAGCATTGGGGTTAAAAACTTGTTTGCCAGTAAGTTCTGCAGCGACATTACCAAAGGCAGATGTCACCTTATCACCAATACGGCCAACATTCTGTCCGACCTGTCGACCGACATTCTGAACCATCCGCAGCGGCATGATGTTGCTGCGCCCCTTTTGTAACCTTGGTGGTCGCCTGGTTCAATAGGGAGTCGAAAATCATATTGTCTTCCTCGCGAAACTCGGGGCAGTACATTGGGAAGATTTTGCGCGAAGCATCAAACAACACACTGACCAAGTGAACATTGCGTTTCGACTCCTTGATCTTCGCATCGAACTGCTTTCGGTGATAGCTGATGGAAATAAGTTGGACCACAGCCTTTTCAACCATATAGATCAGACTGCAAATAAGAAGACCAAAAAGGATGTTCTTAATGCTACTTTCCCAGCTAGAGACATCGCTACTATTTCCAGCTCCAAATCGCATGATCTATATCCTTTTGATTAGTTTTTCCCATCCTTTTTTTTCAACAGCTATTCTCAAAGCTGGGAAGATCTTGTAAACATACCGGCAAGAAAGTTACAAGCGCAATGACATTCCAAAGTACCAAGGTGAGGGGCGTTTCCAAGGCCCGCAAAATGAGTGCATATTTGCGGGTGCCAGAACTGACAACACCGCAGAGAGATTGGAAGACATAGGGGAAGAATTGCGCAAAGACTTTGCACCCCCACAAGCTAACCCAAAGCACCTCAATCCAAGTGAAAAACCAATAGATATGTACGCCACCAATCTCAGCATTCGGTGCCGCGGTCGCACCCACGATGATAGGAATCGCAATCAGAAGACCGATAGGAACCACGTAAATGGCGTAGCGAGTAATGATCGAGAAGTTGTAAAAAGCCTGGTAGAAGCGACCGATTCGGTTGATCGTACCGTCGAGGGGAGAATCCGAATCCTTTTCATTAGTTTCGAATGTGGTGCGACGACGACCTATGCCCTCCTTGATGGCGGAACCATCCTCATTTTCTTCATTAGGGGAGATCGCGCTGCTAGATCCCCATTTCTCCCCGCTTTGTTGTCCGTGGCTCGCGTGACTTGGGTGACTCTGTAGCGGGATATCAATTGTGACGTCGTTCGGGTTGGTCATCCCGGAATTCCCGTGGAAAAGGTCGGGCATCTGTTGAAACCGAGAATTGCTCGAAGCAATTTTCAAAATTCTCAGGCATAATGATAAGAGGCGGGTCTGGCACCTTTAAAGGCTTAAAGGGACCTGGACTTTGATCGGATTTGCCCTGAATGGATTGAATGGATCCCAGGACTGGTTAGCTCCATCCACCATCGAGCCCTAGAGTGGATGCTCTGGCGTCCGAGCCAGTCCTGTTAGCAACCTAGTTTGTTCTCCGCTTGGAACGCGTAAGCTCGCTTCCGTGTCTGAGTGGGGATGGACTACGGACTTTTGTCGTAAGGCGAAGAGTGGTCAAAGTTGAGACAGCCAAGAGAGAAAAAAATGGGACTCTAGGGTCCACTTTGGAGTTGTGAATGATGTGTCTGTCACATCATTTCGTGCATAGATCTACGGAGATACATGTACCGGGGAAAAGTTAATTAGCATATACTACTTGATTATGGAAAGTGGCGTTGTTTCACTATGTTTTCCAGGGTTCATTGAAGTAAAAAATCTCTGAAGCACGGAACAACCCCGATTCAGATGGTCTAAGTGGCGTTTTCTCGGCATTTTCTCAGCTTTAATTTCAATATCTCCAATATCTAGGCCCACTTATTCTCCACTGGGCGTTCAAATGTGATCCTCTAATCATGTCCCTGAATTTATGTCCCTGGATAGCGGACACCATCACCGAACGGTCCAAGAGTGATTAAAGTACCCCCACTAAGTTGATTACTATCGAATTATTAGTCTGTATAGAGTACGGAGCATGAAGTACATGTATTCCATAGTCTCCAGCTGTACCAAATCGATGCATTAAAGATGAAAACGGAAATCTAGTGACTCAGCACGGTCCAAAAAAGGGGCTCCGAGGCTGCATAATTTAGCCTCAACTGAGCATAATTCTAGCTCTACTCAAATGATAACCTTGGAAGAGACTAATATTCTCATCTAAAGATCTATCATCCAAGCTAGCAGTAATCTTTGCATCAATTAATGATTTTCAAGGACGGAGTTCTCCGTATGCAGTACCAAGGTTGAACATTGGAGTAAATCGATAGCAACCATGGATCGGCGACTTGAACTATTAATATAGTAGATGCTAGTGCGGGTTGAATTTCCGTGCCTTACATCTCATATTTCAACTTGAACATTCTCCAGATCAACTCACTCTAAGACTTCACCAAAGGCACAACGACCTAACTTGAATCTCAGATATCGAGGGCGCTTGGGATAAATAGCACTTTTTTATCCACTTTCTTTTCTCCCAACTACTATATCATGATTACGGTATATCGAACATTCGAACCTCCAAGCTTTCCAAGGGTATTTGCTTTGTATGCTCCTGTGAAAAGGGAATGGGCGACAGCTTCGGAGACCATTACGGTATAAATCAACCCTGAAAATGCGCTTTGAGTCTTGTATTTCAAACATTTGATTTTTTTTCAAACAATCTACAGCCACCTCTACTTTCTTTTACTGATTTCAACCTACTATGATTTATACTTCACTCATCATATGCCCAGGTGATCACGTGTAGTTCACCAGTTGACCTATCTACCAACCTTGGAAGTTGATTTCCGCATGGACATTTCAGATGAGCGATGTTTCATTCGACATCCCTTTTATCATATTCAAGGGTTACTAGTAATTATTGACTACAGCATAGAACTCAGTCACTCACCGGAAGAAAATGGTCACCTACACGGATTCCGAGGTTATTGGTAGCCTTGTAGCCTTGGGGGCCCTACGTAGGAAGCTGACAAATTAACAATCACCTCATACCACTTCAACCAATCACCATGGAGCCACCTTTATCGTTGATCCTCATTAATAATTATTCGTCTGATGCTCAAGGCCGAGATGCCGAGATCCAATATTGAAGGTGTGACTATACACAAGGCTGGCTCATGGGAGTTCAAGGCCAGCGCATTTAAAGATGGCATTAAGCTTCATTTTCAATGGTCATACAGATAAGAAAAGCCGAAGTTCACTGGAATCACGGGCTAATTATCAGGATTTCAATATCTAAGACCCTCGATCATGTCTACCCATGTAGAACAACCCATCTTGAGCGCCAAACCTGAAAGCTCCATACTAGACCCCGTTGTCGACTCTGATATCTCGACCACCGAAAACCAAACACCAGAAAAGTCTCCCGTACCTCCTCCTCCAAATGGGGGATTAAACGCCTGGTTACAGGTTGCGGCAGCCTTTTTCCTTTTCTTTAACTCCTGGTAAGTCTAATATCAGCCTTCAAAGAGCTACGATTAAATTTACCTAACACATTATCCTCAAGGGGTCTTGTTAACACATTCGGTGTCTTTCAAACCTACTATGAAGACACGCTACTTTCTACTTACTCTGCATCTTCCATCTCTTGGATCGGCACTGTGCAAGGCTTTCTTCTTTTACTAGCAGGAGTCATTGTGGGTCCAGCTTTTGACAAAGGTCATCTCAAAAGTCTTCTTGCCATCGGCCTATTTCTCGTGGTCTTTGGATTGATGATGACTTCATTGTCAAAGGAATACTATCAGGTATTCCTTGCTCACGGTGTTGTCGTTGGAATCGGCTGTGCATTTCTATTCCTCCCTTCTATAGCCGTTTTAGCGACCTATTTTTCCTCCCGAAGTGCTTTAGCAACAGGAATCACTGCTGCTGGTGGAAGTATTGGTAGGAAGTTCAGAATCGAATGCTTTGTTTAAAATTTGCTAACTGAATCTAGGATCCGTGATCTATCCAATTGTATTTCATAAATTAATTGGTCCTGTCGGATTTGGCTGGACTACTCGCATAATTGCATTCATCGCTCTTGCCGGTAGTACCTTCTCCTTGGCCGTTATGAGACAACGTCTACCGCCTCCTCAAAAGGCTCGATCTTTGATAGATCTAAGTGCTTTTAAAGAACTACCATTCGTTCTACTTTGCTTTGCTCTTTTCTTCAGCTTCACGGGACTTTATTTCCCTTTCTTTTACCTGCCTTCATTCTTCAGTGACTCTCTTCACGCCAGTTCCAACATCTCATTCTACATAATTTCCGTCTTGAATGCTGCATCGTTCGTTGGACGAATCACACCGGGTCTTATCGCGGACCGAATTGGCTCTTTGAACACGGTTATGCCAGTCAACCTGCTTGCTGCTATTATGGCATTTGCTTGGATGGGGATTCATAACGAAGCTGGTGCTATTGTCTTTGCTTGCATTTATGGGTTCGCGTCGGGTGCAATTGTCTCGTTACCACCCACCATTCTTCTTAGATTGAGTCCCAACTTAGCTATTGTGGGTACTCGCATGGGTATGGCATTCACTTGTGCTGGTTTAGGACTATTGATTGGAAATCCCATTGCGGGTGCCTTGTTGGATTTGGAGAAGGCTATCTTCTGGAAGGCTCAGCTTTTCTGTGCAATCATGGTGGTGACGGGCTTGGGTTTCTTTATTTGGCTACGTCTTTTCATGTGGAGACGTGGTGAGGGATGGAAGCTTTGAGCTTATGCATTCAAGGTATTGTGAATAGTGATAGATATCAAGGTTTAAACCTAGATTTAGCCTGGAAGTAAGATGAAAATAAAAAGAAAAGTTCTTAAGGAGATTCGAACCCTCGATGTTCTAATATAAATACCCTTTAATCTCCACCAATTGCACAGCCACAGTCACATGACTGAGCAGTGGCTACTTACACAGTCATCCAATGGATCTCAACGTTGATTGGTCTAACGTACAGGGGACACTTTGCTTCTGTTTTCCATCAACGTATTCAGCACTTGCGATCTGCGATTTCCGTCGGACTTGTTATCTTCTCTTTCTCCCACCCCCTCTATCACAATAATGGATGTCCCCGAGCCAGACCAGTCGCCTTTCACGGCCGTCACTGCACACACCTCTAAACTGACCAGGGTAAGTTCTCATGAGGGGATTCCGGATGTCCTCGAGACCCCCGATTCCGGCAGTAACTCTCCCGCGTGGCACCGTGCTGATAGTTGCATTATAGCAATACCAATCTTACCTGGATGCCTCGACTCCTTATACTACTTACCGTTGGGTAGGAAGTGGTGTTCTCCTGCTTATGTTCTTCTTGAGAATCGTTCTCGCGCAAGGATGGTACATCGGTACGTATCTCCGGGTTCCTGCAGCCAATGTCTCAAGGACTCAACCTCATTGAGAAGAGATTCAATCTCCAGAGACAATTATATCATACCAATATCAAGAATGAAAGTCACTAACACTATTAAATAGTCGCCTACACATTGGGAATCTACCTCCTGAATCTCTTCCTCGCCTTCCTTACCCCGAAATTCGATCCCTCCCTCACACAAGACGAAGGACTTGAAGACGGCGACGCAGGTCCCTCTCTCCCTAGCAAGCAAGACGAGGAATTCCGTCCCTTCATCCGCCGTCTCCCCGAATTCAAGTTCTGGCACTCCGCCACCCGCGCCGTCGCCATCGGCTTCGTGTGTAGCTGGTTCTCCATGTTCGATATTCCCGTTTTCTGGCCCGTTCTCGTCGTTTACTGGATTATTCTCTTCGTTCTTACTATGCGCCGACAAATCCAGCACATGATCAAGTACCGTTATGTGCCGTTTTCCTTCGGTAAGACGCGGTATGGCCGTTCATGAGTGTGAGATGAGTTGAGTTCTCTATCTCTCACTCTTGGATTCTCGCATTCGACTCGGTTCTTTAATCATGATACGAATCCTCTTATTCTGTTTCCCTGACTCTTTTCTTGTCCATGATCCTTTCCTCCGTTTCCATACTCAAGATTCCGCTTAATTCACTTCCTTTACTTCGGTTTATATTCCCGTTGCCTTTTTGTGGACTGGACTCTGGTATCTGGACAGGCGTGAGATGGGATCGGTATTGTCTATGTGTGTATGTGTCCTAGTGACTTCGATAAGATGGATGTTATGAGCGATTGAGCGATGGGCGCGAAAAAATTGGATCATTTGAATAGGGGATGGTGAGCGAGTTTTTATGTCCTCCCATAATATTCCCATTGTTTCTAGAGGGTGTTTCATGTTTCCTCTTCATGTTTTTTTTTCTTTTTTCTTTCTGTTATTACCTGTGTATGTGTCTGCCTGTGCCCTTGCTTGTTGTTCTTAGCTTTCATCCGTGAGATATGATTATTAGAGCTTTGGGCTAGTAAATACACTGGCTTGCAATGTTCCAAGGTTCAAGTTGATTCATGTTCAAGTTTTCATTTGAATGGTCTTTTAATGGCATTTCCTCAGTACAGTCGGCATATCGTGCCAGTGCTATTGATATTCATATGTACAGTCTTTTCCAATGGAGAATGATCTCTATCTCTTAACAACTTGAAGAACAACCGCTCATGAGAAACCAAATTTTGTCATATCAGCCTCTGGCGCCAGCAGACGCCAAACACCCCAATAACTGTGCGGTAAAAATGAAGACAAGAAACATCAAAGCGCAGGGGGAGTCATTAGAACAGAATGGAAAACAAAAGTCTTAAGAAACTAGGCATTAATCTTAAATTTGCAGGTCTTCAACACTGTTGGATCGCTCTGTCGTTCCAACAGCGCTGTCGCCAAGTGACAGAACGGAGATAGTGCGGTCACTCTTAGGTCGAGAAACGTCTTTCTCCTTAGTACAGATCCAGGTCGATGCATACATGTTGACACTAGAAACTTATTAGTCAATGTTCCAATCAAGCGAAAGAATAAGAGAACCTACCGGTCAATAGATGTTCCTGGGAAACGGGCACCGACACGGCGGGCTGTAAATCCGTTCTCTTCAAAGTGCTTGATATACCAGGGATCGATACTGGCGGAGCGGAGAAGGATGCGGCCGCCCTTCTTCAGAGCATGGTTCAGACGACGGGCTTGGGCAGCTGCTGCATCTTCGGTAGGATCGAACCAGTCCATGGAGTCCATAACCTATAGCCGGCGTCATTAGCACGGGTGGTTTAGAAAGAAGAAATATGGTATGTACTTACCACGGCAATTGTTAATGTTCCAGGAGTGATGCGGTTGATAACTTCGTTAATCTCATCGGTGTGAATGCGAAGGCCATCGAATGCACCGGGAGTGGAAAGCTTCACATGCGCTTGCGGTGAGAGGTAAGTGGGGTGGCATCTATCATTCTGTTAGAATAAACCTCAGTTTGCGCCATTCTAGATTAAACTTACCGGCGAGAGAACTTGCCCTGCAGACAGAGGTAGTAGAAGTAGTTGTCGTTGCTGAGAAGAGTGTCCTTCACAACGGGATCGAGCGTATCCACAACGTATTCCCAGATCGACTGGCCACTGACATCCTTGCTCTGCTTCATATCGGAGTTCAATCCATTGCGGCGGAAGAAGTCGTCGACAATCATGTTTCGCTGGTTACGGGGCACACCGGCAGCCTTCCAGGCGAACCACTCGGTACTCACGATAGCCCAGTTCAATGGCTTGCTAAGGAGGACCTTGCGAATCTTAGGCCAAATTTCTCGCTGCTCAGCGAGTGTCTGGACTTCACACATCTTGCGCACGTCGTTTTCAAGTCCAAAGCATTTAGCCAAGTAGCGAACCATGCGGATGGCATGGCGCGAGCCACCGGTCTCGTATAGACCATGGCCAGATTTGGAGGTGAATACGTGGGTGTGCTCGAGCCAGTATTGGAATGCCTGGCTGGACAGATGGGGACTCATCTTAGAAATGAGCAGCTCACGGAACTGTGGGTGTTTTCCCTCGCCGAAGATCTTCCACATATCGCGGTGACCCAGGGCCATATAGCTGGCAACCTTCAACTCGAGGAGATGGTTTTGGTTAGGGTTCAGGTCGACTGCGTGCACTCGTCGTGGGTTCTTCTGGAGATAGTCTAGGATATTATCACCAGCGCTGGTAATCGCCAGGATGACATCGTCGGGGCCGATATTGAGAAGTCGGTGGTCCACTCGAGGATCCTCCCAGGTGAAAGCATAAATATATTCATTTTGGAACTGGGTGTGCTTTGGCAGCATGTCGTTGTAGTGGATTCGGTAGTGGTGGTTTTGGTAGAAAGAGGACGGGAGAGGAAGGTTGGCACTCAGGTTCACAATCGCGGACTCGTAGGCCTTTGAGCGGACTTCACGAGCGCTTTGCTCGGCAGCTTGCTCCCGCTCTAGCTGGTGATTGGCAGGAGACAGATAAGGAGACTCGGTGAAAGAGGCATCGAGTCTCTCAATGGTATCTTGGCTGGGGGTTGAAGCGATCTCCTTAGGGCAACCGACAAAAATGTAGTAAGGAATACCGCCCAAGAGGTAGTTGCGATCACTGGCTGATACAACGGTTCCAAACTTGTATTCCAAGTAGTCTCGACGAGCGGCCTCCAAGTTGACACGGTCAAAGTCAAACCATGTTCGCCAGAAGACACGGCCAAGCCAGTTAACATGACGGTTGAAGGCACCACCAGTGTAGTTGCGAGAAGAGACATCCACAATATTTTGAACTATTTTGTTTATTAGTTGATTTCATTTCTGTTTTTTTCCCTTCACTCCAAGGGTGATTTACCATAGAAGTCACAAACTCCCAACACACCGTAGGGAGTGAGACGAGAGGTCAATGAGTCCACCACACTGTAATAATCTGCCAAAGTCAGAAGCAGAGCCAGACAGGTAAAAATCTAGTACATCCACCTACCTGGGATCATAGATAAGCTGTAGCTCATGGTAATCAGGTCTGCGCAATCGCTTATAACAGCATTCGCCGCTCGGGGGTCGATTGTTCGCTCGGGTAGCTGGAAGGACCGGGCATCCTGGCACAGAACGGTAACATTTTTCCATCCCAGACGCTCAAAGCGCTTACGAGCAACTTCGCAAAGAGATGGTGACAGATCCACGAGATAGACATGTTCGAAAAACCGATCAACAGGGACAAAAGCCGACATCGCTTCGATGTTGTATCTAATTGTGACACCAAGTTAGCTTCAACTCCAACCATTGTATGTGTATGATAATCCAATGCTATGCCTACCCAGTACCACCACCAATCTGGGAATTATTGTTAGCTTCGGCTCTTAGTGGACGGGATGCAGCTTATGCAAACTTACATCCACCCACACAGCCTTTCCAGACTTGATCTCCTTGCTCTCGATCTTATACTTCAACTGCGCTGCTACCAATCCCAGCATATCTTCACGGCCCCGAAGGAGACGGCGACGTGTGGCATCGTAGACGGTGGCCTGTCTCATTTGTGAGTACATTTAGGATCTTTCTCATTGTCCCAATTGTTGAAATGCGCACCTGTGTACGGTAAAAGCTCTCCAAAGCATCCTGCTGGTGCAAAACGGATTTATCATGAGGCTTGAGGAAATTGGCGTAAATGAATTTGAGATAGGTCAAGGGGCCCTGATCCATATCGACCTTGACCTGTTGAAAGGAGACAAGAAGGACCACGCCCACCAAGGCGAAGACCAGGAGTGCGGCTCCTGCGATGTAAAAGTGTAACCAATCCATGTTGAGCAAGCGAAACGTGGAAAGTGAGTAGTTTCGAGGAAGTAGCGGGGAAGGAGCTTGGGACAGATTCATATAACAATGAAAGCACGAAAAGGCCGATAACACGCGCCCCATCATGAGGGGCAGAGGGCATCGTCCATATCCTATCATCGCAACACATGGGTGGGGAGACGATAAGAGCGGACTAGGTGGGGGATTTAGTTAACTACGGATGGTTAATTGAGAGAGAAAGTACTAGGAACATAAGTCCGAGGGTAAATCCTCATAGTATGAATAGGTCACTAATACCCGCAATTTACTCCCGAATGCTCCTCTCATATAAATCTTAATAAGATCGACGTCCGAGTCCGGCCATCTGATTATTTGCTATCATTTATAAGTGGATCGTGACCGGGTGGATTTAGGTGTACCTATGGTACCTATGGTCTACCTATGGTGCAAGCAGTCACTAAGTAGTAGTAATAAGTGATAATGACCACGGTTAAACTATTAATTGTAAAGTTCAACTTTAAGAGGAATTGGCTTTAACCTCCCTGCAGTAGTGTCGATATCTGGGAACCACTAATAACGCTAGGTACCCGCATGTGCCTAGTAGCGGGTCTTCCACTAGGCTCACGGGAAGCCCATCACTTCCGCCCGTGGGGGAAACACTGTATCCCCATAGGCCCGCTACCAGGCTCCAATCATCGTTACGATCACCAGCACATTGGGTCTTCCCCGGGTTTGAATGGGATCTTCTAAAATTATAGAGTATGGAGTGTACTCCATAATAAAAAGGGATTGACGGTTTCAGTCTCTTTACTACAGACACGCTCGAAATCAGTTTCATCTCTTTACTCTCTTCAATTTAGCTCTAGTTTTCCCAACTTATGGTTAGGCTACCCCTGAGCCATACGGTGATGTGATAAAAGTTCACGTTGTGGTTCTTACCGCCTTAATTCTGCCACTAATTCTGCCGAAGGAATTTCCATAAACTTGATAAATTTTAAACCACTCAAGTGCTGATTATTTTGAATCATCTTTTATATCTTGTAGGAGTACAATGTCAGTTAAATATTTATGTGGTCTTATCTTGGTTCTAAAAAATATGTTTGCAATCTTCTTTGAGGTCTATAGAAATGGGTGGTATACTATATTGGGAAGGCGGGATACAAGGCGGTAAAAATCATCACGCAAACTTTTATCCATCAATCACTCCGCTGTATTCTGGGCATTATCTCAGTACGGTAATAAATAAAAGGACAAAAATAGCTACCGTATTACCCGTGTATTACTTATGCGTTATCAAGAACTATCCACCTACAGTGGCGCCGCAAAAAGTCTGCAGAGAACCCTAAGTGCCTTTCTTTACCGCTTCCTTATTGAGGAGATACCGTCAACTAATTAAAACCTAGGTATGAGTGGTGTAGCCAGTATTTGCCGGCGGAATATTTACGTGATACTTCAGGTAGTCTCGGACTTTTGCGGCACCACTGTACAAACAGACCAAACAGATCGGTTGGTATAAGATTCATTGGCTATTCTGCCCAGGTGGCCATCTATTATCTCCCTTTCGGTCAATCACATTCACTCCGCCAAAACAAAGGACGAGAGAAGACATACGTAGAGGCAAAAGTAATACGATGGAAAGCTTTACAATCACTATACCCGCCCTATAATACAGCCCTGGAGGGGTTTTCGAAAACAGATTCACCAGTTGACCTGCGAGACACGCTTTATTTGCCAGGACCTACTAACGGTCCGAGGTGCTGTTTACATATAGTATCATATTTTACATAACGCTTCGTAATAAATACCCTTAACCCTTACCCCTCCATTCCCTGACTTTTCATTCTTCTTAGCACATCTACCTAAGGACAGCCGTCTGTCTTTAATTGGAATTGGAGCTCCAATACTTTTATTAGCCCATTGCTGCCACAAACATCATATCCAGCAGGATGGCTCAGGTCCAAGGCCACTGCGATGCCCGGTTCTCCAAGTTGCGTGACTTAATGCAGGAATCCATTGCTTCTGGACAAGATATCGGTGCCAGTCTGTGTATTAATATCAACGGCGGGGACAACGTGGTAGATATATGGGGAGGATACGCTGACGCGTCGACGAAGAAGCCATGGGCAAAGGATACAGTGGTGAATGTCTTCTCAACCACCAAACTAGTCACCAACCTGTCAGCTCTGATGCTGATCTCGAGAGGCGCCCTCCGCCAAGAGGACAAGGTGTCCCAGCACTGGCCTGAGTTTGCGGCGAATGGGAAGTCTGAGGTCACAGTGGGCGAAATATTATCCCACACAGCGGGTCTCAGCGCGTGGCAGGACAAAATGACACTGGAGGACATATGCGACGTCCAGACAGCAACCGACAAGCTGGCGCGCCAGGAAACGCTGTGGGCTCCCGGAACCGCAATGGGATACCACGGTTTAACGCAGGGGTTTCTCATCGGGGAGCTGGTGCGAAGGAAGACGGGGATGTCCATTGAGAAATTTGTAATGGAGGAGATCTGCCGGCCGCTGGGCAACGGGGCGGACTTCCAATTCGGGTGCCGTCAGGAGGACTGGAGTCGGGTGGCCCCCGTCATACCTCCATCGGGACCTTCGATCCAAGAGGTGCTTAGCCAGCAGGTGGGATATGACCAGGAATCAATTATGGTGCGCACGCTTTGCAACCCTTTGCCCAAGGCAGAAGACGCCAACACTGTACTCTGGCAGTCCAGCGTATTAGGCTCAGTTAACGGCCACACAAACGCTAGGGCATTGGTCAAGATACTCTCCTGCTTCTCGCTCGGCGGGATATGTGCGGAAGGTGGTCATCGCCTGCTGTCGGCTGAGACAGTGAAACTGGCGTTTACGGAGCATGCAATTGGGATGGATCTGGTGACGGGGCGTAGCGGGAGGCGCGGACTGGGGATCTACCTCACCGGACCTGGGTCGGGAATCGCTGAAGGCAAGCTGCCGGAGGGGACTGTTGGGTGGGGTAGCGGATGGGGTGGTTCGATCGTGGTTATGGATAGTGACAGGAGGCTCACGATTGCGTATACAATGAATAGGATGCTAAATGGAGATCATCCTTCCCCGGCAGCGTATATAAAGGCGGTTTACGAGATACTTCAGGAGTTAGCCTAGCTACATACAGACGCGCTCGAAATCCGATTCACCTATTAACTCTCTATTATTTATCGAACTCTACCTCACATAACAACATTGAACATACCAATTATGGCTACATTACCTAAGGTCAAATATTTGTCAACCTTGGAAGCACAACTAGAATTTCGGTATGGTAACAAACAATTGCTTCAAAATACCTATCATATCATATTTGCATGGGCTACAAGCTAATTCGGTCTCTCTAGACCTTCGCCAAGTCACGTATGAAGAGAACATTTGAAGATTGTCATTCAAACCTCTCTCTCCTGAGGCCCTTTCTAAAGCACCCAAGGAGATTTGTAGTCTGCGCCCAGGCAAAATCAATATGGTCAAGAACAGCGGCTTCCAGGGCTTTTCACTTACCCTGGCCAATATTGAATGCACAAATGAAGATGCATGCTATGGCTCCGGCTGAATCAAACACTGATCAGATTGATGGATATCCAAGTTAACTGGCCTGTTGAGTAACGATCGTATCCTTGTTTCTGAAAAGTTACAACCCCACAGCTCATGTAATTTAATCTTACAATACGTTTCGAGACCCAGCAGAATACTAAGTCAAAGACAGACTAGCGTGTTTCAGAATAAAGGTCAGGAAAGACCCTTAGAAGAGAAGAGAGTAAAAAGGTGAACCTGATTTCGAGCGTGCCTGTAACTGTTACATGTAAATTTATTGATGATTTTATGATTAATATTCGTTGGTCATTTCAAATATTGTCTACATATGGATGACTGATAGCAACTCGTGGACTCCGTGAACGTGTCGTTACATGCATAATGCTTCATGCAGAGGACACTAGGTACTAGGTACCTATGCATTAGGGTCATATCATCATTGGTCTACGGAGTAATTTAAGACTAATTGCCCTAGAGGCTAATGAAAATCCATACTTGTCGACTCCTTATTCATCGACTAAACCGCCATTCCGCCATTGATGGGCCTTGCCCCATTGACTCGGAGCTCCGAGTCCATCGCGAGAACAGCTGGAGCCACTAGAACTCTTTGAGAATATTTCCTTTCTTTGTCGCTTTCTGAATGGTCCTAATAAATAAATAGATAAGATAGATTCGTGGATTAATTCTTCTTCACACATGTGACTAAATAATGTATCATGCGGATTCTTGAGGCGGCTGTTGCTGGTCTGGAGAGCGCCCGATATCGCCCGCACAGCGCGTGCCAAGATGACTAATCGTATATTTGAGGCACGGGCGTGTCTGGACGAAACCTTCCTTGAAGTTTGAAGATCATATTGAGATCCATGGATTTATTTTTAGGCTTTGGGAGCACAATCCATGTGGAATTAAGCACTGGAGGAAACTTCAATTTTTCTTTTATTTTCTCACATTTGTTGATAATGATGCCAGGTGCGTGCGTATGTTTATTCGAATTGACGGTTGGAACCGGGACTCGGATGAACTACTATAAAACTCCAGCCCTTGCACATGTGAAGATACCTACGGGATCCTCAATACTACCCTGCCCTCAATCTCCGAGCGCTCCAGTCTCTGCAACACATCAACAATGTCCTGTAAATCAAAAACCTCAATATGAGCTTGCACATCACCCGCAAGCGCCATTGCCAACAACTCATCCATTTCTTGATCCGTCCCCGCTGAATTTCCAACAATCGTAAGACCTAAAGAATGGTGTCAACATGTATTCTGGTACGCGAACAAAGAATTTCCTAGAATTACCTTTCACAATCATTTCAAATGGAGTAGCTGGAAGTCGGAATGGGATATGAGGGATACCGACACAAACCAGAGTTCCGAGCGGACGGAGCATATTCATACTTTGCTCGTAAGCCTTTTCGCCATTCGCCGTACAGATCACCGCGTGCACACCCAGTCCAGATGTAGCTGTTTTGGCACCCTCGACTATATCGACCTCTCGGAAGTCTAGGAATGTAGTAGCTCCAAGTGATAGACAGAGTTCCTTCTTTTTGTTGCCCCTGCAGGAAGTCAGTACTTGTCCATTTGCATAATGGAGATTGAGCTTCATTCTGACGTATCAATTGCTAGGACTTTGATGCCCTTTTTGGCTGCGATTTGGATACCCCTTTATGAGAGTTAGTACATTCAATTTTCTCGAAAAAGAATGACGTTAGAGCAGTGTAGTTGCATACATATGACCTAAACCACCACCAGCCCCAATGATAACAAGCCAGTCGCCTGGTCTAGCTTTGCTTTTTTTGATCGAAGAGTACATGGCGATACCAGCTGAGAAACATCAGTTATTAGACTCAGCTTCGAAAAGAATATTTCTTTTTCTGAGGTTCAAATGTTCATATATCACTTACCGCAGAGAAGAGGTGCTGCTAGATCTGGAGAGAGTCCAACTGGGATTTTTGTGGCGTGAATAGCTGGGCTGACAAGATATTCTGAGTCTCGAGTCAGCATGTATATCATATTAGGAATTGCCAGCCTATTCTGAAATACTCACGCTGAAAGGTACCCGGGACATTCTGCAGATGATTTTATTATCATTAGCTCGTGTTTCCAGCTCTAGAGAGGGAAATAAATTGGGGGACATACTGCACCAGCGTTTCTTTGATACGGACATGCCGTATGATTAATCTCGCATATCTCGCACTCGAGACACGAACTATACAGCCACCTTTTCACAATGTCAACAAATCTCCGTGCTTGGGAAGCAATCCATGTATAGATCTAAAGTACTGACCTAATTCCAACCATTTGACCCATCCATTTTTTCTCCTCGAGGCCACCTCCAACTAAGACGTAGATTTAGTTAGCCAACCTCAATTCGACAAGATGCAAACAACCATCGATAGACCATCAATCCTTACCTGAAACAACTCTACCCACTCCCTCATGACCAGCAACATTGGTCTTCATGGGAGTATCACCACGAATGCTATGCACATCGGAATGGCAAACGCCAGAGAACTCCAATTTGATCAAGACTTCGCCATCTCCTGGATGTGGCACATGAGTGCTACTGATCTGCACATCCGAAACATCTTTCCCTCCTGATGCGGGGATGACAGCTGCGATCTGGGTAGATGGAATAGCCATGTTGATGGGGGAGAACCGAAGAAGAACACTTGTGATGGGAAACACTGTAGCTTCTCCAATCCAGTATTGGCGAGAAGTGTAGTAGATAAGAAAGAAGAACAGCCCGATGTCGCACTCTTAATGAATTGGAGATGCGGGCATATCTCGGTGCGGGGGTCAGTGCATGCTTATCTCGGAAGATAGGAATCATCAAGCCGGTCATGATATTTTACGCAAACTTGAATATGGATGGATGATACCCCCTATGCAGGGTGTATACACATTCGAGTTCTTGCCTTGGTTGTATACATCAGTCGCAAGTATGTGAAGAAATGGCCAGAGTAGCATTTTCATTAAACTATTATCTTTAAACAGTCGCACAACGCGATACTCCAAATCGTATAGCAATATAAGACAAGGACTCTACTGATTACAGCAGAGTCGAAGAGAATGAACAGCATCACACCTCCTAATGCAGCAGATCAGCTCCAGGTCTGCGTGAGCAGCCTGGAGTCTAAGGTATCAAAGATCAAATTCTATCGCCCGGAATCAAATGATGCGTTTCATGCGTTTCATGCGTTTTCGGCTTGGATGGTTTGCTGTATAAAGGGCATTTATTAGCGATTTTCCATAATAAATGGAGATAGAAGGCAACATACCACCAACCAATCCATGCCTTCGTCAATACCCTTTCCATCAATCGCAGAACAAGCGACAATACTCCAGTTTCGATCACGTAGCTCTCCCAATTTCAATGCTTCCGAGATCTCACCAGCTCCCTTTGCACCAGGTTGATCCTGCTTATTGGCAAATACAAGCAGGGCCGCGTCGCGAAGTTCATCTTCATTCAGCATAGCCGCTAGCTCATCTGCCGCGGTTCCCAGCCGCTCGATATCTGTGGAATCGATGACGAAAATGACAGCTGCTGTGTTGGCGTAGTAACATCGCCAGTATGGACGAATAGACGTTTGGCCTCCAAGGTCCTAGAAAGTAGATACTATGATCAGTGGGGAAACAAAATTATTCCATAACTCTGGCCCGCATACCCAAACATTGAAATTCAAGTTTCTATATGTGACGGATTCGACGTTAAATCCGATGGTGGGAATCGTGGTAACGACTTCGCCGATCTGAAGACGCAAGTTGTTAATACCTGGAGTATGCTAGAGCAAACGCGTTCAAAGCTCCCGCGGGACACTTCGAGTCGATTTCCATACCTTAAGTCTGTACAGAAGAGTGGTCTTTCCGGCGTTATCCTGAATTGAAGCCAGGGTTATTAGCAAGTGACCTCTAGCTTTGGGCGCATTGGGATGGTGGCCCGGCGTCAGGTGGCATGGAGACATACAAGACCTAAAATGAGGATTCGAATCTCCTTTTTCGACCAAAAAAGGGAAGCAAGACGAGATAATGAGCCACCCATGATTGTGTCAGATAGGTAGGTTAGAGTGGCTTTGAGTGTTTAATCGCGTTGCCCAACGAGGGACGGAGAGTCGGACACTCAAGGTTGAGGTGCTTCGGGCCGAAAGAGGGAAGGAGGGTCTCGAGCGAATAGAGTAGTGAATATGTTTTGACTGCAACTAAACCTATCAGAGGTTTGGAGGTGTTTGACAAGTTGCAAGGGAGAGTGAATCAATGATGGTGGCAACCGCATTGGACCTTGGAGCAATCGGCCTGTGCGTGTGGGCGGTCAATCGGGATCATAGTGAATGGCTCTAGACTGACCCGAACCAAGCTTCCCACCTCCCGGGATTTCCTACTTGAAGAGACTCCTTCCTCCACATTCTTCTTCTGCCCATCTGTCGTGGAATTTATTCATATAATTGTCCATTCAAGGCCTCGCAGTTTGGTCCTGAGAAGACCTATCTATTCATTATCGAGAGTTTACGCCTCGGAGATAGCGCGCCCGCTCCATTTACGCACTCCCTGGATTCGCCGACATTGACCATTGACCAAATCGAACCGGCGCAAAGCAGAGTTCATCATGGTTGGAAAGAAATCGGGCAAGGCCCTTCGAGATGAAGGTGGGTATTCCAGAATACATGCTTCAAATCGGCTGGACTATCTAGAGATCCCAGGCTAATTGATGAACTACTAGGTCTGGAGCGGACGGACAATAATATGGATCTCTCCAGCTGGCCACAGGTGGCAGCAATTAACCAAAAGAACTACTACACGTATGAGTTCCCGAATCCAATTGATCTGGTATCTGGCGACTGAATTACGAGACTGACAATTCTTTGATTTACATAGTGATTACCTCAAGCGAGACGATCAGTATCTGGCATTCAGATTGCAAAACGAAGAAGCTAGAACCAAAATGACCAAGTCCGCGAAAGACCGAGACCGCGCTCTCGCAATGGCAAAAACCGAACCTGCAGAGGGAGAGGCGGAAGCAGATGGCGATGCCAATATGGAAGATGCAGAGGAGACCCCAGCCGAGACAGTAGGCTCAAAGGTCATTGTGATCCATGTTGGCAGCCAAAACCTACGAATTGGATTGTCGAGCGATGCACTACCGAAAACAGTACCAATGGTGATTGCGAGAAAAGCGAAAACAAGCGAGAGCGAGGATCAAGAGGAACCGAATCCAAAGAGACAGAAACGTGATGATGGTACACCCGAAGAGCCTGAACATCTTTTCGGAACAGAGGTAAAACCCGCTTTATCATGAGAAAAACGCAACTCATTTGCTAACATCGGAATAGTGGTCCTCTCAATTTAACAAGATGTCAGCCGATCTCAAAGTCCACATGCGTACAAACAAGCGTCGAATGTTGCCCAACTCTAAGGAGATGGTGGTCAACTTTAACCGACGTACAGTGCCGGAAACCATCTCTGAGCATAATGATCCAATGCGCATTGAGTGGACTGAACTTTCAACCCCTCCACCAGAGTATATTGTCGGACAGGCCGCATTAAGGGTACCGGACTCATCTAAGCCTCGATACAAGCTTTACTGGCCTCTTCGAAATGGCTCCTGCAACGAACGGGATTATGCCAGTAAGCGCATGCTTTTCCTGGATATCTCCATAATTCTCGAGGATGCCATCAAGAATCAACTCGGCTTGACTAGCAAGAAGGACTGGGCTCAGTACTCCTGTGTTTTTGTCATTCCCGACTTGTATGAAAAGTCATATGTCACCCAGATTCTAGAGATGTTGATGCGCGAGTTTTCATTTGCCCGAGTTTGCTTTATCCAAGAGAGCCTGGCTGCAACTTTTGGCGCTGGCTTGACTTCCGCTTGTGTGGTCGACATCGGAGCTCAGAAGACATCAATTTGTTGTGTAGAAGAAGGCATGTGTGTGGAAAACTCGCGCGTAAACCTGAAAATGGGAGGCCGCGACGTCACCGAAACATTTATCAAAATGATGCTGCATGACCATTTCCCTTATGCCGACATTGATTTGTGGCGAAGATACGACTTTCTGTTGGCAGAGGATCTCAAAAGGACGATCTGTACCATGGCAGAGGCCAATGTCTCTCCACAAGTTTTTGATTTCCACCTCCGAGTGGCTGGTCAAGATACTCAGAAACATACTTTCAAGGCATTCGATGAGGTCCATCTTGCCCCAATGGGCTTTTTTGAGCCGACCATCTTTGATAACCCGCCGAAGCTTGATGGGCGTCGCAAGCTGATTGAACGCTCGGTTGACATCTACGACGGTCAGACTAACGATCCTCTCTCAACAGCACAATCAGAAATCTTGACAGCCCTTGCCCCTCCGCTCCCCAAGACCAATGGAGAACTACAATCAGCCCCAGCAGATGCACAAGCAACCCAGAGCAAAGCCCAGCAATCGGGTGCATTAGGTCGAGTCCAGGACCAAGAAGCTACGCCTCATTCTTCTGTGGCAGGCTCCCCAGCGCCAGAAACTACAGGGACACCACAGGCTGGTGGAGCTAATACTTCTGCTGCCCCTGCAACAAGTACGCAGACTCCTCGCATTGCCGTTGAAGAGCGTGACGACATCCTGCCTGTTTTCCCTCTCGACAGTGCAATCTTGACCTCGATCGCTCATGCAGCCCGCTCTGATGAGAAGAAAATGAGAGACTTTATTGGTGGTATCATGGTTATTGGTGGTGGTACCCTGACCAGTGGGTTTCACTTGTGCTTAGAAGAGCGCCTTCAAAGCCTCCGTCCCGGATTCCTCAAGGAAATCATGATTGGAGCTCCTCCCAGAGACCTGGACCCCCAGGTTGTTGTATGGAAAGGTGCTAGCATCTTTGGCAAACTAAGTGGAACGAATGATAGCTGGATCGGAAAGCTTGAGTATGACCGATTAGGTCACCGGCTCATGGCGTACAAGTGCATGTGGGCATATTGAGTTCTTCTTTGTCCTAAGCATGCTATCATGTTCTTGTTCAGACTTATGCAAAGGGCGTTCGGGTATTTATGAATATCTCTATCAATAGTGTGCTTTCTCAAATCAAGAAAAGTATATCTTTATAACATCAAATATCTAATTCCAGGTGTAATACTAGTCTATCTAGCCGTATTTAGTAATATCTAAAAGCTTCAAGTACACTGCGCAAGTGCTCTAAGTTAGCGCTCATTTACAGCTCAGTACATGGGATTTTCAGGAGTATTTATTGGGTATCACGTGACTAATGCTTCATTTACTGTTCCAAGGTTATCAAGTTAATATTAATCAATATTCATGCACTGTTCAAAATGTAGTATGGAGTAGGCGCCAGTATAATTTCTAATTTCACGGGGGGGGTGTTATGTGACACCCCCACAGATAGGAACAACAAATCTCCGAGACCCCTCCGCCCTTCCCCCTCCCCAAACAGCAAGCGGTCTCAACCAGCAGAATATGCATGTTCTCACTGCCCGAGCGGCATTCACCGCCTTGGATGCCGGTTCCAACTGCGACCTGCGAGCAACCCACCACATTTACCAACAGCAACAAAGCTGGAGGTATGGCTCTTAACCAAAAGAAAGAAGGCCAAAGCCAGGCCTCTGGGTCTGGGGGCTTTCACCAGGAATATCTCGCATCAACCCGCTTTCGCAATGACCTTCCTCCTCCTGACATGCCCCCCCAAACACCTAGACATCCCTCATGAAGGTCTTGGTCGTTTCCTGACTCCGGGCTTTGCTTCTGGTCTTGCACGTCGCGAGGAACCCAACATCGATGTTGACTCCCTCGGTGGTATGCCCATTGACCTGGTTGGTCTTCCGGGCCTCCATCTCGGAGATGAGAGTGGTAAGTTCCCTACTTTTGTTGAAGACACTCACTTTGCCGGTCTCCATGTCTGATAATTGTCAAAATAGCCATCCTAGCTCCTGAAACATCGCAACCCATTGACCCTGCTGACCTGGCGCTTTTCGCAACACCCGAACAACTTCGTAACCCCGCTCCGAAGAACACCAATGTCAGTTTCCTCCGTCGCACTCAACACATCTCTGTCGAACGCAACACTGCTTCCACTACTTCGGCCCCAGCTACTGGAACCACATCTACTCGCGCTCGAATTCCCAAGAAGCCAAAGAAGGCTCCTGTGGATGACCCAAAGCATGTCAAGAAGTTCATCCAGAAGGGCTTTGACATTGCGTATCCAGAGAGCAAGCACACCGAGGAGGATACAGAGAGTCGCGTCCGTGGTCTTCCACCTACCAAGGCAGAAATTGAGGCCTGGGCCAATCCTGTTCACCCCGACAACCCAAAGGCAAAACCTGTCGCGTTCTTCCCTGTGGTGCCTGACCTTGAGGGCTTCGCCGACCCTGGCGGCTTGGTCCAGTTTAAGTTCGACAAGGCGCCAGTTCCAGCCATCGGTAGCAAGCGAGACAAGCGCATGGACGTTGCCCTGCTACAGCCCGCAGCCCCTGAGGACCGTACCTGTGAAGAGCATGCATCCAAGTCTGCACTCCACAAGGCCAATCCAGATGTGTACCCTGACCCTGGTCCGATTCCCTGGGACTACAATCTGTATCTTCCACAGAAGCCAGAGGATGCCAAGAAGGTCCGCGCCAGTATGAATCCCAAGAACCCAGAGCGCAACGACGAGGGTTTGTACACCCATGAGGGTGCCGACGGCACCAAGTTCCATCGTTACGACCGAATCCGTACCTACGAGACCAGCTCGCAGAGTCTCAACACCGACTCAAAGCAGAGAGATCTGGCCGTGACCCTCTACCAGCCAAGTGAGGGCGAGAGCAAGCAGCAAGCCGCCTACTACTCCACCATCCTAGGCAAGACCCGTCTAAAGCCTGAGCGTGCTCGCACCATCGCGCAGGCAGGCCTGGCCCCGAACGCCTCTCAGGCCAAGGAGGAGCAAGTCGACCAGCTGCAGATCACCGTCCGGGACCCCGATGAGGCTGAGACCTACAAGCGGGCTCTGCACCGGGCTAATATCGACCCGGAGTTCGGCAAGACTCTACCTCCACCACCAAAGACTGCTGAGGAAGAGGAGGACTGAGGGGCTCAAGTCCCCTTGAAAAGCATGCCCCGGCGTTTTTACATATGGGGTCCGGCGTATGGGACAAACATGGCGTTTCCTGTTTTTTATCTTTGAATTTTTATGGGGGCTTTCTTTTCTGAAGGGGGTTTCACAGTAAGGTGAAAGTGGAGGATTAAGACCCTAAATTTAGATAGTTTTTAGTTAGGACTGACTGAAATCCCAAGGATTCAAAAAGCATTCTTTGCCATTTCATAGTATCTAGACATATCTAAGGCATCTAGTAATAATAGCTAGGCTTGAAGCTAAATGACCATACTAGGTATAAATAATTCAAACAACCATTTAATGACGATACCTTTCACATTAAGATCATCACTGGCGATAAATATTGAGTACTCTGTGCGAGTACTAGGTATCATACTTAGATGGCACGCCGCACCAGGCAGATGATTGACCGCCTTCACAACCGTAGACTCTGACCGCCCGCAAGAACCCGATTTCGCCCTATGATGATAATCTAGATCTGCAAGCGTACTGCAGAACCTCGGATCAAGCAATTGCAGTAAGTTACCCCATGCCAGCTTTGGATATTGATGGATTTCTGTGGACTCAAGAAGCACATACTTGTGATCTTCTAGTTCAGGGTCAATTGGTGCTATAGCTCCTAGCCATATACATGCACAACCAAAACCAATCAAGGATACCATGAAAGCAGGAAACTTGAACTGACCAGTGAGATAAAGGTCCAATCCGGGGGCTCTTTCGCCGAGGCCAATTAAGTGAATACCAATTGCATTTGCATAACTAAAATGACCTCCGCTTCCGCTACGATGGCCTGGCGAGCTGGCCTTCGAGCTCGTTCGCTCCCGGCGTCCCGATGGGCCCAGCGTCCTGCGGCCGCATTGCCGAACCTTGCTTCGCGCTTTCCCGGTGCGCGATACGCATCTGAGTCTGCCGGCCCCGCAACTACTGAGCAAGTCAAGGAGACAGCGAAGGAGACAGCGAAGGAGACAGCGAAGGAATTGCCTCAGCGTGCTGCTCGACGATCTCGGAAGGGCCTTTACGGCACCTCTTTGGCTTTGGCTTTGCTGTTTGGATATATCTATGGAACTGATACCCGGGCTAGCATTCACCGGTATGGAATGGTGCCTCTGATTCGCATGCTTTTCCCTGATGCGGAGGAAGCGCATCATTTCGGTGTGGATATGCTCAAGTCGCTCTACCAGTATGGTATGCATCCTCGCGAACGCGGTAACCCAGATGCTGATGGTGCTCTGGCTACTGAGGTTTGTAGCCCTTTGTCCCCACAATAAGGCTTAATTAATTTACAGTTGGATTAATGGGTTGAATATGTAGGTATTCGGTTACACTCTCTCCAACCCCATTGGTATCTCCGCTGGTCTTGACAAGCACGCCGATATTCCCGATGCGCTGCTCGATCTTGGCCCTGCTGTTGTTGAGGTCGGTGGCACAACTCCTCTCCCTCAAGATGGAAACCCTAAGCCGCGTGTGTTCCGTGTCACTTCTCAAAATGGCATGATCAACCGCTACGGCCTCAACTCCAAGGGTGCTGACCACATGGCTGCTGTTCTGAAGCAGCGCGCCCGCGACTTCGCTTACGCTGCTGGTTTCGGTGACCAGGAAGGATCTGAGAACCGTGTTCTGAATGGCGAAGCCAATGTTCCTCCTGGTAGTCTAGTCCCAGGAAAGCTTCTTGCTGTGCAGGTTGCCAAGAACAAGCTTACTCCCGACGGTGACATCGAAGCTATTAAGAACGACTACGTCTACTGTGTGGATCGTCTCGCGCAATACGCCGACATCCTCGTCGTCAACGTCTCCAGCCCCAACACCCCTGGTCTGCGTGATCTCCAAGCCACGGCACCCTTGACTGCCATTCTGACCGCTGTCGTGGGCTCAGCCAAGAGCATCGACCGTAAGACCAAGCCCTACGTCATGGTCAAGGTCAGCCCTGATGAAGATTCCGACGAGCAAATCTCCGGTATCTGTGAAGCAGTCTGGAACTCCGGCGTTGACGGTGTGATTGTCGGCAACACTACTAACCGTCGCCCCGACGCTCTGCCCCAGGGTTTCGCTCTCCCAGAGAAGGAGCAGCAGACCATGAAGGAGACAGGTGGTTACTCCGGCCCACAGCTCTTTGACCGCTCCGTAGCTCTGGTTGCCCGTTACCGTGCCATACTTGACCAGGGACCCCAGTCGGAGACCACGGAATCAGCTCCTGCTGAGCAGCCACGCAAGGTGATCTTTGCTTCTGGTGGTATCACCAATGGCCAACAGGCACGTGCGGCTCTGGATGCTGGTGCATCTGTGGCTATGATGTACACCGGTATCACATACGGCGGTATCGGCACTGTGACCCGAGTCAAGGAGGAGATGCGCGAGCTGCAAAAGAAATAAAGCGGTGTATACGTATGTATGTGGAAAAAACGCATTAAGATAGATGATTTTCATTGGTTTGTACATAGCATAGGATAAGGGATTGCATCCATTTCATTCCATTAGTCTTTTTCTAGTTAGTTTTTTGTATTCCGTAGCTGTGCGTTAATTTCTAAGAGATTATCTTCACAATTCTTTCAATATCTTCCAATATTGTGGATCATGTTTCTCTCGTCCGACAAAGTACCTCGAGTCGAGGTCATGGCCTCGGATAGTGCCGCTGTAATAGTTACTAATCATCCAGAGATGCCCCAGCTGGATGTTCTGATGGAGACTCAATTCCACAATTGTGTAAAAAGAGGGGCGCCACAACTCGGATTACTGCATTTGTGCAAATATCAGTTCAAGTCGAATCCACATAAGTGGACCAGTCAGCGTCCAAACTTCCGACATTGAAACGCGGATTGGCGCATGAGACCGACAATGGACCTTAGGTCACGAGAACTCGAAAATAGAACAAATCGGGGAGAAATCGATAAGAGCTGTCACCGCACTTCCGTCTGGCAAATCTTCGAGGGTCTGAAGAGGAGATTAAACGTGAATGAATCAGTGTCATAGGGTAGTCAGATTGTTGTGCAAATTTCTGGTCGTCCGCATGACAGGGGCGACGTGGGGGTTTTTTAAGACCCTCGAGCTCCATCAGCTCCATCAGCTCCATAATTTTCTCCATCATCTCGGGATTCCCCAGATAGGTTTTCCCGGGGCGGGTGTCCACTTCGACGACGTTTAGGTGTTTCTTTTGGTCTGTTCGCAGGAGTATTGTGGGTCAATTGCAGCTACCTCGTTTTCCCCCTTCTTCGCTTTCTTTTTGTATTTGACTGTATAACGGTGACGGTATAGTGTAAGGTGCGAAACCATATTACACTCAAGTGCTCAGTGGAACTAGAATTGAGGACATAGAGTCCGCGGGTGTTAGCTGAATGGCAATTCCACGTAACAACTTGAAAGTGCATGATTATAGACTGGGACTTAGTCGAAGTTGATCAGTGAGAGATATGTCGTCGTCTTAAATTAGCGCTGTCAGTTTCGTAGGTCGCAGGGCGACAGGGGGCTTGATAATGGATGTTGAGTACCCGAGAACATGAACAGATGGTTAGATCGGGGATTTGAGCTAGGAGTAGCTTTTCGCGGTTGGAGGCTTGTCGATTTGGGGGGCTAAGAGGCTATAAAAGCAATCGGGGGTGCGTTCAGTGGTAAATCTGTCTTTTATTAGATGATGAGAAGCTTCTCTGGGAACACGGGGTAAACGGGAGCAATGGTGGGGTTGGTTTGGTACTATTGTCGTAGAATTCCGTAGATAGTAGGGAATAAATGCCATTGGATGTAATAAATAGCTCTCGCATCACTTCCCTGGTGCAATATAACCCTTCATAGCGTGTGGGAAGAGGAAAAAGTCTCAATGTTGAGATATTTTTTGTTTCCCTGGTCTTGGGGCGTCAGCGCCATCCCGCACACGCATTAGTGGCCGACATGGGCTGCACTTAGTTTGGGAAGTTGTTAAGCACAGACAAGGATCCTTGCAGATGATGTCACAGTATTTGGGATGCTCGGAGAACCCTTGGCCGGTGGGACCGAGCTTTTGCAGGAAAAGTACAGAGTAGGCTGATAGGGAACAAGGTTAGGATCAAGTTGGATCAGGTACAGGGGAGGAAGAGAGTTGGAAGAAGGATAAAACCGGTTGTGAGAAACTGGGAAAAAACTGGCCATAGTACGGGGACAACAACACCTGGTATTTCCACCTTCTAATTCATACTAAACACGGTGGACTCTGACAATAGTACTGCACAATGTGAATCCGATTTCTTCCTTATTTACTTCTCATTCCCCCGGAGTACACACGACCGATCGTCCAAAATCCGGAGAAAACCCCAGTCAAGTCGTCCTGCGCTTGTCCTTAAGCGGGCGAAGGTACTACCAGGTGTAGTACCAAGTGAAGTTCCTCTCATGTGGGGATAATTACAATGCGTACCACTGATTTAAAGGAGTCGTTAACTTGTTTCTATTAATATGAAACTAGATCAAAACAAATAAGCGTCAACTTGAACTTGAACTTGAAAGAGTCCTCGTTCTGGTTCCACTTCCCACTATGTAGTTATTTTTGTAGTATTGACGTTGAGTGCGGCTCCCATACTCAGTCCAGAAATGATGTAGTCTGCCCGGTTTTGATCTTCCTGCCTCAAGTTTTCTCAGCTTCAATTTCGAAATCTGTTTCCGAGTCTAGCCCGTGTCTTTTACCCCTCTGTTCAGTGATTGCAAAAGCCTCGCACGGGCGTTTTCAATGTACGCCAATCCTAGCGTACCTCAAGATCAACGCATTGGCGTCGCACAGATCACATCGAAATTCCTGAACCCTGGATGCAATTGACATGTGCACAAGCCACATCCCGTTGCAAATGACATGGATGGCTGATTTGGTGCCTATTTTGAAGAGAGGTGGTTGAGATCTAGATTTCCCATCTCTGTGAAAGTTCCCGTACAATGACTTTGCATTGCAGACGCCTGGGTAATACCAGGTAAGCGCAATGTACTGACTCCGTATGATTGTTCTCAGCCTGCTGCTGCTGATTCCGGTATTGAGCGAGTCGAGCCGGTCTTGGACCACTCACAGTGGGGGGGGTTTCCGGTGCCATGACGCTATGGCGGGGCGCTTCCCCACTGACTGGAACTGTACGCGGCGTAAGACGATATCAAGGTTGCACGACCTGACTTCACTTGCAATTGGAACAAAGTGGAGAACTGCTTGAGATATGCATTGAGGATTGGCTCCATCAGCCCGCTCTCCACCCCCGGGGTATTGTGGTTGCATGGAGGGATGAACGGGAAAAGGTATAAAGAGGGCAGACAATGCCAGGCAAGGGGGAATTTGGAAATTATTCACTACACAGATTCTTCTCTCTGCCCCCAATCAATCTTCTTCTCTCTCGACTCCAAGCACAGCTTATCAGCTTCCTATCCATTCATCATGTCTGCCCAGCCCCTCCGTATCGTTATGGCCTGCGACGAGGCCGGTGTCCCTTATAAGGATGCCCTTAAAGCCGTTCTCGAGAAGAACCCCGGCGTTGCCTCAATCATCGATGTCGGTGTCAACAGCAGTGATGACAAGACTGCCTACCCTCACCCAGCTGTCGAGGGTGCCAAGCTCATCAAGGAGGGCAAGGCTGACCGTGGTCTCTTCATCTGCGGTACTGGTCTTGGTGTCGCTATTGCTGCCAACAAGGTTCCCGGTATCCGTGCCGTCACTGCTCACGACCCCTTCTCCGTTGAGCGCTCCATCCTGAGCAATGACGCCCAGGTCCTCTGCTTCGGTCAGCGTGTTATTGGTGTTGAGCTCGCCAAGAAGCTTGCCGTCGACTGGCTCCAGTACCGCTTCGACCCCAAGAGTGGCTCTGCCGCTAAGGTCCAGGCCATCAGCGACTATGAGACCAAGTTCGCTGGCTCTGCCTAAATATAAGCTCGTGTGAACTATATGGGGCTTTCATCTTCTCCTCTTGCGACATGAGACAATTGTGCCCCGATTTCTCTATCGTCAGACTTTCTTCATACCGGTGGAATGAATTACCATATACCGGCAAATCTCTTTGCGTATTGCGCAACCAGATTCGATTTTCTTTTGTCGATATACCAAGCGCATCATGATACCACGAACCCAATGTCGAGTTCTGCTGTTTAGGGAATAAGATCATAAAGGAACTCTATATACTGGTTCCTGTATACACCACAATACAAATCTGCGGTCTTGAATTTGTCTCATTGAAATATTGTACAGATACTTTCAAATGTCTTGTACTTAAGTTATTAGGATCTTACTAGTAGTAAGTATTGATATACTATACTTAAAGATGCACAGGTCCAGCTTAGATAAGACCAAACAACCTTGGAACCCACATGACCTCTCGAACTTAGAAATCTTAGTGTGACAAGGAACTTGAATAGTTCATGTACACAAGAAAGCCGGTCTAAATCAATGAAATCGATGAACAAAGACATCTCCATCATAAATTCCCACCTCCACATTTTAAAATCTCTTCCTCATATTAAAGCTGTTTCCACATGCTCCACTACATTCTCTACCTAAGGTGATCTTTTGATTCTCGAATCTCACTCCAGGGCTGCAGCAGTACAAGGTGGGCCGCCCCACTCGGGGAAACGGATTGATCAGCGACCTCAAAAGAACTCACTAAAATCCCCTGATTCCCCGATCGCACTTTGGAAACAGGTCCATACATCTTCACACAATGGCTCAAGAATTAAAAGCAAAGGGCAACCAGCTCTTTAAGCAAGGCGACTATGTTGGCGCAGAGGACTTCTACTCACAAGCGTAAGAACCTATCATCGCAACGCGTCTGCCCCGCGATGACTTATCGCGATTTCAACCCGCATGGACAAAACCTTGATGCGCAAACTACCACTATATAAAATTGGAATCCAAGCTAACAAGAGCTCTTGTACCCTTAGCATCCTGAAAGACCCTCACGATCCAACCTTCTTCACCAACCGCGCGATCACACGTATCAAGCTCGAGAAATGGGAAGATGTGGAACATGATGCCCGTGCCGCTATCGATATCTACGGATTGAAAAATACAGCTTCCCTGAAGAGCTCCTTCTACCTTTCACAGGCACTTCTGGGACTTCAGAGACCACAGGAAGCCTACGATGTAGCTTCGGATGCATACCAGCTTAGTCTTTCGGAAAAGAGTGCCCAGACAGAAAACCTATCGCGGATTGTGTTGCGCGCAAAGCAGCAAATCTGGGCAGCTAGGGAAACGGCTCGATTGCGGGAAATGAATGAGACCTTGAAGGGTGTTGAGATCCTCGTGGAGAAGGATTTGGAGCGCTCGATTTCAGGGCTGAAAGAGCAATTGAATGCTGGGGAGATTGGAGAGATTGGGTTCGGAGAGGACTGTAAGGGTCTGCGGGAGGATGCGGAGAAGATGATTCGGGATGTTAGGGAGGCCTTCCGGATTGCTTCGAAGGGGGATGTACAGGAGCGGGTGAGTTATACTGCTATTTTTCGCAGTGTCCACCTGCATTTTGGATTCTATACTAATTTTTCCAGGTTGTGCCGGACCATCTGATCGATGGTATCACATTTGAGATTATGCATGATCCTGTTATAACTCCCTCTGGTACCAGCTTCGACCGCGTTGGTATTGTTAAATATGTGGAGAAATCAGGCGTTGATCCACTCACTCGAGTCGCAATGACTGTCAAGGATTTACGCCCGAACTATGCGTTGAAGGCAGCTTGTGAGGAGTTTTTGACCAACAATGGATGGGCTGTTGATTGGTGATCTCCTCTTCGCTATGCTCTTCGCTATACTCATGGCTTTACCTCATGTAAATATTATTTTTATTTCCCTCCTTTTTTTAATTCTTAGCTGCATAGCGAGTGTTCACAAGATTTGAGGAATTGGCATTGCTATATGCCCAGGTGCATCTGAGGCGTCTTCTAGAAGGAAGAACTGACAATGAATTGCGATTTAGTGGGAACTTCCTCACTCACTGATCGCATATCGCTTGATTTACACATCAACGCAACTCGCCACCTAGCAATCAATGTACAATATAAACCAAACATTTGCTTACGCCGAGTTCATACAGACCAAAACTTGAAGCGATTGAACTTGAATTAATCCGACTCCAAAGCCCGGAAATAGTTACCAGCCAAAGGCTCTCCAACCTGATTCGCAATATCCACCATGCTAAAATTATACCGACTACCTGCAGATGTATCAAAGTACTAGTAAAGCCCATCCAAGATCTCCTGCGACGGCTGAGGTTGTCGTGTGTACTAGTAAGTATGCATGGACCATACCTATACTAAGAATATGTCAGTGTTCGAACGCACGGCCCGGGACCTCCGAGTCTGATTCCCGAGGACGAGCATTGTTGTCAATAAAAATGTGTACAGTATTGACTTTTCTCTCTTCATTTCCTGGGGTTTTAGCGTTTGGTCTAAAAGCCTTACTTGTCGAGGAGGACACCCTCTGTGGCGCCGCCCACCTCTCGGGCTTGTGGGGTTCCCCGCATCTCGGAGACGCCCCCGTGGGAGCAAATGCTTGCCCTAGCTTTCGGTGTATATGACCGATGATCGGTTGAGCCCAAGACCGGGGTGTTTAAAACTGGAGCTATAATTCTTGGATCGAAGTCTTTCTGAAATACTCCACGAGTATCACTCTTTAGTCGCAGACTCGGATGTTCTCCCATACCTCATTGCTCTCTTTCTTTCACAATGAGGAACCACTTTGCCCGTTCGTCACGCAATGGCGACAATGCCCCCTCAGAAATATACGGGTATCGAGTCTACATGCTCGCACTATCAGCCACTTGGGTAAGAATTGCGAAACAAAATGATCCGTCATTGACGCCAGCTGAGTGATTTTCTCCCAGGCTTCAGCGATGTACGGATATGACTCTGCTTTCATTGGAGGGACGCTAGAGCTTCCAGCCTTCAAGTAGTCTTTTGGCTTGGACAGAGACAATTCAACCTCTTTCTCTTCCAACGTCGTATCAATGTTCCAAGCAGGTGCATTTTTCGGTGCCATCTTCGGGTTCTTCTTCGCAGAGTATCTTGGTCGTAAGCCCGTGATCCTTGGGTCGGGCATTGTTTTTGCCAATGGATCAGCCCTGCAACTCGTGGGACATATTTCTGAGCTCTACGCCGGACGAGTGTTGACTGGACTAGGAGTCGGGTAAACTGTCATCTCTCTTCTGCCCTTCCTCGTGGCTGAGATTAACAATAAACCTTCGGAGTAGCGCATCCTCTACCATGATTCCTGTCTATATCGCCAAATGCTCCCCACCTCTCATCCGTGGGCGCCTGGTCGGGATATTTGAGATTATGCTGCAGGTCGCACTTGTTTTCGGTTTCTGAGTCAATTACGGAGTCGACAAGAACCTCCCGAGTACAACTGCAGCCCAATGGAGGATCCCTGTCGGTGTACAGCCGATTCCAGCTGGAATGCTTTTAGCCTGCATGTCTTGGATGATAGAAAGCCCACGACGGCTGGCTAGCAAAAACAAAAATGCCAAAGCACAGAAGAATCTCGCTTGGGCTCGCAACCTTCCAGTGGATCACCCCTACGTGGTCAATGAGATGGCAGAGATCCAGGCTGCTGTCAACCAAGAGCTTGAGATGAGCGGCAAAAGACGCCCACTGTCACATATTGTGCGCGAATGTGGTGCCCCCGGTGTCCGGAATCGAATTCTGATCGGAATGATGCTCATGTTTCTACAAAATCTGACTGGGTATTGGCCCTTCTCTTATCATCTTTCCTACTTTGTCTGACTTTGCCCCCAGAATCAATTCCATAAACTATTACAGTCCCACCATATTCCGCTCGGTAAGATACTAAGCACCTTTACCTTGAAAGATGACGCTGAATTTATACTCCATTTTAGATTGGGTTCACCGGGACTTCCGTCGGACTCCTAGCAACTGGAGTCTACGGCCTTGTCAAAATGGGTACAACAGTAGTATTCATGATCTGGATCGTGGACCGCTTCGGACGTCGCGGTCCTCTACTCGTCGGCGCGATGGGCGCAGCAGTAGCCATGTTCTACCTAGCTATATATTCCCAGGTCAGCCAATCCTTCGACCACGTTCCACCCAGCGATGCTGGATCTCGAACTGCTGTCGCAATGGTCTACATCTACGCAATTTTTGCGGCTTTTCATGAAACGGTATTCCCTGAATCTTCGCATCGGAAGTTCTTCCAACCCGCGTGCGAACCATCGGAATGATGTGCGCCGTGTGTATGCAGTGGTTGGCTCAGTTTATCATTGTATACTCACTGCCTTACATGATTGCCTCTATTAAACATGGCACCTTCTATTTCTTTGGAGCGTGTACCCTCGTTGCTTTGGTCTTTGCGTATCTATTTGTTCCGGAGACAAAGGGCATTCCATTGGAGGATATGGGGGTCTTGTTTGGGGCGGATGTTAGTGTCTTTGCTACCAAGGCCCGGAAGAATTATCTGGAGTTTCGACACGCGCAGATAGAGGCTGCTGATGAAGCTCAACTGGAGAAGCAGAGTAATCTTCATGTGGAGAATGTGTGATGGATTTTGGGATTTTGACTTTGCGTGGCGAAGCATGGCATCGTTGCAGAGCTCAGCTCGTTGTGAGAGCTTGAATATTAGTATTATCATGATGTTACCTATGAATGGATGTACCTACCCATGGAAAAATTTGGATAGTACAGAAGCTTATACATTATAGGAAACGCCGAGATAGCTAGATAGTATATGATGCTACAAAGTTTTCTAATGTTGATGTTGTAGGTACAAACAAGCTTGGAAGAGACAAGATATTCGTCGAATAATCACGAGTAATTAATTTTGCATTTAGCCTAAAACCTCTCCCCGAATCTGAGTCGGACTTTAAGTAGATGTCAGCTCTTCAAGTTGCTTTACCAGTAGGTACAACGGAATATTTCATCATGAAATTACATAGTGGCACCCAAGCCTTCTGATGATGAATACTTCCAATTTACTCGCATATTTCCGCACGGCGAAGCTCATATCCGTATCAAAATTTGCGGGTAGACGCTACAAGATACTTTCTGCTCATCTGTTAGAATCTTTAATCTGCCAAAGAAGATCTCCCCACGCCGGTGTCAGCCCCGAAGCTGCTCCGAAGATGTGGATCCATTTCGGGCTCGCCCCGAGCATCCCCTCCTCACCTTGGCCTTCATACATCATCTCATTCAAAGGAGTGGATCATGGTACCCCTCAAAAGTATGGAGCGGATAAATTCTGAATCCTGAGAGGGTAAAAGGACTTTATTAAAAAGAAACCACAATTTATCGTAACTGCACTGAGGACTTCACTTTCTTTATTGTCGACACCACCGCAAATATTCGAATTCAACCATGTCCCAATCTCAACCTCCTCAGGATCCAATCCCAAATCGTCTAAAGGGATTAGTATCCATCATAACCGGAGCCGCGGGGAATATCGGCTTAGAATCTGCTCGACGATATCTTCTCGAAGGCGCAAAAATCGTTTTGGTCGACATCAGTTCGCAGGGATTGGCTCAGTCAAAAGAAGAGCTGATTAAAGCGATCAAAGATTTGCCAGATGGAGAGAGACTACATCCGGATGATCTAATCCTTACCGTTCAAGCGGATGTCACATCTGAAGAAGACGTTCAGCGATACGTCGACGAGAGTATCCTGAAATTCGGGAAGCTTGATATTGCACTGTTATGCGCGGGCATTTCATATTCGTCGACGAGTATTCTGGATACGGACGTCGAGCAGTATGATAAAGTGATGCAAGTGAATTGTCGATCCGGTAAGTAGTTCTCTTGAAATGAACGGAGAATAAGTAACTAACTTCTTTTTTCTAGCCTTCTTGGGCGTGAAGCACTGCGGACGAGCGATGCGAGACTCTGGAAATGGAGGAAGTATCATCCTAGTCTCTTCCATTGCTGGTCTTCGTGCAACACCTGGTCTATCGGCATATTCCACATCCAAGTTTGCTCTTCGTGGTCTCTGTATCACTGCAGCTGCAGAGCTGGGTCAGCACAATATCCGTGTGAACACGGTCCACCCGTGTGGTGTCAATACACCCATGTTTCTGGCCGCTTGGCCCGAAGAGAAAATGAAAAGTATGCTGGCTACTGTACCTCTTGGTCGATGGGCGGAGGTTGCAGATGTTGCGGCTTTGGTATCGTTTTTGGGGAGTGCGGATGCTCGATTTATGACTGGCGGTGCTTTGAAGGTTGACGGCGGTATCGTGACGTTTTAGAAATGGTAGAGATAGGACTTGAAATACATATAATGCTGTTTGGCTTTCTGCTCGTGATCTAGCCTCGTCTCTATCCTCACAGTCTCCTGCATAGATCCCTCTCCCTCCCTCTCTCTCTCTCTCTTTCTCTTAGACTTGGTCAATCTATCATCTCCTAGTCCCTTTCCTTCCTCGTCCCCTCTTCTAGTTGATAAAATATCGACTAGAACTTGAATGCAAAAATTATTGATAGACGTCATATTTGTTAATTGTATTTGTTTGTTTTTGGTAGACATATAACATAAGCATCGCCTCTATTCCGGCCTCTCCAGTATAGCGGACAGTTTTTCCATAGACTGAACAGCTCGCTTGACATTCTCCTTTGGTCGCCTCGATTCATCCCTCATCCTCCAGTCAAATATTTCGATTGAAACCACACCTTTCCATTCCTTTCTCTTCAACCATGCATGAGCAATATCTGTCACAGGAAGATACGCGCCTAGATGCTCTTCAAGGGGAAGCGGGCGCATGTTACGTGACCAACATAGGGACGGCGGAAAGTCTTCTTGATAGAACCGGTGCCCCGGTTGCAATGGAGGGACAAATTTCTCACCATCGGAGAGCTGAACATAGAATACCTTGTCCAAGGGACAAGTTTCAACAAATCGATCAAGTGATTTCGCCAGAGCCAAATCGGCGTCTTCACGCATACCGCTCTCAACTGTAGGGTCACCCCACACCCGAGCAGCTATATGGAAAGCGTCCAGACAAAGACCGAAGTTTTCTCGGTTCACGTCTTGGACCATTCGGAGTGAATCTTCCCATGTATCGATGTAGGTACCCCAAGCGACAGCCTCATATGCAATATCGACAGAGTACGAAGCCGCCAAGGCACTCAGCGTTTGAAGATCTGTCACCATGCGTGTCCAGTCTCCTGAGCTCTGCTCCTTATCAAATTGCGAGGGTACTTGTATGTACTTGGTTTTCAAGTTAGCGGCGATGTTGAGCCAAGTGCGCGCACGATCGAGTCGCTCTTCCAGGGGTGAGTTATGTCCTTCAAAGTTCTTGAACGGGTTCAACGACAAGACAGTAATGTTTGCAGAGGAACATAACTGCGAGATGTTTTGGGCAGCATCGCACACGCTCACGGGGGGGAGTTTGGGAGAGCGCGTAGTCTTCAAGTTCTTGGTAGGCGATTTCGATGGCGTAAAACGAGGCGGAGGCGGCAGCTTGGATCTTCTCTGGGAGTGTGTGAGAAGGATGGAGGCCAAGGGAGGAAGTGGTGATTGCGAGAGGATTGGAAAACATGTTGGATCAAGAGAATTGGTCTAGTTCTAATGAATATTGGTTCTAGCCAGAATCCGGAGCCTTTATAGAAAGGGCCTGGTGACCCCACGCCGCAAAAAACCTCTCCCTTGCACGTTTTACGGATATTTGGATATCCGGAAGCCCCATAAGATTGAAGAGGAGCATCTAGCAGGGAAATGAGGGGTAATGAACGCCGGTGATATACTCCCAGTGTGTATTGCCGTACTGCTGCTTCAGCACCAAGGTTTACTAATACATGCTGTCAAGTGACGACGTAGGGAGAAGGCCATACTCAATCTCATCATATGAATGCTTCTCCGCTGGAATTTTCTTATTTATCTCATGACGGTACTGAGTTCCAACGAAAATCGGCGGCACAGTCTAGATCGTTGTATGAGAAGTGAATACTTCGATGACATTTCGGGGACCCCCGAAATAGACCCACATGTACCCCACACTTCGGACGAGGTCTCCGAAACTTTCTCCGGGGCAAAATCGCGCTGGCAAATCGATTCTCCAGTGCCACGACCCTCTCAGCGGTGTCTTATTCGACTAGGTGATCATATCACGTGCCTGCGAAGTATTGGAGTCGAATGACGCGTTGGATATCGCGATTTGTGGCTTGCGTCGAATAACGCCATGTCCCAGCCCGGCGCAGACTCACCATCGATGCAGACGAGGCGCAAAGAGAAGCCCAAAATAATATCCGCGTGCGTTTTTATCTGGCTTCTCTCCGGCCCTGTTCACTCACCGGTTCTACAGATGCAACACATGTAGAAAAAAGAAGGTCAAATGTTCTGGTCAATACCCATGCGTCTATTGCGCACGTCGAGAGCTGGAATGCACATTTCCAGTGACAAAAGACAAACGTCTACTCTCTGAGGCGTATGCTTTTCTAAATCAGGATTCATTATCTTTTAGAGCTTCTAACACATCACAGGAAGGTCCGAGAGCTCCAGGCACGCCTATCCCGGTACGAGTCTCAGGTCCAGAATGGCGGGCATGTGGATGCACAGAGATCGACGGCAATGGTAGCGTCTGATCCGACCCAGGTAAGGAACGTGAATGCATCGCTGCTTTTCAACGCTCCAGTAGACGCTGAAAGACGACATTCGGCGGCATCACCTATGACCTACACGACATCAAGAACTGAAGCCCCTCCGCAGCGAATAGAAACCCATTTCACCCTTGGATCAAGCCAGAACTTTGGGAGCCGGATACAGGATCTTCTTGAGCGGCAAACAGACCACTCTTCAATAACGTCATGCACTCCTCAAGGGCAAGCGCCACGCTTCAGCCCAAGTGGGGAGGGGCTATTTCCAGAGCGCCGTGCTCCACTCAAGCCACGCCAGGGTCAAGAAAGCAGCCTGATGAATAATCTTCGTCTTCCGTCTGTAAAGGAAGGGTATCAACTTCTGGATACAGTTATTCTATACCTTGGTGATGCCCAGCATTACTTCGATGCTCGGGACCTCTCAGACCAGCTGATGGTATTTTACAGAAATAACTTCGATGAGATCCAGAGAACCAGCTTATGGTACCTTCATATTCTCCTTGTGTTCGCGATTGGGAAACTTCTAAGAGGGGACTTGGATGGGACGGCGGGCCCACCAGGCTATGACCTATTCAAAGAGGCCTTGAGACTATTGCCCGGTATTAGCGAAATCAGAGCCCATGGAGTCGCTGGAATAGAGATCCTGGCACTAGTAGCGGTTTATTACCAAAATATTGATCGCAAAGATGACGCTGCTTCTCATGTGCGAAGAAAAACAACCACATTCAGTCCATGATCCGATCTAACATGATGCAGATTGGCCTTGCGTTTCGATTGGCTCTACTGCACAAGCTTTATCGAAAATCTACGCTCAATCAGCTCCATCCATCACAGGCAACACATGCAAACCGTATCTGGTGGACTGTTCAAATGCACGATAAACGCCTCACGATAGCTACGGGGTGTCCCCTGAGTCTCGATGATAAAATGATCGCTTCAGGTCTTCCAGCCCCCTCGCCAGGATATTGTGACCCATTGGCAATTCAGCTAAACATTAGGATTGTGCAAATTCAAAGCCGAATATATTCTGGTTTGTTTCTCACAATATTTAAAAGTAGAGAAAGAAGCTAACTCGAATTTTAGTCATCTACAGTAATGAATCCTGCTCAGAGAACACCTTTTGTGACAGTGTCCGCGACATCATGTCCTCACTTACCCAAATTGCTAAGGAAATTCCGCAAATCCCTTCGCGTTCCACCATATCTAGCCGGGATCCATCGAAACTGGGGATACGGACAAGCATTTCTCTCTTTACGATGCTATATCAAGTAAGACGTCATAAAATCAAAAAAAGAGATAGGCTCGAGCAAGCTGACTCATATACCTAGGCAATAATTCTCACACTGCGACCTGTTCTACTCCACCTTGCCAAATTAATATTCGACCGTCAGACGACCTTCGGCACAAGCAGCAGTGCATTACAACATCTTGCCCGGACGTGCATAGAAGCCGCAAGTAAAAATTTGGACCTTATGAGAGTTTTGGTAGACGAGAAAATCATTTGTTAGTCACCCCTCAGCAAATTGCCTAAGTCCGAAGCTAACTAGGGCAGCTATATTCGGCTTTTTCGACCTCGATGCTATTTTCTCGGCATCGTTTATTCTGCTATTGGCGAAAATAATCAGCTCCGCGGATGCTAATGACTCTTGCCGTTTCCCTTTTCTCAACGCCAGTCCTGGGATCAAAGAAGGCTTTCAACTTCTGGACTACCTGGCGAGCTATCAGAATCATGCTGCTCGTGCACGAAAAAGACAGATACAGACCTTGCAAGAATGCATGCCGTCTTTCATGCAAGGATTGGGCTCTGCTGAAATGGAGAATCAGGCTGTAAGAACGCCCCAGACTATATCAAGCAATGTAAGTATTACAAAGTCTCCCAAGAACCTTTTACACACCCCGATCAAAAACTTAAAATCTTCCAGGCCGGGCACGAGGATATAACTCGGTCGTATACCGTCGGCACAGCGGAGGGGGAGTTTATCCCAGTAACATTGCCAGTTGAATTCTCGGATGATCCTCACGCGATATACTCATTTTTTCACGATGATGTTTTCGAATTGACAGGAGAGAACCAGGCAGATCTTGAGGAGGTTCAGCGACACTTTTTGTGGCAGGAGTAGTTCTATAATGATACCCGTGTCATTTCCTCAAAATTCTCAATGACCTCCTTCAAATGTTCCAAAAATTGTAGACACAGACATTATGTGATCTATATAGATGCCCAGGTGCATGTCACTGTTGATCAACATTTAAGCTTGCATAAACGGTCAAAGCGGTGTACAAAGCGGTCTAATAAACCGGCAGTTTAACCCAATTTAAGGCATCTTCAGGCATCTCAAGGCACCCCTCCTCAACCATCCCGCATCAATAACCCAACAAACTACCCCACTACAAAGTTCCTCCATTCTCAAACTCATTTTCAGTCATAAACCTGTCATTATTCGCACCATTCATCATGTCTGACATTTCCAACTTTGTCACCGCCCTCGAGGCCGCCCAGAAGAAGGAGAAGTACACTGCCGAGGTCCAGGCCGCCGCCGAGGGTATCGATGTCGCTACCCTGAAGGCTGCTGTTGCCGCCGCCGATGCCATGGGTGACACTGAGACCGTCGGTGATGAGGCTCAGGCTGCTGCCCTCAAGGCTGGTTTTGAGTTCGCCGTTAAGGTCGTCATGATGCTCACCTCTGCCCCTGGACCTTTCGAGAAGAAGGACCTTTACGTCCACTTCAAGGTTGCCAAGCAAGAGATTCTTGAGAAGCCCGGCATGTTCGATATGGTGGTATGTTAATATTTCTTTTGTGTTGTTTCTTTTTCTTTCTTTGAGAGAAGGCTCGTCTCGGGTTTGAGCTCCGGCTGACTTGTTCATTTTCGCAATCTATAGAAGAAGCAGCTCTTCGGCGAGTGGGAGAAGATCAAGCACTTCACTCCCCAGAAGTCGCAGGCTATTTACATCAAGCACGTCAACACCCTGATTGGCAAGTACGGTACCCGTGACCAGTAAATTATCATTGGGGAGCTCCAATAGAGTGGAATGTGAACGGTGGTCTTTTGAAGAAAATACAAATACAACACCTGGGCAAGGCCTTCGGAATTTTGGGACAAGGAGGTTGGTGAAGACGGGATAATATATATCTTACGAAGCTGTTTTTATTTAAGAAACGAAGCGATGCATCCATGAAGACATGTCTGTTTGCGATCTAATAATAGGTGCTGCGTTGGTCTACCTGCTGATGAAGTAAACATATTAAGCTATGAGCTGTGGCAAATATCTCAGGACCATAGAAGCACTTGAGGATATCAAAGGACCCAGCTGAGGCCCCTCCAGTCTGGAAAGTAATGCGATTCTGTGGCACACCATGGAGCATCCGTAGGGCCATACGGCGTCAGTGGAAGACTATAAGGCATGCGTAGTCCGACCACAGTAGCAGCATTCCGAGCCAGGTTAGACATGTCGGGCTGGTTCTGCTTGAAGCAGGGTACCATCAGCACATCTGAATATTGATTCACGGTTGCATCCGACTCTGAGGAGACAGGATTCTGCTTGTATAGCTCAGGCCAGACAACCACGCCAATTTCGAAGCTGGAGATCTTCACTTCACCACTTTGGTTCGTTGCTGTGCCCCAGGCTTGTGTGGATAAGTTGGCGGATGTGACCATCGCCCAGTCAACGCTGTTCATGGTATCTTCATCCGAAAAGCGAATGTATGTCTTGATATGAGGTGCTGCACGTCCACGCCCGGCCTCGCGTCTGGTGTGTTTATCACCGGAATGATCGATGGTCTCGATATTACCCGACCAATGACATAGGTATGGACGTAAGTATTCCAGCTGTTTCTTTTGAGGCGCGCTCTGGGTTTTCATATGAATTGAACCACCAGATCCATATCCATCTAGAGACTGGCGAATCTCGTCTGGAGTTGGGAATATGATCGAGTAATTTGGTGGTCCCTCGTTTGACGTGGGTGCGAGAGCTTCGAAGAGTACGCTTTTTAACCATTTGTCTGTTGCGCCGAGAGTGGCGACTGAAGAGATCTGGAAAGAGTTAGCTTGATGCCATATTGTTGTGTTTGACGAAAGAATGTACCTGGATCACAACTCGGGGTTTTCGAGAGGTCTTTTCACTAGTTCTGTGGGTTACAGGTACTCGGCCAAGAACATCCTTCAAGGCTGGCCAGCCCCATAACGTTGCTTTATCTGAGTAAAGTTGACAGAGATTTTGTTTCGAAGGAACACTACTAACGAGAGCAGCTCGAATGGCAGCGAAGTCATAACGACTGAGTTGTTGAACTAGTGAGCCAGTTTTCTTGGGACCGTATGCTCTCAAGTATGTGAGAAGATCTCTCTTGAACCGTGCTCCAGTACCAAGGGATGTATCTCCATTGGTAGATGATGAAGACGAAGCACCTCCTTTCAGCAGAGGCAAGAGGGGAGATCGCCAAACGGCTTGGGTCATGTTTGTCCAGTCTCCAAGTATCATATTCGCCGTATGAATGATAACCCTATTTCAGTCAGCGATAGAACACTGGGGGCCAACGCAGGCACTGGGGGGCCAACGCAGGAATATAAAAGACATACTGAGCAAGATCGTCATGACGCAGAAGAATCATCATTTTTGAATGGTGAGTCCCGAAACGTTCTGGCATGTAAGCTGTGATAGCCTCCACATTGGGGAACCGAGCACATGCCTCCTAGATTATAGTGAGTTATCGTCGAAATTTTGCACGTCGTATTAGGCAGATACAATGAGGCCGAATACGCAAGCTGATCCATCTCGAGACTTCAACCATAATACTTACATCAATGCGAATTCGATTTGCCGATTCCTTCTCCCAAGACCCATGAACAATCTTGACTTGCACCAGGCTTCTGACGTCTTCGTCAAACTGGGACATCAAGAAATCCACATCGAAACAGTAGTTAAATTGCCAGCACTCCTTGATCATTGGGTCTCCAAGTATGTCCCGCAATTTTACCGTCCCATCATTGGAGCCCTCTTTGTCTGGAAGATCTCGGATATGAGTGAGCTGAAAGGGAGAAGGGACCTGGCGAGCACGGTATAAGGCTGGCTTCTTTCCAGATGTCTCTTTTCTTTTGTGATCGAATTGGTCATTCTTAAGGTCGGCCCGGGGAATTGTTGCAATAGACGCGTGTGATTGACCGGATCGCGTTCTTGGCGGTGGTGATACGGATCTTCGCAGGGATGTGAGTGAAGTATGCACCTCCACCTCCTCTCTAAGCTCCCGTGTTTCGCTGGACAAGCTTGACGACAGCCTTGTCCGCTTTGAAGGTCGTTGGTCCATTTTGTCGGAGTTCAATAGAACAGTCTCACTGGTTGAGTGTTCAGATGGCTGAGATGGGAAAGGGCGTGTGGGGCCTAGTGGGGGAAGATCAACCCTGGTAGAAAGGGAGGCCCGATAGAGAACAGAAGAGACCGCAGACAAGTGGAGGAAAGGAAATACTCCCTGGGGCATTTGAATGAGATAGGTCTGGGGCTAGGATTAAGAGAAAAATGAGAGTTAGGATTAGGCTAAAGTAAGAGTAAAGTGAGAGTGAAGTGAGAGCAAAAATATCATCCCGACTCCTGATAAGTGAATATGGTTATAACCTTAAACCCATCTATGCTTATATATAGGTATAATCAAATAGAAATCTAGAGCCCAGAAATTTTCCTTCCTTGGATGATTGCCGCTTTTAGAGAGGTCCACACCTGGATCATACCTGGATCGTGCTCACTGAGTAGCTATCACAGTGTTGAATGCCCTGAGCGGTCATCAATTATGTGACACATGATTACATAGCCATGGGTGAGTGAGCCCTGGAGTGCCCAGGTGCGGGTGCTGGAGCAGGATATCTGAGCAGGAATACTCTCCATGTCCAGAGCACATCATAGGTAGGTACAGGCAGTATTCCTATGTAGGCTCTCGCCTGGCGATTCGTGTTAGTACCAGAAGCTCAGATGGCAATGAGATCGGCTTTGAGTATCCCTCTGTTGCTGGCTGGAAGGCATGCTTCAAAGCTAATCGAATCGTTGATGAGCTAGATGGGGATAGCTGCCTACAGATTTCAAGAAGGCCGCGTAGGCACATCTTTGTCGACGCTAGACATAAGAAGTTGCTAAGAGAATACCCAGAGCTTAAACGTTTTGTAGGAGGTGGCTATATTGGTGATGATGGGCAGGTTATAAGTACTAGCCGATTGATTGAAACGCTATAGGGAAGTTAATGACACCCCTAACGAGAATGAGAGGGAGCTCGAAAACAAGAAGCGCAGGTAATCATGAAATTGAACTGAAAATTTACATTTAAGTTATAGAACTAGGAGTCTAGTACTTGGTAACTAGTAGAATAAGAGATAAAAATTACGTTACTCATATTATTGGACTGTAGGTCCGAGAGGCCTTAGATCCTTAGCCTGGCACACACACATTCCTTCACCTCTCCACACTGCCACAGTAGCACCGCCATCCTCCACCTGGGCACACATATACCTACGCTAGGCAATGCTTAGACATGTTCAATCACATTCAATTATTATTAGTCTTTTGGTCTAGTCAGATAGCCCTGAAGCATACTACCCAAACCTTGGGAAGCAACTCACATAACAGATAGAGCCTGACCCAGGTGCCTAGTTTATAATACAAGCTCAGAGAGAATGGGAGTAGTCAAGCAGTGGTGACTCAGTTGGCTAGATTGTAAGATGTAAGGATTCATCTCTTCTCATTACTTCCGAAATTCATACTAATTATTACAGTGCAAATCTTGAAGTCCCGTGTTCGCTCACGGCCACTGCTATCTCGTATTATATTTTTTTTGGTCCTTTCTCCTATTCGTACGGCCACTGGTAGACTACAGTAGCGTTAAAAATGTTTGCGTTATGATTTTTACCGCCTTTATTCCCGCCTTCTAGATTAGGCTAGCTCGAAAGTATAGAGATAGACAAAATGATAGCAACGCGTGTAATTATAGTATCAATATTGGATCTATCTAAATGCTGTTTGATTTGATATTTGATTTAAAGACTCATAAGTTCTATAAATTATGGGTGGTATGTAGGCTATTGAATTTACTGGATGTCCTGGCAGAAAGAAAATGCGGTAGAATAAAGGCGGTAGAATAAAGGCGGTAGAATCCATAACGCAAACATTTTTAACGCTATGTATTTGCCTGTGGGTTACAGTGGTGTTAAAAAAAGTTTGCAGTACGATTTTTACCGTCTTATATCCCGCCTTCCTAATGGAGCTAATAACCTATAATATAGATCTCGAATAAGACTGGAAAACATATTATAAAAAACAATAATAACACTACAGAAATCTCTAGCTGATTTATACGCTCTTTAAGGTATAAAAGATAATTAAAAATGGTCGTCGATTAAAAAGTTCACAGACTAAGTGAACTTCCTCTGGCAGAATGAGCGGCAGAATAAAGGCGGTAAAAATCATGCTGCAAACTTTTTTAACACCACTGTACAGTGGCAGGAAAAAGGTTTGCACCAGCGCTAGTAATAGACTAAACTATATGCGGTTGACCGCCTATATTTCAACTGACCGCCTAGGCGGTCAGCACCGGTCCATACTACACGCCCGCCCGGGTTATTATTATTATGTACAAATATGCCGCAAACGCCGCGGAAACACGTCGAATTAGACGCCTACACACACACGCAAATATGCACTTTGAAGCATACAGGCTTGACATACAAGCAGCTACAACTTCATTTTCCAAATATACCGTTTGATACGCTCAAATCGACGGTTCAACGTGCGAAAAATCGTGTTAAAAATGAGACCTCGCCGCGATCGGGTCGACCAAAGAACATTACCGATATGGATAAAGCAGTACTATTTGCTGAGATTGATCGCAATCCACGTCTCAAAATAGTCGATTTGATTGCTAAGCTTGAGGTTGAATGCTGTGCTAAGACCTTAATGAACTGTCTTCGTGAGTGTAGCATGCGTAAATGGCGTGTGCTGAAACGACCCGAATTGACTGGATCGCATGCCACGCAGAGACTCGCCTAGGCTCTACGTGTCCGAAACTACACTCCTGAGCAGTGGAGAAGGATCTTCTGGTCTGATGAATCAATAATTGAGCGAGAGAGGGGTGCGTGTCCTGAATGGACCTTTACACGACCAAGATACCAGATTGAAAAGCAAGATATTCAGACCTACCCTTATAAAGGGATTAAAAAGATGTTTTGGGCTGCATTTTCTGGTATGAGGCGTCGTTTTGGGTTAATACCTTTATCGAGGGACCCTGATGCAGCACGTACTGGGATTACTCAATGGGTTATTCTTAAGCTTTATCAACAAATGTTACCAACTTTAATGGATGGAGTTGAGGGTGCGATTTTTATGCAAGATAACGCACCAACATATACCGCTTATGTTGTACGTGACTGGCTTGCTGAGCAGAGCTTTGAGCTTATGATTTGGCATCCTAAATCACCTGATTTAAATCCTATTGAGAACCTATGGGCGATATTAAAAGCAAAGCTTTATGGTGAGCATAAAGAGCTTTATCATATGCCAGATAATGAGGCTATACGGGATCAGATGATTATTTGGGCCCAAGAGGCTTGGTCTAGTATCGATCTATCAATTCTTGATAATTTGGCCGTGACCATGCCTCACCGCGTCGAGCAAATTATCAAGTATGAGGGCTGGTACACTAGCTATTGAATTTATTGTATTCATTCGGCAGAAATACCGGCAGAAAAACCGGCAGAATATTCGTATGCCAAGCCGCTATTTTAGCGCTGGTGCAAACTTTTTTCCAGTGACTGTATATGCTAGTGTCACGGTGCCCCACTCTTATTATTTATTACCTTCGGGCTTACTATACTCACCATTCTTATCTACCGTGAGTTTTAATTGACTCCATAAAAATTGATATATGCTGACCTAATAAGCAGTGGTAACTCAGTTGGCTAGAGTGTAAGATTGCAAATCTTGAAGTCCCGTGTTCGACTCACGGTCACTGCTACCGCATACTATTTTTTGGTCCTTTCCCCTACCTATTCCTGCGCTTAATTAGCAAGCGGTAACTTGTTTTTTTTCGATGACTAATTGTATATTCCTGAATCCCAGCCAACAATGCTCATTGCCAGAGTTAGAGCCAGGGTTTCAGTCTAGCCACAGCCCGTTCATGGTCTTGATGCACACTTTTATATACCTTATGAGTCATTGGTTTCTTTTCATAACTCTTGCGGTCCAGGTTCTTACTTCTCGATAGTCAGTTGAAACTTAAACCCCAAGGGCTACGAGGTCGACGATTTTCAGGAGAATGTAGAACAGTAACATCACAGCTCCTGCCACGAGCCCAATCCTTCCAACCGTCTCTGGTCCTCTCCAGGGCTGTCAACCGCCACATGCAACAGTTCTACAGCCCAACTCTCGGCAACTACATGTGCAGTTAGTCATCTAGGCACACCCTTCCAAGGTTCCAAGGTTCACAAGGGCACCTAAACTTACAGACACTCCCACAACCAGGCCGATCTTTCCGGCCATCGACTCCGGCCATCGACCTCGGACCAAGTCATCGCTCCAGCTTTCCTATGCGTCTACATACATACATGATATAGGTAAGCAGTCAGTCACACATGCTTCAAAAGCAGCTTGAGAGGGGTACATAGTAAACTTACCTATCCCGGGAGTCAGGATTGCGAGGACGGTGAGGAGAAAGTAAAAATGCTTCATTTTGTGTAAGGTTTTTAGCTGGTGATATCGAATGCGCAGTAAAATTGAGGACTAAGTAGGCCCCAGATAACAAGTGCTGCTGAAGTGAAGGGGAAGTGAAGAAAGGGAAATGAAGGAGAACTTACAAGGTTGACCTCCAGGGCTCAGGAAGGGAAGGTGTTTTCTATGAAATTTACTTCATTAGAGATAACTCGAGGAAGGTAGGGCCTCGCGATAATGCCTACCTAGGTACGCAACCTTGGAAGTAGGTATAACCTTGAAATGTTGGACTTTACTCCTGTGGAGTTGTCCGCCCTAGTCTTACTACCCTAATACACTGTAGCTAGCCGTCAACATGAATATAACTTTTAAAGAATTTGAATTTAATATTACAGTGATGAAACTAATGTACACTACATCTCCCTGGGGGAGTGTATGTTCGGTGGTGTGCTGTGATCCACTAATCAACTACCACATGAATCGCTGGATCTTGCCTGGCTCTTGCGGCCACTCAAATCCCTTGTAAAGGAACATGTATCCAGTCACCGCATTGATAGCAATGAACCACAGGGTCTCAATGAATCTGGGGGCGTTAGTGGCCAAGTCAGCCAGCTCTCGCTCCCGTTCAGACTGCGGACGCTGTTTGCGGAATGCCGCGAGACTCGGCGTTGGGGGGAGATGGAGACGCCACATCACCCAGGGGATGATAAAGTAGCGTGGCTCGACCAGCGGAGCAGTGATAAGAGACAGAGAAGTTGCTGCGAGCCATACGAGAATAAAGCTGACTCGTTGAACACCTGTTTGTTCCTTCTGGCGTTTAATCAAGCCTTCCTGCACCTTAGCATAGGCTTCAGCAGTAATGGGGTCGGGTTGTGGCTGTTTCTGTTTCTGTTTCTGCTGCTTGGGCTTAGGCTTGGGCTGTTGCTCCTTCTTAGCTGCAGCCTTCTCATTCGCTCGGCGGGCTTTTCTGTTCTCCGCAGGTTGTTGCTCAGGGGCAGTTTGAGCTGCCGGTGTCTGAGGTGCCGCTTGAGGAACTCGGATCAATCGAGGGGGTGCCTGGTTGATGGCGAAACCACAAGTAGAGATGATAGCCCATGCGCAAAGAAAGTAGGCAATAACAGCAGCATACTTAATGGCAGGGTGAACGCCCAACAGAAGGCGGAACACGTAGAAAACATAGTGGCGGTTATCAGCAAGAGTAAAAGGATGTACGACTGTGTTGAAATGCACAATAGCAAGCATGATGAGAAGGACAATCAAAGCAGTGAGCAGCTTTGGAAGTTGCTTATGTTTCTGTGGAAGGCCATAGTCGAGATACTTGGACAGGAGGTGCTTGGGGAGAACGAGATTCACAACAGGAATGACCAGCAAGGGCCAAGAAAAGAAGGCAAAATACGGCCAAATGTAAAGCATTTGAGCCAAGTGTATGCCAGCTGTATGAAACTCTTTGTGGCCTGAATCCCAAATGGTTAGCTCCAATGTCCATGGAGAATGCCGTATGTGATTGAAAGGGAAGATGCGACTTACCAAGGACCACGCCATCGTTCCAAAAGACGAATGCTCCAAAGGCCGTAAGAATGATTAAGTGAGGGATCATAGGAATCACTGTAGAGAATGGATTTCTCAGGCTGACAGTAGCGAAGGAAATTGCAGTCTTAAAGTAGTCTAAAATAAATCAAATTAGGATTGGGCTCAATGAATCAACAGAAAGATACGTACCCGCCAGTGTGGCCTCCGATACAAGGGGATCATAAACCTCATTCTTCAAACCACTCTTCAAAATGCTGCACATATCAGATGACTGGCAAGTTTCGGAAGATAATCTGATCTTGCGAACGACTTGCAGTCCACCAAGAAATGCCGAGACCCAAAAGATGTTTGTTTGTCGACAAGCAAGCGCAGCCAATCCAGCTACAAGGAACACCAGCGTGGAAAGGAAGGAGGTAATTCCGGAGGTATTTGTGCGCTTCAGATCCCAATTGTATGCCTCGACGACGACAAGGAGTGCAAGGATGTCGGTATAGTAAAGAGCCGAAAAAAAGAACAGTGGCGGGAACAGACAGATATTCAAGACAGAATGACTGAGCCACGCCCCCATGGGACGGCTATTCTTCACCTTGTGTACAGCATCCGACAGCGTCTGAAGTCTCCATGGAAGAAACACGGCATTGGTAAAGAGATTGGTTCTGCGGAGGGCATCGGTAGCGATCTCTGTTGGGAATTGGCCGCGAGAAAGCATTATGGCGCACAGGAGATAGGACCATAGATACAAGCCGGGTGGTGTAGTGATTTTGGGATCCCAGTGTGTCCATTCGTGTCTCCAGTATGCTTGCGCTTGTGGGACGTGGAATACTTCATCGAGGTATGGTTCGGGGACTCGGGATTGGACTTGAGCTCGCCAGATCGGAATCAAAAGCAGTGTAAATGGAATGGCGTAACGCGCCGCGCGACTAATAGTCGATTCGGAAGCGGAACTCATTTTGGCCCAAAGCTCAAAGAGCAGGACTGAAGGTTGATGACGTGTTAAGAAATTTGGGGAGATGGGAAAACAGAACTCCTAGGTACTCCGCATATAGCCACCTGGAATTTTAGATCCGGCAGAAAATGAAGCTCTATACTCCGCCTCCGCCCACCTCCGCCGACATTAACCCCTGGAGTAGTCCAGCCTTGCGGTCAACATCAATATACATACAAGAATATGAAAATTTAATTTCTACTTACTCTGACTGATATATATATATGAATTGTCCAAATATTAGTAGTTTACTTCCAGCTACATTTTCTCGTCTCTTGGTCGTGCTACTAATAACTACTCTCATACTCGAGACAGGCGTGGAGCTCACCTACCATCTTTCCCCATTTTTCGGAAGCCAACCGAACCTGGGTAGCCAGACCAGTACACTGCTTCGCTTCCTCCGAGAAGTCCTCTAGAGCATCCAAGCTATGTGTGATAAACCACCCACCTCCTCTTTCGTGATACGATTTCTCTGTGCTTGCAGTGCGCCCCTGTTCGCACGACCAATTGTGAAAGCCTCGTCATGCGATAATATCACAAATGCCTTGCAGTAAATTTCATGTCACAAATTATTCTCACATATCATCGATGAGACAACTTCTTAACGACGGGTCCCTTTTTTGACCAAAGATTTCAATCCATCAGTCGGCTGTAAGTCCGTCAAGGTGATTGATTCTGCACTAGAGCTCGACGGTCCGATCCAAAGAAATCCCATGAGACTCAAAGCAGTTGGCGCTGTACTCAATAGCTCACCTAGGAGAGCTGGAAGATAGCCGCATTCTTGACATTGTCGATGAATTGATTGGATGCTCTGCCTCCAAATTCATGTGAGAGTGTCGAAAAGCCATTGCAAAGGTTTCCAAAAAATAAGGAAGAATTGGAAATAAAGTGGGAAGAAAGATCAATGATGAAAATCATCAGATGAGCGATAGTTAATCAGGACGGAAATAGATGGACTGATCGATACTGCGAGTCTGAGTCCGTCACAGGCGAACTTTATTTAGACAGCCCAACCCTTGCTACTGATTGCAGTGTATTCAGAAGGCCACGTCCGCAAAATCAGCTAAGTCGGTTCGACTGACCACTTGAATTTGTGATGATATTTGTCCGCAAGTCCAGTCGAAGGCTGGAGCCTGCGCCCGCCGCTGAGGTCTGAGTGTCGAACCTACTCCGTCCAGACATTTTAGCAGTTCGCGCCGAGCTTCGAACTTCTTCAGAGTGTTGGATGTAAACTCAATTTTGGATCTGCGGCACTTGCTTGAAGTTGTGAGTCGGCAGCTGGAACCTGCTGAAAGGAAGAATAGCCTCGCAACGAATTGCCATCTTTACATCTTGGCCATCTGCATGAACATTTGGGTAAAGCGTCATGGAAGAATTCCAAGTCTCAACCGTCGCTATAAATTGTAACTTTTTGCTGACTTCACTTCGCTTAATTTGCCTTGACAACTTACTGAGCCAAGCGGTTGGCTATCGCTGGCTTTTCCCTTCTCATTGTCCTTTCAATCTAAGAAATTCTCGGGTAACTTTGCCCAGTCAGACCGTCACAGACTTGGCAATGGGATAATAATCGGCTAGCTTGGTTACTGGAATGCATCATGATCAACATGAAGTTCTCTTTGGAGTTCGGGCATTATGGCGTGGCACGCTTGTCATACTTCCACCTCGGTCACACCGCGATCTCCACCTACACCATGTGGATTCTTCAGCTGTCCTGGAACACGGGCATTTGATTAATCCTGACTCGGAGATCCTCAGTAAGAGCTACTATGGCCTGCCTGTTGGGCTGCCGGGACCGTTAACCGCCTGTGAGGTGGGCTGAGATCATGCTTCATGTCAGACATGTAGTAGCTCATCACCAATCGCTTTGGATTTCTTTCGCCATGGCCGAATCAATAGAATATGAGACCGAGGAATCAATGTGTCCAGAACTGATTATCGCGTTGATGTTTTAGTCAGTCTGCTTTTTCGCCAACACTACAATGAAACTAGTATAAATAACCTTGATTTGGATTCGCCCTTTTTATTTAAATTTTGCCAATTCATCAGCCTTCTCTGCGGTCTCGAATCCTACATAGTATCTCCAGGGCTTCCTGTTACATTGAGACACAACCTTGGAATCCACGCGAAAAAGCACCTAGTCGTCGAAACTGCGTTTGTGCATTACTCTTCTTCTTTGACGAATAGTCCTACCACTGGCATCATCAAGACCAGAAACCTCGTCGTGGCACAACATCTCAAAATGCAATCTGAAAAGACACCCCTCCACGGGCCCATCAATGAGAAGACCCAACCCTACCTTTTTGCGATCAAGCATCTCATTGACGCCCGGGCTGGTGAAATCTTGCACAAAAGCAACTTTGGCGGTGGCTGGGAAAAATGGCTTCAATTAGAAGTAGCCGCCGAGCTCGACATGCCTCACACGATTGACGTCCTTTGTGAGCAGTCCATCTGGCCAGGCTCGTCAGATCGGGTTGATCTCTGGCTGCAGGACCCACAGGCAAATTATCAAAACCTGAATCCAGCGGATATTGCAGAGGAACAGTGCTTATTCCAACTGCGGCGCCGGCAGGGGTTCATACAAAAGCACGATAATGAGCAGCTGAAGAACCTTGGCCAGATACATAAGCTAGGCCAGCAAGTCGGAATTGAGTTGAAGTGTCGCACGTACCTGCAGAAGCCAGCCGACCTGCAAGCCAAATTCCTGGAAGATGTGGTGAAGATTCATAATAAGCCGCTTGTTTCGTGTAAGTTAGTGGCGTTGGCGGTGACGGTCGATGAGTTGGACGTGCACCGAGAGCTTTCGAAGAAATTCGGGAATGTCGAGGTTTATTGGGATCGTGTGTCGGATCATGTTCCGATATGGTTGCTTTATGTGGAGGTTCCTTGGAAGGTTTGAACCAAAATACAGATTGAGGCCCGGGGTTGAATGCTACTAGGTATACCTATGTAGTAGGTATTTACCGCCTACATCCATTCAAGTTTGATTTTCGTGCTGGTCTCGTTTTGGTGGTTGATATCGGCTCTCTCGTAGTTGGGGCTAGACTCATATTCAAATGTTATTGGTCGTTCTTGTCTTGCGTCTTGGGGTGAAAAAATACTAATCCATGGCAGATACAAATTTTGTGCGCACTTAACATACCTAGATAGTATCGTTGAAATTCCAAAATCCATCATTTGAAAGAGATTCAGCCCGATGGCAGTAAGCAATTCAGCTTCTAAGGTTTGAAAGCACTGGTAGCTTATAGTACCTATGGACATGGGACATTGATGAGACAGTTATAACAAAGTAGGAGCACTTGAGTGCTAGTATGGATACTAGGGCAATACTAAATAGTAACTACTATATGTAGCCCTATCATACTAGATTCAAGCTGATTGTACCTAGGTATTAGTAGTAGTATAACTTGAATCCACATGTGCATAGATTAAACATTTGAAAGTAACATACTGGTTACGATGATAGGATTAAATTAGAACAGGGACCATGACTGCCCAGGTTACGGTGTTATGTATAGTGGGTATGAGGAATGTTCATATAGTATCGAGATATGTAGTATCCGAGTACTACAATCAACTTGAAGTTCAAGTACTACCTATGTAGCTAGTGCACAGGGTAGCGACGTATATTACTTCAGGCTCCGAGTCCGAAGACGCTCACGGGTATAGCCTGAGAGTACTATTACAGAGTAGAAACCATGGAAGGGTTAGGCAAGCGTAGTAGTGATTAAGTCATTAAGAGACCTCAACTTTGGAACTGGGCATGACCTTCAAATGTTGGATCGGACAGATAACTTCAAGTTCATTTCATCGCATTCAGAGACAATATGTGTACCTCGAGTGTATCGACAGTGTGAGATTCAAATTACTGATATACTCACATTTCAAAGATGCCGCTTCCTTTTCGCCGTGGATCATAGCCTGAACCTCAAGAGACTCTAAAACAGGACCAACCGAATGGATTAAACCAAACGGAAAAAAACAAAAACATCTAGACCCGTCAGCGGGACAGATATTGTCCGAGTCAGAGGTAGAAATATAGTAGGTGATAGTGACGACTATAAAGAAATTCAACTTGAGCGATCAGGGCATACAAATGCTCTTCAAAGATATCATTTGAGAGAACATAATGAAGGTGAAATAAAGTATGCTCGTTCTTACCATACTACTGCCGAGGATCCCCATATTGCACATCACCTTTACTTTCTTGAGGAAGATCTCCGAGAGGTTGTTCAAGAAGAAATATCAATTCAACTTGATATCTCAAACAAGGATACTAAAGACTCAGAAAAACTTGAGTTTTTGAATAAGAGATATTGGCTCTTGGAGCAAAAGTGGTGGTATTCTTACTGGTGTCTAAGAGAGGGATATCAGTGAAGGGCTTTTGATCTATGGCGCTCTCATCCGAAATGGTATATGCATCGGGTGCTGAAGGAAGATTGTGCTTCTAGGAATGGTTGCTGTGCGCGTGGATGTGGGCGTTGTAATCTTCGCGAACCTTCTCCTAGACGAAAGCTTGGAGTTGGGCATTGTACTGTTGAATGTGACTGTTGTCGCATGGCTCGAGGGTTTGAAGTTTCCGAAGAAGACAAGAAGGCATTGAAAAAGGAATATCGTGAAATGATCAACATACTCCCTAAGCACCTACTTGTTCGAGTTGCAACATGGGGGCTTGTTGGTGATTGCTTTGAAGACCCGTTTGATATGATTCAGATTGATGCGCCACCAAGCTATGAAAGTTGATATGAAGAGATTATATTAGCTAGATGACAATCAAGTTACTATTGATGCTTCCAGGAGTCCAGGCCTCTTCAAATGTTATAGATAGAGGAGGGGCTAAACCCAAAACAGGAACACTAGACCAGATTAGGATATTCACCATCACGTTAAGCTCTAAGTTGCAAACAAGACAAACACATACATTTAGCAATCATCAGGACGCGATTCGATCCCGCAATATGGTCGCCATGCCGCACTGACGGCGCAAAAGCCTCGATATTCCTCAATTAATTCTGATAGAAAAACTACGATTCTTACAACCCTTAAGAAATAATGGCTTTCCCTCTTCCGCGGGGCATCACTCCCTCTGAGATTGCCTTTCTCGCCGAGATGGAGACCGTGACTATCGTGCCCCGACAGCGCCTCGAGGGTCTTGAGTTACTAGGTGTGAGTAATTTATCGGATTTCGAGCATCTACATTCCGAACCTGTACACTAACTCAATTGAAGGGCCCCGTCGAGCCTCTTGTTCCACCTCGTCGCGCATCCCTTCCACTCTGGCTCGCCCTCCTACTTAAACGCCAACGACGCGCCAACATTATACCTCCATCATGGTTACACCCAGATCCACTTGGCCTAATCCTCGAGGTGGAATCGCAGCATCAAGATTATAAAAACTCCTTCTCGCCCCCTCCTCCACTGCCGGGTCAACCTAGCATCAATAGCTTTGGAAAAGAAGCCAATCCCCGAGCACAATACACACCAGATGGAGATAGATACTATGCCGCACCGCCGTTTCTACCTCAAAATACTGCACATGGAGGAGACTTTACAAAGGAGACACCAGCTTTACCATTCCATTGGGTGGAAGTCGGGAATATGCTACTTGATGCAGCAAGTGATGACCTTGTTGAGCCCGATCAAATTCGACGATTACTAAAAGACTTGCGTGAGGTGCGCATGTCGAAGATGAGATCTGGCGTGGATGTCCTCGATGCAGCCGCGACTGTTGGAGGTGGAGTTGCGCTGACTGGAGTGGGCGCAATGGAGCTGGGTGAAGAACGTGGTTTTGTGGCTGGTGTAGTGGATAATCTTCGGTATGTTGACTATGGAATTCCGACTACGGAAGACTGTTGGAGCTTTTCTTATTGACTGGATTATTAGCAAAATCGGCGCTTCGAAAGAACAAGCTAGACGTGAACAATTGGCCGACCAGCGCGCAAACGGCCAATACTCGGCGACTCAAGATGAAGAAGAAGACTACATGGAGTTTTAGAGAGAAAAAAAAAGTGCATGGGCTTTGTGTTTTTGGGGATTTTTCTTTGGCGTTTAAAGGTGCATGGGCGATGCGGATCAATGCCCCCAGAACGAATATTCAATGTATATAGACTCGTATACCCGACTTTCCTTGTCTCATGATAAATCAAATCTGTTCCAATTTACCTAACACCATACAGCATGCGAAACGCTCTAATACAAAACGAAAGTGGAGAGCATATCCCGCACGGGCTTGATTGGGAGAAATGTCCTGCAATAAACATAAACCTGGTAGGGAAGGATCCAGCGAAGCCTATCAGCAATACAAGAAAACAAACAAAGTAGTGGTGCAATTATTTCACAGGTTTGGTATTCTCATTGAGCAGAACTTTGGTTCTTTTCCATCATCCTCTTACGCGCGGCCAGAATCATGTCATCTCGGCGTTTCTGGAGGAGGCGTTGACGCTCGTCTTTGTTTTGTGACCACGCGCTAGACGAAGGAGAGGTTTCACTGGACTCTGCGCTTTCAGCTGCCAATTTTCCGCTAAGGTTATACCGAGAAATTAAGTCCTGTCCATCTCCTTTAGATGTCGACGCTGTGGAAGTAGCCTGGGTGGAAGCGTTTCCTGGTAAAGTCGGGATCTGAGGTTGGAATGATGGAGGCGGCTAGATAGAGAATGATGTCAGTAATTGAAACAAATCCAATCATGATATTTGCCGACAAATTCCTCGAATTCTCGAATAATTTAAAAGAGATAAAGAGGGAGGGGGATGTGACCACGAATGACACATCGAATTGTCGCAGCACATACCGTTTCCAATCCCCGCCCGGTCAATATACGCTCTGTTGTCGCTGCAACACTACCACCATTGCGCTGCAAGTCCCACATGATTTCACGAGTGCTCAGCTGGGGAAACATCTGAGAGATCTGCTCGACTTGAGCCGGGTCGACAGCGTTACCCCGGCCGCGGGGCCGGCCGCTTCCGCTGGAGCTTTCATCGCGGTTAAAGAACCATCGGAGAACAAAGTATGATACGACTGCTAAGGTCAAGAGCGACGGAATGTTGAGCGAAGGCTCATCGTCGTGCATTGTGCCGTGAGCGAGTTGCGCCCTGAGAGTTGGTTAAGTTTAGGCTTAGGTGCGGGAGAAGGCGGAGTAATTCCGGGTTGGGCAGGAGGTCATGTGGGACTGGGATGCCGACTTCGGGAAAGCGTCTCGGAAGTCAGTCAAGTTCAGACCGAAAGATTGGAATATCAAGAACCCGAGGGAGATTGGATGTAAGTAGAGATAGGATGTTAGGTGGCGGTTGTTGATATTGGAGAGTTTCGGGCGCAGGCGCAGCACGTGCCGGAAACTATTATGTTAGCCTGGCATTGTTCAGTGGCGAGATGGTCGATATCTATACTCCGTAGTAAATGGCGGAAGACAATTTTGATATTGGATATATATAACCCATAAACTGTAACTTAAAGCTATTATTCTCAAGTATTGGTTTTGATTTTCGATATAAAAATCTATCTGCCAGTGACTATCAGTACTAGTAGTGTATAGAGAGCCATGTACGAAGTACTAGATATCTCATTTGATCCCAAGGTCTACAGTATGAAATGATTCAGTCGGATTTGAATTCAAATTTGACCTCGGAAGGCTTGCCTATAATGATCGAATGACTTAGAAATCCAGCATATGTACTAGAAGCCCAAATGTTCTATAGCGTAGAATCTATCACTCAACCCATCCGCCGGAACGTTTCGTCATACTTGGTACTACGACTACATAGTGCTCGTAGCTCACATTACGAAAGAAAGACCCGGGGTTTACAAAATTCAAATGGAATTGAATTTGTCTCTAAAAGAGAACAACTGAAGTCTTGTGCAAGAAAGAAACAAACAGAAAGCCTTCATCATGCATAGATCATGAACCAATATCCTTCCCAACCAAGAAGCCCAGACCAACATGGAAAAACATTTGAACACTCGAAACCGCATAACACCAGCTGCCACAGAATAATTGAGCCGTGGAATAGCAAATGCTTCGCACCGGGGCTAGACCAACATAATAAAAAGACAAAGCTGACCATTCGTGAAGAAATTTGAAGCAGAGATTCATATCGCTCACTTGCGATTACTTCATATCGGCAGGGGTCAGCGCCTGAACGATACTAGTACCCTCACTGAAGCGTGTGCGGAAGATGCGATTGGCATTCTGGAACATGCCATCCTTAAGTGAGACGACGATGAACTGAGATCCCTTGAATCGAGTCTTGATGAGTCGTCCAATGTTCTGTGTGTGAGACAAATCCAAGGCCGCATCAACCTCATCGAGAATGTACATGGGAGCGGGCTTGAATTGCAAGAGGGCCATGATCAAAGACAATGCAATAAGAGACCTAAATCAGATGTTAGAAATTGGACTGTTGAAAATTTGGGAGAGACTGTCCTCTAGATTACGTACCTTTGTCCACCACTCAATTCTGTCAAACTCTGCTTCCAGACCTTACCCAAAGATACCTTGACTTCTAGACCGTCGGTGATATCCTTGCCCTCAGGCGGGTCAAGCTTAGCAAAGCTACCTGGCAAAAGTTCGGCGAAGATCTGTCCAAAGTCTCCATTGACCTTGACCCACGTCTTGTGAAGGGCCTCTTTCTTGTACTCGTTCAGATTGAGGATAGTTTCTTCGATCTTGCTCTTGTCGCGAATGACAGTCCTCATCATGTTCTTCAGAGCAGCCTCCTTCTTCTCAACGCTATCGATCATGTTCATAACCTTCGGGTTGATCTTCTTCTTCATTCCTTGGGAACGTTCTGTCAGGTTACGCAGGGTTGCCTTGCACTCCGCAATGTTCGAATTCTGGAAGTGATATGGAGTATTCGGGCGGCCGAACTGGTCCTTCTCATCCGCAATCCACTCATGTTCTTGCTCCATATGGGCCACCGCTTGCGAAGCGGTATGTTGGTCCTTTTGAAGTTTTTCGAGCTGGTGGCCCAGCTTTTGCATCTCCAGGCCTTCCTCGGTGATCTGAGATGACTTTGATTTGATTGTACGCTCAAGCTCGCGCATTTCATCGTCAAATCCAGTCAACTTAGCTCTCTCATCCTCAAGCTGTGCCTGAGCAATATCGTGAGCATCTTTGAGTCGTGTCTGCTCTCGCTTCAAAGATTCAATTTCCTCCACCTGAGCCTGGAGGGTGTTCTCTGTCTCGGCAAGTTGCTCCTCGGCCGCTGAAAGATCGCTTCCGACCTGTTCAGAGTCTAGGCGAGATGATTGCAGCTCTTTCTGGAGCTCTTTCACTGAAGCAGAGTTCTTGGTGAGAGCCTTTTTAAGAGAATTTAATGAGTTCTGAAGCTCTTCCAACTTGCTGTCTTTGTTGTTATTGAACTCGCTCATGTCCTTCTCAATCCGCTTGATATCTTTAGATGCTTCGGCTTGGCGTGTTTTCGCATCGGCGATATCCTGCTTCAGCTGCTCAATATTCGCTCGCATTTCTTCAACGGCTTGAATAATCTATGACAAGTTAGGTATTTCCTATAAATTTTGAGCCCTTCAAGGTACGTACCGAAGAAGAAGAGTTGTTGTTGATTTGCTCTTCAGTGAGTTTGATCTCATGAGTTTTAAGATCCAGGTCCTGTTTGATGGACCGAACTGCATCAAGCTTCTTCCTCTCCTTGTTCATGTTTTCTTCCAAAGAAGCAAGCTGACGTTCCTTGCTTCTCAATTCTTTAGTGATCTCATTGAGTTTTTGCAGAGTCACAAGAACACCGCTTGAGTTTGGAGAGCTTCCACCAGAAAGAGTACCCGATGGGTCGTAGACATCTCCTTCAAGGGTCACACTCTTCATCCGCACAGAAGGATCGAAGGTGACCTTCTTAGCTGTGTCGGCATCCTGACAGATGAGGGTGTTGCCGAATACGTAGTTCATGGCCGCAAGCACCTCGTCATCATACCCAATCAAAGACAAAGCCAAATCTACCTTGCCAGGGGCAATGTTCTGGGCGGCTCCAATCTTTTCAGCAGATGCCTTGAATGCGGAAATCTTGTTCAAAGGAATAATTGTAACACGCTTGCGCAGCTTGCCTTTTTGGAGCAACTGAGTACCGGTCTCGGCAGAGTCTACAACAACATTGTATAGACGTCCACCAGCACAGATTTCCAGCGCAGTCGCAGCTGGAACTTGATCCTTGTTCAGGACGAACAACTGAGCGACCAATCCCTTTACCTTTGAACGATCAAAATTTGGATGGGGGTCGGTATAATTGAAATCGATGTTAGCAGCCTTCCGTCGGAAGCCATCAGCCCGTTGGCGAAGATCGCGGATGTCTCGCTGTAATTGAGACTTTTCTTGGTAGATCTGCTCCTCTTTGCCAGGCTCGAAGCCAAGACGAGTAAGCTCTGACTCGAGCTTCGTAGCTTGCGCCTTCAGGCCTTCCAGGTCCTTCAGGAGACCTTGGTTCTGCTCCTTTGCCTTCTTGGCACGGGGTTCCTCCTCCTTGATTCTCTTCTCAAGGTGAGTAATCTTGAGTTTCGCTTGTTCTTGCTCTGTAGAGGCGTTGCTGACGCGGTTTCGGGCATCTTGCAATTGTCCTTGGTAGCCGCTCTCCTGACCTTCCCTGGAAGCGACACCTGTCTGCAATGTTTGAAGCAATTCTTCCTTTTGCTCCACCTCGACGTTTTGCGCATCGAGCTCAGCCTTGGCAGCGTCATACTGGACCTGCAATTTTTCGTAGATGGCGCTCTTTTCCTTCAGAGTCTTCTCAAGGTCGCGAACGGAATTTTTAATAGCCTTTCTCTTCTCCTTCTCCTCATCCATACTAGAGTTCTTCAAGTCAAAAACAGTCGTCAGGCGAACCAACTCATGTGAGTGATTTTTGACTTCGTCCTCAAGGCCTTGGAACTTGCCACCCTTACGGAGCTCCTTATCACGCGCGGACTTGACACGCTTCACATCCTCCTCCAAGTGCGAAATTTCACTTTTCAGCTTGTCTGCATTGTCTTCCAACGCCTGGACTCTGTCTTTCTTGCTGCTGCATTCATCGCCCGCAACACGCAAACGCTCTCCTCCACGTATGTAGTCATGAGCAACGACAAGTCGAGTCAGACGCTCCAGATCGTTTTGTGTTTGCTGGAAGTCGAGGAACGCACGTTTCTCGGAGCGGAGCTTCTCTAGCTTGGGCTCGATCTCCTCCTTCAAGAGCTCCTCAATTTCGCGCAGCTTCAGCTCCTTCTTGCTCATGGTTTTGATAGCCTTCTCCCGTCGATCCTCGAACATTCGTGTGCCGGCCGCTTCCTCAATCATCGACAGGATTTCAACCGCCTTCATGTTCAGCACCTTGGTGATGCGACCCTGCATAATAAGGAAATTCGGGTTGTTGATGTTCAACTGGACACTCTGGAACAGATTTTGGACAGTCTGCTGTTGCGCGCGGTGTCCATTGATCAGGTATTTGCTAGTTCCACCCAGCACAATTTGGCGGGTGACGGAGATATTACCATATTCTTCGAAGCCGATCGGTGATTTGGAGGTATCGCGGTTATCGAAGACAATGGTCACACTAGCCTTGGTCACGCCGGCTTGGCCACGCTTGTAGATCAAATCTTGAAGGTTTTGCGCTCGGACGGTGCTCATGTTGGTGATACCGAGAACGAAACAAATGGCATCGAGAATATTGGATTTACCACTACCGTTCAAGCCGGTAATGGAGTTGAATGCTTCGTCCCTGTAAATCCTGTCAGCAATTCCTCCATTGCGATATCATGAATGCTCCTGTTGGGAGGAGCTAGACTGGTTTGCGCACCATCCCGAAATAACCGTACGCACGGCGTACGATTTGAAGCCCTGTGATAGTCTAATTAGCTTGATTTGAGAAGAAACAGGACAGCGCAGCATACGTCTATCACAATCTCTATGATCCTCATGTTTGCGACTGAGAGTCAGCTCACTATGCGGAGTACATATGATGTTCGGAAGAGTCGAGGAGGGGCGCGACCCGTTGTTTTGCCCGCAAATCAGGTGTTTATGGTTTGCCCGTTTTGCACTAGCGTTGTCAAGATGATGTAAGCGTCATCAACAATCATCACGTGCTGCCCAGACGGCATCTATAGGATCTCGGACACTTTCATCATCAATGTCTCCGGCTGGGTTTAGAGAATTGTCTTATTCCCGATATAACTAAATACCTATTCCAAGCCAATCAGACTACACATTCAGTTCAGGCCTCCAGTTTACAAATAATCTGCTCGCTTTCACTTTACTACCTTCAAGGTACTCACAATGAAGAGCAAGAACCATTGGGTAGTGTTGCTATGGACCCAGGCAATGGGTCTTGCTCAATCAATGATACCAGCCGTACACGCCATATGGAAGTAGATCTCGTCCAAGGCTGTCACAGAACTTTAGCTCGTTCCTTGTATAAGCAGCGGAGACATTATCGGACACTTTCGATTCCTTCGCCCCCATACTATTTTGCCTCAAATGTATATAAAGGCCCAGGCCAGTCTCGAAGAACTTGAAGCCGTACTCGCATCTGCCTCACTCCTGCCTCAACTACTGTCTCACTCTAACCTCCGTCAGCAACTTGAAACAGACAATCAGTCTATCACATCTCAACTACATAATCAACCGCCCTCAAGCTTCTCGAGATGCCTGAATCAGCACCAAACTGGGATTTTCTCTTCAGCGACCCCAATTTCATCAAGTCATATGAAAATGGCGAAAGAGTCACTGGAACGTTTGCTGAGACTCTTATCGAACAGAGTGACATTGTGGCCGGCTCAAAGGCGGACCCAGAATGCTCGCTGGTCATACTAGACAATGCCTGTGGTACTGGCGTGGTCTCTAGCATTCTCCATCGTGATATCGATGATCACGTCAAGGGAAATTGGAAAGTCACATGTGGTGACATTGCGGAAGGGATGCTGCAGTATGCTCGCCGTCGTGTTCAGAGAGACAAATGGATAAATTCCGATGTCAAGACCGTGGATGTACAAGACACCAAGCTTCCATCAGGTCATTTCACACATGTCTTCACATCTTTCGGTATGCCAAAATATTATCATCATGATCCATGGATGTGCATTATTAAGTTATGAATGATTGCTGACCCTACTTTGCTTGCTAGCCTTTATGGCCGTTCCTCGAAGTTTGACAGCCTTGGACGGTATGAGTTCCTTTCATGGATAGTTTGTGAACATTGGACCTCAATATACTAATGCTCTTTGATATAGAAACCACTCGCATTCTACAGCCAGGAGGAGTCATTGGGTTCACCACCTGGATTCAGCGTAAGTCAAATCATATCTTCAAGTTGTTATTCCGTCACCTCGAACGAAAACTTACTATTCTTTCCGTAGCTGGTTGGGTTCCAATCATGAAGAAAGCAATCGACCTTCTGCCGGGTAGATTGCCGTGGCCAACTGCGGATGAGTTTCTGAGAACCTTAGGCGAGGGTAAACTTTGGGATTCTCCGGCATGGATCGAAAACCAACTCAAAGAACGAGGCTTTTGTGACATCAATGTCACCTCTGTCACAAAAAGCAACCCCGTCTCGGTATCCGACTTTGTGGATATGGCCATGTTCATGGTACCCATCGTCATCGAGTATTTCTGGTCAGAGAAGATGCGACAGGAAAGCAAGGACAAGATCAAACCAGTTCTGGAGAAATACCTTATCGATACATACGGGGAGAATGGGGAAGTGTCTGGGGAATGGATGGCTATTGTCTCCACCGCTCGAAAGGCCAGCCCTTGACCGTTGAGGGTTGAGCCTGTCCAGTGGTGAACATGGATTTTGCTTCAAATAGTACAAACCTCAGTTCGATGATCTAGCCGTTGAATATGCAACGATAGCCCAGCATTATGCGCACAAATATTAGGAAGGTCAAAACTTGAATGTCTTTGAAAGGTCATAACTTGGTTTCCCATATAGCCTCATTTACCTAGTGTAGGTAGTTTCAAGTTCTTGATAAATCACCACGCCCAGATCCCAAACGATATTGTACTATCGGCCACCCGTTAGAGCAATATTACAAACCAGATAGCCAAACGCCACTGCTGATCGATTTAAAACTACTATCCGCGCCTGACCCGGGGTGCATGCATAAGCTCTTATGAAGCATGATGCGTCTGACCAACTGGACGAGCAATCCCCCGTTGGCTTCCAATCGATTATCCAAATCCTCGTATCGAAGAATGAACTCACGCTACAGAGTTATGGTTAGCGCATGTAACAGAGTATTTCTCTTGTATTTTCTCTTCTCCCGAGGTGTGCTAGAGACTTACTCGAACCTTCTTCCAACTAGCAGGATCCCACAGTAGATAAACACCACGTTCGCTAACACCACGTTCAACATCAACTGGACCAGGATATTGTTCATCACGGGTCAACCAGCATCGCTCAAGCTTGTGGTATCGCCATTTGCGACCCATTAACTCTTCCGCAACGAGTTCCTGCATGATATCTCGAGGCATACTGTAGAAGATGTAAAAAAGGGTCTCGTCGCTAAAGCCGGGAATGCGAGATTGAAGTGATTGAATGTTGGCGACATTGTAGCAGGATGGCAAGGAAAAATCTTGTTCCAACGGGACTGCGGACATGGATGACACGAACGGCGACGCGAACGAGGTGTGGAGGGGTCTAGTAAGCGCAATAGTTAGCTAAATTCATAGATCAAATCTCGATTAGGCGGGCGCGCATACTCTGGCTGGTTCAAATCGAGTCCTAGAGTCATCAAATCTTGGCCAACAGCAAGACTGGCCACGTCGGGGCTCTCGCTATGAATCATGCGCAATAGGCCGGCCAAGCCAAATCGGTCCAACTCGCTCATCTGTGCGAGAGGTGGTTGTTCTGCACTTTGTGCGTTGGCGGGAACCGAAACATCTTGTCCTTCATTGGCTTGTTGCTGTCTTTGCTGCAGTTGTTGCGGGTCGCTGAAGTTGCGTTGACCCGACATGAGGATGTTGTTCAAGTCCTGTTGGTGTCGGTGAGTGCGGGGCCTGGGAAAGACGATCGCCGATCTACCTACCTCCTTCTCCTGCCCCAAGACCCCATTGGGTCCTTGGTTAACAGGCGACCGTGATGTTCCAATACCTGTAACTCAGAGTCAGTGATTCATTTCCACACATTCATTTCTCCCATCCAACAACGGAGGAAAGGTGCCGCCGCATACCTGAATTGTAACTTCCAAACGCAGTATTTTGCATCAACGAGCCCCGGCGGTCTTGGCCAATCTCAGCAGCAACATTTCGGCCCAACGGAGGGAATTCGTCGATGTTGCCTGTCTGCGGCTGAGTGCCAGCTCCTAGCTGGCTGCTGATGCCCTGGCCACCATTCCTGAAGTCGTCTAACCGATTGGCGAACTGGGCGCCGGAGGGAAACATGTCATCGTGAGGAGGTTGCTGCGGTTGCTGAACGGGATGTGGTTGGGTTTGAGAGGTTCGCGAAGGGGGTTGCGATGTCGGGGGAAGCTGCTGTCTCTGAACAGGTGTGTGCTGAGCAGCTCGTTGGCTGGCATTAGCCCACACATGCTGTCCAGGGTTCTGAGATTGTGATTGCTGTGGTGCGCCTGAGAGAGAGGGAAACTCGCTAGAATACAGAATCACGGTCAGTGTCCTCGATCAAAATTTCCCTTCACAACCACTGGATTTGTGCAGTCTTTGCTTTCTGAGCAAACCAGGTTGTCACTTACGAAAGGTCTAGAGGTGTGGCTGTCTGGGAACCGCCCAAGCTCTGTGCGAAACTGCCCATCGTTCCCATGCTGCGTTGCTGATTGCTTTGTAGGGTAGAAGTTCCACTCGCGGGCAGATTGAAGTTCCAATTCGCTGCGCCACCTAGATCAGCGACCCCCCACGTATTAGCATCCACTCATAACAGCTCTCCGCTTCTAACCATTTGTTCTGCAGACAAGCCCACAAAACAACATACCCAGTTTTCCGTTCGGCAATCTTGTTGAGGCCAATGTTGCGTTTCGAGCCTGTGCTTGCTGTGGCGCGGGGAATCCGGACATGCCTCGTAGCGGCTGCGGGCCGGGTCCTGCCAAAAGAGAACAAGGAGTTAGCATGAACTACACTGTCTCATAACGCGTTGCATATGATTTGGCCCAACACAGGAATGTGTCGAGAGATCCCTGCGAAAGGTTTTTTTTTTTTTAGAAAAATGTCTCGGTCGCAAATCGAAGGATCATCTCCCACAACTGCCATTGGAGGATGAAATGCTTCCATCACTTCCGTTTGGAGATAAAAGAGTCGGTTTATCAAACCCAGCTCTATAAATGGAGTGCTGTTGAAGGTATTCCCTCGAGAACATGATTCAAAGTACACCGGGACCAAGGTACTCAAAAGATAGAAGAAGAAACTAACGAACCTGGTCGATTCATGGTTGAGGTCTCGGAAGTGATATTGAAGACGCGAGCTCAGAGACCTTCAGAGACTCGGTGAGAATCGGATACGGTCAAATATCAAGTTAAGACGGTCTCTGTGGAGGGGTAGTCGTCTACCATGAAAGGTCTCTTCAACCTGATGCGGCACTGCTCCGCCTGGAGGTGGAGCGAATCGATTGGGTAATTTAGGCGCGCGGAAGTATTGGAGGAGAGCACAGGCCAGTTGAAACTAACCGCGAACTTCAAAGTCCTTTAATAGAAATAAAGGAAGTAGTGATGGATTAAAATCAGTGTCAAGGACGGGGTTGAACCAGAATAGAAGATTAAATCCAACGATGAAGCAAGAAAAGTGATATCAGTCAATGTAATGATCAGCAAATCGTCCATTTAAGATGTGGTTGCACGTGACCCTCCGTCGAGCCCGAAAAAACGCATCGTCAATTAATCGAAGCCTCCGCCAACAACTCCCCAATCGACCTCTACACAATGCATCGGCCAGTCATTACTCGTTTGGCCCAATATGGGGGTCTCGCACTCGCCGAACTACCTCCGCCATACCTGGCACCTTCCCTTCACTTCTCGATGACTCGAACCCAGTCCTCAAACTTCTCTACGACCCCCGTCGCCGCTGGCCGAGGACGCGATTTGAACCGAACCCGCGGTGTATCAGCAATTCACCGGACCGGCCCCCGATTCAAGCTCGGTGTTTCCAAGTACCCTTTGCCGAAACCTGTTTCGCCTGAGTCTCTCCCTGCCCGAGCCAAAGCTCCCAACCACGGTCTTTGGGGTTTCTTTCCCCCTTCGCGTGAGGCAATGAGCACGCCGGAGTTCGATCTGGAATTTGGTAGGCGGATACCATCTTTTCAGCTTCTTCCGGTTAACCCCTTGCTAATGTATGGTTAGGTCGCCCATGGGCTATTACCGAACTCCGTGACAAGAGCTGGGATGACCTCCACCGACTCTGGTGGGCCTGTCTCAGGGAGCGCAACCGCATCGCTACCTCAAACTTGGAGAGAGAGCGCTTGAATGCTGGATACGGATCTCACGAGGCTGATAGTCGTGACAAGGCTGTAAGTTTCGTCCAATTGTGTCTACTGGCTCGCCCCTGTCTAGATCAGTCCATCGAGGAGGAAGGACAATTTCTATTCCTTCGCTGAATAGGTCTTTTTGTATCATCACTACCCGAGTTCATTTACTGATATTGTTTGTACTTTCAGGTTACCACTACCATGTATAACATTAAGCATGTGTTGCGTGAGCGCTGGTACGCTTATGAGGAGGCCCAGCGTCTCTACGCTCAGGGAGTTCGCCCTGAATACGAGACTTACATGGAGAGCTCCGAGGCTGAGGAGACTGTCTCCAAGCCATAATGTGCAGTTGTGCTAGCTCCTCGAGGAACCAGGAGTGCATTGTTTGGAACTTGTAGCAATATTCTGGCTGATTCACCATTGTTCTTTTTATTATATACTTTTGGCATGTAAAATATCAACGCAATACTTCCCTTTGATCATAAAACTGTTCCAATTCTAAATTTATCACTAGAATGTTTCGAATTTGAAGCTTTATGGTATCCCGCTATAGGCATCAATGAGATCTAAATATTAGAATGCCACTTGGTACCAGTGGTACTTGGCACTAGGCCCTTTGTACTCTGGTCTTTCTCAGGGGCCTGATGAAAGAGCATTAAGATAAATATAGAACCAGGAGAAGCTTCAATACACTATATTTGCTTTTATAGGCCCCAATGTACTGAGTAAAAGGGGGCGTTTGGAGATTCCCACGAAACTTGAGACTAGTGGCGGGCCCGTCAAATAGTCTTCCCTTTCTTACCGCTTCGTGGATCCGCGGGGACAAACGAGGAGAATCCATCTTTCTTTCTTCTTTTTTTGCCTCCAACTTAATACCCTCCCCTATTGTATCTATCTCTCTTCCCTATCACAGTTTCCAACATGGATGAGATCGCTCCCGAGTACGACGTCGTGGTGCTGGGCACCGGTTTGTTGCTACCCCGCCATTCCAATAGCTTTCCCCCCCTCAACGCTGACCAACTTCTCCTGCAGGTTTGACCGAGTGTGTTCTGTCTGGGTAAGCTCCTCCAATATTCAAATCTACTATATAGAATATAACATATAACTAACCAGTTCTTTCTCTTGCTAGTGTCCTGAGTGTTAAGGGTAACAAGGTGCTTCACATTGACCGCAATGATCATTACGGAGGGTACGTCAACGAAGCTTCGTACAACGCCACCGCGGGGAAACATCTAACTATGAATCTAGAGAGGCTGCCTCCGTCAACATTGAAACCGTATGCCGTCTTATTCAATAATCCACAATCCTCTACTAACCCCTATTGCAGCTATTCAAGAAGTACGGCAACGTTCGCCCCGGCGAGGAGCCCTGGAAGAAGTATGGCCGGGTCAACGACTGGAACATTGACTTGGTTCCCAAGCTTCTGATGGCCAATGGAGAATTGACAAACATTCTGGTTTCTACCGACGTCACTCGGTACCTCGAATTCAAGCAGATTGCCGGCAGCTACGTTCAGCAGGGCAACAGTTCCAAGGCTACTGTGGCCAAGGTTCCCTCCGACGCTGGTGAAGCTCTGCGCTCCTCCCTCATGGGTATTTTCGAGAAGCGTCGCGCTAAGAAGTTCCTTGAGTGGGTCGGAGAATTCAAGGAGGATGACCCATCAACTCACCAGGGTAAGTGATGTGCTAGGTTTCGGTGTGATGAAGCTGGTAGCTAATTGAGGGCTAGGTCTGAACGTCAGAAGCTGCACTATGAAGGAGGTTTACGACAAGTTTGGTCTTGAGACCAACACCCGCGACTTCGTTGGCCACTCCATGGCTTTGTACTCTTCGGACAACTACATTAACGAATCTGGTGTGTCTGTCGACGCTATCAACCGTATCCGACTCTACGTCAACTCTATGGCCCGCTACGGAAAGTCTCCTTACATCTACCCCCTCTACGGTCTGGGTGAGCTTCCCCAGGGCTTTGCTCGTCTCTCCGCTATCTACGGCGGTACCTACATGCTGAACACCGACATCGATGAGGTGTTGTACGAGGACGGAAAGGTTACCGGTATCAAGGCCACCATGCGTGACCGTGATGGTCAGGCCGAGGAGATGAAGTTCCAGACCAAGGCTAAGAAGATCATCGCTGATCCTTCCTACTTCCCTGGCAAGGTCCGCGCTACTGGATACTTGCTCAAGGCTATCTGTATCTTGAGACACCCTATCGACAAGACCGACAGCAGTGATTCTTTGCAGCTTATTATCCCCCAGTCTCAAGTTGGGCGCAAGCACGGTCAGTGACACATTTCCTTTGAATCGATTAACGTCATGACTAATAGGTAGTAGATATTTACATTGCCATGGTCTCTTCTGCACACAACGTTTGCCCCAAGGGCTACTACATCGCCATTGTCTCGACCATTGCTGAGAACGATGTCAACCACCACCTGGAGCTCGAGCCCGGTTTCGAGCGCCTGGGTGCTATCGAGGAGAAGTTCATTACTCCTCCTATTCCTCTCTACGAGCCCTTGGAGAGCGGTGCCAATGACAACGTTTTCATCTCCAAGAGCTACGATGCCACATCTCACTTTGAGACCACAACCGGTAAGCATGACCTTTATCCCTACCTGTGTACTCTGTTCTGTTCTAACATTCTATAGCGGATGTGCGAGATATCTACCACCGTGTTGCTGGCGAAGAGCTCGTCGTTGAGGGTCTCCGAGAGGACCAACAGCTTGCCCAGGAGTAGATCTCCTTTCAAGAGTAATATCTATGGCTTAGATTTTGAAACAGTACATTTTCATTGAATATTTTGGATGCTCTCTGTTGTTTCTTCGTTTTCCTCCGCGAGTCTCAGTACTCGATCAGATCAAACAGGAGGACTGTAGCAAGCGCAAATATACCTCATCTCTTCCTACTAATTTTATTTCGTGGACTTTGTATCATACTACCTCGGTAGTATGTCGTAAAGTATACCTAGGTATGACTGTCTAGTTAATCAAATCAGGATATTTTGAAGGTCAAGTAGGTTGTGTATATTAGGTATCAAATAGGTACAGAAGGAAGGAGAAGTGCCAATCTCTATACATCTTGAATCTTCTTTATCAGATCATTATCTGATAAGTATGTGGATCTTGAATCTATAGCTCTAAATCAAATCTTCTGATCAACTTCCGGATCTGTATTCGCCTTCTCGTGCTCAGCAACAACGCAAATATCCCCAGTATCGGGCTTTTGAATCTCCGCTCTTAAAAGCGCCAGTCGTTTTCCAACATGCACGACCTCACACACAATCCTCGCCTCAGATCCTAAGGGGACGGGCCGGATATATGTCAACCTGAGGTTCCGGCTCACGCCACCGAACCCGAACCTGCCGGGCCGCGACACACCCATCAAAATTGTTGTGGAGAGGATATCGACGAGTGTAGCTGCGCACCCGCCATGTAGGCTACCGAGTGTATTGCAAAGAGCACGCGTCACAGTAAATGTGAAGGAAATTTTGGCAGGAGGGCCCTGCGAAGCGGATTCGAAGCGGAGTGAACAGTCTTCGGCGTCGATGTCCCATCGCTGAATAAGGAGCGTGTTAGTAAATTGTACTATGAGATCGAAGGCATTCAAGATAGAGAATATAATGTGTACGAACCACGTCGCCGGCTCCTTTGCCTATTAGGTATGTGCATTCGTACGCATGTTGCTCAAAGTCGGTTACCTCCCGCTCCGGTAGGAGAACTTTGTGGTTGGGCATGATATTTTGTATGGGTGTGTATTGTTAAAGAGGAAGGGGAAGAAGAAGAAGAACGACAGTATATTATGTATGATGAGGTAGGAAGTATAATTAGCGATCTCGGCAGTCTAGCGCGGAGGAGGGTCGAAGCTCGAAGCACTGGGTCGCTGTAGCTCGGTCCCCCTGGTGATTAACCTCGGCTCGGATCTAGATAAAGGATCCGTCTTAGTGTATTCTATACCAACCTCATGCAACCCTTGAAAAGCCAGTGCGATAATTAGAGACTAATTATTTTCAAATTATAATTTAGATGACAGACTGGAGAGCATGTCAGTAGATCCTCCAGAGCTTACACTAGTACATACCTACTATACCTATATATTCAGACTCGAAGCAAATCAACCTTGGAATTAGTATCTGGGGTTCACAGGTCGTACCTTCAAGTTCCTCAGTTTACCTCCAATGAACTTGAAGTAAATTTGATAGAAACCTCAATATCCTCACTTTACCTTTACTTTACTCTCACTTCACCTTCACTTCCCTTTTACTTCAGTACTAGTACTTAGGTACTCTAACTTGAACCTTTCATCTGGGTAGTTTTACTACCTACTAGGTAGCATGTATACTATACCATAATATTATCCATCACAATGAAGCTTTTTTTTACTTTTTATTCCTTCCAAGGTTTCAATGTTCAAGTTTTCGTACAGAGCTGACTTCGGGTGCCTGTAAGTTTACTAGTAGGTACCCTTCTCAACTTGAAGCTGATTTTAAAGGGTATCCCCAGGTGACTAACTACAGATGTATATACTAGTTACCGAAGAAAGTTAAAGGGCTGAGGTCAAGTTCAAGTTGATACTAGTACTACGCCTGGGCGGCCTGGCAGGGGAGCCAGGGTGGAAGATCCTCGCCGTGGGCGGTATCGCCCTGTTCAAATGCTGTTTTTTATATTGCAGTCCGTAGTGGACTTCTTTTTGCTTTGGGCTCGTCTTTCAATTGAGCGGTAAGAGCCTGGACCACAAGAGTAACAAACAGAAACTAATGAAATGTCAAGCAGAATCCATGGATGAATTGAACGGGCCAACAAGGAGTTCAACCGGTGAACAGCGGTGGTATTGTTGAAAAGGAGTGAGGATCCGTATGCACAGAGGGAGGAAGGGAGGGTGCATATGAGTATCCTTATGTGTATACGGGAGAGAGGGAGGGTACACGGGAGGGAGGGCGAGCGAGTCTAAAAGCTGAGTTACGAGTTACAACTTACACTTTACTTTGCTCTCATTTCTAGCCCCATCGAGTTACACCCTTGATTGGAACATTTCAAGCTTGATCCGCATCAATTGCCTATCTCAAATATCCCCACCGTCTCAAAATACAAACCAGAAACCACTAAGCTCACAGAGTCTCCTGCGCAGAAGTTCCTACGAGCAGCCCCTTGGTATAAGGACACCCCCCATAATTTGGGCAGTCATTCCTATTTTGGCGTGTTTGCACTGTTTGCAAGCCTCATCATGATTCTGCCAGTTTTTCTGCCATGTCTTATTATCTACCTAAACTCTCACGTGGGCATCAATTCCAAGTTATATCACGTCCATTGTAACCATCCCGAGGTCAATTCTACTGTCCAGATCGATAACACCCTTTAGCATATTAGGCTAAGCCTCCACACATCCATACATCCATACATCCATACATCCATACATCCATACATCCATACATCAAGGCCCTTAATCAATCAGTGGCAGCTACGGAGTGCACAATGTATGTATGCTTCATTCAAGGTCACTCGGGCTGTAGATATAAAAGAGCCTGAGACTCGGATTTTCAAGGCTACTACCAGGAAGGAAAAGTGGAGTGGTACATATGTAGGTACTGAGGTAGGTACCCATGTGGGTACTTGTAATTATAAGGGGTTAGACAGCCAGGCTCCGATAAAGGAAGGTAAAGGTGTAGCTTTGCCGGTCTAGCTGCTACATGCGCATATGTAGCAACAACACGGCTCGGGAACCTTCAAATGTTCAACTTGAAGTTCAAAATTTTCCCTTGGAAAATCAATACGTATAAGGGAGCCCTGGAGGTGTATGTATATACTAAACCTAATCAGGCGAAGAGTACATGGCTCCCATCACATCCATCAAGTCAGTCGCGTCCATCATATACATTATGTCTATTGCATCCATCAAATCTGCTGTAGTATAACAGACCTTGATCTCCAGACTCTGTAGAAGCTACCTACCTAGGTAAAGGCCATTATTTCTTTTTTGGGAAGGCGGTATTATAATCGGTCAAGCTCGCTATAGGCGGTCTGGACTTGATGCAGTATGTAAACAATGCAAACCTTCCTAAATAGGCATCTCAACCTTTGAATTCAAGCAGGGGTGTCCACCTTTAACACTATTCAATTCACAACATGAGAGATCCCCGCGCCTCCAAGCGGAGACGAGTCTCCGAAGAACCCGCTCAAGACGATGATGGAGATGTTGCCATGAACAGTGGCACTGATGACGATGCCTCCGTGCCTTCATCCCCCGCCGCCGAAGAACCAGACTCCGAAGAAGACCAAGAATACCAAGGGCCACAATCAAGGCCAGCCCGACGACTATCAACTCGCAGAAAAAGTATACAGGTTCCTAAGGGACTAGGCCTAGAGGAAGACCCGAAGGACGAGCCAAGTGTTGTTGAGACGCCGAGAAGCACCAGGACTAGCGGACGACAGCGAAAAGCGCCTCAGCGATATGAAGGGACACCAACTTCTACCCGAAAAGCAGCCGCCACGCCTCGGAGCACTCGAGGAGCAAGGAGTACCCAGAAAAGCGCCCAGAAGCCGAAACAAGACTCCCCGGAGGATGTGGATATGGATATGGATGTCGACGACCAGTCACCCAAGCCTACTCCACTCGCAAGGACTAGATCGAGACGGAGTACCGCCAAACCTAGATCATATGCGAATGATAATGTCGAGGAGGTCAGCAAGGATAAATCACCTGAGCCTGAGACTTACAATGATGGGCTCGATGATCTTGTTGCGTTACAACTTCAGCAAGACCTACACCATGGCCAGACAGAAGCGGAGGAGAGCGTGGAGATGATGGAGCCCCTTCCCGAGTATGTGGAAGCTTTGCAGAACCTCTGCAATGGAGGGCTTCACAAGGAAACTCAGATTCTCACCACATTCCTCCTTGAAAAGCTTGCTGGGAAACGGCAGATTCCGCTCAAGGGACTCGAGAACGAGTACAGTAAAGTCAATCATTTAGTTGAACAGACTGTGACTGTTGGTGAAGGTAACTCGATGCTACTTCTTGGATCACGCGGTTCTGGAAAGACAGCGATAATTGAGACGATTATCTCGTCTCTTGCAAAGAACCATGGGAAGGACTTCCATGTTGTTCGCCTGAACGGCTTTTTGCACACCGATGACCGCTTGGCCCTTCGAGAGATGTGGCGTCAACTTGGTCGCGAGACTAACACAGAGGATGATACCCTCAGAATCAACTCCTACGCGGATACAATGGCAACACTCCTGGCTTTGCTGTCTCATCCCGAAGAACTATTTGGTGCCTCCGGCAATAAAGATGGTGTGACTGCAGCCAAGTCTATCATCATTCTGTTAGATGAGTTTGACTTGTTCGTCACTCATCCTCGACAGACTTTGTTGTACAATTTGTTCGATATCGCTCAGGCCCGCAAGGCGCCAATTGCAGTGATTGGACTCACTACCAAAGTGGACGTGACTGAGATGCTAGAGAAGCGAGTCAAGAGTCGATTCAGCCATCGATATGTATATGTTCCTCTGCCCCGAACATATGAAATATTCTCAGATGTCTGTATGGCAAGTCTCGATCTCGACGAGAAAGAGATGTTGCAAATTGCAGACACGCTCAGCCCGGAGCATGGCGCTAGTCTGGAAACAGCAGGATGGAAAACACTACGTGAAGGTTGGAAGACATACTTGAAGGTAAGAAAGACTCATTGTAATTTTTTGGACCCTGGAGAGTATTAAGCTAACACAATCTTTTCAGAACTTATGCGATGACAAGGACTTCCAGTTCCATCTCAAGCGAATTTTCAACCAAACAAAGTCAGTCAAGGAATTTTTGACGAGTGCACTCCTCCCAATCGGTGAACTCAATCTCAGCACCCAAGGAGCAGACAAGCCAACAATTCAAATTCCAACCCCAAAGAGCTTCGTCTCGCAATCTCTTTCTTGCCCGGATCCTGCACTACTCCCATTCTCGACTTCCAACGGCTCCGCCTCAAGTCCATCTTCACTACCATTGGCTCTGCTTCTAGCCGCAACTCGCCTAGCTGCTCTATTTGACCCAGGACACGATACTATCCAAGCTCAAAGCATAGCACCACTTGCACTTTCCTTCCCTGCTGCGTATGCTGAATACGTGCGACTTCTCACATCTGCCAAAACATCTGCTTCGGTTTCTGGTGCTGCTGCTACTCCTGGTCGTGTCTGGGGTCGTGACGTGGCACGCGAGTCTTGGGAGAAGCTGGTTAGTTGGGGTCTTGTTACTCCTGTAGGTGCAGGAAATAGCACAGCCGACGGACAGATGTTCCGTGTGGAAATCAGTTTTGAAGAGGTGGTTGAGATGGCTGGTTCGAGTAGTTCGCTTGGACAATGGTGGAGAGATGGTTAAGTTTCTTCGAATATCTTGTATGAATACAATGTGGTCCTCAAGTGTTATTATCACTGTCATGACTTAACTCTATACATCTATGGCCACGCATATTTGCGAACCTCAGACCGTTTCTTTTGATTCAAGTATCATGGTTCGTGTAAACTATTCCCTCAGTGACCTTCCATCTATGGAAATTTACTCCATGATAAACACAGTAAATCCCTCACACCTAGTACCTATAAATCAACGAATTCCTATTGGCAACATTTGAATCAATGAAAATCGCACCGCCTCGTGATCATCAACGCCACCCAAATTAGCATTCGTCACAACTACACACTTGTAAACCTAACCCGACGCCCCAAAAGCCTAAACGCATAGCAAGCCGCGCCATTTCTGCAGGACTCCTGCCAATTGTTTCTTCGACTCAACGGGGTGATCAGATCGGACATCTGATAATCCGCTACTAGTACGCTATTCCAAGGTTGTATATGATATATCACATACCGGCACGCACTAACCTATCAGATGATAAGGTCTTCTTCTCGGTTAGTCTTAACCCCGCCCCCTGTTTAGTCTGAGTTATTTTATTTATTTGTTGGGATTTCGGTTTGTTTACTAGTATTTGAGTATTTCGGTGTTATTTGGTATTGAGCTTTTGCCGAGTTGGTTACTGCAGAGGTGCTCCCTGTACGGAGTACTTGCATGTGTATGATTCATGTTACGTGCTCTGCAAACCGAGGGCTGAGATGAGTACTCCCAGGTATGGTATACAATCTTCATGGTGTTCATAACGACTCGACGTGTTGAATCTTATTACTGGTATCACATATTCAAGCTGTACCCGTGAACTGATACCGAGTACATGGTGCATAGCACATACTACTAGTAGTATCCATGTCTAGTGTTTACTGCTCCCCGAGGAAGAACTTGAAGAACCTTGGAAAGGAGTAGTGTTCACTGTCAACTAGGCATATCCTTGCCTGAATCTGCATCTTACCGGCTTAGCATGGGATACACAATGCCAAGAATTCCGTGGACTGGATGAGTGGATTAGAGTCAGTTGGTTAGAATAATGACCTTATACCTGAGACCGTCTAAGAGTGGTAGATAGAGACCTCGGGGAAGTGAACTTGAAGTCTTCAAATGTTACACGGTGCTAGAATCAAAATAACTTCTTTAGTTAGCCATGTGCATAGATAACAGCCACATGTGCATCAATGATGCACGATTCTACTAGTACTAATGTGTATGCAGATAGCTGTACAATCCTTTGGCCACATGGGACAGGGATAATCTGAATCAAACATTCGGAACAAAGTTGTAAGACATAAGAGTTATTGATTGTTTGTGTCCAGTCCATATTCAATACTATTCGTATATGCGCGTGCTACTGGTATGAGTGTACATGGGAATCAAGTTTCAATCCTTTAGCATCATTAACCTTAGATGAGGTCACAGCGGTTCCGAGTTTGATTATGCATATTTTAACCTGCAACTATATGTATGGTTTCATACTAGTATGAGGGGCCCGGTGGATCAATTCATACTCACTGGCATCAATATTTTTTGAAAAAACCTTCCAGGGGATATTCCTGCTAAGACATTGCGAACCGAGACCTTGTACTCTGTACTAGGTAAGGAAACATTGGAAAATCCTCGCCTACTTTTCGCCACAGACCGAATCTACTCGGATAGGCACTTGATTGGATAAGTCAAGAACATGGGAAGCACGCGGCATGCAAGTGTGCTCGCCATGTGTCAAAAGTGACATGTCGCAGGTTCTCTTCGCATTTATACCCACAAACGGGTTTGGTGGCAACAGGGGCCCCCATGTAGTGGGTCGATCAAAGTACATACACGCATATTACTCAGTCGGTGTGCAGAGTTAGGTTAAGTAGATTTAGTGATTGGATAACTATGATAAATTCATGGGGCGGACTAAGATAGCTAAAAAATTGGTTGAATCTGAGTCAGACCACTAAAAGTTCTTATTTGGTCTGAGATAATAGGAAAAAATGTTTAGAATGGATCCCATGCGGATTCTGTATCCTTTACAGGATCAAGCCGTTCATAAGCTAGTCGAGTCTATCTCCCTAGACTGAAAGACTAAGGTACAAAGCTCCGTAGCGACCCGTCCCGATGGATCTCGATTTGAGTGGTAAATGCAAGCGTGGCTCCCTCGCATAAGCAGCTGCAGCTGCAGCTAAGCAGGGAGCTTGGATTTGATCTAATCTGTTGGGAAGGGAAGAATAATGGGAAAAGAGGGGAGAGATGGGTCCCCAATAATGACGGTACAGTAGTTGAGTAGTCGTTTTAGTCGACTTGCAGGACTCCACAATTCTGCAGGACTCGCACGGTGCTCATTCTTATGGAGATCCACAGACGCCCAAATGCAAGGAATCGAAGGGATTTAACTGAATAACCATGTGCAGAGTACTCCATACAGATGCAGCTGTGCTTAGAAAGGTCCTCGGGAAAGGAAGGTAGAGTGAGATACATGGATTATTGTAAATCCACCTAGGAGTTGGTGCATGCAAGTTGCAGATCAGTATTCTTGTTCCCGTTTCTGTCTATCTTAGTTCATTTAATTAATTCAAAATGTTCCCGTGCTGTTTCTATTTTTGCTCGTGGGTTTATTCCCTTAAGCCGGGTGCTCAGGCGACAGATAGCAGGGAAAGTCTGTACTCCGACGCCTTATTGATGCACCAGATAGCGACGAAAAGGCTGCATTGCTGCACTACGGCAGACCGCGTGCTCCATGTTGAACTTGGTCTAGGTCTTCGGAAAGCGACTGGACTGAAATTTGAAGTCCGAGGTTGTGTAGTCAAGATTACATTGAAACAAGGTGGAAGAGGGGCAAGAAGCATCCGGGACAAGTATCAGCCAGTGAATTCGAAGAAAATAAGAGTAACAGGTATTTGTTTCTGGGGAAAAGCCGACGCTACGAGATTCCATCGAATAGGTGAAAAGACCAAGATTTGTGTCCCACTGATCAGCGGGTGTCTTTCCGAGGTGCATTGCTCCAAATTCAAGTCAACAAAGGTCAATTGCGAGACACGGAGTAATCAGATCATCTTCTGCAAGAACAAAAGTCCCAATCTATGATGAAACGTGTTACCATATGTGGGGATTTGAGTTGTGCATTATGCCCATGTGTTCCAAGGTTGGAGGAAAAGAAGCTACTGCGATAAGTGCATCTCAACCCCGCTTCAATGTTGCAGATGAGCCGTTTTCGTGTTCGCTTGGGAGATTTACCCTTTTACCCTGGTCGCTTTTTGTTTATCTTTCTCTTATTTTGTCCATTCTCTTTGTTTCTCGGGAAAGAGCACTGCCGTGAGGACGTCACTGGCTTGGGGGCCATTCTATACTAGTAAATGACCTCGGGAAGAATCGTTGTGTGCGTAGAGATCGTCGCCCCACTGACTGGGATATTCCAGTATCTGCAAATGTGTAAGAAATATTGCGAACGGGATGTAAATACCCTCAAGTGCTGATAGGCAATGTATGGTGAGCGATAATTTGGATAATGAAGTCTTGAACATGTCGCCGAGTATCCATGCTGTATAGATTTCTGAAACAACAATGAGTATCTCTGCCAACATGCAGGTGGTTATGCGCAAAGCGACCGAGAAAGTAAAGAGAAGAGTTTCGATTAGTGGTCAATCTCGGCATGTGGTGTTGCTCGCATTTGACTCGATTTGGTAGCGACGATCATCACGCCGTTGATCCCGTCCTTCTCGCCGCCACCATGTAGTGACACGGGTCAAGGTTGATCGATGTGCATATGTACGCGATATTGTAGGCTTGGATGTAGTGAGCAACAAGCCAGGTCCAGTGGCGAATATACGGATATATGCACAGTAAGCGACCTTGAAGATGGAATCCACTCCGTGCCGACAGGGAAGTTTAGTACAGAACGTAGCACGGGTGAGCTTCTGCAGGCTGTATTTTTAGTGCTGTAACCCACTGGCAGTAGTAATTTGGATCAAAACCTTGCGAGCATTTCACAACTTCGCTTGAAATCGTATGATGTCTGCGGCTTTGATATTCTAGTCACCCTTTGGACGCCTCGAAGTTAATGGTTCACAAAGAAGGTTCAAGTGCGAGCAGCGCCCGTCAATGATGAGGATTTGTCGTCATTGTATTTTCTCTTGGCCCCCCAGCGCCCCCAACTGAAAAGGGGAGATGGGGCAACACTGCTGAATTGAGTCTGTCAGCAGGGATTAAGTCCGACTTGCATCGCCCGAAAATTCGACCGCCATGGGTTAAGAGCCAATAGAAAGTCGTGTAGGGAGACAATGGCTCAACAAGGGCCAGAGTGAGAAGGGGCGGTTCTGAAGCGAGAGTTCAATCTCAAATTTGCGTAACACGGGATGAAAGAGCTTGTCCTCCGTAGAACATCATCCCTGAATATTCTTTCTTCACCGGAGCACGGAGAAGACGGACAAAATTGGATGACAATGTACCTTGTACTCCATAGATGAGTAAACTGGCCCCCGTGAGAAAGCCACATGGATTTTAGATGATCCACCGCGGTTCTATGCAAGTCATTGCGCTTGCTGTTAACCGACACCGCTAGCTGCAGAATGGACTTTTGAGCTTCCCATTTGGCTCACAGCTCCAGATGTCAGCCCTGGAGCGGAAGGTAGAAAGTATCGATTACACATGGAAACCATGGAATTCCCACATGGAACAAGTCCACCATGCTGATATCAAATTTTGTCGATCTGCCACGTGGACTGAGAACCAGCCTTCTTTTCTTCCCGTGTTCTTCTTTCAAGTTTCGGCCGTAACCCGTGGCGGAGCATATTGTTTCGTTATGTCTCGCTACAAATGGACAGGAAAGACAAGCCCGGCGGCTAAGAACGGGGAAACATCATCGGTGAAGCCCGCGGAAAACAAAGAAAAAATAATTTTCCCTTAAATTTCTGACTCATTTTTTTTTCAATCAGAGTAGTAAGCTCTAAATGGCGGAGTAGATAGTCTATCGGAGTATGAATCATGCATGACAAAATCTTCCGCAAGGAGATGTACCCCCACTCATGTCAGGCCCATATCATATGCCAAGGACAATACCTTTCGTGGCTGCGGGACCAAACCAGAAAAATCACACTTGGATCTCAGGAACCGAAACATTTTGAGCCACATTAAATCTTGGAAGAATGAGTTTGAAGATTCTTTGGTGCAGATACCCGAACACGAGCACCCCTGAATCATGGAAAGTAAAAGGGACTACTGAGTGGATCCTCCCCCGTACCATGGATGAGAAGGGACTAATGCGATTCTTAGTGTCTTCCACAATCCTTCTAGAAGGTTTCTAGCGTCCGAAATTTTGCCACGCGAACTCCCTTTGTCCACAGCCAGCCACCATTCGTTCGGAGTAGCCGTCACGGTTCCAATCTTTTTTTATCTGGTATAAGCTGACATTTTTTAAGCGATTACCTAGGTAGGGTTGTGCCGAATATGATCAAACCAAGTATTATGTTCCGGGAATGGTGGAATAGGGTAATATACGATTTCCACTATAGATTAGAAGTCTATGACGTGATCGATTGCTCGCAGCACTTGACTGCTTTCAGTAAGATCTCGATGGAGACTTCCCATGGTTGTGGGGTGGGTTATCGTATTGTAATTATATTGTTCACTTATACGTATAATACGCCAGTATAATTGCCAGGTCTTCCCATTACAGTTTGGAGTGTTTTTGAGTCTTCGCAGATCGTCCCGATAGATCTGCGTGTAATTAATGTACCTTACGCGACTTATCTACCATCCCCCTATTTTGCGAGCATCATTACACTAGTACACATGGAGTGCCCTGTAACTGTCTATCTCTCAAGGATTTAATCTATGCTCCATAGATGAATCCTCCTCGGTATCGGGGAGGCCGATGGGGCAGCCTTACTATACTAGTAGTTTCAGAGCCGTGTCTTGGCCGGTAGTTAGGATTAATGGCGAAGGTTTGGCGCGTCAAACGCTGTACAGCCCTGGATCCATGTTGACGTAGATATCCATACAGCCCTAGAGCTCTTCCGTACAAGGAATACAAGGTACCTCCAGGGCTGAATATTGTATTCGTCACCTACTAGTGGCTTCACGTACCTTGGATTGCTGTCGATGCCAACGCAAGCCTATTAATCCTTACCCAATCCAACCCCTTTTTCTTTGCAGGGAAGAATGATAAACCTGATTCTAGAAAGTAGCCCGATGTCTACTATTTTCGGCGAACGGGACCATCGGGTGCGGCTGACTGGGCCATTGACTCAGATGAGTGGTGATGCGCAAGCCACATGGCAGCGATACGGAGAGTCTGGTCTCAACTAAGGGGAATTCATCTTCTGATCTTCACCCAAGTTGGTCTAGAGGATGCTCCCCGAGCGTTTTCCACGTGGAAATTCCCGAGCCCCCACATATTGTCTTGCCTGGGCTGAAAAGTGTAAAAAAAACAAATTAAAATGATCATCCATGCCGGCTTAGTGTGGCCGGAGTTAGTAAAGGTACAGAGTACATAGATTGGTCAAGATGATTAGTCTGATATCTGGACCGAGCGGTGGCGGAGCTATTTGTCTTGCTGACATGACCTGTCGATTCAATGCTGACAAGAGAAATCCTTTGTTCAAACCATGGGTATAGTTAGTATGTCGCAGTTCTTCCTATCTTTGGATCAGGGCCCTGAAATTTAGCTTTGGGGCTTATTGCTTTCATATTAATCTTAGGTCTAACCCCATCCTCTAGTAGATTTGATTCCAAATTCCCTTTCTCCACAGAGGAGAAGCAGGGCCAATCCGTCTCGTCATTCGGAGCAGTTCTTGTCAATGCTTTTATTGACAGTGAACCTTGGATGCAAAGCGAGGATCATAGTCTTGGCATTAAGTTGGTAGCCAAGCCTTCCAAAATCAAACTCAAGGATATTGGACCAGATTACAGGCGCGTCCGATCATGGTCTGAAACCTAAAGCCGAAAGCCACATTCTTGGGCTGCGTAGAACATGTTATCTCGCAACGATGTGCATGCATCCATGCCGAGTAACCAAGGTTTTATTTATCATTTCTTTTTATTATTTTTTTATCGCTACTTTCCGATGCAAACTAAGGCAAGGGAGAGTTAGATACCACAACCCGCCGCCCCCTTCCCGATCAAAACCCTACGACTGGTCTATCAGAACGGGAGAGACAGGGACTGTTGGTCCTTGTGTGACCCCTGACGACATACCTTCCCCAGACGGCTATATGCACATGTGTACGCTGTGCTCTGTACGCTGTGTCCCTTGTAGGTAAAGTTTGGGCACAGCATCATGATGTGGTACCACATTGGCTAGGCATCTCTGTATGCAGGTGTGCGTTCCCCCCAGTAGCATAGCTCAATTGAGATAGATAGAAATCTGGATCTGGACTGGGTTTCTGCATTGATGCGAAATTCAGGTTGAGACTGATGATCGTCTGTCTTACCAGTAACTTGGAAAGTTTAACCTTCAATCTTAAAGAGGCTTTTTGGATATGAATCATAGGAGAAAAGGGTTCAACTGGTGATAGGGTGGTATCTATGGAGTATGCGATAAAACTAGGTTTATTGAAGGCAATTCCAATCTACACCGTACGGAAGATTTATTTAAGCATTGACCAACAATTTCCCTGGAAATCACATAGTTATTTAGGCCCCCTACATTCAACCCGATCCGTCTAAGTTGGAGACATGACTCGGGAAGGTTTATGGATTTCAGCCGCGCTGTACCCCAGAAAAGAAAGGCATACCACGAGGCAGCGGTCTGGATCGCCTGACTAGTAGCGTGGTAAGTGAACCATACTAGTAGAAAAATTTCTTTTTTTCTGGGCTGATATTGAACTTGTTTGTTTTAGACCATTCCTTCACGTCTGCAAACGGACTAGGATCATAGGTAACCTGCATGCGTGGCTCGCGTGGCGGTCAGGGATTAGAACCTTGGAAAACTGTAATTTACGGCCCAATTTGGGGAGATTCAGTTTAATACGGCTAAGTTGGAGGAAAGTTGGAGTAAGTTTGGAAATTGACTGTTGAGCCGGGGAGGAAGTGCAGATTGTAAAAATACCAAAATAACGTATCCACTTATCTATACGGTAATGTTACAATAAATGAATCAATAATACCCCTCGCGATGCAAGAACCTGACTCCGGTGCGAGGATCAGCACAGGCACCTGGTTTTTACGAGGATCACTGGGTCTTAAGGTTTGGCATTCCCTTACTGTAGCTAATTCAGGTACTTCCTCTCACAAAACGTGTGGAGAATAGCTCTCACGCGGTGGTCTGATCGCAAGGTTTAAGCCTGGCTTTACCCTGGAAGGGTTAGTTTAAGGAGAATTCGCCAGAAATATCTTAGTGAGACTCAAATTTGGGCTAATTTGTCGATTTACATTTACCTGCTTTGGTCGTGGCTTTATCCACTTCAAATGATTGTTGATTGCGATAAAGGTTTATAGTCGGGTTGAAGCGACAGGACCCAGCAATTAACTACAGCTGGGCTAGTAGTTGTGGTTCTTTCGCTTCCTCTGTAACTATCCTGGAATAGTCTAAAGTAAATTGGAAACTTTAGAAGTATGAAAGAACAGGCAGCTTTATATGTATGGTCCTGAATTAGAAGTTGAGCTAAATTACTTCAAAATTTGCTGACATGCATTAGACTATATCATATAGGCTTATTATCTGACTATCCCTATTTACGCGCGTTTGAGCTCATTTCCTATTCCGCTATTTCTCCCGCTATTCACGGAGATATCTCCTAATCTATACTCTCTTTCATGCCAAGGATAGTCCGTCTGACAGCTCGGTTTATGCTTTCTAAGCGTTGGTGAGCCTCAGTAGTCCCTTGGGGGCCGATGGGGGTGCTCTCGGATAGACGGAGTGCCGTGACAATATTTATGACAGGGCCGGGACTGGCCCCAAGGCCCCAATCTGTGCGCTTGGCCCCTTACTCCATACTTTGGATGGCTTTCCCGAGAACATTTACTCCCCTGTTTACGGGGTCTGAAGCTGGGGAGTTATGCAGTGGATACTATGCATGCTCCGTAGTATCTGATATGTATGGGGTAGGGAATGAATCCACCTGATAGTAAAATTCAACCCCAAATGGGCTTCAAATGTTAATGCACTCTGAGGTTCAGAATCGAACCTTGGAAGTAAACATCGGAGCGACTTCAGTCATGACCTCGCGAGCTTACAGTGTATTATTATACGAGGACGCGAGGACGTGTGCTCCCACGTGGATCCTAGCGGGCCTACAGGGTACTCAAACTGGATTGATAGATCTCAGTGACGTATCACACGCAAGAGGCCTTCGATCTGTATGGAATCCTGATAGAAAAAAAAAACTATCAGTGTGATCGGCCCTCGTATCACTCCCAACTTACTCTGCATTTCCTCGCTTGATCTATCCAATTGTATAAATTATAGTAATAAACTTTCGCCCAACCCCCGCAGTTTCAATCACGCATTTCAAATCCAAGAGCACCGCCCGAAGCAAGGGCCGCATGATTTCTGGGGTCGGTAATTAGGCAACATTAAGGCCGGATCATGGCGGATGAGCTCGCGTGGCAGGCAGGGATTTTGATTCGTGAGTTTGAGACGGTTGAGCCTTATCTGTGTCTGGAGAAGATCCAGCTGACGTGTCCGACAGGGTTGAGTTTGGGTTCAGATGCGGATAAAGCACTGGGCTTATGACTGTTTTTTCTGGCGTTCCAAGTTTTTCTTGGGGGCGGTCTGGCGTAGTGGAGTTGACTGACGTGGGAAAAAACGGGAGATGAGGTAGGGATAGCGGAATCTACGGAGTATTTCATCATGTCCGAAGGTCCATGTACAACTGTAGCCTGACGGGTACCGAGTGCGGAGTACATTAACTCCTCATCAATGTACCCCTGTAAGTATTGCGGCTCAACGATCGCGTGCGCCTCACGCTGTGATCTAAGAAAAGAATCTGGGGGAAATGTTGACAGGAATCCCGGTCGCGATTTTACAAATGTTTTGCTTTGATTATACTAGTGGAAACGGGAACCCTACTGAAAGGGGGCCATAGACACCGAATACAGGATAGCGAATCTTACATCCCAGATCTATCATGTTCAAACTCCGGAGTACAATCTACGGGGTACATTATGTATAATACGTACAGGGACTGTCAGTTTGACAGCGCAGTTCATGAGTTTAGTCCGAAAACCATGCCCCTAAACTCTTCTTGGTTAAGGATCCAGGATCAGGACCAACGAGGCGCCACAATCCCCCTTTAAACGCGACGACCCGAGACTAGATGTCTAGATCAAATTCCAAAACAAGGCAGAAGCACGAAAGCGTTGAAACAAACGGTTTGTTATCCAATAACTTTGCTCGTTTAGTCCGTAAAGTAGTGGGGAAGTTTCTCTTGACCGATTGTTGTCTTATTGCTTTTTGTTTGCTCTTGAATCCTTTTTAGCGGCAGGAAGTGTGAGAAACACGCGCGAAACCCGAAGAAGATAACAAAAGATCCACTCAGACCCGTTTCACTGGGTATCTTTCGGGCTGAATAAGATATTTGTGACCAACACGGGTGGACTGAAGCGAGGCTCTCAATAAGAGTTGAGTTCTCCATGCGCTCAGACGCCTTCTCCACGTGTGTCCACGTGGACCACATGGGCCTCTCGCGCGAAGGCGCCTGGAAAGACTCTGGAAGGAATCACTCCGCCACAGCGGGGCCTTTAACTCTGAAACCCCGTTGTTTCGAACTTTTGAATTGTTTGTTCTAGATGATTACGGGTGTATCAGGTCAAGGCTCTAAATTATCAATAAAAAATACAAATGTTCTCACCTGGGCAGAATCACCCCCAACACTGTGACGCTAGGCTCCATGCTCCACTTTCTCTGCGAGACTGCCAATGCTCCGATACATACCAAGGTTCTTGCCGTGAAACATAAATCCTACTACGGTGTACATATTAATATTGATAATTTTTTTTTATTTGTAATTTTTTTTTTTCAATTGCTAGCGTTGGGGATTTTCCCTGTCTCCGGGGAGAAAAAGACCAAATCTCAAAATATGAGAATCCTCCGACAGAAGTCCGATTAGGGTATGACCTTGGAATGTAGGTAGAGTTATGAACGATCCGATATATTTTCTCCAATTTGGTATGATGTATTTTGCTCGGTGTTTTTCTGTGTTTTTTTTTCTTTTCTTTTTTTTGTTTGCCACACCGATAAGGTTCCTGACAGTATGGAGGGGCAGTGATTCTTTCCACGTGGGCTCAAGCTTCTCTGAGTTGGCAACGGAGCCTTTCCTGATTAGTATAGGGCCCCGAGATCATCCACTTGGGACCTCGGGAGCTGGATGAGGGATAGTTTCAGAATTTACAAAGGAGAGAGTACGGTAAGACGCCATAAATGACCAATCAGAATGGTATTTGGGCTGAAGAGTCCGATCACTGAGGTCACGTATCAGGCAACGGTAAAGTCTAAGCAGTAAAGCGTCACACTAAGGGAGAAGAAAAAGAATAACCTTGGAAGAAAGGGGGGGGTTTTCCCGCTAAGGCGTGTCCCTTGTAATGGTATGGTATTACTCCAAGCCGGTATTCAAAACATGAAGGATCTTCACGGATCTATTCGGTCTGATGGTTTCCAAGGTTCAAGTTCCCGAGATCATTGAAATTTCGGGTAATTTGGAATTGGAGAAAATAACTATGACTATTGATGATATATAGATAAATCAATAAAAGCTTTGTAAATAAGAAATTTTAAAGTGGATGGATACCATGCAAGGATCCCACTGGAATCTTTATTAAATTCCAAGGTCTTATGTGAAGAACATGGATAGAGATGAAACAGATGAAACATTCAGGTATATAATACAGTAATGGTAATACATACCCTGTACAAACAGGGAACCCACCGATCTTCACCAGGCAATCTTTTCCCTTTTCCATTCCACGTTTTTGGGATGCAGCAGACCAAACTCTTTCCGGGCTCACGCGTGGGCAGTGGGTCAAGGATGACAGGCCGAATGGCCGAAATTTTCAAGGGAGGGAAAGGGAGAGTATTTCATTTTTGGGGGATTTTTTTTTCCCTTTGAATATAATGGCTTTAAGGATTTATTTTATTTTACATTATTCTATTCTTACTATATCATTTTCTAGGTTTATCAGTTTATGGAATAATGGATTTCTTGTCTCTTGGACCGTTTTTACCTATTCATTTTTTATTTTACTTAATTTTTAATTTTTAATACTTTTATTCTTTATTTTGCATTTTAGTTTTCCCTCTTTTTTTTGTTTTTACTTTTAGTGATTACTATTTTTCCTTGATTTTTCTTTTTTCCCATTTACATCTTATATAATAAGTCATTGGGGGTTGCTCTTATATAGGAAAGGGGGACTCAGGCTGTACTCCCAACCCCTTCTTCACTCTAAAACTACTACTTCACGGAGTAACGGAGTACCCAGTTCCCGTATAAGGAGTTCCACCTTCATCTTTTTCGGAATTTCCACTTTTTTTATTTTGAATAATATTTCAACGAATTTTTGATTTTTTTTAATTTTTTTTTACCTGATTTTTCTTGTCACTTGCCCCCCCCTTTTTAGTCTGTACAGATCGTGGCACTTGTTTGACTGTATACCCACTTTTCACACTCTTGCGGAAGTCTGGTTCACCCAAATTCCTTTTCCCCCCTCCCCAAAAACCCATTCAATGCCAACCCTACCTTCCGTGAACCATTACCGAGACGATTCTCTCTCAGTCCCTGATCCTCAATTTCCTCCTTCCACTGTCACCATTCTTGCTACTACCCCAACGACTGATCCGCCTACCTTACCTACCTTCTCGGGGTCAGTCGTCGGCACTATATCTCGCCGCAATCGTCGTTCTCTCGCTACTTTAGCCCATAAGACTTCCAGTGCCTTGGCTAGTCTTTCAATCAGCCAAACTACTCCTTTGCGATCTTCTCCATCCGCCAGTAGTTTATCCCGACTATCGAGATCGTTCAGCGCAACCCCCTTGACCCCACCATTGTCAGACGGAGAGACCAACGAAGTCCTCGATTTCGCGCGTTCCCATTCTCCCGCATTGACCGACGTGAATCCTACCCAGAAACGTCGTTTCACCCTCCAGCGCATTCCAACTCCTCCCGAAATTCGTTCAGCCCCGGGCACAGTCCCAGTCGCACAGCCCAAGATGCACCAAACTTCATCCCGGTTGTTGCGCATGACCGAAGATGAGCGCCCTTTTACCAAGGTAGGTTGAATATCTATAAATTGTTTCATTGGGTGTTTCGCAAATTTGGCAGCAGGAAGCGAATATAGAAAGAGAGAGGAATGGAGTGAGCGAAGGATATATGCGAGAAAACAACGGTTAGGGTATTGAAGGCTCACATATGATAATTTTCTAGGATTTTATGGACTTGTTTTCCACATTGATGGTTAGCTTGAAGTTGGACACTCACCGCGTCCGCTTTACTCGTTATGATCACACCTTTACCTCGGAAGAGGCCATCAACAACTTGGGCTCTCTCAAGTTCTCCCAGTCAAACCGCATGCCCGATCCCAAGGACCCCTCTCGTATCGTCACCACTACTACCACCACCACATTCTCCATGGCCAAGGAAATGGCCCGTTCAGTCTGCCAACGATTCGTCGATGCCCGCTTTATCGAACCCGTGGATGGAAAGGCGTTACCGATTTTCCCGCTCAAGGGCGCTCTGTTTCAACTCACACCCAAGGGAATTAACATTTTGCAGCGTTTCTGCCAGCGGAACGGAATCACTGCCCGTCACGTGATGGATGTGTTGGAATCGCCGCGCAACACGATGCAATTGGTGAACCTGGAGCGGGACACGGAATCCGACAAATTATCCCACGATCGAGCCACAATTGAAGTCATCTTCCGCCGATTTGCCGGTCAGGATGGTCCCAACATCAAGAGCAGTATTTCAACCTCCGATTCCGACTCGTTAAGCGATTATTCCAATGGATTAGTGGGTGTGAAGATGGCCCGGGAACGGAAATTACAGGATGGAAAGCTTTACAGCAACACTTTTACCGGAAAGGGAGCTGTTGATTGGTTAATGGATTGCTCAACTACAATTGAGCGCCGTGAGACCTGTTTGATCGCAGAGTTGTTCTTGAAGTACGGTTTAATAACCATGATTCAAGACGACAAGGCTTTCCCCGACTCAAATGCCGTTTTCCAGCCATCCAAGTACTCTATCTACTGCATTACTGAGCGTGGACAGCGTGTATGCGGGTGGATCGCCCGTGATAAGAACCGCGACAACAGCACTACTTACGATAACCGTGGCATGCCCCGCGACTCCAACAACGCTCGTCTTACTCATATTCTTGGAGATCCTGCTCTTCGTCTACTCTTCCGCGAGTTTCTCCGCTACTCCTTGTGTGAGGAGAACCTGTCATTCTATCTGGATGTTTCTGAATTCACTGCCAACTACCACAAGGCGGAGAAGGCCGGTGTTTTCAACAAGGTGGACTCTGTTCGGGAAACCTTGGCCGCTGCTTATGGTGAGTATAATCTGATACCTATGCCATTTTCTTCTACATCATGTATTTGGTCTAACAATATCTCCTAGGCTTGTACAACGCTTTCTTAGCTCCTGGCTCCCCCTGTGAATTGAACATTGACCACGGTCTCCGCAACAGCTTGGCCAGTCGTATGACCAAGGCTGTTGGTGATGATGAGTCAATGTTCAAGAGTCTCCAGGAGGTGGTACACCTCTTCGAGCTCGCTCAGACCTCTGTGTTCAAGTTGATGTCTAGTGTACGTCTTCCAATTCGCCTTATACCTTTCCCCCGCTTTTCGTATTGACTTTTCTTTTGCAGGATTCCGTACCCAAGTTTCTTCGTGATCCCAAGTACTCCGTTGTCTTGCAGGAGCACGACGTGGATATTTTCGGCGGGTCTCGCTCGTACTCACCGACACCCGGTGGACCGGAACGCAGCATGAGCCGTACTGCACGGACATGACAATTACCGCGAAGCAGCGTTGATGTTTCCTGCAAGCCAGCAAACAAGGACCGGCCGCATCGTAATTCGATCGCCCACCACACCCCGGTTAGCTTATAATCGCTAAGCTTTTCACGCCTTTTTTACACGGTGTTGGAATCTTGGCCTTAACGGTTGCGAGGTCGGCCAATCGAGTTGGTTCCGCTCCCGTAAAGCTGTGCGACTGCAACGCGGGAATCCCACCCGCGACGAGGGTGTGGGTTTCAAGGGGAAAAACAAGGCCAGAAATGGGAGGCCTTTCTCCCGTTCTGTCGATATTGCATCAATATCGTTTTGTTCGATTTTCTAAACCAAAACCCCTCCCTCTTTCCTTTCCTTTCCTTTCTGCACAGTCCACGCTTATGCCATGCAGATTCGGGCCAGACATTGGACTTCAGTCCTTATACTCCCGTCTCGTTTTAATTCCCTCCGTCATGAGATTTCCTTTTTTCCCTCTCCCCCACAGATGAAGACGTTATGATCGATGCCTCATGTCATAGAGAAGGCCGAAAATGGGCACACTTGTAATATTTGGATGACATTTCTTTTTTCTTTTTCTTTTTCTTCTTTCCTATCTTCTTCTGACAGCTTGGACCAACATCCTGCTTCTACTCAGATTCAATTCTGAATGAACAACCCAAAAATAACCAAAAAATACCCAGACCTCAAAAACGGGTGGTTGATTCTTTCGAGCTTTTCTTTTTGTTGTGCATCAGACACGGCGTTTATCTGCATGGTTCATATACTACTTGATGCCAATGTTTTCTTTTCTTCTTTGTCTGATTTCTCAACTGATCTATATTTTTCCCCCCTTTTTCTTTATTGCATGCATGATATCTTTCATCCTGACGTGAGCATCTATCTTGTTTTTTTTATGTTGAACGACCCGTTCAACTTCTTGGCTGCATTACATTGTTTCATTTGGGCACAGCGAGTGAGTTCTGGTCGATTTGTGTATGTCATAGTATCTCGATTCCTGGAATCGCAATGGACATTACGATCTCATATCTATATGATTACTTCAACTAGTACTTCCCATCAACCTAAGATATTATAGTAGATAACTATCATTCAATATGAACATTTGAATGATGAATACATCCAAGTCAGTTGACAGATATCATAAGGTCTAGACGCAATCTAGATCTAGCTAGATCTTGGGAACATTGAACCCTGCCGGGTATGATCTTAAACTTAACGTTTGAGGATCCATGGCCCCGGATAGAACCCACCTGACGTTTGCCACATGGGACCTAGTACGGAGTAGGATAAAACAAGTTTCAGAGTTGATTACGATGTCTAGACCTTGTTGGATTTTGTTTACTTACAGGGTTTAATGATTTATCTGATTCAAGTTATTTCTTATCTCTGTCCATGGTTGATTACTAGAATCTTCAGGGCCTAGATGGTACTTCAAGATTAGATACCTCAAGATAAGATACTATGCAGCATCAGCCATAATACTCGGGCAATCATTTAAGGGATCGTACTCTATAGAGATGTCTGGTTCAAGTTCGCAATACTTACCTTGGTTCATCTGGCTCGGCCGAGGCATAATACTGATACTTCTCCATACACTACCTAATGCATATCCCTTTAGTTACGAGAAAGAAAAAAAGAATGAAATGTTAACTGTTTTCAATGCTTCAAGGCTTCGACTCATCCATAACGCCAGGAACCATATGTATCGTGACATTGACGTTCATTTTGAAATGAAAAAAGAAAAGTAAATGGATAGAACTAAAACAGAGAAGAGAAAAGAAAAAGGGGAATCAAGGATCAAATCAAATCGAAAGAAGGGAGCAAGGAACTTCAGGCAAACCACTTAGAGAGACAGATAAAGGGAAACAGGTAATGGAGACCCAGTCAATTGACCTATTTCGATCCCCAACCCCGAAGTCTCATGCCCTCTTCAATAGCCGTCCAAATTCCCTCTACAATCTCGCGATCTCTCCATCGTCCAGTACCATTGACACCGCCCTTCTCATCCCACCGCTCAACCGCAAAGTTCTGTACACCACGTCCCCAACCCTTAACAGTAGGTGGGAGTTCCTCACCACGCCAACCAACGTAAACACCAGTAGCATGCTTAAACAACTCTGGCGGTGAAGACCACTTATAAGACTTGAACTGCCATGTCTGACCCGTCGTAAAAACAGCCACGAGACGAGACCAGTACTCCGGCTTGAAGTTTGTCGTTCCGTCAACAAGAATAAACTTGGTTGGCTTGGGGCCACGGCTACCAGGGTGCGAGCCGCTGGCGGTGCCATTGGGATTGGAGGGATCAGACTTGAGGCGGAGGGGTCGTCTGAGTTCCATGAAGTTGGCTTCGGTGGACGTGCTGAGAGTTGGGTGGTCGGGTGGGACAAAGACACCGTCCTGAAGGAAGGACTTGATGTTGGACATGCGGATGAGGGAAGAGGCGGATGGTGAGAGGAGGATAATGGGGTCGGGCCGGGAGTTGGATTTCCGTGAGGATGGCATAGATAGTCCTGCGGAGGGTGCTGGGATCATAGAAGTAGTCTTGCTACCGGGTTTAGTAGGTTGACCAGGACGATTGCGGTTGCGGTCGAAGAAGATCTCAGCGCTTTTGCGGACATGAGAGAAGTCCTGTACGTGGTTAGTTCATAATGATATTCATGTAAATGACCAGGAGCGATTGAATTCGTTAGGTTGTAGAAGCAGGCGACACTCACTGTATGTTTAATGCCTCGCAGAACAGTGTTCCGATCTCCTGTCTTTCGCTCCCCATTGTAGATCTCCTGTAGCAGGGGATCAATCGGCTTCTGTGGACGGGTGCCTTGAGCTCCAGCCACAGTCGTCGCACCAGCAGCACCGCTCGGCAAAGTAGAAACACCACCCTTCGCACCAGATGCAATTCCAGCAGCAGCGTCAGCCTGAGCAGCACCGGCTGCGGCTGCTGCTGCTGCAGCTGCCGCCGCAGCGCCCTCCAGAGGCTTGATGTATTCGATTTCATCTGAGGCACCCTCGAGCCAGGTGATCAGGTCCAAACGCTCAACAAAAACAAGGTTCTGAACCTCTTCAACCTTTCCCCCTTCCTGGGGCTCCTTCTGCTTCAGAGCTTCATTGAGTTCTTGTGCTGACGCGATGTACTCCGGAATAGCAACGTCCTTCTTCTGCCACGCGAAGAAGATACTGCGCAGATCAACGGCGGCTTGCAGAGTTGCGGAGATGAAGCGTGTTGGGGTGTTTAGAGGTACTGATTGAGGAAGTGGATGAGAGAAAAAGAGGTGTGTTGCCTCGGCGAGGTTCTCTGTCGCATGTTCGCTGGAGAGCTCCGGTGAAGTTGTTGGTGTTGGGAGGCTGTCCGAGGCAATAGCGCGGCGCAGCAAGAGGAGTGGATCTTGAATGGCTGGATCGGTGGTCGCCATTTTGCAGATCGAGGGTGCAAGATCCTTGTGAGACGCTGATGGGATTGAAGAGTCGGAGGTTGCGGCGTGAGGTTGGCTGGATTTCACAATTGAAGCTCGGAGCACTGCACGTGACTTGTTAAATTCACCAGTTGGGTACAAAGAGATGTAGCTCAAATCTGAAAAACAAGACTAAGGAAATTGGGGGAAAGAAGAAAAAGAAAAGAAAAGAGGATGAATAAATAGGATCGCCCACAAAGGCACACATTCACTGTTCGAATAGACTTGATGAACTCCTACGTTTATGTGGCTATAGTATTGAATGAAAGTAGCCTACATTCACTGCCTCATGACTCTCATCTATATGGCAGCATAGTACTACTAGAAACTCTCAAATGCTGACAATACCGTCATCTCACACAGGAAATTTCAATAACTTACTACCATTGTGTTATGTTTATACTAAATTGCAAGAGAAATCTTTGAAAGAAATAAAACATTTGAAGCCTGAATCTTTCGTAATTACTAGTGATGTCCTATGTCTTATTAGTATAACAACCTTGGAACTTGGAACTCTCTAAAATTCGATCTGACTCTGTAAGATGACTATACTCATGTTGGGATAGTGAAATATAAGGTTATACTCTGGCATCTAACCAGTAGCTGAATACAGAAGATTTCTTATCACATGTGCATGTGAGATTACAGAGCCCCAACATTTTGAAGACTGCTGAATCTCTCGTAGCTTGATACCACCTTAGCATCACAACTCGATGCACTCGAAGCTGAACGTTGTTTTAATTGCGACAACATACAACTGGACTAGGAAGGCGCCACATCCAGCTCCAAGCACCAAGAAGCGCAGTAATCCCCGTAAATAGAATCAGAGTCCCATACTTTGTATCGTACCCCGTATTTCCATCATGTCCCAAAGCTCCTTGGCTTATCAAGACCGAGCTCAAAGGCCCACTGATGACATTGCCAATACCCCTACCACCAGCCAAAAGGCCAAACACCAGTCCAGTTTCCAGTGATGGAGAAGAGTCACGTTTGATCTGTGTGATAATTCCTGACCACGTTGAGCTAAAGCCACCCGCAAAAAATCCATAAAAAATGGAGAACACGGTGAGTAATCCCATTCCTGCTTGGGAAGAACCTGAATCCGAAGATGAACTTGAAGCCAGCCCCCAGAAGAGAAAAACAGAGAGAGCTGATCCGACTGAAGAAAAAAGTAGGACATTTGTGACATTGATACGGTCACAGAGCATGCCCACTGCAATACCCCCAAAGACAGAAGTAGCGTTGAAAATGGAGATAAGCAGTGTCCCCATAAATTCAGGGAGACCTACTGTTGTTGTTGAGTAAGTTGGAAGATATGTAGACGGCAGGAAGTATCCAAAGCTTTGAATGATGTTTCCGGCCTGGAGCACCCAGAATGTGCCCATTCTAAGGAAGCTGAGATCCAGGCGTCGGGCTGAGGCAGATGAGGACACAGGGATTCGAGGCTTCATGTACGGCAATGATAGTAAGACAGTGATCAACTGATAATTGGTTAGTATTTGAAACCTGGTACAAAAAGCTAGATGGTAATATATGACCATTCTCTTCTGGTGCAGGAATGGTCATAGACGCTGTAATGACTAGCTCATACCGTAATCACAGTCCATGCTCTCAATGTGGTGCTCGAGCCAAATTTATTCAAGCTGGCGTTTGCAATAAATGGTAATGCGACGCCAGTAATGCTCTTTGCTGCCCACATTATCCCAATGGCAAGGCCCTTCCTCCGTAAGAACCATTGATCCAGATAGAGGGACGAAGGGCTGAACAATAGACCATTCCCCAGGGCACATATAACACCCTGGGTCGCAATCAAATGCCAGATCTGGGTTGAAAACGAGGAAAGCAAAGAGCCAACGACGGTTATAATCAGTCCTGTTGGCGCACACCAAGCTTGTAGACGTGGGTATCGGGTCAACAGCGTAAAGGTAATTGGTGATAGAAGGTAGAGGATTCCCTTCAAGTTCAATGTTAGATTGGCACTTTTCAAGGCCAAGATTCGTTAGGCAATATCTGATTGATCATACAGTAGATGTAGTTCCCACAGTAGCTAAGTCTCCTTTGTTACCCTGCAGCACATCATGAGCAGAGTAATATTCTTGGAAAACACCAAACACCGTTGAGAACCCTAGAGGTACTGACTTAGTAATAAAATTTCCAAAATTGCACACAGAAACATACCCCAAACTGGAAGCTGAAGGAGACAGCTTGATGCAAGCATTAACCAAGCAGATGTACCTCTATCTGTTTCGGGTAATGCTGGTTGTTCAATCTCCATCGGCAATGAAGAAGCTGGAGATCTATTCTCCAAGTGAAGAGATTCATCGGCCGCAGTGTTCATGGTTTCTGATCGTCTGACGAATATTAAGAAAACAATAAATTAAAAGTGGAAAGAGGTGAAGCACGTGAATTATTTCCCCTCTTGTGATCAAACCTTCAACGTTGACTCATCTAAGTCACGGGAAGCTGTAACCTATTTCCAATCACCTTCATCTTCAACTTCACCTCCTCAATCTACCAATAACAAGGCTGATCACCCACCAGTGAACTATGATGACTTTGAGATCTTCTCTTTCTTTTAAACAAAGATAAAATCTCCTGGACCTAACTTCAGCGCTCGGGTTGTCACACCCACAAACTACAGTCAATTCACCATATCGCGCCTTCTTGCCTTTCCTTTATTCTATAGGCTCCTGAATGAGCGAACGAGATCTTGGGGTTTATAATGGGCTCCACAATACCAGAAATCTTCGAAAGCCTGGCAGATGCAGATTATCATATGCAACTTGGTATGTTCCATTTATCCGGACTACAACCAGTTGACCTGCATCGCAGGAGTATTTCCAATATTTAGAGCAACAAGCTTGGTTATCAACCAGGCCATCCTACCGCAATTAGGGATACTAGACATCTCTTTTAGTCCAGCATGCTTTCTACCACCGCAGACGTATTGTTACCCACATAACCCAACTTGCCGAGACCAACGCTGGTCATCACCGAGGTAAAGTTCTTTGGATCGAGGTAACGGTCAGAGGGAGGAATACGTGGGTAGTCATCTCCATTAGGTCCTTCTTTAAAAGCGCGTTACCAAGCCTCGTCCTGCCTGGCCCGGACACAAAGCAACCCTCCATGAAGTAACTCGGGGTCAAAGTAGCTTGAATGGGCTGTGAGAGACTATCCTTATTGATGAAAATTTTGCGACTCTGCTTTTGGCATAGCTCCCATTGTTTCTGGACATCTTGGAACAGCTTGGTGGCGCTACCCCGATCTGCGCATTCGCCAAACCGTCCCGTAAGAATCACTGTTCCTCCAGAGTGCATGTATATGATTAGGGCATGCCAAACAAATCTGTTTTCAGCGAAGGCAATGATGGTCTCATCGGCCACGTAAATCGCTTTGAGAATCTGAGGATTCAAGTTAAGGCTGTTGATTACTGTGTCTGGCGAATCAAAGGGCTGGATATCGGCATACTGTGCTAGTTTCTTGGTGAAATTCACCTGGCTCCGCCTGCACCATGAGCGTCGGCCCGCCAAAGGCCCTCCATGACCCGTGGACGTGGGCTATTCTGAGGTGGAGCTTGAGTGGAGGACATCCTGTCCAGACGCCTTGATCGAACCTTGGAAGTGAACAGGGTAGAGGGAGGAAGAGAGGGTCGACAAAGCGGGGTTGTGAGGAAGACAAGAGCCTCATGCTACCAGGCAGGTGGCTTATCGTTGCCTGATATAGCACTCAAATGCACTTGCAGTCCGTCCGATACATCTAACGCAACTTTCCGTGATGTCTATATCTATGCAAATCTGTCTGATGTTGCTTCATTAGTTTAATCAGGCAAGGCTATGAACTCATAATATACTTTGTCTACATCTATTAAATGACAATCATCAAGTCAAAACCTGCAGTGGGACTCGGAGTAAATAGGTTTCAAGACATATTTGACTCTGAAAGGCTCGTGAATGCCTTTGGCATATGAATAGAAAGAGCAATTTGAAGGTCGAAGGGGAATCAGATGAGAGTATTCTGAGAGTAATCTGAGCGAGAAAGAAGGTAAGAAGTAATACTTGAGATTAGTGATATACTTACTATATCTCGCTTACTAGGTCACCTGCTATTCACTAGGCATTCAGCTAACCAGTAAGTAAAACAAAATAAGTCCTTAACTTCTAACCACGTTGAACTTGGAACTTGGGGTTGCCTCGTGAGCAGCTAGAATGTCAGGCCTACAAAAAACACATGGCACTATTTAGCCTTCGAAAAATATCAAGAAAGAATTGAACAATGGGTATACTACACATCAAGATCCATAATATTGTGGAGTTTTTCGAACTTTGAAAGGTAGGCTACTACCCAAGTCCTAGCTCCTAGTATAGAAAGACAACAAAATAAAATCAGAATTCAACTTACAGGTTAAAAAGATTGGATCAAATTTCTGTAACATTTGAACATAAGATCTACTAGTACTTAGTGCTTCGGAACGCCCAACAACTGCTCAATATCCCCTCCCTCTAACCAAGTATCCATAGCCTGATACATTTTGAACATACCCTCCCCCTCAAAAGTAGGCAAATCAGTCAAGACCTTGTGACCCAATGTGGCCTGAGCAGCACCAAGATACCGATATCCAGGAGGATACTTCTTCAGTTCACTTTCCTTGAAAGTAGGAACTGTCTTCCCATCCACAGGAATAACCCGATCCTTCTCATAGATCACCTTATAGTACTTAGTCTTCCAACCAAGTTGTCCAGTCTTCTTGGATTTTTCTTTCTGACAGAAGAAAATAAATCGAGAATCACAGTCCACGTCAAAGGTTATACCGTCGATGATGAATCGTTGTGTGATTGTTGCCTTCATTTTTCCGACTGCACGCTTGGTTGCTGGGTTTAAATCGACGAGGGTTCCTCCTTCACGATGCATGATGAAATCTCCGTTTGCGCGCCCTTTCTTAGAGACTTCGATGAACCGGTCGATTGTCATACCGCCGCTCCAGGCTTTTGTCTGTTAGCTTTGTTTGAATACCAATGTCTCTGATGTAGCCATTGATTATGGGAGGGTAAGTTTGGTCTATGAGACATACTAGTAAAGATATAAGCTCCCTCGTCAGAGAAACAATTCCGATAATGGTTCCATTCTGATGCATCCCGGTACAGAGGCCACCCTTTCACGATCTCGGTCACAGCATATCGGTCAAGTATCTCCTCAGTAGACCCATTAACATGACTCCAAGTGGTAGGCTGAGTTTCCTTTTCTGTGACGTTGTACACCATTTTCAATGCTGAAAAACTCAAGTTGGTAGATAAAAATGTAGAGTATATAGAATGTCCACAGCCCGGGGCGAGGAATGAGTATCAGTCACTAGACTGGTGACGTAGGGAAAGAATCAATTCAAGGAAGAACTTGAATTGAATTTAACTTCAGTTGATATCCATGAAGTGAGGATATCCTGGTCCTTTTATACCATTGATCCATGCCAGGTTTCTCATGCAACCTAGATTCTGGACTCTCTTCGGGAAGGATGACGCAACATGAACTGAGTATCGGCCCGTAGTCCCGAGTATGGGATGGTATCATCAACTGATGGGACTTCATTGGGTGATGCTCTTGGCCAAAATCAAGAAGGATGGAAGATAGTGTGTCGTTCATGGTGATATTTGTCGGATCCGAGATATAGTAAGATGCGTCACTCTGGCATTGAATTTATCCGCCGCCTCGATTCAGATAGTGCTTTGGGTATACCCATCTAGACCAGGGGAATACTAGACAACATGGATTGAATGAGAGATTTCACAGAAATTCCACAAGGAACACAGACTCACGTGGATATTTCTCTTTTAAACCCATGTACGTACCACATAGTACGGGGTGCATGCTAGCTTCACTTTGTGCCGATCAGCAGTTGATCAACATGACGGGTATTCATGATTGGTCACTGCCATAGTCATGGCGGACACCAAAAGCACCCAGTTCAATCACATATCAGAGAAGGGTTGAGTTTAAGGTCAATTATTGTAGTTACAGACTATTTGATAGACTCAGAAAGGCTACACAAAGTAAGAGAGGTAAGAATAAAAAATAATATGATTCTGTTCATACAAGCTATTCCAATGCCATAGAATAGTGACCCATGTCAAAGGAGAAGAAATTCGGTAGATAACCTCAAATCATGAAGATAAAACACGGTGGTACCCATGGGCACACCAAACAAGGCCACCTGGGCAAAGTCCATCCCATTCCTGGTATTTCCGTAGCCCGACCTTCCCATTTCCTTAGACACGCCGTGTACGCCGTTCGGAAAGAAAAAGAAAAAAAAGATGAACCATCACACAGACCAGAAGTCTTAAACGCCGTTGCCACCCCAGTGGGGGTTTCAAAATCAAGCCACACGAGAGAAGAATTTTTGGAGTCGTAAGAAACGTAATTCCGAAGCGGGTTCATCAACCAACCACACCATTATTACCACGCAGGAGAGAGCGGAGGCGAAAAGGAGGAGAAAAATAAAGTATGCGTTGAGGAGACGAGATAAGAGGGATAAGGGAAGTGAGGTAGATATTAAAGGTGCTGATTATCACGAGGAGATTGAGGGGACGTGGGGTTGGTTTGAATCGGAAGCATCCTTCATCGCGACATCATGGGGTTCCAAGGGCTCTGTCTTGGTGGGGGTCATAGTCTCGCCTATGCTCGCTGCAAGGCCCAATCCTGGTGTGATAGAGGTCTGCTGAGATGAAGAGGAATTGGTGGCCTGTGCCTGAGATTTCTCCGTAGTTGGAGTTGTCAGAGTACCTCGGCGGCTCAGGTAGTCACCAAGACTGAGTTTCTTCTTGGCTGGTGTCGGTGTAGGCGCACCACCCATCTGAATGGAATGTGATGAGGCATCCACATTAGAAGGGGAAGTAAGACTCGCGGTAGATGCAGATCCGGGACTGATAGCGGAGGGAGGTATGATGGGATTACCCGGAGGAGGCATGTCAACACGAAGGTTTGCGCAACCAAAGGGAGTGGGGGTCCCTGGAAGCCGAGTATTATGGGCAAGGGTAGAGGGCCACGGCGGCGCCATAAGAGGCTTGCTCATATCTCGGTCACGATCCTGGTTGGTGTCGTTGAGAGCTGCTACAGAGCTGCTCTCTGGGACTTCTCGCATTTCCACATCGCCAGCAACATTAGGAGCGAAAGAAATAGACCGGGGACTATGCGCATCCACCATCGTGGCATCTTGCTTGTCCCGCCAGGCGGTTATTGGGGACTGAGTCAAGGGAGACGAAAAATCAAACGGAGCGATACTATCAGAACCAGCTGACGATAATTGTTGTCGGGCGGCGTCCTCAGCCCGTCGGCGATCATCAGCATATCGTCGGAGGAGTCGTATTGGTAGAGGAACATAGTCGATTCGTGGACGAGGAAACGCAGCACGTCTTGCTTCTTCTGCTGCCTCTTCCTCTGCATCCATGTCGACTTGCACAGCCATATCCACGTAAGTGCGGCGCGGCATTGGGGAACGAGTGAAAGGGGTATTGGATCCAGATGTCTTGCGAGACGTGGCTTGTGGACCAGTTGGAAAAGAGCCTGGCGACAGGGCGGATGTAGGCGAGTGAGATTGGCTGGCCGCAGTATCAATACGAAGGGTCTTGGTAGACCCTCGCTGAGATCCGAAATACGATCCTCCAGCTTGAGTCGACGATGAGCTGGCAACAGCAGCAGGAGATTGCGCAGATGTTACGGACGGACCACTGGTGCGTTTCTTTTTCTTTGTGGTCTTTTGGTCGTTTTCCAATTGCTGAAATTGTTTCTCAGCATCGGCAATCTTTCGACGCTCGCGAGTCGATAATTCAAGTCCGGTAGTGCCCGGATTGGAGACAGTCGGGCTCATGTCGCGGCTCAGGGGTTGGCCACGAACAGAACCGGAGGTAGATCGACTATCTCCAGGAACATCGTCATCGTCAGGATGCTTCGTAGTCTCACTTCCAGCGCGGCTGGTAGAGGCCCGGGTTGTATCCTGAGATGTGCCAGTCTTGCTAGTTTTAACCTTCTTGCGCTTACCATTGGCCTGCTTCGTGATAGTATCTGCAAGTCGGGGATGTCGTCGCCGATCAATGATAGCAAGCAGACAAGTTTGAGGATTCTCACACGCACAGCCACCGAAGTTTGCGAGAGTGTTGCTGATACATACTGAGGCGGCATCATTCGCATTGTCACTGGATTCCTGCTGAACCACGCCATTTGACGAACCAGACAAGACTTGAGCATCCAAATACCACATGATAGTGATTTCTGAGCCAGCAGGGATGCTTTCTTTCGCAACAAAGCAAAAATGGTATTCCACATCATTGGTGATAAAGATTTTCATAGTGACGTTTGGACGGCACGATCGGCGAGTGTAGCGCAACATACTCCCTTCGTGTCGGCTATCGATGTAAAGGGGGAGCTGAGAATTAAAGAAGACAAAAGGTTCCGGGTGGCGCAATTCGGACCATCGGTTGTTGGAATCAAGACAATAGTCGTCGAATATGCCCACCTTGCCGGTCAATTCTCCAATGATCGCATCCTTCTGAACTGCATCTTGGGTTTTCACGATTTTCCAAGTAGGATTACGACCATTGATCTCAATGTCGGAGTCTGTGATAGTTTCAGTTTGGAGGGAAGGCCAGTAAGAGCGATCCAGAGCAGCATCGGACCAGATGAAAGTGTCTGCAGCTGTGCGACGCCCATTGGTTACTTGGGCCAAAGCATCTGGATTCTTGACCCAGGAGGCCGACTCCCCCACCAGATTCACGTTGACAAATAGATTACTATCCATGTCCTTGTGTTCATCGTCTCGGTCGTAAAGCTGTAAGAATTCGTTGGAGTAAAGGGGAATAAAGGGCCCAGCGGATTTTGTAGGGCTCGTCGCAACCGAAGTAGAGGAACGTCGTTTACGGGACTCCATAGGGATATTGGGGGGCCCCAGCAAGTGCGCTGATGGAGGCAGATGATCGATGGCTAGTTTTGGACTTCTTGGCTGGAGGCTGATCACGCACAGCAGACTCACTACGTTGATGGCCCAATCCATTCACATCGCCGCCTTCTTTGGGTTTCTTTCTTGTCGCTTTCGCACTGGATCGTTTTCTTCGGTCTCCGGTCTCCTCGCTCTGTTCTCGTATCCGTCGTTGGCGTTGTCGGTCAGCAGCGCGACGGTTGTCTAGCAGGCGAGGCTCGCAGTCGACGCAGTTGTGCACATCTGGAACCCGCTTGTCCGGGTAATAACAGACAATGTGTTGCCATGTCTCACAGCGCTCGCAGAAGACTGTGCTGCCATCATCTTCATCGAACTGACAGATACATTTAATGGTGTAGGGCTCTTCTTCATCGGGCGCACCCGAGTCAGAAATGGCACCATTGACGGGAGAACCGAGGGGAGGGGGAGCCGGATACGGATCCGTAGTGGCGTGCGTGATGGCGAGGGAGGAGGTATCTGTCATAGTCTGACAGATTACCCCCTCTCAGGTCAAAAAGGTGAAATTTGTGAATAGGGGAAGAACGATGGCGTTGCCGGCCCGTTCCTATGCAAAGAGCATGTCAACGACAACCGGGAAGGTCGAGTCTTTTGGACTGTCCTTGTCCTGCCTGGGAAATGCTGGACGCGTTGGACTGAGAAAGCCCTACCACGATCGAGCACAGAGAGCGCCTAATCGCAGTCAAAACCTCTAAAATCCACGGGACTGACTAGGCAGACAGTTCCAGATGCACCGGTAATCGAAATAAAGGACCCAGACTCCGTAATGTTGACTCGAGGACGGATAGAAAATCCTTGGTTGAATGCGACTGACCCGTGTCCTGAAGGATGGAGGGTGGACGAGGGGGAAAATCGAGGCGAGAGTGCAGGCAGTCGGTCTCTACAACGGAAGCGATTGGAGATAGATGGATAGACTCGGCGCGATCTGCGTGGGGGGTTCAAGAAGAGTCGATTAGGAGTCGAGGAGTCGAAGACGAGACAGTTCCAGGGCGACGGGACCGTGTAGAGGGGGGAGAAGAAAGGGAGGCAAGAGTAGAGTAGCGTAGAGAAGGAATGGAGGATTCGTAGACAAATGAGATGGGGGAAGGGGATCCGGAGGAGGAGAGAAAAAAAGACGCGCAAGGAAAAAGGAGAGGAAAAAGAGGTGAATCTGAGTGAACTCTGGGATGGAGGGAAGGAGGAGGAGGATTAGACAGGCCTAAGGCAGCGAAAGGCCCCGAACCAGGAGGGCGAAAGGGGACTAGCGTGGGAGTCCTCGCGGTGACTCGAAAAGCCCGAAAACGAAAGAATAAAACCGGATAGAGCCAGAGTAAGAAACGAAGGGAGAACTGCCCAGGTGCACCTGGTACCTCTGCTGAGAATACCAATGGTATTGGGGGAAATACCCAGTCAGGGCCTGGTATAACGGGTCTAGGCCAATCAAACATTGTAATCGAACGGATCACGCTGTAATGTGATGGTAAGTTTCGTGTGCGAACACAGTAATATACGCTAAACCAGATTGGAATTAGCGCCGGGAGGCCCTAATCCGGTGGGGGAAGATCACGGGATCTGGCCAGAAAAGAACCTGGAGAATACCATGGGAGATGGAGAGGGTTAGCATCTAGAGTCTGGTTAATTGTTCATTGAACAGATTCATTTCAACCCGATCATATCATTTTAGATCAGGGTATGTCCAGAGTAAAGTCCATAGGGCCCACCCAAGGAGGGGGGAGGTTGGGCCAAGGTACATCACAGTGTTCCATGCATATGTCGAGCAGTAGCGAAGGTCATTTTCGATAGGCAGTTGGAAATAACTGAGATTGATTCGTTGAGAATCATCATCACATAGGCAGGAGAATATTGTATCTTCCAAGCCTGTAGATGAAAGCCCTGTGGTCAGATAGCACTGTAGAAGATTAAATAAAAACAAAAAAAGGAATAGAATAGAAAAGAACAATGGAAATCACGAAACAGGTAGTGGGTGAGAATTTTCCAAGGACTGGTTCAAACGTAGAAATGTAAGGGAGAAAGCAGCTGATAAACGAAACATCAGGGAGATAAACAGTTTCATGATATCGATAGAAATATCCCGAAAATGGTTAGGGAGGGAAAGAAGAAAGGGAGGCTGGGACTTAATAGAACCTGCAAGGTGAAGGAGGAGAGACTATAAAAAAGATGTAGTGGGAACGTGGATAATGGGGAAGAGGGCCATGGGTAGAAGGGAGATCTTCCGGGAGGATGGGTAATGGGGCAGCAGCGCTAATTTGTTCGGGAGGGGACAACTCATCAGGCCCCAAAAGCCCAAGATAAAATTGGAAAAAAGTGAATGTAAAGGCGGAAAGGAAGTGTATGACAAGCTCTGGGAGGTGGATATACCCAGAGAAAGAGAGAGAAAGAAAGATCTGCTTGGAAGGGAAAAAAAGTCAAGTCGCCGGCTTTGGTAAAAGGGGGGAAAGGGAATGATCTCGCAACCGCCGAATATTATTATTCCAGGCCGGTGATTTGGCGGTCCTTTTTTCGCCACTATAGAGGTCGTGAGTGCGCAAGGAACAAGACTAATCAAATCAAACCGTTAGGCGATCACAAGGCGTAAATTGTATTGAAACTTACGGAGTACATGTCACGGGCCGCTCCAGCCTCCGAACATGTTCTCGGGAGATCACACCGCCGAATTTTGATCTATCATTGGAATTTTGACTGGATAATTTTCAATTAGTCATTGAACCCTGTGAATATGGTTGGGAATTGAGGAACCTGAATCAGACTCACTTGAATGCAGCATTTCACAGACTGTCCAAATAATACCAGATATTGACGCTGTTGACACGTCCGTTCACGAGATTAGATCCTCTCAGCACCTGGGTAAACCTGAAACTCTTGAAACTGCATGGAGTCAAGATGGGAAAGGGGTACCAGCAGAAGAAAGAGTTCTGGGTGGTTCCCTTGAATTATCCCTATAAGACGTGTCAGTATGTCAATGGAATTTGAGTCAAAGCAGGCAGGAGGATAAAGAGATCCATGCTCACTATACGGGTCCACCTAGCGGGTCCATCAACAAAAAAGAAAAGCAATGGGTAAAAAACCATGTATCTCAATTGAAAAAGAGCGTAGGTGACTATTATGCTGTCAGGTCAATGAGATGTCAGAATATGAAGGGAATTTGGATGATCATGCGGATGGAAAGGGTTCGAGCATCAAAGAGAGAGATGTAGGATCTCGGAGAATGCGACGAATTCACGATTCTCACGTGAAAATTTTCATAAATCAATAAAGCCACTCAAGAAAAAGGTCCATTTCACAACGATTGAAGAAAAGCCAGGTGGGAAATGATGAAAAAGGTGGGGGAAAGGATGGATGTAGAGTAGTTGAAGCAGAAAGGGAAGGAAAACAGAGGTTGCCGAGAACTGGAAAACACATGACATTACCCAGGTAAATGTGTCGATATGGGAATGGAAAATCCAAAGGAAAGAAAATCTTGAAGAAGAGAGAGAAGAAGAATTAAAAAAAAATAAAAGGTATTGCGCGGCAAAAATGTGAACTTGAAAGAAATAAGTACGATGATTGAGTAGCAGCAGCGAATGAATCATGGTGTTATACTCAAACTCATCAAGACCGAAGTACTAGCCTGAGGTATCGATAGTATATGTGCCAGCTGACAGATATGATAGCAGACTCCGAGGCTGAGATACCAATAGACATCTGGAACCAAAGTAATTACTAGTAGTTAGAAAAGTAATACTAAATCGTAAGAAAAGTGTCGTGATAACAGCCAGGAACACTCAAGACCAGGTAGACATTTAAAAGAGCAGTATGAGACCATTTAGTAGGTAGCCAACATTGAAAGCTTGGGAGTAATAGTAGGAGATCGTGACGGAACGCTTCCAAGGTCTTCATGATATCTGTTGCCAGTGACTCTTGATACTAGCATCTAGATGTTCCACTTGGATTTCACCAGTCCCAGCCTTGGAGATCATGCCAGTGGTATGACGAAGTACTGAGGGCTATTAACTTGAAGATCTTCAACTGGAAAATGAAGAAAAATAGGTTGATGATGACATCAATGCTGCAGGAGGTCCTCATTATGTCAGGGGCAACCCAATACCTATGTATCATTTAAGCGTGGCAGATACTAAAATTTTGTTTAATTCTGTTAATTGATTTTGAGGACTCTATTATCCAAAGTACCCCAAAGAAATATTTACAAAATGATAATATGAATGAATCCTTCCACTGGGAATTTTAGAATAGAACTGGCTATTTACGCCATTGACTGAAACGTGCGGTTGTCGGTGTTGAACACAAGCAAGGCCAGCCGGTGCCGAACAAACAATCCTAGTAGCCCACAAGCAATCTGCACTCCAACCATGTGCCATGCAAGGGTGTCTTCCCTCATAGGCCCCATCCACACAAGCCAAAGATTCAAAATGGTCAAATTTGTGGACTCGACAATTTGACCTTCCTTATTCTTGACAAGACGGATAAGGCGGAATTTTGCTAGAAGATCCAATACTATTGCGATCAACGGAGATGGCGGGACTGTCCACTCAGTGACGGAGGTGTCCAACAATCCAGTCGCGGCATTGAACTTGGGAAGCCGATGGCGAGGACAGGGAATGATGTGGAATAGTTGTGGAGTCGAGTACAGAAAGTTGAAGATCTGGGGAATAAACAGCAAGAGCAAGGTCTTGCTAAAATGACCCAAAATGCCCACAACGGCAAACACCATGCCCGCAAAGTAGCAGTAGGTATCTCCCACGAATACCTTAGATGGATACCAGTTGTGACACAGAAGTGCGGCTGATACACCAATGAAAGGTAGCAGGAAGTAGATGGAGAATAGGTGCGAGTCCGTAGCTGGGTGAGGGTATGGCGTAATCGGTGCCAGGTACATAGCGTCATTGAAAAGCAACAGGACCGCAATGACAATTGACTGCGCAACCTCAATTCCGTTAATACCTGCGAGCATGTTGATGGCATTCGGACAGAAGATCGCCACTGCTGCCATATACATGTAATATAGCCATCCAAGGTCTATGAAATCTCCCAGATACTGTTGAAAAGGTACCGGTACCACAACATGAGTGACACCGAAGTCAACAAAGTACACGATGAGCATGGGAACCGCTGCAAATGCAGGAATCAAGACCTTATGTCTCCATCGGATATCGAGCAAATCATCGCCAATTCCGAGAATAACGATGGATTGCAAAGACAGTAGACCTGATAGGTATGATGCAAGCTATATCACGGAAAAAAAATCAGTTCAAAGATTTCATGAGAATTTCACAGGCAGTCGCCCCTAGCGAGACCAACCTTTCCGTGGGGAAACCTGTGAAGATAGCGACCATGCTCAATGTGCTGATCTTCAATAACCACGTCGCGGTTTCCTCCACCCGATGTGGCCGCGACGATGTCCTTGTAAAAGGCAAATGGAATGAACACAATCAAGGCTATTAAATAAACCACGGCGCACACAGCTCCCATGGTTTCAGGTCTAGAGTACAGAATTAGCATCTTCCATCAAAAGACTAGAGGTAAAGTGTATACTTACATTTCCGGCTTTCTTGGCTTGGCCATATCTTTGCCCTTCAAGCCCGCCTTGATGAACACCGGACCAAGCCACCGGATCATGCTGAATGCCACAACAAATGATATCAAGGACAGAGCAATCGAGGCTATCAAGGGAGCACCATCGCCCTGGAACGTGTTAGCCAACACGCCGAGACTAATCCCCACAAGAAGTAGTAGGCGCCATGTTTCTGCCCGAGTCAAGGTGCTAGAAATTTGCATTGTGAGGAATTGATGCCGGCATCGACTTCTGAAGATCTAAATTCTCAGGGAAATAGACAAATAGAGAAAAGCTCTAGAAGTGAACACCTTTTCCATTGGAGCATGGCTTACGCAATGTGTCTTTATGCGGAACGCGACACGATAAGCTTATCCGATTTGCCTGTTTTACTTGACCGCCTTGAGGCGGCAAGTGAGTGATGATCGCGACCTAGAAGGGAAACCCGCGCAAAGGGACGCTGAGACATCTCTGTTTCATTCGCAGCATTCAGGTGTGTGAGCAAAGCGCATTGTTGGTCGCTTGTGGATTCTCTAGCGCAACCTGGTCAAAGCGAGTTGCATTTGCTTAATGGGCACTGTGGAACATCCCGACATGGCGGGCGGGTTCGCCGACTTCGATGCAGGCCACCGAGACCTGGTAACGGTGACCAAGTTCAACTTCTACGGGAATCGAATTGTCACGGCCTCTTCTGATCATCGTATGAAAGTCTGGGACTTGAAGGATCATCATTGGCAATTAACGGATACATGGCGAGCCCATGACGCAGAGATTCGTGATGTAAGATATTCATGCCATAGTACATCTACTGCACAGTGGCTTAAGAATGCGCTCTAACACGTTTTTCCAGGCATCATGGAACGGACCTTTTACGGGTCAACACATTGGAAGTGTTGGAGAAGATATGAAACTTAAAATCTGGCAGGAGGATGTCACACAGCCACCCAATTCTGGCCGGCGCTTTAGGTCTATCTTTCGCATGACAGCGCCTCAACGGCATCCATTTGTGTCACTAGACTTTCGAAACATTGATCTTGAGTCGTGGATGGCAGCAATCACCCGTGATGGCTACTTAATGATTATGGAACCGGTCAGCCCCGATAGTCTAGCTGACTGGCAGACGCTCGATCAATTTCGAGTTTGCTCAGCACCTGAACGTGGAGAGGAAACCAGTTTCAAGGTTCAATTTCACCACGACCCTACGGATATCACAAATTCGCTTTTACCAGACTCGGATCGCAAAAGCCTTTCGCTTGTTGTTGCCGCAATGGACACGGTAAAGATCTACCGCACAGATGCCAACCGGCACTTTTATCATGCCATTGAATTGAATGGACACGCAAGTCTTGTAAGAGATATCTCATGGGCCAACGGCTCCGTGCGAGGCTATGATCTCATTGCCAGCGGTAGCAAGGATGGCCTTGTCCGAATTTTTGAGGTGTACACAACACCAGCCAATCAAGGTTCTCAAAATACCAGCTCACGAAAATCCGAACGTCGACAGCAATCTCCATCGATTCGCGCTACATCCCAGTCCGGGATTGGAAATGCTCTAGCAAACCGCACACCATCTTCCACGTCGAATCGACAAGCGAGTGCTGATTCTTTGTTCCGACACTCGTTCAAGCAAGTCGCGTGTATAGATAGTAAGCATATTGATGTGTGGCAGGTGGAATTTTCATTTGCAGGTACGTTTTCTTATACACCGTTCAAAAGCTCGACCATGCTAATCAGAACACAGGTGATTCTTTGATCTCCTCAGGAGACGATGGGACTGTTCGGTTCTGGAAGAAATCATTAGCAGGAGAGTGGCTTGAGTTTGCAGAGACTGATATGGTATCTCAGTGAAGTGACTCTGTATTATGATATCAGACGCACTCTCCGTACCCTCAGAATAATTAATGATACCCTTGTACTTGTTTCATATTTCACATTCCACAGATTTCCCGATTCGCAACTTGAAGTTCTGCACTTAATTCAGTAGGTCGTTGGGCATTTGAGTGTTTTAACGGCAGGAGCGACTTGATAGAACTCGGGGCTATCAGCGCAATCTCCAACTTTAACCTTACACAGGTCGGGCTATAGTTGGCACTTCATTGTGCCGTTCTGTCTCTCACTTTTTTATTCTCTTACTCTCACTCTGTCTTTCTTTTGATCAAGCTCATGACATTCGTTGACTTCTTATATCATTAATCCCCGACAAGGTACACGGTATGGCCGTCGGCCCAACCCTAGGAACTGGGCTTTTCCTCGCCGGCGGCCAAGCCTTGGCTGTCGGCGGACCAGCTTCACTCCTCATTTCATACATCTCCCTCTCACTACTTGTTTATTTCATGGCAACTAGTGTCGCTGAGGTCGCTACTTACCGTCCCACTCGCCATGGAGCGATAATCATGCAAGGATTCCAGTATTTGAACGAAAGCGTGGGATTCGCTACTGCCTCTCTTCGCTGGTATACGATGGCCATGTTCGTTCCATACGAGCTAACCACTGCAATGGTCAGCGTGGGGCTTTGGAAACCCGGTGGTAATATCGCAGTCCACCTTCTACTCGTTACTTTTGCCGTTGTCGGGATGAATATGCTCTCAGATCGATTGTTCAAGAGCTTGGAAACACTGCTTTATCGGATAAAGATCGGCACACTGGCGTCTCTTCTCGTCCTTTCGTTATCCATCTGCTTAGGAGGAGCCACTGGCTATGACCATTGGGGCTTTAAATACTGGAAGAACCCTGGGGCCCTGAACGAATATTTCGCCCATGGCCCCGTGGGAAAATTTCTGGGTCTGTTACAGTGCCTTCATTTGAGTAGTATCGCTTTCGCCTTTGTACCGGAGCTGGTGGTTCACCGAGTTGAGATGACCGAGACCGCCGATCAGCCCGAGATAACCAACAATATGCAGCCAGCGACGAGGTCCAATATTCCCAGAAGAGTCCTTATGGATGTATTCCAGACCACGATTTCCTACACGTTGAGCTCGCTGGCCATGGGAGTTATGGCTCCGTATGACGATCCTTTACTCACGAACACAGGAGCTGGCGCTGGTTTATCCCCTTTTGTGATCGGCATGTACAGGGCGCGAATCCGGATTCTTCCCGTCACGGCGACTCTTGCAATTCTTCTCTCGTCTTTGACATCGGCTCAAACTTTCCTGCACATCGCCTCTCGATCGCTGTACGCCATGTCAGATGCTGGTCATGTTCCATCGATGTTCAAAATTCGAAACAGTTCGGGTGTTCCCTGGGTTGCTATTGTTTTTACCGCAACCTTCACCACCCTTGCATTTTCATCTATAGCCACGTCAAGCTCCATCATGACGACCTACTTCATCCTGTTCGTAAATAGCTCTGCCTATCTGTCCTGGATGCTTTCGGCCGTCGTTTACCGACGTTATCGCCAGCATTTGCGCCTTCATGGAGCTACCACTGCGTTCCGGTTCTCTGTACAGCCGTTTGGCACATATGCAGGACTAGTCATCAGTACGCTCCTATTGCTGTCCAATGGATTGATATGTGCTGTTCCGGGAAAAGTCAATGGCCCACGAGCATCAAGGATTATCATGGCGTACCTCAGCATACCCCTCTTCTGCTTTTTGTATCTCATGCATCGGTTCGGCGGTTCTATCTCGTCCCCTTTACATAGCAAGGAAAACAGCAACAAGGAAGTACCTGATGTTCCAATCATTCCAGTTGCTCCGGCTGGTAAATATCATTCGCGGGAGCGAGAACGAGCACCGCATGGACGATCGCATCAACCACCCACAGTCATTGAGTTGGATCAGGTTTGGGAAATGGCCAGAGAAGAATGAGTAGTTCATGAGAAACCTGCAACAAGAGACCGCGTTTTTCTAGTCTGCTATAGGTACCGGAGTACTCGAGATTAGTGTGAAATGGGCGTGTGTTGATTTTCTCAAGTATTATTATTAAAAATGTCATCATCAACTTGTTTTTCTTCATGACAGCAGACAATAGGTATATAGCCACATATGCACTGCCCTGAGTGAAGCAGCAAGCATTTGAAATTGGGAAACGGGAAACTTGGATGTATCTCCCCAGCACTCAACCTTGGAAGTGGTTGGCCAGGTGTGTTCCCATCCTCTTACTAGACAGGGATGTTCTCATACTTGAGTACAGGGCTCAGTCAATAGCATCTACAGGTGACTGATGACCTACACCTCTTTTTATATAAGTACCTACAGGGTTACCTACATGATTACCTGCATCATGATGTGGAGGGGAAGGGTACTAGCTGCTATATAGTTACACATGTGGATATAGGCAACTGGCAACCCTAGGAGTATCTAAAGTAAGAGATATCCTAAAGTGAAAGATAGTAGCTGAATTAAGAGAGATATACTCATACTTGGATATAATAAACAAAAGAAAGAATCTAGTCTATTCATAAATCTATGGTCTAAGCTATAGGCTGGTTCTGCCTCCCTAAGTATTCTGCCAGACAGTGAGGAAACTTGAAAAACCACTGCAACCCAAGTAGGAAAAGAGGTCTTTTTCAATATTTTGGAACATTGCGGGTTTCGAAGGCACGGACAGGACTCGGTGTTGTGATCTCGGCTATTCTCTCTGGATATCTATCAAAAGCCACTTGGGGATATGGATCAGTGCTTTTGGCTCTTTTTGAAAGATCTGCCCATGTGAAAAGACACTTACCCTCGACCAGCAACACTAACTGACATACATGGATGCAAGGATCAAAAGATCAAAATACCATTTCCCAGTTTCTCCTTTACCATATATGCCTTTCAAATATTACATGTACTAGGTACTGCCCAGGTGCCTGTCATCGAATGTTTGAGGTAGTGTCATTCAATTTGAGCACAGCCTGAGATAGCACTGGCAGCAATTGAACAAATTTTAAATATCCACCATACTTGAATGACATTGTATTCTCCCCAAGTTGCTCCTGACATGATGAGGATTTCCTGCAGCATTAATCCCATATTCCAATTATTCAGTATCAGATGGCTCACGCAGAGCACGTGCTTCTCTTTCAAGCTTCTTGTCTCCAAAAACAGTGCCAACTTCTTTAACAATGAGCCACGCCGGGAAAATTGCAATAGCCCACAAAACCAAATTGAGGTAGATGTCTCCGACAGCTGCCATAATGGTCACACTGCTGAGGCCGTACTATGTAAGAAAATGATGGGTTAGTATTTGAAAGCAATGAGAGATGACACCAAGATTTCAAGATTCCAAAGAACGCACGCTGACGGCTTGAGAAGCAGACTCAACTCCACGCAGTAACCCAGCAATTCGGACAATCTCCTCCTCGTCTTCGGCCACGTTCCCAACCAGGAAGAACCTGCTTTATTATCAGTATGGACTCCAAAGAGGGACAATTTGCTTTGAAAATTCAACTCACAGGTACATATAATTGAGCTGGAAGCCAGCAACCCAGAACAAAAAGAGGGCAAACGCCTTCCCAAAGCCAGGGTCAACCCAGTCATACACTGGACTTGTTTTGTGAAACTCTGTCACGTTCACTGTGGCCCAAATCCAACACATCCCTTGCCAGGCGACCACGAAGAAAAATGCGTACCTCGTTCGCGTTCTGAGAGAGATAGACTTGCTATCGAGATACGAACCCAGAACATTTCCTGCTATTAGAGCAACAATTCCACCGAGGAATGAGCCAAGGGCTCTTGCACGCACGGTCAGCCAGAGATCCTCGTACGAAAACATCACAGCCTCGGTATACACAGCCTGACAAATGAATGGCACAATAAGCAAAAATTTCCGATTGATGAACAGTTTTGACATCTCCTTGAGTTCGAATCCGACACTGTTGTTAACACGAAGATGGACCGGAACTCTATCCTTGCGTTGCACTCGATCTGGTGAATTGAGAAGCAGTCCTGCAAATGGCCCTAAAGCTTGAAGCGCGATGAAGATCAGGTAAACGGAATATGATACACTTCCTGCAGTCGAACGGTTGACGTTAAGACCCAGATTAATCGCACCACCCAGTATCTGTCCTCCGACACGGAAACTGAGCCAAAGTCCCAAGAAGCGACCTTGATTGTATGGTTCAGGATACGAGAGCGCGATCGCACCCTCGGCCATCCAGAAAATGCCTGCGGATATACCACAGAGCGCTGCACCCAGAATGACCAGCCAGGAATCTCCGAATCGGTTATTCGTGTAAAGACCCGCAGCATATGGCGCATAACCCATGGTACCAACGATCAGGGTCCATTTTATACCAATGAATCGAACAACCACGCTACCCAGGAAACACGATACCACCATAAGGCAGAAGGTCAAAGCATTTGCTGCATTGACAATGTAAGGTTTCTCTTCACCTCCTCCACCTAGAGAATTCATTGCCGTCCAAATGCCTGGGGCGAGGAAATTGCAAAGACCAAGGATAATTGAGTTATAGAACGTTGAGCGATGCCATTTTACTGCATCTCAAGTCAGACATGTATATATCTCCGTCGATTGAAGTACTCTCTCTTACCTGGATGTGATTCTCCAATTTGGGGATCATAAGAGTCGCTAACCTCTTCATCCTTGGGCGGAGCTGATTTTTCCAAGCTAGTCATGATTGATGATTCAATGTGCAGGCGACTCAAAAAGGTCAAATATTTCCGAGGCCATGCGATTGAATAGCCTGAGACTCGGACTCAGATGCCATTTAAGCACTGGCACTGGAGTTGTTTAAGTACTAGTACTTTCCCGTGTGGCCGATATATATTCTGCTGCTACCCGCAGTCACCCACTCCAAAGCTGCAAGTTGAAAATGATAACTGTTGCAGCGGCATGGCAACATCGGAGCATTGCCGTTTAGAAGCTCACTGCTAGCTTCTTTTGAGAATAAGAAAATGCAAAGTTTGTAAATGATACGCTCACAGAGCTCGCAGGATGTTGTTGTTTGGGACCAATATTACGTGCTCGCACGAATTATCATAGTGCGGCACACGTCATATTGGAAAACCACAACGCAAGTTTGTCTAGAACTCACTTTTTTTGTCGAACAGATATTAATTTGACTTTAAGCCTCTTTGATTGAGTGAGATTAACTCATAGTGCAGATTTCTTACGGCCGAGAAAATTTGAGGCACTGTCCTTGGCTTCAAGTTGAGAGAACGAATACTAATAGGATATAGTCCAGCCGAGCTAGGCAGCCTGAGAGATGGCGAACATGAGTCGCTCATTCTGCAACAAAAAAGATCCCTAGGAGTTTACTGAGCCATGAAAAGATCTAATACTAGTAGCGATTAGTTTTCATATGATCTCATATGAATAAAGAAGAAACATTTGAATGGGGAAAAATGTTGTTGTTCTCCATTGAGATCACCTGGAAAAGAAGATAACATTGCCCAAGCCTTTAAATCAATTAAAACGGGGTATCAGTTACTACTATTATTATAATATGGAATCTTCCAGTGTCATTCAAATGTTGATCGAAAAGCTCAAGTCACAGCAACTTTGGAGTTGGAGCCCATTCTAAGCTGTGGAGACTGATAACAACCGAATCCATAAACATCCAAACGTTCTCGATCCCCTCCAGATGTCAAGTTCAAGAAATTTTTTATCAGATTACTCCTCTTCTTGGAAGCGAGATCGGGGTTTGGGATGCATGGCCCCTGGAACTTCAGCCAAACAGACTCGATCTTTCGTCATTGTACCCCCAGATCACATCAACTCGCGTCGGAAATACGCCACTGTCGTGCTTGATCGCAATTATGCAACACATGAACCAGATCCGGTGGAATCTCGATTTATGCAAAGATAACAAAACCAAGTGTGTTGAGCATCATATTTTCCGGTTTTGTTATAGTCTTTAATGTTGATTGTTACTTCTAGTTACCATGCCCTAAGTCCACCCATTCTAGACCGTCCAATATCAGATTTAATTCAACTTCATTAAGTATCTAGCGGAGGGTTTACGAAGCCAGCCAAAGTCCCATTGATCTACTCTGCTCCGGACCATTTCCCCTCCCCCGGGTTGCCAACGAGGAATCATCATCACGCCATTCAGGCCCCGCCATGAGCAATAAGTATCATCCTGGGCGAGTCCAAAGCAACGGCATAGGCTGAAAGCGGAGGAATAAGCAGGTATACTTTGATTTCGGTCCATTTTTGTGTACGAAAGACCTTGGATCCTCCCTAGCGGAGGCGACCCGACCCTATCATCTATGTATACGTGCTTTGGGTAAGCGTTGATACTATCAGTGCTCCCCGCACCGAAGTGATGAGCGTGCTTTGAAATGTTGCTTATATATCAATACATTTCTCGCCCGAGAAGTTGACCACGTTTCCTGAAAACTAGATAGAGTATAGATAGACTCGGAGTCGGCGTTTTCGTTCGTGGCTTTCTTTTTGGTCGCAAATTATGGCTTTGGTAGCCCCCAGCATCATGTCGACCACCACTTATCTTCAGATTGAAGAGCTTCATCGCAAACCATCTACCTTTCATCGTAACATTTTCTCTGAGACCACACCAAAATCTCTTGTTACGACTACAGTGAAGGAGGAAGTTATTACCCAGACGCCCTTGCAAGCAAAGCAAAGAGTGTTGCTTCTTAAAGCGGCCCGGGAACAATACACTCTAGTTGATGACCACCACGTTCCCTCCATTTTACACCCAGGAGAGGTTCTTGTCAAGGTATGTGACTTCAAGTTGCGAGCTGAAGTACACTGCACAGCATTCTCACGTCTGTTGCAGGTATTGGCGATCGGACTAAACCCAATCGACTGGAAAGGACCGTACGTGAACTTAACTTTCCTTCAGAAACCGCCCATGGAACTTAACTAATTCTCGATGACAATACAGTGCATTCAATTTTGGAATTCCCAGTCTCCCATGGATCAACGGTCGTGACCTCGCAGGTCTTATACTTCAAGTGCCCAACGAGTCCTCACGCCTCCGCGTAGGAGACATCGTTCTGGTCCCATCTACAGACTACCGAGATATCAGAAAAGCAGCTTTTCAAGAGTATGCAATCGCCACCGATTTCAACGCCGCTCGCATACCGTCATCAACATCTATTCATGCATCTGCATCTCTTGGAGTGGCCTTCGTCGCTGCTGCTCTAGCCTTAGGTGTTTCATTTGGATTGGACTTCTCTCGTCTCATACAGTCGCCGGGTCCAAATCTGGTGAATGTCATCAGCACACTTGACAAGAAAAACATCCCAGTCGATATCCAAGATGAAGTCTTTGCTACAATTTCAGAATCAGATCGGCCTCAACCAGGTGACTGGGTTGCTATCTGGGGAGGTAAGAAAGCCTTGATACTCTTATGTTATTCTCATACTGACAGCACTCGCATAGCTTCCACAACAACTGGACTAGTCGCTCTTCAACTAGCAAAGCTCGCCGGACTGCGCGTAATATGCGTGGCAGATGTGGCTCGACATGGTGCTAAGCTACTACAATCGGGTGCTGATCTCCTTGTTGATCGGCGTGACACAGGAAGAGCCGTGGAGATTATCCGTGGAGTGACGGGTGGTAAACTACGCTATGCAATTGATATTGTTGGCAAAGAGACAGCGACTCTACTTGAAAGAACTCTGGATCCTTCAAATAACGCGCATCTACTAGGTCTTACTGGTCTACCGAAAGAGCGAGTTCCTGGGATCACCTACCATACTGTACCTATCAAGCTCTTCCACACTGCACCAGCTGTGGGTGAGAGTTTAGTGATCTGGCTGGAAAGTCTACTGCAAACGGGTGCTTTGACTTTGCCTGAAATTATTCGCGCAGAAGGTGGGCTAGAAGGCATCAATGCTGCATTGGATGTTCTTCGAAGTGGAGAAGCATCTGGTAAGAGGATTGTTGTTGATTTAGAGTCTCACTCCTGATGCTTGAAACTTCATCATTTATGAAGAATCATGATTTTGGGATTATTTTGGGCTGGCGTTCTGGACAAACTAGATTAGAGTTATTGTTTCATACTCCTTCAAATATTGAACGACTCAAGGTTGCTGCCTTAGATGAATACATATGAATTGGTTCAAGTTAATTCTTTTTCAAGGTACCATCTGCTGTACCTGAGATTGAACTTGATCTTTGGACTCCACATATGCATTATGCCCGGGTGGTATCAATTGCCAGTGCTCTAATGCTCAAATGTCCCATAGACTCGGAGATGCTGCTGCGAATTTGAGCCTGGAGCTACAGGCACTATGTGTATGTGTACCTGCAGCCCTCCAGGACTTACCACTACAGTATCAATCAATATTTGGTTAAATGCTGCCAAGAATTGGCAAAAAGAATTGGCAAAATTGTTTTGGAGAGTATCCCTAAAGTCGCTATAGGTATAGGTAGTATGTAAATGTGAAAGAGCGCTCTTGAAATTGCGAGTCCGTTATCGGCGTACACCTGGGCACAGCGTGCATGATATTGCATACCCCGCATAATGAAGATTTGAAGGACCAAATGAGAGATAAAGTCCGAGTCCAGATGTTTTTGCATTTTCTGACTGAAAAAAGACTTCCGAGCCATAACCTGAACAATAGGATGTATTCCTCATTCGATTATCTCCTGCCGGTATATTCTAAGACACCGAGCAGAGAAGTTTCTCCCTGCCAGTGCTAAGTACTTTGTAACACTACACAACACCTGGGCATTGAAATCACCGCAATCTTGGAATGCCTCGGCCTTATGCAATCTTACTCCGAGTGTGCACTAGTAGTATGTATCAGATTGAATATGGGGTATAGCCAATTATAGGTCTTGGCACCTGTAACTTTGAACCAATCATCTGAAAACGATTATCTACATATATCGACGTCATGCATTATCAGTCGGTGAAAACTTATCTCAGATTATACAGAAAAAAAGAATCAATGGTAGCTTGATTATTCCAAGGTTATTCCAAGCCTCGATTGAATTTTTTTTTTTCAGCCCCAATAACTTCATCAACGCCTCCACGTTCTCTAAAATTCTGCGTATATGAGTCAAAGAGGCGCAACCGCCCACAAGCGCAAGTAGCCGCCAAGTTAAATTTTAGCCGGCCGATGTCGGGCCCCCCCTGCATTCCCACTTCTACCCAATCACATATCTAATATTGTCCGCTGACCGACCGAAATCGGCATTGCCCCTCGAGCTATTCCCCAGCGACATCGCGGGCACACCAATATATAAGTCTCCAACTCTTGTTATCCTGGTCTAGCCATTTATTCCAATTTATACACAAAATGCCTTCTGCAGAGACAAAACCGAGGACCTTGTACGACAAGGTCTTCGCTGACCACATTGTTAATGAGCAAGATGATGGCACTTGCCTTCTCTACATCGGTATGCGCACGAAAAAAAATATTTGTGTTTTTAACACATGGCATTAGTGGCTAACAAAGAGCTCAATAGATCGTCACCTTGTTCACGAAGTGACCTCCCCTCAGGCTTTCGAGGGTCTTAAGAATGCTAGCCGCCCAGTCCGCCGGCCGGACTGCACCTTGGTGACTGTCGACCACGTATGTACAAAGCAAACATTGCACCCCTTTTTCTGGCAACATGTCGCTAATTGCTTTTTTTAATCTCATATAGAACATCCCTACCTCTTCCCGCAAAGAATTCAAGAATGCCGAGACTTTCATTAAAGAGACCGACTCGCGTTTGCAATGTACTACTCTCGAGCAGAACGTCAAGGACTTCGGCCTCACCTACTTTGGCATGAGCGACAAGCGCCAGGGTATCGTGCACGTTATCGGCCCTGAGCAGGGTTTCACTCTCCCCGGTACCACCGTCGTCTGCGGTGACAGCCACACCTCCACCCACGGTGCTTTCGGTGCCCTTGCTTTCGGTATCGGAACTAGTGAGGTCGAGCACGTCCTCGCTACCCAGACCCTCCTTACCCGCCGAAGCAAGAACATGCGCGTCCAGGTCGACGGCGAGCTTCCTGCCGGCGTTACTAGCAAGGATGTTGTCCTTCACATTATTGGTGTTATCGGAACTGCTGGTGGTACCGGTGCCGTCATTGAGTTCTGCGGTTCTGTCATTCGCGGCCTCAGCATGGAGGCTCGTATGTCCATGTGTAACATGTCCATTGAGGGAGGTGCGCGTGCCGGTATGATTGCGCCTGACGAGATCACTTTCGAGTATCTCAAGGGCCGTCCTCTTGCTCCCAAGTTCGGTAGCTCTGAGTGGAACCGTGCCGTCACTTACTGGTCTTCCTTGAAGTCCGACGCCGATGCCAAGTATGACATTGATCTTTTCCTTGACGGCAAGGACATCATTCCTACTATCTCCTGGGGTACTTCCCCTCAGGACGTCGTCCCTATTACCGCCGTCGTTCCTAGCCCCGATGATTTCGAGGACCCCGCTCGCAAGCTCGCTTGCAAGCGTGCCCTGGAGTACATGGGTCTCACCTCTGGTGTCCCTATGACTGATATTCCCGTTGACAAGGTCTTCATTGGATCTTGCACCAACTCCCGTATTGAGGATCTGCGTGCTGCTGCCAAGATCGTCAAGGGCAAGAAGATCGCCGCGAACATCAAGCGTGCTATGGTCGTCCCCGGTTCCGGTCTGGTCAAGGAGCAGGCCGAGGTTGAGGGTCTTGACAAGATCTTCACCGATGCTGGTTTCGAGTGGCGTGAGGCTGGTTGCTCCATGTGTCTCGGTATGAACCCGGATATCCTTGACCCCAAGGAGCGCTGTGCCAGTACCTCCAACCGTAACTTCGAGGGTCGCCAGGGTGCCCAGGGTCGTACCCACCTGATGTCTCCTGCTATGGCTGCCATCGCTGCCATTGTCGGTAAGCTTGCTGATATTCGTGAGCACGCCGTTGTCAGCCCCGTCCTCGCCAAGGTTCAGCCTGTCTTCGACATCCAGGCTGAGGCTGCTGACTCCCCCATCACCGAGGATGAGCTTGACCGCGTCCTGGACCTCCCTGCTGACAACGAGCCTCACACCAACTCCTCCGCTGGCGGTGGCAAGAGCACTGGTCTTCCCAAGTTCCTTACCCTCAAGGGTATCGCTGCTCCTCTGGACCGCTCCAACGTCGACACCGACGCTATCATCCCCAAGCAGTTCCTCAAGACCATCAAGCGTACTGGTCTCGGCACTGCCCTCTTCTACGAGCTGCGTTTCAACCCTGATGGTTCCGAGAACCCCGAGTTCATTCTCAACCAGGGTATCTACCGCGACTCTAAGATCCTCGTCGTGACTGGCCCCAACTTCGGCTGCGGTAGTTCCCGTGAGCACGCCCCCTGGGCTCTTCTCGACTTCGGTATCAAGTGCATTATCGCCCCCTCCTTTGCCGATATCTTCTTCAACAACACCTTCAAGAACGGCATGCTGCCCGTTGTCGTCTCTGACGAGGTTGCTCTGGCTAAGATCGCCGCTGAGGCCCAGGCTGGCCGTGAAGTTGAGGTTGACCTTGTTAACCAGGAGATCAAGGACGCCGAGGGTAACAAGATTACTGCTTTCGATGTCGATGGTTTCCGCAAGCACTGCCTTGTCAACGGTCTTGATGACATTGGTCTGACTCTCCAGATGGAGAGCAAGATCCGCACCTTCGAGACTAAGCGCAGCCTTGAGACCCCTTGGTTGGATGGTACTGCCTACCTCAAGCGTGGTACTCGTGGTGGCGCTACTCGCATCAATGCTGCCCCTGTTCCCAAGACCAACCGTGGTGACGTGAAGGGCGAGCCACTTGAGTGGTAAGCTTTCCATGTGCTGCATTAAAATTGGCTATAGTAATGAGAGGAGCTTCACGTGGCATTTGGATTTTAAAAAACAATATTCCCCTATTTTATGTGCTTACCTGAACTGCATTTTTCGGGCCTTAGTTAGTTTTAGGCTGCTAGCATATTCAGTTAGCAGTCTACGAATATCAATGAGAATGAATTATGAATTCAAAATAACCTCCTCGATTGAAATAAGAAATAAGCCTTCTATTAGACTTAGAACTTGCGAGTACTGATCATCTTTTTGATCCCATAAGTGTCCACTCTGCTTAATTCGAGATGTGAGGTCATTACAGTAGATACTAAGGCGTTACGGACCAAAGATCAGACAGCAAGTTCACAATAGACATAAGAAATATGCGTAAAGACAGGAAAAGCTCCAAGGATAATCCATCCCACTTATTAACCCTGCACCAAAGTTTTCAATCAACGAAAAGACTATTATCTCTCAGGGCTTTGAGAGTTGTTCACGACGGAAGAAAAGAAGGAAGCCAGCACTATAAGCAATTACGTTAGAAATGATCCTCAACTCAACAAGGAATCCAAAGGGAAAAGAGGAAGACTCACCAAATCAACAGTTGCAACGACAGCGCAATCCAGAACCAAGCATTAGCTAATGCACCAGCCCCAGCCGTGATATCCGGAGAGATAGGCCCAGGCCCAATATTATTCGGAGCAAATGATCTCGCACAAATAGTAGCAAGAGAACCCAGAACCTGTGAAACAAGCAACGTGAAACAAATATGCATCCGAGTAAGCGTCTGCAGGAGAATCATTCCAAAGCCTAGACCCTGTAATGCGTCGCAAACCCCAAGCCATAGCCAAAGACTTCGGGATACTAGTGCACCGGATGTATAGCTACCTGCCCATGGGAGGAATAGACCTGAGCCAGATGTTCCCCACCATATCTGTGCCCATCGTGGTGCACCGAGGCCACAGGCTACTATCGGTAGAATCCAGCTGTGGGATCGAGATATCCAGCCTAGGAGGAAGAGGATGGCTATCCAGGCGAATCCGAAGAATGCGACGCAGAGCAGGAGTATTTGCCATGGTTTTGCGTGATTGGAGATCCAAAGGACTGGACTTGGTTAATACTTCGAAAGGAAGGGTTGGATTAGGAGTTGCACTTACAGTTCCAGTTTCGACCATACGGGGCACTGAGGAAGAAGTTCTGGAGGATAACAACAACCCAGTTCCAGAGGACAATCTTTCGTCGGAAAACTGATTTGTAGAATGATGGGACTTTACCGGGCGTTTGGCGGTAATAGTTGGGTAGACCGAAGTATACGATGAAGCCCACAGTCCATAAAAATAGTGTAATCGGTGCACATATAGCCCTGGACAAAAGTTAGCATTGCGACTCATATTTTGATAGATGATACGTACGTCATTCTCCAGGTGTTAGTGATACTGCCCTGTACATTCGCAACACCGGCATTGGTAGCTTTTGTCAGCGTAGAGCCCCAGTACCAAAGAGCAATGACATAGGCTTGTTGTGTGCCCTGAATCAAACAAGCACGGAAAACCCATTTCTTCACTGGAGCGCCACTCTCATCACCGAAATTAAGTGCAAAGAAGATCGAGCCACTGGAAGACGCAGCGGCATATACACCACTTCCGATGTTCTGGATCCAACCTCGAGCAAAGGGGTTCGGCTCAAAGTGGGCAAGACCAATGATGAGAAAGGCAAGGCCATACAGGAACCAAGGCACAGTTAGAACGAGCACGGATTTGCAAAAGCGGAAGAAAAGCCACCACAAAATAGACGTGACGAGATAGACTGTCGCGATTCCGTAAAGTTTCTCTGCTGTTTGACCAACCTCACCTGTGAGGAGTGTTATTTGGTAGGAATTGGCTGCAATGATTTGTCCAAGACCAAGGAATAGGGAATAAACAGGCCAATCGCCGAGGCGCATTTGCATCCATTTCTTGAGACCGGTCGGTGGGACGTAATCTTCTCCAAGGAAGAACTCATCTCCAGTAGCTTCCTTTCTCTCTGGGACTCCACTATCATGGGAAGTTGTGTCGTCATTGTTAATGGACCCTGGAGGAGAGCCACCATTCCCGTTTTTAACAAACTGAGAAGATGGAACTGGAGACTGGTTTCGTCCAAGCCGTGCGTCCCTGAATCGATCGAACCACTTCTTCTCACTCTTCTCGAGATACTGCTCAATACAAAGTTGAGAGTCGGAGTTCGCTCCATTCAGCTCCTCGAGCTTCTTCTCGAATGCTCGGTAGAACTCCCCACTACTATCCGTGAAAGTAGGATCCACTTTCTGCAGCTTATAGTCTTTCTTGTCACCGACGACTGAATCAAAAGATAACTGTGAAGCATTGCTCATACGGCTTCCTGTATCTGCCCATGGCCGAGTGGGTGGAAGAAGCGTGTCTTCCGTCCCTGTCGTACTAGGTGCAGCAGAGCTAGAGGGGGTTCCAATAGAACGTCCAACAAGGGAACCCTGACTTGCCCGACGAGCAGAAAGTAGTTCCCGTGTAAGAGGAATTCCGGAAGACTGTGGACCAGGCGAGGGTGTATCTAGCCGGCGCCCGGAGTCAACGGCTTCAGGTCCAATGGTATACTCGTCCTCACCATAACAAGTGGACATGATCTCGTCATCGCTGTCATCATCAGCACCGGGAGATGGAGTGCTAGAACCTTCAGCGTTTTCATCCACGTCGCTAATGCTACCTTTGCCAATGTCTCGTCGTCCACGCACTTCCAATGAAGCAGATACGGGTCGGACTCCAAAAGCCATTTGCCGACTCAGGCTGGATTTCGGTCTGCTTTCTCCTCCTGGACTTGGATCGCGACTATAGACAACTGAATTCCGCTGCATTGATCCCATGGTTCCAGGGCGGCTAGGTGACTGCAAAGGAGGCGTGAGAGTACCGCTTGAAGCACCGGATCTCATCGAGACCGCAACCTGTGGAGTCATCATTCCGTATATGGCATTATAAGCCGATGTTGCAGCTGTAGATTGGGCTTGTGCTTTGGCGCGCTCTTTATTATGGATTCGCATAGCAGTTGACTGGAGAATCTCCAAGTCTTCAATCCATTGGGCAACAGGGAAACGCTGCTTAGCCGACCTCGCTCGCATCATAGCTCTCGTCTCAAGCTTCGAGCTCAAAGCGCTGTCAATTGCAAGCTTGAATTGCTTGATGAGGTGGGTCGTTGTTGTAGATTCGACCGTATACCACCATCCGGGCATTTGGCCAAGTCCACCCACTCGAGCCCCGATACCAAGCGCACCCTTGCGACCGAACTCAACAGCTACTAGACCAAATGGTTCATCCCGTGAAGGTATCAGAGCAAACTCTGCACCTGAAAAGATGAAAGGAGGCAATGCGGTGAATTCTGGTTTGGAGAAAACCCGTCCTGGGTATAGTTTCATCATTCGGTCCAGTTTTAGAGCTGCGAATTTCCCGTAGAGATCAATGACTGGGCCGACGCAGATAAGTTGGACGTTCGGTCGTGCATCAAGAACCCCAGGCATGACATCTGCAATCAGATCAATACCCTTTTGCATCGTCCATCTTCCTACAAACACAAGAAGGTCTGCACTTGGATTCTGCTGTAGGCCAGCCCATTCCTGAGCTTGACGCTTCAACTCAATCCTTCCAAGTTCGAATTCACTATCCACACTGATCTCACTTTCCTTGGGCAATTCCTTCTTCCATTCGCCTGTATCAGATGGGTCAGGGTTAGGAAGGTTGCCAACTTTCCGTAGTCCCCAGAAGATCGGATATCTCGCATACGAGCGTTTTCCATATTTCTTAGACACACCAACAGCTCCAAAACCTTGTTGATGTAAACGCAGATAACTAGCTCCAGCGTGTAACAGATTGAAAATCTCGCCAAATTGAACATAGCGAGTAACAACATCCACATCGAGATTGAACACAGAGCACACCTCGGTCTTCTCCTTTTGAGTTCGCATTGGCCATAGTCCCTGGAATTCTGCATTATGAAGCGAGAGGCAGATCGGGACTGTCTCAGGAAGTTGATAAAGAGGTGCGATAGCACCATGATAGTCATTGATATGGTAAAGATCAATAGGGAATCTTTTGATGGCATGTGCAATACACTGATTCCAGGCAGAATAATAGATCGCGCTGTCCATGTCGTCCATTCGGGCCGGGTAAGGTTCTCCAACTGTTTGTCGACGGAAGACATCCGCGTCAAGAAGAACATAAGTGATGTTCCTAACGTAGTGGTACTGAACCTTCACCTCGAAAGAGTTTCCAAGAATAGTGACCACCATCGGCTCAGCTGGTTTATCGATGGGATAGACTACGCCTCCCACACACGGAATCACCCAAATTAGGTCCTCATGGCCGAGTTGTTTTCCCATTAGTTGTGCCATAACACCGAGACCGCCGATCTTGATCTTAATACCCCAGTCATCAAGGTCATACTCCATCGTCGCAACGAGAACCTTTCGTCGCTGGGATGTCCGGTTACCAAAGGCAGAATTGCTTTGAAGAAACCTGGATTTGTTGGCAAGGCGAACGAGTAGGTTTCTAGAGCCTCCAATTTCTCCATTATCGGATTTTAGCCTGTTAAGAATATCCAGCGAGATCAAAGTTTTCTTTTCGCTCACGCCGACTTGATTGAACTTGATACGATAGAACGTCTTCATGAAAATATAAGCACACGTCGTGGCACTGAGAATGGGTATGATCCAAAGCATGAAGAAAAGAGCCATTTGAACATGTTTTGAGCCAGCAGGCACGAGTCTAAACTTCAGGTTCGTGTCATCGAGCTCAATTCTCCAGGCCAAGTGTGGGCTGGGAGGATGCCGGGTAATGTTGATTGTTGTCGTTTTCAATGAAGAAGGTGGAAGCCGATCGAGAACAGAATCTCCATCAGAGTCTCCGAATATGTAGCTTTGATCCGGCTGACCATCGGGGTTGATACCCCAGACATTAAGCTGTCCCTGGGCAGGCCATTCGGTCATGAAGCGGAACTTCCAAAGGCGATCACCGGCTTGTTTGACAACGTTGGGAATGCCAGCATCGTATCCGTACTCATTGAACGGCCCATTGAAGAACAGATGGGGGAAACGTCGCGGCATGTCAGGATTCCAGTCGGGAGTATCACCCTCTTGGAGGTAGTCGCTACTTCCGGTGAAACGATTCCAATACTCAATGCGAACGTGCTCTCCTTTCCATTCCTGGGCTTTTGTTCCCGACCAATGCTGCTTCTTGATTGTATGATTACCGCCCTTATAAGGAAGCCATTTTGAGAATGTACTGCCCCAGTTCGTTGAGTAACGATACATATCCGCACCAGCTGCATGCTGTCGAATGAACAATGTGCCATTGTCATGTCGATGGAGTAGACTAGTAGAATAGTTTGCCGAGGTGAAAATTATTGGATTATCTTGTTGTCCAATTCGAATCAAGAAGTGGTCGATCGCATTAGTCTTCTTTCCATGCGTGCTGGTTGCGTTGCTGACGGTTAACCGATGTACTCCATTGTATACCCCATTCAATGTTGCAGTCCAAGTCCAGGTGCTAGGAATATGTCCTGTGAGAGAGGAGTCTTCTGGGTCCACAGAGCCACACTTAATTGTACTGTGATCAATCGAAGGCTTGTTGCCACTTTCAGTTGTTGACTCAATGGCGATTGCCTGAGTGAGTAGGGTGCAGTTCATTTCCGTGGAAAATGATAGACTAATTTCAAGATCCTCACTCTCTTCCGGCTCTACCTTAGAGAGGATTGGGACATCATGACCCGGACTAAATTTTGTTATCATGGGTCGTGGAGGCTTGAATTTGCTCTTGGGAACATAAGCTCGGAACTCATAAGGCTGAAGGGTCACGCTATCCAGACATCCATTCCATTTTGAAGATCCATTAAGGTGAAGTTTCGTGGGACCGTCTGTGAGGGTGACTTCATCGTGTGGGTAGAAGAGATTCTTGACTGTTGTATTAGTATCGAATGGAGAAATCAGTGCCGAGTCCCGATTGGAGCAATCAAAGTCATAGGTGACTGTTTTGTTATCATTCTGATAAATAAACCAAATCGTTTGATTGCCTGCCTTTCCAAGGTTTTGTTTTTGAAAATAAGGACTTCGCAGAACAGACCACATTCCTGTTTCGGTGGGAATCCCGTTTGAGCCTGGATAGTAGACATTGTGGGTGTGATTTGACAACAGTTGGATCCACCAGCCATCATTCAAGGCAGGATAATCCTCTCGCATTTGGTACATGTGCTTTATCGTGTTCCTTAATGGTGCTGATGGATCTCGATGATCATATGTCACGGTTTCATCATGGCAGCCCTCGCGCCCAGATTTAATCGGCCAATCGAAATATTGGGTTGAGTTGAGATTGAAACAGCCATGAGTTTTCCACGCCGTCGCGGGAGACATTGCTTGACGTCCATAGATGTAGTTAGAAGCTAGGGCATCCAACACATAGAAAGATTGTTCTTCGCCCCAAAGCAATATCGGAATCCCGGGTAGGTGTAACGTGGTAATGAAGAGAGCTAACAGTTGTCTCTCTAGTCCATGTTCAACGGTTGGCCATCGGAAAACATCTTGATTCGTGGCTCCATACATGTGACGAGGGTCGAATTTGCCAGTGTTGGCGTTGATGAGATCGTTTGTGAGCACCATTTCGTACCAGGCCTCTGTCCAATTTACTGGAATATCGTAACCGGCTGCGAGATTACCATCCATGCCAAGGAACCGAGTGAGTGAGCGGTAGATAGAGTAATGGAAAGCAGCTCCATCAATGGCCTGTTGGTTTTCATCGCGTAGGAAATATGTTGAATCGGATGAATTGGTCATATGGAATGCTTCATCGAGCGTCTTGGGTACCATATCTGGCTGTCTTCCACGACCAAGGAAAACCGAGCCTAGAGTATTGCCACTAGTAATCTCGCCTGGCAAGAAGAAATTCTTCTTACCCACTCGGCGTGCGCAGTCACGATATGCACCTGAGATATCACCTAACGCGTCAACTGTGGCTTGGGTCGCCTTGTCATATCGAAAGCCATCAATATCGAGTGACGAAATAATCATACAAGAGTGTCTGATGAGACGCTCTCTGACACTTGGTACCCACTCTCGAAGTCGATCTTGTACAGATGCAAATTTTGCAAGCTCACGCTGCCAGTCAGGGTAGACACCGAACGCTTCGATATCGCCATACTGATCGAAATCGCTATCATAGCAGCCATTCAGTTCGTCACGAACATATTGATCCACAGGGAAGCCTGTTTCATTCCAAAACTTAGGGTAGGCACAGGTTTTGTTGTATGAGTTTCCGAAGTGGAAATCAACGTAATGACGATCTGACTTCCATTGAGCCCGATGTTCTTTGACCGAGAATGGCGTTGTGGTATTAAGATACTGGTCGAATCCGATCAAATCACCCATACTAAAAGAAGTAAGATATAAAATATTCAAAGTTAGGATTCAAGGGGTGTTTTGTGGGGAATACTCACGTTGCAACTGTATTATCGAAAATGACATACATGCCACGATTATGGATCTCGGTGATCGCATCTCTCCAGGTGTCGATGGTTCCAAAGTGCTGATCCAACAAAGTAGTATCTAAGGCAGAGTATCCATCTGATCCCCATGGTTGATTCATTAGAACAAGACCGGCCAGATATATTCCCTAGTAGAGGAAATTGAAATGTTAGTAAAATCAACTTGAACCAAAACATACACTGAGCATTTGAATATCTCGCTAACCTTGATTCCCATCCCTTGAAGATAGTCCAGTGTATCGAGAAGACCCGCAACGTCACCGCCATGTCGCATTTGATTGTTGTTCAGATCATGCTCAAAGAGAGTTCCATTGATATTATCATTGGTTGGGTCTCCATTCACGAAGCGGTCCAGAAACAGCGTGTACATGGGAAAGCGCCAGTTATCTGGAGATGGATGATAGGTATGATTGGGCCATTCTCCCCAGTATTCCGCTGGATTCGTTGCCGATTCATTTTCATTGAGGTTATATGAAAGTAAAGCTTCATCGTAGGGCCAGCATGATCCTATCGCTGCTAGATGACCAAGTACGGCACCCGTGTACCGTAGATGCATCGTACAGATTTAGAATCTCAGCTCAACAGAACCAAGCAACAAGCATGCGTATTCCTGGCTGATAATTTTTGAAGATAACGGATGTATCGAATCGACGAGGTAGACGAGCGCCCCACTATAACTTTGGAAGTTCCTATAGTACTTTGTCAGCGAGGGTTACTGGAGTTATAGCTGGCAATATCCAAGAACACAAAAGATCAAGGCTAGGATAGGCGACAGGGATCAGAGTGGGACAGGATACAGAATCGAACATCACTAGAGGTATACAAATGAGAGGTAAATCATACCGAGATCAACCAGTTGCCACAAGAGACGACGGATAGGTGTTGATTCGTAAAAAGCGAGGCAACGAATGAAAATTGGGAATCAACGAGACACCAAAAGCATCGTAAGGCAAGAATATTCCAACTGAATATGCCCAAGAGAGAACCAGTCCTAAAAAGCAGAAAGAGAAAAAGAGAAGATTGAGAAACTTTGTGGGTTCAACGATAGAAATAAGTCAAAATCAAGGAAACGAAATATAAAGAGGCAAGAAAGAAAACCTTCAGTAAAAGTTAGCTGGCACCAGATACTTTGAAGAGGTCAATCTCAAGTCACTCTTTTCCTCACCGCAAATACAATGTATGATGCTGTCCACATATCAATCTATACAAATTTGGCTTAGACGTCGACGCCGGAATGAACGGTGACAACCGAATAGACTGCTGATAGGAGGTCAAAGTCTGGAGATACATCTGGAAGCTTCGGGGATATGCCTGGTATCCCGACTGACGAATGCGATTTCAAGAGGAATTGACGCTCAGACAAAAAGGTTCGCCATTGTCTCACGATGGCTCATCTTCATTTGGAACCTCCCAGCAATATCCATAGCTATTTTCATGAGGAGCGGCCAGTGTGGAATCGTTATGGCTCGATAAGAGTAGGAGTGCAAGACATGCAGTGTTTGTATGACGGGATGTTGTGATACATTCCCAAGGATGATAAGGGACCACCTAGGAGATGACGGAGACCCAAAGAGTAAAGCAAAACATGCGTCGAGCGTATATTGGTCCAATTTCAACATGGACTGTTCTGGAGCCTGAAAACTGGTCTTAAGTGTCCATTTTTGATGTTTTGATCTCCAGAAGAGGCTGTGTATACCTTAATTCTAAATTAAGATCATTTTTCGCAAGATTGAAATCCGATTATAAAATAATTATATCAAATGGTGGGTTTGTTCAACTAGTAGTATCATAAGAGTCTGACTCTAGTTGCTTTAACCTGGAGAAATCTCAAGTGCTTGCTCACCTTTTCATCCAGGGGTAAACATAGATGTGCTGGTATTCATCCGAGACATGAATGATAAAGTTTTCAGTCGCTGAGGTTTAGTGATAATCGATGACTGGATTGGTGATCTAGATTGCTATCTAGACTGCTGCAACACCTAGTAAGGCCGGCGAGATCGGATGTACCGTCCCATGTACAGATATGTACTACGTCTGCTTCAGTGTACCGGGCTATGAATGGCGAGCCATAGAATAACATTTGAACAATCATGCAGGAATTCGAAGAATATTCTCCTACAATATTACGTGATATTTGACTCCAATAGATGGTCACTGACTGTCGTATCGGTCTGCATAGCTCCTCACTTATTGCCCATTGATGGTTTTGGTCGGTCCCTCGGAACTTTTGAAAATTAAAGAGGTTGTAACATGTTTGAATGGGGATAATGAGCTGAAAAGACCAGATGGAGAATAACCTCAAGTTAGACTTTAGCATCTAAGTATTCCCTGTTACTAGCGCCTCTCAACCCTCAAGGATTGATTCCTTTGTGATATTCGTGTCTCAGGTATGGTATTGAACATTTGAATTCAATGTCAGCATATTGCTATAAATTGCTTTGATTCTCAACCCACATTTTCTATTTGAAGATTCCTGGAGAAAGGCTGATTGGCCATCCGAGGGAGATATCACGATTCTCGGACCGACAGACTGATATTGTGACCCGAAACCATGCCTATAACCAATAGATGGAACGGCCAACGGCTTGATGGATTTTGAATAAGCTGAACCCAATCTGCCTTTCATCTTGTTGCACTTTGTACCCCAGAATGATCGCCACGGTAGTTGTGGTGGCGTAGTTGTGTGTACAGGTATCAAAGCTTTCTTGCGGTGGACGCTTCTAACTTGGAAGATACTTAGCTCTTGGAGGCTACACCATACCATTTCGAGTATCCTTATGATTATTCGAGGGATGTACACATGTAATCGCAGGTACAAAGCATATGTCGCTTACCATCTAGCTAGCATTTGAGCTTAGTCCATTGGTTCCTCAGTCGGCGAGCGTCTGCATTGGTCCGAGAACGTAAGATATGTGGTCCAATACTCCTCATTTACAATTCAGATGAAATCTCTGGCATTAGAAGATCCAAGTCGTAATTTATAGTAATGGCCATATCAAACTTGAGCTAGTTAGCAGTAGGAACTACTAGTATGTTTCAACTTGAACATATCCCATTTCCTTTTGATATATAATCCCCAAAGAGGAAATTGACAATTTCGCCAATCACAGTGAAGACTATCGAGAAACTTCAGGGCTGACTTCCAGCCTATCAGATGATCTGGAAGTAGGAAGAGTCACGGTGTAGGTATAGTACAAAAAGTTGCTGATGGATGCGGTATTCAAAACTTGTCTTGACTACATGTGCTTGCTTGTAACACACAGACAACCATTGGGAAGATGCCGGAATCCTGGACACTTTAGGTTGTGACCACCCAATGAATATGAATTATGCAAAAATATTTCTCGCTATTACCACTCTGGTAAAGATGTGAGCAGATTCAAGTTTGTGTCTCTATCAGGGTTTGCAAGTTTGGGTCAGCATACCACCTGGACAGTGCCTGGGACCTGCCTTGCCCACCAACATAGCCGCATATCTCCCCTTGCAAATGACCAAATGCCCTCTCTTCTCTCGTCATCAATTTGCTATCAAACCTTGGAATTCATGCATGTTTGACTCCGGGTACTTCCATCGGAATCTTTCAATAGTCAATCGTCTGAGCACCTACTACCCATAAGACAGCGAGTCTTTAGTTCCAGATACTTGGTCTGGAGATGAGTGAAAATTGAAGGCATAAACCCTGCTCTTTGGTGTGTGACTGTCGAACATCTCCGCAGCCCGGTGTCTCCGAGGGCATTTACCTTATATCCTACTGTGGGATGTGTCTTCTGATACTGGACGCCTTCTAAGACATCGCGGTTGAGCTCGGTGATCTCGATCGCCTTGTGAAACCAACAGAAGCCGTAACAGGACAAAGTAGGGCATGTTCTTTTCAAGTTCAAGGCGACCATCCTAGTATTAGTAGGAAACGAAATTCGAGCTTGAAGTTATCATTTTGTTGGGGAGATTTCTATTGAACTTCGTTCCGATATCGTTCAAGTTGATCCGCACAGAAGCTGCCAGTGTGAGATAGAAGCCGATAATTTTGCAAAGTTACTTCAAAGTATTCAAATGTTCCATTTCACCCCATTGGAAAACGTTCCAAAGCTCTGGATTGGCAATCCAAGTGGTTTAAGTTGTACTACCAGTTCATGAACAGTTGGTTGAAGCACCCGATCCCAATAGAAATGGAAAGGGTATATGTAAATCATTTTGGTTTGGGTGCTTGTGAATAAAATATTCTAGTAACTTCGAGCTCTCCTGGTATAATGCTCTCTCTTTTTTAACCTTCCAACCTCTCTAACATCATTTCTGCATGGCTCGTATATCAGATGATCAGCGCAGAGGTCTAATTTACTCAGCACCGTAGCGAGAACGGTAATCCTTCAAGCGCTGAATCTCAGCAGCTCCGATCTTGTCACCGAGTTGCTCAATCAGGTCGTGTAAACCGATGACAGCACGGATGGGGATGTTACCACCCAGATCACGCTGAGCAACACCAATGGCGCTCTTGGGCTCGGTGTCGCTGACGCGCTCCTCACGGTCCAGCAAGACAACAACACCAGCAACGATACCACCCTCCTTCTCAATGATGCTGACAGCCTCACGCAGGGCAGTTCCAGCAGTAATAACATCGTCAACAATGACAACGCGCTTGCCCTTCAGAGGAGCGCCAACAATGTTGCCTCCCTCACCGTGAGCCTTAGCCTCCTTGCGGTTGAAGGAGTAGCTCACATTGTCCCATGTACCCTTGGGTGAAGCCTCGAGAGCATCGCGAACGGCCAGCTCGTTGGTGACAGCGGCACAGATAGGAATACCCTTGTAGGCGGGGCCGAAGATAATGTCAAAGTTGGGCTTGGCGGTGCCATTGGCGTCAGTGGTGACGAAGGGCTCGGCGGAGAGCACACTGGCGTAAGCAGCGGAGGTGGCGCGCAGCAAGGGAGCGGTATGAAGGAGAGAAGAGGTAAAAAAGTAGGGAGATTCGCGACCGGACTTCAGGACAAAGGTACCGAAGGAGAGGACATTGTTGGAGATGAGAAGAGGGAGCAGGCCACTCTTGTAGTCTTGGGAGGCGGACATGATGTAGATATTAATTGGAGAATATGTGGTGTGGGGATCCAAGTTCTTGAAGTTGTTGAATTGTAAAGGGAAAGAGATATAGAGACCCCGCGGTGCCAAGTCACATTTTTTTTTCTTATCAACGGATTGGGTACTGAGGGGCAATCAACTACTAGTAATCCACCTTGAAACCAGGGTCTTTTAGGACGAATCCATAGTATTTTTATAGAGAAATCGAATGAATATGATTCATTACAATTGATACATATAATTAGTTATTTCTAACAATGCAATAGATTATGAATGATCAAACTATTGAATATACTATTGAATCTCTCACATAAAAAAGAAAAGAAAAAAAATGGACTCACCAGTTGATCAGAACACGTGCTCCGATCGTCGGTCTCCCCCGCTAAATCGAAACTCCCCCCCATTCTTTATTCTTCTTCCTTCTCCGACTGGAGTCCCCCTTATTCATTCAAGTTTTCTTTTTTTTGATATTCATTTTTTCTTGAAATTTACCTAATTCTCGAATCCTCCGAGGATATCAACCACACAGTTCCGGAAATCCAGGTGATTTTACGAGACACTCTGTGTGAGAGAATTGGCTCTAGGTGACCGTGTGAAGGGATTCATTCGAGTATCTTGGAATTCAGATTGCTGGTAAGATTTGCTCCCTATTCTATGAGGGCGCAGATTTCGATTGAGATTCCTTTCCTCTTCATCTCGATGGGCAATTCAAATAATCTCAATACTAATTTGTAATATCCGGGGTAGATTGACATAACATCATGCACATCCGCGAGAAGTTGGCTCAGAAGGAGGCGGCTGGGGAGCCGGGAATTTCCTTCGAGTTTTTTCCTCCCAAGACCGCCCAGGGTGTACAGAATCTTTATGACCGAATGGACCGTATGCATGGATTGGGCCCCTCGTTCATTGACATCACTTGGGGGGCCGGGGGCCGTTTGTCGGACTTGACTTGCGAGATGGTTGGAGTGGCCCAATCGGTTTATGGCCTGGAAACATGTATGCATTTGACCTGCACAGACATGCCCCAGGAAAAGATCGATCATGCCCTTCAAACCGCTTACAAGGCCGGGTGTACCAACATTCTGGCTTTACGAGGTGACCCACCGCGTGAAAAGGAAGCCTGGGAAGCCGCCGATGGAGGCTTTCGCTATGCAAAGGATCTGGTCAAATACATTCGTGAGAAATATGGAAATCACTTCGACATCGGAGTGGGTGGATACCCGGAGGGCGCCGATGATAATCCCGACGTGGATCTCCTGATCGACCACTTGAAAGAGAAGGTGGATGCCGGTAGCACTTTTATCATCACCCAGATGTTTTATGATGTGGAAAACTTCAAGTCATGGGTAAACAAATGCCGGGCCAAGGGTATCAACGTGCCGATTATTCCAGGCATCATGCCAATCCAAACATATGCGTCATTTATCCGCCGATCTGACTGGACCAAGGCTCGAGTGCCGCCCGAGTGGATGGAGGCTCTGGAGCCCGTGAAGAATGACGATGCTGCTGTCCGGGATATTGGCAAGCGCCTGATCGCTGAAATGTGCAGGCAAATTCTGGCCTTTGGCATCAACCACCTCCACTTCTACACCATGAACTTGGCTCAAGCAACCAAGCTAGTCTTAGAAGAGTTGGGTCTCGTTCCCTCAGAGGAGTCTCCTATTCAACGATCACTTCCATGGCGACCATCCCTGGCCCTTGGCCGACGAACCGAGGATGTCCGACCAGTCTTCTGGCGTAACCGCAACTCGTCATATGTTGCCCGTACACAGACATGGGATGAATATCCCAACGGTCGCTGGACTGATTCCCGATCCCCTGCGTTTGGTGAGCTCGACGCTTACGGTGTCGGTCTGAAGGGCTCAAACGAACAGAACATCAAGCTGTGGGGTGAGCCTAAGTCTCTGAACGACATCTCCGAGATCTTTGTCAAATTCCTTGATGGAAAACTAGAGCGTCTACCCTGGAGTGACAGTCCCATCTCCATCGAGGCCAATGACATCAAGGAGTCTTTGCTTGATCTGAACCGCAGGGGTTTCCTGACCATTAATTCACAGCCTGCTGTCAACGGTGTCAAGTCCTCCCACTCTGTTTACGGCTGGGGCCCCAAGAATGGATTCGTCTACCAGAAGGCCTACCTAGAGCTCTTGGTTCCCTCCTACTTGATGGATGAGCTCATCGCTCGCATTGAGAGCAACGATGATTTAACTTTCCACGCTGTTTCCAAAGACGGCGAATTGAAGACCAACACGCGCGACAGCCCGAACGCCTTGACCTGGGGTATTTTCGCCGGACGAGAAATCATCCAACCTACGATCACGGAAACAGTCAGTTTCCTGGCGTGGAAGGATGAGGCTTACCGACTGGGTGAAGACTGGGGCAAGTGTCACGATGCTGCCAGTCCTAGTCGGAAGTTGATCCAGCAGGTCATGGATGACCGTTATCTCGTTAACATTGGTAAATCAACCTCACACCCCTTTCAAATAACACTTTGAACTAACGGATCTCTAGTTGACAACGATTTCCACCGTTCTAACGCTGTCTTTGACTTGTTCAAGGACCTTGTGGTCAAGGATCTTGACGTCGAAGTGTCCGGAAAGCAACCAGAGGCCAATGGTGCCACTGAGCTGAATGGCAACGCGACCAAGAACTAAGATCTCATCCCATTCAACCGGGAGATTCTAGTCCCAAGTGCGCGCATCTAATGACCCCTCCCTATTTTACGGCTACTACAACTCTCCTCGAACTACACTCAACACTACTTACGTTCCTACCTAATTCAACATCCCCTACCTATCTCAACGATACTCAACGAAAACCTGCCCCGGATATCTTTCATCCAACACCGTATCCCGGGCTTCCCTGCAATGTGTCATGGCGTCACGAATGAAGACCTCTCAACGATTTCTTCCTGAGCGTTCATTTTTTTAATTTCAACATCCAACATTTCCACTGTACCGATACCCCGTCTCTTTTAACAATGACGTTTTCATCGCTCAGGGTTTTTTCCTTTTTCAACCTCTCCTCCGAAGCCTGGTGCTTTTTTTCTGATGCCTTGTCCTTCAATCAACTGATTGATAGGCATTCAGATAAAATGGAGGACCAAAAGAAAGAACCTCATTCAACATCATAATTTTTGTCCTGTAATGGACTACCTCCCTTCTCTTCTCTTCTCTCCCCTTGTCTTTTTCCTCATCTTTCTCATCTTTCTTGGTTTGGATTCCTGGGTATAGAGATCGCAACGAGGATAATCAACATTCTCTTCGCTGCGATCAAATTGTTCTTTTGCACTTTGCAAGCAACGGTGTTTGTCCTTTTCTTTTCTTCTTTCTTAATTTCCTGTTTCTCTTTTCTCTACTTTGCAGAATCTAGTGCCTGTTACTTCTGCGGGTACTTTTTGCTATTCCGGTTGTTTACAACTAAGACGAAATCTATCCAAATGTAGGCATTTGATTGTGCCTACTATTGGAAGAGGAGCTCTTTTTGTCTTTCATAAAAAGATAAAATTGATCAGAAGAAATACAAAAGCTTGTTTATTCCCATCTTCAACACGGGAATCCCGAGCTGAATTTACTTGAATTTAGGCTTCCTTACTTGTAGGACGGTGGGTGGAAGTTGCCCACAGGTATACCCGAGCTAGGATTTCGCAGAGAAACTTGCACATGTGAGTATGGATGATCACTTATGGATGATATAAGGAAAGTGAAACAAGTAGCGAACGGAGTGGTTCTCTAAGCCAAACAGAGCCCGAGCAATTCAAATCCTTACCCCAGGAACAATGCACTGTGAACGAAAACCCCCAGTCATGTTATCGGAAACGACACTCAAATCGTGATATTACAAACCAACCAAGCATAATGACAGGAAAACGGAACCAGGAAGTGCATTAAAGCAGTCGATGCTTGGATACTAAAACGAAAAAAAGAAGCAAAGAACGACATAAAAGGAAGACAAGACAGCGTGTATATCGGATCATGTTATAAGGGCACGGGTAAGGGATTGGATTCCCCAGGCAAATGGTTTAGCAAACCACAGTATCCAGCTTCCAACAAGAAGGATGTATCCAGCAGCGCGACTGAGAACCAGACACCCGAATCCGAGAATAATCAGATAAACCGCAGCTTGAAGGAGTTCCACCAAGAAACGACTGATCGCCTGATCATTCCTGGCTTTGGGCCAGGTACCGGTATTTTGATAGACAGTCACCGTCTGGTATATGGTACTGAAAACATGGTAGCAATGACGAACCATGTTCAAGACGTTGACTATCATGAATTTGACGTAGGGACTGTCTGTCGTTTCAAGGCCAAATCTGTGCATATTGGTTATGGCCATGAGGACAATCTCGAAGATCAAAGAGAGAGCAACACTGTTGGAAGTTTCTTTGCAGGGTTCATCGTCCTTGTCGACGGTGTCGACGGGATCAAGTTCCCCCAGGTCATCGCGAACGTCTGTGATGTTGGCTTGGAGATTATCTTTGGACCCAGATACTTGTTGTCCATCCAATTCAGCGATTTCCACAACTTTCATAGCTCTTCGAGCTCGAGCTTGCTCCTTGAATCTTTCTAGTCTCTCTGCTCGAGCAAGCCGTTCAGCCTGAGAGAACTTATCGGAAGACGCTGGCTTCTCAGTTGTGCGCTTCTCTGGTGGTGGTGGCGGCGTAGGCTTCTTGGGCGGGGGTTGTGGTTCCACTGCAGGGGACTTCTCTCGAGGGGGAGGTTTCTCAAGAGATACTCTCGCAGTTCGTGTCTCTTTTTTGACAGGAGAAGGTTTGGTAGATGAAGGCGGGGACTCCTTCGCTGACCGGAAAGATCTGTCGGACCTTGAAGACTCAGAATTATCTCTGGATGGCGGAGAAATTTGCGAAACGGGAGAGCTCGAGTCTTTGCGGTTTACAAGAGAGCCGGAGCCGTTGCGAAAGGACTCAGCCCGGTTGCGTAATGATTCGGTTCCATTGCGCAGGATTGTGGCCAAACTCCCAGTGGGCGATCTAACGAGTCCTGTAGACCTTGCTAGACCGGAGGTACGGATGAACCCACGTATGGAATTGGTCGACTTTTCGGCTTTCTCTTTTGCCTTCTCTGGAGTTGACTTTCCTTTTTCCGGGGTGGCGGTCTCCTTGGACTTCTGGATGTTGTCTTTCGGCTCTTCCTCTTGTGTGGCTTTCTCTTTCGTCGTTTGTTTGCTTTTTGGAGAACTTCCCTTGGAAGATGTGAGTGACAGCACTCTTGATTTGGGCTGCGCGGGACCTGTCGCGGGTCGCAGCCCCAAAGGTGTAGAGATGACCTGAGCCTTTGCCCGAACGGCCTTCACTGCCTCTCCGGTCCCAGACTGACCAGTTCCACCAGGACGGCGAAGACCTTGAACTTTGAAAACAGAGACTTTTTTTTCTGCCTTTTCCTTTTTTTCTGGTGTCGCGGTGGGAATCATAGTACGCGTGATAGTGGGTGTGATAATGAACACATCGTCTTCGCTGCGTCCGTCTTCTAGCCTGCCTGGTAAGTTCTCCATGCTTGCTCTGGGACGTGAGTTCTCTTTGCTCGAGCCTTGGGAGTCCGGTGTTGTCACCTCCTGCTCCCGGCAGGTCGATTCTTGGCACATTGTCGCTGACGACGGCTTCAAGCATTGGGCATGCTTCGAATTCTGAGAAATTTGTGGCCATTCCTCTTGCACGATCAGGACCTCCTCCGACTTCCGGGTCGCCCGATAGGCTTTCTCCTTTAGCCTCTTCTTCGCTCCGACCGCAAGTGGTCGAGGGTGAAGTGTCGTCGAATCCTCTCCTGACGCAAAGAGAAGAATTTCGTCTGGGTTTCTCGTTTTGGGACCGTTGATCTCCTTGCATCCTAAAAAAGAACCGTCGGCAGTGTGTGACAGCCTTTTCTCTTTGGTTTTCGAGGGCGATTCTTCCCATATGGTGCTGATACGGTTTTTGCCAACTTCATCTGGGCTGTAATAGTGACCCTGTGCTTGAGAGCCAGGTACCTGCAAAGTTTGACTCGCGGACCGGTCGGTTTCTTGCTGTCTAGTCTGCTGTGGTTCTGATTCACGAATCTCGTTGATTTTGGATTGATCAGATACTCTTCGCTTCTCTCGGTGCGTTGATGAATCCCGTCTCTCATCACCAAAAGAACTTCTTGGACTTGGCCTGGTATTTGAATCGAGAATTCCACGTCCATAACGACGCTTTTTCTCAATACTTCGTTGGTACTCAGCAATCTGATCCTCAGTCATGGTAGGCGGATTGGGATCTTTGGCCGAAGGCATGTGGACCACAAATCGATCCTCCCAGTCACAGTCTGTCATTGAGTCATCTGCAGAAACTGGCGAGATGGACTGGTTGGAGTGTGGACTCGAATCAGAGGTCGTATCTGTCAAATCTGACTTGTCGCGGGAGTTGGGACTAATCCATTGAGCTCCCTCAACTCGCCACTTCTTCTGGGGCTCGGAGTCGCGAGCAAGATTATGTCGCACACTTGGTGTTATCTTAGCATTATTGGTATTCGGGCTTGGAATGGCAGTTTGAGATCGGCTCGCCGGTTTATCACCCGCTGAAGTTCTGGCGGGATATTTTTCGTGTTGCCAGGACTCCGCCGCTTCCTTAGATCGGGCCCTATCACTCTCCCTTGATCGGACATAAGAGGCTCGCTGTGAAAGAGGTGACTCCTTCTCGAATCGGTCACGTATCTTCCTCCAGTATGGATCTCGCTCCCCAGAGGGACCCGCAGATCCTCCAGATGAAAACCCAACAGAAGACAGTTTAGGAATTCCAGTCGGGCTGGGAGTTTGATTCCGCTGATCCCTAGCCCTGTCAGAGACTGATTTTGGAACTGGAAGCTTGGTCGTTTTGGCGTTTTGGAACATGATGTCGTCTGATAATCGGCGATCTTCTAGCTCCGTAGGTGGTACAAGATGACAATTGCGTGCTGGCGAGTTCGTGGACGCTTCAGATGCCGTATAATGAGCGCGGTATGCTTGATACTTGGTTTTACTTTGAGGTCGTGGGGAGAGATTCACGAGATGTCCGTCAGGCAGTTCGACGCAGCTTTCCACGTCCATTTTGTGATTGGAGATGTGACGATTAGTAGTGCCGACCCTTGAACCAGGATTGAAAAATTTCCTGGCCCATGCCGTGAAGGTACAGACTGGTTTGTTTCTGGTCTGGCAATGGCGGTTGCTGCAATTGAGGGCTATTGTTCGGAGGGTGAGGTTGGACGGGTGCGGTGGGTGTTCGTCGGGACAGTCCAAATGGCAAACGCAGAGAATGCGCGGGGTCATCGAGATGAATTGGATGCTCGGGTTGAGCGAGGATTAAACGCGTAAGAATAAGGTGGTCTGGCTGGGTGGAATGCGGGCTGCGATGAAGAATGTTGGCCCCGCGCTGGAATGTCTCGAGACACCCGCCTCCATTTGGTATGACGCCAGTCTTGCCAGTAGTCTGAGCGATACATCTTGAACTGGGATATTCTGGCATTGATGAAGAAGCTACGATGCGGATTCCATTTGGTGCTGATGAAAGAAAGCGCGACTCGCAAGGCAAGCGGCTCTTTCGTTGCGAGATAAGTATCCCAGACCCAGCAACGAGGAAAACGGCGAGGACCAGCATCGAGGAACTCATTAAATTGATACTAGAGAGGCTGGGAGAAGATCCAATCATGCCACATTCTTTGGTGCGGTGAGGTGCGAGAAAAGCCAAGAAAGACGTCAGAACTGATGATGTATCCAAACGTGCCGTATCAAGACATGCACTGAAGCTTATCCCTATTAAGCGCAACCTGGGGTCGACCCTTGTAAAAATGAGTTCATGATACAAGTCCTAGTGGCACCATATTTCACGTGGACTTGAATAGTGGGTTGTTAGTCGTGACTCGTATCTGTATGTGAGTGCCAGTGGTTAACTCCTCCTCTATGTGAGTACCTATAACAGTATCTAGAGGATACAAAGAGGCTTGCCTAAGGGAGTAGGCTAAGTATAATGTATAACCTTGGAAGTTGCACATGTGGATAAGAAAGAATAATAGAATATCCATTGAAGGATCGGCTAACTGTCGCCTGAAGAGATTAACTGGATTAATACTGGGCGGCCAAAAACCTCCACTACCGAGTAGGGAAGGGGGTCTAGTGTAGAGGAAGAAGGAAAGAGAAAAGAATGAAAAAAAAAATTGAAAATTCATAAGATCATTCTAAAACCGACCAGTTTCCCGACGATTTTGAAGACTACCTGCCCTATGAACTCCCATTCCTGGCGCTGGACTCATAGGGCCTGCAAGACTGCTCCTTTTGAGCGGACTAGGTTTTGAAGGGCTTGCTGCCCGTGGTGTGTAGACGAAATCACCATTATTCTGAACTCGCCGTTCAGCGAATGTAGTTGATGCCGACTTCCTCAACGGAGAGTTGGCATGTGTATACACGCCTAGGCTCCCTCCATCGCCTGTACTTGTAGAAGCTGGTCGGAATTGCGGTTGACGCATGGATGTACCAGCTGTGCGCACCAGAGGGGAACCATCACGGGATATCACAGGTGTGCGCAACGAGGGCTGGGCTTGGAAGATGGATGTTGCGCTGGGAGTACCGGCTGCAGTGGGGCGTCTTGGAGATAATCCCTCGGGATCAACGTGGTTCACATAGTTAGGGTTCGGGCTGGTTTGGAAACCCCGGTTGATGATGAATGTTGGTGTATAGACCTCAACCTTGTTCTGGCCATCAGCGGCGGAGGGGCCGGGACTTGTCTCCGAGAACTGTGTGCCCACGTCTCTCATCAAAGGTCGAGTTCTAGGGTGCACGAATTTCGTATCGTACTCCTTGAGCACTTCTTTGTGCACTAAGGCAGAGTCTTTTGCTTGTTGTGTGTAGGAAGTCGACATTAAGGACATTTGGGCCGAGAGCAGGATCGTGAGAAAGATCGTTGTGACAATTGTGACGCTAGGTCGGGGATCGGAAATGTGTGTTGGCAGGAAGAGCCAGTAGATGAGGACATGACCCGGGCTAAACAAACATAAGAGGCGAATGCTCATGGGTAACGGATCCCAAATTGCAACCTCCCATACATCCCGTTCTGCATCCGGATGAGCACGCGACTCAGCTGACTCAGTTGATAAAGCTCTCGCAAGGTATCGGAGAGGGAAGAGGCAATAGGACTCGAGTCCACTCGCACACGGTGCGCAGACGGAGTCGCAATAGTCTTGTCGATTGGCGCTTCGAACATGCGATAGTGCTTCTTGCGACAAAATGTGTGGACTGCATTTCCGACAGAGAAAACAAGAAGCATATGAGTGATCATAGTCGCCTATAAAAGCAAGAAAAGAGGTTAGCACCACATTCAGAATAGATATTTGCATTCAAATGGAAGCAAAAGGGTAATGTACAAGCCAACTGAGCCAGGGCACGCCCTCATCTTCACCAAACACATCGTCAATAGCTCTACTAACACTTGAGCGGCTGTTCGCGCGTGTGACAAGGAATAATAAGTTCAGTAGAATTCCAATAGTGAGCCCCCAATCCTTTTCCATCTGATCCCAATCATGTCCATCGATTTCTTCGGATACCCAAAGTAGGAAGTCCCACGGATTCAAGTAGGATTGGATGCGCTCGGCGAGCGGACGGCGTCGCACGATACGGGGCATGGTGTTGGAGGATTATGATATGATTTGTGACACAAAGGCTGGTCCTCAGCAGCTTCGGTCTGGGTCAAATTAGAAGAACAAAGGCATGTAAAGCAAAACAAAGCAGGTGAAGCGGAACCATCCACGTTCAAGTCAACAATAAACAAAATTGCATCAGCTTAGTCATTAGACCTCCGCTCTCCGCGATAACCACGATTGCTTGAATAGTGGACAACGTCAACTCTTGATTCGATCACTGACTCGATACCCAGCGAGTTCTTTACCGGCTGGCCATTTTCTGGTATTCTACTCGTCTGTCCCTCTCAATTCAGTCAACATGGCGGCGTCGGCCGCGACATACAAGGTAAAATGACCACTTGTATCCTGCGACCAAGGCCCCTCCGATAGTGTTATTAACACCTCGATAACAGGATCGCCAACTCCTAGCTGTGATTGGCGATGAAGAGTATGATCAGTCTTCCCAGCTTTCTGCTACTATTCTTGTTCTAGTCAAGCTAACAGATTCCCCATATAGCTCAGTGACAGGTCTCCTTCTAGCGGGTATCGGAGTATGTAGCTCTAAGATCCAGCTGGATCCGAACATTTTCCCCTATCGCAATTGAACTACGAGTATTCTAACCACAATTCTTGGTACCTTATAGCATGTTACCGACCCACCGGATGCGCAGCGCAATTTCCTCGTCGTCGACGCTAAGACCGAAACATCGGAGATTGAGCGAGCATTCCAGACGTTCACACAGGAGAGAAAGGATATTGCCATTATTTTAATCAATCAACACGTTCGTATTATTCCACATTTTAGGCTCATGAAATCCTTTCTGACTATCTCCAAAGGTTGCCGAGCGTATTCGCAATAGCGTTGACAGCTTCACCGAGCCTTTCCCCGCCGTTCTCGAAATTCCTAGCAAAGATCACCCTTACGACCCGGAGAAGGACAGTGTGCTCAAGCGTGTCCGCCGACTCTTTGGCGAGTAAATTGGTCCGAATTGGTTTATTGTTGATCGTCGTTTGCTCAGGCGTTTTATTACGTCGCATGTTTACATATTCTATGATTCCGTTGAAATGTTCCGGTGGTATCTCCCACCATCTTGGGAATTTTGTTTTCCTGGCTGGCCAACCTGTTCCAAGTGCTTCATCTGGTGGAGTGATAAGAAGCTTTAGAGGGAAGATACCCAAAATGTCTGAAATATGCATATACAACCTCAATATATCCGCTTTCCAAGGTTGGAATCCCTTTACCATCATTTACAATTGGACAGTTGGCATCTATAAGCCTAGCTTAAGAATAAGACGAGGTTGAAGCCAATCATTGAGGTAATAAAAAAACGATTGCCCAAAGACGATATAATTGATGATGAATGCTGAGAGGTATATTAGTGACCATGGCGACAGCGAGGCTCCGGTCAAAGTACATATTGACAACACAGATGCAAAGCAATGAGTCGAAAAGGAGGTATTTCGGATCAGCAATCCCTGAACAGGCAAAGGCTTGAAGGAAACAAGAGCATCAAAGGAAAAATGAGAGTAGGTCATGACGGGACGTAGGGAAAGGCGTTGCTGGCATGGAAAAGTCAAGCAGTGGAAGTAACAATGACAGTGTTCAGATTATGGAAAATCACCTCATCCATGTGGACACGGCAACGATGCAGATGAAGCAGGCTAGAACGCTGACGGACTAGAACTTTGGCACATTGAACTCGATATTGTTGCCCCGTAGGCAGGTGACTTGTTCGTCATCCTTGGTATAAACATCGGCCAGGACGGAGTATTTACCCTAATTATAGTGTCAGTTTTCGCATCATTCAAGATTCAGAACTAATTCTTACTGGAGGAATTTGCTTCGGCAAGTCAACCTCCTTAGTCAAAACCATCTCGCCCTTCTCCAGAGGACACTTCATATCCACATTTGCAAGCTGGTCACAGAGATCGGCAGTCTGTTTGATCAAGGTAATGAAGCCATATTTGACCTCCAAGTTCACGTAAGCGCCCTTGACAATTTTCTCTCCAAATGTACCCTTGGCGGTGATCGTCAATTTCTGGCCACTTTTGAATAACATTCATTAGTCCACACTCATCCAGGAGAATATTAGTGATACCGGGTCAGACATACGGCAACGGGGGGTTAGGCACTAGATCGACATGATCAATCGAGAGGAGGTAGTTGGATGGGTCGTTGCAGTAGACCAGCGGGTTGTCTCCCTCGACTGGCACCGCGTCAGCAGTGTTTCCTCCAAGTAAAGCCTGGGAGGGATCGAATAGGCTCGGTAACGAAGCGGCAGAGCAGAGAAGAGGAGTAGCGGCGAGCAGAGTGGCGGCCGATAAGAACTTCATGATTGCGACGGCGACGCTTCGAGTTGCAAGAGACGGGACTGGGTATTTTCAGGGTTGAATGTTTGCGAAGAGGATTCAAACGTTATGTGGGTTTTCAGATCCTCAGAACAAAGCTGATTAGGATCTAAACAAGTTCGAGAAGAGGACGAAGCAAAGACGTTGAATGTACAAGGGCTGGTGTCATTTGCCCAGATGACGAGGCACACGTGATTGGGGTCAACCCGCTTTGGGAATAGATCGTCTCATCTTCTCCTCACTTGATCCCGTGATCTTTTGTTCCTGCAGCTTTATCAAGCTCTTCCTTGTTGATACATATAGCTCTGACTTATTTCATTATTCCAATTTTGCACCTCATTTTATCTACTGTATGAACCCCTTGAGATGCACACTTCATCGTTCATCATCTGCGTTGAAAATTCCCCAGGCTAAGACTTGATCCACTGGGCCCACTTGCTTATCGGTGATCCTGATAAGTTGGTCAAGATAAACGTCCACTGGCATCAACTTGAACTTCATGTTGAACTTGAATGGTGACTCGGACCTCAGGCTTGAGTGAGCACTGTTCATCGGGGCTTAGTACATGGGACTCGAGCTGAATCTCAGGATACTAGTCATCATGCTTATTTTGGTCAGGCTTACATCCATTAGGTCTAGTTCCTGCAGTAACGATATCCTATGGACTCGAAGAAGATGCTACCTTTGGAAGCCCGACCCGTATTTGGTTAAATACCATTCACAGAACCGTCACAAATTCTCCCTTATATTTCTGAAAAAATCTTTCTCAGCATCGAATCTGCCCTGCTGGCCTAGTGGTTTAGCGGCAGGCGACCCTCCAGGGGACAAATGTATCGACCGGGATTGTTGGGTCCCTTTCGGTGGCAGATTCAGCACCAAAGGGTGGATGGGAATTCTAGCTTCGGCTAGGGATAATGATTTTTTTTTTAAAAAAAAAAATTGATATCTTTACTCATAATAGTCCCAGTCTCGCCCTTTCTACCAAAACTTTCAGATCCTCAGAATACTCAAAATTGAGGGAGATGGAAGGGATTATGTGACTGTCAACACACTACGTCAGTCAGTTAGCCATGTGGTACCTGATTTTGAAAGTCTTGAGTTCGATTCCAGCTCTTGCTTGATTTCTTTTTTTTCTCCTTTTCCTTTTGTCTACTTCACCTGGGTAGTGGTTACCTTCTAATATTACTCGTGACTTATTTGCATATTCCATGACTCCAACTTGCAGTTTTGATTCTTGAAGTTGTTTACCATGCTGAATACTAATTTTTGGACTTACTACTCCAAGGAGTAGTGCAATATGAGACGTTCAAGTCTGATGAAGCTTCACTTGATTTTCCCATGGTCATTTCTGATATCCTTAACATTATCTGAAAGTGCTTACCTTTCTGAGAAATATTTGACACCCCAAGATCGAATCAATCAGGCCTTGAACAAATCCTCTTTAATTAAGTCTGCAGCGCGCTCTGCGATAGCGTGAACGGCACTTTGAGTATTGCCAGTTGGTATAATCGGGATCACACTTGCGTCGACTACACGCAGCGATCTCGTACCCCAGACTCGCAGCCGAGCATCTACCACTCCACCTTTCTCGCGGCGCATCATAGCACATGTGCCAGTCGGGTGAAAGGTACTCTTGCCTGCAGCCTGGACATACTCTTTGACCTCATCCAAAGATACAGCCCACAAATCAGCTGGAGCACCTGGACTCCGTTTTCCACCTGGCTTCAGCATGGACGCAAATGGCTCGGATGCAGCGATTGAGTCAACAAAGCGAGTGTGGCGAGCAAGCATCTCCAGATCAGCTGGATGAGACAAATAACGGGGGTCAATAACTGGTGGATCCTCAGCTTTGGCAGAGGTGATATGAGAGCTACCACGAGATAACGGGTGCAGAATGCTGACGCAAATTGTAATGTAGTTCTCAGGCAGCTTCGCATTAATACGTGAAGAGTCGCTACCCGATCCTTTGAAATAGGCTTGAGCGGGATATGTGAAGTAACCGCCTGTAGCCTCCTCTTTTATTTTCGAGCACAGATTGAACATACTTGGTCAATTCATTGTCGAACCCGTCTGATGAGCTTGATGCCATGCTGGATAAAACCGAAGCAAGCTCGCGGGCTCCAGTCTCGGAGTCTGCAAAGTCGGCAAGTGGCAGCAAGGCAGAGGAGTAATTTCCTCCAACAGTGAATGCGCCAAATTGCTTGTTCTGGTATTCTGCCATGGCGGCGCCAATAACCTCTGGTACACCGCGCATCATATCGTCCTTGGTGTTGAGAAAGTCCTGAGCTTCAAAACTCACACCAGCCAATGGGTGATCTTGAAGGTTTTCACCAACATTGGAATTCTCAACTAGCACAGGGATATCGAATTTGTTGAGAATCTCCGATGAGCCAATTCCAGAAAGTTCAAGGAGTTGGGGTGAGTTGGAAACGCCTGCTGCGACAATGACTTCCTGGCGAGCCTTGGCAGTAACCAACTCGCCATTTAGTGCATATTGCACTCCGGTGGCAGCGAGCTCTCCCGAGGTTGCAGTACAACCTTGTGAACTTGCGCCCCGGTAATGAGGTGCAGATTTGGCCGATCCTTTGCAGGAAGGTAATAGGCGTTCAAGGAATAGCTTCGCGTTTTGCTAATCGGATCAATTGTTGCGCCGTTTATATAACTACCACAAACCTGGCCTGAAAATGGATCATGCTTCATGGCGTACCCCATCCCTTTCAATGACTCTATCCAGGCATTTGCGACGAGGTCAATAAGCGCGTCAGGGAATTACACCTTGAGTGGTCCATTTGCTGCATGGATTTGAGGATCCACATATCCAAGACTCAGCTCTTCACATTTCTCGTCAGATGGAAGGGTAAGGGTATAGGTCTTCTGGTAGTAAGGATTCACAGTTTCCCAATCCCAGCCGGGATTACCAAGTGCACCCCATGCATCGACATTGCTCTTGGAGTTGGCGATCCATGCCAGGCCATTCATCGCACTAGTGCCACCGAGGAGGCGGCCCTGGGGGATCGGTATCTGTTTACCATTCAGGGCGACCTGAGATAACACATCAGTCCTGGAGTGACAGACTCAACGATACGTGAATAAGTAGGAGTTATTACCTGAGGCTCTGTCATGAAATTTCAGCTAGAGTCGGTGGCCACTAATGCAGACCAGAGAGCTGGTGTACGTAGGGGTCTTGTCCCTGGTCTTGTCCAGCTTCCAGCACGAGTACTTGCAGGTCAGGATTCTCCGAGAGACGTCCCGCTAGGACAAGGCCCGCAGTGCCTCCGCCTACAATGATGATATCAGCTTCATAAGTCATAGCTTTCATTTCAAATGTAAAGATATGGATGTGAACAGCTTGTATTGATTGCGTGAGTTATAAGAGACAGGGGGTGCTGGAATCCGAAGAGAGGTTAAAATGCTCGATGTCTCACATGTGCACGTAATCGCTGTGCCTATTTAGATCCTCTTTGTGTTTCAATAGGAGCATTTTGAATGATCCAACATGAAAATGGGGCCGACCCCGGGGCAGACGGCTAGGAGTCAGAGAGCCTGGTGGAGATGGCCCCAGCGGATATGGGGATGAAATAATGAAGTTTTGTCTCTACTCTCAGTACCATGTATTCCATGATTGAAAAGTAAGCATGCGTACGCTGATTTGATTTGACTATCGATCCATAAGTCGACTCGTAAATGAATACTAGTTTTTTTTCCCTGCTCAAGTTAGTTGAAAAGGTCTGACACCACCAGATGCATATAAATTGAAGCCGACATCAATGACGTTCAAGTTCAAATTGGCTAAAGAGACATCTGGACAGAGAAAGGATCATCATCATCCATGCATGATGACCCACCTCTCCTCCCAAATGTACACAGGCCTTACGTATCTGGATTTGGGGGCTGAAATTTGTCAGATTAATATGATGCTGGTCAGAGCAAATTCTCAGCTGCACTTTCGCTCTTACTTCCTTTCCGGAAACCCCTACCAGCAAACCCATTTGCATGTGACTGAGACAGGATTAGCAAACGATGTTGTGGCTATGTGGTTTTGAAGATTGCAACAAAGCCTCCGGCTGACTCTTTGCTGATGGTCATGGCAGATATTGGCACGGTGCTGAAATCCTCCTTGGAGGAAGAATACGCCAGCGAAAGGAAATCAACGGATGGTGAAATCTATCGGACGATTCGACAATAAGAAGGTCAGTACGATGAAAGCTTCAGAGAGCAATGGTTCGTTCGCCTATCGCGTAGCAACCAAGAGCGTTTGGACCAGTTGGATAACAAAAGAAATCGTCGTATTCGAGGCGCTTTCAAAAAATTACTTACAATTCCAGACCTCTGGCCGGGTGATATAAGGATCAGTGTCCTCCACAGACTGATACCCTCATCCTTCGGGGCGGCTAAGGAACGGTCGTCTCCGGGTTCCACTGAGATTCAGCTCTGGTCACTTCAACGAGGAGAGTGAAGACGGTTAGACCGTCTTCAAGTCGATACATCTAATCCATCGCTCCTGGCACGAGTGGCGCACAAGTATTTATAGAAAGACCATTCATTGTACGATCGGAACCTGCACAGCGGCCAAATCAATGCTTCCGTGCAGCGACTGCCGACGGCAGTAATGCGTTATTCGTAGTTCACAAGAACAAGAAGAAGAAGTTTGCAGAAGAGGATCGTGTAGTCAAAGAGAAGGAACTTCTATCGATGGCATCTCGAGTCTGAGACCGAGTTGAAGATGGAAGGGAGCCTAGGCGATAATGAGAGAACCATTTCAGAACAACTATAGACCTATGTTACTTGGAACAAGAGCGTATTACAGCCAAGTTGTACGGCGCTCCGAAGGAAACCTATCTAATAGAACTAGTCATGGAATAGAATATAGATCTTGTGTATGCAATAGTGCTATGTAGAAAATCCTGGAGAGTGTTCGATGGGAAAACGTTAACAAAACAACAGTCCCAGTAACTGTTTCAACAGCGGGGTTACCTTAAAATACCAGAAACAAAAGATTTCTTTCGAGAAGGGTCGTCTCATGGGAGAATCCTCTTGAGAGGAAATCAGTCACATTACGGCGTAGCGTACTACGGCCTACTGAGGAGCGCACGCAACACAGAAGTATCGACGTCATAATATGAGCTGACTTCTGGTCTTATTAACATAGTCCACTTGTTCTACATTTCACCCGGCCTTGAGATAGTCCAGGGACCTCACTGAGCTTAGAGTCCTCACTGCAAGTCCCTGATATCGACTAAGAGAGAGGCTTTCATTGGTCAAGTCTAGGTAACAGCCCTGGAGCCCTGGAGGCTTGTGTGGCTTAGTCCCCATAGCCTAGCAAATAAAGTGTTTAACACAGCCCCAGAAGACGGAGTACGCCACGTCGAATCTCGCGCTCCCCAGCTGCCTAATGGCGCGCTTGTGCGGCCCAGTGCGGGGCTTAACACCCGTGGACCTCAGCCTCCCAGACACTGTATCGATCAGGGCTTTGACTTTCCCGTTGACTATTCCCAAAGTCGACTGTAACGATCCTAAGCTTTTACAACATCATTTTGAAATAAAGCGATGTCTTCCAAAGGGTCGAAATTACATTCCTTGTTCCGCCGTGACGGAAAGGACAAGGGCAAAGGCAAACAACCCGACAGCCTCGCAACTCAGGGTTCCCGTGCGGGCCGTTCCAGCGGTACGACATCTCGAACCATGGACTCGCAAATCTGCCACCTAACCTTGACGACTAATATGTTTTAGTTGATAACAAAGTATCGACAGCACCTGTAGGCGATACTGGGACTGCTTCAGTGTCCTCCACCCAGAAAACCCCCAAACATGTTTCTCGGGTCCAGGTGCCGCAGGAGCCTCCGAACAATCAAGCTGACGAACAATCGAGTCAGCTGAAGCCATATTCCGAGAACTATCTCATGTGGGATGAAGCCCTCAAGTCCTTGGGAGAGGAGGAAAGATGCACTGTTAATACTTTGCTGAAAGATTGGGATAGCGACCATCCCAAAAGGGAAGATTTGGTACACGAGGTCCAAAAGACAATGGATGGGGCATTGAAAAACAAACACCATGACAGAACAACATCTATTGGCAAATTGCTGTCGGTATTGGACAAGTTTCTTTCCGCCGTAGATGTTGCTGTTAGCTTTGACCCTACTCATGCTGCTCTGTCATGGGCTGCTGTTCGCTGTGTCATTGTGGTAAGCATATTGCTTCGAGTTTGTTGTATTTCCACGATACGGAACTCAAATTAACTACTCAGTTGTGCAACAAAGCTAAATGGAATAGATTTTTACCGCACATAATCAGCTAAAAGGAGTTGTTCTCGCTGGAATGGCGGAGGTCACTTCACTCCTTGCTCGATGTGACATGTACCAGCTATTATACATGGCCCCGAAACTCACTCTCCGCCCGCCCGAACACGTCTTGGCCAAACTAAATACATGCATTGTCCAAACTTATGCTGGATTGAAGTCATCCTTTGCTTTCGTTGAACGCCAGCAGAGTAGTTTGAAGATAGGTGATGTTTTCAAGCTCGAAGATGCGCGAGCTCATATCGATAAGCTCGCCGGAAGTCAGAAGCAGTTACTGCAAGCTGCAGACGACTGTGAGAAACATTGTCATCGGTCAAATCGATCTGACCTGAAGAAGCTTCTTGGCCTCTCATCGGAGATCCCAATCATTCGGCAGCAGGTGTAAGTAGCCAAAGCACTTCCAGGGGAGCCAATACTGATCACGCCCGAAGGGATCTGGTTTTGGAACGAATCGACGCCAGAGACGAGCTCAAGCTTCTAAAATGGATTTCGCCTATACCATATGGAACCCATCACTGTGTTATTGTGGAATCTCGCACTCCCGACACGTGTGAGTGGTTGCTAGAGAACCAAAAGTTTTGCGAATGGATGGACTACGGGTCATCGGCAATTCTGTGGCTCCAAGGCTCGAGTACGCTCCCAATTGTGGTGATTTTACATTTCCGGGACACTAACTTTCTTAGTGGGAGCCGGGAAAACATATCTCACCTCGAAAGTTATCGACCATGTTCAGAGTCTGCTTGAAAGCGCATCGGATCATGCGGGCTTTGCGTTCTTCTATTGCAATCGAAATGAAGAGAATCGAAGAGATCCCCCTCTGCGTCCTTCAAAGCTATGTTCGTCAACTCTCAACCGCTGTTGGAAGTACTCAACATATACGGAAAAAACTCAAGATCGTCAGCGATCAAGCAGAACGCCAAGGATCTCACTTGGGCTTCGAGAACTGCATAACCCAATTGAAAGAATCAATAAATGAGTACTCTGAGACCTTCATCATTCTCGATGCCCTGGATGAATGTGATCAAGACTCGCGCTGGCGGCTCATCCATGTGATAAAGGACTTGGTATCCAAATCCGATCGGCCGCTCAAGGTCTTCATCTCAAGTCGACCATACGACGACGATATCAAAATGCAGATCTCTGGCAACAACGTTAAGCTCAAGGCGATAAAGAATCAAGGTGACATTGAGAAATTTGTCAATGCCGAAGTAGACAAGCCTAGGAGATGGGGCCCAATACCCGCAGACCTGTGGATCAAGATCGTCCAGGTCCTTTGTGAAGACAGCCAGGGAATGTAAGTATGCCTTAGCTGGGATATTTGCAAATTTCAGCTCACAAATGCAGGTTCCAGTGGGCGTACTTACAGATCAAACAGCTGCTTGAATTGTCGACCCGAGCAGACATTGAGATCAGGCTTGGCAAACTTCCCGAAACACTCGAAGCAGCATACGAGGAAATATACGGAGAAATCGCGAAGTCTCCGCGTAGAAAGACCCTCGTGGATCGCGCGTGCAAGTGGGTCATGAGTGCCTGCACATCTCTCAGCAGCGATGAGCTTTTGTCCGCAGTTCACATTGATACTGACGAATCTTCTATCAACTCTGATTAGATATTATACTCATGGACCTTGATGTGGGTGATTAATTACATTGGGGGCAGCGACCTCGGGAGATGTGTACGGAGGTGTATAAGCGAAGCCTAATCAAGCGAAGGGTGTCCTTTTAGCATTCTTGGGGTGTCCAACTAGCAGCGCTCGTTATTTCAGATCTCACCACCGCTGCATCAGTGCGCCACATCCACTAAGAACATCACGATTCAATACTCGAGCGTTTCCCCTTTCTTCCATCCAGCTCATTTTCTACAAACTTGGTCATTGTTCAATATGACTTACCAGAAGCGAAAATATGGCTCCACAGAAAAAAATGAAATATTTGAGAACTTACGATATTTTCCCCACACTACTACATGATCAGTGTTGAATCGCAATATTTTCCAGCTTCACTCACCGGAAGCTCCGTCCGTGAAGCCGTTCGTGTTCCGGCTATATCATATTCCTGATGATCGGCGGATGGCTTTTTTGGTTCCTTTGTGCCCTACAAGATTTTGCGGCCTTTTTTTTCCAGATCGAGTTAAATCGTGGAGGTGTGGGAGGAGGCTAGCGCCCACGTCCGGGGCTTGAAGCCTCTTCTGAATCCCCAGACGGGTCCGTCCCCACATTTTGCTATGACCAAGGCGGGGAAACTGGTAACTTTGACTCTCTGAGTCGTATGGCAAGGTTGCCCGTGGGAGAAGTTATGCCGAGTCCTCCTTTTATTGGATGGAATGAACAAACAACCATTCTAATCCGAAGGCGTTGACTTCGGGAATACGATAAAAAGGTAGATTCAAGGTTCCGAATACTCTGCATACGCAATTACCTGGACACTTGCATCCTGAGTTTTCGGATTGTCCGATGATGCCAGTGGATATAAAATGGATACCATTCGCCTTCAAGCTGTTTCTTGCCTGTCCATGACCTTTCACTGAGATTTACTATTCATGAAATAGTCATCGCCTCAACTATCGATATGAGGATCTCGAGGTTTTGTCTTCTGGGGCTTATTCCCCTAGTATCGGGTGCTGAAGCTCCTTACTATGCCAATCTGACATGGCAAGGCCCTCGGGATCTGTTAAACTGGTCGAATCTCACGGTTGAAACCCAATCCGGGACATTCATTGGAATGTATAATGATACCTACCCCAATGTTCGACAGTTTCTCAGAGTCCCTTATGCCAAGGTCAGTATTACTAGATCGAACTAAATTTTTTCCTTTAGCTAACATTGTTTTAAACTCAGCCCCCAGTCGGTGATCTTCGTTGGAGGCCTCCTCAGAAGCCCGAAAAATCAAGCAAGAAGATTGATTCAACATTTTATGGTCCAGGTAGGAAATAGCGCGATGGCACCCTCGACTCAGATTCCTTTGGTCAACCGCTCACATTTTCTCAGCTTGTCCACAATATGTCACCGCACCTTTGAGCATATGGAACGAATATGAGCCACCAAACCTTCTCGTCAATATTGGCGAAAGACTTAACCAGGGTTCGACTGCCTGGGCCTCTGCTGAAGATTGTTTGTCACTGGCCGTATGGACTCCCGCATATGCCAACCGGACTTCTAAGCTCCCAGTATCGTTGTTCGTGACTGGCGGTGGTGGTATCACTGGAGGTATTGAGATCCCCTCTCAGCTTCCCACAAACTGGGTCTCCCGAACTCAGGAACATATCGCAATCACTATCAACTATCGATCCAATATCTTTGGAAGTAAGGCTCTCTTTTCAACTTTCAACTTTCCGGTACGCATATTAACAAATTTCTAGATCCTAAGGCAAAGGGACTCCCAACTAACGAAACATCACTCACTCTCCTTGATGTTCGGGCTGCAGTTGAGTATGCATATGAGAATATTGAGGCGTTTGGTGGTGATAAGGATAACATCATGGTAAGGGGCTCCCAATATGAATGTCGAAATTAGGTCTCTAATATTGAAAATAGCTCTGGGGACAATCCCAAGGTGGAATTCTCACTCATCTTTATACACTTGCTTTCCCCGATGACCCTATCGCTGCCAAGTTTGGTGTTATCTCGCAAGGAGCTTCGCCCTCACTCAACCTCACCACAGCTGGTGATGTCTACCAGGACTTTCACGTTGTTGCACAGGGTCTTGGATGCGACTATGGTGATGATTATGAAGCTGAACTCGAATGTATGCGTCAGGTCTCGTGGGTCCAAATTGAAGAATACATCAATCGTTACAACAGCACCCCACCAATCGCCTTCACGGACTATCTTCGTAAGTGGCATTTATCACTTTGAGCATGATCACTACTGACAATCTGCAGCCGATGAGACATATATCTGGAACAATGAAGATGCCCGATATGCTCTAGGAAAGGTCGCTCGTGGCCCCTCAATTCGATCAGATGTATCTCGAGAATTTCCAAGCTCAAATGAGACAGAGGTCAACCTAGAGGAAGAAGTGGCCGACTGTTTGGCCCTTAAGGATTCAATCCTGCGACAATCGCTCGGTCTTGAAACCCACCGCTACTACTGGGCTGGTATGTGTTTATATTCTATTCAAAGATAAGCAGATCTAACTTCGAATATTCTTATAGGAAACTTCTCCAACATCAGTCCAGTTCCTTACCTGGGCGCTTTCCACTGGACGGATCTTTTCATGATCTTTGGCACTTACATGCTGGACGTTGGTGAAATCTCCCAGCTCGAGATTGATACCTCCGAGACTATGCAGGATATTTTCCTGTCATTCCTCAAGAATTCCTCGTCTCTCAGCACCACTGAACATTGGCCTGCCTTCAACGCAAGTGAACCTAATGGAGGTACCATTCTGGAATTCGGAAATGGCACAACGAGACGATTTGTTTCTGGAGATTGGCTTGATGGTGGTTGTTACAATTCTTCCGTTCCATTCCAGATTTTCGGATAGACGAGCGCATTGACAGTGATCTAACATGCGACACCACAATCTTTGCAAATAAGAATAGGTTCGCATCAAGTATAGACAAAGTCCACAAATATGCACTCCATTCAACCCAAACTTGAAAATGTAAAAAATATTAGCGATATGAATGCTGTAATAAGGTCCCATGATTCCATCACTAAAAGGAGGCGTAGAGGCGGACCCTCTTAACCCTGAAAATTGAGTGGGTCTGACTCCGTTTGAGCCAAAAAAACAAGCCACACACTAACCTACACAGGAATGGATTTTCTGAAACCTCCAGAACTGTACCGCGGTCTCTCTCCGCGATTTCAACACTAGTCTCACTTGACGATCAATCGTGAAAAAAAAACTATGGCAAATTTTAAGCCCCTGCTGAGAATTCATTTCTCTTCTCCTCGCCAGGTCTACTTGGCATGGTGTGCCTGTTAAATCCATTTGTCATTAAACCCATACAAGAATGGCTCAGTCAAAGGAAGGATACCGACTTTCATATGTCCCACTCAATGATGAGCCCGAAAGCTCAGGCAGGGCCAAAGTGAGACCTTTATCTTCGGCAGAGCAGGTGTTTCTCCAATCCCAGGCGCATGGATTCTGGGGTGCTAGCTGGACCTGGGAGATTCTGAGTTGTCTCACATCGATTGTCTTTTTTATCGCTCTTATTCTGGTGCTTTGGCAATATGATGGAAAGCCAATGCCTGATTGGCCTTATGGCATCACTCTCAACGCGCTGGTGTCCGTTCTCAGTACAGTGATGAAAGCAACCATGGCATTTATTGTTGCTGAGAGTCTAGCTCAACTGAAATGGTCGTGGTTCAGCGGCGGGAATAAGCTAAGTGACCTCGCTATGCTTGATGCTGGTAGTCGTGGGGCTATGGGTTCTCTTCTTGTTCTACTGAGAACAACCCCTCGGTAAGTCTTGGATATACCCGCCTACCTGGACACTAATTCCGAAACTAATTCCATCTCAGACACCTGGTCACTCTTGGAAGTTTGGTACTAGTCGTCGCAACTGCCACAGATCCATTTGTTCAGCAGGTGATGGCTATAAAAGAACGACCCATACATGCCCCTGGAAATGCCTCGATCCAGGTTTGCAATACTAGCATGTATACGGACTATGGCGAAGGTCCAGGACCAGGATTGAACCAGGTTCTACTACCAACTCTGGGGGCTATTTACTCTGGAATTTTCCAGACACAGAATTCCAATGCCAAAAATGTCATGATGGACTGCCCAAGCGGCAACTGTACCTTTTCACGATATCAATCCATGGGATTTTGCAGCCGATGCGCCAATATTACGGATGCACTTGTCCTTTCGAAATCCGCGATTGTCCCCAGTGAGCCAACTTACCATTACAAATTACCAAATGGATTCATGTTCTCAACTTCTATCAACAACATATACTTGATGAACTCAACATCGAGTCGGAATCTTATCCGGTTAAACACAACCGGATCGACTCCTATAGTGAATTTCACTGCAATCAGTGCCGCAGGATACGGGGTTCCGCCTCAAGTCAGCGCCACGGAATGTGCCCTCTTCTTTTGTGTTGACACTTACGAGGCGGGTGTAGAAGGGGGTACATTTTCCGAAACCCGGACCTCATTCTCTACAGCAGAAAACACTTCCTCTGTTGTTGAAGACTTTTCCCTGATCCCAGATACCTGTTATGTGAATGGAACGCGCGTGGAGAAACCATACAATGACACAGACGATTGCATTTACAACGTCAATTGGTTAAGTAGATTGTCTATGTACAACTCGATTTCCCCACTTCTCAAGGGGAAAGGGTCTCTAGGCATGTCCAACCGACCAAGCTGGAGTTCTAATACTGTGGAAGCTCTTTATGGCACATATGGAAACTTTACAGACATCAACTCGGTTTTTCTGTCACTAGCCTCCACACTCACTATCAATTCCCGCTCTCAAGTCTGCCAGGAAAAGGTCAGTGGGATTCCGTGGACTATCCAGTCATTTGTCCATGTCAGATGGAAATGGATGATTCTTCCGGGGCTACTTGTTGTGCTGAGCATGATCTTCTTGGGGATCACGGTTGTGCATACCAGAAATCAGTATATTTGGAAGTCTTCTCCTTTGGCTCTTCTTTTCTCCAATCTACTGATTGATGAGCCTCTTGAATTGAAATCCAATCCAACTCTTAAAGGCATGGAGAATACTTCAAGGAAGATGGAAGTTCTGCTGGAAACTACGAATGAAGGTGTCCGGTTGAAAGCAGTTCCTCGATCTTGACATAATTTTTGATTATTGTTCAAACATAGTATACTACTACTCATAATTATCTGAAACTTCAAAATTAATGATCTACCGCTATTTACTTCTGGTATCCAGCACAGGCATGTTTCAAAGTGACCATCAACTTCTGTCGTCATAACTAGTGGTCCAGACATGATGCATGTTCCTATTTCCACGCCTTGGAGAGATGGAGCTTCGAGTTGCTGCCTTTCGTCAGAAAAAAGTGCAATTCAAGTGAATTATTTTCTTCTATGTACGAAATTGGATTTCTGCCGGCTACCGAGACAAAGCATCCGCAACAGATCTATACGCGTCTTGGCTTTGTGATGATTCACAATTCAAAGAACGATCCAAGACAAAGGTAACCATTTTTGGAAGTCACAATTCAGACTGTTTCCTGTTAAATGGCAGACTGTTCTGCAAATTATTTGCTCTTCAATTTGATCCTCCTAAATCCTACTACCAACCTTTGGAAGTCTACGCGACTTTGATGCAATACGTGTTCAGAATGGCACAGACAGACAATCTCGACTTGACATACAAGACATATCAACAAACCGGCCAGTTATTCCAACACTTGTTGGAGACAAAAGCCCCAGATCCTGCCACAGAAATAAATGCAGTCTCACAGGGCATTCTCAAGCTCAAAGATATCACCGAATGTCAACCAGTGGCCTACCCTTGCAATATTGATCAAGATTTCAGCGTGTATCAACCAACGGAACGAGTGGAAATTGTCCCAAAGCTGATTAAAGACCAAGCTCAGTCGATCGGAATCGAACCACTCACAAATAACACATTCTTAAAAGTTATCGCAGCGGAGCGAGAATCATGGACCAACTACTGGGAAGGAATAGTTGCACCGGGCGCAATTTTCATCGAACAGATGTTCAGAAAGAGCGGGCCTTTTGCCTCTGAGATTTCGCGACTAATGTACTGCAAGCACTTTTCTATTGAGTCCCTGAAGCATATCTTTCTGCTCAATATCATAAACCCAGATACCAAGGGCCTCGTGACGACTCAGATCTATGCTCCACACAACGGCCTTGCATGGCCAGACCCAGAGCCTCGTGTGTGGGGACGCGGGACACCTGAATATGAAGCTATCCTGGGGACTAAGCTTGGACGGCTTGTGGCGCGGTTAGTGATAGGGTCATTTGAGCCTGGGTCACGGAGAATTTTGCAGATCACTACATGGTGTCAGAAACGGCTTCTACATATCCGGTTTGATCTTGAACTGGAGTCATCGTGTAGCAAGGATCTGGTATGATGATATTAGATTTTCTATCGACGTTCCATCCATGACACAAGTCTTTTTGGCTCCCAAATGTCCTTTCCCTTACAAAATCAGCAATTCAATATTCTTCAATCTCTCCAGATGGGTCAATGCATCCTCCATTCCTAACAATCTCTCTCTATTCCCCTATTACTTCCCACCCATTTTACTTTGCTTCTAGGTACTAATTCTGTGGCTGATTGAGAGTAGCTTTTCTAACAATCCCTCGCATCGCTTCTATAAAACCCCCCCTCCCAGTCGTAGCCGAACTATATTCGAAATTCCATGCATATCCAATATCCCAAGCCGGGGTCAATGCGCTGCAGAATCCCCACACCTCAGCCACTGATGATTTTCATCCCACCCTACGCCTCGAAGATTACTGATGCTTCCATACAACACACCAGATCTACGGAGCAGTGTTAATTCCTCACCCGCTTGCATCCAGGTCCACCAATCAACCACCCGGTCCCTGAGTGCTGACGTGTCCCGTGCGCAAAGCCATCCTATGAAGACGGCACACTGGCATTTTAGCCCAGTGGGGCGCAAAGCAACATAAATTAAGACCCCACAGCCATAGGGTATATCTTCCGATGCCTTGAGCCCTATCCAGTCATGCACGTGTGCCTTTCATTCAGCATCATCGATGATTCTTGCGCTGTGGCTAAATTGGACCTTTTAGCTAATATCAGCCCATTAGAATTCTCGGTTAACTCTTTGGATGGTAGAGATCTCCCCACAAGCGGGACGCCCGGGCGTCCGTCGGCGCCTTAACGGGTCAATGATCCTGTGGCGAGGATCTACTATACAAGATGCAGAGTCCTGCAGAATCAATAGCTTCTGTTATTTGGCAATGTTTGAAGGTGGGTATCGGTGGAAGTCCACTTAATCTTCTTGTCTAGCGTATCAGATGTGCATCTTCACATGTGTGTTCGTTAGCTGCTCCCGATTGGTCTTGAACTTGCATCTATCTCAAGCTTGTGGTTGCATTGCATGCTCGACTCTATTTGGGAAATTAACTATGCTTCATGATTTTTCCGTTGAAGATCCTGATGCTGGACCATGAGAGGTATAAGAATCATGATGATTCCACTTCGAATTGGAATATTCAAGTGATTAATTCCCTGTAATCGACAGTACTTCATTATGCCGTTCTACACTCCCAAGAGCCTGTTGGCCATCGCTGCAGCTGACCTTCTGGTCGGTGTCAGTGCCGGACTTGTTGGCTGCAGTACCAGCACTGAGGTTCTGAGCTGCCACAACACCACTGAAGTCACTGATATGTGCTGCTTCAACTACCCCGGTGGTGCCCTCCTTCAAGTCCAGTTCTGGGACACCGATCCCTCCACCGGTCCCACTGATTCGTGGACCATCCACGGTCTCTGGTAAGAGTTTTTTTTCATAGGAATTCGAATTGATCAGACCGGTGCTAATATATCACAGGCCCGACTATTGCGATGGCGACTACGGTGAGGACTGTGACTCCTCCCGTGAGGTTTCTGATGTCCAGACCATCTTGAAGGACCAAGGTCGTACCGACCTCCTGACATATATGGAGGAGTACTGGCTCAGTGACGACGAGTCCGACAATGAGTTCTGGGCCCATGAGTGGAACACTCACGGCACCTGCATCAACACCATTGACCCTGACTGTTACACCGACTACACCGACAACGAGGAAGTTGGTGACTTCTTCCAGCAGGTCGTTGATCTTTTCCAGACTCTGGATACTTACACTGTATGTCGATCTCAAGGCCTTATAAACTCGAATGATTGACTAATATATCTCCTAGGCTCTCTCCGATGCTGGTATCACACCCACCAACGACAAGACATACACTCTCGCCGAATTCCAGTCTGCCCTTGGTGATATCCACGGTGGATACGAGGTTACCCTTCTCTGTGACGATGACACCGTTTACGAGCTTGAGTACTACTTCAACGTCTACGGAAGTGCTGTCAACGGAACCTATGAGCCTAGCAGCCCTCGTAAGATCCCTTTTCATTCTAGTTTTTGTTCGTCTAGATGCTAACTTCCTTTAGTCTCGGACTCGAGCTGCCCAACCACTGGTATCAAGTACCCTCCCAAGTCTAGCACTAGCAGCAAGAAGGTCAAGCGTGCTGGACGTAGCCACCGTGGTCGCAGAAACCAGAAGGCTTAGATATCGATATATATCAGGGTCAGAGAGATAAGAGGTTATGTTGAATGATCAAAATGAGATTGTGAGAGCCTGAGGTAGTTGTTATTTGAATTTCTTGAGTGATCAAGTCAGATGATCCTTTCAGTTACTAAAACCTTAGGTAGTAGGATGCAATACAAGAGATATGAGGTTGAGGTACAGTTCAGTTTGAGTTTCACGTAGAACCATGGAGCATTAATTGAGGTAAAGATCTGCCTATACGAGATCGGGATGCAATTTAACTCTGCGGATCCAAGGAAGTTTGAACTCTGGAACTATATGCAGACTCGAAATTATCGATCCCAACTGAGCAATAGAGGTTGAAATGTTTTTTATGTTAAGGAAATAATTGGTATTGAACTCCCGAAAAATGGTTCTACCAGTCTAGATCGGGGAAAGCAAAATGAGAACGCCATATCGAAACAATGCCAGAGCCACAAGTTAAATTCTAAAAGATGTACATATTGTAAAACGAATGTGAGAATCAAAAAATTGTCCACGATAAATCATACCCCGCTGGACTCCGGCAATTATATGTATTTTCAACATCCATCACTCCAGATACCCAAAGATTAAGGGGTCAATTAAACAGCGATGGCAAGGGCGATGGCAGCGACGACAGCACCGAAGATGGAGCCGGAAGGACGGCCGACGGCACCGCTGTAAGCAGTGATGGAGGAAGAGGCGGAGCTGCTAGAGGAAGATCCAGAGCTGGAGCCGGAGCTGGAACCAGAGCTGGAGGAACCAGAGCTAGAGCCGGAAGAACCAGTGCTGGAGCTAGATCCAGAGCTGGCAGTGGCTGTGGCAATGATCAGAGGGGTTGAGCTAGCAGCAGGGACAGACTTGAAGCCAGAGGCAGCAGTACCGTTGTTACCGTGACGGCCGACGGGGGAACCAGTAACAGTAGCGATGCTGGAGCTGGAACCGGCGGACTTGGTGGCGGTGGAGACGGAGGCAGTGCTGGAGGAGGTGTAGTTGGAGCAAGAGAGGTCGAACAGAGGAGTGGTGCTCAGAGTCTCGCCGACGATACCGAAGCTAGGGCTGGCACCGTAATCCTGCATGATGTACCACCAGGTGTTGACGGTACCGAAGATGGAGCAACCAACCTCATCCCAGAACTTCTTGGCGTTGGCGATGGAGGCAACAGCCTCACCCTCATCGTCACCGCTGACGGGCCAGCCAGTCTCGGTGATCCAAACATCCTTACCGTTGGCGACACCCTTGGTAGCATCGACACCCTGGTAGAAGAGGGACTTGGCGTTCTCGATGGAGTTCTCGTCGGTGGTCTGGAAGTAAGGGTAACCGTCGAAACCGAGCCAGTCAACAGCGTCGATGACGGCAGAGTTGGAGGAGTTGGTCCAGGCGTCCCAGGTGTCGACGTGACCGATGGAGGCGCCGCTCAGGGTGGTACCGGAGATGGCCTCCTTAACCTGGTTGATGGCATCGACAACCTCATCAGGGGTCATACCGACACCGTCGTCGGCAGCCTGACCGGTCTGAGAGTCACGGTAAAGATCCTCACTACCCACGGAGATACCGACAACAAGGTCGGTGAATGAGGAGCCGTAGGTGCTGATGGCGGACTTCAGGGCAGCGACTTCGTTAGCAGTGCCACCACCGGAGGTCCAAAGACCCAGGAGAAGGGAGACATCCTCCTCAATAGCGGCCTCAATAGCCTCGATGGGGGTGTTGGTGGTACCGCCCTGAATCATAGTGTACAAACGAGCGCTGTTGAATCCTGAGGTGGTCTTGAGGTTCTTAGCGTTCTGGAACTGGCTGACGAAGTCGGCCTTGTAGCGGGTGCTGCCATCCTCATTGGTGGAGCCGTAGTTGAAACCCTTGTAGGTAGCCTCAGCTGCTGCGACAGACAGGGCGAGAGCGAGAACCTGCTTCATCTGCATAATGGGAAAAAAAAGAATGTGTGTATTTGTGTGATGTGTGTTTGTGTATCGTTGATAATAGCGAGAGGAATTGTTTCAAAGAATGACTGTAGAACTTGTGAAAAGAGTGTCACAAGGGAAAGTTGAGAAAAAGAAGAAAGTATGGAGAAGAGAGAAGAAAGAGAAGAGAGAAGGAGGAAAAGTGATAAAGTAGTTCTGGGGAAATGGAAAACCGGCGTATGTGAATTCTTGGTCTAGAACTACGCCACTGCGTACACCACGGAACCCAATGTGGATTTAAAGTGGAGTAGGCCACGTTTGCTTGTCTCTATTTTATGTTATATAATTGGTTTAATTGATATCCACAAGGCCAAAAATACCCAAAAATACCCAAAAAATACTTGGGCATCCAATGATCATCTTAATCATCTTAATTAGGTCGAGTGCCCTGACAGACGAGGGAACCGCTTCTTCTCCTGGTTGCCCCGGCTATGTTCTTTAACAGATTTAGGGGTTCTTCGAGTCCCTTTAGAATATTAATTGTGGTTCATCCCCTAAAATAGATAGAGAGTAGGCCCCTTTCCATGGTACCTGCAGGTGTTCGAAAAACTCGATAGAAGCCTTAGAACACATCATCCGGCCTCTCCGGAAGCCTCGGCATCACTCCGTTGGCTCTTCTTCGTCACCCTTCGGTCCTATTTGTAAGGACTTAGTGGTCCGCCAGTGGTCCGCCACCTGTTTCAAGAATCTCGAAGCAAAGCCACAGCAGATCAGACTCAAGTGGATTTTAACTGGATCCAACTGGACCCTGCTAGTCCCCATCGAGTCATCTCGGCCTCCTGTTCTTAGTTGATGCCTATGGTATCAGGCAGAAATTGAGAATTCTTCACTGTACGAGGTCATCAATTGATCGCTATCATAGTAGAATCATAGTAGAATTCAACTCAAATATTCACGAGAGGTTGAAATTGCTACATCCTAAAATCTAGACTACTCATTTCTCTATACATAGAACATACTCGAAATTAGAATCGATTGAATCATTTTGAAGCTTCCCTGTATGTACCACAATCGTGCATTCAAAAACCTTGAAAGGTGGATTCATCATAAATGGAGTCAGGTCTAGAATTAGACACCAAGTCCCGTATGGGTCTGATGTAATTTCCTGATGTGCTCAAATTAATCGACTCATCAAATAGGAGTTATCGAATAAATCTCCGTTACTGTTACTCCTAATACGCTTACTGCAGAAATTTCCGTTCTGCAAGGGATGAACTAACTAGTATGGAAATTTCCCCGAGTTGTCTGACTTTCAAGTCCCAAAAATAGAGCTAACAATAGGGCTGTGTCACTATGGTAGTATTCATTAGTCCCAATAGTATGGTTTGACATCGGGGGGGGTGGAATGCCCCTTTACTATTATGGGGCATGTGGACAAATCTGATCTTTAAGGGGCTGGACCCCAGTAAGCACTTGATCACGCATGATGACACCATTGGCATATATGGAATATGGAATCGATTGTCAGCATTAAAGGTCTCAGTACCCCGTATTTAGATGTGATAATGTCTCAAAGATTGAAGACTAGATTCTTGATTTATGTACAGAATTATAAAATAGCACGCTGGCTGATGCAACTTAATGCTCTGAGACAAAGATGCCTGCCATACCCATGCCCTATAATACCCGTTAGTAAGGAGGATCGCTATTGAATTCAGGTTCAACTTACAGTTCCCACACACATGGATGTCACAGCAATACGCTTGTCCTGGCGACGCAGCTCTGACAGCGCAGTAACCACTTGACGAGCACCTGTTGCGCCCAATGGATGACCAAACGCACTGCGCAGAATTAGTAACTGTAGAAGATGGGGTATCCCGAAGAAACTTACATAGATCCACCACGGGGGTTCACCTTGGCCTCATCAAGAGCCAACTTATTGACACAGTAAACACCCTAGAGGTAAGTTAGAATGATGACTTCAAGCTATACTCGAAACTCAAACTCACCATAGAAGCAAAGGCCTCGTTGATCTCAAAGATATCAATGTCATCCTTGGAGAGACCGAATTTGTTCAAGATCTTGGGGATAGCGTAGGAAGGACCAATACCCATAATGCGGGGCTCCAATCCAGTCACTGTAGCACCACAGAACTTGCCAACAATAGGCTGACCCAGCTCCTGAGCACGGGAACGCTTCATCAAAACCAATGCAGCAGCACCATCAGTAATCTGACTAGCATTACCACCGGTAGTAGCACTAGGTTCCCATTGAGGGAAGGCAGCCCGAATCTTGCCTAGGCTCTCAGGAGTGGTACCATAGCGAATTCCATCATCCCGATCAACAACGACATCACGAACCTCGCCAGTCTTGGGATCCTTGATCTGAGTCTTGATAGGAATAATCTCATCCTCAAACCACCCAGCCTTCTGCGCCCGCTCAGCTTTCTGGTAGCTTCCTGCGGCAAACTTATCATGCTCTGCGCGCGAGATACCAAACTGCTGCGCGACGTTCTCAGATGTCTGGCCCATAGGCTGGTAGTTTTGCGACGCAACGGGGTGGTTCTTGATGCGCTCTGCCATCTCCGGCGCACCACCATCCGCATTTGTGCTCATACTCTCTGCGCCAACAGCAATTCCCACTTCGATTGAGCCGGCGATGATCTGGTTCGCGATGTTTTGGATAGAGAGGAGACCTGAGGAACAGAATCGATTCGAGACAGAGGCGGCGGTTGTTACGGGAAATCCGGCTGCGAGAACGGCTGAGCGAGCCATGTAGGCTGCGCCTTGGGCGAGACAGTTGCCCACGGAGACATCTTCGACCAGATTGGGGTCGATCTTGGAGTTTTCTCGGACTGCCTGATATGAAGAGTTAGTACCAGACTGGTGGTAATCTAATTGCGCAATTGAAGATTTCTTACTGTGAGCAAGGAAATCAAGAGATTGTCAACTGTTGTATCCTTCAATCCACCCTTCCGGGCCTTTGTGAGGGGTGTTCGCGCAAGATAAGTGATGACCTGTTTCGAAGGGGCAAAAATTAACCAAGGCCGATTATGGACACACGTGCAAGTCAGATACTAACAACGTCATCGGGATTCTTTGCTAAGAGCCGCTGCTTAGCCGAGCCAGGAGCCGACAGCTGGTTTGCGACAGCGGATAATCTTTGCTGAGGAGTGGACATGGTTGAAAAGAATATATGTAAGAAGTAAGGGGGAAGAAGCTATTTTCTTTTTTTCCCTTCTTCTACGGAAAGTGGAAAAGTACATTAGGGGATGTTTTGCTATTTAATGGGGTAGAACGCGGGGCCGAAATAGACCGCGGTTGACCGCGGTTCATTTTTTTGTGAAAGGATCAGAAAGCATCGGAAGCCGAGATTAATATGATTAATATTCATTCATTAAATTGAAGTCAATGAAACATCTTCAGCCGATGAGAAATGCCGTTGCGATCTGTGTAATATCTGTATGATACGGTTATTTGACGGCCCTCGGCTCGTATATGCAGGTTCTGATTGGTGGAGATCTGTATTTTACATGAATGATTGTTTCCTTCTGACATGCGGCAACCTTCTGCAAGGTTATGTCGATCATAGTAAGATGACAAAATTTACAATGAGCTTAACAGTTATTGGAGGTTTACACGAGATAGTGTTTTCAGGCCTCCGACATATACGAGGTAGGGGGGGTAACAACTCCCTTTGAAGAGGCAACACTTCTCTAAAACAACCATGGAAGAGTCCATGCAGCTCTGGTCACCGCAATACCGGGGGCGCCAAGATTCAAAATGTCGGGGTAGGAGTTCGGTACCAGCGGGGGGATTTCCCGACAGCAAAAAGAAAGAAGCAAAACTCCACCTCGGCCTTGCTAGTTTGGTCAATAGTGTGCGGCAGATCAGTGCCTGGACAGCTTCCGTCGATGTCACAGTGGGGAGGAGCCCGTGTTTTATAACTCCCCCAACAATTTTCTCCAGACTTCAAGTTCATATTACGACTTTAACTGCTAGAAGGACTTGGAATCACTACACCGCTCCGATTTTTACTTTCCCATCCAATTGAGGACTCGGAGGCCTTGCATTATACACTGCTATATTCTACGCTTGTGTGCATCTCAGATTCAAGTTCTCAACTTGAACCACTTGCGTCATACAGCAAACCCCGCGCGTCCAGCACGATGGACATATTCTCTGAGGCCAGCCTGCCCGCCGTGGCAATGGCATCAGCCATGTCTGTGGCTGCGGGTGCATATTTGAATGCCAAGCTCTCGATCTCCACAGACTTGTCAGCCCACTTCAATGATAAGGCATTTGGCAAACGAATTGGGGAGCGAATGGGACAGCTCGGCGATACGGTCACCATCTACAAGATGCTCGAAAGAGTGGTCGATGTGGAGGGTCAGGGATCTGCAGATGCTGTGTGGTTCGAGCAGAAAACTTGGTCATATACGCAACTAAAAGACTGTAAGATCATTTCCCTTAAAATACGAAGGCTCTAGATCTGACGAATTTTTTTTACCAGTGGTGGATCGCTTTGCAGCGCTCCTGCATGCACGAGGCGTTGCATCTGGAGATTTCATTGGTGTATTTACCACAAACTCGCCTGAAATGGTCGTGGTACTTTATGCATTATCAAAATTGGGCGCTGTTTCTGCGATGATTAACACCAATCTGCGAGGTAGGTGATTCCATGCAGCCCTGGAAAGACCCATCACTAACCTTATGAAGATGACACTTTTGTCCACTGCCTCAATGTCTCAGGTGCTAAATCGATCATTTCAACACCTGATCTGGCAGAGCATGTTTGTGGTGACTTACCACACTTATCATTCAACTTTTCCTCTTTCGACGGAGTTTCCACTGGCTCTGTGGAACTAGTGACATCCACAGAATTGCAGCAATTCTCACCATCAGGCTTATCAGCAGCCAAGCGTGGTCCCAAAGATCCAAGCGCTCTGATCTACACATCAGGCACTACAGGAAAGCCGAAGGCATGCGCGATCCTGAATATGCTCACAGTGATTGTCTCCACTCCACTGTCATCAGATGCAAAAAACAAGTCCAAGTACTTCCCCTTGCGAACATATTCATCCCTTCCACTTTTCCACGGCACCGCCTTTTTCACCGGAGTATGCTACTCCGTAGGAACTTGCGGAACGCTTTGTCTGCGACGCAGGTTTTCTGCATCGCAATTCTGGAAGGATGTACATGATTCGCGGGCCAACAAGATTCTGTACATCGGTGAGTTGTGTCGGTACCTTCTCTCCACCCCACCTTCTCCGTATGATCGTAACCACGGCTGCCTTGTTGCAGCGGGCAACGGATTGCGCGGTGAGATCTGGGAAAAATTCAAGACTCGATTCGGCGTCCCTGAGATCCGCGAGTTCTATAGATCCACAGAAGGTGTTGCCAAGTTCGATAACCATGGTGTCGGAGTCTGGGGCGCTGGAAAGGTCGGATTCTCCGGTCCCATTCGTCGGTATATGGAGGATGATACTTTCATCGTGAAATATGATACAGATTCCGAGATGCCATGGCGAGACCCTAGCACTGGGTTTTGTGTGAGAGCGAAACTTAATGAGGAAGGTGAGGCTATTGGGCGCGTTCGGGATCGTGGATTCTTAATCGAGTACCTTGGGAATGAAGACGCGACGGAGAAAAAGCTTCTCCGAGATGTTTTCGAAAAGGGTGACCTGTTCCAGCGGACAGGCGATCTTGTTGTTCAGGATTCGTCGGGCTGGATTCGATTCCAGGATCGCGTGGGTGATACATTCCGTTGGAAGGGAGAGAATGTCAGTGCGGGTGAGATCCGGGATCACATCTGTCGGATCGATGGTGTCCATGATGCCGTGGTATACGGTGTGAAGCTTGCTGGGTAGGTCTTGGAGTTGATATGTTGATGGACTGAGATGCTCATATGATTTTAGATACGATGGTCAAGCTGGTGCTGCTGGCATCACTCTAGAGGAGCATTCACCTGCTGTTCACAATGAGTTCGCTGCCAAACTTTACCCGGAGTTAAAGAGCAAGGGTATACCATCGTATGCCTTCCCTCGTCTTGTTAGGTTCACAGAGAAGTAAGTTAAACCTTGGAAGACATGAAAAACCATCGAACTAATGGGTATCTAGGGTGGCAACTGGTGTCACTTTCAAACAGGCTAAGGGAGACTTGGTAAAGAAGAGTTGGGATCCCCGAAAGGATTCTTCAGGTGATGGCTTGTACTGGTTGAATGGAACTAAATACGAGCAGTTGGTAGATGCGGGCTGGACTAGCATTGAGGATGGAAAGGCCAAGCTATGAGCACTCAGAGTTCTTCAAGTTCAAATGTTGGCTGTGATATACCCTCTGTTAGCTCAACTTGAAGTCCAGACGCTATATAAACTCAGACTCGGAGCTTCGATCATTCCCGAGGTCATGTACAAAATTCAATATAAAAAAACTGCAGAGTTAGAATGGGAAGCATCATGGTAATTCAATTTTCCTAGTATGTTCTCAGGCTTCATAAGATTGGTCTTCAAGTCAATAATCGAAAAATCACCTAAGGGTGGCTGAGTAGTTAGAAGTATTCAGAAATATGAACTGGTGGTGGGTGCCTGCAAATTCTGGCCTTGATATCGTTTCTCAGTTATAGAGGTAAAATCAGGAGTTCAGGTAACCATCCACATCGTAGTAGCTCAGCGGACTATCGTGTCTGTCCCAATGTGATTTGACACTATGATACCATAAGTCTAGTTTGCTGGGACTGAGGGTTGCTCAGTAGCATCAGCGAGCGTGAGACTTGCCTAAGTGGAACACCACCGTGAGAAAGCATGCAGCGGACTATGTGAAAGGCTTCTGTGGATGGACTTTTTTTTTGCTCTTTCTTCCTATACTCCTTTCATATTCTTATCTATTTTATTAGATTTGTTATGATTTTTTGAAAGTTGAAGCTTTCATCGTCTTCTCATTTTGACGCCTCACTTGCCGTGTTTATTGCGAAATCAAAAGTCCGTGGATCGATTCCTGCTCACTACATTTCTTTTTATTTCTTTTTGACCACGTCCACTGGCAAGACCAGGCTAGGTACCTTTCTCCTGAAAAGTTACACGCTACTATCCTGTTACTTTCCAAGGTTCGGATGTACTTGATAGAAACCATCATGAGATTAACAGAAGACTCCTATATACATGAAAATAGGTAATGTAATACTTGATATGTATCATAATATTTGCTTTTCTAAAAAAAATATTCTTCAATTTTTTATATCCCTTACCAGGACTCGGAATACTATTCTTATTCCGCTATCACGATCCCCCCAAGTTAGTTGACTATATGGCCAGAAACAGCAACATCACCAGGCACTACCTTATTATTGCGTGTATATAGGTGCTGTGAAAGTGACAGATCCTGTCTCGCACAGCAGCCATTCTTGAACAAACGCAAGGCAGCAAGATGAACCTGTTCATCTCGACACTGCCTTAGCACAAAAAGCAAGATGGTGGTAAACTCGATCCCGAAGATAAACTTCGGTCCATCCGTATAAGCGTCAGAGACAATATCGAGTATCTGTCGAAAATAATATTCATGTGCTGAGTATGGCGCATCTGGACTCAGTCCACCGTTGGCCCATATCTTGCATACAAGCCATCGGGCTTTGAATAGGCGATTCCCGCGGCGCTTCATGTTCGCATCGAACCGCTCCAATCCCAGCAAGAGCGCATAAAATGCATCGAGGTCTTCATTTAGTTTTCTTTGCTGAAATTCAACACTCATTTCAGGCTCGGAGGGTGATTCTGTATCTTGGCATGACTCCTGGTTTTCCCTAGCGAAGGCTAATCCCACAGCCCGAGATGTAAGCTCAGTGAGTGCCTGCTTAGCTTGTATCAAATCAGAGAAGCCTGAAACGCCACAGGGAGATTTGTATTCAACCGGTCGAGGCATTTCCGGGAAGCAGTCCGGAAGGAGAAGAATGAAAGCATTGAATAGTGCCAATGTTGCCTCGAGCTCAACTCTAGGTTTGTATGCTTTGACCAGTCGCATAGCGTGTCTTGTGTGAAAAATCGCGGACTCAGGACAGCCGCGTAGGAACTCAACTCCAATGAGTAGGATACACGCCGTTACCACGACGTCAAGGTTATCGATTTTCGCACCCATGATCTCCTGGATCGCATTTCCGTAATGTCGATGAGCGAATCTTAAATCCGCTGTTTTGGGTGGATGAGATGAGTTGCCTACAAATTGCACGAAGAAGGAGCTGATCGCCATCATTGCATGTCTGGTGATTGGCTCGTGGTATGTCATTTGAGGAACCAATTCCGTCCAGAATGAAGGGAATGGGCCTGCGATCATGGGCGCCACGAATTCGCGGAAACATTCGACATTTCGCATTTCAACTGGTCCACCCCAAGGCCTTTGTGAGGGGCGCATATGTTTTAGTTCACTTGATTCCTCATACCCGTCGCACTTTCTCCCCGTGGATGTGCAGTTTCCGCAATGTGGTTTCGCTTCGTTGCACTTGACCTTGCGGATTCTGGATGCGTCGCGCGTCAGAATCGGGACCAGGTCGCATAATTTATTTTCAGAATCTCACCGGCACGTAATGCATCCTGTTCGGGTTCTCTTGAAAGTATTTCTGCGGGGCATTGGGAGACTGGAGACTAGCGGTGGAGGATAAGGGCGGATCTACCCCAAGTGTTTTCAATATCCTCTACCCCGGATTCTGGGTATGAAGCATGAAATGTAATCTGAACCTGGAATTTGGTGTCGCTGACAGGTTTGATGACATCTGGACCCTGAGGACCTTGGAAGGCAGAGGGTCAAATATGGTGAAGTTCAAGTGGAGGACCATTTAAGCATCGGTTCGATGCCAAGCTTCCCGAGGTCATCTGGGCAATTTCTTGGCTCCATGACAAATTAAAGAGCCTCGCCACCTCCAGGGCACTCGTGCATATTAAGGCAACCGAGTGAGCAACTCTAATTCATCGTATTCAAAAATGTGAAGGGATACATAGCAGGTATCAAAGTATGCATGATTAAAAGTTCTTAAAAATATCTACAGCTAGATCTGACAAATTATGTAGCAATGAGGCAATACACATGCAGGGCACTGCCCAAGTACTCGTGGCATGGCCTCAACCTCCGAGAACAAACATTTCGAATAAATACATCCGAGTCCGAGTCGCAAAAACGCGAAGCAATATTTTCAAATGTTGACACGATGATGGATAGAAATGAACATCTTCCGATCGCACACCGTTCTTGTATTTGTGGGAACGGCCACCCCGTTTTAACAAGTGAGCGAGCCAAACTGATGGCCTAAAGGCGCTTTCAGGTCGAGAGAACACTTAAATTCGGGTCACATCATCCTCGTTCTTCTTATCAAGATGGAGACGGCGACGCCACTTCATGCGACTCTTCTTCATCGCACGCTGGGTTCGCTCCCAGGGGTAATTGACAGGAGACTCTCCACCAGTGAAGATGAAGAAATCGTACAAGAACGCACCGTTGAATGCACCGGCAATGGCGCCGACCCAGGGTCCGTAGAACCAGTATGGGTTCAGGAACAGATCACTAGGGAAACCAAGAGCCAGAAGAGCAAGACGAGGACCAAAGTCACGACTGGGGTTAAAGGCAGCACCAGTTTGGTAAGCCATGGTCATACACAGGCAGGTAATCACCAAACCAACAATAAGCGAGTTCATACCAGCACCGGGAGGAGCATTTTGGTCATCACCCAATGCCAGGATCACACATGCAAGGAAAGTGGTTCCCAAGAACTCATTAGCAAAGGCCGTTCCGGGATCGATCCAGGATTCACGCTGGCTGGTGACAAAGCTGGTGACGATGCCGCTGGTGGCGTTGGTTGCAAGATAGTTCTCAATCGAGCGGTAGTAGAGACCATAAGCCGCCAGGGCAGCACAGAATGCACCGAGGAATTGAGCAGCAAAGTATTCCGGCATCTTGGACTTGGGGAAACCACGGTAGAACCAGAGCATGAGGGTAACGGCAGGGTTGAGGTGAGCACCGGAGACACCACCAGAAATGTAGATACCAATCATAGTGGCCAGGCCCCAGGACCAGGCCGTCGTGTTCGGGTTGCCTTGATCATTAATGGTGACAGACAGATCAGCGCAGAAACCAATCGTGAGCTGAACGAACACGGCTAGAGCCTCGGCCAGAGCCTCGCGGTGATGTGTCCGGATAACAGACCAGGTGGTGTGATTGTTGTGAATTTCATCCTCCACAAGCTCCTGGATCAGGGGATGCAAATCTTCGGGGTGGGTGGATTCGTCGAGAAAAGGGATCTCGACCTTCGGTTCATCCAACCCTGGGATCTCCTGCTGCTCGGGAATAGGTCCCAGGCCCAGGTCATCATTGAATAAATCATTTGTTCTACCAGGGACTTCGGTATCCTCTGTGGTTTCAGAGCCTCCTTCCTGGACAACCGACAGCGCCTCTTGAGACTGATTCCATTGCGATTGGCGTCTTCTACGAGTAGATGAAGCACGGGACAAACGCGATCCTTGTCTGGTAGATGTGGTATCACCATTCAGGATCTTGTTCATGAAGGCTTGCTCACGCTGCAACCGAGCATCCTCAACCTGCGCCGCCATTTTCCGCGGGTCGGTGGTTTTGTCAATCCTCCCCTGCTCAAGGTCATTGGGATCCACATCCAAGCCGTATCTCTGTGAGTTCTCAAGTGGAAGCTGGGCGTTTGCACGCTGCTGAATGAGCTCATCCCTGGTGGGCACCATACCCGGTCGCACCACACGGGGCAAGGGCTTTGCGAGAGACCATACTGGCTTCGCATTGGCAGGCTGTTCATATGAAGGGTTCAGGTCCGCATATCCGGGCTGCACAAAGGGCTCCTGAGCCATGCGCAGTTGAGGGGTCTCATCAGGCCCGGCCAGGGTAAACTTGCCCTGTGTTCGAGCCGCGAGTGTAGTTCGTGGAGCTAGACTGGGGATTCCAACACTGCCGCTACGCTGCCCTGAGCTACGTCGTCGCAGTCCACCATCATCCTCGGTCGCATCCCCAGATCTCCTGCCTCTGGGAGAGATTGCATCTCTACGATTCGGGGAAGTTGGTCCATCTTGGTTTCTCGCACTTGCGCCGGACTATACAGAACGTGCTATTAGTCAAATGAAAGATCACCATGGCATACAATGCACTTGGTGGGTAATTCGTACTTACCAGCGCTCGGGGCCTTCTCAGGTCTCCTTCTTCACCTTCCATGATGATTTACAATGTGAAAAGCTTTTCAAACAGTTTCCGGGTAAATTCTCAATTCAAGGCTGCCAAGGCTAACGGGGATCAACGATCAACACCCGTTCTTACGACAGACAACCTTTGACGCAAGATTGATTGCTCAAAGTGAGGAAAGGAAAAAATTCGACCGTTTAGAGTGGATGCCGGGGGAATAAGAACATCTCATCCCGAGGTCCCTGTTCTCTACACTTCGTAAGCGAGTGGAAACAAACTTGACGCAATGGCTTAAGATCATCGAGATCTCCCAATTGGCGTACTCAAGCTTTGCATGGAGTGGGTAGAAGTTCCAATCAATAGAAAAGGGGCGCAAGCCTCTTAGTTCCTGTCCTGGCCCACTATGGTCCACACATGGAGTCCACATTGTGCTTTTGATTGAGCCATGGAATGGGTCCTGGCTCCATCCATTCTCCCTCATCAGCCGGGAGGCGTCGAACGGTTTCAGCCATTGATAGGCTAATGCTGAGCGGGACTTATGCAATCTCCTTCCAAGAATTTCTCCCGTCCTATCCGGACGCGTTGTGGCCGCCACTCAAGAACATAGTGTATAATGAAGGGAGGAGAGGGGTGGAAGAGGAAAGTTATGCGGATGACATCAGTTCAAATGTTTTTACCCGAACCAAATTCTTTTTTTTGTCTCGATTTTCAATTCTCCCATATTATATCTCCTGACAGGGATTGAGTCTCCACTTTGATACCGCGCTATTCTCTGTCGTGATAGAATGGGAATTTTGGGCCAAATGGAAAATATCTCCCTCCCTTTGGTCCCGTTTATTGTCGTAATTCGTTCCGACTCCTCGTGGTCCTTAGCCACGCCTTCAAATTCTAACACTTTGAGCTATCATCCCGGCTTTCCAGTATAGACTAACCGCCGACGTGTGAAAGGTGATCGTCTTTCGTTTTTACCCAAATTTCAAATCATCCTGAAAAAACTGGACCCAACAAGCCCCGCTTACCCTTTGATCCGTTAAGGGTGCACCTGGAGCCATCGTACTGGATGGATTGAGCCTGCGATCAGATAATCAAAGCTTGACAACTCGCAAGCAGATGTTCTCTTGTTTGGACACACAGTCTTCCATACTGGCAGTCTAATACTTCGTACAGACCAGCTACATGAATCATTGGGTGCCGGAACTCGGACACATCCCCCTAGTGGCCCCAGTCTTGAACTGGAGCCGTGGACCGTGCGATCGTCATCTTGCAGCACACCAAATCCCTAGACGATGGTAACGAACCACACCAGACATGATGGATTGACATGATTCAGTGCAAAATTCTCAATTCCGTGCGGGGTTACTGACAGTCCATCTGATCAACCCGGATCAACCATGAGATGCCTTGCCTATAATGGTATGCATTGCCTACCCAAATACTCCGACTCCGAGGGTTGTATCAGTTATGCAATGTTTGTGAGCTATGGCACATACATATGCATAAATGGTGGTCTTATCACCATCAAACTGTGATGTCAATTGTTGTGGGTCCCGTCATACGTGCATAATTGCTTTTTTTCTCCTTATCCAGGAGAGTAGTGGCACGAGTCTCTCCAGACTCGATCTTCCATTCCCTATTAATATTCAGACATCTGGGGCATTGGTGAAGCATTTTTAGTTACTTTTTGTCTTTGAAAATCAAATTAGCATCCCGATTAATCCCTTCTTACAAGGAATGTTTGCCCTCTGCAGTGTGGGCGCTAATTCTCTCTAGAGCATGGACACCCCTGAAACATTTGAACCTTGATGCATAATGCATTTGATATAGCCCGGCTGTATAGCCTACACTTATGCGATTCAAAGAGTAGAATTCAACTACCATCATAGGTCAGAGGAAACGTTCAAGCAATCCAATTCAAGTTGACACACTGCCGATCATGCATTTAAATACGCCATTTTAGCTTCAACATTGGGGCAATGTTACTGCGGAGTGGTTTCGACACACATGTCCATCTTTCAGTTCTGAAAATTATGTAGGCATTTCAATTTGACATGATTCCAACTTGAAGGTTTCACGTTGCGTATGTGTCCGAGTCACCATGCAAACCTACATAGTATCATATTTCTACATACGAGAAAACAAAAATCCCGAGGTGGTTTAATTGAGAAGGTTATCCAGATGTCACAGTCCCGGCTAGAACCTTGATAAAATCATGATCCCAACTTAGCACTTGATCATTCGCCACTGGCATGAAACATCTCACTAGAATTAATCATGGCACTCAAGGTGACTGGCCACATTTGCATTGCCAGCAGAGGGTCAGCACCACCAACAACCCAAAAAGCCACTGAACCGAAAATCAATATCCGAGTTAAACTCTCCAACGGAGTATCCGACCCCATCTCCTCTGAATTCGAATTATCCTGTTGGAGGGGAGTGTTGAACAGTGCTTGGCTCGATGTTAAGCTTTGATGTTGCACAACCGAGATTGCTCGCAGCAGGGATCAGCATAGCTCATCGAATGAGGTTACCACAAATGGGGCGTTGTTGCTTTTGAAGAACCACCTGGGCAGCGTCCAAAAGAGTTGATCGGAGAGCTCGCTACAAGGGAAGAGCTAAAAAGAAGATTGAATTGTTCCACCGCTATGAAAGCACTAATCACTGGCCCCATTGAAATATTTTTGCACAGGGAAAGGCTATGCGGGACGGCGAATTCTGACATTATGGGATGGATGAGCTGTTGGAAAAGCCAGTATTGACAGACATTGTGCGGGGGCTAATTGGAATATTAAGAAGGAAATTGGTCGATATTAAACTGGTATTAGGAGTATTGTAAATAATTGCACTATATCTAAACATGGAGGAATCAAAAACCATCATCGCCAGACTGGTAAATTGCCAGAATTGGTGAATGAGCCATTCATTTGTCCAATCTGCACACCCGAATTATTACCCTCAAACTTGATATACGTATTCCGATGAACATCACCGGCCTTAAGAACATTCACAATCGCTTTCTCATACTCAACATTGTGAGAATGAATCTTGTACAACAAGTCTTTAGCATAAACAACAGCTACCATCGCCGCATATCTCTGCCAATCCTTATTCTTGTGCGAATCAGCATAGTCACAGATGCCGCGGATAATCAGGCAAGGGAAGTGATTGACCAGCCCGGCTGCTTCCATTTCAAAGCACAAGACATCCTGCTCCTTCGAAAGTTGGTCCCTGATTATGGCATCTTTCATAAGATTGTTGGCGGATGCAATCAAGCCGTAATGAACCATCGGGTTATCCATATCCTTGGTGCGCTCGCTTCGCGAAATGAGATCAGATTTATTTATCCCACAGCTATCAACACAGTTCATCTCGCTATCGATGGGATGGACAACATTTGTTTTATATAGCCGGTCGCTTGCAGTATCAGGACGCGCAAACTTTCTTCGTAATCGTGGTTTATCTGCAAGGATCTCGGTGATAGTGTCTTCAATCCCATTGCCCTCAAGTTCGTATTGTGCTGCAAGCCCATTTACTGCCGTGAGGAGGATCGTAGGAGGCTGATTGACGAATCCTGTAGCCTTGAAGCTTTGGTCTTGTATTGTCTTCCCGAAGTCATAATGCAAGACACCACCCTCTCCATTATCAGGAATCCCAACGACGATATCTCCAAGCCGGATATCATGCTTCCGACTTGGTGCACCGCCACCTATCCCAACCATCAAGGCAATGCGAATATTCGGAAATGAATTTGTCATGCTTTCGGCTACACGAGCTGCCGATGCTGTACCATACTCTCCCATCGGTAGAACAGAGATGACCACGTTGTGATTCCCAATTCTTCCTAGGGTGTATTGGTCTTTGTTCCCAGGTGGTAAACGAACTGGCTCATGCTTCTCGTCTAGACATAGTTGGGCGGCAGTATACTCGGGAAGGATGGCGGATATCCAGCCAACGGTGTAGTCTTCGGGGTTCAAGTTGGACATTTTGAAATCTCATAGAAGGCAGGAGTCATGTATATGCGTTCGGGGATCTTCAAAGATACTGAATATCAAAACTCAGATCGAGTCGAAGAAGGCGGGCGGCGACTGGTTTTGGCCCCACGTTCACAGCGCCTTGGTATCGACAAATGTACGGCATTGAGGAGCTAGTCACCTGATAGTGAGGCTGAGATTTCCCCTCACTTGGTGCCGATCCTTCTAGCCCGATCTTGATCATTCTTTACGTTGCCCCGAGATATTTTGATCAGGACCAGAGAGGGGGAATCAATATCACGATGTATTATACATTGATAAATACATGAAACCTACAGGCCTGAAGAGTTGCGATTTGAATGTCCAAAATAGACCAGGTTCTTGATACCAATGCAACCAATACCAGCGCATTGATGAACCCCATGAATGATGCACCATACACGACTCAATTTCCATCGATCAAAAGCCATCAATTTCCTAGGATTATCACTGGCCCCACCCAAAGGATTCGATCCTCTTGTCCCCCAATAGTGACTGAAATATCCACCTCCAATGAATGGGTGTGTAGAATATACTACACATTGAGTCTGGAGAAATTGGAAAACGTAGCCTTTTCAAAGAAGTATCCTCGGCCTTAAGACCATTCGAGCGAAGAACAAGCTGGAAAATGTTTCCGATGTCGACTGGCTCCGCCTTTTCGCTCCAAGGGAATGGAACCGCTTCAGTGGATTCAAATGCCTTCTCAAGTCCCAGCTCATGAGTTTGACGCTCAATGTCGTAGGGAGAGTTAGCGGGTGATCCATCCACATAGACCATAGTCTTTGATACGATTGACATCTTGCATGTAACAAGACGGACCTCTGGGAGATATTCTTTGCCTTTGCTAGGTGTTTCTGGTTGTGAAAATCGAAGTTTAAGGGGAAGAATTGCCGAGTCGTTAAGGTGAATAGTCTGTGGTGCACTTATATATACACGGTAGTCGAATCTCGGGATCTTTAACGAGCCAAAGTATTCTGTGCCTTTTGTCGGAATGAAAGGTCCGTGTCTTGCATTCCAGGAAGAAGATGATGGCTTTGTACACGCCTTGTGAACATTTTCTCTTGAGATCCAAAGCCTTCAAATATGTCCGTGGTATGTCGCATCTTGACAAGACATACAGATTTCCATGTAAATGGTTTGCCACCGTGTGTATACTTTAGTTCCGCCTCTAGATATGCCTCAATGAAGAAAGAGGAACGAACACTCTGCCCGGAACAGCTGAAGCTTCCTGGCAAAGGGCCACTAACAAGTGCTTCATATTCTGATGGAAGCATTTGTTTCTTGGTCTCCCTGTCCCTTGTCGGGATATCAGGGGAGTCTGGTATGTGAAATTCAAAGGGCCAGGATATGGGCTCATCTGTAGCCTCAGAAAGATGTAGAGGTCCTTGGAAGAGAACTTGGGTTTTTGGGATCCAAAGTTGTCTATCAACGGCTCGGGACGAAATAGAAGGCATATGATGATGATGAGGGCCCATTGAGAGATCAGGCCCCATTGAAGTAGCATTGCGATCGATCACCTCCAAGTGCCCTTTGAGGATCAATCTTAAAGTAGCATCGGGTGTGACGACTGGCGAGCGACGAGTGACTGTGCCGATGATGGAATCTCCCGCGGCAAAAGTCCAGCCTTGTGGAGCTGCGATTTCGACTTTTAGGTCTGCGTTTCCGATGCTGAAGATAGGCATGTTGTACTTGTTGTCGTGAGATCCAGAGTTCGTGCTTCTTATACAATCAGAGTTTTTTTTTGTTGCCAAGACACGTGAAAACAAGCAATGGTGAACAGGGAAAGGCCCGTCAAAACCAAAACAAGATCATTTGATTCTGATGGAAATTTATCTAGGCGAACCTAGCCTCAGTCTTGAGTGGGTTTTGGGGCCGAAACTCTTGGCTCGAGAGATCGACAGGGAGTTTCATGCTCCATCTCAAGAAATAACCGAATCTTAGATAGTAGTAAGATAGAGTGACAATAGAGCCCTGAAGTGCTTTCAAATGACTTTTTCCAAGGTTTCTAACTTAAAATGGTCTTCAGGGCTTCCTTCAATATTGGTCACCAGGTCGCGAGTGTCAAGGGTCATACTGGCAGGTCAACGTCATTTCTGCACTTAAAGCTTGCCAAAGTCATTCGTTTCAAGTAGGATCCACCAACAAAGCAGCAAGCATGATGAGGCCCCCGAACCCATCCATGCCACCACACCACTCCTCCCAACTCGCTGCCATTCGTAAAGGGCTCACAGAAGTAATCGCAGAATGGACCAATCCCTCATCATCGGAATCACTACCTAGTCTAACAAGCTCTCCGCTTCTCGCCAGACCAAAAGCATTTCCTGCCGCAGGATCCCTTTTGTTCTCTAAGTCCCAGGACTGCTCGTCACTTGCCTCCCAGAGCTCCTTCTTAGATGGAAGTGGTGCCAATACTAGATCTGGGGGCAGATTGCACATTGTTGCAGGGTCAAAGTAGACCAGCATGTTCACCACTCGGTAAATGACCGCTAGTCTGCGTCTTGATTCCTCATAGAGCCAATCTCGCCAGCTTCGTTCGCGGCTGTAGTTGTTTGCGATGTCTTTTCGGGTAAGATTCTGGGCTATAATCTGTAGGCTGCAATTAGACATCGGAGCAGTAGTAGTAGGAGTAGTAGTAGTATTCGCGAAAAGCCTATAAATTTTAGACTTACTGTCACTGTATTGAGTAACAGCGAATCGAAATCATTGTGCTCCGTTTCACCTTCATCTAATCTGAAAAGGATATAAATAGACACAGACTGCATAGCCGCAAGCAGTCCCCAACTGGATAATTTCCAGGCCTAATTTGAATGATATATTAGTCATTAACCCGATTTCAATGGACTCATAGCAGACTTGACCTACCTCGCTACACAGTCGTTCGCACTCCATCTGTACATTCTTCCAGAACAGCTTGCGGCTTCCACTTAGTCCACTGCCCATCATATACACTAGACTGATGCAGTTGTCCAGTGCCTCCATCTCAGATGTCGTTGAGGTCTGGTTTGGATGGATGAATGGTGGAAGGGCATTTTGACGCAACATTGTCAGAACATAGGACTTCAGAGTATGTTGGATCAGAGTGACCGTTCTTTGTGTATCAGGTCGAGTTTTTGGTCGCTGATTGAGAGACCGAGAGTTTGAGCTTGGTTGTGAAGGTATAGACCAATTTACAGAGTGGGTATGGTCAAACAATGGCTCATGATCAGCAAATAGTCGCCAGCCCGGTGAAGGCTCTTGAACATTTCCATTGATTTCAGCTGTCAAAAATTCGTTGAAAACAATGTCTGTTATATCCCAATTGGGACGTTCTCCTTCGGTGATTGCGACGTGGTTTTCTAATGTGAGAAGGGTACCGTTCCCGCCTGTAACATCATGGTCATTCTCCTCTAGATGATCTTGAAAACATGAAGGAGTTAAGAGCGATGGATTTATCGTACGGCTCTGTTCATTTGAGGCAAGATGGCGGATTTGACTGCCTTTTCTTGCTTTTTCTGCTGACTTTGTGATGTAGCGACATTCAAGGCCCTTGACTTTGCACCTCGAACATTCAGGCTTCATCTTATCGCAGCGGACCTTCCGTCTGGCACAAAAAGTACATGATACAGGCTTCGAGGAGATACTAATTTGTTGAGATCGACAATAGTATCCATGTCTTTTCAGTGTGGATTCTAGAACGCTGCCAGGTTAGTACGAAGCGGTCATGGTGAAGAAAGCAGTATGTGAAAGTAAGAGTTACCCTTATCGAATGGTTTGTTGCATTCCGCACATCGCAGGACAGAGTCCAATCTTCTTCCCGACATTTTGAAAAATGAAGAAGTGTTACAGCGCAATGTAGGTCGAGATCTCGGGGCAGTTTGTTGGGGCTGGTCGACCTTATTCGACATTTGTCAGCTCGGGGCGGGCCAAATTGTAAATGCCGAGTATGGAATGATAATCCATCTTCCCCTTTCATTGATCTTTTTTTCAGCTGATGTTACTCTAGGAAATTGAATGCTCCGCAGTGAGATATTTGGGATTCAACGATGGTGACCATAGTGCCCTTCAAATTGTACATCTCCGCCACTGAGAGTCTGAGACCAGTGGCAAGTCGCATGTCAAACCATACTATTTAAGCAAGGCCATTTTTCCTCGAAGGGATGCTTTCTATTCAAGCAATTACCTCATTGCCTCTAGAAGACCGAAGATTTGCATATCATCTTACCTTTCACTCAATATGGCGCCTTTTCCATCCCCAACTACGACATGGCACACGGAGAGCTACCCATCCATCTCTCCCAACCGTCCTGAGCTTTCCGCCAAAGAAAAGAGTGTACTAGTAACTGGAGGTGGTACTGGAATCGGTGCAGAGACAGCAATATCCTTTGCACTAGCAGGGGCATCTCGAATTGCCCTTCTTGGCCGCCGAGAACAGCCCCTCCTTGATACCAAAGCACTCATCGAAGAGAAGTTTGCCAATGTCGAGGTATTCGTGGCCCCCACTGATGTCACGGACAAGAATCAAGTCGATACAGCATTTGCAAAGTTTGCTGAATCTGGGAAACTCGACGTTCTGGTTAGCGGTGCGGCCATGATTGGTCCCCAAGATCCGGTTCGTGATGTAGATGGTGAGAGGTTCTTGGTCACTGTCGATCAGAATTTGCGAGGATCTTTGTTCGTCGCGCAGGCCTTTCTTCGCCATGCATCGAAGAATGCAGTTGCCATCGATATCAATTCATCTGCTGCCCACGTGAATTTCGGCCCCGGATTTTCTGCCTACAATGTGGCCAAGCTGGCGGTATTCCGGCTTTGGGATTCTGTGGCTGCTGGGAACCCGGATCTGAGCATTTTTCATATTCAGCCTGGTATTGTGGACACAGACATGAATAAGGAAGCAGGAGGTGTGAAAGCTACCGGTATTGAAGATCATGGTAAGTGTGATCCTGAACCAAATGGGCCACATACTAATATTGTGTTAGTTTCTCTGCCTGCGCACTTCAATGTTTGGCTTGCTAGTCCCGAGTCTCGGTTCTTGAAGAGCAAGTTCTTGTGGGCAAACTGGGATGTTGATGAGCTGGAGGCGAAGGCGAAGGAGATCGAAAGCAATGACCTGCTTAGTATTGGGCTGGGTGGATGGCCGTTTCAAGATACCAACTGGAGTGCCACTTGGAAATCTTGATTGATGAAAGCTAGCTGTTAGTTTTGAGTATAGCTTAGAGAATTTTTCCCCGATGTGATAGCAAACAACTCAACCTTCACATCTCAACTAGCTCGAGTACAGCAAACATTGGATCAAAACTGTTCGTAGAAAATTGTGACTGCACTTGGGAGGAAAAACATGAAAATGCTGCTGATCCTCGGCGTTTATCTGCTCGCAAGACCAAGATAGACTCCATCCTCAAGTCAATTGATCGAGTCAATTGATTGCAAGCTACTCACTGAGTCTAAGACTCTGAGCCCGTAAAAGCGGCACTGGCTTAATTAAGCCCCACTTCCAAGGTTGTCATCAGAAGGTCCAAGCGCAGAGATACACGTTCTTCAATAGCGATGGTTATGATAGGACACTTCCATGTACGCTGAGTTCACTAAGCAATCGCTAAACCAAGTCGGGTCATGTGGTGGAGATAAATCCAAATTGTGAAGGCGCGATCGGCACCAGCATTCCAACGCGACTGGACTCCGCCTCTCACAGGGTTTTAGCACGCGGGGCCGCGGGTCAAGAGGCAATTTAAATGGATTAAATCTTCAGTGACCTTGAACAAGACCTTTCACCCGATATCCCCTCTTTTTTCTTTTTTCCTTTTTTTCTTGGTTCCGTTCATGATTCTGCTTTGATTTCCGTGATCGTGATTCCAACTGGCATGCGTTTGACTGGGTTTCTACGAGAGCTATGGATCAATTAAAGGACAGTGCTCTCTCCACTGTTGAGGTGGATCTTCAAGGTCCACCTCAGGGTCTCGAACAACTGAAGAAAATCGATAATATCGCCCCGGATCAGTTTGACGAGAACTATCACACATCCAAAAAGGAGATCTGGGCTTATTACTCGTGCGTTGCTCAATGAAGAGTCCAGGAACTGGGAGAAACTAAACACTCCTACCATCTAGTTATTACATCGGCAACAATGGACTCTCTCTTTTCAGTAGGTGCAATATTTTGGCATTCAATGATTTCCACCTTTGGTCCCAAAGGCGTCTACGAGAGCATCTAGCTAATGAGCTAATCTGTATAGACTTCGCACCCACGGCTTTCCAGAATTTGCTTTACCAAGCGGCTCCACCAGATGGAATGCTATACTTTATTGGACAGTCGCGTACTGTCAATAGTATTGTGCTATTATGCAATGGAATCTCCTTCGCGATCCAAGTGGTGGTTTTCCTAGTGATTGGAAGTTTTGCCGACTTTGGCCATTGGCGACCCAACATTCTAATCGGACTATCTATTGTCGCTTGGGCAATCGGCTTTGGTTGGCTCGGAGTTCATAGTTGGGAGGAATGGAAGGTCGGAGTTGGTCTCTACATTGTTGGTCTGATCGCTTATCAAACTACATTGACCTTCTGGACTGCCGCGTTCCCAGCGCTCGCCCGCAACACTGTTGAGATGAAGGAAAAGGCAGATGAATACAACTCGGGAATCATTACGCGCGAGCAATACAACTACGCGGATACTATGATGCGTAGTCGCTTGGCTAATATCGCCTTCTACGTTCAATCTGTTGCAGAGATATTCATTCTAGCTAGCATTGTTGGAATCATGTTTGGATTGGACGTTAATGCAAGCCAAGCAAATAACAACTGGGGACTGAGTGTGTTGATCGCTTTCGCCTCGGGTGTCTGGGTTCTTGTGGCCTTGCCATGGTTCTTTCTTGAAAAGCGCCGTCCAGGACTAGATCCAGGCAAGCGATCTATTTTCATCGCTGGTATATGGCAGCTTTGGCATGCCATGAGACAAATCTGGCATCTAAAGCAGAGTCTACTTTACCTTATTGGTATGAGTTCTCTTGATCTTTCAACCAACAATTGCTAATTGGTTCCAGGCTACTTCCTCCTCGGAGATTCGCTCAACACCACAGTTACAGTAATCTCTACTTTACAAAATAGTATTGTTTCCTATAATACTTTGCAGCTTACCTATCTTTTGATTGTCGGAATTGCGGCTCAGGTGAGCGTCAAACATTGGGATTTTCCATGGAATTTCTGACGTGATTCATAATTCGCAGGGTGTGGGAATTTATGCTTTCTGGTATATTCAGCAACGCTTCAAACTGGGGACAAAGACCATGTTCAATGCCATCGCTTTCTGCATCATCCTTCTTGATGGTTGGGGAATGATCGGTATCTGGACTCAAGCCTTTGGATTTCATAATGTGTGGGAAGTTTGGGTATGCCGTTCCCCTCCTATTATTAAGATACGGAATATCTGGTTAACTATTTGCGCAGGTCTATCAAGCTTTCTACGGACTCTTTGTCTGCCCCTGGTACAGCTACTCCCAAATTATGATCTCCGAGGTTACACCCCGGGGACACGAGTTCCTGTTCTTCAGTCTCTTCAGCATCATTGGAAAAACCTCATCATTTATCGGCCCAATTGTATCGAGTGCTATCATCGATGCTAGTCCGACTGGGAACACATCCACCCCGTTCTATTTCCTGTTTGCATTGAGTATATTCAGCTTCCTTATTCTGGTGTTTGGAGTGGATTTGAAGAAGAGTCAAGCAGAACAGGAGAAGTTCTTGTTGGATAAGATGCGGCGTCTCGAGGATAACGGCTCTGAATCATTAGGCAATAGAGCATGATCAATGTCGATGATCTGAATTTACGAAGGCAACTGGGCGTTATGGAGAGCAATACACGAAGACTCTATGCATGCACATGTGCATAAAATTCGATGTTGGTGGTTTCAAGTTATATGATATTACTCCAGGGCTGCTATTAGTATACACACATCGCAGTCTAGAACTATAACTTTCACAATTTAAAAATTATCGGAACCATTATTCATGCAATCATCAAAATTACTAAAGTCTGCCCATCATTCAAACATTGAATGTTTCCCAGGCTACTTTGAGATCGTCAGTTCGATAGGGTCCGAAAAATGATGCTTCATGTATTGGGCGAACAACGACCGAGTTGGTATCCTCTCGGCGCCGAGGTACTCAACGCTCGGCGCCGAAGCAAAATCCTGGCCTCTATATAACATTTGAACACTTGATGGGCTCAAAAATCTCCTACATATCATATCTGTCAATTTCTTGAACCGAAATATTTCTTTTTCTCCCAATATGTCTCCTATTGTCGCACGACCTGTTATTGTGGTCGGCGCCAGTCTGAGTTGGACTTTCCGCAGCCCTATGCTTGGCCTACCACAACGTCCCAACGATTGTCCTTGAAAAGCATGCAGGTGTTTCAAAGCACCCTCGAGCAATCGGATTCACACCAAGGACAATGGAAATATATCACTCAGTTGGCATCGAAAACACCGACCCCGCTCCGGACGACTTCAAGCTTGAACGGGCTCATGTTGAAAGTGTGACTGGGAAATGGCACAAGAACTCATCCTGGTCTGATACCGAAAAGCAACAGAAGACTGATGATGGGAAAACTCATTTTCAAAACGAAGAATGCCCAAAGGAAGAATACTCTGCTGCTCGTGGGTATGCCAATCCACAAGACAAATTGGAACCAATTCTTGAGGCACGAGCACTCGAAGCTAGGCGCGGATATCCGGCGCCAACATACACTTTTGAGTGTGGAGCAAGATGAAAATGGTGTGACTGTTACTGTCAAAGATCCTCAAGGAGTTCAACTTCACATCAAAGGGTCATACCTCATTGCTGCAGACGGTAACCGAAGCACGGTCCGTGAACTTCTGCAAATTCCACGCCAGGGCCGTGGATTCATGCAAACTATTCAGAGCGTCCTCTTCCGTGCTCCTCTCCAGCAATGGACAAGGGGTATAGTGCAATTTGATATCGACCAACCCAACTTGAAGGCCTTCCTCACATCTTATAGCGATGGTCGTTGGGCCTTAATGTTCAAAGACGACATCGAGCGCGACAAAGAGGTTCTGCGTGCAGCTATATACCAAGCTGTTGGAACCAATTCATTTCCCCTTGAAATCATCACCACGGCAAATTGGGAGCTCACAGCCCTTGTGGCAGATACATTTCAATCAGGTCGTATCTTCCTAGCAGGCGATGCAGCACACACTCTGCCTCCTAATCGTGGTGGGTACGGCGCGAACACGGGTATCCACGATGTACATAACCTCGCCTGGAAACTGGCTGCTGTGCTATCGGGACAGTCTTCGGCAGAGCTCTTGGAAACTTACGATGCTGAAAGGAGACCGGTGGCACTGCTGAGACATGACCAGATTTTTGTTCGTGCAGACTATAAGGTTCATTTGCAAACGGCTATGCCAGCTGGAGAAAAGATTGATGACGATGCGATGGAGTTTGGGCAAATTTATCTTTCGAAGGGGATCATCGGGTCAGATGAGTCCCTGCCTAAAGCTTTGAAGCCTGATGAATGGAAAGGTCAGCCGGGTACTCATTTGCCCCATTTTTGGGTTGAAATGAATGAAGGATGTCAGTCAAGTCTTGACCTCATTGGCTCCAATTCGTGGACCTTACTTTTCACGTCTGGAGAATGGGCTGATGCGGTCTGCCAAATCAATAAGAGGTCTCGCATTCCACTCAAGGGCATCCATGTTGGACATGGCGTTCGAGTTGTTCCTTCAGGGGACTTTTCCGCGTCGTTTGGAATTTCTGAAAATGGCTGTGTCCTTGTCCGTCCAGACGGGTACATAGCTTGGAGATTGACTGATTTGCCCTCCAAGTGTCAGCAAATGCTTGAAGACATTCTTGGCCAAGTCGCATTTCAAGCGGGTGATCTTGCAAAATAGCAGGACAGTGACCTAAGAAAGCTTTTTGTAGAAATCCGACCGTCTGACGTGAGCTACTGTATACTACTTAGAGTGGATAAGTGAGGATCACTACTATACATAGCAGAAACTCAAAGTTTCTTTATCTCAATATAATAAATTGAATTCTACTACAGCAGTTCGAATCATTGTTTTTGCGACAGCTCTTGCATCACAACTTCTGCATGGCCATCTTCTCCTGTCCTCATACTAGTGGGCTTGGATCACACATGTGAATTCTCTGAAATTATCCTCCGACTGTTCAACATAATAAACCTTTCCCGGAAATATTTCGGGCGCAGGTACCAGGTTCAACACATTCTCTGTCTCTCTAAAGGTTACCTGCGTCCTCCCACGATCCCTGTTGATCAGGTGTCTTGTACATCGGGAGGTTTCATGCGAATATCGGCTTTATTTCAGTGCAACATGCTTTGAGCCAGGTGTTCTTCTGCAGGTTACCGACTCTGTACTCAAGTGTTCTTCATGTCAGTGGTCAATGGCTCATATCATATATCAAGTCAGGATAACCTAAATAGTGCTTAATGGCATAAATCAGCCTACGGTAATTGATCAAGTTTCACTTATGGAGCCTTCCCGAACTTCGATAATGGATTCTGTAGTACAGCATATCCGGCTTGGGCACTTATGATACTTGGCTGTGGGAAGAGATTGGGTATAGCTCAGAACTACACTCTCAGTCGTGTATTTTCAAAGTTTTCATAGCTTACTTGTACAATCCCGTAGCTTCTCAATTTCCCATAGAGAGGGAAGTGATGGTCAAGTTATTTAGTCGTGACTCATAGCAAACGACTCGGACCATCCCATCTTTGACGTTTTTTAAGTAAACTCTTACTTTTTGATATATAGTCTCACCCTGTACCCCCTTCAATAATGCTATTTACACCAGATAGAGAGTTATAGGCAAGATATAGACTATCTATATGGGAACACACTTAGCTAGATGTAGTAGATCGTAACCGTGTGTCACCGTTGCCATCAAAGTTCCCACTATGTGCAGTTGATGTGATTTCAAGGTTATATTCGCTACCAAGTTTAACGGCACCTTCCTGATTTAGGTGTTAATTCAGACGAAGCACGACGCGTCTTTCGGTTGTTTACCTTCTCTCTCCTCTTTCTAATCTTTCCTTTTCCTTTTTCTTCTTTCTCACCCCCTCTTGAACTCTTCAACCTTCTGATCCTCTTTCAATCTCTTAGTCTTTCGGACTTTCTCTTCTTTTACCTTTGACTACCCATCATGGCAAGCACTCAGCAGCTTGTCGGTACCGCCGACCTCAATCTTATTGAGGCCCCTGTCACCTGGCGCGCTTACCTGATATGTGGCTTCGCCAGCTTTGGCGGTAAGATTCTATTCCGTGAAACATTGTTCTTGATTAAGCTGACATCTCCTCTCAGGTATCCTCTATGGCTACGACTCGGGCTACATCAGTGGTGTCCTGGGCATGGACTACGTCAAGGAACACTTCGGTGTGTCCCATGTCCCCAACAAGGATGATCCTTCTGAGTGGATCATTCCCAGCTCTCGCAAGTCTCTGATCACCTCGATTCTTTCTGCCGGTACTTTCTTTGGAGCTCTTATTGGAGGTACGGCTGCCGAGCGCATTGGCCGTCGTCTTACTATCATGATCTCTTGCTTGCTCTTCGCTATCGGTGTCGCTGTTCAGGTTGCTGCCACTAGCGTTGCTAGTCTCGTCGCTGGTCGTGTTGTTGCTGGTCTTGGTGTTGGCGGAGTCTCTGCCACTGTCATTCTTTACGTCTCTGAGATCGCCCCTCGTCGTGTTCGTGGTCTTCTGGTTTCGATGTACCAATGGGCTATCACTCTTGGATTACTTATCTCCTCCGGCGTTGATCAAGGTTGTAAGGACATAAACGATCGATCTTCTTACCGTATTCCCATTTCGATCCAGTTTGTCTGGGCTGCAATTCTCGCCGGCGGTCTTTTCCTCCTCCCTGAGTCCCCTCGCTACTATGTTGCATGTGGTCGAATGGATGATGCACTGCACTCGCTGGAACGAATCCGTGGTCAATCCGGTTCCAATGTTGCTGTGCAGGCTGAGCTTGCAGAAATCAAGGCCAACTTTGAGTATGAAAAGCAGTTCACCAGTACTTCATGGGCTGATTGCCTGAAGGGTGGATTGACTCCTCAAGGAAACCTCCGTCGCGTTATCACTGGTGTCGCTCTCCAAATGTTCCAGCAATGGACTGGCATCAACTTTATCTGTAAGTCTTTTGCCAGATGATATATCATTTTGAATATCATACTCCTTTCCTAACCTTATTTAGTCTACTATGGTACCACTTTCTTCCAGGAGGTGGGCATGAGCAACCCATTCCTGATGTCTACCATCATGAACATCGTCAACGTTGTTACCACCCCTGCCTCTTTCTACTTGATTGAGAAGTTCGGCCGACGCAGCTTGCTCATTTACGGCGCCATTGTCATGACCATTTGCGAGTTCCTTGTTGCCATCGTGGGTGTCACAAAGGAAGGGACTCATGCTGCGTAAGTACATGAACACAAGATCAACCCCTCAGGTCTCAAACTAACCAATCATATATAACATAGGAGCATCTGTCTTATTGTTTTTACCTGCTTCTACATTGCTGCGTTTGCTACTACTTGGGGCCCCGCTGCCTGGGTAGTCATCGGTGAAATCTATCCCCTCCCAATCCGCGCCAAGGGTGTGGCTCTCGCAACTGCTTCGAACTGGTTTTGGAACTGTATCATTGCAGTTATCACCCCATACATGGTTGATGAAAAGGAGGCCAATCTGAAGGTCAAGGTCTTCTTTGTCTGGGGCAGCGCTCTGTTCCTGTGCATTATGTTTGCCTTCTTCTGTGTTCATGAGACCAAGGGTCTGAGTCTGGAGCAGGTTGATAAGATGCTTGAGGAGTCTACTCCCATGACCAGTGCCAAGTGGAAGCCTCACGACACCTTTGCCCACGAAATGGGTATGACCAAGACTGAGCCTACAATGAGCCATGAGGAACAGAAGTCCGTGAATGTGATGGAGCGTAACGCTAGCGCTACCGTCTAGGATACTTCTTTTGAACAGCCTAATGTGAATGCGCATTACGGCTCACTTGCTTGAACCAATTGGGTTTTTATTCGGTTTTCTGGCCTATTTTATTCGGTTTTCTGGCCTAATGTTGCTGTGTGCCACCTGAGGAGTTTCAGGACTAATCTTACTACCTTCTTGGCTTGATTTTACCGGGCGTTCAATTCTTCTATTACCAACTTTATTCACTCTTTTATCTAGGAATTGAATTGTCTTTTTTTCGTTTTTGATTTGCATGAAAGAATTGATCATGAAATTCTCCGTAGTGATATTTAGTAACTTTACAGAACAAGGGTCTTTCTGCCCACACAAATGTTACAACAAGACGAGAGAAAGAGGATAATAAAGAAAAGTAAACGCCAATCCCATGCTCTGCCATAAAGCGCCGAAGTCCGAAAACATTGAAACCCACGGACACAGTTTTTGGTTTATTCCTCGTCGGAGGATGCATGCTTGGACTTGCTCTTCTTCTTCTTTTTCTTCTCCTTGTTGTCGGCAGCATCCTCTCCATCGGCCTCGGCGTCTCGCTTGCGCTTGGACTTTTCCTTCTTTTCCTTCTTCTCCTTCTTCTCCTTCTTCTTCTCTCCACCCACATCCTCCTCGGGAGCGATGAAATCCTTCTCGCGCTCGCGCATCTTCTCCTCTCGCTTGACGCGTTGCCGCTCGATGACATCCTCCTTCTGCGCACGATCCTTGGCCTCCTTGGACAAGAAGTATTCTCCAGACTCGATTTGCAGATCCACCTTGCTCTTTTCGGGCGCAGGGGGGAATGGCGTATAGACCTTCTTCGTCTTGTCGGTAACAACGTGAGGAACACGACGCTTGGAAAGCGTGCGTTTCTTAAAGTTGGGCAGGAATCGATCCCATGACTCGTTCGCCAATGTAGGGTCCTTAGCAAGTTCGCGCTTGATCATCAACTCCTTGATGTGGTAGATCGGGTGAATGTTCGCCATGCAGTCGTCGATGATTCGTCGCACTTCCTTCAATCCCTTGAACGGGCCCATGCAGGCGACTGTGTTACCCTGAACAAGAATGTAGGTGCTTGTGAGAAGTTCCAGAGCCTTCAAGGTTGAGCCGTTGGGACCCAGGATACGCTGACGCCGTTTCACGAATCGTTCCTTGTTGCGCACTTGATTACGGATCTTGATGATGTCACATGCCACGCCGTCGTCGAGGATCTTCATCGCTTGGGTTACGGGAACGCTACGCGCCAGGAGCTTGATCAAGTCACGGGCTTTTAGGATCGCGGCTGGGTCGTAGGTCTTTCGGGTGGTTTTCACGGTCATGCTACCCTCAACCAAATCCAGGGTACAGGCGACGCCCTGCTTTTCCAGCGCTTTGGTGATTGTGGGCCATGCTTCCTTCAGGTAGACTTCACGGTATTTAGGGAACAGGGTCATGAATGAGGACTCCTCGACGAAGTTTCCGGAGACATTGTCTTCGGGTTTGAATTCTTCGATCTAGTTTGCGGGTTCACCCAGGTTAGTTATGCCTGTTGCGGTTTTTGGTTTTGGGGGTTGATGAGAATGTAAGTAATTTACCTTCCATTTGTCGATATCCTCCGTATCCCACGCTTTTTCCTTGTTGTAAGTGGAAGGCATGGCGGCTGTGATTTGAAAAGAAGTGATGGGCTAGAAGAGCGGAATTGAAGCTCAAATCAACTTTTTTTTTCCCGTCCCCGCCTTTCCCTAATCGGGTAATCATACACCCTTATAATTCAGGTGTCAATTTCTTTCCATAGATTTGCTTTTGATGTCAATTTTGCCTTGTCGCGTCCAAGACAAATGTGGTTTATTATTTTTACTAATAACCGGTACACGCCATAAGCGCCAGACTATTGATTTCTAACGACCTCCTTATATCGAATGTCACTTTTGGTCTCCCCTTTCGAGTCTACTCTTTTGAAACGGGCCACTGGGCACCCATACAGTTATGCTGCAGGACTGGCTCTAACTGGCTCGAAGCAAAAGTCCATAGGCATTTGGAATATTCATTCATTTGACGACATGGTGTACTCCGTAACGTCGATGGCCATCCCAATGCCCCTGGATCGGGCCCTGTATAGCCCCCAAGGAGATCGTCTCGGCTAGCCCGTGTCTAGAATCCCCAGCCGCCATGAGGGAGATATGGAGGGAAAGGGTAAAGGACAGGGCCTGTTTCGTTCTCGACCGTTCTCGTTTTCTGTCAAAGTTGGAACGGGATTATGCATTGTCGCGCTGGATCCAGTGTTGACTCCTCTGGCTCCGTTGAGGACATTGCGGAACAGATTCTAATAGGGTGATGAGACCCGGCCCAACGCGCCGGGTAATGCCTCTCCTAAATAGGAGAATAGCAACGGGTACTAAGGGGCCCGAGCTCACCGTTTGGGTATCCTCCATCATGGCGCCCATCCTTAGCCGCAACTCCGGGGTGTTGTTTTCTTTGTACGGGGTATCTGGAGGTCTAGCACGCAAAAAGGAGGACTGTTGATTGATTCACCATATGGTATGAAGTCCATTTGAAACTCGATTGATTTCCAAGGTTGCTAGAACCAGAAATCAACATGAAGTCGCCAATATCGTAGTCTGTTGTAAACTCAAGGTGTAAAGGGTAGAGGGTGCCCGGGTGGTAATAGGGAGATTTTTTTGGAATCTCGAAGTCCCTCTCCCCAACTTTGAATAGTCAAAGCACATAAAATGAGAATTGGTGAAATTGGTAGGGATCAAGGAAGGAGAGAATGTGCACAGTCCCAAGTCCAGGCGCTCCATGCGCAATTGGTAGCTCATCTTCGGTTCTTGCCTTCCCGGTAGTTTGGGTCAACGTCCCCCCTCTTTCACTCTTCCACAGCTTGCTCCTTTTTCGACTTTCAGTCCATCTTTCCGCAATCAAAAGCGTCGGCTTGATCACAGGATATGGCTGGGGATGAGTACAGGATGCCTTGCGGGTTTGTCGAGATGATATGGTCGGATCAAAACCTCCATTCAGCCTCAAATCAACAAACAGCCATTTCAGGGAGCACGGTGCTGCATGGCTTCAGTCACTTTCATCCTATCCCCAATCAGGCACTCCTCTAATCACGGCATCGCAAAAGACAAATGTCTCTGATTGGTGAACTTAGGGCCACTCGGGACAACGATTAGCGCAGTTTCTCGACCACTCTCGATTTGCTTCGTGATCCTCCCGATCCGCTCAAAGCCCCGATCCGCAATGACGATCTAAACCACGCAACAGCTCTTCTATCCCACCATATCCGGGTTTGTGTTGGAGTTGAATACATTTTTGTCGCATGTCTGAGCGTACTACAGTCGTCTAGTACTATCAGCCAGGTCATATCTCCATCTTCTCCTTGTGCGACCATACACCCGGGTCTCAAAATCGACAATTCGGCACATTTTCCCACGGCACTTGAAAGTGAGCAGGATATCTATGAATAGGAGGACGGTCGAGAGAACAATACAAATGGCTCAATGTGATATTGGTGCGATGAGGAGAAATTGTTTCAACTGACCGTCTTTGGCTAATTGGACATGGATTGGCGTCTTGAAAATGCGACAAAACGCAGTGTAGTATCTGGAATAACCTCGCTACCAGATGTCTAAGTATTCGAACAACCTGTTCAAATGCCCCGAAAGTTCCGAGGTCAGCCCATGCCAGTGTCTGACCGGTCTGGCCCAATCCTCATGACGGCTTTCGGCCGATGCAAACATATCTGATCTTATCAGCGTCGGGAAAAGCCCTCATTCCAATAGCGGGTACGTACAGTGGAAAATATGCCTTAAGGGAGTGGTCTCTAGCTTCTCGCCGGGCGCGCTGTATCAATGACTCAAAATTCGCTGTGGGCATGTGTAACCGCTGAGTCAGGGGATAGAGTGTCAAGGATTCGAGCAGTTGCTGGATATTGTCATTATTTGACTGCCCGATGGATCGCATTCTTGCATCTGTCCCATGTTAGATCCCATCGGCTTGCTTTGTTCTCCTGTACCAACCAGTCGACCACGCCGATAATGGCAAGGGCATCATCGTTACATCCACCTCTTCGAATCCTGCCTCTGTGAGCAAGGTTCGTAGCTTTGACCCGATGCGAAGATCTTTCCTATCCTCCAAGGCACGCATATATTGCTTGCTCCATCTTCTCAGAGCATGCTCGTCGGTGATTGCACCATTGTCGGACTGGACGTTGTAGTAGATTTCGATCATCTGAACCCATCCTCCCGGCTTCAATACCCTTCCAGACCGAAAAGCAAGGAGTCAGCATGGAAGTTGTTTTCCAGAAAAGCTTTCGCCACCTCAGGAAACCCTAAAGGTAGCTTTGATGACTCTTGGGGTTGTTCGCACCTGAAGATGTCGCGGGTGAAAGATGGCCATCGAGCACGGTGGAGACCGGTCGCAAGGAGTCGAGACTGGACAAGGTCGAAGTGGTTTGAAGGAAATGTGAATGCTCGATTTAAGTCGTCAACCTGCATCGGGTTCGTTAGCGACCGTCGGCTCGTTAAACCATTCTCCCTGACGTGAGCACTGCTGGGCTATCCTGAAAGGGGCTGATTCCCTGGAAGCAAAGTTGGAGAACATCTCAACTGATTGTGTGGTAAAGCCAGTGATTAATATTAAAGAAAACAGAAGAAACCACTTGCCTGAAGCCAAAGATTCTCTGGAACATCATCTGGGCTCATGTGCGGGGCAATGTCTACACCAATGACCTGACCACAACAAGGGTTAGGCAGCTCAGTTAGAAACGGGGATCTAGAGAACACACTCACTTCGCAATTAGGATGCTGCTCTGCAACATCCACAGCCCAAGATGCGGCGCCATGGCCACAGTCCAGCACTCTTCGCAGTCTACGAATTGGAGGAAATATTAGCCGGTCGTCAAAAATCTTTTGAAAGATTTTCTGCTGGTCATCCAGCCGTTGTGCTTCTTCCTTCTCGATGTGTTAGTTGAAAGGAATCATGCGAAGAGCAACGATCATCTTACGTCGTCGATTGGCTCAAAATATGTACGGTGGTCGATCGAGTATTTCTGATACTCCCGACCTTGTACTGTGATGGTATCCAGAAATTCTCGATCTAGCTCTACAGTTTGTGAGTCAGGGTTCCTTTCAATTCAAGGATTCATATGTCAGCATTGATGGGACATTCCAAGGTTGGATTGAGAGAGAGAACAGGTGGAAGGAAAAGGCAGTTTCAGTACGTCATTTTAACCCTGAGTCTTTCCCTCCTGAATACCGTTCACAGAAAAGAGCAATTTCGGCTGGTATATGGAATGTGTATTGACTGATTCTGTGGAACAGTGGGGTAAATTCTCCGTGTCAAGGGTCACATCAACTAATAACCCCAAAAAGAATGAGGAAATCAAAGTGCTGCTGCTGCAATTTTCATGGATGCGATCGGGTGCCACTTGGGTGGAAAGGATGTTTGGCGGCAACGGTACACTCGGACTGGATGGCGGCTCGAGGATCATTCAGACGCTTCTTCGGCGGCTGTTAACGGGCTGTGTGAGGGGCTCAGTCTCATACAAGGTACGTACTAAACAAGCGTACAAATGACAGAATGGAGGACCAGTCCACCCGATCCAACGAATACAATCCGCTGTCGGTACCGACTCTTTTCGAATGTCAAACCTTCAGTGATGATCCCCAACTAAGCTTCAAATATTCCGTATGGTTGCGTTAAGATGGGGGCCCTTTTCTGTTGAGCTTTGCTTCAAATACGCCTAATTCAACGCGGCCTTCTGCTTTTAGTCTGCTCCGAAATGTTCCTATGATCTAAGAACCCTTGGCGAACTCCCTGCCCAGGTGGCCAGATATCCTGACTAAACACCAAACTACTTGTCAATATAGATATGCGTGACGAACACCTTTTTTTTACTCCCGAGGGACTGGGTCGTATATCGATTCCAACGGGCAAGGGGAGCAAAAATGGCGGGTCGGTCCAGTTACCGAGGAATGGTTCACAACGCCGGCAGGTTCCAGGGAAGTACCAAGTATCAGGATAGACTCGGCCCCGTTTTGTTGCTTAAGGCGAAGCTAACAAACCTTGGGACTAGGCGGCAGTGCCGTCAGCTAATGCACCGTTCGGTGTATCGCATATGACCTACTTTACCTCGAGGGTCCAAGAGCGCCCGACAGAGTGGATCAAGTGAAATTCAGTCCTGTCGGTACCGCAGCACGTCCCCGGTCCCGTCATAATGCATACATTGTATTTGCTGTGGCTTAACATGACTGGAGGTTCGAAGATGTTCAGCGGCTGAGGCGCCAGATTAAAGAAAACCAAGCAAATTCGGCATTTGACTACTTCTCAGACAGAGGAGCTACCCTTTCCCCTCTCTCCACGTTACCAATCTACATACGCACCTAAGATGAGGATGATGTAACGGAGACTTGGCTAAGTGCCCAGCAGACCCAAAAAAGGAAAAGGAAAAGAAAAAAAAATAATCAAAACCAAAAACTAAGAATTTTGTACCCATATCAGATCACGGATCGGAAGTCTTATGACCCCGTTTCCACAAGGCTAAGGGCCGAAGTGAGAGACAACGTGTGAGAATGTGAGAGAGAAGGAAACAAGTGGAATTCATAGATCGTGGGAATGTGGTGAAGAAATGAGGTAGATGAACCAAAAAAAAGAAAGTCTGCAGAAATCATTATTGGAATTCAAACCAGCCCTTGCTGGACGCAGGCCTAAAGCCCTGCATTCTACGGATTCCAGAGGAGCGGGAATGGATCTTCGTAAGTTCCAGCTGTCAGTCAAACCAAAAAGCAGCAATTGGCCCAGGAGGTCGGTGACAGGTTTACAATATCATAAAATGTTTCGCACGCAGAAGCGAGACCGAAGTGCTTCCGATTCTGGTGACCAATCTGCATGCAGTGCTGCGGACGCTAAGTGGCTTTCTCAGCTGGACACGATGGCTAACTTCCCCCCCCTCAAAACTGGAAGTGGGGTTGACCGGGTCACGATCAGCAACATCCTCGTTGGATGCCCTTCCCTCGGGACTCTTCTGGTGGATTGATTCATTTCCGTCATCTTCACCGCTTGTCTTGACTATTACCGTGGTTTGATTTAAGACAATAGAATGTGAGTTGACCCGAATTTGCAGATTCACTACGGAGAACTGAGTACAGGGATGTTGGGTTCCTGAGGGGCTACTAATGTAGCACCGAATACATGCGAGAACCTATCATTCTTGTCTGCCAATAGCTTCTTTCTCTCTCTCTCTCTCTCTCTCTCTCTCTCTCTCTCTCTCTCTCTCTCTCTCTCTCTCTCTCTCTCTCCTTTCCTCTGTGTGATAGAAGAATCGGAATGCAGAGTTGAATGATGGCAAACTGAAGCGGAGAAGACACCCATCCCGAGAACCCAGGCTACCGTGGAGATTTGTGGATTCTTTTCCTCGGTGTCCACATCAATGTTTCTTTTTTTCCAAACTACCGGGATCTATGACCAAACCTCTCCTTTGTCTTTTATCCAAGGTAATCGGCAGTACTGTACTCCATGTATTTCCAGAGAACGGAGTACATATTGACTCATCCAGCTAGTCAATTCTCCGATTCGGAAACCCAGCAACTTAATATTACGGTTCTTGGGTTCCATCACCATGACAAATTTGGTATTATGATCTGATATTGACTAATGTGAAAAAATAATAATAATCAGCCCCTGCTCGATGAGTTCGTCGATGACGACACTGAGATACACCTGGCCTTTGAACCCGTGTTAAATCTGCAAACTGTAACAGCAGGATTGAAGAGTCTCCATTCAGAATGAAGGGTGATGATGTGGCCCTGGTCCTTTTTTTTAAGTTTGCAAGTGCATACGCCCCCAAATGTGCCATGTGCTCTTCCTCAATGTTGGGTTCCTTTATTTATGAGCTCTTCACATTGCTTTTTATCATTCTCCATTCTTCAAATGTGGAATGATACCTAGGTATGTGTCATTTCCCATCTGAAACGGATATATTATTTTACTAACACCGAATTGGTATGTTCATGCATGTCCCATGGGGCAGAGAGGGACGGCCCCCTCCCGAAAGGGGGGAACATAGCATCCAATGCGTCGGGTCCGGCAGGGATATTTGTGCATTTGGGTCACGTCCGGGGTTGCAAGGTTGCTGTGAGGCCGTTGGGTCTAATCCCAGCACCATGGTTCAACTCTCGGGAAGACAGGCCCTCACCTTCGGGGGCGACCAGCGGCTAGCTCCGTTAGCGTCGGCTCACGGACAATATACTTCCCCTTACGGATCCCTGTCCACCTGCCCAGGTGGGCAGCATTGTACGGAGTACATGCATTTTACACGGAGTAAATTCGCATCTGGTTTTGGCAATTGTTACGTGTTATCTGTGCAGCGTGCTCTCCATCTTGATCCAATATTGACTCTCCACTTTAGTACCCCTCTAATAACTTGAAACTTGCTTTTTTCCCCCTCACTCTTGTCTTCATATTTGTCTTTCTAGTATTATCCTAGGAACCTTCAAATCTATTTATAATATTCCAATGTCATCTTCGTATCTCCGTATTAAGGTCCATTGGATATCTAACTGATCCCGAAGCCTTGCCACCTGGGCACGAATGATCGAAACTAAACCAAAGATCCATGAAACTCAGAGATTTCAGACCCGACAATAAGGATCAAACAGTGGAGCGGGAAAGGATCCAAAGGATCCCTTCTCGAAAAATATTTCCAAAATTCCCAGCACACCAGCTCGTTCTTTACAATCTAGGTAAAAGGAGAGAGAGAAAAAAGGGGGTGGAGTCCACAAGAGTTCCACGTAGGAACTGGGTCAGAACTTTTAATCCAATCCATCAATGCCACATATTTACATAGTCATGATCAACTTTGAATATTTTTGAATATTTTTGAATATTCCGTCCAGCAAGGAAAATTGTTATTTTCTTAGCGTTCCATTGGCTCGGGTTCTAGCCCCCCCTCATTCAACCCACTATAGTGGGCTGGAGCCGATCTTCTGTCGTATCGAGCATAACAATGTCGTGTTACTTTCTTTTTTTTTCTTTGTTTTTTCCCTAGGCTCCACTACTTGACACTCCGTCCAAGTCCTACTGGACTCGGAGTACTCCGTACTCGGTTGAAGATATATGAAGCGGCAGACTGATGCAAGGATACACTTGCCTTATCCTTGTTTGTATTTACGCCCTGGTCCGCTGCTCCGTTTTCTCCGACTCACTGCAGAAATAAAGACTGGATTATACCTAGGTAAATGACAATCCATTGTTTTGATGATGATTTCTCCATGCACTTATAAGCTCTATCGCATCTGGATATTTGAAGCAAGACCTTGCCAGTGAAACTCAAACCTCGGGTCCCCCGCTGAACCCCTTGGAAACATTTGAACTTGAATTTATAGTATCTCAACCCTTGGAAGCGGGGTCTACAATCTCCAACTTGAAGGCTCTAGCTTGAACATTTGAAAAAATAAATTACTTGGTCAGAACTTGGAGGGTTCATCAATGTATTCTGCCTATATTAATGTTTCTGCCGCCTGCCACCTGGGCAGTGGGCAACCTCCCAGGTGCCCGAAGTCGCAACTTACATACAATGTTGAACATTTCATGAATTGGAGATCCATCTCGGTGAACATTTGAATACGAGGGACACTCGCTTAACCTACTCCAACTAGGTATAAATTTATCATGGATTTACCGGTATTAGCATTTGAGTAATGTGACCCCAACTTTGCGGATAATAAAGCACAGCCACTATATATCCAGACTAGTACTATGATATACTACGAGTAGTACTAGTAGTTTATCATAGTACTCTAAACTTGAAATACAGTAGTACTACTGTACTACTTAGCACATTAGTCCGAAGGATTACGTCCTCAAATGCACACCTGGGCAGATGCATACATATACATTGGTGGTAGGTACCTAGTATGGACGTGGGGCTTCGTGGGAGATGAGTGTGCCGAGTTGCCACGTCCGAGGTACAGTAGCGTATGAACACCCTGTCCTTGCGGGTCTAAATGCTCGGGTGGGCCAGACCCAGTGCTCTGGGCCGGTGTGAGCTCAAATGGTCCACGGGTTTATTGTACACATGTGCATTCTTAGCTCATTCTAGTACGGCTTGGCTACTACGACTGAAACTTGAAGATCCACCACGGGTACAACACATGTAACGTGCAATCTTGCCAGTGGGTTTCGTGGCTTGGAGATTATGATATTCCAAATGTTGTATATTAGTATGCAGTATGGAGTATACAGTATACGCACCGGTGGCTTTGTGTTTGATTTCAATGTTCATGTAGGGGCCTTATTAGAACTTGAACATTGAAAGACTCGAATTTTTTCAAGTTGTTTATTTAAATTTCAAGTTGTGAGTAGTATTTCCACTGGTAGTAGGATACTCATTGGAATTCCAAATTTGAACGTTGTGGACTAATATTTATTCTGTCCAGTCGAGAATTTCAAGTTAGAAGGACCAAGTTTGAGGGGCTATATGGACAGGAATGAAAGGCTCTAGTAATAGATTATGTTCAAGACCTTGTGGCTGTTTGGTACTAGCCATTTTGTGGATGAGTATTCCAAATCATTATCAAGTGGGGCATTGGCACTAGACATGAATATTTGAAGGTAATGTATGGAATATAATGCAATATCATGAAATAAATTAAAATGAACTTATGGAAGACTTATAGTCTTGGATATATGGGTGGGGTTAGTAATGTGACAAGATGAACCATTTAAAGAAAGTGAAGATCCCTTATAGTTAAGTTGAGGGGAGAAAAGTCAGAAACTCAGCCCTGCTGGCCTAGTTATCAGCGGTCTTTGACTTACCTTGGCGGGAGGGAGGAGAGGTAATGATCAGGAAGGTCTGGCCCTGCTCAGTGGCTGAGTAAACCCCAGAGGGTGGGCGGGAATCCTACTACGGGCAGGGGACAAGAAATTTTCTAAATTTTCGATATTTTTACATAAAATAATTTTAGAATCGCTCTTCCCATTGATCCTTCAGAAATCAAAAATAACCCAGAATGAGTGAGATATCGAGGGTGTTGTGGTGGTTCTGGGTGTATCAAGTGAGGTTATTCACAGCATCTCCCCTCTCACTTTGATTCACACTTGATTTAGAAGTCCTAGGTTTAATCCCAGCTCTTGTCATATTAATTTAATATTTTCTCTCAATTCACTTGCCCATGGTGCTTACCTTTGGTTTACATACACAGCCTAACACTACCTAGGTAATTAATTCAATAGACTTACTACTTTCTCAACAACTTCTAGTCACATCAGTGATCACAAAGACTGCAAGCAATTAGGAAAGGCTTTCAATATCAACTTAAAGACAGCTACTTGATTTAGCTTAAACAAGCCTCCAAGATTTCTACTAAGAATCAGTCAAGCCTTCGAAGATTGCCTAGGTGTTAATATTGCTTGCCTTATTATCTACGTAGTCATGGTATATAGTAAGATTGAGTACCTACCCAGGTGGTTAGATAAGATCCATCCAATATAGAATCGTCCCATACATTGAGTAGAGTAGAAAGTATCACGGAATAAAAATACAGTTCAACGATAATAAAGCAGCTTGCCAGTGCTATCCCCGCCGAATAAAGTCTGATTAATGCAGATGTTCCTTGACCGAATCAACCTGATCAAATCCACGATTACCGCACATCCTCTCGTCCCGTTGTGAATTTGATACTCGCCGCTAAGATTTGCATGAAAGTATCAATTTCCGCATCATTCCGCGGTGCATAGATGAGCAGGTATTCGACCGGGACATCCGGTCTCGTTCCGAGACTTAACCACGTTATGGCTGATGTACCTGAAAAGCCGTGTCGTTGACCCCAGCCTGCCTCGATGACTTTCTTGCCTGAAAGTTGTTAGAATAGCCTGACCAGCATGAAAAGTACTCTCGAATGTGAAACTTACAATCCGCAGGTGATAAACAGAAATGCGCTGAGTGGTCGCCACCGTTGTGTATGTGTGCCAATTCACCATTTGTATGCTTTGCAATTCCAAAGGCGGCTATGTGATCAGCGAGGAAGAGGGCATCGGCATGTGCCTCTTGAAGTGAGCGTGACCATTTGACTAGATGGTGATTTCGAAACCCGAAGGCCTTGAATGCTGCATCAAGTTTCTGTATGCGATAATTCCAAGTTAGTTGTCTTTCTCATAACTATGCGATACCTCAAGTTCGTAGTCCTGGAGTTGAGCCAACTCTCAATGGTCTTGAATTTGACAACACTCAAAGCCAGAAAAAATGAATCAGCAAGACTCACATCTCGAATTTCGTCCTCTGGTAATTGTGTTAATTGTCTCTGAGGTGCAACATGCGGTCCCACTATCGGTCGATCTGCGATCGGCCTCGCTTGCTCTGGCGTAAGATTCAAGTACCCTTCCCCACCAGCGCCATGTCCCTCAAGCGCATCAACCCGCTGAGTGTAAACCTCAGTGTCAAGCATTTCGCTCATAAATGGCTGAAATAGTGTGCGCACGACGACCCAGCCGAGTAAATTGCTCGGAGGGCCGCCTGGTCCATATGATATAAAGATTTCATAGTCGCGGTAAAGAGCTGGGAGCACGAGTGAGGTACCGACAACGGCGGTTGTACCTAGTACGACAGCTAAGCGCTCTTGCTGGCTGTGTGGCAGACGAATAGGTACTTTTGATAGAGATGGGAGATGTTTTGTGATTTGATCGATGTAAGACATCTTTTTTTTGGCTTTGTCGGAATAAACTCCGAGTCTCCGACCTGAAGTTTCCAAAATATGGGTGAATCCGGGGTTGAACTCGTATAGGCTCAAGATGTGGGGTGTGATGGAGAAGTGGATGAGTGTAAGATCCAGGGGTCGAGTTCAACTTGAAGTTCTTTCACAGGATTTCAACATTTGAAGAAGTAATGACGAGATGCGAGGAGAGCGCCACTTATATGCTAGTAGCTCGCGGCGGGGTTATGTAGCTAAGGATCCGAGTTGTAGCGGGCCTAAACTAGTGACTAGTCGTGAGTCAAGGCTGTCGGAGTGCGAACTCACCGACTTCAAGTTCCGGCTTCCATGGTTTAAGTTGTGTCTACGGGTGAACTTTCGGATATGTACGGAATAATTTGTGGAGATATTGTAAATCTTTCATCTTCTCATAAGGGTCCTCCATTCTCTAATTTGGAAGTTTCTATTCTCATCACGGAGATCCACTATGGGCCCCACATCCCTTGAGACTTCAAGAATGTCTTGCAAGTTACGGCTAAATATGGCCTGATAGGATGGGGCGGTAAACTCGCGAGGCCGTTCGGCTCAGTTCGCGAATATGGATATCTCTGTTAAAATCCCGATACCGAGACTGATGGCAAATATGGGTACGGAGTACAAATCACCAATTTGTGGTGTTTATGAGTGCGGTGTGAGAGAGATTAATACGATAGCACGGCTGCAAACCTGCTGCGGATGTCGTCATTTCTCAATCTTCTTTGCTGATCGAGCTGAGGGAGTGTGCTAGCTTCAACAAAACAACACTCTCAGTGGCAGCGAAGTAATTCAGGCTATGATTTTTTGGATCATCAGCAAATTTGTCAGAGCGATTTTAGTCAATGGAACTAACCTGTCCATTAGAATCCGGAGGTGGCGGTTGAAATGATCCTCATATCGCTTCAAAGTGTCCTCGAGCTTCCCGATTCGGGTTGGATCATAGGCTCGAGCGTCGTCATCTGGAGCCTTGTCCCCGGACAGATCCGGGTCTGCAGAAGCCAAGGCTCGCGTAAGGGATGCTGCAGTCCACGATGCAAACATAGTGCAACAAGTCATCAACTTCGAATGAATCTAAATGAAAGTAATTAGTATCAACACCCAAAAAAGACATTGTAAAGTTTCGCTTACCTTCAGTAACTTAGCCTGTGTAAGCATACACTCTTTCAAACAAGTATCAAGGAAGTCCACATGATCCTGCATGAGTTCATCAACTGTTCGGTTCACCTGCTTTGTGCCATTCACCGTCACTTCTGACCCCTCGGCATCGGCCCCATTAACCCGATCCATCAAGCCCACCCAGTTGGGCTCAATAACTTCTGCAGTACAGAAATACAACAGTTGTTGAACAAATACAAGCATTTTGGCTCGCAGATTCCACGCCCGCCGTTTCCAGATTTCGAGCCGTCTATCAGAAGATTTGTGCCGCCAGCTTGTCAACTTATTTTGATCCGCCCAGGAGGTCACCAGTAATGTTTCCAGATGGCGCAGAGACAAGAGATGTCGGAAAATTAATTGATAGCGCAGCACAGTTTTTCGACTGATGACCAGAGAAAGTGGGAATGGCACCGTGTAGTCCAGCTCCAGTGCATCGAATCCGACAATATCTTTTTCCTCGTCCGCCGCCTGGGCTGTAGAGACCTGCTGCCTCTCGAATGCTGCCTCTGGGTGATCTTGGTCGATTCCAGAGACGCTAACAACTTGCATCAACCACCTGGTAAGACCGATCTTGTTCATCCGGACCTTGACGTCCTCCTTGAATGGATCGTGAGCAGCGATACTTCCTGGTTGACGAAGTACAATATCGAGGAGTGATTGAAGTTTTCCCTCGTTGACAGCCCTAGCGGGCTTGCGCAGTTCAGACGCACTTAGTTCAAGGAAAGATGAAAAGAAATCGGAACGATCCAGGAAAAAGTAGTGCTTGAGAGAGCGAAACCGGGTCGTCAAGGAGTTTTTCGTAAGGAGGAGGTTCAGTAATGAAGCATTTGCGTAGGTGTAGGCGGCATTGACGTTATCCAAGAACCGAGGATCATCGAGTGTTTTGGGCACATCCTTGACGGCTTTGCTAATATCAACCCCACCACATTCTCGTACCACATTCAGGTATTTGCCTGCAAGCAGTACCTTGTCTCGAACACTGTCAAGTTGTGGTGGGACCTCGTCATTACGAATCGTATAACGCTTTTCCCAATACTCGTCGGTATAGTCTTCTTCGAGCTTCTCCCGCTTGATCCATTTCTGCTCTTTGATCAGGAATTCTCCATGGGGATCTTTGATGGCACCATGATGAAGCCATTCATTCAACATGTTCATGTATGGTTTGCTGGTTTCGCGCAGCAATGATTGAACTAGACTTTTAGTGGTAGGATCACCGGAGAATGTAGCCAAGCGCTCGGTGAGCAATCGGAGAACATTCCCGCCTTTGCAGATCTTCTTGCTCGCCATCGCACCGGGCACCAGATCGCCACCTTCCTTAAGCTGTTCGAGAATGTTATCGACATCGTCAAAATCATCAATCGACTCATCTTCATCCGGGTCCTCCAGAAGGCCATTACGTCGGAGTAGTTCCTGGCCCAAAGAGTATAGTTGGGCAAGACATTGACCCGTTGACATTGTGTGGAGGTGGAGTTGATGAAGAGTGAAAGTTGGATTGTTCAGCAGCTGGCCTTCGAGTTGAGCGATGAGGATCAAGTAATCCTTCAGTATCTTGCGAATAGATGCGCAAAGCGCATGGCTAACCGCGCCATACTCAGCGCGACTTTGGATCTCCACAAACGCTTCCATTGCGCTGTAATGCGTTGCCATTTTCAACATTGATTGTGTAAGATCTCGCAGAGTCGGATCGAGACCAGGGGCCAATTGGTATACGGGACCAGTCAAGCGGTCTTTCTCGACTGATGGGTTATAGGAGCTATGGTAGTGGATGTATTGGCCTTCGAACCCCATGAATACAAACAGTAAATCCTCCAGAACCGCATTTTCCTGGGCGTCAGGTGAAAGATCTCGAAGTGGTGGCGGGCATAGTGATTGCGGAACTGTTGCAGCTGACGGAGGAACAGAGACACGACAGGCGAGGGGGGCAGTAGAGTGAGGAATCAATGAAGCTTGTGGATCCCATGGTACTATAGCAGATTCCATCTGTTAGCCCTTGTTACAAGCGCAACGCGGGAAGAACATGCGACGCGATACACATTCCATGAAAGAAGCTCACCTGTAACTTCGTCTTTTTCTCGTCGTCGACCCCCGGGACTTGCGCCGTCCATCTGACTGGGATAGTTGGGTCGAGACTTATCGCGATCACCGCGATTAGTCGCACTAGACGACTCCTTGACGGGATTCCTCCGCACCGACCTATCTCTGGTTGCTGTGGATCGTTCGGTTCGCTTTTCTGACATATTCCTCTGATCCCTGAGACAATCTGTGCTTCTGACTTGCGGTGCTGGAGCGCAAATTGTCCATGTTGTCGTGTAGCGGCGATGCGCCGCGAGGCCCAGCCTCGACGCGATTGGAGACGACGCGGGGTCGTGGAGCGTTCATGTAGCTGGCACGGTCATTGACGGACATAGTCCCAACAGGGAGCAGAGCGAGGCCCTAAGCCTAGACGACCTAGGTCGGAGTAGTAGTAAATCTGAGGATCCTCGATCAATTAGAAGCAATTGCAATCATTCAAGATCCAAACAGACCCGTGGAAACTCCACTTTGCAACCCTTGGGCAGCGTTGGTGCCTTGTAGCCTTATTAATTAGGTGTTTACAAGGTGTCCACCAGGCACTGATGACTTGCGTAGAGCTTCCGCCTCACTTGAGCTCCATTGCTCCCCCATCAATCCCTCCATCCTTGATACCCTCTCTTCTCTATATTCTACCTTTTCTTTATTGATCTTCCTGTGAACCTACATCCTTCAATATGTTCATTGCCCGCTCTGAATATGGTAAGCTCCATCACTCTGGTACCAACACAGCGACATCACTAACAGCTTCGGAATAGACCGTGGAATCAAGTACGCATCCTAAATAGAACCTCGCGGGGTCTCCAATCCAAAGTTTTTGTGTCTAACAATGATGCGTCAAACAGCACCTTCTCCCCTGAAGGTCGTCTATTCCAAGTCGAATACTCCCTCGAAGCTATCAAGCTAGGTTCAACAGCGATCGGTGTATGTCTGCCTCTTCCATTATGAGATGCCGATGGATTCCCTGGAAATACTCTCTTCCTCTTGTTTGGGGGATACTCCTCTATCGACCTTTCCACTGACATAACTCAGGTCGCAACATCGGAAGGTGTCATCCTTGGTGTCGAGAAGCGAGTCACATCCACCCTGCTCGAAGCATCATCCGTCGAGAAGATCGTCGAGATTGACCAGCACATCGGCTGTGCTATGTCCGGCCTGCAGGCTGATGCCCGCAACCTTGTTGAGCACGCCCGTGTCGAATGTCAGAACCACGCTTTCCACTACGCCGAGCCACTACGCGTCGAGAGTACCACACAAGCCATTTGCGACTTGGCCCTTCGATTCGGAGAGAGCGGTGATGACGAGGAGAGTGTAATGTCCAGACCCTTTGGTGTCGCATTGTTAATTGCTGGTTATGATGAGGATGGCCCTCAGCTGTATGTGACCTGAATTTCTTCCCCGCTTCCAAGGTGGAGGTACGAGTGACTAATCATGTTTTCTTCTTCCTTAATAGATATCACGCTGAGCCCTCGGGCACATTCTATCGGTACGATGCGAAGGCTATCGGTTCTGGAAGCGAGGGTGCGCAGGCGGAACTGCAGAATGAATACCACCGTTCTTTGACTCTCGCCGAGGCCGAGACGCTGGTTCTGAAGACACTGAAGCAGGTGATGGAAGAGAAGCTGGATGCCAAGAATGTGCAGCTGGCCAGCGTTACTAAGGAGAAGGGATTCCGCATCTACAATGATGAGGAGATGGGCCGGGCTGTGGCACAGCTGGGTGGAAACCAATAGAGGATTTAGTATCTAAGTATGGAAAGTTAGGCTGAACGGAGCTCGATGAGCATCATTATTTTGGCATTTGAAACTAAAGGCGCTCATTACGTAGAGCATACAATGTGACGCCTACTACGTAAAAGGATATGGTTACGGCCTTCTAGTGCGCGCTGGCATACACTACCTAGGTAGTCGTAGTAGACTCGGGATCCATAAGGCAGAAAGTCGTAAGCTTCAAGTTAAACTGGAGCAAGACTGCCAGTGGACATGAATGTAACAGGTAGTAGAGACTCGGAAGCACTCAAGTGCATGAGACTTCAAGTTGACCGGTTGACCTAATTCTCAATTTCACTAGTTGAGCTCACTGACAACTGTGATTCCAGCCAGCCACCTGGGACATCAGGTACATAAGCACTATAGGTACTAGTACCTAGCAATATTTGAATTTTAAGGGAAATTTTGAATATTAAACTAGCCCTTTAGTGCTCACCTGCAGATGAGTATCGTTATTAATCTGCAGTGCTTGGCTACCATACGCCGTTGAGAAACATGAGGCCGCTAAGCTAGGCCCACTCTCTTCACAGATTACAGAGCGGGTCCAGACATCTGGAATATCCGATATGTTTCGGAAGATGCTTAATATCTCTTGACATTCTTGCCTTTTTTAGTCAAGATCAAGTAAGCTCAAGTCACAGTTCTCTTCGTGAGTTCTATGTTCTATATACGAGAATGTATCACACCTTGTTTTGGGATCATGCAGTACAACCATCCACCAGGACAACGCTAACTGCATGATTCCTTACCCTGCTCCACGCTCTATCATTGGCTCTGGACCCTTTTTCAATCTAGGAAATGAGCAATCTAAGCAAGCCACCTTTGGGGGACAAGCCTCCTGTCAGATTGTATCCTGCTGAATGATTAAATGTGGAACAGGGGGCATTTCCCCTGTAGATAATCAGCCCCATATAGCCACAAAGCTGAAAAACTTTCCTTCACAAAACCACGAGGAGAACCTTGGAACATCTCACCATGTCAAAGTGGTCGAATCGCGGGTGATCTACGAATCTACGATAGCTCGGCAGTGATAGCCCTGTCAGTGTGGAGTTAAATCGGATCGGATCCAGAACTCCCTCGGCCTTTTATCCCTCCGTTTTCTTTCCTGTTTTTCATTTACTTCCATTCATGTTCTGGCCCCCGCCATGTCTACAATCGAGGCTTGCAATTACTCACACAAACAGGTTTGATTTCACGCCATGTCAGACGACGAGCAAGATTCCGGTGGTGAGAGCCGTTCCGCGGAGCCGAGGAAGCCCCGCAGACTCCCAAAGAGGCGCACCAAAACAGGCTGTCTGAGTAAGTATGGTACCCAGATCCAATGGCATATCCATATTGACTCACTTAAATAGCTTGTCGAAAACGGCGCATTAAATGTGGCGAGGAGAAACCTATATGTAGTAATTGCGTGAAGTCAAAACGCATTTGCGAAGGCTATGCCCAGCGAGTGGTTTTCAAGAACCCTCTGGGGATTCTGGGACCCTATGGTCCACCCCAGGTTCTTGATCCACAGATGATGCACCAGCCGCAACGAGTCGCGCTGTATAATGACTATAATCCTCTACCGCCTCAACAGGCGGCAGCTGCGGCGCAGCATCCTATGCTAGCTCCGCGACTGACAGAACCCGTGCCGCCTGGATATCCATATCATGATGTTACGCCAAATGCTGCATCGACTTCTTCAGTGGCAGGACCGTTGCCTCTGATGGAGATGCAGCAGCCAGTAGACTCTTCACAGTTCTATTACCCAGCGCCTTTGGTGCAAGCTCCTCCACGGTGGCCAAGTCAGTCAACAGAACGAGGCCCGGAAGGATCTATATCCTCTGCTTCAAGCGAATATACACGTCGTCAGTCGCAGTCTATCATCCAGGATCAGTTTGCCATCCAATACAACACAATGCCACCTCAGATGCCGCAACCTATTACCGACTGGGCAAGCATCGCATCGCAGGATTATAGCAGCAACTTGTATCAAGTAAGTGATGTCGCCGATGATCAACTGTTCCCCGGGGGAGTCTTGCTAATATAATACCCTATCCAGTCATATCATTCATCCACTGCAGCTTACCCATCTCAACAGTCTCTACAGCCTAATGTCCCGGCACAATTTATTCCACCTACTCAACCCCAGGTTATGTACGTCGAAGATGAAGCCGAAGACTATTTCGATGTGGAGTCAGACGACGAAATGACCGAACAAACCCAAACAGAAGGCTTCAATCAATTGAATTTGATCATGGCTTCTGCAGCGAATGATGATCGTCGACTCCGGTCTTTTACTACTCACCTGAACGAACCGAACATCCTAGCCTCTTATTACCCTAACCTGGGATCATCTCCACTGAATAACCCCAAGACAGCCCGAATTTTCGCACATTTTATCCATTCAACCGGTCCATCTTTGTCGATATTCGAGCGGCACCCGACAGACTCCTCAATTATGCTGGGCGTGCCTGTCCCTCCCGCCCAGCGAGGCCTGTGGACATATACCCTTCCTCTGAAAGCTTTGGAACACCCATCTCTTCTCCAGGCTATTCTCGCAGTTAGCAGTTTGCACATTGCATACCTGCAGCAAGCCCCCACCACCGTGTCTTTGAAACATTATCACTACGCCTTGAAACGCATTGGTCATGCCGTTGGTCTCCCAATTCGGCGAAAACAGATTGGAACTTTTGCCGCCACTCAACTCCTGGCATATTACGAGGTCATGTCCGCCGATCATAGTAAATGGAATAGTCATCTCGTCGGTTCCGCACAGTTGATCCGTGAAATCGACTGGGCAGGTACCACTCGGGATCTGCGGGCCTACCGGCGCGGAATCAATGAACAGCGAGCTCAGATAGGGTGGTCCGATGCATCATACTACTATGATCAGTCTTATGGCGCTGATACGTCTGAAGACGATCCGTTCGGTGAAAAGGAAGGTACCATCGATGCAGCGCTCATTGGGTCATTGATGGGTCGGGCGATCAGCTACGATGAATTTGGACATGTTGAAGAGGGCCAGTCACAAAAATCTCAAAAACATTTCACACGCAAGGACATCGAAAACTATCGCATTCAATGCGATTTGTACTGGTGGTTCACCAAACAGGATGTGTTCCATAGTATGATTGGGGGTGACAAATTATTGTAAGTGAACACAAGATGATACCTCGACTACTTGGATATCCCATTGACCTTTGAAAATAGCATGCCGCAATATCTCCGAGCACAGTGTCCCCCTCGAGCAGGAATGGGGCGAATAGACGCAATCTATGGATCTGCTGATCACTTCTGGCTACTACTGGGCCGGGTTGTTGACTTTGGCTATCGAGATCGCAAACGAAAACTGAAGGCTCTCAGAATGGCGGGCACTGACTGGAAGCCAACTTCGGGGCTATTCAGATTCATGGGACGCTTTGCAGGTGGAGCAGGGATGCCCGGGGGTCCAAGACCTCCAGGTCCTCCGGGTCCTCCAGGTCCACCTCCAAATCTACCTCCAGGCCCTCCAGGTCCGCCTTCTTTCGGCTCTTCCAACAGCTCCAACGCAGGGAGTGGTCCCAGATCTGGCCCTCCCTCAGACTCCTCCCAGGGAAGTCCACCTTCCCTGGGTCCACCCGAAGGACCTCCGATGTATGGCATGGTTCCACCCCAAGGCCCGGCTCGGCTACCAGATGCCTTTTCACGAGATAGACGTGGACAGCGGGAGTCACCCGAACAAGAAGACCGGGGCGAAGATACTACCTATGCTGACGCGGAGCAAGAGTGGGAGGAGATCCTGGTAGCTATGGATACTTTCATGCAAGCTCTAGGTCGAGATTTCCAGCCTCTGCCCGCAGATGTCACCCCCCTCATCGAGTCACCGTTCGGACCAGCTCGACAGTACCGTACTAATACCATCGCAGTTATCTGGGGCTTTTATTACGCTGGTCGAATTCTGTTACATCGTCTTCATCCTTGTATGCCACCAGCTATGATGATGGCTGCTGGCGTCGCTGCTCCAACAACGGCGGAATATGCCCAGATAGTAGGCCGCATCACAGCTGGTATCTACTACCCACAGTTATACAATCTCCAAGCTGGTAGTCTTAGTCCGACACTCGGCTCCTCGTTGACGGAGATGACGGTTCCGATTTTCTTTGCGGCTGTGCAATACGTCGATCCGGTACAGCGGAGCTGGACAATTGCCAAGTTGAGAGATGTTTCCAGGTTAACTGGATGGAAGACTTCGGATGCGATTGCGGCTGGTTGTGAGAAATCTTGGGTTATGGCGGCAAAGTATGGACGAGGCCCACCGTATGAACGGTCTTTCATGGGGGATCGGGATCGAGATGCTGAGGTGAGTACCTATATTAATTTCCTTGATGGGCTTTCGCTAATATTGTCTTTGCAGGATGTTGTTCAGAGAGACCGTGACGCTGCTTTTAATGAGGATCGAAGGTTTATCACGGTGCGGCCTACCGATAGCGCGTATCGTGCAATGGGTCTTTTGAGTCTGGAAGGTGATATGCAGAACTTGGAGCTATGAGGTCCAGGTGCATTCCAAGGTTGGCTATGACACCCGGCATACATGCACCTACAGTGAAATGCTGTACGCGACTATTGTGGCATGAGAAAGCTTAATACACGTACATAGCCATGGTCTGCATCTACTACTTGTGCTGGAAGTCTGATAATATCAGGGATTAGTTCACTTCCAAGCACTTGAGATTCTCGAAGGTCCGAGTCTCAACAAAACTTCAACTTGCCTTAGGATTTTAATTTCTTAATATCAATAGTAGGATATTCTTGGAAGATAATCGGATTAGAAGGTCTGATTGAATCTTCTAGCACTGACGCATTCATATCTACTACTAGTTTGATTATACATAGTATTAGGTGATGTCGGAGGATAGCCTCACCTAGATAAAATCTAGGCCACGGAGTCTGTATACAACTTGGATCTCTTAAGGCATGTCATATGGAAATATGCATGTTACTTATGGAGCTTCTAGCCTTTCAAGTTTTGAATAGAGGAACATGAAATGTGATGGATATGGTATCAAGAGAGAAACTAATTACACATTGTGCCAGAGGGAGAGTTGGTCATATGGAGGCTCATTCAAGTTCATACACATGACTTGGACTGATAGGGGAGGGGGGATAAACCAAGCATAATATACATAACTTGTGCTGACATGTAAATGCTTTTGTCAACTTGAAGGAGAAGATTGAGGGAGATACAAGATGAGGAAGGGCATGTGCAGGGGGAAAAGAAAGCTCAGAGGTTGCATAATAGCGTGTGCCTGTCTGCGGCTCATCATGTGCTTCCAGTATGAGTAAAGTCAAGATAATGCTTCTTCGAACTGCCAGATCGCAAAGCAGCCTCCACAAGATGATAGGAGGCCTCTCCTCGTCAAGAGCTGTCTGAGCTTATACATCTCAGAGACTCGCTGACTGTCATGGGGTTATTAGTTTAACGTGTCGGTTGGTTCCACTCCCTACCCAAATGAGATCACGGGGAGCGGAACTACTAAGAGACGGTGCATCAGGATTGCTCCATCTACCGAAGAACGATGCCTCAGTCACACCCCTACTCACGTTCAGTCTCCGAAGAGAACACCAGCATGAGTATGTAAAGGTCTACCCGAAGGTACGCTATAGAGGGACTCGACGCAGTGTATCTGAAGGTGAGGTCATCGGGGCCGAAAACGTCGGCAAGGTTCACGGAGGAGAGAAGAAGAGACGGAGAGAAAGAGAGAGAATAGAGGATTAAATATTCTGGGGCGGTGGGGGACGCGTCTGGGGGGACATACGATCATTCACTTCACTCAGTGTCATCGCCTAATTAGGAAACCATCACTTCCAAAAATGACTCAAGTCGCCAGGCAGAACTGGACCATCAAACTTTCTCCAAGTAATCAATCACACTAGCTCTGAACTTGACGCATATCATATTTGGGCCTGGAAAGCCTCCGAGTCTGAAGCTGAGGCTTTTCCGACCATGTTCTTGTGCTACGGATACTAATGTCTGAAGTTCGAGAACCAACGATTCTCAAATACATTGAAAAGATATAGCTGCAGAATTTTGAATCCCTTTATTCGATATCGATCAAAATGTGGTGTATACGATTAATGAATGCTTGACTCCATGATCAAGGCACCGAGTTGGTGTTCCCCCAGGCAACGACAACCGCGGATGTATCACTCAGGAGAGAATTTGTGAAGTTTTTCAAGAAACAGTCATGCTATGGATGCTTCCAAGGTTATGCTCTCATCAAATGCCCGGCTCACTACTCTTCACAACATGATGCCCAGGTGGCAGGGGGATTCCCGTATATAATCTCCGAGGTTCATAGAACATGGTTGGTTCTCCCCGGACCCACTATCATTTTAGAGCCTCGTGCTTTCCCAACTTCAAGCTTAAGCACTTCCAATTGCTAGCAGCTCTGAGTAGATCTGTAGTAATCACCAGTATGTATCATACTGTGAAGCTTATTACTCTGGATTTTGAATACACAAATTACTTTCCAAAATCTTCCCTCTCCTCCTCAGGTAATGATTTCTCCCACATCGAAACCCATTGGTCTGTACAGTATCCCTTGTTCCCCAAGTGCCCTCTGAAGTCTCCACCATGATGGGTCATCCGATCCGGAGAGCTCCTCTGGTATATCTAGACCAACACTGACGATCGCCTTGGTTCGAAGCCACTCTCTTGGAAAAAAGCCAGCACTCTCCCAATCAATAAAACCAACTCTGCCAGATGTTGGGACATCTTCCACAATGAGACTCACAGGCCCAAGGTCAAGACGGCAAAAGACATATTTAGAACAGTCCATTCCTAGGAGTTCACACCTTTGTTGGAGACTCTGAGGATCGGGGTGCTTCTCTTCGCCGTATCCAAAAAGATCTTGCTGCTCTACGCCGTTTCCATCCACGCCACCAATCTTGTCACGCTCTAATAGCTGCAGCGATACACAAACGCTGATCACGGATTCGACATATCGATGTTTCCAGGTCTCGTCTAGAGAAGGCCAGGCTTCTGCGAGAGTTCGTCCTGGCACCCTGCTCATAAAAAGAAAAGACCTGCCGTCACGGATTGTATTGTGGAAAACTTGAGGAACCTCCGAATCAGGCCACTGGGTATGGACGAATTCTAATGTCACGGCTTTGAGAGTCACATTGGTCTTCTGTGGTTTGATTTTGCAGAAGGCCTCAGTCCCTACCGAGAAAACAGCGGTGTAACATCTGATATCATAGACCAGTTTGAGTGTGGGATGGTTCTCTGCCAGGGGCACGGATGGAGGTCGAGGTGTAGGCACATCGGTGACAAAGTGACTGAAATCTTCCTGTTGATCATACCAGGTCGAGAGAGGGGAGGCGCCCTTGGAACGACGGAGAAGTAGACTATCCACGAGCCAGGTATCTTCGTTGACCTCCGTGACCAAGTCTTTGAGGTGAAATAAATGACCTCTTCCATCTTTTCATTGACTGCGAGTCAAAGTAGCTTCAACTTCTTGGTCGCAGGGGGTGAAAGAGTTGAGAAAGTTACAATGTGAGGTGTTCCATTTACAGGAGGCGGGGAACATGCGGCTCAAGTACTGTGCACAGCCCACAACAGCTGCCCAGGTCATATGGCCCATGTTTACGTGCAAAGCTTTCCCACAAAAGATTTTCAAGGGCGGTATTGTAGTTTCAAGTTGTTCGATTATCACCACCTTTGGGAGTATAGACGGCTTGATATCATGCTCGCTTGGCAGCTACTATCATCTTCACCCCACAGCCTTACCTGTAGTACCCATTTAGATAGATAGCATTGGCATTCAAGAAGCAATAAAACATTTCAAGATTAAGAAATGACTACTCTTCTGGCGAAATCGCTGAGAAATCTTTCCTTGATCTGACCGAAAATGAATAAGGAAGTAATCGACATCTGGGATGTGATACCTGCCTCGTTCAGCTTCCGCGTCAAGTGATAAAGACCATTCAAGATATCTCCATCTAGATGGCGCAAACTATACCGTTGACACTCATGACCCTGGAATAAAAGGTCCAGTGTGTCATTCTCCGCTCCAACTTGAATGTCCAAGACAAAGTTTCCGAGTTCATTCCAATATCGCCCTACATACTCTTCAAGAGGAAGCTTTCGGAGGAAGCTTTTGTGTGTCTAGTCGCCGCCTGGCTGCAATGGCTGCCGCCTGTTTCTCATACTGGCTAATGAGCTTGGCTCTTGTGTCTTTAGTAAACTCAACAAAGTCAACCGGATCCGGAAAATCAAAGAGCACTTGTGCGATGCTCTGGGAAATTGTGTCTGGGAAATCCGTTAATGAAATCGAATTGGCAAGGACGACAATAGCAGACTTCGTCTCTGGGAATAGCGCGATATTGCTATAATACCCTGCAGTGGAACCCTGGTGGTATAGGCAAATCATCGACGGTGATCCCTTTCCAAGCAGAGGAAGCTCCTCCACGCTGCCGAGTATGCCTATGTTTTCGCCCATAACGCCGAGCACTCCAGGAAGTTGTGTGCGAATCCACCCCATTGCGTAGGAACGTTCTCGAAATGAAGGCCCCAGAACGGGAATGTGCCCGGATAGCAAAACATTTAGCTCATCTGGAGCATGATCACTCGAGTAAGGTTCAAGAAGGGCTTTTGAATAATTGAGCATATCCTCCACGTTAGAGTATGCCCCTGCGGCAGCTTCGAAGAGCGTATTTTCGAAAACCATCGCACTTTGTAGATGTACTGGTGTCGCCTTTGAATCGGTGGCATACGGCTCGGCTATATTCTCGTCATTACGAGAGGATATCTGAGTCGTGGTCCTTTTATCATAAAGCAGTTATACACATGCCTTTGCAGATACGCATCCAAAGACTGGCCTGAGAGCTTCTCGATGATGAGGCCGGCTATTGAGGAGCCCCAGCTACTGTAAACCCATTTACTCCGGAAAGGAGCCACCTGGACATTCTGATTGAATGTGGGCAATAATTGATCTGCAGGTAGAAGAGCCTCTCCGTCCCCTTGGAATGTAAGAGAAATGTCACCGGTCAGACCAGTTCAGTGAGCGAGTAAATCAATGACGGTCGTCAAGTTTGTGAGACAGGGGTCTTTGTGATGAAAATCCGGTAGGATATCCTTCACAGGCGTATCCCAGGATAAAGCGCCCTCATGAACCAGATTCGCAATTCCGATCGCAGTCAGCGATTTTGTAAGCGACCCTAGACCGTAAAGCGTCTGTGAATCGGGCGCGATTTCAGCCGCAACATCACGATATCTCAGGTTGTCTTTGTATATAACATGACCGTCATGGATCACACCGATCGAGGCCCCTGCTGTTCCTGAAATTTGGCGGATACGATCTAAAGTTGGCCTGAGGTTTTGAAGACGGGATAATACGGGAGACAGGTCGTCACTCTGTGGGAGGAGTGCAATTTGCGCGACAAAGAGCGAGGCCAGAGATTTCCACATCTTTTGTTCGGTGCTTAATATTTTTCTATTCAATTTCCAAGTGTACTCGGGTATTTTGAGGTATCTTCGAAGTGAGATTTTGAGAAAGAACCTTGGAAATGATGATGTTAGTTGCCCAATGTCAACCCCTGTCCCCTATACTTAACAGAATGTACATATACCAGTACTAGGTAGTAGTGGCGGTCAGCCTGAGAAATAATAAGCAGAGGATTATAACTTGTAACTTGAAAACTTGGTGATGTTCTTATCTACATAATTTCAAGTTACTAGTACATTAGATTAAAGACTTCTGATGTGGATATGCCCACTGTACAGACTCTGCAGAGTACGCATTTGAAGTTCTCCTTGCATCGGTGGAGACTACATACCACATAGACCTCGGGATATGCTCGGAAGCGTTCGAGACCCTCGACCAGTTGACTTGAATGCTCTCGTACTAGCTACTACAAAAAGCATATTTTCCACGAGATCAGCAGATCTCGGAGATAGATCAGTAACACCTGATCAAAACATTCTATGATAGGTAGATCAGAGAAGGCGTATTCCAAGGTTCGTAGGCGCAACAGTGTACTCCGTACCTACATTATGACATGCGTGGATACAACCTTGGAATATTGTGGCGGAGACTCGGACAAGGAAAACCCACGTCGAATCAGAGAGTAATCTCAGTCATCCAGATAGACGTCTGCCTACTTCTGCCTGAATTTATATTACAACTGGCAGGTTTTGGGAGCTGAGTCTCTCTGACGATCCTCCTTTTTCGTATCTGCGTTATCTTTCCTTTATCCATCCTTCCATCCTTTCCCACACCCGTGGTTGACGCCAACCCCACCATCAGCGGCCCGAGTCAGCCGCCCTCGTCATATCCACGGTTCTTTGCCTCACAAGGCTTTCTCTCATTAAACACACAAACAAACCCCGGTCAACTTCTGCCTGGCCACCAAATTTTCACTATGTCTCGATATGACGATTATCGTTCCTCGTCCGGGACACTGGAATCCCGCGACCGCCATGACCGTTATTCACGGGCTCCCCCCCGTAATGGAGCGCTCTCGATCTCGCTCACGACCCCGCCGTGTAGAAGACGAGCGCTTTGAATTCCGACTCCGTGAAGAAGACCGCTACGGTCCCCCCCGCGCGTGCCCCTGGCCGCTATTACGAGGACGACCATCTGGTCCAGCCAGCCGGTCCCCTTGTGGCGCATGACCGTCGCCGTCGACGAGACGACAGCCCCTCCTTCACTCCGCCACGATTGATAAGGAGACAGTCTTCTCTCGATACCTTTGATAGAATTCCCAAACGCAAAATGGAGCCCGCTCCCAGAATGCCTCGAGTACCTCATCCACCGCGTCCTCAACCCCCGCCGGGTCGCTATCGCGAGCATGAAGTCTATGAAGACATTCGCATTGCTGAGCCAGATTATTATGGTGACGAGGAGTTTCGCGAGTTCGAAGAGAGAGAAACTACACGTCGTCGGAGTAGTAGACGCTCGAGTAGTGCGGCAAGGCGCCGTCATGAAGAGAAGCCGTACCCGCGAAAGGGAAAGACTCGCATTCCGAGCAAGTTTGTGCATATTCATGCGATTTTGGATTTGGGATATCCTTTCAAAGAAGAGGTATGTTGCTCTATATTTAATCCTGCGCTGTCTTCAATTTTTCACTCTTCTGTGCATTGGAGGTTGGAAGATATGTTGCTAATGGACAGCTTAGGACGAAACAATTGTCATTCTGAAAGCTCTATCTAAGGAGCAGATCGATGAAGTGATTACCCTTAGTCGGCAGTTTAGACGCCCTTCCCATGTTGAGAGTAAGTCAACTGTTCTATACTATTGTTTTAATAAATTGAACTAACACATTTCTAGCTGAGTATCTGGAGATCTCACGACCACCTCGGGAAAGAGTGACGACAGAGCATCTTCTGATCGATTCTCACTACTCGCCGCGCGCAAGCCATGACACCTTCATTCTCTCCACCTCTCCACCTCGTCGCCCTGATGTTGAGTATGAAGAAGTGATTGAAAGAATAGACAGGAATCGTCTGCAACCAATCTCCCGACCTCGCTCTGTGTCCGTGCATACTCATGGTCGAGTTCTGTCACCTGTACGATATATTGAACCTCGCACAGCCGCCCCAGAGCGCCTCGAGGTAAAGCCTCGCGAGTCCGGGTCTTTGGTTGTCATGCGACCTCGTCATAGTGATCATGATGTTTCGGAAATTCGAGACCTGGAGGAAGAAATTCGACGTCTGCGTATGGAACGAAAAGGCGGCATTGAGATCACGCGACAGCGCGATACAGAGATCATTGATAGCAGGGGCAATGAAGAGGAGGTTACTGAGATTCGCCGACAGGAACGCAAAGGTAAGCTTGAAGTCTCATCGCTAGATCCAGGTCTTGACATACTGACATTATTGTAGAACCCAGTTCGCGGATGATGCGTGCCATGATGGCCACCTTAACGTAATCATACCCTGGAAGATGACACGATTTACGGGCTACGACACGATGAATTTGAATATTGTTTCTTTAACTTCTATATATGTATTTTTCATTGAGAATTTCCTTAAATGTGATACTATCACTCTTTCATTATCGCTCACCTCGTAGGTGATTTCACATAAATTACTCAAACACTTCCAATACCTAGTTATTGTTCATTGTTGTTGCCTGAGCCGTGACTGGTGTCGACGTGGGGCGGTGCGTTGCGGCATTAACGATCGCACCTTCTCGTAGTCTATGTCCTTATCGTCTTTCTTCTCCCCATTACTCTTCTTCCACTTTACATTCTCTCATATCTTACAATCATGGATCGAATGCAGGCATTCGGTAAGAACTTTAGGTAAGTGTTCAGGCCCATTTATTCACCTCATCAGCTCTATATTGAAATTCGCGCATGTTTGCTGTTCCCCCGTTCCAGACCAGACCGTGATCGCTGACGTCTTAATCTTTCATGATGAAATAGCGCAAGCTTCACTCCTTTTGCGCAGCGCACCCAGCAGATGATCAAGGAACAGCTGGGTCATGCCGAGGATAAGACAGAGCTTCCCCAGGAATACATCGACCTTGAGAAGCGCGTCGATGCGCTCAAGCTGGTCCACCAGAAGCTGCTTCAGGTGACGTGAGTGCATATCTGATAAAGGACATTGGTCGCGCGTGGAATGAAGCACTGACCGATGCGGGAAACGATCATTCCTCTTCGTATAATAGCTCCCAATATTCCAACGAGGCCTATGACTACCCTCCCAACATCCGCGAGTCCTTCAACGACCTCGGCCGCACCATCAATGAGAAGGTCAACCTCCTGTCGCAGGCCAGCTCTCCCGCCGAGGCTCAGGCTGCCCTGACCGCTCCTCCATCTGCTAAGCCCCAGCCCAAGACTTTCAACCACGCCATCGCCCGCGCTTCTCTCGCTGGCTCGCAGACCCTCGCGCAGAGCATGGATGGCGAGGACCCTCTCGCCAGCGCTCTGGAGAAGTACGCTTTGGCTGAGGAGAAGGTCGGCGAGGCCCGTCTGGCTCAGGACTCCCAGATTCAGTCCCGTTTCCTGGCTGGCTGGAACACCACCCTTAACACCAACCTTATGTTCGCCGCTAAGGCTCGCAAGAACGTTGAGAATGCCCGTTTGACCCTGGACTCTGTCAAGGCCAGCAAGAAGGCTGCTGCTCGCGGTGACCTGGATAACTTGAGCGAGGATGCTCGTCAGGAGATTGACCAGGCCGAGGATGAGTTTGTGGGTCTGACTGAGGAAGCTGTTAGCGTGATGAAGAACGTATGTTTTTTCCAAGTTTTGCAGAAACTCGGGCAGTTCCCTTTAAAGTTTGAGCAGCCAATACTGACCCTTCTCCTTGCATTAGGTTCTTGATACCCCCGAGCCCCTGCGCAACCTGGCCGACCTCATTGCCGCTCAGCTGGAGTTCCACAAGAAGGCTTATGAGATTCTCAGCGAGCTTGCCCCGACTGTGGATGCCCTACAGGTCGAGCAGGAGGTGAGTACTGGCTACAATAATGCACATTCGAGTCAAGTCTAACTATATTTTGCAGGCTAGCTACCGCAAGGCGCGTGAAGGCGCTTAAGCGTAAGCAGTGTGGTTTTTTTCCTTTGGTTTTTTCTTTAATGCAGTTCTACAGGCTATATAGTAGTCTGTTGGTCTTCTTTGTATCTACCATTTTCTCGCTTTTTTGAGATCATAAGAAACTGCCCAATTTTTCAATCTTGTCGTGCCTGGGAGCACACTGTTAGATCTGTAGCTTGATCATTTATTCTTTTGCTGCCCAGTGCTCGTATTAATTTGGGGCTGAACAAGCTGCTTAGTGCAAGCAAACCTCATTATTCAGATTCAAAAATACCTAGGTATTTATAAGAAAACCAAAAGAAATGTGTATCACTTGACCTATATGGAAAAGTCCGGTCATTTCACCATCCTGTAAATGCGGGTTATGATGCCAAGTGCTTTGGTGACCGCCCTCGTGGCCTGAGGCAGCCCCGCTAGCTCCAGGAGCTCCGAACAGCCAGACTACACATCGTGCAAATCAACTCCCCGCCAACCGTTTTGTTTGAGAGGATTGCACTATTTTTCGACAGAGAAATATCGGCCACCGTCAATCGCATTTCCTAATCAATCCCGACTCCTTGCAACATAGTGCCCTTGCCGTGGACGTTCCTTACCAACATCCTCAACTTCACCCTAACCCGATACTCAAGCCTTCTATTCCCCGGCATTCTCGATACATCAGCGTTGAATACCTAGCGCATATCATTTGATTTCGTCTCTACGCCTGCTACATTCCAAGTGCAGCAGTACAGTGTTCTGCCAAGCGTCATAGACCAGGAACCCGACTTGAGACGGATAATCCGATCACCACGAATACCTGCTTAATAGCTGGACAATTTAATTCGCCATTATAAGGGTTACTCCCAATACAACGAACCTTTTCGACCGAGCGTTCGATAAGAAATCATCAATCTGAACACGTCATAGCGTGGACACATCCGGCCCTCTTCCTTTCGAGTTTAACCTGAACACGCATAAATACCATCAAAATGGCAAACGGGTACGTCTACATGCAAGATCATGCTATACTCTGGGTGTATGCGTCGAGGCCGGGGTGGAGTAAATGTGTCACTACATACAACGGGCCCTCGCGCATTCCCATCAAGCAACTCGAGAGAGCAAGAAAAGCTAATGTACTCTAATAGTTGGAGTCTTCTCGTCGGCCTCATTGTCGTCGTTGCCGCTTCTTTGGGTGCCTGGTTCTTTAGTCCTAAGGGTGAGAACAGAACGTAAGTATATGTCTTCATTTATCATGACCATATTATATCTTAATCCTAACTCTGCTGTACAGTGTCTGGCGAAGCGTCCTTATCCTCTCTTTCGCGTCTTGTTACTTGATGTGGGGTATGTTATGTCTCCATTCGAGATTCTATGAATACCGAATCCCGACCCCAGACTATCATCACAATGGAACTAACAATGCATATAGCAATCGTCTTTCTCGCTCAGTTACACCCTCTCATCTCACCGAAAAAGTCCGATATGCGTCCTGGCCGAGCACCCAATTAAATTCCTTTACGTTTTCTTCTAGTTTGAGATTGACATACCCTGAGGCCTGAAACTGTTCTTTCTTTTTGTCTTCGTCTTGTGCTGCTATTTCAGGGTCATGGGGTTTCCTCTTTTCTTTACTTTTCTTGTGACATATTACATTGGATGATTTGATGTGAGCGTAGCTCATTTTATCCTTGTTTCTGGCTATAGAGCTGGCATATGAATGCTATTCCGATTGATTCATACCTACTACCTAGGACTCAAGATTCTACCTAGTGTCTACGACATAGTATTTGCTACGAATACAACTCTTATCATACTGCCCAGGTGGTGTTCATATGAATTGGTCTTTAACCTTGGAACTTGAAACAACTTGAATTAAAATATATACTCTAAATTCTAGCATACCACACTTGAAACCCTTATCCAACCCCCACAGCTCCAAGGATAACCTTCTGAACCGCCCACCGAGCAACCTGTCCCGCAACCGCAACTGCAACAGCCCTCAAATACCCACATCCAAGCAAGATATAAAGCGCCTCAATATTACTCAGTAACACAAGATGTGTATCGACAACACCAAGCGACAACAATGAGGCAAGGATATCAAACAAGCCTGTAAGGTACCTCGTAGGCAGGAAGGGTCGTAGGAATGATTCTGCAGCTCCAAGCCACGCTTCAACAAGCGATGAGGATCCCGAAGCAGCGTACTCCGCGTCCCTAGACGATGAAAGTGCAGCCTTGGAGTGTGGGTTTGACGTTGTAGCTGTAGTTCCCGTTTTGCTGGTGCCGCTGCCGTCCGCACCCCAGATTACCAGGAGGATGGGGAATAGCTTTGCGCAACTGCTTACTAGCAGGGCGGTGCTAATTGCGGTTGGACTTGCGGCTGTTGGCGGTGGCAGTGGTTTGATGTTTTGGATTGGGGCTGTAGAGGCGCGCCGGAGAGGTGGTGGTGGTCTTGCTGGTGCGGGAAGAGAGATTGATGCTGGAAGGAGATTGTGTAGATTGTGTGGATTTTGAGAAGGGTCTGGTTGGGATTGAGGATCACTTGAGGAGCTCGGGTTCGGGGTAAGTTTGTTTGATTGGGCTTGTGCGTTTATGGTTTGTGATGAAGGTGAGGGCTTGAGGGTTGGTGTTGGGGGTTCAGTAGGTAAAGGTGTGGTTGCGCCGTCGGTCGTATCGCCGGAGTTATTGGAATACGTGTTGCTGGACGGGTTGTTCGCGCTGTTGGGAACCTCCGACGAGACATATCGATGGGATTTTGGAACGAGGACCGAGGCCAGTAGGCGGACTGTGAGGTGGTGCGCAAGGGTCGCGAGCGCGTTCAAGGTGAGGAAGAAGAGGTATTGCACGACGATTGGAGCACGAGAAATGAAAGCCGTCGCTAGAGATGGGTCTTTCTCGAGTCGGGCCCAAGTCAAGTAAACGTCAAATAGGAGTAAAAGGATACCGAGACGAATGATTGATCGCTATGGTTGGCTTGTTAGCTTCCTGGCTATTATCTCGGGGGAGCGGTTATTCTCACATCGAAACGGTTGTCATCGCGTCCAAGTCGGTTGAAGAGGAGATGCCGATATACCTTGAGCAAACAATGTTAGTCGTTATAATGAGTGAGGAAATCAGACGAGCTTACTTGTGGTTTGATGAGTACTAGGTCAATAAAGATCACGACGAAGTCATATTCGACGTATTTGTCGGCGAAACGCTGGCATCGTGGGCACTGAGTCAATCGCACCCCCTTTCCTTGGGAGCGATCATCGGCCCGACTGTAAGCACTGTACAGGTGCGAGACCGGATACGAACACTCTATGCAGATAGGCATTGTGTCATGACGCCGTGCAGGGGCAAGTTGAACTTGAATGCGGGCGGACAAATTGATGATGGGGTAAGATGGGGTCCAGGGAACCAATTGTAGCGCTTGTAGATCTATAGACTCATCTAGCACAGAATCGACCACAACACTAAAGATGCAAAAAAAAGTAGAGAAAATATTGAATGCGTCTAGGCAAATAAATGTTAATTTTTTGTTTATTTTATTCTATGTTCATCATCAAAATTCCCGCTCACTGTACACTGGGATATTTTGCATCGTTCTATGCACATACGTATCAATCAATCACGCTTTTGTTGTCTGCCCAACTCGGCTGAATAGCTCGACAGACAGCTTCGTAGTCTTGAAAGCGTTGCGAGTCCTCTGGCAACCCAGGAGTTGTCCAAAACATGGTCCAATTGCTATCAGACAGCTTCCAAGAGCCGGATGATCGTTCAAAATACCACTTATTCACCGGGTTGTCTTTGCGACTACGCCAGCATACTCCATTAGGGAAGCAGGTGCGCACCATCGCATTAAACACAACGTCGGCAACACCCCCTGCACCTTGGCTGCGTTTGAGAACGGCAAACTTGTCCAAGTAGGGCACCATACGCGCGGCGCTTTCTGGGCTCCCGTCATCGACCACCCCGGGTGGTGCTTCCCAAGTCAAAATCGCACCGCCTTCGTACTCGCCCGCAACGATCAGACCAGCAATACGGTCGTTCACTCGGTCGAGATAGTTCTGTACATCCAGCTTTCGGTCAAATGAATCTTCGATAAGATGGACCAGGCGAGGTAGGTCAATGGTTGGATCGTTCAATTGTAGTCGTGGCCGATGATCAGCAGTCCACACCTGGACATGAGGGTTTGGAAGAAGAGTTAGGGGCATGCCACGCTTGAGAAATGTGCTGTGGGAAGTAAGATGGCTGATTGCGCTAGGTCGACCATTGGCAGAGGCACGACGACCTGGGGGAAGAGATGAAGAGAGAAGAGGTTTATCGGTGAGGAGGTTGTGAATGAGAGGATTGCGCTGGCGTCGGGTTCCAACGGCTGACAATTCTGGTGTGGTACTCTCAGCGGGACGCGATGAGTTGGCGACTTCTTGTGGAGAAGTGATGATTCCCGATGCACCAGAAGGTAATAGAGCGAGTGTCCGCTGTGAGAGGCGGAGATTTTCCAAGTGACCATCAAGAATTGGTTTCATAGTTTTTGACCCGGGCAGTTGGTCCGACGTTTGTGTGACGGGCGAGCCGACCTCCTTGGCGGCAAATTGAGAGAAAGGATTGCTATCCAAGATTGAATGGGCTGCATTGAGGTTCTTGCTGACCTCGCCTTCGACTATTTCTCCGCAAAATGATTTTCGCATCTCTAGGAGCTCGTGCTCAATATCATCGAACTCTTGCTCTATGTTGATGAAAACATGGGAGGCCTGAGGACCTCGGAAGGCAGGGATTCCTCCGAGGGGATGTAACAGAATCACACGGTCCAGCGAGACCTCTCTCTGCAATGAGATGATTCGTTCAGCAGTGATTTTAGGATCTTCATCCGGGTCCGGGATAGTGGCCAACCCAGCAAATTCCTTTGTCAATGCAACGACTGCATCATCCGCGGATACAGGGACAGCCCTAGGGTTTTCCTCGACATATGCAACAGGAGTGACAATCACAACATGACCATCTCGAAGAGGCGAAAGGAGCCCCGTCCGAGACATCACAGTTGGCTGGCCTGACCGCCTCTCTGAAATTGAGAGTGCTGAGTCCAAACGAAAAGCCTTCGAGTCGGGCTGTCCATCAACCGCTGCAGAGATCCGATCGGCCTGCGCAATAGCAGTCTGTCGTACTGTGGCATTATCCATGTGCCCTGGGTCAACTACCACACAGCAGGCCATGCCTAATCGGACCAGCTGCGAGAGTGTTCTAGCCACCCCATTGATGACTGAGTCATCGAGTGACTGCGGCGAGGTGATTTTGATCAGAGCCAAGTGTAGTCGCTCCGGTATGACCTGCCTTTCAGGAGCGGGCGTTGTGTTTTGACGAAACACAGGACTATCGTATACTGCACGGGTGGCGCCATAGAAGGAGCCTAAGTTCACACCGGAGGGCAAGGACGCTGGTTCTGGTTCTTTGAGTTCATTGGATTCTTCGGCGAGCTTCTGGGTGGACTTGGGAGGAGCATTTTTGAATCGAGATAGGTATTGTTTGGCTTCTCGTTTGGTCGAAGCTGAGCTCAGAAGGCTAAGGAAAAATTCCTAAGAGCGAAAGTTCATACAATTAGCAACAATATTCAGTGTATAGAAGCGGCGTTATATCATACCCGGTCGAGCAGCTTCTCTTTCGCGCGACGTCCAAGCTTTTCATCTGTACGGGCAGTACTTGAAAAAGCTGCTATTTGGCTGGCACGCGCACCAAAAGACTGTATGGGAGATATTATGGCCGATTCATTGGAGCGGGGGACATTGTGCTAGTCGATTGGTTAGCTGCGGATTGCGGTGAAAGCGACGGGAGCTCGGAGTTGATAGTACCTTTGCCAGCGAGGACCGCGGCCAGTTTAGAGCCCGAGCAGTCATAGTGAGACTGCCCACTGGCCGTTGCAAAAGATAGTAATAGCAATAAAATGTTAAAGGGGGAAGTGATCATTCCAAACAAAAAAGCGAACCCAAAAATATCGCATGACGCACCCTCGGTTGTTGATTCACCGCCTGGAACCCTGTGAATGAACGGCTCCATAGCTTTTACCCGGTTCGGCCGGGATCGGCTGATTAGAACGGACATTGGATGAATTTAGTTGCTCACTTTGCATTTAACAAGTATATCTGACATGAAGTACAGAGTACATCTGGAATTAGCCTATTTAATACCGTATCTTGATTTGTTGCTTACTTTGCATGAGATGTCTGATGTCTTTCTAACTTATTGTAGCTAGGTCATGTAGGTATTCCACTAGACCGTGTTGAACCAACTATAATTATGCTAGTCCTAAATTAGTATAGATTAGATTAAATTATCCACTATAGAGGTGAACATAAACAGGGATATCATATCTGATCAAGATTATACTGGCAGATATCTTAGAGTAATATTTAAGCGAGCCTATACTAGATAGGACCATATGTACTAGGCCTTAATCCTGAATATTTAGATCATCCGTCTTCTTTCTCCGAGTTGAACCTTGGAAGTTGTTTTCTACTTTAAATTACACGTTCATACTAAGATCTTCTCTGTTTCCCCTGCTTGTATGTGGGCTTAGACATCAGTAGTAATAAGAGCATCTTCTAAGGTTAATGTGTATAGATAGGTACTGGCAGTGGTATGGATAGTAGTAGTATAAAAAATAGGCTTGTAATTAGCACATACCACCATGACTGATAGATACTTACTATATCCATGGATGTGCCAGTGCTTATAAACTTGAATGTCTGATAAAAAGATAAATGCTAGTATAAATGATCAATATTATTAGATACTCAAACTTGATGTTAGGTCTAATAGTCTATGATTTATAGACTATAGATGGGTATTATTTCCAGCTCTGGAGGATTAAAAATGTTATGGGAAAGTGGGAAGGAAACATAAGAGGTCCATTATAGTTGAGTAGAAGAGAGAAAAGTCAGAAACTCAGCCCTTCTGGCCTAGTTATCAGCGGTCTTTGACTTACCTTGGCGGGAGGGAGGAGAGGTAATGATCAGGAAGGTCTGGCCCTGCTCAGTGGCTGAGTAAACCCCAGAGGGTGGGCGGGAATCCTACTACGGGCAGGGGACAAGAAATTTTCTAAATTTTCGATATTTTTACATAAAATAATTTTAGAATGGCTCTTCCCATTGATTTCTTTGGAAATCAAAAATAACCAAGAATGAGTGAGATATAGAGGATGTTGTGGTGGTGCTGGGTGTATCAAGTGAGGCTATTCACAGCATCTCCCCTCAGGCTCTCACTTCGATGCACACTGATCTCAAGGTCCCCAGTTCAATTCCAGCGCCAGACAACATTTGGATCCTTTTTTAAACCCAACATTTAAATGAATTGGTGTTCACCATGTGCTGTATCCACAAGTTACTATATCCTAAATGTATGTGTACTCTAAGAAAGCGGGTTCGGATAAAATTAATGTTCAGCCTAGCATCAGGTTATAGTGAATGTTTAAGTTCTAAGTCCACGTCAGATTACTAGTTAGGTAACTACTACTTATACCATGATATATAGAATTATTATAGCACTTTAGTGAATTACTCAAGTGATTGAGTAGTACTAGTAATAAGTTTCATAGGTACCAGCCCTAAAATTATTTACCCACTTCAAGTTTAGCTGCTCTGATGCTTTTGATATATCTTGGACGTGGGGTGTTTGCAAATGAACACCAGACCACCAGTGCCTACTAGGTGGGTTTATTACATATCACTTGAATTAATTCAAGATGATTCAAATGCTAAGGTCAAACCAATACATCTCAGATCAGCTACTATACAAGAGTATTGGGATGAATGACATCACCTATGAATTTCAAATAGAACTGCCGGTAAGCATGGCCATGGTTTTGTGACACAAGATCTTATACTTAGTTCATCAGCGATAAGTAGATATATAGGGTCAAGTCTTAGGCACATTCCGCCCTTGGAGCTAACATTTGAAGTTGAACCAGTGTTTCATACATAGATATGAGTAGTATGATCGCTGTTCTTTGTTCTCCCCATTGTCATGTCTGAGACCCATTACCCACTGATGGAGCCCACCAAGACCCATTTGAGTCCATGCCCCACCAGATTACAGATCGATGATCTGTATATGGGGTATATATTCAATGAGAGTAGAAATGTATTTTTAGTCTGAAAAGAGTTCCTCGAATCATCTTCCAGAAGGAGTTGACTGCTCGAAGGTGTTGAGTACTTATCAAGAACGAGTCGGAGTGGGCATGAAGGCTGAAACTGACTAAAAGCAGAAGTACTCCGCAGGTAACTGGTACTTTGTCACCCACACCCCCGCCACCTTCCTTCTCTTTTACTTCAAAGGGATCTTGATATCATTATATTTGATTTTAAGAGCCTTTTTCTACTGTGATTCCAACCTCTAGTAAAACCAGGTATGTCTATCTGGTACCTTGTTCTACTCCCCCTGCTTCCCCAATTCTTGTCCCCATCCCGCAGTGTGCCCCTCCTTGCGCACAGAGAGTGACGCGGAGTCGCAAAATTCTTGCATACTGGGGACCCCCTTTCATTGCAGCAATTATCATTTTTTTTTCTTGTCTTGGAGCAATTTGAATCTCTAGATGATTATCTAGATATTACTTGCAGATAAACTAATCCACACTGGTCTAGATTTGCATTCCCCCTCCCCCCCATCCGCGCCACCAAACCGGGTTCCCCTGCAACCACAAGTGGAAAAAAAAAGCAAATTTACCTTCCCTCTCAATCGCCCACGCGCCAACACGCGAACACCCCCACAAACATCTCTCATTAAGTCTATTGATATAATTCGATCGCTGTTGAATTTTTTTGACCCCGCCACCCGATTCAATCATGTCTGATCCTAGCGAGCAACCGTCGGAGTCCATGAACGGCCAGGACAATGCTCTGAGGCCCCTGTCCAACGCGGACGATCTCTCACTTGGTAATCCTAGCAACAGCGAGCTGTCCCGGATCATGAGCCGCGCCGGTATCGCCTTGGCCAATGGCTTTCCACTAGATGATGATGATGACGATGTTGAGGAGGAAGTGGATGAAGAATACGTCGCTGTTGACCAGGAGGACGCCAACGAATATCCATACTGGTTCCGTCGCCCCCCGACTCACCACCGAACCAAGCTCGATGAGTTGAATCCCTTTGTTCAGGTCCTCGGTTCATCAGATGTGGACGATTGTGTGGCCGTTGAGGCTGCATTCCCGGAGCAGGAGCGTTGCTCGCGTGAGAAGGTAGGACAGACCCTTGTCGATTTAGTTTGCGGCTCCAGGGTCGCATGGTGGCATGATTCGTCGCGTGCCCGTTCCCCACCCATGTTTAATATTATGCAGTGATATGGCTGGCTGTTCCCTTGGCTAATTGGATCCACCTGTACTTTGTACATTACAGTTTATTTACCGCCTGACTAAATGCCCTGAGTTGAGTCTGGGTCTTTTCACCTTGCCTCTCAAGGATGACAGCAAGCCCAAGCCTCGTCCTACTCTTGTTGGACATCTCATTGCTACCCGTACCTCGGAGCCTTGCGTGACTGACCGATCCATGCGCCTGCCTAAGGAGTGGGAGGGTCAACGATGGACACGCGAGGATGGCGAGGCTGTGGGCCACGAAGAAGTTGGTGGCACTATTGCCATCCACTCCTTGGCGGTTCTCCCTGAGCACCAGGGCAAGCAAGTTGGTAGCACATTGATGAAGTCTTACATTCAAAGAATTCGTGATGCGCAGATTGCTGAGCGTCTTGCTATTATTGCTCACGGTCACCTCATCCCATTCTACGAGTCATTCGGGTTCGAGAACCGTGGTCCTAGCAAATGTCAATTTGGAGGTGGTGGATGGGTTGACTTGGTATGTTGAACAATCGCCCTCCTTCCTCTAGCTCTAGCGGCTATTTTTATCTGTATACTAATTGGCGTAGGTTTTGGAGTTTGGTAATCATGAGATGAACTAAGCTTCAGCTGTCTTTTCATTTTGCATTTATCTCGGCGTAGACTGACTGTCTGTGGCCAATTGTTCCGGTGTCGTGTTTCTTTTCCAGCTCTGATCACCTTGTTTTCTTTTCTTTCTCTTTTCCCCTTTGACAATTTTCTCTCTCATGTTCCCGTTACGCAGTCTCATGTTCGATCATCGGTTTTGGTCCTCCAGGGTTGAAAGAAAATGGAGTTAATGTTTTCTACTTTATTATTACTGGGGTGGGATTGTGATGGGCTTAAAGTCTTTACGGACCTTCAGGATAACCAAGGGGTTATCTTCCCTACGACGGTCACAAGGTTTTGTGTACCATAGTTTCAATGCGATGTATATGAAAAAGATTATCTTCCTCAATCCTTTTAAATCCTTTTAAATCATCTTCTATTAATGTAAATTCTTCTATCTACAAGCATAAAAAGTCTCGGTTATCGTATCCAATCCTGGTCCCCGCATTAGTTCACCGCCCGGCAGAAAAATATCCCGACCAAAATTTTCGGGGAGGAAGATTCAAACAATCTTCCACTCTAGAGTCACTGCAGTAATTCTTGACTCCTGTGGCCCATCATGAAGACGACGTGGAAGGATGTATGTTTCTTGCTTATCGCCTCACTTTCACCTTTTGAAGCCTTCCTCAAATTTCACCTGCTGACTGGTTTTCACCGCTAGATTGCGCCTGTGCCCACCCACCAGGAATTCCTGGATATTGTCCTGAGCCGTACTCAGCGACAATTGCCCACTCAGATTCGTGCTGGTTTCAAAATCAGCCGTATCAGAGGTACTTCTCCCTCCCTTATACCGTTCAAATAAGTCCGACCGAAGACTTGTTATTTTTTTTTGGGTGGCGATCGCAACAAAAAAAATGTTATCGCGGTTATTGATAAAGCAACATCGCTGATCAAATTTTTTTTCTGTTAGGATTCTACACTCGTAAGGTCAAGTACACCCAGGAGACCTTCTGTGAGAAGTTCCAGGCCATTCTCGATGGATTCCCCCGTCTGCAGGACATTCACCCTTTCCGTAAGTGATTCTTCGCTGAAACACCCGACTTAACCATCTAACCCGTCATCAGACAAGGATTTGATGAACACCCTCTATGATGCCGACCACTTCCGCATTGCCCTCGGTCAGGTTTCAACCGCCAAGCATCTGATTGAAACCGTTTCCCGCGATTATGTCCGTCTTATCAAGTATGCGCAATCTCTGTTCCAGTGCAAGCAGCTGAAGCGCGCTGCGCTCGGTCGTATGGCCACCATTTGTCGCCGTCTCAAGGACCCCCTTGTCTACCTGGAGCAGGTCCGTCAGCACTTGGGTCGTCTGCCCTCGATTGACCCCAACACCCGCACTCTCCTGATCTGCGGTTACCCCAACGTCGGAAAGTCCAGCTTCCTGCGCAGCATCACCCGCGCCGACGTCGATGTTCAGCCTTACGCTTTCACCACCAAGTCTCTGTTCGTCGGTCACTTCGACTACAAGTACCTGCGTTTCCAGGCCATTGATACCCCCGGTATTCTCGACCACCCCCTGGAGGAGATGAACACCATTGAAATGCAGTCCATTACCGCAGTTGCTCATTTGCGTTCCGCCATTCTGTACTTCATGGATCTTTCCGAGCAGTGTGGTTACTCCGTTGCCGACCAGATCAAGCTTTACCACAGCATCAAGCCCCTCTTCGCTAACAAGATCGTTTACATTATTGTGAACAAGATTGATGTTCGTCGTCCTGAGGATCTGGACCCCGAGCAGCAGGAACAGCTGCAGGAGATTCTCAAGTCCGGCGATGTTGAGATGCTGCAGGCTTCTTGCACCACCACCGAGGGTGTCACTGCTGTCAAGAACGCCGCCTGTGACAAGCTCCTTGCTGAGCGTGTCTCGCAGAAGCTGAAGTCCAGCTCAACCGCTGCCAACCCCAGCGGTCGCCTGGGCGATGTCCTTGCCCGTATCCACGTTGCCCAGCCCATGGGTGGTGTGCGCGAGTCCTTCATTCCCGAGGCCGTCAAGGACCTCAAGAAATACGACAAGAACGACCCCAACCGCCGGAGACTGGAGCGCGACCTGGAGGAGGAGAACGGTGGTGCTGGTGTTTACAGCTTCGATATGCAGCGCGACTACACATTGGCCAATGCCGACTGGAACCACGACAAGATCCCCGAGGTCTGGAACGGAAAGAACATCTACGACTTTGTGGACCCGGATATCGAGACCAAGCTGGCTGCTCTGGAGGAGGAAGAGGAGAAGCTCGAGGCCGATGGTTACTACGACTCCGACGAGAGCGTCGAGGATGCCGAGGACGCCGATACCCGTATGAAGGCGGATCTGATCCGCGAGAAGCGTGTGCTTATGCGCAACGAGGCCAAGATGCGCAAGTCCCTCAAGAACCGTGCTCAAATTCCCCGCAGCGCCAAGTCGAAGAAGCTCTCCGAGATGGAGCGTGGTCTCGACTCCGCTGGTTACGATGTCGATGCTGCTGGTTCTCGTGCTCGCTCCCAGAGCCGCGGACGTGCTCCTACTCGCTCCGAGCCTGCTGGTGATGATGATGACGCTATGGATCTGGATGATCCTCGCCAGGCCATTGCCCGTGCTAAGAGCCGTGCTCGTAGCCAGGCTGCTACTGATCGTCGTAACGATGGTGTCACTGACGAGACTGCCCGTACTAAGGCTGACCGTCTGTTCAAGCTGGGACAGAAGAAGATGAACCGCATGGCCCGACAGGGTGAGGCCGATCGTCACACCACCGCTTCTCTGCCCAAGCATTTGGTATGTTTTATCTTTTCCCTTTTATTGGCATTGTTTATATATATACTAACCCTGTATACAGTATACCGGAAAGCGTACTATCGGCAAGACCCAGCGTCGTTAAGGGAATCACCTTCCAAGCCTTTACATATACAGGCTCCGAAACGAGACCCTTTCATAATCATCTTCGATTGGTTTCTTTACCGGGTGCACAATGGTGTCGGGCGTTTGTGTTTTTCAAAATCATTTCATTTCTGTTTGATTTTCTCGTTTTTTCTCCCCTTTTTTGTTAGATGATCTGATTCATCCTGTTTATTGGACGGGATTTCCCATCTTCCACTTGCGGATGAACAGCTTTATGATTTCAAGGTTGTGGGGGTTGTTCTCCCAGTCAATAGGACCAAAAGTTCTTGACGCGATGATGTTGCATATACCAAATACAGATGAGGATTCATATCTTGATTCAAGTTTTCGTATAGTCCTTCAAGTTTTAGTAAAGCCCAGACCCTTAAGTACTGGTTTGCAGGTGGTACTTTTAGTAGCATCTCCACCTCAAGTGCTGCCAGTGGACACTGTCCTCAAGCGCTAGTACAAACTATGTACATGGTATTTCAGGTTAGCATATATGACATGGATGCTCCGAGTCCTATGTACATCCATGCACTACTACTACCTACTACTACTATTACAGGTACTAAATACTACCAGCACTAATTTGAACTTAGAAAAAAAGCAGGGAGGAAATATTAAGCTGGACCAGTCTGCCAGTATGAGTATGAATGGTCATGATGAACCCTTTGAATATTTCCCATATTCATGTGAGTTCTTTTCACTGATAGAAGTTCGAGTGCAATCTCATGGGTGGCCAAGGTTCAACCTTGGAAGTTCTAAGAGTTGACCCTGAAATGCACGCTGACACGCCCAAGTGCCTAACAATGCCTTGACAGCCCTGGACCAAGGTGCATGGACCTACCTACTCATGTACTCCAGGGTTACTTTTGGGAAAGCTAGGAAAGACATACTTCCAACCTTTCTTAGAAATCTTGGAGCATTCAGTTAATGCATATCTAAGTTTAATACCCATCTGGGCAAGTATGGCGACCATCGCTGTCACTGGAGGCCTAGGCTGCTCACCGGTGACTGCCAGTGCCAGTCTCTCCACACTCCACAAATATCCTCCACACCCAGGGCCATAAGATCAGGATTCAAATGACGTATCATCTGGACCGTGACATATGGATCGAGAACAAACAAATGTGTCCCCACTATGTTTGTATCTCGGATATTTCAGCGAGGCCATATCATGCTGGGATCAGGGGAGCTGGGGATCTGCATGGTCTATGCGTTTATGGCCTGCATAATTAATTAATTGTTATACATTATTGTACTCCAAGTCTCTAAAGAGGCCGACTCTTCCCGACTCGGGGTGAACGTCACACATCTTGCCCCATATTTCCAAGATTGCCGAACATGTACTTCGTATCCCGGGGCTCGTATGACAATTCCAGCAGTTTTGTGTGACTGGAAGAGATTCTTGTTTGTGAGTGTCACGGTGGATACCAATGGTGTCTAGGACATTGATGTCTACAACTGTACATTCAAGTTCATATAGGCTTCCAACTTGAAGTTCGAACAAGACATGGAGATAGTGGCACTCTTGGGGCTACTCTGGTTTCTGAATTCCTGATCTTAGAGAAGAGATGCTTCCCCCAAATCCAATTCTTCAATGTTTGCTTCAATTTTACTGAGACAAAAGTACTAGATAAAAGATCCGTGGATTTAATGTAACTTTGAGTCTGCAACTAGCAACCAATGCAAACTTGAAATAATGGAGTATTAAATGAGTATTGAGTAGGGAGATAGCGATATTGAATTTCATAAGTTGAAGTTGAGGGCCTGCAGCTGCAGCATAGATGCTACTACATCTTATGATAGTTAATATGTACTATCTTCACCCCATCTGGGAGACTTCCTGCTGCGTCAACCTCAGTAGAAGATTGGAGACTGATCTTCGTAGTTATTGCCATTTCCGGCCAAAGAGTCAAACGCTTAAACGCTTACGAAATAATTCAAAATTTTCTTATATTTTCTAATATTATCAGATTTATTATTTATTTTTTTGTTTTGTCCCATGGAAATTTAGCAAGTTTTCATGATACTCTAGTGCAGGCACCTACATAACAATGCCATAGTCAATATCAATATTCATACTAGGATTTCTATTCCAGGGTCGGATATTCAACTTGTTGTAAAGAGGACTGGACATGGCTTGCATATGCCGGGACCTTGCACGCATGCAAGAAATTTCATGAGACTGTTGAGCATGAGGAGCAACCCAATTGAGCAATAATCCGATAATTCAGCGATTGGTCTGAATCCTGATTGATTCGTCTGCAATTGATTGTGCTATATGATCTAGGAAGGAGGATTCAAGTTTGATCCACTATCACCCCTTTTTTGCCTTTTTGCAATTTTTACTAGATTTTCATACATCTAGATTTTCATTTTTTTTTTCCAATCTATTCTTATTTTCGTCAAAACCATTCCTAATGTAGTCACCGTAGATAACGGAAGGGCTCTTTGAGTGGGTCACGAAAATTTAAACGCCGGATCCGTCTTGATGTTCCACTTTGGTCGATCCCGTACTCGGGATGCCGAGTGCACTTTGTATCTGCTTTCAGACATTCACTAATAAGAGGAAAGAAAACAAATAGTCAAATGTGACTATTTGTTGATATGTAAGCGATACCGAAATACTATATCCATAAACAGTCAGCTTGCCTTGTGATTTTGCTGGATGCAAGCTGCCTTGCACTTAATCCTATACGGCATCAATCCCGAGTCCGTTCGGCGTCGGGATGCAGCAACAGACTCGGTGTGCCGATTGGGCTATAGTGGGGGCCATGAAAAGCTCAACAGATCGGAAACTTGCACGGAAGTCGACCGAAGCTTCAGTATGTACCTATTTCACCGAAGGGTGGGTCTGTCTCGAACTACACCGAAGATCATATCAGTATTTTTGGTGCTTCACTTAGTGTTCAAGAGATAAGGCTATTTTGGTGGCTTCACCGAGATTATTCAAGATGCATATAATCTAGACGAATGCCCAACTGATTTTGTAGACTTTTTCTCCCTTGTACTTGATATTAAGAATGATGGTTTCAGGGTGTTCATAACCTTTGAGCGATCGCCGGTACCTGAGACCTCGGGAGCTGGCTCGGGCGCCACCCTTTGAATCCACGTCGACCCACATCAGACTTCATCTGAATTTTTTTTTCTCTTTCCTAGACATCAGAGTTTTCTTTAGAGCAGTATAGCTAATGGAAAAACTTTCAACTTGAAGTCAATTCAAAATATATTCCAAGTTTAATTAACAACATAATTCAATCATGATATTCAAGTTGGCATGAGATGTAAACAAAGTCCCTTAAGCCCTAATTTGAACTATTGGAGTCTACTATAACCCTAACGGTTTTAGTTCATTTAGTGATGACGCTTCTATGAGGTGTTTATATGAGGTGTTTACGTTTTTTAATAAAATATTTTTTTCAGTACCCAATTTTTTCTCGTCTCTGCCGTCATCAACATCAGCCGATCCTGCCCATGGTGCCTTGGCCTTGGTGGTCTCACGGACTCGATCCGTTCCTCGACCAGGCACCACAATCTCATTCGTTGTTTGAAGACCCAGTTAACTCATCTACGTAGTTTTCTAGAAGGTGGCAAGGCAACTCGGCTATTGGGGTAATGACATACCAACGCTTCCAGATCCTATCCCTAGATCGGGTGCACACTGGAATGTGCACCCCAGAATTGGATGCATGCAGGAAAACACAATGAAATGGTCATAAGACATGAGTTAGAATAGTAATTGATATCCAAACATGAAACAGAGAATGTTCTAGGATCATAATAATAGTAATCAAACAATCAACGATGCATACAGTTCTAACTGCACTCTGTATGTATCCGTAATAGTCTCTCTCTTTCCCCGTTTGCAACCTCACTCACGTGGACAATCCCGCTTGAATTTACTTCCTACTCCACCTTCTCCACCCCAGGAACCCTCCAAATAGTATGGAGTTATGCCCATGGAGACAAATGCGAAATTTCCTCCGCTCTATTCCGGTTCCAAACGTGGGACGAGATCCGGGCCCCCATTTGGCTTTGCCATGGTACCCCAAGGGGAGAGACCCAGTCTCTCTTGATGGATTCTATTTAGTTCATGACTTTTCCTCTTCCCCCCTTTGTTTTCCTTTTTCTTTCTTCATTCCATATCCAGCTTTTACCTTGCCTGGATAGGTTCATCTCACAATGGGTCTTAACAACCTCATCTCCAAGGTCAAGCCCTCTTCTGAGGCGCCAGAGACCTCTCAGTTCTCCTCTCAGGCACCTACCCCATCTCGTGCTGACTCCACTGCTGAGAAGGATACCACTATCATCGATGAAAGCCCTGTCAAGTACTTGACATGGCGTTCCTTCATCCTTGGTCTGTGTGTCTCCATGGGTGGTTTCATCTTTGGTTACTCCACTGGTAAGGTTTCACAACAGCTTTGAATCACGTAGCTCTAGATGGCTAACTCGAAGTTTAGGTCAAATCTCGGGTTTCACTTCTATGACTGACTTCAAGATGCGTTTCGCTGAGTACGACGCCGCCACTGATACCTACGCCTTCAGCAACGTTCGCAACGGTCTCATCGTTGGTCTGGTAGGTTCTGCCACATCCAACAATACAACATGTGATAGATAACAGGGAGCTAACTCTTTTATTCTTCTGTAGCTCTCTATCGGAACTATGATCGGTGCCCTCGTCGCTGCTCCCATGGCTGACCGTATTGGCCGCAAGTACTCCATCTCCTTCTGGGCTGTTATCAACATGGTTGGTATCATTGTGCAGATTGCCGCCACCGATAAGTGGGCACAGGTTGCTATGGGTCGTTGGGTCATGGGTCTGGGTGTCGGTGCTCTTTCTAGCGTCGTCCCCATGTACCAGTCCGAGTCCGCTCCTCGCCAGGTCCGTGGTGCTATGGTCAGCGCCTTCCAGTTGTTCGTCGCCTTCGGTATCTTCATCTCCTACATCGTCAACTTCGGTACCTCCAAGATGACCCACTCCACTGGCTCGTGGCGCATCACCATGGGTATCGGTTTCGCCTGGCCCCTGATCCTGGGTGTTGGTACCCTTTTCCTGCCCGAGTCCCCCCGTTTCTCTTACCGCCAAGGTCGTGTCGAGGAGGCCCGTGAGGTCATGGCTAAGCTTTACGGTGTTCCCGAGAACCACCGTGTTGTTGCTCAGGAGATGGCCGATATGAAGCAGAAGCTTGATGAGGAGAACGCCGTTGGTGTTGCTCCCTGGCACGAGATCCTCACCGGTCCCCGCATGTTCTACCGTACCATGCTTGGTATTGCTCTGCAGTCCCTGCAGCAGCTGACTGGTGCCAACTTCATCTTCTACTACGGTACTTCCATCTTCAACGGTATCGGTATCAGCAACTCCTTCGTTACCTCCATCATCCTGGGTGCTGTCAACTTCGGTATGACCCTGCCCGGTCTGTACATCGTTGAGCACTACGGTCGTCGCAACTGTCTGATGGCTGGTGGTGCCTGGATGTTCGTCTGCTTCTTGATCTGGGCCTCTGTTGGTCACGAGATCCTCAACGCTGACCCCACCAACCACTCCGCTGGTGTTGTCATGATCGTCTTCACCTGCTTCTTCATTGTCGGTTTCGCCACCACCTGGGGTCCCATCGTTTGGGCCATCTGTGGTGAGATGTACCCCTTCCGCTACCGTGCTACCTGCATGGGTGTCGCCACCGCCGCCAACTGGACCTGGAACTTCCTCATCTCCTTCTTCACTCCCTTCATCTCCAGCGCCATTGACTACCGTTACGGTTACGTCTTTGCTGCCTGCTGTTTCGCCGCCGTCCTGGTTGTCTTCTTCTTCGTCAACGAGACCCAGGGTCGCACTCTTGAGGAGGTTGACACCATGTACGTCCTGCAGGTCAAGCCCTGGAAGTCCGCCAGCTGGGTTGCCCCTGAGGGTATCATCGCCGATATCCACGCTCCTCACGAGCCCAAGCCCGCTGAGAGCGGTGTTGGCGAGCACCAGCACCACGACGGTGTTGAGATTGCCGAGGAGCAGCAGTAAGCTCTCGGTCCAGAATGGAAACTTAATCTTGTCCAACAAGAAAAAAGAAGCCAAGTTTAATTTAATGGCTTGTATGTATTTTAGATAATGATTTTTTAGTACCGTGTGTAAATACACACAAAGCTCACCTTGCTACGGCGCTCCATATAAGACGGGAGAAGAGTTTGATAACAAAATGAAATGGCATTACCATCAACTATATTCAACCTTGAAGTTTTCACAGTAATAATAAAGAATAACTAGATATAAACAAAATCATGAAGCTCACTTCTGGTTACCATACTCCAATCCAGCCTCCTTGCGAATCGCTCCATAAACACCCGCAATATCTCCCTTCTCACCCATCTCCTCCTTAACAATACTAAGGAAGTGATCCGTAACCTCCACATTCCTCATACGCTGACCAGCCTCCTTGGCAATTCCAGAAGCATGACGAAGATCCTTTCTAGCAAGATCAACCGCGAAAAGAGGCTCATCACGGAGATAATAATCACCAGTAACCATACGACCCGCATACTTAGCAAAAGGTCCCGGAGCAAAAACATCCAACCACTCCTTAAGAGGACCAACACCAAGACCAGTAGTCTCAGCAGCAGTGAGTGCCTCAGCGAGAACACCAACAGTGTTCAGAATAAATGTGTTTCCGATAACCTTCATAGTAGTCGCACGTCCAACATCAATATCTTCTCCAGTTCCAGAGGAAAGATCAATTGTTCGCGATGCAGTAACACCCTCATAGAATGGTCGTGCCTTCGCAATGGATGCCTGTTTACCAGCGGGGACGATAATTAGTTGGCCGATATCAGCCATGTTCGGTGCCCCGAATACCGGGCTAGCAACGAATCCAGCTCCACGTGCAGCGTATGCACTCTCGGTGCGTCGTGATGTGTCCGGGTGCACGGTTGAGCAGTCGACGAAGGTCTTTTGAGAAAGATCCGTGCTATCGGCCAGGATTCCAGAGGTAATTGCGTCCAATGCGGCGTCGTCACCTACACAAGTGAAGACGATATCGGCATTTGCGATTGCTTCGGGGAGGGTGGTTGCGACTTTGATCTTGTCGGGCTGGTTAAGGGTTTCGGCGTGTGTGATTGCGCGGGAGGTTGTACGGTTGTACAGAGTGAGACTGGCCTGAGGACCTTTTTGGGCGATGTTGGCACTCATGCCCTGTAGTTTTTTGTTAGATAGTGGTATAGTAGTTTAGATGTGGGTAACTTACTCGGCCAATGTTGCCGAGACCAATCCATGCGACGTGAACTCCAGACATTATTGTACAATTGATGTGTTTTTAATATTCACGAGTGTTAGAATTGAGAAGAGCGAATGAGTCTGGCTTTAAATGCGATCCAAGCTTTCAATCGTGGGGCAGACGTGGGGTAGTGACGATAAGTCGGGGCTTATATCTTAGCCGGGGTTTCCGATGGATTGAGATGATGTTGATGATGGATGTAATTGAGTTGGAGGAGATGAGTCTTTTTATATTCGTTTGATTGAAAGGAAAGAGTCATACAGCCTTGCGATCCCGAATTGTTCCTTCTACAATGTAGTCTAATTGTTACTAGTTAACCGTTATCCCGAGATGCGGAGCGGGTGATGCGGTACGCACGGCCCGCATGTCCCGCGCGGTGCGCTCTACTTTTAATATACGCGGAATGCACGTTGCCCAGGTTGCAATACTGCTTCAACTCACAGAATTAATTTGAATCTCATAACACTATTCTAAAGCTTCGCTTTCTCATTCTCAACGATACTGATATCCTGGAAAGGAAGACCCAAGTATTGCCACATGTACGCGAACCTAACAGATATGATGTTAGTCAATTCAAGCCAGTTGACACCTCATGAAACAAGTCTTGCATTCTGATACATACCGATCACTCCCGAAGAAAGGTTCCTCCTGTCCCTGCGCATTCCGCACCCAGAACCAAGGCGCCCCATACGCTCCTAGATCTAGTGCTTTCTGGGTATTCGCAGTGAGCGCCTGCTTATACTCCGGACTCGACGCAGCAGCCAAGATCTTCTCGATGTCCTCATTTGAGAAGTCGTGGCTTTTAAGGAGCTCTGCCAATTTCTCTGGTTTGCTGACGTCGATGTTTTGATGGTACATCCATTCTGATAGTGAGAGAAAGGTTCTTTCGTATTTCTCGCGCGGGTAGTACTTTTTGATATAGATCAGACATCGTTGAGGCTATACGAGTTAGTCTGAAGTAGATATAAGTGTTGACTGGAAGTTTGTTACCAAGATAGAGAGAATAGGGAAGAAATCCGGTGTCTTGGTTTGTGGCACCCCGAAGTATTTACATGCCCGCTGTGAATCGAATTTGCCGTACGATGCCTTGGCTGGGAGTGTCCATGGCGGCTTGTTTCCTAATAAGATACTTATGAGTAAGGTTGTCTTGGATATAGTGGACTCAGAATGAAATACCAGAGCCAACATTCACACCACCTAAGAAAATAGGGGTGAAACCTGAGATGGCTAGTCAGTGTACATCCACAGACAATGAGAGCTATCACTCACTCAACCTCTATACCATGCGACTCTAGCGCCTTTCGATTGCGTCGCAGATACAGCACCGCAAAGTAGGAGTATGGAGAAACTAATTCAGGTATCAGAATGCGCTACTGGGTCCTGCCGGGTCAGATGGATACAGGGATGGCGATTTCATACCACAATCGATGTAGGCGTCTATTTTTCCTGTCATGGTGTCTAGGTACTGGCTGATTCGTCAGGAATGGTGCGATGATGATGCGATCATTCAGAGATGAAAGAAGCTCGTATATAGGTGACGGGGGGGCCCGACTCGCCCGAGGTGTGGATATGGGCCGAGGTTGTGGAGTTTGATGAGTGATCAAGAAATACGGGGGTTCGAGCGTGCAACATTTAACATGGGAACATTCCAACTGAATATTTTGAGTCTGGTGTATGGAGGATGAATCAAATTTATGACGGGTGAAGTATGCGATGGAATCAATGATTCAATGATATTCCTTGGACGAGCTAGTCAACTGGTATTGCTAATGCACCACGTTTGGAGATAACCCAACAATGAGCTGCCAGTGGAACATCATAATTTGAAAAGCTAGTCAATATGAGTGTCAGTTGTTCAAAATTGATGAATTAAAGCTGCTAGATATGACAATCTCCTAGATACGCCCACCATGCGCCCAGATGCCACTTTCATGCACTATGATGTGGGGTCTTATGCAGCCCCAGATTCTACCCCCAAACAACCAACTCCCCCACTGTTATCCCCCACTGTCCACTGCGCTTGGCACTGCCCACATTGCCGAACTATAGTCATGTAGAGTCTTAAAATGGAGATGATTTGGAGTATAGATCTCTTTCAGAATGTTGTATTTTTTCAAGGACATATCATATAATGTTCCTGAAAACGGGTACCATTGCCTTCCTCTCCTTAGGCCTACGCTCTTGGGGCTCAACACTGAACTCCGAGTCGGTCCCATGGCCGTCGATTCCTGAACAAAAACAGGTCACATCTTCCACGGGGCCTGTTCATGTTTTCCCAGTCTCTGTGATCAAAGGCATCAGCAGTGCTTTCAAGAGTGGAAGTTCCACGGACTCATTGGTGTTTCAAGGTGTCGGAGATACCTATACTTGTGAGACTCACTACCAAACTATCAGAATACTTGAATCTAACATTTGAACCTCTTTCAGTGGACTACGGTGAGGATATTTCTGGAAAGCCAGTCTTTCATATAGCTTCCGTCGAGGGAAATCCTCAGATTGAAGTCAAATACACGGAGGCTTTTGAGTAAGCTGCACTTTATGCAACAGTCCACTTTGCTCTCACATGGTCTAACAACTTTGAATAGAGGCTTATTAAACCCAAAAGGCGATGGCCCCTTTTCATTTGCAAATGGATTGAGCGCGACCTTTCGAGTTGAAACGTTTAATATCACCAAGCCCGGACTACTAAAAGGATATTTCATCCAGGGTTCTCAGCGATGGCAATCTATCAGACTAGTCAATGAGGGTAAACTGACCATCAGGCAAGCTGGTTTCATATCTTCAGTTGACCAAAGTCCTGTGAGTTGCCCTCAAAACACATAATAATTGATCCTGACTAGCTCGTGAAACTATCTAGTTGGATTCCGTGCCTGGCTATTTTGCTTCGAGCAATTCAACATACACAGACATTTGGGCACTGGGGCCTCGCACACAGCAACTGGCTTGTTATCCGCCAGACTCACAGACATCAACATGGGATATCACATCTAATGGTGCCTATGTACGTGGGCAAAAACCGGCAAGCTCTACCCGTGTTGTCAATCTGGTCAACTACACATTATCATTCGAGACCATGATTGACTATGGCGGCACTGGCTGGCGTGTTGATACAGAGATTGATGCTATCCAAGCTACAGGTCCTATCTGTATGTCTCCAACACGCCTAATCATCAATGAATTTTATTCCTGTTTCTAATCACTTATCAAGTCGTTCTCACGAGTGAGTACCCGGAAGGTTCCTTCGCAAATATCGATCGATCTCTCGTTCCACCAAATACGTTGGTCCTTGGGCGCGGATGGTCTCTGCAAAACCAGACCAGTCTACCTGGATACGTACTAGATAAATTTCCTATCAACATGGTACGTCTTTTACTACTCGTTGAACTTTAGTTTCTAACAATTCATATAGAATGTCACCGAGAAAACCTGGCACACTATCAAAACAGTCTCCCCGGGTGACGATACCTGCACGGTATACCTCGATGACCATCAAATCGCACACTTCAACATCAGTTCATACGGTCTCGGTGATCCCAATCCATATATTCCTGGTGGTGCCTACAAAGGCTTTGCCTTTGGTCCTTGGCAAGATCAAGCCGCCTACTACCGGAATGTGAAAGCCACACTAAACAGCAACAACGAAACCGTGTACAGCAATTCCATGACTTCTCAAGACGTGTTGATCGAATATGGTGTTCAAACCAATGACCAGTATACATGTTCTGATTCCGGGAAGCGCGATCGATTCGCCTGGCTTGGTGACAGAATCATGTCTGCCCGCGCGGTGATGGTAAGTTCGAATCAAAGAGAATATGTCTGGGGTCCAGCCCAGCAGTCCTTTTCCAGACAGATTACCTCGGGCCAAGTTCCTGCCAATACCTTATTCAGTCCTTTGGATGTGCAGGGTACGCTGATTCGCACATTGAATGTTGATCCGTTGGTTGTCGACTATAACTTCGATTTCATGCAAATCATATACGACTACTGGATGCGCTCTGGGAATGATACATTCTTAGAAGAGTTCTGGCCGCAAATGGTTATGGGTACCAGTTATGTGATTTCGCGGGCTCTGGATCTGGGTACACAGTTATTCGGTGAACCGTTTGGCAGTTTGGGGACTTCACTTTCTGGAGAGAAAGGACAAGCACTTGGACCTGCGAATACGGTGTCACTTATTCTAGGATTGGAACGCATGGCAACAATGGCAGAGTATTTGGGAGATTATGTCACGGCTCATATGTACAAAGGTCAAGCTCAACTTTCCCGAGATGCTATTGAGACACGGCTTTGGAACCAAACTGGCGGGTACTATACCGCAACTCTTGGAGGCTCTGGATACGATCTTATGGATATTGCACAAGTTCTTCTAGCTGGTATTGGCACTGAAGAGCGTCGCGAACGATTCGTCCAGAAGCTTGATAGCTTGAAGGTTCCTGCTGGGTATATCAATGGGACGAGATTCTTTGATACCCCCGGTGTGGTGGACCCTTACTATATGAGCTTTTTACTGGAAGGACTTGCGATTACGAATCGTACGGAGCTTGCACAGGAGTTACTGGATGCGACGTGGGCGCCAATGGTGCGTCGGGATCGGAATTACACTGGTGGATACTGGGAGTATATTGTAAGTCTGATCCTTTCCTGCACTTTGATATGATCTAACACTAGTACCTTTCCAGAGTACAGATGGAACGTACCCAGGTTTGGATCTGTTTACAGGTATGAGCCACTTTTGGGGTAGCTATCCAACAGTGTTCCTAACAGAGTATGCTCTTGGTGTCCGACCTACCAAGCCAGGCTATCAGGAATTTCTGTTTGCGCCCATGCCTGGATTCAAGACGGATTGGGTTCAGGGACGGGTTCCCACTTCCTCTGGGTTGATACTTGCTGCTTGGGGATATGATACCGAGGGGAAAATTATGATGGAGATCGAGTCACCGTCTGGCCTAAATGGAACTTTGGTTCCACCATTCGATGGGAAATATTCGGTTGATGGACAGCAAGGACAAACTGGTACTCTTGCCTTCAAGGGTGGAAAGAAGATCGTCGTCTTCCAGGAGTAGCTATCGAAGAGACATCTGGACGGTGTCAAGGTTTAAATAGATCAAAAATTATACTAGAGAAAGTGCGAGTTTTCTATGTACTGTACATCAATATACATGGAGGCCTTCCCTCGGATCTTGGATGAAAGGAAAAAAGAAACAGCAGTTGTTAGAAAAACACTCCACGGAGGAGAAGAAATAGGAAAATGAGGAATGACAACGCCGGGAACCCCACAATGGAAGCAAGCTGCGAGGAGAAATAGGACCATCACAACATGCTATGCAAAGAAAAGACAATACCTGATATGCCAGGATTGAGACCTGTGCCGTTGGGTAATACGACAGCCAAAATTACCCTTGGTCGCAACCTTTTGGCTTGAGCTTTTTTGTTTATCAATTTAAAATCCATGTCTCTTTAACGGCCAGTGGCCCAGCTGAACCAACCCTTGGACTTCTCCTTCGCAGCTTGCTCAGCATTCTCAGCCATCACATCCAGCTGACCAGGCATGGCCTTGGCAGCAGCAGCCTCAAAAGCCTTCTTCGCCTCGGCGGCGTCCACCACCTTGGTAGGCTCAGCTGCTGAATTTGAGACAGCGACGGCAGTCTGGGCTCCGGTAGCAGCAGCATCCTCTGTGTTCATCTTCTCGAAGAGGAATCGCTTCGCCTTGGCCCATGGGCGCTGTGCCTTCTCCTCCTCCCGGTTGCGCTTGATAATCTCTCCAATCTCCTCCTTCTTGATAAGCTCGAGTTGTTCCTCAGTCGCGTAGCCGCTGGCCTGGGCAAGACGGGCTTCGTTGAGAGTCTCAATCTGCTTCTCCATCCACAGAGTGCGTTGGCGGCGGTTGTACATTGTGAGGGAGACCATGGAGTAAGCTGTGAGGATAGCGCAGGTACCTAATTAGAAGACAGTATTAGCTCGATGTATCAGATGGTGATACGCATACCATATCGTAGCACATGTTCATCAAACCCGATACATGGTCATGTTTCCCACATGTCCCTTGGGGAGGTCAGGTCCAAGCTTAGATACATACCAGACGCAAGAATCAAAGAGTAAACCATTCCCTTGTGGGCCTTGTTGGCGAATTTCCGTCCAATTTCAATCCATCGATCAACACCAGATGAGTTCTGAGCCATCCGGGCAGCCCGTGCCTGTGCTCGCAATCGTTCCACCTTCTGCTTAGGTGTCTCCGGGGTACCATCGGGTCCGGCCTGTGGTGCTGGCGTGGGCTTCGCTGTGCTGTTCTTCGACTTCATGAAATCCGGCAGATCGTATGGCTGGCCGTTAGGCTTGGAGCTGGCGTAGGGCCCTGTGGCCGTAAACCGCGTTGCGTCCGCGGCGGATCGAGACATCGCGACAGCGTCTCTCTCGGGTGATTTAGGAGCGAGTAGTTTTTAACAAGAGCGCAATCAATCGATTTGGTATTTATGCACCCTTTACGATCGATTGTGAATTGTGGATTGGAATATTGAAGGCGCGGTCTTGAGGAGAAGTCCGGGGTTGAGAAGTGGAAAGGTAAATTTTCAGCGGCGGAGGAGGATCGCGCCAAGACCCGATAACAGCTTCATCTTACATATGGGACGACTCTTCCTTCACTGCTCCGTACTTTTTTCCCCTTCTACATTTTAAATTAAATATTGATCACCAATTTTTAATCCGTTACCAAAATTCCTCCTTCTTCCATCATTCATCACTTCTTAATTCTAACATTCTTTTCATCATGGCGGACTATCCCTCTAATACCCCGGACTTGAGCTCCGTGCTTCAGACGCTATCTACACTGGCTTCTCAGAATAATCAATCTCAATCTCAATCCCAAGCACCTGAATGGAGCCACTCAAATTCCTCTGCTCAATCAAAGCCACACATTGACTCTAACATTCCTGCACCTCGCACTACATCCCAGAGCGTACCACGTCGTCATCCCAGCTCATCCTCAAAACCAGCAAGTACACCCACTGTGGATCCTTCGACTATTACGACCTGGCCTGCAGCACTGCGATATGTCATGCGAAGTGTCGGCCAAAATGAAGAAACCCAACTTCGTGTCCGTGGTTTGATTCGAAGTCAACATAGCCATGAACAGCAATGGTGGAATGGCCGCCAGGCTCTTCTACAGCGGCAGCAGGCTCGAGGAGATAAAAAGAAGGAGCTGGATGAAGTCCTGTAAGTACTTAATTTTCTTGAACATCTCCTTTTCGCGGCTAATTAGCTAACTTTCTTCAATAGACGATCTATTGGTGCACCTGTTGATTCTGCCAACATATCAGTAAGTGAACGTTGATTTCGAAGCTTGCAATTTTCGACAGCGCTAATCTTTCTATTACTCATAGACTGCTCAAGAAGACAAGGCAGAACTAATGAACTATGACTTCAAGATTTACAAGGCGTCAGTGAAGATGGCGGATGCCTTGATGGCGGAGTTACGTGGACTAAACATCCCGTTCTTCGTTCTCAGAAAGGAGATCCAGCCATCTTCATCAAAAGGCGAGAGTGAAGCTCTGGTGGAAGGACCACCAAAATTGTCTGACTCCGAGCTTGCTGACTTGCAACGTCGCATGCTGGAGCTACTAGAAGATCTTTGCAAAGAATGAAAACATTCAAAGGCTTCTATCAAGTATGATGACTCAAATTTTAAACCAGAAGTGAATTTTCGATAACTTCGTATTCTATTACTGTATTCTTATTTAAACCTCAGTTTTGAAGTTCAGATGTTACCCATTGCCAGGTTTTAGAGTGCATCCTCTGTTTCTGCCTCCACATGTGCATGGCCTTGGATCATGATCCGATACATCAATTTCAAGTTAATATATCACCTGCCAGTGAGGCGGATCCTCAACTTGAACTTCAACCTCGGGATACTTGAAATTCATGTTTATATCATTTCCGAGTCTTCACTGGATACTTAAGACTTCACCCCCGAGATCTTCCACATCTTCCACCTTTCCCACTTCTACTACTTCTACACACATAGCACACCTCCGCACTCGACTCCAGATCTTAGCACAACAGCACATTTCTGAGATCGGTACGAATCCTACTATGTCACCAAATTTGAAGGACATTCAGAGACATATCTATGCCGTGCCATCGGACAGATTCCCCTACACAGGTAGTATTCATCAATCCGACATTTGAGAAATTCAAGTTCGGCCCGGCACCAGGAACTGGGAAAGATCTTAGCAGCTAGAGAGAGGGAAAAGTGGTGGACTTTGAAGAACCGTGAGCGATTGGCAAGGGACTTCAAGTTGTACGATACATTGATATGTACTGGGTAGGCACCTACCATCAAACAATGAAAGATCGTGTGTATTTCTCAGCACTTGAGTGCTTAGCTACTACCTAGTAGCTGCTACTATATATGCTAGTTGGATATACTATAAGTAACTAGCAGCCCTAGAGATAAGCTGTTGCCCTAGATGCTGATTCTGGGTATTATGGCGGGCTGTGAGTAAACCTGAAAAACTGGAGCAAACCACATGCGAGTAGTAGAAGAGGCCTTAGGCCTATTAGGTGGAAGGGAATCAAAAGGTTGTTTGGAACAATGTAAAGAAAGACTTCTTGCTCCCAATTCAGACTAACCCGGGAGAATGAATATGTAATGACTAGAAGCGATAGTGGACGCGAGTCACGTCACTACAAAGACTGATCAAACCTCCCCCATGACTACCTAGTAATAAGAAATCACCGTAAGAACCAGAAAACCAGACTCCAAGCCGGAAGAATAGAAAGTGTAGAATAACCGCATCTCGTCAACCCATGCAGAGAAAGAGAGAAAAAAAAGCACAGGAAACACCGTTGAATGCTGATATGAATCGAATCGAGATAGAGATAGGAAACAGAATGTTTCCAACATTCCCTTGCCAGGATTGGGAATGCCCTATGCAAAAAGTCAAAGCGTGAAGAACGTGAAAAGGATATAGATCATACGCCGATGACCGATGATGAAATTGAAAAAAAAGAAGAAGAAAATTGACAAAGAAGGAAAGAATTGATACATCTATGCGTCGCGGGTCTGCATCACTCGTAGGCCAATCGTGATGTTTCATTTAGCGCTGCTCGGCTTTCTCAGCCACTGCCACGGCTACAGCCACTGCTGCACCCAAGATTGCACTCTCAGGAGCAAGGTTCAGAGAAATGGCAGATTTAGAACCTGGGTGGGACTGTTCGGATAGTTCATCGAGGTAATTCTGGCAGTTATCACGGAAGCCGGGGTACTTGTTGATGACAGTACCGTCGCACGCAATAGAGATGTTCTTCACGGCCTCTTCGCTTTCCACAACGGTAATCCCGGGAGCCTCTTTCAAGATATCCTTTGCAGATTCTGTTGATGTGGATTCAACTTCATTGCCCAGGCACCACATGCTGTGGATACCAGTGGCTAGGTATGCGGCAGCGCGGCGGGAGACAACTTGAGAAACGCGGCGGATGAAGCGCAGGTCCTCGACAGAGGGACAGCCGGGGAAAGTGTGTTGTTTCTGTAAAAGCGCAGCAGAGGCGGACAGAGAGGCAGAAGAATCGTCCTCCAGGAATGCAATAATGCTTGTATCGAAGGAGTAAGGCTCACGCATTGAATGGGGCAGCTCTCCACCAAACAGTTTCGCCGTCTCAACCGCTTCAACCATAATGAGTCGAACAATCTCACCCAAGTACCGGCCCGTAATCATGTATTCCAACGGTTGATAGTCGGGTCGCAAGTGAGTCATGTTCAAGATATCGTCCCAGCGAGTCATTGGTAAGACACTTCCACCAAACATGCTCAGCTCAGTGTTGACAATAACATACTTTGCATAGTCAAACCAGCCTTCTGGACGTATGCCGAACTTGGTGCGCCCGATTTCGTGCACAGGGAAGTGGATGGCCATGTTGGTACCTGTTCCAAGGATCAACGACATGCGTGTCTTCGGGTCGACATAGGCACGCGACAGCAATGCAGCGGAGCTATCATTGACAATAGCAGCCATCTCCACATTCAAACTACGCTTGCGACAAGAGTCAATCAATAATTGACCTAGCTCCTGTCCAACGGTTCCGTTTGAACAGTGGAATCCTTTGCCCATGTGAATCACCAGTCCGCTACTCATTGAGGTCTGATCTATGGGGAATGACCACGAGAGACCTATTGGCAAAGCTGCCTCACCACGTCCATAATCCGTTCCAACATCCATGAGCATTCTCTCAATCTCTCCTGCCATCCAGTCGAAGAACTGTGTTCCTTCCAATAATTTCACTGTGTTATCGATTTGCGACGACGCTACCCGCACGATGCGCATTTCCTCTTCCCGTCCGTGCAGTTCAATCAAAGCAACCCGAAATGTTGATCCACCTACATCCAGTGCTAAGTATGTGCCTTTCTCAGACCCACTCGGTAAAGCATGGGTGTAGGATGGTAACATGTTGCATGGGGAGGTTTGTAGGCAATGGCGAAATTGTACGCGGATCTTCTCCGACATATCCAGCATTTTGGATGTCGACAGGGGTGTTGTAAAGAGGGTTTCCACCTCACTAGCGAAATCATCAAGAGAGCGACGGCGCCAGTGGGCACCTAAGAATGGTTTGCGACGTTTGTGGCCGAAGCCGCGAAAGAGGGAGGGAAAGAGGATCATGGTCTCGAGAGCGGCGACCACGTTCTGGAATAGCTCCTGCAGGCGATGCAAGACTTTAACCAGCGGAGCCGGCATGGTCGCAAGGGTAGTTTAGGAGGAAAAACGATTGGAGAGGATTTTGGGGATGAAGATCAGGGCGACATGAAGAGATAAGATCCTCAAAAGTGTTCAAGTTCAAAAAATCCGGGTGGGGAGTTTTATTAGGATTTGTCTAAGGTGACACTCTCCCACAGTAGTGTTCAAGGTGGATCGGAGGTGAGAGTGTAGCAGAAGAAGAGGAGAGGAACCCCCACCCGCGTGAACACAAGAGAGCCGCGCGAGAAAGGATAGAAAAAAGGTAAAAAAAGAAATAATAAAACCCAAGAAAAAAAGAAAAGAGAGAAAGTGTCAACAAGCATGAAGCATGGATCAACATTGGTCCATTCTTGATGATCAAGTGTCACTCGGAGTGCAACTTGAAGCCCTTGCGGTGTCGCAATGCGCGAAGTAGGTAATGGTATTGTAATGTAATTTTGAATCAAGCTATTGATTGAGTGAGAAGGTAACTGATATTGTGTAGTAGCGAGATTGTAATTTAAGTATTGAAGTGGTTATATTACAGTGGAGAGATCTCTAAGTTTAAATCGAACACTATTATCACTTCAATCATCATTTACTCTCTTTTATCATATCAAAACATGAAAGAATGAACATAGTATTAATCCATGGACATTTAAAGTCATGATTCTGATAACATTCCAAGCGTGGTATGTTCGTACATACTCAATGACCCCCTTGAGTGCAACGGTGGTAGCCGGCCCAACTGGTCGGGACCGTTACACTCAGTGGAACCGCCCCGACTTATAACCTCGTGGAGACCTGTACTTGACCTTTCAACTCTCACCTTCACCTTTACAGTAGATTGTTTCAAAGCACATGTAGCATGTTTCCCCTTGATAATCCTCAAGCTTGAAACAATCTGCCACGCTTGAGTCTCCCCTGAGTATCCCTGGGTTGTGTGTGTGTGATGGTGGTTGCATCACTGTAATCACGGACCACGAGTGCCATGTTTCGGACCTTTCGGCGGAGTACTAGTAGTAGATATGGATCCCGTAGCATCTTTGCTGATCTGGAAAGTACCTTAGCTTTCATCCAATCCAACCTCCTTACTGTGATGGTTGTCTTGCATCCATGCATATGTATCATGCGAGCCACATCTCTCCAAATGCCAAGAAAACCGGCACTTCAACACTCGCATCCCAATGCTTCAACCGTGACATCATTAACATCATTCGTGTGCAAAGATGGCATCATCAAGGTCTGGTAGTTTTCAATTGTAGTAAAGTTTTGCAGCATTGACACCTTACCATAACATCGTCGTGCTCAGAATCAAATCATGTCTCCTGATCAAATTCTGGATAAGAAGGGTCAGGCTATAACGCAAGGGGATTATGTGTTGACCAAGATTCGTGGAGGACATCGAGAGGGAGAGGTATGCCTAAATCGTTTCGGTGTTGGGTACATCGAGATATCACCTTGCCATGAGGGGCTTGTCATTCATACGGAGTATAGGTCGAAAAGGTTGTCACTGATCAGGCAGAAGCTCTGGCAGAAAGGGTTACCAACCCTCCCAAGGTAAGTGGTGCCCAATTGGTCTCTCCTTCGATTTTGAAGTTGCATTTCAATTGGTGGCAACGGGTCTGATGCCTGTTGTGGTATAGGTTATCTTTACTGATCAACATGGACATCGAGTTGCGCACAATCCCCTATCGGTGGATAAACAGCCGGGTCGGGGTTTAATGGGCATGTAAACCCACATTCCGAGGATTCACAGCTTGGATTATTTGGACATTGGGAATATGCAAGCTGTCGTCTGGTTATCTTTGGCAGATCCCGTGTTGATCTGTGGGGGAGGTCAATGTAATTGAGGCCATAGCACAATCGTACTCGTACTAGTATGTGGGGTACTGCTGGAGATATTGGACTTTTCACTTTTTCTCCGCATGGCAATATTATAAAATTGAACCTTGTGCTGAAAATTCCCTCAGAATGGTGGAGTAAGAAGTAATGCTGAATCCATGAACGTGACCATGACCTTCAGGCCCCCCCTGTCTCTCAGAAATGGCAAAGGACACGTCGAGCAATTCTCACCGTATTGATCGCGTCAGCCGTATCTGGAATCGCGCCTCCACCACAGATGAGCTGTCAGAATAAGTTTGTCAGCGTGGTTAGCTGTCGGTAATGGAGCATGCCCTGTCAATGAAGCCGGGCTATTTAGCAATCGGTACTTTTGCAGCTGAACATCCTGCGTTGAATCACCAATGCAACTGAGACAAAGGCTAAAGTCAGCCTCATGCTATAGCCTTGGAAGATATCCAGTCCTCATGATCATTGATTTGGTCGATCTTTGTGGTAGGTAACAATCCACGAGAATCTACAACAGGATCCCTCGTACAAAGTACCGAGTCACGAATAGATGTCCGAGCCAGCATCTATCTCCAAAAATGATTCAAAAATTGATATTGCAGCCAGACTTACGGAGTGACTGAGTAACTGCGTTACATCCATTGCTTCGTAGTCCAGGAACACACTTGTGCAGTGATATCATGTGTGGGAGCATCTGACAGGTGCGCTATCAGATGCAAATATCGGGTTAGCGCCGAATCACACGCACAATCCATTTCTCACGACGATCTGACCAATCATCAGATCCATCACAGTCAACTGGCTATTCTGGATTTCATCTGTCACATATCACATCTCATTCTTTAAATGTTCGAGTCCAGACCCTGCGTGTTCATGGAGACGACTCAGCCCACTTCCCCACCAATGCGATCCAATGGACCACAGTGAGATGGGTAGAGCCCCTGGCCCCACGAGTCAGGTCGCTTGTCTAACCCGCAAAGTACCCATGTCCAGACGGTCGCGAGCCAACCAGGTTGGGATAGGCAGGGCATTTATGTAAGTATATTAATTATAGTAGGGACTGACCCGAGTTTTCAGTAGGAACCCCTGACACGGCGTGGCTGTGAACGGTATAATGCATAAGGGATCCGCTGGTTGTTCTGGACTGGATCTAAATGTATTTATTCGAGGGCTGTGTCGGCACTATGTACCAGGTGATTATGATCGGTGAATTTCTACTCTTAGCGCTTAGCGTGCATATTGGATTGGGGGAAACGGCTCATTGAGACTACGTGTCGTCCAGACCTCTAACTAGGAACGCCACTGTTGTGGGGAGGCCACGACGTCACTGGGGAGTAAATCCTTTTCTATTTTTTATTATTTTTACAGATCAATTATATTTGAAAATATTCAGCCTTTTTACCGGATTATCCTTGTTCATAATATTTGATAGGTTATTATGTACGGAGTAGGGAGTGCACAGTGACCTGTTAGTACACTGCATGTGCATGCGATGACTCGGATTTCGGTCTATTAGTACAAAAAACCTTGGAAGTAGCATGTCAAACTTTCCCAGTTGACTCTGCGTATAGAATACTAGTATTCCAGGGTAAAATCTCATATACCCATACAAGATGACCGCTAATTTGAACTTGAAACAACCTTAAGTGGCCTGTTTCGTATAGAGGAGATCTTATCTCAGATACGAAGTATAAAACCGTTAAAATTGAATGTTCGTGTCTCAGAATGTTTCGACACTGCCAAGCGTGTTGGAGCCGAAGTCTACACACTAAGTTCGGCTTAATTGGACATAATTACTTGATTGGACTTGACTCTTTTGTTCCATAGCGTAGAATTGCCGGTCTAGGGCTGGATAAAGTGGGCCTTGAGTAGATCGGCATTAAGATTTGAGAAAAATCAGTTTTTTTCTCCCGAGGTCGGGGGTTTTTATTAATGTTCCTGGTTCTTGTAGGGATAGAATAGAGAATAATCTCATATTCATAGATAAATTCATGTTGACTTTTTGATAAGTAATTTATGATATAAAACTTTTACTCTCCAGCACTTGAGATATCTCCGCACTATGTATGCGGAGACACGCATCAAAAGGTCCCGTGCCAAGAGATTAAAATTTCATGTTGATTGGTCTGGTAAAACGGCAAATCAAAAAGGGGAAAAAATTAAAAGAAAAAAAATGAGAAAATTAAGAGAAAATTAAGAACCAACGGACTATTCCGAGGGTGTTTCCGGGGAGTTACTAATACTTTCAGGGAGCTGATGTGGCCTAGGAATTCCATAGAGTGGCTGAAGATCATGATCATATTCTATCTTCTATGCCCAGGTGGAGGAAATTAAATTGTAACAATTGTAACAGAAATACAAAGTAAAGAGTCCTGCAGTACGGAGGTCGGTCCGGGAAAGTTCTCGCCAGAAATTATAATTTCTTTTTCTCACACTAGGCTATATACAGTAAATATTGAAATATATCGCGTAATCAAGATGTATATAAAACGGAAATATATAGTACTGAAATATAATAACAGCTTGAAACAGTAAATATTCACATATCTTCCCATATATCGCTGTCGCTGTCGCTGTCGCTGTCGCTGTCGTTGCCGCTGCCGCTGTTATAGGCGTTATCACCTAACCCGCTAGGGGCTACTTCACCTAATTTATCACGCCCCTCACCGTATTCGTTGCCCCCTTCTAGTCTAATGACTTGCTGTATATGCCATGGTATACGTTCAATCCAAGCTTGAATTTGCGCCTGTGGTAGATCACGCCACGCAGCCTCCCATACTTTAATCCCTTCTTTACGCGATTTAGGTGCTCCTTTTCGCGTAGTGTATCTCTTCATCCAAGGCCATGCAGGTTCAATCATATTTAGATCAGGCGAATTTCCAGGCCAGATCATTCGTTGGACCCCCATTATATCAAATATTCGCTGTTGGTAGTGATGTGAATGGGCTGGTGCTTTATCCTCTTGAACTATTGTTTTCGTTCGAATTCGAGCACATTCTTGGGCGAATGGAAGTAGTTTTGGGGCTAAAATCACGGTGTTGTATCGGTACCAATCGATTCCACCTTTCGAATTGCGTGCAAGCTTTCCATTCTTCTGAGTCCATCTCCACTGAGGTTGTCTTCCAGGCTTATTGCGTAGCCCTAATCGCTGTATACCTGAATTAAGCTCCCATTCTGCACGCATAATAGGCTCTAATTCAGTATTCCATTCGGCGATTTGGTGTTCTGCTTCACGCTTTTGGGCTGTAGTTTCAGGTACCCAACAATGACAGGGGCCCTTCTGATCATAAGAAAAAGCACCCCAAAACATGAACTCAGAGGCCCCCTTCCAACGTTCTCGAATACAGCTTCGGACGAACCGCTCACTAGAAGTACGCCATACACGATATCCACCCCGACGGTGTAATAAAACAACCGCAGTTTCATCAGTCCAAATCACATTCTTCCAGTCTTCTATAGTCCAATGGGCGTGTTTTAAACACCATTCAAGACGTTGTTTTTTCTGCTCAGCGGCAAGCCCAGGCTTACGTGTAGGCTTTGTTTTTCGTAGGCCAATTTTTCGTAGTACATGCCAAACTGTTGTTTTTGATATATTAATCCCTAATTATAGAAGAAATATTAGAGGAAATAACATATCAAGTAACATATGAGATAACATATCAAATAACACACCAAGTAACACATCAAATATTATACTAAATAACATATTAAATAACACACTAAATAAAATATCAAATCTTAGAATAACTAACCTGATTCACTGCGTAGCTCTGCAGCTAGCTGTTCACATGTTTTCTCACGCCCATAGCGGTCTACACGGATTTTCGCCCCAAGTGTGGTTTTAAGCTCATCTGTTTGCTTAGATGGACGCCCAGAACGTGCTTTATCAGCTAACATTTCATCTGATATATTGAATGGTCGCTGATTCGGCTGAAAACCTCGTTCGAGTGCACGGTTCCATATGTCTCCTATAGTACGCCGTGGAATATTCATAAATTCACTGATCTCCTTAGGGGCATGTCCTTGGGCCCTTAGGTATACAATGACAGCACGTTGCGCAATATTGGTCTTCATTGTAGCTGTATAGGTGGGACAAAAGTGTAGCTGTGTAGGTGGGATAAAAGTGTGAAGGGGTGTACGGACTGTAGGCGGGGTAAAAGATAAAGATCTACGTGTCCACGGGTGTTATAAGCAATATTTAGCCTAGTACGTAACACGGCAATACATCCAATATACAGCAGGCTATACACCTGACATACAGGGCCGGTAATATATCAAGAAAAAGAAATTATAATTTCTGGCGAGAACTTTCCGGACCGACCTCCGTAGACACCTGGGCACCTGAACAGTAATAATAAACGAAATTACTCGACCAGACTGGGTTAACAATACGCATATCAATACGAGAATCTTTCCGCTCCATCCACATCTGTGGACATCTGCGGGCATCTGCGGGCATCTCTTCTTCCCTCACGCTTCCTCACTGGTTCCACCGAAACAATGCCAAGGCTAAGTTCGTCTGGATCGTCAGATTCCATATGCCACTGCACGCTCCCCTGAGCGGTTTCGCCTATGGAACTCCCCTAGCTCAGCCCTCTCCACTTCAAAGGGACTGACGACGCATTTGCCCCCGTTCAATCGGTGTCCTCTTTTCTGTCCCTTTTCCTTTTCTCCGATACCCGTTGTTGTCTCCTTCTTCTACTGCAAGGGAAGACTGTCCTTCCTGACCATTCATTTTTTTTATCATGTTGTTTCTAGGCGCTTTATTATTATCATCATGCCTGCAGACGGTAGGCGCAGCGCGACAGGATGAAGATTTAATGTCATTCGTCACGGTTAGTTGAGCCTCCTGCTCCTCTTATCCCACAATAATGGCGTGATTGCAGTCTAACCACCACCTTAATTATATTAGCTCCCCGAAGTCCGAGCCTTAAAATGGGAAGTCACTCATCATGATCGGGAACGTCAAGCTCCGGGTTATTGGTTTGTCGCGCCCTATGGTCAAATCTCTCCGGAGACGCCTACCCATAAGTACCAACAGTACCAAGTTGGACCGTATATCTACGATAACGATGGTGTATGTCTCCAGTCGCCCCTTCGCGTTCCATGTCAACCACAACAAATAAACCAAAATGCGATTCGACAAAAAAAGCATCCGCTTACCATTCCTTGGAAATAGGTCCTTGTTTGGGCAGGTCCAGCCCTGTTCGATAACCGCAATACCTTCGACTTTCGAGCGAACTTGAACATGGACGGCGAGCCACGACTCTCATTTATCGTGGCATGGGATATCGAAAACGGAGCCGATCGAGGAAACGGAGTCATCCTCGATAACCACTACCAGGTCGAGCGCGAGGTCCTCCCCTTGGTGGATGTCCACGACTTCAACATGCACGAGTTCAACATTATGGATGGCGGCAAGACGGTTTTGGCCTGCGTCTATCGCCCCACGGAAATCAGCCTCGAAGAATTTGGCCGCCCCGAGGAGAAGAGCTGGGTCGTATCTGGTGGTTTTGCGGAGTTCAACATTGAGACCAATGAGCTTCTGACCCAGTGGAACAGTCTCGACCATCTTTCCCTCACGGAGTCCAATATGTTCCATGCCTGGGATGTACCTCAAGGAGCGCCAGGCTGGGACTACGTCCACGCCAATGCGGTGGATAAGAACGAGGCTGGGGACTACATCATCTCGATGCGATTCACCAACACTATCTACGGTGTTTCTGGTGCTGATGGAAGTATCATGTGGCGACTGGGTGGATTGGAGAGTGATTTCACCCAGGACTTTACCTTCTCGAAGCAGCATGATGTGAAATTCGTCTCTTCTAACGGTACCCACCATGTGATTTCTTTCCTGAACAACGCATCCGATGAACGTGGTAACGACGAGAATCTGTCCTCGGTTCTCTTTGTTGAGCTTGATACCGTGGCCATGAATGCTCATGTTCTTCAGCGTATTAACCGTCCCGATGGGGATTTGACTCGCCTGCGTGGAAGTGCTGAGACCCTTCCCAATGGTAACGTTTTCATCGGCTGGAGTGAACGCGGTTACCAGTCCGAACATGCTCCCAACGGGGATTTGTTGATGACCGCTCGCTTTGCTTCGTCTCGGTACTCCACCTACCGTGCGTACAAGTCCGAGTTTATCGGCCGTCCTCTCACCCCACCCGACCTGGTGGCTTCTGTCTACGGAACCAGCAACTCCGATATGAGCACCATCATGCACGTTAGCTGGAACGGTGCTACCGACGTTGCTGGCTGGAACTTCTACGCCCAGGCCTACGACCGTGGTGAGCCAGTTTTCATTGGACACGCCAACAAGACCGACTTTGAGACCCTATATGTTGTTGACGGTTACATGGACTGGATCACTGCTGAGGCAGTCGACCGTGAGGGTAACTCGATGATGAAGTCTATTATTGTGCGCAGTGAAATTCCGAGCAACTGGCACGCGGCCGGCTTCCTGGGAAGCAATAGCCCCTCCCCCCGATGACCCATCTCTCGTTTCGTCCGCCTACGAGAACTCCAAGTCTTCCTCTTCGCAGTCTTCAAGTGATTCCTCCACTGCACCCTCCACTGACCAAGTTGTGGAGGATAACACCGACGCTGCCGAGAATACCGACACAAGCGACAGCACTGACAGCACTGACAGCACTGCCAGCAGTGATGGAATGGATGGCATGGATATGGGCGATGACAGCGATTCCTCTCTCGCTGACGCCAAGGAGGTTGCCAAGGCCGTCTCCAAGGCCTACGAGGTGATTCGTGGCGTTGGTGGTCTGCTGCTCTTCATCCTGATCTCCTGCTCTGTCGGTGGTGTCTTGTTCGCTGTTTACCGCGTGGTCAGGCGCCGCAAGACACGTTCCTACCAGCACGTCTCCTCGATCGATGATCTTCCCACAGAACAGATCCACCTGCGTTCCCAGGGCCCTGAGTAAATTCTTCATCCCAGCCCTTTAATTTCTCCTTTTCACCATTTCCCTTTTGCATGATTAGTAGCGTCGCATCTGCCTTCGCATTTACATTCTCTGAGTCGTTCTCTTCCTGGTGAAGAGACGATTCAGATAAAAATTGAACATTGGAAATTTCCTCGACATCCTACGGGGCCTGAACGAAAAGATAAGGTGGTTGAGAGGGTATGGGTATATACATCAGGTCATGATCCTTCCACGCATGTCATACCCCATTTGGCGTTTTTCTCTCTCTTTAACTTGGTTTGATTTTTGCATTTTACACCTTCTTCACTGGTCTCTTGGGATGAGCAATGGCGGAACCTGAGATGGTCGGCCTCTCTCAGATTCCTTTTCTTACTTTTTGCCTTATACCTTTTTCACCCTCTTCTTGTGTAATACTATTTCACCCCTATGGGTTTTTTTTGTCCTCCTGCTATTACTTTGTGAACTATCCACAGAGTCAATGTACATATCTTCCACCTCTTCTTGTACAATGACGGGTCAGGTCACGAGTCATTAGATTTATGTACTTTCATCGGATGAATACAGTCAAGTCAAAATACATACTCACCGTTGATCCCCTATTCTGGTTCCAACTTGAAGCTAACGGGCCCACTTAATGCTTCCAAGTGGGTAAAATGATAACGACGTTCAGGGACATCTATGTACTTCACACTATGAAGGCCTCAATCAATTACTTGGCTTGAATTTCTTCCAAGGTTAGCCATTAAGAATACTTGCAGCATTATGAAAGACCGAGGCGGTGAACCACCCTCCTTGCAAGGGTCAGGACTCAGGAGTCCCACTGGCAAGTCACCTTGCATAGACCATTTGATCAAATCAATCGAAAATTGCCGAAAATCCGGACTAACCATCTCAAGTGCTGTGATGACACAACCCAAACCCATCCTGCCACTTCTGAGATGTAAAACAACCTTGAAGTCAGCACTGGAGGAAGAGGATGATATTCTCCTCGAGCTAGGATACCCGGAACAACGTATTGATTTGTTTGTATCGCTGTGAAGCGTTCGCGGTGGCATCGAAAAAATCGCATCATATCACCTTGGGCTCAGCGCTTCAGAAACTTGTCAGGTTGGAAGTTTCACAGAATGGGTCCATGGCAGCTTCAACGTTTGCATTCCGCTTTATGTTACCAAACAAGGCCAGCAGTATCCGGAAAAGCGAGCCCTTATCAGGTTCCCTCTGCCATACAAACTGGGGGAATCTAGGAACCCTGGCAATGTCGACGAGAAACTTCGTTCAGAAGCTGCAGCTTTCATCTGGATGCGTGAGAATTGTCCTGAAGTACCGATTCCTCAGTTGTGGGGGTTTGGCCTTGTTGGAGGTGAATGCGTACGAAAATCTTATATCATTCGAGGATTTTGACTATGATCTCTAATCTATGGGCTATACAGTTTACGAAACCTCAGAATGTCTCCCTTAGAACCAGACTTCTGTGATATTTGAAAAGATCCATAATGTGGCTCCTAGGATATCCACTGCCCTTTCCATATGTTTCTCATCGGCGTTCGATCCTCCTTGAAAGTGGTTACTTGATCATAGATTTCATCGGTACCTCTAAATCTGAAGAACCAGTGGAAATGCTCTTAGAGACCTGGGATGAACATCGTTGTCAACAGGAAAAGCGAGAGAACTTATTCAAGGGTTTCTCTCGTATGATACTCTCCATGAGTCAAACGCCATTACCTCGTATCGGATCGTGGACCTTAGACTCGAATGGGGGTTTGAAATTATCAAATCGACCTCTTACTCTTCGACTCCATCAATTAGAAAACGCGGGAATTCCAATCAATATCAGTCGCAGCACGACCTACACAGGGACAGAAGCATATTATCTTGATCTTCTTTTTTGTCATGATAGTCGTATTCGAAATCAACCAAACTCAATCACCGATGCGGATGACGGTCGAGCCCAGATGGCAAGGTTGACGATGATGAGAGCGCTTCTTCCTCATTTTTGTAACAAGGAATATCGAAACGGTCCCTTCTTTTACAGACTCACAGATCTTCATCCTAGCAATATCTTTGTTGATAATCAATGGAACGTGAAGTTTATCATTGATCTCGAATGGGCATGTTCTCTACCAGCAGAGACTCTCCGTCCACCATACTGGTTGACCGGTCACCCAGTCGATGAATTAACAGGCGAGCATTTACAAGTCTTCGAAGAGACATACAAAGAGTTTATGGGAATTTTTGAGGAAGAGGAGAACTTTCTACCTCCTATCAATAATGTTCCTTCTTATAGGACAACTCTTATGAGAAATACGTGGCAACGGGGAAGCTTTTGGTATTTTAGTGCCTTGGACTGTCCGAAAGGTCTATACAACCTCTTATATCAACACATTTGCCCCATCTTTACACCACCTCAACAATTTGATCCTGAGTCAGATGCTTCTAAATCTTTGCAACTGATATCGGACTTCTGGGCTCCTGGTGTTGAGAAACTCATAGCTGCTAAACTGAGGGATAAGCAGGAGTATGAAGAGTCGATTTCTGACTTGTTTAGTAAGGCCTCGAAATTGGCTCCAGATAGCTCCAAGGAGGATTGAATTGAAAACACTTGAGACCTTTTTTCCAAATTCGTACTCCAGGACTGTACAATTCTCTTACATATGTAGAACACGTATGTTGTATTAGAAAGGAAGTGATCTGAGGTGGAGTAGTTCCACATATACGCGTGCCCTGACCCACCAGCTCAGCTGCATTTGCATCAAGTTTCTCCACTGATGGGCAATAATTAATGAAAGAACCTTGGAAATTAGAAGAGACTAGTATTTCAACATAGTTTGTCCTGCGAATCATCCCAAGGTCTAAGTTGGATAAGAAATTATACTATTGCATTCTCAAAGATCAAGACTCAAATAACAAGCAGTCGACAGGATATCAAATCAGAAAATACAAAGAAGAGGTGACAAAGAACTTGAAATGCGCATATTTTATCGAATCATCACCAATCAAAACTTGAACTTCAAGTTGAACCCCAAACTATACTCACGTCTGAGACTTGCTCAGAATAATTTCAGCCAAAGCCATCAACGACCCACTCGACAGTAACTCCAATACCTGGACATTAGCATTTGCCTCACGCGCAATCCAATTCCGAATCTCAATAGCAACCAAAGAATCAAGACCTAGCGATGAAACTGTCACAGAAGGATCCATATCTTCTAACGAGATCTGAAGCACCTGCGCTAATTTCGCCGCCAACGCCTGGTAACAGATCTGCAACGCCACCTCCTTGGACTCCGCTTCATGCAGCTGCACATCCAGCGGCACAGAGGGGCCTCCCGCTGCACCTGTTCCAGAGCTCAGTTTCTCCTTGGCTGCCGCATATAAGTCACTGAATTTGGCATCCTGAGCCCAGAAGTGGTCTAGCGTTGTCCGCAGACTCAGACCTGTAATGCTTTGTCCAGAGCATGATCGGTCCAGATCACCTGTTAGCGCTGCGCCGAAAAGTGCGAGCACTTCTCCCTCGTCCATCGTGTCACTGCCGATATTTTTCAGGACCTCTTGCAGTCGCTTCACGTCCACGTCGGCAAGGTATCCTGCGTCGCTGACGGCTGTTAGATCGATGGTTGTTCCTGGGAGACCGTGCGAGCGACGGTAGGCCATGAACTCGTCTAAGAATACGTTCGCTGCAGCGTAGGCGGCTTGGCCTCTGTTACCAATGACACCAGCGACAGAAGAAAGGGCGATGAAAAAGTCGAGCGGAGTGCCCGAGAGGACTTCGTGGAAGTTCCACGCTCCTTCAACCTTGTTTTCTGCGACGGATTGGAAGTCATCTAGCGTCATGTTCTCAAAAAGCATGTCCTGATAGTGTTAGTCAGGTTGTTAGAGGAGATGACACTCTTGAGTACTTACGCGAAGAACCATCGCTCCATGTACAACACCACGCACGGGAGGGAGATCCTTCATGTCTTCCTTGATGAGGGTCTCGACAGAGGCCTTACTAATGACATCGCATGCCTTAACAGTGACTAATGTTTGTTCAGCAGCTAAATCATCAATTAGAGCCTGTACCTTGTCATTAATGGATGCTCTCCGCGATACGAGTACGATGTTTCTCGCTCCTTTAGCGGACATCCATCGGGCCATGCTTCGACCGAGACCACCAGTACCGCCGATCAGGATGTAAGATGCATCGACTTTTAAAAGAGAGGAACTGGTCTTGGGCGCCACAGCCTGTAAAGAGTGAAGTCAGACGTATCCTTGCTCCCATGGTGTAATAAAAATTTTGACCTTACCTTAACTTGATCTTCTGGGTGAGAAACTATCACGATCTTACCCATCGCCTTTCCTGTTTGCAAAGTTCGGAAAGCACTCTCCAACTCGGAGATGCGGTAGGTGGTAAGAGGCAAAATGGGGCTAATCGAGCCCTGGCTCATCAACTGTCCGACGTGATCCAACAGGCGCTTCATAAGTGGAGGTTTGTAGAGCGCAACCTTGGTAAGATCAACTGACGAGAAGGTCACATTGTACTCAAATGGCAGCATATCGAGACGAGAATTCTTGGTGATATCCGCTTTTCCAATCTCAATAAAACGACCAAATGGCGAAATACACTCCCATGTTTCGCGAAGAAGATCGCCTGCTAGGGAGTTCACCACAACATCCACACCTTGGTTGTTCGTGGCTCTCTTGATGCCATGTGCAAAGGAAGAATCACGACTATAAAAGATGTGATCTTCTGGAATGTTGTACTGAGTCATAAGGAAATGCTTCTTCTCCACACTGCCAACAGTCACGAAGACTTCCGCTCCAATCATCTGGGCTAGCTGGATTCCTGCTTGTCCAACACCACCTGCGCCAGCATGAATGAGAACCCGCTCATTAGCCTGCAGGTTGGCTAGGTCAAATAGTGCGTAGTACGCAGTACAGAAAACAACAGGAACTGTGGCAGCCACCTCAAAAGACATGAAGTTCGGCACTGGCGCGGCACTAGTAGCCTTGCATCGTGCATATGTTGAGTAAGCTCCCAATGGCAGCGCCATAACTCGTTGACCAACTTGAAGATGTTGGACGTTCTTCCCCACAGATTTCACGATGCCACTGCACTCAATTCCGATGTAAGGCTGTGCCAGCTGGCCCATAGTAACCACAATATCCTTGAAGTTCAGACCTGTGGCCTTCACTTCGATCTCGATATCATCGTCAGGTAATGGTTGGGGAATGTCATCGGCGAAGTATAAACTGTCAAGCGATCCTGGGCTTGCGATCTGGAGATTGAAGCGTCTACCTGGTTGGCCAAATGGCTGGGACGTAATTGTTTTTTCATGGGTCTCGTTATGGACGAATGCATTGGCATCATAATCGTCCAGAACACGTGGAACCAGAAGCTCTGCACCCTTAGCCTTGAACTCGAAATCTGTGACTGGCTTTGTGCCATCAGTTGGCCACAATACCTCGATTGCAGCTAAGATTGGACCCGATGAGGTTTCTAGCTCTGATGTGTTGATTCCTAGAGTAGCAACCTTGGATAATGCCTCTGACCGTAGACTGCGAGTAAGACCCACAATCATATGAGCATCAGGTTTATCCGTCCGATAAACCCATAGTACATGGGATGCACTGAGTAGGATTCTTTGGAGGCGTTCAAATGTATCCGAGGTAAGCTTGCGCAGAGTCTCGTTGCCAGTTTGCAGTACAATGACATGTTTGTTAGAGCATTCTGCTTTTTCGAAAGTTGAAATTGACGGTCGCCAGCTGCTTGTGGCAGTAGAAATTATCTTGCTCAGCTTCTCCGCTGACCCATCAAGCCTTCCAAATTGTGTGACTAGAAGATCGGTCTGGTGGATAGTGCCATTGCCGTTGACACGCAGCTTATCATTCTCAATGACATGACCATTGGGCTCCTTTGCTTCCCCATTGCCAACGGCAATCTCAGTTTGTGCCAGCGGCTGCCACTCAAGCTTAAAGCAAAGGTCACGAATCTCCGGGCCGCGCAGTGAACCCGCATCCTTGAGCGGAGTCATAACTAGGCCCTCCATAGCGATAAGAACCTCTGTTGAATTCTCCGGAGTTATCCACAGATCAAACTTCGTTGGTTCAGGTGATGGCTGACTAGGACCTCCATTGCACCATGCCTTCACATATTCACCAGCTTTTGAGGGAATTCTGTTACAGATTGTGAGATTCTTGATCATTGTTGGCATGTAGAGGGTCTCAAGCTCCATTCTTCCATGACCAAGAATTGGCCAAACAAGGTGTAGGAGCCCATCCAGAAATGTTGGGTGAATGACCAAGGGTGCCTCGAACTGTTTCGGCATCATACTCTTCGTGTCTCGCACGTATAGATCTGCCCGCGAGTGTACTGGATTCGAGAAACAATTTTCCAAGCTTTGGAATACCGGTCCATATCCTGCTCCTACTTCGGTAAGAACCTGGTACATATTGCTGGAGTCAATCATGTATCTGGACTCTTCGACCACTGTGGTGATCTGCTTTTGGAAATAATCTACCTCTGTCTCTGCGACATTGGAAACTGTCGACTGTAACTTTTTATTCGCGCGAGTCCTCACCAGACCTGAACAGTGTTCTGTCCAGCCTCGCTTGGTAGTCCAAGAGCAAATGCGGAACTCGTCCCAGATATCCGAGTTACCACGCGTACCCTCTGCATATGGCCGAAGCGTGATAGTCATTTCTGAGTCCGCATCATCACTCAGTACAAGAGCCGAGCCAGTTCTAACTTCTCGAAAATCGAAGTATGAGAATACTGAGTCGTTTTGCTCTGCTCGTCGTTTCGCAGCTTCGACAGCCATTGACAGCTTGGGTCTATGTTAGTATTAATCGAAGATGGCCGAGGGCAAATACTCACATATCCGGCCAGCGGAAACACTGCCATGCCCTGCATTTTATGTTCCCTCAACCAAGGGACATCATCAAGACGAATAATATTCCTCCATGTCGGCTCCAGATCATTTGAGTAGAATGCCTGTGCTCCTAAAAGATCATTTCGCACACCGTCTCGGGAGCAATGCTTCTGAGGGATGCGAGATTCATGCCAGTACTTGGTGCTATGCTGCCAGGGGTATCGAGGGAGGTCACGCAGGAAGGCCCGAGTTGCTCCTCCACTAATCGGGAAATTGATAGTGTTGATGTCAATAGTCCCACCTCGTACGAAGACAGCGCCGGCTGCATCTAGAACAGATTGGGCAGGGTCTGTATTGCGAACAACAGTGGGTGCATATCCGATCTTGCTGGCAACAGAGCTGAGGACCTTCAAGGTGTCTAGAATTGGCCCCTTGAGAGCGGAGTGCGGGCCAATCTCCATGAGCAAGTTAGGTCGGCTATCTTCATCAACACACATCTTGCTAAGAGCGTTGGCAAATAGCACTGGAGAAGTCAGGTTCTGGACCCAGTATGCTGCGCCTAGATTAGATGGCTCTGCGATATGGCCGGTCACTGATGAAAAGAAGGTAGCTGTCGCTGTACTGGAAGGTTTGATAGACTCAATGGCAGAGAGGTAGGCTTCGGCTACATTCTTCATATGGTTGGAGTGATAAGCAACATCAATTTTGAGCTTTCGATTGAAGAGTTGGGTGCTCTGTAGGATAATCTCCAGCTCATCAATAGCGGGTGCATCTCCGGATACGGTCACGCTAGAAGGACTATTGACACAGGCAATGGTAGCGTAGCCCTTCAGTGTCTTTAGCATAGGCCTAATTGCCTCTGGACTTGCACCGACAGCAATCATGGAGCCTTGGAGTAGAGGAAATGATCCTTTCAGTAGTTGCGTCATTTGACCACGTCGGTATGACAGTGCCATGGCTGCTTCCAGGTCGTAGATGCCCGCGGCATAGGCAGCTCCAATCTCGCCGGAGCTGTGACCTATAACAGAAGATGGTTTGACGCCCCATGATCGGAGAAGATCAGTCAGGGCAATTTGGAGAGCTGTGCAAGCCGGCTGACTGAGATGTGGCGAGTTGATCTCGGAATTCGTGCTATCCTTGCGAAGTACTTCAATCAGAGAAAAGTCCGCACCCAGGTGTCTCAAGTATTTATCGGCTCGCTCCATCGACTCTGCAAAGACATTATACTCGTCCATGAGAGGAAGACCCATTTGTGCCCATTGAGCACCCTGTCCAGTAAAGACAAATGAGATAGTCGGTGCACCCAGCACACGCGTCGGGGTTGCTTTCAGTTGAGCTAGACGAATACTCAGTTCGTCTAGCGATGTGGCTGAGAGAGCGACTCGGTATGTAAGATGCGACAACTTGCTACCCAAGGTATGTGCAAAATTGCCGAACAAAGACCTTTCAAAAACCTCCGGTCGCTGTTCAAAGTAGATACCAAAATCTCTAATACGGGTATTGAGGGACTCTTTGTCATTGGCAGAAATCAGGAACAATTTGTGAATGGGATCCACGTCATTATCCGGGTCATCTTTAGCCTCACTTGGAGGAGGAGGCTTTTCGAGAACGACATGAGCATTGGTTCCACCAAAGCCGTAATTTGAGACACTGATGTACTTTTTGCTCCGAGGCCAGGGTCTTGTAGATGTGACAACCTTCATATGCCACTCATTCAAGGGGATATTAGGATTCGGCTTCTTGAAGTCTGCATTTGGTAGTAAGAGTCCTCTGTCCAGCATCATTGCAGCCTTGATGAGGGAAACCATGCCACTTGCACCTTCAAGATGACCAACATTAGACTTGGCAGAGCCGATATAGAGCGGATTTCTCATGTTACGGTTTTGACCTAGAGCTGCATGGACAGCCTCGGCCTCGATAGGATCTCCGGCCTTGGTGCCGGTACCGTGCATCTCAGCAAACCCACAGTCATCCGGGTTCAAGTAAGCGTCACGGTATACTTGACGGATCAGGTTTTCTTGTGCTTTGCCATTTGGCAGAGTGATACCTTTTGTTCTTCCGTCTTGATTGACACCTGTATTAGCAATTATGGCGCGAATGGGGTCTTTATCGCGTAAAGCGGCATCAAGTGGCTTGAGAAGAACCACACCGGCACCTTCACCTCTTGCAAAGCCTGACTTGGCTCTTTCCTCAAAGGCATAAGTTCTACCATCCTCATTGAACAATCTGGCAATATTGATATTAGCAATTGACTGCAAAGGGAAAATTCAGAAGCGCAGATGATGATGATATGACCTGTGCACTCACTGTGACATGGACATGGAAACGAAATAATCCGGGAGAACATTTAGTCTACATCCCCCAACAAGAGCCTCCTTTGACTCGCCACTTCGAAGACTCTGGACAGCATAATGCAATGCGACAAGAGATGAAGAGCACGCTGTATCAATCGTAACACTCGGTCCCTGTAAATCAAAGAAATAAGAAATCCGATTAGATTGCAGCGAAGGGGCATTTCCAGTGGCCTGAAATTGAGGGCATGTCTCGATATCGCGCAAATTTCTAAGTTCATAGTCGGCGAAGTTCCCTCCACAAAAGACACCCACGTTGCGTCCTGCCAAGGATTCTTTGGGAATGCCTGCACTCTCCAAAGCTTCATATGAACACTCCAAAAGAAGGCGTTGCTGAGGATCCATGGAGATGGCTTCTTGCATGGTAACATTGAAAAAAGGCGCGTCAAATCGAGACAGCGTCTCATTGTCTAGAAAGTAACCGCCGGCCGGATTGAAAGTCCCGGGTTTGGAAGGATTAGGGTGGTGATAGGCTCCGGGGGAGAACCGGTCTTTGGGGATGGGCGACCAGCCACTCCGACCCCGGGTGCATAGTTCCCATAAGTCGCCGGGGGAAGAAACCTGACCAGCCAGTCGACAAGCATATCCAATGAGTGCAATGGGTTGCAGCTTCTGGGAGTTCCCATTGCTATGCAATGTTCCATTGGGGTCGGCTGAGCTATTCATTGTGAGAGGAGTTGAGGAGTGAAATATAAGGGGTATATGAAAGGAACAAGTCTCGCAGGGAATAGGAAGGTGCTGATGACTGGGACTTAAATAGATAATGTATGAAGCAAATGAGCCTTTATGAATCAATTGACACCATCTCCTAGATTGTTCTTTTTTATCTTTTTATCTTTTTGTGATTTAATTTAATATCATTTTCGTCTGAATGTTTTTTATTTTTATTTATTTTTATTTTTACTTTGACCTCATATACTGGTTTCTCCCCTGAGTAACCGGCCTTGATAAGGCACTGGATGCTCAACATTGGATATTATCAACGTAACTTTGAACAGTTCCTGCTGTGCTGCATATTGGGGTTAGACACATTATTCAGGAACAAGTCGGAGTTCCATGCAACCCACAACATTTGTAGAGCTTCAAGTGGATCGTCTCAAGTTGATTCTAGATCTTGCTATCGGATCACATGTATTTTGGAGGGAATTGATCTAGCTCATAGAGACTGTGAGTAATGACGTGTTCAAGGTAGGTTCATGTTTGAGATCGAGATGGTCTGGACACATAGATAGCTTCATGCCTATTTCTTTTCCTCCAGTCTGCCATGTTCTTCCGTTGTCTCCCTCTATTCTTCCTATCTATCATAGTTCAAAATACGAGTAATTGTGGTTCTCCGAAGATAGCGGTTGTACAACCTTCATTTGGCCAGATTCAACTATTCTTGCGGCCTAGATACATCCAAGATGAAGTTTCTTTGTCTTCACGGTGCCATTGGCAATATTCATGTAGGTGTATCAAGATAGAAAGACAGTCTCGGAGAAATGGACTGATATGCTGACCTACTGAAGAATCTCAGTATCCAACTGTGTACGCACTACAACCACTACGCTATATCAAATTACCATAGACTTTATTAACACGAAACACTACAGCACCCTTGCAGAAGGAATTGGAGTCAGATAATTCTGCTTCATTCCATTACATCAATGCACCAGTGAAGATTACCCCTCCTCCAGGTAATGAGCTTTGAGTCTTGGAAAGAAATTCAAAATATCTAATGGGGAAGCTGTAGGATTTGAGGAATACTTTGGCACTGGCCTACTTTATCGATGGGCAGACGATGGAGGTGCTGCTGAAGATTCTATGATCAGCCGCGTTCGTAAAATCCCTGAGGGTAATAATCCCGAGGATGTGATGCGAGATCTTATCGGAGATCGCGATGTTGTCTGGCTGAATTACAAGGAAGTAATGGACTTTTTATACGAAACAATGGAGAGTGACCCCGAGATTCAAGGAATCATTGGATACAGCGAGGGGGCCTCAATTGCAGCTACTCTTATTTTAGATGAACAGAAACGTCTTGCAGCCACTGGTCGTCCACGTCGAGTCAAATGCGCTTTGTTTTTTACTGGTTGGCCTCCGATGCATCCGGTTGATGGAGTGCTTCTCGCAGACGAGACTGACGTTATGATCGACGTTCCCAGTCTGCACGTCGTTGGTGCAAATGGTAAGCCTGATTTACAAATTCGTCACGTTTATCTCTGAACGAAATAAAGAAATTCCTCATTTTTGAATACTGATATCTTGATATCGGATAGATCCTTTCCGACACGGTGCATACGCTCTATACAATGTTTGCGATCCTGATACTGCGGCATTTTTTGATACAGGCAAGGGACACACCATTCCTCGGTCTGGACTTGTCATTCATGAGCTAGGGGATGCTGTTCGAGGTCTCATGAACAAGGCATTACACCCTGAAGATCTCTAATCGGCATCAAGATAGACTTGGGTGCCCGTGCCCGGACTTGATGCAGGGCACCTTCGGCCCAGGGTTCATAAGTGGAAATGGTCATACAAGACGCAGATATGGCGTTTGTGCAAACCCTCTTCCGAAAGAAGCTTTAGGCTAGCTGTTGCACAATGAACCTCTACTTGTACATGTAACGTCAAACTTCTCTATCTATCATAATCCGTAAATGGCTCTCGTTGAATGTTCGTACCGAGCCACGAACCACGGGAGATTCCCGGGCTCCGTCATTATTCAGTTCATCACACATTTTGAGATAAATCGTGTTTTGTCTCAGCTTCTTCAGGGTCGAGATAATCTAATTACATGTGATCTCTTTATCTTCCTTCGTAACAGGGTTTCATCTCGACTGTCTACCCGTGCTTGGATGATAAACCAATACCAACGAAATACTCAGGACTCCGGCTGAAGGGAGAAATGCCGATTTCAATATCAAAGATCTACTGGATTCCCGGCTGTCACACCAGGGTTCAGATGGTTCTCTTCCGTGCGTACCCCTCCTTTATAATTAAGATTTGTGGCGGTTCATATCTGATGTCTGCCTTAATCTCCCTGACAGCAACGTTGTAGAACTAGAATAAAATCCAAATATACTTGATAAGGCCCGACCACCCATGTCATGACCTAAATCCTCCTTAAATATGTGCCCAGTTGGCGATCCTAGAAAAGACAAAAGGGTGTCCTCCGTAGATATCAGAAACTCCGATTGACCAATCCTATCACCTTAACTCTCCTAGATTGCGAGACTACAGACCAATCGTTTCAAATTGACACATCATGTTCTTCCAGAAGCTCTTCCTGCTGTTCACTTTCTTCGGGATTCACCCGTCCCACGCCCAGACAACTCCACCGGAACTATGCGCCACTGGAGTCCATGCTATTCTCATTCGTGGTCAAGGCCCAGGCGATCACTTGAATGTAATGGTCTCTATGCAGAATCTGGTTTTACAACTCATTCCAGGCTCTAGCAGTGTAGCTCTGCCTTATCATCATGGAGGCAATGATCACAGAATCGTGGCTGCCGATGGTGCTACTATGATGCAGGAGTATATTCGAGAATACGTCGCCTCGTGTCCGCATTCGAGAATCTTTCTTATGGGATATTCACTTGTACGTGCAACTCAGGTTCTACATATCCACATCTGGATGCTAGTGCATATCTAAAACTCCAAATGTCCGATTTAGGGCGCCATTATCATGATGGATGGACTTTGCGGAACCAGCTCCCTCTGGCTCAACCCCGTTTCTGCAATTGAACCTCAATTCAACCGAAACGGTATGCTCCACTATTACTATCCTGATACTACTTCATCAAAAGAGCAACCCTCTAATCCAAGCATTGAATTTCTACAGTAATTGCGGCTGCTGCCTACGGTGATGAAACCTTTATTCCAGGAATGCCTTGGAATGCTGGAACCTGTATCGACGGAGTCGGGGTTAGTGATGAAAAGATTCTCAATTCCGATAACGCAATATGATCGCTAACTTCGGGGCCCATTGCATATAGTTATATCCACGAATTCATCCCGAATGGTGTGACCCATACGCTAGCTCGATTCGAAGCTACTGTGACAGCGGAGACAATTCCTGCTGCATGAAATATCCACCGTTTGAGGATGGTGCTCATTTCTTTTACATTTTCCGATACAATATGGATCTGTTGCACTTTATTCAGCGACGACTGAATGAGACTGCAGTGCCTTGATTCTATTGTCCGAATAGCTGGATTAGCAAGAACCTTGGAATAGGTTGAGAATCGGATGTAAACTTGATTAGGCCAACATCGGATCAAAATACCAAAAGGGAAAGCACTGGGTTTATATGTTCAAGTTCTAATGTTTTCTTGGCTCAATACTTTCTTTCATGTCTAGAGCTCTTAGTAGTCGTTGAAGATGAAGTTGCCCATGTCAATGTTATTTTGTCGATGAATCGGGAAAGGAGAATCTATTCTTCCAGTATGGTACACCAGTTGGCGCAATTTTAATGGAACTTGAACATTCGAGGTAGAGAAATTGAATAGAGAGCAATCTTTGCAACAGATAATCAATAATTTAGACTCGGAAACCTTGAATTTTGAAGGACTTTTATGGAATGATAATTCAAGCTAGACAAGTCATTCAGCTCTAAAATGAAGCTATACAGAAAGTGAGAATAAGTGGCAACTAATTCCGTTCCGGGCGATCTCAGCTCCTCTTTTTTTGGGACTTCTATTTGCTTTTTCCCATCCAACTTCAGTTCTGCCTTCAATTAACCCCAACCAACTCCATGTCATTCTTCTCTGCTACCCGTCAAGTCACTGGAGTCCTCTCCAAGCCTCAATTCCTCTCTATCGCACGATCGTCGGGTCCCCACCGCCTCTACTCAACCCCGAGACCGCCCAACAACGCCCCTCACACTCAGCGTTCCCAATTCAAGATCCTCCCCATCATCGCCATCCTCGCTCTCGGTTCCGGCTCCTACGTTCTGCTTGTTAAGTCTCGCACCGGCCAGAACACTCGTCCTAATTAATCACTTTCCGAATCCGGTCTACCCCTCCTATCCTAAAACAACTTTACTCTTCTCAACCCCCCTAATTCATTTCAAAAATCAACTTCTCCTCAATTTCAAAATGGCCGCCTCTACTCCTCGCTTCTCCCCTAACGACGTCACTGTCGTCTTCTTCCTCGGTGGTCCAGGAAGCGGCAAGGGTACTCAATCCGCAAACCTAGTCAAGGATTATGGCTTCGTCCACCTCTCCGCGGGAGACCTCCTCCGCGCCGAACAAATTCGCGAGGGAAGCCAGTACGGCGATATGATCAAGACTTATATCCGTGAAGGAAAGATCGTCCCCATGGAAGTTACCGTTGCTTTGCTCTCCAACGCCATGGCCGATTCTCTTGCTGCGAACCCCGTTCCTGCTGGTACTAAGGCGCGTTTCCTGATTGATGGTTTCCCTCGTAAGCTGGATCAGGCGGTTTTCTTTGAGGCTACTGTTTGTCCTTCTGAGGTTGTCCTTTTCCTTGATTGCCCTGAGGCCGTTATGGAGACTAGACTTCTGAAGCGTGGTGAGACCAGTGGTCGTGATGATGATAATGCGGAGTCTATTCGCAAGCGTTTCCATACTTTTGTTGAGACTTCCATGCCTGTTGTGGATGATTTCGAGAAGAAGGGCAAGGTTGTTAAGGTTCAGGCTACTGGATCTGTTGAGGAGGTTTATGCTGAGGTGCGGGCTGGTATTGAGGCCAGGAATCTGCACCCTCGTTAGATGGTGTACTTGTGGTGATGGCATGTAAATAAGAGTGGCCTCGTCAAGATTGAGTCTGGTGTGTTTTATCGAGGCTGGTGTCTATTTATTTCCCCTTTCTTGATTTGCCCCGGTGGATACTGCTGAATATAGACCCTAGAGATACATTTGATCTTTGTTTACTACCCTAGTATAACCCCTATAGTACCGTGTGTAGCAGCAGGCTCCAAACGTACTTGAGTGCATCATGATACATCGTACGTATGATACTTGAAACGCCAATTGATGGTTTCACGTTCAAGTTGGTTTGAAACTCGAAACTTGAAGTTCGATCTCTATGAGTACGTAGGCCGCATAGTATAACGTTGAATCTTGAACATCTACTAGTAATTCGTTTCCACACATCCATGGATGCATGATGTACAGCTCCGAGTCGTTCATACATCTGGGCATATCATCTACAGCTCAGGAACAGGTGAACATTTTTGGAATATTGTATTCTTGATCAGAGTTGTCCTCCAGAAAACATAATCGAGACAAATAAGGAAATTCAGACATGACATGACTCGTGGGGATCCCATAATCAGCGGGGGGCCAGTAGATCCATCCATACAACTGGCCAAGTGAGAAAAAGAGATATCAATGCATAAAAGAAAAAAGGTAAAACAGGATGGCTCCCCTCTATTAGCGGAAAGGAAATTTTTTGTGTTCTCTGAGTTTGTCCACTCCAATCTCATTAAAAACACCGGAAATCCATGCACTCCTAAACAACTACCGAGAAAATTTACTCAGCAGCAACCTCCACCTCGCGTGCTTGCGAAGCCTGAGGCTGCTGATTGCGCCGCCGGTCAGCGGAGCGAGACTTGTCACCGTTCTTGGCCTCCTGCTCAGTAGCGACCTCACGAACGAAACGCTCACGCTCGGATCGGATAACGGTCAGGACACCCTCCAGGGAGCGGCGCCAGACCATCAGACGACCCTGAACCTCAGCCCACTGCTTCTCACCGAACACACGGTAAGTGGCACGGTGGACCAGGAACTCAGAGCGAAGCTGGGAGAGCTTGCCCTCGACGAGACCAGCACGGATGGTGTCAATGACCCACTTCTCGACATCGGAGTCAGGGATACGCAGAGCGGAGGTAATGGCGGAGTAGGCAAGCGAGCGGGAGGGGGTGGAAGCGGCGAGAGAAGTCAGGGTCAACAGACGCATCTTGGTCTGAAGGGCATCACCGGCCTCGGCGAGAACGCCACCAGAGATGGAAGCAACAGGGTTGGCGGCAATGAACTCCTCGTAGGCATCGAGAGTGTCCGAGGTGAAGATCTCGAGCAGCTCGAAAAGAACGCTGTCGCTGGTGCGGAGGGACTGAACGGCATCAGAAGCAGTCAGAGGGGTGAAGTCGAAAACAGCGGGGCGGCGGAGAGCGGAGGCGAGAGCGCGCACACCCAGCTCGCGAGCAGCGGGCTTGCTGGCATCGGCTGAGGGAATGGTCTGAAGAGCCTGCACAATGTGGGATTGGGCCAAGTCGTCGTCACCGGCAGCGGTGGCAGCATCGGCAACAGCCAGGTGGAGCTTCTGGGCCTCCTCGGCGTCCAACTCCCAAGCAGACAGCCATGTGGGCAGCTGGTTGGCGAGCTGGGGCTTCAGAGCCTCGAAAGCGTATCCGGATCCAGACTGGCGAATGACGGCAACAATGGCCAGGAGAACGTGGTAACGGCTGGAGTCGTCGGCGGACAGAGTGTTGAAGATGGTGGTGAGGATAGAGATGGCCAGAGTAGGACCGAATTGGGGAGAGGTGGTGATGGGCTTAGCCAGGTAGGCGCAGATGCGAGGAAGGAAAACATCGGGGTTAGAGGCCTGGTGAACGAGGTGCACGAGGAGGTTGTAAGAAGAGGTGATTTCTGAAATTCGTTCCATCACATGTCAGTCTTATTCCTGTTCTCCCACAACGAATAAAAAAAAAGTTGCGCTGCTGTCCGTCCCATCTTCAAATATCAAATTTCTTTTATCGGTCGCAACTTCGCAACTTCACAATCCACCAACTCACCCTTCTCGGGGGCACCGTTCAGAACGGAGGCCGCAGCGACAATCTTCTTCAGAACCTCATCGTGTTGCTTGAGGTCGGGCTCGCCCTCAGACTGTTCTTGCTGGCGGATCGGCTCTAGGAGCGGGGCGATCTCGGTCTGGAGGCTGCCCTCTGTGCGGAGAGCATCGATGTACTGGGCGAACTCCTCGGCGAGCTCGGCGAAAGAACCCTCAATGAGGAGGGTGTTGGACGGAGCGGGCATGATTAGGAGATGTGGTGTGTGGTGGGAGGGGAGGGAGGAAGAGGACGTTCTTTGATGGTGGAGTCTATCGATAAGTTGAGAAATTTCAGTGTGTGCCAAAAAAGTCTTGGCGAAGGGAACACTATAATCACCCGCTCCCTGGTTACTATGGTGGTTTTACTTAACAACACACTGATTATTTACTCAACTCTGGGAATTTTGCTTTACAGATTACAATTGAACAACTCAATTATCATGAACAGTTTATTAAAAGTTATGGTCTGTTCAATAACAACTCCTTGTGTGTTTCCGCTAAAGACAAGGGAACGGACGCCACCTTCATAGATAAGGGGATAACATCAATGCAAACTGCAATCTCAGGAACACAGAACCACCAAATTTGTTTGCAAACCAAACCAGTGAAAAGGTTGACGTCGCGCTAAAAAAAAGAAATGCGGAAACAAATCGCACGATAAAACTCAAAAACGTGCGTCCAACTTGAAAAGCGTGGCTAGTATCACATAACCAGGCGCATAGCCAAGAACATGATGGATGCCAGAATACCGGTGGAGGCAGTCTCAAGCATGCCGCCGAGAGGGACTGCAGCATTGGTAGTGGTAGTGCTGGCGGCAGCGACAGAGGAAGTAACAGCCTTGTCAGAGTCCGAATCGGTGGTTGTGGCAATGCTCATAGTGTGAGATGCAACTGCGGATGTGGTAGATGAAGACATGGCGAGGGCAGTGGCATTCTTGGTTCCACACTTGGCAGCCTTCTTGCAAGCCTCCTGGCCAACAGAGTCATCGGGGTGGGCATCGACGCACTGGCCGTAGTTGGCCTCACAAACGTAGAAGGGAACTGTCTGAAGGAATGGGGTGACATCGGCAGAGCTGCCATCGGCGCAGACGCAGCTGAACTTCAGGGTGGTCTGTGAAGAAATGTGTCAGATGATAGACGTAGTATGTTAAAAAGGATGGCTTTCACATACTGGGTCGCAGGTGTTCTGCTTGGTGCCGGTCTTGCAAATGGCCGGGCACTGGTTACGCTGTCCCTGGCACCAAGAGTCTATTTCGCACTGGTCAGCTATGAATCATATCAAGGATTTCATGAGTCAACTCACTCAGCTCATCGGACTTCACCAAACCAATGTTGAACCCAGCAGGGAAAGTCCATGAAGCAGCAGAGGAGTTTTGGCCGGAGTTCTGGCCAAGTGCCGAGACCACAAGGGTGGAGAAAAGTACAATAGAGGAAAGCATGGTGGGTGGTAAGATGGTGGAGTGAAATTAGAAAATGGATACAAAGTAATAAGAGGGGGAGAGAAAAGAAGAGAAGGGTAAGAAAAAGGAAGTAGAGAAAGGTGAAAGTTGCAGGGAGAAGAAACAAACAAGGTGAGGCAGGTACAATCGGGAAAATCCAGTAATATGTACTACTCCAGGGTTTGATCCTAGATACGTTCCAAGGTTACCTAGGAACCCTCTACAAATACCCCATAGAACAGTCATCTGTGGCCCTGATTAAATCTACTAGTCAAATACCATCTTTTCATATAACCAGGGTAACTGTGCACAGGGACAACGTGCATGACCTCCCACATAACTTTCCACTTTTCATCTCCTAACTTTCTCTATTTCATTCCAAAGATCATATTTTGGTGAGAGATTTTCCATATTACAATTGAACTTGGTACCTTAAATGGCACTATCAGTCCCCTACAGTTCCTGGTCCCACAAGTCACGAACCCAACCTTGGAAGAGTATATCGCGATGGTAACACAGACAACACCGTGACTTTCTGTGGCTCCCCTTAATATACACTGTTTTCATCCAAATTTAGCTATACAAAGTAAACACTAACACTCAAAAGCTCGAAGAATTGTTGTTTGCTACATTCCAATTCAAATTCTTCATCGGCTGGGACCTGGCCTCCTTGCAGCTGTCACCCATCGATTGCATACTCAAGTAAAACTGAGTCCGGTACTTAAGATTGGAAACAAGGATAACAGACCCCAGAATCTAAGACACATGGGTTAATTTGATCAACCTATGTTATCCTGAGCATGTCTTCAAGTTGACTGATGATGTCGATCTGTATATAGATTGAAGAGTGAGCCTTACCCGATTTGGTCAGCCGAGGTTCACCGAGTTCCGGGGTAAACGGGAAGCGTCTGACCTGCATTACAACGATAAACATCTTTCCCTCGATCCTCCTTACAGAATCGAGCAAAGGGTTTTCAATAATAATTCACGTCCAGGATTATAAACAACAATGGCGGACATAGACCCCGAGATCGCTCATTTTCGTTCCCATCAATGGGTTAACTCCCTCATCTCATCCGAGGACTATATCCCTATCCCCACAGACTCGCGGCGGATCAAGCCCTCCACCGGAGAAGATGGATATTTCGCCAACACATTAGGAACGCCGTCTACTATCCCACATGTTCTCACTCTGACGCGACGTGAAATTGCCCAGCCCCCATCTGAGGCTCCCACCTGGCTCCCCGCAACTAAGCAAGATGCCGCTGCCGCCACAAAACCCACACCAGGCATAACCCCAGCGGATGTGATCATGATATTTGAGCTGGGAAGCCCGGGTCTGTCCGGTCATCCAGCTACTGTTCATGGAGGTGTCGTGGCGACAATGATCGACGAGGCAATGTCTCTTGCTGTTGCGGCGCACAAGAATGGACCTGGATCCACGGCTGTCTCGATGGATGATAACCCCCGCGGAAAAGTATTCACTGTTCAACTGGATATTCGATATAAGCAGCGGGTAAAAACGCCTGCTTTGCTGGTTGTGAGGGCCAAGGTTGTTGGGCGTGTTGGCAGGAAGTTCTGGGTGCGGGCGCAAGCTGTCCAGGAAGATGAGGAGGGTGCTGGTGGTCATTTGGAATGGGCAAAGAGGAAAGTTGTCAAGGCAGATGCCATGGCTTTCTGGATTGTGACGCCAGAGGAGAGTCTCTGAGGTATCATACATGTAGACATGGATTGAAGCCGGTGTGTGCATATCAACCTACACTGGGCTGTTGAGCACTTGCAGGTATTTTGAGGTCTATGTAGTCTTATAAATATTTGACCTCGTCTAGACATATTAGACATCCATTTGTTCTGGCAATATCGTATTCATTGAATCGCCAAATCCCAAGTGTTTCTAGTCGATTTGTGTTGATTGTCAGTGGTACTTCTATTGGTTGAGCTTTACTAAATATTCAACTGTTGGAATTCAATGAACTTGTCATTGTGGTGTTTAAGGCTAATAATGACTCGAATTTGCAAGCTCTGAGAGTCTACATTCACCTAGCTATATACAGATACACTATCTAAATCAAATTTGTGCAAAAATCCCGAGATCTATATGGCAAAAAGCATTTACAACTTTGTCACGGCCTTCCGATTCCCAAAATTCCGACTTGCGCTGACCACCAGACCAACCTGTGACCCCATCGCAACAACCTCTCCATCTTTATCCAAAATCGTAACGTTCAGGTCCGTCCGTCCATTGCTCACCACCTTTGTGTCAATCCGAGAATAAAGCCACTCCACCCCTCCAGGAGGCAAGCGTTTCTTCAAATCAAGACTCAGTGTCACAGTCGGATACCAAGACTTCGCCTTACTACCATCCCCATTCGCCTCCGCAGCTTCCACGGCCGCAGTATCCAATCCATCAAGCGCCATGGGAAACATATCAAGAAGATAAACCACCGCCGCATCAGTCCACCTCCCATTCTGATCTCCACCCGGTCGAAACCTCATCCACTGATCAATTGCCATCATCCCATTCCGTTGATGCTGTTCAAGCCCGGATCCAGGTCCATACATCTCGAATTGGCCCTCTGCAAGTCGGAAATTAGGATACCGCGAACTCATTCGTCGCCATAACCCGTCTTCGCCTGTACGAGCTAACTTGTCTAGATCGACACCGCTATCTGCCAACGATCCAGCCGCGGGCTTCGGGTATGGCTGCCATCTTGTTTGCGCGCTCAATCCCACTTCCGCTGAGGCAGGACTCACGGTCATATACCCCGCTACCTTCACCTCTAGAAGATCCTTTTGCTTCTCCGAGGATTGGAGTAGCTTTATGTGGATTGTGCTGGTACGAGCGCCTAGCTTTACATCTTCCACTTCTAGGGTTATGGGACCGACGGCTGTGCGCCGTAAGAATGAAAGTTGGATAGAGATGGGAGTGGCGGGGGTGGGGTACAGCTTAGGATGGGCGTATTCGAAATGAGTGACCGCTAATTTGTATATGAGTGCAGTGGTGTAACCGCCATGAGGAACTATGATATACATTAGTATTAATCTTCATATTCTGTCTTTTTTTCGATTTTTTTTTTCAGAAATCCCGACTCGAATTCGACTCAAAAATGAGTTTCATTGTGCAAGGGAGAGGGGTCGGTGTAGATACCTGTTCCAATGCACCACTCCCGTCGGAGATTAGCCCTGTATGTATTGTTGCCTTGCGGCGTGACACGAATTGCGTCTTCGAAAAAGGCGTTGACGGTCATTATGTACAGCCTAAGAAGGGTTCATGTAAGTGCCCTATACCTAGGGGATGTATCTGTGGGAAAGTATCTTGCGAGTTTCCAATCTTTTATATGCGCGCTTCCAAGGTTAGAAGTTAGAATCCCCACTCTGCATCAGGGCGAACCTCGGCTGGATCTGATCTCCATCCAGTGGAGTGCCGACGCTGACTCAGCTCATAATGTGCCCTGAACTAAGAGAAACTACCAAGTAGTTGCATGACTAGTCAGTTAATTAAACGCCTTGAATGGAGCTTTGGAGAGATACTAACTGGGGCACCCTCAGGGGTCAATTTGAATGCCAAATGCGGGGATTGCTCAGGTGGGTACGGAGTATACGGTACCTATACCACTCCTATTGATGCATGGTAGCATCACTTGGCAGCCTTATTTATAGCAACAAGTCTCCATATGGAAGCATAAGATTGAAGAAGATAATATGAAATTTCAAATGTTTGGAAGTGGCTGATCCATAATGGAACATCATTGAAACTATTCCAAGGTTTATACCCAAAGTTTGACATTGTAGTAGTACTCACATGTGCATGTGTTCAAGTTTGAGTCATACGGCTGGCTAAAATATGAGTAATTCGGACTATTTAACTGACAGCGGGACTTGACACTGATTACTACGGAGTAATTGCCAGTACACAGTCATTGTCATTTTCATGCACGGACTCGGAGGTGCTCCACTTCGTTATATATGCATAGATGTGGATTATATGAGATCACGGACATGTAAGACCTGTCAGAAACCTTCGAACATTTAAAAATTTGAAATTCAAATGTTGAACCTTAAATCCGATGATCAATGATTGAATATTAGTATCTGAAACATCACTTGAGTGGAGAAAAATATAATCAAGGATACAACATCACGATTGAACCATGTATAGACCATTCGAGACTCGAGACAGATCATGATGCTCTACGTCAATTTCCAAAAACGGATATATAGCGACATGATTATCCAACAACCCGAAATCATCCCAATTAGATCGCCAAAGGCTGACAAAAAAGAGATGAAAATGAGAGAAAACTCCAATTACCTCTTGACATCATAGATTCGTCTTAACATGCGCAAATTTAGGACAACCAAGTTATCTTAAAAGATTAATTCAAGCCGCTCTACTGCACGGCGGGTTTGGACGCAGTCGGAAATTGCTGCAAACAAGACAGGACACCTACATAGATGGTTAGTACATGAGGGGAAATAAATGGAATCAGGCTATACGAACCGGTCACTCCTTGTGTCAATGTAGCTTTAGCCTCGGTGCTTCGTGATCCCAATGTCACAGTCATGGCATACTCGACACCTTTGGCTTTTTGCAACTTGTTAGCCCAACGGAATACGGGCTCATCTTCTCGGTTGTCGCCAATAACCAGCAGGAAATCAGGTTTCACAGTTTCATGCTTTTCGGAGGCTTCCAGACACCATCGCCAGACGAGTTCGGCCGCTGATGCTTTGGTGGTGCTGACGGTTTCCACAATGAGAGCTCCTTCAACGGGTATAGCATGCACCCCGTAACTGGAACAGGCATCATTAATATGATCGGCACATTCAGCAGCAAGTCGTGCGGCGCCAGGTCGGTCTTCAGCGGAGCCATAGTGAAACACAAGCGAGCAATGACGCTCCTCAACCCAGCTACCTTCAGTCCGGTCTTTGAAATACGCTAGGATATTCGATACGGACTTCTTCCAGGTTTGAATATGGGCCTTGTTGGCAAGCCAGGTCCACTCGTCGGATTGAGGTTCGCGGACAAAACATCCATTCTCGGAAATAAGTCCCAGGTTGTTGACTTGCCGGAATAGTCGCTCCATTTCCTCTGGCATACGCGAGCTCATCACGTATACCACGTTGGCGGGATCATCCGTGAGCTCCGTCAGGGTGGTAATCGCACGTTGAGGTGTTGTAAGAATGATGCTGCGAGGAGATCCCCATGAGGCTAGAGTACCCTCATAGTCAACAATCATTAGCCGGCGCTTGGACTGTCGGTATCGCTCAACAAGTCGTGGCACGGAAAGACGCGGAACAGCCATAATCTCTCGTGCAGACTGTTCATCCCAGACACGCTTCAGGGTCTCATTGAATGATTTGACCCAGTTGGCAGTAGAGTTTTGAAGGACCGCACGGTGCAGTTCCTCCCATACCCGTTTACGTTCCGTCTCATCTCGAGTCAGTGCTGTGTGAATCGCCTCGCAACACTGTCGGTAATCCCACGGGTTCACTAGGAGAGCGTGATTTCCGAACACGGATGCACTGCCGGTGAACTCGCTCAGAATGAGGGAGCCGTATTTCTTCTCTCCGTAGCTCCCGTCTTGACAGTACACGAATTCGTGGCTGGTCAAATTCATGCCTTCTCGGAGACTGGTAATCATCAATGCATCCGCGACAGTGATAAGAGCAAGATATTGTGAGAATGCAAGATCTTGCTTCAAGAACACCAAGGGCTGGTGAGCCAAGGTTGAGTGATTAGAGTTTATTCGCATTGCAATGTCGGAGATAGTAGCCTCTAATTCGGGCTGTTCTGTCGTACTGGTCGCGACCTGAATTAAGACCACCTTGTCTGCCCACTCGGGATAGGTGTTGAGGAAGAGCTCGTAGCTCAGCAATTTTTGACGGATTCCCCGGACAGAGTCAATCTTGTCGCGGGAAACAATGAGTCGTTTACCCTGGTATCGTTCAAAGATAATATCGACCCATTGCTCCACATCCTCCGTTCGACGTCGCTTGTCCCAGGAAGTTGGGTCAATACCAATCGGGAATGTCCCCACATTGATGAAGCGGTCTTCCATCTGAATTCCCTCAGTGGTAGCCTCCACGCACAAGATGCGACTGCAAGTTTGCAAGAAATGTCGACAATATTCACTAGTCTGGAAACCGATCAGATTAGCACCGAGGATGCCTTCAAGCAACTCCTTGCGCGGCGCCAAACACTTGAAGACCTCCGAAGATGGGAATGCAATGTGTAAGAAGAAGCCAATTTCGGCATCGGGGATTAGTTTGCGTAACATGGCTGGAACGAGGAGCAGGTGATAATCCTGAATCCATACCGAGTCACCTCGTTTCCAATGTTTCGCGATACGATCCGCAAATGCCTGGTTGAGTTTTACATAGTAGACCCAGGAGTGGTCTTCATATGCTTTACTCTTGGGGTTATCTGGAATCTGGTAGTGAAAGACCGGCCAAAGAATGGTCTTGCAGAAGTGGTTATAGTGACCATCAAAGTCGCCGTCATTGACAAATACGGTCAGCGAGTCATACTCGAGCTCCAATCGCTCAGCGATATCATTGCGCGTAGGATCTGCCAGCACATCGGTCGGCATGCCCAGTGTGCCTACCCATACCATCTCCTCCAAATATCCAGCATCTTTAGATGAGCGAACAGCATTTCGCAGACCACCGTTGCCTTGCTCTGCCGTTTGAATCGTCCACTCCGCCCTTGAGAAGGACATTTTTCGACTTATCAACCCATGTTTTTTAAGTCCGACGTATGGATTCACATGCGCAGCAACTTCAGGAATCTTAGGCAGAGTAGTCTCCTTGATCAACGAGATGGGGTCTTGGTGCTTAAGGATTGACGGCGACGGCGACAGAAGGGTCTTTGCTTTCGGCTGGGTGAGCTGATGAGTTGAGCCCCATGCTGGCGAATGAGCCTCGCTCTCTGTGAGAAGTGGGTTTTCAGAAGGTGGAGTGGAAATAAGTGGAAACGGGTAGCCTGTCTGTTGATCCTCAGCTTTAGCTACAGCATGGGCAAAGATACGTTCGTGGTCGGTCGTCGCGCCTGGTGTAAGTCCCGAATGTACTACACTGGCTTTATTATTCTCGAATATACCCTTGTCGAATAAACTGGCACCGGAACTTGTAGGCGGAGTGACTGGAGTCTTGCCAGGGCTGACAGCTGGCGCCGGCGCTGGCGGGGGAGCTTCAGCCGCAACACTGTTGCGACCTTTATTCACATGGAAGTTTACTGTGAAGGGAAGAAATCTAAAGAGATCATTGTATCAGTAAATTTTGTTCTTTGTCTCCCTGTTTTAGTTTTATTTGGTAGATACTCAAGTATTTCATTTTCGCAAGTACTTACAGCGATGCAATAATAACCGTCATGGTGGTTAGCCCGTCAATGATAGAGGGGTAGGGGAATAGAGGGGCAGTGTATCACAGGAAAAGCTTCCTGCGTGTAGGGATTGAGCCCAATGAGAATAGGTGACCCGCGGTAAGCGAAAGTATTTGGATGCTAGGGATTGATTAGTATAACGAAGCTATGAGATAAATCAGATGGAGATCTGTTTTTCTCTCATGGCTACGTCATGTGAAGGTGCCGATCAAGGATGAAAGTGGACAGGTTTGCTTATAACCTTTGAGAGCAAGTAAGAAAAAAAGAAAAGAAAAAGGATGACCAGAAGATGTCAGGTTTCATCCACTCTTGTATCTGGAACCTGGAAATCTGACAATGATGGAACGACGTGGGGGGAAACCCGAACAGCAAGAAAATACGGGCCTTTGAACCTCCAATGGCGTAGATTGGGGCATTAGAGGGTATTGACGCTAACGGTCCATACCAACTACCGATGACTCCGTGACCATAAATGCCCCGATGGATGTTATAATACAGTATGGTATTTACCAATATATAACGAGAGTATAGGCACTTTAATATGATTCGTGGAATCAGTTAAAGTCACCTGATTTTAGATGAGGTAATCACTTTTATCTGCATCAAAGTGGATATGGATATTCAACCTTGGATACGTTTGCTCTGTTTGCTCTTCTGCATATTTATCGCAAGTTGAAATCAGAATCTTGGAATGACGGTATGACCTTGCGTCTCACATCAGCGCCAGTAGCCGGTATTCAAAAAAGAAAGGCTGCCAAGCCGGTCCCTGCAAGAGCCCGTGGCTCGCCCTTTGCCGCCCATGCGCGTCGTAAACCGAAGGCCGCCGCAGCCGGTGTGAAAGCACCAACCACAGACTTTGGCCAGGACGAGCCTTTACCCGATAAAGGCGCATCGCTCTATATTTCCAAAACAACCACAGCTCGAAATGTCGAAGAAGCGATCGAATACATTGGAACTCAAATGTTCGACGAGCTTCCACAGCGCGCCGGAATGAACAGTACACGCATTGCGGCGGTTCTGAACTTGCGCCGATCGCTGCCCCCGCTTGCCTCTGTGGCCCATATACACACGCTATTGAATGCGCCCACACAAGTTGAGCGGGAGGTGGTTGAGTTGGTGAGAACAGGAAAGGTTCGGCGTCTGATTGTCCCTGGGCGGGGCAACGATGCAGCAGGATTAGGTGATTGCCTAGTTCTTACGAAGGACTGGAACACACTGGTCCGGGAGAGCCCTGCTCTAGACACAGCAGTTAAAGGTGAGTGGCTGGAGCGTTGCATCGCTGGAGAAGACCGAGTACTAACTTTTCAAAAGAGAAATTTCTAGATATCCTCGATCGCATCGGACCTCATTCTGCCCTCTCACAGGGAGTTTTTACTACTGACGAGTATAGAGCCCTGATGCGCGCAGGTTTCCTGGTATCCTCCTCAACCCTCACACAAGGAACTTTGAGCATTGCGTCGCTTCCTAATTTGCCCAGCGCAGCGGCCTCATCGGCTAGTCGAAGTAGCTCATCCCACGAGACCAACCAACCTATCCAAATTGATCCTCATACTCGCGCCGCGACTTTGTTTCTATCACTTCCCAACACAGGAACATACTTGAAATTGCTGAGCGCTGCGCGCGCGCACTTACTTGCTCTTCTACGACGGTCTCATTGCGGCGAAGCTCCCCTAGGATTGCTCAAGGATCGATGGGATGGAGCAGTCGAAACGGATAAGAGTTTCAATTTGGCGAAAAGGGCTCGAGGTGAATTCGCAGGAATTCTTCCAGGGAAAACTAAGAAATGGAAAGATATGTACGGTTTGCAATTCCGCTGGGTTCTGGAAGAGACGCTGGGGGCCGGACTAGTAGAGATATTTGAGACAGGCAGTGTTGGGCCGGGCATCCGCTGTTTATAAATCCAGGCCATCAAGTGATCCCATAGACATTTCATGAATGAAACGATAACACTTTCCAATCTTTGTATCATTTCAATAGTAGCACAAGCTTCAAGCTCACTGGCAAGTTTGCCCCTCTGATAGTGCTGGCAAACCCCGTATTAAGAGCAATCTTAGAAGCTCTGCCGATCTTCCCCTCGTCACACCTCCACCTAGAGCTTCATTCCTAAACGTCTTCTCACAAAGAAATTTTGTGGCTTGGACGTCATCATGGCTCTCATACGTCTCGAACCACATCTTTTTACTTCCCTCCCTGCCCATCCTTCTCTGCCGGAAAGTGACTCCCGCCCACAGCTTCAGCCGTTCCTGCAGGAAGCTCTCTGCCAAGCCATCTACTTTCTCAACAAGGTTCCTTCGAGATTCAAGAGCTCTAAACAGCACTCCTCGGCACCATCTGAAGCCAAAGTTCGTCTGGGAAGTTGGCGAAATGATTCAGATGCCAAAACCTCAAATAAAATTCTCAAGCCTGAATTCTGGGTGTGTCGACGGAGTGAACATGTGGATGCCACTGCCCCAGGAACCGCGTCGTGGGAGGAATTTGAGACTGGACTAAGATCTAATCACGCGGAGCACGAGATGGACTACACACCGACTGTGTCAGGCGTGGAAAAACTACTGGAATGGCCGAGAAGTGAGGCTCTAGAGGTCGAAGAATCTGCAAGTATTAAGTACATTTTCAAGGATGTGGATGTTGAGGGTATGTTGTACTGTGACATCCAACCCTATTGACATTACCACATCGATACTGACATAGCTCCCAGTCAACCTTATCACCCACTCGTTCAAGCCAGATGCTTTGATTGCTCCTCGCAGCTTCATCTCACTCACCATCTCTGCTATGTATGATCACATGGAAGAAATCACTATGCAAGGCAACCACAATAATCAAAACATGACAGGATTCATCACAGTTCAAATCCCGCTTAAGTCTACGCCAACATCTACTCCGTCTGACCTGCACCAGAGAATTATCTCTGCCGTACCGAAACAGGCCATATTTGCCAACTACGCCAGCGTGGAACGAGTTAGTCTTCTGCCACCTCTCCCGTCACCTACCGATATCAATCCTGATCGCATCCATTGGACCATGGCAACGACTTCAGATGCAGGTGGCTTAATTCCAAAGTGGGTTCAACGAAGTTGGATATTGGGTGGTGTGCCGCGTGCTGTTGTTGATGATGTAGGATTGTTCATCGGATGGACGATGCGTCGACGGTCTACTTGATTGCAAATGCTCAAAAGTACCTGGGCATTATCTTCAAACACGAGAGAGTTCCATTATGGATCAATGATAGGCATTCAAATAACATTCAATAAAATATGACACATTGTCAGCCGTTTATTTCAGACTTGAATTTCGTACAATGCGTGAACTTAGAGTTGACCCATGCGATTACGCCTTAAAAACAGCGTATGCCTGCAATGCAGCAGATAATCCAACAACCAAGGTATTCTCTTTGATACCATGCTTGGCATACCAGGCTGAACTGGCCCATAGCAGGATGTTGATGATGCCCGCAATAGTTTTGTTAATAGGATCGTTGAGTGCAGTTGGGTTGAGCGACCACTGGTAATGGATGAGACCTGAAAATAGTTAATATCAGAAACCAGGGATAGCTGGGTTAATACTCACTAGTCACCAAGAAGAATGCGCTTCCCTAGATAATTGAATGGATGAAATATTAGATAACTATATCTCTAGAAATGTGTACATACTAGCGAAGCATGAAGTTGTTCTGAGCTCATAAGAATGTGAACATTTTGAACATACCTGATACCAACCAACCGTTCCACAAGCCCATGGTCTGGTGTTGGCAATAGCCTTGAACGATTTCTCAGCGGTCCATTCCTTTCCGCTAATCTAAGTCCAAAAACAGATATGTCAGCAAGTTCTCGCTCGATATAGACGCTTGTCATCAACTATCCAGGGAATGGCATGATGTCTCTCCAGGAGAAAGACCTACCGTGTGTCCAATAGACAGCAACACGAAGGACAGAGCAGATGCTTGAAGGGATCTGGAGGGTGCCACAGACATTTTCGCAGAGTCAGAGCCCTGAAGGTGAGCTTCAAAAGGGTTTCAAATTTAATGTACTTGGGAATATGTACACAAGAAGTTGAAGTAAATTGAACTTGAATCCACATAAGCCGGCACGGCGGTACTTCGGTGTCCCCACATCCCCATCATCAGTTGTTGACTTGTTAATGTTGCCAGTTGGACCGAGGTTGGCCCCACGGTGCCCCCACCTGCTTGCATGGGACCATGATATCTACTATATAGTCCGATCATACTAGAAATGCAAGTTTAAAGTCAATATTAATTATAATAGTGAATATTGCATGTGAGCAGGGATATGTCCATTGCGAGATTAATATTATACATTGATTGTAACCATCCATCATCATAGTAGAAAGTGCTCGAATCCATAGCCCTGGAGTGCTTAAGCTTGGCTCTCCCCTTGTTCTTCTTGTTTCTTCTCCTTATTCACATCCTTCTTTACACTTTTCCACTCCATTGCTATTGCTGGAAATAATGCGACACATGACATGACGATACCAAGAATGAAAGTTCTCGTAATCGCATCACTATACGAACTCACCACCTCCTTCAGCTCAGACGCAGGAACAAGATCTCGAAATGCAGTAGCACCTGCAGCGACCAGCTTTGTTGCATTAATTCCAGACACTTTCTTCAGATTCCCCACCAAGATATTCTCAAATAGTGTTTCGGCAATAGAAAGGAAAACAGCACCGTTTAACTGCTGTGCGAACATAAGCAGCGAGGCTCCGACAGGCACATCCACTGTGGCAAGACAAGTCTGGACGGCGATTTGGGCTTGCTGAAATCCAAGCCCTAATCCAAGACCGAAAATAACTTGATATCCGATCCACTTGGAATGTCCAGTATCAGGCTTGAATGTATGGATCAAACCCGCACCGATGGAGAGTAGAACCACAGCGGCATACATAAATGGATTGTAGTATCCCCATTTCGAAACGGCAACTCCTGAGAAAATGGTTCCAACTACCATGGCGAGCACAAGTGGTAGATTCATGATTCCGGATTCCTCGGCGTCGACGTTCTTGATTGCTTGGAACCAAATCGGGAGGTAGTAGAGCATGACCATCATTCCAGCACTAGTACTCATTGTCCAAAACACACCAGCTAGAACGGATCTCTGTGTGAAAACTCGCGGTGGAACTAGCGATCTATCCCCACCTCGGATCTGTGTGAAAACGAACACACCAGCTAACACACCGAAGAGAATGAAAAGGAAGATAATCCGCCAGTTCGCCCATGCGTATGTTGAGCCACCCCATTCCAATGCGAGGAGTAGACAAACAACACATGGCATGAGAAACAAGTTACCCACTGGATCAAGCTGGGTGAATTTCTGCTTTAGAGTCCAGTTGCCGTTTCTTGGTGGCGGAACATCCAGCAGGAAGAAGATGGCGACTACTGCAGCTCCGCCAAATGGAAGATTAATATAGAAACACCATCTCCAGGAAACCTGCGTTGTGAAAACACCTCCAAGGATAGGACCAAGTACTGATGCAATGCCAAAGATAGCGCCTGCAAGTCCTTGAAACATGGGTCGTTGTTGAAGTGGGCATGTCAATACAATGATAACCATTACACCTGCTGAGATCCCACCAGTGCCTAGACCGGCAACTGCACGGCCAATGATCAAGGCAAGAGATGAGGGCGCGGCACCACAAACTGCAGATCCGATTTCAAATACGAGGATCGACAAGATGAAGACCCATTTGGCGGGGTAGAAGGTGTAGACTCGGCCGTAGACGAGTTGTGAAGCAGATGAGGTTAACATGTAGGCGCTACCATACCATCCTATGTCGTTGACACTGTGGAACTCGTCTGTAATTTTGGGTGTTGCTGTTCCAACGATTAAACGATCCTATAGGTCAATTTAGTCTTTAAGTTGCGCGTTGGAGGTTGATCCTTACGGTATGGGACTGGAACTTGAATTCGGGGCTGCCAGGTTGACTGTTGACTTACCAGGGAAACGAGGAACATGGCGATGTATAATGCGAGCATAATCAGGATGATCTTGCTCATTGGGGGATACTTGACTGATTCGGTAGTCAAACTGCGTTCGAGAGCATTGGTGGCATCATGTTGGGAGGATGCGTCGTCGAAACTCTTTTCAAGGACATCATGGTCTTCAACTTGGGGCGAAGATCTTGAAGTCTTCTCATCTCGGTGTTCTGGTGAGGTGGACTCCATATTATTGAGAAGAGGGGATGATCCCTATGCTCAAGTGGGATGCAGGTTGTATGTGTAGTATGACTTGGACTGGAAGTCGCGATGTAGATCGGTCCAATACTAGGAGTCGGGACTCGGGAGTAGTGAGTTGTAGTCTGAGTTGGTTGATAGAAATATTGGAAGTGGAAGACTGTCCTATTTGTACCAGCAACAAAGAAATTTCAAGTTTTCTTCTCTAGTGAAAATCATGGAAGCCCGGACTTAAGCGTGGGTTTTGATGGTTCCGTTTGACGCACTAAAATGCCGGGAGCAGATGGTTCCGTGGGCATTGTATCAAAGTTATGCGAGCTTCTACTAGAACGGCCCAACTAGTCTCAAGTGCTGACTCGCAGAAAAGAAATAGTAGTGAAAGTAAATAGAGAATTTTCTAAAGGCTTGATTAAAGTTGGAAAGACTGTCTTTGTACGTCTACTACATAGTGCGTCTCTATAGTAGATCCGAGTCACGAATAGGTAGACCCTGATGGTCTTGTACTCGGTATTATCCCTACACGATTTAATCTAAATTCTAATATTTGAGTCTGAGTGCCTAATTTATTGGATCATCTGCACATGTGAACAGGGATATTATTCAAATTCTTCATCTGGAAATTGAACCCTGAAGTCCGTCCCCGTTCCAGGTGATCTACAGAGTATATGCTACTAATATCCTTCAATGAATCTAAACCACTGCCAATATTGATGTTATTTCTCATAGAATCTAGACATACAAAGATATATCTTGAATAATAGGTCATAACTATACTATGAAATTCTTAACTCCTCTTATCTCAAGTTAAAGACCGAAACTTGACTCTATTGAATGCATAAAATGCGCTGGAGCGAATTTGCCGAAGCGGAATCCCGTTTCTCCGACCATCCGATCCTCCACTTTGGCTATCAAAGAATGGATATCTTCTCCCTTCCTATCAACTTCACTCTTTATACCGAAAATATTCGGAGTTAGTATCGGGTATTTCATGAGACTTTACGGAGTACTTGGTTCAAGCTTTTCTTTTCCTTTCTGCAGACCCACGTGGAGGCCCCCACGAGACCCAGACCCAGACCCTGATTTACATTTACATACTACCAAGTTGACATAATACATGTATAGAGCTCGTCGTTCACTGTCAGCTCTAAGTGCTAGCATAGATTGATACTTTATAATGGACAGAAGTAATCAAACAGAGGGTATATTATCACTACCTAGAGACATAGTTCAACAAGACAGAAGAAATGTTTGAAGGGAACAAAGTAGAAACTCCAGCCCGGGTCATTCCATGCATCGATCAAATGCAACCAAAAATTTGTCAAAGAAAATAAAGCAACTGGACTTCAGCCTCCATGTCATGATATTCATTCACACCTTTACATGACCATCAAAAGAGCCGATAAGTCCAGACTGACCAGCCACGCCATCAAAGATGTCGACAGTTTTGCGACACGCCGAACTCCTTCGGCTGATCCAGAAGAACGAAATATCATGTTATCCATTCAAGGGACACATGGAAAAAAAATCAAGGAGATAGGAGAAAAGAAAGGGAAGGTGGTGCTGTATCAAGGCGATATCAGAGAAGATTGTCACGCAGCCAGTAGATCAGAAATGCAAGGAAAAGAAATTAGCAAAGAAATTTACCACCAACGCCGGCGAGAGTCGGGACGGTGATCATAAAGGACATCAAGAGCCGATATCCACCACCCTGAATAGGACGGTGGTAATCGAAACGTATCAACAGAGGAGAAGCGGAATAGGAAAGACCAGTGCGGAAATAACAAGCCATATCGTACATGCGCGAGAGTGAGATGAGATGGAAAGGAAAGAGAAAAGACGCTGCGGCGCAACTACCGCGAAATGGGACCCGGTTGGTTCGAGTCTGCAGGGGGTGCTGTCGATGAGTTGATGGAGGCTATGTGTGCGCGAAGTGAGACAACCTCATTGCGTAACCCATTCAATTCGTCATGCATCGAGCGGACATATGCCCACAATTTATCGATTTGACTGGCATCACCAGCTCCTTCGGGACCGAGACCATCAAGCCCCGTTGGAGGCGGAGGTAATCCATGACTGCTCGAGTGGCTGTGCGATGACGTATGTTTGTTGGATGCGGGACCGAAACGAGGGTCTGGTGAATTGATCACAGGGGGTGGAAGCTTAGTGCCCGGTTGTGGCAAGGTGAGACCTAACGGGTGGCTGGGCCCTGTTATTCCTCGCCCGAATGACACTTGCGGGTGAGGCAATGTCTGCCCCATACTTGGGGAATGCCCTCGATGTGAAGACGTGCTCGAATCGTGATGTGATAAGGCGTTGGGAGATAAAGGTTTTGAGCTCTCAGCAAGATTACTAGGCGTGAAGAGAGATGTTCCAGAGGGATGGCCTGCTGGAGGGAATGTGAGGTTCCCCGCTTGCGAGGTTGATGATGTCGATCCAGATCCACCGTGCGTGACAGATGGAGTAAAGATACCCCCACGGTTCGCAGCAATCGGTGGATATGTGCTGGGCTGACGAGTGTTCAGTGAATCGGACCGTGAGATACTATCATCCATCTTGCGCATGCCCTGACTATTGAGTCGGCGCTCTTCTTCTCCATCCATCGACTCTGGCTCCGCGTACACCAATCCATCCATGCCGTCATCAGGGTGTTGACCATCTCCGTATTCATCGTCCGGCGCAAAACTTCCCATACTTGCGCGACGACCTGCACATCCACCTTGACCTTTGTTGTGTCTTGCGAGCGCATCACCACGAGCAAAACGTCGTCCACACTTGGGACAAGTATGCGGTCGTTCGCCCGTATGCAATTTAGTGTGCCGTTTCAAGTCGTGCAGTCGGCGGAACCGACTTTGACATGTGGAACAAACAAAGGGTTTCTCTTGACTATGAGTGAGCAAATGGCTCTTAAGATTATGTTGACGGGTGAATTCAGTGGCGCAATAGGGGCAGCGATGTTTCTTCGCTGATGGTGAGCGAGGGCTACCTCGATTATAGCCCGTATGTGGTAAGCTTAACCCGCGACGAGGATCATTGATACTCCCCGTAGGCATGGGATACGAAAAGGCTTTATTACTATCCTGGTCGATCTCCGAGTCATCTCGCGGGCGATGATGGTGACGATCCCCATCTTGCGAGGTCGATTCTTCAATAGGGCCCGGACTTGCGACTGTAGATGCATGCATGAGGGAGTTCGAATGGTCGCCGGGTCCATACGGGTCTGGTGTGGCGTTGGAATGAGTGTCTATTTGCATCTGTTCTGGAGATGCATGAATCTGTGGTTCTTGGATTGAAGGGGCCGGTGATTTTTCACTGGCGCCCAATGCCTCGCGAGCCACCTGAGAACTATTCCGCTCCGCATCCCTATCTTGTTCCACCGGACGATCCGGCGCTGAGGAAGGACTCGTCATCTGAGGTGGTTGAGAGCGGGAGACGTGTAGTCCCGCGCTAGCGATGGAGCTCAAGTTGGATTCTGGTTTCGATGGAGGTTTAAGGAAGGAGATGGGATCGGAAGTAACAATGGATGATGATGATCCGGTGATAGGGTTGGAAACAGCAACGGGGTCGTTGGTGGACTGCATCAATGCCGCCATGGAAGCAGAAGGGTTTGCGCCAGCCTCGAAGGGTGGACGAACCAAGGCAACGGCTACTTCCGAGCTCATGTTAGAAGATGATGTGGGATGACTGGGGAAGTATCAAGAGAACAAATTTGGGACTGACTTCACCCAAGATTATTATTGGATTTTTCTTTTCTTTTTTTGTTCTAAAAAAGACAGAGAGAGATCCTAAAGGGAGAAATGGGCGTGTTTAGGCTGGGGTTTGGGGGGATGTTACGGAGGAAGTCCAGGGCGTGTGGGGCGGGTTGCTGGTTCTCTTAGGAAACCGAGTGTGGCGCAAGCTGACGAGGTTTGGTTTCAGCTTTGCCCAGAAGAGATCCACCAACCCTTAAGAACTGAGAGAAAAAAGAGAGAGAATGGAGGGGGGGCTTAGGCCTTGTGTTAAAATAGCAGTGGGAATTGACCAGATTGGTTAATGAGCGGGAACTTACCGTGGCGGGTGCAAAAAAAAGAGAATAGGTACGTAACAATACTTGATGAACAGGTTGCCACACCACTTGGTGGAGTCAGGAATTTATTAGAACGAAGTTTTTCTCGGAAGAAAAAAAAATAAGGATTGAAAATATGCAACTGATTATCGTCGATATACTCAAAGAGAAAGAGATAAAAAAGAACCCGGGGGTAAAAGTCTCCTGGTCAACATTCGCAACGTATGGTAATGGCAATCGGTCACGGTCGAGGCTCTTGAACCCTGAGCTACGGGAGGATGTATCCGGTACTTGTGGATATATGAGATCTGTCATATATAACAAAGTAGCATATACTTATATCCGATTGAGGCTGTGTACAATCCACTAACGCGTGTGGCTGGTCGTGGGTCCGGCACGTTGTTTTTTTCTCATCTCTCCCTTGCGGCTGATGACCACACTATCTTACTAGGAGATCACAATGAGCCCGTATTATATACTGCTTATACTCCATACACTACACGTCCAAATTGAATGCCAAAAAACTTGAACTGGAATAGATTTTCATCGTACAATGATGTCACTGAAGGAAACCTGGAAAAGGAGGTAAAGACTCGGCTGATCTACTCCGTATGGAGCACGTACACAGCTCAGGGATTTGCTCGTGCTTCAGCCACTCGTGGGAATCCTTGAGATGACCCCGTAGATCCTGCCTCGCCCCACTGGACATAATGACTTGACACTCATGACTCGAACTGAGAGGCGCTAGTCAAGGTATGACATTGCGGTTCATCATGACTTCGCCTTGTTTCGGGCTTCCTTTTTGAGGCGGTGGCCTAAGGCTCTTGATGATCGACCCTTAATACGACCGAATGAAAAGATTAGCCACTGGCAGTGCAGAGGCTAGGGCTAACATGATGGTCCGCAGAGTATGCTGTACATGAGTGCGCCGTAGCACCATGCTGAACATGCGAAGGAGCCACGCGATTGGCTTAAAATACAGATGCCACGGACATCGCAGCGGGGCTATTCGGCCCACAACTGAAGGGAACAAGTCAGATTGGTTCGCGTGTCCGTGCAGAACATTCCCAGTTGCCTCAGCCCTGGACATCTGGAGGCTCTTGAGACAGGTCTTGTCTGAGGCTGAAGGAATGATCCTCAACCAATGCATTCTCATCCTAATTCGTCTGATCGGTGATTCATCTTGTAACCGGATATTTTAGCCCCATCTGCAAAGAGGCTGATGCGTTCAGCTTGGAACGTGCAGGTCGGCACCGCCTCCTGGATGATCCGTGGCTTGTATACCTGTCACTTGTGACCAGTTGGCGGAGCTCATTCAGCGCCAAACAGAACATCTGGCACAGATCAGTACAGCCATATCGATCTTGTCCACTTACCGCTACACGTTGGAATATCGCATACGAAATATTCTTCGGTTCGGCTCAAAATTGATTGTTTGACCGAATAGTGGCCAATGGAAAATCGTCAATTTACCATGCAAGAGCCACTCTCCTCTAGAGAGTAAGTCCAGTAATTAAATTGGGAAGTGGGAACTTGAAGCCACTAGTTTGATCAAATAACATAGCACCCAGGTGTTCTTATATATGGGAAATCTGGCTGGAATGGCTGAAACGCAGTGGCACTGCTGCCCCACTATAAATTCTAGATGGCGCCAGATGCGATCAACCATGCAACCCCAGGTTGGATGTGGCTTGATTCAAGTCGAACGCCAACGTTCTTTTATTCAAATGTTTAGCCGAGATTATGCAGTGGAAGAGGATCGGCGATTCAACTTCGTTGGCACGATACAAGCCTTGTCACTCATGGACCTGGTCGCAACCTTGGAAGCTTCCGATTATCAGGCACCGCTGCATGGACCTAATATGATATCAAAATATGATATGCTATCCGCTGGCAGTACTTCCTGGCTGGTACCATACAACATTGAAACCTCAAATAGAAACTTCAGGCCAATCATTAACAGGACAAGGTGTCTAAAAGGAGGTCGCCAGTCGAAACTTGCCCAAATGAAGATGGCGCCCTTAGGTCAAACCAATAACCTTGGAATAATGATTTCCAGTGGCGGTTCGTTGTTCGTTTGCCCCGCGATTTGAAGATACTCTCCCATGGAGAATTTGACGTTGGTATGCGTCCTGGAGGCTCAGAGAACAGGTTTGGTAGCATGATGTGCTGGTTTGGTTATTGTTGATCAGACGAGTAGTCCCATCCACTTCTAATGTTTGCACATACAAGTACTTACGAGTCCGAGTCCTTCAAGTCCCTCTCGCCTTCTTCCAATTGCTTCAATGTTTGATCCTTTTCTCGAAATTCGACTAATATAGCTAGTTGCGACTCTATCGATTACATCCTACGCCGCACGACACGCAAGTGCTGGGAGGAATATAGTATTCCAGGGCCAAGCTGTTGCACAGTCTGGTGGTACCATGAATCTAGCCGTGAAATTTCTCCTTTGAAATGACAAACCCGCAAGCACTTCCCAGGTGTTCTTTCAAGTTCCTACCTGACACAAAGAACGATGGTTAGAATTGATCTTAACACAATTATTGTGACATGCATCATCTTTCTTTCTTCAACCTGTTTGGTCTTAAACCCAAATAATGGATCACCCCAAATTCTTAGTCTCAACGCGAAAGACAGCGCTGGTCGGATACCAATTCTCTCCTATGCAGAGCTGGGAAACGAAGAAACAACGCTCCTCACCAAGGCTTAGAACTTCAATTATTGCTGGCTCGAAACCCCAACGTCGAGATTCACCACGCATATTTGACTTGACGCTCTACAGAGCGCACGGTGCCGTGGCCCTCGCGATATCCAGGAAATGGCGAACGGAAGCCGTGGTCTAGCTACTTGCTCATGGCGGATTCAGAGCTCGGTGACTAGAGCTATCGAAGGAAGGCCTACGTATGAATGTTGTGAAACTGCGTCTCAAATATCGGGCGAGACCTAATTACTTGTATCGTTGTAGTCGGTACCTTCAGACATATGGCGGTCCAAGAACAGTGGCTCCCGTCTCACCATGAATATAGATCGAAAGAAGATTGTTATCGATACGAATCCGACATTAGAAGAGCTTCGACTGAACTTGTGCATTTCAGGTTTGTGACATTTGTTTGCATGGCCTTGTTTGAGCTATGGAACACAGTAGGATGCTCCAATAGTTCAGAGTCTCTGACTACGGGTAATTCCCAGCCGACATCAGCGATGAGTTTAAAAGTCCATCTTGTGGATAAAATCCCTAAGTCGTTGCCCGCATACTTACACCCTATGATGAAGCTGCAATGCCCTGCAAGAGCGTTGTCCAGAACCTTGGAACTATTCTGCGATAAAGATGTGCTGGCAACAGACCATGGTACTTAATTTTTTGATCCGTCCGAGTCAATGATTTTCGGTGATGAGATGTGTAAAAACGCTTAAAATGTCACGACGGGGTACATCAACCCTCGATGGCGCGCTTATAAAGCGATCATGCATGAGCTGAACAGGTCTCGGGGAGTCGGGGATGAAGGCACACTCCGATGAAGTCCGAGGATAATCATTCCGATGAATGCAAACCAGGAAAAGGAGTAGCGTGGATGCTAATGATGCCGGGATTCCACTATTCACTTTGTTCTTGGCCTGCAATTACATGGTGTATTTGACGCTTATGCGCCGGGGAAGCAATGAGGATTGAAAGTAGATACTTCCGGCTCTCCAGATCTCTCTTGAATAGCAAAATAACATCGTAGTTTTTCATCAGGTTGAAATGGCAACTATCTCTGAGCAGGAAAGTAGAATAGTATTCTTCCAGGTTGAATAACCTTGAGCATTGTCATGTAGTGGAAAACCCAGTTGTGCCTGAGGGACCAGGCTCGGCACTCTAGTTATGTACCTGGCTGAAACGATCTCCAGCGCCGCGGAGATTCATTGGTTGAGAAGGTCTGAATGGAAAATGATCTTCCAAATAATGTACCAACCAAAGTACTTCGCATCCAAGGTACATTGCCACCCTAAAAACTGGTCAAGATCCTGGTCAAGGCACTCAGAGTGCATACATTAGACCGGTGCGGAGCACACACTAGGATGTGATGTGATACCAGCGACCTAACATGCCACTAGTTTGACCACTCTGCGTTCTACTGTACTATTAGTCCCACAATCAACAAATGGGATATTGGCAATGTTTTTATCCAAGCGCTCATCGACAAGTTCAAGTTTTTCAGCGCTGGGGGTTTGAGTGAAATTGGTGCATATGCTAGGTTCCAGGTGGGTACTATGGAAATGGGATATCGAGGGGTGCCAGGGCTAATGTGAGAGGCCTTCGAAGTGTCTGGGATTATGGCTGATGATCTGGATGAGGAGTCGAGAACTCAGTAAAGGAATTCCAGCCTTGAGTCCAACATTTGAACATTCCAAGGCTGAGACAGGTCTGTGGGCGCTTTCGACTTGATTATATAGCTGAGCTGCTGTGACTCCCCATGAGCATTGTCAAGGCCAAAAATAATCCTCGTTGATCTTATCGCCGAACACAGCATTGGACACTCGCATCAACTTCGCAAATTTGCAAGTACAATTGGAACGCACAGACCCCTCTGTTCCCTCCATCATCCCTGGTGTGACATTAGCTGCACAAGTTCAGCGGGTAGTTTGGGTCAGCGACAGGACTCCAGAACAAGGTACGAAAGTACCTGTACAGTACGAAATGCAAACTAATAGCAGTTTGAAGGCGCAACCCCTCTTTTCTCCGTAAAAATGCCACTCAAATTCCAGCGGTTCTGTTAGTTCTGTGGTTGGCCAGGCGATCGTCGAGTTAGCGCCCGGTTGAGGTGATGGGCTTGCAGGGTGAAGAGCCATCGGGAAGGCCATACCACATCTGACTGGCTACTCCACTGTGACAAGCTCGACCGATCACCCCCTCTAACCAGTCACACTTCGTCTCGTGCAGTGTGAATATGCACTCGATTCCGGTGTTGGCTCGTGCTTCCTCCAATCATGACTTGAATTTTTTCTCACTTTTCTCCTCGGCGCTTACTCTTGCCATGGGAAAGGTGATGGGATAGCATGGCCTGCAGTCCCCGCCCTCCCAGCCATGGGCGTTCGGCCATGATTGATATTCAAGGTGGCTTCCGGATCTGCTGATTTATTTTTTCCCTCTCTTTTCAGATCATCATAGTTGCCAAGTCTGGTTTCATTCTGTGTTTTATCCGTGGACGCAGGCTTCGCACACGGTATTCAAAGGTGATCCCGTTTTCAAGGTTGATTGAGCTTCAGCCGTTGTCACACCTTACGGAGAATCAATACCCAGCGATCAATTGGTTCTGACTGTTCCTTTTTGTTCTATTCCTGGCTTCGTTTTTGCTACTGTAATATCGTCAAGAGCTGGCTCTTTTGACCCTGTTCATTTCCCGACTTTCTATCATCTATATCGTTCATCATAATGTCGACTTCTGGTGATAGTCATAACGGCGAGCCCGTCGTTCCTCACGATATTACCCGAGCCTCCTACCACAGCGGGATGGGTGATCATACACACATCATGGTCAACCAGACAACGGAGACTCGTGTCTCTTCCGAGAGCAACAACGCTTCCCTGAAGAGTCCTCGCACTGCTCGCTTTGCGGAAGCGACCACGATCTACTCGCCAATCGAACCGTCCAGCAAAGCTCCCTTTGCTGAGACAGGAGTGATCTCGCAAGGTGTTGCTGATACTGGCTTTGGCTATGTATCAAACAACACTCCTGCTCAACATGCAGACGACTCAAACCCTCCTTTGTCACCTTGGCGAGCCGACCTGAAGGTTCCCAAGTCTGCCATGACTTTGAACCCTCTCAGTCCAACCTTCCGTGAGGAGTACTTCCTCGAGAAAGGTGAACAGCATGCGGAGAAGGAGAATGCTCGTGATGTACGAATTAAGCTGCGTGTGCGCATTGCCAAGATCTTCCTGCGCTTCGTCAACTTCGGCTGTAGTCTGATTGTCCTGGCCATGTTGGCAGTCACCCTTCGGACCTTCATGATGACCAAGGACCTGCCAGAGCGTAACAGCAGCAATGCGTGGAATCCTGGAACCAGCCCTTGGCCACAGTGGTTACTGTTGGGTCTGGCATGTTTCTCTCTTCTTGCCTGTATGATTGTGTTCTGGGGATACTACAAAGGAGGTCATAAGCGTGCTGAGAAGCTTGCGATCTACTACAGTACCATTTCAGTCATCTACTTCACATTCAGCTTCGTTATGTGGATCGTTACTGCAGCTATCTACGAACACTCAAAAGCAAATGGAAACGACAAGGATCTTTGGGGTTGGGCTTGCGCACAGAACACTCGTGAGCAGATCTACTCCAACACCATTGACTACGCTCTTCTCTGCCGTCTCCAAGTAAGTCTACGAGATTGAAATTTTCAGACCCATGATCCCCAATACACAATGCTAATCTCATATCTTTGTAGGACTGGGGTCTCGTCTGTGCTATTATCGAAGTCGTTATCGAACTCCTCGTGATTCTGGTCTACGTCGTCGTCTTCTACCGCATGTGGTCGAAGCGCAAGCTTATGAAGTCTATGAATGCTCGTGATCGCGCTCGTTCAGACTTTTACCTTGCCCAGCTGCACCGCCAGACCGCACCAAACACACCCGGCTTCCCAGGCTTCTCATCGTACCCTCCCAAGTCCCCATTCACCGCTGCACAGGGTATCGACATTGAGAAGGGAGAAGGTGGCCCTGTTCCTCAATTTGCTACCGCCCCTCCTACTCAGTACGCCTCGCCTCGCTCTCCAACTCAGCCCAAGCCCGCATTCCAGCTCCAGGCTCCTCCTATTCGTGTTCAACAAGCAACTCCCCAAACAATCCAGGAGGAGTTCGCTCCCCCGCCTAGCCATGGTTTCAACTTCAACACCCAGCCACAGCACCATGTGACTAGTGCCCCTGGCGAGCACAGTTACGGCTCTGTCCCCATTCCAGGTGCCTACTAGAACCCCGTGAATCGAACTCCTAGTGAGCCTGTGGGTGTCAAGAAATCTTTATGAATAGCGAGGGAGTTTGTCTCTGCGAAGTGGAATGGAACGTACGAAAAAGAAAACATATCCCAAACAAAGAAAAAAAAATGAAACCCATCAAAATCATCTTATGAGTACCAAGTGGAATATTGGACATACACCTGATTTCCCTATCCTTAATTGTCTAGGCACTGGGGCTTTATGCACAAAGGGCGTGTTGGCGTTTGGATGATACAGATACCTATTTCGTTTTTTTTGGTGGGCTTATTCGACTATGTGTATTCACGCCTTTCTCTCCTTTTCTTCATTATAGTCAATTATACATGCCCTTTGAACGGGTTCCTATCTTGCTAAGAACCTAAGTATCACGTAGAATTGTCAAGTATGGACATCTAGTGGAACCCATCTGTAGTAGGGCTTGTGGACTTTTCGAGAGTTGTTTAAAACTTGAAGGAGAGTCTCGGTAGATCCTTATCTCAATGTGTGAAGACGAGAAAAATAAATCAATTGAAATGCTTCATTCCAACATTGAATTGAACAAGATGAAATTACAACTTAATCTGACAAGCAAATCAGAACGCCACTGTGCAGAGAATAAGAAACCTGACCAACTCCACGAAATTCTATAAATTGATTCCGTTGCCCCATCAATCATCAATCACACATTCTACTCCGACCGTCTGTACATGCAACGAACCAGTTTACATGGCGCCCTCCTCAAGGACAGCATGAACATCTCGGCTAACAAAGATTTCCTCAAGGCTGCAGGCGCCACTGGCAATTTTGCTAATATCGCTTTCCAAGACAAGACCTTGTTCATTGGCCAAATGGAGAAGACAAATGAATCCGAAAGAAGTGCTGATATCACGCAAGGTCTCGGTCGGATAAACAGACTTCAGCGAATTCATAATCTGGGTAAAGCGTAGGCGGGAATCGTTCTTGGGTTCCTCGGGGCTACCTGCTCGTGGTGTCGTTGGCTCAGGGACCTCAGCTTCACTCTCCGGCTCGGTCGGTGCCTCGCTAGAAAGAACCCCAGGTTGTGAAGCTGAGCCAAATTCTGTGGCGGCAATCAACCTTTGACCCATGCCCTTCCACATTTCAGTCTTGAGTCGTCGTACGTCAACCTTCTTGGCGACACGGGCATAGTTAACATAATCTGGGCGCGCACGTCGTCCGCCTTGAGTAACTAGCTGGGAGCCATATCCGCCAGCTCCAGGGCGGGCCGGTGTGGCACCAACCATGTTCAACAACGCCGCCAACCCAGTTTGTGATGCAGGATCTGTGACAGAACGTCCATCGACCGCTGGAGACAGCATTTCACGGGCATCGGCAAATGGCAGATTGTCGTCATCGTCATCAAGATCCATACCATTAGGGAAGGCAAGACCATCATCATCGGCGAAGAAATTAGCATCGTAAGCGCCAGCAGCACCTTCTTCGGCATTGTCTTCCACCTTGTGATTCGCCCAGAAGGCCTCGTCCATGTCGCCATTTCCAGAAGTTTGTTCTTGAGGACGAATCGTTCGTCTGCCCAGAAGTTTCTTCGATCCCATACGGGCTTTGGGCTTGAGGAAAAGGCGGAGAAGGTTGCGGGAGTTGAAATGTTTGTCATCGGGTAACAGATTTCGTCCCTTTGTCTTCCATTGTGTCTTTGGTAGGGAAATCGCCGAGTTCGAGCTGGCCGGCATGTAGATTAACTCAGCAATGGCATGATCCAGAGGAGCTCCAAAGTCGATCTCGAAAGGCTCTTTCTCCTTTCGTGGCTTGGGGGCTGAGGTAGTGCTGGCTGCTGTATGATCTTTAATTCTTCGAATTTTCCAATGCTCTGGACCTGCCCAGTTCTTCTGAAGCGCATTGTCAAAGTAACTGAGGATATTTTCATGGTCTTGTTTGCTTGTTTGATGAGACATAGAAACCGCATATGAGTCCTCGTGGTCCATGTCCTCATCACCATCTGCATCTTCGCCATTATCTAATCGGTGCACCTTGAGCATTGGTTCCAAGGCCGCCTCCCTGGCCCAAGCCTCTCCTCCATCACCGAAGCCGGCGTCGCCACTCAGGTCAAAGCCGGCCAAAGAGGCCTCGTCATCGTCAAAGCCAACTGCATTGTCATCATCCAGCATGATTCCCGATGGCTCGTCAACTCCATTTTCATGGTTGTTCTCCTGTCGCCAATCCTCAGGCGCTTTGAGAAAAGGAATGTCCAAGGATCCGCTCGGGTCACCCAGGTCGAAGTTCTTCAGGGAAGGACAGATATCCTGCTCTCCTAATCGATCCAAATCGGGGAAAAACCGGCTGGCTAGTGTAGCTAGATCAATCTCTGGGTCATCCTCGAAGGTGTCGCGTGCGCTCGGAGGGGCAGGTTGTGTCTGGTCTTCACCTTGAGACTCTGGATCGGGAGACTCTCGATCTTCGCCTTCTGCTGTCTTAGAACTGTCGTCTACGGCGTCATCACTGCTATCAAAGACAATTCGTCCCACTCCATCGATAGCCAGGTGGTTGAGCAGCAGACCCTTGGCTCCGCCTTCGTCAAAATCTGCTGACGCCTTCTTGAATAACGGATCCACAGCAAACTCCAGCTCGAACTTCTTCAGTTGTAATGATGCAAAAGATGGGGCCAATGTAGCTTCGTGGGAACGTGTCTATTGCCGTCCGTATGGTTAGTCGAGTGTTGAATGCGAGTCGTTTGAGTGAAATTGACTGTACCTTCTTGCGCGACTTTCGCGGTGCGCCATCTTCTCCCTCCTCATCCTCATCGCCGTCTTCTCCTTCTGCATCAGCATCTCGTCCCCTCTTGTCGCGACTATCAGCCAAACCACTGAGCAGTTTTCCGGTTTCAGTAGCGACGCTGTCTACTCGACTTGTGTAAATCTTAACACATCCATCGAGGGTACAACTAGCCTTCTGAAAGTTCACACCATCTCCCTCTTTCAGGAGGGACATATCATGGAAGTAATCGATAAGGGCAAAGTTCCAGGAGTTGTTCGCATTAATCTTGTTGTCGGTAGCCATCTTCATCCATTCCTCAAAGTTGGCGAGGATAGGAACGCGCTTCATCGGAGTCACTGCGCGACCATTGACATCGCTTTCCCGACCGCGGTGACTTGATGCGCGCGGTGTCCCCGGACTTTCGCTTCCGTCGCGGTTAAGTGTGTATCGGCGCGGCGGCATCGGTGTTTTGACTGCGGCTTTGATTTGGCTCATTTGTCGATCGTGTAATGCTTGACGGGCCTCCATACGGGCGGCTTTCTCCCCCATATCATCGTTGAGGGGAATCCTGGTGATCGGGGTTAGTGGTGATCTCACTATCGCATCATGAGGAGGGCTCTGTACTTAATAGGAGAGTTCTTGTGAGGGGTGGAGTTGCCGTTTGAACGGCGATGAGCCTTGTTTGCGACACGAGGCATGGTTGCGGTTTCCCCCGTTCGGGGATAGCAAATCGCGAGGTTTGGGTTGTAAATTTGGTTGATGCCGGGCAAGAGGGGCGACAACATAACATGAGACGTCAACAAACATACGGCAATCTGGATGATCCAGTAATGCATAATATCACATGACCTTATCTGTTGGATCCTGGAACTTCAGGCATTCTATTGTTCAGGCATTAAGGCAGTAATGCTGTTCAAGATCTCATCTAAACATAGACAAACGCCCCATCCTAGCTTCTACCTCCAATTCTCATCTTATTTTCTTATTTATCTTCTAGTCGTTTCCAGGTGCTCCAGTTTCAGCCCTACTCCACAGTTTACTCAACATAACAGCATGCCCCTCGCAGTCTAGCGCATTGGCCCACTTCTGCAGCTCCACTCCAGGCTGACATCACTTACTCACCGCATTGGCAGGTTAAGGCACATCTAGCTTGATGGAGGGGGTTCGAGTCTTGTGACCAACTAAGACCAAGATTTATGATGATAACAAGCTCTCAGATCTACTAGATCTTTTCTTGGTATCTCTTCAGCCCACAATGGTACCGCCGCCAACGTTATAATGGAGCAAATTTCATCTTTTCTGCAGCCTACCGTTCGCAAAGGGCCTCGGTATTCGGTCCGGCCGTTTTACACTACGCTTGTAGTGTTCACGGCCCTCGTGGTACTGAGCTGGACTGTACGCAGTGTAATCATTGGAGAATCGCCCCGCTCTACACCAAAGAATGTGTTTCTATTCAGACGAGAAGATGAACCCGAGGTACCGTAACCCCAGCTATCATATACCCTACGCGTAATCCATTCCGTCGTGGAACTGCACACGAGGCTAAATCTTGCATTGTGTGACCACATTTAGTGCCGCCTAGTTCGCGAGGTCGAAGATCAGTGTGCCTACGTTCGCACTCACTGCCCAGACCACCAAGATGGCCTATTCTCATATCTACAGCTTTATTACTGTGCTCTGCCCGAAGCGAAACCGCTAGCATTCCTCATCCTAATCCTTTGGCTATCGCTTCTTTTTAGCACCATTGGCATAGCAGCCAGCGATTTCCTGTGTATCGATCTGAGCACTCTGGCGATTATCTTGGGGTTGAGCGAAAGCCTGACTGGCGTGACCTTTCTCGCGTTTGGTAACGGAAGTCCTGATGTCTTTTCCACGTTTGCCGCAATGCGGTCGAATAGTGGAAGCCTAGCGATCGGTGAACTTATCGGAGCGGCCAGTTTCATCACATCCGTCGTTGCCGGTTCTATGGCATTGGTTCGACCTTTCAAGGTGGCACGGCGTAGTTTTGTCCGAGATGTGGGTTACTTTATTGTTGCTGTCAGTTTTAGCATGTTCTTGTTGGCGGATGGCAGGCTTCATGTCTGGGAGTCGGCCGCTATGGTGGCACTCTACGTTTTCTACGTTGTGATGGTAGTGACTTGGCATTGGTATCTCGTCCGGCGTCGTCAGAGATACGAAAGAGACCTTGCCGCACGAACCCATTTTCACATCCCGGACAATCAAGAACTGGAGGTTGAGGCACCTGTGGAGGATGATGATCCAGGAGTCGCTGCAGAATCACGAAGCCTCCTCCGTGGCGCGTCGACTGATGACTTTGATCTTTTAGAAAGAGCGGAAGGAGTCCCTGCTTGGAAAGAAGAAGACGACGAAGACGACGAGACTCGCAACCGCTACCTTGCCGAAATCAGTAACAATATGCATGTTCATCGACCGCAAAACAGATCTCGGAGAAATACCATGAATCCCATTCGTCCGAGTCTCGTCGGAGCGCTTGAATTCCAATCTGTACTACATTCTCTCCAAAGAGCACGGAACACAAACCGCGACCGTACGATTAGCTTCGTCGGATACTCAGAAGATGAGGACAGCTCCCAGCCTTTTGACACACGGTCTATTGCGTCACACCCTCGAGCTACCAGACCCTCTACGACTGATGACCGCCTGTCGCCGCTTAGTGCCAATGGATCTTCGAGAGTTCGAGCTGTCTCCGCCAATGATGCGGAGGGGTTACAACTCGACACCAGTGTGCTAGGGCAGCGTCAAGATCAGGGACCACGCTTAACAGTGAGGCGGCCTTCCAATGAGACTAATGATCGACCTCATTTGGAGGCACCTGAGCTGCCCCGCATAGATATCAATGCCGCATTGACTGCATCGCCATCTTCCTCTGTCCTATCGTCCTCAAACGCAAGTCCGGTGTTGCCGGAAGGCCCACGAACACCCGATCTACTTGCTCCTCCGGGCAATTTTCAATTCCCCAATTACCAAGCGAACACTCCACATGAGAGATCTCCCGTGTCGGTATCTCCACGAGGCAGGGGTTCTAGTCCTCAGCCTGGCATCACACCCGAGAGCCCATGCGCGCCATTTCCTGCGTTTATCGATGTGACATCTGCACAGTCATCTCGACCACCAAGCATCCGACTTCCCAATCCTGTGACTAGTCCATCGGAGCAACTCATGGTTCATGACAGTATTGATGATATACGCAACGATGACCTTTCATTCCGGAACCCCTTCAAAAGATGGTGGCCGTACTCTATTCTTCCTGCTCCTCAGCAGATTGCCTGCACGCTGTTCCCAACCCTAGCTGGATGGAAGTCGAAGGGTATTGCTGGGCGGCTGTTAGGAATTGTGGCTGCGCCCAGTGTTTTCCTTCTCACCATAACTATCCCAGTTATCGAGCCTGGGCCTCCGGAATCCGCTGAGCTAGATCCAATACCTGCCGTGGTTATTGATGTAGTCGGCGACGGTGACGACAGCCATGCTCCAAGAGTGCGCCTACCAGCCGATAGTCCCATACTGGGACCTATGTTACATGACCACCATGACCATCATGCCTCTATTCCTCATCTATCAGTATCCCATTCCCATCGCAAATCAACTATCCAAGATCAGTCCAGTCGACCACGCTGGGACTCTGAGCTTCCTCCACCACCGGTGCCCGCATCTTCCGGGCCGGCTAGAGATTGGAATCGTTGGTTGATTATCACCCAGCTTTTCACCGGGCCTTTCTTCTTTGTCCTGATTGCGTGGACCACTTTAGATGAAGACCTAGATCCGAAGAACCTCATTTTTCCTTCTTTGATCTCCCTTCTTTTCTCCTTCGTGTTCCTATCACTTCTTCTTATCACCACTCGGCGACGACCTTGGCATCGACGGGTAGCTCGAGGCCAAGACTATTATCAGCCTGGTCAGTCGCCTGATGATGACCCACCTCTCTCGCTTCCATCCTCGTGGAGACCGTTCCTCTCCCTCCTCGGATTCTTTGTTGCGATATCCTGGATTGCTACTATCGCGACAGAAGTAGTCTCTCTACTGAAAACGCTTGGTGTTATTCTCGATATTTCAGACTCACTTTTAGGGCTGACCGTCTTCGCTGTCGGTAATTCTCTGGGTGATCTTGTCGCTGATATCACTGTTGCGCGACTGGGGTACCCTGTCATGGCTCTTAGTGCATGTTTCGGAGGTCCAATGCTCAATATTCTTCTCGGTATTGGCCTGGGTGGCATGTATATGACTCTTAATGGCGGGAGATCCCGGCAGCGGCAGCGTGATGAGATTTTCAGTTCAAGTGCTGCTTCTTCTGAGCAGCAACCTTATGAGATTGCTATCTCCAAGGTACTGGTCATTAGCGGTGCTACTCTTCTGGTCGTTCTTGTTGGACTTCTGATTGTGGTCCCGATGAACAACTGGCGCATGGATCGTAAAATTGGTTGGGGTCTTGTGGCAGTCTGGTGTGTGAGTACTGTGGGGAATGTTATTGCGGAGGTTGCATCGTGAATGATCTATATGAATCTTTGTACAATCTATTATTTCGGAGCTGTGGCGTTCAATACATTCAACTGATTTATTTCTTGAGTCCATCTTCCAAGCCTTTCCGTCAAAACAATCAAGGTACTTTTGGGCCATTGACACCTATACGGGAGATCCCACCTGGGCAGCGGGAATGGCGAGGATAAGCCTTATGAGGCAAAACTCAGTGTCGCCAAGACGGCACCTGGAGTTTCTTAGAGTCAGACCGAAGACTGGGCTTTGACCCTATTGACTTGCTATATCGAGTCTGGGGTACCGGTGGGGTGAGAACTAAGTATCAAAGGTATTTTACCTCCGCTGGAATATCATGACAAAGTACGGACTAAAAACAGAGACAAAATAGCATGACATTTCATAACTCCAGACACAACTGACTACTATTAGCCGGTGTAGGTTTAAGTTAAGCCCTCGGCGTTAAGCATACGCAATCTAAACCTTGGAAGCCGATCACGCGAAGCCACTTCAATATCTCGCTCTTTGAACCATTCTCTTTTCACGCTATTAATGGGGAAATTCCGGAATCCCCATCCTCATCTTATACAGCAATCGGCAAAATTCCTGCGGGGGAGGTCTGTACTCCATATTTCCTCCAATGGGAGATCAGAATTAACGGAACTCGGCACTCGGACCCTACGACCTATTTCGATGATAGCAATGGGAAAAGAGAAGAGAATGGAGTTGATTCTTGTTCATATAGGACAGTGGAGCCCGGCCCAGTTTTCTGAAGGGTCCAAGTCTGAAAGTGCGATACTCAAAATCAGCTATCATGGCGCTCTCTCCTCGCTGGTACCAGGTATGTATGAACTTGAAGCTGTTTATTGCTTGAAAACGAGTCTAATGAAATGTGAATTCTAGTTTCTGGTCTGCGTATTCGCCTCGCTGGGCTCTGTGCTCTATGGATATGATCTTGGTGTTATTGCTGAGGCCATCGCCAGTCCCTCTCTTGTCGATAAATTCAATCTGAATTCTACAGAGAGTGGAGCTATTACTGCTGTTTTCACGGGAGGTGCCTTCTTCGGAGCTATCTTTGCAGGTCCAATGGGTGATTCTGCTGGTCGTAAATACACTATTCTCGTGGGATCCATCGTCTTTTTACTAGGAGGGTGCGTAAAAAGGCCACAATTCTCATATTTGTTTTTGTGACACTCACTGATTACGAACCACAGTGGTCTGCAAACTGGTGCACAGACTATCGGTTATCTATATGCTGGTCGAGCTATTGCAGGTCTTGGGTGAGTTCTCTTCTAATAGTCTTGTGGAGACACCAACTGACCTATGAGTCCAGAGTTGGTATCTTGGTGATGATTATTCCCATTTACCAAGCAGAGATCGCACACCCAGATATTCGTGGTCGAGTCATTTCTCTTCAACAATTGATGCTTGGAGTTGGCTCTCTAGTAGCCACCTGGATCTCCTGGGGCACCTATATCAACTTTGCTGACGACGATTCGCGCCAGTGGCGTATCTCCCTGGGAATTCAGATGGTGCCCGCTGTCTTTCTGGCCGCCTTGATTCTTCTGTTCCCCGAGTCTCCACGTTGGCTCATTGATCATGGAAGATTAGAGGAAGGTCTACAGACGTTGGCTAAACTCCACGCTCGTGGAAATGTTAATGACCCTTGGGTTCAAACCGAGTACGAGCAGATTACTACATCGATTGCACATGAACATGAGACAGAGGCCAAATCATATACTGAGCTGTTTACGGACCGATCGTCCTTCCGACGTCTCTTTTTGGCTTGTTCGATCCAGGCTGCGGCTCAGATGACTGGTGTCAGTGCTATCCAGTACTTTAGTGTTGAGATTTTCGAGCAGATGGGCATCGCAGCCAACAATACCCTCAAGTACCAGGGTATCAGCTCGATCATTGCCATTATTGCCCAGTTTCTCTGCATGCTTTTCATCGATAAGACCGGTCGCCGTTGGCCTCAGATCCTTGGAAACATTGGAAACTGCGTATTCTTTGTATGTCCCACCTTCAAGTTTCCCCTACACTTCTCATAACAGTGATTTGGTTGGACTAACATCAATAGATTATTCCTACAATTCTGGTCGCCAAGTTCCCACCAGGCACATCACACAACAACAGCGCTGACTGGGCCTTCATTGTCATGACCTGGTGCTACAACTTCTGCTACAGTGCAACAATCGGCCCACTTACCTGGATCATCTGTGCCGAGATCTTCGACACTAAGACTCGTTCCAAGGGCGTTTCAATTGCCGTTATGGTTTCTTTCGCCTTTAACACGATGATCGGTCAGATCACCGACCCAGCCATCAATGCTATTGGTGGAGCGCACTTCTATATCCTTTTCTGTGTTTGCAACTTCTCAAACGCGGTCTTCTTTTGGCTTGTCCTACCTGAGACGACTAAACTTCCTCTTGAGGATATGAATTCGCTCTTCTTGAATGAACCTTGGTTGGTACCTGGAACTCAGACGAAGAAGTTTATTGAGCGAAGTAAGCTACCGTTGCCTATTGCCGAGGGCAAGAATGAGCATTTTATTGAGCATGAGGAGACTACAGTCTAAGAGTGCATATGTGGTGTTGGTGCGAGTTACTGAATGGTTCGAATTGAGCGATGATTATACCCAAATTTGAGGGTAGCATTGAAGCATTTTACTAGTTAAAACATCAGATATGAAGAAATTGATAATGTGTTTCCAGTCAACTGGTATTTTCTCTCTTTAAAAATCGGGTAAATATCGGAAAATCAATAAGTTAGTGAGAATGACCTGATCTTCAATGTTTCTTCCTGTATAGTATTAGACACGATTATCATTTCCAATTGCCCAATAGCTTCAGGAGTGAGGAAATGTCAACTGGGTTGCATCTATAGTGGAGTCGGCACTTACCCCGAGTATCAGTGCGGGGATGAACATTCAGTCCAATATGAAGCTTCGATCGACACAATACAAAACCATGGTGATTCTCCTCAAAACTGTTCTCACTATTCTCGTGGTATCTCATATCAACATTACAAGATGACTCGCCTCTCATATCTCAAACTTCTTACCTCCCTCCTCTTTGCATCAACCCTAGCCTGCACCACAGACGAAGAATGCAGTCTAAATGGAATCTGCAAAAGCAATTCCTGTATCTGTGATCCAGGCTGGACGAACTCAGACTGTGGAAAACTAGCCCTTCGCCCAGGTCCCCGATCAAACGGATACAACCGTACATCCGAGGGGATATCATCCTGGTGTAATGGAATAATCCGTGATCCCAACAACAAAGACCTCTACCATCTCTTCATCTCCGAATTCATGCATGGCTGTGGTCTTGATTATTGGTCTTCATATAGCTATATCATCCGTGCCGAATCCCAGAATGGTCCTTTAGGTCCATATGCCTCAAAACAAGAGATCCTTCCTACATTTGCACACAATCCCACTGTCATTTGGAGTAGGAAGGATAAACAGTATCTACTGTATAACATTGGATGTCCTCAATCCGTCCCATCTACATGTCAAGATGTGAATCTCACATGTGGACCTGGGAATAATGAGAATGGTGAAAGCGGAATAAGTGTGTTATCATCAAGAGACCTGATCAACTGGTCGAAACATGGTCAAGTCTTTCCTGGTCTGGATAATGCAGCTTGGGATGCTGATACAACGAATCCGGGTCCATTACATGTTCATTCGAGTTCTCATTCATTCAGTGAAACGATTCTCGCATATCGTGGTTGTCCTTATAACTGTAATGGCACCGAGCTCATTAATATCGCCTCTGCGACCGATTATCCAGATCCTTATACGCCTATTCATCCACGAGATCCGATTTTCGAGCAAGCAAGTGAGGATCCGTTCATGTGGATGGATAAACGAGGGAACTTTCATCTTTTAGTACACTCGCTACTATCTGATGCGGGATTTGGTGCTGGTCCTAATGTTGGACGTCATGCTTATTCGAGATCTTGGGATGGTCCTTGGACTTTTGATATGGAGACTGTTGCTTTTAATACGACTGTTGAGTTTAGTGATGGATCGAGTATTGATTATTATCGACGAGAGCGGCCGAATTTGTTTTTTAGTGATGATGGGGAGATGAGACCTCTGTTTCTTTCAACTGGAGTTCAGGAGGTAAACTCTCCTGCTAGTTATTCCCTTATTCAACCTATTGGAGAGGGAAATCGAAGGTACTGGCAGCCAAGCGAATGAACTATGCTTAAGATCATATCTTGGGACTTTGAATAAACTTGAACGATATAGCAAAATACGAGAGAATATTTGTAAATGACACATCAACAAAGCTAACTACTTGTCATCGTCCTCGTCTCCAATCTCATATACCTCGATGTCTTCCAAACAAACAAAAACAATAAAAAAGAAAAATGCAATTGGTCCTTATTTCATGAGAGATGAATCCATCTCTCAACCCAATTCTGTACAGTATGTTCGATTAAGAGATTATTTCCTTACAGCACACGACCAGCCGAGGAACTTTGGCTGCGGTCGTTGGTCTGCGTTTTGCGGAGACCCTTGCCAGCTTGGATAGAGGCAAGCAGGGCAGAATGGCCACCACCGCCACCAGCAGCAGCGGGAGGTGGTGGTGGAGGAATACCAGGGGCACCAGAAACGGGAGGAGGAGGGGGTGGAACACCAGGAGCGCCAGAGGCAGGGGGAGGGGGGGAGGAGGAGTAGCAACAGGGGCACCAGGTGGAGGGGGAGGGGGTGGTGGTGGAGGAGGAGCACCAGCTGGAGCAGCGGGCGATTCGGGGGGATGCCACAGCGGGAGGAGAGAACGCTGGAGGTGGAGGTGGAGGTGGTGCCACAGGAGTATCCTGAACAGGGGTAGCAGAGTTGGAAGCTGGTTTGTCTTCATCCATGGCGCTCAGAGGGCGAGGAGGTGCCATGGTACCGAAAAGAATACTAGCAAGCTGCTTGGCGCTGCCACCGCCGGCACGCTCATCTTCATCGTCAGAAGAGTCGACGTCAGAGCCAGCATTAGACCAGTCATCATCTGCTTCAGGGCGTGCACGGTTCTTACGCTCCAGCGGCGCCGCACCGGTAAACGCAGGCTTGATGGGTTCCGCCGCTTGTTGGGTGAAGCGGTGGAAAGGATTGGTAGACTGGGTGGCCGGTGGGGAAGTAGCTTGCACCGGATCAACCTCAGCAGCAGGTTGGCCAAGAGACTTGAAGTATGGGTTCTTCGACTCAGACTCGGAAGTGATAGCAGGGAAAGCACGGCTACTGTCAGGGGAGCTCACAACGGGCTCAGGCTCTGGAGAAACAACGGGTTCGGGCTCAAAGGCAGGCTCGGGCGCAGGTTCGGGCTCAGAGATGACTGGGATGGGAGGTGGAGTACTATATCTGGGGGTCGCACTCTCAGGGCCCTCATCATCCGAGGAGCTATCGTCATCAATGCTCTCAAGTTGACGCTGCAGCTCACGCTCACGCTCCTTGGCCATCTCGAGCTCAGCACGCTGGGCTTCGAGTCTAGCCTCTTGATCTTTAGCCTGACGAGCGGCCTCTTCTCTGCGACGCTTCTCTTCCTGCTTCTTAACCTTGCCCTGTCGGACTTGTTCTTCAAGAGCACGGAGTCGAGCAGCTTGAGCCTCCTTCTCTTGGAGGAATTCCTGTTCCCGCAATTTCGACTCATCTTCCAGGCGTTGAGTCTCAGCCTCCTGTGCTTCCTGTTCCTCTTTGATAGCCTGTTCACGGGCAGCGTGCTCAGCCTTGCCAGCTTCTTCGGCCTTCTTTGCATCCGCCTGACCGGCGCTGTCAGTTCGGGCCCTGCGAGTAGGGGGCGCAGGTGGAGGCTTCTTGCCCGCGGGCTTCGGCGCAGCGGCAGCAGCAGCAGCAGGAGCAGGAGCAGGGACACCTCGCTCCTCAGCCAAGCGGCGCTGTCTCTCTTGTTCTCTTTGAGTATCTTCTTCTTCAGCACGCTTCACACGATCCTCACGTTCCTTCTTCTCTCGGGCCTGGCGCTGTTGTAGAGTCTCAGTGGCATCAGCAGGCTTCAAACCAGCAGCAGCCATACGCTCTGCAATACGCTTCTGAGCACGCTCCCTGGCAGCAGCGACACGGTCCTCGTGTGTGTTGCCAACACCCGAGCCTGAGGAGGCAGTGGATGGGGGCATGGAAGGACGAGCTGCAGGAGACTCAGCTGGAGGGGATGAATATTCTCGTCGCTGGTCTTGGACGGACTTCTCGCGTCTAAAAAAAAATGAATTGGTTAGCACGAGATCTTCCTTGATAGTCATGATATGAGGGGTATCATACTCTTCCTTGCGTACGTGCGCAGTCCGGCTGTTACGACCCAGGTCATAGATAAAGTCACGGATGATATCCTCAACTCCCAGAGCATCTTCCCAGCGACGTCGCTCATGCGATCGGGTAGAGTTGTCTCCCTCATCACGTAGGCTGTCCTCCAAGCTGCGAGTGAAGTCGCGGACACTCTCCTCAACATCGCGGGTCATAGTGTCGTTGCGCTCTCTTTCAGCATTGGCCTCGGCCCTCTCAGACTCCAGTCGGCGAGCAGATTCTCCGTCGTCCTCGGTTGAAGGAGCCGGGCGTCCAGCAAGTTCAGCAGCACGGGCCTGCATACGTGCGCGAGCTCGAGCCTTGATCCGATCAGCCTCGGTCACTGCACCGCCAGGACCAGTGCCGACAATATTGGAAACACCATTGGGGTTAGCCTTTGCTTCCTTGAGGCGGAAAAGCTCAAGCTTCCCCTCGGCAATCTCTCGTTCAACGCGACGGACGTCAGATGCGGCTTGAGGAACTTGGTCTTCAAAAGATTGCAGCTGACGACGAAGGGACCGACGTTCCGCGCCACTATCCAGGTTACGGAAAGCGGCATTAGGGTGGGTATCAATATCGTCTTGCACACGACGAATGCGGTCCATGAGAGACTCTGCTTCCCGGCGGTCACGACGGTCGAGAGCATCGTCATCTTCAGCCTTGTTCTCATCCTGGAAGTCAACTGCATCCAGCATGATCTTGGTCTCGCGAATCTTCTTGAGGAGTTGTTCTACGGAAAGCTCATCGGCTTGAGAAGCTTCAGAGGCAGCAGGTGAGGGTGAACGGGGATCATTACCGACGCGACGGCGTGCACTTGAGCGATAACCGCCAACGGAATCGTTGTTCTTGAACATGGTTGCGTCCTTACGGGAAGCTCCAGATTGCGCTCCATTGCCACCGCGGAAAGAGTGATCCTTAAGATAGCTAACGCCAGTCTTCTGCGGCTGCAAGAAGGCTCCGCTAGATTTACGGCTCTCGGCGTCTTGAGACAAGAGTGACTTGACGGTACCAATCGAGTCATTCAGGTGTCTTGTAGAGGGTGGGATCAACTCTGGAGGCAGGCGGCTGGGAACTGGATAACCATTCAAAGCACGGTAGATCAAATGCATACCCACAGCAAATTCATCCATGTTCAGACGCCCACGGTTGTTGGGATCCGCGAGAGTCCAGATACGTTCCAGATCCTTACGGTTCAATCCACTTTGGCCCATAATCTCAATAGCAGTCTCACCACCAATGAAACCCTTACGCATTCCATCCCAAGCACGGAAAAGGTCATCGTAAATCTTCTTTTCTTCCTTTGTAATAGCCCAAGCCACGGTAGCATTTCCAGAAAGGTTCGCCATAGTGAAACCACCTTCCCGGCCAGGTTGCGGCATAAGCTGCTGCTTCATGGCCTCAATATTAGGCAGACCCTGAGCGGGGGTGTTGATAAAGCCCCACTGCCCGGGGATACCAGTAGGCTGGGCGGTCAACGCACCAGTCTGTGCAGGGCTGAGGTTTGACGCAAAGCCAGTAGGCATCGGAGGCATTGGAGGACGGGGGCCAGAGTATCCGGTGGCCTGGGGGTTTGTCATAAAACCCGTCTGCTGCGCCTGGAGAAACTGCGACTGGTTCTGGCCCGGGAAGCCCGTCTGTTGGGGCTGTTGGATGCCAGTCTGCTGAGGGAAAAATCCAGTGGGCTGAGCTGTCAGTTGGGTCAAAAGCTGAGCATTGCTCGGCTGCTGAGGTTGAGGTTGCTGGACAATAGGTGGGGTGGACTTGTTCTCCAGGAGAGGGGCTTCAAAGTTGGGAACATTGGTGCGTTGAGCCGGCTGTGGAGCTGTGTCGGGGACATCAAATGAGATGATATCAACCATACTGGAGACCTCATTCTTGACAGTCTCCGGGAGACTTGTGGGTACCTCCCGACCAGTCAAGCGCAGGTTGCACAGGTACATGGCCAATGCAAATTCTGGGAAGAACAGTTGGCCTGACTTGGTGGAATCGGACAGAACCCAGATGTTAGCCAGATCCTTGCCTGTAAGCTTGGAGCGCAGCAACAAGTCCTTCGCCTTCTCGCCATCCATTGTTTTGCTATCACCCACCGCCGACTTGAAGAGTTGCTCGAACTTGGCCTGATCTTGAGCCGTAATAAACGAAAGTCGAATATTCGGGATCTTTGACCCAGCCTTCGGGGGCACTTGTGGAGGCGCGGGGGATACACTAGCACCAGTGAAGGAGTTTGCCATTTCGCTCGAAGTCTTGACTCGTGTAGGAAGCCCGGTGGCCTGAGACACTTGTAATTGCGGCGGTTGCACTTGCGCTTGCGCTTGGGGCTGGAGTTGCTGGTTCTGAGCAGGGAATCCGGTATATTGAGGCTGCTGGAAGCTTTGCTGCTGAGTCGGCTGGGGCTGCAAGTGCTGTTGCTGTGGTTGCTGACCAGGAAAGCCAGTAAACTGCGGCTGGAGCTGCTGTCCCGCAGGGAATCCGGTAGCTTGGGGTTGGAGGTGGGAGCTACCAAAAGGTGACGGTTGGCCTGCAAATCCAGTTGGTTGTGGCGCCATGAACCCTGTTGCTTGGGGCTGTTGCATTGGCGGCTGCTGTTGACCTTGCGGGAATTGCGAGTATGAGGGCTGTTGCTGCTGTTGTTGCATGAAAGGTGCCTGGCCTGGACGGCCAGCGCCACCACCGCCGAGGAAGGAATTCGACGAGGAATACATTATGAACGCAGCGCTCGCATGGACAAAACAAATGTGCAGACGAACCAAAAAGGGGATTGATAAGCAAAAGAAGCCAAATGCAGAGAGGGGGTTGGAATCAGGAGCAATGCAAATGACGCCGTTGCAGGGGCGCGGAGTTACACTAACCTGATTGGGCGCTTAGTCATTATTCTTGGTGGATGCCTTGCGCTATTATTATCTCTTTATCCCCGAAGTATGCCACGAGGCTAACTATGAATATAGCTACGAGTATGTAGCATGTAGATTAAATTACTTCAACTCTAAGGTTACGAGTGGGAGTTTGAGTTTAAATCAGTGAGCACTTTTCCTTCTTAAAACTATGTGGCATATTCCGCCAGACGCAAACCATAACCATAACCATCGTCAGTCCTCACCGAGACTATGATGCAAAACAAAAAGAAAATTGGAAACGATGTCCAAATCAAAATCATAGAAGGAAAAGGCATAGAAGAAAAAACCGAGAAACCCTCAAGATTGCTCCATGCTCCCATACGCCAGATGAACGGAAAAACAGGAAACGGCGAGAACCAAAGAAAGGCTCGCGAGCAGCTTCTGAGGAGCTTACTCAGTCTGCTGCTTAGCGGCAGCATTCGCCATCTTGCGAAGCTCGTACTCCTTAGTGAATTCACGGGAGATGATGCCCAGCTCCTTGATGAGACTGTTGCAGCTGGCGATAACAGCAGCACGAGGGGTGATCTCGCCGTCAGTCTGGACACGCAGCTCGAAGCTGGGAGTCAGAGGGTGGGGGACCTAGACACAATGAGCCTTGTTGATCGTAGAAAGGGAAAAGCAAAACTTTAAATTGACATACCCGGTAGGCAGAGAAGGTCACGTTGGGGTGCTTCAGCAGACGGGTGCGGAGCAGGTTGGCCAGGGTGTGATCTTCCTTGTGGAAGGTGAAGATCGCGGCATTGGGCATACCTATAGCGCAAAGAGTCAGCAAACCAAAGATCTCGAACTGAGGTTGATGTCAAGTCACTTACGGGTGTCAACTTCAACGTCGATCTTCTTCTCACCCGGGGCGAGGAGAATGGCCTCGTAACTGTAATTCAGATCAGCCATGCATGTCACATTGATGAGATAGACTCATGTAAAGATTCCAAAAAAAAGAAAAGAAAAGAAAAGAAAAAGAAAAAGAAAACATGAAACATGAAGCAGGTGATACAAATGTGACCTTTTCCAATGTTCTCTTGACACTGACAGATCGGGGCGGTCATCGACGGCACGGTAACGATCATTACTGTGCACACGGCGTTGCTTGCGTTGACCCGCCAGTTCTCTGGCGACGACGGACGTGGCCGTCTCGGGCAGGTCAGGGTCATTTGCGGGAGCACAATACTCAGCAGGCATGGTGATTGGATCTTATCGAAAGAAAATGAAATGTGTGGTGGAGGGAAGACGAGGAAAGATGAGGGTGGGGGAAGAGAAGGAAAGATTGGTGTGGGCAGGAACAGAAACATAAACAAGCAAAATAGGATCACATAGCAGGCAACGCAGGAAGGAGCTAGAGTTTCTTCGTCTCATCGACGCCCACCGCACCACCGCAGCGAGGGGTACTGGCGACGCCGAGGTTGATGTCTCGATACAACCGCACCACCGCACCACCGCAGCGAGGGGTACTTGGACAAGAAGTACTATTCAACACCGTAACATGGTATGAGGGTTTCAGGCTTCCCCGCGATTTGAGTACAATAGATGCAACAGGTTCCCAGATGAAGTATTGAGGTACAACATCTTTCACCATGCCGCCTGCACAGGCCAAAAGAAAGAGGGGACATTTAGGGAGACACGACGTGAGTGAAATGGAAAGGGGTAGGGATCGATCATGGAGGGAGAGAAAGAGAATAAGTTAGTGTAACTGACCGGTCCGGAGCGTTCATTTTGATTCAGTTATGGATATGGTGATGGTTTTGAAATGTTGAGTGAGTTGGGGTAGATGTAAAAGAGAAAAAGAAATCCGGCAGTTCACTTCTTTTATAGTCTGTATACTTCAGACCAACTTAATATCTGAATCTCACTAGTGGGGCAATCTGATTGGTCAGTTTTACCTTCAGACCGTTTGCACTCCAAAGTAGTTCAATAGCCTTGACCGTGGCCCAAAAATCTAGGTCTTCGAAGTGAATGGTCAACGCCAAACTCTGTAATCGCAGACCACGCGTAACTGAGTCCAGAAGAGAGCTTTAAGTGAGGATACACTGTTGATTTAATTTTGAAGATATTCAATATCAAGAATTTACTTGATAAAATGAGAAACAGTGTTGAAGACGATGATCGGGATATCGCGATATCGCGATCAAGTCACATGATTACTTTGATATCAGGTCACGTGTTAAATATCACGTGTCAGTCGTGCTTAACCTAATCGGGACATCGATCTATGAAATACTCGAGTGTAAACATGGAATAAAATATACTGTTAGTATGAAGGAACCTTTGAGTCAGAATGTATCTATATCAAAGCTCAGAGTTTTAGCTTTCAGGGCTCTATATGTGCGACCGAAGTCAAGTGAAGATGAGAGGTTCGATTCCGCCTCCACAAATAACACTGTGCAGTCTCGGCCTGAGGCTTAAATTGCCGATCTGCAACGTCATGTCCAGGTGTGGGACATTCAACCTCTCTCGACTCCCAACATTCATCACTCAGGTACTCCAACAAAGATGGCCTACCACTCATCAGTCTTCGGTTTTCTTAATTCGGGTTGATGCTACCACTTTTCAATTGGAGTGTTTAAATGGCCGATCCGAGTCGGAGTCCACACTGGCACTGACACAGCATCGTGCGTGATCTCCATGGATATATATAGTGATGTTGGCAAATAACTATAATGGACACATGAAGTCACCGTGACCTTCAAGTTGACCTCAGCTGTTCGCTCATATTATACAAGCTTTTCGTTCAAAATCTACAACCGAAGAACATCACACCTGGGGCATTTTTAATAGCTCCATAAGGGATGCATTGGAACCCAAAAATTTTGGAATATTTGAAGTGACCTCGGGCTGCCAGTACCAGTGGGGAGGCTCAAGGTTGGAGGAGGCGTTATTGTCTTCCAAGGAAGGTTCCAAGGTTCCAACTTGAAGGTATATAGTATGTGACGATGTCGAGCCCTGCAGTTATTCAAGTTCCACCGTGACTCCACCCGAGGTCGGGATTGTTTCAAGCATTTGAGGTTGCAATCAATGTCAAATACCAGTTGACCATGGTGTACAATCCAATTGTGTTCAAGTTCCAAGATTGTCAAGTTGAACAGAATTTGAGTGCTAGTGCTTGTTTACTGCTATTGCTATTGCAACTTGAAGCACTTGAGTAGTTTTGTGGTATTATTTGCTTTGGAAGGGACTTGAAATGCACAGAAACTTGAAGGAATGATATATGGCCATTATGACCAGAGATGGATTAGTCGAGTAGACGATATTCTGCCCTTATAAAGGCAAGGTAAAACCCACAAATGCGATGCTCACAAACAGTAAAAAAAAAAACAAAAAAAAAGAAAACAGAAAATGATCAAAGTCGACGCCATGCCATCCTACGCCAATGCCGGAAAAACAAAAGAGAATATGTATCATACTTCAGCCACCGCTTCTTCTCAGAGTCTGATGGCCATGAAAAAAAGGTAAGAACTGGGAAATAAACCCCGCCTTATCTGTTGAAGGGAAGAAGAAACCGAAAAAGAGGTGGCCGAAACGATTTGTATCGATTTATGTGCGTGGTCTTCGTGTCAGGGGAGGTGACGATGAGAGTTTTGATAGGAGCCCTGGAGAGGACGCGAAATGACAGAACGTAAAAGCACTAAAAAGAGGAAAGCTCTATAAGACGCGGCGCAATGCTGTGGGTCCTCTGAAAAATGAAAATGCATGTTTTCACAGTATCAGAAGGCGAGAGAAATAATCTTAGTGCACCGCACCTAGAAGATCTCCGAAAGAAGATGTTCCTCGTTTGAGTTTCCAGGAGCTCTTCTTCTTTTCTCGGTTCTTTCTCATCTCAGCCCAGGCCTCATCATCATTTTCCTCATCGGAACCATGAGATGGCTTTTGAACAGCTGAGCCTGCTTGGCTGCCCCGCGAAACGGGTCTCACAGTCACCGTAGCCAGCGAAGCTGATTTCGGGAGAGCTCCATGTGATTGAGAAATGGAAAGGTGGGAGTGATGTCGGTTCTCATCATTCCATGAGTTGTTCAGCGGGGAGCCCTGGTGGATGTGTTCACCCTGCATGGAAACGGGGCGATATCGCGATGCCATTCCTGCGGTGCTGCGCTCCGAGGGTGCAATTGATGCAGCATATCCGGGTGAGTTATGTGGGAAGGGTCCACCTGGGATATTAGGCATTGGTGAGCCGGTGCGACGCGTAGCAAGATTGGGGTCGAGCATGCTCAGAGGACGGGGATCATAATTAGGAGGAGTTGACGGGGGAAGACCCGGCATAGAGACCGGTCTCATATTAGGGTTGCTAGATACTGAACCAGGCCCCGGCATGTGAGGAACGCCCATGGGGGGAGGTCCCATAGAAGTTCCTGGCATGGACATAGCTCCTGTCATGTGTGGCATCGGCATACCGGGTAGCATGCCAGGTGGCATACCAGGTGGCATCATCTGCGGAGTGGCTCCCGGCACACCCTGCATACGCATCATCTGCTGCATCCATTCAATTTGGACCTGCATCATAGTTGACATATGATTGGTCAATTGAACCTGTGCCTGTTCAGATGCAGTCATCGTCGGCTGCGGGGGTGGAGACATCATGGAGTATGGTCGAGGTACACTTCCCATATCATACATAGCCTGAGTGTTCGGACTGCCTCGTCTCAACTTTCGCGACTGCTCCTCCTGCGCAATTATACCCACAAGGCCTCCGGTAGGCACGGGAGGCGTTGCACCAGGACCACCGTATGATGAGCCACCACCCAGAGCCAGGGATTCTCGGTTGGTTGGGTTAACCAGACTGGCTCCGAAGTAAGGGTCTCGTGGAAGATTTCTGGCAAAGACAGGTAGACTGCCCCGGTTCTCCTGCTCGCCACCCACAAGAGAGCTGGAAGAAGAGATATACGGGTGCATCATGGAAGCCCGAAGGTTCGGGTTGGAGCTGACGTTGGTCAGACGGGTAGGAGGACGATTGCGGTTGGGGAACCCGTGAGCCGCAAGAATGGCTAGCGGAACCTCATCATCCTCGTCCTCGTTGCTTTTACCGCTCGAGGACTTTTCACCTGTGCTGGATAGATGAACACTAGAACGATTCATTAGGAGGTTGGGGGTACTGTTGCTAGCTCCACTCATCACGGGGCGTAGAGACGGCGATGGCGATGGCGATTGCTGACCGATCACTTTCTGCATTTGCTGGCGATAAACCGACAGATGAGCTTCTCGCTTTCGCCGTTGTTTTTCAGCCTCGCGCTGCCTCTCGGCCTCATCTTCTTCATCGTATGCATCATCGTCCGACTTATCCTCAGCATCGGAAGAATCACTGTTGGAGTTCTGGAGTTCTTGTTGCTGGCGATAATGCTCAAACTGGGATGGAGTCATCACCTTGTTGCCCGGAGAAGGGGACTTGGGTAAACTCTCTGCGAATTTGACTGCGAGGCGTGCATGGTCAGCCACGGAGGAATCGATTTGCGTGGGAGAACGAGGCGAGATCGGGTTTGAGAACATTGAATCCATTCCAGGACTCAAATTCTCTCTGGGACTACTCGCTTGGCTTTTCCCAACAAGTGCAGCATTTGAGGGAGATGCACTCTCTGACCACCGTGGCTGAGGGCTGGTATCCTTGCTCCATAGTAGAGAATTTCGAACCATAGCGGCGTCTTCATCATCAATACCGCTAGAGTCTCGATCCCCGGAATAGATAATGCTCCTTCGCAGTCCCCCATCGTATTGTGGTTTTGGGCGTTGAAGAGACGAGTGAGTCGCGGTGACGCTGGTCATTTGTTGTGGCACAGGGGATCGTTCACGATATCCAATGGTTGTCTGAGGACTTGACAGGGTGGGTGATTTAAGACCGAGGGGTATATCGTCTGGATCCTGGAGTAAACCCTCCCCAGAATCATGACTGTTCCATGAGTAAGGAGAAGGTTCAACGACTGTCGATCGATCTGTGTTGATTGGCATAGGCTTGTGAGCCCTTCCTGAATTCTGAGATTCAGATTGTGACTGCGAGGATGGTGAAAACTGTATGTTCGTTAGCCAATGCACCCCTTGCGTAACACTCATAGCACCATACCTGGTTATCCCGGCGAGGGGAAGGGTCGCGTAGCGATGCGCTCTGTCGCTTTTCTAAAGTGTCAAACATCTTTCCAAAGTCATCTCCTCCCAAGTCCAATTGTGCATGAGATAGCTTTGGGGGTGTTGCCGTTTCATCTGTACTAGTAGTCATTGCTCGCTGTCTTGAAGACTCAGTCACCGGAGCATTTCGAGGAGCGGATGGCGTAGATGAACTGAAGCGTCCACCAAAAGAGAATGTTCTCCCTGCAGCGCGTATGGCAGCTGAGATTGGTGGAGGAACATCATGGATACGGGAATGCGGGGAGGTCTCGTTAGGCGATGGCACCTCTGTGGAGGAAGGCTGAGTGGACGAGGAGCTCAATCGTGTTGAAGTTGAGCTCTCGTAAGTGGCCGCCCCCCCTGATAAGTTTGTTTGTCAGTCGTTTCCTTCGGGATTCCCTGGGTCGGGGCGAGTCTTCATACCGATTTCTGTCCGTGGGTTGCCCCGGTTCCGCGAAGATGTTATCCGAATCTCCCAGTGGTACTGTACCTTCACTCATATGCTGAGTGAGCGGGGCACCGTCTGTCATCGATCTTTGAGGTCCTGGGCGTTCATAGACCCGGAAGGAAGACTGGCTCTGGGTCTCCCGACTCTCCACATCCTCCAAAATATTGCCAGATGACTTTCGTCGACCGAACCCTATATTCAGTTTCATAGGCATTGGGAATAGTCTGTTGTCTTGCAATGAACCAGTGGTAATTATGGACTGCCTCTTTCACTGGTGGGCAACTCCCATAAAGGTTCGGTGGGTCCTGAAAGGAGGGGGAAAGAGGAGAAGGTAGGATTGGGCCGGGTTTTGGGACAATTGTTGATGTGTCCAATGCAGACAATGCAGATAAGATGACAGGGGGGTGGGTAGTAGAGCCAGTTGGCAGTGTTAAACTATCTCAAGATCGACGAGTGCGAGAGGAGAGACGAAAGAATTATGACTCTGATCAATCAGGGGACTAAGAAAGAATGGAAGGAAAGCAAGTCAGTTGATGAACGAGATTCTCGCACGGTGTTAACAGCCGAACACAATCGACACACACAATTCAATGCTCTGTTAGCGGCCGATCAAGGTCCGATATGAACCCACACTGGGGTGGGTTGAATGGGTTGACACCTTTTTGATTCTTTTTTGTGTACCACTCCCTAACAGGAAAAGCCTCAGTTCTCTTACAAACACTAACAAGGTCTGAAAGAAGTTTTGAGGGATGATGATGGATAGGAAGCTTCTAGACTAGATTAGGGGGGAGGGGAGGGGGGAAGGCAAAGATGGGAGAAAAGACAGAGAAACAAAAACCTAAGGCTAACCCACCTGAGACCACGGATTGTTGTGACGGTTTCACTTGTAGACACTTAGAGCCGAGCTCCAGCGAGTCAGATCTGAAGAGTAAAGTGGGGAGTGGAGTAGGAAAAAGGGACGGACCCTGATCAACCCCCAAAAAAGAAATCCACGAACCAAAGAACTTCAAAAATGCGAAGAATTGGAGAATGCAGGGAAGAGGGAAGAAGAAGAAGAAAATACGGAGTAAAGAGAGGATCAAATGTGGAAGAGAGAGTCCCTGCATGATCTTCCGGACACTCCAAATTCGACTTGGTCACTAGTCATATTTGCATCCAATAGTCCAGGATCTACTCTGTATGATTAAAGAGGGAACAGGTATCTGATCCCAGTTGATCAATATCAAATTTTTTTTTTATATCATATTATTATATTTTTTGTAATTCTAATTTTATTAATTACTTTCCTGTAGGTCTTCTTTCTACTACCAATAAATTAATAAGTCCAGCCCTAGAGTAAGTGAAACCACTTTACTATGTATAGCTAAGTGAAGACTAAAAATAAACACCGGAAAAAACTACCTGATACGTTGTTAATACAACTTTCGTATTAATGCATTAAGATCGCAAAGAATGCGACCAATCCAAATTATTTATTATGGAATGTGGTGGCGCTTAAAAACTCAGGTTGAATTTACTAGGATGCTTTAGGTCGATTCCTGCAGATTATCGTCATTCAAAACACATCTAGACCCAGTACCTGGTTGCCTATCCCTTTAATAACAGCCCTGGAGACCACATATTATTCCAACTCTATCTTCTAAATTGAGGCCTTGGATATCCATTTCAGGTGCCCACAGTTGCCCAGGTGGCTTCCAAGGTTCCAATGTTAAATTACAATACAGTAAAATCGTAAATCATTTACAGTTGACCCCCGTATCACGTGAGACTCGGTGTACACCGACAACATCCATCTACTAATGGAGTGTACTATGAAAATATAGAGAGACTCGGGAGAAATACTTGTTGGTCGCCTGATAATTCTCTCTGTATCACGCATTTCGTCACACAGGACTCGACTCTGGAGAACTACGGATTCGATCGGAAGATGTGGAAAGGACAATAGTCAAATTCAAACAAAAAAGTAGAGAGTTAAGAAGAACGGTAATCCATAACACATGTCCAACCAATCCTCCGAAAGCTCCCTAATCAACACCTCCGATCGCCTTCCCTAGATTTTCTATCGTGTAGATGATACATATCTTGCAGATCATGCAAAACAAAAAAAAAGTGAGATTCCCAGTAAAGCCTTCAATTTCGAACGCGTGTTTCAGGAAGCGCTGGATGAATTTATTTGGCAAAGTGGAGATCGTAGTTCAGCCACTTGCGGGCGTTAACGCCATCCACGTCCAGACCTGGAGTACCATAGGTCAAGGGCGCATAGAAGATGAAGCCTGCAATAGTAGCCAACAGGATGACAATGGTCGCGGCCCAGGTAGCAAGCACCGAGTTGAGGCCCATGCGCTCCTTGGCGGTCACAAAGCGGCGAACACTGCGGCTCACTCGGGTTCCCTTAGCCTTGCCGGAGGGATCATCCACAGGAGGTGCGGCAGTGGCGGGGTCTAGAGGAGACACGTTGAAAATGAATTCAACCAGTGCACCCGTCACCATGGTTGAGGCCAGGTGGGACGGTAAGTAGTGGTGCAGGAAGCGCTGACGACCCATCAGCCAGAAGGGGAAATAATGGGCAGCCCAGCACAGGAACAGGAAGCCCGTGCTGTTGTACAGACGTGATCGAGTACCAGGACCCCAAACTGTTTAGGAAGAAAAAACTTAGTCACCTGAGAGATTTGGGCGCAATGTGTAGCAGAGAATAACTTACTTTCTTCCAATGCATCAACACCGCGGCGAAGGGACAGCTGGTCTGCTGCGACAATGCCGGCAAATACCGCCAGCAAACTACTGGCAATCCACCATCCAATAGGGTTACCCAAGAAGTAAATCTGTCCACGGGTTTCATTCTTGGTCCAGAAGCTCACACCACGCAACAAGAAGGGCCACTGGAAGGGCTCAGTAGCATACGGGTGGCTGCTGGTCAGCGCATTGTTGTGGTGGAACATAGCGCCCTGCAGTTCAAAGTACTTGCGCAGGAAGGACAGAGACTTGACCTGGCGTTCTTCTTTCTGAAGACGGGGGCTGTCTGGCTGAATTCCCTCGATAGTCTCTGCATACCAAATGTTGCTGGACTGAAGGATGTTCTTGTTTCCGTTGATCTCAGCTTGCTTGAATCCCCATTCTGGCAGGGGAGTGGTGTGAGTCCACATGGCAACCCGAGTCGGAACGTGGACGAGCTTGAACAAGCTAGAAAAGGTGCGGAACTCTTGGAATGGCTTTCCATTCTCAATCTTGATCTCGAACAAGGTATCGTTGTGGCGGTCACCATCGGCAAGCTCCCTCGAGACAGTGGTGAATTCCTGGTTGGTAGGGAAGAATGGAGACGCAACATCGTGTGTCAGCAGGATGCTATCGGTGCCAACATGACGAAGCTGGATGATATCGCCATTTCGCACGCTCTTGGGGTTGGCCTCGGCCAGAGGAGAAGTGGGGAGAACCTCCCACAAGTTGTTGGTGTCGTTGTGGGGGTATCCGGTGACTTGCTGACCCTGGCTGGAAATACGGCCGTCATCATATCGCAGGGGGTACTGCTCCCAGTGACTGTGAAGCAGGACCTTGGTGTCCTTGTGGCGCATAGTGATCTGATCAAAGTATTGAATTCCCACCGACTGGGCGGTCATCGCATTGTCGCTCAATGTCTCCTGGAATTCAGGAGACATGAATTCGTCACCGGGTCCAGACCGAGTGAGAACAGCGAAGTGAACCTGGAACCAGAACAGATAAAAGAAGAAGGGAATGATGAGTAGACCGACAACTCTGGCCGCAACATGCTTGACCCAGGTGATCATATCAAGGGCTCCATCACGGCGGTTGATATCCAAGAGATTCCACAGGTCGATCGCGACGGCCGAGCCGATAGTGACAAAAGTGAAGAAGCCAACGTACTTGGTTGAGATGACACAGCTCATGGAAAATCCAGTAAGCAGCAGCCACTTCCACCACTTACGGCCAAAAGGCTGGAAGCGCAACTTGTAGAAGCGAACATAACACAAGACACTAAGTGCCATGGTAATGACGAGGGTTGAATCCAGGAGGATCAATCGGTCCTCACCCACATGGGCATTGTCAAAGACCATGAGACCAGCAGCCAGTACACAGGCAGGCAACGAGTATCCCGACTCCCACATGATCAGAAAGACCACAGGGATTGTGAGAGCACCCAGAGTGGCGGGCATAGCACGGAGAGCTAGGTAAGGCACGTTGTTATCAATGTACGAATCACCAATGTTCTCGAACAAGAAGTGGCCATCATATCCAATCAACCAGCCCATGAAGGCGAACAGAAGCTTTCCAAAGGGTGGGTGGACATCGAAGAAGTAGGTGCGCTGGAGGTAGTACGAGGCAAACTATATCAAAATCATTATGTTAGTCTCTGGTATATTGTTTTGATTTCAAGATATAACCATCGGAACTGGGTTTAAAGAGCGACCGACCTTTCCGAAGTGGACTTCATCGAAGACAACTTCATTGGGGAAATCAATTCGCCAGAAGCGCGTCGCAAATGCGAGCGCAGTCAGGATGGAAATGGCCAGCCAATAATCCCACTCCGACTTTGGCTTTCCCGAAGCTGCGGCAGCTGGAACAGTGACACTGTCAGGCGGCAGACGAGTCGATGACTCCTCTTTCTTCACACCTCTCTTTCGCAGAGAGGCTGAAGGGGAGCTCATTGTGAATTTGTAGGAAAAAGGAAAAGCAAAAGGAAAAGAACTAGAGAGCGACCGTGAAACCACCTATAGTAAATAGACTTTTATAAACATGTCAGTACCAGGTTAATCAAACACCAGAAACGACCTCAGCTTGGTAGAGGCCAGAAGACAAGAGATACATACTCAAATCACCAAAGAACATGGCACCAAATAAGGCGGCTAGCGAAGCTGGAGAAAGAGAAAACAAAAGCGCAATAGGAGGGGGCCTCGGAATAGGGACACGCAACCATCTTGCTTTCGGGTAAAGGGTAAGGCGGTGGGGCGGCACATGTGTCCCTTTTTTTAGATGATTTCCGCTAACATCTTCTATACTCCGCACACTGCAATATGTACAAATTTGCAATTTAACCTAGTATTTTTTTCTAGATATTTTACTAATATGAGACCCTTATATATTTACATGCAAGTCTTCGAGCTTAAATGAGTTCTATGTAGAGAGAGGGTCTCTGCTAAAGGGAGTATCATTCCTCGACTCGGAATTCCAAGATTCTCAAAAGCAGCTATGTATCAAGCTCGCTTCAAGTTGAATTATTCCTTCCAAGGTTTAATAAATTTAAGCTACCCATAGTAGACATCAAGCTGTGAAAGAATGAGACTCCTAGGGCACCGTGACTATGATGTTTTTGGTTCAGTGGCTTGAGCTTTACATTGGAACTTTCAAGCACTAAACAAAGCTAAGAACATCTTGACATCTGGAAGGTTCAAGCCCTCCAGGCTTGATTAATAGTACTAGTAGATCAGTAGTAATATGGGCATGGGCATAGTCATGTTCAAGGTACTAATACCCATTTATTTGCTCTGGCATTCATTTATGTACTTAGCTACTTACTATGCGTTTCAATTATTATCCACCGCAAACATTGAAATTACTGTCATCTACATCTGTGGAGCAACAATTTTACAAGATGCAGGTATAATTCCAAGTTGCTTCATCTTTGTCATTGATCTAAAGCTAATCAACCATTTCTCTCTTATAAAAAGCCAGCCTGTTCCAAGATTTTCTTTGGTAACTCTCTTTGACATCGTCCTTTTTCATCATATCCGGACACATCGCCTTTAACAGCATTCAAAGCTAGTACACACTGGAGTGATCAGGGGTTGTTTCGAGTTTTTCATTTGCTGGAAAAGCCATCAGGTTGCTGCCATCTTAGATTTTTGCCCAGCCTGCCTCTAGGTATAAATCAGTGGATATTCTACCAAGCTTCCAGCAAAACTCAGCGTGTGAAACACTTTATATCCATCTCACAAGACCTTTCATATTAACAACGCTTTTTATCTTCAAGATGGTAAGGTACGGGGCTCAAACTTCAAGCTCTAAAAAACGACGTGCCAGCTCGAGGATCGGTGAGAAACGGAAATCGAAGAGACAGGCAAAGGTTCGTGTTGTAGACACATGGGAGAAGCAGGATTACAGGGCGTCCTTGGAAAATTCCAAGAAACATTTCAACAGCACAATCAACGTCAAGGATTTGGACCTGGACGTCTCTTATGTTGGAAGGGTCGAGCATTTTCCTCAAGGGCTGCCTGAACGGACACGATGGGTCAACAAGGGTGAAATAATCAATAATGCACACGATGTTCCACGTGGTTGGAGTTCTGTGGAGGCAGACCTGGAACCTGAGTTAGTACTGCCTATTGATTTGGTTAAAGAATTTTTGTGAAAATATGTATACTGACATGTTTCTTCATATAGAGACTATGATGCTCAGATCGCTAGATGCAAGGAGCGTATTGAGGATAGAATCATGCCGACTATATTCGAAGACAGGTTGAAGGAATTTGAGAAACTCAAGATCACTCGGGAGTAGGTCCGCTTATTTGAATAATTTCTCCCATTTTTGAGTATTAATGGCGCTAATTGTCAATTTCCTCTTCCTAGGGAGAAAATGAAACAATATTCAGGTCTTGAGTGGCCTGTGGTAAGACGTTTGGAAAATCTCCTTTCACTCCAAGAATGGTATGAGGATACAATGGAGGGTGAGACGGAAGAGGATAAGCATGATAAATTCGATCAGTTGGTGAATGTGAAGGCACTTATAACGGCATATAAATCGAAGGCTCTGGAAGTGACCCCTGATTTGGTGACATACTGGTGGCAAGGAGTTCAACGCTCTCAGCCACGGCCTATGATATGGGAAGAGTACTTTGCTTTATGGCGGGAGAGCGGCAGTGGCAACTCCTTTTGGGTAGAAGGTGTAAGTGAAAGTCTTCATATTGAAGATTACCTAGGTACTGATAGAGATTGATACCTAGTTACTTGAGGATGTTGGAATGCACTACATTCAGAACTATGTCACCGTCGGGATCAACGATCCACTGAATAATATGCAAAGTAAAGTGAGTCTCCCCAGGGGCCTCTTTACTCCTGCTTTGGTGCTTTTTTCAAATTCTAGTCTGATAACACTCATTCCATAGGTCAATTTGTCCCTTTCGCTTCCTGATTCAGACCAATACTATGATTTCGAGTTTTTGCATGACACAGGAAGCAGAATCATGGTGGCCTTTGAGGCCGACTATGCTAACCTGCAACTTCTGGAAGGCATCGTTACGGGCGCTGCCCCGCCTCGGGTTTGCCATGGAGCTTTAATGATGTATACGATGAATGGCCGTTCTTGGGTCCATGTTTATACCATCTATGTCAATGTTCGAGATCCTCACGGCCAGCTAATGATGTCAGAGTGGCACCCTATCCAAATTGCTCTAGTGCCGGGGTCTAGAGAGAATAACCAATGGGGTCATCCTAGAATAGACGGACCATGGGTACATTATAATTTCTTTACTGGGACTAGTCCGGATAATACAGATAGGATCTTCTTTACTAATACGAAGGGAGAATTGATGCGTATACTACCTCCTCGAGGGAGTAACGCACCCAAGACTGGTCTCCCTATGATTCCAGGTTTATATCTGGCCCCAGGGCTCGCACCTGCAGGTGGCGGTGGAGCCTGAGAATTGCTGTAACATCTGGACATCTGGATGTTATGACTGTTTAAATGTTCAAGTTGATATTCTCATTCCTACTGATCTTTGGTTCAACGTTGGCTTATACATTCAAGATGATCCTTCTCTGTTTACATGTTACTAGTGTCATTCTTCAATTCAATCGATTATACCATAACCTTGATTGCTTTTGTTCTAAAAGGGCTTTCACTCCAGAATAATTGACTCAGACAGAAGGTTCAAGTTGCTTTAGATCTGAGGTTCTGCCATGTAAGAAGAATGTTGTAGCTGCAGATGTAACATGAGTATTTCAAACCATTTGAAGGGTTAGTGGTAACGCGGTGAAACAACATTTCAAAGGTAGTATACGAACTCCAACCTAGGATGTCTATGAGATATTGGGAAGAAAAGAGAGATCCTACACCTCGAGTACTGCTACTGCTGAAATATTAAGAGTTGCTGTTTTCATAATTTGAAGTGGTTTGATTTGGTGCTGATGATATGTTGGATCCGCTTCATATGATTATTGCAATGAAACATGCGATGAGCAAGCAAAGAAAACAAATGTGAACCCAGTATGCGCCCATGAAGATCAAAAAAAAAAGTGAAAAATGAGGAGTAAAAGAACAAAATGCTCTATTTAGATGATGTCGCCAATATACCAGCGCCTCAAAGCAAAACAGAAATCTCATAGCTCGTGGGTATCAGTCAAAGTAGACAAAAAGCGAACTCAATCATCCTCATCCGATAAATTAAGCAACTCCAACTCGGTCTGCACCATAGATTGAAACTCAGCTCGGCTCATGCCCGTGGCCTTGGCCAACCGGAACAGGCTCTTGATACTGGCTCCAATATGCTGCGACACTCCAACTTCATAAGTAGACTGGGAGGCTGCCTCCATCTCCAATCTGGCCACTGTATCTGAGGTTTCAGAGTGGTTCGATGAGATTGACCCAGACGCAGGTCGCGGGTGACTGAGCGATCTGCCGGCCTCGTGACGAGGAACATCAGCTGCCGCATACCCATTGGTACGGGCCTGCTCCTCTTGATCACTATTTACTTGTCTGCGAAGCAGGTTCGAAAGAATATCGCCATTTAGCGAGGTGGGTCCAACTTCCTCCGTTTGTTCTTCGGGATCATGGCTATCCATAGCTGGCTGAACATCGCCGTATTGAGAGAAGTATGAGTCCTCGGTCAGGCTGACCGGGGCATTGGGGAATGAATCTCCACCCATGGCAGGGGTCTTTGGTCCCGGTGTACGTCCAGGGCCGGGAGTTGAATCGTAACGCGCCCAGTAATCAGCGTCATCGTCTTCTTCTTCCTCCTCCTGCTGACCCGCACCACTAGTCTGGTTTGGTGAGTCCAATACATCGGAGAACAGTTTCTCCCGAGCCTGAACATTTGCTTCACCGATCGAAGACGACCAGGTGTGTTCGTCCGCGGCGGGAGTCTCACGCGGAAGAAGTTCCGCTACTCGCCAGCCTCGACCATCGCCTTGGTCATCTTCGGGACACCATAGGTAGAGCACAGACAATTGGTAGTCTTGTAGTATGACCTGTGCACGGAGGGTTTCGTCGTCGATTCGCTTATATGTTACAGGGATGTCATCTGGCAACTCGATCTCGCCGGAGACAGGATGCGGTTCGAAGGTGGTGTTGCCAATTATATGTTGTAGACGATCGCCCTTCTCAGATGACCAACATAATAGTTGGATCCATTTATCGTTGGATGATACAGAAACCTCGCTCAGGATCTTGACGCGTTGGCGAAGGATTGGAGAGAGGAGTGGGAGGAGTGCAGGTGGCGGACGGGGAGAAACAAAGGCTGTGGGGAGACAAGCCAAAAGAGGAGGGAGGAGATCTCGAGGTTTGGGAGGACTGATAAGTTCGACCATTTTGTTGTGTTTTGGAGAAGAAAGAGAAGTGAGTGAAAGGGAAGAGGGAAAACCCGTGTTAAAAAAGGGAACTGGGTGAACCATGTATCCAAGCTCCGCAGAGGCTCCATTCGCCCGAACGTGGGGCAGTCAAAGCATAAAACGGGCCCGGAAGGTAACTGGTGGATTGATCATGGGGCCATAACACCGATCCCTTACCGTAATGAGTAAAGTGATCTATGATATTTATATCTTCATAGTCCCTGGGGGCCATGACGTTCAATTGGGGTTATTTATTGGTTGTTTTGGCGCTTATTGAATTCCCTGTGGCTCAATATTTCCCGAATCAGTTTAACCAAATTTATGCTTATCTGTGGAGTCGCAAGGGGAACGAATGAGATGAAAATACAACTCAGATTACTTTTCTTATTGGAATGTCGGACCCCAATTTAGTTTGCTCTAGATGTATAGGTTACTATAACAAGTAGTTTTGTCTATAATACTCCGTAGGGCTTTGTAGTGGATCATTCAAGTTCCACTATGAAACTATCTTGAATAGTAGATATAGATGCTCTTTATAAATATCATTCAAGTAGTATGAGCAGGGATTTGACTAGTCTAGCTAGTCTAGACTCTAGATTATGTCCATGCATGATTTAACCGACAGGGATTCGTGGGATTTCCAGTTGTCCCTCCTTTTAGTCTTATGATCAAATCCTAGTATGTCAGGTGATACTCCCTTCAGAAATTAACATCTCATTCTTCACTTTCATTTTCAATTTGATAGAGATGAAATCAAGTCATGTGGTATGGCAGATCACACTCGGAGCCTAAATAATTCTGGTACCTGACCTTCAAGACATAAAAGTCATACTCAAGTACTCCCTTGTATCGAAGACTCACCGGTTTGGTAGCAAACCAGACGGACACAGGTGTACCAGGGTTAACTTCAAGTTGAAGCCATGACTTATTTTGACCTGGCCTCTGTGCTCCCTCCAGGGCTTCAAATGTTACTAGATAATTTTCTATCTGAAAATTGAAGGCACAATGTAATATGGTACTGAATAGAGCATGGCTCTTGACTTGGGATTAACAAGATTTGATAAAAAATTTAAGCATTTAAGCTATGCGGAGTAAAATTACCATTGTCAACAGAAACCCGTGCTGTTTACTGTTTACTGTTTACATGTACCACTTGGGCATGTCCATGTGGCTTTTACACCGCATATGGGTTCAAGTTCAAGTTAGGGGTAATTAGCGTTGCGGAACGGAACGCAGTACTCCGTATAGCTCGGTTGTATCTAGTGCCATTATCTAGTGCCATTACCTCGGTAGAAATGATACTAAGACGGTTCAAGAATCAAAGGAAAAAGGTAGCGAAGAAGAAAAGAGAAGAAAAGAAATCAAGTCCCGGGAAAGGTAATGCGAGGCTCATACCACGGGTTTTAGGGACCCCTTGTTTGTCACACGAGTCAACTGGTGGAATTTGAATAATGTCAGATTCTAACTAGTCTGTTGAGATATCACAAACAGAATTTACCGTGGCCTTATTCCTCTAAAAAGAATTCCACAATGACACACAGAATTCCCACCTGGGCACTTCTATCTTTCATTCCTAGTACTCGCAATTTCGGTAGATTTTATGACTCGGAGCAATCTAATCAATCAATTAATCAAACGAAGGAATGCTTATTCAATCCAAAATAAGCAAAAAAAAAAGATAAGAAAAGAAACATGTTGCTGATTCTGAGTGGTCTTCAGAGAAAAAACTCAATCTCTCACATTTCTTATCATCATACTCATCGACCACATCATGGAAGCCAAAGCTGATCTCCCAGTCCAACCCATCTCTGATCGAATCCCTATTGATGGGGTACAGAATGAGGACCAAGGACTCGATTTGGCCACCTTGGAGAAAAGAGTGCGATTAAAGGTGGACCTGCGTCTTTGTAGTATTGCCGGACTATTGTGCAGCCTGAATTTACTCGACTCCGGTATTCTATCATCCGCCGCCGTGACGACCATGCTCAGCGATCTGGAGTTAGACAAAGGCTCCAGGTACTCAGTCTCAATCTTCATTTTCACCATCGCGAGCGTCATCTTTCAGCTCCCATGTACCATTGCCGTGCGCTTCGTTGGACCTCGTCTCTGGTTTGCGAGTATCACATTTGTCTTCGGACTACTGACCGTTTGCACGGCATTCATCCATACTTGGCGTCAGATGATTGCCCTGCGTGTGTTACTGGGTATTGCCATGTCCGGAATCTATCCCGGTCTGACCTACCTAATCAGTACCTGGTACCTCCGACATGAACAACAACTCCGATTCGCTTTTCTGCAGTCGGGCGAAGTCATTGTACTGGCCACGGGGAATATTGTCAATTTCGGTCTCAACCATTTAGATGGTACTGCAGGCATGGCCGGGTGGAGATGGATGTACCTTGTTCAGGGTCTGATTACTTGTGTCCTGGGTTTGGTCACATATTGGTGGATGGTGGACTTTCCTGAAAACGCGTCTCGCAGCTTTTATTTCCTCTCGGATCGAGAGGCACGCGTCGCATCCCAGAGGATTCAAAATGACCGAGCGGATCTGATCCCGGAACCTTTCTCGTGGGGAACATTGTTGGCGAATTTCAAAGACCTCAAAATATATGGGTTTGCCTGTCTGTTCTTTCTTTTAAACCTGGTATCGACTGCATTGTCATACTTCCTGCCTATCATCCTGGAAAATGGTATGGGATTCGATAGTAACCAGTCAATTCTACTTTCAACGCCAGTAAGAACAGTCATTTATTATGTTTTGCTTTTTACCCCTTTTCCAAATAAAAAAAAACACTGACCATATATTTGCAGCCATATTATTATGCCGTGATTCCAGTTCTGATTACATCCCTTGCAGGGGACTATTTCCGCAAACGTGGCCCATTTATCACATTCAATGCACTCTGCCTGATAGCTGGTTTCCTGATGTTCGGCCTGCCTGGATCAAAACAAGTCACCGTGCGCTACATTGGGACATTCCTAGCTACCGGAGCTTATATTTCGAATTGGGCGGCTCTCAATGCGTTTCAAGCAAATAATGTTGCTGGTCAGTGGAAACGCGCTGTTACCTCGGCTGCTGTTACTGCCTTTAATGGATTGGGTGGTGTAGCAGGTAGCTATATTGTTCGCTCTCAAGAAGCTCCAGAGTATCAGACGGCTGTTTGGGTGTCTATCGGGTGAGTGGCCCTCCCAATGTGAGTCATTATTGTTGATTTATTCAATCGCTGATCTGTGATAGCTCTCATTTTCTCATGATTGCACTTGTTGTAGCGTTCACTGTCTACTTCTACATTGTGAACCGGCAGCAAGCGAAGGGACTGAAGGTTGTTGAGGGTGTGGTGAGTTGAGCCCGACAAAATAAACCGATATTATACCTAAGTGTGGTTTCTGATAATCTCACAGCCCGGTTTCCGCTACACTTACTAGGTTCCCAGAGAACTGTTGTTGCAAACGAAGAGGAATACCTACTACATAGTATATGTGACGAGATGCCTATTTTGAGTGAAGCATTATTGATGAGATTCAAGACTAACATTTGAATATGATGCATGACATGGATAATTTGATTTCATTATTACTAATTTACAGCTGCCAGAAAGAATGAATTCCGGGCTATTTCTATCTATTAAACTTTTGAGTCACCAGCTGTTATATGGACTTCATAAGAAACCCACGTATGGTGTTGGATATTCAGGTCATCTTCCTCCAAAGTACAAGATCGCTGATCTTCCAGTTCGGCCAAGGAAGAGGGTCGACTGCTCTAGGTTTCTTCTCGTCGGAAAACACTGGCTGCAGATGGTGCTAGTTGCTCGTCACTTTTGGGTTGTTCTCTGATGTTTTGCATATACCACCGCTGATGATGACTTGAAGTAGCTCGGTGCCTTTGACAACATGACATTTTTATAAGAAGTGTTTGAGGAATTAGTCGAGTAATCAGAGGCCAGATGCCGACGAGACAAGTCGCAATAATTATAATTGCACTCTCGACGACAGTAAGAATTCCTAGTTTGATCGAGAACCCTGATGGAACCTTATAAGCAGTTGATAATTTGCAGGTGCAAAATATGGATTACTCACAGGTAACATCACTCAGCTCAGCTGGAGAGCTGGTATAGTAGATGAGCATTCGAAGAACACTGACGATGATTCCCCTGATCCAAAATGAGTGCATGCGTCTGATTTGTGAAAGAGTTGTAGAGCTTGATAAACTTACAGACCGGATAGGAGAAATACACCCGTGAGAGCCATTTTCTGAGACGTTCGCGCATGTAATCTCCAAATTAAGGGAATCGGCAATACCACAATCATCACGCCAGTAGCAACATTAATCGGCGAGACGGCACGATAGAATATGGTCTGATTGATACATGTTCCATCTGCGATAGTAGGGTCCCATCCATATGCAACAGTTGAACATTGGAAGATGGTCTGAAAGAAGACTGAAATGCCTAGTCCTAGGACTATGGCGCCGACAAAGTACGCTGCCACCTGGAATCTGCGTGTGTAGAAGATGCGTACATAGAAGAGTAAGAGAGAGATTTTTGCGGGTGTTATTGTCAATGGGAAGTCGAATATTTCGAGAGCGATGAATCCCTGGGTTTTGTCAGCTCAGGTTTTCCAAATTATTCTGCAAGGATGAATACCTTCTTGATAAGAGTGACATCTTGGTGTGGGTATGCAAGATCATCGATATGATATCCCAGTCCGGCTTTCTCGACCACTGTATGTTGTAAGTGGAAGTCCATGGGTGCCATTTTTGAAGAATGAGCTAAAGCACTTACATACAATGTAAAGAATGGCTTTAGCCAGACTTCCGATCTGTATTCATCCCAAAGTTAACACTACTCTCAAAACTGATTATCCAAGGTCCTCAGGGGTGCTGCGGGTGCATACCAAAGCAATGAGCATTACCCATTCATCTGCACCATATTTCGTATTCTGCATGGAGCGAGTATAGAATTTGGCAGCAACGAAGAGTATTTGAAGCACAGATAATGCAACACATGCTGCAATTAACCCAGTGCCACCATTTGATGGCTGTTCGCCTGATTCCCAGCCAGTGCCACCCATAAAGGACTAGGGTGGCGGATAATGTCCTTCAACAGAACAGCAGCTCTCTTCATTTGAAAATGCCCAAAGGCTAGTGAGGACTCCTGATATTGGGGGCAGATTGATCTATTTACACATAGCAACCCCCTCAAACTTGTGAAAGAGTCCCAATATCATGAGAAGCTTTCTCTCAGCCAGAAGCTTATCGGTAATCGGAGACAGGCGATTCTTTGAGATTATGCTCTTTGTTAACGCGGCTAATGCACCCAATGGGGAAATTCAATTTCAGCGAGATATGGTTCCCCGTTTAACCGTATGATTCTAGAATTCTAGACTCCGATCCATGGCTTCCACTCTTGCCAAGCACTAATTATTTGAGATCTTTGCTTAGTTGTGGTTGCTTGGTTGAGGGGTGATAAGAGCCCCAAAAAATGTTGGAACTAGCCTTTCATAAAGCAAGGATCAGGCTGTATACAGTATAATCCAGATATCACAATTGGTGGATTATTTTAAGTTTATACTGTTCCCCGGATCGATGCATCTCGATAATCTCGATAATCTCGATAATCCCAGTTCTAGAGACAATTTTAATGGTTTGACCCGCTTAGCCACGTAGTAACTCCGCGGTCATTGATTGACATCATGGCCGGAATGGGAAGTCATCCGCTATTCTAATATTCTAATATTCTAGAATTCTTCTTAACATTGAGTGCGCTTTGATCTACTGGAGACGGATGAGCGGGTTCTCCACTCCCGAGAGATCCCTTGCCTGGTCCCTGCATGTGCTTCGCTCTTTATTATCTGGTAGCGATCCTCCACCTGCATGTACACATGTGGATGTCGGAGACATGCCGACTTGGTTAACTTGACTTGTAAAACTTCGGAATATTTGAATCGATTGAGTTTTTTTAGATTTTGGCAGATAATTGAGAGAACTTTCAAAGTCATTCCGAGTAATGCTATCTAGTATCTATGTATGTGTCCAATTTTTATTCCAGGGAGAGACTACTACCATCCGAGACCTCCATTCTCAACTTGAATGCCGATATTCTTCAGTCTACTACTACTAGGTACCTAGAAAGAATCAAAATCCTACATCAATTTGGAAATATAAGATCAACTTGAAATGAGTTATACTACTACAAAGTATCATCAAATGGTAGATCTGTACATATTATACACCCCACTTATGCCAGTTGGCCTACAAAGTATATACAAACATTGGAAGCATCCCGACAGATGTCACTGGGTGAATCCGAGTCTGCAACATGCAGTCTAGATTTCAGGACTCAGGACTCGGAAGCTTAAACACTACTAGGTAGTAAATCTGAGATCCGATTTTTAACAATCCAATGTTCACATTATCCCTGAACCATATCCAGTCGTAAAGCTAATTTAATTAACCTCAATGCCAAGTTGGTCTAAACTTCGAGCCTCGTGCATGTACCGAGACTCGGAAGCTTCACCAAGAGGGAAGGATGTAGTGTGACTTTTCCCCACTTGGCCTAATAAAACTATGTATTCTACATCATGGTCATCTTGGAAAATCGATCTTCGTTCTTCGATCCAAGCTTCAATGTTCAAGCTTGGGTCCAGCTCTGGAGCCTCGCCTTTGCCGAGATCCTATAACCCTATACCGATACCCGCTGCAACACTATCCAGATGTCATCTACTGACTGGGAGGTATAAACTATGCTTTTTACCGCTAAAAATAGTAAGGCTTAGTTCAAGTTACTTTGAGACTTTGAGAGGTTCTAGCCAGATAAAAAGATGTTTCTTTTAAGCTAATGAAATCTAGTATTCATTGTGAGACCTGTTCCACTAGGCTATATTAGGCATGGTCTACTAGTAAATAATGAGAGAACTTCCCCGCGTTTTCACCCAATCAATGCAATCATCCTAAGGTCAGACCTGGTGAAATTCAACACATAGTATTTGGTCTCGGCAAACAAACATCGAAAAATGTATTTAACCATTCTCTCCGACAAATTGCCTCATATGACGGCAGCGGACTTCACGCACGAGTTCCGTATAGTCCATGCTTCCGAGACACGATCCGTGGCTACCAACCTTGGAATCATTCTACAATACGTCCAAGGCTTAGCTCTGCCCACTCTGAACAAGCCTGGACTTTCTAATCTTCCTCTGGAAGAAGGAAGTCAGTACCAGTCACTTGCACGTCTGACCTAGCCCTCAGTTGAAGTCATGCAAGGTTCATTCTCCACAGACGACTATCGCCGTTCAGCGGGAAAACACATTTTTGCAACACCTTTCCGCATATTCTTGACCGAACGTGTCGAGCCACTGGCATCATCTATCACTTCCAACACTGGCTCTTCGATTGTGTCACCCATAGCAGAAAAAGACGCGTACTCAATCCGGCTGATAGTTACTGTCTTCCCCAACAGTGCTCTTTCAGGGGCCAAATCTGAAGAGGAATGGGATCGTCACGCTGCCTGGACTCACAATCTCAATATTCCATATGCTAGATATGCAGTCATTCCACTGGATCAAGAACGTATACAGCGAATTTTCGATCAAACACCCTTCGACCCTCTGCTGGCGGCTGATGCAGGGGGCTACGATGAGTTCCTCTTTGCATCCCATGAGGAGGCTACTGCGTTTTTGGAAGAATATAGTTCCCAGTTACGATCTTCATATGAGCGTTTCGTCGATCCCACTCACTCCTTTGCTTATGCATTTGATGATCTTGAACAATTTGGTTCGTCGGACCGTGGGTTGTGGCAGAAGACGATGGGCTTGCTTGTGGGATCATTACTACGATTCAAGGTTTACTACAATGTCTGACTAGACAGGTAAATAAAATGGAATCTGAGTGAAATCTGGAATTGGATGTCTGGGAGTATACCTTCAGGGAAAAGTGCGTATAGACTAGTAGTAAATCCACAAGTGTACCTATGCATCATCTTTCATCAACCATGTTCAAGTCAAATTTTCAAACAACCTCGGAAGGCTGGTGGTTATTTCCATAGCTCTGGGGCTGAGATCATTTGTTAGATGACATTGGTGATTATTGCCATAGCACTAGAAATCTGATTATTTTTCCAACAACTTAGGAACGCTGGTGGTTATTGCTATGGGCCATGGCTCTGGGGCTGAAAGTATTTATCAGACGACGCTGGTGATTATTGCTATGGCTCTGGGGCTAAGAAATTCTCCAAACAACTTTGAAACGCTGGTGATTATTTCTATGACTCTGGGCTGAGATTATTTTTCCAAAGAACCTAGGGACACTGGTGGTTATTGCTTTGGATGGCTTCTGGGCTAAGATAATTTTCCAATGAACTTTGGAACGCTGGTGATTATTTCTATGGCTCTAGGCTAAGATTATTTTTCAGACCACGTCCTGGTGATGATTGCCATAAGCTTAGAGCTGAGATTATTTTCCAAACAACCTACAATCAATCACTGTAGCCTCATAGAGATGCCCATTATAGTAACTATCCAATGATCCATGGACGCTCTTGTATCTCTGTTCTAATAACCCTCACCAGGTATCCGTCATTTGGTAGCTTCTCATAGTCCGATAGGCTTTGAATATGTGCAAGGCTCTCATACAATCCAGCATAAGGCGATTTGTTTCCCTGTTTCTTCACAAGTGCCGAAGCGATCTTACTGAAGTGGCGTTCATAAACCCTTGGCGGAGTTTTGTTCTTTTCCTTTTGCGCATCTACAATGATCGCGTACTCCGTGTTGGGCTCCAGCATGACTGGCGATTGGGTTGTCAAGAGTATAGTCAGCTGCTCAGGAGTATCCTCAAAGCCCTTGGTCCATTCATCCAGAGAGGTCTCACTTTTGTTGAGGTTGAACACATCATCGGACAGAAATATCCACGATGGGAAAAGAGTCACCTTGAGTCCCGCTGGCTTGAGACTCCCAGACTCGGACCCAAGATAACGAATTGTATCAGTATATTGACAGCTTTTCATGGCCCACCGTAAACCAGCTTCGTCAAAACGAGGTCCATCTTGGAAGATGACATCTTGTGGAAATTCATCTAGCAGTGTATAGAATTTCCGCATGCGATTGTCAGAGCCCTTCTCATCTAGAACTTTCTTTAGATCTAGATTCAAAATTCCCGTCAAGATAACCGGTCGATCTTCAGCCCTGGTGGCTGCTCGCATCGCGAGATTGAACCAATTCCATGCAACTATCTGACTGGGACTGATCGGATCAAGAGATCCATTGATATTGACAGGTTTGACCATAAAGTCGACCAATTTTTCAAACTTGGATGCATAAGTAATAGAATGTTGGAAATATGTGAACCAGGTGCCGATGATGTATTCTACCAGTTCTCGTTGAAGGAGTGCAATTTTGCCTCTTTCCAATTTCGTTAACGTTTCCTCAGCGATTGTGGAAATGTTGATCGGACCGTCTTTGAAAAGAACGTATAGTCTGCTTTTTGCTGCTAGGCCCTCCTGGAGTGTCCATGCACGGCGCATCCAGCCAGAACAGATCTGCACCCTTTGTAGTAACTCGACGCTCGTTGTGTCTTTGGATACAATTTGTCGCATCTCCGAGTCCAGAATCATGGTCCGATAAGCTGGAGAAGAATCGTTCATGTCAGTTCATGATCAAAATGAGCTGAATTGCAGCCTTGGAATTTTCAAGTGTGGAGAATACTCAAGGCTGCATAATACAATACTGACCATTCAGGTATACCTCTCGAATGCGTTGAATAGCAAGCTTTCGCACGTCGCGGCGGTGTGGAATGCATAGAGTATCAATCCAAAGATAAACTGTGTCTTTTTTGTTGAATATGGCTGAGTTTCCAGCGAAGTGGGCAAGACGTGCTGTCCCTGTGTGAAGCGGCCCGTATACACCTTCATATCGAGGAACGTATTCTTTATCATTAAGCAACAAGCTGGCCTTCTCGAAAAGAATCTGCAACTGACACGATGGAAGGGAGTTTCCTTTCGTATTTCCCAATCCATCTGACCATACGTGTGAGATCGACACGTAGCGCTTGCCAGTCCGTTTCTTCACAACATCAATCGTGAGACTTCCATCCTCGGCTGATGGTGTGATAGCAACAAGAGGTACACCACCTTCCTCCAAAATAGTATGCAACTTATCCACGTCCGCAAACATGTGTGAGCAATCACAGTCATCCTGTGTATGGCGGGTCAAGTATTCGTCTTCGTTGATATTGTTCGCCACGCACTCTGTCTTAGCGCAGAGTTTATGCGTCTCTGAAGAAGCGCCAGGTCGAGGAAGTTGCAGCAGATATGCCTGGGAGAGTACATTTCCAAGCATGCGAGCCTTTTCCACTTCAAGTGGACACCAACCTTCTGCTACCATTCGTCGATATTCCCATTTTCCAGCAACTTTGCAGCTACGTATGTGCATGTTTTCAGTCTGAGGCCCATCTCTTTTGATCGCAATGTTCCAGAGAGACGTGCAAAGAATTCGAATGAGAAATCCCATTTCGGCTCTCACACAGCTAGCAATTCGTTCATTGCGGATCTGTTCCGCGACCAGATTGACAATCTCGACTGTACGCTCGCCCAGTCTTTTCTTTTTCCAGTCCTTGCTGTTATCGACGTATTTATGCAGATGTTGAGTTGTTATGTATTTTCGGTCCTCTTCACCATCGCGGAGAAAATCGGATTGATTGAGCTCACGCCCGAAGATGTGGTGCAACATGCCAAAGTATAGCCAGCATTCTATGCCTGAGAAATATGCCGATGGGATAGACGATGGGCCTGGTTGATCCGCAGTCGAAGGGTTCTCCCACCCATATCGAGCTGGAAACTCGCACCATTTCTTTTCATCGTAGAGTGGTCCGTAGTATTCAATCAATAAGGGCTTTGGTGGGGTCCTCTCTGGACCGAAGAGGTGATCTGCCATTTAAAATGCCTTGGTGATTGAAATCAGCGCTGAAACCAATAGTGCCAATCTTTCAAAAACTGGCACTCCGGATATGAAGAAAGTTGAACTCCAAGTTACCCTCCTAGAAAGCACCTCTGATTATTCGAATGTTCAATACGAGAGGCCTGTCAGCATGGACTTCTGGGCATCGAACATAGTGCATCACGTGTTAGCCCCCACTACAAGAGGATGCTTTTGACGTAGTCTGATAGCATGCACAATTTCTCAAGCAATTATTTTTTTTATATTCAAGTAGCTTCGCCTGGCAATGTTGATAATGTACGTGAGGTCTGCGGGAAGATTCTAGATAGAGACATTTCAGAAATATGTGATCGAAGAGAAGGACAAAAGAGGGGTATATGGCAATAATACTGGACACATCAGAAACAAGGAGATTCAGAAGACAACAATGAAAAGGACTATGCCACCCGATCCTTCTGTTCCAGTTTACCAACCAACCGCTTCATACCCGTCCATTCATCGGCGGACACCTCTTCTGCGGGTCCGCCAAGTCCCTTACCAACTTCAAAGACAGTCACGACACCATTGAGTCCACCAGTTGCGAGGCGTCTACCTTCTCGCTCCTCCCATGCAACCTTGTTGAGACTGCGAGAAAGTACAGCACCAGCGCCACGCGAAGGAGTTGTTTTGACAACTGGAACTTCAGTGTCTGCATAAAGATCCCACACTTCGAGGTTGCCAGCACCATCGACGAGAGAGAAAACACCAGGTCTGTGGGGTGACCAGCGTGCGTCGTAGACCACATCCTCTCGAGTAATATCGAGGATGGGAGAAACCACTTGCGCTGAAGCCACAGTAGACGTGACAGACGCGGTTGTGGCTGGTGGTCGTACACGCCACAACTTCACACTCCAGTCTAGACTAGAACTGAGCATAAGGTCACCTAGATCAACGGGACCCCGAGCAGGGTGGAAGGCTGTAGACATAATTGGAGCTGCGTGGCCACGGTAGGCGAGGCGGTGATCAGTGCCTGCCTTGGCACCGGCTCGGTCGTATCGATGGCATGGATAAATGCCACCTTCTTCGGTACCAACAATAAAGAAAGTTGGATCAGATTGAGGGAAAGACATGGTCGTTGGCGCAAGATCTTCTGTCTTGGAAGGAGGTGGTGTAGTCAATTCGAGATATTCTTGTGGTTGAGACAGCATATCTACAGTCCAACCACAAACCACACCGTCCGTTGATGCAGTCAAAATATTATGAGCATTTTGAGTTCCGACAATTGAGATACTATAAACCGGGTGGGTATGGCCAGATCCAGTCAATGGTGTCTTCTGCACGGGAGCACCACCGCCCATGCGTGAGGAACGAGTGTCCCATAACAAAACTTGGCCTGAGTATGAGCCACCAACAATCAGGTTAGGGTGAAAGGGAGAAAATTTGGCTGTGAGAATATCGGATGTTGAGTGGAAAACGTATTCGGGGCGGGACTGAAGGTGTTGATTCCAGACCTGCACGAGGCCATCTGGCTCATGAGGAGCAGAGGGGTTCTTGGTGTAAGAGGCAAGCACAAGTTCCGGAAACTGTGTACATGTCAGTATGCGTATCAATATCAATGGGTCAATTAGTTAAGTAACACATACCTTCTGAGAGAAGCTGATATCAGTGATCGTCCGCTTCTTGCTCCATCGCTCATCCCAGAACTGGCAGACTTCCCGAATACCCCTCCGCTTCTTGCCGGTTTCTTCATCTTCCTCCAGGTCTCCATCGATGCCACCTAGTTCATAATCTGCAAGAACGTCGTAATTTTCATCCAAGGCTCTCTCGATGACCTTGGATGAACGTTCCACGAAATCCAAGAAATCATTTGAAGAAGTCACGGCCTTCAACTCGTCATCGTCAAGCGTGCGAAGTGGATAACGTAATTGGGCGGATTGAGTAGTCGAGGCATTATTAGCATCCTGCTGAGTAGCTTGTATTTCCTCCTCGATCTCTTTGCGGAGCTTTTGTCTAATTTCCTCGTCCCGTTCTCTCCCCCGCCGACTCAGTCGCTTGTTTGCACGTGTTGTTTCGGCCTCCTCTTCATTATCGGAGGCAACTGAACCATCTTGGGATTCTGTCTGTGTCGCCAAATCATCTGTCTGCACGGCCTTGCTGTAAGTCACGACTTCTGGCCTGGGTTCAGGGGCCAGCGGGGCTTCGGGCGCGGGAGAGGTATAGGTCTCATGGCCAACAGTTTGCACAGCAATAGACTGCGATTGAGGTCGCAAAGAAGCAACATAAGGTTCGGCATTCTCTCCGCTCAGTTGGCTGGCACTCAGGACGGAATTAGGGCGACTTCCTCTCCTCGATTGACCTTCAGCGCCGTGACTGATGGTTGCTGATCCAGGGCGATCCACGAGTCGGGAAATTAAATCATCAAGTTCGGCTCGACTATCGGAGCGACTAGGTACTGGAGAAGCAACCTATTCATTGTAGGGAGTATAGATGTTAGAAAGTTCACCTGCAGCTTGTATAGGGTGCGCGGTGTTTACCTCTGAAACATCACCGACACTGTTTCGTGTATTTGTGAACTCTTTTTGACGAAGTTCACGCTGCTTTTTCAGCTCAGCCAGCTTAGCCCGTTTGGCCAAGATCTCATTCTTGCGCTGTTGCATGGACAACATCTTGGAAACCGACCAGGCTGGTTGTTTTGTAGATGTAGTCTTGTTGTTGCGCTTTCTTTAAACTACGGGGGATGACATAAGCGTCTCCGAACGGCGCCGGAAAAACTCGCGCAGAACAGGGACAGAGAACCTCTCGCCCTGCCCCATCCCGAGGATTCAACTGCCATTGAAAGTCGACTCCTGTTGAACGGTCCTTCGGTTTCCCGCCTCTTGATTTTTTGTCCACTCATTATCTCCCGGAAACCTCGAAATAATGGCTAGCACACAGGGTGTCAACGTGAGTCCTCATCCGATACAATCAACCTTCCTAATCTCTCCTCGTCCCCTCGAAATGCGACATCGGATGTCTAACCATTTTTCGCCATTTTACAGGTCCTCCGTTACTCGGCTCTCGTTGCCGGTCTCGTCTACGGTGTTTACCACCAGTCAACCCTCAACTCAGCAGCCAAGCGCGCCGAGATCGAGCACGAGTACACACGCAAGGAGCGCCTGATCGAGCAGGCCAAGGCCGAGTGGAAGAAGCGCAGCCAGCCTCAGGAGACCAAGACACAAGCTTCCGACCGTACGTTCACAATACCTTTCTATTGAATATCACCCCGGACAATATGGTTTCGAATTCCCCGTATCATTGCAGTACTAAAACAACATCTCCCGATTTAGTGATCACCGATTTCGAGAACCCCAAGTTCGATCTCGAGGCATTCTTGCAGGCCAAGGCTGCTGAGAACCCTTGAATATGATGAGATAGATAGAGGAGGAATGATACGCATCTCTTTGCGGAACTCGCACCTCCTCCCAGGGTATTAGAGGTGATTTGCTCGGATCCATTACTTGTACGATTGTTTTGGGGTCAATTCCCCTCGAGTTGCAACATTGCGAGCGAAAGACGGAATGGTTACTTCTTGATTCGTTTTCTTTTCTTTTTCTTTTTCTCACCGGTTTAGACGTTCTCATTTGGATCCTGTATATACCCTGGGCTGTCGTGCGTCTGTACACTACAGTTTGGACCACAAGAAAGAGCAAAAAGATCGTTATGCATTCCGGCGTTATTACTGGGTATCCTATTGATCCAGTTTAGTATTTGCTTCTGAGGGGCATTCCGCTTCATGTTCCTCGGGCCTTCTAATGACTGGACGTAGACGCGTCATCCCAAATCATTAATCCTTATCTCCAACAGCACTCGAGCCCATTGCCCTCCATTTCTAAGATTTTCCTCAACCTCGACGATTTCCCAGCATTGCCATTGCATCATGAATGCCGTTAGTCGCTTTTTGGTCGGCGGAAGGTACAATTATCGGGGTTGGATGGAGTAGTTTCGTCTCGGGGTCCCATCTCCACCCACACTGAGTAAACTTTTCGATTATAGCCGGATCTTCTTGTTCTGCAGCAGCTGGATCAAGGCCAAGGTAGGTTGCTGCTGCTGGGAGCCGGATCGCCTCATAGGAAGTACTGACACTGATCAAAGTTTGGTCCTGGAAGAAACCTGCGGGGAAATGTCAGCGTTCAAATATTGATAGTATAGACAGAAAAAAAGGAAAACATACTATCGTATCTCCGGACCAAAGGCTGGAGGTTCTCAGGCCACTGTAAATTCCGGAGGATTTGATAAACTTGCGCGTTTTGTGTCTGCCAAACGGCTCGTAAAAGGATCAAGCAATTCTTTAGACAGGGATCTTGGAGGCGTATGGCCTCAGGCATTCGCTGAGTCAAGGCTCGGGCTTCGGGTCTATTCATTGAAACTTATTTAGCTCGTGCCTATAATGTGAAGGATGAAAGCCATATAACCATTGGAACTCACATTTGTTTAGTCAGGAGATGAGCGAAGAAGAAGCTGGCATAAAAGAAGCTTAGGAGCTCGGGATCAGCACTGCCCGTCTCTGGGCTACCACATCCTGCAGATACTAGGCGAGCATCTGTTTCATATTGCGATAGGATACCGAATAGCTGTGAAGGAGACACATTTGACTCAGCCAGCTTAGACAGCTGCTGAACAGAGAGATGAGGGAGCTCCATACTCTGTGGAACGTGATTCAGATGTGTAGAAACTTATGGCCAGTTGATCAGATGTTCATAAACACCAAAGATATCAGAAATATTCAGTGAAAAGATCACGAGAAGTTCACCAAAAATATTGAAAGTGATGATGATGCGGGGAGATTAATCGGAGGTGGCGCCTTTCCCCGATGCCAAGACCCTCAAGAAGTGACCACCTTGCGCAGCTCCTCCCTCTTCAACTACTCCGAACACCAACTCCAATTGCCAATTCTCAGGCCTTCACTCCTTTCTTTTCATGTTTCACTATTGATTTTTAACTCTTGGACTTTGCTCCTTCTTCCTGGCCATTATGGCCGAGTCTTCTCTTGATCTTCTGCTTAAAGGCAGCTCCGGGCGGAACACACGCGGTTTACTGCGGATCGTCATCCTCTTGACAATTGCTGCTGCTGCTGTCGCCAGTCGACTGTTCAGTGTTATCCGTATGTCTTTTACCCAATTGCTTCAAATTGCAACAACTAATCAATTATTCAATCTAGGCTTCGAAAGTATTATTCACGAATGTACGATCTCCCCTCAACCGTTCATGCAGCCATCTATATACAACGTGGCCATGAGCCCAAAATGTCGGATTTAAGATATTGACCTCTACGAACTCACATAGTCGATCCTTGGTTCAACTTCCGAGCCACAAAGTACCTGGTTGAGAACGGTTTCTATAGTTTCTGGGATTGGTTTGATGACCGTATGTTGTTATTCTCCCTATCCCGCGGCTTGCGCGTCCTTTAAGCCCCCCCCCATGGTATCACAGGGTAGTGCTAATGAGAACTGTCCCCCAATTCAGGAACATGGCATCCCCTGGGTCGTGTCACTGGTGGCACATTGTACCCCGGTCTTATGGTGACTAGCGGCGTCATCTACCACATCCTGCGCTTTTTGACAATCCCTGTCGACATTCGAAATGTCTGTGTTCTGCTTGCCCCCGGTTTCTCTGGCTTGACGGCTCTGGCCATGTACCTCTTGACCTGTGAGATGTCGGCATCTCCATCAGCTGGTCTTTTGGCTGCGGCCTTCATGGCAATTACCCCCGGCTACATCTCACGTTCCGTGGCTGGCAGTTACGACAACGAGGCCATTGCCATCTTCCTTCTTGTATTCACCTTCTACCTGTGGATCAAGGCTGTCAAGAATGGCTCCATTATGTGGGGTGCTCTTGCTGCTCTCTTCTACGGATACATGGTGTCCGCCTGGGGGGGGTTATGTCTTCATTACTAACCTTATTCCTCTCCACGTCTTCGTGCTTCTTTGCATGGGTCGCTACAGCTCTCGCACCTACATTGCCTATACCACATGGTATGCTTTGGGTACGCTCGGCAGTATGCAAATTCCATTCGTGGGTTTCTTGCCCATCCGCAACAGTGACCATATGGCTGCCCTAGGTGTCTTTGGGCTGCTTCAGCTTGTAGCATTCGCCGAGTTTATCCGAGCATTCCTCCCCGGCAAGCAGTTCCAGAAGTTGCTGACCTCTATGGTCCTGCTCACTTTCGGTCTCGGCTTTGCTGGTTTGGTCTTGCTCACTGTCTCGGGGGTTATCGCCCCGTGGAGTGGCCGTTTCTACTCTCTGTGGGATACCGGCTATGCCAAGATTCACATTCCTATCATTGCATCTGTTTCCGAGCACCAGCCTACTGCCTGGCCTGCGTTCTTCTTTGACCTGAACTTTTTGATCTGGCTCTTCCCCGCTGGTGTTTTCTTGTGCTTCCAGAAGCTCAAGGACGAGCATGTGTTTGTTATCATTTACGCTGTTCTCTCCAGCTACTTCGCTGGTGTTATGGTTCGTCTGATGTTGACTCTCACTCCCGTCGTCTGTGTCGCTGCCGCACTTGCTTTGTCCGCTGTCCTTGACAACTTCCTGGTTCTGTCAAAGCCTACCCCAGAGTCCCAAGCCAAGGCCAACGCTGTGGATGCCAAGTCTTACCAGAACATGAAGTCTCCCATTGTCGGTATCTACTCGCACTTCTCCAAGGCTTTCGTCTCCGGCTCAATGTCCCTGTATCTGCTTATCTTCGTTGCACACTGCACTTGGGTTACTTCGAACGCGTACTCCTCGCCTTCCGTTGTCCTGGCTAGCCGTGCGCCTGATGGAAGCCAAATGATCATCGACGATTACCGTGAGGCATACTACTGGCTCCGTCAGAACACCCCCCGACAATGCTAAGATCATGTCCTGGTGGGATTATGGCTACCAGATTGGCGGTATGGCCGACCGCCCCACCCTGGTGGACAACAACACCTGGAACAACACCCACATTGCCACCGTAGGCAAGGCTATGAGCTCCCGCGAGGAAGTTAGCTACCCTATCCTGCGTGAGCATGATGTTGACTACGTTCTGGTTGTGTTCGGTGGTCTTCTAGGCTACTCCGGTGACGATCTTAACAAGTTCTTGTGGATGGTCCGTATCGCCGAGGGTATCTGGCCCGATGAGGTGAAGGAGCGTGACTACTTCACTGCTCGTGGCGAGTACCGTGTGGATGAGGAGGCTACTCCCACCATGAAGAACAGTTTGATGTAGGCTTTTCCCCTCTCTCGTTCTCAATCATCTGATCCTTGAAACTAATATTGCTCAACAGGTACAAAATGTCTTACTACAACTATCAGTCCCTCTTCCCCTCCGGTCAAGCCGTTGACCGTGTCCGTGGCGTTAGACTGCCAGCTGAAAGCCCACAACTCAACACCCTCGAGGAGGCCTATACCAGTGAGAACTGGATCATTCGGATCTTCAAGGTCAAGGATCTTGACAACCTTGGCCGTGACCACAGTAACGCTGTGGCCTTTGACAAGGGTCTGAAGCGTAAGCGTGCCTCCAAAGGAAAGGGCCCTCGCGTTCTGAGAACCGAGTAGAGTTGTCCATGTTTCATTACTTGTTTTGAAATTGTTTGTTGTCTTGGTTTACCCTGCGATTGCGATTCTTTCTATGGCATAGCAGATTTATCCTGTCATGTATTTTCTCTCCTGATTGGATATATTCCTGCGATGAGTTACTCAGGATAGTATACAATAAATGCCTTTAGAAGATCTTGCTCCACATCTGTTGTTTCGTAACTATGCACTCAATATTGTCAATCGTCCGATCCCTTACAGTACAAATAATAGCGCCAATGACCACTGGTACTAGTAGATGTCAAGTCAAAGGAAGGCCAGACATCTGTCGGAGTTAGAAACCAGAGAAGAGTTTAATAATTCAAGTTGTAGCTAGGCTATACACATATATCCCTGCCAATTCATTCTGTACAGTAGGACACAACATTTGAGTGTGCCGAAACCAAACCATTGTGCTTGCAGAGTCATGTAAAAGTATGACCTGCCCGAATACGCCATAACCCCAAATTTGCTCCATTGCTACATTCTCGCAGGGGAAGAGATGGTCATGCTGGACACTTTAGCGGACCTCCCACATGCCGTGAATAATATGGTACACGCAGACAAATCGATTCACAATTCGCTCAGAGCGTCCAGGTAGAGATCAAATTGACCTGATCGCTGTAAATTGTGGCTTATCACAGCCCTGTGGGCATTTATTTCTGCTGCGGTAGAGGCTTCGCGGGGGCATCAGGGACCTTCACGTCAGAGAACTCTTCCTGACCGACGGCACGGATAGTGTAGGCATCTATAGATTGGAAAGAAGAGTCATTAGCATATATTTCTCAGTCAAAGACTCCATCGCAAAGGCCCATGCCGGCCTGGGGTAATAAGTGGCGTGATTTAGCAAGATGACGGCCATCAAGAGCCGCTGAGAGGAGTTATGGTGTCTTTTGTGGGTTGATTGCAGAGATCCAGGATTCAGCAGTACATACAAACGGTAATTGAGAAGACAATGAGACCCAATCCGGTCAGGGAGTTCTTGAAGAGATATGGGCGACGGGCACGCAAGAGGGCAGCGCCCGCTCGGTAATCCTTGCCGTAGTATGTGGAGTTAAAGCTGGAGATTGTCAGGATATGTTAGTCAAGGTACAAGGCATTTCCAATTGATTGTATATTTTATACACGTACATTCCAGCAGGCATGGTGAATGATGGGTGTTCTTTAAAGATCAAAAGATGGTGAAGTTGAATGCGCGCAAAGCGGATGGGACTCGGAGTCTTGGCACAGTCATCTAACATTAATGTATAATCTACTACATAGTATAGTAGAACACCTAAGGTATTGAAATGAAAATAGAGAAATTTAATTCAGGATAGTTCCGAGTCACTTTAAGACTACGTGTGAGATTGTCTCTGGCATAATTGACTAATGTTTCAATTTTATCGTATATCTTCATGGTTGGGTATACTCAAGTGCTAGTAATGCAGTGGCATATATAGAACTGCACATGTCCAAACTTAACTATAGTTTTACTGTTTAACAAGAGTAAGACTATTGAAAACCCGTGTGACTCTTTTTTTAAGCGAATAATTAACTGTCAATAATTCATCGTTGGTCTTATTCATATTTTATTCTGGCTCCTTCACTCTTCGCTGGTCAAACTGTGTATCTCGGATCACGCCCAGTAAATCATCTTTTCTCGGCCCCTGCGGACTTCTTCTCTACTCTAAAGCTTTGAACTTGGACTCTTTGTTTACCCCCCCACCACCAACTCCCGCTCAAGTTCCTCCTTTTTTCTTAGTCTGATCCTATCTTCGTCTGTTGCGCATACTATTTCTCGTTACTGCACCCCGTACTTGGTGTGGTTGCGCGTTGGCGCCAATAGACGCCGCTCAATTGACGCGCCGCTCCCAGTAAAGCACAACCTGAGCTATCCTCCATTGTACATCCATCGACTCTATTTCACCCGATTTAACCTTCGAATACCTTCCCTCCTCCGACTCCAAGAGCAGCGATGGCTCAACCCGTGGACGATGTTGCCAATCAGGTGGTTCAACTAAATGCTGCCCGGAAACTCGTCCTCGGTGACGCAGCCTTCTACCCGCAGATCATCAGCGGCATCCTTCCCATTGTTGGACCTCACGCGAGATTAGAACTACGACGATGGGGCGCGGAGTTTCTTGCCGAAACCTTTTCCAGTCCGATGCTGCCGCCTGCGCAGAAGCAACAGTTGGCACCAAATGTCTTACAGTCTATTCAAGAGACTCTGCTGTTGCCCGAAACAGACTCCGCAGTTCTACAGAGCTTGGTGCAGACGGTCGCCAGCTTGTACCCTCTTGTTTTCCGCCATATGTAGGTTAATACCGGCCCATACTCCAGTTCGGAGGAAGTATTAAGTGCGAACTTTGTCGGCCATGGATACTAATTCTTTGCGACAAGTGTTAATCATCCCGACGACAAGCAGTCATGGGAGAAGATGAATGCAATCAAACAGGATATCTTGCGACGAATGGACTCTTTCTCATGCCCCGTCAAGATTTGCTGTGTCAAGTTCCTCCAACGAGTGGTACAGGTCCAGACCCCGGGCCTGATTTCAGACCCCAGAGTATGTTCTCCGACTCCAGCTCCCCGTGCGGTCTCCCACTTACATCATTTCTAGCGTCCGGACCAGAATGAGACTTCTCTGTCTATCGTCCCCAGGACCCACGCTGTCCTTGCCATTCCCCACCTCGAGGCCGAAGCATCGGGCCTGCTCGACAGACTCTTAGGTGTATTCCAAGAAGAGACTAGGTATGTATTCAGGCAATTCATTTTGCACAACTCTTGCTAATTCAATGCTAGCGATGCTCTTTTGGTCAATGCCACCCTAAACTGTCTCGCTCCTATCATCCGCACACGCCCGACCATCACAAACAAGATCATCACCACTATTCTTGACTTCTACCCAGCGAAGCATGTTCACCCACCTTTCACCCCTACTGTCCGCGTTAGCGTCAAGTCAATGGAGCGCACTGCCCGGGCATTAATCATCAATGTCATCAAGAAGTATGATCATCACCTAAAAGCTTAATTATATAGATTTGATGCTCACGCGACACAGGAATCCAAGTCACCCTCTAGTAGGGAAAATGCAGGTGCATATCGAGCGCCTGATGCAGTCCCGGCTTGAGATGACAGAGGACGCGTCTAGGAAGCGTGCATTCCCTGTAGAGCCCACTGATGGGCTGGACAATGCAAAACGAGTCCGTCTCGACGCTGTTGCACCACCCCTTCTCCAGATCCCTCCCATGGCACCAGGCCCCGCGAGCTTCGATAAGCTTTTCACCCTAACCCAGGATATTGGGCTTTCTTCCTTTGATGTGAAGCAGCTGCCCTCCGATCTTGTTGTGAAAATCGCAGTGCCTCTTCTCGCCCAGGTTAACCAATCAATGCTCACTCAAGCTGTTGATGTAAGATAATACAACTCTCTCTTCCATTCTGATTTCCCCAGCACTAATAAGTTCCCAGGCACTTCGAAATCGGTATGAAACCATCACAAAAGAACAGAATCTGGCACGTCAGCAACAGCAGCAGCAGCAGCAACCTTCTGCTGCAGACGATGACGATGACTATGAACCGGAGTACCAACCAATGGACGTACCTGAGAATGGCCCCGAGGAGGCTAATGCGGTGGAGCCAGAAGTACCTGAGGTTCAACCTGACCTAGTATCCTTGGGTTCATTTGTTCTACCCCAACCACCTCCACTTAGCGAAGAGGAGGCTGCAGAGGTCGGCCGTAGTGCAGTTTCACGTGTATTCTCAATGATCGATGCCGAGACAGAGCCATCAGCCAAAAATAAAAGCCAGCAACAGCTTGGGTTTGCTCGTTTGGCCGGAAGCAACTTTGATCGAGAAGCATGGGTTCTGCTCTTAACCCGACTAGCCACCCGTGCTCCAGCTGGACTGGAAAGTGGTGATAAGCTGGGTAAAGGACAAGTCGGGAAGAGATCACCCATGATCTCTAATTCAATCCGAGAGACTCTCTATCGTTACATCTTGGAAGATTTCCGTGGTCGCCTGAGTATTGGAATGACCTGGCTGAATGAGGAGTGGTACAACGACCGAATTCAGATGTCAGCAGCTGCGTCTCGACGGGATGATGGAGAAGAAAGTGAAATAAATGTGCAGTCTTACTACGATTATTGGGTTCTTCGGCTCCTGGATGGAATTTTACCCTATCTCGACTCTCGCGACATGAAGGTGATTGTTCGTTTCCTTAGTGAGATTCCTGAGGTTACTGTTGATATCACCCAGCGCGTAGCTAGTCTCGCCAAAGACCCTGAACGGGTCAATCTTTGCGTGCACGCTCTGACGTAAGTCTCATGCCAATTACCTACGTTCAACCATTTGCTAATCTGTCCTAACTACAGGTATTTGATCATCTACCGGCCCCCAGCCCGTGAAATGTGCCTGAACACTCTGGAGGATGTTTACCAAACTTGTAAGTCACTACACATCATTGGATGGATAGATTTGTATACTAACATCTTGGTATCCAGACGAGGAATCCCGCCCAGCTGCGGGCAGAGTTTTGGCCAAATGGCGTCCCCAGCAGACGCAGCCTACCGAACAGGCCAATGGTACAACCGAGCCAGTTCCTCCTGTAGTGGCCCAAGACACGACAAACAGTACTCCAGCGGAGTAAATTTTGCTTTCTGTTTCATTCATTTCATCACTACTGTTGTGAAATGGGTCCGAGACCCACGGATCGGCTCTATTTGAGCATTCTTACCCCTTCATGTTTTCACATCCTTTCATATCCATATCCCGATTTCGACTTTCAGAAACACTTGCCGTGTTCAGGGCCCTTAGGAGATTTCCCACCAATTATGTGAATGGCCCAGATGGAAGAATTATTAGGAGTTGGGCTTGGCTAGGCTGCCTATCAATCTTGAGTGATGCTTATTTGAGCCAATAACTTATTAGTACTTCCAGGGCTTTTTCTCTTTTTACTTCAAGTTCTAAAAGGTCATATCTTCCACATTATCTAGTACACATACATACTATCTACTAGTCATTTTTTAAATATTCTCAAACATTTGAAGCCTCAACCCACTCAACCCCCAGACGCTGACAGCCTACTACGCTTCCATTCATACTATCTTCTACATTTTGAACTAAAAGAACAGCCTATGCAAGATATAGATCATTTGAACACCAGTTGAAACTTGAATCATTCGCACAGCCAGTCAACAAGGCCATGGTATATGTGATATGTACAAAGAACCAACTGGAAAGAGACAAGAAGAATCCAGCTCTTCTAAACTCAGAAAGGAAAACTTGAATAAAACCAACGCAACTCCGAATGCAAGAGAATTTTTTCCCCTACCTAGGTATCGTAGTAAAAAAGTCACGTCACGTAAAATAATAAAACAATAAAAAGACAAAAGCCATGATCCATACACCGCCCCATATGATAAGAAATAAAACAAAAGCCCATTTTCCATGCTGAAGTCACACTGGCATAAGCCACATCATGATCTTTCCCATATGTGAACAAGTTCCAAATTTCTGAGATCAAGGTGGAAATCTCAATAAGGTTAATCTGATCAGCACATACACCATATTTGCTCTGTCTAACTCTGAACGCTGATCAAATACATATGCTATTCCATCAATAGTGGGAATAAAAGAAGAGAGGAGGAGAAGATATAGAGAGGTAAGAGGTTGAGGCGAAGACAAGTAGAGGAGAAGGAGGGAGAAAAAGGATCATCAGATACAAGTTGAGGAAATCATTATCGTCTTTATTGAGACTAGTAATTCATCTTGCCTGCATGGCTTGGACCAGGCCCTGCAGATAGCTCAGAGTGTGGACGATAATGTAACCCGTCAACAGGTTTTGATGTGAGAGTGGGAGAGGTGTCTGGCTTGGACACAGCAGAAGGCTGGAACAGACCTTGACGAGCAGGAGGTGGAGAGAAAAGAGGATTGCGGGAAGAATTGGGTCCAGGGGAACGACGTTCCATAGCAGAGTGAGGGTGGGATTTTCGCACATCCAGCGGCGAGGAACTTTGAGATCGGAATCCAGATTTACGTTCAAGATCATAATCTGGATTCCGGAAAGTTCCTTGTGCTTGATGTCTTGGATCCTGCTCAATGCCATAGGGTGTGTTGTTGGCTGATGAATTTGCAGCCGAGATGTTCTCCGGGATTGTGGATGCGGACCCGTTTGGTGCATTAATATCTACCACCCGCTTTTGTGCTGCTGGGGTAGCATATGATGATGATTGCATAGGCTCATATATATGGCCCTGAGGTCGGTGATGTTGAGAGTACTGATGTTGTGGCTGTTGCTGATGAATTGGGTGCTGAGGATTGGCCCATGGTGTTTGTTCTAAGAAAGCCTCCTCGGCTGCTGTGCGGAAGACATTTGATGACATGGCTGACATGGCACCTCGAGGAGGCAAGGTCGTTGAATGTCGTGGAATCGATGTTCGTGTTTCAATCGTGATCTGCGCACCGGTTTTTGTCAGCGATTTGAGCAACCTTGTGGACATGAGTTAAAAGGGATTGGTCAGCTTACCCCCATCTTTTCAAGATCATCCTCCAATTCAGACGGTCGCGCGCCTAATAATGCAGGAGCAGCTGGGAACCCAACATATTTAGCAACACCAGCCATGACAGAGACCTCTTGGTTATAGGCAGCTTGATGGGCAATCTGTTGCGAGCGACGAGTGGGGAATGGGATGAGATGATGTGGGCTTAATTCATCTGTCTTGAAGCGGTCATGCTGGATCGCATAGAACTGCTTGCTGATGGCACTAGAATGTCGTTCTCTCACATCTCGAATACTTTGGAAGTAAGTGCTGTGTGCCTGGGCACGTTCAGCCAAGCTCTTATTTAGCAAAGCTTTCACGCGATAACGGAACAGATTCTGTTCATATTTGATCTTGGCATCGCGGTAACGTTCCACGCATTCAATCTGGCGCAAGTACTCGGGATGTGTAGGGTTTGGACCGCTGAGCATTTCGATCTCGCGGTTGATCTTCGTGATTCGTTCGTCATAAATCCTGTCATCAGGTGAGCGTTTGGTAAAGCAATTCAAAGAAAGGGGGTTCTTACTTGTCTCGCAAAGCTGCAAACTCCTTTTCTAGTGTCGCCAGTGACTCCATCGCAGACATTTTCTTTGCAGCTAAATATGTTGTTAGAGAGCTAGTTTCACAAACTAGAGAGAACTGAGACTTACATTCTTCTTCCAGCTTAGCTGTCGTCTCAGCATCATTGGCTTCGTCACCACGTTCTACAGGCTCTTCATCTTCTCCAATATTTTCAACAGCAAGGTCTTCTGCCGTAGCCTCATCACCGGCTTCAGTTTCTTCATCTGCGTCCACGGCACGTCTACCTCTTCGCTTGCCCTTCTTGCCTCGTTTGCCTTTGACTGGTGGGGCAGGAAGATCGGACTCGGGGACGTCGTCGACCGGCAACTCGTCGTCAATGGGAGCGATGGGATCTTCAATGGGTTCAGGCGAGAGAGGAGTGTCGTCGTCCATTGGGTCGCTCAAGTCACTTTTGATCGAGCTTCGACGCTTCTTGACCGGCTCTTCGTCGCCAAGTTCGGTACCGGTCTCATCACCGGCCTCGACGCGCTTGCGTTTCTTTCCGGCACTATCAGGAAGATCCAAGTCATCTAAGTCACGTAGGTCTGGAATGTCATCGGTTAACCCATTGTTAGTCGGGGACCGGCGCGGTTTGCTTGGAGAGTCGTCTACAATCTGCTCTTCATCATCGACGTCCGCCAGAGTCGTCGATTGATGGAGCTTGCTAGGACTTGGACCGGCACTACCAGCACTGAGAATGATGTCTCCGCGCTTACGGATATTGTGAGGGGAGTCCTCAATGCGCTCGGTCTCTGCCTCCGAGTCATTCTCGAGCAGCCTTTCTGGCTTTATCGAGTCTTCAAAGTCGGAGGGTTCATTGTCCGATACGTCGTCAATCTCACTCAAGCTACTTGATCGACCATCATCCATAAGCGGGTCATCCAAGAAGGGATTTCGCTCGCCATTGGTCATGGTCGACTCTGGGCCCGTAGGACCAACAGAAGTCTGCTCTCTGCTCTCGGCTACCTCCATCTCTAATGATGGAAGAAATTCGAGAGGACTATTATGAGATCAAGATCAAGTGAGGTTGTGGGTAGAATAGGTATCTCGTGCCAAAAGTCGCTTTCGGCAGAGCGGAGGCTTGTGGGGGGAAAAGAGGGCGGCAAGATCACCGATCACTGATCAGCGAGAAGGGTTTTGTGTTGAGGCTCTGTATAAATCACAGAATTTATTAGCTCAATTGCCATTCTGGCTGGGTATAATCTTGAGGGAATGGTGGGTGGGAGAAGAATGGGACGTGTAAAGTGGAAAAGAAGGTCAGCGCCTCCAGAAGGCGGTGCGGAGATTGATCATCACTGGGACGCCCCCAGAGTCGGCATGCGTCGCTTCCAAGGATGCAGGAGAGCGCAACACCTCGGAATGACCAGAGAAGCTTCTCGAGGGAGTTTAAAGCGTATATTGACAGGTGCACAGCTTCGGAGAATATATAGAATAACAGAAAGGTGCAAGCAACGTACCGTCTCAACAATGCGCCGGGAGTAGCGTTGGTAATGAGTAGAAGCTGCTCGCAATCGAACAGTTTTTTCTCACTTCCACCGCGTTCCAGGGGCACCTGTAGAAAACTATAGCCAAATCCACGCGTCTTGCCAATGTAGGGTTCCACCAGAAGCTGCTGGACTGCTGATGCGCCAGCACTAGGATGGCGAGGGGAGGTCGGCTAGGAAGTGAGGAGCACCACAAGCGAAGGTGAGCTGGATGAAGCAAAGGTCGGCATGAATCGGTATAGTATATGTAAGGTATATGGCGATCACAGTCGTAAGGCCAGCGAGGAAGCAAATCCAGCGGGGAATAGGAAAGGAGGAAGCCCAAGATCGCTATGATGGGGTGCAGAGCAACAGAAGCGAGTGGGTTCTGCCACATCCCGAGGTCACCGCCTGCAAAAAACCTCCTAGATCACGTGGGCTGACGTCGCCGGAGACGGCCAATGAGTTACTGATAAGGATGAACTGGCCAAACATCTTGATCTAAGTGTATGATGGGTGAAGATGGGGAGGAGAGAGATGGGAGTAGGAGAATTTGATCTGATATTTATTATAGTTTGATAAGCTTATTTTTGAAATTTGTCTTAAATAAGGTCGAGAATTGGTGCACTGATCCACGTAATTGCGGCAGATAAGGTTATTTCATTTAGAACTGAGGAATTCACTCTGATTATAATGTTTTCATAGCCCTAAAGACTGCACTCTATTCATATAGTCTTAAACTGACCAATATCCAGGATCTCATAGGATCATTTCCTCTCTGTTGATATTGGAGCATATAAATCACGTGATATACAGCATTTGGTCGCGCCAAGCCCGATAAGGCCTCAAGAAAAAAAAGTTCGGAGTTGTATGCGCAGTCAACGTCTCCACCCACTGAACATTTATCAAAGGACCAGGACTTTTCGAAGCCTCTAGATTCTATTCACAATGGGCAAGAAGTCTAAATCCCAGTCCAAGGCTGATACCCAGACCCCTGCTGCCTCTGAAGGACTTCCTTTGATTGGTAGCAGCTCTCTGGACCCAACTTTGTCTTCCCTCTTTACCCAAAGTGTATGTCTTGAAATATCTGACCTTATTGATGGGCTTGTACTTACTTTTTTTGGATCTAGGCTGGACCTGTCAAAGCCCCCGCCGTTCAATATGTAAATGTTCCTTCCAAATCGACCAAAAAGGTAGAGGAAGAGCAACAAGAAGAAGAAGATGACGAGGAACTTTCAGAGGCTGGTTCAGATGAATTGATGGATGATGCTCCTGAAGACAGCGACTCTGAATCTGCTGAGGAACCCGCCGCCGAGACCCAGAGCCGTAAGCGCAAGCGAGGTGCCGCTGGGGAAGAAGTGGAGGAGACATACATGCGTCGCATTGCTAAGGAAGAAGAAAGGGAAGATGAGAAGCGGAAGGCTGAGCGTGCTAAGCGCCAAAAGTCGACCGGCGAGGAAGAAGCCGACGCCGACGCCGATTCGTCTGAAGAGAAGGACTCAGAAGCCGAGGACAGTGACGAGGAAGACGATGCGCCTGTTCCTGTTCACGAGAGTGTATCAGGCACCCAAAAAGCTAGCGACGTCGAGAAGTCAAGCCGTACGGTCTTTTTGGGTAATGTTTCCAACCAGGCCATCAAATCTAAGACCGCCAAGAAGACCCTTCTTCGTCACCTAGCCTCTTTCTGCTCCGCTCTGCCTGAATCGACTGGCCCACACAAGGTTGAGTCGATTCGATTCCGTTCTGTTGCCTTTGCTAGCGGTGGTGGAATCCCTAAGCGTGCCTCTTTTGCTCGTCGTGAGATTCTGGATGAGACTACTGCTAGTACCAACGCCTACGCCGTCTACTCTACTGTCCAGGCTGCTCGCAAGGCCCCAGCGGCCCTGAATGGAACCATCGTTCTGGACCGTCACCTTCGTGTTGACAGCGTTGCTCACCCTGCTGCTATTGACAACAAGCGCTGTATCTTTGTCGGTAACCTGGACTTTGTTGACCAAGAAGGCCAAACGGAGGATGAGAATGGAAAGAAGAAGAAGGTCAGAGCCGCTGCTGATGTTGAGGAGGGCCTCTGGCGCACTTTCAATGAGCATACCGGAGATACCAAGGACAAGAAGTCTGTCAAGAAGAACGTTGAGTTTGTTCGTGTGATCCGTGACCAGTCTACCCGCGTTGGCAAGGGATTTGCTTACGTCCAATTCTATGACGGCAATGGCGTTGAGCAGGCTTTGCTGCTCAATGAGAAGAAGTTTCCGCCCATGTTGCCCCGCAAGTTGCGTGTCACTCGTGCTAGAAAGATCGCTAAGAAGCAGGAGAGTGGTGGAAGGGATTCAAAATTGGCTGAAGCCCAGAAGACACTGCAAGGTCGTGCTGGTAAGCTTCTTGGTCGGGCCGGTGCCCATAAGGTCAAGGAGGATGCCAAGAATACCATTGCTGGAAACTCGCTTGTGTTTGAGGGTCACCGTGCTACTGAGAAGGATAACTCAGGTCTAAGGAAGCAGAAGAGCCGTGGCTCCAAGGGCAGCAAGGCTAAGAAAAATGCCCGTAGCGTCAAGCGAGCGGCTGCATACAAGGCTGCTGGTGGACAAAGGCCGTGAATGTGAAAAATAACCTGAACTCATTTTGTATCTATTATCGGCGTTAGACTGGGAAATATCATGCAGATATCTTGTGATTTTCTTCTACCAGTAGGTTCTTAAACGTCAACTGGTACTTAAAGAGACGAATAAACATAAGAACCTGACGTCATGGCTGCCAGTGAGACTTGGTATTCCTGTTCATAAATCTCCAAATCATTTTTAACCGCAATAATGCAATGGAGCCTAAATCCTAGCCAGGGTAGATTCTTGTTTAGATCGTGATCATCAGGTGTAACAAAGCCAGCTAGTAGATATTGATGCATCCAGGGCTGATAAGCCTGGGACCTGATAATGCGGGGTGATAAGAGATAAGCCGCTGATGCATATTGTACGTCAATACTGGTGGCAAGGAAGTTGTACAATACGCCTCCTAATTACCAGTCATATTCAAGATTTGATTAAATTGACCAAGAAACTATTCTAGATATGGATCAAAAGTTGCAGTGGTGCTTGAAACTTGAGAATCGAGGTCAAGTTGCTGTCAACTTGGGTGGGGTCTTAACCTCACTAGGCTCCACTCAAATGTTCCCTCCTCCTTGATTCATTACTTCTTCTCTCACCTTTTCTCGTTACCATTCCTATTTCCTTTTGACTAAACTCTCGTTTCCTTGATACATTCACCTTTGAACTACATTTGATACATCCCCTATCTATTATGCGACGAGCTCCATTTGGTAGACCAATGTCTTCCCGTCTAAATCCCCAAAACCAGCCTGCCCCAGACGAAAGCCCAAGCAACGAGCCAGAAAATGATTCGCAGAATGAAGTATTCTTCCCAGGAGTCTGGGACGTACTGAGAGTACGATACTTACTGCAATGGAAGCTTCAAGAAGGATTCCCACCAGAGTTAATCGATGAGATTATCGACGAGGCCGAGTACTGGCCTTCAACAGTGAATCACATGGAAGGCAAAATGCCAAAATGGATTAGACAAGACCACGATCAAGTCATATTGAAAACTGTCCCTCTTTGTTATGACCGGGAGGTTCGTTCTATTCTTCATCACCTCTGATGTACCGTTGAAAAAGTCCCCGCTAACTGATATACAGAGTATAGAGCAATCATCCTCCCCCAAACCGCTTCCCAACCGTGGTCGCCATCCATGTCGCAAAATAATATTCCAGATCACTTCACATGACCAGGGTGGCAGAGGAAGTATAACGGATGAGGACAGATATAGAGGGACATGGACATGGTTTGACACCGAGATTATCCAAAAAGCACACACTCGAAACATGTACGCAGACGGCAAAGAACAAGAATTGCTTGAAAATGAGCGCGGAGATAGGCCCAGGAATTTTCGACCAGGCGATGAGGGACTTCTTCCGCATGATAACAAGCTCCAGGTCAATGCGAGACATTGCCGCACTGTCCAGAACCATACTATTGTATGGCATTACCGGGATTGCATTGGCCCTGAATCTCATGAAGCATACTTTATCGAGCGCAAGCAGGGTCGAGGGAGATTGACGCTTGATGGTCGCTATGTGAGGGAATTGGAAATCGGTGACTCGATCGCGTTGTGGGCGAAAGCCAGGTTTCCTGGTTGGGTTAATTATGCATACAAGGCTAGCGTTCGTGTGTTTTGGGCTATATAAAAGGAGGAATCGGATTCTAAATTTGAGCATGAAAACTTTGGTTAAGTAGTAGATGAACTGAGTATTTTTATCTGTAGATTAATGATGGTAATGGTGTCTTGATACTCATATTCTGTTGAATTTCTTCTATTCCCCGTCATAGTCGCATCAGCGTACATTTTCATGACCTCCATTATTGTCCAACATTTGAGTCATCAATATAATGAAAGGGAAAATAAATAAAACATCCCATATTTCTCCATAAACACGTCTTTTCTTCTTTCAAAGTTCTCTCCAAAGTTTGAATCCCAACTCCAGGGCTGATGACCATTTTCGTCAAATAGATCTGATATCTGAAGTGTACCAGATCTTAACCATCTACAACAAAATACCAACCCCAAAAACACTAGTAAGCAAAGTGGAAATTCCGAACGGTCTTAATACCACAGCTCCACTAGAGGTATCCGTCGAAGAACTTGAGGTACTCTCCAAACCAGATCCGGGTTCAGATCCAGATCCCGTCGACGTAGCCGTAGCTGTAGCACTATATTCACTTTGACTCACAACAGCCTTCTCATCAAACCCAGTAGCCGTAACAGTCCAAGTAGTCGAAGCTTGAGACCAAGACATCACAGTCCCACTCGGCGGGATACTAACCGTTCCACCGACATTAGTTAGCGAGGATGTTCCGTTTGACGGGAAATCACCCGGCTTGTAGAACTTGTCTGATGGATCTGCGAATCCGACGTTTTGACAGTTTGTTGAGCCCAGTGTACTGTCACATGTATTCCAGCTGAAATCTGTAACTGAGGTGTAGAGATTTGGATAATCGGATGTGAAAAAGACGGTCCAGAGATCGGCGCCTGCTTGGATTGGGATTGTGTCCGGACAGACTTCCCAGGCACTGGTATGAAACTCGAATTAGATGGGATTCTCCAAGATTCTTCGTGGTGATGTGACAGCTGGAATGTTTTGATTCGTAAGGTCAACTTACGCTGAAATACTAGCACTCGCTCCACAGCATGCACATCCTACAGCCGTAGTCGCGATATCGGCAACATTCTTGCCTATATTCGATAGATCGCCTAGGTCACTCGTCACACTGTTGACTGTCTCATCGGTAACATTCAAAATACAAGAGACTTGTTCTTTGCGTGCTGTAAGTGTGTTTCGAAGCACTTTGCCTGAGATCACAGGAACAACGTCCAGCCGCATCGTCTGGTGCGGGCCAGAAGGGGATTGGTTCGGCGGCATTGGGACATATTGTGAAGTATTGTTGGATGAAGAGTTGGTATTCGCATGAATACACCTGAAGTATAGATGTCAATTAGAGATTGAATTAACTTGGGACCAATTCTCGACTTTAATCGCATCTCTTGATGCTTTTTCTTATCCCTTCAGGTAACTGGTATACATACCTGATTCCAGCACGAATGTGCCATGCAATTAATATACTCTTGATGGGCGGTACAACCACAGTCCACACTGCAATCCCCATTACCTGTGCACCCACTTAAACAGGAGCTCCACTTATCGGCAACGTCGTGATTGCAAGACGAGTAAACAGATGAAGCTGCACATGCACTAGCCGTGATATTGGTCTGTGCGTACGTCTGCGGGAATCCGACGAGAAGCGTAGTGATAACCGCGAGTGGAATGATCGACGACATGGTCACTTGTTCAACTTGAAGTTTGATCGTGCCGGTTCGAATGAAAAGCAATTAAGTCGAGTTAATAACGGATCGAGTGGGCTGTATCCAGAACTTGGGCCCAGTTGAGTGATTTTGATTCTCTACGAGAGGCCTCGGACTTGAGATTTCATTCTTGGTGTGGAATTTTCTGGGGGTCAGAACAGGAACTTGAAATTATATAGGGGCCCTTCTAAGCAGTAACTGGAATTGAATAGCTGATCCATTGGGCACTCGATCCATGGCTATGCATCGCGGAGTCGCCCATGCATCCTGCCGGACGGAATCGCATTGCGGACTGGGCCGAGCTGTCATCAATGGTCCTGCACATCTGAGAATCGTTGCACATGAAGCAGGATTTGAATAGATTGATGCGCTTGAAACCATTTCCAGCCGCTGACGCCAATTAGGGGCTCTACTTAAAATTCATTTGCATATTTCATATTCGTATGCCATATATGTTGCTTCAAGTTTTTCTGATTCTGTTTCAATTGACGTAATTGAGATAGAATTGGTATCACTAGTTGGTCTGCTCCTAGCCGAATCTGTTCGTTTTTCCATCGCGGGTGCAAGATGCTCCCTTGCTGCTGTCATGAGGCAGATCTTCAGAGCTCAACGTAATTGAATGAGCCTTGCTTGGGGAATCGAATCCTGGATAGAAGGGGGATAATAAGCTAGAATATGCCTCATCCGACGAGGCTGGAGTTTTGCATTCGTCACGAGTATAACCTGGACATGCCTTGCAGCACGTGTGCCTGAGCTTATCCCTTGTTTAGGAAATGTGGGTATGATCTCTGCAGTCTGATCTTTGGACAGATTCAGATTCAGTTTCAGTTTCAAGACCATTTGGGCAGCATAGACCAATCTGATTGAATGCACATTTTATGTACACTGTCAGTCTGGACTCTGGAGTAATGCTCATTCTGTCAGATCTAGTGCTGGACGAGCCTAGTCGGAGCTGGGATGCTGTGGAACATCTGGGCACCGCATGGAAGCAGGGTTCAAATGTTTTGTCAATATTGAAAATTGATCGTGGCGTCGTCACTAGGCACGAGGGAATTTGCACAGGTCAGATTCAATGTTTGGTTCTGGTGTCAAGAACCCTGGAGATCTCCACATGAGCACTCCCGAGGTCCTGGAGGTGGGCTCCTGCATGGATGACAAATATACGATCACGAGACAATAACAGCCCTGGATGGTCTTCCCAGGTTCAAATGTTGGATTCAATATGTTTCATATCTCTGGAGATTATGAGGATGGGAAATACTAGTACTCTACTCGTAGAACGAAAAGAGTCATGTGGACTTCACAAAGATAAGTCCCATTACTAGCGTATAACCAATCTCACACATCTCATATCAGAGTCCATGCTCCGGTGGAGAATGTCCACAAGTAGTAATTTCTCCTGCCACTATCGAAATTAAACCGTTGTGTCTCCACTGTAACCCCCCCACTAAGCTGATCCTCATTATTCTCCAGGGCTCCAGGTCCGAGTTCCAAGGCTGCCCTGCAAATGTCGGTCAATCGAGTTTTGTTTGTTTCTCCTTGCGCGCTGTTTCGCGTGCTGTTTCGCGTTTGCGGTTATGATCAAGGCTGGTTTGTTTCCAGTTCCGTTTTAGATGGACTCAGTATTGGAAATGTTCATATATCTCGTTCAAATGTTGATCAAACCCAAGGTTTCGGTAGTGAACGAGGGCGATCTCATCATTTACCGATTCTCGCATGCTGAAGATGGCCCACTATGCCGATCAATTGACGCATAATTGTAGAGTGTGACGTCGGGCACGAGGAAGATGGAACTACATAGGTTCTTATTATGAAGAGGTTGACAGAAAATGGAAATATTTGAAGGGACTTGAAATTAGTGTATATGATTTCCAAATACATTATACATAATACATTCGTAAAAGAGAGATAATCGCACAGGGCAAGAAACCCAAAAATGAGGTGGATATCAAAGATGAAAAATAAAGAGATGCTGAATGGACCAACAGTTGACCGAACATTGGCGATACAGTAGACAGACAAGATTAGGAGGAACATTCAACATCGAAGAAAAGAAATCACATATAGCTGTACAAAACCAAGATCATCAATCAATCCTCCCCAATGCTTTACAGAAGCATGGCAGCACCGGCAGCGACGGCAAGCAGACCACCGGAGACACGGGTCACACCACCGGCGTTAGCGGTGGGGACAGAAGTCTCCGAAGCAGTAGAGCTAGCGCTGGAAGAGGAAGAGCTGGAGGAGGTTGAGGTAGCAGTGCTAGAAGCCTTGGTGGAGGAGGCAGAGGTGCTAGTCTTGGTGCTAGTCTTGGTGCTCAGGGTAGTGCTGGAGGCAGAGCTGGTTGAAGTGCTAGTAGCAGTGGTTGAGCTAGACGACGAGGTCGAGGTCGAAGTGGAAGTAGTCGAGGTCGAAGTCGAGGTGGAAGAGCTCGAGGTACTGGTAGCAGTAGCCGAGGCAGACGCGGTAGCACCTGCAACGGTAAAGTAGGGCAGGAAGTTGTAGTCATTGGTGTCGCTGCTGTCCAAGATCTCAACGGTGTATTCGCGACCCGCAACTAGATCGGAAGGAACATCCCAGGTGTATGAGCCAGTGTTATCATAGTCGGCTATAGTTGGTCAGTATGTGTGCATGAGTTTCTTTGTCGCGTGCTTGGAGAAGTACATACAGACAATGGATTCACCGGTCTCTGGGGTGGTCACTGTGTCCCACTGCAGACGCAGGTCAATAGTGCCACTGGTGGTAGGGTCCCATGTCAGAGTAGTGGGAGAGCCAGCGGTGAAAGTGTAACCACCCTCAGGGTTATCGAAAGGGTTGGCAGTATCATCAGCGGCGACAAGAGCCGAGAAAGCAACAGCAGCGAAGATAGCAGCACGCATTGTGTAATGTGTAATGTGATTAATGAGAAAAAAAATTATAGTAAATAAAAGAGGGATTTTCAAGATCGTATAAATCAGAGAAAAAAGAGTGTATACCCAAGAAAGCGAAAGAAGAGAGACGGGAGTAGTGCCCGGGGGCTTTTAATACTTTTAATATGTAGGAAGTGGCCGGATAAGAGAGGATCCCCAGGAACCAATTTTAAGGGTCAAGGGTAAATAGCGCGACCCTGACAACAACAAGAAACCAAGAAACCACAGAAGTGATTGGTGGTGAATCTTTCATAACCTTGGAAAATAGTAAGAAAATAGTGGGAAAATGGAAAAAAATACTACTGTAATCTATGTATTTGACGCCAATTGATTTAATTACTTTCATGGATCAACGCCACGAGCTGGGGATTGGTCCCTTGGCAATGAATCCCACCATTCAACTCCCTCGCTTGCAGTACCTTAAATGACTTGATCCACTTCACCTCGGTTAGCTCAAGTTAGTTGAAGTTACTAGAGCTAAATACGGTTGTTTCTCGGAGGTCATAGGGTCTTTTGGTCAGTTTCCATGGCTGTGCGATGGATCTGTTCTCATTTTCTCATTTTATTTTAAGATCATGATTCATTTAATCCATAGTAAACGGGAAACAGATTCAAATGTCTCATCCATTTTTGCCATACAATAGAATAATTCAAAAGACTCGGTCCAAATAGCTCAGTATGGACTAACATCCCCGAGCCCCAGGAAATGAGGATGTGCACCTGGTGTCTTCCACGCGAAGCTCGGATTTTCAACCCGACCCGACCATTCCTGAATCCTGGTGTCTTCTTAATTCTTATGGGACAAGTGGATATTAAAAAAAAAAAAGTGGATTTGTTTTTTGAAAGAATTAATACACAAAGAATAGGTTCGTGTCAGTTCGTGATCCTAAAGATCTTCAGCGGGGCAACCGTTCATGTTCACGTTCATGTTAGTATTTGAGGTCGCTTCAAGGAGACCATTTTGCCCCAACCAGGATATGACCTCCATTGCTCGCTTATCCTCTTCAGCTTTTTGTTGTTCAAGCAACTAGAAAAATATCAAATGTTAGTAAATATAATTATAGTACCTAATAGGTAGCAATAATGATTCAGGGATAAACTCACTGCTTGGAATAATCCCTTGCGCCCCTTCTTCTCTTTGGGCTCAACCGGGGTCTTCTTGGTCCGCTCAGAAACCTCATGGGAAAATTTACATTTCTCGCCTCGATTGCACTGCCCTGTACGTGCAAAGTGACGGCATACGGGCTTCTTCCCTTCTCGAGGTGGCGGGGCCACTCTTTCCGGTCCCTCGCGCCGGGAACTCACTACCTCCGGCGCAGAGTCATCATCGGACTCCGCGCTTTCTGACCCACTAGATGAGGTCCAGTCACTACTGTCAGCCTCTCCATTGCCATTCATCACATTCAAATCCATCGCACTGTCCCCATCAGCCCCCACAGTTAGATCACCCAGGTGAGAAGTAGTTGCCGAGATGGACGGGTCCCTCGGGGTATCCGTGGATTCAGCCTTCGCCTTGACGGGATCCACTGTCTCATTTAATGAGGCTGAAAGTCCCGGTTCATTCGAGGGATCAGTAGACGGAGTTGGCGAATCTTGCTTTAAACCTTGTACTTGTTTCTGCAGCTGTTCAACCTTCAAACGAGCGGCCTCGGCTTCAGCCTCAGCCTTAGCAAGAGTGCGACGGATCTTATCCGCTTTGCGCTGGGCTTTCTTGGCGGCGTCCAGAACTGTATCTCCATGTACTGAGGCGTCGTTCTTGTGCTTAGTAGCAGACTCAGTTTTAATCTTTTCCTTTTCCTTTTCCCTTTCTTGCTCCCTCTCCAAGCGGGCAGCCTCTCGTGCTGCGTCTCGTGCTGCTTTGGCCTCTTCTGCTGCCTTTTTCTTCTCTTCTATGCGAGCTTGAGTGGGGAACTTCTTCTTGCGCTCTGCAATCCAGGCAGCGATATCAGCCGAAGACTGTAGAGTCGAGGTACGTCCCTTGTAACTAATTTGCAATGGTCCGCTATCTGGTGCCAGTTTGGCCTCCTCGTCCACATCTTCCTCTTCCTCACTGGATTCATGCTCTTCAGTCTTGGGTGTTAGACCAAGCTGGTTATGCTTTCTCTTCCGCTTCTTCGGCTTGCGAGTAGCATCGGCTGCAGGAGGTGGTTTGCAAGGCAGAGGGTTTCCGAAACTTGGGACTGCAGGCGGTGCTGGCACTTTCGGAGCAGAGGTGGGTTTGTTGAACGCAGAGGAATGATCTCTTTTATTAGGGTATCGTGGTTTAGACCCATGATTTCCATGGGAGTGGGATCCCCGTCCGCGTCCAGGCCCAGATCCATGTCCGTGTTGGTGTCCATGACCATGACCATATCCAGATGATGGACCGCTATAAGAGGAGTGCGTATCGTTGCCCCAGTGCATGTTATTCATCATAGCAGGGGTATTCGGTGGCGAGCCATGTTGAGGAGGAGGGACCGGTGGTGGATATGTAGGTGCAGATTGTGAAGGATATTGAGGATGAGCAAGGTTGGCTGGGCCATTATACGCTGTGAGTGGTTGATATGGTGCCGAGCCAGCGGGCGGAGAAAAAGCGTGAGGAGGAGGGTATGCAGAGGGATTCGGAGGCGGTTGATAAGTGGTTTGCGCATGAGGATATGGAGAGGGATTCATGTATGGCGCAGCCGGCATGGGTTGAGTTGGATAGGCAAAATTTCCGGTTGTAGAGCTGTAGCCCCCGACGTTAGGATACGAAGGTCGAGTAGCATCCGCTGAAAAATGGCCACCACGACCGCGCGCTCCATAGCCTCGACCACGACCTCGACCACCTCCAGCTCCTCGGCCATTCCAGTGCCCATTTCCATGCGCAGAGGGGTAGGCTTGTTGCTGGACGACAGGCGGAGGAGGTGGAGGAGGAGGAAAAGAAAAGCCCTGGGAGCTCATGGTGAATATATCATCACAGAGGTCCCAGGCAGGACTTCAGGATCATGACAAACTTTATAAATAAACCAAAATAAAGTAGTAAACAAAAATTGTAATTTGAAGTTTTTCGAGCTTAACTTCTGACAGCGCAGATCACGTGGTTATGGTATCCGCAATCGTGATTGGAGAGAAACCCGCAGGCTTTTTGATTCACTGAAAAGAAATTGAATGATTGTGACAGCGACATACATAGATGGGACTTGGACCATGAAAACTGATTTTGTCTTATAACACATCTTTCTATCTATTCATCGCTCATAAATCCCGCCAATATGTTCATCTTGGTATGTCCTAGTGAGATTTTGCTAGAAAAGATATCAGCTGACTGACTACTGCAGACTACTATCTCTGATTTGATCCAGATTGCACCCCAGGACTTTTCAAAGTTCAGTGCAGTGGCAATCGAGGATAATATTAATGAGAAATATGCCAATAAAGTGAGTCGTCACCAAGAATTGGATGACATCTGGAGTTTCATGTCTGACACCTGCTAGGTAATTCAAAAAATTGGCCTGTGCATCGGTTTCTATGATCTACTTGAATCCTCTGATGGCCTTATCGGTCATGGAACTGGTCTTGTCAATGTGAACGGTTAGTTTTGCCCCAGTGCTTAATATGCGAGCTTCACTAATCTCCTACTAGTCAAGTTCCGGGTGATCGTCTTTCGGCCATTCAAGGGTGAGATCATGCTAGGCAAGATCGCTAGTGGCACTGAACATGGCATTAAGAGTATGTTTACTTTTCCGAGGCTTCTGAGTATTTGCATGCTAACACGACGTAGTTGGAGTGGAGTTTTTCAACGACATTCTGATTCCTCCCGAGCTACTTCTCCCTGGTGCCAAATTGTGAGTTCTTATCGACTGGCTTGCAAGAAACTATATACTAATTAGATTACAGCGATTTTCAGGATCAAGTATGGACGTGGGACAACGATGACGGCACCACTCTGTACTTTGATGTGGGTGAAGTTGTGCGCTTCCGTGTGGAAACAGAAGAATGGCATGACCAGATCCCCAACGGGCCTGACAGTGAAACAACTGTCGTTGAACGAAAAGCCCCCTACTCGATCATTGTAGGTCACTGTTTCAAGATTACAATGAGATCTGCGGCTAATCAATCTTATAGGGATCGATGCAAATGGGTGGTCTTGGCCCTATCACTTGGTGGTAGTTGTGGTTGCCCCAGACTGTGGGGAGCGTTCTTCATTTCTTATATTCAGATCAGATACCCGTGCCGATCGGTACATAGACCAATTAAAAGTTCGAAAGTTGAGTAATTTAAAACCTTGAGACTGTATCTTCTTAGGGTATAGTTTTATTTTTCTATAGTAGATATGGAATTGTGGGGTACTCCGAGTCTGTACTGTTCTAGTAAATCATCATATACGGACTCGGAGTATCTTGAGTAGTATAAGATAGCTATAGCTAGTACAAATACATTAATGGAATTTAATAGCTTATAGTATTTTCATAGTTCCAAAGGGAGATTAAACAAATATCAATTATTTAATTATTCAATGCAAGATCGTTTCATCTTGATTTCCAATCTTCATGTCTAATCCGGAGTCCGTGCCTTGCCCGGAGTAATCTTAATCGCGATTATCTTAGATATGTGGCGACATCTTTCTCCGCCTACTCCGATTACTCCGTTATCTCGGACCATGCAGAGTTTTCTCCGCATGCGATGGCGCGGCTCCATCCGGTAAAACACCCAATAGTGGAGCTTTCTGCGTCTCTCAACCAGTCGTATCTCGCAGATCTCTTCGCCCTATGCTCGAATTTACTGGCAACGTAAAAGAAACTAGGTTCCATGGAGATTTTTTTTTTCTTCGGACCAATTTAGAAGGGATATAACAAAGCATTCTTCTTTTTCATCTTTCCTCTGAACCCTGTCCCACCCTGGAAGATTCTGCTTGATAATCAACCATTTTGACTTTGAAATTCCCTAAAGCGGTCATCCATCCCATCATTGATAAATCACATCATTAGCCTTCTTTCCAGTTTTTTGATCTTTACATCTTTTTACATTTTACATCTATCACAATGGGTTCTATGGAGAATGGCAATTCTACTGAGCGCCGGTTTGGCACCCTAGCGGTCCACGCCGGTGCCCATCATGACCCCACTACTGGCGCTGTCATTGCCCCCGTATGTATTCCGCCATCTGATTATATGGACCTTTAACTAACAATTGTTTAGATTTCCTTGTCTACCACATATGCTCAGACCAGCGTTGGTAACCCCGTTGGTCTCTACGAGTACACTCGTAGCTCCAACCCCAACCGGTTAGTCGCAATTTCAATCTCATCCCAAGGTTTATGTGCGGATTATTAATTTCCATACAGGGATAACTTCGAGGAGGCTATTGCTGCCCTTGAGCACGCCAAGTATGCCCTTGCTTTCTCCTCGGGTTCCGCTACTACTGCGGTCGTTCTCCAGTCCTTAGCTGCGGGGTCACACGTTGTCTCGGTCTCCGACGTGTACGGTGGCACCCACCGCTACTTCACTAAGGTCGCCTCAGCTCATGGTGTTGATGTCACTTTCTCGCCCACTATTGAACAGGATCTTGAGCGTTTGATTCGTCCTGAGATTAAGCTCATCTGGATCGAGTCTCCCTCAAACCCCACTCTCAGCCTTGTTAATATCCGTGCTGTCGCTGACATCGCTCACCGCCATGGTGTCCTGGTTGTTGTTGACAACACTTTCATGAGCCCCTATGTTCAGAACCCTCTGGTTCACGGTGCTGATATTGTGGTGCACTCTGTCACCAAGTACATTAACGGTCACTCCGTAAGTTATTGGTCATCGCTTTGAAAAATTACCCCAATTAACATTGTATCATAGGATGTCTTGATGGGTGTTGCTGCTTTCAACTCCGATGCCTTGAAGGAGCGTCTCTCCTTCCTTCAGAACGCCATTGGTGCTGTTCCATCTGCTTTCGACTGCTGGCTCGCCCACCGTGGTCTGAAGACCCTGCACTTGCGTGCCCGTGAGGCTTCCAAGAACGCCACTGTCGTTGCCCAGGCTCTTGAGTCTTCCTCTCACGTCATCTCCGTCAACTACCCCGGTCTTGACTCCCACGCTCAGCGCGCCATTGCTCTTAAGCAGCACCGCGATGGTATGGGTGGTGGTATGCTGAGCTTCCGCATCAAGGGTGGCCAGGCTGCCGCTCACACCTTCTGCCAGCACACCAAGATCTTCACTCTCGCTGAGTCTCTGGGTGGTGTTGAGAGTCTCTGTGAGGTTCCTGCTAGCATGACTCACGGCGGTATCCCCAAGGCTGAGCGTGAGGCTGCTGGTGTCTACGATGACCTTGTCCGCATGAGCTGTGGTGTTGAGGATGCCGAGGATCTCAAGGCCGATGTTCTCCGCGCTCTTGAGCTGGCCGTTGGCGCTTCCAAGGCTTAAAAGTCTGCTTTACGCATTTCCTTCCAGACATTTAGCCATCGATATGAATTTTTGCATCATGAATTTAGATAATAGACGATTTTCCTTGAGTGTCCTCAGCTTCTTACGAGCTGGACCAAGCATTTTGATTATAAAATTTCTCACAATTGGCTATCGAGTTTATAGACCATTTTGAATCAATATAATCCAGCATTCACTACTTCAAAAAGCAATAACAATATTCAATGTTTCATTATCCCCCAGCAAAAATATTCCGAGTCCCAGCCGCAGTCCTTGATCAGCACTTGGGATGGTTACCACCAACTGAACTTGAAGGGCCCTAGCATACCGTCCCGGCGACTCACGCTATCCGATAAAAAGTGCTGAGTCTTTGTCGAAGCTTGACTAGACTGAGGTTGTTCATTTTCACTCAGATTCTTATCGTCTTGAGCATCTTCTTTCATCTCGTACATCTTACTGAGTCCCCAGCTCTCGTCATTTTCCCAAGGAGCCTCTTTTTCATTCAGACTCTCGTCCTCTTGTTCTTCTCCTTGGGTCCCATACATCTTTTCGAGCCCCCAATTCTCGTCATCTTCTGAAGAACCTTTGGTTTTGGTCGGATTATCATCATATTGAACTTCTTATTGTGCCCCATGCATCTTTGGGGGTCCCCAATCATCATCATCCCCCCAAGAACCTGAGTGTACCGAATTTCTGGAGCTTGAAAGAGATCGCCGGGAACCAGAAGAATCTGGCTTTAGCTCTTGGTTGAACGACAATGCCGGTTCAGTGGCATCGAATTCTCCATCCTCTTTTCCTTGATATTGCTTGAGGTAATTGGGAATTTGAGGATTCAATTCCTTGGGCTCGTGCATTTTGCGGAGATCCAAGTTGGTACGATCTTGGCCCGGAGGTCGAGAGAACCCTTCGCGAGTAGATTCGTCATCACAACTGAAGTCATCTTCTTCGCTGTCTCCGTCAGATTCTTGTTCCCTCGTGGCTCCAGGCCTTGAAAAAAGTTCGGTTCGTTCGGCTCGTATGCGCTCCATTATCTTTGTAGCTTTATCCAAGTAAATCTGCGCCGTCATAGGCTTGCCACTTGTATGATTTTTGACAGAAGAGGAATCCGAAGAGTCGAGCCTGTCAAAATTGATCTCAGAATACTTCTTCTTTAGGACCCGAAGCATCTTTTCCTCTTCGTTTTTCTTAAGTTGATCCACAATCCTATCAACCTTTTCTACCATGGAATTCACAGTAGTCTCTACAGATCTCAGTCCTCGCGCATGTGCGTCTAGCTGTAAGTTGATCTTTTGCATTTCCTTCGGGAGCTCGCTTTCTGTCATCTTATCGCACTTGGAAGGGCTTGCGTGTAATTGTTTGATAGTTTTCTTCGAAATTTCAGATCTTTTTTCGTGTGGTTCTTCAAGTTCGTAGGACTCACGTCGAGACGGATCATTTTGTGCGTTTGCGTTGACGTCTTTTTCAGGAGGGCTTCTGTACAAACCCTCTGCGATGAGCTCGCAAGCTCTTTTGATTCCTCCATTTTGTCGCTCAATAATTTCGCGTTGAGACTGGATGAGTCTGTCTCGCGGATCCATCAAGTCAGGATCAGATGCGGACACATCTTGGGTCTTTTTCGCCTGGAACTTTGTGAGACTGTTGAGATATGCCCGTAAAGCCCGATCGAGCCCCTTGAAAATTCCGTCTCTCAGTTGAGTATTTTCTTCCTCGTGGATAATAACGCCCCAGTAGTCCCACAAGGTCTTGTAGAACGATGTTGTTGCTTGAATCATGCCGTCCAATTTTTTTGGATTGATCGCTCTGTGAAGCCATGGTTTCTCTTCCGAGGTTGCCATCCATTTAAATAAACTTGAAGTGTTGTGAAATTGAAGATTTGAGAGTATTAGATATTCTTTCAAGGAACGAGAAGGAGCGATCAGGAGTCACAGCACCTGGCAGAATTTTGACTCACATTTCTGTTTAGTCCACGGCCCCGGGGATCTATTATTACTGTCATCTTCTAGCATCTTCTAGTCCAGCCTGGGAAGTTCCAAGGTTCAAGTTGACTTTACCTGTGAGGCTGTGACTGGCAAGTTTATACTTCCCAAACGGGCGGCGGGGTTATGCTTAGTCATACACAGTGGCCCACATGGAATTTTTGGTATGCCATGAACAACTGACAATCCTAAGAAAAGTACAAGTTTCGGGGTTGAATAAATTCAGATCCCTTCAATATACTGCCTATTTCAGAGGGGTATAATTGGGAACATAGCAACTCGCAAAACAACCATTGACCTGCACGCTTCGACTCTCACTACAGCTTGGTGATCATCACTAGGTTTGATCATGGCATTCAGCTTTGGCTTCTCGGGGGATGACATCGACCTTGATGATTCTGAGATTAATAATGAGGCTCAGGGTGTCTTTGTTCCGACAAGCAATGGCAACACCTTACCTGAACTGGTGAAGGCTGCCAAACATGATATGGATGAGTGGGTAAGTTCATATGGTTGTTGTATAAGATGAAACCTACTATGGTACTTGTTTCGCCCAGTCTAACTAATAGCAGCTCTCAATTCTTCCATCGCAAATTTTCTTCAATCGACTTGCAATCAGCGGTACACCTATTGTCATTGGGCGTAGAGAAGTCATCGACATTCGCACTCAATTGATGGCGGAAGATACCGCAGACCATGAAAATGAAGAACTGATTGCTGGCATTGAAGAAGGCGATCTTAAGCCAAATTTCTATGAGGGTGGTTTTAAGACCTGGGAGTGCTCCTTGGATCTGGCTAAGCTTGTGGCTGGCGAGAATACTATTACTGAACCGCTGGGTGATTCCCAGACGAATATCCATACTATTGAGGTTCGTTCACGATTATACTACTACGTACCATCTACCAGTGCTAATACATGATACAGCTGGGTTCTGGCACTGCGGTACCATCATTGACTCTTTTTGCCCACATTCTCAATCAAACGGAGTCCTCGGAAGGAACTAAAAACATTCATTTCACTTTCGCAGACTACAATGATGATGTCCTGCGACTTGTCACATTGCCAAACTTGCTGTTGACATGGTATATCAATCGCCAACAGGCTACTCCGGCACCGGAAGAGCAGAATCCCGCTCAAGTGCAACAGGAGGAAGAGCTGGATATCACGCCTGAGCTGATCAGTGAATTCAAGAGTGATCTTATCCGACGTGGAATCACTTTTGACTTTATCTCAGGCGCTTGGTCTCCTGAATTCGTTGATCTGGTTTTCTCTGCTCGACCTGTTGGCGATTACAAGACCTTGTTACTTGCAAGCGAGACTATCTACTCCCCAGCATCACTGAAGGCCTTCTCGGAGACACTTCTTGATTTAGTGCGTCGCTCTAGCACGGATTCCACGAAGAGCAGAGCCATGATCGCGGCTAAGAAGGTTTATTTTGGAGTTGGAGGCGGAGTGGATGAGTTCCTCGCAGTGTTGAAAGAGGTCGCTGCAAGCGAACTGCAAGTCGAGCAGAGAGTGGATGTGAAGTCGGAAGGCGTCGGCAGGGTAATCCTAGAGGTCACACCCACTTCTAATTGATACCAGACAAAGTAGAAATACAAAATCCTAGTTGCACGTTCATGCAACCTGTTATATCTTCGAACAAATGGAATTCAATGATCAGGTTCCGGGTAAGACTTCCCTGTCACAGTATCGGATATATGTACATGTTTTGCTCCCCAAACGTACGCATGTCCATTAAAGACTGCAAACCAACGAATAAAGTAAAGAAAAAAAGAAGGCATTCAATCAAATCTAGATAGCCTCATCGTAGATGGAGACCACCTTTCCATCTTGCAGACGGCCAACACGAGCCTGCTCAATCTCCTTGTTCAAGTTCTCGTAATGGGCAACCACCTTGCTGAGATCGGCCTGCGAACCAGGAGAAACGTTGTAGGGGGATCCACCGTTCATCATACTAGAAAAGTAAAAATATTAGCATTCTATCGAACGATACCCATCCAACCGAAACGGAATCACATACTCAGGCTGCATCAATCCATAGGCCTCACGAGGTCCTTGACTCTGGAGCAAGTGGCGGTCCTCAGCGGCCTTCTCCAGAAGAGCAGTGTGAATGGCATTGCGCTGCTCGTTCACGTCCTCGGGGGTGGTGTACTTGCTAATCAAGCCGCCGATCCAGGACTCGGAGCCGGATTCCTTGCTAGCCTTGGTGTAGCGGTAGATCAGAAAGGCGGAGGCAAAGCTGCCAACGGTGACATAGAAGCTGCGCTATTAAGCATGACAGACGTGTTAGCAAGACATTCCGTGCCATTGGTTTCCTTGTTCCCAGTCTCATCGGATCACCGGGGTTCGCGGGGATTGGAGGAGCTTACGCCGAAGCTTTCGTTCACGGGCTCAGCGTGAGCGTGCGAGGAGCCGAAACGACGAGGTGGCTGGGAGCGCAGCAGCTGCCGCGATGAGGCAGCACAGCGTCTGGCGGCGAACATGGCTGAAGGACAATGGGCAGAAGTCGGTTGGTGATGACCCTTTCGGGATCCGTGATAGGATGAAGTTGCGAACCGACGAGAACACGTGATGTGGATGGATTGGGACTAGCGTCAATCTCTCTACTCACTATATAGATCTATCATCACCTGGATCTTTTTTACTTGAAATAATTGATTATAGTGCAAGTCAAATGCTACTTCGATCTTCGAATTTGGCCTCGGAGATCTTGAATGAAGAATAAAACTTCATACCCTTTTTTTGTCTTTCAATTAGAATTTACGACATCTTCAAAATCAAATCGCTTCATTACACTTGCCTAGCTTCTGCGTAGATTTGCGATACTAATAAACAACCTTGGAAAGGCACATCTTTCGAGCCGCTGAGACTACTTGACAATGAGTTAATTCCGAGCCCTTGAGAGCACCACGAAGCCTACTTGCAAACAAACCCCGCTGCTTCTACCCGCTTTTTAAGTACGTTGGAGAAACAAACACCCTTACAAGGTTACAAAACTTGATCACATTTTGAGTTCAATTGATGGACTAGAACCTAAAATGGCTCTCAAGTGCTCATTGTACTAACCTCATCTTCCACCCATTTGAACTTCCTCTTTGCATGGCGATCATGCCCATGGCCTTGAAAAACTGTGGGAAGTCCTGGCCACCGCCAATGAACAACTCACACGGTCACACTTTGGTGTTCAAATTGGTGACCGACGCGGGATGGCTGCTGTTGGAAAGAAACATGACGGACATGCGTCGCCTAGAGCTCTTAGGAATTCTATTCCTCGCTGTGTGCCTTTGGGCACTTACCCAAGTGACCCTCGTACTACAGAGCGGCAATATCTGGATTTTTCTTGGAGGTTTCCACCGGAAGCCCTGAAGTGAGGCATATTTGCCATTTCTTTCTTTTTCTTTTTCTTGTGATATACAGGCTGTAGGAACTGGATTTTCTTTTGATTTTTTTGACTCTATTCCTTAAATATGATATGAATATGTACCCAAGTAGCTCTCAATTGGTACTACCAGTATCGAGAAGATACTTGATATATGTAGCAAGGGACTCTTTCATCCAATTTGGCCCCATACGAACTTCTTATTCTGAATACAGACGAGTGCATATGCATCTTGTCGTGGGGTTGGTAGGTCCTAGCCCAAGTACCTGCTTGTCTACCTACTCATCTGCCTACTAATCTACCTGGTTGTTTATGTCACGGTACCTATTCTCAAATTTACTTGGGCTTTGAAGTTATATCTTGACGTCTCTACATGTATAGTTGGGCGCCTACAATGAAAATCATATACAGTTCGAATCTATAACTACTTCCAAGTTTAGGTATGACTCAAGATTGATAGTCCTAGCTCCTCACTAAATATAGCTGCCTTGGTGAATTTAAATGTTTTTTTTTATTATTTTTACCTACATACTAGTAAGTTTCTTTGTGTTACTTCAAGTTGGGCCGCTCTGATTCTATGATGGACAGGCCTGATTTCCCATTAGAAGTGAACTCTCAACACTCACATGTGCCAGTGATCAGCTTGGAAAATGCATTCAATATCATGCTGAGAAATGATTTCATTAATCGGATATGGATTAATACATTATATGGAGCATGTGGACCTTGGAAGTGCCCTGGTGGAGTCAATTGTGTTGGGGTCTTGCAGTTGTATATCTCCGAGTCGCTATGTATATGCACTGGGATTAGATGCCCGCCTTTAATTTGAAGTCTTATCCATTTGTAGTTCCTTTCACGTAACGCTGGGATCTTTTCATCTTATGAGCTTTAAGTATTAGTCTAATTTTTCTTCTTAAAAAAAAAGTCGAGACTGAGTTGACCTGTAAATTAGGTGGCTGGGACTAATACGAATACAAAGCGGTGTGTTTACTCCATACTCCATACTCCGCCCTGGGCCCATAATCCCAACTTCACATCACGTCAATATTGGAACATTTCATCTTGGTCTGGTTACTATTTCCAGCATGCCACATGGATTACATTTCCCCCTCACTCCTGGAAAGTTGGGGTGGTCATGAAACAGCTGCATAAGCAGGGATGACTCGGAAGGGGGGTGTAGGGCATCCGGGATTTGTGTGGTCGCAACTTGGATTGCCTCATTCTTTTTTCACCGTTCCAACCACCTCACATTCAGGTGGATCCCCGACATTTACTCAAATCCACCCAGTCTAGGTTGTTACACCTAGTCCTAGCTGAACCATACCTAACCCACTTACAGTGTCTGGCTATCAATTGAACAAGTCAGCTTTCAGTCCCCACAAAGCGGTATCGTTTCAACCCACGCCCAAATTCGTGCCCAATTGCCCCATGATACTCGACAATTGGGTCTCGCTTCGGTCCCAAATTGAATCTTTTTCCAATTTTACTGTGCGCTGTGTGGCTTATGGGTTTGCCGATCCTCACTTTGCATTGGAAACCCAGTCGGCCTTGAGATGGGTATCAATACCCACTAAGGTTCGGTCCGCCATGCGACCTCGCCATTGGGGGTTCACTTTTGTCCTTTCTCTGTTTCTAATTTTCTTTTTATTTTGAAATCCAATTTACTTTTTTTTCTTCTCTTTTTCTCCTTACTGAATTGCCTTGTTTTCAAATCTATTTTGTTGAGAAATATTCGGAATCCAGAAATCGAATATCACTCTAACCGCCAGAAATTCCGATTTGGACTTACCCGATTAGTCTACGGGTAGCCTTGAATTCGTGTATCGCATTCATTTGTGCCCACTTGTCGTGTGCTATTGAATATCCTGCCCGACTAGTATCCAACTCATCATACTCCGCACTCTGGCCCCCAGTCTATCTCCTATCGTGCCCTACTGTGCGTGATCTTTTTGGGCTATATCTTGGAGCACAGGCACCTTGCAAATGTACAGTGCAGAGTCCCCATGAATCACCCGGCTTGGATCTATACTCATCACCTCTTATTATATTCGCCTTGAAAACAGAATTCCTATTGGAAACACGTCTAACCAGCCCATCACAAAAAAGAGATATTTTTGGGCACTTATCATTCTACCACAATGGGTGCCGGTGGCAAGAAGTCGAAGGGGAAGGATAAGAGTAGTAAAGCCGGCTCGAAACAGAAGAATAAAAAGAGCAAGAGCCCTGAGACTACAGAACAACAAACAGCTACCGAATCTTCCATGCCTGGCAGCCCAGAGTTGGGGGTGCAAGAGCAAGATACTACCGACCTTGGTGAAGTATCGGAACAACCGCTTGAGAAACCTGAACAGACACAGCCTCCAACACCTGTCGAATCATCAGACAGCCCATCTCCAGAAGAACCGCCAAAGGAAGAAACAAACCCCAATGCAGGAATTGACGTCACACAATTTCTCGAACCTGACACAGAGGAACTACCTGCCTTGAGCAACGAAACCACCGATACAACCGCCACTGTCGATACTGAAGCACCTGGCTCCAACGAGGAAGCACCTGCATCTGTTGAGGTAGAGGAGGAACCTCTGCCGAAAGAGGAGAGCGAACCTCTCGCCGAACATCTGGAGCCCACTGCTGAACACTCAGAGCCAACCGTCGAGGCCGAGCACTCAGAGCCACTCGTCGACCATTCAGGACAAACTATCGATCATCCCGAGGCAGCTGCCGAAACCTCAGAGCCAGCTATTGAGACTCCAGAGGCAGCTGTCGAAACTCCCGAACTAGCCGTCGAAACCCCAGAACCAGTTGTTGAAGACCCAGAGCCAACTATCGAGACTCCCGAAGCAGCTGTCGAAACCCCAGAACCAGTTGTTGAAGACCCAGAGCCTATCGAGACTCCCGAAGCAGCTGTCGAAACCCCAGAGCCAGTTGTTGAAGACCCAGAGCCAACTATCGAGACTTCCGAACCGGTTGTCGAGACCCCAGAGCCAACTGTTGAGACCCCCGAACCAACTGTTGAAGCTTCTGAACCGGCCGTTGAAACCACTGAGCCATCTGTTGAACAGTCCGAGCCTATCGCAGAGCAAGCGGAGCCGGTTTCCGAGCACTCGGATCCTGTAGCTGAACACACAGAGTCCGTTCTTGAGCACTCAGAGCCTGCTGCTGTTCCTGAAAACGCTGAGCCCGTTGCTGAGCGCGAGCAGCCTGAAGCAAAGACACCTATATCAACCCCAACTCGACCCCCTTCATTTGTCTCACACTCTCCCGTGCCATCACTGGTACCCTTACCATCGCCTTCTTTTACCGAGGCACGGTTTATGCAAAGTGCTTCGCCAGAGAACCATTTCTATCATCCCGGCCCAGCCTTTGTCCCCTACGGCTCACCTCACGCTTCACCCCACGGCTCTCCCTCTGGACCAGCTTATATTCCATACGGCTCACCTCACGTCTCTCCTCACACCACTCCAGCTGGACCAGCTTTTATTCCCTACGGCTCTCCTCACGCATCTCCCTTCGCCTCACCTTACGCCTCACCGATACCCAAAGTGAGCAGTCCTCTTGCCCGATCCCATTATCCATATAGACCTCCAAATATGTCTCCAACTGCAACTCCACCCCCTCAAGTCCCAGCGGCTCCTATATCTCCAATGGCTATCGCTGCTCCATCACCTCAGATGCACTCAATGGGCCCTCCACCACCACCAGGACCACCCTCAACTACTCAAAGCTTTGCAACTGCTGTCCACTCCCCTGTCATGAGCACTTCAAGCGTTGTTCCTCCCTACCATCATCCCTACCCCCATTACCCACCACCAGGCCACACGATGCAGCGTAGCTACAGCATTTCGGACTCTAACTCCCCATATGCTGCATCATTCCAGGCTATTCGCGATCTTGGCCTGGGAACTGGTCACCTGTCAGAGAATGGAAACCCATCTCCCCCAGAGAGTGAGGCTGAGCATGCTGAGCTTCTACACCGAATTCAGTCCGCCATTCCTGATATCAACCGCCTCCTTCATGGATTCAAAAGCACTCACAGCAGGCTTTCGAGTCGTGAGGCTGAGATGAAGCAGATCGGAAATCAACATGAACAAGCTTTGCAACATAAGGATTTCTATATTGAGGCTCTTCAAGCACAGATGCGGAAGACAGCCAATGAAAGTGCTGAGGAATGTGCCAAGCTCAAACACACCATAAATGAGCTGCGCATGGAGGTGGGAGACCTGCAGGAGAAGCAGAAGGACCTCGAAGATGGCTTGGCTACTCAGCAAAAATCCAACGAGGAGCTTTCGCAGACGAAATCGGATCTTGAGGTAGAGGTCTCAAAGCTTAACACCACTCTCCAGAACACTCATCAAACGCATGCACAGGAGAAGGAAGAGCAAAAGGATGCACATGCAAAGGCTCTTGTGACCCAGAAGCACGAGCTAACTGAGCTCTTTGAAGAGATCAAGAACGAGGACGAGAAAGCAGCTAGCGATGCCTTGGAGGCTCGCGAAAAGGAACTTGGTGATCAACACGCAGCCAAACAAGGCGAGTGGGAGACCGAGAAGACCGAGCTGCATGAGTCACTGCAAACTCATCGTACCGATCTTGAGACTCACAAGACCGAGTTGGCAACCACCATGGCTGCATTGGAGTCCAAGGAAACTGAACTTCAGCACAAACTCGAGGAGCTCACTTCAGTCCGTGATGAGGTCACAGCCAAACTGGCCGAGTTGGATGCCAAGGAGAAAGAGCTTGAGGAAACCCGGGCAAAGAATGCCGAGGAACTTGAAGCGCTTCAGCAAGGACACGCCACCGATATGGGCGCCCTGAGAGGCACACACGAGGAACAGCTGGCGGCTGCAGCCAAGGAACTGGCAGAGAAGATTGCTGCTATCGAGGCCGTCCTCAATGAGAAGGAAGAGGCCTGGTCGAAGGAGAAGACTGAGTTGGAGAGACAACTTGCAGAGAAAGACGGCGAGCTGTCGAGCTCCGAACGAGAGAAGGAGAGACTGGAGGGAGATGGCTTGGTCAAGGAGCAGCAACTGCAACGTGCAGTCGATGAGATGCGATCTACCATCGACCACTTGGATGGTGACTGCGACCGTTTGAGAAAGACACTCCACAGCCTCGGTGAAGCCACTGATCTCAAGACCACCAAGGGCGACCAGTTCTTGTAAGTTCAGCCTACTGTCTATGAGTCTATGAATTATCTTTTATGTTTCCTATGTCTATGATCATGACCATGTCTTTCATTTTCATCTCTCTTTTGTCATATCTACTGAGACCAGCCTTACTCTCTTTCATGGTCTTTTCTTTTCTCTCTATAGAATCTCATGTTGATAACGAACCGTCATAAAATGTACATGATTCTAATAATCTCGGTTTTCTTCTAGTTTGGACTGTTTCACTCAGCTATCGCAGTTGATTCACGATCTTTCCAAGCAACATTTCGGTTACCTCCCCATTGACCCGCCGAAGGATATTCTCTCCAAGATTCCCTCGGAGCTGCCGTCATTCCTTGACAACACACCCGCTTCCCGGGAGCTTCGCTGTGCCTATGTCCAGCATGTTGTGTCCAAGACCCTAACCTACCGTGTCTTCCAACCCTTCTTGTTCACTCTGGGCCGAAGGTACGATAAGGCCGACACATTTTTCCAGATGCTGTCAATGGACATTCGTCGGAAGTCCGTCCGTCGCGAGGCATTCTGGCGCCAGCAGACTCTCAAGGCGGCCTACACTACCTCCGACGCCAAGCAATCTATCAACGTTGCGGCTGCAGTGATTGTGGACGAGATCATCGACCACATCAAACACTTCGCGGACCCCAAGCACCTGGACTCCCTCCTGACTGGTGTTCGCAAGATCGTCAAGTTAGCTGCTGAGACCTGGCGCCATGCTCGCGTGGAGCGAGAACTCGTCCTTGCTTCCTTCCCTGCCCCCGATGCTGAGAGCATCTCCAACGATGGATGGGAGGAGTATGGTGTGATCCCGGCTTTAGACGCCAGTCCTAAGGGTGATCCTGCTCGACATGTTGTTCTTCGCACCTTCCCCAGTATTCTCCGTGAGGCTGCTCACGAAGACTTTGCAAGCGGGGAGCGAGCTACCTCCTGCATTTACTCCCAAGGAGTTCTTCTTTACTCTGATTCACCTGTCGTCATGGCGCGACTGCAGGAATTGGCCAAGAAGTCCACTGACAATTTGGTTGGGGATGAGGGACAATCCTCTCCTCCGAAGACCCCTCGTGAGGGTCTGTCTTTGAGGGAGAGGTTGTCAATGAAAGAGAGACTGACTACGATGACTGTTCAGTCTGCGCCTACGAGTCCTACCATGAAAGCACAAACTATGAGAGCATAGATCTGGTGATCTTTTTTAGTCGTCCTTTTCTTTTCTTTTCTTTTCTTCTTTTCTTTCCCAACTTGGGCCCGACACTCTTTGCACATATATTGTTATGTGACAATTTTCCTTTGTCTTTTATCCCTTTCTGATGTTGTTTTTCTTTTGATTTTTGATTTTTGATTTTTGATTTTCTTATTCGAGGTTTGAAAACCGGTGTATGATCTATGCTCTGTTCATGTATTCGTCGGTTTTGGGATTAGCGGGAGCATACTTTAGGTGTGATGATATTGTTTGATTTGTATAAGATTTTAGCCTTGAATTTGATTGATTACAGACCTAAATCTATTAAAAAAATATAGTATCCAATAACACTGAGATCATAGAACAAAGCAATTATATCTCCATGAACCTCGTAAATTCAAGTGCTTGAAGCTGAGACAAGATGAAACACATTTAGACCAATGACGCGGTGGAACCCTGATAAGCCTGCGGGACCCGCCACGATCCAGTGATTCTGTTCATCTGAACCTTGGAACCATGGGGGAGAGTGTAAACAATTAAACAAAATAAATAAATAGTTAATACTAGAAACTGATTATCTTCATCAAGGATAGAATAATATCTTGTGGAACTTAGAACATCTGGAATTATCTATTGGATATTAAGGTCTCCCAGCTGAGGGATAAGAATAGAAGCGATGTGCAGGAACGGGCGCTCCAGCTGAGCCCAGTATCGGAATGCCAACATTCAACATTTGAATGTTGAATGCAGTTAACTAATTTAGGGAATGTAAAAAAAAGCCTTATAGGAATAGAATCATCCAGATCTTACTCAAGGGATGATAATATACATCATATTATAGATAAATCTGTAGTATAACTACCTAGATTATACTAGTATCATACTATGATGCTATGCCAAGCCAACACGCTTAATGAGGCTCATTTTGCACATTCACCAAACTCACAAGGCTGATCTTCCCCCTCTTTTCCCTCTATGAAACCTGCATCTCTTCCCCGGCGCTTACTTACAAATGTAGGCCGAGTTCTTCAATCTTCCTTGAAGTCTGATCTGATTTCTTATTTCTTATTCTCTTCAAGGTTCATACTCTTTTAACTTCAAGTTCTTCCATCCTATTATCCTATTCTTATCCCATTTGGCCCCCCCCATTTATTTCCCTGTCAGCCGTCTATTCTTGGCCTCCACTTCCCGTACAAAAATAACCCAGAACTTTTGAACTCGAATATATTCCACCAAACTCAAGAATACGAATTTGGATCTTCTTCGGCAAGCCCGATGACCAATCTATATCGTATCGAAACTGCTATTCCTCCAAACCTCCCACCCAACAATCTACGTTCTTTCAATGATTTCAAGTTCCCCTCTTCACGTTCGGGTCACATCTCTCCTCCCTCTGAAGGCAGCTCCCCCAACTCGCCCTTCGCTGCAAGGGCCAAAGGATCCGCGCGCATTTTGAAAATGCAGAACCCCCCACGTGGGTCATGCGCCCGCCATGCCCGAACTACAACCGCAGCATGAGGACCCATACCTCTCCGTTTCGTCCGATCCTGAAGAGCTCGATTTTCAAGCTGGTGCTATTCGGTTAACTCCTGTTGGGGGCAGCCCGAATTATCCCAGTTCTTCCCCGAACGGCGAATATGAAACCATGAGTGCGGGCCTCACCATCCAAACGAACTACTGGACCCCGCAAGGAAATGGTTATCAGGATCTCAGTACTAGCAACTCTCCGCATCCCAGTGGATTTTTGGCACCATCGGATATTGAACTACGGGGATCGAACTGGCAGGATAATGGGTCGACTTCAAGTTATAATGAAGTCGCAACACCCTCGGTCCAGGACCAGGTTTGGCCTTCGTCTATCGATACGACACAGTGGCTGAACCCAGAACAATCAATCCCAAGTCCTTCATCTATGCAAGAACAGTTTATGCCACAGAACAATGTGAACACTCTGTCTGCTGCACCCAGTTATGGGATAACTCAACTGTCCATCTCAACAGCGCACGTGCCTGGAGACAATTTTTCGTCGGCTTCGACTACTAGAGGAAGAAGTCCTGTGAAGAGTCCCATTGGTATTACGGTGTCAAGTGTGTCGCGCGGAGATTCTCCGATGGAAGGGGTTCACTGCAGACGTCCCTGCCGATCGACAATGCATCTCTCGCCAGGCGATCTGTCGAGTGACTCTGGAGATGATGGGCATCTTGATGATGATCACCGATCTGTTTCGTCTCTATCGGTCGCACGAACCAATAATGGAAGGTGGATTCGTAGCCCCTCAGGTCATGCTGGTCTTGGACCTTCCTCTCGTGGGGATGAGTATGTATCAAGCCCCAACGAACTGAAGGGCCAGCGGGAGCGGGAGATCAAGGATCAAGATATCACCCTCTGGCGAGCTGATGTCAATGCTGCCAGTAGTGAAGCTGGCGATGTTGAGGCGCCAAAGTATCCTCGAGAAAGAAAGCACACGAGTAATCGGATGCGAGCAAAGAGCACTGGGGCTCGCCCTTACGAAGAGGAGGATTATTTCAGTCAGAAAATGGGTGGTCGTCACCTCGCTCCTGGTCCTGGTCTCCTGGTTCATGAAAGTGAAGAGGAAGAAGACGAAGATGAAGACGAACATGAGGAGGAGCATGAGGAGGAAGAAGAAGATTACCGTGATGATAACAGTGTGAAATCCGGTAGCCTGAAGGTCGCATCGCCCCCTGCCGATCCTGCCGATCCTGGCCGATATGATCGCTCAACGCCTGAAGTCTATTCAGCTCTCGAATTGACTAGCCCTGCCCAAAAGTTCCGCCTCTGGCCTTGGCAAGATCCCATTAAAGATCTAACGCCAAGATCGGAGGCTATGCAGCCAGGAAGTTCAAATGCAGCCATTATTGCATTTGAGAAACGTGCAAAGGATGTCGAAACGGCGTCATTGGCAGCTACCATCGATAACAACAGTATCATTCATGTCATGTCCAACTTAGAGAGGATGAGTCTCTGCAGCGAAACAAAACCTAAAGATACTTTTGGTACTCTTTGGAAGCGTTCCATTCACCAGGCATCATCGAAACTTAAACGCCAGGCATCAGAATTCTCGATGGCAATTCCCGACACCAGCGCCTCGAGGACTAGCGTGGAGGCACCACTTCAGCGGAAGGAAAGCCAGTCACACCGCCACAGGTACAGTTTGTCAAAACACCACTCACGCTCACCGAGCCTGAGTAGTGCTTTGATGTCTGTGACGGGACAAATGGCAGCGATTGGAGGCAACAACGCCGTCCATGCGGTCTCGCCCAATGCGGATGTAGCTCACAATGGTTATCAAACGAAAACTCGTGGTCGAAGTAAAAGTGATTTGCCAAGACCTGCTACGCCTGGGCTGATTGATCTTATGACCAACCACGGTGGACCTCCAGTTGCCAACTTCCGTTCATCTCCAAGAAATTCGACAGAGACAGCTCAACCGCGACCCAGTATAGCGATAAATGGTGATTTGAAATGCGCCAAGGTGGAGGATGAGGATGATGACCAACTCAATACTGCCGATGCCAAGGGACTCGTCATGGATTTCCCCATGATGTCGCGTTTGCCAGTGCCTACATTGGAAGGGTTCAAGGCGCAGATTCTGCAATTGAATCCCAACCTCCAACCGGCTCTGATTCATCGTTTTGCGAATGCGCAGGTCCGTCGGTATAGGAAATTGGTTGAGCTACAGCAAAGACATGCACAGGCCATTGCTAGTGGTGAATGCCCGTCCGGTCACTTCTGTGTTTCTTTGGGTGGCAAGGCCACCATGCTAGAGCAGCGCAAACCTTTGCTTTGCACAGAGGCTGGACAGACTCAGTTCAGAGTCACTGATGGGAGCCGTCGTGATAAACAATCTATGGGTGATAGCCCTTTCCCCTCTGCTAATTTTCCAGAGGGAGTTCCGAATCCACCAGTTGCTCGCCTTCCAGCCAAGTTTGAATGTCTCATTTGCTTTGATGTCAAGGAGTACAAGAAACCATCCGACTGGTCCAAGCATGTTCAGGAGGATCTGCAACCTTTCACGTGCACCTTCCCTGAGTGTAATGAGACCAAGAGCTTCAAGCGCAAAGCAGACTGGGTCCGACATGAAAATGAACTGCATCGGCATCTAGAGTGGTGGACCTGTACTTTTGACGAGTGTGGGCATACCTGCTATCGCAAGGATAATTTTATGCAGCACTTGGTCCGTGAACATAAGATCCCGGAACCCAAAATGAAGAAGGGCAGGGGAGGAGCAGCAGCAGCCACTTCAGAGGGGCAGCAGAGTGACAGACAACGGGCACGAGACTTGGAGTATCTGTCCAAGCTCGTTGATGACTGCAGACACGAGACGGAACGCGAGGCCGAGTCAGAACCCTGTCGATTTTGCGGGAATATCCTGGGCAACTGGAAGAAGCTCACGGTACACTTGGGCAAACATATGGAGCAGATGGCCATACCTGTTCTGGAACTAGCTAAGAAGAGCACTGCCACTGCCACTGCGTCGTCTAGCTCGGTGCCCCTGACAGGGGCTTCTAGCGGGGCTGCAGAGACATACTCCCCTCTTTCTGCACCGTTTCACCTCCACGACGATCGAGAAGCTGCAGGGGCATCGACGCTTCCCGTTCGTCAGAATCCTAGCAAGGCTCAGGCCAACGGTACCCCTGTCAACGGAATCCCTTACCAGGCGTCAAACCTTGACTACCCATCTATTTCGGGGGCCATGCTCTCCTCCGAACCGGAAGCTATGACTGATTCATATGATCGAGTCCAGTATAATCAGAACAATAACCCTGGTTATAATGATGGGATGGTCCAGTTTCAGTCCACCGCGCTCCACCCCGATCAGACCCACCTTCCGCATCATCAGAACTCAGTGACGTACCCACCACCCTTTAATGCGGTCCACCGTCCCATTTCATCGTATTCTCAGCTTCATGATCAGTACCCCGCTCAAGGAAGCTACCCGGGATACCTTGTTCCTGGAGCCAATGTTTACACACAATTTACGAAATATGCTCCCATGTGATATGTTTTCATTGTCCTTTCTTATTTTATCTTTCCATATTTTTTTATCTTTTTTTTATTTATTTTTTTCTCTTCTGAGCTATTCAATTTGAATGCATTTCAGGGCGTGTCGGGTTATACCCCCTTCTATGGATTTTTGCTTGTTGCCGGTCAATTGCCGAGTTGCACGTCACGCTAATGGATGTGCATGAAAGGGATGAGATTAGTGTCTTTTGATCTTTATCATGATTTTATTTTTTTGGATCGAATGTTCAGCTTTGATTTGAGACCTTTCCTTTTTTCCTAAGCGTTTTTGATCTATTCCATGGTTTCTTACAATGCAATTATCCAGATGTCCCATTTCATTACTAGTACGGGAGCACTCTACGGACTCGGAGTATATTATGATGACCTATAGATCTCAAGTTTCTTTTTTTTCTCAAGTACTGTAACCCTATAGATGCAGAGTAGTCACTTCTATAGTTCATTTTCTTCAAATTTTTCTTTTTCCGCGGACTCGCTCTCCCTATCTGATTCTGAATCTCTTTCAATATTTTCTTTTCATGGCTCCACTAGGAACAATGGTGGCCATGCGAGCGTTGTACTATTTCCTGCGTGAATGGAATGGCCGATGATCACTCGGGTTTTGTAGGTACACATACTTGAGAATTCTCAAGCACTTTGAGTGTTTGTTTTAGGATGTGTGTTGTACTCGGCTACATCACCCTATTTTACCGAGTTCACCGAGTAGGACACAATGTAGGGCATCTAACAAGTAACATATGAGAGATCATATTTTTTGGAGTTAATTTCTCTTAGTGTACATAGTACCCTGCAGTTTCTCAGGTTGTTTTATCCGGAGCTTCCCCGAGTCCACAGTCCACAGTCCACAGTCCACAGTTCACAGTCTGAAATCCACAATCCACGGATTTTGTCTGTTCTCCGTTTCACGGATTTTAGGAAGTCCGCAAGGGGTAATAACGCGTGGATGTCAAAATGTCATTCAATTTAAAATCTTCGAACCATGCGCTGTTTTTTTTTCTCCCTGTCTTATCCCTTGCTACTAAACCGTTATAGTCATAGCATGGCAATGGCAGATTGGATCCACAGAACGGATCGGCCCTGTCACAACCAGAGTTAGAATAAGTTCAAAGTTCAGTTGGATCCGCCAGCCACAGGATTTAAGATGAGAAAGGATTTGAGATGGTACGGAGTGCCTATTACACACATTAGTCTATTAGGTAGTTCATGAAGAAGTTGACTTAACCTTGGGATAAAGAAAGGAAAAATCAATATGAATTTAGTTCTAGTCGACTACACCACTAGTATAATAGAGAACCTTGGAATCCTTGGAAATGAAAAAAAAAAGAAAAGAAAATATGACCATAACGTTGGGAACGTGTTGCAGCGATAATTTAGATAATTTAGATAATTTAATCTGCTCGAAGATCTGCGTTCTTATTGAATGTGGAGGGATTTTCATGTTTAGGCCCCGTAAGGCAGATCTACCCGGGTGAGAAGAACTGAAAAGAACTGGGGGGGCTGTGCAAAATACTAGTACATGTAGGTATCCCTTGATTCACACATTCTTCATCTTTTTTTATTGTCTCAGAAACATTCTTCTTATTTTTATAATTTTTTTTTATGTCTACCTAGATGTCTCTATCTCCCCTTGATTCGCGTGGTTTGGAAATCGGCTCGGGGCGATAAGTGGAGAGAGTGTGTACTGGAATTATCGTGGTGCGTGTTTTATTATTATTATTTTAATTTATTACAAGTAACTCCTTTCGAGTGTGCATGCATGCACCTCGTTTTTCTTTTTTAACACAATTTTACTCAAGGAGGGGGAAAAAAAGAAGTACATTTAATTCCTTGTCCTTCCTGATCCCCTTAGTACCTTTACCCTTGTACTTTCAAGTTACCCTCGTACCCTCTTTCACCCGGGTATAAGCTAATATACTCCACTTGATCAGCTGGATCTTATATTCCCACTATGGAGGTAAGTTTATTCCTGCGGCTCCATTGCTCTTTTCTTTTACAATTACCCACTCGTGAAATCTCCTACTAGGCAACTAACTTGTTCCCTGCTTAGGACTTACGTTGGAATGATTCAAGTGACATCCTTCAAGACATCATGGTCGGCTCTATGGGTTCTCATCAAGATCTATCCGAGTTTCGACCAAATCTAAGCCTTGGAGACTCAGCCTCAAATCCACTCGACTTACACTTGAGTCCTGATCTGGATTCTTCTCAAAATCCTCCTTTTCTCAATCACTGGCCCTCTGCTCCTCAGGATTTTTACTACCCAAGTTACCCCGCCTCCAGACTCACCGCAAATCAAGATGCCTGGAATCCTTTACTAGCTGCTGGTGTCCCACAGTCTACTTCTGTACCCCCGATTCATATGGTTGATGATGGTGTATTTACTAAACCCCACTATCGGACTCCATCTGATGCGGGGAGTCAATATATGGGGAGTTTACACTCCGCTGACTCCGGGTATGGGAGTATAAGTGGGGCGCCTCATACTGTTCCGTCCTATGTGGATTCCTTGTCGAGTCCGCAACTGGGGAATGAACATTTGTTCGTGGAGTCCATGCCACTGTTTGATCCTGCCCGTATGAGTACGGGATCAATCTTTCAGGATTATGGGGATGCTCCGTTTGAAGCGTCGGTCAAATGTGATCATCCCAGTTGTTCTTGGATTGGGAAGTGTCCTTCTGATAAGAGGTATGTCTATATCCTTTCTCTATGTGATTGGGTTTGAGTAATAATATACTAATATGTGCTTGCTTGATAGGAAGCACGAGGCCCGCCATCGAAAGTTGTTCAAGTGTGATGAACCTAACTGCCCACGGAAAGAGGGATTCGGGACTATCAATGATCTCGCCAGACATAAGAAGTGTGTTCATAATAAGGAACCTGAACGTGGACCCAAGATGATGTATCTTTGTTTCGGGAAGGATTGTCCTCGACCGAATAAGAAGTGGCCTCGCTTGGATAACTTTAAACAACACCTGAGTCGCATGCATGCTGAAGAAGATGCTGATATTCTGTTGAAAAGGTGTTTTCACCCGATATCACTTTCGTCTTATTGTTGAGTTTACTAACACAATTAGATCAATGGACTGGTATGAGAGTGTCACTGGTCGTCGACCAAATCACAAAATGGAGGATACCTCCCTCGAAGACTCATTCATGGATGCCCCAGATCATATGTCGACCCACTCTGGAGACATGGAGGATCCATGCGACTTGCTCCATGTTTCAGACAATGTCGAATTTTCCTCCTGCTCAGCATCGCCCCGACCAGTTTCCAGCAGTGCAGCTTCTGAAGTTCTGTCAGAACTCCAGCCCCAATTCCCATTGGGTTGCATCGGCCTCCCACAAGCCCTATCTCAGGATGCACGCGACGCAGCTGCCGACCGGAATAGCAAGTCGGAGACCTTCCTCACTGACGCAGCTAATAACCTCATCACCGCTATGACAAAGATGGTGAATAACCGTATCCGACGATCGAGTCAACACACCGATGAAGGTATCGATATCGAGTCTGAAAATGCACAACTATCCCAGCCACAACGCCAGATGCTACAGAAGGTGCTCTCCGTCGCCTTAGAGCGTCTTTCCGATGAAACCCCTGCGGTTCAAGAGCCTGCGGATGAGAAGCAGGATTGGTTCCAATGCGATATCTGTTCCAAGCGTACCCGGCTCCGCTGTGAAATGAAGTAAGTTTACCCGGTATTCCACTTACACTGCAATTCTAACAATGATTTCCAGAAAACACCAAAAACGTCACGACCGACCATACGGTTGTACATTCCCCCACTGCGCCAAGTCCTTCGGAAGCAAGGCAGATTGGAAACGCCACGAGACCTCTCAACACCTGCACCTCTCCAGCTGGCTTTGTGCATTTCACGACTCCGCCAAGAACGTCTCCTGCGGTCGCATCTTCTACCGCGAGGAAACATATTCCCAACACTTAACACAACACCATCACATCCACAAGACCCGCTTAAAGCCCGCCCTTGCGTCGACGCGTCTCGATCTGGCTGATCAATCCCAGTTCTGGTGTGGATTATGCAATCGATCGATCCCACTCCAAGCGAATGGTCCCTCGGCTCTGGATGAACGATTTAATCATATTGATACGGAGCACTTTAAGAAAGGGGAACGTGGGTCTGATTGGACTTTTCCTGAATTGCGAGACTCGGTCTCCATGCCTCAGGCTGATGTTAAGCATGAAGCTGGGTTATCGCAGTCCTTGTCGGATGTGGGGATGAATCATCGCAAGCGTAAATACACAGGTGTCCATTCGCTTTCGGATCGTCAATAATTCGGGGTCGGGTTCGGATTATCAAGGATTATGTTTTACGTTAGCTTTGTTTTTTTTGTATAAGGTGATGATATATCCCGGTTCATATACGCGGTTCAGGTTCTGGTGCATAAGTTGGCTCGGGTTAGTTTCAATGTCTCTCTTCAAGTACACGATACATAATTCAGAGAATAAGAGATTTCAGTTTGAAACATTGAGAACAGATGATATTGTACAGTTATGATTTACTCCTTCAACCTATTTCTGGGCTGCTGCTAACTCCCTTGCCTTTTTTTCTAAGGCGCTCACTTGTTCTAAACTTGTTAGTCAATGTATACTCTAAGAGCTGGAGTGATAGCAGGTTGTCTAGAATAGAGCTTACCATTCTTCTCGAGCTTTGTTTCATCCGTCTCGAGCTTCACCCATGTCCAATAGATGATCTGGTATGTGAGCACAGCACCCAGGAAGACCTTCCCAAAAGGACGGGCGAAAGCCCCGTACGCTGAGAGCTGTATGAAATTAGTATTTGACTATCTCAATGAACTTCATTTTCATTTTCATCTGAAACTCGAACTTGAACATGAAGGAAAGGATGAGGATACATACCCCTTCTCGGTAAGCACTCTTCTTCTCAGCATTCAGTCTTGAAGCCGTAGAGCTCAGTGCCCGTGTCCCAGACACATTGGGCACTGGAATTGACAATCGAGATGTAAGACGGGTGATTTGTCGTAGAGACATTTTTGGATTTGATGTGGATGATGGAGTATGGGGAATTGGCGGGAGTTTTGCGCGGTTCTGGGCTTGACGAAAAGGGTTTGGCGTGGCTGGTTTGATGTCTTGGCATTGAGATGTACTTGGATCCTTGTTCATTGGTATGAGGGATTAGGAGGGGAATTGATATGAGATTTAGCAGGAATTGATCTATCAGGTTATTGGAAAAGTAGCAGTATTTATTTGTATACTTTTTTTCAAGGAAGATTTTGGAGGTGTAGGGAAATTGTGGTTGATGATACAGTGTGGCTAGTGCTATGGCGGCTTATAGAATGTTGACGCGAATAGCCTCAAGTATGTACCAATCCGGAAATCTTGAGACATCTTGAGCTGAATACATTGATTGAACTATATTATTCCCATCTAATGAACTAGTTGAATGCAATAACACACATTTCATTTGTTAATCTTGTATACACTTAAAACCAGTTATGATGACTCAGCAGTCACATGATATCAGGTCCGGTTCAATTCTGGTGGGCAGCAAAGGGAAGGAGCCACAACCCAAAATAATAGAAAGCTTCCCAGATGCGATTCTCCACGTCCCTGACGCTCTCTGACATCTTCTTTGACCACCATGACCTCCCCATCTTCCCTACCTGAAAAGGGCCGAAGATGCCTCAAATTGGGTCGGAATACATCCAAAATACATTCACTGAGATGATTAACTCCTTTTGATAAGCTTAACCCCAGTTAATCAATGGTTAATTCACTGCATTGTGGTGGGCAATGCCTTCGGGGCACCTGGGTAGGGCGACTATTCACTCGGGGTGGTCCGTGCATGTGATTACTAAGTCTGCGCCACATTAACTGTGGCTCAACCCTCACAGTGAATGTGCCGAGCGCGAGTCCCTTCCGCCTGGGGGGAACCATTCACTCATTGTTGATGCGAACATAAAAAAAGAAGAAGAATCTCAGCCTGGAATCTTTCTTTCTCTTCGTCACAGATTTCTGTCATGCTTTCTTGCTCGACTTCCTTTCCCCTGTTTAGCAATTATCCTTGATTGTTGTACCTCCCTCTTTGTTTTTGCCCTACGGAAGGGCTTCGCGTCGCTCGCATTCTAGTCATCGCTGGTCGAAGACCTGATTGCTATCTCGGTAAGCTACTTACTTGGTTGTCCTTTGCTTGATCTCCAGAAACATCTTTGGGCATACACTCAAGCTGTCCCGAGATCGATAAAGCCTACGCAAAATGCGCCCCATCTCTATCATGTTCTCCAGGTCGCTAACGATTTATCTTCTAGTGTTTTCCGTTTCTTATCCAACCTCGACCTCATCATGGCTCGCGGTAATTCCAAGCGCTCCCTGGAGGAGATTGCCAACATGTCCGACTCCAACGACGAAGATTGGAGCGAGACTGACCACCGTCCGCGCTCGCGACGTGGGAGCCGAAAGGCAAAGGGCAAGCCAAGTCCTAAGAAACGCTCCCGACCCTCGAAGAAGCGCCGTCGCAACTCCCACACTATTGTGTCTGATGAAGATGATTTTTCCGACGAAGATGACCTGTCAATTGAAGAGGAATTGGAGGAATCCGATGATCCTAATGTCCCCCGCAATGCCCGCGGCACCGCTCGTCGCAGCACCACCACTAAGAAGCGTCCGCTCTATGAAGAGCCTGACTCCGATGCCGATGCCGATGAAGCTGAAGATGAAGATGAAGATGAAGATCTTGATGCCGAGGGCGAGACTTTCGATGAAGCCTCCCCAAAGAAAAAGTCAAACCTGGTTACTTTGAGACTCCCTCCTGCGGTCCTGTCACAGCCCGCTTTCACCTCTACCCGCCGTACTACTCGCCGTACTCGCGATGTCTCTGAAGATATCGTCGCCTTAACTAACTCTGGTCGTCACATCCAGACCGTTCAACGGGGTACCAGAAGCCCCTCTCCCACCATCATGCGTCATGTCTCTCGCGGTGCTACAGTGCCCCCTATCACTGAAGAATCTGTTATGTCTTCCGAAATCCTGGCTTCTATGGAAGTATTGGAAAGTGATGCGCCTGACGTGACTATGGAAGAAGGTGTCGTTCCTGAGTCGGAGAACGGGGACGCAAAGAACCAGGGCGATGCAGACGATGAATACAGTGACGATGGAAGTCCAATCAAGCGACGAAGCAAGCCCACTCAGTTTGAGCCCAGCGCCGGAGAAGAGACCGAGCATTCCAAGGAAAAGCCTGAGACTGAGCCTCGCCGATCTGGTCGCAAGAAGCCAGTAAAGAGCTCACAGAAGAAGGCCGAGGACGAGAGCGACTTTGAACCCGAAGAAGAGGATTCTAACGACGACGTCTCTGAATCTGAGAAATCATTGGCCTCCCCACGGAAGAGCGGACGCGAGACCGAAGATGACAGCACCGCTGGTCGTCGTGCAGGACTACGCAAGCGCACATCTCAATCTCATGGCCAGTCTGATGTCGACGAACTTGCTTTCGAGATTCAAGACCTGCGCGAAGGAAATGGAAAGCCGCGACGTCGTGTCCAAGAACCGACCACTTACGATAAACCACGCCGCAATGTCAAGAATGTCGATTACCGTCTCTTTCGCCCTGAGCCCAACTCTAATGACGCTGAAGATGAGGCGGCTACCGATTCACACTCTCGTAAGGGGCGTGGTGGAGGAGGCGGCGGCGGCGGCTATCAACGTATCCTCTACTCAACCGCTGGTCCTTTCGGTGGCACCGGTCTGACGTCTATTCTGGGTCCCTCTGATGCCCTCGCTGGAGCTGGAGGTGAGGAAAGTGACAGCAGCGATGACGAGTTCGAGCCATCCAAGGCCACTGGTCTTGTTCCACAGACACACAACGCTGATGCGCAGCTCGCTGGAACGCCGGCCAACTTCGGCAAGCTGAAGGATAAGCAGACCTTGGCAGATGCCGACCCATTGGGCGTTGACATGAATGTCAACTTTGACAGCGTGGGGGGTCTGCAGGGGCACATCGACCAGCTCAAGGAGATGGTGTCCCTCCCCCTCCTGTACCCGGAGATCTTCCAACGATTCCATATCGTTCCTCCTCGGGGTGTCCTCTTCCATGGACCCCCAGGAACCGGTAAGACTCTCCTGGCCCGGGCGTTGGCAAACAGCGTGAGCTCTGAGGGCAGAAAGGTCAGCTTCTACATGCGGAAGGGGGCCGATACGTTGAGCAAGTGGGTTGGTGAGGCGGAGCGTCAATTGCGTCTTCTCTTCGAAGAAGCGCGTAAGAACCAGCCAAGTATCATCTTCTTTGATGAAATTGACGGTAAGAGATCTCACTTTACTTTCAGTTTCCTTTTACAAATATCCTAACTTTTCCCCATAGGCTTGGCTCCCGTGCGATCTAGCAAACAGGAACAAATCCACGCTTCGATTGTTTCAACTCTCCTGGCATTGATGGACGGTATGGATGGCCGTGGACAGGTCATAGTTATCGGTGCTACCAACCGCCCAGATTCAGTCGATCCCGCTTTGCGTCGTCCCGGTCGTTTTGACCGCGAGTTCTATTTCCCCCTACCCAACCTTGAGGGCCGACGCGCCATTTTGGACATTCACACCAAGGGCTGGGATCCCGCCCTCCCCGGTGAGATCAAGGATGAGCTCGCAAAGATCACGAAGGGCTACGGCGGCGCTGACCTGCGCGCTCTCTGCACCGAGGCTGCACTAAACGCCGTCCAGCGCAAGTATCCTCAGATCTACAAATCCGACAAGAAGCTCATTATCAATCCAAAGCACATCGATGTTCTTCCCAAGGATTTCATGATTGCCGTCAAGAAGATGGTCCCCTCTTCAGAACGATCTACCTCTTCAGGAGCATCCGCCTTGCCGCAGAATGTCGAGCCTCTCCTCCGCCAAGCATTGGCCGAAGTTCAGAAGGCTTTGTCAGAGGTCCTTCCCATGCGCAAGAGACTTACTGCCTTGGAAGAAGCTCAGTACGAAGAACCTAACGATGGCAATGGCTTCCGCCGCGAACAGATGATGCAAGAGTTCGATCGCTCGCGTGTCTTCCGCCCACGTATGCTCCTGCGTGGCCCGCAAGGAATGGGTCAGCAATATCTCGCTGCAGCCCTTTTGCACCAGTTCGAGGGTCTACATGTCCAGGCTTTCGACCTCCCCACCTTACTCAGTGATTCCACCCGCTCGCCTGAAGCTGCGGTTATTCAACTCTTCGCCGAAGTGAAGCGACACCGACCAAGTGTGATCTACATCCCTAACATCCAGACATGGTTCGAAACAGTTGGAACTACTGTCATTTCTACATTCCTTGGTCTACTTCGCTCACTCCCTCCTTCTGACCCTGTCTTGCTCCTCGGTGTTCTTGAGGCCGGTGAAGATGATGTGGATACTGCTCTGCTTAAGCAGTTGTTCGGTTTCTCTAAGAAGAATCTGTTCGACTTGCCGGCTCCTGATAGCGACGCTCGTAAGGAGTTCTTTGGAAAACTCATTGAGTACGTCAAAACTGCACCCTCCGATTTTCCAGACCCAGAGAACCGCAAGAAGCGTCAACTCGAAGAACTGGAAGTCGCACCTCCGCCTTCACCAGTGACTGCAGCACCGATTAGCAAGGAGGAGCAGAAAGCTCAGAAGAAGAAGGATCGACAGACCCTCAATCTCCTTAAGATCCGCATCCAGCCCATCATGGATCAGATCAAGAAATACAAGCAGTTCCGCAATGGTGTAATTGAGGAGGGCCAGTATAAATACTTGCTGGATGAAGCAGACCCCAATATTGTCACTAGTGACCTTCCCGATGAGCAAGGCGTCCCCCGACCATTCGAGAAGGCGGTTGACAAATACGGTGCTCCCGGCCTCAGAGAAGTTGCCACAGAGAAGTTTTTCTACAACATGGACATTGTAATCATGGAAAAGCGTTTGTCGAATGGGTTCTACAAACGTCCCATGGACTTCCTGGCCGATATGAAGCGAATTGCAAAGGATGCACGCCAGACCGGAGATCACAACAGAATTTTGCGCGCTAATGAGCTACTGTCTAATGTCGAAGTGGACATCTCTATGATTGAACAAGCTGACCCGGCTCTTGTCACTGAATGTGAGGGCGTTTACTTGCGCGATCTCGCTCGAGAGAAGGAAGCCATTGAACGTGCCCGCAAAGCTGAAGAAGAAGCAGAAAAGCTGCGACTGGAAGAGGAGGCTGCCTATGATGCAGCTCTTGCAAGTGTCCGCCCCATTACACCTGCCCATCAGATCACTGCCAGCTTCTCAAATGGACTCCAAAACGGCGGTGGCTCCGACCTGAACGACCCTGGTAACAATGCCCAGAGCAATGGTTCTCACGGCGATGCCGACGGCGACGTTTTCATGTCCAACTCTGAAGATCACTCTGTCAGCAAGAATACGCAGGTCAGCTCGTTTGGACCTTCTGCTCAACCTAAGCCCCTCTACTCCCACACCGCACCTTCTCAGCAGATTCGCCGTGAGTCCGGCCTGTCGAGCTTCTCGCAGAAGGGTCCCATGACGCCCATGGCTCCTGGTTCTCAGCCTGGAGATTACACCAATGAAGCATCCACCACCCAGACCACTTCCTACAAAAAGTCCTCTGAGCACTCCTCTCACCAGCCAGAGAACCTGCCTAGCCCTCACATCTCTCGTCACGATTATCCCGATCTCTCTCAATACCCCGACCGTGTCTCGCAGGAGGAGCACCTCCCTGACACACAGCAAGGTGGCAGCTCTCAGCCTTCGCCGCGTGCTCGCGACTCCCTCGAACAATCACAGCAGAAACCACAGCCTCCTCTGTTCTCGGCCAATCTGGGCTCTCTGCTTGTCGAGGAGCCAGCCCCTCAGCTGGCCCTCGACCTTGACTACGTCAGCCGCCTTCATGGCGAGCTGACCCGGCAGTCAAGCAGCTGCTCCATCGAGCAGCTGGAGCAGATCAACACGGCCCTTATGGAGTACATTTGGCAGATGCGCGGGGAGTGGGACCGCACCTGCGTGGCGCAGGGTGTCTCCAAGACCTTTAACGAGGTCTTGGAGGACATCCTGGCCGCGTAGGGCGGGGAGGGCAATGTGGGCCGGTGTCTTTTCTTTTCTTTTTTTTTTGATTCTTATCATTTTTATTTTTATTATTATTATTATTATCGTTCAGCGGAATCAAAATTATTTTTATCATACAAATGAAATGGTACTACTAGATGATAGAACATGTCAATGATTAGATACTACTACCTAGTACATACACCTGGGCACATGTATCAATGGAACTTTGAGCTTCCAAGGCCGAATCAATGTTATCTAATACTATGTAATTACATACCTAATGGTACTTACCATGTACCTGGGTGAATAGCTTTGGACGGAGTTCTTAGATATTTTGCTGGTATAAGTAGAATATAAGATTTGACATCAGGAATTAATATTGAGTGCTAGCTTTGAAACTTGAACTTGTATACTACCTATGTACTAGGTAGTAATGAAAGTTCTACTAGTACTAGCCCTGGAGGTAGATTGAAGCCTGCCCAGGCGCCAGGTAAGATATTCAAGTCTTACCTAGGTGGAGATACTACCTAGGTAGTATGTAGTAGTACTATACAACATTCAAGTTCTCTCAAGTGCTCTTCCAACTCACCTCCAGGCACCTGGGGCTTCCTATTCCTTTAATCTTCCCGAAAATCCACTCACTACTACTACCTAGGTAATAACTTCAAATACTACTGGTAGTCACCACTTAGCCTTTCTCCAAACTGTTAAACTGTTCCTGCCTAGCACTTGCTCATTCTTATTCTCCGGCTCTACCTCGGTACTTGTCCTTTTTCCTCCTTTACTTTTATATTCATCTTTATCTCCCAGTCACAACATTTGGACTGTCTTATTTCATGATGGATATAGGGTGTGAGATCATCTGGTTTCTAATATATCAATAATCTTAAACCTTGTTACTTCTACATAGTAACGTTGTAACATTTGATCTTCTTACTCTTCTCATTCTTCTTCTCACTCTTCTTCTCACTCTTCTTCTTCTCTCAAAAACATCACCCCAATGTTCCTATGCATTGAGCGATCGCTGCCAGCGTGCCAGCACTTGAGGTACCGCCCTCCACTGAGACCTTTAACGAAGTCTCCAGGGCTTGCAAGGTATCCAGATCATCAATGATGCAAACATTGACTCCAATTGGAGCAAGCGGCTGATCTATTCAGCAACTGGAGGAGATCCATACGTACCTCATGGATTATGTGTGGCAGGCGCAGGGGTTATGGGGCTGTACCTCCGTTCAAATATTATTCACTTCAAATCATGATCCTACAACCTCCGCCGACTCCCAATCTCTGCTCGTCGAGGAGCCAGTCCCTGAGCTTTCTATCGACCTTGCCTACGTCAGTTATCTTCATGCTGAGTCGACCCGGCAGTCAAGCGGCTGATCCGTCAAGCAGCTGGACCAGAACACCTAGAGCGGAACATTGAAGCTATGGCCAAACAAAACTACAGCCTCCATTATTTGCCGAGGTAGCAGCTAGCCCTCCCCACGTCCTCGGGACTCGATCGATCAGAAGGCAGTCCCAGAATCGGCCACAGCCATCGCTGTTCGAGGAACCCTCACTCAACATTCAGTCGCTCCTGATGATGGACCTCGAGTTCATCGCTCACTTTCATGGGGGGGGGGGGGTCAGCCGAGAAAACAAGCGGCTGCTCTGTGGAGCAGCTAGAGCTCATCAGCACCTATCTAATGGGTGTTGCTTGGGCTGCATAAGGGGTTTGGGACCGCACCTGCGTGGCCCAGGATGTCGCTAAGACCTTTAAAGAGGTCTTGCAAGGTATGCAGACCATACCGACATTGGTTCCAGTTGAAGCAGGTGGCTGCTCTATTGAGTAGCTGGAGTAGATCAACAGGCCAAACTTCTAGAGTAATGATGGGCGTTGGTGATTCGGCGGTGACGTCTTTTCTTTCTTCTTTCTTCTTTTTCTTTTTCTTTATTATTTTTCATCATTATTCAGCCAAAATGAAAATATTTTTTAATCGTGCATATGAAATAGTACTAGTAGAATAAGAATACTTCAAACATTTGAACATCGAATGTTACTACCTAGGTAGTAGTAGATATGGAACTTGAAGCTTCCAAGGTTGAATCAATCCCTGGAGGTGTCATTCAATATCAATTGTCTACCTAACGATCCCTGAGCGAATAACCTTGGATGGACTCAGAGTTTCTGGATCTATGGTGGTACGAGTAGAATGAGTATAATCAATCTTAAGTGGTAACATGTATACTAGTAATGGAAGTTCTAGCAGATAGAGGCATTTTAGGGCTACACGATACTACCTGTTAGATACATCCACCATTCGATGTTGTATCTACCTGCCAGATATTATAGCCTACTAAGTCAATAATTCATGCAAAATTAAGCCATAAAAAACCAAGTAGCATTTGAATTTATATAATCAATTATTTCAAGTAAAAGAGCCTTGATAGAGCATAATGTAGGTTATTATACTACGTGTTCTGCCTGAGGCAGAGATATGATGTCCTCACCATGTGATCGGGGATCCACCTTAAACACCTGGCCTTTGCATTTACATGTCTTTGATACTTACTCCGTACACCCTTCCACTCCGCTCTTTGTCAATTTGTCAATTCCACTGGAATATGACCTGAGCTTAGTGGAAGTTTCTATCCTAACGTCTATAACCCGAAACGCCTACAAAATCCCACGCTAGTGGTCTCTACAACTATCTCGTGTCCCTACCATCATCCACACAATCATGGTGAACTGGTTAAGTCTCGCCGTTCCTTTCGCCTACCTAGGCATTTTGATCGGCTCTCTCGCAACATTCTCCTCGCTCTATCGCAAGCGCAAGTCTCGTATGTACTCTTCAATTCCGATCGCGCGTCCTGAATAATATCCCGATCCATACCCCCCTCCCTTCCTAAGCTTCTGAAGCTTCTGGCTACCAGTGGTTACCATATCAGACCTTACAGCTAATTCATATTCAAATTAGACAAGGCTGCTTCTCTTGAACCATGGTTCCCAGCACATCTTCAACGCGATATCTACTTCTCCCTCCTTCACCTTGACCCCTCCGCACAAAAAGAAAATCAGAAAAAGACCCCCGCGGCCCCTGAGTCAGTGCTCAAGGCTGCTCTCCTCCGTCGAGCGACAGAAGACATTCGTCGCGTTCTCGCCCTGCGTAGCCAAAAACAGGCTCTCTCTACATTACTGCAGCGTGGAAGTGTGGGAGATGATCTCTGGCAACGGTTCCTGCGTGCAGAGAAGGAAATGGAGGAGGAGGTTAAGGATGTTGTTGCTGAGGTGAGTTACACCCAATATACAAAATATACACTCTTGATTATCATTTGAGGTGAAAAAGAATCGCGCTAACTTGTTCCAGGCAAATGACTACGTTCAAGGATGGGGCCAAACTATCTTCCAATCTGCCAACGAGATGATCCAGAATGAGGTCTACCGCAAGCGTATGGCCGAACAACAGGAGAAGGTCGCTGAGGAGAAGGGGTGGTGGAATAAGAAGAAAGCTACTACTAAGGAACAATTCATGAAGGAGTTGAATGAGGGCGCCGCATCTCCTGTTCAGTCTCCTGCGAAGTCGCCTAACCCTGCTGCTACTTTGACACCTTCTGCTCCGAGTACAGTGCAGGGAAGTGACGATGAGGCGGTACTGGTTGAGGCGGAGCCATCAGGTGGTGGTGGCAAGAAGAAGAAGGGAAAGGGCAAGAAATAGATTATTGACTTGTAAAATTAATTTTCTTTTCTCAGCATTGGGTTAATTCATTTTTTTTCTTTGCTTTGCTCTGGTCTTAAGAAAAATAAATTGGAGTATAGTGCTGAAAGCTTCGGATATATGGTCTATGGATATGAGATATTCTTATTATGAAGAGGAGAATAATGTAAATCCCACACATGGAATCAAAGATCAAGAGAAATAATATACAGGGCTTGGAATAGCGAAAATAACAAATCCCGAAACGCCAGTGCATGCAATGCAGTTAGTTTTAATGGAACATCCAAGTTACAACAGTTGACTGTCTTCCACACCCAAGGGTGAACCAAGATTAAGTTCCTCGAATCCCATCTCTGCTGCAGCGCGGTACAGCTCATCTTCAACTTGAGCTGGATCCAGTCGCTCAGAACGGCTTAAAACGATGCGTAGTAGTTGGCCCATGATCTCGAGCTGATACTGTTGCGTTTCGTGTGGATCAAGCTGTTCGAGACTCAACCCTTGTGCTTGAAGTGCCATGGACTTGCGCTCGCCAAGCATCTCTAGAAGACGGCTGACTTGCGCAATGTTCTCTTTGCTTCGAGGGGTAGAGGCTAGTCGACGGAGACGGTGTTTTGGTGTACCAGCCGGCACACCAGCCAAACGAGCAACTTGAATCACAATTAAGCGAGCGGTGTCGTTATCTGGTGCGAACCCGAATGCCATCTTCATGGACTGGAGTGCCACGAGTGTACCGGCGAGATCTTTCGATAGACAGAAACAACGCACGACCTGATCATACAGTTCCTTGGAGAACTCGGAATTGGTGGTGTTGCGAGCCCTTGGAGGAAGTTGCGCGTACCACTGCATCATTCCAGTAAAGAGTTGCCGCGCCGAAGGAAATTCTGCATCGAAGGTGGTGCGACCTCGATCGTACTGTAGCTTTGCACAGTCCCATAGACATGCATAAGTTTCTAGGTCGGGGCGCACGGAGGTAGACATTTTTCGGAACCTGGCCCAAAGAGAATGAATGTCTTGCTTGCGTAGTTCGGCATAGAGGAGGTGGTTCATGAAGTATGAGTTTGGTTGAATGTGGGCATCACTGAGACACTTGGCCAGGTACTTGACCATATCGTCATCTCCTCGGCGGGTATAGTGCAGGAGGAGAACGGAAAATGTTTCGATACTGGCAGGTGGCACTTCCCGCTTAAGGAAGAATGGGGTTCGACTGTGGTCGGCTTCTTGATATTGGACCTCAATTTTAGGCACGGGCTTCACTGGCTCATATCGCTTCCAGACAGCATTGATGCGGTGTTGTATCATGGCCCAGCCCAGCCGCTCTGCCTTGTCTCGCGCTTTTGCACTACCGTCACGGAGCCACCCGGCAATCAGACCATTGAGATGTTTGGAGTCTGGACGAACGCCTCTCTCGTACATTAGTTCAATTACCAGTGCGGCTGAGTCGACTTGACCCATGCCGATAAGCTTCTTCATCCAGCTCGCATAGAAGAACCTGTTCTGAAACTCGCGGGGAAGCATTGTGAGGGCAGCTAAAGAGACCTTGTTCACAGCCTTCTCATTGATACTTGATGCATGGAGATTACCAGCTAGACCAAGAGCTGCTTTGTACACGGCCGTGGAATCATTGGCAGGGCTTCGACCCGTCACCATCATATCCTTGAAGATGGCGATAGCAGTATCCAATCTGCCAGCCGTGAGAAGACCGATGCTGATGATATCGTAATCTTCCATGGTCATGTTGGTATCCAAGAATGTCTTCAGTTGTAAGTACAAGGCCCATGCTTTGACCTCCGCTTCCTTCCCTGGGATATTGCCCCATGCAACGATCACCGGGATCAGTACTCTGGCTTGGGATTTATCATTTGCCAAAAACGCCAGTGCTATATCTTGAGCGCGCTGAGGGTTATTCTCGGCGGCGAAGAGGTGAACACCTAGCATCCAGTATTCCTCGAGATCTTCCTTCTTCTGTGAAAGCTCGGCCTGGTATGCTTCCCACTCTTCCAATGCTTTATTTGTGGCACCTCCATCATGTAGCGCCTGAATGTAGGACAGGATCTGTGGTGTGGCGAGTGCTCTGTCGGCAGATCTGGCATCCTGGACCAGGGATTGTAGATGTGTTGACCGTAGAGGTTTTGACAACTGGGGTGTATTTTGCGATTGCCACACAGCTTCCATAGCCTCCGAGGGAGTGTGTCCAGAAAACCCGGAATAGCTTGTTTGCATCGTCGATACGCCTTCCATAGATCCTGACTCGCGCGTTCGTCGGACACGTTTCCGTTATATTGGCGGAGAGATTTTCGGAATCGATCCGCATATGGGTGAGAATCAGTGCCTGCTAGTTTTCTAGCCTCTGACGCCTTTTTAGCCGCTGCTTTGCGTTGCTCCCTGGCAGTGTCTTGCCAATTCTCTTGTTCCAGGGCCATTCCCTCAAATTCTTCCTTCAACATCTCATCCAGCTCCTCGTCAAATACATCCTCCAGGGAAGGATGCGATTTCTCCACGCCTTTTCCCTCCTCATATTTGCGGAGCGCCTCTAGCGCAATTTTTCTATCCTTCTCCGGCAAACTTTGAATGAACGGGCTATCGGGAGCAAAAGGGCCTTTCTCTAAGACCTTGAGCTCCTCCTGAAGCTTCGTAAGCTCCTGCCCAATTTCCTCTCGTTCGGCATTTTCTTCGGCTTCCGGGTCAACCTTATGTCGCTGCTTGCCGGTGGCGTCTTGTTCATAAAAGTTGACCTTATCGTTCGGCCCGCCAAAGTCGAGCCGACGCGCCGTTACGACGCTAAAGGCGCGCTGCGAAATCGACAAATTGCGCGCCGCATTGTAACATCGAGCTCCTCGAACAGCCTGGCGGAGCATATGGGGAATTATTCGGTCATTTGGGGGGAAACAGAGAAGAATTGGAAAGCGATCCGGGGTACAAGAAGGTCGAAGTTCTGCACATCGGAACGCCGATTAATCCTGCCCGTTTGGGTTTAGCGTGCCAATTACCGTCATGATCTCTCTCCTTCTCCGATAGACGCGACTCTCAATTATAACCAGCAATGGATTCTGATGGATTGGAAGATGTGTTGGACTTGTCCAAGGACAGGTCTCAGAATCAGGTATGCCGTTAGCCTTACTGCACTGAGTAATTGTCGTTCAGGAACAACATACTAACATGAAAAACAGGGCGTCTACATTTACCAGCCCGCAAAACCAGGGAAATCCTCCGGCGAACGACCCTCGAAGCGCAGAAAGATGTCATCGATAAATATTACGAAAGAGAAATCCGAGACTGAAGGCTTTGTGCCCTTGTTGAACGGAGACGAGAGCCCCGAGTGCGTGCAATTGAGATACAACACATACAAACAACTATGGGCAGAGCAAGAGGACAGGATTCAGGTACATGGAGCACCGATAGAAATTGGAAGTTGGTTTGCTGACGCTATGTGTCTAAGGTTATCCTGGAAGATGTGGATGCTGGTGTGCTGAAGGATGTATCGTCTTTTGTGAGGGATACATCACCACAAACGTATGAGAATCTTATCCTGGCGCAGAGAGATTGGGGCTTACAAAATCATAGATCAAATGGATGTATTCCAACGGCTCTAGTTACAGTTGGATCGAACGTTTCCTCGCTGAGTCGACTACTTGCCCGACTTAATGATCAACTCAAATCGACCAACGAGGGTGGAGTGGTGGTGCTTGAGTCGGGCGATGCGCCTAACCTGAAGACTTCCTTGAAAAACATAATTCGAGCTGCAGTCACGAATACGGAAGGGACTGATGGATACCAGCGCTTCCTGACTGATCGGACTGTACGTGTTACTACGCAATCTTGTTTCCAAGCCATTCTGACAGGATTTAGGGACCGCGTATACTCGGATACGACTTGGATCTGCTCCACGATTATGTTCAGAGAAGAGGCACTAAAAAACTTGTCCTTGCCCTGCGAGACAGTGAAGCATTTGACCCTGGTCTATTGACAGATCTATTTTCTTTATTCAAGTAAGAACTCCTTTTCCATATTGGTTGAGCCAGTTACTAATTCACAATTAGATCGTGGCTTGATCGCATACCGTTCACAGTCTTGCTCGGAATTTCAACATCTGTTGAAATTTTCGAAGGAAGACTTCCTCGAGCTTGCGTTGCAATGCTCCAGGGTCAACACTTCGAGGTTCAAGAGGCAGGAAACTGTGTCGATCGTATCTACGAGGCCCTTCAGACAAGCTCGGACGGGAAGATGTGGGTTGGTCGCAATATTACAAGCACACTGTTTGAGAAAGCAAGTGACTATTTTCAAACCCCCGAGGCCTTTAGCCGTATGGTCAAGGTAATATAACCTTTCATCTATTCAGTGAGACTATGTTTAACCCCAGCCTAGTATGCATGCATGTCGCATTTCTTTGCCAACCCTCTGGCCGTTCTTCTGGGAAACCCAGACCCATCCCTATTAAACCAGAACCGATTCTGTGAGGCGATCAGGAATTTGCCGTCATTCCGAATGTTTGTCAATCCCTCACTACCTCTCTCAAGTGCTTGTACTAAAGAGAATGTTTCAGGTTTTGCGAGGATCTGCTAGAAGTAGGATCTACGAACGAGGCGCGCAGTATGATTGAGGATGATGATTACCTTCTTCGGGCAGCTTTCGACCACGTTAATGCGGGCCAGGAAATAATGCGTCAGATCTTCAGCGCAGTGCTACTTATTTACACATGCCTCCAACACACCCAAGCTACCAAGAAGGCACCTGTCTCGGATATCTCTGTGCGCGCACTCTCTGGCGAGCTCAGCGAGTCTCCTCTGGTGGAAGATATGCTTGCCACATTAAGGACTTTGGACTCAGACAAGTTGGCAGACATACTGATCACCCTTCCGACTTTAGCAGAAGATTCCCCTCTTACAGATATCCAAGCCGATCTGAAGACACTACTAGAGACACACTCGGATTCGTTACCTCTACGCAGCGAATACAACGTGAACAGCTCAGTTGTCAAAACAACTGTTGTCCAACAACGAGTTCTACTCACGAAGGGCAAGGCAAATCTCAGGAAACAGGATGTCGAGTTCACCCAGATCATCGATCGCCTGGTTTCTGCTTTACAGGTGTATTTTGCTGAAACCTTGGTTTCCCCACAAGAACTCTTCATGCATGAAGCGTTCCTATTCGATTTGCGCAATCCTTTGAAGGAGACATTCACACCTCGGCCACGATTTGCCATCGAACGGGCCCTGACCAGTCCATTCGACTATCTCATGTCTACTACCGCCGATGCCAATATTTCCGCCAAACAGCCGGCGGCTGCGATTTTATACCAGCTTTATCTTGAGTCGGGTGCATTGGTGAACGTCCACGATCTCTGGAAGGCCTTTTACGGTGTCTATGAGAGAGATCAAAGCAATCAATGTGACGAGCGTGTGGTTATGGCCCTGTTCTATGGGGCCCTGTCCGATCTGAAGATGTTTGGAATGGTCAAGAATAGCCGAAAGAAGACTGATCACTTGGCCAAGTCCTCATGGATGGGAATGTAGAATAATGACTATCGAATCAATGGAATTTGCATCTCAATTGCATTTGCCATTTTGGGCGGGGTATCATACACATGCTATCAAATTATCACTAGTGTTTTTTCAGCGACAAAGCTGTTTCCGCTTTTTATTCAAGCGCAAAGATTCAGTCGCATATTAAAGGTAGAAATCAGTCATCTTGGATGGGTCGCTGGATGATATCTTCCCGTCCAAACGGCTGTCCTCCTTCGCTTAGGACCATAGCTTCTCTCCGTCGCCGACGAAGGGCTTGTTCTTCAACACTGCCTTCTCGCGGTCGCCGCGAAGAAGATCCGCGGTAAGAGCCAGCCGTATCTTCGCCATTTGTCATCCATACATCCTCCTCTTCGTCCTCGTCCTCGTCGTCGTCATCCACATCATCGTCATCTTGATCATTCGCTTCTTCGAGCATGCTGCCCATGAGTCCATGGTTCCTCAATTGCTTGACTCCTTCTGGATGCGTAGTCAGAGTACTGAAAATGGAGCTCATGACTGTGTCGTCACCCCACCAGGTCTTGAGGAGGAGCACCACTTCATGACGACGGGAGGGCTCGTCCAAAGCACAAGGGAACGGATATTTGGTAAGCCAGCGAGTCACGATACCAGCTTCTATTGCGGCGGGAATATTTTCCGGGAGGAGAATATTCAGGATCTGGAGCGCTTTCTTTTCTCCAATTGGTCGAGTTCTGGCGAGAACAGGCGAGGTCGTCGGATACGTCACTTCATTATGCTCTTCTAAGAAATTGCAGAGGCAGTTGATAATGGCTGTGTAGGCAGGAACATCACGGAGACGAGTGCAGACTGAGGTTCGAGAAACTAAAATGATCAGTCTTCCGTTCAAGATACTGGCTTTATAGGTCACTTACGGGCTCGATTCGAGACGAGGAAATGAAGCGCAGTTAACGCTTTGCCTCGGCGAACTTTGTTTTTGGATGATATGTCCTCCAGAAGGAGATCGCGCGTATCTCCCTTGGTCGAGCGTTCAGAAATTATCCGAAGGGCCCTGCAAGTATGTCAATAGGTGTTCCACAAGACATGTGGGGACATTCGTACGCAGCTCGAAGGTCATGGCTCGTGCTTTCGGAAAGCTTTAACAGAGTATCTAGCTTGAGGGCTGGACCAGTGTTAGTAAATAATGGATAAATCTCAGCTCGTAGAAAATGAACATACCTTCCTCTGTCCCCTCACTTATTATCTTATCTTCCCGTTCAACATGCTTGATCTCTGTCAGATCAACTACCTGCCGAAGATCTGTTGCAATACCGCGGACAGCGAAGAAAAGCGAGATTCCTGGAGCCCATCAGTTTCCGTATAGTTCCATGGAATTTGAACAGCACTTACCTAGACAGACCCATAACACTCCATCTCCAGAGAATGGAGCCATGATGTATGTGAAGTTGGAGATGCGGAGAGGCGGAGAGGCGCGCGGCAGAATACAGACCGAGGGCGGTGAACAAATTATTTTTTTCCCTCTTGAAACCGCTTTATAGCGATTGCAAAAAACTATACGGAGTACGCAATTCGCTACACCTCACATCACAATGCCGCCTTCTCAGCTAAAACAGCTGAAAGCGTCGCTTCGTGACAGCGGGGTTGTCGGTCCCCAGCAATCTAAAAAACAAAAACGCCAAAATGCGAAAACTGGTGTAACGGCGCAAAACCGGAACCAGCGCAATGCCGCCTTGCAGGCAATTCGAGATCGGTTCAACCCTTTTGAGATCAAAGTCGGCACCGGTCGAGGAAAGTTCGATGTGACTACTCGGGATGGTAACTCGGCTAGTGCAGTGCGAGAACGTCCAGGTGTTACGAAGTCACTCGGCGAAGAAAGAGTATGTGAAATTGAAATTTACTTTCCAAGGTTGGAGACTTACACCGTTTTTTTTTTCACAATTATAGCGTCGTGCGACCCTTTTGAAGGAGATGAACACTCGAAACAAAGTCGGTGGTCTGGTCGATCGACGATTCGGTGAAAATGACCCGAGTATGACACCCGAAGAGCGAGCCGCCGAGCGATTTGCGAGAGAAAGCCAGAAAAAGATGCGTAAAGAGTCAATGTTCAACCTTGAGGAGGATGAAGATGAGTTTCAGCTTACTCATATGGGTCAATCTTTGTCATTCGATGAGGCGACCCGTGACGACTTCGAGATGGGTGATTTGAAGGACGACGAAGAAGACGACGAAGAGTTGTCCCGAAAACGCAAACGATTCATTGAAGGGGAGGGCGAGGATGAGGATTTTGTCGACAACCCTGAGGGAGAAGGTCTTCATGAGCGGAAGAAGTCCAAGGCGGAGGTCATGAAGGAGGTGATTGCTAAATCGAAATTCTACAAGCAAGAACGACAACAGGCCAAGGAGGATGATGACGATCTACGTGATCAATTAGACAAGGAACTCCCCGACCTTTTCGAAGCTTTGCGAGGCATGAAGGCACCTGCGAAGCCGGAGCCCCCGAAGCAAGATCTAGACACCATGAACCCGGAACGTGCAGCTATGCTCCAGGGCCCAGAAAAGACAGAGGCCGAGAAGGAGTATGATCAACGACTCAAGCAATTGACCTTCGATAAGCGATCCCAGCCTACAGACCGAACAAAGACGGAAGAGGAGAAGGTCGAGGAGGAAGCTGAGAGATTGAAGAAATTGGAAGAAAATCGTCTTAAGCGAATGCGCGGTGAACACGTTAGCGACGACGAGGCGGAAGAATCTGATAAGGATTCTTTCTTCCAAGATGATGAAGAGTCCGACGTGGACGACGCCGCGGCTTTCGGACTTCCCACCATATCGTATGAGCCAAGGCCAGAGATGGGTGTAGAAGACGAAGATGACTTCCTCATTGAGGATGACCTGGTCGAGACAAGGTCCAATGCGAGCTTGTCTATGGGTGAGAGTGATATGGAAGAGGAGGAGCTTTCAGATGACGAGGCTGAAGAGTCAGAACAAGAAGACGAGCTCATCAACGGAATGTCATTACCAGCCGCCAGTGCCACATCAACAGCGGTCGCAGCCAGCCAATCTGCCGATGGAAAATTGGCGTTCACCTATCCTTGTCCTGACAGCCACGAGGAATTCCTTGATTTGATTGAGAATGTGCCTACCCAGGACGTTTCGACAGTCATTCAGCGTATTCGTGCTCTGCACCATCCCCGTCTTCATCCCGACAACAAGGCCAAATTGGGTCGATTTTCCGAAATCCTGATTGAGCATGTCTCGTATATGGCGAGCGAAACCGAGAACCCGTCCTTCGCTTTGGTGGAAAACATTCTGCGACATGTTCACTCTCTGGCCAAGACTCATCCCCTTAACGTGGCCACCGCTTTCCGTGCTCAGTTGCGTGAGATCTCGAAAGAGCGTCCCTTGAACCTGCACGCCGGTGATCTGGCTATCCTGACAGGCATTTCTACCGTTTTCCCCACATCGGATCATTTCCACGCTGTTGCCACGCCTGCTCATCTGTGCCTGGCTCGGTTCCTGGGTCAATGCTCAGCTACTACTCTGTCTGACTTTGCAACTGGTGCTTTTGCCACGACTCTTTGTCTACAGTATCAAAATGTCGCGAAGAGATACATGCCTGAGCTGGTCAACTATGTTCTGAATGGTCTGAGCAACCTGGCCCCAACAGAGCCTACCATCAAGGTTGGATCCTTCCCGTACCGAAAGACCCAGGAGTCTGTCCGCCTGGCCGCATCTAAGAAGGTCACTCCTCGCAAACTCCACTTCCGTGATATCACAGCTTCTGCCTCAGAGTCCGAGGCCGATGAGGATCTGAAGATCTCACTCGTACTCACATTTGTCTCTCTAATTGATACCGCCTCGGACCTATGGGCTGAGAAGGCCGCTTTTACCGAGATCTTTACGCCTGCTCAGGACATCTTGAAGGATCTGAAGCAAGCATTCAAGAGCAAAGCTTACATCGCGGCCCGGGATCCCGTTCAATCAACACTGGACAAGCTCGCTTCCCATATGGAACAATCTCGCCTTACCCGCCGCCCACTTCTCCTTCACAACCACCGTCCTCTGGCCATCAAATCTGCCATCCCCAAGTTCGAGGAGAACTTCAACCCAGACAAGCACTACGACCCCGACCGCGAGCGTGCAGAGTCCAACCGTCTCAAGGCGGAGATCAAGCGCGAGCGCAAGGGTGCTATGCGGGAGCTTCGCAAGGATGCCAGCTTCGTGGCTCGCGAGAAATTACGCGAGAAGAAGGAGCGCGATGCCGAGTACGAGAAGAAGTACAAGCGTCTTGTTGCAGAAATTCAAAACGAGGAGGGTCGTGCTGCGAACGAGTACGAAAGGGAGAAGCGAGGCCGCCAGGGCAAGCGCTGATTCATACCTTATTGATATCCTTTGTCCGGACCTTTGCGATACCATGGCATTTATTTATCATGTCTTATGTTTTCTTTTTCATTCGGCTGGATTGGTACATATTTCTTTCCTTTTTGCCCATTTTATAGAGTGCTAATGGATCGATTTCCGTCTCGGATCAACTTCATCTTGGTTAGTAGTTCTTGGTTAATGACCATTACGGAATGTAGACTTTAAAATAGTAGTAAACCGAGTATCCCTGTAGATGTGCACAAGCCTATTACTATTGGCATAATGCATAATGCTCACTGGCATTCATCTAATAAGTGCGCACATGCTCTAGCTTGGTCTGATGAGTTGCCATTCATCTTATCCCTACATCATCCTCCCACTCAATGAAATCGAACAGCTTAAACTACATTTATATACTCAACTTGAACTGGACTGTGACTGCTATCCATTGGCCAAATTAGCCAAAGACGTAGATTTGAATAGATCAATTGTAATTGATTGTGCCAATTTAAATGTCACCTTCTTTTTCAAGGCTGAACGTTCAATGAAGTACTAGTAATAAAACTTGATACCTTGAATATTTTATCTTTGAATTCAAGTTGGAGGATATGACATGACTTCAAAATGAAATTTACTTCATTGTATTTGCCTCAAATATTTGAAAGTAGCTTCCAGCTTTTCAATAAGCAAACACACTCGTGGATATTTTGAGTCCTAAGTATTCAGGAGTTAGCTTAGAACTTGAACTTGAATCCATTCAATTCAACATCAACTCCACTCTCAAGGGGAACTCACTACTCCTACAGGTATTTCAAGTACCCTAGAGATCCGCCTTTATTACGAAACGCGTGTTGAGATTCATTTACTAACAAATTATATGGAATAGAATCTACCATGGCACCCGTGTTGAGACCAGGTGTACTAGACCACCTGTTCATCCTGACATGATATCACCTTCTTCCTCACCTCAGACACCACACAGAACACACCCCCTGTCACCCATTCAGGTCCTTCGACTACCTATCAACCACTTGCCCGAATTCTATCTCCTTGTGATAACAACGCCCAAAGCCTTAAAAAGGCTGGGAAGTCCTGGCCGCTGTAGGCCAAAATATGACCGGACTGCGTCACCTAGAGCTTCTAAGCGTTCTTTTCCTCGCCGCATGCCTTTAAGCACTCATTCAAGTGGCCTTGAATGAGTACTACCAGTAAGAAAGAAGACTCTCGGTGTAGCTCTTCTAGGTATTCTAGCTTTCCCCGCTTGAATGAACATCTGTGCAAGGATACTTGTCTAGTGGATACTAACTGACTTTTATTTCATGTTGCGCCCGAAAAGTGACAACCATATAGACAACCGTCAATGGTTCCGAGGAATTCTCCCCTCCGTGGATAAGAAAGACGCAGGTGCCAGGCTCTTGCAGATGTAGAAAGAGAGGGGGCCAAGATCCTCAACAAAGGGGCTTTAACGGTCGATCCATACCTTTCCATCCGCGGCAATGTTTCGTGATATCATCAGACGTCGTGCTAAGCAATGCTGTGTGGATGGACATTTTGCAGGAAACCCAAAAACTTGAAGTATCAAAAAAGAGGGAACTGCAGCGAGACATACCCAATTGCACAACTTCTGCCGTGGATGATTCTCCAATTCCTTGTGGCAAAAGACTATGCTAGTGCAAGATTGTGTATAATGTACTCGACGTGGACAGCATGGGTTTTCATGGAATACAACCCCAACTTGCCAATCAGGGATCCAACGCCGTCACAGGCCGAGGCGATTGAATTGACTAGCCTCCGAGAAAGAGTTTGAGACTTTTGAAAGCAAGCGGAAGCGTCGCGCACCAAAAGAAACGGTGGGATGAACTCCGTCTAATCAAGTTGTAAGTAAAATACCTTGGTATTCATGACCCAGTGACTTACATATACGATGCTAGATAGAAAGACTATATTGGTGATTATTTCTTACAGAGGATAAATGGTATGGATACACGCTGCTCGAGATCCCTTATGATAGCAGCTAAATCGGGTCATATACTAACTTATATGTTGGAAACATGGGACTTCAAGTTTGTTAAATAATGGCCATTGACTGCCAATGCCTCGAGGGAGGGGGTTGAATTCTTCCTGCAAGTTTCTACCGGACCTGGATATAGTATTGTTGAAAAGCGAAGGCTTGACCGTCTGAGAACTGACTATATCCTCGAATATTCAATGTTGAATGAAATTAATTTGAAATAAGTTGATTCTCTTAACTCTTATGCAGATTGATAAAATGTGTGACTGCGCTCAGCTCCCTCTTGCCACCAGGGACAATGTGTCCACCAGAGTGCCATATCACGGCGGGCTCATTTGCATCATCTCTGTAACAGCTACCTACTAATTTCATCGAAGATTCTTCTTCTACAACAGTATCCATACTTCCAAGGAAATGCAACATTGGGGTCTGGATGGCGGGATTATAGAAAGCACGGTAATCCGAATGGGAAGCAGCATATCCTGAAATACAGACCACAAACTTGAGAGGAGGATGATTGAGTTGGGCGAAGCAATCTGGATAGGGGATGCCACCCTCACCCTCGGAGCTCAGTCTAGCGAAAGCCTCCGATCGATTTTCTTCAAGAAGAGAGGCAACCATCGCAGCCAATGCCCCACCTTGACTGAACCCAACGATTCCATCGAACGGGCCTGAATCCCTCAGGATTGATGCGATAAGTGTCAAAGAGGCATCTAGGCCGGGAAAAGACTCGTCAAGAGATTCGGATTGAAACCAGGTCCACGAGCCGTGTTGGTTTCGTACTTTGGACGTGTCGCTGGGTGACTCATAGGCTAGCGAGAATGGGGCTGTCGGGTATATCAGTTCGGCTCCGGGTTGATTGGAACCTGAGCCGAATGCCCGCTTGAGCAATTTCTCTAAGGCCTGGAGTTTGGCAGAGAAGAGTTCCCCCGATTGACGGGATCCTGTAATTTTGTCAGAATTGAGACTTAGGCGACTTTGAGAGGCGGTAATTACCATGTAGCATCAATATCTTCATTTAGGCGGGAGAGTTGGGTATTCGAAGAGAGTGCTTGCGAATAAAAATTTCCAAATTTTGGTCAAATCAAGTTGAAACGGGGGCCATAAATGCGGCTTTGGAGTCAGACCATCGGTGATTGGGGTCTTTGGGGTAGCGCGAACATTACGCTAGTATCGCAGACTAAGACATACTAGTACAGTAGTACGATGGACCCGATCAAAGGAGCTAGTAACGATGCACATATGGCCATTGCAAGGCTCTCTAAGTAAAAAACATGTAAGACAGTATGCATGCTTTGTAGTCTGTAGAATATCGGGAGGCTCTCCTGCACTGTATGAGTCCTTGAAAGCGTCTTCCTCTTTGACTCCATAGACACATGTGCATCTATAATTGCATCTCATCTCCATCCGCTCGCAAGATAGCTCTCATATCTGTGGCCCAGTTCTCAGAAACCTGTTTTTCCAATGATTTCAATACTCGTCGGTTTCCATTCTTCAACGCTCTGAAATACCAATCATCTTCGGTGGTTTTCTCGGCATCTTTAGATATGACTCGCAGCAAGTTGTAGGTTGACATCGGATCAACAAACATCTGGAAACTCCTCCTCCTTTCATCTGAATAGATGTCGAGTAGTTCATCGGAATATCCTTCCTTCAGTATCATTACTAAACTATCATGTAGCGCCATTACGTCGAGAAATCCAGTATTAAGACCTAAGCCACCGAATGGCTGGAATGGTATGTTAGCAGATATTGTTGCAAAAAATAAACATAACAAAGACATACATTGCATATGTGAGCTGCGTCTCCTGCAAGGAGTACTCGACCCCTTCTCATAGTGGAAGCGAGACGCTGATGTATAGAGTAAATACTCTTGTTTGTGATCTCATAATCAAGTGGCCTTGGACCAGGCATGTAATTCTCGTAGATAGATTCGACATACTCTGGACCGAGTAGCTCATCGTTCGAGCGAGGGTCATTAACTGGTAAACCGATTGTGTATCTCCACAAACTCCTCGTACCTTGTTTAGGTTCCATGAGTGGAGTAATCACACCGAAATGGGTCTCATCCATTATGAAGGATGTCGGATGAGGACTCTCTTCCCCAGGCTGGTTATAGATCAAAACATCGGTTGCGAGGAGCTTCCTGTCCCAAGTATAGCCTGCAAATGGAATATCCAGCAACTTTCTGGTCTTTGATGTAGCTCCATCTGCGCCAACCAAGTAGGTACCAGAGAGGCTGAACGAAGATCCCGTGGTCATATCCTTTACAGTGATGGAAACAGTATCATCGATATTGTCCTGGATACTCTCCAGATCAGAATTGAAGCGTACTTCAACACGACCAGTGGAGACCGCTTCCTTTAATAGTAGCTCCGAGAGTTTTGCCTGAGGAAAGTGTAGGGTTCCTGAGCCTGGAGGCATTGACGGGTCCACAGTTTTGTGTTTCTTGAAATTGGCGACCATTTCTCCCAAGTCCTTTCCTCCAGAATCATTATCAATTAAGGGCTTTCGCCAGCATGGCCCCACTGAGATGAACCCGCCCATTGCTTTGATTTTGTCGTAAATCCCAATTTTCGCAAACTCATGCTGAACGATTCCAGCGTGACCGCAAGCTCGAGGAAGCTTACTAGTTGAGTCTTCCTTTTCGATCACAGTTGAGTTTATTCCAGATTGTGCTAATTTCAAAGCTAGGAACAGACCGACTGGGCCTGCACCAACAATGAGAATTCTTGGGGAGTCGAAGCCGGTAAGAGCATGATCATTGGTTGGCATGATGAAATGTGGTCGATCAAATGAGGTGTTGATTCAGTTGAAAGTCTCTTTTCTGAGAAGATTTTTGAAGATGAACAAATTGCATTTAAAATGGATGTCGCTCAGGGTGGAGGCCCAGTGTGAAACCACGGGACTCGGCATGTTCATGCATAATCTTCTGGGTGCTGAGCTTAGTCTTTGGAATCAATACCTGAAAGCCTGCAGAGATCCCGCAGAAATCCAATCTATGCAAATGTGCATATCCTCCACTCAGCTTGGGCCGTGTGGATGGTCTCTTCGAATGTTGTTGGGTACACCTGCAGCTGATTAATTCGAATGCTTTTTGTCCTGCAATGAATCATTCTTGTAGTCCGCCACCATCCCCGTCTTCAAACAGCGAATCCCTGTGTTTATCGGGTAACTGCATCAAACTTGAAGGGGATTCCCATCTTTTTGCCTGGTTGATATTGAAATTAAAAAGAAAACATGCAAGATTCCCGGTTTACAATAGTCCACATTTACGTCAGACAACATCTCATGTATTTCCATTCCTCATGGAATGAATCAAACTTGAAATCGTGGTTTCACTGCTACAGTTTCTATTAGATCGGTCCGATTACTTGATAATAGTATCTCAGACGAATACTAGCATACTACCATCTGAAATCATGGATGAATGTTATGCACAGAAATTCAATAGTATTTGCATCACTAAGATTACTGTCTCAACTCAACCCCAATACTAATCAAGTACTCGCACCGACTCCGTTGACTCGATGGAACACTCTCCATCTTTGTCTGGTTCGTTCGAATGAAAATCCGATTATAAGCATCATCACCCGATCCCCAGGTATTCCACTCAGGACTTGAAGAGTCTCGAAGAGTATTAGGATTCAAAGTTCGAACAAAACTTGTCCAGTACCCCTGCATCACAGGAACAATACCCGCATTACTTGTATAATAGGATGCTGGTGGAGATGTGCTAACATAACCCGGTCCCCAGATTGCATTCACTTCAACGGTGTGAGGTGTACCAAATCCCTCGGTTACTTGTGTTGGATCTAGCACCGCGTAGTGGTAGTTCCAACTTGGTAATCCTGCTTTGGCGTAGACTGAGGACATCAACGTCCCGGGACAGATGTACCGAAGCTCTCCGTAGGCGTTACTAGCGGGTCGCCAGTATGGTCCTGTGTTGGGGAAATTCCGAGTCTGGTCTTTTCGTAGATACATGTCGTTGATCTTGTTTATTTGGTCGGTAGATATACTTGGGAATTGGTCCTTGATAAAATTGTCGGCTTGCTGCACGCTAGAGGTGTTTGTTGGAACGAAGATGGTTCCCTCGTTGGTATCGTCTCCGAATATTACCGGGACTTTGACAAATTTCCCTTCTTCGAAAAGAGTGATCGTGTGATCTTGCACTAGGTCCCCGTCGATTGTCGGACTGTACAAGTACAACGGGTTCCCTGGAGCACCTGGCAATGGAGTGACGATGTTCACACTTTGTAAGGCGTTGACGTTGAGATATCGAAGACATGATAGAGTGTCATTGCTCTTGTTACATCCTGATCGAGTTGCCAGTCTGTTATAAGAGAACTGACTTTCAGTCACGTTGAGCATTGCTCCGAAACTCTGGGATTCAGCTGCAGCTCCAACAAATAAACCGTCATCCCGACCACCGTAGGCAGAGAGTAGAAGTGTGACTGATGCACCACCAGCACTATCTCCACCGATAACGACATGATCGGGATCACCTCCGAACTAGAGCTTGTTAGTTCTGGATCTGATGAGTCGATGTTCAGTGCTTACCTTGCTGATATGCTTCTGCACCCACTCAAGAGCCTTAAGTTGGTCCTTTAATCCGTTGTTAAGGCTTGCTCCTCTTGCTATCTGGTTCGATGCGAGGAAGCCAAAGGGTCCGACGCGGTAGTTGAAGGTTACAACCACGATATTATTACCAGATGCTTGAATCAATCCCGATCCATTATAGTTGGGATTAGTCAAAGCTGCAAAGCCACCTCCTTGAATGAAGAAGTAGACTGGCAGCTTGTCGCCAGCAGCAGCAGCCCCTTTTGGCGCATAGACATCTAGGAATAGGCAGTCTTCTGCAGTATTAGAAGGGACGGCTGTATTCAAGCTGCTAGCGACTGGAATACATAGTTTCCCATGCTATAGTCACATGTTAGTGAGGACGCGTTAGAATGTAAGATCTACAGAGCTCTTACCTGAGTAGCCTGCTGAACACCTGAGACCACAGCAGGGTCCTGAGGCGCCTCAAATCGCAAGTCACCAAGTGGTGCAGCAGCAAACCGTATTCCAAGCCACTGGGAAACTCCCATGGAGGTTGAGCGACCTTGATACTTCGCATAGCCCAAATCCACGACTGGAGAGTCAGCCAGAACTAGCGAAATTTGCCAAAAGCAAAACAGTAGAATCCACATTTTGAAATGGCCTGACTCTTTAGAGGGGAAACCTCTCACTCCATGGGGCATAATAAATAGAGTCGGGATTCAAAAGAAATACCGATACTAACCTTGAACAGGATGAAAGGGAACTTCCCCCTCACACTCTCTCCTTTCTTAATAGTATTTCCCTAGCTCCATTTTTCAATAGATTGGATCAAAACAACGGATAAACACCCTTGCATTCGGGTCGGAACTATTTAGTATAAACCAATATTATTCCAAGGTTAAATCGACGTGACATTGTTAGTGGCTGACGCGGACTCCACCTGATCTTTTCTCCCCCGCAAAAATCCATTTTTGAACTTGGAGCTTTCCTCATCTTGGACATCCCGGTCCTCCTATCTTTCATCAGTTCTTTCATCATGTCGCATGACGAGGATGATTATATGTCAATGATCATTGAGGAACCAACTCAAAAGGAAACTTTCACTCAAAAGAAAAAAAGACAACAAAGAGAGGTACGTTCCATCCCAGTCCAGCCACATTCCTTATTTCCTACGCCCCTTCCGTCCACGCATAGACCTTTCTAACCTTCTTTTTTTCTTTTTATAGGCTGAAGCCCGTGGAAGAGTCCCTTCTAAAGCTGAACGTGCTGCTCAAGAAGCTACAAAAAGAGATGAGGCTCTAGCTACGAGTACCTTGGACCCTTCGAACAAGGGGTTCAAGATGATGGCAAAATTAGGCTTCAAAGCTGGTGATACCCTTGGAAAACGTGATCCCACACATTCAACCGAAGATACTTCCGAATCGGCGCTGCGAATATCTCGAGCGCGTGCTGAGCCTCTCAATCTTATCTTTAAGGAGAATCGCGGAGGTATTGGGTTGGATACGGAGAAGAAAAGGAAGATCCGGGAGGAAGCTGAGGAGGCAACTAAGAAGGTTAAGCGTGAACAAGGAGATTATCGGGATCGTGTCCGTGAGGAACGCGAGTTACGCAAGACGGAGGCACAGCTGCGCGGTGCGCAGAAGGTTGCTGAGAGGATGGATATTGAAGCAGAGGAGGGTGGAGATAAGGGTGCTAATACGGGCGCAGATCAGGCTGAGAGTGATTTCGGTGAAGATAACGATGAAAAGCGTACCCCAACTGATGATCAGGACGGCACACCTGAACCTGGAAATCAGGACTCGAGATCTACACACTCCAAACCCAGACCGAGCAAACCGATCAAATCTGTTAATATCCTCTACCGGGGACTAGTCCGAGAACGAGAGGACCGAGAACGTGATAGACAAGCACAACATGCACTACATCACTCCCTCCCGTCGTCATTCTTTCCGAATAAGCAGTTACCAGGCTACGATGATGGGGACTTCGATCGCGAAGATAAGCAGGCTATTGGGACTAGACCGGGTCCATATATGGCTGCGGTGGAACAAGAGGTTGATGACGAGGATCCAGAACTCGACGAGTTTAATGCGCTGGAACCCTCCGAACGACTCGAGAAATTAGTGATCTATCTACGGGATATGTATCGCTATTGTTTCTGGTGCAAGTTTCGCTATGAGACTGATCTGGAGTTGACCGGTTGTCCTGGTCTTACTGAGGAAGACCATGATTAAGTATCTTTAACCACCAGCTTCTATTGTACATTACGAGTGATCAGACGAACGGGCTGTAGAGCAGCTCACAAAATTCATATGCATTTGTGCTGCTGATTGCAGTATCAATATAACGATTCAACCGACTGGGTAGTCCTAGTATACACAAAAGCCCTTGGTATCATAACAGAGTATAACAGAGAAGATAAAAGAAACCAGTATAATCCACAAATTTAATGACCGTCGATAGAATATACTTTATATAAAGCATCTTCTGTGATCCGATCAAGGCGCACCGCGCCATGCAAGAAAAAATAAATAAAAAAACATAAGAAAATTCACAGATGGTTATATCAGTTAACCTTCTCCAATAGCTCATCGAGTGATCGATTTTGGCATTTCTGCAAAGTCTGATAACAGCTCGCGCAAACACGCAAGCAACAGAAAACGCATCGATGCCGGATCTCTTGATCATGCTTGTTGCAGGTTTGGCAGGGTAGCGGGCACCATACATTCTGCGCAACGGGCATATTCCGATGTTCCTGGAAACAGGTGAAATGAACCTTGTGCAATGGTGCAGGAATGGGCGTCACTGCAGGTGGGATAAATGGGGAAGATTGATCTTCGCGCATCGGCTCCTCAATGGGGCTTCCGGGACCTTCGGGAGTTGGGATGAAATCCTCGAGAGGTGTGTTCGCCTCGTTATCTTCTTCTGGAGTGGAAATCACAACGGGAGGAGTAGGCTGGTATGCTTGGTATGTTTGTTCGCTTGGAACGATCACTGCTGGACGCTCGGCTGGTCGAACTGGCTGGGGAGCAGCTGGCGAAGGTGGTGCGCGCACCTGAGTCCGCGGTGATTCGATCACAGGTGAACCCGCGGGATATGGAGATTGTTCTTGCGGTTCAGGTGCAATTACCGGAGGCTGGGCCGCGGGGAATTGGGGAATAGACGCATTCTTGCTAACTTGCCGGCGTGGAGGAACAGTTGTCGGGACCTTTGGAGGTGGAGGAATTTGAGAGAGTGGGCGTGGTGGCAGTTCCTTATTCGGAGGAGGAGCACGTTGCGGTGGCGGCGCAGGTGAAGCAGCATAGGTGTAGGCAGGTGGGATATAGATCTGCTCATCGGGAGTTGCAGGTTTGGACTCGGATTTTTTGAATAGGGAAGATTTTGAAACGGCCCCGTTTTTCATGCCGGTCATAGATGGCATGCGCAAGCCACGGGTGCGCTTTTCTGAGTCAAAGATTGCCATTATAAGGTCAATTGACTATACTCCGTACAGTCTTTCAAGAAGAGGCTGTAGTGGGGATTGCGATTATCAACGCCACAGGGTATGACGATCTCGATCTCCAGGGTCGATGGGTCTCCGTGCGCAATTCCGAGATTGGATCAGGGACTTCAGGGTCTTGACGGGATCAATAGATATTGTAAAACCCTCAGTGTAAATGAGATGAATAAGATAAGATCAATTGGATTGAAAGGATCAAAGAAAAGGGGAATAAGCGAGAATCCAACTCGGTGTAAGAAAGAAAAAAAAATTCCATGGAAATGAGTAGGCCCCGTTAATCTTAGACTGGGTGGGGAAAGAGACTAAGAGTTATACAGCAGGTTTTGATCCCCACTCTGAATCCCCTAAATGAGAATCAGAGAGATCGACTGATCCGTCATCGCTTTTTCATACCCGATGATTTCAAGAGAATGCAGGATATTCTTGGGTCTTCCTAGACCAGCGCAAAGTGATTGGATAGAGAGGAATGCGATATCCGATCGCGGTGGAGAAAAGAGTAATTTGATTAATTTGATTAATTTGATTTGTTTCATACGATCCCGAGATACCGAAATCAGTGAGAAATGAGTGAGATGGGATCAAAATGGATCAAGATGGATCAAATTCATGAGACCCATCACAAATCGGGTCGTATAATTCAGCGCTAAAATTCAATAGATCCAAATTCCGGTGTCAAGCCATGGAAAGCCACGCAGTTCGTCTTTGTATAGTCTAATGCACCATGAATTCTGCAACTAACCCCTGAGTTGGTATCGACATTCCATAGGTCGTGCACCGGGTTCAGTGATATCATTGGTGATTCCAAGGTTATGATCTTCTGTTTTCGTCATCATCCTTGGATGTACAGTATTTTTTGTTTTTTAAGCCATTTTTACATAGTGCAAATTACGGAGTATACAAGAGCTATTCTACTGTTGGCTGTTGGCTGTTGGCTGTTCGCTATTCGCTATTCGCTGTTCGCAGTTTGCAAAAGATGATCATTGAACTTAACTATCGGGTTCCGCAACGGGTATGTAAGATCGGCGTTCCCGTGCGGCCTGTAGGTTTTTTACCGTTAGTCTTCGACAATCACGGATAAAGGAATTCAAGTGGCTGAGTGCCGATTTTAAGCACTGATGCCCACCTGGGTGGTTATGCAGATTATGCTTACCTCGAGATATCGTTCAATCCATGGCTTGGCAAGTGCCCATGAGAGGAGACCCCCAGTAGCAAAGATAAAGATAAACACCACCGCTTCATCTTTCCGGGAATCGCGCTCTATTTGATTGTCAGTCTCGGTCCTTGTTTCCTTGCCTTATCACTTATATTGCAGCTCCGGCATCTCCCACTCTCATATGATCCACTTACGGAAGCAAGTTGTAAAGACATCCTCCTCCTTAGCTCCCTTACACGTTGGGAGCTCGTAGTTCAGGCAAAATTTGCGATTGCAGTCGTTGCAGCTAAGCGCTCGATATTTCTGGGCGCGTGGCTCAATTTCGTGATCATCTTCGGTAAGTTCGAGTCCTAAGCTATCGAAATTTCGCTCGTAAAGCTTGAAGACATTATTGATGGTCGAGGATCCGGAACTGGATTTGGAAGGGTCAAGTGGAATGATGGTACTATTCGAGAAGCAGGTGCATTTGCAGAAGGATGTCGGTGCTAATCAACAAGGCAAAATGGTTAGCATGAGCGCTGGTGTTCATACACTGGTCTCCACTTACAGGCAGCTAAGGTCAAGGATGTGAAAGAAAGGAATGCAAGAATAACTAGCAGCAGATGCGCTTTGCCATTTCCAAGTCCCCTTGAAAGATACATCATGACATGGATTTGTGGCTTCTCCAACTCGTATATGCGCAACTGCGTCCACGAGTGTTAAGATGACGCGGTTATCACTTATCAGTCACGTGGTTTATCGATAACATTTTTGAAGTCAACTGGTGCATCATCTAATCTACATAGTCTGCCAGGTGGTCTCTTCTCTTCTCTTTTCTTTTTTCATATTTATTTATTCTTATCTATCAATATTTTCTTTTTTTTAAACTGAATTTTGGTGGAATTTCATGCGATGAATACGAGGTCTCCGTAATCAAGCAACAAGCTGAAGATGATCATCGGTGTGCCACAAGTGATATATCGTGCCTTAGTCTCTGGCATCTGCATTAGTGGCCCCATTCCAAGTTTGCCTCGGGTGCTGCCAGGCTTAATGCCACAACATGACCTGGCACTAGCATGTAGTAGTACTCCGAGTCCAGGGTAGAAGGTGGAAATCTCAAATCTTGCTCAGACCACCCAAAAAGCCACTAAAATCCCGACACGTCTACTTGCAGTCGATTAAAGTGCCGGCACTCAAGTGCTTGAAATTTAAGGAATGTTCAATTTAGTACAGTAAACTTGAAAACATTAAATATTTTTCCATAAAGCATTAGAATGAAACCCTACTAGAAGCCTCCAAGTGATCATAAACAAAGAAAACCGGAAAGATGTACACAGCACTTGAGTACTACCACGCTGGCTCCTTTCCCTTGCTCGTTTCGCCTTGCTTAGGCTTTCTCCCCCACACACGCCGCCTACGATTAGCGTCAGCTGAGCTCAATAAATGTCATTAATTATAAACGCACGCATAACCATATCCATGATACTTGGTATTCCTCAAATCCAATCGGACTTTCGCCAAGTACACCTCGACCTCATCTTTGGTCCAGGGATCAGGAGATCCGTAATTAGTGAGGAACCACATCGCGTATCCCTCCAAACCAACCATCCAGTGATGATAGTTCAGCAGACCAACCTCTTTCAATAGCTTATCTCTGGGCCATGGTCCCATGGGTACCTTGTAGAGCTTTTCTTGTATATCAACGAAGCCGGCCTGCTTCAGCGCACCCCGCATAGTCTCCTGTGTCGTCAAGGGACGACCGGCTCGCTCACCACAAGGGATGAACATGTGGCCCCATTCTGAAAGTACACTATCTTTAGGTAGGGAACCATCATCGCTGTATACACGGATGTCGAATTCAGTTTGTTCGATCCAGCCGCCCGGTTCGAGGTTCCTAGGTAGAGAACACGTTAATTTAGTTATTCAGGGACAGAACAGCGGTATACTCACTTGTAACAGTTCTGATACAAATTGTCCCAGCCCTTCTCAGAAAAGGATCCAAGTAGCTGACGGATATGGATATAATCGAACTTGTCCTTCCAGGTCCACTCACGCTGGATATCATCCACTTCGAAAACACAGTTGGGAGGAACCCAAGTCGCTGGAGGGGGGAATAGGTCTACACCTCGGACGGTTGCTGTTTTTAGGATCAGTGTGGTGATACCAAGTGGTATAATGAAAAAGAGGTCTCACCATCTGGGTAAGCATCCGCCATGTCACTGTAATACGTCAATAATGTTCCGTAGATAACCAGTCAACTTTCACATACATCGCCCAGCTTCCCTTCCCAGTTCCAATGTCCAGAATGTTCTTATGTTCTGTTAGTGATCTGTAGGAAAGTATTGATCATATTCCTCACCTTAGTAAATTCATCGATAGGGGCTCGGTGCAGTGGCGTAAGGCTTTCATATTCTAGCATGAGGCAAACCATGTGGCTGATAGAGATTAGTCCAGGTCTATACAATTCATTTGAAGCAAGATATCAATTCCTTTGATCAGGGAATCTCTTACCCCATTTCAAAAGCCTCGAATTGCTTCTCATCCGATGGACTCCTGTATAGATGTATTAGATTATCCTAGAAATAAGGCCCTTTTGGTTTTGACAGACTACCTACCAATAGTCATCTTCTTTCAATGCTTGATATCTATGATTGATTGTCAATAAGTGTATCTGCTAGTTAGAAATAGGGGGTAGGTACTAACCTTCGGCCATTTTCCATGCGACCCCGAGCAATGGCAGAGGCAAGAGATGTGGTCTCTCTGTAGATATCCCATCGTCAGTGGATCCAAGAATATGAAGTCGATCTTGTCAAAATCAGACTTTAACTTACGATTGAAAGTCATCGAGTAGATAAGGTTCAACCTCGGTATGAACATCAGGATCCTGCGTCAGCTGTGTCAGATCTGTTTAAGTTGTTCTAGTCTCTTGATCGAGTTCTTACTATGGCGATCACGTCGGTAGGCATTGTGATAGATCAAATTTGGATAAAATCTGGTAAGAAAGGGGAGGAGGTGTAAGAGGGGAAGTACACGACGATACTTGGACGGGTCAACGGGTGGTATCTTAAGCGTAAGCGGTGATTTAATTCAAAAACTTTGTATGTGTGGCCGTGTGTTGCCGTGCGGGATCCTTTTTCTCCACCATCAATCCCACTTGATTTGGGATTTTTCAGGGATATCGTTCATTTGTGGGATATTCAATTCAGCCCAGGATTGACTCAGTTCAGCTCTATCTAACTGGATTGATGAGTCTCACAGTGGTTATCTCTTGTCGGGAACCTCGGGAACCTTGGGAACCTTGGAACATTAACAGTGTACAGAGGCAAAAAGAATATCTGCATGGGCTGAAGGTGGAAATGTTCTCCCTTCGTCTTCCATTGGTTTACATCATCATACTGGTCATTACTAGCTCCACTAACGGGCCGTTGTCCAGTGGGGCATGCACTCCAAAGGTCCACAGTACAGGGGGAGGAACATGCCGAATGTAACGCCCACCAGGGGGTGGAGACCTGTCATTTCAGAAATATCAGTCTTCTATTTCAAGTACACCAATGGGTAGGTATTTCGCTCTCAGAAACATCGAGGGAGACCTCATTCAAGCTGTGCCTGGCCCTCGTGAGGAGTGTCCCCTTTCATCGCATGGATTCCATAACTGTATCAAGTGTTATCGGTCGTTCAGGACATATCACCCCAGTAGGTACCGATGGAGTCATGCAATCATCCTGACGGATTCATCACTGAGCAAAAATGAAAGTGATATTCCCCCAGATCCCACCACCATAGTCCAGAATGCGTTCGCTTTGACCCCCATTTGTCCGTTTCCAGGTTCATGCACCCAGGCCACAATAGACGCATGACCAGTGTGTCGCTGAGTCTAGTTCCTGCAGTCTTTCCCTCCATGGTGCCCTCTACAAGCTCGCGCCTGGCAGGATTTCTCCGAGTCGATGTTATTACTCTTCGATGCCGGTCATTCTGGTTGTTGTGGCCCGTGCTGTGTAAACATCTTCAGTCGATTCCTTCTCAAATTGCCCTCGACACCGGCGAGTCTGGTTGATGAAGCCCACTGGTTTGCGTATGTCTGGCCACGTCTTAGTGTTGATGTTCGTTGGTGTCTGGGAGACGGGACGCGTTGTGAGGCCTGGGATGGAGAGGAAAGGAGGAAGAAAGAAGAAGTGAGAGAAGGCCAGATGAATACTAGGCGATGAACGGTGTTTCAAAAGGGAAAGGCCTTTCTGCTTTCGCCACAGCAACTGGAATTATCTCTCATTTCAGATAAACCAAACGAAAAACGGTCTGGGGCATATCCAGAGGCCTCCACAGGGCTTTGACACTCATAGAAAGTGTCTCTGTAGCCAAAATTGGAAGCGAGGATTCTGCCAGCATGAGGCAGCAGACTCCAGTGATATTTTGTTATCTCCGTTGGTTTTCTTCTATCAGCGACTTATCCACCTAAAGTTCTACATCCAAAAATATCCACTTCTATGACCCAGCTGAGATGCCTTCACTCCAGGTATCTTGGGGGTTCATCTATCAAAAATGCCACACATGGAGTACCAATCTTTGTGCTACATGAAAATATCTGGTGTGATATCTGATCGATCTGATATCTGGTATCAACCATTAAGTACCATACATTCCATGCCACCATAAGTACCTAGACTGGTAAGATCTTATTTAACAGGGCTTGGATTCACTAAATTTTTAAGTATTGATCTCGGAGCATATAGTAACTTTGTTAGGCAGGAACATTCATGATCATCTGTCTCTTTCCATCTTTGCTCCAAGCATCCTAGTTCAGCTGATTCATTTAAAATTTCTCACCTTCGACCTTTTAGTGTCACATAACTTATTCTTAATCCTCATCTGTTCAATCCCTCAAGGAATCAAGTCCTCTGTATAATTATGTTCTCACATCTGTTGCATCCTCGATCTCTCTGTTTGGCAGTGGCAAGTACGGCTCAACTCCATGCAATGCGGCATTCGTCTGTTCCAAGATATATTTTCTCACAAATTCCCAGAACAGACTGGTCGGCGCAAGATTGGCACTCTTCCCCAGCTCCAGGCTACCCAACTAGCCATTTCACAAAACGCAGAGCATGTTCGACACGTCGACCAACACCTCAAGAATCGCGGAATCGTCAAGATCGGCCTCCAATTCGACGACGACGCCTCTACCTACCTCGAACAGTTGATCCTCCAGTTACACAAACGTCATGGCCACGGACTCCCGATAACTCACAGCGCCTTGCGTGGCTCGCTCTGGGATATACGCCCTCAATTTACCAAGCCACCCGATACTCACACGGCTCGGTCTGAAACCATGAACGAGTTCCCCTGGCATACCGATTGCAGCTACGAAGAATCACCTCCGCGCTATTTTGCGCTACAAGTGATTCATCCAGACAAGTCGGGTGGTGGTACTCTCTCCGTTTTGGATACTTCTCGACTGGTATCTCTCCTATCACCCGCTGCCCGCAAGGGACTCACTCTACCTGAATTCCGCATCGCCGTCCCGCCCGAGTTTATAAAACAGGACTCGAAGACACATATCACGGGGAACCTTCTGCGGATGGATGAAGCCAAGGGGATGGCCGAGCTTCGTTTTCGGGAGGATCTGGTCACGCCGTTGACTGCGCCTGCGGCGGCTGCATTCGAGGAGCTACAGCGGGTTCTCAATAGTGCGGATCTTCAATCTCAAGTTATGCAGTTGACATCTGCCATGCTTCCAAGAGGTTCAATTGTTGCGATAGATAATCGTCGTTGGTTGCATGGTCGGAATCAAGTCCTTGATCCTAATCGACACTTGCGTCGTGTTCGCTGGGACGCTGAGCCCTTCAATGCGCTGTAATTAATATCGTGTTTCTAATTTGTCTTATAGTTTTGCATGCATGCGAGTTTGTTTGTTTGTTTGTTTGTTTTTACTCAAATTCTACCTGAAATTAGACTCCTTCATAGTAATAGTGGAAGTAGTATCGATACTGATCTACTAGTACCCGGCATGTCATATACCCCGATTCGGATTCAAGTTCCCACCTGTGCATGCTCACACAATTCAACAGCTACCACTTCAGCTACTGTCAACTTTCCCGTCACTAGATTCATGATCAGACAGCTCTTGCATTTAGAAAGAGGTTCCAGGCCCAGGAGGTTAACCGTGTGAAACACTTCTAACGTTGAGGCACTTGAAATATTCAACTAGCCGTTCCTTCCTCGAATAACATTCGCCTCAAAGTTTTATCTCCTCCCTTATCTCATGCTAATGTAACCATCATTCAGGGAAATCTGGGTAATTCTTCAAGGCTGAAGCCACCTTTTGTGTCAGCCGTCCTTATAATTCATCACCATCCTCAAGATATCAATTGGAATATCACAGTCTCAGCTTCCAATACCGGGAACTCAAGATGCCTGTATCATTTTCGTCCCTTCTTGCACAGACAGTCCTATGCTGGAAATCATTTCAAGCGCCATCATCTTTGGACCCGGTACAATTGCTTCTTTCTGTCCCTTCAGCAGAGTCCATCCGTGAATCCAGCGCTTTCTATACGTCCAATCCACACTTTGCCGGGCAGGGCTGGGATCAAGCTCAATGGACCCAGGAAAAATGGAAGAATTTCGGAGTCCATGATACCCAAATCATCTCATACGATACTCAGCTACCTGCTCCGACCGACCAACAAAGACTGGCTCTAATTCGAGACTCTGAAGTGCTTTACGAGGCACCTCTGACAGATAGCGTTGGTGGATTCTTTCCTGCATTTTACAGCTTCGTTACCAACGCGAATATCACTGCGCCATATGTCTTCGCGAATTTCGGTTCCGATGAAGATTATGACGATCTGGTAGAAAATGGCATTGATTTGGTCGGCAATATTGCAGTGCTGAAGTCTGCAGATGCATCATCGTATCTGAAAACCCTTGGTCTTGGAAAATCTCGGGAGGTTCAAATTAGGACCGCTCAAGAGCGAGGTTTTGCTGGCGTCATCATGTATCCCGATCCACAAAACGATAATCATATCACAGAGTCGAATGGTTACGCTCCATATCCTGACGGACCAGCACGACCGGCGAGGATGATTGAGAGAGGAGGCATTGGACCACTTGGTAAGTGAGAGCTTTGATATTTCATCCCTTAATTTTAGGCACTCACACTAATGATCATCTAGACTCATATAAAGGAGGGTTGACACCTAAAATCCCGTGCATGCCCATATCATATGCTGATGCCATTCCCATTCTCTCCGCGTTGAACGGATACGGCCCATCTGTTTCTGATCTGGGCAGTCGATGGCACGGTGGGGAACTCGAAATACATGGTGTGCACTATAATGTCGGACCTTCACCTCCTGATCTCTTTCTGAACCTTAGAACCGAGGCATATCTCCACCCTGGCCAAGTGCACAACGTTGTTGGCAAGATCCCTGGCTTCTTATCGGACGAGGTAATTATCCTCGGAAACCACAGAGATGCCTGGGGACCCGGTGCGGGCGATCCCAATAGTGGATCAGCTGCATTGAATGAAGTTGCCCGCAGTTTCGGGGCAGCGATCAGACGGGGCTGGAAGCCATATCGAACCATCGTTTTTGCCAGTTGGGACGGAGAAGAGATAGGCCAGCTAGGCTCTTTTCCTTGGATACAGGAACATTTCCAGTGGCTAAATGCCACCGTCGTTGCATACCTAAATGTTGTTGTAGCTGGGGCGGGGCGCAATTTCCATGTCAAAGCCAGTCCACTGCTGTACAAAACAGCATTGAATGCGATGACTTACGTGCAATCTCCAAATCAGACAGTCGCTGGCCAGACCGTACTCGATGTCTGGAACAATACAGGCACAGGGACCATAGGCACTGCGGGCGGCGGTGATGCTATTCGATTTCAAGGTCTTCTATGTGCTTCAACGGTCGACTTTGGATTTTCCCAAGGTCTTGAAGACAACGTCTTCCCTTATCATTCCGGACTCGATAATTTCAACTGGATGAGCAATTACGGAGATCCCAAGTGGGCATATCATTTAACGAGCGTAAAGCTCTGGTTGGCGATGGCAGCACATCTTTCGGAATCCCTTATCCTGGACATGCAGGCTACTGACTATGCAGAGGCATTGGAGAAATGGGTGAAGAGTCTATTCGAAAATCAGAAATGGTCAGGATTTTGTGATCCAAAGGCTCTTTATGATGCAATTTCACGCTTTTCTCCGGTCGCACAGCGCTTCGACAGATCTGCAGCCTCACTCAAAGTTCAGAAACAAGGGTGCTCCCCGCATCTCAGAAGGGCCATTGATCAAATCAATCAAGGGTACATAAAACTTGAGCGAGCGTTCTATCACGAACCGGGTCTAGATTCACGCCCATCATTTCATCATGTGCTCTTTGAGGCTGCTCCATGGCATACGGAAAAGCCGGCACTTCCAGGACTACGCCGCAGTCTGGAATCGGGGAATTGGACAAATGCAGAGGTTAGTCTACGTTGATCTTATGACTTGCCCCCTGACAAGTAATTGCTGACTAGATCAGAAATGGAGAGACATTCTAGTGACAAAGGTCCTAAAGGCAGCCGACCTGCTTGAGGAGCTCAATCGCTAAGGGTGTAGCTGGGATCAACCGCATATTCCAGGAAAAGTCTGGATGTAACCCTAGAAATTATAGCGCCATTCATAATTTCATTAATCAAGCATTATTCTTTTTGATTTATGATCCTGACAGGTCCGTGCCAGTGCCACTGTTAATAAGATTGACTACCCTTGAACCATGGGGATCCTAGCTATAATCCATTCTGTTTTTGACCTGCATGTGGGGTTCTCGGCCCGTGCAGTCCCACTGGCTGTTTTGATCATTAAGAGCCCTCAAACCCCTTAATAAAATTTTGTGTTTGGGGGGAGTCCTTCAGCCTGGTCTTCTCTCTATATTTGTGAGTCAGCATGTTGGATACATTCATAGGTAAAGACGGAGCCCTTGCCAATGCATCGCCAAGTCCCTTCACAAGTGCAATTTCATAGTCGCTGCGGGCCTTCTGTTCAGTTCCAGGGTCTGTGAAGGTCGTTGCAACATCGAAATCAATCCAGACCAGCCTATCGGTGTTTCCATGAACGAGGAGCATGTTTCTGGGGTAGATATCTCGATGATGAACGCCAGCACTGTGTATCTCCTTCAAACCCTCAGGTGCGTGAGCATAAAGCGCATCTGAGTAATTCACACAATTCAGGCACTCTGCATTTGGGAGATATTCTAGCAATATTGCGCTTGGCTTTAACTTGTCGCGGGCGAAATGTTGAACAACATGATGAAAAGCAAGATGAAAGCAGAATGAAAAGCAGCCGGATCCACTTCGTTGATGGAGCCGTAGAATTTTGGAACAATGCCCCGCTCGCAGACGCCATAAGCAAAGAGCTTCTCGTATGCGTTCGATTCGCAGCGAAATCGGTTTTAGATCACGTCCTTTCTCGGTATATCCAGGGTCGCCGTCGTTGTGCAAAAGTTTCAATGCGTATATCTGTCCATCCAGCTCTACCTCAAATATTGAAGACGCTTCGGAGTGTGAAATATCCCTTAGAATTTTGATTTTGGAGAGATCAGTATGTGTTATGAGAGTGTTTTCTGGATGCATTGTTCAAATATTGTGCTGTCAGAAGGTGGTTGGAGTAGGTAGGTCACGGTCAAAACAAGGGGGAATAACGGAGGCTGGAGGTCCACACATGTGCAGGGGAGAAAGGAGGTCTTTTATTACAGTAATATAAGTGTAAACTTTTGGGAAAGTTGGTTATATGAGCATTATTTCTTGAAAATCACTGTATAACCGTTGTATCGCATTTTTTGTATTCAAGGTTGGCATATTTATTAGGACCCTGAATAAATCATTCAGTTGGAGTGAAATCTTACTGATCGTTGACTCTCAAAAAGCAAAGGTGTCATCCGCTGATCCAGTCAGCCAAATTCGTGGATCTTTAAATGTATCAAGGTCTTTTTTTTTCTAGCGAAATATCGACAGCGGGGTCGTGCCACTCATGAGTCCTTTTCGTTTCGGTCTTATGTAGCGATTCCCCGATATATCGACAGCTACCGAAATCAATGAGAATAAACGACCCATCCGAGTCTGCATCAATCATAATGTTTGCGGGGTTGATATCGTTATGGACAAGTCCAAGAGAGTGAAGGTGTTTGATCGCAGCCAAAAGCCCTTCAAGGCGTCTTTTCATATCCCCTTTTACAAGTTCGAAGTTCGCGCCCACTTGAGCAGAAGCCAACCTTGCCATAAGCGTTGTGGATTAACCGCTTCAAGTAGCGTTGTTGTATATTTTTTGAAGCATAGCCCAGAAACTCGGTAGTCGGTTTCCTGGTAGCCGTAATGAGTTGCGATGTTTGAATGAGGATTTCTGCGAAGAATTTCACACGCTTCGATCTCGCGAGTGATTTGTGATTCAAGATCTTCGTCGGTATATGCGAGAAGACTTGGAGTTTTCACATAAATTGTGAGATCTGGTGCTTGTATGTAGATCGTCCAAGTAGCAATCACTCGAGGGCCTCTATTCTCAGTTTGATTTCCTTGAGCTCTTGCAGATCGTCCAACGTCGTTGGCGGATTAAATCTATTTGTCCATTTTCCGGAATATAATATCCCATCTTGTCTAATAAAGATCTGGACATAGGAGAATTTTATCTTTCCGTCAATCCTTTTGAAGGATTCGGTCTTTTGGATGATCTCCATAATTATGAAATATCAATCCTGATGATATGGTTGATAGGAACAGTGTTTGTAGAGGGAAGAAATGTAGATTTCAGCTCAAGCTTGAAGTTGTATGCCCAACTGCCAAGGTAAAGGCGGGACTCACCCTCCCTTCACTACCCAAGCCTTATAGTCTTCAATATAAAACTATTCTTCTTGAACACAGCTATGGAACATTCAACATACCCTATACGATAGTAAATACTGCCAGAACTCTTTCTAACAATAATCAATCCACCTGTTCGTGCCTCCGGGTAGGTTGTCACAAGCAGACACTCTTGAGACCCAGTTGTCCACTCTGACTCGCCATCCATATTGAGTGCGTAGAGAAGACCATTAGTTAATACAATATTCGAGTCGTTGCAACTTTCAAGATCCTGTAAGTTGATGTGATTATGAGGAGCTTGGAATTCCAGTATGCCGTCGCTTGAGGCTGCACCCCAATTCTCATCCACGGGTCGGATGTGATAGTAAAAGTCATCTCCATCTAAGGTGGATTGAAAGTTAGTCGAATAATACACAGGACCGATCCAGCCTGCCCAGGACCAGCTGGGAAATGTTGAACGGCGTTGTAGTCTTCTTTCAGACATCCATTCGAGACCTCGTCCTCCTGGACTTAATGGAATACCATGATATGGTTTGATGCCATGCCTTTCGCTCATATCTGACATAACGCCGCTAAATGCATTCAGGATATCATCGGGATACGTCAATGACCTCCCGCTGTATTCCCTAATCTGCGTGACATATTGGTTAAATGGATCAGACTCGGAGTCTCTGAGTGATTGCGAAGAGTGTTTTATCGGAGGTAAGACATTTCCAGGACTAGTCTCCATTTTCATCAGTTTCCGACAGTTGTAATAGATTCGATCTGCAGCGAAGATGAACTGTCGCTGGGAGAAATAGAGTTCTTGATACGTCCATCCTCGGGTGTTCCATGTGCTTGTATCGAGAGGATGACGCCATTCCGTAGCTGGATCGGGTAGAGCATGAAAGAGGGTGATGTTGTCTACAGATCCTATGAGCGGATTCATCTGCCGTGAACTTTTGTTCACGCCTGGTAGGCCCGAAGTAGCGTCTTTGCCTGATGCAATAATGGTGAATGCTGATGCACCGTATATCTTGTTCATGGCTTTCATAGTGTACAATAGCTCTTCTGGATCATCCTGCACTATGCAGAGCTGGTCAATCCAAAGATAGCGCAGGCCCATTAGTTTCACAAATTGCATAGCATCGGAAATTGTTGGTTCCAGTGAACTGCAGTCAAGCTGGACATATGTATCCGATGACAAAGCCCCATCAGTAGACAATTCTACAAAGTCTGCTCGATGGAGACCTCTTGAACGGCTACTGCCACTGCCCCAGACGTAAGAGAGAGCCACATATCTTCAATTTAGTTAGTTTGGTGCTGGAATATTCTTTTCTGTGGAAATGCATACCTGCAGTTTAACGGTGCCAATATAACACGGTCTGTCACGACATCAATGACTCTAAATCGTAAGGCTGGATCTCTATATAATGAAGACATGTATTCCTGTGCTTCAGATTGGCACTCGGGATGGGACAATTTGCATTCATTCCAGAATCCGTTCAGGATGGAAATATCTGCCATCGGTGCCCATGCGGATCGGTAGTAGTCAAGAACTTGACGACTCAAAACACCGCACTTGAGCAGATACTCTTTTTTCGCCGTGTCGAAATGGGCCAAACTGAAATGAAAGTGAAAGATAATTAGGCCCCTTGGTGATGGAACAAACTGCATCAATATCCCCATCCTGTAAGGACTCTGGATCGGTAATTAGGGGAAGTCTTTCCTAACTTGAGGACAAAGTTGCAAAGTGTGCAAGATCCCTGAGATTTCACCAAATTGCGAAATTTGACCTGGTTTGCCTTTCTTAATCCTTCTTGATAATAGAAAGAATAGCTCTCAAGCTGAAGAGCACATTCTACCTCTAGTAGGCATTTCCAGTTATACCTGGAGCAGTTATCGCAAAGTCCACGGGCAGCAGCGTTGAATGGCAGTCCTGTTGCACAGATAAAGACACTGGTATGGCTCTCATTCATGCTGCTATTTCTTGTTGGTTCTCGATCATAGACTTTGTGGGTTTGATTTTGATTGTCTTTATATGCCGATCGGTCACGTCTATCATATGATTCATATCCATTGTTCCGAGGATTGTAGCCATTCGGTTCGATGTGCTTCGGATCGCATGTATTATCTGCGTCTTCTCTTTGATTAATACTTCTCTTCTCTCTCCGGCTATCTCCATGAACAGACTTATCACCTTGTGGAAACCAGAAAATCGTTGAATCAACCGGCAAAATCGCGCCTGGCGAAACGAACTCAACGTTCCGTCTCGGATCCGGTGCTCGATCAGTGGGGAATGAAATGGCGCTTTTGTAAATATCTGTGTAAGGGGATCCATCCTGCCATGTTTGAATGCCCTTTTCAGAACTTGAAGGGCTCGGATGCCCTATTGCAAAACTCTCACTAAACATTTGAAGAGCTAATTTCGTTTCCGTTGCCTTTTAGTAGTGTGTGCCCTGTATTTTTGCCTGTCAGGACCTGGTGATGCGTAGATTATTGTCTGTAGGATATATTATGAAGCGATCAATTGAAATGTTTTCAAGAAACCTTGGAAGCCCTGTAGGAACTTCGAAATCATGTTATGAGAGTGGGGTAAAAATGACACAAAAGTCGACGCGGAAGCATTCAACTGTTTAAGCGCTAAAGCTCGCTGAGTGCAGCGAGTGCAGCCACCAGTTGATTTGGACATTGATCCGGAAAGATCCAACTGGATGAGTGTTAGAGACGCTAACCTGAATAGTGTGGCATTAAAAGTCAGCCATTTAAATGCTTTGAATGAACGGCAAAAATGTCAAATATCCATAGATAGTAAAGCGATGCAATCATAATCATAATTGTTATAAAAGCAACTGAGCGTCCCACTTACTGCCACCAACCTACCCTCCGGGGCTGCATTTCTGAATGTCCTGATAGTACATACTAGTGGAATTGAATTGTTCAACAAGCTGCAATAACTATCAAAATGTCGGAAAGCTCAGAAAGCTCAGAAAGCTCAGAAAGCTCAGAAAGGTCGGAAAGGTCGGAAAGGTCGGAAAGGCCCTTTCATCCTCCAAGGACGACTTTTTTTGTATGTAAAACCGCGAGTGAGGTTCAAGTGGTGGGTGATGACTCGGAGGGTTCAAAAATGGTGGTGGAAAGAGAAGACTACAAAGGTAAGCACGAAGTTGCTTCTACTTACTGAAACAATAAGCTGCATTAAGAACTCAAATGGCTCAGGTGCTCCGGATACTCACTCAATAATTTGTCCCTTCAGATCTGTCTTCTGGCCTTTCTTCTGTTCCACAGATAGCATTCAATGCTTCCAAGAGGACAGACGTTCCCTTCCTTCCTGACAAATCGACCCATCTGCTCCGACAAATACGAGAATGGGCCAACAGTCGTGATGAAAAACACATCTTCTGGCTATCTGGTGGACCAGAGAGTGAGAAGACTTTAATTTCTCGCATAGTTGCCCGGGAATTCCACGATAAAGGATGTCTAGCAGCGAGTTTCTTCTTTTCTAGTGGCGACATTGATGCGGGCCACCTTGGCAAATTCGTTACTAGCATTGCATTCCAGCTGACTGAATACTCCGCCGCTCTCAAAGATTCCATCAATGAATGTATTATGGAGGAGGATGACATTTCGAGGAAGGATTGGCGCCATCAATGGGGAAGGCTTATCAGTGGTGGATTATATCGCTCGGTAACAAACTTGAACTCTCATCAACCGCTGATTATCATCATTGACGCCCTGGATGAGTACGAAGTGGGAGACCATGATATTCGAGAACTGCTTAGCTATATAAGCAGTACAAGTAGCACGCTACACCGGGAGGCTGTGCGTCTGCGATTCTTCATTACCACTGGCAGCCGACCGTCGAATCGAATACAAGCAGCATTCGACAAAATAAGTGTGACCCAATATGACAGTTTCGCCCTTGACGACGACTTCATGGAAATAGTGCCTTACGAAGGACAACTGCCTCTACCGCTGGATAATACAAACCCCGCTGAGCCACGAACAGAAGCACTCACATTGATACTGAGGAATTGCACCAAATACTGTCACTATGAAGAAGAGAGAGCTGTGCTTGACTCCACACTGCGAGAAGTCCTGAGTACTAGTCTTGTTCTCTTCGCTCCACTTCCAATTTTTGCCTTGGCTGAAACAATTGAAAAGCCCAGAAGCAGCATAGAAAATATTCTCTCCAACCTCCGTCCACTCGGTCTTTCACTCAGCGACTTTCTTAATATACAGAGCTGGAATGATCTGGGGTTACGAGTTGATGAGAAAGAGGCACATGGTCTTCTAGCAGGGAGGTGTATACAGCTCATGGTCAGCAAACTCAAGAAAAGTCTCTGTGATCTGGATACTACATCTGCGGGTCTGGTGTATCGCAACGGGTTGGAGGATTACATACCAGCAGAACTAAGATATGCATGTTGCTACTGGATTCAGCATCTCTACCAGAGCAACTTTCGGGACAAAAGTGGCCAGATTTTCTACTTCTTGCATAGACACTTCCTCCATTGGTTCGAGGCTCTTGCTTTGTTACAGAAGACCCGTGATGGAATTCATGCAATAAATTTGCTGGAAAGCATGACTGAAGTATTTCAAGGTGTCTCAAACCCATTTTCCAGTTCCTGAGCTAACAAACATCTCACCTGCTAAGAACGCAGACTTATGTACCTTCATCTGCTATATGAAAAAATTCGCCCTCCGTTACCATTCCATTGCTGAGAAGGATCCTCTGCAAATCTACACCTCAACGATCACTGTCCATCACGAGAAGAGCAGAGTGCAGAGGCTTTTCAAGGATCAAGTCCCCAAGTGGATCTGTCTATCCACAAATGCCCGAAACGAATGGAACTCAATGCTGTATCAGCTGGAAGGCCATTCTGACGCCATTGTTGATTTCGCTTTTTGTTGTGATGGCCGTAGGCTAATATCATCTTCCCGAGACTGCTGCATTCGAATCTGGAACACTAATACAGGTGAAGTCATGGAATCTTTCTATTTCGGAAGAGCTGCGCGTTTTTTGAGAAACCCGTCCTCTTTCGATAAACCGCCGTTCCCTTCTGGAAAAATGACGTTGGCTGTTTCGGCTGACGGCACCAAGCTGGTATCGCCGATGTTTAAAATTGTGCAACTGGACACTGTTGTCTGTCAGATAGAGCAAGAATACAGTTTTCAAGGAGAAAGAGTAGCGCTTTCACCAGATGGCAGCCAGACAGCATCGACAGACAAGTCAAACCTCGTCCTAATCTGGGAGAGCGACACAGGCCATGTGCAGCAAATTCTCGATGGCACTTCGCCTCGATCGCATGTCTCGACCAAGGTCTGTGATTGTGATTCCGATTGGCAAACTGGTCTTCTGCAATGGGTCAGTGCAGGGCTAGTGCAGATTCTCGGCTCTCATATCTCGGTAGCTGTCTCAGGTGACGGTATTAAGCTAGCAGGGGCAGGTTGTCGTTTCCCGAGAGGGTATTTTCCGATAAATGGTCAATACGGCCAAAGCTCTGGCTTAATCCGACTCTGGAATCCCAACGCAGGCCAAATCAAGCAAACCTTCAACTTTGACACCACCGAAATGCTAGATGACAGTGGAGAGGATTCGGAGTTACCCTATGCCATCAAAATCTGGGATATTAGCACCGGCGAAGTAAAGCGAATCTTTCACTATAACTATAAATTCTATCCCGTTTTGGCTTTTTCGCCTGACTGTAGCAGTCTGGCGATCGCATTGGGCTCCCACATCCGAATTTATGACCTCAACAATGGGCAAATGGAGGAGGTCTTTGGTGGCCATTCTAGCACAGCTAGTCGCATCTCAACCATGAAGTTCTCACCGGATGGCAGCAAATTGATATCAGGATCAGAAGATACAATCATTCGTGTGTGGGAGGTTGGCGTCCAGCAAAAGAGCAAATCCCGGCCCCATTCGTCAATCTTGACAGCGTTGCGACAGTGGACCTCTCAGGGAGACCTGATGAAACCAATTATGATAGATCTTCCAGCTAATTAGGACTTATATTGACAATAGAATTATAAATTGCTGGCATGATTCTTTTGAGTATGCCTCACTAAGGTAATATCAGATATCCTTCTCTACTACACTTTGATCCCATTAAAAGCCACATTCCCTTGGCAGGCATTCTTGACCACTGGCAACTGCAGGCTTCCAGGGAGCATACGTACTTGCCCAGGTGGCTTGTTTGTGGCTTTTCCATATCAAGTCTAGCGCTCACGGCTTACTTCAAGTTACCGAGCTGCGGGGCTAGTACATAGCTCATCCTAGTCACCCAGGTACCGCTGGCTGAGGGCTTGTGGCTAGCTGAATCGAAAAAATGAATGCTGTTTGACCAAGGGGAATTCGGACGCACTTGGCCGAGAGCCAGAAAAGGAAAACATTTTGAACAATCCTTGTTCCTCATAGGCTTCATACAGCCACGATGTTTATTCTTTGCAGGGTTCGTTCATTCCATCCATCTCTGGAATAAGCCTGCACGTGAAGACCCCGCAACAAGGCTCAGGCCTGCCAGAGCTACTGAGCAAGGTAGGTGATCTCTATCCTAAAGGGAGAGTGACTCTAGTTACGACTCCGAAGGGCACCTTCAGGGTTTGAAATATCTAATTATTATTTTCCACTAGTCTACATACCGAGAGATTGAGCTGTGAGAATGGAAGGTCTTCACATACTTGCGAGGGAGAAATTTTGGAGGTCAAGCCACAAGTTTCGTCGAGATGAGGAGAGACAGTCTTATTGTACCGTTAACATTTCAGTGTCGCAGCAGTTCCCAGCGCAACTGGATCAAAGAACGATAATAGGAGAGGAGCTGCTGCCCTTTATAGCTCATGAGATATCGGGGTCTGACAAACAGAAAAATTCATTGTTGAAGCTCATTCAAATCCCTCGTGAACAGCATAGAATTCTATGCATTTCCCAGAACCTATTCGACCAACTGATAACTGCAATGCGAATCGATCCCTACTTCTTATATCTCATCTGTCAAGACTATGATGGTTTCCATTACTCAAAAGGGCCAAACAACCTGCTAACTGCTTTTATTGGCACTCCAACTTACGGCCTCGTTTGGACATCTCAATGGCAACCGACATCCACGTCGACCATCGCACTCTTCCTTCCCCGACGGAGCAATACCTTCTCTCAATTTAATGATGTTCTGGAGGTCTTTAAGAATCTGGCTCACACTCCGTGTCTTCTTGCATATGTATCCATGGTACATACCTTGCAATTCTTTGACGAGGAGACTAAGATGCGAGAATACGCCAGAATCCGGCTCGTTGAGGATAGCACTGGCTACGGTCCAAATCCACCAAAGGCTGTTCGGCGTTTTAGCGTTAGCGAATTGACATTATGGTCTCAGACCACGGGGGAAATTCAGGGAAATATCTACAATAAACTGCGCCACCATAAAACATCCAGGACACTTCTGGATTTTGTTAGTGACGAATGTCAGCTACTAGACATAGAGGTGGATGATTGTCACCCTCAATGCCGGGATAATATGAGGCGGCTTGCAGAAACGATCCCTGTTCTGAAGCGACAAATGGACGCTTCTGAGGCATATCTGCAGTATCTTCGAGACAGAGCAGAAAAGCTCTCCTCTGTGGTATGGTCCAATTCTTAACAATCGGTTACCTCTAGGACGCGAAAAGGCTAACAAAAGTGTAGCTGATCGCCTTGTTGGGTCACGAGGATGCTGAGATCAACCTTGAAATCGCGGTATCTATGAAAAACGATAGCGCATCGATGAAAACCGTTGCCATTATGACCATGGCCTTTCTCCCCGCAACCTTCTTTGCTGCTCTTTTCGCTGTACCCTCCCTACAATGGGACCATGATGATGTGGTTCAGAGCAATTTTTGGATCTATTGGGCGTTTACTCTCCCTACGACGGCGGTTGTGTTCTTGGTTTGGCTGGTGGTCACAAATCATAACCGGATTTTCAACAGATGGGCCAAATGGCTTTTCCTGAATACGAGAAGGAAAGTCTGAGAGTCCTGAAGGTTATTATAATATTATATTGTCGTGTGCTTGCTTTTCTTCTGAAGATGAGACTTGAAAAGAGCGCGGAGTGTTGATGGAGTCCAAGGTGGATCGAGTATCAATCAACGAAGTTAGGTTAGATTTCATCGCAGAATGCCTCATTCTGGCGATTGGCGGTATTATGAGTGTTTCAATACTTAGAAATCTCATTGACTATGTAATGGCAAATTTAGGCCCAATAGGCATTACCCAACGTTCTCTCTATTCTAATACTAGCTCTAATTGGCAGGGTAATGCCTCATTGATAGGCATCATACAACTTCCGAAGTTCCGATTCCCTGGAAAGCAGCGCCTTCGGGGTATCCCACTCTACGATTTGGCCCTTCTTCAGTACCAACACACGGTCAAAGCGATGAATGTAGGCAAGACGATGCACGACAGATAGAACTGTCTGACCCGAGAAATGCCGATCGATAATTTCTTGCATCAATCGCTCCGTCTCCATGTCAACGCTGATAAAAAAACTTTTAGCATGCCGATTTGTCAAACTGGTGATGGTGGGCTTAACAAAAAAAGAAATAGAGGATCAGATACATACCTGCTCATCGCTTCATCCAGAATCAAAATCGAACTATGTTTTATCATCGCTCGTGCGAGACTCAATAGTTGAAGCTCACCAACTGACCACGCCGAAATGGAAATAGAGCTGTCGAGTCCGCCCATCTCCTCGATACGGTCGGCAAGGCCAATCCTCTGTAGAACATTCTTGAAAGTATTTTCATTAGAGGAATTTGTCGGATCCAAGTTGAATCTTATCGTTCCGGGCATGATAAATGGCTCTTGTGGAATGACATTCAGACGGGAGGTGATTTCCTGTGGTTGCAACTCGGCCAGATTTTGTCCATCAATTTGAATGGAACCGTCTTTCAGTTCAATCATTTGGAGAAGTGCAAGGATGAAAGAAGTCTTGCCACTGCCTGATGGTCCGCAAATTGCGATCTTTTCTCCTGGGTTAATTGAGAGTGAGATATTGTCCAGAATCACTCGATCATCGTCCCTTTCATCTCGAAGTCAGTATTTTAACCATTTCCATCCTAACCTTGAACTGATATGGTCGCAAAACTTACCCAGTCTGAACTTTGACATTCTTGAACTGAATCTGGCCTTGTGATGGCCACCCTGGCTCCAAAGTCCTCGTGGGAATTTCACGTTCCTCCGAGGGCGTTTCCTGCACAAACCGTTCCACGCGTGCCACTGCACCAATGGAGATCTCTGTTTGGGTCCAGTACTGAATCATATAGTTGAGGGACTGACTGAAGGTAAACACCATGTTAAGTGCCACACCAATAGAACCGGGCGTGAATTGATCTCGGAGCGCTGTAGTGGTTGCCACGACTGTTACAGCTACTGCGGCAATGGTTAGATCCAATACAAGAGCAAGCCACTGCTGAACGCAGTAAAGGGCATAGACAGGGTGCTGGGAGTCATTAAGAAGGCTTTTGCCTCGATCTTGGTTCTGAGGTTGCCAGCCAAAGGCTCGAATGGTCGCGGCTCCTTGGATTGTTTCTAGGAAATGAGTGAAGAGTGGAGATCGGGCTTCGATATCGAGCAGTCGGACTTGGCGGGAAGTGCGAAGATAGCATCGTTGAATAGCGTAAATAACAGCCAATAGCGGTGGAACTACCACGCTGAGATACTTTGATACGGCGCACAGAATGACCAGTTTGGCAACGCAGTTTGCACATTCTGTTTTCAAGATAGTTAATCGATGATCAGCGAAGTGTCAAACTATTTCATGCTCACCAGAGAAGGCATTTATGGAGATGATTGGTAGCTTCATATCAATCAGATCCATATCTTGACTGAACCTGTGTATTCTGTTAACTCGGTTTTAACATCTGTCCACCTTGGGAATCAAGAATTACCTATTGGTCAATTTTCCTGTATCCATGGTTCGAAGGAAACCAAATGGTGCTCTTTTGAGTAAATTGTTAGCAAAAACTGCAGTATTGATCCATAATAGGGTTCTTACTGGACTGTTGTCTTCAAAATATCGGAGTGCAATGTCAGAGCGGTATTCGTAACCATTCCTATGATCAGAGCCCTGCTACACATCAGCATTTTCTCTGTATTCCTGGAATCAGGACATTGTATACCAAGATGCAATTGTCAAGCTAACAACCGCTACCACACTAAGCATAGCGTAAACCCCCAAGTACATGCCAATCTGTTGATTAGGGTGCTTTTCGTTTGCTGCTGACCACCAATCCACCCAGAGCGCTGCATGTCTGTAAGAATGGGTCTTTTCATACACTTAGGATGGACTTACTAGGGATATTAGTTGTGAGAGCATTGACTCCAAGGAAAATCACAAACGTAATGCACAGAAGATAACCCGCGGAGCGGCAATAGTACTGATAAACTGACCAGGTACCTTTGCGCCGAGACTCGTCACTGACACTGGCAGTGTCTAGCTCGGAGTCGTCATCAGTGAAAATTTCTTCCATCTGCATATCTGGAATGTGGATAAGCTCTTCGCTTTTTTCTGCTCGAATGCTGGCATTTTGGTGGACACTCGCAGCCCCCATAGACTGGTCAACGTTTTCGTTCACAGGGAGTACGGTTTCCAAATCAGACACAATTTCAAGGTTGAAATTTGGAGGTAGGTCAGAGTATTGGCCTTGAAATTGTATCTTTCCTACATCTAGAAGGATCACGTTGTCCGCTTGTGATAGTAGTTGACCTGAGCATTTGAGAGATTAGCGTCCTATATTGAAATAATATTCGGTAACAGCTTACGGGAATGAGTGGCCAGCACAACTGTGATTCTGTGCTGTCGGAAATATCCTCCCTGTCCAAAAAGTCGAGCACTAATCAACGCGGTTGTTCTGGAGTCTAATCCACTAGCCACATCATCAAGCACCACAATGGGCTGCCTGGAGTACACCGCTCGTGCCAAAGCCTTTTTTATGGTGAGTAACAACCTTAAACTCATCTGAATCGATTCTAGCAGCTTACCAGACGCTGTCTCTGTCCTCCACTCAATGCAACGCCCCCGCTCCCGGCCTTGAAATTGTGATTTCCCGGTAGCGTTTTGATGTCATTGTCGAAGGCACTAGCCCATATGCTGTATTGATACCACTTTTCATCAACTCCTTGTGACGTGTTGGTTATGTTCATTCGGATAGAGGCATTCATGATCCAAGGTGACTGGGCACAGTAGGCGGCTTGTGAAAAGTGTCTTGAGACAGAGCCTGAAAGCATTTCTGTTTCACCAAGAATACTTGCAATTAGAGTGGACTTCCCGGAGCTGATGGAGCCAGCCACCATAGTCACTTTGCTTCTGGGAATGCTAATGTTAACGTTCTTCAGGATCGGTTTCGCATGCTTCGACCACGCAAAATCGGTAGCATTGCACTCGATTATGGTTGATTGTTGTGCGTTTGAAAGAGTTTGCAGGTGTGTACTATCCCCTAAATTGGAGAACCCGGATTCCTCGGCATCATTCTCGTGGGGGTTCATCAAACAGAATGCTTCGATACGCTCAAAACATCCTAGACACTGATAAGTACTAGGAAGAGCTTGGATGAACTTCTGCAGTGGTGTCGTCATTAATGAGATGAGCGACAGCGACGTGAATGCCTGGGTAGAGAGAAGTGTGCTATCGCCTTTCACGAGCGCAATGATGCTAAACAACAAGAAGGTAGCCATCGGAGCGATGTCAACGGGAAAATTAGCTATAGAACTATTAGCCATGCTCTTTTTCAAAAGAATCTTTATCCTCAACCAACATAAAAATATCTGCCAGATGAGAAGCTTGCGGAACTTTCGAGAAGTCTGAAGCTCGACTTTCCGGAGTGAATCTACCAGATTTCGCAGAGTCTCTGAAAGACCGAGCATCTTGACAGCTTTCATATTACTGAGCATGATCGTAGTGAGTTCCAGACGTGTCTCAACCCTTTCGATCCAGCGTTTTTGGCTAGATTTGGACATGGTGGAGATGCGTGTTGTTACCAAGAGACATACTTAACTCAAAGTTTGTCAGTAATCGAAATCGAGATGGTTCGAATGTGTGGTAGACTCTTACACATAGCGAGGACTGCAGGGACAACAGAAGCGACACCAACCTGCCTAGCCAGAAGCCAAATCGCAATACCCACCTCAATCGGGGAAGCCCAGAGCTCATGGATTGAGCGAAACCCGGTTATAATGCGCTCGACATCTGTTCCCATCAAGGTAAGAGCAGCACGATCTTGCAGATCAATGGCCTTGACTTGGGTGGTTTTCTGTTGCAGTATGGATATCAATCCACCCCGAACCATGGTCACGAAGCGGAAGGTTTGACGCCAATAAATTGCCGTTGATAGCTATATTTCAAAAGGTAAGTTTCAGGAACCAAACTATCTAAGAAGGAGGCACTATACTTACCGCATAGCCAAGGTAGACCAAAGCGTACGCGCCAACAAGGGCGTGACCGATATTCACTGAATCAGATAAATCCGATTGCTCAAAATATGAGACCGCTTGCGTGATGAGGAAGGATTGGCAAAAGGTGAACACTGTTAGACAAAGTCGAGGAATAATTGCAGTCAGATATGGAACCAAATAGGCCCGAAATGTAGCCCGTAGCAGGATGTGGGAGCTGTGGCGCTTTTTAATTGATTCCCACCCTGCACGAAGCCCAACCAACGTCTCTGTAGCTTGCAACGGAGCATCTATGGGTGGCAAGTCCTTGATACCCAGGATTTGGGAGAATCCAACTCGCAGAAAAGGTAGAATCCAGAGAAAAAGTGCCCAACTCCACACGTCGCTTCTTTCTTCTCGTGTGGTATTCTGATATTTTGTGTATAAGAATCGCTTCTTAGGGATTAGCTCAGCGCTCAATGCCGCAACTGTCGTAATAAAGACAAGAGTCCACAGGACTGGAATTGGCGAGATTTTCTCTCCTATGAGCCAAAGAGTCCGCAAACGAGGAAGCTGTAGAATTGCTAAAGTGGACCAATACAATGTGAGCATTATAGAAGGGCGAATACCATACTGATCTTCCCAGTAGCAGGCAAGCAGACAAATTGACACTGCGACCAGAGAAATTACGTCTGCTGGTCGGGACAGAGCAGTGTGGAGCTCATTGTTGTGACTTCGGAATACCACAAAGATCAATTGGAAGACAAGAAGTATTCCGATGGTCGCCTGTGATTTTTTTCATAAGCTTGACATATCCTTTTGATCTCAAAATTTCCAATAGCGTATCACTTACAGCTTTTAAGATGACCAACTGATTTGAACGCGACTTCTTCAGCTCCTTCCGACTTAGAAAGAACCAAACAGGGAATATGATGAGGAACAGCGAAGAAGGTAGCAGGTGGAAGAATCCATCCTCAAAGGTCAATGTGAAGTCGAAGTTGCGGCACTGAGGGTCTACTCTTGGGCCAAATAAGCGGTCACTTTCACAGACAGCCATATTGGCTGTATAATTTAAGTTTCCAGGCTAAGTAGATGTACGAAAAAAGCCGTTTAATGATCTAGATGGATATCAGAGTAAATGCGACGCGGCATTGACTATGTACGGAGTAGTAGAGTGAGCTGAAAATGAAAGTGGGGGATATGGCATTTAGGCATCTATCTAGTCTAGCGCATGGCGTTGTAATTTCCACTGAGTTCGCCTGTACTCTTTGCCTAGCTGTGACACGCGGCTAAATATCATGACTCTAAAGATTATCATGAAAATTTATCTTCCAAGACATTCCAGCATCGTGATTAGAGTGTCAGTATTCCCATTTCTGATTTCTACTCCATACGCTGTAGATCGATGATTTATAAGGGCCCGTTGTGGGTCAGTGACTCAGTGGGTAACTTCAATGTTGAACTGGAGATTCCACCTGGGTACTCGAGTCGACCAGCTAATATTGATAATTTGAATCTTCTCGCGCTCTTTGTTTGGGGGTTTAACCTTGGAAGCATTTAAATATCACATGGCAGACTGTACTGTGTAGGTGTTACTACTATATGTAATCCTTGGCCAATCTCCGGGGCTTTCATCTGAGATCTACGTTCGATCCGAATTTGGAAATATGTACGATTCAGCCATTCAAGACCACATTTATAAAACACTACAGAGCACCAAGATAAATCTATCTTAAGTTCCAGGGTTAGCGAAGACCAAGATCCACCCTCATAAATTCAAATACTGTCCAGTCGGGTGGTCCGATGAGTCGGGATCTAATGAATGCCACATGTGCATGCAGCTAAGTAATTTCTGGACAAATCTCCGGAGATGGATTTCCCCCTCATATTCCTTGCAGCTATGGCACTTGATAAGATGAATATCAGCTAATAGAATGGTTGCAGTGAGAGATATTTCTTCAGTGCAACCATACTAAAGGAGGCCCTTCCGCACAAGGCTGGGATGAAAGAACGCCATCCATCAACGCCATCCATCGCACAGGGATTGTTGCCAGTGTTAATTGGGAACAAAGCGTCTTCAGGGCCCTTGGACGTGGCGTTTCTACAGCCTGTTTTGGTTTCCCCTGCTTCGTGTCAGCATTTAATATTCAAAAGCCGTGGACCCTGAGTCTTGATTCTGAACATGCGACCGAAGATAACATCTAGATCAAACTTAATCAGAACACTATAATTTTAAAACCTTCAAGTTCAAGTTACATTCAAAGACATTACCATTATAATCCCAGCTCAAGTTATGGTCTGTGCCACAGTTCATGTGGACATCCGAGGTCCTTCTTACAGTAGTGTGCGTACATCCTTGTTATACCCAAAATTGTCTCCCAAGGCTCAGTTTTTACCCATATATTTTACTTAAAAATTATTTTAAACTTATCAGCGAACCTCGGCGAAAGATAGGAGTCATAGGACTAGCGCAGTGGCAAGATGGCCACATGTATTTCGTTATCTTGGGGCTCCACCATACTCCAAGGCAGCCGCAGCCCTATCGCTCACACACAGACACTAGCTTTGTACAGCAGGAGTCGCTGCAGGACAGGACAGGGGAACAGGATTCCGTGATTGAAATTCCCACGTTTTTGAACTCAACAAGTTCTCACAATTTACGGTGTCCGTCGGAATGGAGCCTTCCAAGGTTAATTGTTTAAGATCCTTGCATACCAAAGTTCAAGTGAAATAGCCGATGTCCGTCCGAAGCCACATGATTGAGCTCGGGCACAATGTTCATTATGCTAATTGTTGACATTATTTGCGACGCCCTATAACTCTGTATAATGGTTCTTAGTATCTTATATGGGGTGCCAAGTTCTTATGCCGGTGAATTATTGGTTAAAGGGGCGCCCGTCAACGTTAATGGCTGACGCGGCCCAATAAGAGGTGATGTTTGCGCCTCTTCAGCCGTGTTGAGATCAAAAAGTACCTCCAGGGCTGGAGTATCGGAGCGTCAACTCCGTACGAAAAGTATCGGATCCTTCTTTCTTTTGCCGCAGATATTCCGTGATACATGTCACTAGTACAAAAATGGTTTACTGCGTCCACTCCTCCACGAGATTATACCCTAGATTGCCACGGGGTACCACGGGGAGAGAGGGAGAACGCCAATATTACGATAGATGATGCGATATAACCACCAATCATAAGATATCGCTTAAACATAAGTAAAACAGTATGTAACCAAACGATCCAGTAACGTCCTTTACTTCCGAAAAGTGGATTTAAAATAATTTCATTTTCCCCCTTCCCCGCCTTAAAGGAAGTGGAGTACAGTGTCGGATCAGGAGGGATTTTCATTTGTTTGTTATGGAGTTCGCTATGATTCACTCCGGGGGATGTACCGTACGTGATTCTTTGTGTACTATTTGTGTACTCTGTACTCTGTACTCTGTAGGTACTCTCCGTACTTCGTACTTGAACGGGTTCCACCAGGATGTCTTACTATGAATGAAGGGGTAATTCAGAGTCCTCAATTGTACTACATTGTAGTAATTGGGTCCCTATTCAACTGTTATCATGATCATCGGCTTAATCTTATTTTTATCTATGTTTATCTTACGTTTTCCATATCTAAGGGCGGAATTGCCGAGCCCTACAACCTAGGATTTCTGGGCATGTACCTAGTACCTAGTATAGTACTTGGTATAGTACAACTCCACTTTGCAATACCCGATATCACAGTTTATCACAGCTTAAAGGTGAACTCTATTTACTATGCAAAATCAAGCTAAAATTCAAGTCTAAAACAAGTCTAAACTAATTTTACCTTAGTCTCGCGGTTTAGTTTATTGCACGCCATGCTGGGAAATGCCGATGTGGCAACCAATCATTATATTCGTGACTATCTAGTTTAGTTCAAGAATGCAGGTGGCGTATCGGAGCTCCGGGGTGCTACCGGATAACTTGAACTTGACTAGTAGTTACGTGATATTATTGTCCTCAAGCTTGAATGGTCCGATGCTAAACGAGCTGCATATAACTATGCTATGCCACCCATAAGATTCATTCTATTCAGAATTATTCTCGTGGCCCTTTTTCTTCTGTCTGTGTTCGGGAAGTGCTTGAAGAGCACTCTCCCCAAGTCCAGATGTCAGTCAACATGGCTTCCGAGGATCTTAACACTACCTACCGCTATGAGGAGAAGAAATCAGAGATCGAGGAACATGTCTTCCCCACCGAGGGGGAGATTACAGACGTGGAATTGGATGACTTGGTCGAATTGCTGAAGGAGACCTTGGCTGAGCACGAAATGGATGGTAACTTCCCTCAGGACATGTTAGACAATGCTCGAGAGTTTCTGGCCAAAGATGTCAAGCAAATCACTGCTATGGAAGCTCAGTCCTTGCTCCGCGACATTCGTGAGCAAAGAGAACTTTTGTTGAACGACTCACCCTATCCTGAGGTTCGCGCTGTGGTTGATCCCACCGACGACCCTTCTATCTCAGCAAACACCTTTCGAGCCTGGTTCTTGGGTCTCCTTTTGACCATTGTCTTCACTGGTGTCAATCAGCTGTTCACTCTGCGATACCCGACTATTTTCCTCTACTCCTATGTCTCCCAGGTCGTCAGTTTACCCCTGGGTAAATTCATGGCCAAGGTACTGCCAACTCGAGAGTGGTCCCTGTTTGGTTACCGTTGGTCTTTGAACCCCGGTCCCTTCAATCAGAAGGAACACATGTTGATCACCGTCATGGCTAACGTCGGATATGGTGGTTACATGGGTACTTCCTACACAACTAACCTCTTCACTGTGCTCAAGGTGAAGAAGTGGTACAATGACCAGGAGCTGTACAACAAGGCTGGCTTCCAGATCTTGCTGACTTTGTCTACTCAATTCCTGGGATACGGATGTGCTGGTCTCGTCCGAAAGTTCCTGGTTACTCCGCCATCCATGATCTACCCCAAGGCTTTGGCAACTATTGCCCTCAACAAGGCCCTGCACAATGACCAGAAGGGCGAGTCCATCCACGGATGGACCATGTCGCGTTACCGCTTCTTCCAATATGCATTCGGTGCCATGTTCTTCTGGTACTGGTTCCCTGGTTATATCTTCCAGGCTCTTTCTTACTTCAACTGGATGACCTGGATTGCTCCAGAGAACACCAACCTGGCCGCAATTACTGGAAGTATTACCGGATTGGGTCTTAACTTTTGGCCGACTTTCGACTGGAACATGGCCTCTGTCGTCTACGATCCCATCATCACCCCTTACTACGCCTTGGTTACCATTGCTGTTGGTACCTTGTTCTTCTGTATCTGTGTTATCATTCCTATCTGGTGGACCAATGTGTGGAAGACTGCATACTTCCCCATTATGAGCAACTCTCTGTTCGATAACACCGGTGCTTCATATGATGTCTCGAAGATCATGGTCGATGGAACCTTCAGCGAGGCGGCCTATGAGGCATACAGCCCTCCCTACATGACCGCCTCGTATGCTGTCATGTTCTTTTGCTTCTTTGGCGCCTACATGGCTGGTATTGTTCACATTCTTCTGTACAACCGTTCTGAGATTACCAAGGGTTTCAAGACAATGTGGAAGTCTATTTTCAAGACCGAGGATCAGCGCAAAGAGCATGAGGATATCCACAACCGTCTGATGGATCATTACAAGGAGGCACCTGATTGGTGGTACCTAGTCATTCTGATCATCTGCTTCGTTATTGGTTGCGTGGTTTGCAAGGTCTATGTTCCAGCCTTCCCCATCTGGGGCATGGTTGTCTGTGTCTTCCTTTGTCTCTTCCTGCAAGTCCCTTACGGTATGATCTACGCTATCACCAACTCCGAGGTCACCAACAACGTCGTCGCCGAGTTGATTGCCGGTTATGCTATTCCCAACCAGCCCATCGCCAACATGATCTTCAAGACCTACGGTGTTGTCTCTTGCGCCCAGGCCATCCAGTTCGTCAGTGATCTTAAGATGGGCCACTACATGAAAATCGCCCCTCGTGTTATGTTCAGTGCTCAGGTCGTCGCCACTTTCGTCTCCGCTTTCGTCAGTATCGGTGTCAACGCCTGGGCCCTGGCTAACATCTCTAACATCTGCTCCGATGACCAACCATCCGGTTTCACCTGTGAGAACTACACCACCTTCTTCACATCCTCCGTCATCTGGGGTGCTATCGGTCCTCGCCGTCTCTTCGCCTCTGGCATGATCTACAATGCTACCCTGTACGGTTTCTTGCTGGGCGCCCTACTCCCCGTGCCATTCTACTTGCTCGCCAAGTACTTCCCCAAGTCCGGTGCCCGTTACATCTACTCCCCACTTCTCCTGTACGGAATGATGAACTTTGCTCCATACAACTTCACCTATGTCGCCGCGCCTCTGATCGTGGGTACTGTTTTCAACTTCTATATCAAGCGTCACTACCTCGCCTGGTGGGAGAAGTACGCTTATGTCCTTACTTCCTCTTTCGGTGCCGCTCTGGCTATTTCGGCGGTTGTCATTTTCTTTGCCGTTGAGTACCACACTGTTTCTATTAACTGGTGGGGTAACTCGGTTTCTTTTGCTGGTTGTGATGATTCCGGTTGTACTATCATGCCTGTCCCTGCTGGAGGTGTTCCATCATGAGTGTGATCATGTGTAATGGATGATGATAATGAGAGACTCTTAGCTAGTATATTTAGCATCCTTTAATTGATCTCTGAATTTATACTCACTCCGGCTAGTCCGGAGATCAGTGTACATATGATTCTTTTCAGTCAGAGTAACATTAGTAGTGTATTTTGATCTTCAAACTTCGATGTCCATTTTGATGCGGTATGATACATATCTCAGCCGAATCAGCCCACACACAAAAATGCACTCAACTTGAAGGAACTCACATGGCCGGGCTTATCAGACCCGCCCGACTAGAACGTACATTTCGAGCTGGGCACTGACGAGCATGGAGAACCAATGTGGGTTAGGGGATTCAAATATTCGAGATACGTACTGCACTCGAGAAGGGACAGTGTTGCTTTCGCTGGGAAGGGCTCAGAGCAGGCTGTTGAAACAGACCCGAAACTTGAAGGATATGAAGTGGGAGAATAGGTGGAAAATTACCCTTTAATCTAAAAAAAAACAAAATCTTGAGCGAGAAGAACCAACATCCTCATGGCTTAAATAAGTCCAAAACAAAATAAGACAAAAATATCAATTTGATTGGCCCGAACCCGGGATTGAACCGAGGACCTCGCACATTCGAATATCCACACCATTTCTGGTATTGGCCCAAAGCGCGAATCATACCACTAGACCATCCGGGCTAATTGATACTGTCCATGAAAGATTGTGGGAGTATCAATTGCTCCTGTATAGCTAAATTAGAGTTCGAATTTGTTTGGATTAAACTGCCTCAGCTACCACATATACTCCCAAGGTTACTATGTACAATTAATAGAACAACATTTGACATTATAACATTTTCAAAGTTGAATTGCGGTTCCAAAACTGCCTGTGGGGTGTTCCAAGCTTCAAGTTGAAGTGCACTTAGAACGACGATTCTTTCTATTCAATGTTCTCCATCTCAGTCTGTCTCCTCAATATGTATAACTTAGTTAGCTAGAAGTATATTCATTCCTCATGACTTGCCCTTCATTCCCTTCTTCCGGTTCTCTCTCTGTCGTTGCTCCTTGGCTACATCTCGTCTCCTCTTCTTCCACGCCCGGTTATTATCACCCCGGTTCTCCCAGAACCACTTGGAAAACTCCGTTTCGTCCTTGTCCGCGCCAGCTTCACGTGCCTTGGACACTGGAGTATCGACTGCCATCTCATCCTCATCCTCATCCTCATCCTCCATCTCATTCCATTTCATGTGTCGGCTAGGAATGCCTGTATCCGGTGTAGGTGCTGCACTCCGTAGACCACGATCTTGAATGTCTCGCTTGGTAAAGGGAGTGAATGGAGTCTGCGGCTCAGATACCTTCGGCTCGTCATCCGATTCGATATCGTCGCCATTGCCGAAAAAGCTGAACCCGGTATCGGGCTCGGCTGTCGATTTCTCGGTAGTTGTCTCGGTCGCTGGTCGTTTGAAGAGAGCTTCCAGGGGATGCACTTCTTTGGCTGAATCTTGAGGTGTGTCTTCGGCGGGCGAACTGGATTCAGATGCTTCAGGCTCGGGTTCATCGGTGGTCATGGGAACATCGGTAGACTTTGCTTCCTCGGGAGAAGGTTTTTGTTCATCGGATTCTTCCTCTTCGTCGGATGAATCAGAGTCGGATGAAGAGCTGCTGTCGCTGGCGTTGTCGCTGTCTTCATCGTCGTTCTCTTTCTCCTTCTCATCCTCATCCTCACTCTCGCTTTCTGACTCCGAGTCTGAGCTTTCATCTGAACCGCTAGATGAGGTCCAATCTTCTGACTCTGCGGAAGATTCTGGCTCTTCAACCTTGGCCTTGGACTTCGACTTCGAAGAGGTCTTGACCGGGCGCTTCTCCTTCGCACCGGGAATTTTACCGGGAAGATAATCCTTCTTCCGGGCCTTCTTGCTAACATCCTCCTTCACATTCCCAGTGTTATCCATCCAGCCCTTCTCTTCATCGAATGTTGCCGTCAGTGGAGTATTCTCATCCGTCGAGCGCAGGAAACTAGGTTGCGTGAATGTTTTGGCGAACTCGTGAACGACATTATCGGAACCCTTCTTCTTCTTAGCCTTCTTGTCGTTGGCATCGGGTACGGAGACGCGATTGGGTGGGATTTTGGCGAGGAATAGACATTCTGCCTTTTCGCTGTACTTGGACTTGGGCTGCGGTTTTTCCTTCTTGTCGTCTTTGCTCTTGCTCTTGTCGTATTTCCGTTTGTCTTTCTTTCCACTGCTCGGATCTGTCCAGCCTCGCTTCACCTTTCGGTCGGATGGCAACTCGTATCCCTCAATGGTATTTTTCTCGGGCTTTTCGGATTTTTCGGATTTTGACTTCTTGGACTTTTTCTTCTCCTTGATCGGTTCAGCTGACACTTCTTCCTCGAGTTGTCGCTTCTGTGGGCGGGCTGCTTCGATCTTGAATTTCTTGCCCTTTAGAATGGACCCATTCAGCTTCTTTTTGATCTTCTCGGCGTCCATCTTTGGTAATGTGACGTAACCGTAGTTATTCTCTGGGAAGGTAGAAATAGTGTGGAAGGAGATCTCGGTAGCTGTGGCTCGGATGGATGGTGGTAGAACAGAGGGGAGGAGCTCCGAGTTGAAAGGAGTGATGTGTAATCGAACTGACTCGGAATCAGTCATTGTAAAGTGCCCGTAGTTCAGGGCAAGTCTTTACAAGAGTTCATCATGTGTATCTTTTGTTTCTTTTGACTTCAAGTTTTCTCTTTTTTTTTCTCCGCAAGAATCTCCGTTACCGCCTTCCAGATTAAGATAGACCCACCCAGATCCACCGATGATCATATGAACGCTATATGAAGCCTCGTTCTAATTGGGTGCAAAAAAATAGTGTTGAAGCATTGTAGATTTGACAGCCTTGGAAGAGTATCTAGTCTTGCTTACCATATACTTCAGGTTATTAATCCCATTCTAGTTTTGTCTTATAACAATTCAAATGTTCATGTCAAGGTCAACGGGTAGTCAAGCCAAAAATTACCTAGTATCGCACACTCAGGCTGGCACTGGTGGCACTGTCACCCTCCGAGTCGGCTATACTAATATATACTACCTAGGCTAGTAGTAGCTGAGTTTTTCAAGTTACAGCTTGAGTAAAACTTGCACATGTGAATTCTCTCAGGCTATTCTAACGTAAAAACTTGAACATTTGTATACCATTGATAACTTAACAGGGATCATATGCCCAGGTGTACTAACTTTGAAGCTAGGCCTGAGTAGATGAGAGCCAGAAAAATATTCTTGAAGCGTCAATCGATTGCGCGGCTGTATTCAGAATACAGACTTGGATTTCCCTCAGCGCGATCTCAGGTGGAATACCTGCTAATCCTGCTGCAACATCCATAAGTATTCCTGCTAGCATAATGCCATCAAAGCTAAGGTCGCTTGATTCCCACATGATTTCCGTCTCCGATGGTAAATTGAGATCGCTGAATATCGTACCAAACATAACAGCAGGTAAATATGATGTCAGGGTAGTTAATGCAACCCTAGTCATAGCATCAATCGTTAAAGGTCTGGAAAGGGTATAATATGATATATATTTGACCATTTCCACCTTATAAGCCATATTCCCAAGGATATACACTGTACCCAAGGCGTTTGTTGGCGTCAATGGCACTCTCCTTGGAACAAGACTTCCTGATCTTTTCTCGTTATCCGAAACCTTTGAGACTCGGTAGTAGGTAGCTTGGCTCTTCAGAGATTGGCAGTGCCAGCTGAGCACCCAATTTGTATTGACAATTGATGCACTGTCCCGGGTTTGTGCACAGTTGGAATATGGTGAAAACACAACCTCGAGCTCACTTTCGACGCCATCCGCGTAAGTCATCGTTTCAAACACATAACTCGATATTGATATTCCGTCTGGGAGCCGAAAACAGCCAAGTCTTTGACTGCTAATCAAGAGTATCAAAGGATTATCACTGGACGAGCATGAGCTGTCTTTGTTGAAGATAGACATATAAGCTAATGTAGCCTGACCAGTTATCGCCAGAGCCCCTAAAAGCACCATGCATACTTGGTATGATATGAGATGCATGATGTACTTCTCGAGACTGAAGTGGTATGTCGGTTTGCTTTATCTTCCACGTCTGTTCGGTATTGATGAAGACCTCGGAATCGTGTCGTGATTGCTGTTAGTTGTATCAGTGACTCGAAAACAGCTTGGTGTCTTGCTCTTTGTACTTATACACAACGTCGAGCAAACATGATAGCACGTTTGACCGGTTTACCGGCTAATAGCCTGAGATAATAGCGCCCGGGCGTACCTCGATCATATCCAGTGATAAGGCGAGTCACAGCTGAACAAGCACACCGCCAAGTCCCGTTCTTAGGTTGTTCGGGTAAGGGGAAGCGACATTATTTTGTCAAATACGGATCGCTTCTCTTGTTGTGGCTTGGTGGCTTGGCTGATGGAGTTATTGAATATGACAACACCAAAATTTGTACTCGAGATTAGATACACGGGCCTACCCTCAATTTCCACGACACAGTCAGCTTTTCACGTGGTTTGTTTAACGAGAGCTATACTTGACATTTCATACTAAAATCTCATGTAATACGGCCACACTACTAGGTAGGCTTTTTCTTATGCGAAATCCAACATCGCCAACACTACCCTCAGTTTCCTCAGCGCAGTCAGCTCTTCGAGTGGTATGTTTAAAAAGGGTTATAATTGACATGTCATTGGCTGTGTATGACTATACTAAAATCTCATGTAATAAACCCAATATACCCAACACTACTGACCTAGTCTTCAGTTTGGCGATTAGCGTCTCCACGCTACTGAAGTGCTCAGAAAACTGATTTATAGATCGTTGGATGTATGACTTCACGTCCCTTACCACTTGTATAATCGACCAGCCTAAATTCATTACAAGAAATGTATGTGAACCACATAACTCAATCTCCGTGAGATAGGATAGGATATCTCTAACCAAAGCTCAGTTTTTACTCTCACTTCATCTATACCTTGTCATGTTCTCTCCATTCGCAGTACTATCAACATTTCTGACCCTTTGGTTAGCTTATCATGCCAAAGCAAGTGGAGAAATAGCTGCGGAGGTAAACTTCTACTCCAATGAATGTACTTCTTGGGTTAATACAAGAGCACTGTACTATGACCAAGAACCGCATGTCATGAAAAGAACGGATCGAAACTGCCATAACCTCTACGTGCCCACCGGTTCAACACATCTGAACGTTGCGAGTTGCAAACACTTGAACGGAACTGAGTCAACTATACCCTATTACTGCACGTGTTTCTTTTTCAAAAAATTTGGATGCTCAGGGCCTGCTATCATCATGCCGTCGCACGTCGACTTTTGGGAATGCTTGAGTGATGTGTCCACACTTCGAAGCTGGTTTTGCACTGCGCCAGATGCTTTCTGAAAACTCCGGAGATTGAGTTGAGTGATTTAGCAGGATTATGGGGGTTATATGGAGAGTGCACATTATCTCACGGTTTACAAGATTTAAAATCTTTGTTGAAGATTCCGATAACGTAATTCCCAGTCTCGCCGTACACCCGGTTGCGCCGTACACGCCAAACACCATAGTAAATGCGATATTTTGGAGTGTGATATTTCAAACCACAAGAGGTAATATAAGCTGATAATGTACTACCCTATCAAATTTATCACATCAAGCCTAATCATGATGCTGAAAACTATTTCTAGTTAATCTGATATACATATATAAGCATCCATCACCTCGTCGCTGTGTAATTTTGGTAATACATGTAAATAATCATGTTGTCTATTTATTAACAAGATCATATTAATATATTCTGTACTAGGAGTTCACCTATCAATAATCGAGTGAATTCATGATCTTGTTGTTGATAAATAGCCACCTGAAATATTGCATTTACTATGGTGTTTGGCGTGTACGGCGCAACCGGGTGTACGGCGAGACTGGGAATTACGTTAATATGGAGAGAGTATTGGTATTATAACATACATATACAGATACGAAACCTCGTTCTAATTGGCCGGGGCTGCTTACAACACTGCTGAATAATCAATATCCCCAGGACCCGTGGACCTCGGGGAGATGAATGGATCTACTCCGAGTACGGAGTACTCTGTAGACTCGGACCTCTTTTGCTTCTTTTCTTTTCTTTGTCTTTTACTACCTAGGTACTGGAGGTCCTTTGACCACTAGTGTTATTCCAGTTCACATCCTCAGGTGCATATTTACCCCAAGGGCGCTCCTATTTTTCTTCCGGATCCATACTATATACTGCACATGTGGTAGCGGCTACTAGCCTACGGCCCTTTTGGCTACCTGTATGGCAGAGTAGGGAACCACCTGGGAATTCGCCTACTGATATGAACAACAATCCAACTAACTATGTATTGAACATGCACACATGTTTTTAACTAAACATGATTGTCAAATTATTCCAGATATCAGTGGCAAAAGTATATCTGGATTAAGTAGTTGGTCATGTGTGCATAGGAATCGGTAGGATGAACCATGGAAGAGGATCACGAGTAGTGCTAGTACATGGGTCTTCTCCCAGTCTCAAGGTATTTGGTCTGAGAATAGCTCTGAAATAAGAGTAAACACCACTATTAGTGCCTTGTACTTTTACCTGCCATATATACAGTTACCTACCTGAGTACCTATACACAGATACCAGTTGACACCTGAACACCTGAACACCTGGGCAGGGGCTGATGTAATCCAATGACGACGGTCTGGCCCATATGGGGCTGTGTTGGGTCATTCTCGCCTTACGGAGTACCACAATACTAGTTCCCCGTTCATGATCTTGAATCTCCAAGTTGTTTTTCCCATCCGCCACATCCCGGAGATCTGGCCCTTACGTACCTCACCCCGATCCGAACTTCCCCAGTTCTCATACTCCGCCCTCCCCGCTCCCATCTTCCCACTCTCCTCTTTCCCCTGCATCATCCCTCCCCCTCAAATGTGTCCTTCACTTTAGTTCCTCTTTGACTTCCCCCCCTCTCTGCTCCACCCCTCTCGGGGGCCACCCTCGGAGTTATCCCGGCGTTTGTCCTGGTCGACCGAACGCTTTCACCCACCCCCTCATATCCCTTCATATCCCCATTCAGTATGGGAAACTCTCAGACTAAAGAATCCCGGACTACCGCTCCCCGCCGAAGTCAACAATGGTCCGGTGCATCCGATACATCGGGCCGTGCTGTGTATCAATCCTCTCGCTCTGGTCGAGGTAGCCGGCCCGATCTATCGTTGCTTGGAATCGGAAGCAGCCATCATGATCGCGATGTGGCGAGTCTCGAGCATCGCAGGGAGAGCAAACAGGAGCGAGAAGCGCGCCGGTTAGAAAAGGAACGCACTGCTCGGATCAAAGAACGCGAACGCAGTATGAAAGAGGAGCATGTTGATGGAGGTTATTTAGTCACACAAGGTGTGTACGTAGGTACGGAGGACTTCAACAAGGCCGTAGTGCGGCAACTGATGGTAGGATTTCTCACTCTACAATGCAAAATCATCAAATACTGACTGACCTCCTCAAAATAGATTGAACGTCGGTTGGCCCCATTCTGGCGGGGGCTGAATGACTTCTCTGAATCATGGGCCGAACACCAGATCATGGCCGCGGCTCGGGGTATGGAGATCCCTCCACCAGATCAGATCCCACCCGAGTTGGAGTACAATCCACCCAAAGCGACAGCTGTAAAGGAATCAGCGGATCCCACCAATATTCAGCATCTCACAGTCCCAATTACTTCGCGCTCCCAATCCTACAACTCAGATGTCTCCCAAAACTCGAACCCCGCGCATTCATTGCCTTCGGCCATGTCTCCCATTGCATCTGGTACCTCAACCTCACCGCTGTTCCGGGCCCGGGCAAAGACTCTGGCAGCTTTGTCGACCTCAAAACATGGTTCACAGACAGATCTGGCCCCAAGAGAATTACAGCTCCCTAAGGATGCGTTCGTTAACGGTCAACCGATCGAGGTCTACCTGTACAAGGATTCCAGCGAATGCCCAATCTGCTTCCTCTATTACCCTCCATACTTGAATCGCACTCGTTGTTGCGACCAGCCGATTTGTTCTGAATGCTTTGTCCAAATCAAGCGTCCAGACCCCCACCCTCCAGAGCATGGCGAGCCAGACTCCAACGCCCCAACGCCGGCAGACGGAGCTCAGGCTGAACAGGAGTCCCAGCTCGTGTCCGAACCTTCCGCGTGCCCTTTCTGTGTTCAGCCAGAGTTTGGAGTTACCTATGCTGCACCTCCGTTCCGCCGAGGTCTGACATATGCCGTCGATCCTGGTTTCCGCCCCTCCCCCCAACCTTACCTCACCAATGTCATCTTCATCATCCTTGGCATCCGCCAACGTTGCACCTATCCCAGGCCGTCGTCGCGCTACGTCATTATCTGCTACTGACCCTGGAGTGGTCACTACCGATAAGGTCCGGCCCGACTGGGCTCAGAAGCTGGCCAGTGCGCGCGCTCACGCGGCTCGCCGATCCGCTGCTGCGACAGCCTTACATACTGCGGCTTATTTGATGAATCCAGGTTCTGAATCCCGTGGTATTGGGAACTTTGCTCGCAGACGGCGCGGAGCGACTCAAGGAGATGCCAGCCGGTCTGGATCTCCCGCGCTCAACGCGCTCGCATTTCTGACCGAACGACCCGACCGAACACCGCCGCGTGCACCTGATACCGATTCCGCCGAGGAAGGTGCGGGCCGTACTGCGCCACCTCGAGAAGGTCCTAGGCGTACCAGAATTGACGATCTGGAGGAAATGATGATGATGGAGGCGATTCGGTTGAGTTTGGCTAGTGAGGAGGAACGTCTCAAGCGAGAAGAAAAGGAGTTCCGAAAAGACGCTCAGAAGCGAGAGAAGGAGACCAAAAAGGCCGATAAGGCCGCTCGCAAGACAAGCATCCACAGCAACAATGCCAGCAGCACTGCATTGAATACATCTGGTGAAGCATCTCTTGCCAAAGTAACCAGCAAATCCTCCGCCGTTGAAGAAGAGGAAGAAGAAGTGGTGACGGGCAAGGGCAAGGGTGTTGATCGCGTTGCTCCATCAAACCCATCCGCCCCATCGGCATCTGTCAATGCTAGTCAGGCAGATCAAACCCCGGTGATCAATGAGCAGCTTGCTGTCGGCGATTCTTCAAGGCCATTCCATCTCCGACAGGTGTCAAGTGCCTCCTCATCTTTCTCGTCGACAATGGAAAATACCCCCGAAGAACGTCCAGTGGGCCATGGATCTGGGGACGGAAGCAACGCATCCCTCGAGCCACTCTTCAACTTCCGCAGTCTCGCGGCTGTCATCGGTGACGAGGAAAAGTGCCACGAATCCGAACATGCCGAAGATGCCACGGCTCAAGCCGAGGGACCTTCTAGTGCCACGCCGAGTGCTGCGCCGAGCGCTACACCGTCTGTTCACCAACCCGCGACTGAGTCTGCAGTCCCAGAGTCCATGCCTGAGGCCACACCTGAGTCCAATCCCACTGTGAACGCCGATGCAGGCTCCAAGGAGCTTGAGACACGCTCTGTAGAGATCACAAATCCTACCTCCGATCCTGAGGCGACGTCCTAACCCTCGTCTCGCTCATTTATTACCCTCTTTGTTCCCCTTTTCCTTTTTCATTTTCCACCTCCATTCCTGTTTATCTGTCATAGCATGAGGTTAGCCGGCGCAGTAGGACAGCACGTTTTTGGGAGGTCTTGTGGACTCGCGCCATTCCATATGTTAAGTTTCATTTCCAGCCGTTGACAATCGTTCCGGCTGTCTCCATTCATTGCATTCATTGTTCTCTTTATGTTTCGCCATAGAACTTCAATCAGGACAGTATTTCTCAAAATATCATTTCAGTTTCTTTAGAACAATTCTACAATTTAGGTAAAAAATACACATAAACATTCGCACATGGTCAATGGTCCATAATGTAACCATGAGATGCGGGGATGATGGTGATTGGCTCGGAATGGATTAAGAATCACGCTAAGCACAAAGTGGAGATAAGAGATAAACAGTATAAATAGTATAAATGGGATAAAATATGATCTATTTGACTATATAATTGAATTATAATAATACTATGAATGAGGCTAGAGGTAGTTTGAATTTTGAATCTACTGGTATGTTGTGTATACTAGTAACTAACCTTGGAACTCATATTTACCCGATAACTCGGCAAGTGAAGCCGGACATCTCGCCACTCGCAAACTGGACTTGATCTCGGTCCGCAACCAAACAGGGTAATCGAATGCGCGGACTGATCAGGGCCAATGATAGAATCAAAAATGACAATGAAAAATTCTGGAAATCATACATGAGTTCATGTAGGGCGGGCTGAAGTCGTTTTCGATCAACTTTTACCCCTGCATTCCCCAGGCCCTCGGTGCGGCCGCTCCCGGGAAAAGAGTCCCAAGGTTGAGAAGGTGAATGACTTGAGTAATAGAAATGCAAAGTTTTATCGCTCCCATTTCCCCCACTATCTCTCTTTATTATCTTCTTGGACTCGTTTGATACTTTTTTTTTGTTTTCTTTCTTTCGGCGTTTTTAAGAGCAGAACGACTTCGATCTTCTTCCCATCCCAAGGCCAAGTAACGCTGTCTAGACACATAGCCAATATCGATAGGAAAGACTATTTGACTTGTGGGGATAGTCGTAAGGTCTTAACTACTTCTGAAGGACGATGGTATTAACACACCAAACAAGATTATCCGCTTCACAAGATGACAGCTTTCCGACAACGCAGCTTTTTCTCCTAGGTACTCATTACACTCTAATGTACCTAGTTGACTCATGACTGACCTTTATTTAGCAATATGTCGGGTCGCTGAGCCCATTGCCTTGACCTCCATCTTTCCCTACTCATGGGTGATGGTCAAGGATTTTAACATGGCTAGTGGCAATGATGCCTCTTTCTATGCTGGTGTCCTGATCTCGGCTTTCTCCCTCGCTGAAGCCCCCACGGGGATGTTCTGGGGTAGCCTCTCAGATAGACTGGGACGAAAACCAGTTCTTCTCTCTGGTTGCTTTGGAACAATGCTCTCTCTTATTCTAGTGGGACTGGCTCCCAATTTCTGGATTGCATTGATAGGGCGCGCCTTGGGCGGGGCTCTCAATGGCAATATTGGAGTTATCCAGACCATGGTTGGAGAGTTGGTTAAACGCCCAGAGCATGAACGTATGTTTTTATTTCTTGATTCTGGAGTTTATGATGAAACCTGACTAACGTCTTGCAGCCCGCGCATATGCCGTGATGCCTTTTGTGTGGTCTATTGGGACTATCATTGGACCTGGTAAGTTATCAGTTCCCTGATCTTATAATTAAACCGATGTACTAAGTATTTGCAGCGATTGGAGGTCTGTTAGCAAGACCAGCGGACAGCTTTCCTTCCCTCTTCCCTCAAGATGGGCTTTTTGGACACTTCCCATACCTATTGCCCAACTTAGTCTGTTCTTTCCTACTTCTCTTGAGTATCATTGGCAGCTGGCTGTTCCTTCAAGAGACCCATCCGGATCTCCAGCCTGAGATTCGCCATCAATTCTTTGAACATGCCTCGGTAGAACAATCTCTACTGGCCACTTCGGGTGCAACCGCCAATGCAGGTGTTGATCTACGTGCCGACTCATATGGTACATTTAACGAGGTCAGCTTATGTCGAGACAGCGCTTGGGATGACCAGACTGGTGAAGGGTGTCGTACCTGGAAGAAATCATTCAAGCCCAAGGCATTTACGTGGAAGGTTACGATGCTGGTCATTGCTTTAGCGATCTTCACCTACCACTCGATGACATACGACCATCTTCTCCCAATCTTCTTGCAAGACAAGACCACACGAGACCTTTCAGCCGCTTCATCTTCTCCTTTGAATATCCCAAGTGGCTTGGGTATTTCCACTCGGACTGTCGGTGTGATCATGTCTACGGATGGTATAATCGCACTAGTCATCCAAAGCGTCATCTTCCCTGCGCTGGCCCATTGGCTCGGAGTATGGCGACTCTTCATTCTAGTAACGGTTTTCCATCCGATCGCATATTTCATGGTTCCGTTCCTGGTATTTCTACCACAACACCTTACATTCATTGGCATCTACGCCAGTCTGGTCGTTCGCAACATTCTGTCGATCATCGCCTATCCCGTGCTATTGATTCTCATCAAGCAGGCTAGCCCATCAGACTCTGTGATGGGTAAAATCAATGGCCTTGCTGCATCGGCCGGTGCAGCCTCTCGCACTATTGCACCTCCCCTTGCAGGTTTCCTGTACAGTGCTGGTGCGGATATTGGTTGTACTGGGATTGCTTGGTGGGGAAGCAGTCTTGTTGCGCTGTTTGGAGCGTTGCAGATTTGGTTTATTCAGCGCAAGCCACGCTCTTGGGAAAATGTGAAGCTTGGTGCTTCATGAAATTTTGCTTCTGCTTCTGATCATTCCAAGGGAATTATTTGTGTCCCTGCCATGATCAGTGTCATATCATGTCTGATGATTTATTTGCTTTTTTATTTAACATCTTTCTGGTTATCTTCAGCGCTTGATGTTTTGTTTTCTTTTTGGCTTGGTCTTTCTGTACATTAGCGATTTTGGGGATCTGAGGGTTTACACATTTGTGGAGTCAAGCGTACAACTGTATTACTAGTAGTATATGTTAATATTGAATTTGAAAATAGATTGGGCATTCAACATTTGAAGGAACTGTATTCTTGAATAATCTTGTTCTGATAGTGAAGTGGTCAATTAGTCCGAAGTGATCATGACGTATAAGCTAGGCCTCTTTTACTACTCGTGTGTCTGCACATGTGGTTTTCTTTTTGCTGCCACTGGCACCGCTGGGCGCCTGGCATAGACAGAAGGGGACTACCTACGCTTACAGGTTACAATATCTCTAGCGGTCAGAGCTACCAGTTGCCTATATCCAACTATACTATACATGCCAGTGCACATGTGTAGTAGCAGCTAGCCTTCCTTCTCTTCCAGGTAACTCCGTAGGTAACCCTGTAGGTACTTACGTACAAAGAGGTGTAGGTTATCAGTCACCTGTAGATGCTACTGTCTGAGCCCTGTACTTAAGGATGTGAACATCTATCTGAGAGGATATGAACACACATGGCCCACTAGTTAAGTGCTCCCTGGCTGTTAAGATTCCGTCGCCACGCTTTCAGTGCCATGCGGTTTCCCTGAGTGACGTTGAGGGATATTGCTGTGTTCGTATCACCTCCTAACCTATACATCATATTCCGTTCCAATGATGTGCAGAACCAATCTCAAGCGCGACCGATGGCCAGCCTCCTGAATCTCTTGTCACGGGCATCCAAGCGCCATCGAGTTTTTTTTACCCTCAGGATTCACCTGAACGACTGATCCTGTATCTTGATTTAAAAGTAGAGGCGTGATAGAGCAACCACCCCATGGATATTACCACCACCCCAGGGTCCACTTATTCCCTAAATAGGTAGGCTTCCCGCATGTTTGCCTTGTTTACATTCCCCATCTAATATTCTGCCACTTTTTTCTGCCATCTAGTACAACTTAAAAGTACAGGATTTAAGAAGTTATGATAATACTCCTGGTTAAGAGATCTGTTATTCTTCTAATTTGGATAATAATTAAGTATTAGCTGTATATTTTATGACCATAATTAACCCTGTAATTAAGAATAAAATAAGAACTAATTGTTATGATGTATTATATAACCAATCCTAACCCTTACCTACTAATCTAAATTAGAAAGAGTTCATACTAAGAGAGAAGGGAGTTCAACCACAAAATCCTTTATTATACTAATAGTTCCAAAGAATATAAGCTAGAAGCTAGAAGCTATAGTATAGAGATGATCTTGTCTTATCCAGAGTAAAATGGAGAGGAAAGTGTAGACCTGGGATTTGGATGTATCTTTTTTGACCGCCTATATACCGCCTTTAAAGTGGCGTCTTTAGGGTGGTGGGAATATCCATGGGGTGGTTGCTCTATCACGCCTCTAAAAGTATTGACTGAGATTCATACCAACGGGACACAATTCGCTGAAACTCAGCTATAGTAAATGATTGGGCTATGTGAGATACATCCTTAATAATTTCAAAAATTTGAAATTTTTGGGTTGATATGTAGTGGAGTGGACATCTTTTACTACTTATTGTACTCAAGTCAACTGGTGCTAGTGTCAGGTGTCCACAGCCTTTGTTTTCTGCCACCGCCTTAGACATGTAATGGTTATCTCTAATAGCGCTAGTCCGAATATGGGTTAGCTCTGTTTACACAGCAACCATCACGACAAAACACTGACAACACGACAACAAGTGACGACCCTGCAACCTTCACAACAAAACACTGACAACACGACAACAAGTGACGACCCTGCAACCTTCACAACAACAGAGGGTATTGCTGTTTCCTCAAACATCGCCCTCGCCAACATCATGGCAAACCCTCTTTCTCCTCTTTCCTCCTCCTTCCAAAATGCACGAGCTCAGTCCCCGCGAATTGGCTCTTCACCTTTCCTCACAAAAACAATGGACGAACAATCCGAACAGCGCGTTCCCTCAAGTCCTTTGAAGAAGTCATGGGCAGAACATGATTCGCCGGCCTCAAATCACTTCGACACAAACGAAAACTTTATGCCTAATGAACATTACGACGAAAACGAGCTGGATGAGATCAACGACGAGGGCGACTTCGAAGGAGCTGCTAGCTCACCATTCCAATATGATGAGAATGAAGAGACAGTGGACTATCAGATGCAAGGATACCAAAATCAAACACCCACAATGCTGCGAAGTCGATTCGCGATGGCACAAATGGAGGACCCCATGAGTTCCCCCTTCCGTCCCGACGCCAGAGATGAGACAGTGGATTTTCAGCGATTGCGTGAGGTGCAGCCATTATCACCAGGAATTAGCAAACGCTTGGCCGTTGATAATCCACTTAGCTCTCCGTTCCGTGCCGAGGTGCAGGATGACAGCGATGACTTCGATGATCTTCGTGAGATGCATAATGGATCGCCTGGTTTTGATGAGCAGCCTGAGGAGCCGCAGAGCTCCCCATTCAAACCCGAATCAAGACAGTTCTCTGGTTTCAACCGCCAGCCTGAAGATCCTCAGAGTTCTCCTTTGCGACCTGAAGCCCGTGATTTTTCTGGCTTCGATGAACAACCACAAGAACCCCAGAGCTCTCCCTTTCGCCCTGCGATTAGGGAGAGGGAAGAGACATTTGCTTTTCAAGAACTTGAGGAGCGCGAGTCAAAACGAGAGTCTGTTGGTAAACCCCGATACGCTTCTCCCGTGGGTTGCGACTCGCCTATCCAACCCGAGCCAAAGGATACTACTCTCGACATGCCAAAATTGCGCTCTGTACCACGTGCATCATTAAGTGTACCAGATGTCCAGCCAAAAGCTACTACGCCCCGCAAAAGGTCGTTTGATCAGACTCCACAAGATGACGAAACTGCACAAACCAACGAGCGAGCTAAGAAGGGTATGGTCAGTCGCCAGGAGGCACCTGAAATACACGTCGATCTTGACGAGGAGTCGTCTATCCTCCATCACGACCAAAGCCTACTTTCAACTGCGAGTGCTGCTCAGGACCGATCAAATATTGCAAACAGCATGATTGAAGACAAGCGCAACGAGGGCATGAGCACCGTTTTACATGATAATGATGAAACCACGGAGAAAGAAAACTTCGACTACAATGATGAGAACAACAGAGCCTTGGATGAAGAAGAAGATGATGCGATGGATGAAACAGGCCTCAGCGAATTCTCCGTTCTGCCAGATATGACCTCCTTCGCGAAACTTCGTGCCGAATCGCCCATGAAATCAATGCGTGGTAGCGTCGGACCTAACCACGGGTTCGGCGCAGACATGTACCGTCGCAGTATGGATCCAGCAACGCCCGGGACTGCGCGCAGATCGCACAGGTCTGGTGCCATTAACGATTTTGACTCGCCCGCCGGATCTCCCACTCCTAGACGCAGACCCTCTCGAGATGTTGGCCACGCTAGTGAGACCCCCTAACTTGCTTGAATTGACCGACCAAATGAATTTCTTCCCTCGTCATTCAGCACAGCAGCCTCCTCGCTACTCTCCCCGACGATCTCCTGTCCGCAACATGAGGCAGTCCATGCGGTCTCCCTCAAAGTTGTCTCTTCTGGATTTCGATATTCCCCCCGCTCCCACTCCCCGTTCTATTCCTACAGTCACTCCGCGTGAATTAGAGTCACTGAAGTCTGGATTCATGTCAGAGATTTCTTCCCTGAAAGCTACTTTAAGTGGCAAGGAAGCAGAGGTCGCTAGCTTGAAGACAGCCGTTGGTGATGCAGAGAGACGTGTGGGTGAAGCTCTGGAAGAGATTCGAAATGAGGCCGCTCGTAGAGAAGCAATGGAGATGGAACAAGCTGAATGGGACCGTCGTGGCAAGGACATGGAGCGAGTTTTGCAGTCCGTTCGTGCTGAACTAGAAGATGGTGAACGTGAGCGAGACCGTCTTACTCGTAAAGCTGATGAGGCGGAGAGGAGTAAGGAGCAACTCGAAAGCCGAATTGTTGAGCTTGAGACCCAGCTATCTACCGCGCGCTCTTCTGCTTCATCTCAATCTGGTAGTGCACTAGGTTCCCGAAAATCTTCACAATCGGCTGAAGATACTGCACGAGAGGTGCAAGACGCTGTCGAGAAGGTCGCTCGTGAACTTCACACACTTTACAAGAGCAAGCATGAGACCAAGGTTGCAGCATTGAAGAAGAGCTATGAATCTCGCTGGGAGAAGCGTCTTCGTGAGTCGGAGAACAAGCTGAATGCCGCTCGTTCCGAAAATGAACGACTCAAGGCTGAGTATGATGCTGCCAGCTCGGACTCTATGGCTACTGCCAATGCCAGCATGATCGCTCGGGAGAACGACGAGCACGAGGCCGAGAAGCGTGTCTTTGAGGCGCAGATCAAGGGTCTTCAGCAGGAAATGGCGGCCCTGAAGGAGGACAGTGAACGCCTACGAAGCGATCTGAAAACCGAACGCGCTGAAAAGGGAGAGCTTGTTGCTGCCGTCGATGAATGGTTGGCCATCCAGCAAGGACCTCCTGCTCCCGCTCAGCAAGAACGTCAGTCTTCTGTTGTTTCCGCTGTTTCTTCTGTTGGTGCTCCTGCGGAAGACTCCCATGCAACCGATGAGCCTCCTGCTGAACCCTTCCGTCGAAGTATTAGTCGTCCAGGTTCTAGTGGCATTCGTCCTCCTGCCACAGCTGAGAAGAAAAATCGGTTTGGCGCCCCTGGTGGACATTCTCGAGGTAACAGCGGTGGCAAATCTGGAATTGCCGTGTTCACACCTGGTGGTCGTGGTGGAATCATGAGCTCAATTGAGCGGATGGGACGTGGTGGTTCTTAAGGGTATTGCGTTACTTTGTGGATTGCTTTCTTGGGGATTCAGGAGATTGGGTTACTGGGTTTCGGTTTTCGGTTTTCTTTGGTTTTGTGATACTTTGATTCCCCTTTAGCTCATTTGCTAGTGTTTTCTTTTGTTATGACATTCCATGCCTAGATGTGTTATGAATTTGCTATGAATTTGATATGAACTGGGCAAGGCCTGTGAAGCGCATGCATCGGTAATCTGGTAGAACCTTGAAATGTTGGAAAGAAATAACTCCAGGACATTTGAATACGCAGACCCCCCCATGGAGAACATTTTTAGATTTTGATATTACTATCTAGTACTAGTAGTAAATGATGAGTCAAGCGAGGACTTATTCAGACTCTCTGCATCAACAACTTGTCCGCCTGGCATTGCTTCAATTCTTGTAATAAAGCTTCTTTCCTCGGATCTGCCCATATTTCATATTCCTCAAGCGAGAGACTTTTGAGATGTCCATTCTCCCATAATGCCACAGGCGGTCTTGGAGGGAGTCTATGGCAGTTCTGTATGCATAGGCGAAACATAATGACTTCGTTGAACCTTGGCATCTCCAGGATGGTTTTCTGAGCCCAGGGATGATCAAGATTGAGTCTCCAGCGCTCTTCATTGAGCATGTCTATGTTTGCATTCAACCTCAGGATGTAGGTCCAAGGATTAAGAAGGTCCAATGGGACCCCGTTTTCATCAACTTGGGGACCTAGCCAGACTTCCTCTGGATGTTGAATTTCATCGAACCCAGACCTGCTAAAAGATCCTTCCCATAATTTCCAGACCCATTGTGTTCTGATTTTCCCTCCGTTCTTCAAGTCTAGCGGCAAAGGCTTCCTTGTCAAAAGCCTCCTCAAGGAAGGAGTGCGCCCATTCATCCTCCCGTGGAATTGCCTGACAGAACCTTTTTAGTCGCGTGATGTCGCTTGGCTCGACAAGTTGAATCGGTTCCTCTCCTGTTAAGCCCCATAGATCAGACTGAAAGGCTTGCTAGCGGTCATGTGGACAGAAATAACTCTGAGACAAAGAGTATACTCCTTGTGTAGTGTGAGAGCAGCTTGATACTCAGCATAAAGCTGCGTCCCTCGGTCACCCGGACTTGATCGAAGGCAATAGATCTAATCTGCCAGTAACACATGGTCACCTGTTCGCATACGTGAAATAAACCACGTGAGATAGTCAACCGCAAGGTTTTCCATCCCGTATGAGTAGTCTCCATTATCGTTGTCTTCTAGCGACAAATTCCAATAGAGAGCTACTGAATCATGTTTCCAGTCAAACCAAAGTCGTTTGAGCCAAGGGGCATCGGAAAACTCGGGATACTCTCGATCATTTTCCCGCCACGAGGAGGGAGCTGTCAACTCGGCACCGGTCTTTAACGCTACCTGGTGAGACTCTCGACAGACTCGTGTGATGACGGGAGGAAGGGCAATTTGACGTGATATCCAGTCAAGCTCACAATTAGTGTTGATGTCGAGATCTGTAGAAGCAAGCATGATCTCCACGAGCCTATGGGGAATGCAGAATTCCCAAATCAGAAGACGTATCTCAGTTGGGAGAAGCGAGAAAAGGGTAAAATCTTTGGTCATGTTGAGTGAAGTCAAAGGTTGCAGTAAGAAATGAATTTTTCTAGAGGGGGAAGTGGAGAGAAGAAACCAGGAGGATAAGAATTGAGAGAAAGAGAGAAGGAGAGAAAGAGGTTGACAAAAATCTTGATCCCACGTGAGTGCCTGGCTGTGGCAGTACTTGCCTAGGTATACATAATAGCCCTGGAGCCCTGCATAGATAATGGAACCTTGGGATCTCGCTGCACTATAAAGAAGCTATAACTTCATGTGCTATGAAGATTCCCTTTCCATGCACGCGTCTTATCTCAGGTAGAAAATTGACAAGTCGTCAACTTATACCGCGCTTCGTGTAACTGATGACCAACTCTTTGTGTAAGTACCTACAGGGTTATCTATGGGGTTACCTTGAGGGGAAGGAAAGCTAGGTACTAGTTTCTACATGTATGATTATGTAGATATGGGCAATTGGTACAATTTGGTACTAGTAATGTTTATGCCAGGCAGTGGCAGACAAAAACCACAGACACCCGTGAGTCCGTGACCCGAGTAGTAAAAGAGGCCTAAGAGACCTACTACTACTAGAATTGTAGTAGGCATAATATTCAAGATATTGAAAGATTCCTTGGAAATTTCATGTTGATAAGATGCACAAAATAGTACTAACTTGAATAAATTTCGACCCCATTTAAAAGAAGTCGCAAAACCGGCCTGAGCAAGAATCAATGAAAAATAAAAACTACCTAGGTACTTTTCCACGATAATGAGTAATCAATTCTGTCTCCTATCTCTTCTCACTTGGAGTCAGTTCCCCAGTTCCTCGAATCCGTCCACGGGTAGACTGTCGAGCTAGTCCTGGCAAGGCCTGTGAAGTGCATCGGTAATCTGGGAGAACTTCTGAATGAGAGCGACGTGTCTCCATTCCACTGCAGTTCTTTTCTTTTCGTTCTTTCCTGTGTAGTCATTTATGAAGGCTCGAATTTTTCCTCGGACTTGTGCGTTTTTGCCTTCGTTAACTCTCAAAGTTTCCTCGGCGTCGATAACTCGTAGGCTTTTTGCGTCGTCTCCAGACAGAGGTTCCTCGCGCGTAATGAGAGTCAAGCCTTCATCTTTCTCCTTCCACCACTTGTCCAATCCAACATCAAAATCTGCCATTCGGGCATATTGGACTTGTTTTGTGAGCTTCTTCAAGGGCTCGATTATGTGTGAATCGTCAAGCTTTCTGTTCTTGATCTTAGCGCGGATATTGGTCACGAAGCCTGGAATATAATCCGCGAAGAGGAGTGGCCCAGCGTCTTTTGGCACGCCCGAATTTGGAAATAGAACGAGAGCCTGAAAGGCGCCTTTGTACCCCGAGTCTCTGAGCTCTTTCGCTGCCTCCTCTGGATCCGGAAAGGCATGTTCACCCGACACTGTTGTACCTTTCCATTCCGTGGATTTCCCCACCTTGTCGATGAATTTTAGGAACTTATTCATGTTGCATGGGATTCCGTCTTTACCACATCCTGGGCCACATTTCCAGGACTAGAACCAGAAGCCATATGATCCAATCGATAGAGGTAGTAAAAGAATACTCCTTGGTAGGGTGCGGCGCGAATCGAAGCAGTAGACGCGGCGACATCCAATGCTAGAAATGCGAGAATGGCCAGCAAAACCAGAAAAAAAAGGCAAGAAGGCTGCATCTTGCTTTGCTTCTTGACGCGTAGAGAGCTAACATCAAAGATCATGATCAGGTTGTTTACTACTAGGGAGCTCTTTGACGAGACTATTTGCCTTGATTTTGAAGTAGGATTAGCCGAAGATTTGGGCTTGAGCCTGTGAAAGACTGAGGATGGCAAGGGGAGATGAAGGAGATAAAGCCAGAATTGCTAGGATGAAGGTGGAAGAAAATGGCCGATGGTCGAAAGTTGAGAAGGCAGGGAGGCACTTTCGCGTCGCGGATCATGCCAGTGCTTGTACTGGATCCGAGTCAGTGGGCTTTTGAGAATTGCAAAGCATTTATGGCGGTATATTCTCGGAGGCATCTCAATCGTCCATGCACCTCCAAGCTTGAAAGCTTCTGCTGCGGTGAGACAAGCGGCATGTGAGCTCATGATGCCATAAACTGTAATAGTAGCCGAGGCTGGAGATAAATATTGTTGTTCTCTTAATCGACTAGGCGACAAAGATACACGTTGGCATGATAGGGGTAAGCACTCAGTAAGGAAGGTAGGTTGGAAATTACAGCATACTTGCTCGCTTGGTTTGTTTGTTTCAGAATCCATAGTTATCAATCACGAAACAGGGGGCGGTTTCGTCCAACTGACTTGCGGCGACCTCGCTACCACGAAAGAATTTGAAGCTTCGACATGTCATTCTGACAAGGTTTTGATTGATAGAGATTGAAGAAGGGAGCCGATGCAAGATGAAGGGAGTTGATGAGAGATGACAAGGTGATGTGAGAGATGCACATGTGCACGAGAGGATCAGCTGACTACTGGTATATTCGCCTACACACTTTACATTTAGCTCTCTCTTCAATTTCCAGTTCTCTATCTATATCTCTATCCTCATCCTTTTACTTTTCCCTCTCACTAAGTCATCCTCTATTCCTTTAAGCCACCCCTTTAAATAACTATTCAACATCACTCTTCAACATCACCTCTTCCACCGTCACTCTTCACCGTCACTCCTTAACATCGCTATTTATGCCTCTCACTGGACCTCAACCCGACGCAACTGCTTCCCTGCTGCCTGATCCTCTTCAACAAATCGATCTTTCTCTAGTACCACCGTGCCGGTGATGGTCTTCTTTCAGGATGAAGGAACCCACGTCCTTTACCACTGTTCCTAAGAGGCAGCATATTCAACTACCTCAGCATCAACCTCGCTTGCGCTGTAACAAGCCAGTGAGAATCTCCGACCAAAATCATTCTTCAAGCTACATATACTCGTCCATGAAAAGGTCGTTCATCTCCATTCCAAGGGCCCTCCGCCTGAACTGTGAGCTTGACTAGACATCGCAACAAATCTTACATCCTCCCATAGTTACACGAATTTGTCGAGAATCCCGTTATATGGCGTGAGTGACCATGGAAACTTCAGAACGGAAGCGACGGCCAGGAATGACGTTATTGCCCTGCGCCCTCCTGGAGCGAGAGGCTATGGTTTGACTGCAAATCCGATTCAGCAGCTGTGTATTGGGACCTAGGCCATGAAGATTTTGGTACTTACGGTCACAAGCTTGACATCAATGTATGGGTGCTTACCTACTTTACTTGGTACTCTTCGCGGAAGCAAGCAAGAACTCCCCTGGTCTTAGCGATCAGATTTACTCTCTCCGATCATCTCCCAGCAAGCCAGGACACAACCTTTGTCTTAAGCATCAACTCAGTCTTGCAATGAATAAGGAGTACTATACACTCATTGTCTCAAGGTTGTTTCGGTCCACATACTACTCAAGTCTTCGATTCTGACCTGTGGGGCTTGACGGGCGAAGAATTAATCCAACTCGTTGAGCCGACCGATATCCCTCGACTTAAAAAGTTCCGCCAAGCAATCCCACAAGATGATACATGGGCACACTCCTTCATGCAGCAGGTTCTCGACGAGGAGGCATTTGAAACCACACTCGACCAATGGCGAAATGGATTCAAGGCATAGTGAATCTGGAAATTGTGGGACGGATATTCGTCTCGACCCAACTTCAGCGAAATCATTAAATCTCCTGAGGAAGTCTGGCTGGGTCCGTAAGTCGATAAAAATGGGGAGCCATTGAACCTTTTGGATCCCCAGATATACATGGCCATCTTGAATGATTAGTATATCGATATAGTAGATGCAGGGCGGTGGAGTCTAAATGATCACTATCGTTTATTATCCCTGCTACACATGGCGCTTCGTACGATATTCATGTGCTGGCCCCTTTCTTAAGAAGGGGAGATACCGGTATAACAGCTTAATTCGATACTTACGGCGGAGGATAGCGGCCACCCCCCGACATAATTCAATTAGGAAATTCTAGTTCACCGCCCTATATACTACCCAGTATTTGTATCGTGGATTATGATACACCGCCTTCCTAATGGCGTAAACGGTATCTGCTACCTGGGCGCCTAGGTCTAAGTTGTTGGTGCTGTCTAGTACAGTGGTGTAACATAAGTATTTAACCTCGACTACTTTTGGGACCACTTTGAGTCTGACCGCTATTTTATACCGCCTACTATATTAGTACACCGCGTTCTCCCACGCGTAGCGTAACCTGCTGTTATACACAATCTATTATTATTCGAACATATATCGCCTACAGTTATATTGCTATATTATGCCCCCTATACGTGGGAAAAGAGGCCCTGAGCTTGATTGCCTTACTAGGGCTAAGATCTGCGAGCTACATGCTACAAATGGCTGGGGCGCAACTACTATTAAAAAGATGCAACTACTATTAAAAAGATGCGCTTTCCCGATATTCCACGCTCAACTATTCAGTATACTCTTACCCAAGAGAAAAATCGTCAAAAACAAGAGAGCCTACCACGCTCAGGCGCCCCAAAGAAGCTCACCGAAGATGATCGTGACCATATATACGAGACTATACAAGAAAACCCATCAATATTAATCAAAGACCTACTTGCAGAGGTTGATTTTAAGGTCCATCGTATGTCAATTTGGCGTTTAACCCATGAAATGGGCCTTCGAAAATGGAGGAAGATGCAAAGGCCTTCCTTAACACCTTTACATGCGGAAAAACGCCTACGATGGGCCCGACAATACCAACATTTTACACCTTCAGATTGGGCCCGTGTCTATTGGTCAGATGAATGTACAATTGAGCGTGGAATTGGCCAGCGTCAAGAATGGAGCTTTATACGCCCAAAAGACCAGCTTTTTCAGCATCCACAAGAAGGGTCTCAGATCCAAATGATTCCAGCACGAGGAAAGCAAATTAAACAGATGTTTTGGGCTGCTTTTTCTGGTCAACCACGTCGATCTGGTCTTATTCCACTTTTTGGAGATCCTACATCTCAACGGGGTGGTGTCTCTTCTCGTACGATTGAAGAGCTTTATAGGTGTGTTTTACCTACCCTTCTTAATAGCCTTGATCATGATGCTATCTTTCAACAAGATAATGCACCAGTACACACAGCTTGGATTGTACGGAACACTCTTGATGACCTAAACTGCGATATTATGGAATGGCCTCCCTATTCACCTGATTTAAATCCAATTGAGAACCTATGGGCTTTACTAAAGGCTGAAATATTGAAGCGTTACCCTGAGCTTATGCACCTACCAAATAACACATCTACATTAGATCTATTGGTTAAAGCTGCGCAGGAAGCATGGGAAGCGTTAGATATTGAGATCTTTAAGCACCTATCAGACACTATGCCCCATAGAGTGGCAGATGTTATCAAGTATGAGGGCTGGCATACTAGCTATTGAGGCCTTAGCATAGGACATGAATTTTGGAGGTTTCTGCATGGCAGTATTAAAAAGTGGGTCCTCCGGTCCAAAAGTAGTCGAGGTTAAATACTTATGTTACACCACTGTAAATCAAGTAGTTCTAGGCTTAAGAGCTATTAAGGGTTTAAATTGATGTTAGTAATAAAGTTTTTTTTCTCTTTAGGGCTTATTATTATTTAGATTAACTAAATATTAACTAAAATTAACATTAAAATTAGTCAAGTTGGAAGATGTAAAGATTTTATTTTAGGTCCGTCATAGTACTCTGTAGAATTTTAAAAGTTCCGATATTAGAATATTAGACCAACTGGCTAGTGTCTAAGGTCTACGGCAAGGCTGTCTGCCTATCCATAGACTACAGTATAGCCTTCTCGTTCCTTCTTCATCCATACCATCTTCCAAACACACTTATTCCACTCTACATAATATCAAGTTTTTCTCAGATCTTAAACTAATCTCTATACTACATATTTTAGCTGAAAATATTAGACCACCGACCCTGTCCGCCCACCTAGGCAGGTCCAAATATTGGACCCTATACGGAGATATTACAGTAATTTAAATTATGCCGGTTTTAAAATTTGAGATTTAATTTTGTCGGGGGAGGGGGCGTTGGGCGCTATCGTCCGCCATAGATACTCTATGAACTCATTAGCCTTCCCAAGGCCATTATTCTATCATTTTACATGACAAGTACAATACACTCAGTTTTCAAGACCATAAAAAAGCGTTAAATTTCGAGAGAATTGAAGCCCTTGGACTATGAAATCACATGAAGTAAAAGGCCTGGGCCATCTATCTAAGGGTATACGGATGCCAGTAGTGACACGAATCCGCGAGTTTTATAACGAGTTGAGTCGTGATGAGATCGTGATCATGATGTTGTACATGTTTACATGTATTGCAGCTTCCCCTGTTCCTTTAAGCCTCAGGCTTCACACTTTCCTCCTCAGCAAGAACCTTATGCACTTCCTCCGCCATGTTATATTCAAACACAGCTTTGGACGGGTTGGAAGATGCGAAAAATCCTATTCGGTATGTTAATAAATCATAGTCCAGGATCTCAGTTTCATGATGTCCAAGTACTTACCAACTAACAAAAGAATGAAATACATGAAGAACTCCTCCACGACATTCTTCTTGTGCTTTGCTTGTTGTCGTCTTTGCGCATCCTTCAAGAGAGCATTGACTCGTGGGGCTCGTAGCTCCCTGTGCTTCTTTGCAGCGAGGTTGATGGCATCTCGCTCGTTGAGAGCCGTAGCGGATTTAGAATCCTCGCTCTGCTCATATGCCTTTCGAAGGTAGTGTGACAGGAATAATGGGAAGCACTCAGAGTCTTCTAGGGCCTGACCTGACCCTTGTCCTGATGTTGGGGGCAGTGCATGGGCTGCATCACCGAGCAACACGATACCATCTCGGTCCCAGACGGGCAACTCCGGTGTTGTCCATGTCGGCCACATGGTTTCTACCTTGGCATTGTTCACAATATGCTTGATTACGGGATCACTCCACTTCCCGTGTCGCTTTTGTAGAGCTTTCATGATGGCAACACCATCCATGTCCTTGGGCTCTGGACAATCTGGAATGCCGTAGGTAGACCACCAAATTATTGTGTCGCCAGGCTCACTGATGTGAAGAGGGGAGTCTCGATGCTTATCCGTTGGAGCACTTGAGGAGTAACAATAGCCAAACATTCCGGCGCCACCGAAGGTGAGGGTCATGGCATCATCGGGGATGTTACGTCGAATTTTATCCGTGACGGTAAGGAAGCCTCCAACACCAACAAAACCTCTGTATCGCGTATGTTAGATCAGTCTTCGTTAATATTTGGAAGTGAAATAAACTTACTCATATTGGGGTGGATATGGGTCGTCCTCTGGAGTCTCTGCATCAAATACAGCTCGTTTCACAGTAGACTTGACACCATCAGCGCCGATGACCAGATCAGCTTCCACGGGTTCGCTTCCATCCTTGAACGTGATCAGATGTTTTCCCGAGGGACCACTTCGTGGAATGACTCTTTCAATTTTCTTAGTCACAAAGACATCATCAGGGATTCGATCTCGGAGACATTGCCAAATGTTATGCCGACTCATAGCCACCGAGTTGATCTGCTCTCCATCGACATTTGCACTCTGGCCCATTCGCATTAACGACCAGCCATATGAACTTCTAAAGTTGAACGACGAGTATGGATGTCCACCACTGACCACATCCTGAGCTATGGATGCATCTAGGCGACGGAGAACGCTGAATCCATTCGGGGCCAGCCCCAATCCACCACCCACCGCTAATGTCGCAGATCGAGTGGATCCTTCTTCACCGACAGCCGAGACGGCCCTCTCCCGAAACGTTGTGGTTCGGGCCGTGTCATACGCCTCATAAATTGTGTAGGTGTGCGAGTCAGATGGGGAAGGAGGTTGAGGGAGGTGCTTTCGAAGATGAAGGTAGGTGGCACAGCCATTAATCCCAGCTCCTACAATGACGATCTTCATCTTGTAGTACTCTAAACTCAGATGAATGTTCACTCGGAGTAAAAGATGATCAAATATTTCTGAAGAAATGTATAGATAAGAGTAAAAAGTCTTGGAGCTTGGAAAGCTTGGAATGATTGAAGAAAAGAAAGACCGAGGTCCGAGTAAGGACTATATAAATGATTTCTAAAAAGACACCGAGACGACACGGAGTACTTGTTATTAGGCTACATTAATTTAATCTATGATATCCATGAATCAGGTGATTCCGGTTTCCTTTGTTTAACGTTCAAGTTCTAATTCTAATTGCTCAACCCCGTAGACTACGTATGCTCAGTTGCTGCAGGGATCATCGTGCATGGATGCCGTGAACGCACGGTACGCCTAGGAAAACGCTCAAATTTGAGCCGAATGACTAAATATGCAAGTATCCAGATGAAACAGTGAAAGGATTGCATATGAATACTACCGTTTTTAGGTTATGGGGATCACCTTCAAGTGGTTTTTGTCTCACCTCTAATATATGTAGGTACTCCCTAAGTGCTGACCGAATATGCATAATCAGCTATAACACCAATCAATTCATGCTCACTCAGCCACTTGCTTCAGTGGCAAGATTCTCAAATTCCAATTTGAACCAGGATGAGTGCAGGTAAGGCCAACCTTAGGAGGTAAAATCAACATGAAAACGGCGATAATCATTCATCGCCCCCCTTCTAGGTTCCATCATAAAGAGATTTCTGATTTGCTAGATGCATTCATTAAAACAAGGTTGCCTGGAATCCGGATCTTCTCGGTGTTTCGGTCTTCGGCTTCCAGGACTCTAATGCATGGGGCCGCGCATTCATATCGGGTGGCCCCCAATATTTCGAATGTCTAAGCCTGTGCCAAGAGTCACACAGGATCATTGACCGAACGCTGGATCAAGGGGTGAAAGGCTTATAATGAGCACACTTTCCATGAGACCCTAATATTGATCATCAATAAGCTTCTTCCTTTGTTTTTCAAGGATCTACAAGGATCTTCAAGGTAGTTCAAGGTGGTTGGGAAACTTGAACGTGCAAATGCGTGATGACGCCACTGATCTACCCTTCCATCTAGTCTCAAGGCCCCTCCTTTTAGTCCCCTCATCATCTTTCCCCTCTTTCAAGTTATTAAACCCCTCCATGATGTGAGATGATCTTTTTGTTCTCTTTCTCGGTCCCACTTAACCCGTTCTTCTTAGCTCTGGCGGTTAGCGGGGAGGTGCAAGCACCCGCCAAGTCAATAATGATGATCACGTCGGCTTGTCTCCGATATTCCGATATGAAAAACGTGGGGGAAGACCCTTTCTCCATCAGAAGTTCCCACTCAAGTGCTGGTTTCTTTTCCGGTCAAAGACCCTCAGACTTCTGATTTGCTTTCAACTTTTGAGCTTGTACAGACTTTGATGCCAAGTCTTTTTTTGACTCTGAGAGTTTGTACGCGCCACAACTCCGGGGTTGGAAGCGACCGGGATGATGCCCGATAGTGGAACGTTCTCCGCGTTTCCATTCACTCGTGCCAGTATCCTGCAGCGGCATAACATTTATGACAAGTTGATACCGTTGATACTGCTACAGATGGTTAAACTAAACGCCTATGTGCATATGTACTCTCCCATGATGGAAGATAAATGTGCATTATGGGGCTAAAAGATGCATGTCTCTTGTCTAGTCTCAATCGGGAGTCTATCTCGGCAAGTATTAAATTGGCCTGAGCTTCCGGCTCGGCTCCTTCATGAACTTGAAGCTTCCAAGTCCATTTGGATATCTGAATTAGAATGGTTTATTCCATTCAGACTTCAGTGTTCTTGTTGGTTTTGTGTCGCTTACGCAACAGGCTTATGGGATCAAGGGATGATATATCCGGATCCAAATAACTTCAACTTTTATTCTAGAATAGATTACCGGCCCCGGACTCAGGCTAGGATTTCCTGGGGAGAATAGACCCAAGGATCGTGCACACGGGAATTAACAGGATTCGGGAACTGACCTTTGCCATGTTCATGATTGGCGTCCCACTTGGATCCGCTGAGTGACCTCGTGAGAGCCAGAATTCTCAGTCCCCGCAATAGCCCGAAACAGCCCTCGTGATTCTTTATCCCCACACTGGAAACTTGATCATTTCGTCACTTTTTTTCTTTTCTGTTGGATGGTTGAATAGTGGAGTGGTTCCTGGTGCGTTTATTTCTTTTTCCCTTACTCCCGTACTCCTTTTCCCCCTTGATCCCTTGATCCTAAGATTGAATGGATAGGGTGGATCAGACTAAAACAAAAACAAGATTCAAGATTCAATGTGAATGAAGTGTATATAGCGCATAGAGTCTTGATGCAGACCTGTTTCTGAATTCTCCGAGAATCGGGTCTAGTCTTAGTATGGATGCATCAACTCTGTGGAGCTAATCAGATTACATGAATCCGGTGCGGGATATAATCATCTACATGTACATGCCCGGATATCATAAGCCCTGAAGTATCCAATACTTTTATTTCTTTTGAATTCTGAACATCCAGATGCCTGGACTCGGACCATGGACCATACTCTTTAACTTTTTTGATTTTTTTTTTTGCCTCCAGGGGACCGGGATCATATAGGCGATATGGATACTCTCTAAGATGGAAAGATCCGGTCATCGGCAGTTTCGTATATTATGAACCAATCATAGATAATGTTATTGTGGAGTTTTAAACGTTGGCGTTCAAGTTCGTGGGGAATTCAATTGTTGAACATTTCCGGAGTGACAACTGTCCTCCGTTCAAGTTGTAGGGTCGAGGCCCGCTCTATTTAGTAATGTAATCTGACCTTCAATGACTCCAGATGTCCGTATTTGAATTTATTTCTTTTTATTTAATTTCCCTCTACACTGCCCTGGTGGCATCCATGTAATGACTACGGTATTCGGAATACCACCCGGATTGTATACAGTACTCCAGTTCGTACACTCCGTCTAGTGAGGCATTTAACCATCAATAGAACTTCATTCAGGAATGAATTCCGCTCTACTCCGTGCACATATGATATTGATTGATCCACTACTAATACTCAAACTTGAATCCCCTATTAATTCACAAATGAAACGCTGATCGAAATACCCAACTTGGTAAGCTTGCGACAAGCCTCCACCACACTACTAAACAAGCCCCACATCTTCTCCGCCATTGGCGGCTGGAGACGGCTTCTCCAGTCGTTTTGGATTTTTTTCCCTCGAATCCACAAGTTATCCTGAAAAGACGTTCCCTGGTCCAGACCCCCAGGTTCTAACTTCTGCTCCACGAGCGGCTACGATCTTCTTTTCTAGTCCGTGGATTGGTCCAACTGTTGTATTCCGTGTGGACCTTGGAGTGGTACGGATGAGCTGTAACGAGGAGTACATTCAAATGTTTTATGCAGACTTCTTTTCATCGGCGTATTTCGGGGAATTTCCACGACTGATTCCAATAGATTGGATCACAGGGATAAGCAACTTAGATTCGTATCAATCACTTTATAGGAGAAGCTCTGAATGGTCCTAACTGCGGAGTATATACTCGTAAGAAGGAATATCTTGGCACAAATGCATGTGCATGTGCCAAATGATATCAGTACATATACCTACATAATGTAGTAAAAGCTGGGCAACCAAGGTTCTTGAGAGCATTTTCTGTCACGTACAATTCGTACCTGAATTACCACGCTAGTGACATGTCTCCAGAGAAGAACTTGATGGCACACAACCCCGACTCCACTTAGTGGAGGTGTTTTACACATCATTTTACATTGAATTTGAAGTTGAGATTTTCAATTCTTCACACCTTTTAGATAATTCAAGTTATTCTTTAACATTATTAAATTATTACTACTCTTCTCTAATCATTCTATATTGCTATACGTAACTCGGATACCCGGCACCGTATCGGTGCCGTTGGGGTCCCGTGACCGGGCCGAGCGTCATGTGCTAAACCAGATTGAGGTAAAGTGACGACACTGGATTTTAATGTGGATTTTCTATGTTCAAGTAGCCACTGAGGATTACTGAGGATTATACTGGTCAACCACTCTGGGGACTGTGTTGGTCAACTTTGGGGAGGATTCATTGATTCATTTTAATTGGTCTAATATGAGTCCCCGAGTGGAAATGTCTCGTGTGGGGAATGTGAATAGTTACCTTTGGGTAATTTTACTTACGGAGTGCCCCCAAACCTGGGTTCTGATGGAAAAGAAATAAAATTATTATAATTATAATAATTATAATAAAAATATAAATCTGATTTGAATATTTCCTTTTTTTTATTGTCTTAAATAGTAAATTTCCCCAACTTGACACTATACTTAAACTATTCATTTCCCCCAGTGCCCCCCATCGCGTCCACCCCCAGCTCTACTCAAAAAAAAAACATCATTTTAAAAAAAAAAAAGACCCTCTCCACTCTCCACTCTTATTCTTTTTTTTTCTTTTCGCCCTTACTTTTAAGGGATTTGTACGATTAATTACTTCGAATGTACCTCACACGCCCCCGGTCATTATGAGTAGTGTCGCCATGTCTGAAACCGAGTCCGGGAAACGCAAGGCCTCGACCGCCGGCCTTGCCGCACATAACCGCCCTGTCAAGCGCCGAGCCTCCAAGGCATGTTGTTGTTGTCGAGCACGTAAAGTGCGCTGTGATGTGGTGGAAAATGGATCACCATGTACCAATTGTCGTCTAGACCAAGTCGAATGTGTGGTCACAGAAAGCAAACGGAGAAAGTGCGTACTACACAAACATTTGATTTTGAAAAGAAAAAAGAAAAAAGAAAAAAATTCAGTCCGAACATCAATTCTGCACTACCCGAGTATTGAGTATCGAGTATCTCTTAGCTAACGTAGACCTCGTACAGGAAGTCTCGTGTTGAGGTGGAAAATGCTCATGCAGACTCCCCTGGTGAGGTCTCGGAAGACAATCCCTTGCATGCGATTCAAGGTTTGCCTGATATGGCTCCAACTTCGCCATCACAGGCTTCAGTGGATATAGATCATGGGCAACATATGCCACATTTACTATGTTCGTGCCAATCGAGATTACCATCATCCAGATGTTACATGCGCATCATTGATGTGTACATTCTTGTAATTGAAAACTGACCTTCCTACCAGATCAAACACAGGCAAACCGAATCGGCTGTGATGATCTATATCGTCATGGTCGTCGTATGGCGGCAACCCCCGCGGTCCCCACTTCAATGCCTCTAGCCAACGCGACTCTGCAAATCCAACAATTGCTCGACCCGAACTTCGGAACCCAACGAACCGCCGGTGATTACTTACCTGACTACATTCGTGGCTTACCCGCCCGGTTTCAGAAGGAGGATATCGAGTACCTCGCCGCGAAGGGCGCCCTGACTATTCCCGATATCAACTTGCGAAACGAACTCCTGAAGGCCTATATTCACTATGTGCATTCGTATATGCCGCTGTTGGATCTGGAAGAGTTTCTACAGACAATCGTGCAGAATGATGGCGTGCATCGCATTAGTCTCCTCTTGTTTCAGGCTGTCATGTTCGCGGGAATGGCTTTTATTGATATGAAGCATCTCCAAGCTGCGGGCTATCAGACCCGTAAAGCTGCGCGCAAGATTTTCTTCCAGCGTGCACGCTTGCTCTATGATTTCGATTATGAGGTAGATCGTATCTCTCTTGTTCAATCCTTGCTTCTCATGACCTACTGGTATGAGACTCCTGATGATCAGAAGGATACCTGGCACTGGATGGGTGTTAGTCTGTCCCTGGCTCATACAATTGGTCTGCATCGAGATCCTGGGAACTCGCGTATGGATCTTCGTCGCCAGAGAATGTGGAAACGCATCTGGTGGAGTACCTATACTCGCGATCGATTGATCGCGTTGGGTATGCGGAGACCTATGCGTGTAAAAGATGATGACTGTGATGTGCCGATGTTGACGCTGGATGACTTTGAATTCCAAGCCTTCTCACCGGAAATTGTGAAGATGGTTGGTGATTCAGAGATCCTGCAGAATATCAGCCACCAACGAGAGTTGGCGCTGATGTTCATTGAGAAGGCTAAGCTGTGTCTCTGTGTGAGTCATGTGCTTTCCGCTCAGTATTCGGTTCTCAGTCATAAGTTCGGAGGTACAATGGAGACTACCATGATGCTTGTCCCGAAGAAATCAACGGCCGAGTCATTTGAGGTGCGAAGATGTGACCAGGAACTGGAGGATTGGGTCGCCAATCTCCCTGTGGAAACTCAATATACACCATCCGGAGTTTCAAAACTTCCTGAGGCTCGTGAGGTTCTACACTCTCATCGGGCTCTCTTGAAGATGGTCTATCTTACTACCTCCAGTGCTCTTCATCGCCCTCAGGTCCTGCCCGCCGTTCCTTACCCATCTATGGATTCCGAGTTGCAGGAGCTCTCTCGCCAGAAAGTCCGATACGCCGCAGTGGAAATCACCAACATTGCCCAGGACCTCCACATTCTAGACTTGACTCGCTACTATCCTACCACCGGAGTCACGGTTCTTCTCCCCGCAGTCATTATTCATCTACTCGATATCAAGTCCACCGACCCCAGCGTTCGCATGACCAGTCTCCAGCGTTTCTACCAATGCATGCGCATCTTACAACGTCTCCGTGAGATCTATGCCTCAGCCGACTTCGCCACTTCATTCTTGGAAGCCGCAATCCGAAAGGCTGGTATTCAACTCACGGTCGCACCGCAAGACGTGCATTCTAAGCGTTCTCGCAAGACCACCGTGCCTACCACCAGCAGTGATCCCTTCGATTCTTTATCTCGCAATAACACCTTGACCCCTCCACCCGATTCTCTGGCTCAGAAGATCCCCGACCTTACATATCCACAAAAGGCCCCCGCAGGCGGGCGGTCTACGGGTGGCTTGTTCGTTGCGACACCTCCACACTCTGATGGTAGTGAAAATGGCAGCACGAACAATATCAACCCTACCCACGACGCCTTTGCGATTCCAGAATTGAACTCTGAACTCAGTCTTACGGAATTGATGGATCTGGCCAATGATGCTGAAGTTACTCAGAATGACTTTGACGCGCTTATCAATTTCGATGATGCTGGTAATGAGTTCTTTGCCGATGAATCTGCTCAATCACAGGCGCAGACACAGAACCAGAACCAATCCCAGTCTCATTCTCAGTCCCAATCTATGGATGATAAGGGCTTTGATTTCGCTATTGATAATATGACTATTCTCGGCTTTGATACCGATAAGTATACTGATAAGTCTATGGATTTTGCGGATCGTGCGTCCTCGGGTCCTGATTTTTCTACCGAGGCTCATTCTCGGTCTGGGCTGACGAGTGATCTTGATACGGATCTTGGAATTACCCTGGAATAATGTGCATCGGATCTTCTTTTGCACTTTTCATTGTGTTCTTTTCATCTTTCCTTTGCCTCCTTAGCGGAATTATTTAATTATTGTCTTATTACCTGCGCATTGGGATGGTGATTGGCAGGCTTTCATATCTGGCGCACATTCGGGTTTTGTTTGGTCTCTCTGATGATGATGACGATACTCTGTATTTCAATAGAGGGATTCCAAAAGCATGAGCAATATGACGACATTCAATTCAATCTTACTACTAGTATGTAAATCGTTACACCTGTTAGTGCCTATATGTACGGTGGTTATAGTGATTTCCAAGATTTGTAGAAATATCAATTGATAGTGTATCCCGGGCCGCTAATAACCGAATTGAGCTACATACATTTACATTGATGATTTCAAGATAATCAAACATTCCAAAGATACCGTAACTCCCAGTCAGATTGATACTCTCAGTATCACATGAGACCACAGATGTCATCGCGCAGAGATGATCCTCATGCGTGTCGGAATCTTGATAACGGCTCTCCAGGTTCAAGTTCATGGGATCGACAGGGGCTAGTACTAGTATGTATGGGGCCCCGGGGTTAACCATGGATCTTATGCTGAATTATGCACATGTGCCAATATTCATATATGCAGATTATACTAGGATATACCTGACACATGTGCAAGGATCATGAGCCGAGGTATTTCCATTTTTATCAGCCTTCAAATGTTGGAGCCTCAGATCGTTTAAGTTGTCCTACTTTCTGATCGGGATTCGGGATCTTGAGTTTCCGTGCATTCGTAATTTCATGGCTGAGTCCAGAAGTTTATTTTGATTTATTTTCAGACTCGAAGTTGGGCCGAGGATATACGAGGCCCGAGGCATTGCTCAGCCCTGAGGTTTAGTATAGTATCTGGAGGGCTCCGAGTCCGAGTGGTGGACCGATCAGATCATTCTCAGGCTGGTGGCAGTCATCCGACTCCGAGTCGGCAATATTCTCCGGATCTACATACTAGTGCATGTATATAGACACGGGGAATTGATAGTATTGATCAAATAAACGTGTCGGTTGAGTTCGGATAAATGAGGCTCCAATCTACTAGTAGAATGGTCAACTGGCTATACCATTATTACTAGTACTTTCCACGGGGCCATGATGGAGGTACTCAAATTAATGGTATCTACTCAGATAATATGTCGCAAATCTTTTATTATGAAGTTGATGCTATTAGTCTCATGTGAATGACTAGGCTGAGATTGAACCAAAATCGATAGTACTGGATCAATCTACGACTACCTAAGTCTATATGCACATATGTGGACCATATGCCTATCCATAGAAACTTGAAATGAAGCCAAGATATGTTGTAATCTGAATTAAATGCTCGTATTTGACTGCTACTTCCTGATGTTACCTTATACTAGGCAGCAATCTGCGTCCATTTTGAAGTTTCAAGAGCCAAGGTTTAATGTGGGTGTGGCGTTCCGATCATGATGCGTTTAGAAGCAAATGATATCAATCTAGAACAATTGAAGAGAAACCTTACAAAATGCAAATAATATACTCTATCAAGTTTCTGAGTCGATATTACGTACATGTTAGACATCTGGACCTTCACACCTGGGCACCGTCCTCTCCTGCATTTGTCTAAGTCAAAGACGCACTATTGTAGGCTGGGTTAATTATCCGTTTTAGACGTCAACTGGTCAACTGGTATCTGTGAATACTTATATGGCACCGTGACTTGCATACTAGCATCATTCACATATGCACTTAGTATCAATCAATAAACTATGGTGTATCAAGACCACGAGGCTAAGCTTCAAGGGGACGGTTGAAATGCTTATTTTTACACACTTAGTTGAATGGATAGGTGGAATATTTGAAAGTAGTAGTCTATAGTACGAATAACTGCACCCAATTCTCTGTAAAGAGAGCGAGAGTATTCACTTATAAGAGTGAGTTCGTTACCTATCGACTCTTACTAGTTTGATTCTAACTTGAACATTTGAAAGTTATATAAATTGCGCCATAATCGTGCCATAGGAAAGAATCCTTTCAGAGTCTTATCTTTCTGTTTGCATATGAGGCCCAACACCAGAGAAGCTTCGACTTCTTCTCGTCTCTTCTATACCTGCTATTTATTTTTATTTATCTGATTTGATTTAGTATCATATTCTTTTTGATCTAAAGCTTCTTACACCGCCATACTTCAACTTCAAAAACCAACAGATCGGGGATCGAGCCCTGCTCACTCCATTCCTTTTTTCATTTTCTTTTGAATCCTTCCTGCTTACCTATCTCGCATGCATTCGAATTGGCTGCCTTTTCTCACAATAATGGGTGTATTACCCGCAGCCTTGCATCGGGCAGCGCCACCTGAGGAATCTGTAGGCTCCCACTGCGCCCCATTTAGCGCTGCCGATCTTCCCCTCACCAAGACCCTGAAAAGTCCCAAATCGAATCAATCATCGTCATTAAGATAACTGTCCCGTTATTGGAGACTCTCGCCAAGACACTCTATCCTAGCTCTGTTGAGGGGGGTCTGGCCTCTTGTATGGTCCAATATAGAGTAGTGATGCTACCTTCCCCGGAGCTCCTGCGGAGAATGACTGAATGGGTCCCGCGATTATGTTCCTCACGCCTCCTACTGGCCTCCTCACCGGGCGGACCGCTTGGCTGGCTGGTTAACCATGCCTAAGGGAGTAATCGGCCACGCCGATTGCGTTGAGCACGGCTGTTATCTTCCAGTCTCGCAGATAATGCTTTTGTCTCATTGGAGATGGCTTATTATGCAGCCTGTAGCCGATCCTCTTGCCTGGAACTTGGTCGATGTATTTAAGTTGCGGGGGATCGCTTCATTGATTGCAGCATAAGGCTCTCGGTGTACAATTCGTGAGATCTTGATCGAAATGCGTCTCAATACTTGGATCCCGGCGCTGCTACCACTAGTTGCAGCTAGTTCTATACCTCGGGGAACGGAATTCGCACGCCGTCAACTGCCTAAAGAGCCTACAGGTGTTAAGACAATCACCACGGCTAATAATGTCACTATCCGTTATAAGGAACCCGGGAAAGAGGGTGTCTGTGAGACTACTCCCGGTGTTAACTCATATGCAGGTTACGTGGACCTAGCAGAGAATGTCCATACTTTCTTTTGGTTCTTCGAGGCTCGTCATAACCCAGAGACTGCACCAATCACACTTTGGCTTAATGGAGGTCCTGGTAGTGACTCGTTGATTGGACTTTTTGAAGGTGAGTTCGTGCAAGTTATGGACTTGGATGGGGATTTATAGCTGATCAGAACAGAGTTGGGTCCATGCCATGTTAATGAATCTTATGAGACTTATCTGAATCCTCATTCATGGAATGAGGTTTCTAACATGCTGTTCATTTCCCAGCCTCTGGGTACTGGTAAGTTATCTACTGTGGAGTCAACGGAATGGATGTATGCTGAGAGGTACTTTAGGATTTTCATACTCGGAGGAGGGAGAGGGTTCGCTCAACCCAATTACCGGCTCTTTTGAGCCGGCCGATGTCGCAGGCGTTCAGGGTCGCTACCCAGTGATCAATGCCACTATGATTGGTAAGTTTTACGCAGCCAAAGTATGAGTCTTGAGCTGATCCCCGCAGATACGACCAACCTCGCCGCTGAGGCAACTTGGGAAGTCCTGCAGGGATTCCTGGGAGCATTGCCCAAGTTGGATTCGAAGATCAAATCAAAGAGCTTCAATCTCTGGACTGAGAGCTATGGAGGGTGAGTGCATGAGCCTATGATGCATGATTAAGTGAGATACTAACATTCAATAGACACTATGGACCGGCTGTAAGTGCGATGCACCAATGGCTCGACTTGACTTGACTAACTAGATTTCAAATGTTAGTTCTTCGACCATTTCTATGAGCAAAATGAGAAGATTGCCAATGGTACCGTGGAAGGTGTTCAACTGGATTTCAATACTTTGGGTATCATTAATGGAATCATTGATGAGGCTATCCAAGCTCCTCACTATCCTGAATTTGCTGTCCACAACACCTATGGCATCAAGGCTGTAAGTATCGTGCTTTATCCAATAAAGTTGCTCCTTATTAATCTGAGCTTTTCAGGTCAATGAAACTGTCTACAACTATATGAAATTCGCCAACTCAATGCCTAATGGCTGTCAAGACCAGGTCGCAACATGCAAAGCAACTAATCGTACCTCTCTGTCAGACTACGCTCTATGCACAGAAGCAGCCGATATGTGCCGTGACAACGTCGGTATGTTTCAGAAATCATTTTCAATCCCACTTTCATACCCAAACTAACCCCTTAAATAGAGAGTCCGTACTATTATTTCAGTGGCCGTGGCGTATATGATATCCGTCATCCATACGAAGACCCGACCCCTCCAAGTTACTTCGAGCAATACCTCGCCAAAGACTCCGTGATGAACGCCATTGGCGTAGATCTCAACTATACAAGCTCCAACGATGAAATCTACTTCGCCTTCCAACAAACGGGTGACTTCGTCTGGCCGAACTTCATTGAGGATCTAGAAGATATCCTTACCCGTCCTGTTCGTGTTGCTCTGATCTACGGTGACGCAGATTACATCTGTAACTGGTTCGGTGGACAGGCTATCTCCCTTGCAACGAAGTATAAGCATAGTAAGGAATTTGCAAAAGCGGGTTACGCACCTTTCCTTGTGGATGGAGTTGAATATGGCGAAACGCGTGAATATGGGAACTTTTCTTTCACCAGGGTTTATGAGGCTGGTCATGAGGTTCCTTATTATCAGCCTGTCGCTGCTTTGCAACTTTTTAATCGCACGCTGAATGGTTGGGAGTTGCCTAAGGGTGAGAAGAAGTTGACGCCGGATTTTGGTTCTAGTGGTCCTGCCACTGCGACGCATACGGAGTCCTCTGTTGCGTTGCCTACTAGCACTACCAGTGGTTCAAGTTGACTCCCTAGGCTGGAGTTGCGACTATGAGGACTATTAGGTTCATAGAATTTGCACAGTTCTATGTACCTTTTGTATATAGACTTCTGTCTACTCGTTCAGGGTTAATTTATATGTCAAATCTGACGATACTTTTCAAGTTCAAGTCACGGAGTATGAATCAAAAGATGTACATGTATTGATCGAAAGTAGAGAAGGAAAAGGTCCCTACGGGAATATGTAAACATTAAGGCAAAGCAACACGCCTTATAATGTAGCTGGTCCTCATCCAAGAGTGAGACCACGTATAACAGTGATGATACAGTCATTCAAGTCTTTCAGGATTTACTCCTTGCCAGAAGTGTCTTCGTGAGACTCGGGCTTTTCACAATCGTCGGTTTGCACCGTAGTTCCACCCAAAACATCAGCAGTGGTTTCGTCGGAGAAGCGCAGATCCTCTTCCACTGAGGTGCTTTCCTTGACTTTGAAGAAAATGATTGGTGAGGCGATCATCATGCTGCCGACAAGGAGACCCCAGCAAGAGGCGAATTCGGTCATATAGGGAGTTTTCACGGCATCGAGACTGGAATATTGTCAGGAAGAGGTCTGTAACACATGGAAATATTTTACTTACCGCCACATTCCAGCTGCACCGGCAGACTGGATGCCCTTGTAGAAACCAGCAAAGTTGGCCAATTTGCGGCTGTTGTTTGATAGAGATCCCATGTACCTGATGAAAAGTTAGAGTGTGGATTTCACAACAAATGGAGATGCACTTACCAGTAGGTGCAGGTCTGAAACGCCGCATCATAAAATCCGTAAAACATGTAGAGGAACATAGGTCCGATATAGCCGCTATCTGTGAAATCCATATTGGCTTTGACAGTTTCTCGGGTGTATGTTTTCTGGAAATCATAACCACCGCCCCAGATGGCCATCGTAACGGCAAGGAGGATGCCGAAGTTGATTTTCGCGCGGGTCGGACGAGAGAACCATTTCATATCCAAGAGTTGTCCGAAGATAAATGCGCCGACCATCTGCATAAGCCAGTACAATAGACTGTTCAAGGCTCGAGTTCGAATCGTGAAGTAGGCGAGATTAACAGCGTTGAAGTGGTAACCGTAGAACCAGTTGCTGGCCAGGAACATGGGGAACATCGCGATGATGTACGCATCCGAGCGCAGGGTTTCCCATAGACCCAGAAACTCCGATTTCCATGTGGGATTTTTAATCACGATGACTCGGGAGCCATCTTTTCGCTTGATGTATTTTGAATCGGCGATTACCCAGCACAGGGCAAATCCCACGGCCATCAACACCAGGAAGGCAATGTAGGTGGCGTTGTCGACATTGCCGGCTGTGCTGTGCATATTCTGGCCCAGAGGGATCAGACTGCCAATGACGCCGCCCAGATTGAAAATCACCCAGAAGATGGCAATGTATTTACCTTTCTCATGTTCATGTGGATAACTCATCATCACCGCACCCTGCGCACACCATAGTAAACCAGCGCAAACACCTAGCAGGGCACCCGCAAAGATAAGGAATCCAGCATTCTGATTGATATTATAAGAGAGGAGGGCGGCGACATATAAGAAATAGCCGAATCCACCGAGAGACAAGGTCAATCGCAGACCAATTCGATTCGCAATGGAACCTGCAAAGAAACCCACCACAGCAAAGGTACTGTACAACGCTGTGTTGGAATTATTCACATCGGTCGCATTGACTTGTCCACCGCCTCCTAGTCCACTCACTGCGTTGTACATGCCAGGACAGAGGAAACACACGCATGAAACGAGAATCAACTGCGTCTCGGGTGATGCGAACCAGGGAGCCTCCCACGAGCCAATCCTGAACATGGGTTTATACATCCATGGTTTCCCGACCACGGCATGATCTATTGCTGTCTCTGGATCATCTACCTCCATTGGGTGTAATTGTTTCCCGGGTGTGACCGATGTCTCTGGTAATTGCTCGTCTGTAGACATGATTGTGAAATAATTTCAATATGGGGGCTAAAATGCCCTGAAGATCTCACAAATGTGAGAAGTGACTCGAAGTGACTCGAAGTGAAGAATGAGATCTGGGAAAGAATGATCGACCACGTGAAACCTTGATCTGGAATGTCCCTTTTTTTAGTGTCCAAAAATGAGAGGTACTTGACTTCCTCTTTATTTCAAGAACTCCAAGCTGAATTGAACAATTTATGAGTGAAAATTCATAAAAATTCCAAGAATCTTCCAACTTTTAAACTGTTTCACTTATAAGCGAAAAGTGGAGAGGACCCTTTTTTTCAGGTATTGTGGTCAGGTGGAGAGAATTTGCGGGGGAGAGATTCAAGAACTGGAGAAATGGAGTCATTGAAGTCTCGATAATTGGAACCATTGGAACATTGTCACTTGAACCATAAAACAACATATGAAAAAAAGAAGATACGACTCTGCATGCGGTGGTATTTGACCATGAACTGCAATGATGCTATGACTAAACGGATCCACTTTGGTGCATTAGGGGAAGATTAGTGTACATCAGGCACTACTAGGTAGAGCCACTTTCATTGCGACCACACCTTGATCGTACTACCTATCACTAATATTACTAGTATGACTTAGTACTTGGATCTGCGTCATTCTTTTGGATCGATTAATTCTTTGGAACATTAGAAGTTCAGTGAAGTCATTAATCTGAATATCTCAGCTCTCGTGCGGCTACTCCCGGAGTTCAAGATCTTCTACGCGCACAAGAGTATGCAAGATCCGGACTCAGCCGAGAATTGACCAGTTGATGCATATTTGCTGTTCTAGGATAAGAGGTTCAATTTCTAATAGTATTCGAATTCAATCTTGGAATGTCTTGGCTGTTTTTTTCTTCAAAAAGGTCCAAGTTGTTGGAGTCTTGGGTTCAAATGTTGTGTAGTATGCGGGTAAACATGAGATGATAAGAGCACGAACCCTGGGGCGTGACATTATTTATAAAACAAGATGAAGTTGACCGAAATCCCATCTTGGTCAGATCCAGATCCCTGGGATTCGAGATTTTCATCAAGTTCACTTTTACTCTTAATCATGATAGATTCAACTTGCCAGTGGCGTTCTCATTGTGGTGCTCTGATCGCCGCATCCGTCTGAGATATACCAAGTAGTACTAGTAACTACCGGTATGCTTAAACAAGGCTAGATTAACTCCATTCTGGTTATTAGTATTTGACATAATACTAGTAATATGCAGGTACATCCCAATTTAGGGCCTTTCCTTGTATCTACTCAAACTCTACTGAATTGGTACCTGTCCATATGGGCAAACATGGACCTGAAATTCTTGAGACAATCAAGTGTATAGCTTAGCGATGTCATATGTACTGTATAATATTCACAATAAATGGAGATCAGATGAAATTATAGTCAGATTTAAACGCAAAATATCATAAGAACATGAGATATAGTCAATGTCTGCAATCAATTAGATGCATACAGATGTGAACTGTCAACCACCTGGGCACCTGGGCATAGTTCCAACCTTGGAAGGCAGATACAGAATGTTATGCGTATTGTAAGTTTGGAAGTATTGTATCTGTCTTGTCAGTCCCGTTTGCGGGTCAAAACAGCAGGCGGTCAGTGTAAAATTACCCTTCCAAGAAGGCGGTCTCTTCTCTTACCTCATCCTGGTTGCGACGTGAGGTTGCACTCTCCACCTTTCTTTCACTTTTCTCTACCTAAACCATCTTGCCCCCGGATTTTGGAATTTTGACACTTGCTAAGATCTTTATTTGATTGTTCATATTATTTTTTGATAGTGGATTCCGAATGCAACTCCCGATGACACCATGCCTCATGCACCCCACTCCTATCACTCTCGACTCCACGTCATCTATACTATTGTTGACCACCACATGGAAAATCTCAGTAGCAATGGTCCCTGATAACATCAATTCCATGGTTGGAAGAATCCCGAGTGGAGAACCATGAAAGAAAACAATGAATACCAATGATATGCACGGTTGAGGGGGAAGGGGGAACAAGTAGAAGCAAAATCCGGTCTTGGGTCTCGCCCACATGGCGTATCATGGCGCATGCGACGATACATTCTGAAGATCTCACGTAGTTGTAGTAGGAAATTATGTAGGAGGGGCGATATCCTTTCCTGGCGTCGTACGCTCTGGTTCCCCCGCGACGTAACCAACCTTTTCAAATCTTCTGAATCATTTTATTCTCTCTTCTCATCCGTCCTTTCCATCTTTTTCCCTCGAATCCGCGACTTCCATCTTTCTCGACTTCTCTCCATCACCTACTCTTTCTCAACCTCCCACTGACGTAACCACAATGTATTTATCTTCACCTCATTTATCCTACAATGGCTAATCTGAATTTCAGGCGTGTGATCATCAGAGAGGATCCTCAGACGGCGTCTGTGTACATTGCCGAGTACATCGTCAGTAAGTTGACCCAGACTGAGAGATACCCGAGGACAAGACTGATCTATTCCAGGCCGTATCAAGGAATTCAATCCTACAGAGACTCAACCCTTTGTAATTGGTCTTCCCACAGGAAGCAGCCCCGAGATTATTTACAAAATCCTCGTCCAGCGTCATCGCGCCGGCGAGATCTCCTTCAAAAATGTCGTGACATTCAACATGGTAGGTGGTTGTCACAGCGGAATCTATCCATGCAAGCTATTAATTCATTTGTAGGATGAGTACGTCGGTCTTCCTCGCGACCACCCCGAGTCCTACCACAGCTTCATGTATAAGCACTTCTTCTCGCACGTCGACATTCCTCCCCAGAACATCAACATCCTCGACGGCAATGCGCCCGATGCCGCAGCCGAGTGTGCCTCGTTTGAAGCGCGCATTGCTCGTTACGGTGGAATCGAACTTTTCCTCGGTGGCGTTGGACCTGATGGACACATCGCCTTCAATGAACCTGGTTCCTCGCTGAGCAGTCGCACCCGAGTTAAGACTCTGGCTTATGACACCATCTTGGCCAACTCCCGTTTCTTCGATAACGATGTCAACAAGGTGCCTCGCATGGCCATGACTGTCGGTATCCAGACCATCATGGATGCGCGCGAGGTCGTCATTGTCGCGACTGGTGCTCACAAGGCATTCGCTATCCAGAAGGGGCTAGAGGATGGCGTTAACCACATGTGGACCCTCTCCGCACTCCAGCTGCACCCCCACCCGCTAATTGTCTGTGACCGCGACGCCACTCTGGAGCTTAAGGTTAAGACTGTGCGCTACTTCGAATCTATCGAACAAGCTGGTACCGATGCCCGTACTCAGGGCCCTCCTTTGGTCTACCGCCCGCGCACCTATGTTCCTGCTCCAGTCAATGTCAAGAAGAGCTCTCAGCGCCAGCAGGTTACTCCGGATACTACCCCACAGAAGGTGCCCAAGGATCTGCGCATCAACACCGAGCTTGGTCGGAATATCGAGGACGATGAGTTGACCCCAGATAGCATGTCGTCTCGTATGGTTGACTCGGCTATTGGTGGTATCGACGGGGCTTTGAAAAACGATCTGATCTTTGATCGTATGGGCGCGAGAGTGACTACACTTTAAAGTGTATTGATGATATGCGACATGCACCTTCTGGCTTTGTCTTTTTAATTTTCTCTTTTGTGCTTCATCGGTTTGGGTCAGGAGAATGGGGTCTTATTTCTTACACCGGTCATTGCTGCATGGTTTTACTCGTTTTAGGAGTTATCTGTTTCCGTCGGTCGTTTGAACCTGATAGATATGCTACGGTGGATATCCTTTTGAATCTGCATTCCATAAGTCATTTAGGCGCTAGCGAATGAATCAGTTTTGAATTCAAATGTTGATTTGAAGTGTATGATTAGTATGTGTGTTTTCATCTGCAATATTCAATGCTTCAACCTGTTCCAAGGTTGAATATGACTCGGATAAACTCGAGTCTAAAAATTTCAACATGAGACAATGCTTTATACTTCAGACACCAGTCTAATTCCAAATCATATAGTATGCAGGCTACACAGCATATTGCGGGGAACTTGTGCAAGGTACTACTAGTGAGGATTGAGTCATGCATAAATGTTTCATTCAATGGGTATGTTCAAGTTGACGATGGGGACCTGAGCCCCTTAATATCTTATCGGGTCATGCTAATAACATCACAGCTTGGCGAAGACTGTCGCAACGGCACCACTCATATCCACCAAAGTGCTCTTATTCTGCAGCCAAGCCTCAATACCGCGACGACCATTCTCCACACCCAGACCGCTCTTCTTCCAACCACCAACAGCCATCTCAGCTGGGCTCTCTCCCCATGTGTTAATCCAAGTAATACCAGCTTGAAGCTGGTCAATAATGCGATGAGCCTGGTTCAGATCCTTGGTGAAGACTCCAGCGGCCAGACCCAGTTCAGTGTTGTTGGCGCGTTTCACAGCCTCCTCAACAGTATCGTAGTATAGTAAGGACATGACAGGTCCGAAGATCTCCTCCTTCACAATGCTCATTGAGTCATTGCAATCAGTGAAGATAGTTGGCTTGACCCAGTATCCAGCCTGAAGGTCTTGAGGAACATCAGGCTTCTCAGGACCACCGCAGAGAAGGGTAGCACGGTCATTCTCGATACCGTGACGAATATAAGAAACGACCTTCTCGCGGTGAAGGGCCGAGCTTAAAGGTCCAAAGTTGGTCTGTTCATCGAAGAGGGGTCCAGCCCGCACAAATGGAATCTTCTCCAACAGACGCTTCTCAAACGCAGCCTTCATGGATCGGGGAACGAATACCCGAGTACCGTTTGTGCAGACCTGACCGGTGCTGTAAAAGTTGGCCATCATAGCTCCATCGACGGCGCTCTCGAGATCGGCATCCGGGCAGACGATCAGAGGACTCTTTCCGCCCAGCTCCATGGTCACATATTTCATGTGACCGCTGGCTGCACCAGCAACCTTCATACCGGTCGAGACTTGTCCGGTGAATGAGACCTTGGCGATGATTGGGTGGCTTGTCAAGTATGCACCAACGTCGCCAGCGCCGTTGATAACATTAAAGACTCCATCGGGGATTCCAGCCTCGGTATAGATTTCGGCAAGGGTCAGACCGTGCAGGGGGGTGAATTCACTAGGCTTGTACACCATGGTGTTACCGGCAGCAAGGCACGCGGCGGACTTCCACAAAGCACTGTAGGGATTAGCATGCTTCTAGACTTTTCCTCTTTCTCTTAGATTTTCAAAACTCACATCTGAATAGGATAGTTCCAAGCTCCAATGCCTGCACAAACACCCAATGGAGCTTTCTTGGTATACACCCACGCATCCTCTCGCAACTGGGTAGTCTCTCCGTTCAATCCACCACCACCAATGAAATTAGCATAGTACTCCAATACATCAGCTCCAGTCACCACATCCACTGTGCTGGTCTCTGTGTACGCCTTGCCGGAATCCAAGGTCTCGACGCGCGCGATCTCATCATTTTTCTCACGGAGCAAGTTCGCGGCTTTCTGTAGAATGCGAGCGCGAGCAATTGCAGGCATCTGCGACCAAGCAGGGAAAGCTCGCTCTGCCGAGGCAATGGCAGCATCGGTATCGGCATTAGAAGCGATTTGGATATCGGCTAGAGGGGTGGCAGTGGCGGGATTCATAGTTTGGAAGGTTTTTCCCGATGAGGCGGCTTGCACCTTACCGCCATAGTAAAGTTGACGAGGAGGGAATGAATCCATGATGTGTATAATATGATTTTTGTGATTATGTTTAGAAGAGGAAAGAGAGGGATTGTGTTTTTTTTCCCAAGTCGGGGATTGGGACTTTGATTTACACCTCATACATATTTTTTCCACACCGCCCGTCCGGTTCCATCTCAGTCTCAGCCCGGTGGGGTTAGTGTGTTTGATTACATACGACGGAATAGGAATTAATGTATTCCCATTGGGTAAAATGGATCCACTTCTTGTATCTGATTGGTTCAACGGGATTGTAGATCCATGGCTTGCTCTTCTCTCCGGGGTTGTGTGTGTGACGTAGATGGCTCAATAGGGTAATGTCTCTTATATTGTAAAGATATATAAGATAAAAGAAGAAATATGAACTTGGGGATAGTTTCATTTTGGGAGATCATAGACTTATGATAAGAGACTATATACACAACAAATGTCAGACTCTCTCCCCCTTGTAATCCTTTGTACTTTTTTTTCTGCCGCTTACTACTAGTAGTGGGAAAGAAGTGGATCATTCTTACTCTTATCGCCAACATCAACTCCACTTCCCCCACTTTTCACCTTCTTCCACCACTCATCATCTTGAATCTATCATATCCCTGACGCAATAGGCAGCAAAAAATGAGATGAAAAATAATAAAAAAACCTTGTTTGGTCGCCTCATTTCCCAATTCGGCATGTAGATTGAGATTTTGAAATCACTTTCTGTACTCCGAATCAATATCTTCTCTCCACTCTCCTTGTTTCCAAGCTTCTCCGAAATCAACGTATATTAACACGGTGAGAAAAAAAAAATTACTAGTATTTCAATTATCTTATATATTCCCCTCTTTCTCCGGGTTCTTTTTTTGTGTTTTTCTCCGTATTCTCTATAGTTTATTCCATCATGGCTACTACCAACGATTTCTCCGCCGCTGAGGTCAACAGCTACGACTACATTGTCGTAGGTGGTGGTACTGCTGGTTGTGTCATTGCTGCTCGTCTGGCTCAGTACTTGCCCAACAAGCGTGTCCTTGTCATTGAGGGTGGTCCCAGTGACTTCTCAGATGACCGAGTCCTTAACTTGAAGGAGTGGCTTAACCTTCTGGGTGGCGAGCTGGACTACGACTACCCTACTACTGAACAACCCAACGGTATGTCTCGGCACCTGTCAATTCGTCTGAGTCTACCATAGTCTCGAGCTGCAAGGAGACCTCGGGACGATTGGTCACGTTCTCGATCTATATGAACTTAAAACTAACTTCTCAAAAAGGTAACAGCCATATTCGTCACTCTCGCGCCAAGGTGCTCGGTGGCTGCTCTAGTCACAACACCCTCATCTCTTTCCGTCCATTTGAGTATGACTGCCGTAACTGGGTCGCCCAGGGTTGTCATGGCTGGGACTTTGAGACCTTCACCCGTCTTATCGATGGTCTCCGCAACACTTTCCAGCCTGTTCACGGCCGCCACCGTAACCAGCTGTGCAAGGACTGGATTCAGGCCTGCTCATCTGCTATGAACATCCCTATCATTCCTAACTTCAATGCGGACATCCGTAAGAACGGTGAACTCACCGAGGGTGTTGGCTTCTTCAACGTCTCTTACAACCCTGACGATGGCCGCCGAAGCAGTGCTAGTGTGGCTTACATCCACCCTATCCTCCGTGGTGAGGAGAAGCGTCCTAACTTGACTATTCTGACCAACGCTTGGGTCTCCAAGGTCAACGTCGAGGGTGACTCCGTGACTGGTGTCAACGTTACCCTCCAGTCTGGTGCTAAGCACACCCTGCGTGCTCGCAAGGAGACTGTTCTCTGCGCTGGTGCCGTCGACACTCCTCGTCTGATGCTGCTCTCCGGTCTGGGTCCTAAGGAGCAACTCTCTGCCCTGGGTATCCCCGTTGTCAAGGACATTCCCGGTGTCGGTGAGAACCTCATCGATCACCCCGAGAGTATCATCATGTGGGAGTTGAACGCCCCAGTTGATCACACCATGACCACCATGGACTCTGACGCCGGTATCTTCCTCCGTCGTGAGGCTCCCGATGCCGCTGGCTTCGATGGCCGCGCCGCAGATGTCATGATGCACTGCTACCAAATCCCCTTCACTCTTAACACCACCCGTCTGGGCTACGATGAGCCAGTCCACGCTTTCTGCATGACCCCTAACATCCCTCGTCCTCGCTCCCGTGGTCGTCTCTTCCTCACTTCCGCTGACCCCTCCGTCAAGCCTGCTCTGGACTTCCGTTACTTTACTGACCCCGAGGGCTACGACGCCGCTACCATCGTCGAGGGTTTCAAGGCTGCTCGTAAGATTGCTCAGGAGTCTCCCTTCAAGCAGTGGATCAAGCGTGAGGTTGCCCCAGGTCCCGACGTTCAGTCTGATGAGGCTCTTTCTGAGTATGGTCGTCGTGTCGCTCACACCGTCTACCACCCCGCTGGTACTACCAAGATGGGTGACCCCGTCCGTGACCCCCTGGCTGTCGTTGACTCTAAGTTGAGGATCCGTGGCCTGAAGGGTGTTCGTATCGCTGATGCTGGTGTCTTCCCTGATATGCCTTCCATAAACCCCATGTTGACCGTGCTGGCCATTGGTGAGCGTGCTGCTGAGATGATTGCTGAAGAGGCTGGCTGGTCCCACTCTCAGCCCAGACTGTAAATGTCATCATCATTGCAGATTTTAGGTGATGGTCGTGCTTGACTGATTTCTACGAAAGTTTCTTTTTTGTTTGTTTGTTTGCACTGTTTTATACCGGTTTAGCATATCAGCGAGCGGCGCAAAAGCTCCAGTGGATGTGAAGATGCCCTCTGCGTGCGCGTGGATTGCGCATACAGTACATCATTTATTCTGAATTTAAATGAATTTAAATGAATACCATTGAATACGAAATGAAAAAAATTATGAAATTTCAAACTTTGAAGCATAAACATGGGAGCAAGTATGTGTAGGACTCGGACGAGGGAATATTTACTCCACTATTAGTACAACCTTAGAAGATACTAATACTCGTAGTACTACAACACAACATCATGGCTGGAACTTGAATTTAATAAAATCTTGATTGAATAGCTTAATACTAATACATATTGAGTAATTTGAGGCTTGATGTAGAGCTGAACTCTATGATGCGCTGCACGGGATTTCTCGATGCTTGATGAATGAGAATAGATGCCTGAACGCCCGAGCACCGATACTAAAGAGCATAGAAATGCGCAACTTGCCAATAAGATACCACGACTGAGTCCGAAAAACAAAACAAAAAAATGAAAAGAGATACGCGAAGAGTAAGGCAATGCCCGAACTTAAACGCCCACGGTCTTCAAGTTCTCAGCATCATGAATCTTGACACCGAACTTCCATACCTGGTCCACTGTCAAAGTAGAACCGGAGAAAGGGTCATCACTCTCGCCCAAAACAACCAAGTCCGCATCCGCACCGCTATCCAATGATCCCTTGATTCCCTCCAGACCCAACAGGCGCGCAGGAGTAGCAGTCACAGCGTTGATCGCATCCGCAGTGGAAGAACCCGACCAGCGACGGAAATTGTTCACACATTCAATGAGCGTCGCGGAACTTCCTGCAATCTTATCCGATCCCTCCAGTGTCAGACGCGCACCGGTCTTGACAATCCGCTCGCCATTTGTCCACTCATAAACTCCATCTGGAAGTCCACACAGGCGCATCGCATCTGTCACTAGAATCAATCCCTCAGGGTGCGCGTTGTAGGCAATCTTGATAGAGGTCGGGTGCAAATGGATTCCATCAGCAATCACTCCGTAGTATGGACGACGGCGCTCGCTTTGACCCAGAAGACCGAAGATACCGGGGTTACGGTGATAGAATGGGCGCATGGCGTTGAACAAGTGGGTGATCATACGGGCTCCCTGACGAGTAGCTGTAACTGCTTGTTCGTATGTAGCGTCGGAATGACCGATAGAGTAGATGATGTTGCGCTTTGTGATTTCGGGAATCTGCGACATCATGTTGCCGACTTCTGGTGCAGCGGTGATCATCTTGATAGGACAGATGGTGCCTAGGTTCTCCTCGCCATAACAGTGGAGCAGGTCTTCGAAAGTTTGCGCCGCGCGCAGTACCTCTGACTTGTGGATGCCGTTTCGTCCGGGACTGATGAATGGTCCCTCGACGTGTGCTCCGAGGGACTCGGCGCCATCTTGCGCTTGGTGAGTTTCGCCAGTAGGACCAAGTGAGGGAAGCACCTTTGAGACGTTAGTGTCCGAAATGAACTTGTTAACTCCATGAGGACTCAAGCGCATACCTTCCAGTACACCTCAGGTGTAGAGCTGACTACAGTCGGGAGGTATGAAGTAACACCAGTGCGAGCCAGACCAGTATTCACCATGCGTAAGCCCTCATCATACTCTTCCTTTGTCTCACAGGGGACTGAGAAATCAAAACCGTGAGCGCCATTCAGCTGCACATCTATCAGTCCAGGTGCCAAGATTCGACCACCTAGATCGACGATCTCATCGGGAGAGAGGTGTAGTTCATAGAATGCCTCTTGATCCTTGAGGATCTTTCCGGAAAGTGAGTCAATCCATAGATCTTGCTCCACCAATGACGAGCCGCGCACGAGGCGACAGTTCGTAAACTTGGTGATTCGAGGGACCGGGGTTGTTTTGCCTGGCATGGTGAGTGTGTAGAATGATTCCCTCTGAAGGAAACGAAGGACGAGGTGATGGAAAACAATCAAATGAAGTAGTTTATTGAGAACTGTACTATGATGTAACCGTAAACTGATTAGGTGTAGGTGACATTTCCACCGAAAACGATTGATAGAGTAGATGTAACCCTTGAGCTAATCAGTTTAGTGTGACATTGGGTGGATCAATATTATGGGGTAATTTTGATACGTGACAGCTGACCCATGGACTTGGTGCTGAGTGCAGATGTAATTAATTTCAATTAATTTCAATACCAGGTATCAGTCATATAATACATTACATTTGGGCAGATTCACCCTCCACCAAAATTCCCCACTGTTTTGATTATTTTCTGCCGGTTGAAATTGTATTACACAATCCTCTCAACGCCCCAATAGTTAGGCCTCCCAGTGACAATTTTCCCCCACGAAGCAGATGCCGAGTCCACATTTTCTCCAGAAAATCATGAAGTGATTACTTTACCCTATAGTAACTAGGTAAGCAAAAATATGGATCACATTTTCTCCAGTGATTAGGTATAATCTTAGTAAGGAGTCTAGTCCGGGGTCCTTCCAAGGTTATTTTCTATCTTATCTATTCCCCCCCCCAACATCTTCCCCCCGATTGCGGCTCTGGGGCCGTGCTGCTTATCCCATTCTGACAACCACGCTCTCCCCTTCTCCTCCTCCGTCACCTGACTGCGACCTCGGAGCTTTCCCCCAAACTCATAACCTCTTTCTCCTCCCGATAAGGAAACATATACTCGGGGCTGGATTCTATCCCGCTTGCAGCGCTGGTTCTTTTTCTGTTTTCCTTGGGCCCCCTGGCATTCCTCATCCCCCCCCAGGGCCATGGCCCCGAAAGAGGACATGCTGCCCCCGGGTTGGGAGGATCTAGACAGGTATGTTGATCTCCTGTTCCGGATACTGCTCCTCCAACCCTGCCCTTCCCATCTCCACCACGCGTTGTGGAACCCCAAATCAGTTACCCCCGCTTGTCTTCTTCCCTGTTCTTTCTTCAGGCTATTTAGATCACTTTCCATGGGGACAATTTGATCAAGAGTCACTGAAGGAGTTCTCGGAGGGAGATCCGATACTGGGGAAATTAACCATAATTACTAAAAAAAAATGGAAAACTCATCCATGCTGACCTTGTGCCAGGCAAATGGGCCAGCTGTTTATGATGGGCTTTGATGGTACATCTGTCAGTCCGGAAATTCGCACCCTTATTGAGGATTATCATCTTGGATCCGTCCTACTGTCAGCCAAGAACCTTAAATGTAATATCTAAAATCCTTCGCGCTCAAGCGTTTATTCCCAATTAACTAACTGTATCCATTAGCCGCGGAAGAGGCTACTCGATTGGTCCTTGAGCTGCAGACTATTGCCCGCAATGCAGGTCATCAAGTACCTTTATTGATCGCGTTGGATCAGGAGAATGGCGGTGTGAATAGTCTGTATGATGAGATTTATATACGACAATTCCCCAGCGCCATGGGAATGGCTGCGACGGGATCAAAGACACTGATCCATGAGGTCGCAGTGGCAACCGCCCAAGAACTCAAGGCTGTTGGTGTGAATTGGATCTTAGGTCCCGTGTTGGATGTCTTGACCAATATCCGGAACCAGCCACTTGGTGTGCGAACCAGCGGTGACGATCCCCAAGAGGCTTCGCAATATGGTGTACAGTTCATGAAGGGGTATCAAGAGGCTGGGCTGGCCACTTGTGGCAAACATTTCCCTTCTTATGGGAATTTGGAGTTCCTGGGTTCTCATTCCGATGTCCCGATTATCACGGAATCCTTAGAACAACTCAGCCTTAGTGCCTTGGTACCCTTTCGTAATGCCATCACACACGGCCTGGATGCGATGATGGTGGGCGGTGTATCCATTTCATCGGCTGGGATGAATGTCATGCACGCTTGTTTGAGCGACCAGGTCGTTGACGAACTTCTGCGGAAGGATCTCAAATTCAAGGGAGTCGTTGTATCTGAATGTCTGGAGATGGAGGCTCTGACACACAATATCGGAGTCGGTGGCGGAACGGTAATGGCTAAAAATGCTGGATGTGATGTTGTCCTGCTTTGTCGCTCGTTCCCTGTACAGCAGGAGGCAATTAATGGACTAAAGCTGGGTGTTGAAAATGGGATCATTGGTCGGGCTCGCATTGAACAATCACTTCGACGAGTCCTGGACCTCAAAGCACGTTGTACATCGTGGGATCAGGCTCTCAATCCTCCTGGTCTACTTTCTCTCACTCAGATGCAGCCTTCTCATACGAATCTTTCAACACGAGCTTATGACAATTCGATTACCGTCATGCGCGATAAGAATAACCTGCTTCCGCTTTCAAGCGTGATCGACGCTAGCGAAGAGCTGTTGCTTTTGACTCCTCTGGTGAAGCCCTTGGCAGCCTCTGCTGTAACACTCTCGGCGGCTGAATCTATTCACGGCTCTCTTGACCCCGCAGCCGCACTGGATCGAACAGCCTCAGTGGTCAGTGGGGAGAGTGTTTTTAAGGAGTTGGGCAGATCTCTTTCTCGACAGAGGAATGGTCGAGTCTTACATACCTCCTATACCGCAAATGGCGTGCGCCCTATCCATGAGGATCTCATTAAACGAGCCAGTGCGGTGATTGTTGTCACAGCAGACGCCAACCGCAATTTGTATCAACAAGCATTCTCCAAACATATTTCATTGCTCTGTCAATCATCTTATTCTTCGACAGGTGAACGGTCAGAGAAACCACTTGTTGTGGTAGCTGTCAGTTCCCCATATGATTTTGCCATGGATTCCTCAATAGGAACCTATATCTGCACATACGACTTTACGGAGACCGCACTACAAACCTTGGTCAAGGTTCTATATGGCGACTTGACCCCGAAAGGCTCTCTCCCAGGCTCCATCAGCCGCAGTCAAAAAATCCACCAGTCTCGTCAACACTGGCTCGTGGAGAATTGGAATGAAGATCGGGATGCCCATGCCTTGGATAACTTGCTTGAGGTGGCCCGGGAGGATTGCACACAGGATCAGCGGTCAGAGCTCCTCGGTGCTACATCCAACAGCTTCCTTCTACGGAAGGAGGATATCGATGAAGCACATTTCGTGGTTCGCAACAGCAGCACACAGGCACTTTATGGGTTCTGTGCAACCTACTTCTTTCGGTCCACTGGCACCGGTGTTATTGGATGCTTAATCGTTGATCCTTCTCGGCGGAAGCTTTCCATCGGCCATTCCCTTCACAGTCGTGCAATCCGGACTCTTCTTCAGCGGAAGGGAATCAAGCGGTTTCAGCTTGGATCACGGCTCCCCGGCATCTATCTCGGCATTCCCAGTGCCCTCTCCGTTGAACGGAAACGCTTACGACAATGGTTTGCAAATCTGGGCTGGAACACCGCACTCTCTCGCCCTGTCTGTAGTGTCGTGCTGCGAAACTTAGGAACTTGGACACCACCGGATGGACTTACGGCCGCGCTGCAAAATACCGAAGTGAGCTATGACCTGGTCTACGGCTTGGACTACGCTCGCGAGATTCTTGACCATATCAAGACCAATGCCCGGCAAGGCGTCACTGACATCTACCGCATTGCACTTGGTGGCGCTCCGAATTGTGGTATCATCCGCGCTAAACGTCCGTCGGATGATATGATCCTCGGTAGTATTGTCATCTATAATGAACGCTCTGCATTGGCGGAGCATATGCCTATTCTACGCGCCACCCAAACTCCCGTCGGTGGGATCTCTTCACCTGTTATCTCTCCTTGTGCGGATGATTATTCGATTATCATGCAGGGATTGATTCTGTTGGCTATTAAACAGATTCGCAAGTTGAATGCGCATGCGGTGGTGATGGATTGTGTAAGTCTTTCTCAGTTCTTTTTTGGACGTGCTTGTGCTAATAAGATTGCAGGTGGATGGAGATAGCAACTTTGATTGTCTTTCCTCATTAGGTTTTAGTATGCTTCATAGCTTTGAAGAGGTGAATACTGATGCGGCTACTTGGACAATGATGCATTCAACATAGGACATGGCACTGAGTTAGTGTCGCTTCTTCTTTTTCTTTGTTCCTCGGCGTTTTCTCTTATTTGGTTTCGCATCTATGATATCCATCTGGCAGTTTGGTTCTGTTTATATTACACTATGGGATTTACAAAGTACTCTGTACATGGAATCCATCGAGTCCGAGTCCGATTCTTGGCGACTTGAAATTTATTGAATGAAATTCCCTAAATAACATGATCTTCTTTGTTCCAGATGTCCATTCGAATCCTGATATGCTTCTGATTATGCTTCATGTTATGGTTATTATGACTTACCACTGCATATTCCTCTAATCTTTAGAGGCAAATCGAGGGGTGGGTAGGACAAAAGGTTCTACGGCGTCATTCGGACCAATCTGACATCATTTATGATTTCTTTACTGTTTGTTTTTCTTTTTTTTTCTTTTTTTTCTTTTTTTTCTTTTTTTTTCTTTTTTTTTCTTTCTTTTTTCTTTCTTTTTTCTTTCTTTTTTCTTTCTTTTTTCTTTCTTTTTTCTTCAAATGTTCCAGTCAAGCGACACAATGCCGATCACGGGAGATCCGCAACCTGCGTGAGTCCTTTGAATCTCATTGGGGAATAAACAGATGCCCAGGTGAGCACCTGGGCAAATGAAGTAAACCTCGGCCGGAAGCACCGTATTTTCACCTAAATGATATCAAAATCTCGGGCTCCGTGAAAAAGTAATTACCGATTCCCCGGGGTAAATCCAGTTTAACCCGAGAGTGGAGTAGTTGGTGAGGCACCACAATAACACTTGTCCGTGACTGGACCGGACTTCCGTTGGACGAGAAATTTATTGAGGCGAAAATGAGATATCTGTTTTACTGCAATTTCATATCCCTGGATTCTAGGTAAAGAAAAAAAAGAAAGTCAAGAATCCACTTGGATTCTGTGCTGAGGGGGCAAGAGGCTCGAGTCATCATGGAGGCTGGCGGGTAAGTCGGATAAATAGAAGTATACGGAGTACAGCTCAGGTACTTTTACTACTAGCACTTGAGTATTCTGCATGATTTCATTTCTAGATTCGAGCTGTGTGAACCAATTATTCCAGCCATAATAATGTACTCTAGACTCAAATTGGTTATAACAGTAAACAATTTAATTAATTAAATTGAACTCGAACTGAATAACGGTTAGACTAAGACTCGGGCGTCGGGGCCACAATTCCTCCCGACCTTTTCTAAGTTAGACTAGAGTTGACTAGACTGAATAGAAGTGACTAAATTTGACAGGCAATTTAGTAGAGTTTCTTGAACAACTTGAATAATCTTATAGAGATACTCAGTACGGAGTACGAGGTTCAACTTGATCCAAGATTTCAGAACAGTTGAATCATATTTCATGCCTATCCCATCAGGACATTAGGCCCACACAGGAGACAAGAACAAGCTGAGCTGGATTCCACTGAATTCCACTTTATCCCCAGGAAGAGGTTTCCGCCTTCTCATTTCTTTCCTCTCATCTGTTGTGGAGTAAAAAAGGCGCATAGTACCGCGGTTTACCGAAATAGGTCACACCGGCTCATTTAATCCGGAGATCATTTACGAGCACTGTTCACCCTAATGCGTCTAGATCGATCGCGATGATCACCGGGTTGGGCACTTCTCTTTTTTTTTCCCTCATTCTTCTTTCTTCTCTCACTGTTCGGGAAGTAAATGGAAGCTTCGGGAGATCAGGGGCCGCAACATGAGATTCCCGGGACGCATTGGGTAACGCCTTAAAAATCTGCAATGATCCAAACCCGGACAGAGATAAACGGGGATTAGAAGAGAGAGAATCTTATTGCATGATTCGGTACATGAGAAAAGTCTCCACTTACCTTTTAGTGCGGAAAAGGAGGGGGAAAGAAATGGGGCAAATTCAGTTTCCCATTGGTTTCATTGGTTTCCCGGGGAGACAATCTGGAGTTAAGAGAAAAAATCAATGAGAATAATTCAAATCGGGTAAATGCACAAAGGGAACAAAAAGTCGATCCCTCTTCACATGTCTTTGGTCTAGACAAATGAAATCTTCATGTTCCACACACTCGTGATGCTGGCGAGAGATTACACGGGTATGACCTGGATGCATCACCCGACGCACACGAACCTGCAGAGAAGATCAGACATCAGAGACGGACATCGCCGGTCCCACTCTGGGGAAAAACAAATGGGAAACAAATGGGCATGACTGTAATTGTTCCAGGTTTCCCAAGAAATCAAGAAGAGAGAATTCCAGAATTGAAACTGCTTTAGCCCCCACGAGGCAAACTTGAACATCTGCGATCAGAAAGCAGAAAGAGAGGAATTGTGTTGGTTCCTGACTCCGACTGGATAAACTGGATGCGGACTCCAGCGAATGTGGATTTGCCCGTTCGCGGTGGGACCCGGTACTCCACACCAATTGTTTTCAATCAAGAGGGGTCTATGCCCCGTGCTTTTTTGGGTTAATTGCAATTTGTTAAATGATTTAATGAAATTAATGAAAAATGAAAAATGAAAAATGAAAAAAAAAACAAAATGAGAGAGGAAAAGCGTAACTCGTGTCTCTGGTGGATGGATGCATATGGTGGCGTTGATTGGGGGGGGCCACACCCCTTCAATCCAGGACGATGGATGCTGCATGTCAGACGGATCCCATTGTTGATCATCGATCCTTCAATGTTCATGATCGAGAAGGATTGAATAGTATTTCAAGGGTGATGAGTATTAACATTGAATGAAATGAGATACTAGTAGAAAGATAATCCCAGTAGTGGATAAGAGATAATTCATCATTCATGAAACATTTGAAGAAAATACTGAAAACGAATTCCTCGTACAGGTAAAACCGGTAAATTATGGAATCGGATTCAACCTTGGAACTTGAACTTGAATTACCTATAGAATATTACATTCAGTTCTATTCCAAGTTTGTTTAATCTATATCTTCAGGAGTACTAGTACTGAATCTCTGGAATGTCGATCTGGGGACCTGCAGGATTGGCGTGATTCTGAATTCTCTAAACCGTTATCTCTCACCTAGTAATATCGTTCTTCATGGTGGATTCGAGTTCTGCATGATCTTCAGGGCCCACGAGAGGTGGAATTGTATTACATTACATGTACAGACGTTTCCAGGTTTCAAATTGCCGACAGCCGAGATTCATATTAGATGATTATGGAATAACATGGATTCAAAGAGGCAAATACTTATTCTTGGATATAGATTAGAATAGAACCCAGTATAATATTGTATATGAATATACTCTCAAACTCACTTGGACAGGTTACATGAGAGATAATCAGAGATAATTTATCTATACTAAGGAGTATCTGAACTCCAGGGCTGTAATATATCTGTAATATAATGTAATATACCGTATCCCGTCTTCGTTCTCCGCATAAACCGCGGCTCCACTTTTCCCCCGAATCCGTTCGCATCGCTCTTACCCTCTTTCTCCTCTTTCTCTTTAGTATATTCCAGCTTTCTTCTTCTGGTTCTTCTTTTTCTTCTGTTTGTTCTTCTCTCCTTTCAATCCTGCCCGCCATGGAGGGCTACGATACCATGGCTATGCCACCTTATCTGGCGAGTCCTCTCTCCCTCGGTAATCTTCAGGGTCCCGATTATCTGAACGCTATGCCCGGCTTGGATCTCCCCGATCACCGCTCCAACTTTGACTCCGAGACCTTTGTCAGGTAAATCTATGACCCCCCCGGGATTTTTTTCCAAGGCTTGAAGGAAGGCGGGCCAAATGGAAGAAGGGAACAGGGGGAAACCCACCCCCCACACGAGCACAAGAATCAAGAAAAACAAAGATGGAGAAAAGACCAAAGGACTAACACCACATATCTGAATCTAGTGATGAACTCGGCTTTCCTTCAGCTGGAATTCCAAACTCGTTGAAACGCTTCTCCTCGGGCTACGATGATCCTTTCACCGATATGGTCGCTCCATTTGATCCAATCCCACCAGAGCAACCCCAGGATTCCTCAATCGATCATAATAATAAACTACTGAGCTTCTCGCTACCCGCCTATCATTTCACATTACTGGATTTCTCCATGCGGCGGACATCCTTGTCTGTCTCGGCCCAGCTACATGGAATGTTCTTCTTGGCCGAGTCGCCCTATACCACATCACCATCGGAGAACGCCCCGCCGCAACAGGGGGCGGAGTTGACTTGCTATCGTCGCAACTTGTTCCAGATCACCGGCTCTGTCACTCTACCCCGAGGGATGCGTTATATTATGACAGATAATGGGGATCGCATTCCAATTCTCGCACAGGAACTTACCGTGTCCGCTACGGAATCCGTAGAAGGGAACCCGGTGAAGATCATTTCGGTGCCCTGGAAGACCCCTTCGGCTGCTGCCGCTAACGCGGGCACCGCTCTGGAGGACCACACCAATACCGGGGCCGCCAAAGTTGAGAAGGAGCCGCCGCCAATTGCCCTGGACATCATGGCGGGACAGGATCTCGACACGGATTACGCCACTTTCCCCATTGCCTGGAAACGTTTACAGTTCCGCGTGGCCACCGCCAATAACGGCCGCCGCAAGGAGTTGCAACAACATTTCCTCGTGCGTCTCAAGGTAGTCGCAACCTTATCCACGGGCGCCAAGATTCCCATCGCAGAAGTGCAGTCAGGTCCGGTGATTGTCCGAGGTCGTAGTCCTCGCAACTTTCAGTCTCGAAAGGATCTTCCTCTCAGTGGTAGTGCGGCGGCATCCCGCAAGAACCAGGCTAATGCAGCGGCGGCACTCAACCGGACCCCAACAAATGAATCAGTGCCCCGTCGTGCCAGTGTTACTCCCGCCAAAGGCAAGGCCCCCTCAGGCACGGTTCAAAGCAGTTCTCCCGAGACCACCTCAGTTCCACCCCCGACCTTAATGCAACAACCTCAAGCGACCCCCGACTGGACTACAGTGCCCCATGCGGCGCCCAATCCTTTAATGTCTCATCACCAACCTCTATTTCCTAATTCCAGTCCGGAACAACTCGCTCAGGCCGTCGATCATCAACATCGTCGAGTCAGCAGTACAGCGACGGGGCCCCCGCCTGCGCCTATTAATTTGTCTCTGTTGGATGAGGATGATGGAAATGGAGGATTGCAGCTGGATCATAAATTGATGACCCCCTTTACGAATGAAATGCCTCAGCCACAACCTGTCGTCAACATGGATCATTCTGCACCACCAGCTAAGATGCGGAAGACGTCCCATCACATCTCTCAGATCCCCTCCAGAAGTGCCACATCATCCATACCTCTTCTGGAAACTGCCAATCTACCCCAGCAGTTTGTGTCCTCGCTACCTTTCCCTAATGAAGGTAGCGATTTCCTCTATGAGTACTTCCCATTAGGGTTGGATGATTGGCAGGCACCAGTGGATGCTGTCTATCGGCCCCATGTGGTACATCATACCAATATGCCAGAGATGAAGTTTGTAGCAGCGAGAGGCCGTAGCAAGCGCTACTTTGCCGCCGAAGATGTGTTCTGATCCTCTCTGATATACTGCGATGGAGTCTTGGGTCTTTTTTTTTCTACGTCTCTTTTCTGGCTGGAGAGCCTGTTTTATCATGTTCTGTTGGGATTTATTGGGTCGCATTTGCATGGACTGGATGGTTACGGTTGGGGAGGGTTGGTCTACTTGATTTCAATTCCTACTCATTGTTCCCTGTTTAGAGTTTATTTCCGTCTCTTCACTTGTTCCTTTGAACAGGGAGCTTCATGTCCCCATTCTTTTGCTCTTTGCCGATATACCGGGGTGTGAAATTTCAAGTGGTTTAACCCGCTACGGGAATCGGCATGGACTTGGGGTTCTCAATGATGGAGTCTTTCTTCTGGGTCTTTTTGGGTTTCTTTGGTTATGACTGGGTCCAGCGGGTGCAAAATCCGGCGATTAAGGCGTGTTTCGGAGTTAATTTGCTTTGTCTTTGGAGGAGTGGTTTTTGGGAGTGTTGGTGAAAGGTCAAGTAGATGACCGAGCTATTCATCCTCGGTTGAGAGAAAAACCAGAAAACTCGTTGGGTTTGGATTTCTGTTTGGGATTTTTGGTCTCTTGGTCTATGTTTTCTGCTGGTTATATCCCATTGTGTTATGATGCTACGCTGCTACTTGCCTATGCCCGTGCCAATGTACGAGGTGGCTTTGATGGCTTTGATTTGGCAGGCGGAGTTCAATTGATCAAGTTGTTTCTCACAGATACTACTATATACTACTATCTCTGAATCATAATCGATCGAAATGAGTACTATTTATTGCTTGCTATTATCTAGTAAAAATCTTAGGTGTATGCGAACTTGAGAATAACTTCAAGTTGAACTGAATGACTCACAAGAAACTCTGGAGTTGAGTGTACTTTTACTACTTCCTACTTCGGAATTGGTGGAACCTCATGTAAATAATAATAATAGTTCATTACGTTTCCGTCAACTTCTCAGATCCAGATGTCTCTCTTTTTCAGGCCTATAGATAGCCCAGCCCGTCTCCACTGATGGCTTCTAGATCCGCTCGGATTTCCCACTCCGTCGCCCCGACCCGGCCCGCAATATCCGCCTGGCGTTGCTTGCCCAGGCTTAACCACTGTCGAAGTACCGTCCCATCAACCATTCCTCGACCAGAAGCACCATCACTCTCCACTGCACGGAAAGCACGCGGGTTTAACCCACCAGGATGTTCAATCGTGTTGATCAGTTGGGACTGTAGAGCGGATAATCGTCGGTAGGATTCTTCGGCAACAGTGGTCACTAGTGCCAGGGATCCATTCTGTGAAGTAATTAGGACATTATGTGTGGCGATTGTTTGATCAATGTCCATATCATCTTCTGTTGGTTCCATCTGCTCTGATGACACGGCTGTGCGAGGGAGTAGTGTCACTGTTGACGCGAAGTTGCCTGTGTAGAACTTGCTTCGATTAAGTAGTCGGTCTCCGTTGGAGGATTTGGGATCTGTCGACATTAGTATTTATGGTCCTTGGTTACTTGGTTTTCTTTGTTTGCACTCACCCTCAGGATCGTACTGCAGTACATGGAGATTGCAGTCTCCATCAGCGAGAAGCATGTAGAGCTTGTTTCCATCTGGAAGGAAGTCTGCTGCGACTACCTCGAGGTACTCGGGATCCTTGCCGAAGAGTGACATTTTGTATGGTTCCTCCTATAAAGCCGATTAGTATATGCGTAACGTGAGGGAACTTGAAGTGATCGCCTTACCGAGTATCCGGCAAACCAAAGACCCTTCATTGCATCGCCCATGAGACACATTCCTGTGCCCTTCAGTTCCTTCGCGACGTTGACATAAGTCTGCATGTCCATGAACGCCACAGGAAGAAGGCTCCCATCTTCCTTCAGTCCTCGAACCATGCATTTCTGTCCTTGAGCCACAAGAACAAAGCCTTGTCCACCGATGCCAGAGAGCGCAGTCACTGCTCCTTTGACAACCTCCTTGCCGATGAGCTTGAGTTTCCGTCCCGTTTCTGGCTTTCCTGGTTCGGGAACTACGTCGATCACGTCGAAGACATAGATGCATCCTCGAGCTGGAATATCCTCTCCTTTGGTCGTCGCTGTTCCGACGACAATCAGATCTTTACGCTCGTGCGTGTTTTCGGATACCTCGAGTTTGATGTTCTTGACCGCTGTCACATGCTCTGCGAGCTCCAGGGGGTAACTATCAACATGGTTAGTCTCATAAAACACTCTCTTTAAAGATATTTTTGATGTCAGAATGGGCTTACCTGTCAATCACTTCCCAGGTCTTTGGGCTAACGACCTTAATGTAACTCTGGGGTACTTCGGGGAGAAATTCCATTTCTGGATATCATGTTAGTTATAGGGTGAGAATGATTGGAATAGGATTGACGAACCTTCACCGCGCCATTCGGGGTGGAGCTCATCGTTGTCGGGTAACCTGAAGCCCTCGTTGGAGCTGGTACCAAGCACGTAAGTCTTGGATGCCGTAGCATAGGTTAAGAAGTCGACCTGCTCATCCAACTGAACTTTTCGGATTATCCAAGAATAGTCGAGATTGGTGTTTTGAGGCAATCGACAGGTTCGAATGATGTGCTAGACGCATTTTGTTAGTAATAGCAAACTTTGGGACGTGCGACATAAAATACCTCGGAGTCCACATAGACAAAACCATTCTCACAACTGGTGGCTGGCGAATCAAAGGTACTGAGCCATCGAGTGTATCCACCACGTAGACGGACAACATGTGGAGAGCTCTTTGAGGTTCTCACAAGGAAGCTTCCTGGGTCACCTGGCATGAACACAGTGCTGAGACCTGAAATGTTTGAGAGGGCGCGCAATGGCCTGGGACGCTGGAAGGTCGTCTCGTCCTGGATAGATGATGAGGGAGATTTAATCTTGGAAAGGGTATGGTGACACTCTCGGTAAAATCGAAGGTTAGATTGCTCATTGCCATCCTCTGATTGAATGAAGACTGGTCGGTAAACAACCAGATCGTCATTGCCGGTGCGAACGATCAGGTATGGCTCAGTAGTTGAGGAATCACCAAGGTTGGCCACAATGGTCTCTTTGATAGACTCTCGGGAATTTGATCGGCGAGGTGGCTCTGTTGATAACAGAGGCTGCAGGCAGTCAACACCGTCAATGACTGACAAAAGATTCATGTCTGGAATGCTGAATATTGAGAGTTTGCAATCCGGACTCAACAGGAAAAGGAGATTTTGTTTCTGCGTCTCATTGGAGTTTGAATAAAGGGGGCTGAATGAGCGGTGTTTGTCATGGAAGAGAGACGCGGAACACCATTGCAGCGTGGAAAGTCCCTCTGGGAGGGGTACTTCATCAAGATCACCGCTGTCATCGATTTGAAGAAGCAGGAGAGAGGCGTCATCGCGTAGAATGGCGAGGTACGGATCAGCAAAGCTGGCGCTCACGGCATGGGACTCTTCATCATCGCTATCTTCATCCCAAATCAGATAGATCTGTGCGAGTTCTAAGTCTCTGTCGTAAATTCTGATTTCATTTCGCAGGACCTGGACAATACGGGTGTCCTCTGCCAACAGCCCAATGTCAATCGTAACATCATCATTGGGGTTGAAATCGGGGGCCTTGACGGGCTTCAGATCTTGCCCCTCCACGGCCAAGACCTCTGAAACCTCCTTATCAGCTTCAACAAGTCGTGAGATAACCACATATTGACGTGAACTATCTTCAGTCTGATCGTCCTTATTGACAGAGCCCTTCTTGCCCGTGACCATCGAAACTGACCACACTCCATCAGCGTCGTCGATTTTCATGGATTTCACGGTCACCGGGTCAATTTCTCTGGTGATGATAGCGAGCCCACCGGCCTTGCCACTGCCTTGAGATGCGACCAACTCTAACTGGCCAGAAACACCTTGAACGTCTGAGACCGGGTCTGAAGCTGAGTTGGCGTCGCCCACAGTAACATCTCTCAGGGGACCAACGCTAGGAAGTCGATCATTCAACTGCAAATGATAATATTCAGGCGTCGAATGCTCTGAGCCTCTGCGTACGTCAACTTGAGTTCGCTCCGGTACAGAGGAGTACAGATCATCCTCGTAGGCATCATCATCCATTTGGTCCTCATCTGATAAATCACCGAGATTATCAGTAATCTGCTTCTGCTCTGATCGTGTCTTTTTGTTCGGAGCCGAATGAGACCACCCCAGAAGCAACGAGTCCGCATCTTCGCTGCCAAGGAAAAGATTGCCATCGTTGAAGCAGGTGGAGCAGGAAGCCGCTGATCCAAGAAGATTTCCACCTGCCTGGGCTGGTAGTGAGTGAACAGACATGCCCGATACAGATCGGCCATCTAATTTGAATTTGATGAGTGCCAGTTCTCCGGAAGCAAGGGCAAGAACCAAGTCGCCGCTGTTTTTACCCAGTCGCTCCACTACACAACCTTCCAGGCGGAAACCCAAGTCGGATTGATCACTCATGGAGAATGACGAGACAAGACGCGAAAATTCGTTCACACCAACCGCATTTGTTTTACCGGCCTGGTCAACATGCACAATCTCATTGGAACCAAGAAGCAGAGCACCTCCAACGGGAGGGGGCAATGCCACAACCTTGAACAAGTCACTGGGAAGTCGAGAGACGGAAAGAAGCGTTGTCGATGCTCGCTGCTCTATGTCGAGGGTGAAGACTGTGTAAAACATAATGTCTTTTCTCTCATGGGCGAGAGCGGTAGATGTTGCAACTTGAGAATACAAGATACCAAATGTCGGCTCTCGGTATTCATAGAGAAACGCCAGGCTGACAGGGTGCAATAACGAAGGATCCAGGGCCGTCAATGGCAGAACAAAAGAAGCAGAATACGGCGTGGAATATGAAGAGCCATCTTTGTTCTTATCCGCTCCAGTTGGTCCCTCAAGTGCCTGCGCTTGAGGGCGTTCACCATCTAGGTCTGGGTCATAGTCGTCCATCGCAAGATCATCACCTGCTTGATGGAAAGGTAAAATGGCGAGATTGCGAACTCCAAAGTTGAAAACAGCACATCGACTGCTAGGGTCCACACTGAGAATACTGCCACAGGAATCGAGGTCTGGGACCCAAGGACTGCGGGCCAAATCATCTCGCTCATAGTAATGGATCGAGACAGTGGAGATGTTGTGACGTTCGGGATCCCACTCGATAAGACTGAGTTTGGCATTTCGAACGGCCAGCAGAATTGCCTCGCCACCACTCTTGGAGTTCAGGATCTTGACTCGACTCAAATCTGTCACAGTGCCTGGCAGAGAGTACTCTTTCTCTAAAATCAATTTTGGCTCCGATAGACCAGAGTGGGTCGAATTGGTCTCGGTGTTCTCGGGAGTTGGTTTGATCAGAGAAAACACTTGCAGCAAGGATGAACGCACCACAACCAGATTGTTAGCTGTGGATGATAAGAAAGGAAGCGCAACGGCATGGGTAACCCCCATTGGGGGTAACAGCTCTGTATAGCACTGCATTGCGCGAACGGAGCACGAATTTTAAAGAAGTTGAAATATTCTCATGAGGAATTAATGGATGTATAAAAGGCCGTACATGGAGCCGAGCTAAAAATAATTCACTTGAGTAGCAAGAATTTTCAGATAAAATTCAAGCTAGATCAGTGGTTGATGGTCGTAGTTAAACAGTTCCCCATCGAGGGTGAATATCGAGAAACAAAGCATGTCACGTGGTAATTACCAAAAAGGGGTTAGCGTATGACGACAAGGTACAACAGTGAATGTGAAACCAACTTCCTACTTTCTTCCATTAACTCTCTGACGTGAATCTTTTTTTTAAAAAAATTCCTCATTTGAATTGAGTCACGGTCATATTTTGTTTTGAGAACAAATATCATCTTCGGTTTTGTCCCATGTGAGAAACTTGAAGCTATTTCAAGCTCGAGTCCTCATTATGGCACTCCTTCAGACTTCCTTGATCTGGATTGTGTATGCAGTCGTGATAGCAATCCTACTGGCGGTGGCCTCGGTGTTTATCTACATCTATCAAACACCTCGGGATCGCTCTCCGTCTGTGACCATCACCTGCATAATCGCTATTACGAGTCTTTTGGCAACTGTACTCTTGCTGCCAGTCGATGTTGCACTTGTCTCATCAACTACCTCATCTCGGCTGGGTCAACGGAAAGACTGGGCCACTCAGGAAAAAGTCGATAATATTACATTTTCTCTCACAATCATTTATTATCTTCTGTACTCCCTTGATGCCTTGCTCTGTCTTCTGGTCATCCCTTTTACCTACTTTTGGTATGAGGAGTATGACGAGGTTGCCTCTGAAACTGGAGAGCAAACAGTAGGGCAGCGACTCTGGGGTGCCCTCAAGTATACTTTATCCTTCGTTGCAATTGTAGTCATTTTATTCCTGGTTGGGTTCTTTGTCCCCATCTCCAAGGACAAGAAAGGCTTGGATTTGGATTATTTCAAACGATTACTAACTGAGAACCGTGAGTTGAGCCACGTCTTAGTTTAATCCCCCCCTTGATTTCCAGGTTTCGATGAAACTAAATATGAAATGCAGATGGCGAGCGGGCATTGACATTTGCTTTGGGTTTATTGATAACCCTCGGGATCTTCTTATATGTCCTTTACACATCAGTGGGACTTGCTTTGTTCCCCATCAGCTTGATCAAAACTGCACCCTCAATTTCCAGCCCTACTTTGCGGGCATCCACAGCTCAGCAATTGGAGGCAAATCAGGAACGACAAAGGCAGCTTGAGGGCCGTTGTGGGGGCAATCCAGAGCTTCTCTCATCCAAGGATCGCAGGGAACTTGACACGCTGGGACGGGAGGAGAGAACGCTGATTCGAAGACAACGCCTCGCTGAAGAAGCTCAAGGGGAAGGTCGAAGCTGGTTGATGCGAGTATGGTTCAAGATTGAAGCAGTCTTCCGCCCCTTCAAACTACTAGGTGGTCTGCTTCTTCTGTTGGTTGCGTTTATCACATGGGTGTCTATGCTGTTGACTACCATTGACAAAGCGAAAAACTCAATCTGCAAGCACCAGTGTGGATATATCCTCGGACATATCAACATTTTCAACCCTGTGAACTGGGCGCTCGTACAATCTGCCAAGGTCTTCCCAGTTGATTATGCGATCTTTACTGTGCTTGTTTTGCTTTTGTTCTGCAGTTCCATCGTGGGCATTGCAGCGGTCGGAATCCGCTTCCTTTGGATTCGTATCTTTCAGATCAGGAAGGGTCATACTTCACCTCAGGCTCTCCTTTTGGCAACCGTCATGCTGATGTTAACGACTCTGGCATTGAATTATTCCATCTCCATGGTGGTCGCTCCTCAGTATGCCACATTTGGCCCCCAGACCTTCTGCGACCGTGAGCCTACATTACCATTTGGGCAGCCAGATTGCTCCGATAACAAGGATCTCATCAAGCCATGCTCCGAGTTAGCAGAGAATCCTGCCGCGCAGAGAGTATGCACTCCTAGTGTTGCCAGCACGTTTTTGAACCGTGTTACCTTCAACTTCCCATTCTTTGGAGTCGTATTTTTCTGGTCCCAATTTGTCTTTCTCGGTAAGAACCCTGTTTCTAAAAATGAATACTGGCTCCGTTTGGCTCTACTAGTTGACTAATATATTTATCTATAGGAGTCTATCTGATTATCTTCATCACATCACTCTTTCGGTCACCAAAGTTGGACGAGAGACAACTCGATGAGGATGCCGAAGAAGCTGAAGAAGAGGGTCTACTTGCCAATACAGGAAGACGTTTCAACGCAACTTGGCAAGATATTACGGGCAGACCAGACCGTGCTTGAATTTTAGTCTTGTCAGAGCGAACAACTTGAATTTGTTGACTTTATGATTGTTATGATATTTTTTGTTTCTTCTTGGAAAGGACTTTTTTGGTCATGCGTCGTTATCATCTCGCGGATGCACATACTATATGTGGTGTAAAAGAGACATAATCTAATGAAATACATGAAATTCGCGACGCAAGATACTCTCGCTTTCTTATTAGTAGGCGTAATAGCATGATCCAGCATGCGTTAGTTGAAATTGCCATGGTCAAGCACTCTGGGTGATTGTGATATCAGTCGTAACAAGGATCAACCTTTCATTTGCCCATTCAGTAGAGCAACTGCATTCTGGAATGCTTTCACCACCTCCATGTCTTGTAGAGAAGAACAATGGTTAGCTATTGGTAAATAGGGCAGAGAGTTCTCAGCTCACAATGCTTTTTCTTGTTCTCCAAATTAACCTCGGAGTTTTGAACATGCTGCGTCTGTGTCTTGAATCTTCAAGAATTTAGTGGGGATTCTCCAAGCATTGTGGAGTGGACCCTTACCGTTTCAGAGCTCGTTGCTCATCTTGTAGCACAGCTGTCTGGGACCACGCAGTAAAAGCCTTTGAGATGATTAGATTCAAGTAATTGGAGGTAGTAGTAGCAGTAGGTATATAAATTGAATCTCACCTCCAGTACATTGGTTGTTTGCGCTCGGAGGTCTTCCTCAACACGGCTGTGCTCGTCCATAGCGTCTGTGTACTTCTCTTGCAGCTGATCCCAATCATATTGCTCCAGTCTCTGAGTTAAATGTGCCAGAAGAAGCTCTTCTGTGTCCAGGACTGGCTCAAGAGGCTCAAGAGGCTGTGGGCTGCGCGTCTGTTCAAGCTCCTTTGGAGATGGTGATCGTAAGGCACTCTCATGGGGATCATCGGTGGACCCCATGATGATCAATCGTTTCCCAGTAGATTTGTTCAGGCAACAATGAGAGTGAAACAAGTTTCAATTGTGATGGCAGTTGTTTGGAGGTAATTCAAGTTTAAAGCTTTATCACCTGGGCAGGCTGTCTCGGTGATCTAAATAATTGCAGGTGAGCATTTACCCGCACAACTGGGACCGGCTGCGTCACCTGACGATCGTCAATACAAAACCCCCATCTCTCTATCTCCTTCAACCATCCCATCTTTGGTCGATTTTGAATATAGCGCTGGTAGCTTCAAAACATCATGGAAATGCGACTCATGGTTCTTCAACTTATCCTCGTCAACCTTCTGCGATGAGCTGTCACATATGCCATTCTACTCACTCCCGCTCGCCATTCCTTTGCTCAACATGCGCCCGCAATCGGCTTTATCAGCTTCGCCTCGAACATACACAGATCCTCCTTGAAAAAGAATCCTTGGGCCGTCAGATCGAGCTAGCTGTTGCTTCAAATGGTCCCCATACTCAACATTCCCAGGTTGAGGAAACACCTTCGCAGGGTGCTGGTGATAGCTCTCGGTTCTGGGAGCTTCAGACCATATCCAACAAAGAGGCTTGCGCAACTATCCGAGTCGAGGCGGTGTCGCAGCATCTTACAAAATTGAAGGATGAGATCGAGGCAAAGAAAATCGATATAGCAAAACGCAAGGAACGACTTGCTCGTAGGCGTTCTGATGCGGAGTCGGCCCAGTATCAACTTGGAGAGCGGGAGGGTACAATCTTGACAGGGATACAGAATACAGCGAAGCGGACTGAGCATCTCTGGCATAATTTACATATCAAAACTGCAGAATCCCGGATCTATCTCTGTCGTGAAGCTGCCCACCTTTATGGCTTGCGTCCGAAGACAGCGAGGAGGGGCGATACTCGTCCGACTTATGTCCTAGGTGGGTTGCAGATCTTGGATTTGCGAGATATGAATGGTAAGTTCACTACAACCTTTCTATATCCATATTGTCTGATATACTAATAACATTTCAGGCTCCACACCAGCTCACATTTCCACATCTCTTTCCAATATTGCCCGTCTCCTTGTTCTCGTTTCACATTACCTTTCACTGAGATTGCCCGCGGAAATCGCACTACCTAATCAGACCAATCCTAATCCGACCATTTACATGCCCGCCGCATCATATAATACTGGTCAACCCACTGGTGCCGGTTTAAGTTCTACCCCGGCAGCACCACGATCAGCACATTCACAGCCTCGTCCGCGGCCACTCTTTATTGATAAAACCCTTCCACGGCTAGCCAAAGAAGACCCGGCAACATATGGTCTTTTCCTTGAAGGAGCGACTCTCCTTGCATGGGACGTCGCTTGGTTGTGTCGGACTCAAGGGTTAAATGTGACATCGGAATCATGGGAAGAAGTCTGCGATATTGGAAACAGCATGTGGCAGCTACTGGGTGCTTCACCAGCTCAACCATCTACTTTGATGCGGGCCTTCGCTGGTCGAGACACCCAAGCGAAGATAAAACCCGCAAAGGATACTCCCCAAACCACAATCCATCGCACAAAGTCTTTCCCTATGATTGGACACTACTCACATGGTACTGTTCATTCCTTTCTAGGCGCTTCTGAAGGGTCCGAATTCATGCGGACATGGAAGTTGCCCACTCCAACCAAGATCACAGATAAGCTGAAATCCAATCTTCTTGGTGAGATGGCCAGTGCAGAATGGGAATTACTTGAAGAGCAGGAGTGGGACGATGAAGCCTTGCAAGCCAATAATCCTGCTCCATCTCAAGAGGCCAAATCCTCATCAGGTACTGGGTTATCTGGAACCAACGGGAAGACCAGTGATCAAACATCTGATCCACGTCCCAAAAGAACCAGTGGCTGGACTAAGCTCCATAGTAGATAGAACTTGAACCATATTTTTTCTATTTGCTTGCAATACAATTTGGTCTTACAAGTGTATAAATCCATGTATAAATCCATCGGAATGTGTAGATCAATGCGGAGTAGATTGAAGTCCCGGGAGTGCGGAGTTACTAAGGTGCCGAGATAAGATTGTACCGCGTGGCGGTTACAACTTCGAACTTGCCATGTTTCCCCGATTCCGGGATCTTATGGACGGCGAGAGAGGGTAGAGTCAACAAACTTGAAGAGCCCAATTGTATCAGGTTCACTCATATCTTGAGTGCCGTGCTGTGGGGAATTGATTCTACTTCCTCTCTGTCAGGAGATGTGGCCGGAATTCGGCCGCATCTAAATTCCTCAAACATGAACAATGCCCGTACATGGCAGAATACTGGGGATGAGTCTCTAGGTTGGTTGGTCATTATTTATTATTCGGATAACATATAGCTAATCTTTGCTTATCACCTTCAGACTTCAAACGTGCACTATCTATCATCTCAGAAGTACCCGAGTCTCTCCTGAGAGCTGAACTTGTTCGCAGAGATGCGGCAGGAGATGCGCCCTCGTGCGGTTCCGAGGAACGGGGCACATACAACACGCCCCTGCATGTTATGGCACTATTCCTTATCTTGGGCTTAAGTACACTTGGTATGCGTTGTCTTCTCTCCCCCTGTGTGCCAAAAGAAGCAGAACGACTAACGATTTTATTCGATACCAGCATGCTCATTCCCCGTCCTTGCTCGTCGCTTTCCTGGCCTTCCAATTCCGCGTCGTTTTCTCTTCGTATCAAGGCATTTCGGTACAGGTGTTTTGATTGCGACAGCGTTTGTCCACTTGCTCCCGACGGCATTTGTTTCCTTGACGGATCCTTGTCTCCCTCGCTTCTGGAGTCATACATACCGCGCCATGGCTGGATTTGTCGCCATGTTGGCAGTTTTTGCCGTAGTTTTGGTGGAAATGTTTTTCGCCATGAAAGGAGCAGGACATGTACACAGCAGTGACTACGACAACTTACTCGGTGATATGGGACGTGAATCCTTGGGCGAGTTTGGACATGATGCCACGAACTACTCCCGTTTGGAAGAAGCACAAGGCGCACATGGTGGTATTCGTCTAGAAGGTGTTCGTCAGACTGGTCGGAGGGGTTCCGACGAACCCGCTTCTGGCTCTTCGCATGACTCGGAACGGCCGGCTGGTTCTCGGCTAGATAAGGAGGAAGATGAGGACGACACTAGCCTTGATGAGCTTGATGTTTATGGTGATGATATGCCCTCTCCTGTACCTCGGTCAGGCGCGCAGTCACATCACCACCATTCACGCTCGCATAGCAATGGTCATCTTCGGCAGCAGTCGGAATTACCTCTGCAAAACCCACAGCGTCAACTCTTACAATGCCTGCTTCTGGAAGCGGGTATCCTATTCCACAGTATCTTTATTGGCATGGCCCTCAGTGTCGCAACTGGGACCTCTTTTATTGTGCTTCTCATCGCTATCAGTTTCCATCAGACCTTTGAGGGTTTTGCACTTGGTTCGCGCATTGCCTCTCTCATTCCTGATCTTTTCGAACCGTCTTCTGCGAAGCCTTGGCTGATGTGCCTGGCTTATGGAACAACCACTCCACTTGGTCAGGCCATTGGCCTGGTCCTACACAATATGTATGACCCTGCAAGTACCACAGGTCTGCTTATGGTTGGCATTACCAACGCTATCAGCAGTGGTCTCTTACTCTTCGCTGGTTTGGTAGAGCTCCTTGCGGAAGACTTCCTGAGTGAGGAAAGCTACGGGACTCTCAAGGGTAAACGCCGGGTGGAGGCATGCATATCGGTTGCCTGTGGCGCTCTGCTAATGGCATTCGTTGGTGCCTTTGCCTAAGAGTGTGGTCTTCCACCTCTTTTTACGGTTTCTTTTGTTACTTCTCTAGACCTAAGACAATTTACGCTTCGCTATTCCTAGTTGTTTTGGCTCATCGTGTGATGAGTATATGTATAGAACGCATTTGACCTCGAACCTTGAAAGTAGGACGAAAAAATGAATGATTGAACTGAAAGCCGGCGACTGGCAGTTTCAAATGTTGTCACTATGTACTAGTATTGACCTGTTCTCCTGCTTGGGTTCCAGTGGGTTTTCGAGTTTCCTCGCCGTCCAGCAGAATACCCAGAGGCCATAGATTTACCAATAGACTAGATTTTTCTTTTGTTTATTCCATCTAAACATGAGCATATACATACCTCAGGCTCTTAATTTAGCTATCTCTTACTTTAGGATATCTCTGAGTTTAGATATCCCTAGGGTTGCCAGTTGCCTACTATGTCCAACTACTATATAGCAGCTACTAGCCTTCCCCTCCAGGCTCAGGCTCCAGGTACTAATCATGTAGGTAACCTCCAGGGCTACCTCCAGGGCTAGTAGGTAACCCCGTACATAGGTACTTACATACAAAGAGCTTTCAAATGTTAGGCCATCAGTCACCTGTACTTAGACCGTGACCTTGCTACTGACTCGGACTGAGCCCTGTACTTAACTTTGGAAGTGGTATGTATGTGAACATCCCTGTCTGACATCTCAGTGCTGCATGTGGAGAGGATGTGAACACATCAGCTGACCTGGCCAACCACTTGAGTGCTAGGGACTTACTTACCTTTCCCACTCCAGGGCTGGCAACCTTCGGGGAATTCCAAGGTTTCAAATGCTCTCTGTTTCACAGGTGGTAGTGCCGCGCTTCGCGCCGCACATGTGCATGACTCGGAGGACTCCGAGTCGTACTAAAAGCATTATTACTTCACGTTCACTAGTATGCCAGTGTATAACTAATAGTGCGGGATTACATTTAGTAGTATGTGGTTCAATTTGAATTCATTTGATCCGAAATATATAATCAATTTGTTAATGCCAACATCTATCTTCAATCCTGTTGGTCTTTGCTTTGTTGATAGTCATATCATCATTAAATTATAGCGCTTAAAGGAGAGACTCGATAACCAGGGCACTGGCACCGCCACCACCGTTGCAGATACCAACACATCCAAGCTTGCCATTCTGAGCCTTCAGAACACCAATCAAGGTAGCCAGGATACGGGCACCACTGGCACCCAAGGGGTGACCAATGGCGACGGCACCACCGTGGATGTTGACCTTGTCCTCGGAGAGGCCAAGCAGCTTCATGTTGGCAAGGGCAACAACACTGAAAGCCTCGTTAATCTCGAAGGCATCAATAGACTCCTGAGTCACGCCAGCATGCTTAAGAGCCTTAGGGATCGCCAGAGCGGGGGCAGTGGTGAACTTGCTAGGGGTCTGCTCAGCATCACCCCAACCGCAGATCTTGGCAATGGGCTTGAGGCCGAGCTCCTTAACCTTAGCCTCGGAGACCAGAACAACAGCGGCGGCACCATCGTTCAGAGGGGAGGAGTTGGGAGCAGTAACGGTACCAACGCCGGGGATGAAAGCAGGCTTCATGGCGCGGAGCTTGTCAGGGTTGAGCTATTTTTCGAATAACGAATTAGCAAATTGGACATCTCAAAATATCCACCAGTGAAAAACTTACGTTCTTAGGCTCATCATCTTGGGAAACAGTAACACCGGGCTTGCCACGGAAGCCAGGGATCTCAATGGGAGCAATCTCATAATCGAAGAGGCCGGCCTTCTGGGCAGCCTGGGCCTTCTGGTAGGTGCGGATAGCATACTCATCCTGGTCTTGACGGTTGAACTCGTGGTCCTGAGCACACTCCTCAGCCTGGAGACCCATGAGCTCCTGCTTTCCGTAGGCATCCTGGAGACCATCCTTCATGATACCATCGACAAGGCTCTGGTGGCCGTACTTGGCACCAGTACGGAGGTTGGGGAGGTAGTGGGGGGTGTTGGACATGGACTCGGTACCACCAGCGACGACGATATCAGCGTTACCGGTCATGATGGTCTGGGCTCCGAGGATGACAGCCTTCAGGCCGGAAGCGCAGACCTTGTTAACGGTAGTGCAGACAGTGGAATCGGGGAGACCAGCACCAATGGCACACTGTCTGGCGGGGTTCTGACCAACACTTGAATCGAGTTAGTACAACTAGAAGCAATGAATATGAGACTGGAGGAGGGACATACCCAGCGGACAGAACGTTGCCGTAGAAGACTTCCTGGACATCAGAGGCATTGAGACCCTCAGCACGCTCAACGGCAGCTATAGTCCTTGTTAGTATCCCCCGAAGTAAATAAAAAAAAAAGTCCCCGCAGTGGACCATGTGTAGATTGTCATTGAATCATACCCTTAATAGCGTGGGCACCAAGCTGAGGAGCAGTGAGGCTGGAAAGAGATCTGTTCAAAAGTAATCAGATTAGAAACACTGAGCGTGAATTGAGTTGACATAAAAGTGTAGAAAGCACATACCCGAGGAATGAGCCCACCGGAGTACGGGCAGTAGAAACAATGTAAACGGGAGGAAGGGAAGCCATTTTGGAAGACAATTATTTGAATGAAGAATATTAAAAGAAAGAAGAAGAAGAAGAAGAGAAAGGGGGAGAGTAAGAAGATCTTAAAGGACTGGAGGGGGGCTTTCTGAATAGTGGGGAGTGAGGAGCTGTACGGTGTAGGCGCGAGTACTTGAGACCCGCACGGACCAAGTCAAAGTTGAAGAACGTTCATCTTTCTCCGGCATCACGCCAGCACCAATTCGGGTCGTGGATCTACTTTTTGCGCGTCATCCCGGGTTAATTCTTTGGCCATCATGGATGACCTTTATGACGAGTATGTTACTCTTATCATATCTGTTATGTTTATTGCGGTTTTTTTTTTATTTGTTCCAATTGCCTGGGCTAACTCAAGAGCAGGTTCGGTAACTACATCGGCGAGGCCGAGTCCGATGAGGAACAAAATGAACAGGTTCCCCAGGCTTTCAAGTTCGATGAAGCTTCCGATTATGATGAGGAGGAGGAAGAGGTTGTCAATGATCAACAATTAATGGAAATTGATGGTATGTTTCGCGCGCTCAAGTGGCCGCAAAAGCTGTCCCTTTCCTGTCGCAAGTGCTGATGAATATTTTGCCGCAGAAGGACCCTCCAACGCCGTCATCCTCCACGAAGACAAGCAATACTACCCCAGCGCTCAACAGGTGTACGGTGCCGATGTCGAGACTTTGGTTCAGGAAGAAGATGCGCAGCCTTTGTCCGAGCCCATTATCGCTCCTGTTCAACAGAAGAAATTTGCGCTTGCGGAGACAGAGCTCCCACCCGTCTATTTTTCTCGAGAGTTTATGTCTGATTTGCTCAATTTCCCCGAGCAGATTCGAAACATCGCTATTGTCGGTCATTTACATCATGGAAAGACTGCATTCATGGATATGTTGGTTAAGCAGACCCATGACTTGACAGAGAGGTTGGAGAAGCGGATAGGCAAGCGCAAGGAGGAGCAGCTGCGATACACCGATATTCATTTCCTGGAACGAGAGCGAGGACTCTCAATTAAGGCGGCACCAATGAGCTTGGTTCTTCCCGGTACTAAGGGCAAGTCCCATCTTCTCAACATTATCGATACCCCCGGACACGTGAACTTTGTGGATGAAGTTGCTGCTTCTATCCGCCTGGCAGATGGTGTTGTCCTGGTTGTCGATGTTGTGGAGGGTGTTCAGGCCAATGCTGAGCAAATCATCAAGCATGCTGTTCTGGAGGACCTCCCGTTGACTTTGGTCGTCAATAAAATGGATCGTCTCATTCTGGAGCTCAAGCTGCCACCCACCGATGCCTACTTCAAGTTGAAACATGTGGTCGAGGAGGTTAATACAGTTATTGAGAATGTTCTTCCTGGTCAAGGTGAGAAGCGACGTTTGAGCCCCGAAAAGGGCAATGTTGCTTTTGCATCTAGCTCAATGAACTGGTGCTTTACTCTCCAGTCATTCGCCCGCATGTATGCCGACACATACCCACGACTTGACTCCACCGAGTTTGCTGCTCGACTCTGGGGAGACATTTTCTATAACCCCACTAGTCGGAAGTTTACTCGCAAGGGTATTGAAGAGAAGGCCATGCGCTCTTTTGTCAAGTTCGTTTTGGAGCCAATTTACAAGCTTTACTCTCACACCATCAGTGAAAGCCCCGAAGATCTCAAGCAAACTCTCGCTAGTGTGGGTGTCAACCTGAAGCCATCACAATTGAAGACCGATGCGAAGGAGCTGCTGAACCTGGTTTGCGAGCAATTCTTTGGTCCTCCTTCTGGCTTTGTTGACATGGCTGTGCAACATGTTCCTTCTCCGGTCGATGGAGCCCAAAGAATGTTGGAGCGATACTACACAGGTCCATTGGACTCGAAGATTGCGTCCTCAGTAGCAGCCTGTGATCAAGATGGACCTCTGGTTGTTCATGTCACCAAGCTCTTCAGCACCACCGATGCCACAGGATTTTCTTCTTTTGGAAGGATCTTGAGTGGTATTGCCCGACCTGGTCAACAAGTTCGTGTTCTTGGTGAGGGCTACGCCCCTGAAGATGAAGAAGATATGGTCATCGCGACCATTTCGGAGACCGCGATTGCAGAAACCGCCTATAGCATCTCAACAGACGGCGTCCCCGCCGGTAACTGGGTTCTTCTCGGTGGTGTTGATAACTCTATTGTGAAAACAGCAACCCTCGTTCCTCTTAAGTTGGAAGATGATGAAGAAGTCCACATTTTCCGCCCCATCCGTCATATGACCGAGTCAGTATTCAAGGTTGCAGTGGAGCCAGTCAACCCGTCAGAGTTGCCCAAGATGCTGGATGGTCTGCGCAAGATCAACAAGAGCTACCCCTTGATTTCTACCAAGGTGGAAGAGTCTGGTGAACACGTTGTCTTAGGTACAGGAGAGTTATATATGGACTGTGTTCTTCATGATCTTCGCCGACTGTACTCAGAAATGGAGATTAAGGTCTCCGACCCAGTTACCCGTTTCTGTGAGACAGTCGTGGAAACATCTGCGATGATGTGTTACTCGATTACTCCTAACAAGAAGAACAAGATCACCATGATTGCAGAGCCCTTGGACGAGGGCATTGCTGAGGATATTGAAAGCGGCAGGGTCAATATCAAGGATCCCATTCGCAAGGTGGCTCGTTATTTCGAGGACAACTATGACTGGGATAAGCTGGCAGCTCGCAGCATTTGGGCTTTTGGTCCTGAGGAGATGGGTCCTAATATTCTCCAAGATGATACACTCCCTTCGCAAGTGGATAAGAAGCTCCTGGGAACCGTCCGTGACTCCATCACCCAGGGTTTCAGCTGGGGTACCCGAGAAGGTCCCCTTTGTGAAGAACGTAAGTCACCTCTACATACTCTTATTTGTCTATTGAGCTCATATACTAATCTGTTCCAGCTATCCGTAACACCAAATTTAAGCTTACAGACGTTTCTCTGGCCGACCAAGCCATCTACCGTGGTGGTGGTCAAATCATTCCCACTGCTCGTCGAGCAGTCTACTCATCTTTCTTAATGGCTTCCCCACGACTAATGGAGCCAATTTACTCGTGCACAATGACCGGTCCAGCAGACGCGGTGGCTTCAGTGTACACAGTCCTATCACGCCGACGTGGTCACGTTTTGTCCGACGGTCCTATTGCCGGAACTCCTCTTTACTCCGTACGGGGTCTGATCCCTGTGATTGACTCCTTTGGTTTTGAGACGGATCTTCGCATTCATACTCAAGGCCAAGCCATGGTCAATCTGGCATTCGAGAAGTGGAGCGTGGTGCCTGGTGATCCGCTCGACCGTGATGTTCAACTGAAGCCACTGGAGATGGCGGGAGCTATGGCTACCGCTCGAGACTTTGTTCTGAAGACAAGACGTCGCAAGGGATTGGCGGAAGATGTGACGGTCAGTAAATTCCTGGAGCCAGAGCTTTGGAAGGGACTGAAAGAGAGTGGTGTTTTGGATTCATGATCTTTTTTTTCTTCGCTCTTGAACGGGTCATAGAAAAGAAAAATAACCAAAGTTATTTTGGACAGCGGAATTCTGGGCGGCTATGGAGTCATCAATTGATTATTTGGCGTATCTTTTTCTCTGCCAGTGTGACTCTTAATGCGCTTATCAAAAGAAAAGGGATACAGGTCATTATGGAATTGACCAAACTATCTCGACTACTGTTTCATTGAATTCGTATCAATTGGGAAGGCTAAATCCCTCCCAGCTTTTAAGTCGTAATAATACATTCATATATTCCAGGGTTGCCCTCGTCTCTTAAGATGTCATATGCGCAGTATGTAGTGGTGCAGTGGCGCTACGGAGGTAAGGGGACTTATTGACATGTCTCCATCATCTTGGCGATGACCTGCATCAGTGCTCCATTCTCCAGTGCCGCCGCAACTCTTTCTTTATCTCCAAGTTGCTTATTCACTTCATCGCCCGTACTGTGAGTTCCTTCCTTGATGCGCACATCGAGTCGAAAGCGGGGAGGGAGAGATTGCTCTAGTCGCACCCGCACACCGAGACCAATGACTGTTGCTAGACTGCAGTGTGTGATGGTGGGTGTGATCAGAACTGTGACAGTTTGAAGGAGAGAATCTGGAACGTTGGGCAATGTGGGCTTGATGAAGATATCTGGAAGGGAGACGACGGCCAGCTCTCCCAAGGAGAGAGGATGTTCTGGATCTGAGATTGACCTGATCAAATCTAGAGAAATCGTCGGCGTTAGAATGCTGGTTGTTTCCGTATAAGCTTGAACGAGTGTATAAGAAAGACATACCGTAGATTTCCTGCTCGTCTATCGGCTCCTCCAGCAAGTCGTCATCTTCGGAATCCGAGGAAAGAAAGTCGGCGGGGTTAGGAACTGCGGCAAAGATGCCTGAGGGGTAATCGCCTGATTTGACAGTGGACCGATTTCTGGTGGGCAGATCGGCCGCGTTGAGAATAGTAGGGTTGGAGTTCTCCATAGTGTTCAAGGTCCTGTGACGGGATATTGTATTGAATCGTATTGAGGACAAGGTTCTAAAGCCCTGGAGGTTGACTCGACTTCTCGTGATAGAGATAACCGTCTTATCGATGGAAGGTTCTCACGTGATTTGATACGTGATCTGGTAGATCATCGTACTTTCCATTCTCAGAACACTATTTCCTATTTAGGATTAGTTCACCTAAATGGGTCTAGTCAAAATGCTTTGTCATCTTTGGCATCCGGATTGAGATGGAAAGCCCTTGCAACTCTTTGCAGCCTTTGACATCTGTCAGAGTACAGAATACACCACGGATGTACGGAGTATGCACTGTATAGGCTCTTATTCTTACATGGCATGTGTGCCTGACTAGTCCTGCATCTGCATATCATTGCGTGGTGGTACATGATTTGTAGGGATCTGTATCGAGTAGAATGGGTTAGGGGGGTTGATCCCCCCTGATTCCCACATGTGCATTGTTGCTCATGACATCTGGGATGTTTAAGTTTTCGGGGCTTTCATGACTCGGGATTTTTAATCTATACGGTTTCATGATTTCATGATACATGGAAGAATGTGGAAGAATTAGGGCTGTTCCGGAATTCGGAATCCAGAAAGTTACTTGGTCCTTTTCCAATTCTCGAACCATCGTTCATGGAGCCCAACGAAGTGGGCGGGGATCGACATCCTACATGAATATGGTGATCTTTGGTCAGCCCCAGCCTCCAGAGCTTGCCAAGCCGATCACTTCATATGGACAAATCTCTCTGAGAGAGAGACAACCCCCCCCACTTAAAGAGTCTATTCACGGATTTTGTAACCGTGGCGGTTCCAGTTTGATCTTCCAGAACCCTCAAGTGATTAGGCTAAGGGGTTCCATTTCTGCATATGTACACTTCAGGGCTGATGATTCCCACATTAGCGTCAAAGGTAAAGGGATAAGTTTCTCCGAGAACAAAATTCCGAAGTAGTCCCGGAGAGAAAAAGCTCAAACGCCGTGGTTTCAGGTTAGTTTAGAGCAAGGATGGACCTCGGAAGTTCACCGGTGGCTAACTTGAATTCCGTGAAGTTTTCGTTTTTATCTCTTCCATTCTGTGAAGAAAATTAGAAATTGAAATATTAAAAATTTAAACCAAACTGGCAGGTTAAAAAGACTCAACGAAAAAAGGATGTCTCACATTTGGAGCACTATCAGATCCACCTGAGCACCTGGGCACCAACAGGTAAAATGTCCATGTGGGTGACAAGTTCAGATTAATACAGATTAATACTAGTTCATGGAGTTAACCCTGGAATCTCGCACTTGGCATTGAACATTTGAATACGTATACTAGACGCTAACTCGAAGAGGCTGGCATCGGTAGTTTAATTCGCGGATCTTCTGATCAGCGTGAAGTTCAAGGATAACACTGGCATAAAATAATAGTACCTAGGTATTAATAGTAATGATCATTCGGACATCAGATGAATTCCAAAATCCGATATCTTCAAATGCTAAGTCATGATCTACTACTAACATTGGATGCCGCGGTATATACTGTATGCATTCTTTTTTCCAAGGTTATGTACATGGTATTTTATATAATAGTAGGTATAGAATATGTGGACCTCGAATCGCTCTTACATTAAGCCGACTCGGAACCTTTTTAGGCCACCTGCTTGTTCCAAGGTTTCTATTATACACCATATGTGCAATTAACATGAACCTTAACCATAAATTAGCGCATGCATATATGGAAGACTTGGAAGACTTGGAATTAGATAGACTGAATTACTACTAAAAGATTATTATCAATTGATACTAATTAGTATATAAGTTGCACTTTTGCAGTGTGTATTATTACTATATAAGTATTATATACATAGGAGATACACACTAGTATTAGACCAGGATCTCTAAGCTCATATGCATTAATATTCCTACTATGTGATAAATGGGACAAAAGGTCTTTCCAAGGTTCAAAAATGATAAAAAATGATATATAGATAAACTCATAAATAATACATTTATATCATATTACAGTATCAAGTGGAACTGAATTACGTCGTGTGAGAGTACTCTGACTACGGATCGCCTCCACTTAATCCACCCGTCGACTTTATTGGATGCTCATCAACCACCTTGGCGCACCCCTCTCAGCTTCCCTCTCCGCCCTTTTCCAATCGCCCCCTCCTTCATGAAAGACGCCCCCTGATGTCTCCACCTTAATGCTTTATCATGCTCTGACCCTCCCGTGAGCTTGATTCCTCTTTACTCCGGAGGACCCTAGAACCTCGGCGGGTCTCCCAGGATGCGATCGCATCATTCAACTTCATCAATCCCCTCCGCTTCCCTATTCCACATTGCCCTCCCACTTTGATCGACACTCTAAAAATTCTCCGTCTGAGCGCCCCGAATTTTATTTGCGCATGTCGCCTTGATTGTGGGTTTCTCTTGTCGCCTTCCATTTTCTTACCCGACCTATATTGGTACCTCTGGACCTCGTCGTGGACTCGTGGTGCTTTTGTACTACAGTACAGGTGACTACCTTGAACCGGAACCGGAATCGCATTAAAAGGTCAAAAGGGTCTCGCTCGACGCCAGACAAGTGGTTTCATTTGTAATCGTCGTTTCAGCCTCCGGACCCCCGCGGTTGAGTCCTTGCGATTAACACGATCAAAACTCATACACCATTTCCTGATTGCGACGAAGAAGCACCATAACACTGATACCCGAAGAGAGAACGAGAGAGGGAGAAAAAGGACCATTCAGAAGACGAAGAAAGACCGCGCTCAGCGCATCAAGCACAAAAAGAGTGCGAACGAACGACACCGAATAATCCGCGTTACACCGATCTCCCACCATGCAAGGCTATTCATTTGCACCTCCATCAGGGCCTCCCCGAGATGGCCAGAAAAGTAAACACAACCCTCGAAAGATTCGCCTCAAATTTGGTATGATATGATGAATGGTGGTTGATATTGGTTTGATTTAGATTACGTATTTGTTGATGAGCATAATCGGCATAAGAGGTTAAAAGGTAAGCTTGTCATCGGCCGATGAAGCCCTTCATCGTGTTAACCTGAACTAGTAATGCGCGCGTGCAATGGCTGCCGAAAGAGAAAGATTAAATGTGATGCGGCGACAACAAATTCCTGGCCCTGCTCAGCCTGTACGCGTCTGAAATTGGTCTGCGTCCCGCCAACAATTGGCCAAGAAGGAGAATACGATCCAGATACCCACGGCATGGAGCCCAACGAGGTGGGAAATAGTTCCCTCCCGGAGGGCTCTCATCATTCTTTTTCCATTGCTCCGGCATATAGAGACAACCATCAAACATCAATGGGGACTATGCCTGCATATGATGGAATGGGAATGTATCCCCAATTCGTCAATGCTCCACACAGTCAACCTGCAATGTATAACGACATGCGCTCAACATCCATGGTCATGCCCCCACAACCCTATCAACAACAGTCAATATATTCCGGGCCGCAGTCAACGTCTCTTGGAACGACGGATCGCGGAGTCTATGTGGAGGCAGATTCATCTACAGCAGAAAACCTAAGTGAGGTTTTGGGTGAGCTCAAAATTGATGAGACGGGAATTGGTATGGAGTCGTTTTTTTCCCCAGAAAACTCACTGGTATAGATACTGATTCATCTCAAATTTCACAGCTCCATATATCCGACGACAAAGAACAGATCGCCAAGAACCAGATGCTCCTATCCAAGAGGAGGCTGAAATGAAATTACCGCCACTCAGCACTGGAGCCGGGGCTAAGATTCGCATTCCACCAGAGCTCATGCCTGCAGAGGAGGACGTAATGGAATATTTTAAGATCTACTTCGACGAAATTCATCCATATGTACCCGTCATACCACGCGCTCATCTGTACTATCAATGGCAAAATGACCGTCGTTCTATCTCTCCTCTTCTCCTCGAGGCTTTGTTCGCCTGTGCTGGACGAGTGTCCGAGGAACCTTCAGAGGGTGCGCAATGGCTTGCTTTGGCCAACAGTGAGTTCAACCTTACCCAGTCTTCTTCTTTGCCCCTTTGACTAAAGATTCTCCTACAGGGCATGAGCCAAGCTTTATGGACGTCCCACGTGTGAGCACAATTCAAGCCATGCTTCTTCTCCTCAAAGCCAGAGAATCCTTACCGAAGAAAGGGTATTACTATCGGTCCTGGCAGACAGTGAAAACAATCGTGGCAATGGCGAAGGATTTGGACATTCACGAACATTATAGTAATCATGCGGAGGGAAGGCCTTGCGAGCTAAGCCCTATCGAATGTCTGATCCACACTCGAATATGGCAAGCCCTTTTGGTGGTGGAAGTAATGATAGGAGCCCCTCAAGGTGAGTGTTTTATTCTTGCTCCACTGTCCTAATGATTTGAAGGACATGATCCTCTAACATGATTAAGGCCGATCCGACTATGGCGTGGACTTGGAGACGGTAGATATGCGACCGACGTTGGATATCAGAGGCTTGGATGTCTATGAGACCGATCGCTCTAGGCAGTATGCCTACTTTGTCCGCAATGCACACCATATTCGAATCATCACGGATGTTTATCACAAGGTGAAAAAACAAAAGGACTGGGGAGCCGATCCTCGCTTTACACAGAAAAATCCTCTATTTGCAGATTGGCTTCAGAGCCTGCCTCCAGATCTACAGGTGAACTATCCACCTGATGGCTCTGCGCCATGGCTGCCGTCCCATTTTGTGGGTAATATGCATTCCCACTGTCACCTCGCGATCATCTTGCTTCATCGTCCACAAATTCAAGCATCTCAGTCATTTACGGCAGGAGGAGACTGGAAGATTCATTTCTCCCTTTGCTATTCCTCTGCCAAAAGCCTCTGTCGCTTGCAGGAGGCTCTTCTGGAAAAATACGACCTCTCTGGGTTATTGTATATGCAGCGGGGTATCAATTTCGCCATCTATTGTATTCTCACATGTACCATGCTTCACCTGGTCAGTCCCATGATACCAATGCAGCTTCTAGAAAATCTGTTCCCTCTAACACTCGCAGGTTGCCATCACCTCTCCGGATCCCGAATTTAACTCGGATGCACGGGAATATTTCACCCGCCACATGCGTATTCTTGAGCGATGCTCCACGGCATGGCCCATGCCAGAGATTCAAGATCAAATCGACTCTTTAAGGCTTGCTTTCTCTGCCGATACAAGTCAAGCATTTGAGCTCAAACCAAGCTTTCCTTATGGCAGCCCCTCTGATGGCTACCACCCCAGTCCTCCTATGGACACGCAGTATCACCCGCAGCTGAATCAAATGTCGAACAATCTTCAAGCTAGAGTGGGTTACAACACACATCAAATTACACCTCCGATTTCTGCTGGTACTGAAGATTCCAAGTCCGACACATCCTCTCATCTACAATCCCTTGGACTGGTCCCTCACCAACCGTCAACCTCTCACCCTATGGAACAGCCCATGGTCGATGAAAATAACTGGGACCCAAGCCGGATCATCCAGTGAGTGTTCCGCATATTCCAAACGCCTCGCTGTTATGAAATCTTGCTGACCCAGTATTCCTCTTTAGCCAATGGGATATGGCCTTCTCTGTAAACCCCTCCACCGTCAGCACCAATTCTCCTCCAATGCCTATCAGTAACCCAGCACAACCTATGTCCGCCATGGTAAATCACCAATATCCCATGCAATATGAGTCACCGTCCAAGGTGACTGTTCTTCCGACTCAGTCGGTTTCCCCACCACAGTTCCAGGCCCCTCCTGTCGTGTTCAGCGCCCGCGATTGGCAACAAAGCGTGGCAAGCGTGTATGATCCGCATGGTCTAAAGCGGCGATGGAATTATTCAGTTGATATGGACTCTGAAAATATGGCTAAACGCCATAGAGAATAACCCGAGTCATCTACGAATACAAAATTTATCCTCTTCTTCCTTCTTCACTCACCCATACTTCTTTTATTTTTTTTCTTATATCGTAGTGATATAAGCAATTCTGTTCATCCACCCTCTTCTTTTACCGCTCGATTCATCTGTCCTTCGGGGTTATCTCTGTAGTACGAAACCTCAACCTACGTCAGACTACGGCTGGTAGACTTGGAATGAACTTTTTCAGCGAACATGATGTTAGATCAATGGTATTGCTGATTTAAACGGTGACTGGATGACTGGATACATAGAATTCTCTTGATGATGAGCCCTTGTAGATAAATGGATCCAAAAATCACCGTTTGCATGATTCTGTGTGAACTTCCACATCCATTCTTCCAAATAAGATAGGCCATGCTAGCCCTCAAAGGGGGTCGGTTTTCTCCAAGTGATCATGAAGAAAACAAAAATGAGATTCGTTTGGGTGTAGTCAAGAGGTGTATGAGAGCTCGGGGGTGTAAATCCCTTGATGTAGATCGAGTAGATTGAAATCTCAGACAATGGGTGTATTAGTTAAATTCAACCCCTTTCTGGGTCAATAGCAAGAATCACAATGTCAGGGAAAGCTGGTAAAATGAGGCCAGCGAAGATAGAGTGAAATGAAGCCAAAGAATGGTTGTGAACTTGTGATGCGGAGTCCTGGATTTAACCGCGGCGACCGATGCCGATGCGCTCTTCGCGGGATCGAACGATTCTGGCCTTATCTCCTGGCAAGGGCTTCAACTCATCACTTGGATCGTATTGCGTATTGGCGCTAGCTTGGCCTTGCTCGGTCTGTTTGTTTTCCTTGTTTTCTTTGTTTTCCTGTAGACGGCGGAGTCGCGCTTCTTCGAAGGCTGCGATGTCCTCCACAGTGATTGTAACAGCAGTTGGCTTTCGGCGGAGCATGATGATAACTTGAACTACCTGATAGAAATAAAGGGGAGATATTTCCAAGATTCCAGGGTTGAGTTGAAGTATATAAGAGAAGTAGAGTGATCAAGGGGGGTCTAAAAGCGGAGTTACTCACGTGACTCCTAAAAGTCCCAATCCCGGAGAACCTTTGAAGTTGCGCTTTTGTGCAGGTTCTCACATCTCCAAATCACCATGTTCTCCCTCAGACAGGTCGCCCGTAATGGCGATCGGCTGCGATTGGGCATGTCTTTGCCCATCCGCCAATTCTCTATTTCTCACACAGTTGCCGCAGAGAATGACGGGCATTCAGCCAGTATGTTCTCACCCGTCACTCCAAAAAAACATTCTAGTTGGAACTATACCGCCAAATTGGATTCTTCACGCAACCTACTCTATGGAGTCTACTTTTGGGACTTCAATTAACATGATTTAACCATAGGCCAACCTCCCCCCCAAGACAAACCCGACTGGTACTCCCCGCAGCCCTCGCGCCGCGAACAAGCCCCCCCGGAACCCGACCTCCAGGCTCTCGGCCTCCAGGCACTAGACCCCAGAACCAGAACCAAAACAGACCTCGCCCTGCGAAGGCTCTAGATGCGAGATCTTTCGCCGCACCCCGCGCTGGTGGTGAACAACCACGAATCATCCGCAACCCCCGACTGCGTACTGGTGCTGGTGCCGGTCCCAATCGAGGCGGAAAGCCGGGCCAAGGAAAGGGCAAGCCTATGGGCAAGAAGGGTCGTGGAAAGGCCTTTGGTCGTCGAAACTCAAAGCAAAATGAAAAGGATGATAGTGAGGAGATCACCGCTGCTGCTATTGATCAAATCGAGCTTGATCAAGTTATGAAGGCTCGTCCTGCGCCGATTCGCTATGAGCCTAAGGATATCGATGTTTCTGCTCTCCAGGAAACTTGGCCTGCTTTCCCCACTGATACTGCTGCTCGCTCCGCTGCTGTTGCTGAGAAGTTGGCTAGTCTGAGTGGTCGTTATGCAAATGGTTATATCCCTCCCTATGAGCTTGGTCGACGACTCTGGAAGGGTGAGAATGTTTTGTTTAACAGTGAGGCTGAGAGGTCAGAGGCTATGGAGGAGGTTCAGCGCCTTTCTCAGGTTCGTGCCGATAAGATCTCTCAAAAGAAGGGTGATCTTGTTGAACCAAAGAAGATTGAGTTTGGTGGTCTTAATGCTGAGGATACTAAGTCCTTGATTGACACTTACGCTTCTGGAAAGTACCCCTCTGTTGAAGTTGGTAAGGACCAGCCTGCTGTTCTTGCTGAGGTTATGAAGAACCTCCGTAACAATGGCACATATCAAACTGCTGGAAAGCGGCCACAATTCCTGGCGAAGGTTGAAGCCCTGATGGCTTCGAGTCGTGTCAAGCGGACTTGATCTTGGCCACTTTTTGTATTATATGGGTTTTCTGATGTGGGTTAGATGAAATACTTTTTTTATATTCTGGGCGCTTTTTTGTTCTTTTATTCCTGGGTGGTTTATCCCCCTGATACTTGTATGTAGAATTAAGTTACATTTGTGGCTATATTACAAAGAATCTGCTTCTTTTTCTTCTTGTTTAGACCTGTTCAAGGCTCTTCTTAGCAGCTTCAAAAAGATCCTTGACCTCCTTCTGCCCTTTGTCTGTTGCCTTTTCCATCAAGATATTGGCATTGCGGACATCATCTGGTCGAGCCAACTTCTTCTTCTGCATATCTTGTAGACGCTTGTGCATAGCTCCTCTAGAGTCCCGAACTGCACTGGATGCCTTCTCGAAGGCTTGTTTAGCCGCCTGGACACCTTGAGCGCGTGACTCCTTGGTTGGTGGTGGGATTGGGATATTCAGCTGGAGAGCGTTATGAGGATCCGGTTGAGGGGTTAAGGACAGATTTGAGGAGACGATTGCAGATGTGACTGGTTTGATATGCTGGAAGATAATAAGTTAGCTAATGTCCAGGGAATTAGGAGACCAGCAAAGAGTAGTTAGTACTGACCTCTTCATCAGAAACTAGAACGGTAACCATCCGTCCACCCTTTGGTACAACTTGAGCCAAATCGCGGAGTTTGAACGAATCTTGAATCTCCTTGCCTAGTTGCACTTTTAACCCTTCAATTGACGCGGTATTGAATCGTCCACCTGCACGAAGCTTCGATAGATCATCCTTCAAGCGTGAGACTGCAGCGGAGACCCCGGTGTTCAGTTGAGATAAATCGAATGGGTCTTCTGTGCTGACTGGAGTAGAAGAAGGTTCGGGCTCTGAAGCTGCGGTTTTCTTTGCTTTCTCCTTCTTCTTATACAAGGCGGGTGAGCTGCCAAAGCTACGACCTTGAGTCAAAGGCAAGCTAGTTGTGACGGTAGAGAGTGGGACACATGGGATTCGTAGATTCCGGGGAGAAATTCGGCCGTGTGAAAGACCCCGTAGAGAGAGTCGAATGATACTGTGGTTCATGATGGCGGTGGTGGAGACTGGATTGTAGGAGAAGAGTTTGATAGATGAACTTGAAGTTGAAGTTCACCCGTTCCCGCCTACTAAGAGATGGATGACATAGCCTCCCAAGTCAGACCTCTCCACGCTGGCAATACTACTAGATAATGTAGTATATTTAAGATCAGATGGATATATTGATCTCAACATTATTACATATAGATTTCAAGTAACTATTTGGGATGGAACAATGAAAAATCTTCAGAATACTGAGTTCGTCACACATTAGATTTGCAACGTCAATCTTCGTCTACATAAAACATACTTTTTCAAGATGTGAAAAAAAAAGGACAAAGGGAAATAAGAAAAAAGGAAATCACTGCGCCTAAAGTTTTCCGGCTTCAAACACAAAAACATGGACCAACTTGCACCTCCCTCATTATCTATTTGTTGTAGATTCCCTTATTCAGAGTATCTAGAGGGAGACAGTCTGGCCATCCTATGTTCACTCCATTTAGCGGGTGGCCATGGCCTTGGTAATCAGACGCTTGAGAGCCAACTCCTTCTTCTTGAGGTCCTCGGGGGTGGAGTCCTCAATCTCGAGCTGGGCCATGGCGTCGCTGAGAGCGGCCTCGATCTTGTCCTTGTTACCACGCTTGATCTTCAGGGACATGGTCGGGTCGGAGACGATCTCCTCAACACGGGAGATGTAAGACTCGAGCTGCTGGCGAGACTCGAAGCGCTTGGTGAAGTCCTCGTCGGAGGACTTGAACTTGGCAGCATCCTCAACCATCTGGTCGATCTCGGCGCTGGAGAGCTTACCGACAGCGTTGGAGATGGTGATGTTGGCGGAACGGCCGGAGGTCTTCTCAGTGGCGGTGACCTTCAGGATACCGTTGACATCGACCTCGAAGACACACTCAAGGGCGGCCTCACCGGCGCGCATGGGAGGAAGGGGAGCAAGAGTGAACTCTCCCAGGGAGGTGTTGTCAGCACAGTTGGTGCGCTCACCCTGGTAGACGGGGAACTGGACGGTGCTCTGGTTGTCAACAACGGTGGTGAAGGTACGCTTCTTGATGGTGGGGACGGTCTGGCCACGGTTGACGACGGGGGCGAAGATGTTACCCTCCATGGCAACACCCAGAGAGAGAGGGACGACATCCAGAAGGAGGAGGTCAGCGGTCTCAGCGGAGGTGGCCTTGCCGGAAAGGATACCGGCCTGGACGGCAGCACCGTAAGCAACAGCCTCATCGGGGTTGATGCTCTATTAAAAAAAAGTAATATTAGTACCCATCAGAAATTCAGTAGGACTGGGAATAAAATCTTACCTTCTCGAGCTTCTTGCCATCGAAGAAGTCGCTCAGGAGCTTCTGGATGCGGGGAATACGGGTGGAACCACCAACAAGGACGATCTCGTCAACCTTGCTCTTCTCCATACCAGAGTCCTTCAGGACCTGCTGGACGGGGTCGAGGGTGCCGGAGAAGGCCTTGGCGTTCAGGTCCTCGAAACGGGCACGGGTGATGGAAGAGTTGAAGTCCTCACCATCGAAGAGAGAGTCGATCTCAACGGTGGTCTGGGTGGCGTTGGACAGAGTACGCTTAGCACGCTCGCAAGCAGTGCGGAGACGACGGAGGGCACGGGCATCACCGGACAGATCCTTCTTGGTCTTGCGCTGGAACTCCTTCTTGAAGTGGTCGAGCAGGTTGGTGTCGAAGTCCTGACCACCAAGGTGAGTGTCACCAGCGGTAGCCTTGACGGTGAAAACACCACCCTGAATGTTCAGCAGGGAAACATCGAAAGTACCACCACCGAGATCGTAGATGAGGACGTTACGCTCCTTCTCGGTCTTACCGGAACCCAAACCGTAGGCAATGGCAGCAGCGGTAGGCTCGTTGATGATACGGAGAACGTTCAGGCCAGCGATGGCACCGGCATCCTTGGTAGCCTGACGCTGGTTGTCGTTGAAGTAAGCGGGCACAGTGATAACGGCCTTCTCAACCTTCATGCCGAGCTTGATCTCGGCAACCTCCTTTCATCTATATTTTTCAATTGTGTGAGTGGGGGTGGCAATTTTGAGTTTTGGCATGGAAAAAAAAAACTTACCTTCATGAGGACCATGGAGGAGATCTCCTGGGGGGTGAAGGTCTTGACCTCACCGAGGTAGTCAACCTCGACGGCGGGCTGGCTGGCACCCTGGTCAACGACCTTGAAGGGCCAGGACTCAACGTCCTTCTTGACAATGGGGTCATCGAAACGGCGACCAATCAGACGCCTGTCAAATTCTCCAGTCAGATACAAAGAAAAAACTCAAGTTATCGGAATATCGTGAAAAATTCAAGACTCACTTGATATCGAAGATGGTGTTCTTAGGGTTCATAGCAGCCTGGTTCTTGGCGGCCTCACCGATCAAACGCTCCTTCTCAGTGAAAGAAACGAAAGAGGGAGTGGTGTAGCTACCCTGGTCGTTGGCAACTAGATTGCACCAGGTTAGTGAAATTGTGTGATTGAGCGTGGATAATTCCATTCCGAAGACGTACTGATCTCGACGTTGGTGCCCTCATAGTTGGCAACGCAAGAGTAGGTGGTACCTATTGATTATAAAGTCAGTGATATCCAAAAAAGAGGAATTATTTTCGCAGTCATACCAAGATCGATACCGATCGCACCGTCGTACACCGGAAGGTCCGCCATTGTGATTTTTTGTGGTAAAGTTGGAGGAATGAAAAAAGGTGGGAAAGAGGGGTTGAGACGGGTCGAAATTTTTTTTTATAAAAGCAATGCCCACACATTGACAGGCAGAAAATTTTGCGGGAGCGGTACATCACGTGGGAGGCGAGCCGAGTGCTGACTGCGTTTCAGTCACGTGATATACGTGCGATCACAGGAACGTTCATCAACTGGTCAATATAAATCTGGGTATCTATCTACAAGGCTCCATCTTCCCTTATACAAAGTACAAATTTTTAAAAACATTTTCTGTTACGCTTGTTTACTACATATAATTCCTCGTTTGATGAGATTGCAATGGTATGACTCATTGCTAAATTGAACAGGGCAAAAAAAAAAAAAAAAAAACAAAACAAAAAAAGGCTTCAGAAAACAGAGCCAGACTCCAAGAACACATATCCAAAGTAAGAAAAAAGACTGGAGAAAAAAGAACCCAAATGTCATGTCATAGAAAACCAAATCTCTTTCTTCATCGCAGCAAATTGAAAAAGATGGTGACTCGCTCATAGTCAACTTCTGATCCAGGTGGACCAGACTTCGGAGCTCCCCTGGCAGGTCCAGCAATTGCCTCAAAATCGACTCGAGTTATTCCTGGGTGAAGCTGAATATCATACGCCGGCGTCAATGCTTCTCCTGTTGGGTGAAGGTGTTGCATGCCCATATGAGCAATCATTTTAACTTGTCGTTGCACACTTCCGAGAATTAATGTGGGTTTGACTGTCAACAAAGTATGTGAAGAAGGTAAAGGAATGGCAATTGTTTGCTGAGAAAGTTTCGATGAAGGTGGGATATTCAAGTAAAATCCATCTTTCAATGACAATGAGGAATGTGTGGCGATCTGCACGTTGCGGATTAGAGCAGAGGTGGCATCTTAGTAGAAGGGTCGTTAGCTGGGTCTTGAACGAAAAAGGGAGCGAAAAAAAGACGATGATGGAAAATGTACCTTGGCCCGCTCGTCTCCAGATTGAATCAATGGGTGATTTCTCTACTGGTGGTTGCATATGAGCTAATTGCAATCGTAAAATATTAGCATTAAAGATCAAATCTAAGAGGAAATCGCCGTTGTCATGCATGGGGCTTCATACTATCATGGGGAAACAGGCCACCAGCAGAGTCCGAAGGAACACCACTCGGGCCATGCGATGGACCACGCATGTCAAACCGCTGAGATGAGGTCAATGGGGTCTCGGATTTAATACCGCCAGATGCATCTCGTACACCGGTCGCACCATGGGATTGTTCAGTAGTTGATGGAGTGGTTCCGGTACTTGATTTAGGGCTTCCAATTTTTTGCCCGCGCAGAGACCTCGTTCGGGGTGTCAAATGATGCGTATCAGCCTCCTGGCTCATCGATTCGGTACGAATTAGCTCTTGTTGTCGTTTGAGGGAATCGTTATCCACAGTGACCCCAGATGGAGTTTTGTTATCCTTTGGAGGTTCGAAAGTCTGTCCAGCCATCTTCAACGTTAATCTTTGCGGTCCCGATTCGGATTGATTTTTGCCGACTTTTAATCTTATGCGAGGTAATTCGGGGTGGCCATCTACCTGAATTGGATCCGGGACGATCCTCCTGACTTCTGCCACACGTTGATCGAAATATTCCTATCGTCATTTTTAGCACACCCGATGCTTCAGAAGGGCAAACAAGCATAAAATGTATTCTCCCGCTTCAGAGTTCTCCCGCTTCAGAGAGAGGATCTTACCTCCATCACACCCGCCAGAGCGGCAATCTCGCTGCCATCTTCATTGTACTCTCGTGCATTTCGCCACAAGTAGCTGACCTCATCTGCGAATGATTGCCATGTCGGAAAGGCGGTCATTCCAGTTCCTTTCTTTCGACCATCTGTCCCACGGACCTTTTTTTGAATACTTCTCAACGAGACTGGATACTGAATAATTTCATAGTAGTCCCGATAAAGGGCGCGGTCCGGTTTTCCAACAAACGGGTAAGCTACCTCCTCCCCACTACAAAGCCAAGTCAGCGCTATCGGAGTTATACGACGGTTCATTATGCTTATCGCAAATACTTACTCCTCATCTTTGAGTCGAAAGAGTTCGGTCAAAATCTTGTCCTGCGCGGTTTGCATACTGTCGCCCTCGAATTCCGTCTCTGGCTCGGCCTCATCTTCTGATTCAGAACTCTCATCCGCATCGGGCTCATCGACTGGTTCGGAGGAGTCGCGGTTGGACTCTTCAATGTCCTCGAGGTCTTCGTCCTAGTGCATGACCACAATGGTTAGTTTGCCCATTGCGATACTGGAGGCGCCGCAGGTGTGATATAGTTTGCGCATCCACGTTGAATGGAGCTTCCAGCTCCGTTCCAGCTGAAAAGGTATTGAAGCGCGATGAATCACATATTTTGATTTCTTATCTTCACTGATGAAAATCGCATAAAGAAGCGCAACATCAAGGTAAACTTACAGACACTTTGCGACGCTTCTGACTGCGCAACTTCACCTCGGGGGAAACTTGGGCGGCTGCCCCACGTCTTTTGGAGGTCATTGTAGGTGCCTATTCGGAGTATTCAACAAGGCGATATGAAACTGAAATCTCCAATTGAGAAACAAAGGATTACCAAGGTTCTCCAGGGACTCATACCTCGACGTGTGCAGACGCGCTGCGACCGTCCGAGTGGACCCGCCGTGTTATGTAAGCGGCATTTTGATCGCGGCTCCGTATTGGTCGGAGCTCCTCTAGTTGGTACTTATGTATATAGCTTATAGATGAAAGTGATATTAGATTTTAGTAGAGAATGTGGTATAACATAAAGTTTGAAGGAGTAAGATTAGTGTGATAAACAAATCTATAGTAGAGCTCTTGCGAATCATTCAAGTCTACGTGGCCAAAATTATACAAAATAATAAACACGCACCCTACTCTTAGACTCTTAGATACATCCAGATCACGGGACCTTTCCACTCGTTCATAGAGAAACCCCCCTTGACACCTCAGGCATAAATATTTTCCCCCCTCCATCTCTTCTCTCTCTCTCTCTCCTGCTCTCTCTTCCGCGTGCCCGCAAAACAAACTGGTTCGCTCCTCAAAACATCCCCGCGACGATCTTCACTTTCACCCCTCCCTACCAAGATCGCAAAGTTTCACAACCAAACCTCGATCCTTCTCTCTATCGAATTGGTAAGTTGTCTTCTGGTGGAAAAATATACTCCACATATTCTCAGAAATTCACCTACATGCCACAGACCTGAGATTAACTCGACCCACGTGCCACAGAATCAACAATTCGTCGAATTTCCCCGGACTCACATCTTCCTTTCCCATTTTTACCTCCATCTCTATCGCCAATGGATATCGATCCTACCCGTCGTAACAAGAAGCCCCGCTTGTTGTTGGAGTCGGAGCGAGAGCGTCTGGATGAATTTATTGACTCTATTCACTACTCAGCCCGGTATGACCTATCGCATCCCCAATTGCAGGTCCAGTTAGGACAATTCCTGTCTGTATTTGAGAAACTAACTCCCTGGTAGTTACTCGGACGACAAATTCGAATATCGCCATGTGCAACTGCCAAAGAACATGCTCAAGAAGATCCCCGCAGACTATTTCGATAGCGCCAAAGGAACTTTGAAGTTACTGTGGGAGGAAGAGTGGCGAGCGCTGGGAATTACACAAGTAATTATCCCTCTCCTATCATCTCTGAAGTCTAGAGAACCATTGCGCTGACGTTTCAATTCGAACAGAGTTTGGGCTGGGAACACTACGAGGTGCATGAGCCGGAGCCTCATATTCTCCTATTCAAGTACGCATCTTCCCATTGAGCTCTCATCGTGGCACTACATACTTACATTGACGTTCCTATAGGAGGCCCCTGAATTACCAGCCGCCGATGGTACAATAGATGTGTGATAAACTCGGTGGTGCAGTAGGTGGAGGTTTCCTCTCCTCACCCTGAGAACCCCACAGGATGAATCTTTTTCTTTCACTTTTTTTTTCTTTTTCATTGTTCTATTACATGGACATGCATCAGAGCAGTATGTTCTCTAGGGTCCACAACAGCTTCATCATGGAGTTTCTGGAATGAGATATGATTCAAATTTCCCCAATTCTCCTCGGAATCGGTAGGGCCCTACAAGCCTCATCTACACGCAACAGTTCATCCCCTCGAGCCTATCATAGATGGGCCAAATTTCCTCGCAGTCAAACCACGTTCTTGGCCAGCCATTCTTCCCACTGCTCTACAGTGAAACTGCTGCTGGTGCCTCGCTCCTCCACGCCCTGAACCGAAGGTCAGCATCCTATTATGCGGTTCGTTCTCGGGTTAGGGTCTCTTACATTGAAAAATACCGTTGGCGAAACATGAACTCCAATTACTCGATCCGTCTGTTTATCATTAGGTGGTTGTACAGAAATGCGGGATGTACAGGACACTTGCCTTGATGATCCACTTCAAGTCATTGGTGACCTTGTTGCCCGCATTCAATTGCCCACTCTCTCCGGGGGTTTCTGGGATCTTCAATAAATCCAAGAACTTCCCTTCGTCCACACCTACGGATCCAGCAATCTTGGCCAATCTTTCGTATGTCTTGTTGCGGGTTTCGTTCACCACGCTGATGTCGAAAAATTCAGTTTGGTGCTTGAATAGAGCGGCGCTAAACTCCCAGTACTTCTCTGGAGCCAAACGGAGGACCGCAACAGCAGCCTCGTGGGTGAGGGTGGAAGATGGGTGCCATGGCTGAATGTGCTGCCGAAAGATAACCTGGAGTCGAGAACCATACTGTGCCGCAATTCTAGGGCTCAACTCATAGAAAGTATTGAACATCTTGGCTGAGAACTAGAGACCATCATGTTAGTCCTGGAGCAAATTTTGCTCCATTAGTTCCTGTAACTCACTGGGCAGACATAGTCAAGGTCTGAACATTGTTAGCTTCAATTCCCATCGCTACTACGAGTAGATACATATCGTCAATACGTACATAGTTCCAGTGTATGACTTTCCTGGAAACTAGCAGCGGTGAGCTTGAGACCAGCGAATTTGGGAGGGACGGCCATGATAATGGTAAGAGATCAAAATGCGTAAAAAGACTCGGGGTCACCGTGACGGTAATCTGTTGAGGGAAGTTCAAGCCTGGAGTTGAACGGATGAAATGAGGTGATATGAGGGGCAGTGCGTCACCCTACTATATATAGTGCCCCGCCTCAGTATGACGACTTGGATTATGAAGATTCACCACCTGGACATCAATGCAGATTCAACTTGAAGTTGAGGATCAATTAAATTCGAGTTCTCACATGTTCAAGTCGAGACTAGGTATCACATAGTAAAATATAAATTATATATAGTGATGTAATTTTTCATCCAATTCAAAATTGTGGTACATATCGAGTCTGTTTTATCTGATAAGTTGATCAACAATCTACACAGATCATACTATCTCTATACACGGTCTATGATAATAATCGCTTCAAAAAAAGACCATGCGATTTATGTACTTGCATAGATGTGTTTTCTTTTGAGACTCTTGAGGTTAATGCTCAAGACCAGTCTATCCAGTGCTGCCATGGGAACGATGAAAAAAAAAAAATCAAAATGGGGTATTAATTGAACCTAACATTACCGTCCTCCAAGGGGTTTCTGCTTCCGGAGGTTGATATCCCGCAACACCATCTCAACCGTGCGCCATTCAGACTGAGATGGATCATATTCTCCACGGACTTCAAACCGACAGAACCCATTTGGTCCCCTCACACCAACGGGCCCGGAAATGAAAAATGTTCCCCGAAGAGGTGTCCGGCGAATCGAAGTCTGATAGTGGTTCAATCGCATTCGAAAGGCGAGGGACGCCAAATGTAAATCTGATCCGGGTCCTATGTCAGGCAGTGGGAGTCGTTGTAGAGTGGATATGACAAGGGAAGGATGAAGAGGTTGGTCTTCGGTTGGTGTTCGGTCTGTAGATAGCTCCTCAATAGATGGGGATAAGTCGGGCTGTCTCTGGTCCATACTGCGGTCGATATGAACATTGCGTGGTAAAGTCAAAATTTCGGGGTGATTTGTTGTTGGTTCTCCTGTAAAACGAGTGACCTGTCTCTTGAAAAGCACTAGATAGGCATCTTTTATGGCAAGTGCCATATGAACAGGCTTCATAAATGATTGGATCCTATCGCCTATTTCGGGGTCGATAGGCTTGGTGACCCACGCTACACCATCATCGTTAAATTCGATCCTACAACACCACCAGGATTAGTATCCACCCTATACTCATATCCATTATCGCTAGAACAGACGTACCCAGATCGTAGATATTCCGGAGGAGCACGGTTTGGAAATTGATGTACTAGCCAAAACCCAGTGAGAGAAAGAGGGCCGCCGAGGACTCGTGTCAATTGGCCGGAAGCGTTCTCCAGAACGATAGCGGCGAGTTCATCTTAAGACTGTTAGCTAGGATCCAAGAACCAAGGACTAGTTCACCCACCTCGTAGTTTCTGAAGTCTTCCTCGGTCCTTGGATATTTGAACAAACTCTTGCCATTCCGGGTCCGATGCGGCATAGAGTTCGCCCTCTTCCAGCCAAGACCAAGTCAACGGAACAAATAAAGGTGCGCCCAGTTCATCTTCGCCTTCCAGCAACTCTTCTCCTCCCGGTGGACTTCGGCGCAGGCCGGTTGTGTTCGGTGTTGGCTCGGGTGGGATATCGGTATCGTGGCTATCATCGTCGAGGCGAACGAGAACGAATGAACTCCATAACTGATATGCCGCACCATACAAGAGACACTTAGAGACAAAGGATCTGTAAAAAGAAAAAGATTAAAATTGTTAGCATGAATATCACGGTAATATTCAGACCGGTAAATGCGACTCACCTCAGCCAAGGCCGTCTAAATCTCACATGTCGGACTGTCGGGACGGGGTGTGAATAAGAGCCGGGGTTGAAGCGAAATGGGCGGGCTTGGCTTCGAAATAACTGCCTGAGCCGAAGCATTGAGATAAATCAACAAAAATATGTTCGAACAAGATGGTTGAAAGAAAGATAGTTGGCGCGCCGACTCTTGGGGGATAAACTCACGTGATATCTTATCGCAACCTGTACCTCTCCACGTACGTAACAACCCTCTTCTAGATTGAATGCTGACTCCAAATAGCTTCTATTCTCACCGCACTGTGGGCCTTTCTGGTCTGGAATTATTTGGAAGAGGTTGAAGACGATACATCCTCTCTATTAATCTATTCTGAAAGTTTCCTTGATCCATTCCGACACAATGCGTTGGGTCTCCAAGCTCTTAGCCATTGCGGCAACGGGCGCCCTGGGGACGAATGCTATGGAGGCTTCCATCTTCAAGTCCACTATGGGTCAAGATAAGGACCTGGGCTCTTCAACAGTCTCCGAGGATTTTGCACGACTCGCTCTGAAACTCCGTGTCGAGTCTTCTGTAGCATCGGTTCTCGGAACCGAGGAAACAAACCTGGATCGTCTAGACCAGTTCGTTGATGCTCAATTCCCCCTGTTCGGTGGCAAGAATGATGCTTCTGCGAAGACTCTCATTATTTTAGAGGGAGTCGACGAGAAGACCGGTGAGAATCCGCAGTTATACTAGCCTACATGTACCGAAGTTGAACCCTAACACGACTTGTTCTGCCAGGATTGAGCATGCGCCAGAGACATACACCCAATCTTTTCGTCCCCCGTGCCTCCAACGAACTTCTTGACGATTCTTCTATGTCATTGGGTGGTGAGGATGAGGAAAGCATCTGGATGTACCAGGAAAATGCAAGCAAGACGAAGTCAGAAGGCATTCAGGTAAGGGATCTGTACGCCCGTGGGCGGCAGGATATTGAGACACCTCCCAAGAGAAGTTGTTGGCTGATATGATGGTGGATATAGCTGGCCAAGGAGTGCCTTTCCAAGAACCCAGTTCTCTCCGCTTCCCAGGAGCTGTTCCGCGATAATGTCCTGGAGACGATCCAGTCGGCGGAGACACGGATGAGCAAAGATCAGAGCACAATTATCTCCCGCCTGTCTTTCAAGGTATTTTTTTATATCATTCTCTGGGTTGTATGACTGTTCAAATACTGACTATGCCATTCTTGCAAATAGAGCGGCTCCGCGGAGAACACTCTCGATACAAAGCTCTTTGAATCCATCTTCCAGGATTTGATGAACAACTCTCCCTCAGAAAGCCAGCAATTGACGGTTGTGCTTCTTTCCGGTTCTCGCAATGATACCAATGCCCCCAAGAAGCTTGCTCAGCGGGAGGTCAAAGCTTACCGCGATGTCAGCCAGTCTACTCCCAGGGCACTGGATGAGTCCTTGCAGCACTCAAACCTGGCTCCCGTGTGCCATCTTTCTAACTCGTCCTGTACTGACTCAACCAACAGCTGCTCCGGACACGGATACTGCTACCTGAAGTATGGATCGGGCAGCGAGGGAGCCGCTGGTAACTGTTACGCCTGCCGTTGCCAAGAGACCGTGGTGCGGAAGAGCGATGGTGGCATTCAAAAGATTCAGTGGGGTGGACCTGCATGCCAGAAAAAGGACATCAGTTCGCCATTTTTCTTAATAGCTAGTGTCACCGTCTTTGCTATTCTCGCCGTAGGCACTGCGATTGGTATGCTCTTCAGCATGGGCTCCCAGGAGTTGCCCAGCGTGATTGGAGCCGGTGTGGGTGCACCCAAAGTTCAGTCATAGGGTGTTATATCTGTCTTTGGTTTATTTCATGTTCATGGTTTCATTTTTGTTCCACCCTTGACCTTCGGGTTCTCTACTCTACCGCGCCCATTATCAGCCTCTGGAATGTTCATGTATATTTGGCTGAGGCGAAGAATCTGGTCATTGTCGTTTGATATAATTGGATCTTCTTCATACCTACCTGTATCAATAGTATCATTTGAATGATCTACTTAACTTGAAGCTATCATGCCACATCTGAATCGGAGTCAATAGTAGTACGGTCATGGTTCCATCCATACATAATAACATCCATCTGAACTCAATGTTTGCACATTAATTCAAGGTCCCAGTCCAAAATACTAGTAGTGCAGGTGCACACTGACGCTGGCAGGTTTTTGTTAAACTCAAGCTTCAATTGATTGAAGCACTACTACTATGTACTACTATGGCCGGGGCCGCCCCGCAATACTCACTGGCAGGCTCCACATATATACTTCCACTGCCAGTGGCACCTGGTACATATTTCCAGTGAGAGTTCGATAATATTATGTCAGGTGAACACAATCCATGATCTGATACTACTGAGACATCTGGACATCATCCAGATGGAGCTACTATACCTAGGTATTACTTCGAAGTCCACATGGATGGCTCCGGGGATGTGCGAAGTCTGGAGGTTCAAGTTGTACTCGATCAACCTGTTCAAATTTCATCAAAAGCAAGACCGTTCAAATACGGCAATTACTACTAGGAGAGATTGAATGCTTTCCGCAAGTAGAAATATTGGGGAAAAAAGCAGATCCATTATCCTTTGGGCCCCCCTGGACCTTCGGTAACGCCATAGCCCAGCGCCTGCCCAGGTGGTAATAGAAAAAAAAAAAAACTTGAAGCGTCACAGTCATAAGTGGCGTGCAGCCCGTAGTTTGCCCTCGCTGTTTCCTTGCAAAGCACCGTTAATTTACATACAGAATAAAATAATCGACAGGAGAATGGGCTTTGCAGGCTCAACATTCCAGATGTTGACCTGTATCATGCAAAAATTTGGGGAATCGGAATCGTGAAATAGAGAAAGGAATGGTTTGGAAACTTCAAAGACCAGCTTCCAGTTGACCAGGTGTGCGTGGCTGAGATTGAGACTGTTCAGTCACCGGCTGGCTAGTCAAGTCTGAGGAGTTTGATGTGGTGTTACGGGAGGAGCCGGGTAGACGAGTTGGGAGAAGTCGTGGCCAATGTGGTCGACGACGTGGTGGTGGATCTTCCAGAGGTACAGGTTGATCATTCGCATGGTCTAAATGGCCATCTGATCCCAGGGAATCCACGGGATGGTCACTCGGAGATGTCGAATGAAAAACTCTTCCTGGAAAGGCCATCGGCACTCGGAATATGGAATTTGGATTATTCCTGGAATGAGTCGGACGTGGCAGTCTCGGTAAACCGTCGGAGCGAGTTGACGTTCCGCCACGACGGCCCTGCCGATCTGACGATGTAGTATCTGTTGCGTTCGGTCGAGGTTTGGGGACGTAATAGTCTGCCTTGCATAGAGGACAGCACGCTCGTCGGCTAGTCAACCAGGGATCGACGCAGGATGCATGGAAAGCATGCCCGCAGGTGAGGCCACGAATATCATCATCATCTTCAATGGTGTCCAGACAGATCGCACAAGAATCTCCGGGGTTGGGGAGCATTTCAGGGGGTACGGCTTTGCGAATGTGATCGCCTTCCTCATCATCATCTTCAAGGTCAATGTTTTCACCGACTAAGGCATGCTCCCACTTCTCTTCCGTCGCAGATGCATCTACCTCTCCATGAGAGATAACCGCAGATTGGCTTGCCTTCTCTTCTTCTGGATGTGTAGTTGTTATAGGTTGTGTATTATGAGATGTACTATGGAGGGTATCGAGGGTTCCTGCCTCATGCTCCATCTCAATCGGATTGATTGTAGTTACGGGAGCATCATCTGATGTCAAAACCACGCCATCCGTATCCTTCAAACTTTGTGGTCGACTATTGGGCGCAGTGATTCCTCCCTCTGTCGAAAGACCTTGATTGGCACGCGACGATCTCCAGACCTTATACTTCATTAAGGGGAATCGCGCGTTGACTTCGTCCATAGTCATGAGCTTTTTCTCACGTCGTCTTCGATGGGCTCGGGGCATGGTTACTAGATCGATGCGTTCTCCAGTTTCCTCGTTGCGTAACTGTCGATTACGTTGGTTGTATCGAAAGCAGTATTTCACTCCAACAATGATCCTAGGTTGCTGTTAGTTCTGATATATCCGACACTGATAAAATGAGAGAAGTATGGATGTGCTCCCCAGAGGAATTTCGAGTATATTGGCGGGAAGGGAGAGGAAAGCCAGTGAGAAGAGGTTCATACCATAGGTTGGTGAACACTACACCAAATCCAAGAGCGACAAAGAACAGAAGAGGCGAGCTTGTCGCTGAACCATTGTTATTTGAGCTACTTCCCGTAGTTGTCGCTGCGCTGCTCGCAGATGAGGTTGTAGATGCATTCATTGTGGAGTTCAAAGAGAGTAGAAACGAAAAGAGGAGAAGTTGCCTTGATATTAGGATTCCACACAAGGGGCTTGGGGATCAATCACACCCGCATCCCGGGAATTCGAAAAGAAAGGAATACAGGGGAATTAGGGATCGCCGTCTAGGTGATGATGATGGATTGAGCTGTCGCTCTCAAAAGGAGTGCACCGAAGTCATAAAGTGGAGCGCAGACCATTGACAAGGGTCGGGGTACGGGGGATCGACCACGTTAGGGTCACTGGGGCTCTCTGAACTTGCCAGGTAAGGGTCTCATATCCTTAGATCCCGTTTTCCTTATAGGATTGAAGAGTTAAAGATTTTAAGGGAGAAATAAATATGGGAAGAGCAACAAGGGATCTTGTTATTGTCATATACTGAGAGGGGGGAAGAGGGAGAATCGGATGAGGCTGGGGAGGAGAGACATTTGGAGTCACGGGAACAGGGAATAAGCAATAAGTCATAACCTTGGAAGTCATAAGTCATACACTGTACATTTTAACTACCCATATACGGGATCCTCGGGATTAATGATAAAAAGAGGGGAAATAAAATATAGAAAAAATTATAATAAATTAAATCAAGAATAGAATATGATCAGGATTAATATGAAATATAATGGTATTCTGAGAGGAAGAAAATGTGTCTTTTTTTCATTATCTCAGTAGATGATCATACTGTTCCTCCCTAAGGAGAAAACTTATCACTAACATCATACTACTCCAAGTCCCTATACACTTACCTCTATATACCATACGTACTACCAACCCTTCTTCTGCCCCCCAATCCTTGATTTAATTTCCAACTCTCTCTTTCACTTGCAATACTATTACCGCCATCACCATGGCCGAATCAGCAGCACCTGGACCAGCCAACCCCGTGGTCTTCTTTGATCTTGCTCTCGCAGGTATATCCCTCTATCTCTTCCTTGACCAACATAAATTTCGATTTGAATTAATCAGTTTACTAGGTCAACCCCTGGGCAGAGTGAAAATGGAACTGTTTGCCAACGTCACTCCCCGCACTGCAGAGAATTTCCGCCAATTTTGCACTGGCGAGACCAAGAACCCCAAGGGACAGCCTCAGGGCTACAAGGGATGCAAATTCCACCGTGTCGTATGTCTATTATCCTGACCTGGATTCAAAGTTATTGTTCAAGTTGTTGTTGTTCTGACCTCGCTCCCATAGATCAAAGATTTCATGATTCAAGGTGGAGACTTTATCAATGGGGATGGTACTGGATCTTGTACTATCTACGGCACTCCCAAATTTGCGGATGAGAACTTCGCCTTAACTCATGACCGTGAAGGCCTCCTGAGCATGGCTGTATGTATTATTGAAGGATTTGTTCCCTTCTCTTCCTATCCTTCTATGTATTTGTTTCTTTTTTACGAAGTTCATGGCTGATCCTTTATAGAACTCTGGACCCAACACAAATGGTTGCCAGTTCTTCATTACAACCACGGCCACACCTTTCTTGAATAACAAGCATGTTGTTTTCGGTCAAGTGATTGACGGAATGGATATTGTTCATATGGTTGAGCACACACGTACAACCAGAGATAAGCCAAACCAGGATGTCACAATAGTGCAGTGTGGAGAGATGTAGGAGATGAGAAAAGCCATTCGCATTCAACTCGACTCAAGGACTCTTGAGTCAATCTATCAAGGAGTATGAATCTTATTTTTTTTGTTAGAGTTATGTTGCAAGGCAATTCAATAATATTTGAATCTTGAACTTACGAACCCGTGGAAGCAAGACGCTGCGTGAAATTAAATATGCTATTTAGATTTAGATGAAATGACCTTGATCCAAGCTAACAGAACGGGGTCTCTGTCATTCGTGTATGTACAGGTACCTCCCTCTCTCCCTCTCTGAAGTCATCTATCCAAAAGACGAATGACCACCAACCAGGCCATTAGGCCAGAGAAGAAGCCAGAGAAGAAGCCAGAGAAGAAGCTTACAGATCCATATCGATATCCATTGGATCCTCGTGTTCGTGTTCTTGTACTTGTTCTGTTGGAACCAGGATGCGGTTGACATTGTCAGCAGGGTTGCGGGCGGAGGAACGAGATGCGCGAGATGCGCGGGCCCGAGCTCTAGACTCAATGATGGCCTTGCGTACACTATCCTTCTCTTTTGGTAGTGTCAAGGAAGCAGGTTCTGTGTATAGAACCAACTCTTTACCCTGTGCTGGATTGGATGCCAGGACTGAATCTGGGACCGAGATCATCTTAGCAGCAAGGGGTGATAACACCAAGGTACCTTGAGGTAATTCCGAGTCGGCCAATTCCTGATCCAGATCATGAATATAAGTTGTATGTTTGGTGTCATCTAAGAGCATAGGATCAGACTCGTGGAATGAGGTCTCATATGTGGTCCGAGCACGGGATTCATGATCTGGTTTAAAGAATGTCAGCTTTATCGTTATCCGCATCTTCCGATCAGCAAAAGGAGCTTGGGGCTATCACATACCAATCTGAAGACATCCAAATCTCTTGGTTAGTGGTTGTTCTCCATCTGGATCCCCTTCAGCAGATCGCTTTTTGCTTCTGAACTTCTCATCACTCGCCATCCACTCCCCCTTTTGTACTGGATTCAGGGATTAACAAAGCCCCGAATCTTCTCTCTCTCTTCACACACTCTCTTTTCTCCTGAAGTTCTTGGGGTCAGAAAACGAAACAAAAAACATAAAAAATCAAATCAGAACGAGAAAAGTAAAGAATATTGAAACCAAGTTCATATTCAGGATATTTGAGGAGGGAGGGAGAGAGGTTAATAACCTTGTCTTAAGGGTGGAAAGTGGTGTTCTTTATCGCGAATGCGGGTTCCTCCAATTCAGAGGGGGAAAGTGCCTTTGACTCATCTTTGCGCGCCCTTTCCACTTTTCTCTCCTCCTCGCTTTGTTCCTCTTCGCTTTCACCAGACTTTCTCTTCTGTTAGAACTGTCATGGCGTCTGATACTTCCACTTGGACCGCCTTGCGTGTCCGAGAAACTTTTCTCGACTTTTTTAAGCAGAATGGCCATACTTTTGGTGAGTTTGAAACCCCGCGATACTCGGCTTTTGCCCCTCCTTTGGCCACCAACTTTTTTTTTTATACTAACACCTTGATGATGTTTAGTGCCCTCTTCTCCTGTCGTTCCCCTCTCCGATCCTACCCTCCTCTTTACCAATGCTGGAATGAACCAGTTCAAGTCCATCTTCCTGGGTACCGTGGATCCTTCATCAGACTTTGCGAAACTGCGTCGCGCTGTCAATTCTCAAAAGGTATTGAGATTTTGCCTAGATATACAAAAGAATCGAGAAGAAAAAAAGGAGAGAGGACATTTTGCTAATCATTTGCTCTTGGATATAATAGTGCTTGCGTGCGGGTGGAAAACACAATGTAAGTGTTGAATCTCACAATGATTCATGTTGGAATCTTTGTTAACCTTTGTATAGGACCTCGACGATGTTGGCAAGGACAGCTACCACCACGTGAGTATCTTCGCAAGCTTGTGTGATAATGAGAAAGAAAACGGTTATACTCATACTTCATGATCTTGTTCACAGACCTTTTTCGAGATGCTCGGTAACTGGAGTTTCGGCGATTATTTCAAGAAAGAGGCTATCTCGTATTCTTGGACTCTCCTGACCAAGGTTTATGGTCTTGACCCCGAGCGTCTTTATGTGACTTACTTTGAAGGAGATGCGGCGGGAGGCTTGGAACCCGACCTCGAGGCCAAGGAGCTCTGGAAATCAATGGGTGCTCTGGAGGATCATATCCTACCTGGAAATATGAAGGACAATTTCTGGGAGATGGGAGATCAAGGCCCTTGTGGACCTTGCAGTGAAGTGCACTACGATCGCATTGGTGGTCGCAATGCTGCACACCTCGTCAACATGGACGACCCTAATGTGCTGGAAATCTGGAACAACGTCTTCATTCAGTACAACCGAGAGGCAGACCGATCCCTTCGATCCCTCCCCAACAAGCATGTCGATACTGGTATGGGCTTTGAGCGTCTGGTCTCCGTTCTCCAGGATAAGCCTTCCAACTACGATACCGATGTTTTTACCCCGATCTTCCAAGCGATCCAAGATGTTACCGGAGCCAGGGAATACCGTGGTCTGTTCGGAGCTGAGGATAAGGATGGAGTTGATACCGCATACCGTGTGGTTGCGGATCACGTCCGCACACTGATGTTTGCCATCTCAGATGGTGTCATGCCTAACAACGAAGGTCGCGGCTATGTCATTCGCCGTGTTCTGCGCCGAGGCTCCCGCTATGCCCGCAAGTACTTCCAGGTGGAGATTGGAAGCTTTTTCTCCAAGCTGGTGCCAACCGTGGTTGCCCAACTGGGAGATATGTTCCCCGAACTGAAGAGAAAGCAGCAGGACGTGATGGAGATTCTCGATGAGGAAGAGTTGTCTTTTGCCAAGACATTGGACCGCGGAGAGCGTCAATTCGAGCAATACGCCCAACAGGCCAAGACTAAGGGTACCGACAAGCTTCACGGTGCTGATGTGTGGAGATTGTACGACACCTTTGGTTTCCCCGTCGACCTCACTCAAATTATGGCGGAGGAACGTGGCCTGCGTATTGATGACGCGGAGTTTGAGGAGGCACGCTTAACTGCCAAGGAAGCCAGTAAGGGCCAGAAGAAGGCTGCTGCGGATGCCATTAAGCTCGATGTCCATGACCTTGGTAAACTTGAGCAGATGAACAATGTTCAAAAGACCGACGATTCTGCCAAATTTGGCCGTGGAAACATCACAGCTCAGATCAAGGCGATCTACCACGGCAAGGCATTTCATGATAGCTCTGAATCTATCCCCGAGGGATCCCAAATGGGAGTCATCCTCGACTGCACCAATTTCTATGCTGAGCAGGGTGGTCAGGAGAATGACACTGGCAAAATCGTCATCGACGGACAAGCTGAGCTTGAAGTTGGTGATGTTCAAGTTTACGCTGGCTATGTCCTCCACACTGGCTTCATGAAGTATGGAACCCTCACCGTTGGTGACTCAGTCATCTGCGAATACGATGAACTCCGTCGCTGGCCCATCCGAAACAACCACACTGGTACTCACATCTTGAACTTTGCCCTGCGAGAAGTTCTGGGAGATGGAATTGAGCAGAGAGGTTCCCTGGTGGCAGCCGAGAAGCTCCGATTCGATTTCTCACACAAGTCCGCTATCTCAGACACCGATCTGGAGAGTGTTGAGGCCAAGGCCACTGAATATATTCGTCAAAATTGTGCTGTCTACTCTCAGGAGGTCTCCCTCGCTACTGCCCAGCAAATTTGTGGAGTCAGAGCCGTCTTCGGTGAAACCTACCCCGATCCCGTGCGTGTTGTCTCCGTCGGTGTTGAGTTGGAAGAGATCTTGCGTGATGTGAAGGATCCGAGATGGCACCAAGTGAGCATTGAATTCTGTGGTGGTACTCACGTGCAGAAGACTGGTGACATCAAGGATTTGATTATTCTTGAAGAGAGCGGTATTGCCAAGGGAATTCGCCGTATCATTGCGGTCACCGGCGAGGATGCTCATGCTGCTCAGCGTGTTGCTGAGGAATTCGGCAAGCGCCTGGATCAACTAGATGCCATGCCCCTTGGCCCTGGCAAGGAGCGGGAGGCCAAGCAAATTCAAGTGGATCTTAACCAGCTTGTCATCTCCGCCGTTCAAAAGGCTAGATTCCGCGAGCGTTTCACTGCGATAAACAAGCAGATCCTTGATGGTCAAAAGGCTCAGCAAAAGTTGGAAGTCAAGATGGCTGTGGAGGCCATCACAAGTCACTTCCAGGCCCCCGAAAATGAGAAAGCTTCTTGGCTTGTTGTGAAGCTCCCAACCCCAGCCAGTGCCAAGGCTGTCAGCGAATCTCTCAACCATGTCAAATCGAAAATGCAGGACAAGAATGTGTATGTCATGGCTGTGGACTCTGAACAGACCCGAGTGTCCCACGGTTGCTACGTCTCTAAGGTATGTGGAGTCACTTTTTGGTGTAAACCAAACCCTCAGTGGAATCTCTTTTGCTAACTTCAATGATTTACAGGGACTTGGAGAGCAAGGTGCTTCCGCTACCGAGTGGGCTGCTGTGGTCTCTGGTGCTGTCGGTGGTAAGGCTGGAGGTAAGGGACAAACCTCCCTGGGTAACGGTGTTCACGCCGATAAGGTTGATGAGGCTATCTCTTTGGCTTCAGAATACTTGAGCAAGTTTAAGCTCTAAATTCCAGGGTTTGCAATTTTTTCATCATGTTAAAAATCGAATGATTGTGTTCTCTAGGTAGTATTTATATCAAAACGAAAAAAAAGTTGTGATATCCTTAAGTTATTCCAGATGTGATCTTTACGAGTAGTCAACTGCCCAGGGATTATTGAACAGTACCTAGAGTTGAAACATTTGAACGAGCTTGATATCGAACTTGATATTGATATTCTATACTAAAATTTATCAACTTGAAACACCTAGTACAAAAACTTCAGCTGAACACTGGCACAGAACCGCTAAACATCTCCATCTTCAAAGTATCTAATTCCCTTCACCCTCTTCGCCCTCTTCTTTCTTTTCCTTTCTTCTCAAGGCATTCCTAAGCGCGTCTCGTACGCGAGATCGTCTCCTCCGAGTCTTTTTAACACCATTATGTTTCTTTGCCTCAGGCTCTTCTTTCGGGCGCTTGTTCAGAAGATCTCTCAATATTCCCCTCATCTCAAACGTCTCAACGACCTGATTCTGACGATCCTGAAATTCTATCAACAGTCTACCTGTAGGGTTGTTTTCAGGGAACTGAAGAGAATCCATGGGAATTGTCATTATTAAATCCGCAAAAGGGACTGCTCGCATTCTGACTCGATCAACAATCGTATCAGGGTTGGTCGTGCTGCCTTCAGGCCCTTCACCACTGCCTTCACCTACTTCGAACGTGAGGGTCATAACGCCAGGATTAGGGATTATATTAGCATTGAACCCTACCGCCAGGTCATCAAGACGACTGGTTTGGTATTCGATCGATCGCTTGGATGGGATAATCCCTTCTGCGAGTCGTCGAAAAGCCAAAACATAGCCTCGACGTTTGTAATCAATGCTAGCTAGTCCGCTATTCCACTCCCAATCGTCGATGTCGTTGATCAAGAAGGGCCCTTCCTCGTTTTCTTCGGGGAACTCAGCCCATTGACTCTTCGCTTTAAACATACTTCTATAATCGTCCACGGGTTCATTTTCATCTGTTATTTCAGGTTGTTCGGCTCGGCGTGGTGCAACTTGTACAAACACAGCAAATAGTTCATAACGAACATCCTCAGTCTTCACAAATTGATCATGAAAGACTCCTTGTTTAAGCTCCAAATAACTACTGAGCTCAACAGAAGTAAGGATTGATCCTAGATCTCGCCGTGAAAATAACTTTCGAGGAGCCCGGATAACGATTAACTCAGGGGGTTCTTCCACTACATTTCTGGCCATGATCGGATTCCGAAAGCAGTTCTCGCATATTCCGTCTTCACCCCATGAAAACATCTCAGCTGCTGGGTGCATCATGAGACTAAGCGCTGGATCGTTGCCTACCTGGATCGCCCAGTTGTAGGGTGTTTCTTCTCCCCGTATAGGGGGGGGGGGCAAGGATTGGGGCCTCGACATTCCCTGGTCTGGAAAGTCTCGAAAGAAAAAACTTGGCTAAACTCATCCCGACTTTTTGAATTTCATTAGTCTCTAGTTGGAAGGGGGAAAAGCGGTACTAGTAGTATTCACTCACAACCGGTGGGCTCGACGATAGACTGAACGTCGATCATCGTTCGGGATCTGATGTCGGAACTGACTCTGAAGTTCAATGTAGAATGCCAGAATATTCTGTTCCCTTCCTGCACGGCTTCCTCCATCCCAGTCAGCGAGAATAGTATTGACGAAGGCCTGATGGCGACTCAAGCATTCTTCTCTATCTTCTGCCCAATAGTTGCGAGCCAAATGGAGAAATTGGCATAATTTACAGTCCATGCCGTCAAATCCTTCTGTACATCGCCGATCCCTGCCCGAATGCTCTAGATAATAGTAATTCAACCATTGCAGGAAGACTGGGTAGTGGAAAAGCATCTGGAAAATCACATTTTGATATTCGATACAACCGCCCAGGTTGGGAAGTATCTGAGCTGTATCCTGTTCAATTTCATCTGGCCATTGTCGCCAATCCTCCCACTGAAACCTTGAAATGAGTTCAAATCTCTCAAAGGCTCATGTGCTTGTGATGGAAACTTGACTTACCGGAAGTTCATCATCACTTCCCAGACTGCCGATAATGTGATCTTCTGACTCGGAGTCCGCCATGGCTGAAAGTTGTCGTCTACACTAGTGGTAGTACTGTGTATATTGTTAGTATTAGGTACTGATTCGATCAGATCCACTTAATAGAAAGTGAAACAAAATATAACACAAATTGAGGAAGGATCTTACTCAGAGTTGTAGCGTTTTAGTAAAGAAAGATAGCACTTGAGAAGTCGAATAGTGTATAATGGTGGTAATATAGCTCGGTTGAGAAGGAAAGTTTCATCATGACATGGGAACTTGGGATTCCAAACCATTTTAAATCTCAAAGGACGAGATCTGAGCGATGAGTCCCTTGAGAAATCCAAACGGTTCTTCTTTCTGTGTTTGAAAGAGAATAGGATTCATTGCATCTTGGGCAGTTCCAAACCAAGTCTAGAAGATCCTAAAGATTGGCTGTCCAAAATGGATAGTATTTCTATATTTGAACTCAAGTCAGCTCTCTGTGACTTCAATCGTGATTTGGTTCTTTAGATATACTGGATCCGGAAAATTGCAAAAAAGCACGAGATATGCTGAGGCATCTGGGCAGGTAGACAAGATCGCAACATTCAGGACTTTTTTGGAGAATAAAGAATGTTTCCAAGCTTCAAAGCCGGTCAATAGACTGAAAAGCACTAGGGAAAGCATATTAATAAATTGAAGAGAGGGGGTAGAGTCAGAGAAACCTTGGAAGAGAATCAGAATGAGAGCAACTTGAAGAAGTCATAGTGGCTGTTGATTTGATGTAAGAGAAAGCTTGAGATGGACTGGATAGATAGAAATAAAAGAAAGGCAAGGCTGAAAGAAATTTTTTGAAAAGATCAAATCAATAAAGACCAAGCAACTCGACTAATGCATTCTGGAAAACTAAGGGTTTCTTGCAAGGAGCATCATGATTACTGAGATTATTTGGTGATTGACTGGGGTATTAAGGAGCTTCAAGGTTGAGGATATTTCATGTGTTCGACATTACCATGCGATCAATGATTGGAAACAAGGCTAAATGCCCAAGTGATGAAAACTGCACGTTATGTGGTTTTTTCTTTTCACTTAACAGCATTGGCTAGTTTTTAAAAGGGAAAATGCGAAAGACAAAGATCGGTATATAATTCTTGTTGGCATTAAACCAGGTGAAAATTGACTAAACACCATTCCAAGTACTATACTCTTCTATTGTGTATGTAATCGAGTCGAGCACTGTATTTGCGTCCCGGCGAATATCAACTTCATATGACCGATTTTGAATCGCCCAAGCTCCAATCTTGACATCCCACTCACTGAATGCGTATTTATCCAAGCGGACTTGTACTTCCTTTGATTCCCCTTGATTCAGAAAGGTCTTTGAAAATCCCTTCAGAACTCCATCTACATAGACTTGAACGACCTCATGTCCAGGAATCAATCCTATGTTGGTGACAGTAACCATCGCGTTGAGATCAACCTTTGAATGAGCCGATAGAGCGTTGAGATGCAAGTTCTTGACTTCGAACTGGGTATATGATAAACCGTGCCCGAAAGCAAATAAGGGAGGGGGCAAATCACGCGCACGATATCCCATCTTCAGCCCTTCTTCATATCGAATTTGCAAATCTGCATCAGTTGGAAAATTGCCAAACGACGGAGAGTCCTCTATTCTCGCAGGAAATGTGACTGGAAGCTTGCCTGAAGGGTTGGAATCGCCGCTTAGCAGATCCGCTAGTGCGTTTCCAACCTCCTGTCCGGCATACCAGCACTGAAGAATCGCGTCTACATCATTAATCCATGGCATTGAGATAGGAGATCCAGTTTGATTGATGATGATGCTCTTTCGAGAATTGCGAGCCACAGTGCTGATCAGATCATTTTGCTGAGGTGATAAGTCCATAGACTGTCGGTCGAATGACTCCGATTCGTATTCTTTATTATTTGCAGTGAAGACAATTGCAACGTCACATTCCCTGGCGAGTGCAGAGATCTAGGAGTTAATCGTAGAGCTGAGATTTTCAAAGAATCCGACTTGTGTTGCTTGCGGTGCCATCTTAAAGACCGGCGAAGGAGGTGATGCGGTAGTTGAGAATGTATCAATAACGACTTGATATTCCTCACCCGCTTCCATTTGGATTGCTGCACGCTTCTCAAAGTCCCCTGGCTGCATAACGTACTCAACTCGCACATCTGTAAATCCATCGTGCTGCAATATGACTTGGTCATTGACTCGGATGATGCTCCTGCCACTTGCGGTTACGCCAAATGTATGAACACCACTGGACTTCGGTTTCAAGACGAAGTGCATACGGTTGCAGTGTTTTGGCAATAATTTCTGTATTCGAGAGGCGATGACCAGAGTTCGTGTTGTCTCTAGGATTTCATGGTAGATAAGCTCTCCGTTGAATTCCCAACCGTTATACCAATAGCAATCAACCCCGGGCTTTCCAAGGCTTGGGGCTGTCATCAAATCAAGACCTGCAGAAGGAATCTTTTTGAAGATAGGCACTCCTGGGTGGTACTTTATGTCCGCATTGCTGAATTTGCGTTGAAGAGCTTCGAGAGGGGAGATGCAGTATGTCGGAGTCATCGAAGCACTTCCGCCACCGTGAATGATTGGTGTTGAAGCAGGGGACCCAAAGACACCGATCTTAAGAGATGAGACCGGCGAAATTGGCAAGCCACTACTTTCATTTTTTAGAAGTACAATACCTTCGGCTGCCACCGATCGGATGAGGTCCGCCGGGGTCTCCTCTGGTGTGATGCCTCTCTCGGGGGTATTCTTAACATCGGATCCGACCTTTGCTGCAAAGGTGATGACATCTTCAGCGAGGGAGTCAATTTGGGCTTCAGAGACCCTCCCTTCATTCACAGCTTTGATGAGATGTTCTCCACGGAATCGCGTAGGTCCAGGTAGTTCGAGTGCAACACCCGCGGTAATGGGAGAAGCGGTAGAGTAGACGCCCTCGAAATCGGAGATTACAATTCCATTGAAGCCGAGCTCCTTTCTTAGTAGTCCCTGAATCAAGTCTTCATGCTCGGACATAAATGTCCCATTGACTTTATTGTATCTGCAAAGATGCATTGGTGAGATTCCACGAAGGAATTGAATTTAAGTGCTTGATTTAGGATACTCACGCTGTCATGATGGCCCATGGAGAAGAATTCTTCAACAGAACTTGGAATGAAAAAGCATATAGCTCTCTCAAGGTCGTCTCATCTATTACACTGTTGGAAGTCTTGCGATTGGTTTCGCACTCGTTCCCAAGAAAATGCTTCGGACAGGCCGAGACACCCTCTGATTGGACTCCATTGACAAAAGCTGCGCCCAAAATCCCAGATAATGTTGGGTCTTCAGAGTATGCCTCGAAGTTTCGTCCCCCTATGATGGGTTAGTACTTCTAAGCCACGGTAATATTGGTGATGGCAATAGGGGAAATTGGGATTTACCTAGTGGACACCGATGAAGGTTGATTGTTGGAGCGAGAAGCAAGCCGGCATTCTTTACTTTGCATTCCTGACCGAGTGTTTGACCGATTTGAAAGACAAGATCAGGATTGAATGTTGAACCAACACACGATGCGCACGGGAAGCAAGTGGCCTTGGTGGAGGCGTGAATTGATTCACCACGGACACCATTCGGGCCATCGCTACACTATTTCACTTCAGTCAAGCTATCAGGCAGAGTGCGGGAAGAACTCACCTTGATTTGTCTGATATTGTGCTGTGGCAAACTAACAGTTCGCCAGTACGAAGCACCTGCAAGCAAGGATACTTTCTCCTCGAGCGAGAGGTGTTGAAGAGTTTCAGTGGCCATGATTGTCTGTATGAAACTCAATGAAGGTATCTAGAGGTGTATCTAGTGGTGCCAGGAAATTTCAGATATTAGTATTCAGTGGCTTTCAAGCCACCTCGGATTTTCCGATGGACCCAAGACGAATCGTTGCCATGCTTAGGTCAGTACCAAAGTACATTTCCCCATAACTGTGCCCAATCAAATCTCTGACTTGGCTCTGGAGTTAAGAATTCTGAAAGAAAATGAAATACATAAGTGGCTTAATATTTAGACTCAATAGCCTAATGGGAGAGTTCATGGAAAACATCAAACAGCGGTCACGGATCAGCCCAATAAGTCTAATTCATCCATGACTCGGCTAACATACCCAGGTGGCTGAGATTATTACTCAACTGTGGATGAGAATCCGGACTAGCGGATGTGCATTATGCTTGTTTTATGCCTAGAAGTGATAAAGATGTGCGGGGTATTTCGTATTTGTTCAAATGGCTGGGATGATACCCCGGTACTCTGGGTCCACGTGGATTAGGAATCCCCGGGTCTTCCCCAGATAACCCCGGATTTCCCGCAATTTTGCATAATCCGGGGTTTTAATGACCGAGATATGATACAAGCTCCAACTTATCAGGACTTATTGGGGGTAATCCACCCAGGTTGTTAGAGCATCATTTCTCGAGCAATTACCGTCAACACATCGCAATAGTCAAACACAATGACTACCAAACCAGGTACCGATCACATCGAGTTGACTGAGCCTGAGTTCCTTCAGCTCGATCGTGAATTGTCTGTCTGGAACTTGATTAAGAAACACAAACGAGCTCTCCTAATTTGTTAGATATTCAATTCATCATTCCTCTTATCCTTTGGACCTTGACTTACATTGCTCTTCTCACACAGGTAGCATCTCATTTACTTCCGGTATTCTCTTTGGTTACGATACGATTGTCAATGGAGCTGGAATCTCCATGCCTGCATTCATCATCTACTTTGGTAAGGCTGATGCTGCAGGCAGCTTATACCTTTCTTCCCTCTGGACTTCTCTCTGGACCTCCATGTCTGCTCTGGCCCAAGCACTTTCGGCAACGGGAACAGGATTCTTGGCCGATCGGATTGGGAGAAAGTGGTGTGGTGTTATCGGAGGCATAGTCTCGTTAGCCGGTGCAGCCGTACAATACACAGCCCAGACGCCTAGTAGCTTATTGGGTGGTAAGATTGTCGGCGGCCTGGGTATCGGTATGACCATGGCCACGGGTACGACATACGCCTCTGAAGTTGTGCCTCCGAGATTGGTTCCTGCAGTTCAAAAGGGACTGGTCATTTTTATCCTGTTCATGCAAGGTGTGGCTATGGGAGTCATTCGTGCTTTTGTACCCAATACGGCAGAGGTTGCCTTCCGTAACGTGTTTGCCATACAATTTGGTGTTGCTGCATTGGCGATGATTGCTTATGCACTAGCCCCTGAGTAAGATTCATGAACCCTTATAAACATTCCCAAGTGAGCTAACATTTTCTCAGGACTCCGCCCTTTTTGATTATGCAAAACCGCCACGAGAATGCCAAAAAGACCATGCGCCTCTTATACGGAGACGATTGTGAGCTGGAGGATCGATATGCTTACCTCGTTCAAACTATCACCGAGGAAAACGCGCGTAACTCCGAGCAAGCAAGCTATTTTGAATGTTTTCAGGGATGCAGCCTCAAGAGAACCCTTACCATGTGGTTCCTGTTCGGCGCTGTCAATATCGGCGGAGGTCCATTCTTATCCCAGTCTATTTACTTCCTCATCACAGTCGGACTTCCCACGGTCCACATTTTTGATATTTCTATTGGTGGCTTCGCCCTTGCTATCATTATCATTATATTTGCTGGACTTGTGATGCAACGCATCCCGCCAAATCTGGTCTTCCTCGGAGGTTGCTGCATCAATTTTGCCGTCCTATTGATCGTCGGCTGCCTGTACTATGCCAAGGGCATGGGCCCGGTCTGGGCTATTGCTGTTCTCATGTAAGATTTGAACTTCCCCTATCAAGCCACATATAGAAGTTAACTGATGTGTCAATAGGAACGTTCTGATCTCTCTACAAGCGGCTTTCATGCAAGCCCCTGGCTGGAGTATTGCGGCCGAGATCTCCAGTCTACGCCTTCGCGCCAAGTCTATGTCCCTTGGAATCATGGCTCAAACCCTGACTACCTGGGTGTTTACATTCACTGTACCATACATGTACAATGTGGACTCAGGTAACTTGGGAGCTCGCACAGGTTTTGTCTTTGCAGGCACATCGGTCTTGCTCATTCTGGGAGCTTTGACCATTGTTCCGAATACTACAGACCTGTCGCCCGGTGATATCGATGACTTGTATGAAGCTCGTGTCCCAATTCGGGAGTTCTCTAAGCATAGCCATGGCCACTCTGAGTCTGTCTGAGTTGGGGCTGTCACCGGAGTTAAGGTCACCGAATGATGAATTGTGACAAATGTTGGAATTATGTTTCTACTACTATTGATATTCGAACGTTCAAATAATATTATGTCAAGTTCTATAATATGTCTATGAATTACCCAATTAAACTTCAAATTGAAGCATCAGGCTATACTCTTAAGTCCTGCGCTGCACGTAGGCAGAGCACTTGAGATCGATTAATCCGAGTCGACTCAGGCTACTACTCATTTGGCCCTCCAGGGCTGTGGAGACAGAGACGATATGAGGCTTCAAGTTCAAGGAGCACTTAAGAAAGTTGATTGAAAGGTTGAAGATTCATGAACTGTTGCTTCAGTCATATTCCATAATTCTATTGCTTTCAAATGTTCATAAAGACCGTGGTGTCTCCAGTTTCTATGACAACTTGATAACCTTAAAATCCCCAAACAAAACCTCTGGAATACTTCTTTTGGGTTCATCGTCCTCTGATTGCTCTGGACTAGTCGCAAAAATGCCAAAACAAGGGCCAGTAAAATCCAAAGCCGTCATTTCGATGGTGTCCACTGATCCAGCACAAACCCAGTCTGTTGCGGATGAAGAATCTTCAATATCTTTTTGAACTTCCCGGAAAAAGAACTCATATTTATTCGGAGAGGCCCGTATCTCAAAAATTATAAGTTCTGTATCTTCTGCTGCTGGATGTGAACTGAGAATGGCGGAATTGGTCTTGCTCTTGAGCTTATTTGTGTGGGCGACATATATTGAGTCGGTCGCAAAGTCGTAGTATGAATCAATGTGTCTAATGTCGTCTTTAAACACTGACAATCCAGCCTTTGTCAAAGACACTGAGCCTTTCTGAAGTTGATCTCGCTGCAGATGGAGAGTGGCAAAGGCAGTGCAAGTCAGACCCCGCTGACGTTGACCAAGAAATGAAGCCGTTCCCTCTCCAACTGACAAATTGTTGGCTCGTGCCACGAGTGAGATCATTTTCCGATCGAAAGAAATTTTATAGTCGGATAATTGGGGAGTTCGAAGATAAAGGAAGCCTTTATCCGTAGGCCCATTCTTCTTGAATGTCTCCAGAGCCAGATTTTGACCGCCTTCAATTTCCACTGAGTTGAATGAGATACGAGTCTGTTGAATTCGAGGCCACTCTCCTTCTGACCAGTGGACTGGGGTGAGAAAAGTCTCGCGACCCATCGGAGCTCTCCTGTTTTCTTCATTACGAATGCCCAGATGAACAGCCCACCAATTTCCACTTGCATCTTCAAAGAGGTCACCATGTCCAGTATGCTGAACATACTCATCTGTGCCATCTCCGGTCAAGATAGGATTTGCTGCGTAACTCTCATAAGGGCCCCAGATGTGGGTTGAACGCGAAATTGTGATACAGTGATGTTGCCAGGTTCCACCTTCTGCTGCCATGAGATAGTAGTAGCCGTCTTTCTTGTAAATGTGAGGTCCCTCGACATCGCCTTTGCTTAGATGGCCTGTCCAAATGGTTTTGATCTCAGACAGAGGCTTGCCCGTGGTTATTTCCACTTCAAACTGACGGATGGAACACGTCGGGTTGCCCAGTGGTCCTGCATGCCATGATCCTTGGATATAGACGTGATCGTCCTCATCAAAGTAGAGACTGGGATCTATCCCTTCAAATTCAAAGTAGATTGGATCGCTCCACTGATCCGCCCAGATATCGTGGGTGGTTACGTAGAAGTTTTGTGTGTTGAGTCGATCGCCTTCCTTGCGCACATTCGTGCAAATTATACAAAAAGTCCCCTTGTGATATCTGATTGTTGGAGCAAAAAGCCCAGTCGCGGCAATGATTGCCTGACCTCCTCCGATGGGGAAGCCATCCACTCCTGCTCTGGCTAGGGATAGCTGATTCGGCCTATTGATCGCATTTCCTGGATAAAGCACATAATGATTAGAATTTTGATTAAAGAAAAAAAAGGTTCGTTATGTTGAAGGGGAAAATACCAATGTGTGTCCATTCTTGAAGATTGTGAGAGGCATAGATCGGCAGTCCCGGATAGAGATGGAATGATGAATTCACAAGGTAAAACACGCTCTCCACCATTACCACAGATGGATCAGGCGCAAAGCCTGGTACTATAGGGTTCTCGTAGATCATATTCACGATTGCTGAAGCTTGGGAAATTCATTCAAAATGGGTTGTGCTAGTGCCGAAGTTGCAAATTGCGGTCGATCTGTGTTCTACCCACAACTTGGAGAGCTGGTGTAGTTCGAATGTTTGTCAAATAGTAAAAGCTATAAACTTCTCAAATAGCACAGCTCTGACCTGATTAATTTAGCCAGAAATTGAAGCAATCAGGCTAAAAAAAAGAGAAAAAGCAATGAGTCGGAATTCCCGGGTTGTCAGCCCTGGAGATCCCACAAGTGTATATTTGGATAGCAGCAAGCCATAGCGGATACGTTCGAAATACTAAGTGTTTATGAAATGTTATTTCTCGGGGTGAACTGGGCCGAATCCGCGAGCTTAGAATGTTTGAAAGAACTTTATCCTCTAAATTATGCAAATATTCATTTTTTGAAGAGCTCATGCCAATATGGAGTTCACGGACATACCTACTACTATCTTTCAAAATACGAAGAAGTCCGAGTCGGATTTATTCAGGCTTACTATGTGCCGTTTGCATAAAATTAACACTGCAATTTCGTTTCAAATATTATTTGATAGGTATACAAGTTCCAAGGTTGAATTGAATGAATAAAGTGCCATGATCCTCTAAGGGGATGAGTTGAATGCCCTTGGAGTGCGTTGTGACTTTTAAGATTGTTCCATTAGGCCTCGACCTCCATGATGGCCTTGTGATTATTGGGTTGACTTGGATATTGCTTCTTGTCAAGATTGTATATGACGCTGTTGCGCCATCTTTGGAACTCAAGAGCGCTGGTGTCCGGGTAGACTGCAGGCTTTGTCTGCGTGACAAATTTGGGCAAAGGGGCGACAGGTATGTCGCGACTAGCCTTAAACGGATAGGCCATGGACATCCGAGATGTTATCACATTATCATCATGCTTGGTCGCCTCTGGGATGGTGACTTGGTAGATACCGCCGGCGATTCTTCCGTTTGTCCAACGGGTCAGTGTGTCGCCAACATTGACGATCATATCTGAAATAGCTGCCGGGGAATAGAAACAAAGCAATCAGAATCCTGAGTGCTCCGGTCCTCAATTTCCAGGCCGCCAGTGCCATCTTGGAATAATAACGTGATAGGACCAAAGTCAATATGTGGCGCGATGCGGCTGGTATGACCCATTTGCATCTCCTTGACAGTGGTTTCACGATAGTGCGTTAATCGAAGCTCAGCAGCACTAGGTATACAACGAGCGATCAATGACGCATCCTCAATGCCCCATGCAATTTCCAAGGCTCCTATGAGCTGGAGACAGACTTCATCGCATTTACGGTAAAAATTCTCCATGAACGGCTTAAAGCCCGATAGTTCCGGGTCTTCAGGCCACTGATTTGGAAAATCGGTGTCATGCTCAGGACCTTGATCAAAGTACTCCTGCAATCATGGCGATCAGAAAATGAGTGCAATTTAAGCAGGTTTGGGAAGGGATAATATGCGGCCTTACCTTAGAGTCAGTCATGCTTCTGATTTTGGTATCAGAATAAAGCTTGCTAACTTCTTCGACCCTCAAAGGAGTGTAGCCACGCATAGGCTGAGGACCTGGTTTGCTCGAAATTTCTCCCTTCAATTCAATGGGCCGGTCAAAGAACTTATGGCTCTGGTACGCGAAGAGTAAGTCAGTAGAGGTTGGAATCTGGGAAAGGGTTTAGGACATCTCCTACCCATAACAACAAATCCTCCACTTCCTGCTCACTGAATGGGTGATTCTGCAGTTTGGCAAATCCGGTTACCTCAAAGCTGCTGAGTAGTTCTTGAGTGAACTGTTGACGGCATGTCTTGTCAAGTGAGGTAAATTGATGATAGTCTAAGCTTGAAACAGCCATGATTGAATATATGCGAAAAGTCTTTGGAAACTTTGAGAGTCAAGTTTCAATCCAGCTGTCTTTAGAAGATTATTGGGCTTATTAAAAATCATGCTAAAGACGGTAATATGAGATGGAATTTATAGCCCAGAGGCTTTCAAATGTTGTATTCCAAGGTTGCCCTCAAGTTCTTCAGGTATTCCTAATTCCTTGAACAAAAACATTGAAGCTCAGCGGAGAGGCAAGATAGCTCATTCCTTTACCCACTATTTACTGTTTTCTGTAATATTCCAATATTGAAAAACAATCCTTTGATCCTTCAACCTGCTGGACTTCGAGGTAAGCTCCTCATTTGTCAATTCTAGCTCACAAATATTAGTGCATTCTCAGCATTTCAAGAAAATGATGCAATATGTACCCATTGCCAACCAATACGGTCCGGACCTAGTTCAAATGTTTGACATCCCTAGTAACTATGTGGGTGATTTTCACATCTACATTATTCATAGTGATGTTGACTTGATTTATGACGACAAATCTGCAAGGTGAACCCTTCGCTCGGGTCATCAGGCGACCACACTAGAGACCCCTGAAACACCACATGGTGGATACAACGATGTCTTATTAGTCAATTTTCTAAAACAGAGTGAGTCTGCAAGATATTCGTGAAGAAAAACTTGAAGATCTTCAATATTTCATTTCGATGCTATCGTGATTCCAAGGGTAAAAGAGAGTACCTACATGTAATTGAAAGAGGCAAACTTGAAGTCACCCCACAGCGACCAATGGCTTCAACTTCAAGTTGCAATTAATTCTCTCGATGATAAATTTGACTGATCCTTCAAATGACAGAGTCACGATGATGCGAGAATTGCTTGTAATTGTGGCAAACATTTGAAGTCTAGAGCTTGGATATATTGATACCTGAGAAAGGGAGTACTGTTGTAATAGCTGAGTACAAAGATGGCTCCTTGAAACCCTCACTCTGAACAGGGACAACATGTACTTCCAAAAATAGAAGGTTCAAAAATGAGCGATTGATCTGGAACTTCCCATCCCTTGGTGTTATCATCCAAAAAACTGTTATTTGAGAATGTCTCCAGATATAGATCCATGTCTCTATCAAAGCTCAAAATTTCATCTAAACCAAATAGATCATCTGAGGTTGAAATGCAAGAATATATGGGCGATTGGAGTGTCATCGAAGTTGGCGTCACCGTTGTTGGCATTTCGAGTTCTGTTGTATCTTTCGGATTTATCAAAGAAAGTTCTTTGAAGTCTTCTGTCTCTGCTTCATCTCCAACCTTCTCGAACTCTGCCATATAGGTCCCTATTGTAATACCCATAGTCCTCTTGAAAATGCGACTCATATAACTCGGGGACACTCCAACTTCCTGGGCAAAATTCTTTAATTTGAGCTTCATTTTTGAGTCCACCTTGTGTATCCGCAATAGTGCTATCACATTAACAACGATGTCATGCCTTTCTCCAACGAAATCCGTGTTGGCGGGTTGATAGCGCTTGCATGATCGGTAACCGGCACTTTGGGCTTGGTTGATGTCATCAAAGAATTCAACGTTGGCTCTTCGAGCAAGACGTGCGGGACAAGTAGGTCGACAATAGATCTTTGTGGACTTCACGCCGTAGATGAAGGAGGAGTGAGAGGAGGGGTTGCGGTGGGTCAAAGCAAGCCACCGAGTATGTGAAGTTTTGTATCTTTCTGATTCATTTGATGATTTCAAGGCTTCCATTTGCATTTTCATAGAATATTTAAAAGAGAACCAGTACTCAGACAGAGATCTGAAGTTTGTGACACGAGGATAGACGAGGTGATAAAATTTGATGTTCCTAGATCATAGTAACTGCAAATGTTGAATGGGATGAGGTGAATGAGATGGATGCTCGGGCGCAAATATTGATTGCGTAATTCTTTGTCCTTAGCCCTGGAGGTTTCCAAGGTTGTCAACTCGCAATTTGCATCATAACCTGATTCATCCCTGACTGATTACCTAGTTCTTGAAATTTAAGAGATCTGCAAAAACTAGAATAAAGAAAATAAAAATTGTACAGTGTGAGGTTGTTATGTCTTCTTCCTCTCCAGGGCTTTCATCTATAACTTAAAGTGAGTATTAACACACGTAGTTATATCGCTGGTGCAAGCTAGTGAAGCATCATCAAGCCTGGGGTAATCACCTCTTTTCAGCTCCCTTAAACATTCCCGAGATAAATGATAATTCAAATCACCCGGAAATGATAATAAAATGTCTTTTTGCCTGTTGTCATTATGATACATATCAAGTTGTGGTTTTACCACCTTGTCCTCCAATCCCATCCCTTTTATTCTAATCCGAACCCAAAGAAAACACAAGAAGGCGAATACATAATTGAGACCAGCGAATAGTGCAAGTCCCCAATAACGTTCTTTTGCTAAACCATTAACTGCATTGAGAAGGCCTCCTGCTATTGGGAGACTTGCCAACACCCCAAAAGCTACCACCGTGAAGCAGCTCGCATAGTATCGGCCATATTCTTGGGTTTCGCACAGCTGACCCAGGAATATCGGTAGCAAGCTGACATTTGATCCACTGAAGAAGCCAAACAGAATTACAAATATAATCAGTAAAGCATCGTTGCTAAGGCCTGGTACAACAATTTCTGGCAGCCAGAAGCCTAGGACGGAAACCGTGCAAAAGAACAAGGAGATAATCATGGTATTATACCGACCGAACCGATCGGCCAGATCCCCCACGATATACCGGCCTCCGCAAGAGGCAGCATTTAGAATGGCGAGGAGCTAGTATGCAAAAGCTGCCGAGCCTGTGATCGCTTCTGCCTGTGACAGATGCTGTCGATCGATGTAGTAGCTCGGTACGTATATGATTGGGATAAATTACGCTAAATCGGTGAAGAGCATACCGGCAGTCATCATCGCTAACGCACCTGTTCCATCTCAGGAACATTGTAGGGTCTGGTAATGTATCGCGCCAAGTAGTATCTATTCCTTTCCGAGGAGGCACTCGACTCCGACAGAATGTCAGGGCTATGGAGCAAAAAGAAATCAGAACGAATCCAAGAATGCGGATGGACCATGGCCAGCCAACTTGTGGGAGGAGAGCTTGTAACATCAAGGGAAAAATAACTCCACCGACGCCGCTCCCCACAAATGCGACTCTGCTGGCGAGACCGCGACGCTTCATGAATCAATGGGCGACACAAGCCATGGACAGGGTAAGGAGAAGGGAGGAGCCGATTCCTGTGAGGATCGAGAGTGCGAGAAAAAACTGATAGTATTCTGTGGCTTGTTAGAGGCAAGGTCTTGCTAAAGATCATAGTGGTCTGGGGATGTGTGGTGCTCAAGTGAATTCAAGCTGGGATCTATATTCTTGCCTTTGCAGAAACTTATAGAGAATATACCAATTATTGTGCAAATGCTCCCGGCGAGAATCAGTGCCCGAGGACCCATTGCGTCAAATGTTGGACCGATTTGTACTCCACAAATCCACACGATGAAGGCATAGACTGAGAAAACCCATCCTATGGTGGAAGAAGAGACATCTGGCAATATCTCTATGGAGATGATAGCATCGAAGACGCCTATTGTGTTGTACATCCCCAATGATGCCGCTAAGCCGCAAAATGCACCCAGTACCACTAGCCAGGCCTCACCGCCACCCTCGGGATAATCGATAGAATCAACCTGAGATGTTGGGCTTGTTATCAAATGGCATTGTAATTTCTGGCTAGGATCCAAGGAAGCTTGGGATGTTGGAGCTTGAGCAAGTCTTTCATTGTCGTTGCCGACCGAAATAATCACCATCATCGAGGAATCGCGCGGGATAGTGGATAAAAGGAAAGAAAAAACAAATTGCGCAGATGAAAGAGTAGGATCATGTATTGATCAAACAACTTTCACGTTCAAGTTATAACAATAAATAGTAATCTTGATATAGTGGATCAAGGTGATCTCAGTGAACCTGATATGGCCAATCAATATCATGATGACCTGATGGAGTGAACTCAATATGACCAATCAACAACATATCATGAATGCAAGTTTCCAAACTCATATGAGCAGGGCCTCAAAAACGAGCCCTGGAGATTACAAATATGCGGCATGATTTCCTTCAGCAAAAAAAGGGCTAAGAAAATGAAAGAATTTGGGGATCACACCTTTCATGGCCACAAGATCAAGATTAGCTTAAACATGGTTCTGGCCTCAATCTTTCTAAGAAATAATGCAGATTTACTATAAGTATCATTATTTTAAAAAAAGAAAATTCATTCATTCGATAGTAACATTTGAACAGGAACCTAGCCCTGGAGGGATCTATTGTAAGCAGCCATAGAGAATACTTCTCCAGGCCAAGAACTAGTATACATATCATCCCCGAGCTCTCAGAATTTGATAACCATTCAACTACTCTGATGTAATTCTCAGCTAGCAAAGAAGATAAATCGAGATTTTGGGTAATCAGCTGAGAAATGCCATCACACTTTCAAACTTGAGTCAGGTTGACTCTTCCAATCTTTTACATTTCTCCATCCGCGTATTCGCTGTCTCAATGGTTTCTTCCCATTCGATACTGGTAGCTGCTCCATCATAGAGTGCAAATCATCTTCATCAGCGTCATGTGAATTTATGAACATATTTCTTCTTCTCTTGAAATGACGAGGTTGGAATAAGACTTCAAAGGCATCTCGAACTCGCTCTGCTTGGAGTGCGACAAACAACACCATGGAAATGATCAACACTGTGAGAGGGATTGATATCGCCCAGAAACGTGTTTGCGAGTTTTGCATATTTCGAATGTCTATTGTGTTCATCCCAAGGTAACTGGTCACAAATGATAAAGGTGTAAACATAAACACAACGGTTACGATGGTGAATATGAAAATAGCCTTGCCTTGATCTTCCTATCGGACGTCAATTCCATTTAGCGTCATAGCTGCCAGTGTCTGTCCCTTATCCAAGAGCTCTTCTATTGTGTTATCGTCGGCATCAAAACGATTAATAAGATTCCATAGGTGCCCATGCTCGAGATCGAAAGAAGAGATCCGTGATTCAGTCGTGATACGGAAAGATGATGGGCGAAGAACTTCGAGATAGTCGTACAATATTCCCATCTGTAAAAAGTCTCATACAGAAATGATTGGAAGATAGAATGAGAGTCAGAAAGCGGGGAATATCTCAAGTTGCCTTGAAGCCTGAGATCTGCGTTGTTGGCCCCCTGAGTTTTAAGTCTTGACACATTCAGACTAGTATGCTCGGAAATGGGGGCTGAAGTACGGAGTACTCCATACTACTACTGAAATACACATAAATGTGCTCCAGATGTCAGTCAACTGGTCCTACCTGCCCGGCCCCCGGGGCCAACATCTCAATGTTGAACATTTGAACTTCAAATATTCATACAATCAGGGAGGTAGCATTTGAGGTTCGACTGGGAGCATTTTCTACCACTTCCAAGGTTCCAAGCCTGAGGTTCGGTTTTCAAGTTGATTGCTCCTCCGAGTTTGCCAGCGATAGATGATCGGTTTTATTTCTCCCTTTCGACAAAATATTAGTATTTTCCTTCAAGTTTCCATCAGTGCTACTATACGTTATCCTAATATATACATAATAGTGACTCGGACCTAGTTGATAAGATCAAATCACACCATCTCTAATCAAAATGTTCTATCAGAAAGCACCCAATCATCCAATCATCCATGGTACTTTAAACTCCGAGATTCGGAAATACTAGCCTCCAGGGCTACTACCTACTAGCGCTGAGCTGACAAATGCTTCAAATTATTAATCACATCAGCCCTGGAGCATGTATGTAAAAATCTGAACATTTGAAGGATGCCACTGGCATATATATGCCAGTGCCTTTTGCTCCCTTGAGGGGATGTCAAGTTTGGTAAGGAATATATTTTGAAATACAACTGGCAACAAGATGGCGCTACCAATAGATACAAAAATTTTGAACAAGAGAGAGCCCCCCCGTCAAGACACATCTGGTGGTGTCTGACACTGGTTCTCAATCCCAATTTGAATGTGAAAGCGAGTGCGCAGAGAAGAAAGATGTCTCAAAAGGTTCAGCGTCGGGTGATCCTGAAGAAGCACATCCACGTCGCAGAAAAAAGCCTCTATCATTCTTTCTGGCATTCACAGCGCTGCTCTTGATGGTATTTTTGGTGTCGTTGGATGCTACAACATTAGCAGTTGCAATTCCGGTAATTGTCACAGTCCCTTGATTCTTTGAGACCATCTGGTTGACATATTTTCTCCCCTTGGATAGGTCATCACCAGAGATCTTTCAGGAAGCACTTTGACCGCTTTCTGGGCCAATATCTCCTTCACAGTGGCAGTCGTAGTCATTCAGCCGATTTATACAAGCGTGTCCGATATAATTGGCCGCAAAAAGCCGCTTTACGCGGCTTTCGCGCTATTTGGTATTGGATCTATCGTGTTTTCTGTCGCACACAGTATGGCAGTCCTGATTGTGGGACGCGTCATCCAAGGACTAGGAGGTGGTGGACTTGATGTACTGAGTGAGGTCATTGTCGCCGATATCACGACTCTCCAAGAGAGGGCAATCTATATCGGACTGCTTTCTCTTCCAATGGCTGCGGGATGTATCGCGGGTCCCATCCTCGGTGCAGTTTTCAGCGAGTATGTAACGTGGCGGTGGATTGGCTGGATTAACCTACCGATAATTGGTGTTGCTCTCTTCCTTGCTGTCTTTTTCATGCGTCTGAAACCCATTGAACAGTCCTTTCGCAGTAAATTTGCTCGAATTGATTGGCTTGGTATGCTTGTCTTCGCCGCCGGCTGTATTCTCTTCGCCTTACCACTCAGCTGGGCGGGGAATATATACCCTTGGAGCTCTTGGAGAACCATAGTCCCACTGGTGATTGGGGTTTTGATATTGGTCGCGTTCGCATTTTATGAGAGATATCCGAGTGATCCTGTGTTTCCCTACCGTATCTTCCGCTCTCGAACGGCCTCAATGACGCTACTCGGAAGCTTCATTCATGGATTCGTCCTTTACACTCTTTTGCAATACCTGCCTCTGTTTTTCCAGGCAGTATACTTGGAGTCGCCACTTGAATCATCTGTCTCGATTCTCCCATTCTGCTGCGTTGTCTTTGTCTTCACGGGCATCGCCGCGTTCGCCGTTGATTTCTTTCGAAAATATCGATGGGAAATTTGGACAGGATGGGCATTCCTTGCTGTTGGCTGTGGCATTTTCTCACTGTGGGATAGGTCATCATCTCTTGCTATCACAGCTAGTTTCCAGGTGATCGCAGGAATTGGCATCGGTACCATTTTCAGTGTGCCCCCGATTCCAATGCAAGCTAGTGCTCTTCCCGAGGACCAGGGTCTTGCAATGGGAATCATGGTCGTATTTCGGCTATTTGGTGCCCTGATAGGCCTTGCAGTCGGTGCCACCACATTCAGTAGCGTCTTTGCTAACAGAATCGACGGCATCACATTGCCCGCTTCTGTGGCGTTGTTGAAAGATCCCAGTCAGGCAGTGAGTTTTATCCCATATGTACGAACGGTTGATATTTCGCCTGAGTTGCGAAATCTCATTCGAGATGCATATAAAGATGCCATGCAAGCTATTTGGTATGAGCTTGCCGCGTTTGGTGCAGTGGGTTTTTTGAGCTCGTTATTTGTGAAGGAGTTGACCATGGAGACGGAAGAGCTGGGACGGCAACAGTTTGAAGTGTGAACTTGAATAACAAAAGCTATACTATAGCATAGATGGAGCTAGTTAGATATCCACTGGTCGGGATGCACTATTCTTCGTTCAAATGTTAGATATTGTGACTCCGGTGAGAGAGTCTAGAGATTCAAGTTCTTGAATTCCTGGTTGTTATTGCCGAGATATTTAGTCAACTGGTAAAATGGCACGGACTCCACGCTAACCCCAAAATGGAGCGAAAAGCGCCGTGGGGGCCAATCGACGGGTTCAAGTTGCGAGATTGAAAAAGAAAAAGAAAAATAAATTAAATAATATAAAATAATATCAAATGAGAAGAAAAAAAGAACCTAGCTCTACGAACTAAGGAGTACCCACAAGACACATATTTTTTTTCTTCGTGCACAGCTTTGGAAGCAGGTATGAGTTTTACTCTAGGGTCACAGGATGTTTGTTGATACCAATCCTGGTCAACTGCATGGTCTGAAAAATTAAAAGATCCAGAGGAATGGATCTGGGATAAATCATTGATACGCAAAAATGAGATCTATAATAAACAAAAGTACTACGGAGAGTAGATAGGACGGAATAGTTCATAAAAGCAACTTTAAATCCTTTGCAATCCTTCATACAAAACGCCGTATAATAATGATTAATAATCCGTGTGAGAGTTTCAATATGGGAAATATTCTGCCTGATATTACCGCCCCACGAAACACAGACCGCAATGAATAGAATACGAACGAAAACCAACTAAAACCAACCAAAATAATTTCATGAACAAGTGTTCGGAGTGGAGTTATTTTCCGGCATATTTCGGGGATTTTCATTGGCTTTTACGGAATGCGGAAGGAAGAGAAATGTATGGAGTATGATAGATCATACATTTTTTTGCAAGTTCAGCTCTTCCTAGGACCCGACAGTTTGGATACAAACCCAAGCCCCTCTGACTGTGTCAAATTTGGTTGAAAAGGGGTCTTAAGCGGGGGGGATTTATTTTTGTCCCAAATCTCCTCCTCTCGAATTTCCCTCTTTTTTCTCATTGTTCTATTCCCCATCCCGAGGTCATAATGTTACCGAGTCCCCGCGATACACCCTCCGCGGTGCCATCCGAACCAGCTTTAACCGCAACTCCAGCCGATAGCCAGACCCCTCTTAACGCACCTACTCCAATTGCAGTCGATAATTTCACCGATGTATGTAAAAAATGGGCCTGCAAGCTCATGATTGCCTGGGATTTGACAATCTAACATTGGAAAACCTTCCAGGATACCAACAGCGAATTCGATGATGACCTGAGTGATCTCACTTCCCTGTCCTCAACTGTGCTCGAGTTCGAATACGAAAATGGCCGACGGTACTGCAGTTCTGACTCAGTAAGTATTTTGTCCTTCATGGACCCATGCCCTCCGAGTCGGGTTCAGGCTTCATTCGCTAACTGACATGGGAATAGGGAAATTATATGTAATTTTATGCTTCCTTCTAGAGGCCCCTGATTGACAATGCTGACCATATTAGGATGCCAAATGACGAGGAGGAGCAAGATCGAATGGACCTGGTAAGACACTATCCATATTAGCATTGTTTATTCACAAGCTGACCGACTGTACCGTCAGACTCATCATATGTGTGTGACGCAACCTATTCATCTTCATCGTCAATCAGTATAGTTACTAACAAAAGCTATAGATGGCTGATGCTCTTAGGAGGGGAGCTCTACAATGCTCCTATCACATCATCACCACAGAACATTCTTGACCTGGGAACTGGAACAGGTATTTGGGCCTTGGATATTGCCGAGTAAATCCCCCCTCTCTATTTTATTCCGCTATCCATGGCCGGAAGAATGACCCTGGATGATAGGAAATTTCCGAGCGCCCGCGTCATTGGAAATGATATCAGTCCCATTCAGCCCAGTTGGGTGGCCCCGAATATCGAGTTCATCATGGAAGATTTCGAAACCCAATGGCCGTATAAACTGAACCACTTTGACTTCATCCATGCACGATGTCTGGCAGGGTATGTGCATGCCACCATTCCCCAAACTTAAATGTGATTTGTCTTTAACACAGTCAACAGATGCGTGACCAACTGGCCCAGGTTTATAAAACAAATTTTCAACCATGTCAAACCCGGCGGATACTTTGAATCCCACGAGAGTGCTGTGTGGGCCCGTAGTGATGATGGCTCTCTCGCACAAGGCTCCGCGCTTATGGAATGGCAGCAGGCCGTCAACTTTGCCGGGGAAAAGAGTGGAAGAGAGTTGAATATTTACCACAAGCTGAAAGATTGGATGATTGCAGCCGGATTTGAGGATGTCACCTTGACGGTTTACGCGCTACCGTTCTCACCCTGGCCTCGTGATCCGCATTTGAAAGCAATTGGCAAGTACCAGGCAGTGCAGCTACAGCAAGCTATCGACTCCTACTCTCTGCGCTTGTATACGCAGGTCCTGGGCTGGAGCCCTGATGCTGCCCAGATCCATAACGCTGTCGTCAAACGGGAGCTGCGGGATAAGAGACTGCACGCTTATGTTCAAACGTATGTTCCAATCTACCTGTTGAATTTCTGGATAGCCAAGATTTTTACTAACTACGAGCAGAGTTGCTGTCTATGGGAGAAAGCCTAATCGCGCCTACTACTAGGCTACTAATATGTAGTGATGTTCGTTATGTGAAACAACCAATGAATGGCTAATGAGTGATCATGAAATGAAATCTTTATCGCGAAATATCGCAAAATCACCCGTGGAGTACGTGTGATGATTTTCATAGGGCAATTGACACCGTGTTCTATTCAGACCGCTACATATTGTATTCAATATTTGAAACCTTTCCCTCGATTTCTAGACTGTTCTTTAAATACTAGTAGCTCGTGGGCGGCGCGGCCCGTGCGGGGTGCTCGTGCCCCCCTTCCCCGCCTTCTCCCCGTGGACCTTAAACCAGAAAGGACTGGACTACACCTTACATCCTACTCGTTAATACACCTTCACAGCCAAATCATGCCTTGCTCATTAAGGTAAATGCAAGCTCACCTGAGTAGTATCTAGGCACTGCCGCCTACGGACACGGTCATAGCTATGCCGACCCCCACTAGTCCACCGGGACAAGTCGCCTCCCAATCCTCGAAAGTCCCCCGACTTCCCCTCGACTTTAGCCACAACAAGCTCCCAATCGCCCAGTGAGCTTGGAACCTTGGAGGATCGATTCAATTTCGCCTAGTTTTCCTGGAACTTTGTCTTCATGTTCTGCGTGCTGACTGTGCTGATCTGATCAAGAGCGGCATCCCGACTGAGAATCTTCAAATTCTCCTTACCCCTCTCGATCTCCTCGATGGCACCGTGCTAGACATTAATATCTCAACGGAAAGCGAGTTCTCAGATATTCGCCATATTTGAAGAACAGCCAGGGAACCGGAACAAAGGCAAAAGCAATAAATCCAAGTAGTGTGTTACCCCAGCCAAGTCCCAGGCGAGCGTACATATCAGGCCCTGCGAGTGGCAGAAGTGCCGCAAATAGACTCCGTAGCACGGTATTGCCAGCTAGAGCAGAAGCACTCCCTTCAGTTCCAAACGAGTCCACAAGATACAGCTGTGCTGGCATCATAATCAAGAATGCGCTGATCCCGATGAGTCCAGTGCCGAGCATCGAAATGATCCAATGTGCGTGGAATTTGGCACTCCAGCCATACCAGATAAAGCCGATAGGGACCAATGGCGAACACCACATCATCAAAATCAGGCGTAATTCAGGTCTGGCAACAGTCCCACCACGTGGCTGCTTCAGAAGCTTATCGCTAAGTAAACCAAATAGCGCAATACTGAACATCATGCCAATGCCGAGTCCAAGGTATGAAAGTCCTGAAATTTCAGGACCCCAGCCATAGGTTTTTTCAAACACATCTGGAAAGGTTGTAAAGAGAAGATAGAGGAGGCTGAACATGAACGCACAGTAGATTGAAATGAGGAAGACAATCGGGGATAGAAAAATCATCTTAGTCGGTCGCATAATAGAGCGCGTAAGAATCTGTGAAGGGGTGAGATTTTTATTCAAGGTCCGAGCACAGAGCTTAGGGTTTCCTGTCTTTTTACATAGTCGGGCCGCTTTGCGACTTAGTAAGGCTGGCTCATAAGTCTCCCGTAAAAAGATCACAGAAAGGAGAGAGATCACGCTTGACTATAGGTGAGCCTGTAAGAAAAGTGAAAATACGCAAAGTTGGGTTGTCACTCACTAAGATGAGGATCAACCAGAATGTCCAACGCCAACCAATATCCTGCGAAACAAATCCGCCGATGACAGGGCCGATGACCTAGAGCATATGAGAACAAAAATTGCTCGGTGGGTCACGGTATAAACTGGGAGAACTCACCGGACCAAGAAGAGGACCCATGCCAAATATTGCCATTGCCTTCCCCCTCTCAGCCTCAACGTAGAGATCGGCAATTGTGCCACCTCCAATGGCCATTGGTGAAGATGCAGCAACACCGCAGAGAAGGCGGAATGCTAGGAACATGCCCGCGTCAGTGCTTAGAGCACAACCCACAGTCAATCCGATAAAGATCATGTTGCAAATATGGTAGACGATCAGTCGACCATACGTTTCAGATAACGAGGAGAGGATAAGTGGACCCAGACAGAATCCCAAGAGATATATCGTGACCGTCAAAGACTCTACAATCGTGCTGGTGATGCGGAACTCCTTCGCAACATCCTGAGCCCCCGGAGCAAACATAACGGCGGCGAGATTCCTGTTTACCTTGTGAGAATAGGATTAGCATAAGGGTCATTGAAGGAATTATCTCACGAGTAAAGAGTGAATCCGCTGACCAACAAGACATGGACAAGCTTTTTGCCCGATGACCAGTTTCGCGGGTTCTTTGGATCGTCAGGACCGTCCCAGTCGACGAAGTGAACATCTTCATCAATGACTCCTTCCTTGCATGCCAGCTCAGGGTCAGCCTGAGAGGTATCGAATGGCCCTGCCTTCATGTCTTGATGGGCTTTTGATGACGATGACATGTATCGATTTCAGATTTAAGCCAAGGTCTCGACAGATATGGGCGAGTAACGATGGAAATAAAGTGGAGAGTAGTCCATGTGGTCCTGACTTTTGTTCCTGACTGCCTGGGCAGATTATAAGTGAACGGTTCGGAGGTTCGGCTTGATCAATCGAGTGCGGTGCCTTAGCGGAGAGCCTCCGCGGGCCTGTTGAAGGGCCGGTATTTTCGTACACCTTGGTGTCATGCTGGGTGATTCATACACGCTATCCATATAGAAGACTTCTGCCAAGTGATCCAAGAGTTCTCCACCGATCTAGCGTTTGTTCGGATGATCGACGACCCTCCGCGGAGTTGCGGACGTCTTAGCGTGGCGCGACAGGCCCACTTCATTTCATATATATCGGCCTTGTTGCCCGGAGGAAACGTTTGAGTAATGCCCGACGGTCGTAGCCCCTTGCTTTCATCACCCGAAGATCCAATCACAGGTCCTTGGGTGCTAAGAACGATGGTGAAGGAGGGGAAAAGGTGGTGCTGGCCAGGTACACATGTGAGAGATAACCTTGGAAGTTACGTGCTACGCACGCGGGTGTTCGGCCCTGGAGGGCCAACTGGTGACTAAAGTGATCCGATTCCCTCATTCCAACTTGGGGGATGGAAACTTCAGGGCTCCCAACATGTACAAGGTATCAAGGAAAGCTTTAGCTGAGCTTCAGAGGTTGTAATGCATGCCAGTGACACAAGTAGGCCTATTGGCTTCTGGTTATACTGCCGCGATACGACTTCATTTACGGATTTCTAACTTGAACCTTCAACTCTAAGTTGAAAACTTGAACATTTCGAGGATGTTACTGAAGGTCGTAGTGATCAGATGAACTACGGAGTACTCCGTAAATGAACAACCCTGGAGTATATATATTCCGGAGAACGCGGCACTGCCGGACGGCAGAGCACATGACCGGCCCCCTGGGAACGCACGTGACCGGAGCGCTCTTATCTTCCCTGTTATCTTCCAAGATTCTGGTTATCTTCTGGCGCCAAGGTCCTGTAGACCATGAAAGGTTGAAACTTGAACTTGAACAACACCAGTTGCCAGTGATCATCATTTTAAAGTCTACAATTACATGGCATCCAATCCAGGGGCATTTGCCTGTCAACCCTGCAGAGCTTCTAAACGCCGTGTCAGTCAACTGGTCACGATGGTCGGAATATTCCCAGATTCCTTGAATGGACGTTGACTTGTTGATAGTGCGACGGGTCAAAACCACAATGTTCAACCTGCAGCAAGGCCAGCAAAGTCTGCACTTATGTCCTTGAGAAAAAGACGCGAAAGTATGTTCTATTTTGCTGGCCAAAATCCCAATACATTCATGCTAAACTCAGCCAGGCGGAAGTACTGGGACGAGAGTTACGTGAAGTCCCTAGAAAACCAAATACAGTCACTGCTAGCCATACAAAGAAATGAGTTAAGCATTAAGAAGGCTCCAGAAATGACGCCTCTAAATGAGTCATATGTTCTGGGGCCTGAAAACAGCGACAACACTCTGAATCATCCTGCTTTTCCTACCAGGCAAATCACAGATGAAGCGGTATTCAGTCAGTCTTCCAAAGTAATGGAAGAACTTAGCGTCATGATGTGGCGAACCAATCTTGCGGACGGTGTCACGATTGATAATGAGCCAAAAGCTACACCCGTCGCTCATTCTCAACCGACCCAGACGTACAGCCCGATTCGCAATATTCCCGAATGCGCGGGAGACCTTGCTCGCATCGAAAGACTTGCTGAGCTTTTTCTTCAACATATAAATGCAGAGCATCAATTCACGCAATATAAAACGACAGACTCGTTTTCCTGCTTCCCCGACCAAAAAGCCGATCTACTGCTCCTTCATTCAGCGATTTTAGCGGCTGGGGCGACGTTTGAGCATCAGTCCGATTCACTGGAGGTCAGCAACCAATTCGCAGAGTTGAGTGAGAGTTTGGTTTTTACATGCTTCAAAAATGCATCGTCTATATACGCCATCCAGGGTCTTTGTATTTTGTCATGGAGATCTCTTGCTCTTGGGCACGACCATATTGGATGGGCTTTCCTTTCAATGGCTGCAGGACTAGCCGTGCACCTTAGGCTGCATGTCCTGGTATTGGACGAGGTCGCCTCGCAGCATCTAAAGACAACGAGGGCCAATGCACAAACCTTTTGGTCTTTTTACATGACAGACCGCACGTCAATATCTATACTTGGGAGGAATTGCATTCTTCCCTGGCGCCGTGTGAATGTGCCTGTAATTGATGCATTTCTCTCTGGAGAAGACGCAGATCTTGCAGAATTATCTTTCGCATGGCAGTGCAAATTATGGTATATGCACGATCAGAATATGGATCAGATGTATGTTTTACGTACAATGCGTACAACGCTACTTCGTAGGTGTGAGAGCTACTGACTTTCATCTAGATTCTCGTCTTCTTTCGAGAAATGCAGTGTTTCTGATCAAGTGACGCTTCTCGTTTCGATGCACGAGACTCTCAATCAATTCATGAAGTCGAGAGATCCCCGGCTCGATCTTGGTCGTGGGCCAACTCCCAAACCTGTGTTACTTTTCCATATGGCATATCAAATGACGATTTTAATAACCATGCCTCCATTTCTACGAGTCTTCGCTTTGGCCCGGACAAGCAGGCAGATTTTACATGCACGGCCTCTGGTTTTGCAATCTATAACGTCAGCTGCTTCATCCATGATCCGGCTTGTGCAGAACTACTGCACGTGGTATGGATTTGAATATGCGAATCCTCTTCTGATACATCACCTGCTCAGTGCATCGATCGTACATTTGATGAATACAACAACCAAACTACCCACATTCCGACGTTACAGCACTCGGTCAGTCAGGAAATGTATATCTTTGCTTCATGAAATGGGCCGATATTGGGAGATTCGATCTCAAAAGAGCATAAACACAATCCAGACATTAGCCCAACGCTGGGGTGTGGAAGACGTGCTGTCAACTAATGAGCACACCGCTTCCAGTGGTGGACATGGTGACGCACTAGATCACATACCGCCATTTATGGGCGATGTTGATTGCAATAATTCAAACAACAACCAGAGGGCGGAGCAGAATATTGATTATTTTGATTTTTCTCAATATCACCAAGAAATCCAGGTAAGTCTACCGGATGATACAGAGCAGCAATACGATCTTTCAATCATGGATCTTCCTGTATCAGGTAACCATTTTGGACTTTCGCCTCTCTTTCCTAATTTTGGCAATGTGGATGATTTTTTCTGGAGTTCAGAGTGCTAGATTTTCAAGGTTTCCAGGCAAATTTCAATGAAAAACGAATTTGGAATAAAATTTGCAAAATCAAAATCGGAGAACAATATAGAACTACTTCTGGCTGGAAATATCACCAGCGATCACGTTAACCAGATCCGCGGTCGTATTATCACGGATTGTTTTCTTCACTTCTTTACAAACGTTCAACCACATGAGATCAGGGCGGCTATAATGTCCGGTCGCGTCTGCGAATAGCTTTGTGCCAATAATCTGGTCCATGTCAAGATCGGCGTAGATGATCGCTTCTGTTGTACTCTCGACGGGCTCTGACAACAGCCTGCCATCTGGCCCAAACACTGCGGAGCTGCCACCCCCAGGAGAAGACATCAGCGCCCCGCCAGACGTTTTCATCCTTTCAATACCTTTCTCAGTTATCAGAGCTGTACAATGGAGAACGAAACTCTGTGCCTCGATCGCATAGGTTCGTGACAGATTTTGGCAACCTAGATCTATCTCTTAGCTCTTACTCTGTATAGAGCAAAGATCAAATTTGATATGCTTACCTTCTTTTGACATTGACCATAAGTCCGAGCCTCCAGTATGAGGAGTTAAGCTTGGCCAGGCAGAAACATGAATATCCTCATTCTGAGAGAATGTATGGTATTTCAGTAGTGGCTGGATATGCTCCCAGCATGAGAGAGCGCCGACTCGTCCAAACGGGAGTTGGGACACGCTTGAAAAGCACTCTCCTGATGCATCACCAAATACGGTACGCTCCATATGTGTTGGCTTCATCTTTCGACGGTGTGATTTCAACACTCCATCTGGACCAATCATCACCTGAGAGATATACACGGAGTTGTTGTCATTCTCGGAAAATCCCAACGAGACAGCGATCGAATGGGCTCGGACTGCATTCTGAATCGCCTTCATCTCGACCGAATCAAGCCGGAGGGAGTTCTTCACGTAGGCAACGTTGAGTTCAACATCTAGAAGGCGGGACCTAACACAAGAGATTAGTGAGCAAATATCAGTGGTAGTATACAGCCAGATGGGAATAATATACCATATCCAGCAAGGGTAACCCGGAATCCAGCATTCAGGGAAAGCAATCAAGCTTGCCCCTTGTTTTCCTGCTTCTTCGATCAACTCGCATGTCTTCTTGACACCCTCAGCAAGATCCAACCATGCTGGTTCAGACTGAGTGACAGCCACGCGCACGGTTTTGCTACTCATTGGTGACGATTTCCAAAATGAAAGGGAGCTTCCAAATAAAGTGATGAAATTAACTACTTCGACTTGATTTTGAGACTGCGGTTGTCCCTGCGTTTTATACCATTGGAGTTTGGGGTCAGACTGTCAGACGATAACTTGAAGCTGAATGAAAGTTTGAAAATGCTTATTGTCGGACTTTTTGTCTCAAATGATAATACGCTATTAGCAAAAAATTATAAAGTTATCAGCAATTACCTAGGTAATCATGACCCCGCGTCTGCGGAGTGAATGGGCTCCGCAATGGCTATATATGATTTACCCTTTGTGCGGAGCGGATAGTCTCCGCATGAGAATGATAAGGTTGGAATCCCTTACCGATAGCCAATGATCATTATGAGAAACCCAAGTGTCATGTTGAAGAACTCTGTTTGCGGGGAAGCACGAGAGAGGAATTCCTACCGAGCAGAGAGCTAAAACATGAACAATAAGTGGTTCAATATACGATAAGGACAATGAGTGCGAGTTTCGCACTTACCAAACAGGTTAGTCTATATCAAACTGGACCATCGTGTACATCGTGACGTGTTCTAACATCAAATGCAGATCACGGTCCTCCTTCCCTCAAGTACTTAATGGTAGATGTTTTTGCTTTCCTTTTTCTTTGATGAATGATTCTCGTGTCAGATTTCATCCCCCCCTTTTGAGACCATATAGCAAAATTCAGTATGTGGGGTGTTCAACTTTCGTCAGCTGAGCCTTTCGTATACTCTATTTTCGGACTTCAGTACCACCACGAACCTCCAACGGAAGAACAAACCACTTGTCAAAAAGAATTCGATGATCTAATCGCCAACCATGCGACTCATATAGATCGCCTAGTCCAGGAAGGAAGTGCAGGCTCCAAGGTAGCCAAAACATTCATATGGCTTGGTTACTGGAAAACACGAACGGAATACCTTGATTGGTGGACCAGCGATGCAGTTACCAGTTTCTGGGCAAATCTATCATCACATGCAGGACTGTGGAGAGAGATTATGATGCCGAGTGATACGCGTACCCAATTTGGGACCAATCAACCCAAGCCATCTGGTCTTGGTTATTTGGGGACACCTACAAGTCTGGGTGAGAAGTCCGGGTACTGGGGCTGTTATCGGCACCGAATGTCTTCTTTTCAGGACGACAACTTTACGACGAATGTTGATAAAGAGATCGTCCAAGTCCAACACTACACACTACAAGACACCGATCATGAGCTTCCGATCATACCTGGACGTCAAATTCTGACCAATCTTCCCGATAATGTTTGTTTCGTGATTGAGGGCCAAGACCATTCTGAAATCACGGATGAGGAGAAGGAATTCTGGTTCAAGAATTTTGACCAGTCTGTTGAGCGATGGATGAATGATCTCGTCTTCGCTGGGGAAGGTTCTGGAGTCCTTGACAGTAAGCTCTGTTACTGTCCCGAAAGTGGTATATTTCGAGAGTCAGACTCGGACTTGTCCGCTTTGAACTACAATAAGAAGGTCCAGCTCTTTTATTTCAAAGATTTGAGACATCTGGAGAGGATTGGACGCAGTAACAAAGGGCACGTTGATCTGCGACATCGCTTTATGGGTGCCTATGGCCCTGGCGGGGAATTGACCTCTGGCAAGATTTGTTTGTGGGTTGAGACGACAGTGATCAAGGGGAATGAAATAGAATGCGAGTATGTTGGGTGTTTTGAAGGGACAGGTTGGTTGGCTCTTGGCGAGCACGAGATATTTGCTGTTCAATACTCAGATTGAGGCTTTTCAAGTTCCTCGTTGCATGAACCTATTGGTCGATATTCGAGTCTTCTCCATATCTACTCCATGAATCCGAGTATGATCCACTTCATGCTCGCCGAAATAATGCCTAATAGTTGGTCCGGAAGTCACTAAATAAAAGAAGTGCCTTATGTGTTAGAGACTTGAATTCTGTGTATGTATTAACGTGTCTCACATTTGCAGATGGTACTTTTAAAAAGAAAATTGCTGCCTAGTTCTACTTGATACTAACCAGATAGACACTGGATAAAGTACTTAGCTGGGTACCCTACCCCACTATGTACAGGCGACTCAAGCATTTAGCTAGATTGACTTGGATTCGTGCCCTCGGTACACTCTGGCGTCCTTTTAATATTCCCTATATGCGTCAAATTTTATTACCTAGTTATGGCAATGGCCTATCTAAGTTTGAGTGTTTGATTGAAACGTGCCCTGATGATTTCAACGAGTCTTCCGATATAGTCAAGGCAGACTGAGAGTGAAATTATGCTCAATATGGTCAGGGTCCATATTCAAATGTTTCATAGACTACCAGTAACCAGATTGTATTCAAGCAAAAGACAATCTTTGGAAAGACACCTAGATCCGCGTCACTGCACATGTCGAGTATCTTGGGTTTAATTGGATATTTCATTCTTCAAATGTCAACACTAGCTATATTTGTACAGGTGGGCTCTCTAGAATATCAATGCATGTCGGCACCTACTAGTAGTACCAGTTGACTCTGGCCCCGGCGAGTCCGAATACTGTTAGTGTGAATCATCAACTGCTTGACTCCGTACTGGCATCCTCCCTTACATCTCACGCATTTAAATTCAAGTACCGATCCCCCGCTGTCTCTTGTCTTTCTCATTTTTTTAAATACAAAACCAAGATCACTGAGCTTCAAGCACATCATGAGCGACCACAACATCTGTGACAAGTGTGGCGCAAGGCGCCCGGACGAAAGCAGAGATTTGCAAAACTTTGTCACTAAATCAGTCATCGGGTTTATCACTACCTATAACTCTATGCTTCGTAATGTTGAGACTAGTATTCCCGGGTGTTCTCGCACAGTCTGTGCGTAATTAGTCTGCGATTGGGTTATTTGCTGTGGGTAATTCCAAGGTTGGGCTGATCGGTTGACCAGCATTGATTTGACACTACACAGTTGACACCCCAGTGATATTCCAATCTCTTGGTCAGTGAGAGCAGTGTGTAGGAAAGGGGATCAATACACACGAAGTCTGAGCAAGCCCGGTGAGACCCCGCGTTCTGCATGTATCACTCGGGATACCAGCAGCCTATTTGTGTGATAAGTGACGTATGCGACGAGGGAGATGGCCATTTCTAACGAGACATTCGGGTGCACCCGAACCAAAATATCAACCGTCGCCGGGAAGCGCGGCTTGGAAGGATAAAGTGCAGTATTCAGAGCTGTTCTCACCAATGGTGATATCTTATACATCTGCGCCAAGGGATGCAGCACCTGTATATAACTGGAAATCGCTCGTGAGATTGCACAGAGTTAGACGAGCGTCGGTGACGGTTGCTGTGGCGTGCTGTGCGAGCGACAGGGAGTGATCTTGTTGGTATAGGCGGTTACTTGCCTGGGACGGACTGTGGAATGGCATGGAATGAGGGGGCATGGGAAGAAGAAGAGAAATTTTGGAAGCTAAATATGAATGTTCATGATATGCAATGTAATGTAAACTTGAATATGTCAAACACTTCAGCTTTCTGGTTGTTCTTCCGCACTCATAAGCGACTCTGACAAATTAGGAATCTTTTTGACCGACTCTGAGTCGGAGCTTGATACATATACATAAAGAGTTTAGTCTCCGCATTTCCACAATAATGCTTCTACTAGTAGACATGGATGGATCAACATTTGAACTCTCCCCACGGGGCCCCAGAAACTTGAACATAAATGGGGGTCAACCCCACTGATACCGAGTGTTGCCCAGGTGTGAGAGATCAAAAATTCAAGTTTGAATCAATATTTCACCTTAATTCAATGCTCAATCCATGATCATGGTCTTTATGAACTTTCTACTTACACTGGCAAGTGCCACTGCCGTATCAAGTCACGCAGTGGATATCCTCCAATTGGAGACCACAATCGGATCTGTTTATGGTATAATTAACAGCTCAACCCCGCACGTCGCTCAATACCTCGGCATACCATTTGCAGAACCTTCACTTGGTGACGTGAGATTCAAACCGCCTCAGCAAAAATCTCGTGGGCAGGCGATCTTCGCCAACAAAACCGGTCCTTCATGTCCACAGCACCTTCTGAACAAACAGAATGCTCCATCTGTCTATACATATGACGCGCCTTGTTTACAACCGTATGGTGCTATCGACGAAGACTGTCTCACACTGAATGTGTGGACTCCACTGAAGAAGAGCAAGGAGCCACTCCCGGTGCTGATTTGGGTCTTCGGTGGAGGTTTCTATGAAGGAGGCTTGTTGACTAATGGCTTTGATTCGAGTAATTGGATTCAACGCACAGAGTCTCATACAGTTGTTGCATTGAAGTTTGTCATTTTCCATCTTCCAAAATAGTGCGCAACTAACCTCTGATAGCTATCGCAATAACATCTTCGGTTATCCCAATGCCCGCGGCCTGGCCGAAACAGGTGAAAATTTGAATATGGGTCTTCTGGATCAGCGATTGGCGTCGAATGGGTCCGAGATAACATCGCAGCTTTCGGTGGTGATACCTTGCGCATGGTGATGTGGGGACAAAGCTCCGGAGCCGCAAGCTGCGATTTCTATAACTATGCATACCCCGATGATCCTATTGTTTCCGGATTCATTCTTCATCCGGGTAACGCCTTGGATACTGGAGTGAACAATGATCTAACACATACCAACTTCACTTTCATTGCAGAGTACTTTGGGCGTGTGGATCTCTCCAGATGTCTGCAGAAAGTCCACTGGAAAAACATAATCGATCTTTATGAAAGCTACAATCTAAATCATAGCACCGGACAGCTCAAGTGGACTACTGTCATTGACAATATCGCCAAGTTTGAGAATCATACGAAACGAACTCTAGCTGGAAAGTACAGTAGGCTGGTGAGATCTCTTTCTTCAAATACTATAGGATTGCTCGACTCACAAAAACTGATTTAACCCGTAATCGAAGGTGCCAACGCAAATGAAGAAGCTTCCCTCATAACATGGCCCGGTCCCGCTGGTCCTAACATGACCTACATACACATAGAGTCACTATCAGTGCATATCTGTCCAGCAGTTCACCATACCAGGTTGGTCTGGAAGACATCAAGTATCGAGTGGAACTTGAAGCTAATAAAACATACATAGTCTAAGCTATCAAGGAGAGTCTTTGACACTCTTCTACTCCAACGAAGCAAACTTCAGCAATATCTCCCCTCGATCCTGGGAAGGCGCCTACCACACTTCTGAACTCCCATTACTATTTGGAACTTGGGAGGATTACGGGGGCCCGGGAACAAGCTTTGAAGCTGCTGTATCGGCGCACTGGCAGGATCTATACCTTGAATTCATGAAGGATCCTGTTCATGGGTTACCGAGGTATGGATGGCCTGCGTATAGTCCTAATGGCTCAGCGACATTGATGGGAGAAAAAGGGAGAGTGCTTCAGCTTATGAATATTACCGTTCTTCAAGATGGATGTGCTGGGATTCCAGAGACATATGACTAAGTGAGCCTGAACTTGAAGGTGCCCAGTTGTAGGTTGACAGCTCTGGCATGTAGCGACTTTACAAGCCATCTGTACACCGTGTAGCACCATGTTTATCCTTGCAGCCCCGCCCAGGTGCCATGTGATCACACTAGCATGCAAGGGGGTGGTTTTGGCCAACACGACCATGATGAGTCTACACGAATGGGATATGAATATAACAGAACGAACGAATTAAGCTTTCCAAATCCCTTGGCATATGACTTTTGATTTTGCCTGATTAAAAACCCTCATCATTGGCCTCGACTAGACTCCTGGTTTCCCATTTCTCGGTGCCACAAACAACGCTCGCGCCTTAGCAACAACAGTGGGCTCCCCATTTTGTGGTAGCGTCTCTATATGCCCTTCCACCCATGCTTTCCTCTCAATAACATCCTTTGTCTCCGCTTTCAATACAGCGAAGCTATCAGTAGGTAAAGGATTCAAGTACTCCACATCCAGTGTCACAGTAGCACCTGCTCTCCCAGGCAAAGATGGAAAGCAGCACCACCCCAAGCCTTCATCAAGAATTGTAGCCAGAAGTCCTCCGTGGACAATACCAGGATATCCAGATACCTGTTTCCCGAAATATATTATTTCAATCAAACTCCTTCCAGTTCGCTCAGCGAATACGTATGGCGGTATGGGTATCGTTTCCGGTCCAGTGAGAGGACCCGCGGTGAGATTTTGTTCGCGCAAATCCCGAGGGTAATCCTCATATCCTCTATATTCAATAAATCTTCCACTTATTCGTAGACTTTGAACCATAGGATGGTTTTCAATAAAGGTTTGTATCGCATGTGGGGAAATTGAAGACATCCAGATTTCATCACAGTTTCTGGCTGAATTAGATATACTGTTCAGATTTGCGGTGAAGCATAACCCACGGATCAGTCGTTGGGTATGGAAATTGAGGGTTTGACGGAAAAATGAATAGCATCCACATTTGAAGCTTGAAATTCTCAAGTCTTTAACAAATTCGATTTCGGGAGTAGGAGATCCGGTGGGAAGATCATGGTAAAATAAGTATAGCTCAAGTGCTTCTAGTTGGGTAGTTGCAAAGTTAGCGCAGTGCATGACCCCAATGCCCGGCGTGCATTAAAATTCATGAAAGCATATCCCGATCTCCACACATCCCTGAGCCTCGCCATATATGGATGGATAAGTATTGAGAAATGGGTCACTCGGCAATATTCGAGCGCCCAGATGATTCTCTAGCCACCAAAAGGATTGAATCAGGTAAACGTCCTACTTCCAAATGCCCTTGCAAGATTCACGCGGCATCCGCGCTATGACCATTATATTCACACTTATCATTGGATAGTCTGAGTCTGATGATCGCATATTTCCGAGCATAAACTTCGAAAAATCCGGTTCCATGGATCATGTGCAGTAGTGGGAAGGTGAGGAAAAGAGGTGGAATAAACCTACTCTCCCACCATGATTGATAAAACAATTAAGATATGCCACTGGTGCTCAAGATTTCAATCCTTTAATTGGGTTTTCATGTTTATAGCGTTGAGCTTTCAAGTTATAAACACCAAGTAAAGTTTGAAGAGAAAGTGTCGTTTTATTTTAACAGATGAAAATTTGAATCTCATTCCAAGTTTGAATCTATTGAATCCTTTAACAAACTAGTGTGCTGTTAGTGATTGTGGGTCTACGGATTTGCCTTCGAATCCCACGCCACATCATCAGCTAGGTAAACCTGATAACGTTCCAGATATACTTGGTCCAATTTGACCAAGTAACATCGTGCAGCCCAGTCGATAGTCCTTCTG